CTATATAGTCTTTATAATATTTCTTTTATATTATACTAGTATAGTAGGTTACTTAAGTAATAATACTACTACTTAGTACTTACTTAACTATAGTAGAAACCTAATTATTATACTCTTTACTACTAAGTATAACTCTAATAGTATTATTTTCTAGCCTAGTATATTTAAGTTAGGTAAGAGCTTCTTTATTATTAACTAGTATAAAGTTATATTTTAAGCTACCTATAAATAGTTTACTTATTAAATATAGCCTTAATATAGTATTTAATCTATTAGGTACTATACTAAAATATATAATTTAGTTAAGGCTTAAAAGAAGAAGGTAGTAATTATATAATAATTATAAATAAAAGTCTATTTTTACTTATTCTACTCTCTTCTCCTTATAAAGATTTCTTATATAGTAGTAATTTAAAAGTAATAAAGTATATAAATCTTTTAATATTAGTATAAATTACCTAGAATATTAGGTAAATTTAGCTAAATATAGTATAAAAGTGTAAATTTACTCTTATACGCAGTGTAATTTTACCTAACCTAGTATATTTTATATTAATACAGTACCTTAGTGTTATTATTAAAAAGCCTTTATCTTATAAGTTACCTACTAGTGCTATTATTAATTAGATATAGCTAAAGTTATATTTAAGTGCTATAGTAGCTAATCTAAAGATAAAATTTTCCTATAGTTTTAATATATATACTAAGAAGCTTTTACTAAATTACTCTATAAAAAGCTTACTATATTCTAGGTAACTATTATTATAGTATACTATAATAGTAATAGTTTAAACTAGAAAAGCAAGGAGTTTTCTAATAATAAATAAGATCTATAAGAGTTTCTTAGGGTAATAGAAAATAATAATAGAGATAAAGCTAAATAAGTCTATTTAGATACTTATAACGTGTAGGCACTATTTACACCTCTTTTTAACACTGTTATAATAGTTAATATAAGTGTTTTAAATCTATACCTTGTTATATAACTCTGTTAAATAATCTTAGAAGCTAAGAGTTTCGGTCTTCTACACTATCTATAGAACAAATAATATATATAGTAATATATTAGTATATTTATAAGTAATTAATTATTTTCTGTTAATAGCGTATTATACTTATAGTATAAGTAAATAAATATAATATTCTATAATCTGCTACCTAAAACCTGCAGAGTTTAGCTTAACTTAATAATAAAAGAACTGCCTAATAGTACAGTTCTAAAGCAAATCTAGAACGTTATAGAGAAAACCTTAAAGGATATTAAAGCTGCTATAACGAAGGAAATTACTTAGGCTGCGCAATATAAGCCTATTAACAGGCCGTCCTTAGTAGGTTAGAATAGAATTAAAAGTTTTGTTTTAGTAACACTAACACTATTTTAGAGGTATAAGGAATAACGTTAAGTAGCTACAGCATCTACTACAGCTTATTATCTTTGTCTATAAAAAGGCTGTTGCCTAACCCGTCTGCGTGTATGCGTTTTCAACTAGGTTAAAGAGGTAGAAACAGTTCTCCTTACTTATATTTTAGAGTTTTAGCTACATTGCATAGGATGTGTAGTCTAGAGAGGTATTGTGAAGTACTGGGATTTCCTATAATAGGTGCATCTGTAGATTCTAGCGTCGTGCATAGCACCCTATCTCGATGTCACAGTATTAATGTTATAATTCGTCCTGTAATAATTCTCCTTCCGTCTTGTTTGATTCGAAGTTTCCAAGCTGAGCGGTCTATATGTAGAGCACGCTGTCTAAAGGTCGTTGTCTTTAGTAACAAGAGCGGTTATAACAATGTTAATTTCATCCTAGAACCAGTCGATCTAACTAAGTACTAGCCATTCTGTCTTCAAGTCGGCTAACTCCCAAGCCTTTCGCAAAACCTTCCCTATCGCATGACGCCTAGCAAAGCCTGTCGCTTTGTCGCGTCGAATTAATATACATGAGACAACGTGATAGCCGTTCAAGGAAGAACGCAACTCATCTAGATCCAAAGTATTCGTGAAAGAATCAAATTGCCTGGTGTATGCAAGAAACGCAAATTCGGATACTTCGTTCATGATGTAAGGCATGTCAGAGTCAGAGAGTATTATCTGCCCTACACAAGATCCACAGCAGTCGAGTATCTGGTATGTGTGGTTCGTTGTCCAACTATGTACAAACGGCTGTATTGTTTTTGGGAGATCCTGAGCCATCGGACGGATGGTCTCGTCCCACTGCAACTGCGCACCAAGTGAGAACGTTGCTAAAGTGGTTAGGCAGTGAAGATAGAAGCCGTCCTGGTCAATGTGGGATGCAGATACCATAGGGGGACATGAAACGTCAAGCCCTGATGGTAAACCACATACTTTTTCTGGAGTGGGAGAGACACTAGTTGGGAGTAATTTCGAAGTCCCATCGATAGTGAGCGAATACCATGAGATGGCCCCTTGTACAAAAGATATATCGAGAAAGTCCGCCGGGTCGTAATATACGCCGGGCGCATTGTTACAGAACCACGCGCCCCATGACCATGTTGGCAGCCCAGTACTATTAGCGATACTCGAATTGCCGTGAGTACCTGACAAGGCCTTCCAATTCAACGCTAGATCAAGTTGTTCGACAGGCAACCCGTGAATAAATGTAATCCCGCGGCAAGCCCCGCTTTCGACTATGAGGTTCAATATACCCTGAATAGCATTGACACCGTCTCTTGGATATCCCAAGGAGCGCGGTGTGTATCCCCGAACCAAGCCATCGTATGTGGCGAATGCTAGATCCATGTCGGTTTGGCCGCCAGCACCAACCGTCAGATTTTGACCAAAGCTGTATGTTCGTCCAGGTGGTAAGAGTATCTTGGTGTCAGATATCATTTGATGCCGCATGTTTTTGTCTGTGGGCTCTGATAGTGTCGATTCCGTCCATGTATCGCACTGACATACCCAATACGTTTGTTTTGGGGTTATGATAAGGAGACGTCGACTCAAGATCCTCTCTTGGAAGGTCCAGCATCGCCAGTTCCAGGGTGTGAAATCAACATCGTGTTCGATATCCTCGCCTTCAACTGCATATGATTTGCCTTTAAAGGAGAATATCTTTTGGAAACTCGATCGAGCGTGCAGTTCGGGTATACCGTGATTCGCAGATGAGCTGGATGCTGCGCAAATGGTCAAACATGCTGAGCGATACACGCGATCCATTTGCTGAAGTTGAAACGACTTGTCATCATTGACTGGCGGATCTTGAATTATACACAGTGCATCAACCCACAAGTAGTTGATGCCTATCTGACGACACAGCGAAATTGCATCCTCAATTGTCCGTCCAAGTATTGGCGATTGAGGTAATCGAAAGGGTAACTTGTGCATTTGCGCCTCGTTAACGACGAACTGAGGACCACCCCATACGTAGCTTAAAGCTGCGTATGTGCAGTTGAATGGCGCATGGATAACCGACAAGGTGTGAACGTCGATCAGTCGGAGCTTCTCTGGCTTTTTCGGAGAGAGCCATGCCGCCTGGTTGCAGTCGCTGCCATGAAACTTGTAGCATGTGTGGAGCCAGTGCATGAATAAATTGGTATCCAGCTTCTGGGAGACAACGCGGCGTTCACGCAATAGCTGAGGTCGAAGAGGCAGGCTATCGTCGTATAGTCGGCAAAGTCTACGAGGCCCCGTCGGTAACCTGAGTATAACTGCACTCTCCTGCGTAACAGGAACACCTGTTTTCTTCCGGTCGATCTTTTCTCTCATCTCATCGATATACGCCGAGGTGTGGCCACAGGTGGATAGATAATCATAATACCGAAGACATGACGACAGTGAGCATGCGTATTGCTGCCATGCTGTTCCGACTTCTTTTTGATGACTATCTTCTACAAGGCCAACAACGACAGTACAAAACCAGCACGACGTTGCTCTCGCGCAAATTTGCTGATATGTGCCCAATTCGGGAAACGATACCGAATCTTCAGGATTAAAACAAGCTTCTAGATTGAGGCCTTTGCAGACTTCGCATAAGATTTCCATTTTATAATTGAGAATTAGTACTGAGCGGGGATGTTGGTAGACAAGGCTATCCAGGCTTTTATGCTTGTTCTGAGCTACGTGCTACGTCATTAAATTAATGCCCCGCAGATTATTCTCAATTCGGCCAACCATCAGCCAACAATATCGAGCTGGTGCTCTAGCATTTAATCCCTCTTTCTAGACAATTAAAATCGATGTTAGTGTATTACCTTGCTCTTGATACGTATCTACTAGCTTAATCTCCAAGTTACCTTGGGTCCTTGGAAGCGTGTAACGTGGAATGACATCAAGAAGCTTCTTTCCAACGTCCATGGCGAAGACTCACAGTCATCCGAGCATGAGATACAATGCGAGACTCTGACTATTCGAATTTCCAAGGCGCAGCTTCTTCTTACCGGCGTTCTGATTATTCATGAGAGACGCTTGGCCTCAGCCACTATTGCTATCACCTCAGCAGGCATCCTCGTCAGAGCTGAAGTGGATGCATGGGATGTCGAAGACGATAGATATATCATCATCAACAATGCCGTGCTGACTCTGATGATTGGCAGGGCTACGGCCGCAACTTCCGGGAAACCGAAGGAAAGCGCAAGCTCTGCTCCAGCACAGAGGGGCTGGAACGGTGGACTGGAAGTCGCGGGACAGATGACTATCAAGGAAGGTGTATCAAAACCCATCCACATTCAGGTCACGCTTGCTATAGGAAAGCAGAACAAGCAATGGTACTGGGTTGTCTGTGGACGTATGGAGTCTGATATCTCGTTGAGAGACATTGTCTCATCGGTCGACGAGAATTCGGAGCTTGACGTCCGACTAAAGTCAGTATGTCTTGTCGCCTCGAGTGTGAATGATCCAAAGGGCAACATCAACTCCAATGGATATGTCATCAAGCAAGGTAACGTGCCTAATTCTCTTTATATGTATTCTTGCTGACATGGCGAAGGCTTCTTCTTGTGGGCTACACTGGAGCAGATTCCACTCATCAAGATTGGTGGAGCCGTGAAAGAGCCAGCGAAAGGCGATACAACCCAGCTTGCGGTTGGTTGGGAAAAGGGCTCTGGACTTCCCAGTGTTTCGATCATGCTGCCACCGTCCATGAAGGTCAGTCTATCTTGGATCTGTGAGTGGAGATGCTGATACTTTCTCAAGATTGATATAGGACCATGCTTCAGATCGAACAGATTCGAGTTACAAATAGGCAATAAGATCGGTGTAAAATTTGTAGGAGGTTACCAGATTCGTACAGATGACCGGAGTGAATGGCTGCAATTCCAGCTTGCAGCGACCGTAAACCCTGAAAAGGTGTCTGGAGAGCTGTAAGCTTAGTTCAATGCTTCATGTTAGCAGGACTAATTGAGCCTAAGGATCTTCTCTGGTTATGTCAACAATCCGTTTGGGCTCAGCAAACAAATCACTATCGGTGAGTGAAGACTCATGAGCAGATAACTAGTTCGTATCGTCGAGCATCTACTGACAAATTGATAATTTGACAGGGCCAAAGCTTGCCGCAGCACTTTCCTTCAACTGGGTTCAACTAGCGACCACTGGTACGCCCATGGGTGGTGGTATCCTCGCATCTTTCTACATTGGTGAGATAATCCCAGCCAATGCCTATACAAAGGGTTTGTACATCTGCGAGAACCCCAAAGATATGCTAATCAAGGTCGACGCTCCATTAATGGATTATTACAAACTCATAGAGTTTGTCGGCGCTGTTATGGACCGAAAGGTTCCCGCAACAGACATGCAGATTCTACAGCTCAAAGATGTCGAAATCTATGCCAGTCTCGGCGTATCCTTTGCAAACGAGTACTTTCCTGCGGGCTTTCGATTCAAAGGCACAATCATCGTGTTCGACCACGAGGCGGGCATGGACTGCTCCTTGACCACTGAAGGCTTTCGCCTGAAAGCCTGGCTCCAGACGATCGAACTTGGACCTCTCAAGATAGGCGGTAACGTAGCTCTCCCACACAAACCCGGTGTGACTTTTGCAGTTCTCGACTTTGAGCTGAACTTGAAGACACAAAAGCTTTTCCTTAGCGGTTTCGTCGAGATTTTCAGTCTCCGAGCGTCCATCGACCTGTACATACAATTGATGCCTGATCCGGCTTTCTACTTCAACTTCCAGCTCAAGTGGAGTGATTTGTTGAATATCAAGGCTCAAGCTTTCATGGTCAGCAACACGCAAGAGAAGAATTTGTCGAAGAGACTTGCCAGCGCAGACTGGACAATCGACGTGGCTATCGAGCAAACCATAATACAGCAAATGGTGGAAACGATCCGAAAAGCGCTGGAAAAGATCCACGAGGCTGCCAAGGCGAAGATTGAGTCGGCCCAAAAGTCAGTAGCTGAAACTGAAGCGAAATACAAGGCGGCTATTGAAGTCGCTCAAGCGAGCTTGACAGCCAAAAGTCTCGAGCTGAAGAAGAGGAACAACGCTCTGGATCTGCAGATCGCCGCATTGGATCAAGACACTGCAAAAGGAACAAGGTCTCGCCAACAAGATATCGACGCTGCAAAGATACATGAAACGAATGACGTTCAAAACGCTGCCATTACACGAGACAAGAAACTCAGTGAGAAGAACAATGAGATCAATTCGGCGCAGAATGCGTTGAATGATAAGGAGCGAAATGGCCGGGACGAAACAAACAATGTTCAGTCTAAACGAGAGGGGAGCAAACAAGACTTCGTGGCCAAATTTGGCAATGCCGAAGAGTCAATCCATAACGCTATCAATAACGTGAAGGAAGCAGAAGGTGAGTTTTTCTGAGTTCCCGGGCTGTGACTAGATTTGGTGTGCTAATTATGATCACGTTCGCAGACTCTGTTGGGTCCATTCGTGGAAATATCAATGGTCTGGAATGGCAGTTGACCAACCTGAACTGGAAGAATTGGTGGCGCGGTCCAGACTTGGTATGTCAAAACACCTCCCTACTATCGCGGTATGCTAAGATTTGCGCAGACTATCCAAATCGGTGCATTGAACGTCGCCTTAGGCTCGGCGTTGGCTGGGCTTGCCGTCGCCAAGGGAGTTCTCAGTCTCGCCGAAGATGTTACAAAATCGGCATTGTTTCACCAGTTCAAAGAAGCATGGGAAAATGCCGTCAGAGTGTACGAGACAGTGGTGAACATGGTCAGAAACGCGATAAGACAGGCAAAGGAACAACTCGAAAATCTCCAGAAGTTACGGCCAGCTGCAGAAAGCTTGCTCCACGGGGATTACAACCGGGCAGTATCGCAGGCAAAAGCTGTCGTCGTCGCGGCACAGAAGTCACACGAGGATTACTTGCAGACCCAGAGCCGTGACTCTAAGAAGTTGAGGCTGCAGCTAGAAGCGCTGAAGAACAGTACGGAAGGTATTGCCGTCACGGCCGCTGAAGGCGCATTGGAAGTGGCCAAAAACAACAACATCGCGTTCAAGGCTGCACACGATATCCTCAGCACTGTCAAAGCAGTCGAAGGCGCTATTTATGAGACCCTCGATGCAACAATTCAAGCCGCAGGATCGATATGCGATATTAGAGTGGCCAAACTCAATGGCACATTGACGGCGGATAAGCAGAAACAGAAGCCATTCAATATCCATCTTGAAGGAACGGTGCTTAAGAAACCTCTTAAGATTGACGTGGCGTACACCCCAGGAGAGACGCAGGCGTTTCTAAAGAACATGGCTGCGGATGCAATTAAGAAGATCATGTAAGCCAAGCATAGCCAAAATATCACTGCTCTTACTCTCTACGGTTTCAATGAAAAGTTCAAAGTGATTCCTGCACACCTATGTCACTGTTATAGTTAGTATTTTCTTGGTCTCTTTAGGTGTATTTTGTTTTTTTACAAGCAATAGAGCACCACGCGAAAGCAACAAAATAGAGCACGAAGCAAATGAAAGCCGATGGGTAAATTATAGATGCAGCTCCCCTACACCAAACCATGCACTTGTAAATACACCGAAGCCAAGCCGTCAACTCACTTCGCGGCCCACAGCTCCAGTGAGTCTTGCACACGCTTTACTTGTGTTTCCAACTCTTCACCAAGTTCCCCTCCTTCGTAGCCCTTAACAAGCTCATCCACCACCATCTGAACCTCATCCGTAAGACGTGCGTCTACCAAAGCAGCCGCGCAGAGCTGCAAAATCCCAGCGGTGAAACCAGCCTTCTCGCCCGCAACACCACCATCCCGAGATACATGCACAGCCATCTCGCCCGCCTGACGACTCATCTGCACGATCTTCTCTTGGAGCTGGTGCATCGACTCGAGCATGATGCTAGACTGACTGGATAGCGCCGTAACGGATTCCTGCAACGGGAGCATTTCCGCGCGTATCTGAGCGAAGATGGACATGTGGGCTTGCAGGGCGACATTGCGCATCTGGGCTTCTGCCGTATGGCGCGCGAGCTCTGCAGAACGGATGCGCGCTTTCGAAAGCGCTTCCTGCGCTCGTTGTGCAGATTCTTGGTTCTTCTGCGGCTGGCCGGCGATCTGGAGCGGGTGTTAGTTGGCTCCACGTACGTTTCTGATGCAGTGGATCTGCGGGGGGAATCGGGAGAATCGAACCCAGGGATATAGTATCTCGAAGCCTGGATTGCCAGGTGCGGGCATATCGTTGATGGCATGTTGTTGGAGAGCCTTCTCGCACTGTGTTATCGCCTGCGCATTTTCATGAATTGCTTGCTCGGCTTCTGCCATCTGTCGCGCAGTGTCCTGGACGGCGTGATCTAAACTGGTAGTCGTTTGTGAGATTTCGACAGATAGTGACTCGACAACCTCTGCTTTGATGGCTTGAACCTAGACGTGATTGTTAGCTGTGGGGTCGAGTCCACGATACACCAGGATTAACGCATAACATGAACATGCCTGGAACTTGATTTGCCTCAGGTATCCATGCGAAGCATCAGCCAGATCCACAGCCCTACTAAATGCGTCGTTTAGCTGAGTAAAAAGGCTGGTTTGTTCGTCGGAGTCGTGTTTCGACGTGTCGTAATCTCCGTGGATGTAAAGTGCGATTTTGAACAGCTTTGCTCCGATAGCAAGCTCTAGTGCGTTGAGGATGTATTCCCTTCGGTGACCAGCAGTGGTGTACAGGTCCTGCTTGAGAGCCGACGTCTTGCTAGAAGTAGCCCAAACTCGGCTGTGAAGATTTTGAACAGAACCATTATCGAAGATTGGTTGAACCATTTTTCATGCAATAGTGATGAGATGGATAGAAAGTGCAGTGTTATTAGGTCTTGCAAATACAACCTATATATATTGGTATGCTGAGTTCAGCCAATCTAACCATCTTTGTCGCGAGATCCAGATACATGCATGACAGGGCCATACTGAAGTCTAGAGTGTCGGGATCGCCGAAAGCTGAGAGTCGTGTTTTGATGGCTGGCTGGCTGAAGTATCTTTAACCAATGGTGGGCGAGGAATAACCGCAGACTAAACTAGATAAACCTCTAAGAACACTAAACACTTACTTATGTCTTGAATTTGTAAACATTTAGTGCAGTTTCCTAGACCTACAACTACTAATCTATCCATTTTCAAGGTGGAACATTCACCAAAACCACTTCACTGCACGCAGAAACAAAGTGCAAAAGCGCAGACCAATCTAGATCTTATTTATCCAAAACTACGACTTCACTTCTGCATCGCCAAAAGTGCCAGTCCCCTACTAACCACACCACACCACAATTCCCCCCACCTACCCTCCTCACCGCTCAACACTCTCAACAACATGCCTCCCGCCCTTCTCATCCGCCTCCGCATCCCTCTCATCAAAGAACCCATACTGCCTCTGCATATCCTCAATGCCGTGTTCATCCAGAAACGGCAGATCGCGCGCAGCCTTAACATAGCTGATATTCTCCACAAAGCCTTTCGCGAAAATGAGATCAATCTCCTCCAGACTGCGCATCTTGGTCTCGGGGTAGAAGATGTAGATGAACGGCAGGAAGCACGCGTTCACCACGGCGAAGAACATATACGTGCCCCATCCGATATTAGCAATCATGACAGGAGTAATCATCACGACGACAAAATTGAAGAGCCAGTTCGTGCAGGTAGACACTGCGTTGGCCTTTCCGCGGGTCTTGACGGGGTTGATCTCTGCGGGGTACAGCCAGGGGAGGGGAAGCCATGTTGCGCCGAAGAAGGCGATGTAGGTGAAGAGGCCGACGGCTGCGCCTTTGGCCGCGGAGGCTGTGCCGGGGATGAGCGCGCCGGCGACGAGCACCATGGACAGACCCTGGCCGACGGTGCCGATGAGGAAGAGCTTGCGGCGGCCGGTGCGCTCGATGATGAACCAGGAAGTAGTGGCGAAGATGGAGTAGACGATCATGTTTACGCCGCCGAGCAGCAAGCTCATGTCGTGGCTTGCGCCGATGGAGTTTTCGAACAGCAGCGGGAAGAAGTAGATGACTGCGTTGCAGCCGCCGATTTGCTGCATGAGCTGGGAGGAGGCGCCGAGCATCATGCGGCGGAAGTGCTGTGTTTTGCCGTTTGTGAAGAGGGCGCTGAAGGGCGTGTTGCCGCCGTTGTGGCCTGAGGCGCGGATCGAGTCCATGATGATGTGGGCTTCGAGGCGGGTTTCTTCGTGGTCAATGGACAGGCCGCGGAGGGCGGCGATCACTTTTACGGCGTCTTCGTGCCGGTCTTTGGTGAGGAGCCAGCGGGGGGACTCGGGGAGCCAGATGGGACCGAGCAGGATGACGAAGGCGAAGGAGACCTGGAAGGCGATGGGGAAGCGCCATGTGAGATCGTCAGGCCCATATGAGCAGCCGAAATCGATCCAGTATGCGATGAGGGTGCCGAACGCGATGATACCGCCTTCGATACAGATCAGCAGGCCGCGATTCTTCGTCCTTGAGCATTCGGCTTGGTAGGTGGGGATAGTGGCGGTGTTCATTCCATTGCCAACACCCGTCACGACTCTGCCGATGATAAATTGAGCGGTCGCTGCATGGCCCTTCATGGCAGTGCACTGGATGATAACACCCAAGATCATAATGACAGCGCCGATCATGATGGCTTTGCGACGGCCGAGGTAGTCGCCAAACAACAGCATTGTGATTGCGCCGAGCAGACATCCGATCTCATAGATGGCCGTCACAAAGCCCTGCCATGTCGAGTTGTTGTGTGTTTCCGGGAAGTAGTTCATGAACGGCTCTGCTGAGATGATGCCGGACATGACACCCTCTGCATGATGCGTTAGCCCCAACAGTTCAACCCCACTCAATTCGGAGGGACTCACGATCGTATCCAAACAGCAGAAAGCCAGTCGTGGCTACCACCGAGACAGCCGTACTCAGTGGTCTGCCGTTCATTCCCATGAACGTGGGAAGCTGTGAATCGGCCATCTTGACGGGTGGAGCACAGCAGATCAGTATACTCTCCGGTAACAAAACGAACTGATCAGAGCTCGACTATGCCAGGAAGACTGGAAGAGGAGAGGGATGGGCCAAATATATGGGTACACGAACCAGGGTACCATCCAACCCATCCTCCATCATTTTTCCCCATACCCGACCGTGATTTGTGCATCTCGGTACCCACAGGTGCAAGTGCGGGGGAAGTGAAGTTCAACAGTGTAACGTCACTAGGAGAAATGCCTGCAAATCCCCACACAGCGCACCTCCCCACGGGGGATAGACCAGTGCGGATCCAAACCGAGCCGGGGTAGCGCACGGTGATTCGCACGCAGTTGATCGACGAGCAGAAAATGCGCACGTGCCGAGGCAAGGTTATCTAGCATTTCCTTGCTAGGCGTGCTACGCGATATCGTCGGTTGTGTGAGGTTGTTGAGCGATCATGTTCCCAGGCGCTTGCCTGCACGATAAAACATGGATGATGTTGCGAAGTTTGGCCGTGAGATTGCCCTTGGACACTAACTTAGCGGCAAGCCTCCATGTGATGCAGCTCGGGATACCGTCTTCGCGCCTCCCGCACTCATGACGCGTCGCTTGCATGTGATGGGGTGGTGCGATTCGAGGCTGATGCTGGTGCGATATGTGTGGGCGAAGGGATATCTTGTGAGGCTCGCCACATGCCGAGGTCGGAGCCGCGGGCTAGCGGCTCTTGCAGTGCTTGTTCGACTGCATGTCTGGTCTACCTTCGTCAGATCTCCGACCGAAGATTCGACACGGCACTTTGTAGTGAGTGTGGGGGTTGGTTGAATCTACCAGCCCGGTCTTGATCTCGATAGCCGTCGTTGCAGGCATTCTGCGACTTCACCATAGCAATGGCAACACTCATGATCTGCATACATTGCGTATACCTTAGCCATGAAAAACGCAGGTCCCAGATGATTTGTCCTGCCAATGTTGACAAGGCGCGGACGCTAGTTTAGCACCCACGGGCGACAAGTCGATACGGTAGCTTTCGGCACTTATCAAACCTAAAGAATATCATGTTCATTGTCTAAACACACGGGTATCACTGCCTACGCCTTCGCCGTCGTAGCCTGCTTGAAATACTTTGCTGCAACAAACGGCATCTTGGTGACGACAGCCTTTCTCTTCTTGCCCCGAACCACGACGTCGACTTCTGTGCCCGCTTTGTGCATGCCGTCCTTGATGTAACCCATGGAAATGTTCTTCTTCAGCGTGGGCGAGGGGCAGCCTGAAGTGATGTTGCCAATCTTCTCGCCCGCCTCATTGACAATCTCAGCGCCTTCACGAGCCGGCGCGCCTTCTACGACGAGCCCAATTCGGCGTCGGGATACACCACCGCCTTCGGACTTTTTCTTCAACTGCTGCAGGATGACTGAATCACCGTGGAAGCCACCCTTTGCGCGACGGTCCTTGCCAATGATCCAGGACAGCGCTGCTTCGACGGGCGTGGTGGTGTCGTCTAGGTCGTGGCCATACAAACACATGCCTGCTTCTAGACGCAGGGTGTCGCGTGCTCCCAGTCCCGCGAACCGCAGCTCGTCCTTGGCAGAATCAAGCAGGAACTGGGTGATGGCCTCGGTCGCGTAGGAGGGGATGCTGATCTCGAAGCCATCCTCGCCCGTGTAGCCTGCACGGCTGACGAGGACCTCAGCGTCGGTGCCCTTGATTGTCACAGCGACACACTGGCCAAAGTACAGCGTCTTGAGGTCGTCGACTGACTTGTTCTCGAGCACGCGGGCGAGGATGTCTGCGGAGAGGGGGCCCTGCAGCGCGATGAGACCTTGGCCGTCGAGGATCTTCCACTCGACTGGCTGGTCGGGTTGCTCGCTCTTCCACGATTCGAGCTGCTCAGTCAGGTAGGCCGTGTCCTTTTCCCTGCAGCCGGCGTTTGTGACGACGTAAAACTTCCCGGGCAGGCGCGTGATGACCGTGTCGTCGACGATGCCACCCGTCTCGGGGTGCAGGAGGGTCGAGAGGGTCGATTGGCGCTCGGGGAGGGCGGCGATGCCTGCTGGGGTGATGCGCTCGAGGAAGGCCTCTGCGCCGGGGCCCGAGAAGTTGTGCTGAACCCTGTGGGTGGAATTAGTCTTGGATGGTTCTACGTGTAGGAGACTGAGTCATCTCACATGTGGCCAACATCGAACAAGCTCGCCTTCTCGCGTGTCCACGTGTGCGACTCGATGATGCTCTGGTCGCTGTACTGCACGGGCATGTAGTAGCCGCCAAAGGGCACAAACTTGGCGCCGTACTTGCTGTGCAGCTCATACAGCCCCGTCTTGCCCAATTCCTCTTTGGAGGCAGCTGATGAAGCTAGACGGACGAATTGTTGTGGTTGCTGCGCGAGCTTGCGGGGTTGTGAGGCTCGACTTGTGAGGGTGCGAGTCGAGAACTGGACTCGCTGGGCGCATTCTCTGCGCAGCCCATAGGCATTGGAGGCTGGCCTCAGCACTGCGACTGCTCGTCTGGATGCCATGAATGATGGTGTTGTTTGCTTGTGACAACGAGATGCCAGACCAACAAGACCGTGGGATGGTCGGATAGATATGTCGACGGATAGTCGCGGTAGAGCCAATGACGCAGCCCCCAGCACGCTAGCGGCGTAGCTTCCTCGAGCTTGCTGGACAACCCACCGGCCTCCCATAGTTGAGCCTCTTCCAGCCAAAACATCCCCCCGCCCCGCAACCATGTCAAAGGGCACCACCTATCTGCTGGTCTCGCTGCCCACATCCATCGCCCCGAGCAGCCACGCCGATGAAGCCCTCGGCGCCTTGAGCGCCACGGTTACGCCCGACGTCGGGTCCACCTACCCGTTCGCGATCCCGACCTTCAAGATTGGCACCCTTGATGCGCTGGTGCAGCAGGCCGACGAGCTGACCAAGCTGGAGGCGGCGTGTCAGGGCGTCGTCGTAAAGGTCGGCGACAGCCTGAAGACGATCCTGGACGGCGACGAGGCCAAGGTGCAGCAGCAGAAGACCATCAACGACAGTACGTCACCGCCTGTCTTGGGCTGATAGGAGCTCACACATCGCGTAGAGCCCGTCGACCAGTACCTGCGCACCTTCCAGTGGAACAAAGTCAAGTACCGCGCGGACAAGTCGATCAAGGAGCTGATAGACTCGCTGCAGAAGGTGCTTCACTCTCGTTCATGTCGTAGCTTCTTGATTAATTAGAGACCAGGAAATACAAGGCATCGACAACGACGTCAAGGCAAAGTACAGCCAGTACAACCAGACAAAGTCCGCCGTCACAGCCGCTGAGCGCAAGCGATCGTACGTCGACGCACACCCCAAACTCAGTCGCATGCTAACCCACGCAGCGGCAACCTCTCCACCAAGTCCCTCGTCAACGTCGTAGACCCCAAGGCCCTCATCCAAGACTCGGAGTACCTCGACACGCACCTCGTCGCCGTCCCCAACACCGTCGTCAAAGAATTCTACAAATCGTATGAAGAGCTCTCGCCCATGGTCGTCCCGCGCTCCGCCAACAAGCTCGCCGAAGACGGCGAATTCACCCTCTTCGGCGTCACGACGTTCAAGAAGCACTCGACCGAATTTGTGCACAAGTGCAGAGAAAAGCGATGGACACCGCGAGAGTACAAGTTCAAGGAGGGCGGGAAGGAGGAGGAGGCCAAGGAAGCAGACCAGCTGGCCAAGGACGAGAAGAAGCTGTGGGGCGAGGCGCTAAGGCTGGGCCGCACGGGGTACAGTGAAAGCGCAATGATCTGGATCCACGTCCTCGCCCTGCGCGTGTTTGTCGAGACGGTGCTGCGATACGGACTGCCGCTGGACTTTGTGTGCGGGCTGGTGCAGGTACGCATATCCTTCAGCATGGACAGATTTAGACACAACAAATGTTAACACCACACAGACCAACACGAAAAAGGCGAAAAACGCAAAAACCAACCTCGACACCGCATACTCGTACCTCGGTGGTAATGCATTCGGACGCGACAGCAAAGGCCGCGTCAAGAAGGACGACTCGGCCACGACGAGCGACATGCAGCAAGCTGGCCACGTCGACCAGGAGTACACGGCGTATGTTTACTACGAGTTTGAGATTGTATAGTTGTGGGCGGACGTGTTTAGAAGCAAAGCAATGAATGAGATTGCCCGTCGCGAGTCAAGACAGCATACAGACTTTCGAGGAACGCGTGATTTTCACATGCAGAAGATTATGCTGATGTTGCGAATTTGGGGTATTGGAATTGATATAGTTTAGTTTGAACCTGAACGCCAGCTAATGCTTCGTTTTTGCTGGATTTGACAGCGCCCTTTACAGAAATCCTCGTCGCTCAACACTTTCATTCCGCATCTACACCCTCCCCACTACGCTTCTTCTTTTTCTTCTCCTTCTCCTCGCCCTCCTCGCGTTTCCGCTTCTTCTTCTTATCCTTATCCTTCTTCTCCACCCCCTCATCCTCCGCCGGCGCAACATACTCCGCCATACGCTCAGCACGCTTCGCATCCATCTTCCCGCGCATCTTGTCATCGCGCTCCTCCCTCGCCTTCCGCTCCTTAGCCTGCTTGCCGAGAAAGTACTCGCCGGATTCAATCTGGAGGTCGACTTTGCTCTTCTCCTGGGGCGGGGGAAAGGGCGTGTACGTCTTCTTCGCCTTATCGGTGACTTTATGGGGCACGCGTCGTTTGCTCAAACTGCGCTTCTTGAAGTTTGGCAGGAAGCGGTCCCAGGACTCGTTTACGAGGTCGGGATCCTTTGCGAGTTCTTTCTTGATCATGAGCTCTTTGATGGCGTAGATGGGGTGGATGTTTGCCATTGTGTCTTCGATGATGCGACGCACTGTTTTCAGGCCGGGGAACGGGCCCATGGCTGCTACCGTGTTGCCCTGCACGAGGAGGTAGGTTTCCGTCAGTAATTCGAGGGCTTTGAGGGTTGATCCGTTGGGGCCCAGGATGCGCTGGCGTCGCTTGACGAAGCGCTCTTTGTTGCGCACCAAGCTGCGAATCTTGATCACGTCCATGGCTGTGTCGTCGTCGAGGATCTTGGCTGCTTGGGGCGCGGGCACGCTGCGGGACAGCAGTTTTATCAGGTCGCGCGCGTTGAGGATGGCGGCGGGGTCGTAGGTTTTTTGCGTCGTCCATACCGTCATGGAGCCTTCGACCAGGTTCAATTCGCAGCCTACGCCGTGCTTGGCCAGCGCGGAGGTTATGAACTTCCATGACCCTTTGAGGTATTGCTCGCGGTACTTGGGGAAGAGGGTCGAGAAGCGCGATTCGTCTGTGAAGGGGCCTGCGGTGTTGTCTTCGGGCTTGAAAGGGTCGATCTACGCAGACTTGTTAGAGGTGGGTTGGAGGGAGGCGTGGAAATGTGGTGTAAGCGCACCTTCCACTTGTCGATATCGTCTGTATCCCAGGGCTTCTCTTTCTTGTGTGTCGACGGCATTGTGGCGGGTTGGGGGGCGTGGGGCGCAAAAACGGGTTTGGAGATGCGCTGTGGTTGCGCTGCAGAGAACGAGATGGTTAACTTTTTCAGAGGTTAGCGCTGCCAAGACTCCGCTATCTCCGCATTGCGACGCGAACTTGTCTGCACCACGCTACACGACGGAACGTTTGGATCCAGCTTCTCGAGGCGTCAATTGTAAGCTTCAAAGTCCCCACGTATGTATTCACGTGTCTATTCTAGGACCTTACTGGCTGCGTGACCTTGGTGTCAAATGCAACAACTTACTCGTCAATGAACGCCAGCTTCGATGTATCACGCCATGATTTACTCTTCGTCCCTTCAACTTTCGCTCGTCGTTCCCTATCATTTTGTCTTCGCGCTTCGCTCTCTTAGTGATCTTTCAGTTGTCACACTTAGTATTCAATATATACCACTCGCTGTCGAGCGACTACTACACGTGCAAGCGTCATCATGTATCCCGCACAACCATCCGTCACGCCTCATTTGATGGGCAACGGGTGCTGTGTCTACGTCGTCTGCAAGTTTTCAGGCTTAGATTGTGGTTTCGTCACGGAATATCAACGTTATGGCGTCAAATTGCCTCGAGCTATCAATGATATGCTTTATGCATAGATTGATACAATTTCTAGCCATGGTCACAGTATTTCAATGACCCAGACGTGAATTCAAGAACGAACGTCCAATACATCGAGGCACACACAACCTAGACAATGCTGGGAAGTGTGCAAGAGAAACTATCATATTCTTTTCTAACCCCATCCTCTACTCCTTATACCTCTGATCATGAAACCCGGCAAGAACCTCGACCTTCCCATCCCCCCTCTCCGCCCACCGCTTCGCCGCAATATCCGGATTCAACTGCAGCGTCTGCTTGGCGCGCACCCACTCCTCCATTGTAACAATCTTCTCGAACCGCGGCTTCACGCCCGCCTTCTCCAGCACCAGCGAGTCCGTAATAGGCAGCAACTGCGTATCGTTGTGCGGGCGCGCGAAGTACAACAGCCCCGTGCGACTATACTCCCACTGGTCTCTGGGTGGCGCCACCACGCGATGCACGGAGGACTTGAGCCAGCCGCCTGTGAGGTGCGAGATGGTGTCTGCGAGGTTGACGGTGATGGTGCCGGGCTGCGCGCTGACAGACGTCCAGTTTCCGTCTTCGCCGAGGATCTGCAGGCCTGCGACGGGTTGGCGGAAGAGTAGGGTGACAGTTCCGAGGTCGGTGTGGCCGCCTGTTGCGCCGTATTTCGAGGCTTCCCATTGCGCTTCTGTGCGCGGGTGGTAGATCATGTAGCGGTAGTGGTCTTCTGACTTCTTGTCGTACGTGTGCTGCTTTACGAGGTATTCTTCGTCTGGGAGCTGGAGCACGATGGCGAATAGGCGGAGAAGCGGCAGGACGACGTTCGCGTGCAGTGCTCGCTGGAAGACCTCGATCTCGGGGAGGTGCGCTTTGAGGAGGTCGGGGTAGTCGTATTTGCCCTTGAAGTCGTCTGTGAACTTGGGGATGTTGAAAATTTCTATGTTGTCTTTTGTGTCGGCGACTAGGGCGCGGCCTGGGCGACGCCAGCCGTTGTAGTCGGCGGCTTTGTAGTTGACTTCGTATTTCTCTTTTTCTGAAACGGGGAGCTCGAAGAAGTGCTTTGCTAGGGTGAACTGTTGGTCGACTTGCTCTTGGGCGAGGCCGAAGTTTTTGACGTAGAACTGGATGCTTGTTAGTGAGTATGTAAGTGGTGGAATTTGTCTAAACTTACAAAGCCAACATGGTGGACGGCGTGTTCGAGTTGTTTCGCTAGTCGCTCCTTACCACCTGGTCGGTCATAGTCCTCGAGATCAAGAGTGACAAGCTCCGACCAATTGAGGTTTTCCTTCGTCTCTGGCGGGTGGACGTATGGCTTGAGGTTTGCGAAGTCATATTGAGAAAGATCTTTCTGGTCGTCAACCTTCACTGAGGTGGTTTGGGTAGTTGTTGTAGACATAGTAGCAGATGTGAAGCAGCGAACAAGTTATGGAAGTGAAGGACAAGACTTTGGGATACTATATATGTTCCAATGCCTTTCTTCATGTCTCACCATGATTAGCAATACATCGCGCTCTATCCGCAGTGTTGGTGTGGAGTTGCATTTCATCAACCAACCCCGCAATGTCGCAATCCGACTTGGAATCCATCTGATTGATCAATGAGGGCAACACAATGCGTTATCGGATACTCTTCAGACCTCAAACCGCTGAACGTTGTGTTGAGGTTATCAGTATTCGCACTCCATGTGACGTGTGGAGCAGCATATGCAGACAACGTTCCATTCAAAGTCGTGGGCAGATGGCGCAATGCACGCCCGGCATCACGAACTCACCCACCACAATCACTGCGAACGTCATTTCCACAACTGATAAGTTCGAATCTGAGTCGTGCCATCGAATCAAATTGAGAAAATCATTGATGACCAAATGTTCAGACGCGCTGCTCTCCCGAACTTGAGCCTTACGCAATTTGTTGCTTACAGTGCCATGCATATCCGGCATCGCCTCTATACGCCGCCCAGAAAGCTGTCGGCTAGTATCTGCTGGTGAGTTACCGAAATGCTACCCCTGCGTGGGCACTGTTCAGTAGAGTCGATGATGGAAAAATCTGAGGGATTGCGACATGTGCGTGGAGCACAATCGGAACGATAATGAGAGTATACAAAGAGGCAGCTTTGGCACTGTAACAATATCGTAATCCCTGCATTCGTCGTGTTTCCTTTTCAAAATGGCAACGAAACAAGCAACGGAGGTTCAGACAACGCCATTAACTGAGCCATCGTCTCTGAGCGACGCTTCACCTCCACCAACCCATGGCGTGAAGCCGTGGAACAAACCAGGCTTCGTCGGTAGCACGCGTCGGGCTCTACGAACCGTTCAACGCTATGTCTGGGACGACCCTGACAAGCCTGCCGAGGAGAAGTGGTTCCTGCTGAAGCTCGACATTTTCCTACTGTCCTCGTCGTGTCTGGGCTACTTCAGCAAGAATCTCGACCAGTCGAACATTGGCAACGCATATGTATCCGGAGTGAGTATTTCGACGAGTTCTGTCATGGAACAACTGACTGATGCGCCTTAGATGAAAGAGGCGTTGGGCATGCATGGTAGCGAGCTCACGTACGCTGGCAACGTATTCACCGCAGGCTATGTCATCGGTCAGATGCCTGCTGTGATGCTAGCATCGCGTGTCCGCCCGTCTATCCTGATCCCAAGTCTTGAAATCATGTGGTCCGTATTAACGCTTTGCTTGTCGTCCGTCACGAACGTGTCCCAGCTGTACGCTATTCGGTTCCTCATTGGTCTCTGCGAGAGCGGCTATTTTCCTGTCATGATCGTAAGTCTCGGTTCTTTAGACGCATCTTGCACGTACTCACGCACTAGCAGTATCTGGTCAGCAGTTGGTACACCAAGGAAGAAAGAGGCAAGCGTGTAGCTCTGTTCTACAGCACCGCTTCGTTTGCACATATGTTCAGTGGCTATCTACAAGCCGGTGCGTACAACGGCCTGGACGGCGTGCACGGAAAGGCAGGCTGGCAGTGGTTGTTCATTGTTTGCGGTGTCATTTCTCTGCCTATTGCCTTCGTCGGCTACTTCTTCATTCCCGACTTTCCCGAGACGACTCGCGCCTTCTACATCACCAAGGAGGAAGCTGAACGCCAATGTAAGCGACTGGTCGCAGAGGGCCAGAAGCCACTCGGTCACAATCCATGGACAGTGAAGAAGTTACTTGTTGTCGTAAAACAATGGCAGTTCTGGGTATTGCCACTCGGATACTTCTTCGTCCAGGGCAGTTTTCCAAACCAGCAACCGGTAATGGCGTTATGGCTCAAGGCTGAGGGCCATACAGTATACCAACGAAACGTCTGGCCAACTGGACAAACTGCAGTCGGTGTCGTTGTGCAGATCCTGGCCGGCATGCTCGGAGACTCGCTGCTGAAAGGACGTCGATGGCCTGTCATTATCGCCATGCAGGCTGGCACTTTGTTCAGCTCAATTGTTCTGGCTGCCTGGACTGTGCCCGAAACCCTCAAATATGTCGCGTACTATTTCCTGAACTTCAGCGCTGGAGTTCCAGGGCCGTATTTCGCGTGGTACTCTGATCTCATTCCGCACGATCACGAGATGCGCGGTTTCGTCATCGCAGTATCGAATATGTTCAGCTACATCATGTCCATTTGGTACACAATCGCCGTCTGGCGGACCGCGGACGGACCACGCTTCAAGCCGGGTTTCATCGCTGCTTCCGTCTTGGGCGTGTGCATGATGGTCTTGTGTCTGGTGTTACGTCTGTTGCAGCGAAGAGATGAGACGAAGAGAGCTCAGGAAGACCGTGTTGTGCAGGATATCGAGACGCCGGCGGAATCGAAAGCTAGCTCGGAGGTCGATGTGGAAGCTGCTGGCGAACGGGAGAAGGGGATTGAAAGTGTGAGCAAGTGAGGTTTCGTGGAGATGGTCGCTTGGGATCTGAGGGATATGAGCATATGTTGATAGGTAAGAGCAAGATGTAATGACGTCTTGAGGTTATTCCTGCACCTTGACTCTCAGGCTGAACTGCCCTATTGGGGGTGCGTTGCTCCTCATCAATTACATAGGTGATACAAGACGCCTAGCGAATTCACTTGTTCCTTGTAACGATCCAAAGGGAAATTATATTCAGAGAGCTGCAATCTTGCTTTAAAGAGTCAGCAGTAACGAGAGCATTTGTTTACCAAACCTTGCCACTGGTCGAAGCAACGAGCCTCAAGCTCATCGGTTCGTGTCGCTGTCGATATCATGAAGACTTATGAGCGTATCACTATCACGATCATGTCTGATAGATCAACAGGTTATGTTTAGCGGCAAAACCACAAGGCTCTGGGCGTAATATGTGGATATCTTACGAAAAGCAGCGTGGATTGATAAGTTCAAGAATCAGGCAATGTTTCAAGGACTTTCACATCAACCATGTCGGCCGTTCCTTCCACACGCTGTTCCTGGAAGATTTCACACTTAACACTAGCTCGCTCACATACATCCAGCAATTCCATCATCTCTGCCTTGGACCATGTTACGCAATGACATCGACGATTCCATATGCAGAAAAAGTCCACGCGAACTAGAGCTTCAAAGTGGTCATCGCGAGATTTGAGGAGGTGTTCCACGAGATTGATTACACTACTTCTTTCGAACGTATAGTGCGTGAAGTCACTTAGATCGTCTCGGAAGCAAACGGTCTCAATTGAGGGTGGTAGAATCGTCGACCAAGGGAACTGGCCTATGTCTGCATCATGCATAAAAGATTTCGGCAGATTGGAGTGAGAATCATCGCCGGCTCGACCCCTCCCAAGATATGGGTTCCAACCAAGAAGAAGGGCCCAGGAGACTTCCAAGTTCGTCAGTTTTGGCATTTCGTTTATGCCCGTAACGCGACCCACCAGCCCACAGAGATGATAGTCACCCCATGGGTCTTTGATTTCGCGCCACATGTCGCACTCGAATCGCACCTTAAGCACCAAGCTCTCGAGAGTGTTCTTCACGTGTGCTAGAGCTTTGCTTAAACGCGGCCGTGAATGAAAATCTTTGGTCTGACTCTATCAGTCAAAAAGAATTCGTTGTAGCACTCCCAATGAGGCGGACCGCAATCAACCATACGGCAGTGATCATAGACAAGATATTTCAGTCGAGGAGTACAGGATAGTATCTTGCCGAGTGTGTCTTCGGAGGCAGTACAATTCCGGAAGATTAAGCTTGACAGTGACTGGGATCGGGGTGTCATGGATGGTGATGGCCACGCAAACACAGGCTGGTCCAGAAGGATGGTATTGAAAGAAACTATCTTAGGCAGGTAGAAGAAGAGCCGGTGCGCATCGATGTGTGACCAAATTCCTATAGGCGTATGCGGACCATCAATCCCTAAATTAGCCGAAACCAGATACTGGTACGGTGAGATAGTCTTTGTGGAGTTCATCAGGTATCGGAAAACCAGGGGAATATAACGAGAACGTTGCAGGTACCCGAACCCGAGATCCATTTGTTGAATACCTTGGCTCAGGTAAAGAATTAAGGCTACAATGACATCAATGTTACCTCGCTCAAACTCCTTTTTCCATTCGTGTTCGGGTGCATCAGTAGATGCAATGGTCGAGATAAGATTGCCGACCTTCCGCATGCTCGTAGGTCCGAACACAGATTTTACTTGACGACCATCGCTCCATATACTCCTTGATGGTTTGAAGAGTTCGTCAGAGGAGTAATATTCGTCACAACTGCTTTCCTGCAAGCCCGTGCTGTTTATGATTCCACCACCACGCAATCTGATAACTTTGATGTAGCTTGCCAATGCAGCGTGACCGAGCAACGTGCGAAGCAACAGACCGTAGGGCGGACACGGTTGGCCGTCCGTCCAAGACCAGTCAATTGTATGGTAGATGCGGGGGGAGAGATACCTGCGAAGAGCCTTACAGGTACGACTCAGGCTGTAGAGGTCCGAGATCGATAGCGGTGACAGCGCATCTTCAAGAAGCTCCACGGGAATGTCAATGAGTGTTGGCATCGATATCGGCTTGTGACGCTGTTGGGTTTGCGGTCGCGACTAACATGCACAACTAGGTTTTGTAATCAATAGGCAACGGAGGAAGTGCCGATGCAAAAGTAAGGATATTAAATGCAGGTTTAGACCGAAGCCTGGAAGGATTAGAGGTCGGATCGTCGCCTAGCCGAAGCTAAAATCACGCTAGCGATGTTTATTCTTGTACATCACTCCTGTATCCATCTCTAGCAGCCTTGCTAAAAGAAGCCACATCAAGTCGCCGAGGCAACTTTACCATTTTACCAGCACGAAAGTCGATGGCCATGTCATCGAATTGCCATACTTGTTATTTGGTTAAATGGCGTTCTGCCCGTGCGTGGCTTTCGCAGCTACCCCAATTCTCTATTCCCTTACACTCGCTAAACGCTACACCTCGTATCCAGCATGCGTACTTCCATTATTGCGGGTGTGGGTGCGCTGGTAGGCAGCGTGACTGCATTGCCTCAAGGAAATCTTCTTGGACTGCCGCTCGATATTGCAACGCTGCTCAAGTCCCTTGGACCGGCGCCGGCAAGTGATCCAAGGTTTACGAACTTCAAGCCTGCTGGGAGTGGTGATGGTATGTTCGATAGTGAAAGGGCTCAAGACTATTGTTGACATGGTACAGTACGATCCCCATGCCCAGGACTGAACGGTTTGCATGCCCAACACCTACACCTCATCAAGCTCGACCATGCTAATCTTGATAGCTCTCGCAAACCACAACTTCATTCCTCACAATGGCCGCAATAACACCATCCCCGTCCTGATCAAGGGCCTTGCCGAAGGAATGAACATGGGCGCAGACTTCACCGTCGCCATTGGCGGCGCAGGCCTCTTGGCCTCGCCTAACCCACTCGGCGGCTCCTTCGACCTCGACGATCTGAACATGCACAACTTCCCTATCGAGCATGACGCCTCTATGTCACGACAAGACGCCGCGCTTGGTAACGACCAACCGTTTTACAACCCCAACTGGCAACAGTACATTTCTTTCTTTGATGGAAAAGCAACGACCGATGTGCCCACGGCTAGCAAAGCAAAGTTCGCGCGATACAACGACAGTTTGACCAAGAACCCAGCCTTCACATACGGCATTCGTGAGGCAATTTTCAGCTACGGCGAAAACGCGATCTATTTGCAAGCTATGAGCGATCCGGTGACTGGCAAGGCGCAGGTCAGCTATGTGAAGAGTCTGTTCGAGCAGGAGAAGTTGCCCTTCAATTTGGGCTGGAGACCGAGCACGCTTCCAATTACGTTGCCCAGTTTGGGCGCCATGGTGGTCCAGTTGTATGGGAACAGTCCGCAGCCAATTCCTGAGGGGGCCAAGATCCTTGCGTAAGTAGCGCTATGGAATGCTTTTAAGGTTATGCTAATGTGACCGTAGGGATTCCTACAAAGATGCGCTTGTGGCTGTTGCGGGAGGGAGCCAGATCTTAGCGAATTTGACACAGGGCATCAGTTCGGCACTGGGATTGTGAAGTAGTCTCGAAGTAAAAGGAGCGCAAATGTGTTTCTGATACACTCTTGAATGAATTACATTGAGGGATGTTGACTTAAGTCCACGTAAGGTGAAGGTGATGTTGTACTGGTGCTGTTACTCAATACAAAGATCCGGCTGTTCAACGGTACTGATTGTGAGCCATTGGTCTACTCTCCGTCGTAGTTATAACGATGTCCAGTATAATTTGCACCGCAACGGATAGATTAGGTAGGCATCTGAACGATGGATTTAGAGGCGCGTTTTGGCCAATACTACAGATGAGTAAGCAAAAATGCAATTTGATGGCGTACAGGGAACGACCACACTTCTCGACGACAGGATTGTTTAAGACGTTGGGGCTTGGCTTTACCTGCATTAATGTCGAATTCTATACTTTGATATTTACAAAAGCTCTGCCTTTTACCTTTTCGTACCCATACTTCTCAACGTTCACAAGATCAACTTTACGATTGTTGGTATCGTTAGAGTATATCTATTGTACACCAAAGATGTCTTTGGACTTGACCCAGTATTGTTCTTAGTCGGTCATATTCAAGATCGGAAGAATTTTCGAACGGTAGTCTTCCGCCTGTGACATCGCGTGAGAGAGTATAAATGAAGTTTCGACACATATTATACATTGTTAGTTGCTGATCTCTTGTGCATTCAGTACGCTCTGATCACTACACGTATTCTCGTGGCTTTTTGAAGCAGATATTGATTAGTGATATATAACATGGCACGCCGAGTGTTGCTATTACCTGCATCTCCCTTCCAGACCCCGGATGTCTTTTACTGTCAGAATGTTAGCAAGCTTTAGGGTTTACCTACGGGAACCCCAAGATTGGATACAGATTATTCACTCGTTTCGCAGGAGACGCACTGACTCGAGAGCCTGCCGTGTCTGCACTTATCGTGTCGCTTGGATGAATCCTTCTGCTTCCTTCGTGTCACCGTCTAGAACGCTCTAACGGCAATATTGGTTCGATATTGATCATCACTTACTCCTGCCGCATGTCCACTCTGGGGAGTAGCTACGTTCGGCAGGTCGCAAGAAACAATCCAATACGTTAAAATTACTATGCATCTTGAAAGACGAACAACGTTTTGATTACGCGTAAGAGTTAAACTTAGTCTTGACGTGCTTGCAGGCACAGTAATGATACAATTCATCGGTTTTGCCAATATTCTTCAGTCGTCATGTCATCCTCTCCATCCGCCCAGATATTGACAGAGAGTCTAGATAAGTCGGGATAGAAGCGCGGCGATTCGTCGACGCCGTGGAAAATGTACCGGGCTCTCTCCGCGATATGAGCATCATCTTCTGTCCCTACTTCTACCTCTTTCCAACCTTCTTTTAAATCAATTTCCCCGTCTAAGAGCTCGTCGCTTATCGCCTCAACGATCGCTTTCTTGTGCTGTCTGAGGTAGGTGTGGACTTTGGTCACGAATTCTCCTAACTTGATAGGTCCAAAGCGTTCATTCTCTTCTAGGATCAATGGTGGCGGGGGCTGATAGCGGAATTCTTCTTCATTTTCATCATGTACTCTCTTCCAGTTGAGCACTGAGATCGTGATTTCGATTCGAGGTACAGTAGCATTCATCACGTCTTCCTCCGCAATGGGGTGTCCCTGGAGGGGCTCCAGGGTTGGTCCTTCGTCCGTCGATATACCGCTTTCTACCGTAATGTCGTCGAGTTCACCGAAAACATCCCATCGCAAACGAGTCAGAAGACTTTTCCTGAAGATTTCTTGCGCCATACTACAATGGTGTTAGCATTGGTGTATTCATCGCAAGATTGAATGCTCGCCTTGGGCAGAATATTTGAGGAAGATGACCAGAGCAATAGGGAAAGAACGACTGGTAATGCCGAGATAATATTTAAACCAAGGTAAAGCGGTTGGGCAAATTGAAGCGAAAACGCATGAAACGGGTACAGTCTTAGAGTGGCGTGTCACCAAGACTCAAGCGAGATGGGCGTGGCGGGTGGGTGGTAACGGTAAGGATTTACAGTGGGGACAGTGGCACGGTGGTACGGTGGCTGACAGGAAAGATATCACGCACGGGTTGTTTCCCGACAGTTATTCATTGTTTAAGTCATGAACAAGACGTCCGCAGGTCATTTGACCAACAGAGATGGCTGTTCTAGCATCATTGTTGATTTAGTAAAACGCACCGACTAGTTCGGGGGTAAGGACTCTATGCACACTTACCTTCTTTCGCCTGATTGATTCCATAATTCGTGGGATTAGAGCGTATAGCCAAGTGGAGGAAGAACACACTCCAAGCTAATGGCTAAGCCGACGACTGGGCCCTAATCTAGATAGATTTTTACGAGAAACAGGCTTACCAAGTAAAGACAGTAAGTCCCTCAGAAGGGCATAACGAACATACGTCTACCATACCACTCACAATCTATTTGTTTGTAATTCACACTCTTGAATTTCGTCCTAACAATATTGTCCCCTTAACTCATCTACAAGTTAAGCACTTGCTAGATTATCTCAAAAAGCTTCTGATCAGGCTGTGCTAATCGCAATGCCTTTTTACTTTGAGATTTAACCGACATATACTTCACTAACTGTATCTCATTGTACTTTTCCATTTCTATATCCTGTGTGGTGCGCTGTTTGTGGCTGTCTGGGACTTTGACAGGTTTTGTTGTCGAATAGTATTGCGATTTGATGTGGTATGTTGTATATATACATATGGTATTGTACTTAGCTGTACTCACAAGTAGGGCAGTGAAGAAGTTTTCGCAGGGTCGAGCAGAAGAGGTCTCACTGGATATAACTAGATTTTCTTTCCGAAAAGAAGGTTTCGAACAAATATCGTGTAAACTTGCTTGCTCTCTGGGAAAGTCGTATCATGGTAGAAACGACGAAATATAACAGTACGAGTGTTAGCTCGAAGATGAACAAGGATACACCTGTTCATGATATGATCACAATTACGTGATGCACATTTGAAGGCGACGGAAGGATTAGATGTGTCATATGGTCCATCTTTGAGATTAACTCATATTGATTGCATACAGGGATCATTCACCAATTTTTACATGTCATCGGTGATCAGGTTTTCACATAGTAAGGGGTTGATGGATGACATTTTCAGTATTCAATTGAACTTCCTTAGCCGTCTATGCTATGATTTGTTCCTTCTGATCTCTGTACTGTCGATTCTGCTAGTACTAAAAGAATCCAGTGAGTGAATGATGTACATTCCTGGCGACCGGTTCGCCTCATGAAATGATCTACGAGCCAAAGGAGAATTGAGGAATGTTGATGTCGGTCACCTTCCATGTGATTCCACCATCGCTCGTCGACATTTCGCCAGTGACACCCTCGCCCTTGCCCATGGTCTGGACATAGTTCGGATCCGCAGTGTTGAGAATGATGGTAGTGTTAATCCACTTGTGGGCAAGCATGGTACCGCAGTCGTCAGCGGCGCATTCAACGGCGCTCCCCCATCCCATAGCGTGGCCATCGCTGGTTGAGAGAGTGGCGACTTGCTTGTTGTTGACGAGAACGTATTGGGTGTAGTTGCCGCTCTTGTCATCGAACTTGTCTACACAAAGCTATCAGTATCACATATCAAATGCATCTTCAATGGGCGAGACATGACTTACAGTGCATGGTGATCTTGTCACCCTCCTTAGCCGTCGTAGGCTCAGTCTGAACGGGCATCTGTGTTGTGTCCGAGGTGCTCACAAGCGTATATCCGTACACGCTCCACGCGTTCGAGTCCATGTCGGCGATGGACTGAATCAGGTCGCCATTCGAGGTTCCCATTCCAACCCAGAGACTAGAGTCGCCAAGCTGCGTGGTGGGGGCCTTGGGCAGAACGAGTGTGGAAGATGCCTCACGAATCCAAGATCCACTACCGACTGGCCCAGTGCTGAAAGCCGGTCCCATGGCTGCTTCAACCGATGAGGTGAAGGCGGCAGCGGCCAGCGTGGCAAGGATTTGGCGAGTGGAAGGCATTGTGGAAAATGATGGAAGTGAGCGTGAAGGTTGAAGAAGTTCGAGGTTGATGAATGTTGATAGCAATACTTTGGAGCGGCGACGGTTGTCTTTTAAGTGTCTGCTGCGCGAGTCGACGATTCCTTTCCAACATACGATCGTTTTGAGTAGAGCCGCCTGGATGCATGCCCTTCATCTCGCTCGGTGCTGCGTTTGGCTGCAACCCCACATCGGCAATTAATGTTCCCATTGGTTTTGTCAGTATGCTTGTATATCGTCAGGACCCCTAATTTTTCCTTGGCTGAGCATTTCCGCCTTGTTTCATAGTGGATACAGCGGGTGTACCCTAGGGTCAATGCAATTGAGTAGCTGTTTCATATCGCGGGAGCCTTGCAACGATGTTTTAGAGGGCTTGACACACTGACAGATCGGTTGCCGACTTCTGCTGACATGTCTTCCATCATGTTGGTGTAATTTATATGCTCTTGAAGGTACGTCAGCGTTTATCTGACGTCGTACCCTGTAGACCCTGTGACTTGCAAGGCTGGTGGTCACGTAATGAGTATTGCCAATCCCAGACGCACTCGAGTTGGCCATGCCTGTTTTCCGTTTCAATTCTCCGCAAGGAAGCATCGAAGCATCGAGAAATCGAGAGATTCAAGATGGGTCTGGCAGCAGATTACTGTCTATCCACCTAATAAATCGCCGAGCTATGCACGGATTGACGGAAGATTATGACTCGTGGCGGCAAAATGCAGGGGATGAGTCGCCAATCAGCGCATGGAGAAGTTTTTGATTGCTGTAATGTAATGTTTTTCTGCACACCTGGAAGTAACCATCTTCAAGGTTGTCCTCACCTCCGTATTTGATTGTTCGTTTGACTAACACCGGGCTTCACGCGCTGGTTGCTATACTGCGTCGACGGGAAACTGTTTGGCTCCGCCATGCCTGCCATGACGACTCAGGACCATTGGCAAGGTTGATGGTGGGAATGGTAAGAGAAGTTAATGTGGAACCTATGGCTCCAACGGAAGCGGACCGTCAATGGTGCTACGAAGAATGCAAGAAGCAATGAAGTCAACATGGAAGTGCGATAAAGGCGCAGCCGGAGATTACTTTTCCGAGCTACGTCATCGGCTGATTTAGCGGGCATGACGTTTTCTGTTATGTTCTGTCTCCTTCGTGCACAGCCTTGTCTCCCTGACTGTGTACACACGTTGTGTGTCGCCACCAGGATCTGCTGTACCAATACAGCAGCTCAGATACCTACCTGTTAGGAGGGGTGAATACAAGTCCGTGTCGCTGCGTGAAATATTGCAGGTCGTGCGTTCTTCCTGTCTTTCGCCATGGACTTCTTGCTCACGTTGCCTGGACAATTGGGAGACTGAACTCAAGAGTCAAAACAACAACTGGGAAAAGCTAGTTTTCCAACTCGAAAACACAATTTATACGATGGTATCTGGTTTCCAAGTTCCAGGTTTGCTACAGCTGATCCAACTTATTTGCGCTCATCATGTGCGCATACGTACGGCAAAGACTGTGGCTGCGCGATCTACTCTGGATCTACTCTGATACGACTGCGCATCGAAGTTTGAGATCCCCAAGGGGTCGCTTCCCTTCGAAGGGTTACAGGTATTCCTAGGGATGTGCCTCGAATCCATGCAAATTCCAGATGTGACATTCCCAACGGACTGAATTGCGGTGCCTGCTGGATGAACGAAACATGAGCAAACAATCGTTACTCGAAATAAGTTCATATCGGACATAACTAATGATATTTACAACTTCCCGCGTTTCAAAACGTATTGCAGAGCCTCAAGCCTGAACGGCGGCGGTCACACCTGGCAAGTCACGTAGCCGAGGCTGGTGTCGCGAGCTTAAACATTTTCACTCTGTCGTGTCATGTGGAATTGTGTTTCCATCATTAATTGTCTGGTGGACCTGGCAGGATCGGGTGAGACATGACGTACATTTGAGGGCATGCGTGCTTTTGGGAAACCCCACCAGTCCAAGTGCTGCATTTGACGATCTTCTGATGACAGATGAAAGAATTGGTGTCAAACATTGCAATTGTGAGCGCTCTAGTATGATCGCGGTGCCTTTTTGTCACGTCTACCAATGGTTGTGGTTGGCGGATATCGAAGAGATGGAAAATACAAGATAGCACCACGACCAGAAAGTGCTGCAATTCACGGTAGATGCCCATGATTTCAATCTTTGCGCACATATATGACACATCTGCCTTCCCTTAGTGAGCGGCCTTGGTAATTTGTCTGCCTCAGTCTTCATTCAACAATATGGAACCCCAATCTTTTCACCACAGCCGTGGCCAGGAACCTGTTTTTGCTTTGCACATTTGTTTGCGATGCCAAACCGGGGGATGCTAGAGTATTGCGTTTCCCCCTACTCTGCGCTACCTTGATCTTCTGTAATAGTAGGATTTTGATCTGCAAAACTTCATCCTCGATTGCCCTGTCAAAGACATTCGCAACTGACTCTCTAACTTGTATTCAATTTGAATTGCCAAAAAGGGGTTGGACGTGAAAACAAGACAAGGCTTGAGGACATGAAGTTCGAGTACATTGTTTAGTGAAACTTTTGTGATAGAGCGTGATTAGAGTATATTAAAGCTTTAGTAGCAGGACGATGACGGCTCATGGATAGAAGAACCTCGTCCACCAAACTTCCGACATGACAGGCTTCCCTGCTTATGTGGTGTTTGTCAACCACGTCCTGGCACACTCTATCGGGATCTTGCGCAGATGTACCAACTACATCTTCTAACAACTATGTGCTGTTAACAATGAATGTACAAGGAAACTTGGTTACTGCACGAGTATAAAGCAATCCGACAAGCTGGTTACCGTTTTCTCGAGGTCTAATACAAATGCCTAGAGTTTACCCAAAATCAAAGCACAATGTCGTGTCCAATTGACTTGCGCCAGAAAGGGAGTAAGTCGGCATATTACTTAAAATGGGGCGATTCATCTCGATGAATTCATCGAAGGTAGAAGATAAAGACAGATACGTGAGCAATGAAGACTTCACTGCCAGGGCTTTGCCGAAGAGCGGTCACTAGGATTTTTCCGCATTTTAAGAAGCAAAAACATGGTCCTAGAAGTAGAGCGAATATCAATCTATAACTTAGCAAATCGGCAAGCGAAGAGTGATATGTTCAAAACAAGCACCACTCCACAGAAAACGGCTTTTGGTTGAGCGGGGAAGTTGTTGTTGGATAACGGCCTTGGTTGTCGGTACTCCACTGTAGCAAAACCCGACGGCACGAAGATGGGAGCATGGCAGTTGCATTCAAACGGGTCGTATCGATCGATCCGGCTCGGCAGCGGAGGCGCTCGCCCCGTGGGCTCGTCTTGGTAGCGTGGCAAACGTACAGAAGCGTTTAGCTCTCTCATAGCGTTCTCGCTCTATGTCTTGGCTGGTTGTAGGTTCGCGTCTCGACGCAAGGATAGAATTCTAAATTGAAAAAGGTCTTTGAATAACGTTGTTTCGCATCAACCTATACATTCTAGTCATGCGAGGAACAGGATATCCGAACGCAAATGCATCAACTCACGCAGGTGGCTGTATAGCTATACGCTTTCTCGCTGTGTACTAAGCCTACAGCACGCGTTCTAAACATCTGGATGTCGTTCGTCCGCGGGGTGGCAGATCAGGACAGCAGTAATGGGGTGACATCGTAGTGTTTTTGAGAGGTAAGAGTGACAATGCAGTGTGCGTGCAGCTGTAGCAAATTTGAGTTCTTCCAAAAGCCACTGCCTCGAGACTGGTTGCGACGTTGCAACCTTTCGCAACCCGTACGAACCTCGGTACGCAAGCCTGATATAGCAGATTTGATGCAAGAAATTGTAGAAACTGATTAGTATTTGCGTATAGATAACCTTAGCAATTTAGGGTATGTTTTGGTCGACATTCGTTCCAAACCACATTGAAGCAACTCAACGACGGCTCTATTGGCTAGGAAATAAACGGAAATTGCGCAACGGCATCGGTTTGGGCAGCCGAATTCTAGAGTCCCAACACGTTGTTTGCTTAATGCGCTAATGCAGCGACTTCGCTTCATGAGCTCATTTGACACAAGACAGCTGGTGTGGCTGATGCTAAAGAAACGCACCATGCTACGATCGCCGACTGTCGTAAACGGAAGGATTGCCGGTTCTGAATACGATTGGGAATGGAGTCTTCTGAATCGGCCCCAACGATCATGCTTCGGATACCTATGGGGTTGTTACCGACATCCTAGCATTGGATAGTGTCGATACACTAGCATGCCGAAACAGACATGCGCCACTGTTTATCACGATTTCGCTTAGTTGTACCTTGGCAGGAAGAGAGAAGTAACTGTGCCAAATTGCGTTACTAACCTGAGAACCTGGGATAGGAATATTCTTCAGAAGAATTCTCAAGTATGTTTCAACTACATATAATAACCAACAGATGGGATCGTTTACTGGTGCCCACGATAGGTACAGAAGTACTCAAACTGTCAAAATGATGCATCGCACGGAAGTGAGACCAAACCTAAACTTTATTTCTGCGGGGGCGGCTGCTCGCTAGTCAGGACCCTGGTTCGCGTATCTTCGGTATGTACGATCGGCATGCAACCATCTTTTTGCGACGGCTGTGATGTGCAGTCTGCTTATTTTTGCCAATGCGATCACATAAGGTTTTTCTGAATTTTCTGGTCGCATTGATGCTGATCATTGAACCTTGAAAGGAGACAAAGCGACGGGGGCAAGAACTGCATGGCTTGTACAACAAAGTACCTTTTATAGATACTTTTGACGGTAATCTAAACCGTGACAACCACGTTGGATGCGCACTCATCGCGATCTGGACTGTATATCGGCGTAACAAACGAACTGTCTATTTGACAAGACATAGTTCAGGTCCAGCACATAACAAACGGCCGGATCCATCCGGAGTTGTATAGTTGATTACGAAATTAGCTCAAAAACTAAGTTCACAAGTACGAAAATACCAGCTTTTGGCCCTGCCCACCTACATTAGCACTGTTGATAAGGACCATCTCGACTCCGACAAACATTTGTGGTCTCGTCGACCACAGTTTCGCTAAATCTCTATTTCCGTTCAGGTCCTGTAGTCCTTGTGGTCATCGCTCCAGATCTTTGAAAGTACAGGAGCCATGCCGTGAGTAACGCAAAGAGCGATATTCATTGTGGCATGCCGATGTCCGCGAGTCAACGTTGTCGAGGCAGTGGAAAATTCTGATGTCACACGATTGCGTTGTAACTCATGTTGGTACCTACACTGAAGTGGAGTGACAGAGTAGAAGAACAAGTTCGCTTCCGCCAGTAGACAAAGACCAATCAGCACAACCTCTCCATTCCAGTTCACTAGGTGTCAGTCTGCAGTACCGGGATTTCTTAGCGTGCAGAGGCGTTCTTAGCGTCTGTTCTATCCGTGATTGATCCCAAGCCAGAACCAGGCCAGTGGTATGCCGGTCCCTCTGTCTACCTGGGTAGTCTGAGGGCTGGGAGGCAACGCGGACTTGCATTGCATACCCTAAGCCCTAGCTGTTGCAAATAAGGAAGCTACCCCCTGCGTTCATGTTCTCAATCCAAGCTGCGAGGTACATTTTGCTAGCCGTCACCGAGTTCATGTTTTTATGCATGTTGTTCGCTCTGTTCCTTGCTGCAACGACAATCGCAGCAACATCACCTCCTACGGCAACATGACGGTGGCCACCATGCTGGGCATGGTTCCTGAGTGCATGGTACGTCATCCCGTTTGAATCTGCGCATACACATCCTTCCAGCTTGAAAAATTCGACACATTTGTACTAATGCGCTGTCTTATAACAGATGTCATGTCTTACCCAGAATGTCTTTCAAGATGGTGTTTGTCCGACAACTGACGCTGAAGCGCTGTCGGCATGCATTTGCACGAGCGCCACCATCCAGTCGCGTCTTGCTGCTTGTGTACAAAGTTCATGTCAGCTCTCTGAACAAGCAGGTGAGAATTTGTGTCCCTATTAACGATAATCGAGCCTCTGTGCCAACGATGTTGCAGGAGTATCGTCTTTCACCGCCGAACTTTGCAAACCCTACCCGATGGTAACTCGCGCCGGCGAAGTCAAGTCCGTCGCAATTGCAACGATGGTAATATCGACTATTCTTCTGGTTTTGCGTCTCTATTCGAGGTGGCTCAAAACGAGTCAATTCTGGCTTGATGACGCCTTTGCTATCGTCGCTGGGGTATGTCGATCTTGAGTAGACTAGATATACATTATACTAACAACATGGCGCTTAGGTTCTTCTGGTTTCAGTCGCTGTCGTCATCCTGCAAATGTCCCTCATAGGCTTGGGTACGCACTACTGGAATGTATCGGCTGAAAACATCGTTGAGCTTTTGAAACTCTACTACGTTTGCCAACTGACATACATCCCGGTCCAAGTCTTCTCCAAGGTATCCATCTTGGCATTGTTTTCTCGGCTATTCCAGGATTTTAATTCCACGTTGCATAAGGTCGTAAGAGGTATGATTTACTTCATGTTCATTCATGGTGTGGTGTTCCTTCTTGTTGTCATTTTCCAGTGCTCGCCGATCAGGTCGATCTGGGACAAGACGATTGATGGGAAGTGCATTCCGATCAAAGGCGCCCTCGGCTTCAGCGGCGCTGTCTTGAGTATAGTGGAGGATTTTGTCATATTGCTACTGCCCATCCATGAGATCTGGAAACTGCAAATGACCGCGAAGAAGAAAGCTGGTATCATTTTTCTTATCAGTGTTGGATCCTTGTAAGCTTTCGTCTGCTATGGATCACACTATGCTAACCGTACTTGTAGTGCATCAGTTTCCAGCATCATTCGCCTCGTATTCGTCTTTCAAAACCCGAACAGCAACGACTCGACCTGGGATGATGTCGACATCATCAAATGGTCGCTCATTGAAGTCTTCTCAGCATGCGCCTGCGGCAATTTGCTGCCTCTTCGCCCGCTTGTGGATAAAGTCATGCACAGTGCCCGTTTCATGTTCAGCTGGTACTCGGACTGGTCTCGAAAATCCTCTGGGACAGCGTCTGCCGACCTCAATAACTCCCAATTGCAGCCTCGACATAACCAGCCATCCAAGAAATCCAACTTGATCTCCACTCTCAATTTTACCCATACGGATCCCGAGCTCGGTCATAATTGGACGGGCTCACGTTTAGGATCGTCAACGATATGTCAAAGTATCAAACCGGACGAGCGTCATATCGTGGAGGATAGCAGACCACGAAGTACGAGAAGGAGCTCGGAAACATCAGCAATAGAATTAACGCAGTCAATGCCAGCTAGAAGCGAGTCGAGAACCAGTGCCGGGAGTGAAAGAGAACTGGTATCGATAAGAGAATATACGAAACACTAATACATGAATCTCTTGTCCGCTTTCTTTACTATCCTCTCAACATCTGACCCATGGGATCTTAATATTGAGGTGAAAAGTAAGCTTTTTGTCGAGTCTGTACTACATAATTACAAAACAGCATCTACAGTATCGCACGATAGCCTAACCCTTCGAGTCTTTTAATTTGGCCAAGAAGCGCAGGCTCGAAAATAATAAACAGATCGAATACACGTAATTTATCAATCGTACGAACGAGATTCGATAGTTACGTCGCAGGGGCATCTAGACAGATCCATAATAGCGCAACTCCTGGGTAAAACGACTTTAGAAGGTTAAGGTTTTGCCGTATCGAGAACCCGCATATCCATTCAGTTGGTGTCATCTGATGCCCTTATAAAAGGGGTGAGTAGGGCGGATTAACCAAAGTTCGTATTCGCTGGACGTCAACGGCAATTTTAATCAAGTCGAATGAGAAAGTGCCCGAGAGGGCTTCAACTAACGAATGGGCTTGGTCTGCAATACACCGTTCTTTTCTCTTTTTCTTCTGGTTCTCGTATCTCAGACCACCAAAACACTCCTAGAGAGTATGTGCGATTCTGAACGCAGCAAGACAGCATCAGCAGCCCTGCCAAAAAACTAGATGTCGTAAACACTAAGTACATACGTATTATCTTGTCAAACTTCCGCTTATTCGTGCTTGACTTAGAGTCAAGTGAATGCAACAAGGTCAAAGGCCTAACATGGTGACGCAATATAGGTGCCAAGACTTAAACTAGCCCCATGTCAAAGTACATATGCATAAGGCAAAGTCTTAGCTAATGAATACATTCTGTACACCTTGATAGTCGGTATAATAGCAACATGATGATGTTAGCCTTGGCAATCTAAATGCCCGTTGGTCCAATGATGTGGTAAGATTGCGATTTATCAAGCGAGTGGTGAAGTTGGGATGAATTGGATGGGAATTTCGTATCGTGAAGTTGTGTTACTGTCGTGCACTCTGAGATGCTAGGGTCTTTGGGACTAGCGCCCACGTGTCGACGTGAATGTGGGCCACCGACGCGTCCAAACATCATACGTCGACATCACTCATTCGCCATTTTTGTCGCTCACTAAACAAACCAGTCACGATGAGTAGAGCAGCTATCGAACAAGCTCTAACAGGTCTCGTACCTACATTAAACGGGCCTCTACCGCCAGAGTTGGTTGAGCTCGCCTTTTCGCTGCTCACCCGCTCTGCTACAAACTCATTCAAGTCTGACGAAGCAATCGCGCGGCCATATGCATGCGCGCAACTAGCCTGCGAGAGGTGCGTCGATACGTCTCTGAGGACATGAGGAATTGCTGACCTGGACAGGCTAAAGAAGCGCCTTAATCTACCCGCAATCGTGTCGCGTCCTCCGTGCCCGCCCCGGATCTACAAAAAGCTTTACAGTTACCTCAATAGTACCCTGCCCGCGCCTTCGACCAATCGAGAACCACAAACCCCTCGTAAAGCCGTAGCTTCTGCGCCACCTTCTGCGCATAATACACCTAAGACGTCCACGAGCGCAAAGAAGACCCCACGAACCACAAGAAAGGAGGGGGACAAGGCAGGAGAGCTACCGGGGTGGACCATGTCCACTATACGCTCTCTCGCCAAATCATTAGATCATCCAAATGCTGCACCCCACATTTTCACGGGCGTCGAGTCCATCATTCCTTTGTTAGCACGCATGTCTGCTGCCGTCGTGGGGACACCGACCAAGCGGCCACGAAAAGTAACAACTACATCTCAACCTCCCACGTCGCCCGTTTCAGACACTCGCATAATCGCTTTGATAGCCACGGTATTTCTGTATGTCCTAGCTAGGATGTCAGATCAAGAAGTAACGCCCGACCAATACCAAAAGTGGCAAGAGGACACATTGAACACCCTTTTGGAGCTGCCATCCGGGCAGAACATTACGTATGAAGAACTCTCCCCGGAGGTGATACAACTGAGGGACATGGCGCCTGGAGAAGGTTGGCTGCACATGGAGTGGTTTCTCAACATCGCGCCTTCGCATGATGTAGACGCCATGGAAGGTGTTGAAGCAACCGACGGCAACGCACACTCTCTGAAGGAAAATAGGAAGAGGCCAAGAGATGGCGCTAGCAGCTATATTGGCCTGGGCACAATGATGCAGGATGCTACAGACTACCTGGGCGAGCGCCAGCGTGAAGATTACAAGAGATGGAAAGCCAACGTTATGGCCCGCGTGCAGGAAATCGAGGCAGCGTGAGAACATGTAGATGCTCCAGCACACTGGTTTTTACTTATATGATTATATCATCCATCCATTAAGCAAGACCTTTGCTAAAAGCTTATTAGACCACGTTGTCCGCTCCCATATCTCTCACCAGATAACGCCTGTGACAATCCACCTTGGTGATGGTTATCAACATGTTCTTCTATGGAACATTGGAAGATTAAACTTTGAGAGCACTACGACAAACAAGGGTTGAGGCTTTCAAGGACTGGAAACACGCATAAATACAACTGATTGGCAGAGATCCCAGACAGCTAATCTTTCTTACCTTATTGGATTTGACTGATCAACCCCAGCCACCGCACATAAAAGTCGCTGATGCTCAGCCTCGTGGTGTACTGCATAATTATACAAGTGCAGTGTCCTCTGTTTCCGAACATTTGCCTTCCAATCTTGCGCTTGACACTTCACTTCTATCTCTTCTGAGCTCTTCGAGAGATATGAGCGACAACAATCAGAGCGAGGTCAGCGTCACCATCGTCGCTCTAGTCATCTCTGTTGTCGCGCTCGCCGTCACCGCAAACCAACTCCTAGCCCAACTCTTCAGCTCAGCAGATGGTTACCGGCGTTGCGCTGAGTCTGTCATTGGCCCCTGGCACGTCTTACGCAAGCGCAAGTGGATTTGGTCTGAGTTCTGATTCGAAGTGCACTAGCTGAAACTTATCAGCCGGGATTGTGTCAGTTTTGGTTGAGCGGGAGCGAACACTTATCTGACAAAGTGTCTCGTCAGAATCAAACACGCATCAAGATTTACATAATCTATCGCCATTATACCTGGGACCTCATGCCGCCGGATATAATTCGACCACTGGCTCAGGTCAGTGCCAGTGACATTGTAGTCTTGGCTATTAGCATGGGCATGCAGTGGCGCTCGCTCGATGCTGGCTTCTGCAAGATACAGGCAGATGGCAATGGGTACAACATCACACGTATGGGAGTGAGTGGTTTCGGGCTTATTCTCCGATTCACAGCAACGAGTAAAGGTTTACAGCAACGAGCAATCGATTCATAGCAACGAGCAGTCGACTTCGTCAATTTCCCGGGTTGATTCCCAGTAAAGCAGTCAGAAAAATGCTTCTAGAAACTATTACCGACCCACGGCAGATCAAGGGATACTCTTGCTACAGACTTTGCATTGGTCGACAACAACCGCTGCGTTCAAGATATCGCTGACCCTCGTGGTGTTCTTACCAGCATTGGCTGCTCGGAGAACATGCGCAATAACATCAAGAAACATCGAAATACTGAAGTTCGCATCGATGTCATCACTCTCATGCTCCCATATCTACCTGTGGAAGGCTCGGTTCTGACGAAATATCCGTCGCAGCGCACGCTTATATGGCTGAGTACGCCTGTGAAGAATCCAAGAGGCACAAAAAATCTCACTCTTTCGACACTCAAGAAGCCATCTACAAAGCTCATAACATCGACAAAGATATCCATGGGCACTGGTTTGCTTTCAAAGTTTATGAGATTGATTGCCAATACGTCAACAACCTACACCATGAGAAACAAGGGATCAAGGCATATCTGGACGGCCACAATGTCGATCTCCCAAAAGACGTAGTTGAGGCTAGTTGGTGGGTACTACAGCTCCGAGCAATAGCTTGGCACTCTCTACCTGGCCTGTAGACGTCAAAGAAATCTTGGGAGAGCTAATACCAAATTCCTAATATGGGAACCATGTCCCGTATATATTGTATGGAACATGACGCCTAGAGAGAAAGTCATCAAGAAGGGACATCTTTAGTCATTCCATATCTAACCGTATGTCTACGACTACCTTCTATCTCGGCATGCCATCTAGCATACTATCGATATTCACCGCTCTTTGAAACACAAGACCTAAACATACGACAATATGCATTGCTTTCCAAGTACTACTTCAAGAACATTGTGCAACCAATTCAGAAAAGCAAGCTCCCAACTTCCTGTCGTACTATCACTGTTACACTCTTACCCCGACTCACCGCCTACTGCGTCCACTTGTTGGCGCGACAAGCCATAGCGTACTAGCAAACTTCTTCTATATCACACCGTGCATATCTATAGCTCAAGCCACACCTAATCTATCAAACTAGAGAGTAGGCTGCATGGCGACACAAGGCATGCCTACATCAAGCGGCCAAAAGCCCCGACCAGCAACGTGCGCACACGTAGGTCATTTCGGCTTGACCGACATCTCGAGGCTGGTTCTATATCGTAATTGCTGTGGATGATAGGACAAAATCACTGGCCTCTACGTCACGATGGCGAGATCAGTGTCGATAGCTTCTAAGTGATGCTGCAACTGGTAATCTGTGCTACACCCACCCGCTTGAGTGGATGGCATGCTGGGTACGACGGACATGTTGACATCGAGAACCTGCGTATACACAACTCAACTCATTGCTTCTGAGTCGGTGAACAAGACCGCATGACAAGTCGCATAACATATATAGATATCGCGTTGCGTTCGCATGTCTTTCCGTTGATACACCGCAGCTGTCAATACATGCAAGTTTCCGTTATTTGCCAGACGTTGCGCTAAGACAATACTCAAAACTACTGAGTGTCGAATACTTCAACCACTCCAGAATCCGCAGTTGTCATCCCATCCAGACATACTTCATCGTTCTCGAGTAGAAGACGCGTCAAACTCTTGCGCGCAGACTCTCAAACAACTCACAGCTATGCTGCTCACATCGCTCCTCGCAACCCTTCTATCTACGGTTCCTACTACGCTCTCTGCTCCTGTCACCGTGCCCGTCACTCTCGATAATTACCCCTACCAGTGCGGCTACGCACGCACCCGCTGGAACAGCAGCGTGATCGCCGGTCTCTCCGCCTGGGGCACTTGTACGCCCTTCTTCTGGAATGCAACGATCGTGGACTACCAGGACGCTTTTGCGTACGGAATCTACGGAGGCTGTGCATGTCGGTTCTATCTGTACGTAGTATATGGTTCTCGAAACTTGAAATAATGCTCATTGACATAAAATCAGGAACGAGGAAGATTGCAAGGGCGAGGTCGATGTACCTGTGTACACAGAACCCACGCCGAGATGGAGTGATCCGTTTTTTGACGACCCGAAGCCGAAGTGGTACGATTGCGATCGAATGGAATAGGAGTTATCTTGTGTAGGAGTGGAGGTGCTGCCTTAGCGGGACGTGAGCAAGCTTTTCTTTGATAGGGTTTAATATGTTCATCGGGATTTCGTGGCGCTGGATTGTCAAATATGGGTTATTGGGCGAAACCAAAATCAATGTTGTTTCTGGCCTGTTTATGATAAGGAATATGTTTTGTCTTCCGTTTGAAATTGAATTCATCGCTTACTGCGGATGACAAAGACGTGTTGAAAATGTAAACATGGACATCTTGTTGCACTCACTATCTCATGATACATCCTCCCGCCTACGAAATGTTGTATGCTTGATTCTGGTTGCGGCGCCGACTGTGCTCGACCCATGTTCTCATCGTAGTTTCACATCAACTCTCTTCTTCAACGATCTCTGCTCCACGTCCTATCTCGAGCAATGGGTCGAATACCTCCGCTATAGACACACGCATCACCTCTCAAGCAAGCGTATGGGTCTTAACCACACTACGCTTCCCATCTCGTGTAACGAGCTGCGCAATAACTTTGGCTGCCAACGGCTCTTGCGAGTTAGGGTCGGGAGCTGGTGTTGGAGTCGGTCGTGGAGACGGAGTTGCAACTACGGTAGCTTGGAGCAACAGACATGGGCATTCGTGCCAAGTTTGAGAATAAAACACATATGCGTTGGCAATACTCTTCAGCCCTAGCTGGCCCTTATGCTGGATGAGAAAATGGGCAAATCCGACGGCGTTAGGGCTGCCTACGCTGTAACTTTAGCAGATTCCAGAACTGTACAGCGGGATGCATACCTAGAACGGCCTTCCCTTGGTCTGTGGTCATCTCGAATTTGTAGGGTGTACCCGAGAGCGGTTGTCCTACCTCTCTCAGAGCACGATAGATGATCTTGGTGGTTTCTTCGTTTGTGACGCATAGGGAGATGAAAAACTGAACTTTTCGCCGTGAGTCAGGGAGAATATCACGTTCCCAGAGTGCCCACATCATGTCAGACGATTTTGCCAGAGGCGGGAGTTGATAGTCCTCAACGGGTGGCACTCGATCTTTCGCGGCGGGCGCTATACCCTTGCGGTACTGTGCTATTATGCCTACGAAAAGCCTTATCAGCCAAGCTCTTTCAATATAGTCGACATCCCATGCTGAAATTATCTTACCACCCTGGGGGTTCACCATCATGGTAAATCTGGCGCCCGTTGACTATGTTTAAGATCAGTATATGCGAGCTACTAGAGTAATCTTGTGACAAACTGACCCTTCTCCAGCCGCCATCTGGCCCTTGATACCACTCCTGTTCCGGGGTTGGAAAGTGAACCTTGTCGTGCATGATCTGCGACGCGGTCCACAATCCACCTTCCTCGTTGCACTTATCGGATACCAATGCCCTTCGAAGATGCGGACCGATCCCCCAATAGCCGCCCGGTTCGAAATCACGGCTAGCCTCAGGGACTGAGTCTATGCGATAGCCCCATTTCTCCAAATCATCTGCATAGATCAGTCAGTACGAACTCCACAAGATTCAAGCTAGTGGGTCATTCTTACCAAGTGACCATTGACTCTGCGCTGTATTTGCAGGAGGGTTCATAGACTGACCTGCATCATAGTCCGAGTACGACATGAGTCGGAGGAATCGTTCTCCTCGGCATATCGCGTCTTGCCACAATTTATCGATGTTCGGGGCAGTATCGACACCCAATGCAGGCAAACTATCGGCGCCCACGTTTTGGCGTTCGGGACGAACCAGATCGACATGCCCCGACTGGACGAGAAATTGGGAGAAGTCCAAGTTGGATATTAACGGTACATTGGGTAGCGAGATGTTACGTGGGGATTCGCGTGCATTAGTAAGGAACATAACGCCCAAAGTGGCCCATATGGCTGGAAAGGCGAGTTTCATGCTGTACATTCGCGTTAATTTTGGTCTTCAGGTTGTGGAACGAAGCTGAGAAGAGCTACACTCTGTGAGGAGATATGGTCTTGGCAACGGTGAAGGTGAAGAAGAAGAAAGAAGGCATCACAATAGGAACACAAATCATGGAGTGAGACTAAGGAATGGGTGTTAGAACACCTTTGTCTTTATTCTAACGCTCGAAAGGGCCCAGGTTTCTTCTGCTATAGTCGTTCACCATATCTCGACGCTGGGTTTCTGCCGTGTCGATGCCAAAAGCCTAAATTCAGATATGTTGTTTATCATCGAAATAAGGCCAATACCAGTATCAAACCAGCACTCGTAGTCTCGAAGATTATGAGAATTACAAGTGTGATTTGATGATAGCAGTACCAGGACGAAGTTTGTGGGGTGGCATCTTCTGAGGATTCATTTGCAAGATGTTTAATTCCACCGCCCAGCGCCACCCAGCAACTAGAATGTTCATTTACTACATGCCATTTAGCTAACTTCATGACTACAGAAACTAGGGAGGTTTGGTTTCGGTTTTTCCGTCCAGAATCATGTACCAGATTCGAGTTGGCTGCTTATCGTGGTGAACACGAAACCTTCGGGCATTTCCAATCAATAGACCACACATGAGTGCACCTCAGATAGTCAAAATCAGCTGTCATGATGTCAAGTGTCTTGAAAATTCCTTGTCATGAAATTTTTGCTTATGCTTTTGAATGGTTGTTGCCGTCATAACAATTCACTCTGACGTCCCGATTAGGCCTAGCGTTCTGGTTCACTACCCTGCTTCTCAAGCGATCGGTGGACTTGCCAGCTGGAGAATGAAGCACACTCGACAGAGGTTCAGGACGATATATGGAGTGATTTACACACGGTCCAAGCGAGACTCCTTGCCTCAAAGTCTTGGTAGTAGTTGGAATGTGGGGATAGATGGAGTCCGTGTCCTGTTCCTTCGGGGCTTGTCCACGCTGTTGAACAATGAGCAACTTTTGATAGCACCGGTTTCTAGGTGTAAAGATTTCCATAGATGATTTGGGTGGTTATCTAGCATGATGGATGCAGAAGGGTCAAAAAAGATAAGAACTCACAGCCTATACACCCCCTTGCCAATACTGGATTCTCAAGCCATGCTTCCGTATGTCGTGGTGAGAGCCAGTTTACTACTTTTTGGTGATAGATTGAGTAAGGGGGCCCCTTGCGTGAACGCCTTGCGCAGGAACGACCCGTCTGGCCCGGGGATGCTACCTAGCGACATCCCAGACAAAGGAAGGGCTATGAGTAAGGGATTTTCTGGAATGAGGTGCGTTCCATCATCAAATGTATAAGTATACCATAACGTCCTGTTGTAACATCCAGCTCATCACTTCACAGCTCCATCTTCTTCTCACAAGCACCTCGACGCTCTATCCTACCACCGTATCCAACGTCTTGCACAACATCACAATGCAGCTCCTCAAAACTATTCTCCTCGCCCTTCCAGTCGCTATGGCGGGCACACTTCCCCGGGGTTGCGGCACCGCTATCAACAAAGAGGGTGTCGGCATGGGGATGATTGGCGACAAGCAATGCCAGAACCTTTTGTTTGATCTTGATAGGGTCATCATTGGCGATGGGTGCTATTGCGTTACGTTTCATGGCAAAGATTGCAACGAAGGTGACAAGAACAACTGGCAGTCCTGGTTGCTTGGTTACACGACACTCGACATGGGAAAGACGAAGAAAGGTTCGGACAGCTACCGATGCTCAGATGATCCAACTTGGGGCGCTGTAAGTGACTCAAGTTCCTCGAGTTGTGATGGGTGCTAATTACGGGCGCAGATGTGGGACAAGAAGTGGGCTGAGGCGTTCCCAGAGGTTCCCAAGGTTGATACGTAGTGTCGTTACGACTCACACTATCTCGCTTTGGCTTTCAATATTCTTGTTGGCAATAGCACGTTTAGTCAAAAAATTCCTCGAAGCTCATACTTGACTTCTGTAGAAGGATCCTCGACAAAATGTTTCTACAGGTGCCGATAGTTTCAAAGTCTTATGAATATCAGCTCTTTCTTGCCTAACTATATTTTAAACGCTCCCTGACGATGCAAGTGGAGCTTGCGGAAAAACCGTGCTTGAGGTCTTTTTCTATTTCTACCTAGTCGAGTTCTTATTGTGGTGAAAGTGAAAGTAATCGACTAGTGTGCGCGTGGGGTCAAAGCGACTTGCGCTAAGCCAATGTGTTCCTCGAAGGTTTTCTCGCCCTACACTCTCATCATTTCTCCAATCGCTCGTTTCTTTTAGTTCTCCACTTCACGATCAACCCCTACCAACCATGAGCTTCGCTTTCATCCTAACACTTCTGGCACTTGCCATTGGTGCCATGGCCGCTCCTCTCAACGACGGTTTCTCTTCAGCCAAGATCCCCAAGATCACCACCTTTGCCGACGATCTCAGTCTCGATGTTGCTCACCTCAACAACACGGATATCGTCGGTGCTGGCACAGGTGCAACTCGTTTCGAATGCGGTGAGTACAAGTTCGACGACGGAACCATACAGACTTTCTACTCTCAAGTTTGGGCTGGATATCCTCGCGACCAGATGTTTTGCCGTCCCTTCAAATACGAGCGCTTCCACAAGAAATCCGGCCAAGAGGGCAAGATGGTAGCCGCCAAGATCGATCTGGGTTGCACCTGCTTCTTCTACACGTGAGTAGCCTACACATGCGCTGCGATATTTGGTGTATCAAGTTAACCTCATTCAGAGTTCCCTGCGATCCTTCTCACTACGCCGAGGCGTGGAAAGGCTGGGATGGTTGGATGAATTACGCATCTACGGACAAGCACTTCAAGGGCTGGTGGTGCCGTGAAGAGTACTAGAGCCAGACCGCGCTTTAGATACCTTCAAGCGTGACTGGAAAGCAAACGAAAGCTTCTCGGATCATCGACTGTCGAGCTACTGTTTGTCATTTGTTGTGGACTTGTCGGACACATTCGTTTTTCCTGACTTAAGGAAGACGCAAGACTACAAGACGTCATGTTGTAGCTACCAATAAACCGACTAGATTTAGATGGGTTCTATGCACGTGAGTTTTCAAGTAGATTGTTGTTGTGATTGTACGAGTTGTATGCTTGTTTTGACCAGGCATGAGCCTAGCCTATTCCATGAGAATCACGATATCCGTTTCAGATGGAAGGAGAGGGTGGTAGAAATGATATGTCTTTGACATCACAGAACTGGTTCTATCAAGGATGACACAACCCATTCCACAACACTAAGCAAGCCATAAACACAGGTAGAGGTAGGAAAGGTTGTGTTCAATATAATTTATCGATTGAACTTGCTCAGCTCACAGTTATGTATCGTGATATTCAAGCTGAAGCCGGGCACTTAGAATATGCAATGCGCCACTGTAGTTGGCCCTGCAGCATCCGGCTCGTGGAATCCTCCTCACACCGCTGCCATGATGACTTCACCCCCATAGACCGTTGCCTCAAATGCGTTGACACTTGTACCATCTCACATGATCATCCTGCTTGAAAGTCTTGCTCTTGGCCCCATCTTCTGCCCACTCCCAAAACTTGATACCGTTCATGGGATCGCTGCCACCACAGAGATCGGTACTAGTGTTTGTGAGTGATGATATATCTAGATTGACTCTGCGAACGGAGTAAAGCTCACCTCCATGCAGCACAAGCACAGCCCTTGTTGACCTTGATAGCCTTCATGTCGCCAGTGACCTAGTTGCAGGTCACATCGTCGCGGAGCTTGCCTATGACGCTGCTCTGAAATAGACTGCCCGAGCCGCAGACGCCCGCGGGCTTTGGTTTAAAACCGGGGTCAGACCAGTCCTGGGGGATCGCGCTTGCCGTGGCAATGGCGATGAACATGAAGATGATGAAACTGTGAAGAAGGCTCATCGTAGAGAATTGCAGACTTGAAGTTGAGTGTAATGGTACGTTTGACAACCCTGCTTGATGTATGGTTGTTGGGAAGTTCAAGTAGTTGATCTGTAGATGCAACGCTCGATATTCGAGTGTGGAGTGCCGTTTTGTACGTGAGGGTCCGCGCTTCGACAAACAGCAGTGAAGGCAGGTGCAAAGAGCGTGTTGACGTCAACGGACATATCGTCATGCGATCGTTTGCAAGTGAAAGAAAACGCGCGCAATCGGATACTTCCAACGCGGCAGGTGCCTCTTGGTCAGTACAAATCTCGCACATCCTCTTGAAACCTTCACTCACTTCCACGCCACTGCCACGAGACGCCTTTCCCTACAGTTTCCCTTGTTTAGTTCGACTCAAGAGAACTGTGCATGATGCGCTTCTCATCAATCATTGCTGGGGTCTTTGCCGTGGCCACGGTCGTTCAATCCTCTCCGGTCACCAAGTACACGCCCTTCTATGACACCTGTGGCTCTGTCATCGATAACACCACGAAAGTCTATGTACTCCAAAACCGCGGCTGGGGCGAGCCTCATGCGATTGGCGATAAGCACGATGGCTACTATCCCATGGCCGCAACGTTCCACGTTGATGGCGGCTATGCCTGCAAGTTCTATAAGTAAGCTTCTTGTTTTATCACAAACCTAGAACAGTACTGATTAGGTCTCAACAGCGAGGCCACGAGAGGCATTGGCTCACTCATAGGCCAGTACTACGGTCTTACAGATGGTAACTTCGGAGACAACTGGGCAGCATTCTATGAGTGCTGGAAAGTCAAGGAAGGCGACGAGATCACCTCGGATGCCATCACTACCACGGATCCCAAAGACGTCTCTCTTGCCTCACAAAACGCATACCCTCCGTGTGGTTACGTTTATAGCGTAGAGTGCGGCCAGTATTCCCTCAATGAGTCGGGCAAGGGCAAAATGCAGAACTTCGAAATTAATGGCGAATCGTACATGCCCATCTGGTATCATGTCTCCAGTCATTGTGACTGTCGGTTCTTCAGGTAGGTCAAGGCCTCGGGTATGATACAGAGTTCTCACTGACAACACACCAGTTCTTTGACCACTCGCTTCGGACCGGAGCTCCTCAAACAGGTCAAAGGCACAGCAGAAGGCGACTTCGGTGACAAAAAGTCCGCATCGCGCTATGATTGTTGGATTCGCACTTGAGTCCATCCAAGGTGCTGGTGCGAGATGGGTTGGGTGGTATATGAAGGTCCAAGGGATAGTAGTTAGATAACGATGTCCTCCAAAATAAAAGTCTGTGTTTCTTGAAATGCTTGGTTGTAGTGATACCTTTGGTAATGGTACTACTTCTCTACAGTATTTTTGAACCATCCGAGATTGAAAGTTCACGAATCATAAAGTTTGAATTACTAGGCCAGCATCTAGGGGCCTGGAAAATTGAAGTCCGTCATCGAAAGAGTTAGAAGGACTTCGTACAAGTGTTGAGTTTCATGTGGGTCGTTACAACATCATAAATTAAACTCTGGAATCTTACATGTCAACCCGTAAACGTAATGAAGACGAATCGTGATAAACTCTCCAATAATCAGATCAAATAAATCTCGTCCCTATTCGGATTGGGACCTCCCATTTTCACTACATACCGACATTTATATTAGCACCTGATCCTATCATACGTCATATTTGTCCCTCACCACTGTTCTGATAGTGTGTATACCCTTCGACGCCCAGTATACGGTTGTTCTAGCTCTTCTCTACTATTCCATCTGCGGCCACACTCATACACTGTAACCAACTTCATGTCGTCGTTAAGTGGCACGATTCCGAGAGCCCTGTACAGAGCCGAACTTCGTCTTCTGACGCTTACAGTATCGTCAGCATGTATGGCAAACTTAGGGAAGAGTACATGACTTGCAGACACAGCCGCCAAACATATTAGCAGTGGGAGCAGCCATGGCGAGGGTTGCACCTGCTCGTCCTGCAAGTAAATCAGACCCATCTCGGTCTAGAAGATGAGTTTGGATAGTGATTCACGACCCAAGATCACTCTCTGATTGAATATCAACTTGATCTAACCCGATCATTGGGCAAACCTTTTGCTTGAGCTGAGTTGCTGACCCAATCTCAGATCTGAGGCCTGTAGCACTGCCACGACGGTCAATGGCCCCAAGACCGCCGAGGTCACTTGGATCCTAGTTAGCATTTCTATGGTGATCCGCGTATCGGCCCAAGTAAACAGGCACAAGCCTATGGATTGAGAAGGTGGATATCGTGTAAATTTGTTGGGACATAGGTGATCGCAAGTGACAACTCATTTTGCAGAAAACGCAACTATTCGACGGTAATTTGCAGAAGTATCACGATAGGGTTGGGCATCATGATACGCTCTCATATCAATCCCGCCTAGCAATCGAACAGGAGGGTTTAAGAACGAACTGCCCGTGCGAGCACTTGCCACGCGATGTGACTCAAACTTAGACATCCCGTGTCGTACAAAGCAGACGTGGACCAGTATTGACCTCCCATCGCCATCTAGTCTTGGGTTCCCAATATGGTCTCTTCTTTCCCGTTCCGAACGCCTGCTGGCAGATGACGAAGCCTGATAAGTCTTTAGACATGTGCCACGCAAAATGTATGTCTAAAAAGACGACAAAGTTTTCCGACTAGATGCTAGCGACTGATTCTCGCCTCATCTGCAAAGTTCCAAAATCTGTTCACGTTCTTTCCCTATCTTCGGTTCGAAAAGCCCCGCATCTAAACTCTACACCTCTTCTTCACATCCTTTCTCGACAGCCTCCAGATATCCACGTTTCACGATGTACACGACCATTCTCATCCTTCCGCTCGCATTGGCGGTTGGCACGGTATTCAGCGCCGCCATCCCCCAGGCTGCTGTCCCGCCCGTTTGCGGTACAATCAAAGTTTCGGGTTTTGCGCCCGGAGACGACATCCAACACGCAGGCTGCATCTTCTTCGGTGAACCGTGCCGCAGATCTGTCTCTTCTGGCGTCGACGAGATCCCCCGCGAGGTTGGAACTACAGTACAACATGCTCTGAAGCTCTATGGCGGCAGCGTATGCTATGACATTCCGGGTAACACGCAGTCATACAATCTCACTGACTCCTCCTGCAACTGCGAATTCTTTCGGTAAGTTGGATGAGAACCGACGGAGCGATGAATTGTTCGTTTTTTTACTTCAGAATACGTGGCTGACGTGCATAGCTTTGAGAACTGTAACGGTCGGATTCTTGATTTGTCCGAAGTTCATGGCATTGCATCGCCGGTACCACTTGAGGGAGCAAAAAGCTATCTTTGCCAGAAGTCATAGGGTTTGAGGATTCTATTACTATCAGAACACCAGGCTGGATGGAAAATAGATATGGCGATATGGTCAATCGATGTTCTAATGATTGAGGATGCTACTAGACCTCAGCTGGAAAGGAGCGAATTCAATGATATAACTGTAGCCAACCAATGAAGTTGCTAGATCAGACAAACCTCTTCGCTCCATGATATCAGGTCCCATGTATCCTGCACTACGCTAGGTTAAGGTGTTACGGGCGAATATGTAAACTTCCGATACCTTTATCGAAGTGTCAGATAGAATGGAAAGGCGTTTTGCGGCGTTCAATAACGTACGATGGGGCAGCAGCGAAGGCGTATGTATTGGCATTTAGCTGACCTTACGCGTTGATCAACCCTCAGGCAATGAGACGATAGGACGAATGAAACGCCGGACCAAGCCAAGCCCTGTCTAATAGCGGTAAAGCGCCTCACGCTTGGGTGATATTTCTGCCAGAAGTCGAAAGCATCCCTTTTCTTCCAAATGTTACTATTCACATACCCACAATTCTACCCTTTAGCATAGGTGTCGTACAACCTGGAGATTCTGTGGAGAGCAATTTCCGCGGAATCAAGTCAAACTCTACAGCCACTCGAATCCTCCGCTTGCAGGGGTCGACCGTTGACCGTGTCAGCCGTTATCGTGACAGTACACTCAGTCCAGTCAACTGCAGAGAAAAAGACGTTCCTCAAGAGGGCGAGGAAGGATGCACCGCGGAAGGCAGCCGAAGCTCCCGAGACATCCGATGGCGGAGAGCAGCCGTCGCGCTCGCGTCAAGACGAAATGCATCTGGCTAGTGTGATTAGTCAGTCGTAAGCTCAACGCCGCATATGCACGCCTAAGTATCAAGTCACTTATCTTCGTCTTAATGACGTTCAGGCCTCCATCTCGCACGAATTGTGAGCTCAGAGTTGCAAGAACCTGACCTCTCCCTCAATCTATTGCGGATGTTGCATTGATTTTCCGTCGTGCACGGGCTTCGTTCCTTATTTTGAATACATACCCGCAATCACGCATCCCGCCGCTGCGATGCCTGTTACCGAAATCGCTCTTTGTCGGATGTCGGCAGATGTAACGATGGACGACCCGGAACTTCGGTCGAAGCTGGCGCACGCGAGGGCAGTCATGGAAAACTTTACCCAACGACAATTCTACCTTCTTCAACAGGTTGAAGACCCAACATGTTTTTACATTATCGGCGAATGGGACTCGGTCGACCAACACGTAAACGAATTCATACCCGGATCAGAAAATCAAGCGATTCTAGAGAGTCTCAAGGACTTGATGACGCTGGAGTGGCTACTACACCTCGATGTGCCACATGCCGACCTGCCGTTACCCAAGACAGATGCTGAGCGGGAAAAGATAATCCACGGAGGAATGCTGCTCTGCATCATGCGAACTTTTATTGCAGCGGGCAAAAAGGACCGGTACCAAGACATCCTCGAGGTCAATAACCCTATTATGCAACAACACGTTACTGGGGGTAAGATTGGGAATGGATGGCGTATAGACAAATGGTTGGATAAGGACGAAAGTTTTCTTTTCATACCCTGGGAATCTAGTGAGCAATATCTCGAGTTCAAGGCCTCATGGAATTTGTCATCATTTGCAGACTTCCAACAGTATGTCAACGGCGTTGAATTTAAACACGCCAGAATACTCGACATATGAATGTCGCGATCGTAATACATATCTATTCATCTCAAGCAACGCAGTGGAAGCTGACCATATGCCAGTAATATCTCCGTGGTTGAATTTTAAGGCGCAGCACTATCAGACTGAGACCAAGTCGTCACATGCGTGTCGAATGATTAGGGCTCAATATTGTCAAGTTCTTTTTTAAGTACGATGCGATCATCGAAGTTGGCCAACTGGAAAGGGTGGGTTTGATGTCGACAAGCAAAAGACAAACATTTTACAATCAGGTTTGGCCCCCGAGAGTCGCCAAGATCAAGATATGACTCCGTCATACTTTCTTGAGGAGGGGGAGGAACAGATCTCTACAAGAGCTCTTTGGAGGGGCAAAGCATTAAACTAAGTGCGCTCCTGAAGAAAAGTCGCCCCGTTGATGTGGGTGATACTGGATAAACGCGCGCCACGGTATTTGGTGTCACATTAGAAAGATTTGACGACCAAGGCCAAGTCAAGATTCATTCAACATAGTGTTGGCTCGATGTTCTAGGACCCTCAAAAATAAGAGATCAAGGATACATGTTGACGGTGCGAGATCGAGTAAGTATGATGTGTTGATCAAAGAGACACGCATTGGTGGTGTTCATCATGGAGGCTGTCACCAGGCGCTCACACATCTTAGAACGCTATGACATATCATATAGCTTCAGATAGGGCCCACGGTGAAAGCTGTCTCGGTAGTGAAAGGCTTTCAGTTTGTCACCTCTCACTTCGCTCCTTCCCTCTTCGCTACGTCTCGTACCTGCACCTTCTGCGCTAAGTCACCCCAACTCAACCACACCACCGGCTTGATCCATCCCAGTCCATTTTAATCCTTTCACATTACACAGTTTATGCCCTGAACGATTCGGCGTGATTGCTCTACGCTATGAGGGGATTTGCCCTATTCCTGGTGCTCGTGAGCTTCATCGCTCTCCTGAATGGGAGGGTGGTCGATTTCACCACCACGCTCAACAACCTCTCACTTCCGCTTGTCGATGGACTTGATAAATTCGATGAACCCGTGGGCACTGATGATGCGCATGATTTCTATCCACCTGTACCCGCGTCAGGTCTAGATTGGGACCCAGCAGTGCTCGCTAACGACGAGCTATGGAAGGAATATGTCGACAAGGGCGAACACAACCTTTGTCTCATGCGGGCGACAGACGAGGGTGCCGCGGCTCTGATCACGGACAATCCCACGCCGAACACGGCGAAAAGCCCTTTCCGCGGTAATCTGAAGAGTATGCGACATCTGGTATTGGATAGATGGCCTCCGCTGACACTGTATGCAGACGCGCTGAAACGCTGGGGCTGGAATCAACGAGCCTACGAGACATGGTGGGAATGCGACTTCGACCGTCAAGAAATGACTGCGACGTTCGAGGGCCTTGGGATTAATCCTTATCCAGCCGTCGACGATGAAGAGCAGCCAACTGATGACGGCCACAATGAGTGCTTTTCAATCGTGCATTACAACCCGTCTCAGTTCGTTGATCCTGACTCCCCATATCCCGTTATGACGCCTGTTACCGAGCAACAATACCAGGTTGATGGAAATTGGAAGAGGGTAAGATCCTGCAAGCCAGTAGTGTGCTCGAACAGATGCTGACTGACATAGGCTACGGGTGCATACTTTGAGTTTGCCGTCAACAAAGTCGACGGAGGTGCGTTATCTCCCCTCCAGCGCACTTGAATATTCGCACTGACAGGCATAGCTATCTTCGGACGAACGCTCAACAGCCCAACACACGCCGTCCTGGACGACAAAACAAGCTGGGGAAGAGCAGCCTCACCAGGCGAGCTTCCAGAACTGCGCCACGCCTCAGATATCTTCTGGGGCTACTGGTACCGCGATAATCCGAACTACAGGAATCTCCGTTACTACGGTGCCAACACTGTCATCAACGAGCACACAGTTCTTCTTGCTGCACGCGCCCTCCACAATGCTGGGGAGACTCTGTCCGGCTGGCCAGGAGCGACCTTTGCAACAGACACTGACGAAGGCAAGGCACTGATAGGTATGAGTACTGCTTACGCGACACATAGTCTAGACTGGCTTACTGACTTAATTCCTTGAAGCATCGCCGATTGGTAACACGATTGTCAATTTGCTGGTTCGGCGCAAAGCTGAGCTAGGAATAAAATACATCACCAAGGTGACCATTGTGTCGACGGACAATCCGAAGAAGAAGGGGCCTGGCTCCCTGAAAGACGTTCTGCATGTGATCTTTCACATCGAGGACTACCAAGAAGAGGAAGAGCTGGGGATTGAAGTGAAGGTAGAAGCAGAAGGACCTGGGAAAAGGGAGATTGTGGATGACGATATGAACGCGACGCCCGAGATGGCGTATACGGACTGGACGCCAGCAACACCGTGCTCCAACGAGCTCTGGAACAGATACATTGCGAAAGGGAACCGTTTTTCGTGTCTGTTCCCCTTGAGCGACCAGGACGCTGGAGTGGCAATTGGGGATGCAAGACAGCCGCCGTCTGCGCGCAGTGCTTGGCCCAGGGACTTGAACGGTAAATGGTATCGCCGACTGCACTAAATGCTATACTAACGAGTGGTCCAGCCGATCTCGAGAAGTGGAACTGGGATATACGGTTCGACAACACAGGAGGTGAGTGCGCGTTCGACGAAGAACGCCACTGGAAAACAGCATTCGACGCGTTGGGCCTTGATACCGAGCCAGACCTCAACGGCGGTGCAAACATCTGCTACATGGTAAACCACTTCAACGAGGATGACATCAACGAGTTCGGCATTATGAGACCAACCGAAGACCAAAAGTACACCGTCGTAGGCCCAAATGGCCAGAGAAAGGAATACACCGTAAGTCTCCCCCACCCTCAAAAGCCAAACCTAGCTTACAAGCGCAACACAGGCAACAGGCGCCTACTACCAATTCGCCGTGAACCACGGTGGAGGTACGCTACCACTCCCCATTATCCCCAATCTTCCCATTGCTAACAGACATGTCCTCAGCACTCATAGCCCTGGACCTCGAAAATCCATTTACCGCCACCACAAGCTGGCAGAACTGGCGCCGTCCTGCTCGCCCAGACGAACTCCCTGAATTACGCCGCGCCTCGGACATACTATGGTTCTTGTGGACCGTAGGCAACAAGGACATCAAGAACCTGCGTGTCTACGGCGCAATGCACATCATCAACGACGACACGTCTGCGCTGGTGGCGCGCGCATTGCGGCACAGAGGCATTGAGCAGTTGACGACATGGCCCGGAACGGAGTTCAGTATGCATGAAGATGAGGATGAGTGGAAGGCGTTGATTGGTTAGTGTTGTGCTTCATCAGGCGGTTGTGTTGGACGGAATGACTGACTGATATGTGTGAATAGGCTCGCCTATCGGTGCCATCATGACGCACATGCTCATTCAGCACAAACCCGAGCTGGGGATTAAGCGGATTCACAAGGTCACGGTGTTTTTTAACGACGAAAAGCGGTTGAATATGAATGGGGAGCGGATTGACGAGGATTTGCATATTATATTCCATATCGAGGATGTGCCGCCGCCGGATGATGGGGAGGAGGAAGCGGGCATCAAGGCTAGGAAAGAGGTAAACCCGGTGCAAGACCTTGCTTTCAAGACCGAACACGTCCGGGATCGAGGAAGAAATGTACTCAGGGTGCATAAACTGAGGGTGTGAGGAGGTGCTGGCTTGCTTGCTTGCTCTGCAAGGGGGTAGAAGAATATCTGCATCCATGTCTCTATTAGATGGACGAGTATAGATGCTACATACAAGAAAACTTTACAACTATCAACATGAAAATAATCCACCATATCTCGTAGCCTCGACTGGTGATAGACAATGCCTGTGCAGTTCTGAGCGAATGCAAGACACCCGTGTCTCAACACTTTTAACATGAAGCGTGTCAAGACTGTCCACCAGCTAAACTATCAACGCACGACGGAGTCCAGCAGACGATTTTCATATGGCTGTCTGTCTATCTACACACAAAGCCCGAACAGCCACCGTATCGTGTCACACAGCATAGTCCCGCAGTCCCGCGTAACATCACAATACCACGCATACAATGAACCGATACCGTGGTTTAGTTATGAAACGAACATCTCGGGCCGAGATTAGCGACCACATGGACAACAAGCCGCGTGAAGTGAAGTACGAGGAGGAAGGGGGGCAGAGAAATCGAGGCGACAGGCGGATGAGGTACGGTTATGTCCAGCCATACCTTTTCCCTCGGATCGAAAGACGTTTGCATATATATTCATGGCCCACCCGGTGCTCACGAATCTGGCGCAGCAGTGCGATATTTCGACGGAGAGACGTGGATCCCATGCTAGAAGATGAGAACGTGTGGAATTCTTTTTATGACCAGCCAGATAGGCGGTGGATGGGACGAATGTGATGCGCCAAAACTCCATATACAATGCCATGGTCGCTCCTCACCAGGAGCGATAAATCGACAGTTTCGATCGCGACCTTCAACCAACAAGCTCCACCTGATCCCCAGCCAGCACCTCCCTCCCCTTACCCTTCTTCCCCTTCCCCCTCACATCCCCATCCTTCACCAGACTCCCCTCCAACCTAAGAAACCCCTTCCCCTTCCCCCTCCCATCCATCCGTCCCTCCACGCCCCGAATCCAAACCCGCATCTCGCCCTCGACCGGCGTCCCCTCCCCATCCACCCACCTCCCCCCCTCATCCGCGATCCGCCCATCCCACCCTTTACTCACGCGCCCCTGCTCCGTCTGCTCCCACACCCACTCGGCGGGCAGACAATCCTTCAGCACGCTGATCGGAAACGTGTTCAGGTGCGCGAGCGTGATGTGCGTCCTGCTCTGGTGTGTGATGCGAGCGGGGACGCGGGCGCCTGTGCGGGGGCGGAAGACGAGGAAGGAGGCTGTGGCCCAGAGGAAGGGGGCGGTGTATTCGTCGATGTGTTTTAGGAGGAGGAGGGGCGGGTCGTTGTCGTTTGTTGGGGTGGTTTTCGAAGGCGGTGATGAGGATAGTGAGACGTCTTCGTAGGCCAGGACGATGCCTTTTGCGGGCGGGAAGTACGAGAGGAGCAGCGGGGAGAAGATGCAGGCGCAGAGCGAGGGGAGGGGGGTTGCGAGCGAGGCGGGCGAGAGGGAGACGTATTGCGATATGCGTTCGATGTGGAGGAGGGAGGCGTCTTCGTCTTGGGCTTGGATTGGGGCCATTTTGGCGGTTGGAGAGCGTGTTGCGGGTACGTGGTGTGGTTTGCGATCGCGGTGGTTTTGGGAGAGACGCGACTTCAAAAAAATGTTGGAGAGGGCGGCGTTTGCGACATGTAGATCCCGATGGGTGGGGCGCGCCAAGATTGCGCTTAGTCACGATGGAGGTTTGGGGTCACAGCGAGATTGATATATTTGTCTGAAGAGCAGACGTCTGCTGAGATCAAATTGCTGTCTATGGGCAAATTGAACGCCAAATGTCACTGATTCGTACAACCCAACGCCATCCCAACACGATGTCATTCATACAAGCCCTCATTACCAGACTCATCGTCGTCCCTTCTCCATCTGCTTGCGCTGGAACTTGGTCGCCTCTCGCTGCAGAGCCTGCTTAATGTCGCCCTTCTTAAATGACGCCAAATCGTAGTAGTTGGGAGAGATATCCTGAGTGCTGTTAGTACAAATCCAGTAGCAGAACAAGTGCGTAAACTTACCAGAAGCCACTCCGGCTTCACAGACGTCACCGTCCGGATGTAGTTCTTGGTGGTGAGAACAAATTCGTTGTAGATGACCCACTCGCTGTCCTCGGCAAGTACTGTGCTGGGATGCAGCAGTACAGTCTGCTCATCCTTGACAGTCGTGTACTGCTTGCCATTGCCGTCACGCTTGGCGACTTGCATGAAGAAGCCGGCTACGAGCGCACGCTGAATATTCTCGTAGTACTTCTTGTTCTCGAAGGGTGTCGACATGAGCTCCAGCTCTGAACGCTCCATTATGCGCTTGAGCTGGAGACGGACATTGTCAGCTTGTTGGAGTGCTCTGAAAGACAAGAAGTGGTCATGGCACCACTGCTTAGGATTGGCCTGTGCCTCCTCGCCCTTGAACGCGTGATATACATTCAACATAGTAAGTTGGTCGCCCTTGGGATGTGCGAAAAGTTCCTTCATCTCATCTGCGCGCTTACGGTTGGCAGCCGGGCGCACGAAGATCTGCGGTACAGACAGGAGCGCTGTGAGCGACAGGATCTCGTTGGAGCAGTAGAACTCGGGCGAGGTGATGAGCATGACTGCCAAAGCTGGATCCAATGGGAAATCAGACGCCATTCGTCCTAGTGTGGTGAGCTCACCCTCGTCATCGAGACAGGCCAGGTAATTCAACTCCTCAAGCGCGCGCATCAGCGTCTCTGGCGCCGGTGGGTCCATGAGATCGAAATGAACCAAGTCGTCTACGCCGAGTTTCTTCAACTCGAGGACCGTGCTCGCCAAGTTGGAGCGCAAGATTTCGGGGTACGTCTGCTCGATGAGCTCCTTCTTGAAGGCAGACTCAGTATACAAGCGGAAACATTTACCAGGCCTTGTACGACCGGCACGACCGGCTCGCTGTTGGGCAGAGGCTTTCGAGATAGGCGATACGAGGAGTGACTCTACACGGATTCGGGGGTTGTAGACCTTTTGCTTGCTGAAACCAGGGTCGACGACGTATACAATTCCATCAATGGTGAGAGACGTCTCAGCGATGTTGGTTGAGACAATGCATTTGCGTCCTGGGCGACCTCCGGGTGTTGCTGGTGGCGGTGCAGGGTTGAAGATCTTCTGCTGCTGTGCAGGAGGCAGTGTTCCGTAGAGCGGGTACACGACGAGCGGCCCTGCGCCTCCTTCTCTACTCAAATCTTGCGCCTCGAGGTTGATCTTTCTGCAAGCATCTTCAATCTCCTCCTCTCCAGTCAGGAACAGCAGGATGTCGCCCTCAGGCTCGGTGGCGTGGATCTGCAGGACTGTCCGCAGAGAGGCCTCAACGTAATCGCGCTCGGGAGCGGGTGTGTAGAAGACTTCAACGGGGTGTGTTCGACCAGGCACGGCGAGCAGGGGAGCGTTGTGGAAGTATTTCTGAAACTTTGTGGCGTCGAGTGTGGCGCTCATGATGATGAGTTTGAGGTCCTTGCGCCTCAGCACAACCTCCTTCAGTAGGCCCATGAGGATATCCGTAGCCAGCGTACGCTCGTGAGCTTCATCAAGGATGATGGTGCTGTAGCGGGACAGGTTGTTGTCGTGCATGGCCTCGCGCAGCAGCATACCATCGGTCATGTACTTGAGGATGGTGCTCGGGCTGGTCTTGTCCTCGAAACGGATGCTGTAGCCCACCTCCTCGCCCAGTGTCACGTCCATCTCCTCGGCCACACGCTGGGCCACGGACATGGCGGCGACTCGACGGGGCTGGGTGCAGGCGACCATCTTGGCGTTCTCCTGGGGGAGGTCGTCGAACAGGACGAACTGCGGGATCTGCGTCGTCTTGCCGGAACCCGTCTCACCGACGAAGACGAGGATCTGCGACTCCTGGTACAGCTTGAGGAACTCGTCTCTGTATTGTATTAGTCGTGTTTGAGCAGGGTTGCTTCATGTAAACACACCTCTGTTGGTGCACAGGCAGGCCTCGTCGCTGCTTGAGGATGCTCATGTATTTGCTCGACAGCGGCCTGCCCGTGAAGGCATTGTTGGGGCCATCCTCAGCAACTGAAGCCTGCTTGGACGTCGTGGCATGCTTCTTGAACCCACGCAGTCCGGCGCCCTCGCTCTTGATGGGCTGCTCGTCGTTCCAGTGCGCCAGATACGGATTGCTCTCGTTTGCCTCGGTCTTGACGCGCTTGACGCGGGTCTTGTCGTCGTCGTCGAATTCGCGCTTAACCGTCATGGCCGTCATGCTATTGTTCGATAAAGCAACTTGGGTGGAGAATGTCAAGTCGACGTCGCCTTCACAGTCTAGAAAAAGTTATGCGCCGGCTGAAGATCGGCGCGTCTGGCCTTGGCGCGAATCGTCACCTCGAACCAGCTCCTTCCACAATGAGATCTCCAAGCATCATGTAGCCAATTAATCTCTGTCCACCTAAACATCTTCTCTCCAGGATTTCATATCATTACTTGCTTTGCTAATCCCAATTTGACGTCTCATGCATTGTTCAACCTGACTTCCGGATCATATGACCCCGCGTTCAATCTGCAGCGCGAAACTTGCACAAGCACCATATTCTTCTAACTCCCAGGCCATAATCTTCCCCAGCACCAGTCGCCTCGATGGACTACTCCGACGGCGCGGGCGATATCGTCCCAACCTTCTACATTGGCCAGCATGAATCCAAACGCTCCTTGGATGTGTCCGCAGAACTCATCCAGCATGCGCACGATCTTGGAGTGCGCAGACAGACCAGCATGCCAAATTTCTCGCTGACTCTCTCCAGTATGATATGCTGACCAGCCCAATCACAAACGACCACTTCCACACACGCGTCTTGAGTCTCCTCAGCTCCTACACCCAAGCCATCTCCGACGCCCCACAAACGCAACCGCTCCCTTTGATACCCGCCTTGGACAATTTCGATACTTCACTTGGTCCCAGTGACACTATCGGCCAGCTGCTTACCTACACAAGCTCCTGGATAGATCTCTCCTCTCCGGACCCCGTCATTGCGCACCTCTCACGCCAGGTGTTCCACTTGGAAATTGCATTTGCAGCATTCTGCGGAGCCACCACAGTGATCGTGCCTGGACCAAGACTCGCGCATGGTCAGAATGGCGTGTCACAATATGCCCGAGCTATTAAAGAGGCCCTCGCCAATGGCGCATACGTCTCGCTCCATGTACAAATGCCCATGGACGGCACCAGTGTTGCTGAAGAGGAAGATGTAGGCAATCTCGCTCGCTTTGCCAGGCCAGAGTACGAGCCGAGCAGCGAGACAAAGAATGTGGATGCCTGGAGCTCGTGGGACGCCTGGAACACGATCAGATCTATCAACAAGTACCACAACAGACTGTCAGTAGCCCTCGACCTACCACGCCGTCTGCCATCCTTGGCTATACAATCTCGCTGGTACTCAGAACCTGTTCGGCTACTCAACCTCTCATTCTCTTCCTTCCTGGTCAATGCGCGAGGGTCTGCTGTTTTGTCGAAGTCGCACCAGCACTTCATCTTCCGCTGCGCGCGCTTGCGATCGGCGCCATGGCTGTTACTCTCAGACATCGGCCCGCTTCCCGGAATCGACGACCCGGACATGATCATGTCGTATTCCACGGGCGAACTTTCCCCAGGAACAGCGGAAGACGCGCCTAGCCCTGACTCCTCAGTGCATGCCCCCACTCCAGCTGAAGCAGCTCAAATAGCGAAGAAAACGAGCAAGCAGAGCAACGGTAACCACGACCCAACCCCACATCTCAGCTATATGCGCTACATACAGCGAAACCAGCCGCCCAAAAGCATGATCGAGCGATTTGGTGGCGGCTTCCAGGACTACCTGCAGAGCCCGTTGCAACCCCTGACAGACAATCTCGAATCCATCACATACGAAGTGTTTGAGAAGGACCCAATAAAGTACGAATGGTACGAAAGAGCGACTGCACAGGCTCTGCGAGATTGGCAAAGTCAGCGGAGATCAACGAGCTCCGGAGATGGCGTTGTAGTCATCGCGGTTGTGGGATCAGGGCGCGGTCCACTCGTCACACGAGCACTGAACGCGAGCAAAAGCACCGGCGTACCTGTACGAGTCTACGCCATCGAGAAGAATCCAAACGCATACGTACTTCTACAACGACACAACAGAGAGACATGGGGGGGCCGCGTCACGGTTGTCAAGACGGACATGCGAGCCTGGAAGGGACCATCGCAGCCAGACGGCACTTTCGGCAAGGTCGACATCCTGATCAGCGAACTGCTCGGTTCCTTCGCCGACAACGAGCTATCGCCTGAGTGTCTCGACGGCGTGCAACATGTGCTGAACCCCGAACACGGCATCTCCATACCAGCCAGCTACACCGCGCACTTCACGCCCATCTCCACGCCCAAGCTCTGGGCAGACCTCTACAACCGCAGCAGCAATGTCGACGCAAACGCCTTCGACATCCCGTGGGTAGTCATGCTGTCGCAATTCGACTATCTCTCCACCGAAGATAAAGAAACAATAGCCTCGCACCAGCTCGGCAACGGCACAAAGATGCACAACTTCAACCTCGAACCACCCCTCGCACCGCTCGTCCACACGGCATGGGAGTTTTCGCATCCCCTCCCGCCCACCATCCTCGCGCAGTCTTCACTACGCAAAGGTGGCTCTGCAGTCGGCGGCGGCGGCGGCTTCACCGGCGGCGACGGCGCAAACGAGCACAATTTCCGCTTCTGCCGCTTCACGTTCCCCATCCAGGAGCAGGGCGTGTGCCACGGCCTGGGCGGGTATTTCGAGACGGTGCTGTACAGCGGGTCGGAAGGCGCGGTGGAACTCAGCACGAATCCCGTCACCATGGAGAAGAAGAGCAAGGATATGATCTCGTGGTTCCCTATCTTCTTCCCCCTCAAGGTATGTTGAGTCTCGTCCGGTGTGTGGACTTGTAAGCTGACTTGATACGTAGAATCCTATACAGTTGCCTGCTAAGTCGGAGGTCGAGGTTAGCATGTGGCGCCAGACGGATGACCGGAAGGTGTGGTATGAGTGGCTTGTTGAGAGCTATATGACGCTCGGCGGGAAGAGGATACGGCTCGATGTGTCGGACTTGCACTCGAGTAAGAGCAATGGGTGTTTGATGTAGGTGCATGTTGGGCTGGTGTTGGTTTAGACAAAATTCGGGATATCCAACATGGACTGTTACGCATCTTCTCAGGCCATCTCTTTGTTTAGACTTATCTCTAATACCAAGTCGAAAAAGTTTCTCGCGCATCTGAAGGCTCTCTTGGTGATTGATGGATGTGAGGGGTGTGCACAGACCAACCATTCATATCTCTCCCCCGAAACTCCGCAACGACTCTTTACGTCCGCAAAGTCCGCTCTACATCGAATCACCATCCACACCCACAAACTCCAAATCTCAATCTTGCACCACCTGTCTCCCTACACAATCCACCTCAATCAAAATGCCGCCCTTCTGGACAATCGGCTGCCTCTACGGCGCCTCCAGCGTAGTCCTCGGCGCCTTCGGCGCCCACAGCCTCAAGACCCGCATCGCAGACCCAGCGAAACTCGCGAACTGGAGCACTGCCGCACAGTACCAGGTCAGTCTTCCCACACCCCTCGCGTTCACACGCCCCCTGCCTTCTCAACCCACACCCTCGCCCCTTACAGCTCATGTTCACCCGCGCTCACTTTCCCCTCCTGGCTCGCACACCACCGTTCTTACGGCTCACGTTTACCCGTACTCACTAACACACCACCCAGCTCATCCACTCCACAGTCCTAACCTTCGCCTCCGTCGTCGCCCCACAGAACACCCTCGCGATGGGCCTGCTGACGGCGGGCATGACCATGTTCTCCGGCAGCATCTATCTGCTTGTGTTGGATGGGCAGCGGTTCAAGGCGTTGGGGCCGGTTACGCCGCTGGGCGGGCTGTGTTTGATTGGGGGGTGGGTTGCGCTTGCTGTGAGGAGGCCGGGGGTGGGATTGGGGGGTGTGGCGGGGGCGGGGAGGGTGGGGAGATGAGATGGGGGTGAGCATGCTGTCTTGAAGCACGTATTATGTGGAGGAGAGTGTGTTGGGATTCTCCACCTCTTTCAACTCAAACTCACAATGCTTCCATCACCCTTAGTAATGGAGTGATAACGAAAAGCCAGTAGCTGTTTATATCGACTTTTCTAATCTAGATATGTCCAATACGCTAAGAACGATCTGTCGTGTGAGATCTTTGCAAACACACATCTCAGCTAGACCTGCAATATAAGAGCCATTGGAACACAATCCTACGTAACGATAAATCAAAGAGACAATTCAACATGTCCCTTAAAGGGTTTGAACGCTAGATCTAGCTGAGATCGAGGTGATGGGATGTGGTGTGATGTATACAAAAGTATGTAGAGGAAGAATTATCATACGGTTTAGGTAGCAAGGGTACATACACGCACTCTGTCGATGACTGGAAGCCTGTTTGTAATCGACATAAAGACTACCTGCGATGGTTTGGATCTACACACCCGCTTCCAACTTGAGCTAGATATAGCACATCATATGAATAGCGTACGATTCGACACCGTGTATACGGCTCGGAATATACCAACGTTTTCAAGCATAGGTGGGAAACATAATCCTGTCCCAGGGTGAACAGAAACGGAAGTCAGCCTTCCTCGGCAATCTTTCGGAGAACACATCAAGTAAAGTAAAGCCCGCCGATGCACGACCGGACCGGGCCGAGACCGGCAGGCAAAACGGTTATAGTTACTGGGATAGCCGTTTAACCCGACGATCATGATGTAGATGTTGACGCGTTTTATGGGTTGTCGTACTGACTCTGCTGTAGCGATGCGGTGGGGGGACTCGTCCGAGGTATCTCCTCTTCGTGTTACGCAGACACGTCGGATGATGGGGCGAGATTGACAGCTGGCTGGCTTGGATTGACTGGGTGAGGGGTGAGGGGGTGGGGGGGTTTATATAGGTAGGTAGGTAGTCATGGCTTGGGGTGAGTAGTAGTTTTGCTTTTCGAATCTGCTTCTTCGACGACAAGACATTGTGAGCGATAACCCTTATATCAATATTCATCCCAACATATCCATTCCCAGACATACCCTTCTAAAAGACTGCCATGGCCCCGACAACCCGCATCCCAGATGTCTACGGACCCGGTACATGGACAGACGCCTCCTTCACGCCCGTCCCCCAGGACACAGCGCGCATCTTCCGCCTCCTCTGCGCCCAAACCCCCGGCTTCACGCAAGACGAGGCCCTCCTTTCAAAAGTAAACTTCACAGGCGAAGACTTCCCCGTAATCCCCGGCCCTATAAAAGCGACCTCAGTCGCGGCCGCACTACACGCCATGTGCGGTGTGCTCGCGGATGAGATCCTCACGCTGCGCGGTCAGGAAGAAGAGAAACGGGAGATTAATGTAAACACTACACACGCAGCGTTGTGGTTTGGATGTGTGGCGACGGCGTACCTGGATGGGAAGGATGTCCTGACTATGGTGAAGGAGAATGTGTTGAAAGATGTACTGCCAGATTGGGAGCGAGGCTGGACTGACACGCCACTGAAGTACCGCGCCACAGCGCTGTATCCGACGAAAGACCCGGAGACGTGGTACTCGCTGCATGGCAGTATGAACGCTGCCCCTGTGTTGAAAAGTATTGGTATCGATCCCGGCACTACTGTCTCCTCGAACGAAGAAGCAGCATCCCTGATTGCAAAACACACCACGCAGTTCAGCCCCTCGGAGCTCGAAATGCTCAACCTAACCCACGGCTTCTGCGGCTCGATCTGCTTCACGCCGCAGCAGTGGAACACAAGCAGCATGGGCAAATCGCTCGCTGCCCACCCCCTAGTGAACATCCAACCGCAACCACACGCCATCCCCACCCCACCCACGGCCTTCCCGCCCCTAGATCCCACAGACAAACGCCCCCTAGCCGGCATAAAAGTCGTAGAACTAACCCGCGTAATCGCCGGCCCACAAATCGGCACCATCCTCTCCGCCTTCGGCGCCAACGTAATCCGCCTCAACGCGCCCCACCTCCCAGACATAAACATCATGCAGCTCACCCTAAACGCCGGGAAACGCACAACAACCGTCGACCTACGCGTCGAGTCGGACAGGACGTATCTCCAAGCCCTACTCGCAGACGCAGATATCTTCATCCAAGGTTTCCGGCTGGGCAAGATCTCCACGTTCGGTTTCGGTCCCAACGATCTTTTGTGCATGGCAGCGCGCCGCCAAAAAGGCATCGTCTACGTGAGCGAGAACTGCTACGGGCCGGATGGATACTACGCCGAGCGCCCAGGCTGGCAGCAGATCGCCGACGCCGCGGCAGGAAGCGCGTATGTAACGGGGCGCGCGCTGGAGCACACACAAGGCTTACCGCGTGGCGAGGCCGTGCTGCCCTGTCTGCCCATCAGCGATATGACGACGGGGGTTCTGGGCGCGGTGGGCGCACTGCAGGCGCTGCGGGACCGCGCGACGAAAGGGGGGAGTTATGTGGTGCATGCGGCGCTTGCGGGGGTGAATGCGTTTGCGCTGCGGGAGGAGGTTGGGCTTTATCCGCTGGGGACGGTGGCGGAGTGTCAGGAGAGGTTTGCGTGGGGGGAGATGAGGGGGCAGCATCATGTGCTTGATTTGTTGGCTACGGTTTGGGGCGGGTGGAAACGTGTTTTGGGGGCGTATCTGGGTGAGGAGAGTGGCTGGTATCAGGGGTTTGAGGGGAGTGCGTTTGGGGGGCGGAGACTGAGTGTTCTTAAGCCGGTGGTGCAGATGCAGGGTGGGGGGAAGGCGTGTGTGGAGTGGGCGAGTCCGAGTGTGCCGTATGGGGTTGAGAAGCTGGGGGAGGTGGCGTGGAGGTAGATGTTGTAGGTTCATGGCTTGTTGTTGTGTTGGAATGCTGCTGGCTTGTTTGCAAACGACTCGGAGTGTAGCTGTTCAGAGTATTATATCCGGAGTTACGTCTCCCTACAGACGGCCATCTCCATACTATGAGCGAGTAAACAAACAATCCTCGTAAACATGTGCTTTGAGAAACTGCCATGAACATACATTCTGTGTTCATGTAGAGAGATCGGATGGCAGATGATGCAAGGTCAGGACGGCGAGAACTGGAGTTGAGGTCAGAACAAGATAGGGGTAAGAAACGACATGAGAAGACTGCGTGATAAAGAGTTTGAATTGTCATTTTGACACATGGTCAGTCAGCGTGCTAGTGACTAAAGTATATTAGCTAGCTGGGGTAGGTGAATGACATCTTCACGCACCGCCAATGCGAACTAGATGATCCGTCATATGATCGTTCTCTCGAAGCATTTCGCTATTTTCATGCGAGTCGAATCCCGAACACTCGTTGCGTGCCGCACAATCTCGTGCATCATGCTCTTGTCGACATAACACCTCTCCCCCATACACTGTGATACCCCATTTGCAGAACCTTCTCTCCATACCCAGCACGCCACCCCTCCACTCCCTCACAAGTACTCCTTCTTCCGCCCCGTCCGAGTGTATTGATTCAAATGCCACTCGACATCGCCCTCCTTATTGTCCAACGTGCCAGCCCTAATCTCAAACAACCTCATGCTCATGCGCGGCCCGACTTCCGCAAGTTCAACGGCCTGGTACCCGGTTTTGACAAAGACGTGGTGTCGTACTTCGATTGTGTCTTCTATGTTTTTGAAGCTGGATGCGGGTTAGTTGGATTTAAAGGTACAACAAACGCCGAAAATGGAAAGAACGTACGTCACAACGCGATTCCCAACCTTCGCCGTGCTCTCTCGCGGTGGAAAAAGGTGCTTCAAGACCTGCACGACGCGAAGCCCAAGCTTACTCGTAAAGCCCTCGAATATAAGATGTGGATAGCTTTCCGAGACGGTTCCTCTGGAGCTATTCGGGATATCCGCGCGTAGCACAACATTATGAAGCGAGAAGCTCGCCGTCGGCCCATGCGGGAAATGCGACACCGTCAACGCCGTCGGTGTACCTCGATGCTCATGCACCATCACAATATCGCTCAGACCAGACGACTGTGCGCTTCCGACCAGATTCTGCAGAATGAGGTTACCGCGATTCAGCCGCACGCTCGTTGGCAGCAGTAGTCGGATCTCCTTTGCGAATGTGCCCAGCCGTGACGACGGGTCTCGACTCGTCGTGACGAGCACTCTGGGGTCTACGACGCCACTTAATTGCGCGTATTCATCGTCCAGGCCCAGTTCTTCCTCCACAGTCCGGTCGGCGCGTGATTCGTCGTACTTGAAGTCCTGGCGCAAGGACTCGTCGTCCGCGACGTCTTTGGTGAGGGGTTTCCCTGAGGCGAGGGAGGCTTTGAGGGATGCGCGCTTCGAGGCGAGTTCGGCGTCGCGGAGTGTGAGGGCGCGGCGGTAGAGGTAGTCTCTTCGTTCTCTGGCCTGTTTGCGGATCATGTTGAGATGAGTTTATGTGGATGTGTCAAGGGTGAGTGGTGAGTGTTTGGGCGCGTTTCTAAAGTTTACGGCGATTTCAATGCAGTACAGAGTCGGAACGTCACTTGGGTGCAGATGTGGAGGCGAGATGTACGAGGAGTCGAAAGCTAAAGTTGAAAGTTCGCAAGTCAAAAATTTAGAGACGACGCTTGGACCGAGCTCTTATCTTATCGGCTCATAGGGCTGAGGTTAACCCCACACCCACATCAACATCAGACCTCACCACATACAGTGGTTCCTACAAAAGACTTCTGATTTGAGCATTCACTATGCAGAAACAGCAGAATCCCAAGAGGCTCTAGAAGTAGAGTTGGAGAAATGAATCTCCCCTCTATACCTTCGATACATGTTTAGCGTAGACAGCTACAGGTAATGTTGAGCAGAACAGATGGAACAAGACCATGCTGTATGCTTCTGTGCTGTTTCTTGTGTTTATTTTATGGCAAAATGTCGTGTCTGTATACTCACGCAGTGTCAAAGACAGATGAGACTGATCTCTTTGCATCACCATCCTCGATCTCGACCTCGGTATCCTTCACACGGCTTCTCGATCAAACGCTAAAAGGCGAGTGCCTGCCCCATGCCATCGACCACGGGGTCCGGCTTTCGTCCACTCTACATGGTGAAGGCAGCAGGTACTGTCCAAGAGGCAAACACCTCAGGAATACTCCATTTCACATTTGCGAACGGACTTTCAAACCCCATTCCAATCTGCATCGTCTGATTTCGTAATCGATTGAAATATAGGACCACTTAGTCCAGCTTTGCGGAATGCAAGCTTGGTCCCAAAAGAACTAAACATGATGTGTAATGGAGAGTAGGATTATGGTCCGATCGCTTTGCATCTGGTCCTTGGGCTGCAGCGTAGTTGAAAGAAAGTGGGATGCGACATGATTAAAGAAGAAGCCTACCTCGAGTTCCTTTCGCGGTGCGGTTAAAGTAGAGGAACCAGGGGAATACAAGAGGAACTTTTACTCAGACCACTGATATTTCAATTTGAGAAACAAGAGAAATAGAAGCGTAGATCCTGCGTTACAAATAGTCACAATCGTTCTGACCGTTAATCTTGAACTTGACTAAATACTGGTTGCCAAACTTAAACTTCAACTCAAAACCAAAAGTTGAATCAAAGAGGTCTAGCATATTCTTACAGCAAATTCATAACCTTGTCAAACCGCTCCACAGCTTACCGACGATACGCGGCAAACAGGCGGTGCGGTACTCAGCCTCGTCCACCCCACCATCCCTGACGTCACCCTCGCAACGCGTCGCCCCATGACCTTCTACGTATGTTACCGCCTTCTCACTCCCCAAACACGCTTTGACCAAGCCAATCTATAGCCTGCATAAATACCCTATCTCCCTTACTTCCCACCCCTCCAATAAACGCATCCTCAACTCGAAACCAAACCCTCAACATTCCCCTCCCACGACAAACACCCTTACTCCGCCGCTTCACCCACACAAAACCGCACAACATGCCCCTCGTAGTCCCCGGTCTGATGTCCAAGGACGGCTCGTCAGGAAACGACTGGATGGGCAAGCTCATGGGCAAGAAGCTCGGCGATTCGCACAACGAGACTGTATGTTGTACTTTACCTTTACATCTTTACCGGCACTCATGTCTGTTTGCGTACCGCTTTATCGCATCACATTGCTTTGAGCGGAACACGATTGCTGACTGGAGACAGACGTTCGCGAAGAAGGATCTCCCTGAGGTGCACCGCGTCCTCAAGCCCGATAGCACGATGACGATGGACCACAGGCCCGACAGGCTGAACATTCACGTTGATGACGATGGTACGGTTAAGAAGGTTGTGCATGGTTGAGCGGAGACTGTGTGTTTGGGTATGAGGTTGACTTCATGAGACATGAATATGTCGACGATAGATATGGTTAGCGACAGTCAGAAATGAATCTGTTTTAATATCACTTTGGATCAACATAATGTGCCTACTTGTGTGTAGAGTTCGAGTCAAGCTTCTTTCGAATGTTGGTACATTCACTCATCTGATTCTTTGTTGTGACAAAAAGTAGAAGCTTTCATTTAAAATAACGTCTTTCAAGCAAAGAGCGCGTCGCTCGCATAGGTCCGACCAGCGTCCTAATTCCAATTTCAACCTAGTGACCACGCTTCGACAAACCAAACCTGGATATAACAACCATGGCAGCCTTGAGCTTAGGAAAAGTATGCAAGGAGATATATTTACAAGATGACACCCATCTCCTCATCAACCATTCCTTGGTCAAACATTACGTCCTCAAAACTTCCTCTTCTTCGCCTCCTTGACCACAGTCTTGCCCTTCTCTTCCACCTCCAATGCTTCAATCACCTCGCTCATTTTCAACATCGTCGCATTAATAGCTTCCGGGTGTTCATGGCAAAGCATTATTGTCGCCCTCATCGACAGCGCGGCGAACCATCTCTTCAGCACTTTATCTTCCTTGCGACTCGATGCTCCAACTGTCAACGATACCCAAAGCAGCACACCGGCCAAGTCAGACCAACAATCCGAAAGGCCGGAATTATTGAGAGCGATCTTGACGGAAGTGAGGAGGGTAGCGGGAGTGGGCTCTGGGTTGTGAGAGCGAGGCACTGGGGCGCGAAATTTCGGAAAGTAGCTGGGTTCCGAGAAAGACGAAGCCTTCGAGGCGATCGATGGGCGGGATGAAGCCATTGAGCCGATTGACGGGCGTGTTGAAGGCATCGAGTCGATCGACGGGCGGGATTGAAAGGATCCCCAGTCGAATGATGAAGATGAAGATATCGAGGTGATAGAGGAATGTGGCGTGTTGTGGGAGAAAGGTAAAGGCTGTCCGAAGCTAGGGCTGGCTGTGGCCGCTGAACTTGATGACCCCCAAAGGTTGGGCAGGAAACTCATAGGGGAGACTAGGGAGTCGTCAGATCTCGAGGCGGTCGAAGCCGTGTCAAGCGAAGATAGGCTCTTGCTATCGCTTGCGGCATCCTTGAGGGCTTGTGAGAGTGGGACACGTTTGAGGATAGCAGTAGCTTGGATCGTGGCAGTGATACGAATCGCCTCGTATATCCAGTCGCGCGGCGTCAAGACATCTGTCAGTTGAAGCTTTGCTGCGGAAGGGTACACCTGTTCGTCACAAATTTTCTCGCACAGAGTACGTAGTTTCGCCGAGTTAGGTCGGTCATGCTTCCTGACATCCAAGAAAAGCCTGATCACCTCGTGGGCTTCGTGTAGTAAGTTTTCCGCTCTCTTATCACATTTGTTTGATCGTTCAAGGGTTTCAAATCTGCATCGCGGGCGGTAGATGGGCGACTCTGGTATGGTCGCGTTGGGTGGATGCTTCTTGCGTGATTGAGAGGTACAGAAGTCGGAGTACATTGTGTGTGGTGTTGTCTCCCGAAGAATGGCAGCGACTAGAGTTACCCATGAGACGGTACATGCTAGACGCCAATCAAGCCGATTTAATCCGCCGCGTTTCTCCATCATGGCCACCAACCCTTTCTCGTGTACTTCGGTGGCAGATTCCTCGCATGCAATCACTTCGCTGACGATGAGTTGCGTCAAAGCAACGATACTGTCGTCGTCCACGCATTCATCGGAGTTGCGGAGCGTCTGACGAATGAGTTGTATAATTTCCTGGCGTAACGCAAGGGTTTGCACGGTTTCGACATCCTTTCCGGACCAAGCATCGCGATGTGCGGATGCAATACTCAATGTGCTAAGGAATGCGCGGGGCGTTTTGATTATGAATTTAACCCAATGTTGTCCCATCGCCCGCGTGCCAAACTCCTGGCTACAGTAATGTTTCAGTTCCTCGACGAATACCGCGGGATGACTGGCTTGATGCATCGAGTTGAATGGGTCGAAAGGCATGCCGAAGGAAGCAAACAGAGGCGTCGGGTGTTCATCGTAGTCGAGCAATACACCAGTTCGCGGCGGCTCTATCATAGGAGAAACCAGCAGACCGGAACCAGCAAGCGGCTGATGCTTCACGAGTTGTGTTCCTGGCCTGGAAGTGGGTTGACGGTGGTTGTTGAGATTTGTATATTTAGCCAAAGAGCTCGGCTTTCTCAACCTCAAAGGTTCACCCACACCCAACTTGGCTGTATCTCCTGGGTCAGAGGGCTGAGGAGTGCCTTCTTGACTTCCATGACTCAGTGTCGAGTCTTCACTGTTGAGCTCAGATGACTCCCGAGAGATCATGTCTCTCTCATGCAGAAAATTGCCCATCGCTATCTTGCGCACAACGGCCATGTTCTCTGGCGTCTTGAACCCGTCAGGCTCGGTGGCTGTGATAAATGTAAAGCCAACATTGGGGGCTGGCTTTCCATTGGTGGAATTGGACGATGGGCGTTTGGGCTTTGGTCGCTTTGGAACTGTTCAGAGCCAGCTGTCAGCATGCGATCTGGCTCAAAGCCTCCCACAGCTGTCGAGACTGAGAATATCATGAGGAATGGACAAGAACGAGAGCGGCAATAGCTTCATGACGTGTGGAAAGAGGTGTGGCATAGAGCTTGTGGCTTCACAAGCTGGCGCACAGACCTCTCATAAGTCATGGACACATGCAAGAGATGTTCTGCTTACCCTTGGGGTCCTGACGCCGCGACATTGAGGGCCTAGAGTAACTCGAATCGGATCCCGTCGTTGATGCAGGTGAGAAATGGTGGGAGTAGGATGCATGCATGTGAGGGTTGACGGAGTGGGTCATCCGCGCGGTCGGAGAAGCGGCCATCGCCGCTGATCCTACATATAATGTCGTAGGTGTGATAGGTGTGCTTGACTGATGTTGGGCTAGTGCTGGCAGTGATTCACAAAAGAGCTCGACAAATTTTGAACAATATTCGAATCAATCGCCGTAGAGATGTCGTAAGGCTGGGGTCGTGGTCTGCCTGAAGTTTATGTATGCGTACGGCGTGGTTCGACGCATTCTTCTAGAAGGCGCAGACGTGCGGTAAGAGTTACTAGTCTGCGCTAAATACCAGGCGGTAACTGTCGTGCGTCACATATGAATCGTTGAAAAAGCGCAGCAGAGGATGGGGTTCGCAAGACGGTGAGGAGTGGTGTGGCAGTGTTGCTACTAAGAGCTGCGATGAACAGCAAACATGGGCCGGGGTGCTGGGGGACCTGTCATCTGCTGCCCCTCAACCCCCTCGACATGTGCAGACGCCTCATGTATGCCAAGTGCTCGAGGCGTTAGTTCGTGGGAACCTTGGGTCCAAGAATCCTATGGTAACATGCCTACGATCACGTTGCTTGGTCTGCTAGTAGAAGGACGAGCCGGCGCAGAGTGGTATTCATGTGAGACGAAAGCATGATACTGTCCTCATCTCTCAGAGACAGACAACCCCTCAGGCTGCGACTGGTATCGCACTTCACAATTCATTCTCTGTACCTTGAAGTGCTGACGCGTGTAAAACTGACGCCAAACATGTTGAAAGACGGAACGAACTACGGGAGACATCACCGCCGGCAAGGTCACCCCTGTAGTACCACTATTGTCAGCCATACCATAGTATGGCCAATCGTCGATCTCTTCTAAGAGCAATCGCATCAACGAGAGTAGCTTGACTCGGCTACAGTAGGTAACACAACAAGCAACAACCGTGCAATCGTAGTCATACATTTCTTCAACGAGGAGATTTATGCTACATGAACGCCATCTAGTGCAACATAGCGTGAAAGAAGGCATGATTTGCCGAGATGATCGTAAAGATTTGACGGCCGTATGCAGCCACATCGCATGTAGAGTCACCTTCCACTCTCAGTCTGAGGAGGTTTTTACGACCCAGCTGAAGGGAAAGCCAACGCCACAGAAACCGGGGATGTGTTGATGACGGCATTGATCTCACCGGTTGCTTAGAGATACACAGAGCTGATTGGCAGGTCGCTAGTGAGATACATGTTCCGAGTCTTGGGGTCCAAAACAACACTATCACTAACAAGTCCTTCCCAATCCAAGGCCAAAGTAGTCGCCGGGGTTTCGTTCCATGGTCGTGTCTCGCGGGCTCAAGGCTCCGTCGGCGGGACTGATACTATCCTCCCCTGACCCGCTGTGCGCACTATCACTACCTGATGGTCCCTTGGCCCCATGTCCATTACTGCGACCCCTTATCGGAACATGCAACCGACTGGTCTCGAAAGTGAAGTGAGATTGGCTGAGCCCTGGCTCCGCTGACGGCGTCTTCAGCTCCACAAGTTCTAGCGTTTGCCGGAGCGTTGCGCCCGTCTCATCAAGAGCCATGAGGAACCGCGCCAGTTCCTTGCATAGATCCCAGTCCTGGTCTTGTTTCGCGCGCTGGAGCAACCGGACAACCTGGTCGCCGGTCGATTTCAGTTCTTCAAAAGTATGGAGCACCAGAAGATAACCTCCTGCAGTCTTCAAGTTGCCTTTCTGGAGCGATTCCTCGAACATTTCTTCAGGTGGCGGGAGATGGGCAAACAACGTTCGCCAGGAGCGGACCTCAGTCTTGCGAGTACATTGGACCACGATGTCGAGATACTGCGGAAAAGAGCTCAGGAAGGACAGGACACTCGGCAACAGTGCCTGTTCAGGCGGTGGCTGAGTGTCCACTTCTTCGTCAAGGACCTCATGCAGTAAGATCTCTAGTGCGTGAGGAAAGTACAGCAGGTGCTGGTAGTGGTGGCTAAGGTGTAAGGCTGCCGGGTGATTATACTGCGCCAAATGGTGGCGTAGAAGCGCGGGAAGGAAGAGATGTGTCTGCACGTGTGTAAGCACTTGACCGTACCATAGCCTGAGTGGTTGACTGCTTGCAGCGCGCTAACATACCCTTGTTCCAAGTCGCAGGTAGGCAAAGCTTGTGTCTCTGCGCTGCACCAGCTCCGACTCCACGCCGAACACAATCGCTTTGTTGATCAGAGCGGACAAAGGATAGAAGTCGACTGGAATCTTGACAGGAACAGGTAGTTCCCTGCCGAGTTCGACTGCTGCCGAGGACAAGACATCCTGCATGTCGATCCACACTCGCATGTCGATCCCATCGAAATACCACAAGGAATCCCGCAGGTCGTGGCCATGCACACCGTCTGTCGTCAGCCCTATGGAAGGACTAGGCGGTAAGGAATCTGCTCGGGTTTCTAGCGCGAAAGCAGGATGATCACGCATGAGTGCATACGTCTCAACGTTCTGTGCAATAATCCGCATGTCGTACTTGAGTTCACCGCCTTCTGTTGTCGAGGGTTGAAGCAGCACAAGCTTGCCGTCTACAAGAAACAATATCGTGGCCACAGATACGTCTTGCGAGGGATCTCCGTGGTCTAATTCATGTCAGATTGTTTGTCGGTCAATGCCAACAACGACTTACGAATCTGATCTTCCGGCAAAATCCAGCTCAGTGCTCGAACCCTGGGAGGTGCACGAACGATGCCATGCAGCGCGATCTGCCCGACTTGAACCAGCTTTACAGCAGTGTCCGCAACACTAATTATGTAGTGGTATAGTATGTTCTCGTATGTATAAACAAGAAGCGAATCCTCTCCCGAAGGAGCCATGAGCACAATAGGAGCAGGCAGTTTCTGTACATGCATGATATGGCTGTTGTTTAGTGCCGACTCGCGTGAGTAAACTCGGATCTATGCGGACCATGTCAGTTCAGAAAGCTCCCTCACTGCAAAAGACTGCTCACCTCATGAGAGTCGTGAGACTCAACTGCCGCGATGAGGACGTGCTGGAACCAACACATTCCTCCCCGAACAGTGAACTCGTTCTCTATGAACGGGTCGTCGAAAGTCTTCCATCTTCCGCTGTTGACACTATAATGTGCAAGCCCCCTCTTTCCAGCGATCGCGACATATCGTCCATCGTTCGATATAACAACACATCGAATGGGCCATTGATCGACAAGATAATGAGACGGTACCTGAACGTGGTGCCATAGAGAGACATCCGCTGAGATTGTTGTAAGATCCGGCAAGTCATACCCACGGTATATCATAAATCCAGCACTGGTCTGCATGAGCGATCTCGAAACATTCGCCGACGAGAAACAGCCGGTGACGGCGCTTCGTGCCATTTCCATTACAAACAAGCGATTGTCATGGTTGCCCAGTACGATGAGCTCTGCGCCGCCTCCAATCCAGAAAGCGTCTTGAACCCCTAGAAGCCACGCCTCGCTGTTTGTTTCCGAAAGCGTCCGGTCGGTAGTAAAGCTAGTAGCTCCAGCTTTGCCGTATACACTCCACATGGCCCACCCATTCTCGTAGCCAGCGAATAGACAGTATCCATCTGGAGAGTAAGCCAGGACATTCAATTTTCCCGGCGAGGTGACATTAGGCCGCATTTTGTGCGAGATCGGTATGTTGCCAGTGTAGTCTCGAGCGGTGTAAACGTATATATCGCCATTAGTGCATCCAACAGCAAGTAGAGAGAATCTCGCATTGATAGCAACTTTTGTCCCATACTCATCGGCTGTCTCTGGAGTGTGGAAGCCGTAGCCGCGAAAGAGGTTGGGTGTACTATTTCCGTCTCGCGCGCCGTTTGCATTCACTCGCTGAACGGCGAACGCTTGTCCTTCTCCTGTGATCCAGCACGATAGGTTCATCGGCCGATCATGTATCATGTCGATGACTGACGCCTTCTTGCCCAGCCACAGCATCTTGTTCAGCAGCTCGGTGCTTGTCTGGCTCCCACTACTGTCGGGTGCCCAGCGAATGCACTGCATGGCTGCAGGCTTCTCCGTCGCGACGACCAACTCATCATCCAAAGCCAGTGCTTTCGCTATCCCAGCATCCACGCGTATGACCATGCGAAAACGGAGACTCAGTTCTTTGGTGCCACTGCCCTCCCCTGGCCCCGCGTTGGTGTCGTGCTGACGCTGAATCTTAAACCCCGAGATGGCGCTAGACTTTCTGGAATGCCCTCCATGCGTGTTGATAAACTGAGTCTTGTAGACGCGCGCAGAGGGGTCTGCCGCTAGGGAGTATGTGACCAAGAAACCAAGCGTGGTCTGCACGACGAAGATCTGAGAGTCGGGACGCAGGAGAATGTCTGTATTGGGACCGTATGTATTCAGCGACTGTTCCGAACGCAAGACAGAGGCTAGGATGACTGTGGGCTGTGTAACACATCAGCAATGAGCCATCTACACTTCAGCAAAGACATGCCTTCGTCTGCCAGATAGTCAGAGTCGTCCGGGTGAGAGTAGCAAACATGTGCCCGCTCCTGGTCACCCTGATGGCGATGATCGCGCCATGCACATCCTCCTCTACCAATTTGGTCGATTCGCGTTGCTGCTTTACGTACGCATCTTCCTTCTCTTTCACCCGGCTCTGCGCCTGCGTAGATGTCTCAGCCTCAGCCTCCGACTCGCCATGCTCAATGCCATCGTGGGAGACGCGTGTGTGCTCGACCTTCGTGTGCTTGGTGGCCGCGAAGACAGAGGGCGAGGAGATGGGCCAATACGTCATGGCGCTCTACCGTCAATCAATGGCTGCATTTGCGCGGGCCCGTCTCACTGCGGGGTGGTGTTGTTCGCGAAGCTCATTTTACCCAGGTACCTAGCTGAGCTGCTGCAGGGTTGAGGTATGCGGCATGTGGAGGCGCACGTGTGTTAGCTTGATCCAAGCATTCAGCGTCGATCACAGTCGTTCCGATATTTACCTGATCGCCAGACTGATATTCTTTACATGTCTGCTTTGCAACTGAGTAGATGGACGGATGCGACTAGGCGATTTCTACAATCATGTCATGTCCTGCCTATTAGAATCTTAATGGAGATAGAATTCATGCCTTGACCCTAACAGCATCGAAACTACTAGATACTCAACATTCAAACCCCCGCCAAACCCGTCGCCTTGGCAGTTTTGGTTTCCATGATTATGTTCATTGCATTTCAAAAATCGTCCATAAAATTCACACGGTGAGATGGCCGAGTTGGTTATGGCGCCAGGTTAAGGTCTTCCCCTTAGCAACACTGAGCAATCAGTTTCCTGGTCACGAAAGTGGCGTGGGTTCAAGGTACGACCTATTCACAATCCCCACACGCACATCCCAAACTAACATGACCATCAGTCCCACTCTCATCAATATCGTCTGCATTGCAGATCTTCCAGGTTTTCTTTTTTTTTGCTGATGTATCGCCCACGCACGGCCAAGTCTGTTGTGTTGGAGTTTTTTTGTGCGCGAAAACGGCAGAGAGCTGGGAACTAGAGTGGGGTGCTGGGCATCTCAAGAATCCACAGAATGCATTGACGGTGATTGTTTACTAAGATGCTTTTTTCCTTCTTTAGTAGTTCATATGTCTCGTTGCTGTACTGGAGATATCCTCACACAAGCCGCTTTGAGCTTCTGCGTATCATCTTCTCTGCCATGTATTTGCCCGTTATTCCAAACACCAAACGACAACCCAAGATCCCATACAAGATCTGCCAGTAAGAAAAAAAGAAAACGAGCAAAAAACAGAGACCAAGCCATCCGCACACTCAGCTCGTCCATACACATATCTACCTCAGCTTAAACAAAACCACCCACCCCCTCACTCCTCGCCCAACCCCTCCAAAAACCCCACCAACCGTTTCTTCAGCACGACCCCAACCAGCGCCCCCGTCCCCTCCTCAGTAACACACAAGTACCTCAACCCAAGCTTAGAAAACATCTCGACCGCGTATTCCAGCGGCGCCTTGGCACACAGCGCCAGCGGCGTGCGGTCCACGAACGGCGAGAGATCGACCTCGAGCGTTTCCGGCGCGGGCGCATCATCGACCTGGTGGCCCAGGAGGCGGATCTGAAACGCCTCTGGGTCCTGGGACGCAGGGACCAGGTTCGCGAGACCAAAGGCCAGTTCAGATTGTGCGATGTAGCCCTGCAGGATGGGCGTGCTGGAATTATGGTGTGTTTGGACGAGCACGAGGCCCGCGTCCATGAGGCCTCTGTCACGTAGCTGGTTCAGTTTCGCCGCGAGGAGGGCGTGCGGGACGCAGTTTGAGGGGGGTACGTGGACGGTGATTTCCTGCATAGTGCGGGCGGGCGGGATGAGGACGTGGACGGTCATGTTTCGCTTGCGGACGATTTGCAGGGCGACGTCAGGGTCGAGGAAAGGGTGGCCGAGGACGTTTTGGGCGAGGTCGTAGACGCTTTCCGAGGAGATTGCGTCGGCGACCCATTTTGCAACCAGGATGGCGAGCATGTGTGGGACGACGTAGGAGAGTTGGCCGGTTAGCTCGAACATTATCACCGCGAGGGAGATGGTCATGCGGGATACGCCGGCGAGGAAGGCGGCGGAGCCGACCATGGCGAAGATGCCTGGGGAGATGGAGGGGAGGAGTTGGCCGACTAGGCGGCCGAAGAGGGCGCCTGCGTCGAGGGCGGGGATGATGACGCCGCTGGGGACTTTGATGCCGAAGGTGATGATTGTGAGGAGGAGTTTGGTCAGTGTGCCGTAGAGGAGGTAGCCGATGTATGACCAGTTTGTTGTGGCGCTGGGGGCTTCGTTGTGGCATACCCATGAGAGTGCTGATGGGCTGCCGTCGTTGCAATCCACGAGCAGGTTCTTGATGATGATGTCTCCTGGCTCTCGGGTCAGGGGATTGGGGAACTGGAGAAGTGCCGTGGCGAGGACGACGATGAAGACTTCTAGCACGGGGTTCTTTTTGATGAGGGAAAACGAGCGGAACCACTTGCTCCAGATGAAGTTCAGCTTGCAGAACAGTCCTCCAAAGACACCTCCCGCGACTCCCAAAAGGATGAAGACGAGATAGTGTATGGGCTCGTAGTCGGTGCCGTAGTTCGTCTCAAAGAGCACCAGTTTGCCCGTACCGGTAGGATTCAGCGCCTTGAGGACCATTGCGGCGACCAAACTGCACAGGAAGGCCCTCCACAGCACCTTTTTGGTGAAATAGGTGCTGATCTCCTCGTAGCTGAACAAAACGCCTCCAATCGGTGCGCCAAACGCTACACTCAGACCGCTTGAACACGCTGCGCTGAGCAGTTCGCGCATCTTGCGGCCGTTGTCGCGGTACTTGGGAAATAGGTTGCCAACAAGGTACCCTACACACGTTGAGATGTGCACGAACGGGCCTTCCTTCCCAAGACACATGCCCGTCGACACGGCGAAAATGGCGCCAAACGCCTTGACGACGAGGACGCGGAGGGAGAGAAACGACGGGATCGAGAAGCCGGAAAGGATCGTTTTGATTTCAGGGATGCCAGAGCCAGCCGCCATGTACATGACCTTGCCTGCTGGGACCGTGGGTTTCGAATTGGAAGACTCGCTCATGTGCTCCCCAACCGAAACAACCGGGCCATTCGCCTTCGAAGCATCCGTGGGTGTACTCGCCTGCTCGTCCGACCCCACACTCGGCAACGAACCCTTCGTTTGCATTGTCGCGCTTGAACTGATTACGCCAAAGACTAGAGCCATGCCGACGTAGATTGCGAAACTCTTTCCATAGCTCTCAGACCACCCATGCCACGCTGCGCATTCTTCTGTGCTCAACTCAGAGCTAGCTCTTAACAACAGCGGAGTCTGTTCTTTGCAGCACCCCTCACGGTTCAGAAAAGGGTTGCTCGAGCAGTATCCCAGCTTCCAGTCCGAAACAGTGGCAACGGCGACATCAACGACAAAAGCCACACAAGCGGTAAGTGCGCCAATGATTACAACGGCAATCCATCCCGAGCATGCATCGAAAAGAGAGAGAAGCGTATAGCGATAACCCCGGCGGGATTGAATGTACCGAAAGCGGTAAGAGTCTTTGACCTGTTGCACATCAATCTCAAAGTCCAGTATGGCCAGAGGTATCGGCGAAATTGAATTACCAGGTCATGCAGCCAGTCAATCGTCGTATAATCGTTGTATGGCAATCGCTCTCCCACCGTGCTCCCAGCCAACTGATGTTCTTCTTTGGTCACAGCGGATGAAATAATCGATTGGGCTTCTTCGTCTTGTTCGTGCTGAAGCTGGGATAATCGGTTCGGATGGAGGAGAGGTGTTCGCTCGCTCCCTGCCTCAAGATCCGACGTCATCGTTCAAGCCCGTAAGAGTGTATCCAAGAGGACGACGAGGAAGGGACATGGCCCACATGATATGTATTCGAGATATGGAGATCGACCGCGAATCGACGCCACTATGCAGCTGAGCATCTCCGCGTTGTATGCTTATCTATTGCGGAGACCCATGTCTTCTGTGCTTAAGGTGGCGCTGTGAATGGTCCAGATTGGTGGGCTTGGGGAAAGATAAAAGGAAGATAAGCGATTGAACATGGAACTAACCACCTTTGGTTAGACCCACGATACTCGCAGAATTGTAGCTTCTCCGAACCCTGCATGTGGTTAATAGTGCTACTGCCGCGAAAATGAAGGGATAAGAGCAAATAGTATATATATGTACTATCCGATGTTGTTTCTACGCAATGCTCTGGACCAGAGACCCGTAGCATGTGATGACCAGATCAGACATGTTCTTATACTGCCTTCCAAACCTCGTCGCGATACAAAGTATGATTGAACGAGATCGCTGTCCTTGTCCATGATACTCATCCACAGGATGACACACGCCAAGAGCTCCTCACAATTCCCGAGTAGCAAAGGTACACATAGGTCAAGGACATATCGACTTCAGACCAGCCAAGAACGGAAGGGTTCCGCTCAAGCCTGCGCCACAGCTTGCTCCTTGGCCTGTGCCTCGTATTTCTGTGTGGTGGTCAGCAGCATTCAATATAGCGCTATGGCGATACATACACCCTTTTCGCTTGCGGTCAGTGCCTTCCACTCGTTCCCGATGAGCTTGGCACACTCGGTGGTGCTGATGCTCTTGAAATCCCCACTCGATCTGCGGTCCGTGAAGAAGAGCACGTAGGCGTTCACCGGTCGCTTCACCTGTCGGTCATCGTGAAGCTTGTTAGTGTGGGCGTGGTTTCCGTTCTTGGCAGGCGGCAGAATCCTCCTCAGCTGGCTGCGTGCGTTGTTGGCGGCACGAATCTCTTCCGTGGTGTGAGACGCGAGCCAAGTCTCGTATTCTGCTTTCCTGGCGGCGTTCTTCTCGTTGGCAAGATGGTTGTAGTGCTTTGTGTCTTGTTAGTGCTTGTCCATGAACAGACAATAGCGTGCAGCAGCAGGCTTACCTCAACTTCTGCTGGCTTCATGGCGCTCCATTTCGCGTTGGCGTCGGCGATGCCCGTCGTGACACTGGTCGATCCGCTCAAAGCCTCGCTGATGAAGACGTGGCGTCCCTGCAGTGTGGACTGGGCAACGGGCGACTTCAAAGCGATCTTCTTGAGTTCTCTGATCTTCAGCGTCTGTTTTGCCTCGGGTGTGAGCTCCCTCTTGGCGCGCTTCTTTGGGGCTGCCTTCTTCGGTGCTGCCTTTTTCGCTACTGGCTTCTTCGCGGCTACCTTCTTTGCTGCAGGCTTTTTCGCGGGCGTCGCTGCTGCCTTGGTCCTGGTCTTTGTAGTGGTGGCCGCCTTCTTCTTGGGGGCAGGCTTCTCTGCCACCTTCGCCTTGACCGCCTTCTTCACCGTCTCGGTTGGCTTCGTGGCACGCGCGGTGGTGGTGGTGGTAGCGTACGAGCGGCGGGCATGCACTACCGCCGCCTTGTAGGACCGTGAGATGGCGCGAGTAGCCGGCAGACGCAGGGCATTGCGGGCGAGGAGGCAGCGTTGCAGGGAGCGCGCGAGCTGCGGGACATCGTGTGTTGACGTTGCGGGCACATCGGCCGCCAGACGGGAGAGCGCAACGCGGGCCAGCATCGCGACGGTCGTATGGAGTGTTTGACGGTTGACGGCGCAGCTCGGGACGAGCAATTGGATCGGACGTATGGGCGTGCTGGTTGCGGGTTGGGCGGGGAGAACAGCCTTGAGATTTGATTTCGAGTTGCGAGACTTGGTGGTAGCTCGTAGCTTTAGCGCGTCTCGGGAACGTCACGCTCAGGCACGCTGCACAGTCATCTGCACATCCTCGACTACAAGACTAAGACTCGAACTTGACTGAATGCATGCATTTCCAGGTCATCGTGTAATGCATCACTAACACCTAGACAATACCACCCTACGTCCAACTCTACATGATATCTACCTAAACCAAAGTTCTTCTTGCTGTCTATGCTTCTACACGCCCCCACTCTGCCCCAACAGGGCTGAATGACACCCCGCCACTGGTCGGCGAGTGTTTCTACGTCACCTTGTAACTATATTGGGTCAGCAAACATGGCTTTCATCCAGACAACGGTACTCTTACCTCCAGGGGTGGTCCTCGTCGCCATACTGAATAGCCTCCATCCAGTCCTTCATCTGCAGCGCAATAGGACCCGCCTCGACGTCGTCCGCCAAGCCGCAACTGAGAAGGCGTCCCTTCCAGCTAATCTTGCGCACGGGGCTGACAATGGCGGCGGTACCAGAGCCAAAGATCTCCATCATGCGGTCCTCCTCGATAGCATCCGAGATCTCCTTCATTGTGAACTTGCGTTCCAGCACCTTCCAGCCCTTGGGCACCAATCGTTCCCGTGCAAGCTCCAGGATGGAGTCTCGTGTGACGCCATCGAGGATCGTTCCATCAAGCGGTGCGGTGAGCAGCTCGGGTTGTCCAGTCTCCTTGTTCTTTATGGCCGCGAACAAGTTCATGGTGCCAACCTCAGTTACGTATTCCTCCTCACCAAACAGCCACAAGTTTTGGTGGAAGCCACGGCTCGCAGCCTGCATCTGGGGGATGATGCAGGGCGCGTAGTTGGCTCCCAGCTTCTTGTCTCCAACACCTCCCGGCCATGCGCGTACGGCGTAGTCGGTAGCCTCCAACGACACAGCCTTGAATCCTGTCGGGTAGTATGGGCCAACGGGCGAGGCGATCACGTAGAGCAGCGCGGAAGCTGGGGGACCAACGCCGAGCGTGCGCTGAGTGCCAATCATGGTCGGGCGAAGGTAGAGCGAGTAGCCGCGTGCACTGCACTTTTGTCAGCCATGCTCATGTACATGAATAGTGCCAAAGCTCACTCGGGAATGAAGCGCGCATCCTGCTTGACGAATTCGCTAATGAGCTTGATCAAAGCCTCTCCGTCAAAGTTGGGCAATGCAATGCGCGCCGATGACTTGTTCAAACGCGCCATGTTCTTGTCCGGCCTGAACAGCCTGATGTTTCCACTCTTGTCCTTGTAGGCCTTCATGCCCTCGAAGCACTCAAAGGCATAGTGGAAGACGCAGGTGGCAGGGTCGAGACTGAGGTTCTGGTAGGGCGTGATCTTCGCTGGCAGCCATCCTTCTGTTGCTGTCCATTCGAGCGAGAGCATGTGGTCTTGGACGCGTGGTTAGCGATAGAGCCGTGACGCCGTTGGAGCTCCCACCTGTGAAGTTGCGCCCGAAGATGAGCTCCGCCGGGGGCAACAAATCTTTTGGAGTTGTCGTCGAGGTGATTGTGAGCTTCTTGGGGTCGATATCGCGGACGTTTGTGCCAACAGAGGCATCAGCGTGGATGCTGTATGGTCTCTGAGTCCGACATCGCAGCGATGCGCTGAGCGGTGCTGCAAACGAACGCGAAGTGCAATGGGATAGCGAAGAAAGCAATCGTGACGACCGTTGTTGGAGCATTGTGTAGGATGTGCAGTGAGGCAGCAATGGCAAGTCGCGGATGTGGAGAGGACGAAGCGTGGGTCATAGTGAATTTATTCTAGAGTACAACCGACACTGACCGCTACGCTACTCCGCAAATCGGGGGCGTACACCCATTTCCGAACACCCTCGATGACTCTGCGGATACGAGAGGGTATCTACGCACCCAGTCATCTCTGATGGGCCCATGGGCTGTTGCTACTCTCACGCGCATGCTTATGTCACTGCATGTGCACGTCTAGGGTGGAGTGGAGCCCGAGGCGTGTGGCCATGAATCAATCGGCCGTTTAGCAACACCATATCTGACTCCAATCAACTCGCGTCTTGACTTTGGAACCCCTGAGCGTATCGTGTGCTGCTCGTCGCAATCGCAAGCCCTTTCCGGAACGGGCCACCCTGTCCAAACGACCTGAGCTTCTCGGCGCTGTCTCATCTAGCAGCCTTGCACCCCGAACACCGCGTCGAACCCCCCACACGCCCAAACAACAGTCCATGACGCACTCGCTGCACACTGAGAGAATCGCCGCGCGGGCGGTCAGCTCACCATGTTCTCCAACGCGCTGAAGTCGTTCACCTCGAACATATCCAGCAACTACACCCTCAGCCCACAGCCCACCTCGTACTCGGGGCCATGGAAGATATACGATGCGAAGAAGAAGTCGACAGGGAAGGCGGCGTCTGTCTTTGTCTTTGAGAAGAAGTCACTAGAGCCGCAGGGTGGGCCGGGTCTTGGTGGGCGCTCCGGCGCATCAGCACTGAAGCGCGCACATGAGGAGGTCGTGGAGAGGCTGAAGAAGGAAGCCAACTCGCTGGCGCGACTGCGACATCCCAGTGTTCTGGAGCTGGCTGAGCCGGTCGAGGAGACGCGCGGAGGTGGCCTCATGTTCGCCACGGAGCATGTGACGGCGTCGCTGGCAGGCCTGCTGCTGGAAAAAGACGAGCAAGAGAAGGCTGGAGGTGTGGGCGGGCGCAGTAGTCGCTACGTCGTGGAGGAGTCTGACGGTCAGAAGCGGAGGCGCGAAGTCGAGATTGACGAGTTGGAGATACAGAAAGGGCTGCTGCAAGTAGCCAAGGGGTTGGAGTTCCTGCACGAGAGTGCTGGCTTGGTACATGCCAACTTGACACCAGAGGCTATCTTCATCAATGCTAAAGTACGCAATATATACCAATGCCATCTCCAAGAACACTGCTAATCCGCGTGACAGTCGGACTGGAAGATCTCAGGTCTCGGCTTCTCGACACCGCCAGAGAACTCGACAAAGCCCACATCAGTAACGCCAATATCTCTCTCTGAAGTCCTGAACTACGACGCGCGACTGCCACGGCATGTCCAGCTCAACGTCGACTACACCTCTCCAGACTTCGTCATGGACGGCAACGTAACACCAGCAGCAGACATGTTTAGTCTGGGTATGCTCATAATCGCTCTCTACAACTCACCACACAAGAGTCCGCTGGACTTCAATGGGAGCACATCTTCATACAAGAGAGCCTTCTCATCATCCTCATCAGTCCCGAGCAAAACTAACAACTTCATGTCGGCGCAACCATTGCCGCGAGATGTTAGTAGCGGCGTCCTCGATCGCCTGATCACCAGACGGCCTGCGCAGCGCCTAAACGCTCGAGAGTTTCAACAAGCAAGTTACTTTGACAACGTGCTAGTATCTACCATTCGCTTCTTGGATTCACTACCCGGTAAAACACCCAACGAGAAGTCTCAGTTCATGAAAGGCCTACCAAAGATTCTCATTCAGTTCCCGAAATCGGTTCTGGAGAAGAAGATACTCCCCGCTCTACTGGAGGAAATGAAGGATCGCGAGCTCCTCACACTAATACTACAGAACGTGTTCAAAATCGTCACAGTGCTACCGTCAGGGAAACGAGCATTCACAGATAAAGTCATACCAAAGCTGCGAGAGACATTTCTATCTACACCGGCACCAAGCGCGAAAGGAGTAGCCCAAGAACGAGATAGCTTGAAGGAAGCCGGTCTCATGGTACTCCTTGAGAACATGCAGACTGCCGCCGAAAACTCGAGTGGAAAGGAGTTCAAGGAAAACATACTGCCTATCGTCAACTACGCGCTCGAGTCACCTACACACTCCTTGGTCGATGCCGCCCTCCGCACCTTGCCCGTTGTCCTACCGATGCTCGATTTTTCAACCATCAAAAACGAACTCTTCCCTGTGATAGCTGCCATCTTCGCGAAGACAAGCAGCATGGGTATCAAGATACGTGGGCTTGAGGCGTTCAAGACTTTGTGCGGCGGTGGAGGGGAGGATTCAAACGACCTTCAGAGCGATGGGCTGACCGGAATGGTACATGCACCGAAGGCGAAGAGCTCCAATGTCTCTATACTGGATAAGTACACGATACAGGAGAAGATTATACCGCTACTTCGAGGTATCAAGACCAAGGAGCCGGCCGTTATGGTATGTTCAATCTACCTCTTTGAAACTGGGATTGTTTGCTAATACTTCTGCCAGATGGCCGCTCTCGATGTCTTCAAAGCAATCAGCAACCTACTCGACAGCGATTTTCTCGCCATGGACGTTCTGCCTATAGTATGGCAGTTCAGTCTAGGGCCACTACTCAACCTCCCCCAATTTCAAGCCTATATGAGCTTGATAAAGTCAATGTCAGCGCGCGTCGAAAACGAGCAGACCCGCAAGCTACAAGAACTCGGCACAGGCAACACAATCACCACCTCACGCAGCGAGTTCATGAGCTTCGGCGGCACAAGTACCAGCAACGGCCTCGACTCGTCCTCCAACGGAAACGGAGACACAGACTTCGAAGCACTGGTGCGCGGCGGCAACCAAGGCACAGCTGGTGGCAGCGACATGCTCGGCGGCGACCCGTGGGCAAACGCCTCCACAGTCTCCGTCTCCTCCTCTTCCTCCCGCCCACCCAATAACCGCGCACAATCAACAAACAACGCATCACCAGCCGCGACCTTCTCATGGTCCAGCGCGCCCGTTTCCCCCCCGCCACAGCTCACAAATCTATCCGCTCCAAACGCACAAAGTCGAACCATCACGCCAGACAACACGCTCCACTCGCTCAACTCGTCCTTCCCCGCCATGAACCCACTGAACCCCGGAATCGGCAGCCCGTCGTTCATCCCGCCCCAACCCATGGCACCACCCCTAACAACGCCATCCTACAGCCCCCAAACCACAGGTCTAGATTGGAGTAAATCCACCACTTCTTCCCTGTCGTCAAATACATGGGGAAATACCACCCCACAGCCCAACTATGCGTCCAGCAATCTCTCCACCTTCACATCCACACCTACGCAAGGCCAAGGCCAAAGCAATCCCTATTCATCCTTCAGCATCGCGCCCCCGCCCCTCAAGTCGACGAATAGCAGTCCGTTTGGTATCGCGCCCCCGCCGAGTACGGGCACGTTTAGCATCGCGCTGCCGCCGATGGGGGGGAGGTCGCAGAGTGGTGGCGCGGGACTGAGTATGGCGAGTTTGAGGGCGCAGACGCAGAAACAGGGGAGACCACAACAGCAGCAGCAGCAGCAGCAGGGGGGTAATTGGGGGAGTGGGGGCGATAGTCTGATATAGAGAGAGAGCTGGGTTTTGTGCTTGAGAAGACATAAGGAGATTTAATGAGTTGTCAAATGAGTGTGTTTTTGGTGTAAGTATTGCTATCTGTCTATCTATCTCAGGTGACCTGTGTTACGGCGAAGTCGCACAGCAGTGGAGTTATTCTTTACCCTTGATAGTGAAAGGCGTCAAGGTGGACATCTCCACATCGTACGATCTTGATCTTGATCCTGCCGTGCAGAATGCACTGCGCTGCAATACGAATGCAAGCGTTCAATGTAGGAAGCTATCAAGGCGACCTGCATCCGCAATATCACAGCCGCGGAGTGTCAAGTTAATTTAATCCAACTCAACAGTCCAAACCTGCACACAAGCAAAAGCGAAGAAACATCATCACCGCATTGGCGAAGCTTAGTGGCGCAAGCCAGCGCTAATCACAACGGCTGGACGGAGCTTGACCCACAATGGCTTGCCTTGGCTGATGCTTACACGGGCACGACGTCATAGTGTCCGAACATTTCTTGTACGTCTCGTTCGAGAAGCCCGGACGGACTGTATCGCGGAGTGGGGTTTGGGAATGGGGCTTTGACGGTGTGCGGATTGCGGATTGCGTGCTTGTGGTGTTTATGTGGGTCGAGACTATGGGCTGCTTTTTAGGCGCGCGGGCTTGATGCAGAGTGAACGATAGAGCGCGCTCGACCTGCCGGGGAGAGAAAGAGAGAGAGAGAGATCTGCATAACGTCAGACTAGCGTAGACGGAAGATTGTGTGTGTTTCTAACACTCGGCACGCGCGCCCCAGCCGCGAAGCTACTGGTGGGTGAATGTCTGGATAGGTAGGCGACTTCATCCTCGGAGCTAGGTGGAGTTTCTACACGAGCAAAGCCGTTCTCAGCGAGAAGAACGGGTGTGTGTGTGCCTGTCACACTACGTAACGAAGGTTGCAGAAGTCGGCTTGAAAAAACACCGTCATGCTGAGATCTGAGCCGGGGATCGTCATTATTCGACGTCTCCACCGGCTCCCTTCCCTTTCGCACTCGCTCTGCCAACCTTTCACCCTGGAGAATTGGAACTAGCGGATCCAATAAAACGGTCCTCTCACGCCATTCTGCAGCGGCAACTCTAATCCACACACACACACGCCATCGTTTTGCCCCCGCGCGCGTCTACCTACTTAGTATCCCGTGTTTGCCGATGGGATCTCCATTCTTAAACTCAACGAATTCCGCAGCGAGAGTAAATATTTAAAAACTTGCGTGTCTCACAACTCCCACCCAACCCCCCAACCCCCCCCCCCCCCCCCCCCACCCCCCCCCCCCCTCTGCAACACATTGCACAACCGAACATACAACGTGTGGTTAATGCTGCCGGAATCGTCTTCTCGTCGTCCCTCCTACACTCCGTACAAGAAGTGCATCCGCTGCGTGAAATGGCGTTAGGCTTGTCCAAGAAGAAGGCTGCTCCAGCCGGAGCCAACACTACTACAAACTCCACCTCTGTCAAGGATGACAGGTTCTCCAACGAGAAGGACTATGACCCCGAGGCGGGTGTGGCCGGCGAGCCTCGTCTCGGCAGGGTCACGACACCTGCTCTGGGGGACGACAGCAGCGGTAATAGCATTACGGTTGGCAAGCAAATGGAGATGGAGGCCGAGAATGCTATCAAGTACCGCACTTGCAGCTGGCCGAAAGTATGTTGCCTTGCCCTCTGCCTGTGGCATGGTCTACCTCTGGCGTTTGCTGTTGCAGTACTGATTCGTCCGCTAGACTGCAGCTCTGCTGTTCTCTGAGTACATTTGTTTGGCTATCATGTCGTTCCCGTGGTCGTACTCTTTGCTTGGTCTTGTGCCGGGCTTGATCTTCACGGTCTTTATTGCTGGTTTGGTCCTCTATACGTCCTTGACCACCTGGTGAGCGTCTCGATTGCGATTTCCCTGAAGTGCCGCCTAACACAATATAGGCATTTTTGTCTGCGCCATCCTGAGATCAGAGACGTATGCGACCTCGGACAAATGATTTTCTGGAATAAGCCCTGGGCCTTCTACTTCACCGCCGTCATGTTTCTGCTGAACAACACGTTCATTATGGTATTTTCCCCAGCTCTAACCTTTCAAACCCACGGTCACTTACTCAGAACAGGCACTACATTGCCTTACGGGCGCTAAGTGGTGGAACACGATAACAGGCCACAGCATCTGCACGGTTGGATTCTCAGCCATCACGGTAACTATCTGCTGGTTCGCCTCGCTCCCTCGAACGTTCTCGACTCTCGCCACTATTGCGACTTTCTCCGCCTTCTTCACGTTCATCTCCGTGGTCCTGGCTATGGTCTTCACTGGCATTGAAGGACACCCCGCCGGTTATCCGGAAATGGGCGACCCGCAAGTTTTTGCGACTCCAGGTCCTGACACCACGTTCGTCATGGGCATGAGCGCTTTCCTAAACATCAGCTACACCTTCATCGGCCAAATCACCCTTCCCAGTTTCATCGCCGAGATGAGAGAACCCAAGGACTTCCCGAAAGCACTCTGGGCCGTGACCATTTGCGAAATCATCGTCTTCGCCCTGGCTGGTTCCATCATCTACGTCTACACTGGCACCCAGTACATGACCGCGCCAGCTTTTGGCTCCATCTCAAACGAGACGTACAAGAAAGTCGCCTTCACATTCATGGTGCCCACGATCATCTTCCTGGGTGTCCTCTACGCCTCAGTGTCCGCGCGATTCATCTTCTTCCGCATCTTCGGCGGCACGCGGCACATGGGCAGCCACACGGTTGTAGGCTGGGCCTCGTGGGCCGGAATCCTCGCCGTACTCTGGATCTTCGCCTTCATCATCGCAGAGGTGATCCCGTTCTTCTCCGATCTGCTCTCGCTCATGAGCTCGCTCTTCGACTCCTTCTTCGGCTTCATCTTCTGGGGCGTGGCGTACATGCGCATGAGGCAGGCTGATCACGGACCGGGGTTCTGGAAAAAGCGCGGAATGAGGGGGTATCTTGGGTTCTTCTTCAATCTTGGCCTGTGCTTCATTGGCGTGTTCTTCCTAACCGTGGGGACGTATGCTACGGTGCAGTCTATTATCGATGGGTATAAGACTGCGAATTTTGGCGGGCCGTTCAGTTGCGCGAGTAACGGGTTGTAAGCGAGTCACCACGACGATGATCGTGTGGGGGGTTTGCTGGGATTCAAAAACTGTTTATGTAGGCGTCTTGTATACCCTATGAGAGGAGTTATGGCTTTAATACACAAGGAAATGGACTGGGAAAGAGGGGACACGGAAAACTCGGAGCATACACACGGTCTAATCAAGAGAATCTGGATATGAAAACAATGGAAATAATCTTCTATGAAGACAGTAGATCATTATTAATAAGATGAATTGCCTCGGAGAAATATCCAAATCCATATCTGTCTTGCATGCAAAGCCTTCGCCAGCCGGGGAGGCCTCATGAAGCTATGACGTCTCGCTAACTTGCCAAACAAGCTCTACCCCGGCCTCCTCTCCCCCTCCCCACACAATATCGTGACCTCTCACTTCTTCCCCACCGGTCTGACACTTTGCTTTGCGAACTGGAAGGACGATACTTTGCGATCATGTCGAGCTACATAGACTTCAGCCAGCCTAGCTTATGGAGTGAGTAGAGCTCGGAATGAATGTAGGCACACACAGCAACTAATGCGCCGTTGCAGTTTCCATAGCTAGCATCGTGTTCAATCCTACGTTTTGGAAGTAAGTTTGTTCAAAGTCTGAATGTGTAGCTTTGTAGCTAATTCGTGGTATAGTATTGCTGCACAGCGAGGTACGCCATCTCCAGACACTCTACTTGCAAGCCCAGCGAACGAGCGAGCGACTAACCCACCACCACCCACAGAATACCACCACAAAACCATAACCAAGCTCTTCAACAACAACCCCCGCCACGGCTGCTACGCCCTAGCAATAACCATCTTCTCCCTCGGCATCTTACGCGACTACCTGTACGCCCGCCTTCCCCCCCCCCCCCCCCCCCCCCCCCCCCTTCACACCCCACCCTAACAAAAACCCAGCTACTCAACCGCCCTCTCCACCCAACCCCCCCACCCCACCCTCCTAACCCCATTGATAAAATACTCCGCCCTCCCCCTCTTCCTCACCGGCAACACCCTAGTCCTCTCCTCCATGTACGCGCTCGGCGTCACAGGCACATATCTAGGCGACTACTTCGGCATCCTGATGGACGCGCCGGTGACGAGCTTCCCGTTCAACGTGTCCGACGCACCGATGTATCATGGTTCGACGATGAGCTTCTTGGCTACGGCGCTGTGGTATGGGAAGCCGGCTGGTGTGCTGGTTACCGGGGTGGTGGCGGCGTGTTATGCGGTTGCGAGGAGGTGGGAGGATCCGTTTACGGGGAGGATTTATGCGAGGAGGGAGGAGGGGAGGGGGAAGAAGATGTGAGGGGGGATGTACTAAGGGGGATGAGGTGGGAGGTGGGCTACGGATGCGTGGGTGGAAATGGAACGTTGATTCAACATGGCAATAGCTACGCATACAGCGACGGCGTTTTGGAGGTTAGAGTCAAGGTTGGGGGGTTTTGGCTCTGTGCGCGCGGCACTCGGTCGGTATTCAACTGCCAGCCGCAGAGAGAGAGAAGGAAAAAAAAGTTACGGTAGATAGGATGGGGGAGGAAGAAAGAAAAAAACACACATGTTTGATATTGACAAGCCCAATGCGACAACCACCCGAGCAACACATGGATAGATGGATATCGAGTACGGGGTATGCGCAGTTGGAGTAGGTTTCATCAACGTGACTTGTCTTCTATTGTCTTTAACAACTTGGATCATTTGACTTTCGTTGAGCGCAGACGATGAACCGAGCATAAGGTGAAAGTTACCATTACATTGGATCGCTGTCTAGAAGATTTATATATCACCTCACACATCAAAATACATCAATCAAAAACTCCAGCTTTGGTGAACATTCATTGATTATAAAAGCTTTTTCGCTAACAAGAGGTCTGCTCCTACGCTCGAAATACGCATGCTGCAACCTCCACAGTCGCTCCATCGCAGAAACAACACATTGCTCCCACTCCAGCGCGCCTGCTCGAGGACAGCTATGCCACTCAAAGCACGAATCGTAACGTCGACACTGTCCACCTTGACCAATCTCCAAAATCCAAACTTATCGTGGTATTATGGATCGATAATTTACTCCTCGCCCTCAAGAGGAGCCTCCTCCTCGTACTCCTCCTCAGCATCGGAGACGGAAGCCTCCTGGTACTGCTGGTACTCGGAGACCAAATCGTTCATGTTGGACTCAGCCTCAGTGAACTCCATCTCGTCCATACCCTCGCCAGTGTACCAATGCAAGAAAGCCTTGCGCCTGAACATGGCGGAGAACTGGTCACCGACACGCTTGAAGAGCTCCTGGATGGAGGTAGAGTTTCCGACGAAAGTGGCGGACATCTTGAGGCCACGGGGAGGAACCGAGCAGAGGGCGGTCTGGACGTTGTTGGGGATCCACTCAACAAAGTAAGAGGAGTTCTTGTTCTGGACGTTGCGCATCTGGTCCTCGACCTCCTTCATCGAGACCTTACCGCGGAAGTACGCGGAGCAGGTCAGGTAACGACCGTTGCGGAAGTCAGAGGCAGCCATCATGTTCTTGGGGTCGAACATCTGCTGTGTGAGCTCGGGAACGGTGACGGCGCGGAAGGAGGAGGCGCCACGGCTGGTCAGGGGAGCGAATCCGACCATGAAGAAATGGAGACGGGGGAAGGGGACCATGTTGACAGCCAACTTCCTCAGATCGGAGTTGAGCTGACCGGGGAAACGCAGGCAGGTGGTGACACCCGACATGACGGCGGAGACGAGGTGGTTCAGGTCACCGTAGGAGGGGTTGTTGAGCTTGAGAGTCCTCATGCAGATGTCGTACAGAGCCTGAATCAGGTTAGCTTCTTTGTCGTCACGGCTCAAGGCGTCGCACGCACCTCGTTGTCAATGCAGAAGGTCTCGTCGGAGTTCTCGACAAGCTGGTGGACGGACAGGGTGGCGTTGTAGGGCTCGACAACGGTGTCGGAGACCTTGGGGGAAGGCACGACGGAGAAGGTGGCCATCATGCGGTCGGGGAACTCCTCGCGGATCTTGGAGATCAAAAGAGTACCCATACCGGCACCGGTACCACCACCGAGCGAGTGGGTGATCTGGAAACCCTGGAGGCAGTCGCAGCCCTCAGCCTCGCGACGGACGACATCGAGGACCTGGTCGACCAGCTCGGCACCCTCGGTGTAATGACCCTTTGCCCAGTTGTTACCAGCACCCGACTGGCCGAAGACGAAGTTGTCGGGACGGAAGAGCTGTCCGAAGGGGCCGGCGCGGACGGCGTCCATGGTACCGGGCTCCAAGTCGACGAGGACGGCACGGGGAACAAACTTGTTGCCAGACGCCTGTCATTGGTCAGCACTCGCAGCCCGTGTGGCGTGGGGGAATGGGTTACACTACCTCGTTGAAGTAGACATTCATGCGCTCGAGCTGGAGGTCCGAGGTGCCATTGTACACACCGGAGCCGTCGAGGCCGTGCTCGCCGGAGATGGTTTGCCAGAAGGCAGCACCGATTTGGTTACCCTGTTGATGGTCAGTCGCGCTGTCTCGACCATGGGCGGCTTGGATATGGACTTACGCATTGACCGGTCTGGAGGTGAACCTATATCACGAAGAGGTATCGTTAGCTGCTGCTTGCCCGTGTTGTGCTATCCCTGAAATAGCGGGGCCAGACGCGCCCCAGCAAATTTGCGGGATGGAAGGCAGACGTACAATCTCACGCATGTTGGCGGTGTTGGGTGGGCTAGAGGTGGTTACTGAAGCTGAGAATGGCGGAGGAGCTGGTTGAGGCTGGTCGGCGTCGTGGGTGGAGAGGAAGGGAGGACAGAAGAGCGGTAAGATGTTGTGGTAGTTTTTAGCGCGGTTAACATGTACGCACGGGCTGTTGCGCTAGCTGTTTACGCCTCGACAGCCAACAGTCAGTCGACTCCACAGCCAGGGGGACTCGACGCCGAGAACCTGTCGTTCATGCCCGTCGTGCAGCCGTGAGTCGCCAACTGTTTCGAAGAACTGAACTTCTATTGGTCTTGGATCAAAGGGTCGAGTAGACACAACGCCGTGACCAGGCCAACGATCACCAAGTTGTACTGCACAAGAGACATGAACAGGCCAATGCTCTCCACCGGTTCAGAATGGATGCTGCAGGCCATCTTGATCATGTCAACCAATCCGCGGCTCTTGGTTGGAAGACATTTACTTCGCTTCTTTAGACACAGCAGTCAAATCACACATAGTCTATCTTATTCTATACTTGTCTATTTGTCTATCTATCGTATGTCTAGCACATGGAACCATTTCCATAATTTGGACCAACAAACCTGCAGCCGTAATGCTCAATAAAATCCAACAAAATACAAACTTCAATCTCACAACTCCTTCTTCGTCGCGCCGTTCGCATGTCCGTTGGCGTGTCCGTTAGCATGTCCATTTGCATGACCATTCGCATACCCATTCACCTTGCCGTTAACCATCGACCTCTTCTGCCTAACAACCATAGGCATAGTCCACCAATTCGGCCAGAAAAGCTCATACTCATCCTGCTTAAAGTTCAAACAATGCCGGAGCCAGATACCCCAAACCAAGTAAAAATACGCCCCAACCCCCGTCATCAAATGCCTAAATATCGTCAGCCACCACCACCCTCCCAATTCAAAACAACATACTCACCACCATCCATGCCCCTCCAGAAAAAACCCCCAGGGCATCCCAATCTCCCTCCGCCACCCGACCAACGTCGAGCAATGCTCATTATCCAGACTCCAGACCGCAAAGCCGCCGAGGAATATACTTAGTCCCGACACGATCATCTTCCACATCGTGCGCAACGTCTCCTGGGCTTTGAGATCCTCCTGTTCCTGATTCTCGCGCGGGTGCGGGTCTGCTGCTTCTCTTTCCTTTGAGCGGAACTTTGGCCGGATGTTGACTTCCATGACGTACATTGCCCGGAACAAAACCACTATCGTGAGGATGGTGTATGCGTTTTGGTGGAACGTGGGGTCTTGCAGGTAGTGGTAGTACAGCGTGATGAAAAGGGCGAGAGAGATCAGACCCATGGCCAGGATCGCGGAGTGCACTCTAGACTTGCCGTAGGAGAAGGTCGCGTAGTTCATCAGGCAGGTTGTGTAGATCATTGATAGCTCGTCTACGAGCTGCATGGGGTCTGTATGGCGTTAGATCCAGATAAGGTATTTGAGAATGATGGGATTATTGTGGGACACACACATTTCAGTGTGGCATGGAAGAGGAAACTGCCTGTCCCAACGATTCCGTAGCCTACAAAGGCGACGAGGAACACTGTATCATGTCCGTTTTTCAGGCAGTTTTGGACTCCTTTGGCGGCTAGGTATATGAACAGGAGGTTGGTGAGGGTATTGATGATTTCCGCAGAGTATTGCGTGACAACATAGTTCTTCAGGAAATCAGCATGTCATCGTAGAAGAAATATATCATCACTGACTTCTTCACACCAATCTAGTGTAGAGGTGACTGGTGACCACCGTCCATCTTGCTCCGGAGGGTACGGGATCGAGGGAAGTCTCGACAAGAACGCGACAGCCATAGTATTTCCTTTGACGAGCACGTTTGGCGAAGTGGAAGCCAGAACCGCAGTAGAAAAGACGAACCCATTTTATACTCCCGGAGTTGCCGGCGTGCGCATTGATCAGTGACCCGCGAGCGATTGGTCATGCTACCAGGTTGTTAAGGGTACGCTCTACACATTAGTAACCAAAGATATGAAGAAGATCGGCGCAACAGCAAACCCCTCCAACAATCCATAGCGTACACAAGAAAAGTAAAAAAACATCCGTTCGTGAAGACAATAACGCGTCGTCGCAAACACCAAGAAAGACCCACATCAAACCCCCCAGCCAATCACACCCCACCAACAATCGCAGCAGCAGCCTCAACCATCGCCAAACAGAGAAACACCGCGCCCTCAGTCAACCCACCCACTCTCCCATCCCCCATTCCCACAAACAATGTCGATCCCCAACGAAGCCCTACAGCAGGTAAATAAACAAACACGCCATCCCCATTTCCTCAAAAAGAAAATCCACACACACACACACAGACCAGATCTAACGAACCCCTCAGGTCCTGCAAGAAATCAACCAGAAAAAGGTCTTCGCCGAGCAACAGCTGCTCATCATCCGGCAGCAAAAGGCAGCCCGCACACGCGAAGACCGCATGCTGCAACTGACCTCATCCGAGGTATCTTCGCTGCCCGCGGACACGAAAGTGTACGAGGGTGTGGGGAAAATGTAAGGCTTTATTTTGCGTGTCCCGATTTCCAAAATTCCAAATTCCAAATCCAATATCATTTCAATTCCATTTCCATTCCGATGTCCATCTCTACATCTATATCTACGTCTACATTCGCATTCCCACATCCATCCACAAGCCCATATTTCCCCCCTTCGATACCCCGATGCAAGCGCGCCCGTGTTAACCCAACGCGCCAGGTTCGTCGGCACGCCCATCCCAGACGTGCAGAAGAGGCTGAAGGACGAGAGCGAGGCGCTGACAAAGGAGATGTCGAATCTGAACAAGAAGGAGGATTTCATGGAGAAGACGTATGCGAATAGCAGGGATGCGCTGGAGCAGATGCTCAAGGGTTCTAGTTAGTTTGTGGAAGGAGTAGTGACGAGCATGGGATTGGAGATGCTATCATGGAAAGAATGGAACATCGGGAACGAGTTGGATTGGCTTTTGTACCAACCGTAAGGGAGAGCCTTGAAATGTGGAAGCAGCTCATATTCATCCCAAAAAAGGCAGGCCGCCATCAATCATGAAATAGGCGCTTTTCATAAACACATTCATCATCTACCATGGATCTGCTAAAACAAGAAAAACACCCCATATCACCTCATCCTAACGAGCATCCCTTCAACCCCCTCAATACACTTCCTCACCTCCTCCGCCGCCCGCGCCACATACGCCCCATCCACAACCCGATGATCCGCACTCCAGCTAAACACGCACTCCTCGCGCCTGATCAGCTCCCCATCCTCCCCAAACGCAGGCACCACCTTCGCCCTACCCAAAGCCATGATAGCCACTTGCGGCGCCGAAATAACAGGCGCCACAGCCGTCCCGCCTATACTCCCGATATTACTAAGCGTGAACGTCGCGCCAGCAAGGTCAGCAGAAGAAAGTTTCCCGTTCCGCGCGAGGTTCGCCAGACGCGAGATCTCCTGCGCGAGAGACGCAATGCTGTGGCTCTGCACGTTCCTGATAACGGGGACGAGCAGGCCCGAGGGCGAGTCGACGGCGATGCCGAAGTTGTGGCTGCCTTTGAGTGTGATTTGCGGCTTTGCGGGGTTTGTGGTGGTGTCCAGGTGAGCGTTTAAGAGGGGGAATTGCTCGAGAGTGAGGGAGACGGCTTTGATGATTACGGGGAGTGGGGTTATTCGGTCGGATTTCTCGCGGTTGTGGTTGTATTTTTTGCGTAGGGCGGTTAGGGAGCTGAAGTCGACGGTGTCGGTGTAGAGGAAGTGGGGTATGGAGAGGGATTTGGTCATTTGTTTGAACATGCCTGACTGGATCGGTGTCAGGGGCCGTACTTGGTCTTCGAGTTGTTGCTGGGGAGGTGTGGGTGCTGGTGATGCGGGAGTTGTCGGTGTGCTGCTGGTCTGCTTCGCTGCCTCTACATGTCTTTGTACATCGTCTTTCAGTACGCGGCCGTCTCTTCCTGTGCCTTCCACGTTTTCTATGTTTAGATTGAATTCCTTGATCATGTGTCGTACAGCAGGTGTTGCCAGCATTGCATGCTTGCCCAATTGCCGTTGTGGTTTTGGCTCTTCTCTAGGAGGTTCGGGTAGAGAAGACGATTGCCCCGGAAGTGACGAGTCTCCGCTTGCAGCTTTTGTGTCGTTTCTACCAACCTCCAGAACTTGTTCTTGGGGTTCTGGGTCCTGAGACGGCTCTTTGCCTGACCCTCCATTGAGCAAGGCTTCGTCGGCGGGGGATATGTCGCTTTGGATGTCGATGTCTACCAGAGGCTGTGGAAGTCAGTCTCATTATGTCCCATGCAGTCTGAAAACCATCTTACCTTGCCGACTTTGGCCATGTCGTCAGCTTCATAGTACAGCCTCTTGATAACGCCATCAAATCGCGACGTAATCTGCCTGTGTCTTAGAAACGTGGTCTGCTTTTGTGTACTTGGATGCCTACTTCGACTGAAGCCTTATCCGACTGTACTTCGCAGATAGGATCGAACTGCTCGACACGCGCGCCGGGCTTGACGAACCACTGGATGACTTGACATTCGGTGATACCTGACACAACCTTAGTTTCCAATTTCCCTGTACACACCTGCAGTACTAACCTTCCCCGATATCCGCCAGCAGATACGGCTTGACCACTAACAGCTTGCTTGTTCTACTGAACCCTCTCCTTTGTGTTTGTTGCCATGCATTCCGGTTTCGCGTGGCCGCAATTGGCGCTTTTCGTGCTATAGCGGACTGGCTCAAGAGCCGTGTGGCTTCTCTGGATGCAAAGGACTTCATGGTGAGTGGAACGTGAGGACAAACTCTGCATGCGACAGGAACATAATCAAGTACTGTGGCCTCGGTTTATGGCATACGGGACATGCCAAAGGTGAAATGTCAAAGCCGACGACAAGCGTTCGGGGACAACGTTAAGGCCGGCTGGGGTAAAAAGGTGGTAGCCGCATTGGGCATGGCGAAGTGCGGGTTAAGAGGAAGGAGCGTGCAAGAGAAATAATGCGTGACCAGATGACCTAGATACGATTTACCACGGCTGGCCTCGAAATAATCATGGATTTCGTCTAGCAGTGCGGCTTAGCCTCAGATATTGATCTTCCACCTCACCTCCCCTCCACTCGATTGACCCAATGTGATCAACGATAGATGAGTTCGTACAAGATGGTACACCACACATGTCAGATTGAACATACAATGCATAGTTGCTCATGATATACCTAATTCTTGACTGAACACTGGAAACGGCTTGTTTACACAATTGGTCGACACTAAGGCCTCTGGTACCCGGCCAACCATTAGAGGCCAAGGCAACAATGTCATCTGGTAGAACAAACTAATTACTGACACGGTGGAGCGCTTTCTAGCATGCTGAAAGTTCGATCTGCACCAATATTATGACATGTGCATGCTAGGAGATCGCTGTCGCCGATGATGCTCTAAGATGACGCGGGGGCGTCAGAGCACGAGCCTTCAACGCGTCTCGAGAACGCGTTTGTGAGCAAAGCACAATCAGCCCGCTTCCACATATCACAGTCCGCAACCAACGATACCACACAACCATGAGCAGCTCCAATGTCCTCCTATGCATCGCAAACGAAAACAATGCTCCAGTCTTCCTCTAAGAAGTCCACACAAATCCTCGGACTCACCGCGACACGCGACGAAGCAAAGGCGCCGTTGCCATCGAAGCGGAGGAGAGAGGCTATATGCGGCCTGGGAACCTTCAACAAGCCCTTCACTATCAAGCCATACCCGAGCTCGCCATACGATAAGCCTGCCACGTTCAAGCCGGTGCGCATTATCGGACGTGCCCAATTTCCCCTCACCTTTCTCGACACATCCTCGGACGACACCTTCGCCGCAAACTGCCTGTTCTCCGCCTACATTGATGTGCTGGAGGACGGAAATGACGCCAAACCCAACGATTACATACCGCCGAGGGTGCTCATTGCACGACACGAATCAAAGAAGACGTTGTACGCCATAGAACGTGTCCGCCCCCGTGTTTACAGTATCTGCAAGATTGCTCAGTGGCTGAAAGAAAAGGACGTCGCAGAACTGTGGGACCCCTCGATCCTCGCGTTGTACCCCGCAATGCCAGCATCGGAGACCAGCAATGTCGTGGGTGGGCAATGGTGGCAGCACGCAATCACGAAGACGCAGCCAGTCGAGCGGCCGCTGGAACGTGCTAGGATAACGATGATGCGATGCAAGCCCGAACCAGAACTCGTAGAAGAAGAGTCACAGATGCGACGTGATACTCCAATAATGGAGGAGACCGAAGTCATAGATTCTGCCCCCAACCATCTTTTTCCAGAACCGACGATGGAACTACCGTCTCCCCCAGACCAGCTTGAGTCATTGCGTCAGCTGTATTTGGAGGCAGTCTATCTATCGAAAACCTCTCTGGCATACTTTGCGAAAGGACCAATTGCACGGATACGCAACGCTTTCACGTCACCTGAGGAAGGTGCTCCGCCAACGCACGAACTGGTAACGTTCCTGAGATCAATGCTTCTCAGTCCGAAAGCCAGCGAGAAGAAATACTACGAGAAACTGCCATCACTCATCAAATCGATACCACCAGGAAGCTACTCCGACGAGGATATAGCTGCAAAAGGCGTCAAGACTAAAAGATCAAAGAAAAAGATGAAGCTTACTCGAGACGGCGTTTACCCACAAGAAGAGATTGAGATCAGAAAATGGTGGATGTCAGAGATGCCAAACTCGGAGAACAATGGACAGGAGACGATAGAACAACGCATCAAGAGGCGGATTGGAGACATGAGGGTGCGCGAGACACTTGCCCAATTAACCCTCATGCTTGAAATCATTGCCCTGGAAGCCCTTTCTACATACAAGCCGCCTCCCGGAGGTTCTTTAGTGGATGAAACTCAAACCCAGGAGGAATCGCAAATAATACCAAACAAGCGCAAGAAAAAGCTAGATGACATCAATTTGCAGCTAGATCTACTACTGGATAGGCTGTGCATCTGGCATGCTACTGAGGAAGCAGGCATTTTGGACTTCGAGGCAGATCCCTCAAAACAGAATGGAACTGCTGATGGGTCGGGCAAAGGCGCCGCCAACGACCGCTTACATGGGTTCTGCGTCGAAGTTATCATACCATTCTATATGAACCGACTCCCCGAGCAGGCGCTCATGATCAACAAGAAGCTCGGAGGACCCGCGCACAGCCTGCCATCGAAACGCAAGGCAATGAGACCGCCAGTAACGTCACGTAAATCGGGAGAGTTGAAAGACCGGGAAATCAAAAAGTCACGCCGATCGTTGGCAAGGGTAGCCACTGATACGATAGGAAGGACTGGGGAGCGAGTAACGCCCTCTTTCAACCGAGCTGCTACCGACTCTATCCTGGTAGATGGAATCAAGCGAGAAGGGAGCGAGGCGCCCTTGTCAGCCATTCCGTTCCATCGCAGTCCTTCAAAGGGTGCTCGGCAGTCTATGTCGCAGCTCAAGCATCTGCAAGGTCGCCAGATTGACCTTACCACAACCTCTGCCGCGGCCACAGCGAAGATGAAGCAAAAGCAGCGAGTTGAGGAAGACCTCAAAGAGGCCATCTCTGCTTTGAAAAAGCCAAACAGAGGGCTAGCCGTTGGAGGCTACATGGCAGATGTCGAGCGTCGTGGTATCAGTTCGACCGACAAGTCGAGAAAGCCGGCGAACCCTGTGAGGAAGGTTGTGAGAGATGTCCAGGTCACTGCCACTCCTCGAGCCGGCCGCAAGACGAGGGACATGATCGGGCAAACACCGACTCACTACCACAGCAATCCGTTCGTTCGACAGGTCGTAGCCGAGGCGCCTCCACCCTCGAGCGACTTTTGCGTTCCATCCTCTGGGGTTCGCCCGCCACCCTTCATGATGAGCACAACCGTCCAACGCAATACAATAAGCCGGACTCAGCCGTACGAGGGCATTGCAGAAACGCCTTCCAAAGCGCCGAACACAAGAACGTTTTCGTCGGGAACAGCACGCAGGAGTATCTTCGAGACTCCAGTAAAAGGTGTGCCCTCTTCTCCAGACCGGTGGCCACCGGTCGCACCACCTGTGTTTGAAACACCTGTCAAGAGCCTCGACAATTCGCTTCCCATCTCAAAACTCAATATTCGATCTTCTCCAGATATCGTTACCCCGCCTAGAGCCATTGCGCTGCCAGATGTAGTTGCTGGATCGAGTCCTCCGAAAGCAGGCGAGGCTTCGATATACGATGCACTGGGTTGGAACGACGACGACGATATGTTGTGAGGTTGGTATTTATTTTTGTTTTGTATGCATAGCGAGCTTGGAATGGGGGTTGCATTTGCATTGGGTGGCGTATGTTGCATACTAGTTATTCGGGTTTTGCTACGGCAAAGGCGTAACCAGGCGGCTTCGATACGAGAACGGAACATGTCAAATATTACCAACTTGTACATGCCTCACCGGATGTTTTCATGGAATATACTGAGTGTGCACGTAGCATGCGATCTCGAATCACTGCACACAAGACAATGAAGTTTTCTAAAAGTTTGTTTATGCGTAGATCTTATCTGGAAGGATTGATTTACCGGTCGAACCATGCTTAGCGAAACGGCGGTTCGCGTGCTTGGAGATGACCAATGTCCATCACTTGATCTAGCCTATGCATGGGAACCTCAACAGTCACAAATCTAATTCGACCATAACGCAGACAGGATATTGCCAGACATCCCGTAAACAGAGAGCAGCGATAGCAAGAGTGCCTCGAACTCGTCCAAGCTTGACTCGAGTCACATTCATGCGCGGTCCAAGCAGGTGTCTGGACAGGCTCATGGATACTAGAGCGGATTGCGCCCTTGGTTCCTGCAGCAAGCGAAATTTACAAACAAAGAAAAACGGGCCGCACCGCCGAATCAGAGGTGCTGGAGGAGAAGTGGGACCTGTTGTATGCCGGGGGGTGATGATCCCGACGGTTAGCCTCGAGGACACTTGCACAGGCCAGCTGTAAGGCCGTAAAGGGGACAAAGATGGCCAGGCACAATTATGAAAGGCGCAGGCGAGTGCGCTATATCTTTTCTCTCGTAGACATCGCGCCGACCTACTCCGACCCTTTCTCCACGATTCAATCACCAGCGGGATTCGTGTTTCGACGTTCGCACCCTGGATCCAGACGACCATGTTCATCTGCAGCTCGCTAATATAGCTTACCTTGATCGCAACCCGCAACCATGCAGCTAGCCAGAACATTACCCCAGGGGCACAAGGGACAGTCCTCGCCGAGGAGCCCTCTTCTTAGCGATGCAGGCATGATTCTGCCCGACTTTGGCGACAACCACCTCCGCAGTGAATCGCCGCATCCTCACTTTGAACGCCCGCCTTCGCTTCCGACACTGGATGCTGTGTACGGACATTCGAGGTCATCTTCCTTGGCAGGGACTGTTCCGATATTAGACTCCGTGCCTGCGAATCGGCGCCGCTCCTCGCAGCCCTCGAGATTCACATCCGTGTCTTCGGGTTCTCATTCCAATTCCTCGCTGTCAACGCTGCGCAAGATGAGCGCTCCAGAGGGCATTTGCAACGATGCTCTGGCGTCCTCGCCAACCGCTCACGATGCGCTCCCACGGAGCACGTGGGACGAGGACGATCGCAGAATCAGCGTCGCGTCGAGCTCGGTACTCAGTGAGGATTTTGAGAATTGGCCCGGATTCGACAGCCACGGCGGCTTTGACGACAGCGGAGTGGATCTGGAGGACCAGGAGGACCACCACCACTCTCCCAGCACCAAAAACAACCAGGGCGACGAGGCGGGAGCCGAGCGGACTCCAGGTGGGCGTACAAGTGGCAGCAGCGACGACGAGGATGACCCATATTCGTCGGCAGCTCTGAGCAGACGAGCAGAGATCATCCTGGCCAATGCCAAAAAGCGCCTCAATGTACGCGTAACTGTAAGCTAAGGACGATTGGGCCGTTACTGACGGTACACAGGTCATGGAGGGCAACCTCAGGGGTGCGCGCGAGTCGCTGGTCGTCTCTCCTACCTCCCCACCCAGGACAAGATCCTCGTCGGAACTATCGCAACACATCTCGGCCGCGCGAGACAGAGACAGGCGGCTGTACGCTGGTATGGGGCCAATCCCCCCTCGCATACATTCCTATCGAACGCCTCTGTCTTCCTCAACCAACAGCTCGGCCGGCCATGCGCGAGGAGTAAGCGAAACATCGATACCACTACCTTTCTCGTCTACCTACATGACAAAAACGCCGGCGAGCAAGCGCGCGTCAAGCGCAATGGGGGCTGCACGTAGTTCATGGCTACAAGAAGGATACGGCAACGGTCGCTTCCCCGTAAAGGAATCGAGGAGCTACGACAACATACGAGATCCCCGTGCTAGTGGCCAAAGAACGCCTGTGAGGTCGACATCGAGAAGCTCGAAATCCGCACTTTCCCTGGCCACATTGCGGGAAGACGACAGCACGCCAACGCTGCACCGATCTACCTCGGCTGCGAGCGACCTCCGCGAGCAGGTCAACGATCTGAAGGGCAGGATATCGAGTCTGAAGCAACGGGCGCAGGACGATCGTCTCAGACGGCGCAGCACCCAAAGCCTCCGCTCACCCAGCCCATTCACGTCTGCCGAGACTTGGAATTCGTCGCCGGACGCTCATCGGACCGACAATCGCCAGTCCCCCCGAGCACCGGCTACAGGCCTGGGCATCACGACAGATCCTCCAATCCGAAATACTCATCTGTATGTGTACAAAGACGAGTATATGAACGGACCTATGAGCGCCAGGACGACTACCTCCCAGATCGAAGGCGAACGACTGTTGCTCTCCGGCGAGGGTCAAGACGAGTTTGATGAGCCTCCACTTCCTACACGACACTTTGGTGCTCAACCTTCGCTGCGTGAGGGCCCAGGAACACTCAAGAAATCTCAAGACGTAGAAAAGACAGAAGATCTTGATGACGATGATGAACCGGAAGTCGTGGGTGACAGTGTCTACGAAGATGCAGTCTACGAGATGCCCATTACCGCACGCCATGAGGACCGCGTCGATGCGTTTGACTACGAACACTTCTTCCTGCACAGTGCCATGGGTACCTACAGCTTGGAAAGTCGCAGATCCAGCACGAGCTCCACCAGTTCCACCGCGACCACACGGCCCACAACGGCTATCAACGATAACAGTACCCCTAGCAAGTCACAACAGAGGAACTCGATGCACGCACGAAACGCCAGCGCCGATTCAGTGTCTACCATAGCGACGTTTGCCACGGCCGCCGAACGGCAAAACGACGACGACGACGAGAACGAGCAGATGGATCAGTTCTCGCAGCAGCTCCTTTCCAACCAACAGTCGACGACACCGCGACCTGGAATCACGTCGCTCCGCACCGACTCCGCCATCAACTTGCGACGCGGCAACGGCTCTTCGCCGACTGCGAGCTCGGTCTCCCGCGGCTCGTCGTCACCAGGTGACCTTGTTAGCGGACTGCGGACGTCGAAGCTGTTCTCCACTCTGACGGAGGCTCCACGCGACGAGCCACGATTGGCTCTCAACGAAGAGGACAAGCAGCTCATCTACAGCCTGGCCGCAAGCTTCCAGCACGTATGCTCCAGCCTCCAAAACACATACGGGGAGCAGTACGAACGCAAAGCATGGCGACGACGGCTCGAGGAGGCGCGCAGAATACTGGCCGGCGAAGATGCCGAGGACGACCCGTCTTTTTAGATCCGCGTGACCTCTTTCAACGCCCCGTTGACTGACTGACGTGGTGGAAATAAGTAATGTTTATTGTTTTTGCGTCTTAGCGTTCGAGACGTGTCTCCGGTCTCAGGAGCTTCTCTCTACTTCTAATGTCTATTTGTTTTCGGACTCGGCGCGCTGTATCTAGCGTCCGCTGTGTTGCTTGGTTTTTTGTTTGGGGACGATGGTGGATTGTCTTGTGTTGATACCCTGGGGTGGCGGAGTCGCGGTGCTTTGGTGTGTGTGTGTGTGTGGGCGTTGTATGCAGGTATGGTGGGTGGTGTGTCCGTTCTAGATCGTTTTGCCACCTATGCAGCAGGCATGGTGATAAATTCCATAACGACCCAAGTTCAATTCGATTCGATGCGCTGCGTGTGTTGGGGCCTTGGGCATGTCTTTGTAACAAAGTGGGAACTGTGGTACACTAGTGACGTGAAATATGCCCCTCCCGCCCGAAGCTGTCAGGACGGCTGCTGTCGTCGTACCTACCTTCCTCGCCTTCTCGCCTTCCTGGGCTGGACAGGCTGTTGACAACCCCCCCGCCACGGCCGTCATGTCCAGGGCGCAGAATCTGAACCGCGCTGCGTTGTCCACGTACCAAATCACCTCGTGCGCAATCGAATCCGGCAGCTTGTTATGCACGTTTGCGCCTGGCCAGTAGGGATGGTGGTTTGCGATTGGGCCCGAGGCACCATCTAGAGACTGGCGGTGTAGAAGCAACCACCTCACAGAGGCCGTGAAGGGTGTCCTGCCGCGTCTATGGCGGGACAATGTGGCGGCGGGCGAGGCAGCACGGCATGGGGGGGAGGGGAGGGGAGCAGGACTGAATCCTTCGCCGCCGTGAACTACGTTCGTCTGCCCACCACCCACAAGACGCGCAGCCCTCGCACATACATACATACATCCATACATACATATCATGCACATGCACGCGCGCCTCTAGCTCCCGACACATTTGCCAGTGTCTAGCGGAAAAAAGCCCTCTTAACGCCTGCATCGCGCATCGCGCATCACGGCCTTTCCCTGCATCTGTCTAGACGATCGCCTGGTTCTGTTCTGTCCTGTCCTGTTCTGTTGTTGTTGTGTTGACACACCTCTCGCTGCCTGCACACGTTCATCCCACCAACCAAACCCAACCTCTTTCGCCATCCTCACGATCCCCCGATCCCATCCCGCACGGGACGTTTCCGTACCTACCCCTCGACCACCACACCCCCTCTTTTTTTTTTTCCTAAATTCGCACGTTTGAGGCGGCTGGCCCGCGCGCGCGCCGTGTGACGAACTTGGATGAAACGATCTGAAGCTGGAAAAGGCTAGCCAGCAGCTCGTAGGGGAAAAGAGAAGCTACCTATTTGGCGCCGATAGTCGCGGAATAATAATATCCACGTCGAGGTCAGCCAGACAGGCAAGGCACACACACACACCTCATACGACGAACGCCCTGTGACCACTCGCGACGCTTGCTCCCCTTGCACTCGTGCATTCGCGACCGCGACCCGTGACCGCGCAAGCTTCCCCGGAGCCCTATTCGCCGCGCAACCACTCACTGCATATCGCATATCCGCCAGAATTCAAGACATTACCGCATTCACGCGCGCTGCTGGGCGTCTTGCTTTTTCGCCCCCCGTGTGCGCCCTGCCCTGCATTTGCACGTATCTTTGCCGCAGCCGACGACGGAGATAGATAGTCACGCCTCACTACATACCGTACCGTACCGTACCGTACCGTGTGCCGTACCTCGCCCTCTTCTTCCATCCACACACCACCGCAAAGGCCTGAGCGGTTTCGCACGAGCGCTCATGTGCGCGCTTTCGTCTGGCTCCTTCTGTTTGCGCGCCGATAGTCTCCCGCATAATGTCGACTGCGAGCTCACGTCGCGCCACTGCCGCGCCCGCTGCGAGGCGGAGAACACGGATGGCTGCGAGGCCGGGATTGTATGAGCGCGGCTGGAGCGAGGAAGAGCGCATGGAGGTGTGGGAGCCCGTTGCCGAGTCCATGGAGCATATATTCCATGCGCTAGACGGCTGGGAATACCACGGTACTGGGAAGGATAGAGGGAATGGGAACGCTATCTCGGTATGACGACACTCTTCGCGCTTTTTTTTGGTCGATTCTTCTCCCCACGTTTTCTGGATGCAAGCTATCCCCCACCGACCCAGATTTTGGGCGAAAGGATTAGTGGTTGCGATGCGGTCATGTGGTTTGGTTCGATTGACGACTTGATTTCTTGATATCTAACTTCCCGCCAGTTCCACGGCCTCGCCACTCGATTCTCTGGACTCGTCTCGTCGACACGGAATTCCTCGCCAGAACGCTGGACGGATACGCCTCGAAGCTATGGTACACCGCCGCCTTCCTACGATGATACTGTCGCCGATGCGCCGCCCGATTACACCTCCACCGATGCGCTCGCCGTTGCGCAAACGCCCGAGTACACGCCTTTCTCCAGTTTCAAGCCATCGGACGTCCCTGGATGTTTGCGAAGAAGATACATCACATCACCTAGTTCATCGCTGTTTTTCGACGACAAATCACTATACGCAGACATAGATTTTGGCTTCACGCAAGACGGGATCAAGTCACACGCGAAGAAGAAGAACACCAAGCCTGCTGCAGCAGCGAAGAAGCCAGCGGCCGATGCACCGGAAGAGAAGAAGGCAGACAAACCAGGCCCCAGTGGCGGAGATGGCGCGGGTGATCCCCCCGCAGATGGTGGAGCAGGCGGTGGCGACGGTGGAGACGGCGGGGGTGGGGACAAGGGAGCAGGTGGGGACGATCCGGGAGACGGAGGCAAGAAGAAGAAGAAGTCCAAGAAACAGGCGCAGGAAGAAGAAGCCGAGCGCCTGAAGAAAGAGGAGGACGAGCGCTTAGCTAAGGAAGCAGAAGAAGAAGCCGAGCGCAAACGGATAGAGGAAGAAGAGGAGGAGGCTGAGCGCATCCGGAAGGAAGAAGAAGACGCCGCGGCGGCAGCAGCAGAAGCAGAAGCAACAGCGGCGGCGGCGAAAGCGGCTGAAGCCGACGACGGGTGGGGAGGGCTCGCGTCTACCGCCGGCAAGAAGAAGAAGGGGAAAAAGGGGAAGGTTCGCAATCTCGGTTACCTAGTCCCATGATGCCAGCGCTAACATGACGATAGGCCGATGCCGCACCTCCACCTCCCCCTCCTCCTCCCGAACCACCCTTGATAGCAACCACGTTTGAGGACATTCTTGTTGACGACGCACCAACTGTACCGAAGATTGATATGAGCTTTGGCGACACGGCCCCAGCGAAATCGATACTTGGCAGCCTAGGCGGCTGGGGTCTTGGCAGTTGGGGTTCGTCCAAAGCCGACAAGCCAAAGGAAGCGGAGAAATCTGTCAACAAGAAGTCGTCTTGGGGGTTGAGTGACAGCTTGAAGGATGCGGGTGCCGACGCGGACAGTAATCCTTGGGACGCGGAGAAGAAAAAGAAGGATTCGTCTGGCTTCGACTTCGACTTTGATGCTTCCAAAGGCCAGCCCGAGCAGCCTCCTCCAGCAGTTGAGGAGAAGCAGGAAGAAGATGCTTGGGGGAGTATTGCGCCTGTCAAGTCGAAGAAGAAGGGCAAGAGAGGTGTCTTGATTGAGGAGGAGCCTGTACCTCCACCGCCCCCGCCACCGCCGCCGCCACCTCCGCCCCCTCAGCTGGAGCAGCCCAAAGAGGACGAATGGGGGTCGTTTGCTTTTGGCGATGCGAAAGAGAAGAAGAAAAAGAAGAGGGGTGGTGTTGAAGAGGCACCTGCTCCGCCGCCAGAAGCAGCGCCAATGATCGAAGTTCTTATGCCAGAGCCCTCTCCAGTCAGAGAAGAGGATCCTTGGGGCGGGTTAGCGACGACGGTCAAGAAGGTCAAGAAGAGCAAAAGAGGCGCGAAGGAGGAAGTCAAGATTGAAGAACCGCCTCCACCGCCACCTGAGCCTGAGCTTGTTCCAGAACCTGAACCTGAAATACTCGAGCCTGAACCAGAGCCGGAGCCAGAGCCGGTCGTAGACCCGTTTGCGGGGCTGACCAAGTCGCAGAGAAGGAAGCTCGAGAAGAAGATGAAAGACGAGGCTCTGGCCAAAGAGGCAGAGGAGGCGGAGCGCAAGAAGATTGAAGAAGACGAAGCCGAGATCGCCCGACTCGAAGAGGAGGAGGCTGAGAGGCAGCGATTCGACGACGAAGAGGCTGAGCGCATAAGATTGGAAGACGAGGAAGCTGAGCTCAAGAGGCAAGAGGAAGAAGAAGAAGCCGCCGCTGCTGCTGCCGAAGCCGAGAAGTCGAAGAAGAATGATACTTGGGATGATTGGGGTGGTGCGGCACCTACCATGGCCACGAAAAAGAAGAAGAGCAGGAAGGGTAGAGACGCTGAATTGCTTCCACCGCCGCCCCCGCCGCCGCCGCCACCACCGCCTCCACCAGCGCATCCTGAATTCGAGCCCGAGCCGTTCTTTGATCATGAACCGAGTCCATCGCCCGCCGAGGAGAAGCCAGCAGCTGAGGGCTGGGACGAATGGGGCGGAGGAGCAGCCCCGTCCAAGAAAGGTAAGAAAGGTAAGAAGGCTGCAGCGGTCGTCATCGTCCCGGACCCAGAGCTAGAGGCAGAACTTTCCGTCGACGAAGAGGTTCCTCCCCGGCCGTCATTCGAGCCCGGCGAATCAACGTCCATCATCTCGGAACTCCTCCGGGCCAAAAAGGACGACAAGTCCGAGGGCGTCGACTGGGGGTTGAGCTCCATCTGGGGCGGGTCGAAGAAGAAGAAAAAGGGCAAGGGCTTTGAGCTTGACTCGCTTCCTGAACCTGAACCAGAGCCGGAGACTCTTGTCGTTGAGGCTGCTGATGTCCAGGAACCCGACGGCTTTGAGGAGCCCAGAGCTGAGGGGGAGGAAGAAGAGTGGGGCAGGCCGTCATGGGGCAAAGGCAAGAAGCACTCGAAGAAGGACTTCCCCATTGAAGTCGTCGGCGAGACAAACGCTTTTGTTCAGAAACCAGATGACGACGACCCGTGGGGCAGCGCGGCGTTCAACATCGGGAAGAAGGTGAAGAAGAGCAAGAAGGGACTTGTCCCGCCCAATGGCCCCTCGCCAATAGGTGAATTCGAACCAGAGTTCCCGCCACCGTTGGAGATCGAAGCGCCTCCGCCCGCTGAAGAGGAGGAGCGCAAGCAAGAGGATGATATGTGGAACTTTGACGCTCCTACCACGACGAAGAAAAAGAAGAAGAGGGGTGAGGTCGTGGAGGAAGTAATTGCCCAACCGTTGTCTATTGACTCGCTCAGGTCGGCTGGGAATGCCATGGAAGACTTGATTTCGCTCGATGAACCGGCTCCCGCTGATCTTCTACCTCCTCCTCCTCCTCCACCGCCACCTCCACCTGCACCTGCACCTGTAGAGGAGAAGAAAGACAGGCGAGAGCGGGAAAAGGCGAGGGAGAAGGAGAAGGAGAAGGAAAAAGAGTCCAAGTCGAGCATCTGGGGCGCATTCTCCTCCTCGAAGAAGAAAGAGTCGAGCAAAGACAAACGGGCCCGCGAGAAGCGCGAGCAAGAGGAGGCAGAGGCAGCCGCAGCCGCAGAGGAACAGGAACGTCTCGACCGCGAGGCCGAGGAAGCTGCTGCTGCAGCCGCGGAACAGGCTCGCATCGAAGCCGAGGAGGCAGAGGCGGCTCGCGTCGCGGAAGAGGAAGCCCGGTTGATAGAAGAAGCTCGCATTGCTGCAGAAGAGGAGGAGAAGAGGAGGAAGGAAGAGGAGGCGTCCAAGAGCTCTGGGTGGGGAGCGAGTATCTGGGGCGCGACCAGGCTGAAGAAGACGGAGACTATCAGGGAGAGGAAGGCTCGCGAGAAGAAGGAACAGCAGGAGAAGGATGATCAGGAGCGGAAAGAGCGTAGGGAGCGAGAAGAGCGGGAACGACTCGAGCAGGAGGAAGCAGATCGCGTGGCGCAGGAAGAAGCTGATCGCGTTGCGGCAGAGGAGCAGGAGCGACTGGATCGTGAAGCTGCAGAGGCTGCGGAAGAACAGGAGCGACTGGAGCGCGAAGCTGCAGAGGAGCAGGAACGACTCGAGCGCGAAGCCGCAGAAGAAAAAGAACGGCTTGACCGCGAAGCCGCAGAAGAACAAGAGCGTCTTGACCGTGAAGCGGCGGACGCTGCAGAAGCGGCGGCGGCGGCTGAGCGAGCGCGAGTCGAGGCCGAGGAAGCTGCAGCAAGGGCCAAGAAAGAGGCTGAGAGCTCTTCTGGTGGCTGGGGCATCTTCGGATCGTCCAAGAAGAAGGAAACTCCCCGGCAGAAGCGCGAGCGCGAGGCCAAGGAGAAGAAGCAGCGCGAGGAGCAGGAGAGGCTCGAACAAGAGGCTCGCGACGCTACGGAGGCGGCGGAGAATGCGCAGCGCGAGGCGGACGAGGCGGCGGAGAGGGCGCAGAGAGAAGCGGATGAAGCGGCGGAGAGGGCGCAGAAGGAGGCGGAGGAAGCGGAGGCTGCACGCATTGCGTACGATGATGAAATTGTCATGATTGAGGAGCCGCCGCCGACGAGAGAACGGAGGAAGAAGAAGAGGAGGGGTGTGGTCGAGGAAGAAGCTCCTGCCCCTCCGCCTCCGCCTCCACCGCCACCTGTGGACCTTCTTATGGATGACCCTGTCGCGGACGATGTACCGCTCGACGACTTGCTTGACATGGTGAAGGACGTCCCAGAGGAAGAGTTGCTTGCTGAACTTGGTCAGGCTGCTTCTCCTCCTTCATCCCCTCCTGCTACTCTTTCATCGCCTCCGCCTCCCTTCAGAAGGGGGTCCCCTCCTTACAGGAAGGATGAGGCTGGCTGGGGAAGCGCATGGGGTATCTCGCTCCGCAAGACGAAGAAGGAGGAGCCTAAACACGAATCCTTCTTCGATGAAGCTCCTCCGCCAGTTCAGGAGACGGGGTATATGGACCCGTTCGACGAGCCGCTGGACGAACCTGAGCCAGAGCCCGAGCTTGAGCCTGAGCCTGAACCAGAACCTGAAGTAGAGGTAGAGCCTGAAGCAGAGCCCGAGCCCGAACCGGAACCAGAACCAGAGCCAGAGCCGCAATCCAATATCCTTGCTGCGCTCAAGGCGGCAAAGGCGTCAAAGGCCGATCGATCGTCCAAGAAAAAGTCCAGGAAAGACCGATACGTCGAGCCCGAACCCGAGCCGGAGCCTGAGCCTGAGGCAGAACCCGAAGCTGAGATAGTCATCGACGATCTCGAGCCCGTGTTTGAAGACACGTATGAAGAGGCTTATGACGAGTATGCAGAGGAAGAGCCACCACCGCCACCCCCGCCTCCTCCACCTCCACCGCCCGTTGAGATCCTCGCACCGCCGACCAAGAAATCGTCGAGGTCGAAGAAGGAGGAGAAGTCGTCGAAGAAGGATAAGAAGCATAAGAAATCTAGAGAGCCGCCGCCGATCGAGGTCCCAGAGCCACCGCCCGTTGTCGAAGTGCCGAGGAGGAGATCGCCTGTCATTGGGGGCTTTCCTGACGACGATGAGATGGACTTTATTGATGAGGAGCCGCCGCCGCCGCCTGAAGAGCCGGAGGCCTTTCCTGATTTCGATGCTGAGCCTGAGCCTGAGCCGTTTGTTGAACCTGAGCCCGAGCCGGAACCGGAGCCGGAGCCTGTTGTGGTTGTTGTTCCGGAGAAGAGGTCGAAGAAATCTAAGAAGGAGTCTTCGAAGAAGGACTCGAAGAGGGAGTCTAAGAAGAGTAGCAAGTCGAGGGGGTTGCCGGTTGTGGAGGCGCCTCCCCCTCCTCCCCCGCCTCCTCCACCTCCTGAGCCAGAGCCTGAGCCAGAGGTGGAGATTGAGGAGGAGGTGGAGCCAGAGCCAGAGGAAGACCCTGAACCTGAACCAGAGCCCGAACCAGAGTCAGAACCGGAACCAGAGCCAGAGCCTATTGTCGAAGATGAACCCATGGACGACGATGACGACAACGACCTGTACGAGGACCCCGCGCTCGTCGAAGTCGAGGAGCCTCCTAAGCCTCCCACACCCCCGCCTGAGGTCAAGTTTTCTCCTAGGAAGGAACGTGTCAAGGCGGGGCGCACTGGGACGTCAGGATCATGGGGCGGCATCTGGGCTGGCGGCGCTGGTGGCTCACGAAGCAAACACGGCAGAACAAAGTACGGTGACGAGGGCGCTGCTCCTCCAGACGCCAACCTGTCGCGCTCCAAGTCGGTGCATACCACGTCGACGAGAGAGGACATCAAGTCTAGATCGTCTGGGTCTGACCACATGTCGAAGATGCCAACACGTTCCAAGCCAACACGTGCTTCAACGGGACTGGGCGCCATGTTTGGTGTGGGTGCACCACCTCCGCCTTCTAGATCAAAGTCGCATAGGACGAGCGCAAATCCACGGGGCATGTCTCGTCGACCGTCCATCGACCAGGATGCGGCGATGATGTCACCGCCGCAGACCGACACCGACGCCAAGTACTCGTCGAGGACGGCAAAGCTGCTGGGCATGAAGCAGCCTTCCCGGCGGTCGAGCACCAGGGACAAGGGCCGAACGCGAGGTAAGCACCCGGAAAATGAAATTGGCGGCGCAAGATTGGCGCGTGGGGTGTGTAAGCAACGGCACGGAACTAACCGAGAAGTAGCACCAGACCCGTATCCCATGGACGATGACATGGTGATGCTCGACGATGAATCACCCACGCACGCCCCGCCGCGACCAGAAGCATCGCGCCGCAAGTCGAAGCGCGGCTCTGCACCTCCTGCAGAACCCCTCACTGCACCGCCTAGCGCCGACGATCCCGTGCTAGTGGATGCCATGGATGCCGACCAAGCCCCACCCGATGCTGAGCGCCATCGCCGCGACCGCGACCGCGACCGCCCTCGACGCGACCGCGCCACGTCCAACGCGAGGGACACGTTTGCCGGCGTCGCGGGCGCTGCCGTCGCCGCCGGCGGCCTGATGAGCAGGTTTGGCCTGGGCCGCAAGAAGAGCGCGCCGCCGCCGCCCGAGGAAGACCGCCGTCGCACGCCCCACGAGACCGAGGATGAGCGCAGGCGACGCAAACGCTCCTCGACGCGCGGCGGCGTCACCGAAGACGAGGCCAAGCGCCTGCGACACGAGCGCCGCAGTCTGCGCCACCCCGGGCGCATGGCTGAAGGCGAGGAGGCGCTGATGTCGGGCGCGAACGGCGGCGCAACGGGCAGCCCCGACCACGATGCGGAGCGCGAGGCACGCCGCGCAGAGCGCCGCGCCAAGCGAGACGCGGACAAGGGCTCGCGACGCGCCGAGCTCGAGGAGGTCGAAGCCAAGGCCGAGCGTCGCCGCGAGCGAGAGCGCGAGAACGAGCGCGCCATCGTCGCCGAGAAGAAGGCGCGCCAGATGGCCGAGCTCGAGCGCCGCAACAAGCAGGCCGAGGAGGACTTGCGCCGCATCGCCGAGAAGGAAGAGCGCAAGCGCATGCGGGGCGAGCGCAAGCCCACCGACGACACACGCGAGCACCGCTCGTCGCGTCGCAAGGACAAGGAACACGAGCCGTCGCGACCCCACAACGAGCGTCGCCGCTCCCACGCAGAAACCGACGACGACCGCCGCCGTCGCCACGAAGAACGCCGCGCCGCGCGCCGCAACTCCGAATACCCAGCCGCCCCAGCCCCCGCCCCCGCCGACCCCATAATGGACTACTTCGACGTGCGCAACGGCGAAGCCGCCCCGCGCCCCTCCAACAAGACCCGCCCCTCGCGCCGCGCACCCCCCCAAGACGAGCAAAACCAACCCTACATGAACAAAGGCACAGACAAAACCTCCTCCTGGGTCGAATCCTTCAACATCGACCCCCCGCTGCCCCCGCCCATATCGGAAACAGTCTTCGACCCCCTCCCCAACACCCGCGACGCCCCGGACGACGAAGAAACACCCTCCCAAGACGAAGACATCCGTCTGCGCATCGCGGGCCGTCGCGGCGGGAAGCGCGAGAAGGAGAAGGAACGCTCTGCAAGGGAGAAGGCGGAGCGGGAGCAGGCTGATAAGGACCGCGAGCGCAGACATCAGAGGCGGCGCTCGCATTACGACGCTATGCCCGCGCCTGCGCAGACTAGCGATGAGGTTGTGGATGATGTCGGACGGACGAGGAGGGATCGGAGGAAGACTTATCATGAGTATGATGAGCCGTTGCCGCCGGTTAGGACGTGGGATGGTAGGCCGGCGGAGGTTGTTACGCCCATGGCGAATTCGGGCGGGAAGAGGGGGAGCTGGTTTAAGAAGATGTTTTAGTTTTGGGTGAGGTGTTTTTTATTCTTTTTTACGCTGGTGATGAGTTTGATGGTTATGGGTTGGGATGTTATGAGATGCATTGCGTGGCGTTTTTTGTCCTTTTTTGCGCTTTTTACTTCGACTTCGAATTCTTCAGTGTGCGGTTTTTGGTATGCGGGTTGTAATTCTTGGATGTTCTTTTTTTGCTTGCCTGCGTAGCGTAGCGTTTTGTTGGATTTTTTGCGCTTCTTTACTGCTTTTCGCCTTTTTCTTCGTTCTTGTTCTTTCTATTGGGTATGAGTTTGATCTGGTTTGATCTGGGGTGGATTTGAGGTGGATATGGGTGCGTGTATGTATGTATGTATGTAGCGAGATAGATACCCCGTCATGTATTCAATGATGCACACACACACATACATATGCATGCCAACTTCCATATTACAAGGTTTTGTCGACGAATAAGCTGTTTTTGTATGGTTCCGCGATGACATGAGATAAGATGAAAAGAAATGAATAAAGTGTGGTATTGATATTGATGTTGTGCCTAACCCAACCATTACGCCATGCCATGCCCTGCCCAAGTCCATGCCCATGCTGAACCTCCGAGAACGATGCTCTCCCCGTCATGTCTCCACACACGCCTCTATTGCTGCTGCTGCTGTTGCTGCTGCGGCACGGCCGTCCCTTCAAAACCATCCCCACCCTCCATATCCTCGTCCTCCTCATCATCCTCCAAGCTCTCGTCTTCCTCCTCAAACCCCGTCTCAATCTTCAGCGTCTTCAGCCGCTCTTTCATCTGCTCCCGCTGCTCGCCCTGCCATCTCGACAGCGCCGCCGCAGCGTGCACCTTGAAGCCAAACACGCGCGGCTCGTACCGTCGCTGCGACTTTGGCGGCAGCATCGCAGGGTAGACCTGGAAGAGGATATTGTGGAACGAGGAGCCAAAGTACGCGCCGTCGATGACAGCATGGCGCGACGACTTAGGGTTGTACAGGTCTTCGCAGCGCGCGCAGTAGAGCTTTACGGGGGACGTGTTGGAGAGGTCTGCCTGGCCCATGGGGAGGAGGGGCTGGGATTCGCACATGACGCGGGGACATTTGCCAAAGTCTGATTTCTTGAACTTCTCGAGCTAGACAAATCTTGTTAGCCTTTTTGACGTGTGGGAAGCTGAGGAGTGTGTTGTGTGTGTAGTACCATCTTTGCCAGACCCCTAGTCGTGACAATGTAGCGCGCGTGCACCAGGCCGTAGAGATGGCGCGCCGACTTCTCAATCTGCTCCCGCATGTCATCGTCGCAGTCGAAGTCGAAGACGTCGGTTACGAGATCGAGCGCGTATTGGTAGTATTGCACCTCGGTGTTCAGGCCTGTGAGGTTGAAGCGGTCGGTGAGGTATTCCTCGTCGATTTCGCAAAAGTACTCGTTCCCTCGCGAGGATATAAACTAGCATAGTGTTAGCCAGCGGCTCTGCAGGTCTCTGTTCCAGTCTACATTTGGGAGTGGGCGGCCCCAGTGCTCCTCCAAGAACGACGGCCAGTCTTCAGCCAGCATGATGGTGGCGTGGGACCAGGACGAGACGTATGAGCTCTGAGGACCGAGAAGCTGCGTGTGCTGGCACCTGACTACAGATACGTAGCTGTCGCAGAGACAGTCCTGGCTGGCGCATTGTCAAAACAGCCCTCATGCCGAGGACGGTAGGGACGTACCAGGCAGCCATGATTTCAGACCTGCGAACCACCATAGTGACATACAAGTATCACTCCCCGTACAAAGAACAAAGAGTAAAGTCGTATGCGGAAGTCATGTACCTACCCAGTCCCGCCAGTAGCTAGTGTAGTCGCTATCCGTCTCGCTGTTGAAATCGTCCATGCTGCGCGGTTGCTGTGTAGTAATGTTCAAAGGCAAGTCTACTCGATGGGTGCGTAGGTAGTGGCCACCAGTAAGGTGGGGTGGTGCGATTGCGCAAACACGGCTCGGGACGCAGTCGCGGAGAGTGAATTGCACATGGAAGGTGGAGGTGGGATGGTCACGGGACTTGGTGTTTCGGAGTTTCTATAATCCGTCCCAGCTCATCATGTCCCCGTCAACTCTACCGCATTGCTGGATTGACTTTAGTGGTACGTGCAACACTACGCATGTTATCTGGATAGTCTCCAGTTGTACTTGTTGATGCCTCGTCGTCCGCCATGACCGTTACATATTGTTATCCACATTGGCCCAACGCAACGACGCAGTAGGTGGAAGAAAACCTGGTAGTAACCACCCGCTTTCAATACTCGCTGGCCATACTGCCGACCTACAAGAGAGGAGCAGTTGCGATCTATGCACATTTTGCGTTGCATCAAGTTGGGTTCATGTAACGACTTCACTCGAAACCTTCATTGCTCAACAACGCTCCGATGAGGGAAGCTGGATTTACGAAGAATGCGATGCGCAAGCCTTCCATGGGTGTGCGGGTATTCACACCCCTCAATCTTGATACATGTTGACTACTGATGTGTGCTTCGTTGCAGGACGCCGCTCTTGATCTCGCATCCAGCAGAAAAGCATGTATTGAAATCAACTAGCCGAGCTCAATACCAAGCAGTGACTTTACATGGCGGAAAATGAGACCCACCATCCGAGTCAAAATCTGCAGTCCAAGGTGATTCTTCGGAGGGTGTCAGACTGCCGACAAATACAATATCGGCAAGAAACATCAGAGCACGGCATCTTTCCACGCTTTGTGTTGTACTCCGCGCCAACGGCAACATGCAGTATCACCACATGGCACACGTCCCTATTCGTGCGACATCCGTGGTGCAACATTCTGCAATAGGTGCTCTCACCGCTTCGTGCCAAGGGTAGTCGTGTCGCGCAGGAACTCTTGGAGTGACAGGTTCTTGGGTACGACATACGCCCGACATCATCGACAAACCAGGCGGTTAATTCCGAATTGGTGAGGACTGGGCGTCGCACGGCGGGACGAAAATAGAGACAGGGGACTGGTTCCCTGTTACACCGTGTGCTGTGTCCAAGACCATGCTAATGGAAACCTCTATTCAGGTTGGCGGTGTCGGTGGTAAGATTTGTACTCGTGTAGGAATGTCCTGCATGAGTCGGCAAACCTTTTGTGTTCTGTTAGAGTTGAGAACTCGACACGTGCTAAAAGACATCGTGCTATAACCGATGCATCAGCCTTAGTAAAGGATGTCTGGACTTTCGTGGAGCAGCGCTCAGCGCACCTCTCTGATGTGCTGGGAGAAGTTCGCTCGCTGAAACTCGTGTGGCCTCCATGGATTGGCAGCAAACAGTGGAGTCGTTAGAGGCTATGGTTCGTGATCAGTTCAAACCTCGTCGAACCCCTCAGTCTCGCATCTCGACCATATCGTTCATCAGGGGTATTTCCTCGCTATTGCAGGGGCAGCTTCATGAATCGGTTGTGTGACGACAGAGCTGCTGACACCAAACGGGCCGCTTGTGTCATCATCAGACATGAATGGGGCAGCTGTGGAACCATTCGCGAACAGCCTGGCTGATAACGGTGCTGCTGGATTCGGGAAATACGCGGGTCTTTGTGGTTGCAAAGACATATATGCATGGATCGGCGATATATCAAACATACCAAGCACTCGGTCAATGGCGAGTTGGGGAAGAGACATATGTCTAGCCTACCGTCGAAGGATCGAGGCGCGGCGATTACCTAGCCTTACGACCATGTCGGCCCGATCACGAAGACGTTTTTTCCGTCGGCGTTAGAAGAATCATCAACTGCACACCGGTGGGGATATGGACCATGCGAGCGATCCAGAAGGGTGTGGGCGGTGGCTGTATTGCCAATGAAAGTTTGTCGGTGGGTATGGTCTGATTTGGGCCCCTTTTCTGTGTAGTAATTTACACGTTGGAACATGTTGTCGGATCAACGAAAATCGCTGCACATAAGAAAGTAGTCTCGATCAGTGTTTACGCTAGCCCGACGTGGCGTTCTTGTGTGAGAGAAGCTGACTTTTAATAGGTGTGAATAATCGTGGAAAGAATCACATGTGTATGTCATGTCAACCTTTCAAAGGAATGTCTTCTTCCGGTGTCTGATTTTGGCCAATAGAAAAGCGCTGTACTTCAACACCGAGTCCAGATGTAGTTATCCGGTACGTTAAACCCGCGAAGCTCAGATCGACCATCAGCCACCTAGATAGTGTCGGCATGTCCGAGTTTCAACGTTTTAACTAACAACTTTAGCGTTAATGTTCTTTATGTACACCTGTTTCTTAGCCAAATTCGCAGATTTGTAGGACCGGACAATGACATGAACGACAGAACGCCGACACGTCAATGTCTAATTAGCCAACTTTCGGCCCGACAGTCCATGACATTAGGCACATGGAGAAGAGGTGTATCCACAAAATATTAATTCGAGCTCCTAGATAGCTTCCCACCCTACGTCTCACGACTTTGTGAAAACCTTTTTGGATCCTGGGTCAGTGGGGCTCACCAGCACCGTGTCCATTTCTCGCTCCGATCCAACTGAAGTGATGCGGTTTTCGTACTTCCACGCCGACTGACCGCTCTTGACAGAGGTCCCTCTCGACTTGCGATCACCTCCTTCTTTGACGTGGTTTGCCAGTGATTGGCCAGCCGTGACGAACCAAGGCAACCTACTTCGCGGCTTGACTAAGCTTGGGGTTAGCGTTACACTGCATTGTTACGGAGGACAACTTACTAGTCCAGTACTCGCGGTAATCCTCGTCATCAGGTACAATGCGTCCACAGGTTAGTAGCTTGGTGATGTAAATCATGCCATTGATAGCGGTGTACGTCATAAGGCCGGCTATAAGACCGTACGCTATGCTATACCCGAATGGGATGAACATGATGGTGACAAACGCAGGAAGAGCATCACCAATGTAGCGCCAGTTGATGTTGACTATCTGGCGCATCATCAAGCAGCCGACCTGTGATGAGGTTAGTTTGTGTTGACGGGAACCTGGGGAAGAACTTACGATGATCAAGGTACATCCAGTCGCCCATGGTGGAATTGAAGCAAACAAAGGCGCAAAGAACATGGAGATAAGAAAACAAAGACCGCCCATCATTGCGGTTAACCCGGTTTTGCCGCCCTCCACAATGCCAGCCCCAGACTCGATAAACACTGTGACCGGAGAGGTACCAAAGAGCGCACCAATAGAGATGCAGAACGCATCGGTGCAGTAAGCCAGGGTCGATCGGGGAAAATCACCCGTCTCCGGATCCACAACGCCGCAGAAGCGCGCCATACTATAAAGCGTAGCGGTGCAGTCGATAATGTCAACATAGAGAAACGTAAATAACGCGGCTGCGAACTGTGCGGAATCTTTGGAGACGTCCCAATCCAGAACGTTGAGAGTTTTGCTCATTGGGTGGAATTCGATAACCTGTTTGAAGAATTGCCAGCGATCGTCCCCAATGGGCGTGTCAGGGAAAAAGGTCATAGCAGTATTTCGACTGACTCAAGGTTAGATCCGTTTCACATAAGGAGATTTCGATACTTACGGCCATGAGATAATGGATACGAGAGCGATACCGATAATCATGGCGCTCTTGACTTTGTAGGACATGAGATACGCAGTGAAGATACCCCCACACGTGATGCCGATCCACACCTGGCAAGCAAGATGTTAGCATCCTCGTGCTACAACGAAGAGATTCAACTTACCTTTGGCGAAGACATCTTGTGGCTCGTACAGAAACCGTTGTCGTCTTCGTACTGGTCCGCACAGCCTGAAATCTGAAGAGGAGTGGTTTTGGCGCCGCTCACGGCACCAATACCTACCGAGTCGGACAGACCAATCAGTGCGAGTAGGAGCCCAATACCGCATGCGGCGGCGATCTTTAGTGAGACAGGAATGACTCGAACAAGCCACTGTCGCATGCCGATAAGTGACAGGAACATGAAAACAAAACCTTCGAGGAAAACAGCTGTAAGTGCAAGATTGTAGGAAATGATGCCGTCTCCATGATAGCCTACGACTTGGTAGGCGAAATAAGCGTTTATTCCCATACCAGGCGCGAGGCACACTGGCATGTTGGTGAGCATTCCGAATAGAAAAGAACTGAGACCTGCAATGGCTGCAGTAGCTGTAATAAGAGAGCGATTAAGGTCTATGGTAGAGTCAGTCTGCGTCAACGTTGATTGCAGAATTACGTACCCTGTTTGCAAATCAGATACTCCTCGTCTTGCAAGCAGAACGGATCCGTGGTGTCGGTGCACACACAGTTGCCGCCTGTGTCGGAAATGATAGAAGCCTTCTGGTGTTATTATGGATGTTCACATAACTTGAACCATTCGAGACTCACGTTGACAGCAATAATATAGGACATGGTAAAGAAAGTCGTGAGGCCTGCACGAAGCTCGGAAGTGAATTTGGTATTCGGGATCTCTTTCTCCTTCATGATGCGTTAGTCCTATACCTCAAAACTCACGGTGAGACTTACATGTCCTGAGCCTTCAAGGCGAAAGACTCGTCCGAATGTCGACGCACCAATGTAAGCATTGAGTGCATCGATCGACAAACGAATGGTATCCATAGTTGTGGGTAGAGGATACGAGACCCGTTTCTGACAGCTCTGAAGTCTCGGAAGGTCTGAGCGTCTGCAGGGACTCCTGTGCCAGACTTTTTGCTGCGAATTCAGGTAGAAGCAAGCATAAGATTGTTAGGAAGCAGCGAGTAGAAGCTCGCCAATTATGGGACGATGAAGGATAATAAGCGGTAAGAGTAGAAGGGTAGTAGATGGGGAAATAAAAGGAGACCCCACCGCAAGATAGAGGTTCGTCTCGTTATCCATTCACTGTGTCCATCTTGCAAAGAATAAGCAAATAGGCGGTCCACGCGTCGGGTCACCATCAACCCGCTCCCCTTGTAAGCACGGTGACGAGGTCACAGACCGCAGGAACGCGGCCAACGACAGGTGTCCGGGGTCGCCCTAGTACCTCGACAGGGTTGATGACTATGGCCCCGACCATCACGAATTCTGGCTGTGCGACCTCAATCCTCAACGGCAGTCTGTTGTACCACAAGGGATTTCCATATGTGACATCCTGCATGTTTTGTGGAGAGGCGATAACCATCTCCACGACCTGGTGCTGCCACATGTTGACCTTTGTGGACTGCTTCGATTTTGTACATCTTCGTTGTCTGTAGTTTCTAACGTTAGGATGCGTTGTTTGATCGCCGTGGCGCTACGGCAACTCTCCGCGTTCGGTGGGGGCAAGTGTGCCGGCAACGTTTGATACCTAGCCTCCCTTACGGCTCTTATCGAGTGTGAGTTTGTGCAAGGTACAGCCGCAAGGACGATCCCGTGCTGTCGGCAAATCGTCGATATGGGAGATATGTTTCCTTAATGGGCAGTCAATATTGAATGCAAAGAAAATTGTTTTTGCCTATTGGAAAGCCTTAGCCATATGTTTACATATTTGCAAAGTCAACAATAATTACTGCTTTATAATAATTGCCGTCTTGTGTTGTCTGGTTTGGTTGATTCCTACCTTCTGGGGTTCTTGATCTGCCGAGAGCCACTCATAATGCACGCTTCCGATGACTTATGCACACGCTAAGGGTAAGGATCTTGACGTCGGAGAACGGCGCGGTCGTTCTTTCCAAGGCCGTGTACATATCATTCGATCCAAACTACGCTGCACACGGGATCGCATATGTAGATCAATCTCCAGGAAGTCGGGTAGTCTCCGGAAATCGCTTATGGTGCAGTAGCTTGAGATTGCCTGTGTACGTGGTTGGGAAAGCCAAATTCGATAGGGTGCCACGATAATAAAGTCCCTTTTACTCAGACGTTACAGGGTACCGCAACGCCACCCGTCTAGTGGATGGAGCCCCGACTGCCCAGTTTCTAGGCCATTGCCTGGGTCGGTCAAAGCTTGCCGATTATCTTGTGCCCTGACTTACGACCGTTTAGCACTTCTCTGTTTTGGCTCTCGTTGTCGTCGGTGACGACTTGAATTTAGGCCGGTACTCTTGTCTTGATCCACCCTTTCGATATCGACTATGTTCTCTACTGACCTCACGTGGAACGGAGGTGGCGTGGAAATGGTGGGAGAACGAAGGGCGCGAAAGGCCCAGGAGAGGGCGTCTGGCACGTCTGGAGCGTCGTCGATCAGAACCTCGATCAGTTTTGAGGGCTCAAGTTCCACAAATCGAGGATTTAGATGGGCTTCAGGCTTGAAGAAAGCAAAAGAACTCAAACCTTCCAACATACTACGACCCTTGACAAGCCGCAGTTCGAACGCACAGGTAACAGGCCAGACCACCACTCACAAATCCACCACACATCCTCATGATCTGAAAGACCCCTCGATACAACCGGCCTGGACATATTCGGGATCGCTTTCCTCTAACTTGCCATCTGGAGCGTCTTTGGATTTTCCTGAATATGATACACCCAAACTACATGGTCGTGCACCATCCCAATGCACAAATTCGAGCTCATCACGGTATTCGAGTGAGTTGTCAGCCTCTTGTCTGACATCAATATGATCGGTCTAATAGAGCTAGGAGATGAACACGGATTGGAACTAAGGGCACCTGTTCGAGTTATGACCAACGAAGAGATAAAGCAAACCACCCCTAGATCCATCGTACCAGGTGGGGTCCGGTTAAGTCCCCAAGCCTCTCGAAGAGAAGACTGCTTGCCAGCGGCTGGCTGTGATCCTGAGAAGCAGCGGACCGAGAGGTGAGTACTCCATTCATCGCTTCCCGTTTGTACTAAGATGTTGCCAGACGACAGTACCCCATACAAGTTGAGGAGCATTTGAACTTTCAAAGCCTTGATGACTTAGTGAGCAAGGACAATACTAGCCCAGCCTTGACCACAGAAGCGACACATCATGTCTCACCCCAGTCGAAATTCTACAGACCACTTTCACAATGGGAGAGCCTCTCTCCTCAAGTGATCAGAGAAATAACGATACCATCAAAGCCAGAGACCAAAAAGGTTGCCGTTGCCCATAGCAGTACTCTTGAACTCATTCGCATCCAGCAGTTCATCCACAGCATCGAAGGAACCCACCCCCAGGATGTCCTTGACCGTCTCAGAGAAGACTGGCTCGAGTATTCGGGTGAAGAAATTGAAGATGAGGTGGCACTTGAAAAACAATTGTGGCTATTGACAGGCTTCCACACACTGAATGCGGGCAAGGTTCGGATCATTCCGAAACCGAAGTGCAATACGGGCAGAATCTTGGAGCTCTACGGCAATCTGTGTAAGTCGAGGTCGTGCTCTGGAGTGGCACTATGCTAGGTTATCTAACAATAATATCAGCTGAGGTATATCAACTGTCGGCGACCAATCCACACCAGGTGGTACATTTTCTCACCACCAAAATCCAACGGCAGATATCACTCCCTGGAAATGTGTCGTATCTGACTGTGCGAGAATGCGGTGCAGTACCATTACCTTACCCTGAGAATTACTTCTCTCACATCAGAGCATCTACACTGCCACCTTTGGTTCCCTCCGCCAAGTTACCCGAACTATTCAATGAGTGTTATAAGCTCCTCGCGCCTGGCGGCCTACTCGAGATCAGAATCATGGATGCAGCCCCTTTACGGAGAACAGCCGGCCCCAAGATGAGGATGTGGATTGAAGACAGGTTATCTTTGAACCTTGAGAGACTCTTTCGTTGTTCAAGGCCATGCTTATTAGTCCCTAGTTGGCTAGCTGCTGCAGGATTTGGATTGGCGATTCCGGAAGGCGATCAAAACGTGGCGTTACCATGCGCTTTCGACAAAAATTCATCCGATATAAATTCAGAGCTTTCAGCGATAATAGGAAAGGCTCTATGGAAAGACATCTGGGGTCAGTTTGTTGACGACATTCCGGATGAGTCGAAATGGTGGTGGGAAGACGAGGAGATTATGCAAGAATGCCTGCAGCGCAAGACTGTGTTCGAATGTCGAGCAATATATGCATACAAAAACTGATGGACGTGCCTTTGAATGGATATCGCAACGTTTGATTTCCTTTGTTGACATCCGGCATGGCGTTGTGCGCGGCAATTGTCTTTTGGGATACCCGATTCAAGCGTTGGATCAATTTTAGGTTTTCTAAAAGTCTTGCAGCTAGGTTTCCCTTCATGGGCGGTGTTTGGGCATGCTTGCTGACAGCTTCGTTATCGACGTTGGTGTAGGTCTAAATTAACGACGCGATCGATCTTTCCCCGCAATTGCGTTACCGTTTCCACAGTACCTGACATATTACAAGATCTGATACAAGATCACCTAGCAGCCGCTTATATAATAGAAGCGTACGTGCTTATGCTGCAACTCACAAGAACATAACAGTCAGCGTAAGATTCGAAGTAAATCCTTAATCTAATCACACCATGGTATTGCTTTTGATGCACCTCGTCGACACGGCGCTAATCTGAGCTTTCTGGTGTATGTATGTAAGCATGTTGTATCCCCCACCTTGTTACAGGGTGTGCAAGGTAGTTCAGAAACTACCCATAAGCGATTCGACCCCTGGTGCAGCAACACAGACATAGATCCTCGTCCATCACACTCGTATTCGATAAATTCATTCGGAGATAGGTTGCAGATAGCTGATGGTTGGCTAGTACACGGCCGATGCCAACAAAACTCAAGACATATCGCTTGGGTGTGGGTAGACGCTGCATGCCGAGGGCTGCTACAGTGATCCCCTTGCTCGAAAGCGAACCGAGCCGCTCGATTCTGTATGAGCGTCCAATAGACCAGGTAACATGAAGCCTCGTAGAAGTTGGTGGACAAGTACTAAGCACGGAGCAACAGCCCAGAATGAGTCCTCCTGCATGTCGCCCTTGTTTGCTTCGCGACGCATTACATCCAGCCTATTGTGTTCTCTTACTGATCATAAGGCGTCCAACTTCTTCTTGTCATTGCTGAGATCGCGCTCCGGGCCGTTATGCTCTTCATCAAAGATCCCCTGCACTGCTGCCAGTCCATCGAAGAGCATGCATATTCACCATGCCGTGTAATCTTCGCAGCGTAAATACCTCGGCAATGGTAGTAACAATGAGAAGGGCAAGAGGGAAAAATGCTGTTCGGAAAATGTTCGTGGTGAGAGTGAAATAATGGCCTACTAACAGTTGTGAGTGACGGTAAGTCGCGAGTCACTTTCTCGCTCTTCAACACAACAACCAAAATCACGATAAACGAGATTTTAGCGTTGTAGGATCAGGCTGTCAGCTACTCCTATTGGTGCGGTTACTTACGCGTGCAGAACTATTGTCACCCACATCGTCGGTACTCTAGGTTCTAAGCAAACCCAAGCCGGTCGACCGTACGAGGATGACGTCAAACTCACTATCAACCCCTTTCCGTGGTTCTTGGACGGCTGAGGGTGGTCAACAACGGAGCACTACCCATAGTGGAGTTGTCCGGTAATCGCCCGCTCTAGAGAGAGGAGATTCGTCCTTCTCCTGTTACTCAGAAGAACAAGCACAAGAGTAGGCAGTCAACGACATCGCCTCAACCGCGAAGTCTGTCTCGCGTGGAAACTAGTCGGGTGACTAAATCCAATCCTTCACCAATGTCTTCATTGAGGCTGGTACACAACTCCAAGTCTGCATAGCAATTTGGACTCTACATTAGGGCGTCTTACTAAGTTGCAGCTATCTTACTCTTGCTCTATCACAAAGCGTATGCTAGTAGCTTCGTTGCACCGCATCGAGAATTATCTCACTCCTCCAGCGCCAAACTCTGATCTTCCAGGTAGAAGAAACTAAAGCGTACAGAGACAGACAGGAAATTCTTGATTCCATCGGTACTGGAAGTTCTTGATAGAGGAAAGAGTATGTTACTGAATCCAAGTCTGCTGGTTGCTTACCAATGGAGTTACGTATCATGACATTAATGCTTGCAGCATTTACCGAAATTTTACTCTGTGAGCTTCCGTTTACTCACTAGTACGGCATGTTCATGCATCATGCAGCTGGAAACACCAACGCAAGATCAAGACTCATATGATACCCCAAGTATGGAAAAGGGACCCACTGTGACATTCACCGGACCTTGAGATCAATGAATTAGAAAGCCTATAGGATTTGGCGGTAATACACCCACTCAAGATCACTGAAAGCAGTAGAGATGAAAGGATGCAGTCAGGTAAGCAGAACTAATGTACTAAATCTTACTCCACCTAACCATTATTCCTTTGAGCCGGTCAAGTCCGACAAACTAATCCTTCGGATACCAAGTTTACATAGAATCATGCATTGGAAAGGCTAGTACTGCATATTAGCATCGCATAAGCCTGCATTATCATCAGCAGGATATACTGACAAGATAGGAAAATGTTAACAACACCGCATGAACGTGCATATATTGACCATGGGTAACTCTTGACCAATCCAGACGCAACGGTTTACGTTAAACATATCACGCGGAACAGGTAGCAATGTTGACGCCTTGAGTGGATTCTAGATATATAAAGGACTCTCCCCATCTATCACATAACTATCCAGCTCGATATTCAATCCCTTTGATCGTTCGCCTAGTCTGACGAGTTTCACCCTCGAACACAATTCACTTTGTTTACAACTCACAACTTTACCTCATATCACAACCAACCTCAGTCATACCAGCATTCCCAAAGCTAGGAATCTCGACGAGACTATGAAATTTCTCGTTCTCTCCACCATCATCGGCGCTGCTACTGCGACCAACTTGTTACTGTGGAAACAAGCAAACGCCTGCAGTGGAAGCGGTGCTGTTTGCGTGAACGCAGGCCAGAGAGTCTGCTGTTATCAGCCCGGACAGTTGTGGGGATCAGCCCAAGCTGTTGGCGGAGGAGCAGGTGACGTCGCGGGTCCTTGGACCAAGCAAGGAGACAGTTACTGCGGTATACAGATACGACCAACCAGGCCAATTCCTATCTGTTTCGTGACCAACCTTGAGCAATCCCTTGGAGGCATCACGTGGGAGCATCAAGCAAGAAGGAGCATGGAGCGATCGGCACCTCTCACACCTGTTGAAGCTGATGAGATGTACTCGGACGGCGTACACATGTACGTCATCACCAAAGGGAAGATGGCACGTATGCGGTCGTCGAAGCCGACCGGCGAGAATGAGTTGCTGGAGTTCTTCAAGACGCATGCCGATATGGTGATCAACCAGGAGACGGGCGTCCCCGTTAGCAAAGTGGACGCGTCCAATGCGAGCGAGTAGAAGTAGGGTGTGATTATTCACGACCCATAGGAGGATTACACGACATTACTCGACCACTCATGAAGCCACGAATGGACGGCATCGTACACACATGAACAAAGAAAGACACATACGGACAGTCACTACATTCAACCACCACGAACGCGTTTTCAAAGGGGTACATATGCATGATGAATCACGGTCTTTACCTTATATAGCTTGCTGCGCAGCAATTATCTCGATTCATCACCACTCTTGCTACCACCGAGTACCTCGTGATTTCTACTTGACACCGCGCTTGTATATGCACTGTCCTAGCCTGCGTACAACTCAACGTGATTGCATATTTACACAAGCTGTTGATCTTGAGTTCGTGAATACATCTCCATTTCAACTGAACCCGTAAGTGCTGGAAGGGAGGAAGAAGGAGCTGGGGGCACACCATTCACATACACCGTCTTCTATCTACTACCTCGCTCGTCTATTCCACTGAATGAAACAGTGCAAAAAGGCAGTAGAGTCGTTTCAACAAGCGCATGACGGACGCAAACAACCGATGGATTTACCTTGGTGTGTGATGTTTTGTCGTCCATCTGGTAACAACTTCGTTGTGGATGGTGGATATGTCTAAGCCGATCATGCGATCAAGTTCATTTCTTCTCCGCATCGACTTCGATATGTAGTGTATCCCGTGATCTCGTGGTTCCACGCCATCATTCCTACCGTTTTTGAATGACATCTAAGTTCCGGCCCTTACGTCCATGCAGAATCACTCGTGTCAATACTGCATGCACTAGACGCTTCATCGTCCTAGACTTCAACTAACATATTGGTAAGCCCGACCGTTCTTCAGCTCTCAGCTCTCAGTCCTCTGGGAAAACGTTTCTGCGTCTTGTTATGTGAGAGCAAGTCAAAACAATGAAGTGATACTGATCACGAGGAAAGCCAACTCTGAAATCATTTCCAGAACACCACGACTCTCACAATAAACGAAAAAGCCACAGATTTTACTCAAAAGTGGTCATCGGCATTGACCATTGTCGAAGCAAATGGTGGTATTACTCGTGATTTGGAGAAACACCATCAACTCATCTGCCAGTAAACTGAAATAATTTGAACCGCAACAATGGGAGAATCTTCCTTCCACAGTCAATAGCATAAATGGCCAAGTCGAGATGAAACGTTGTCGAAGTGAAAGTTCAAGTGAGGTCTGAATCGCGAATGTAGCAACGCCAAGACATCCATCTGAACTGAAGCTCACCACACTCCGCTACATCACCAACTCGACAATCCACCTCCAACCGTCACGCGCACGCACCCTGCCACAACCCCAATTGATTCCGCGTACAACCCCACCAAACCCTAAAGGCTCAATAACCATCGAACCACACATCAAACCGCAACAAACCACTCTTCCGCGTTCCACAATGGCGTTCCTAGGCACAGCCCTAAACACAATGGGCGCGTTATTCCTCACGCATGCGTACGCCCCCTCCCCTCCCCATCCAACTACGCACCTACATCCCCACTAACCCCCGACCCAGCGTCTACTCAACCCACGAACACACCGCCTCATACGCCCACACACCCCTCCCCAACGACATAACAATCGAGCTGCTCCTCTCCATCCTGCTGCTCTCCACAGGCATCGTGCTCTCCTTCCCGCGCCTCAAGCCCATCCAGTACGCGACATGGGCGGGTCAGCTTTCCAGCCAGGGCCCGCGCGGCGAGGGCAAGTATACGCGGGAGGGCGAGGAGATTCTGACGGAGAGCGATCCGTTTTCGTTTTTGGGGCTGGATGGCGGGATTGGGGGGACTGGCGAGGGGAGGAGGGGGTTCTGGGATGTGAGGGGGAAGAGGGGGGAGTATGCTGCTTGGGCGAGGAGTGGGGGGAAGTAGGAGGGTTGTGGGGAGGTGGGTCAAGAGGGTGTGGTATGGATGTCACGCTATTTTGAGAGAGGATAGAGGGTAGGACTGACGGCGTGTAGAGTGCGATACCGTTGTACATCTCATCGAATACGGTTACGAAGTAGTCGAAGTTTGATCATTCTGGTTGTTCCTGGCTACATGCCATAGTGTTTCCCAGACCACAGCCTGCAAATTTACAAACGCCGTTATTCCTGAGCGCCCCGCTTGAATACATACACAAACGCCATCAATCCCGCAAAACGAGTCCTTTCAATCGTCAATTTCCCAAGTTGAACCTCTCCACCTTTCAAGCATCCCCCGTCATCTTCTCCGCCGGCGTCCCCCCACACGCATGCACCTTGCAAACCCCACACCCACTCCCCTCCATCGCCTTTCCAATCGCAGCCACATCCGCACTCCGCCTCCTGCCCTCGCCCTCCCCATCCCCAGCATTCACATCAACACCACTAACCCACCACACAGCCGCAGCCACAATCCGCATCACAACATCGACCTCCTCCTCGCTCCTCGGCGCATAAATCAGCACAAACTCGCGCGGCACAAACCGGCGGTACCAGCCCCCCTTAGCCAGCGGATGTCGCTCCCCAAGCCCATGCTCCAGCACCAATTTCGCATCCGCAGGATGCAGCGTCAGATGCAGCGAGCCGTCGGACGGATGCGCGTGGCACACCTCCCCGCCGCAGGTGCGCGTAATAGGCAGCGTAGCGAACAGTCCCGAGCTGTGCTTCTCAAAGCAAGACGTGCGCTCCATGAGCATGTTGCGGGGGTCACGTGCCAGACTCTGCAGGCGGGCGACGAGCTGGGCGTAGAGTTTCTCGGAGCTTTTCTGCGTCTGCTGGCGCTGCGGGGCGATGCCTTGGACGAGGGGGCGCCGCGTGACACGGCGCGGGAGAGAGCGTAGGTAGCCTTTTTGCGGGCGGAAGTGTGGGGGGATAGGGAGGGGGCGGTAGGGGTCGCGGAGCGAGACGAGCGAGAGGGTCTTTATTTTTAGGTAGCCGAGGGGGGTGGAGGGCGTGCCGCCTTTCCCGAGCGAGAGGAAGGCTAGGTAGTCGTTGTAGATGTAGAAGGCTGTGAGGATGGGGAGGACGAGTGTGAGTATCGTGGTGAAGATGTGGAGGTGGGCTTCTGAGAAGTTCGAGACGAGGTCTACGGGCCGGAAACGCATGGTCGACTCCATGGTATTGGAAGTGTGTATGTATGTATGTCCTTGTTGAAAGGCCCGGTCGTGCTCGACAAGTGAAGTAGATATCGGTTGATCAACAAAGAAGCAGGAGGTGGACCGTTAAGCTTGTTTATACCCTAATCCAACACTGTACCCCATCCGCAAACTGGAGGAAAAGGAAATAATTCGTTTGCAGCAACCCGCGTGCCCCCCAAAAGTTTAAATGTGTTTGTTTTCCCCCCCCTTCCCCAAATCGGGGATGCAGCACAGCAGATCAGGGTCCGCGGACGTTTTTTCAAGCCAAAAAATGACGATCAATTGACAAAAGACCTACGAAGTAAAGCGGAGCCGGGAAAAATTAAGGATTCCAAGTATGCGAAACAATCAAAAAAAGGCTGTTCCAGATAACTAGGTAGGATTTCTCGATTCGAAGGCTCAATTCACTTTATCTCCCGTCGTGGTTAATCCATCCCCCCCTCAACGCGAAAACCTCAATCCCCCTTTCTTATACACAACTCGTATCCAGCACTGCTTCAGCCCAGCCCAGCCCAGCCCAGCTCACCCCCTCGCGCGGAAAAAAAAAGTCCACACGAGACGAGCAAACGAAAACGTCCAAACGTCGTCCCCGGTACGCGAATCCCGCACGTGCGCATGCCTGCTTCGGGTTAAGCGGGGTGTGGGGCAGGGTGCTTGATTGGCTGCGCGTGGAACCGGGCCTGTGACGTAGCGGTGATCCCCGGGTTCGACGTCCGTAGTCCGTCACAGTGCGTTTGGCCTATCGGCGATTTGGGCGACGCGAGGCGAGGCGGGAGAGGGGAAGTGTAGGTGAGTAAGTGGTGGTGTTCGGTTGGTCGGTCGGCTGTTTGGTTGGTTGGTTGGTCGGTCGGTGAGGTTTGTTGGTTGAGGAGATATTCATATCCGGTGTAAGTAAACCGCCTTGTTGTCGACTCGCAGACTTGAATAACAGTACAGTATCACCCACCTAGCTACACAAACGATACCACAATCAACATCCCGCGAAACCACGACGCCAATAATCCTCCAGTTGATCCGCTAACAAAGTGGTCCGTCCGTTCGTATCTTGCAGCATGCAGTGCAAAGCCTTAAGCGGTGATACTCGAATGCGTTGTCAAAGATCCGGGTGTACCATGTCGTCCCCAGTATTCAGTATTGAGTCTGTGCTCAGGACGTTAGTTGGTGGGGAGCTGGAGCCCGTCAAGATTACGGTGGTGGTTCGACTTTTGGGAGCGGGCTGTCAGTCCGTCCGGAACATTTATCAAGTCTTTTTTGTGGACCTAAAACTGCGCAGGAAGATAGGTACGGGATATGTTTCCAGATAAGAACATACTGCATGAAAGAACACAGAAAAATCACCAACAAACAATAATGGTATATCGTCAGATCCTCCACCCAGCTGTCTACAACTTTCTCGACCTAACCAACCCCTTCTTAATACCCGTAAGTTCACCGCCATAGTTCGCGCCCCCAGCCGCGCTCTTCGCCTTGTCAAACACGGGCATCATACTCTTAAGCTTCTTCTGCTTCTCCTTGTACTTCTCCTTCTTCTTGACACGCGGGTTCCTGACGCTCTTCTTCCTGTGCGGCGTCAAGCCCTTGTTCTTAGCAATCTGGTAGGTGATCATCCTGCGGCCGTCGTCGCCGATGACTTCCTCCTCGACGACCTGCGCGCCTTCTTTGGCGGCGAGAGCGTAGGCGGTCGCGCGCTCGGATTTCGCTGCTTTCTTCGTGTTGGAGCGCGCGGCGATCATGTCGTAGTAGCCGTCTTCGTCAGCGTAGTCTTCGTCGCGAGGCGGTGGGGACTCGGCGCCTGAATCGTCGCCTGCGTCTTCGCCGAGGGCGACGCCGGGCCCGGCATCTTTGTGCTGCCCGCGCTTTTCGGCTTCGGCTTGGAGACGCGCCTGGCGGTCCTTGAGGCGCTCGCGATGTGGGATGTCGGCATCGCCGCCGTAGTCTTTGCCGGCTGCGTCGCGCTTGTTGGCCTTTTGTGTGATTTGGGAGGTGTAGAAGCGGAGGGACTTCTTCTTGCGGGCTTTTTCGGCGAGTTCGTGTGCGGTGAGCGTTGTTTCCTCGCCAAAGTCGGAATCGTCTGCGTTGAGGAGGTTGAGCTTGTCGGATGCGGGCTTCTTCTTTTTGGATGCCTTTTTCAGGGCAGTCTTATCTGTCAGCGCTGCAAGGGATGCGAGTCCTTCTTCGGTCTTTGCCAGTTTCTTGGCGCGACGGGTTTCTGCTTCTGCTTTGGCGATTTCAGCTGCGCGCTCTGCCTTGCTCTTCCTCTGGTTCTTGGCCTTCTTTTCTACCACGACAGTGTCAAGTTCGTCGTCCGAGGCAAAACTTGCTTCCCCAGTGACTGAGAGCTCGTCGCCGTTGGAGGCATCCACCATGGGATCTGCGACTGGCAGACTTTCGATTCTTGACCACAAGGTTCGGCACTCGAGTATGCTCTCCATAACGGGATGTTGATGCAGCTCTACGGGGTCAAGTGCTATGACTGAAGAGCCGTCGTCCTTTGCTGTCGACCCAAGTATAGCAAAGTACATCGCCAGTGCAGCAAGATAGGCTGCGCAGGCTCGGTACTTGGTGATTGCCATGGGCGTAGCATGGCCTTCTCCATCCGCTTTGCCTGACTTGGCTGCGCGTGACTTAAGTAATCGTTCAGCGGCGTTGGCAGCAGCCGCCAACTCGTCGTGTAGCGGTTGCAGACGCATGTATTCGCGGGAAAAAAGATCGAACTCGGGGTAGCGCGTCCTCATAATCTTGAGCTTCTCCTCCTCGGACATGCTATCCGTAATCTGCAGCTGTGGAAGGACTTCTGTGACGACGGCGCCCAACTCTGCATCCTCGCCTTCTTGCCCCATCCACTCGTCCTCGTCAAAGCCAAAGTCTGCCTCTGTCATGGCCTGTAGCTGCTTCTTCTGTATCCGACGCGCTTCCGTCTCCTCGTCAAGCGCATCCTGCTCCGTCTCTATGGCGTCTGCATTGTAGTAGTCTTTCCTCGAGGCGCCCCATCCACCAACATCCTCGTCTTCGTCGTCGGCGGCTGGCTTGTCGTCGTCGGCTTCAAGGTCGTCCGAGTCGGCATCATCGTCAAAATTGTCCTCGTTATCGTCCGAGTCGGCGCCGTTGTCGAGAATTTCCTCGTCGGATGCTTGCAGAAATTTGTCTAGCACGCGCAATCAGCTACCATAACCCAAGTTTTTGAATATGCTTGGACCAACCTTCCTCCTGCCACTTCCTCAGTTTCTTGGCAGCTGGCCCCTCGTCCAGCAGTATCTTGTCGCGGTTGATTTGGAACTCATCGCCCGAGTCGGCGACATCCTCCCAGCTGTTGATGGCGAGTTTCGAATCTTCTTCTTTTGGCGCCTTGGGCTCGCCATATGCGCGACCACCGGCCTTCCGCTTCTTGGCCATTCTCAGTCACGTTGTGGTTTTGTGGCGTGGTTATGGTCGTAGATGCTTGGACTTTTTTTTCGAAATCTTCGCCGCGGGAGTCGTTAGGCCTTCGCGCTAGGCTTAGTCACCCCTCCATTGAACATCAAGCAATGGCAACGACATTGCCGTTTCTAGACGGGGCGTAGTGCTTACGGAGGATTTCAGTTCTTCCATATCTGGTGCTTGCTCCTCACGTCAGCAGAGACGCGCCGTTTTCCCTCATGTCTCAACTCCTCCCAGCACTCGCCATAGCATTGTCGGTTCTCGTCGCATTCATCAGTCTGGACATTATGGGCTTCGCGTTCTGGAAGAGCAACAAGTTCCCCGTCGAGGGGAAGGTAGAGTCGCCATCTCCACTCTACAACACGAGCTTACATTACACAGACGGTTCTCCTCACGGGTTCATCCCAAGGCATGGGCAAGGAAATCGCCCGACTCCTCTCCGAACGCGGCGCAAACCTGATCCTCGTCGCGCGAACAACGAAGAACCTCGAATCAGCCGTCACCCACGCAAAGGCGCATGCGAAGAACCCCTCAATCCAGCGCTTCCACTACATCTCCGCCGACGTGACTTCCGAGGCGGAGAACGCGCGCATCCTCGCCGAAGCAACGACATGGAACAACAACAAGATGCCAGAAATCGTGTGGGCTTGTGCCGGCGCCTCAGTCCCCGGGTTGTTCATGGACACCAGCACCGACACGCTCCGCAAGCAGATGGACCTGAACTACTTCGCGGCCGCATACCTCGCCCACAAGACGCTGCAAGCCTGGTTCTACCCGTCCACCCCCCACACGCCGCAACACCAAGCCTCCACATCCGGGGAGTCGCCCCGACACTTCATCATCACCTCCTCAGCCGTCGCCTTCGTCGGCCTGGCAGGCTACGTCCCCTACGCCCCTGCCAAAGCAGCCCTCCGCTCCCTCGCCGACGGCCTCCGCTCAGAAGTCCAGCTCTACAATGGCGCGCGCCGCTGCACGAAGCCCTCTACCACTGGCCCAGCCCCTGCTCCCTTTGACGTGGACATCCACGCCATCTTTCCCGGCACCATCCTTTCTCCGGGCTTCGACAACGAGGAGAAGTCTAAACACCCCGTCACCCGCGAACTCGAGTCTTCGGACCCGCGCCAGACCGAGCTCGAGGCCGCTACATCGGCTGTGAGGGGTTTGGAGAATGGAAATTTCATGACGGCGACGAATTGGCTTGTGCAAGTGCTGCGTTGGGGCAGTATGGGGAGCAGTCAGAGGGATAATCTCGTGCTGGATACTGTCATGGCGTGGGTTACGACCGTTGTGTGGTTGTTCATGGTGCCGGATCTGAATGGCAAGGTTTGGGGGTGGGGGAAGAAGGAAGGCATGCCCAAGTTGAGGAGGAATGCGCAGTAGATAGTGTAGCTTCGAGATACCCGTCTAGCTTGTTAGCGAATATTAGACGTTAATAACTGCCACACTTTCATCCCTGGTTTTACTCCGTGGCCTATGCCATTGCAAGCCGGCCGGGCAGTCCACCGACCCATTCAGACTCGGGATCAAAATCAAGTAGGTCGCAATCCGGCTCGAGCTGGCGTATCATGTACGGAGGCACAAGCACAGCAACGACCATGGTGCGGTTCAGCGCGTCAGTCTGATGTCCCTTGACGAAGCAGTGCCGCGGATAGCACCATTCACCATCCATTCCTGGCTGGGCGTTCCAATGTGTACCGAAAATCATGCCCTTCAACCTCGGGCACATGTCGTGTTTATCCATATAGCGAAAGACAGCGTTGGCGAAACGCTGGACCTCCCACGTGATGTCGTTCGGCCCGTTATTTGTGGCGTCTCCATATGCTGGGGGTTCGATGAGCTTGGGAAAGCGGAAGTGCAGGATTCGCAGATCTTTTAGGTGTTTAAGAGGGTCCTAAATGTCGTGGGTTGTTAGCCATGATGTGTGGTCAGGGTTTGGAGATAGAGTTCTGTGTACTGACCAGCCTTGCAAGGAACTCGTTTCCCCTTCCCGTCCAATTGGATGGTGCCAAATCGTCGCCCTTGATTTGATAGCCAAAGAACTGCAGTTGGGTACATGCTTGACACAGTCGCTCCAAGCTTGTAACATGCATGACATCAAAAATTGCAGGATCCACTCCAAGCGTGTGAAGCGTGAGGGTACGAAGAGAAGGACCAAAACGTTCCAGTCTTTCAAGGACATTTTCCTCTAGTAGTCCGTAGGTCCACGTTATATGTAACGTTGCGAGGTCGCTGAGGTTGAAATCGATAATAGGAAGTATATTGTCGATATCAATACCACGTAAGGTCATATGCTCGAGACGTGGGGCTTCCAGGCGAAAGACTTCGCCCATTTCGTGCAGGAAGTCTTCGTTCAGGCAACAGTCCAGAGTCAGCCGACGCAAAGTACTGCAGTTAATTGCCATTGCCAGCGGAGCAAATAGCTCGTTGAGCTCGAAGCCAAACAAACTTAACTCCTTCAGGCGTGGAAGTGTAACCGAGCTCAACGATGTGAGCAACGGAGCTACCTTCCTGCAAGTCCCATCGTCATAAGTGGTGCTTAACGCAAGACGTTCAAGTTTTGAAAACGAAGAATCTGAGCACAATGTATTGAGTGGCAGAAACACGGTGTGCGAATCGTCAAAAAACAAGTCTAGGGTGTGAAGATGTTGTAGACGTGTTTGGTCATGAAGACCTTCGGGCGGAAGACCTCCCCAAGGCATGTACAACTCGCGAAGGTTTTTCTGGCTACGGGCGAGACAATTCGTTATTTCGAGAGACAATGTATTGGTCGATGTTAATCTTCATTCAACGTCAGCATTGGGGAAGCGAACAGAGTGGTAGCAGCACAACACATAGATATCCCGAGAATTCGAATGCGAACACATAGCTTACCGAAACGAGTGCAATGAGTGCTCAGGTATCAACCCCAGTATCATTAGAGCACGAGCTGCGAGTACGTCTGGATTTTCGTTTGGTTCGCTCTGGGGCTGTCCAGTATGATCAATTGCTCGAAAGAAAGGTTCCTCCGGTGGGGGACATCCCTCAAGGGAAAGATGCCGGATAAATTGCAGATGAGGTGCAAAACCATCAGTTATACATTGAACGAAGCAACTGACATCGTCAAGCTTATCATCCCATATATTCAGCTCAACTATATGGTAAAGTCGTGGGATCGTGAGCTTGTGGCATGCTTTCGATGTTTGGCACAGGGCCTTGAGGTCTGCCTTTAAAGTGATACAGTCGAGAACCAGTAACTGAATGTCAGCTGGAAGGGTCAAAACCATCGCGAGGGTCAATGTGTCATGGTTGAGCGATGAAGGTTGAGGAAAGGGCGAGAGCGGGCCGCTAAAGAACGCGCTAAGCCCACGCGAGCATGTGAGTAACGCGTTTTGCGGGGTCGATTGACCCCACTACCTCAGACCTCACCATGATGAAGTACTCACAACAACGATGATCATGGAAGCATACTCTGAGACACGAGTAGATCTTGTAGAGGATGTTAAGAGGACGGTACTAGACTATGTATATATCCCCATCATACTGTCGATATACTTCCAACAATTCAACGTAGATATCGCTCCCCTCGGACCTTAAAGCCCTGTGTCTGACTAGCAGATCTTGGCGCGACGTTACCACCAAATGTTTGTATACAAATATCGTCCTTGACATTCGATTCCGTGACGGACAGCTTTCGACATTCGATCGTTGCCTCAAACACGGCGCTCTAGAATACCTACAGCATGCGAGGACCCTCACTCTTCTAGACACGTCAAAGCATAACCCTTGCTCCACTGTGCGTGGTGATGATGTGGTTCCTGAAGGCTCAGTGTGGAGTTCGCGGAATGAGATGGATGAGTTGTTGTTGCACATTCTGCACCAGTTTCCAAGGCACATACTCCGAACGTTTGGGTGCGTATGATTGCGATGCGACTTGCTTTTTACGTTTCAGCAACCTGGGCTGCATACACTGACGGCTTTCGCAGCTATATCTCTAAAGTCAAAATCAGTACGGCATGTCTCGATCTGATCAATGAACGCCAACAGTCGATTCAGAACATGCATGTTACCAAGTGCGATCCTCGCCAGCTGATCGCCCCTTCAAGGCACTGTATTACTGCAGGCTTTCATGATGATGAATTAAAGACTCGCGGATATCTCCAACTTGCTCAGGCTCTGCCTCCCCTTGACTTTCTGCATCTTATCTTCTGGTCTGGTTGGAGCTCCGCAGTATGGGAGTACTGGGATGACCCGCATCCGCACAGCCTCATTGGTGACCGAAAGATATTGGCCAGACAACTCACCCTGACTGGATATATGCCGCCATCGTTCACATCTAAAATAGGACTCCACTTTGATTGGTCCATAGTGACAAGCTTGACATTACTCCAAAGCTATGTATGGCCACCTGACCAACTTGCCCAAATCACGGAATTACAGCATCTGACACATTTCCACCTCAACACCAGCGCGGCTCTCCAACTCGACAGTGCTGAAAGCTTATATCAGCTCTTTGAACGCAACAAGAGCCTCCAGAGTGTCCACCTCGGCCTAAGCCAGCTCGCAACGTTGTCTCTGTCATGGTTCCCCGAAAAGAAAGATCGTATTCCCGGTCGTGTACTCCACAAAGCGTATCTTTGGCCCCTGAGGCATAGCCTCAAATCTTTGTCTCTCCATGACCCTATGCTTTACCGTGATTATCGCGATATGCACAGTTCACCCGGCATATTTTCTTATGGAAGATTCAAATCCATCTGTGGAAACTTTCCCCATCTGCAACAACTAGCCTTACAGGTACCTAGTACTTATGCAAAGCTGTCAGAGCACGGAGTCCCTCGGACCTATGTGGTAAGTCTCCTTCTCGTATCACTTTCAATCCCATCACTTAGTCAATATACAGAAATGTATCAGGCAACTCAAGGATCTGCGCATCTTACACTTCCACCAGCAGCGACTGGCGATAGTTCCCCAGTCCAACACCAGTGGGAAATATACAATGGCCTCTAAAATCCATGCTTTCGCTAACAGCTTGTTCCAATGGTCACACACCAAATGTCCTAGCCTGAGAGTGTTTATCTGGGGTATGACCGGCAAGCCGGACGAGGCACACGAAGAGATGGTACGCGACACCTTGCGGGAAGGCCAAACTTTGGAGCGAGTTCCTCAGTTCCTGTTTGTGAAGAGACAGAGGAAACTAGATTGTGGAAACACGCAGGTGTATGCGGCTACTGTGACGCCTAGTCAACTCCGAGAAGAAGTTCCTGAACTCGACCTGCTGTCATACGATGCTGGAGATCCGGAGCTGGACCTTATCGCGCAACGAACCGGCTGGTAGCAAGCATGCCTGGTTCGAAAAGATGACCAACTTCCGATTTAACAAGTCAGCAAGTGATGCCTTGAAAATAAGTTTTCTATTGATGTTACTTGAGGAATGAAGTTTTGCTATCTCCACTCTATTAACCGCCATGTCGTCTACTGCCGTGAGGACAATGCTTAGATTGACCACTACCTGCTTTGTGCAATTTCGACCGTAGAAGTATCTGCACCATCCTCAAGTTGTTGTGTTACTATGACAGCTACTTTTCGGAGACTGTGTGTTGTCTCGAATTAACGCGAGGATGCTTTGTAACTCTATGAAATATGTTAAGGAGGTCGCGGAGAAGATGGGGGTGATGACGACAGCGTCGCGTCTCTCGCTAAGCAGCAACGGGGCTAGCAGGAAACGGGGACATGGTACCAAGCACCTTCACAAGCCACTCTGATATCTCTCACCAGCCCTCACACCACCGTACTGCTGTCGCCGCTACCTCGTGCACGTTACCGCTGCAAGCACTGCAATTCATAGGCCTCACAAACGTTGCGCTGAAGTCCAACGAATACGTCTTATTGCCCCTAGCATCATTATCTTGGGAATTGTCGAATAAGCCCCGTTTGCGATCGTAGCCACTACAGCTACTACCGGCTCGTCCGGTCTGCGTCGCAAGGCCTCATGCTTCGTGCGTGCTGAATTTACCGCGAAACACACCCCATGCTGCTTGAATGCCTCCAGTCCTGAATCCTTTCTTACGGGCCTTCTTTCGGAGCGCACTCCCTAGCCAGTGCTCCCCAGCCCAGCACCACGTATGCCACAGCCCCTATGCTCGAAAGCTCGGTTGCTGACAAACTCTATGACAGATACTTCTTGTCCCCACGACTGAAGTCCTTCTCACCTCGCGCGACTCCGACTCGAACATATCGTACGCTGATCTCAGCGGTTCCGAAGAGTTCCTAGCAAGCCATGTATTGCGCGTGCCGGGCGGGGTGGGCCCCAACAACCAAGTCAAGGATGCAGGGAGCTTCAGGGAGACGCGGGGGAAGGCTAAGCAGTTCACGACGTCGAACGGCCGGACGGTGATAGTCAAGGATGCCTTTATATACAGCAACAAGGGTGCGCAGGTGCAATTCCATGGGGACATGTCTAGCGCTGACAGGATGCAGGATTCAAGACGCTGAACCAAGCCCAGCTGCTGCACGACACTATCTTCTACCCTGACACCTTTGACGCTCAGCCTTGGATTGTCTACTTCATATCCCGTCCGCTGATCGGAACCTACGAAGCGACCCCGATCAAGCCTGTCATATTGGAAATCAAAAGACCTGTGGTCGCACAGCCATCCGCTTCAGCGAGCTCTTCCGCGGCCGCCAGTGCAGTTGCGCCGCGAAAGAAGGAGGTCAAGTCGTTTAGCGATCTGTTGAATCACTTCCCCATGATTGCGCGCCAGATGCAACCCGGTTTGGAGAGGCTGTTTAAGGAGTTTGGGAATGAGCTGGAGAAGCCCCTGCCTCCAACCCCATCACAAAGGTCACGCCCGTCTTCTATGAGCTCGCGCAGGCGAGGCTCAGTATCGTCAGCAGAAACTGCGCCCTTGTCAATGCATAGCAGCATGTCTCAAGGCCCAAATGGATTTATATCGACACTCGAAATTGGCGAAGAAGAGGACCAGATGCGAAACTCGCTGGAGACGGCGGTGACTGCTGCGATCGACTTGTTCCAGATGGTGGACAAGCAGCAACTATCATTGCTGGGCGCAACAACAGACTTGACAGGTCCGATTGTAGAACGTATGATTGAACGATACATCGCCGAGCAAGTGCACCATACGATACTGTTTCCGCGAATATGTGAAGCACGGCGTCGCGAAGACGTGGAGCTTGAGCGCCGAACGCGACAGATGGTGGACGTCGACATATCGCAAGTTGGGATCGACATCGGCGATGGTCGCAAAGGCAAGCAAGAGCTTGCGATCCGCCTCTCGAAAGCTGTGGACATATTCAAGAAGATGGGAGTTGCGGGAAGTCCACAGGAGATGTTGGAGACATTGCTTGCGGTTCAAAAACACATCACGATGCCCGACGTAGTAGCAGCTGCAGATGAGCCCCAAGCAAAGGCTTTGACCAACGGAGACCAGGTCTCGGAAAAGCCTAGTCATCTGCTCACGATCAACGCCGATACTTTGGTGTCACTTCTACTCATAGTTGTGATACGGGCTCCAGTTCGACATCTGCAGGCACGTCTCTCGTATATGCGTCATTTCATCTTCATCGACGACGTAGAGAGCGGTGAGATGGGGTACGCGCTCAGCACCTTCGAGGCTGTCTTGTCATACCTAGTACAGGATTCTGGAGGCTTGCGAAGAGCAAGTCGACGCAACCGCAACCTTTGGCAATCGACAAGGTCCGGCGATCTCGCTGCGATGAACGGCATCCTTGACCCTGACAGGGCGTATCACGAAAACACAGAGGAGGACACATCAGACGAGAGCGACGCTCCAGAAAGGGTTCGCCATCTACGATTTGCGGCAAGCATCTCGAATTTGTCTTTACTCGATGGGACCACAACGAACGGCGACGAAGAGCCGCGAAGAAAACATCGGAGTCGGTCTCGTAGTGAGCGTAAGAATGAGGACGGCCCACTAGCACATATCTTCCCCTTTCAACGAGCGCCAACACCCGCACTGCCAGATCGACCAAAACTGAAGAAGACCGTATCAATGGATTCGCGAAGCATGTCGAGCTGCTCTGCAACATCCTTCAGATCTCGCACGACTTTTGACTCTCGAATTAGCGGCATTGAGGGTGATACATCGATAGAGAAGCTTACCATGACTCAGGGACCTGGCGGGGAGTCTGTCCTGATGATGGCTGTCGAGAGCAAGCAAGACAAGGCGTTACATTATTTGTTGGCTCTGTCCGAGTACTACCCTCCAACCTTCGTGCTCGAAGATTGTAATAACGAAGGTACGACGTTGCTTAGTGCAGCTGTTCAGTTAGCACATGCAAGGACGACGAACGTTCTACTCACATACATCCTGGAGCATACGAGTCAGGAGACACTACGAGAGTATATTGCGAAACAAGACTCTAAGGGCAGGTGCATGGCACATTATCTTTTCCACCAACCGCGACTCATTGATCGCATTGGACACCTTCTTCCCTGGCGGTTGAGAGACAAGAATGGCCAAACTCCGCTTTTCGCGCTATGCAGGTCTTACGACCACGAGCAGTACTACGACATGGTAGACAAGGCGCTTTTGTCTGCTACTCGGGCACAGAAAGATGGGCAGATGTTACATCTCGACGAGCATGTTGATAACAAAGGCAACAGTCTAGTGCACATCATCACCGATCCTCAAATCGCGGTCAAGCTCCTCTATCGTTGTGATACGGACGTCAACGCCACCAACGACAGACAATTTACCCCCCTCATGGTAGCAAGCAAGTACGGGCGGACCGATATGGTTCGAGTGCTGTTCCAGGACCCGAGAGTCGATCTATCGTTCAAGGATGCACGTGGACTAACAGCTGTCGAGCTTGCCAAAGATGACGACGTACGCAATCGTATCGACGATCTCGTGTTGCTTTCAAACGAGCCTGGGTCTGATGGGCGAACTACCACCGTTGTCCGATCCTTCTTCGTCGAAGACGGTACGGTTAGACTTGTGCTCAAGTCCGGAGCACCTACAGGGAATGGCACCATCACAGTAACAACATGTCGCAGATCATCGCAAGACTTCGAAAACCTCGCAAAATGGCTTGCGCAAGAACACCCCGCTTCATGGTTACCAGCCGTCTCCAATCTAGCATCACCTTACCTTATCCCCTCCAGACCTTCCCGTGCAGTTCTGCGGGACATACAGCTGAGACTCGATGCATTTCTCAAAATCCTTCTCCGACACCCCACCTTTGCAACTCATGAGATGGTATGGGAGTTCTTCCTTGTTCCAGACATCGACTCTGCCTTGCTCTCTCAGAGGTCGGCTCGCAAAGCTGAACTCCGCATCGAGCGTCTTCGCGAAGAGTATGTTCCGATATACGATGTCCGGGAAGTCGAACTCTTCGTCCAACACGCACGAGAGAACGTGCGATCTCTTCACCACGCCTCGAAATCCGTCTTGCGTCGAACGAACAAGCTACGCTCAGCGTCGTCCGACCTCACCGATGCTGCTAGGCTTTCCAACACAGCCATTCACTCTCTCACCTTTTTGCCGGATAAGCACCTCAGAGCTATGGATCGATACACAAAGACCCTCGCCCAGAGCGAAGCAAGTCCTATATCCGGCTTCTACTACAACATGCATGCCATCTCCAGCACTATAACCGCAATCCTCACTTCTCTCTCCCGCCCCTCCACCCTCATATCCTCCATGTCAAGCACCCAAAAAGCAATCGACAGACACAATCTCTCCGTTCGCCGATCCGACCGCTGGCCCCTCGGCCTCCTCGACGACGCGCGCTCCCGAGTTCAACGCGATGCTCAGGATAAGATGGATAAGTCAAAGCTGGAACTTGCGGATCTGGGCAGGGAATTGAGATACACGCAGCAGGTTGTGGCAGGAGAACTGGCGAGCTGGCAGGAGAACCGTGTAGAGATGGGACGAACGGCGTTGAAAGAACTCGCAAAACGGATGGTTATCACAGAGCGCGCAAGGTTGGAGAGCATGAGGAGGGCCATTCGAGAGTTGAGAGGAAGCGGTAAAACAAACAGTTCGTCTGGAGATGCAGACCTGGTCGTGGATATGCATGTTGATGAAGCGGAAAGCCAGCGTGGTGTGCTGGAGGAGGTTGCAGATGATGAGGAAGATGACACTGCCGTCCCAGCTCAAACACCTCAACCTGAAGAGATAGTCAACGGAGACGACCATCCCGCAGACGATGAGCGTTCCCTTGACAGCGAATCTACGGAAGAATCACATTAGGCTGGCGAGCCTAGCATATCCGCGCTAGAACGACGACATGTATAGCTTTCGCCGTGCTAGCTACACTCTCGACTACTGGTCCTCACTTGAATAGATAGGCTTGGGACAAATAATGAATGAGGATTGAGTTTAAATCAGCGATGGCGTTCATGTAATGGAACAAGTAGCGACACAATTAGTCTTTTTTCTCTGGGCACGCAAAGAAGACCCAGGTCTTGTCGTCGGATTCTGAAGTAGAATAGTGTCGACCTAGGTAGCGATTATGTTTGCCCATTCAGGATATGCTTTCGGTGATGTTTTGCTTCTCTTATGAGGTATTGTTCACAATGTGGTGAGATGGAGGTAGGGCCGCTGCACTGTCACTGCTTTGTCTGGACTTGGAGGTTTTGCTGCGAAGTTCACGACAACACACCATGTCAGACGCGTTTTGAGGTGTATTAAACAACTATAAGGGCCTCGGAAGGAGTCTGGTCGTGCGTCACATTACATCTGACTACCAAGTAGCAGGAACAACAGACTTCTTCTACTTCGCCTCCGTATCCGCTTTCTGCCATTCGTCCACATCGCCCACCACTCTGTTTCGATTGACCCGCCAGTCACCTCTTTCAACTATCACAAGCCAAACTCTTCAGCACATGGACAAGCCGCACTCGATCTCCTTTGTAATGATAGTCTGTGACTCGGTGCCGGCTTTGTTCCGTTGAAGCAGTAGTCCGCATTCGTCAGTTTGAGAAGGGTCACAAATATCCGCGTTGTAGCATAGGTTCTCAACTATTAAGATGTATTTGTATGCTTCACACGATTTAGATCTAGACAAGTCACAACATGGTAGTCTTGGACATAAAATACTGACCATGCCTATACTCACAAAATGTCTAATCACAGACCATCACTGATGACTAACTCACTCATCGTCTCGAACTCAGAGTTGGATAGATAACCCATCTTACTACGTTTTTGTGCCAAAAAGAACTCGAAATGGCCATGGGTGTGTTACGATAGTTGGAGTGATGTACAGCTACAAGCGTGAATCTGATGTCGTGGAAGCCGTCAAGATCTCTGCCAGAGTCTTCTTTGGATCTCGATACACATCTGCTTCCAGAAAACCCCTAGCAATTTGTTCCTTGTACGTGGTTAGATGGTTCATCAAGAGGGTTGGGAACTGGCTCACTGCTTCCTCCAGTTCCGCAGCTTCCTCTTCTGGCATCTGACAGCATGCAGATACCAGATCTTCACCTCTCATAGCAATAAGTATGAGATCCTCGGCGCGTTGTACAATTTCTGCAGGCACTCCATTCATGGCGGCACAGCTATGGGATGTTAGAAGTGACGTGATCGAAGAACATCTTTCATCTTACCAGGTACCAAAACTGGACGTACTGCGCCCGTCGCGGAAACTTGACATTGTCAGTATAGTTCGAACTCGTTCTACTATTCCAACTCACTTGTAGAGATATGTTATCTGATCATTGACTTCTGATGCTTCGGAGTCAACTCGCACTTCCATATGTCCAAACGCGAGGGCAGGCCTTGGCTTGAGAAAACCCATTTCGAAAATCTCTGCTATGTGTCAGGCGAACATCAACGTACCAAGGTAACAAACTCACCATGGAAGTGAGTGGCACCAATAACCTTGGGTCTCTCATTTCCCAAACTTATCAAATGTTCCATGACTGCGCAGGCCAGTCCCGCCCCATCACTGGACTCTGTACCCTTGCCAAATTCGTCTATGATAAGCAGGCTTCTGCGTGTAGCCAGATTCAAGGCGAGTGAGATTTGCTGTAGGTCAATCATGAAGGCGCTCTGAACCCGAGAGACTGTTTCTCGTGTAGTGACTCGAGAGAGAATTTTGTCCGTCAGTCCAATCTTCGCACTTTCCGCTGGTACGAAGCTTCCGACATGCGCCATGAAAACGATCAGGGCCACTTGCTTTAGGTAAACACTCTTCCCCGAGTAATTCGGTCCTGTCAAGACAAGCATACTCGGACTACTCTCGGGCTCGTAAACGCGGCGATGTGAGGAAACGACTTGATGAGAGCTTGCCACGTCGTGTTGCTGGCTGGAGTTATCATGAGACGCATCCTCACCTGGTCCGCCAACTAGGAGAGCGTCGTTCGGGACAAAGGAAGAGACAGTAAGCTCTTGAAGCATATGACTATCTCTGGAGTTAGTAACCTAGCCCTAATTACCACAAACACGTCACTGACCGTCCGGCTTTGATGTGTATGACGTTTTCGTGTGTCATCCGGGGACGGCAAAGGTTGTACATCTTCGCACCCTGTGCGAGCGCTAACAAACTGGCACATAAGTCAGAACTTCTATCAATAATCTTACGAGAAGCTTTACCTGTCCAGCTCTCCACAGATATCCGAACATGAAGTCAGCAATTCTTCATATTGGAGCACATACTGAGCCAATTCGTGGCTAATCTCGATCTCGCGGTCAGATATCATGCCATAGACGTCACCAAAATGATCGTCCATTTCTCGCATCTCGTTGTTCTTGAAATACACCTGTGTCCTGGTGCTAGTCAGCCTTTGTTCACTATTTAAATGACAGACTATAACGCACTCGGTCGAAAACATCCTCTCCCAGGGGTTGTCAAATCCGCCGTCATAGATTGCGACACCAGTTGCGGGATCGGTTGGTACTGTAACTAGAAACCCAATCTGTGGGAAGTAAATCACATTTAAGGATGCTCGGACGTCCGATGGCATCTTCTCAGACAGCTTGCTTGCAACCTGATTGAGAAAGTCTTCCAATCCATCAAGAGTTCTCTTCATCTCGTCGAGTTCTTCGTCGATACCAGGAAGTATAACAGTCCGAACTTCTTGTGCAGACTTGTCGAAATCCACAGTCTCGCTGATCTTCCGACCGACTTGAGCTAAAGGGTAGCCTTCGAACTTCTCAAACACCTTGGTTCTTATAGCCAGAGTTTCACCGCCGTGGATTTCTTGAAAAGTGTCTTTGATCTTCAGAGCATGGAACGCAAACTAGACATCGACGTTAGTTGTGCAGAGATGTGGAAATGAGGAGTTGAAAAACTTACCCCTCTGATAGATGTCCAAACGCTTTTCGAGAAACCACCCTTCCCCTTTGTAGAGCCTCCAATGCCTTTTCTGAGATTGATCATCATGATGCGCATGTTGCTGATATTTTTCATGTTTGCAACAAGACCGTTCATAGGAGAACCGTTGTCCGTACGCACCAAAACACTGACTGTGTCCAGACGCTCATTGATGACATCGAGATTCAGGCTGGGACGGAGAAAGTACTGACGGAGTAGGAATCTTCCCTGTGGTGTTCGAGCGAGGTGATGAAAGAGACCATACACGGACAAACCCTCTTTTGCCCCGGAGCTAGCCTTCGGCCCTCGATTGTGCGAGTGCGGATGTGACTCTGCATCCATGATCTGCAGGGAGTGAAGAGTATCGGCATTGACGAACATTGTTTCGCGAAGGCTGAACATCTCCAGTGTGGAGACGCGAAACATCAGGTGTGCTGCATGGTCGTCTGGGAGATATGCAGCAGCGCGTCTGCGTTGCAAATACGAAAGAAGTGCACCGGCACAACCCACCTAACCACACGTTAGCTTTTGTGATGAATTGATCAGAGCATGACGCGTACCGTAATTCGGCTCTCCATATCGATCCACCCAGCAAGGCGAAGCAGTTGCCCCTGTTGGCCAGCGGTGCTTTCTTCGTCATGATGATCAACTGCTACGTGCTCCCCAGGAACGTTGAACTTGACTCGAGTGCCGTCGTCTAGACCCAGTCTCAGCCCCACAAGCTTAATTCTCGCCGCATCGTAACCAAACTCGCTGGGCGGTCTTACTTCCAACAGGAATGGACAGCGGAATTGGTCGTTATCGCCGCTCACAGACTGACGACTCCTCGCCTCTGGGTCGAACCGATCAATCACTACGTCGTCAATCTTCGTTGACACAAGGATGACTGTAGGATCAACAAATGTCTTTACTGTGTAATTATGAGTTCTCTCACAAAGACCTGAATCTGACTATGCTTACAAGTATCAACAATATCGACGTCCGCGACCTGAATGTCTTCCATGAAAAACAACTTCTCATCCCTAGCAACATAGTAGCAACACCCTACTGTACCGCGAGGTGTCAAGTCAACAGCCATGACGATTTCACTGAGTGTGTCATCGTTGTCGTTCCGGAGTTCAGGATCAGGAATGCGATGCCTCACTTCAGAAGGAGCGGGAGTAGAATTGGCGGCCGAAGTTTGTCCTCTGTGACGCTGTACTCGATTTCTGACAGGCTCTGCTATTGCGGTTGATGTCAAACGAGATGTTGAGCGGCGCGAACGAATGGAGCCTGAGGTGCGTTGGCTGCGATTGGTACTATGGTTACTGCGCAGTGAAGCAGGACTGCGACCACTCTCACGCCGATACGGCATCTTAAACGGTGGCTTGCGCGACATCGCGAGAGTGGCAATGCACTCAATGATGCGTGAGGTGAGTGGTGTGGGAGTTGATGTATAAGACCGGAGATACAGAAGAGGAAGTCGCGACAGGCGCAACGCGACCCACGCGTGCCTTCCGCCGGATGAAAAATCGGGAAGTATAAGTATACAAATAGTTGCGTAGTCGCTATAGCAGTTGCAGTACCTCTCTTTTGGTTAGTTGAAATACTAGGAACCAAGGTGTAGTGAGATCATCTAACAGCTAAACGACTACATGGAATCTTTGTAACTTATCAACTGTAGATGTTACTAGTTTTCGCTCAGCCTGGTTGATCTATGGGCATTTCTCCTGTCGTTTAATTGAGCTCGAAGTAGACATATCGAACGAGAAGGGGATAAAGATCAGACATCAACTGGTATCGTATATACACCAGAAACATCTAATCTACCAAACGCCAACAATGCTACATGGCGATACATGGTACACATTTGCTCGGCTGTGATCTTGTTCTGGAAATCAGTACCCGTCTATTCCGTTCATCTTCACAAAGGTCATGTATACGATTGGATGTGACGAAAATGGGTAGTAAAGATGTAGTCATGTATTGGATATCTCTGAGCAGTGGCTCGCTTCATCTCCTCGATCAGAGAAGCAACTTCTCCCTCCAACTCTTCTGGTTTTCTCTCGACACGTTGTAGGCAGAGATCTACTGCTTATACCAATCCGTGTTGTAGAATCTCTCTCTTGTGGTATGCGACCCCCCACTCCCGAAACACTCGTTGTTTGTCGCTTACATCGGTGCAATGAGAGTCCACAAGTTGTCGGCCGAGACACCAAAACCAACCTCCCAGTCACCCTCCTTGATCATCTTCCTGCTCAAGAGTTTGCCCGTCGCCTCATCTTTCAGGATAACTCGATCTTTTGTGCAGAGTACGCGACCAACAGACTGTTTTTGGTAACGTTCATCACAATGGACAAGACGTACCTTTGCAAGCTCAGAACCTTTGCCTTGCGACGCGCTCAAGCCCAACTGGCCTGATGCACAACCCGTTGTAGGTACTACAACATTGACTACCATACCGAAGTGCACAAGATCCACCTTCCCACTCTGTTTCTCGCTCATAGAAAGGCCCCCTTGACCCGGCAAAGAAACGAAGGAAAGGACGCTACCACGACATCCAGCTTGGGATATGCGCGGACGGACAGCGTTGTTGAGTGTCTTTTTCTTATCATAGTGGCGCCACGTTCGATACGCTCCGCCGGCAGCCCAACCAATAGGGCCGGAAACAGCAACTACTGCCGTTCCAGCTGTCCATCCGATGCCCTTGATTGCCTTGGCTCCGACCGTTTTCTCTGCAGGCGCTCCCGGGATTTCGAGAGAACCTCGATCGGCCGGTAGGCGGAGGTGATAGGTAGCTGATCCAACGGGCGCTCCACTGAGACATAACCGCACAGGCTGGAAACGCTGTTCCGCGACCATCAGTTGGTGCGCATCGTCTAGCCTCATGGCGGCATGAACTAATCTCAGGAGCGAGCCGGGCGTGGAAGTGGCCATGTATTGTGTCGTCGTGCAGTACAAGGCGAGAACTTCCAGACCTGATTCAATCGAGGCTTGCACATTTAGGTTCCATGCTAATGGTGAGCTACCAGACGGCCCCCCAGCTGCACACTGAAGAGTCTCGACAAGTCGCTGCGTCGTACGGATGATACGGTATGATTGTGTGCTCAGATATGCTTCGGGGTCTTCATACGGAGGTGGTGCGTCTTCGTCCAACTTGAAAGGTTGGTTGTCTCGACGTCCAACGTGTGCTGCTTGTTTGATTTCGGAGATATCGAGATTCTGAACAGCACTGATGAACGGCTGAACCAAATGCAATATCTCTTGGATATCGAGCACACGAGCCCAGTTATCCTCGTCGTATAATGTCTCTTGGCCGTTGTGAGCTCTGAATGATGGTTGCGCAGGGGTCTTCAGGTATGCGTTGATTGCAGCACTGGCAGCACTCCCGGCTGCCTGCATCAAGGCATAGGTTACTATGAATGCTGGCATGGCTGCTAAGTCTTTGATAGACGTAAAAATGTATGGTTTTGTTGAAGTGCTTCTCAATAGATGAAGATTTATGCTTCAAGCTGTAGGTACGCTGAGACTTATATTTACTAAACTTGAACAAGGCTGATGAGCTTATCGCCGTTCACGTTCGCCGTCCATGTTCGCCGTCCACGTTCGCCGACTAACGTTCGCCGGCCATATTCCAAGATGGGACACGTCCGATGAAGCTAAATTGCCTGCAGTTCGTCGGAACTTTCGATCATCCAATCGTATGCCGTCGTTTAGCGAGTCTTTCAGCCTTCTCAGAATGTTATCGTCTACCAATACATTAGCGTGAGCAAATCAAGCTCCCAAGCCTCATGTGCACCTTGATTTTGCGCTCATATTGGTGGAGGCACAGTCTCGAACCTTCTCACGACGAAACCTAGGCTGTGCAATAGAGCCGAAGCTTTGCTCAACGGTATCTATATGGCTTATGTGGCGCTCTTATGCGCAACAAGCGTTCGCTAAGAGTTCAGCTTGCGGGGCGGGCCTTAGTCTAGAGAGATCGTCAGGGCCTCGGATGTATGCTCCATGCGGGGTTGACTCAGCCGAAGGTTTTCGCAGTCCATGTTCATGCATCATCAAGATCCGGGGACCAACTTAGTCCGCTGCAAGCGATCATATCCATAATCCTCCAACAATACATACCCATGTCGTGTAGTTTCTACAGCCCCGAGGCCTTCGGCGTTCACTAATGTAACTAGGCAGCCGTGTTCACGCTGTGTTTTTCAGCTGAACTACCCATGCATCTAGGAATGGTGTCATGGGACAGTCATTTGAGCGCGATAAGACACGGTCGGCTTAAATATGTTGGAGTCCAATACGCCCAGTTCACCTCAGTTACTATACAACTTATCCAACTGCCGAACTCAATTTGCAACGACTGAATCCCTCCCATACCTGACCAACCCTGATGGATATAATCCTCGTCCTCATCAAACACATCATATCTCTCCTCTTCAAACAATACTTCACCCCCGCACCCCACGAGAAAACCTCACCACCTGAAATCTCAAAAATGTCCAACCCAGCCCCACAACGCCAAACCATCCTCTCCTCACACGCCAACATAACGCTCCACAATACTGCCCTGCTCCAGCCTGTCTCAATTCGCCCTCCAACAGGCGTTACGCACTTCGCTACATCGCAGGCACAAAACACGATCCAGCAACCAACTTACTCGGGCATGGACGCGAAGAAGAGAATTGTGTTAGCTGGCCTGGCGGGCGGTATCCAGAGTGGTACTAAGGCGTATGGTCAAGCGCAAATCATTGATGAACAGTATAGGAGAGCGCAGCAGGATGATATTGTGAAGACGGTGTTTTCAGGGGTTGGAACGATAGTGGGTCTTCTTTGAGGCAAGGCGGTGGGAAACAAAGAGCCTTAGGTTGATGCTAGCGATCAGATACAAATTGATATATGGCTGACAGCTTCCATCTCTCCTTCTCAGAGTTGTACTGACTAAAGCCTCAAAGGCTTTCCCAGTTCCGTATCCCCTCCTCCCCAACCCCTCCACGATCCTCTACACACGTCTGATTTCTCCAATCCAATACAAAATTGTAGCATGCTCATTGTGGAGCTCTGATTAAAAGCGTAACATGCATGCTTTTGGACATCTATACTTGCTCGTATCCTTAACATATCTAGACACCATAAGCTCCGCAGATCCACCGACCCAATGCAAAAAGGACCAGCTGGGTCAACTCCCATATACTTTCACTTGGGATCTTACCATTCAGGACCGTATCACTCAAGACTTTACCTTTCGAGATCATACCGCTGGGGGCTATGTTGGTATGACTATCACTCGGAACATGTCGAGATGTTTTGGACCGGGAATCTTTGACGTGATTGTTGTTCGCATAAATTCTCGCATAAATTTCGTGTCCCAATAAGGGAACTCTGCTATCCTAATTTCTAACGGCGTTTCTCAGAGCCCGATATTGATATTGCTTCGCTTCGCTACGCAATAAACAACTGAGTGGAGAAGGAATCTGACCCACTGAACGCCAATAATGCTACATTTTGTACAGTGGGGAGTACATGCCGACTTCTATCATACAATCATATCATCGTTAGTACAACTCAAAGAAATTGCCCTCTTCAACTTGAAGAGGTTGCGGCCACAATCAGGCCAGACCCATCGTCGCGGATGGCTACTTTAGCTGTATCACCACTCCGAATCTCACCCCTAATTATCTTGTCTGCCAGGCCATTACCGATCTCTTTCGCAATCAACCTGTTCAGCGGTCGCGCGCCATACTTTGGATCGTAGCCACGATCACAGAGCCACTGCTTAGCTTCGTCTGAGCAGTCAAGGGAAATTCTACGGTCGTCCAACCGTTGCTGGAGCTCCTTCAACCTGATATCTACGATATCTCTAAGCGCTTCACGGGAGAGCCGTCGAAAGATGATGAACTCGTCGATTCGGTTGAGGAACTCAGGCGCGTATGTGGCGGATACAATGTCCATGACAGCGTTGCGGATTGCTGGGGAGATCTCGCCCGAATCGTTGTCGACCCCATCGATAGTGTCGTCTCCAACAATAAGGTTTGAGCCAAGATTCGACGTCATGACTATGATAGTGTTGCGGAAGTCAACCTTGCGGCCCTGCGCATCCGTTAAGAAGCCCTCATCCAGAACTTGAAGGAGGAGCGTTGAGATGTCTTTATGCCCTTTCTCCCACTCGTCGAAGAGAAGGACGGCATAAGGCTTTCGTCGCACTGCTTCCGTGAGTTGGCCAGCGTCTTCATATCCAACGTAACCGGCAGGCGATCCAATGAGTCTAGACACAGTATGTTTCTCGCTGAACTCGCTCATGTCGAACCGTATGACGGCCTGAGGTGTGCTGAAAAGATACTCTGCCAACCTCTTGCAGACCTCAGTCTTGCCGACCCCCGTAGGGCCGTTGAACATGAAGGATGCTATGGGACGGTTTTCGCCACTGAGGCCAGCTCTCTGTAGGCGAATGGCGTTCGCAACAGCGGTTAGCGCTTCATCCTGGCCTTTGAGATATTGACGCAGGGAATCTTCCATATGGATAAGCTTCTCGCTTTCTCCACTATTCAGCTTGGAGAGAGGGATGCCGGTGGTGCGCGAGACGACAGACGCAATGTCTTCGGCGGTAACAGAGTCGTGCAACAGTGATTCTGGTCTCGCGCCCGAAGCCGCGTCTTCGTCACTGGGGAGTTTCTGCTCCAATTCTGGAATTCGGCTGTATTGGAGTTCACCCGCTTTGGCGAAGTTGCCTTCTCGTCGTGCCTGTTCAAGCTCCATTTTGGCCTTTTCGAGATTTTCCTGAGCATTCTTGATTTCGTCCAACTCCGCACGCTCTTTCTCCCATTTCTCAGTCAGTATCTTGACTTCGTCTTGCTTCTGCGTCAATGTTTGTTGCAAACGCTCTCGTCGTTCCTTGCTGGCGATGTCGGTTTCTTTGCGAAGTGATTCCAACTCGATTTGAATTGTCACGATTTGACGATCGAGCTCCTGTATCGCATCTGGCTTGCTTTCTTGCTGCAAGCGTAGTGCACTGGCGGCCTCGTCAACCAAATCGATTGCCTTATCAGGGAGAAAGCGATCCGTAATGTATCGATTGCTGTAAGAAGCGGCAGCCACCAGAGCATTGTCAGTGATACGCACACCATGATGCACCTCGTATCGTTCCTTGATACCACGCAATATTGATATGGTATCCGTCACGGTGGGTTCCCCAACCACAATGGGCTGGAAGCGCCTCGCTAGAGCCGCGTCTTTTTCGATGAGTCGGTATTCGTTCAGTGTTGTGGCGCCGCAGAGTTGGAGTTCACCGCGACTGAGCGCAGGCTTCAGAAGATTGCTAGCATCGATACTACCTTCTGCCTTGCCAAGACCTAGAAGTGTATGCAGTTCGTCAACAAAGAGTATCACGCCCTTCTTCGCATCCTCCACTTCTTTCAGGACCTTCTTTAGTCGCTCCTCGAAATCACCCCGAAACTTGGCACCTGCGATGAGAGACCCGAGGTCGAGCGATATGACGCGTTTGTCTTTTATTGACTCCGGGACGTCCCCTCTGACAATACGTTGGGCCAATCCTTCGAGAATGGCCGTCTTGCCCGTGCCCGCACTACCAATTACGACTGGATTATTCTTGGTTCGTCGCGATAGGATTTGTATAGTTCTCTGAATCTCTCCATCTCGTCCGATGACTGGATCTAGCTTGCCATCACGTGCTCGTGCTGTGAGGTCGACTCCGTATTGTTCCAAAGCGGGCTTCTCAGGCTCACCACTCATGTCCATGCGATGAGTTCCTCCTGGGGGATGTGGCCGTCCATTGGCATAGCTTCTTATCGACTGTTGAGGGCGAATGATGGGAAGACGACATAGTGGCAACGGTCGTGTGGGAACTTGGCGGGGAGAAAGGACAAGACGCCTTACAGCAAGGCGTGTTTTACTTGTTAGCATTTTGGCAAAAAGTTCCACGATGCAGCGGACGGGCAAGGCATCGTTTTATTGTGTTCGATGTTGCGCGAGCACAGGCTTCGTCGAAACTACGGGATGATTCGATGATCTTCCAAAACCATGAGCAACGTTTCTGAAGCAACTAGACTCCAGACTTGATATCATGCGACATGAAAAAACCGCATGCAGTCAACATCGCGAGACATACTATGATCACACCTCGAAAGCAACGCGTAGTCACGACGTTCAGAGGAGCAGTGGACGCACGTGCGGCTAGTTGATCTTGGCACTTTCTCCACTAGCGCGCTCGGACACCTAATTTCTTCCACGTCTAAAAGTCTGCGGCTACCCCTTCTCCAACTCACACTACCAAACTTTTGCACACAGAAACTCTACTGCAAACATGGGCTTCACCGATTTCATCTCCGACGCGGGCCTCACCCTCTTGAACAACTGGGTCAGGACTCGCAGCTACGTCGTTGGGTAAGTTGCTACCCCACCACCCCTCGCTTTCTGTTGTGTTTTCGCGCACCACCCCACCTCGATGTTATGATGAAAAATTTTGGTCCGTGTTAATGAGGCGGCTTAAGACCCCGCTATCTGAATACAAACCCAAGCGCTTGTCGCAACTCTGACCCATCTCTTTGTTCATGCTGCTTTCTCACCAGACACTATGAGGAGTCATCAGCTAACAGAGACACAGCTACACTCCATCGCAGGCCGATGTGAAGGTCTTCCAGCAGCTCAAGGAGGCTCCTGCCGCCGAGAAGTTCCCATACGCCGCGCGCTGGTACAGCCACGTCGCCACCTTCGAGAGCGAGTTCAGCGCTCTCCCTGGTGACCCCACCAAGGAGTACACTGCCTACGGCCCCGAGTCCTCTGACTTGACCGTCAACCCCGCCAAGGCCCCCGAGAAGGAGGCTGAGAAGGGTGCTGAGAAGGAGGTTGCGGCTGAGGATGACGATGACGAGGTCGACCTGTTCGGCAGTGACGACGAGGAGGAGGATGCCGAGGCCGAGAGGGTGAAGCAGGAGCGTCTGGCCGAGTACAACAAAAAGAAGGCTGGCAAGGTAAAGCCCGCTGCCAAGTCTATCGTCACTCTGGACGTTAAGCCATGGGGTACGTTCATCTACATTTCTGTACTAAAACGAAACGCTAACAAACTCGTAGATGACGAGACAAACATGGACGAGCTTAAGGCCAACGTTCTTTCCATTGAGAAAGACGGTCTTGTCTGGGGTGGCTCCAAGTTGGTCGCTGTCGGTTTCGGTATCAAGAAGCTGCAGATCAACTTGGTCATCGAGGACGACAAGGTCTCTCTTGACGAGCTGCAGCAGCAGATCGAGGAGTTCGAGGACCACGTCCAGTCCACCGACGTTGTTGCCATGCAGAAGTTGTAGACGTTGGTCTACCGACACTCTTTACGAGGTTCCCGCACGTTGACGGCGGCGAGTCTTATGATTATGATATGATGAACGGGGCATGATGTGGTAACGTTTGACGTCTTCATGAGCTTCCGCTAGACGAAAATAACGACACAGTGGCCCTGCCACCTTCCTATATGGAACTGATGACCCTAAAATCCTTCCAAACTGTGCATCTGCTGTATACTCGCTTGATTCCGATCGCATTCTGCATCGACGACTAGCAAAGGTGAGGTTGACATCAATGGAAATGGTAAGGTCATAGGTCTCTTTCATCGTGTCCCATTATATATATCTCATGAAGCGTGGTATCTCGTACACCTTCTGTCCATAGCAAATATCAACTCAGCATGAAGCATATCACTATTAATTTCCCTATGGCTCACTACTTGAACAACGTCGTCTGACTATCCATGGAGGACTGAGTTGTTAGTTCATGTCCCCCTTGAACAAGGGCACAGTATAATCATCCACCAGACTGGGCGGCGTCCTCGTCTCGCCCCTCAGAATCTCCAACGTGCTAATCACGGGTAATACCAGCATCAGTAACGGCAGCAACTGGCCAAAACTCCAGTTCCCCTCGCTCGGCCCCTGAAGATTCACCGCTTCAGGCGGGTGCCCAAAAGCCTGGCTCTCCATAACCACGCGCACCGTCGCCCCACCCCCCATAGCAAGCAGCACAACCAGCCCCGTAACCTGCACGCTCTTAAGCCACCTCGGATTCGACCGATTATGCAGATACCACGTCGCAAACACAAAAACCACCACCTGCGCGCCAATAACCGCGCCCGTCCCCGCAATACTCAGCGCCGCATTCGCCGACGCACCACGCCCCTCCACCTCCCACACACACGCAATCGGCAGCCGCGGCTCGAGATTCTTCAGCACCGTCTGCAGGATAAACACGCCGCTCGTCATGCCCAGCAGCATATTGACCAGCATGAAGAACTGCCGCAGCCAGCGCAGCACCCAGTCGCGTCTAAAGTCGTTTACGAGTGCGAGCAGCGTGGCGAGATTGGTGGCCGTGGAGAGCAGCGAGAGCAGCCAGATGAGGAAGAAGTGGTAGGGGGTCATTGTTTGCATTTTTGAGAGCCCGACGGATTGGATGCCGATTCCGGTTATGATTTGTTGGTCGGAGAAGGATTGCAGCAGTTTTCGGGAGATTGGGGCGGAGGTTGAGGAGCGTAGGCCGAGCAGGATTATTGCTGCTGAGAGAAGCATGGAGAGCAGGTTGGTGATTATGAAGGATAGGAGGGTTCCTGAGCCGGCGACGCCCGCGTCGGTGGGCGTGAATGTGGGGATGTGCGTGCAGTTTAGGGCCATGGTTGCGCGCGTGTGTCTTGTAGGTTTTCGTCTCGCTGGAGGAAAAATAGAATGTAGTAGTAGTAATGAATGTATATGGCGAGATCGTGTCAAACGATACCTCAAAAAGCAACAGCAGCAGTAGCAGCGCAGGCGAGAAAACAACAAGACAAAAGCAAAAGCGAAAACCCGAGAAAGTGAATGTCGATTGTACCACTCGAAACCGAAGTAGAGACCGCATAATATCATATCATCTCCCGCGCCCTCCCCTGGCGATCTGCGTGCCTGAATCTGCAAATTTCCTAAATAAGATGCGTCGACGTCACGCATTGGAATGGGGGTCCTGCGGGCCAATCGTGGGCCGCCCCACTGGGGTATGCGCGGCGCGGCGCTTAGGTGCGACGGGGGTGAAACGAAACGCGCGGGTTGTTTCTGGGTTGGGGGAGTAGGAATCTGGGGGTTACGTCGGTGGTGGGTGGGAGGTTTGGGTGTAGGAGGTGTGCGAGTGGGAGGGTGGTGGTGGTGTTGGCTAGCGTGATGGAGATGGGATGGAGATAAGACGAGGTAAGTGGTGAGTTTGACGCTGCGAAACGACGACGTGGTCGGTATGCGGGGCAGAGGGTGTTGTGTCGATACCTGTTACACGCATGTATCCAACGGTCACTCTCGTGAACTAGATAGAGGGCTTCGAAAATATTCACAGACGTTCCTATCTTTGCGTACTTTACCCTACGTCCAGCCATGCACTCACAAACTACAACTACAAATACACAACAACCCCATCCAGTCCCACTCCCCAATGAAGACCAAGAAAACCCCCGTATGCCCCCAAACCAGCGCCCAAACACCGCGCGATAAGTCTTTCCTGAAACGCACGCACAGGGTAAACAATCACAAACGCAAACGCAATCCATGCATCAACCCAGCGCGTCAAAAAAGGGCAGAGAAAGAAAAACGCCCAAGCCAAAACGACAGAACAAAGAAGAGAAGCGAAAAAGTCTAGATATCCGTAACCATAGCCTGTTCATCGCCGCGCTGATGCTCATGCACGATCCCAAGGAGGCGTGCGTACGGCACCGTAATGCGCTGCAAATCGCGGTGTTTACCTGTAGCGAGATTAGCCCAATCCTTCGTCTCGCAAAGAATATGAATATGAAAGTGAAAAACATACCAAGAAGCAGCACCGCCTCCCTGAGCAGATCCTCTTTCTTCCACCCACAAACCTCCTCCTCTTCTGCATCATCATCCCCATCCTCTCCATCCTCCGCATCATCCCCCAGCAACCCCCCCGCCAACCCCCTCAGCAACTCCTCAATCTTGCCCTTCAGCCCCTCGGCCCCAATCCGCTTAACATACATGCCCAGATAAATCTTAAACTCCTCCTTAGCACCCAGCGTCCTCGCAGCACTAACGCGATTCTCCAAATGCGCTACACTAACACACGCCTCGAACGTTTCGTAACCCTCTGCGGAGATAAGCGCCTTGACCAGACGCTGGAGGTAGAACGCGCGGCCCTGGAGCAAGAACTGATTCGTCGTGTTGCGCTCGAGGGCCGGTATGATGCCAGCGGAGATATTCTCCAGCGCGACGTGATCGGGCGTGCGTTCCTTGGGGGCAGGAGTCGTCGAGGAGCGGATGTTACCCACGGAGGAGTCGGTCGTGTTCCAGTACTGGCTGCCGACAGCCCACCAGGGTTCGCTGATGCGCTGCCAGATGTACATGTTGGGGTTGTAAGTGTAGCCGTCGCCGTTGGACATGGCGAGGACGATGCGGCCGGCGGTGTTGAGGCGCGCGAAGACGATGCCGGGGGATTTGGTGAGGTGCGGGCCCTGTGTGTGGGCGGCGATGTCGAGGATCGGGGCGACGGAGACGGGGGGGTGGGGTGAGGAGAGCGTCTTGAGATTCCAGATGTAGCACATGCCGACTGCGGAGATGCACATTAACCACCAGCCGCGACAGTCCATGATGACAGGTTGGGCCTCGAGGATCATGGCGTTGAGTGTGCGCCGGCCGGCGGGGGACCAGGTGTATACGGAGCCGTCTTCGCACGCTGCGGCGAAGAAGTTTGTGTTGCCTGTGACTAGGAGCACGGCTTTGGGGAGGTAGTCTTGCCATAGCGACTGCCCCTTGCTCGTACATGTTATGCGCGCCGGGTCATGGTCTTGCTGGCGTCCTGTCCGAGAGGGTGCAGTGGCGTTTCGTGCTTCCAGGATGACGGTGTCCGATATCTCAGCTTTGCCGGTATTGGCGTCCACTCCGTTTTGCTGCGGTGGCTCACTGCCGTCTGCTGTGCGAATGATAACACTCCTGACCTTCGGCACGGCCAGTCGTACTTGGCTGATGGCCAGTGCAGGATTGACAATCGCAGGCCGTAGAACTTTAGGAGGCTCCGCCACATCCTTCGTCTTCTCAGCAGCTGCTGCAGGCGGGATGAGCCCTGTTTCGCTGTTGAGGACTACAGCGGCTCCGCCAGGCTTCACAGATGCCGCGAGTCTCCGCTCGATTTGGCGATCTTCGTCTCCCTCAATCTCAGCAAACTTCCGCTTGTTCCCAATGAGCATCGTGGCGAGCCCACCCCTGGGAAACCCGTCATAAGGTTTCGACAAGTCCAGAATGTTGTGGGGATTGTCACTCCGCCCGCCGGATGTCGTTGTCGCGGAGATGAGTTGCGTCTGTGGCAAAGACGATGTGCCAACCCCTGACGCTGAAGATACCAACATCGGCGCTATCCTCTTCTTTCCGTCCTTCGTGATAGTGACTCGCTGCTTGAGCTTCTCAACTCTCTGGTCTGGGGGAGGCTCGGCAGGGGCCGGTGGTTGTACTGTTGCGGTCGCGCCATTTGTAACTGTCGGAATAGGAGCAGGAGCCGGGGGAGGGGGAAGGGGAGAAGGCACGCCGTTTGTACCGTTGGTGATCTGGGGAGGTTGAGCCGCACCGCCATCGCCCATCAGCGCACCCATTCTGCCCTGCACGCCTTTGAGTTCCCCACTCTTGGCGCTCTCTTCCAGGAGCAACGCGTCCGTCCCCTCGATGATGCCAACTTTCCTGCCACCACCGAACTTAGACAGCGTCTTCTCGTTCTCCGTCAGCGACGCCGGGTATCCCAGCTCCCCAGGTTCAAAGACAAGCGTCAATATGCTGCCGTCCAAGCTCGTCGCATACAGCGTCTCCCCGTCCGGTGCCCATGCCAGATCCGATATCGATTTCCCCGCCAGCTCCTGCGAAATCATGAACGGCCTAGGGAAACTCGTGTTCCACACACTGAGGCATTTATCCTGCCCGGCGCATGCGACAATCGTGACGGATTGCTGGTACACATTCCCATCGTGCTCCTGCCTCGGCGGGTCGCGGTAGAATAGTCGTGGGGAAAAGGCAGCCACCTCCACAGGCCCTTCGTGGCCGACCAGACTGATGTCGCCGTCCCATGTTCCACGCGTGAGAATGGCGACAGAGCTAACTGGACCATTGGTAGCATTGGCCGCGGCGATGTGCGCACCGTCTGGCGACCAAGAACAGCGACGAAAGTATGTTGTGAGGGGGGAAGTCTGGAAGGGCGCCGTGATGGTGTGCTCGAGCATGAAGTTGTTGACCTGGTCCTGCTGTGTCGCATTCGGGGGTGGGGAGTTGAAGCGGTAGACTTTGATCGTGCGGTCGTCGCTGGCGGTCGCGAAGTACTTATTGGCTGGGTCGAATGTGATTCCCTTGACGTGACTCTGGTGGTTGGAGAGCGTCTTCAGCTTCTCGAACGAATGGCCTGACCACACCACCACCTTGGAGTCCAAGCCCACCGACACGAGTATCGAAGAATCGTACGACCAGCCAATGTCCTGCACGTCATTGTCGTGGCCTATCAGGCGGCGGGTGACGCGCCAGTTCTCGACGGGCGGGGGTTCATTCGAGCCTATGTCCTGCGTCAGTAGCGATTCCCCCTCCTCCCTGCACAGTCTACGCACCAAAAGCAGCATGTGTCGGCGCGTTGGGGTCGAGAAAGTAGACGCATACTATCTTGTCATCTGCGCCCGAAGCCAAGTATTTGTTGTTCGACGAGAAGCGGACGGCGTGGATGGTGCCCGAGTGGTGGCTGACGGCTGCGAGCTGCTTGGGCTTGGTGTAATTGGGGTTGTTGGAGTTGAGGATGGCTTCGGTGGACCATATGCGCACGTATCCGTCTATTCAGCTTCGATTAGCGACGTCTGTTGGGGCGGCGCATCGCATGGGAGTTCCGCAAGCGTGGGTGACGAACCTCCGGCCGCCGTGACCAGACGCGACCCATCCGGGGAGACGTGACAGCTGTATACCTCAAAGTCCTTGAGTTCGCCTGGAATGGTAGTAAAACGTTAGCATCATATTCCTGATCTCCACAACAGCGCGAAAGAAGTTGTCTGTGAACCGACCTGGGTGTGTCAACCAATGCGGCTTAATGAGATGCATGGTCGCGTTTAGTTTTCAGCAGATGGATCATGTAGAGCGTGCTATGACGCGACCATGGAAGGGAGAAAAAAGAATGACGAAAGGGGGGGTTGACACGCGGTCGTGGGAAGCTGCACGTCTCGACTGATCGCGACAGCTGTTTGGCGTCGGCGACGCGAGCCTAAAGTTCTTGCTTGGCGGGCGTTTGAGCAGGGATCAAGTTAAGGTTTAGTTGCATGTCGATCCGAGGAGGGGGCTTGCCCGGAATGGAAGACTATTATAGGCTTGAGGTGCGAGATGGCCGTGAAATTAAGATCAGAATGCTAGTCGCTTTTTTGTTGTATTGTTTGTGAGCGTCAAACTTATGTAGGCAGGGTATCTAGATATGTCGTTCAAGCTTGCTTCCATTACCACCACAGACATGCGGTATCAGCCACTTCATGTAGCCACTTGCGCAGAGTCTGCCGTTCCTCAATCTCTCTGTTCCTTCGTCAATTTCCTCTCTTGGATGGCGTATTGTGTGTCGTGTTGCCCTGCTGTGACATTCCAAGACATCCCACATCCTGTACCATCCATACAACCTTCTCAGCAGGAAGTCCAGAAGTAGCAAGTCGCGAGCCGTTGTTGTTTCCTAAACTTCTCGCCTCTTGATCCTCGGAGGATCGATCGGAATCGACGCGTTTTATCTCGATCGAATTCGTCAATAGTTCGACCATCCGCCATCGCAATCTCAAGCCTTCTTCTTCCTCTTCTTGAAAGTCACCGCAGGCGCTGCTTCCCCGTCCGTCGATTTATTTCGGCCCACCTCCGCAACGCCCGCTCTGCTCTCCTCCACCGTAGGAATATCGCTCAATTTCGTCGTCTCCCCCTCCTCCTTAACCTCCTCTTTAACACTCTCCTCAACCGTCCCCTCACGCTCCACTTTAACCCCCGCATCCCTCCCCACCGCACCAAACAAGCTATCCACATCCACCTCCCCCTTACTCCCCGGAAAAGTCTTATACGTATGCCCCCACCCCTTCTTCTTAGTAATCATCTCCCTCTCCCTAGCCTCCTCCTCATCCTCATCCGGCATCCGCTTATGCACCCCCTTATTCAGCGCCATAGCCTTAAACTCGCCATCACCACTCACAACCCCAACAACCTCCTGCTTAACCACCTTCCAGTCACCCGCCATGCCCATATCGGTACGCGCCTCCTCGGGCAGCGCCACGCCCATAGCAGCCAGCTGATCCCATTGCCGTTTGCGGTCCTCGACTGTCGCTTTTTTCTCAACCCGCTTCTCGAACGTCGGGGGTGGTCCGCCAGTGCCGGTCGCGACGGATGGCGATGCGGTGGGGACGAGGCCGTTGAGACGCGCGACTTCGGCCTGTGCGCGCGCTTTGGTGCGCTGCTCGGCTTCTTGCTCGCGGTGCAGGCCGCGGAGGGAGCGCTGGATGGAGCCTTGGTGGCGGCCTGTGGCTTCGTGTTGTGCGCGCTCGAATTTGGTGTCTTTTACGTAGACGGCGCAGAATTTACACCAGTATTTTGGCTGTTGGGGTGGAGTGTTAGTGCTGCGATGTTGTAGATGGGAGGGGTGACTTGCTGTTGATTTCCAGTACTCTGACATGATGTTATGGTGGGTGGGGGTTGTAGTGTTGGAAAGCGTAGAGATGGGATGGTGATGGAGTTGTGGCAGAAAGCAGGGCGGTGAAGAAAGCTTGGCAGGTACATGGTTCGCAAAGTACCTTTCTGTTCTCCTACATCTCCCCGACCGCCTCATAACTAAACCTGACTCAAAACTCCCGATCAAGCCCTACAATCCACACTCTACTTTTCCTTCCAAATGGAGTAATTTCCTTCCTCCTCCACGACACGAAAGACCCAGACTTTCCCTCCTATCTAGCGTGTACCAGACCTGCACTGCCAAGGTGCCTTGTCATGTCTAGCTTCTGGTAGTTTACTAATCTTAGACTCGATTCAGGTTTCCCGTTCTAGTAATGTGTTCTATAAAAAGGGCTGTGAGTGTACGAGAATACGGCTTCTGGAACGTAGGTCTATTGGTTGGCCATCTGGGCCTTGCCCTTGCGTATACCTGTCCGTTTGCACTCTAGTTGTCGGCGACATTCGCCCAAGGAGTTGGTCCTTTCAAGTATATTCTTCTAGTCGACGTATAGTCCGAGTTGCGTTCCCTAGTACGCATGGGGAAGATGGAGTGATTGAGTAACACGTGAGGAAAAAGTCAAAATAGGGTTGTCTTGAGGTTTCGCATTCGGCCAGTTTCCTGACAGTAATTCATGTCGTGAGACATTGCCTGCTTTAATATTCTGACCTGACGTGGCTACCTGGGTATAGCGTGGTCTCCAATGGTAGATGTAGACCCACGAGCTGCTGTGCCTTTTCGCGCGTGCATACTCTCCAATTTCATCATCTCTGCTCCCTCTTTACACGACCCTCAATCTACCCTCCTCCTCACGCTTCTCCCCTCCTGCTCTGCACCAATCCCTGTGACGACTTCCTGCACCAGCTCCCTCAGCTGCCTCTGCACCTCGTCGGACTGGTAGTCGTCTCTCGCCGCGAGCTCTTCTATCCGTCGTCGTATCTCAGGGTCGGGCGCATCGCCTGCTGCGTCTTCTGTCATGGTGCCCATGTTGATCTGCACGCCGTCTGGGAGTGGTGGGGGAGGATGCACGCCCGCTGTCTCGACAGCACCTGCACTTGTTGGTTCGTCGCCTGTGCGCAGACTCCTCAGATATTGATACACTTCATGCGCTTCGCCCTCCTCTTCCCCAATCTTCTCCTCTGCCGTCTTGCCCTCGCTGTTCCTGACCTTCCAGTCGGCGCCAAGCTCTTCAATCAGACATTTTGCGACGTCGACTTGCTCGGCTGCAAACAGAGGGGTCTCGCCATCCTCGTCGAGGATGTTGGCGTCGACGGCATATTTTTGTATCAGCTCGCGCAGGACGGGCAGCTGGTTGTACGAGGCGGCGGCGTGGACTAGCGAGTAGCCATGCGCATCGCGGGCAGAGGCGAGCTGAGGGTGATGGGAAAGCGAGGTCAAGATGGACTGGGGGCGCGTGTCGATGAGGTTGAGGAGGAGGTCGATGGTGGGGGTAGGCAGGGCCATGGTTGCTTGTTGGCGGTGAGTATTTGTGCTGTTGTGCTGGAGCATCTAATTTTGGAGGGGTGACGTGAATCGCGGCGGGGAATTGCTGGTGCATGGCCCACACGCGCCGCCACCCCCGGGATTGGCCACTCCCCGGCGCCGAACATCTGGAACTCTATCCTCGCGCTGTTCTCACTGTAAACTACAATGAGTTCCCCCTCTTCTGTTGAGATGCATCAGCAACACTCTCATGGCCAGCTAAATGAAGCTGGACATGTCAGCTGGCCCAAACAGTGCAGGCGTCATGTTAGCTCTCACAGGCGGCGAGCTGAGACGCATCGTGGCCACGGGCTGAACTGCAAAGCTTCTACACAGCCGCACTCCAGGGGCACATCGAAGCCTTGGCAGTCGTGTGCTCGAGTCTTATTCACGGTCGTGATTCCAGTTCTTTCTTGTTTCTCTGTTCCATCGTCTTCTCCGTCTAGCAGGCGCGTCATAAGAATAGTAGCCTGCACCGTGTAATTACGACGCAATCCCCACGACTGTTCATTGCTGGCAGTCGGCCCTACGACTCTCCTGACTTCGCACGGCGATCTCTATGCGCGGAGCACTTTAACAAGCGCCTTGGGACGTTTCGACTTGGATTTACACTTCTAACTTCGCCCTGCCTTTTCTTCTATTTCGTTCACTGAAGCACAACACGCAACGCAACCATGGCACGAGGTCGAGGTATGCCGTCGCCACGGCTCATCCTTTCTTACGTATTCGACTGGATCATGATCATGTACGTTGTCTACCCCAGCCGTAGCCGCCCAGGCATGTCGCGTGCCACACTACACTGTCACAAACAACTTCCTTAAACACATCCCACCAAAACATCTACTAACAGTCCACAGCGCAATCGCAGCGGTAGGCGCCGGATGGGAATACCTCACGCCGTACAAGCGCCCCTTCTCGCCAGTCGACCTCTCCATCTCGTATCCCTTTGAAAACCACGAGACCATCCCAACATGGCTCTTGGCTGTCCTCGCGCTCGCCATGCCCGCCTTCGTCATCTTCGTCGTTTGCCTTGTATTCGTCCCCGGACCGACGGCTGAACGGGGAACGTCCAAAGCGCTCATCTGGAGGAGGAAGCTCTGGGAGTGGAACACGGGCTGGATGGGGCTGTGCATGTCATTGGCCACCGCCTTCCTGATCACCCAGGGCATGAAGCTCCTGTTCGGCAAGCCCAGACCAGACTTGCTGTCGAGGTGCCAGCCAGACTTCTCCCGCATCGCCGAGACGGCCGTGAACCCCATTGGCGCCGTCTTCAACCAGAACTGGGTCCTCGTCACTGACGCCATCTGCACAAATACCGACGAAGCCATCATGAAGGACGGCTTCAAGTCCTTCCCCAGTGGCCACGCCAGCTGTAAGTCCCCACCACACCCACCTCCCCTTCTCCCCGCCACTAACACCAACCCAGTCTCATGGGCCGGCCTCCTCTACCTGACCCTCTTCCTGGCCTCCAAATTCTCCGTTGCAATCCCCTACCTCGCCCCCCGCCAGTTCAGCACAAACCCCGCTTTCACCTCCGCCGTCGCCCCCTCAAACATGAAGCTCCGCCACACCCTCCCCCTCAACAAGCAAAACTCATCCCTCGACGACGCCGTAGTCCCAATCCGCTACCAAGCCGCCGCGCCCCCCATCTACACCCTCGTCCTCGTCCTCGTCCCCATCGGCACCGCAATCTACGTCTGCAGCACCCGCTTCACGGACTTCCGCCACTTCGGCTTCGACTTGCTGTTCGGCAGCTTCATCGGCATCACCGCCGCTTGGGTCAGCTTCCGCTGGTACCACCTCCCTATTACGCGCGGCGCCGGCTGGGCATGGGGGCCTAGGAGCTACGACCGCGCCTGGGGTATTGGCGTCGGTAGGGGCACGTATGTGGGGACTGAGGGGTGGAGTAAAGCGGGTAGATCGGAGACGGCGCACAGGAATGGGAATGGGTTTGCGGGTGAACATGGGACTGAGCCGGGGAGTCAGGATGGTATTCTCATGGAGGATCGCAGGATGCAGGGTGTGCATGCTGTGTGATGTTATTTGGTTTTAGGGCACGGTTTGGGGGAAATTATAGGCGTTTTTAGATTGTCGAATACAGAGATTTTGCTATGGTAGTGAATGCTGATGGGGAGTTCTTAATTGTTTTTTATAGACCTACGCTGCATAAACGTATAAGGTCAATCGACTTTTTCCCTATTTAACACTTCTTGGCCGTGCTTGTTTCCCTACCATCCCCATTGCTCGCTTCCAACCGTTATCCAACGCAATGTCTTCCCTTCCAGACAAATCCCTTCATCGTAGTTTTCTCTCCCTGAATTCTGGATATATGCGCACTCGCGGACTCCCTGGTGGGAAGAAAATCTTACGAGGAACGCTGACCTTGACGGCATGGTCAATGCAATGCATAGACGCTACTGGTATTTATGCGGTGTACGGGATCTGCGGATATACGTTGTGGAGTGAGACAGGGTGTGGTGTGGTGTGCTTGGTGGGGAATTTAGGGGGTGAGGAAAGGGAGAAGCGCGGGTAGGGTTGCTCGCATACGCATTGTGACTTGCGTACGAACAGTTGGGATGAAATGAGGAGTGGAGGAGGACGTGGAGGGATATTGTTGAGACTGAATATCATATCGCTTTATTCTGCGGACAGGTTGAGATAGGGTGAAGAGGGCTGGGATGGGATGGAATGCTGGAGGTGAATACATATTCTGAACGAATACCTATCCCGAGATGATATCAAGTCCACAAAAGCAGCAAGACGAAAAACTTGCGCCATAAACGTTAAATTCATAGCCCAATGCAAGAAGCCCATCAACAAAAAGATACACATCTACAACTTCTCCAGCAATATCCTCGCCCCCGCATTCCCTCTCGGGCCAGCCTGTGCCTTCTCGCCCTTCTTCCCCTTCTTACTCTTATCCGCCTCAACAACAGCAGACCCCTCCGGATGCGCCGCCGCATCCAGCTTCTTCTTCTCCTTCTTGAGCGCCTTGAGCACGTCAGCCTTGCGCGAGAAGTCCTCCGCCTCAGTAAGCGCCACGATGACGAACGAGCCCTGGCCCGTCGCCCAGTCCACAGCACTGGCCTTGATTTCGTCCCAGAAGATGTCCGCGAAGCCGAGAGATGGCTCGACGGGGACGACCTTCTTGGTTGCGGGGTCGAATTTGCCGCCCTGCACGAGCGTCTTGAGCATGTTTTTGCCGTGGCTGCTTGCCTTGTTGTCGTTGGCCGAAGCAGGGAGTGCCGAGTCGAGGATGGACTGCGAAAGGCGCGCGACTTCAGCGAGGGCTTCCTTTCTCTTCGCGGGCTCGACGTCGGGCGCGCCAACGAGGACTTCGCCCATAAACTGCAGGCCGAAGCTGAAGGAGGCAAAGTCGGCGGCGCGCGCGGCGATGGCGCTTAACAGCTGGGGCTCGATGTTCTTTGCGATCTCGTGGAGACGCGTGGCGGGCTCCTTCTTTGAGGTTGTCTCGCGGATGGCGTACAGCTCGGTGAGGCGCTCACGCGTGTTGTCGTCGAGGAACCATTTTGCGTCTGCGGCGAAGGGGTAGAGGAGGACTGTGCGGGCACGGGCGTCGTTGACGAGGGTCAGGACCTTCTCGGGAAGCGTGTCGTTGGTGGGTAGGAGTTCGCTGAATATGGATTTTGAGGAGAGCTTGGTGTCATCGGTGACGGCTAGTGCGGCGAGGAGGACGTGGTGGGCGTTGACATCAAAGGCCATTGTCTCGATTGTGTCTTTGAATGGTCGCAGGAAGAGTTTGCGGTCTTTGGCTGTGCCGTACGCAAAGCACAGAGATAGCAGTCGCGAGCCTGATTTGGTGAATGCGAGGTTCTTCAGCAGATCCACATTATCGGCCTCTTCGCCCTCCTTGATCGTTGGGTCAGGCTTCAGGTGCTCCAAAAAGTCGTTCGCCTGTTCAGTGCCCGGCTCGCAAACCAGGAAGTACTGTAGCATAGCGTCATGCAGCATGGTGAAGCCTGTGAGCTTCTTCTGGATGAGCGAGTTGATCTGGTTCTCAAGGTAGCCCATAATAGGCTTCCTCTTCTCTGGCGACTCCTTTAGAATAGCAGAGAGCTCTGCACTGTCTGTTCCCTGCACCTCCAGGCCCTTGATGGAGAACTCGGGTCCGTACCATTCGCGAAGGAGACGGTTCTTCTGCTCGGGAGTTCCAATCTGCCTGTAGATGTCGTCGAGGATCCACGCCGCTTCTGGGTGATTGATCATGCGCTTGACATGGCTGTAGAACTCGGTGATGACCAAATCGCGGATCTCAGGGTCACTACAAACGGTCAGTTGATGAACTCGCCATCCCAAGATGCAAGCACTTACCCCTTCTCTATCAGCTTGGCGATCAAGAACTTGGAGTATTTGCCCTCAGCCAGAGTCTTGAATTCGCCCTTGAGCTCGCGCGCAATCATCCTCCTCTGCTCCATTGTCGAGTATTTTATGGCGGTCTGAATGACGCGCACAGAGTCGTGCTTGAAAACAAAGTCCTTGACTCTGCCTGTGATAATCTCGAACAGCTCTGTGACAAGCTTCTTCCTCTCCTCCTTCTCGATGTGCGACTTCAGCCTGAGCTTCTCCCACAACTTCTTCGAGCGCTCGATGATGTCGGCGTTGGGCTTCGCAGCCTTTCGTTCTTTGGCCAGGGCCTTCTGTTTGGCGTGCGCTTCTCGTGAGTTGTTTGCTGGAGCATGGTTAGGATACGTCTCGCAGTTTGGACAAGCTGAGGAACCCACCATTCAAGCCAGCCAACTTCGAATCGGACGAATCGCCCTTGAACTTCTTCTTGTCTGTAGCATCCTCCTTCCCGTTTTGCTTGCTCTTCTCAGGCGTAGCATCCTCGCTGCTGTCCACATCCATCGCATCGTCCTCAGGGCTGTCCATCTCGATGTCCTCGTTGGCAGAGAACCCAGTGAACCCATTCTCTTTTTCGCTAGTATCCGACTCGTCGAAATCATCCGAATCCTCCTTCGCCACCTTCTTCGACTTCTTCACAGGCTTGACCGCGTGCTTCGAGTCGCGTTTCGACGATGATTTCTCGACCTTGACCTTTTTGCTCTTGGATTTGATCTCGGGCGCGCTTGGCGCCACTGATTTGCGCTTGATACCGGCCATTTTGCGTGTGTTGGGATGTCTTTGCCGTTGCTGAACTCGCGCCTCGAAAAGTTGCGACTTTCGAACTTTTTCCAGCGGGCCGAACTTTCTCCATAGGGCGCTAATGCAGAAGTGGGGCACCACCGTCTTGGCGTGCTTCCCCCCTCTGCCATCTGGTCTGTCTTCCATTCTTGAGATTTATTCGTCATGGTCGATTGCACAGTTGAAAGAGTAGTGCATCATTGTTATCTCCAGCTTAACACTCACTGTATGATACGATAGACTTTGAGCTATTCGATATTTCCACTTCTTCCTCAGATAACATCAACCCACACAAACATCTGCTCTACATGTATCGGCACCTTTTCATCACCCTACAATACGTAAAACCAAAACATCATGTTCTAGCTCGCTTCTTCAGAGGTCATTTCGTCATGTGTCTTAGTTCGACCTGTCACTGCAGCTTCAGCTCAGACTTCTGAGAATACCGCTGTCTTTTCCAATGGAAAAGAATGCATTTAGTTCCATACTGGAAGTTAGCTACGGTCACGTATGTCACAATCATTCCTGCAAGCTATCTGAAGAGTCTTAATACATCTGAATCAGAGGCAACGCGGAGTGTAGTTTCGTTATGACAGAGGATTCAAAGTCTTCGTGAACCACTTCCGGAAACCTGATGTTTCGCGTCTCTATCTACTCCACCTTCCCGAGACAACTTCTGGAGACCTTCATCTCGAACAAACTTTGGATCACTATGTATGAGCTTGATCAGGCACGCAATATAACAGGGATCAAGCATCGTAGCAACTCGAACCCTCGTTGATAAGGTTGGCTCCAAATATCAGAAGAATGGGGCTCAAATTGCTGTAAGACCAGTTTGTCATGTTCAAAACTCTTGTCTCAGATCTGTCAGTTTGCCTGTCAGTTTTATCTTCCAATAAACTTAATCATGACGGAGGGCAGACCACTCATGTTTACGCTCCTCATTCAGAGGTTAAACAGTGTCCTAGTCATGGTCTCCTGCGGATCTATTTCGAACCTCTCCTCCCGTACGCGCTCGCGAACCAGCACAAGCTCGAAACCCCTCGCGAGTGGCCCGGCCACAGCTTACCGCTCGACAGAACCAGATCGACGAGTTCCGTTTATCGCTTGCGGGTCGGTCCAGCGGGTACATCGACCAGGAACGCGCCTACTTGACGATCGTCCAACGGTGCCTGTCCATGTGTGGCGTGAAACACATGAGATGTACGAGAAACAGATCACGTTTGAGCATTACGAGGATCTACCTCTTTGGGCGATACGCTCTCCAAGCGAGCATGAAACCGCTCGGTACCCTGCTTCAGTCAAAGCGCTTGCGTAGTCACAGTGGGTATGCCGGCCAGACAAGTTGTCCACCTGCGTCACCCAGCGCCAGAAATTCACGGAACGCTTGTGAAACTTGTTGCTTCAATGCCGCGCGGACGACCAGGTGGATGGAAACCGATCGACTAGTGCGGGGAGGAGATGGTTTAGTTTTGAGTTACGTCTCAAGCTAGTACTGATCAAAGGGCCAGAACCGCCACGTTTCTCACCCGAAAAACAACTTCTGAGGCGCAGAAGCGGATGTTTAGTTTAGGGCACTTTGATGATCATAGCGACGACGGGTATACTATTGACAATCGCATGGCCAAGGACAATTTAACCGCCTTCGTGTTCGGCGTGCCGAAAAAGGAAACTTCGGAAAGTTAAAGCCATGTCCAATAATTCACACCACCACACTGCACCCGCAAAGGTGTTGGTCGGTCGCTTGCATCTCGCCTGCTTACTTTACTCAACGCTTCTTTTGCTCGCCTAATGTAGGTTCTATATGCAATGCAGCTAAAATTTTCACCGCCACGCTACCTTCCTATTTACCTACTCGCCTTACGCTGTGGTGATGCCATCTAGGTACACCGGAATCGTACACGTAGGTTGGTGCCTTTGCCTAAACCTGCTCGACCCCGCTTCTCGCTATCGCTGCCTGCTATGATGCAAGCGAAGTATGCATGCTGCGCGGCGCAAACGCCCATTCCGTAAGGTGACGTTGAATGCAAACATACATGTCCAAGTCTGTACACTGCCCACGTTCTTCATTTACATGGCTGGGTCGAAATTGGGCCAGATTGCCTGGAAGCGTTGAAGGATGCATGTAGACTCTTCTAGACAGCCAACAAAATCCCAACGCGTTCCTTGTGTCTTCTTTCTGTAGAGTTGCATGGCCAAGATAGCCAAGTACAATTGACGTTCCTTCACAGATGCTTGACTAGCATGACTAGATTATGCTGACTGTGCTGACTGTGTTGAGTTGAGCTGAGCGGACCATGTCAAACCACCCTCCAAGAATCGCGCAATAGCAGGAATAAAACCACACAACAAATGCATAACCCACGTCAAAACAACATAACCTGCAACAAAACCAAGTCTTTCCCGGAAATCCGCTTCCCCCACCCGCTGGGGACGAAGGATCCATGCATAATGCACCACGCCCTGCACGCTAGGCAAGCGGGTCTACGTAGGACGGTACATGACATGTGGTATATCCCTCTCTCACATCACACATCGCATAGGTATCACATCACACCACATCATCACATACGTACGCGCATAATCGATGGCAAATAGAAAAAAAAACAGGTCCATAGTTCTCAGCCTTGCGTATGGGGCTGAGGAACACCTCCCCTCATCATGTCTGCCTATTGATCGAATCAAGTCCAGACCCCATGTTCGCCTTGTTTTGTCGATTTGACACCCTGGTCCCCTTGCTCTGCGTCATCAGGCAAGGAAGGAGAATGCACAAATCATGATAACAGCACAGTCAGCGAAGGCAGGTGGAGGCGGTAGCACGGTCTTGATTGCGCAATGCGACAGGCTGTCTTCGCGATCAATGCCTGCAATGGCGTCGAATCCAGGGACCAGCTAATTTCCACCTGCAAAAAGTACACAGCAAAGTGAAAACATTATCAAAACGTGTGAGAATAGTATTTATTGATTATACTATTAGATGTACTTTCATCCATGCATAACACCAGAGTTTTTCCCATGCTCTAAAACGCCTGGTATAACGTCAACGACTTCCCTGCCGTTGTTTTATGTGCCTGGCAACAAAGTGCATACGCGCAATGATAATGTGCCATTCCCGATCGCCAACATACATGCAAAGTGAAACAGAATAAGCCTCCAAAATCAAAAATTGGTACATGTAATTGACAAGACGCTCAAAAGGAGCAAACCCAAGACTGCAGAGAGGGAGCATGCTACATCCTCTTCTTGTCGCGAGGTCCATTATGCTCGAGCAGCACTAGCGAGAGCAGATCGTACAAGGTCGTGAGGAGGATGAAGAAGAAGAAGAAGAGATGGCAGCGTGTGCGTGTAGACCTGACGACGCGAGACACGCTGCAAATGACGTGACAGGAGCAAAGGGCTTAGACCTGCTCAACAAAGGCTGATTTCCGCGATTCGCTCGATGTTCGGCGCTTCTTCTGAAGCTTCCTCGACTGTCTCCGCTCGGTGAGCTCCTCTTCTTCTGGTGTTGGGACTGGCGGCGCGAATGTGCCGGGCCTCAGAACCTGGAAGCCAGAGTTGACACTGCGAAGGACTTCTGGGTCACGCTGCGCGTTTTGAGGCGTCTGGACCTCGTAGGGCACCTCGTCGTATGACATTTGGTGTTGAGGAAAGCGAGGTTGGTAAGTGTCGGGGTAGTAGGCGGCCTTTGGCGCGTATGATTCCATCAGCGGTCTTGCCTGCCTAGCCTGATTTGTTGCATGGTTGTCCTGAACATATGTGTACGCGGAACTGGCCACTGCTTCTTCTTCGTCTCGCGGGTCGATAACAGTGGGCAGAGGAGGAGAGGGAGTCTTCTGGGGCACAAAATAGTTAACACCATTGAGCGATGAGGTCTGGTTGTCCGCAATGCCCAGCCACTCTCCGCTATTACCTGGTCTGCGAACTCGGGGTGTGAGTTGCCCAGTCTCGGCTACATGCGACATGCGGTGGGTTTGGAGCAGATCGAGATCGGTGCGAGGATCGTTGGGGACAGATCCAGTTGCCGGCCTGATGTAGGCTGTCTGATATGGCAAAGTGTCGTGCTGAACAGCCATGTAGTCTGACTCGTCACTGGTACGGCGACTAGATTTGTAGGAATCAGAAGGGCTAGCACGATGGCTTGCATGACGCGCTGTGACGATGTTAGTGTCTGCCTGTGCGCTACAGGACTAGAAGAAAGCTTACGCGAGGGTGGACCAGAGTGATACTGTAGAGTTGAGTTACGCGGAGCATTTCCGGATGCGCTTTGTCGGGAAGATCCAGCAACTGGCCCATACGAAGAAGAGCGCGAGTCGTCATTGGGTAACCGCTCAGCTGAGACTGCACGGTCGAAGGAGCTCGGCGCCCTTGAGCTGTCGCGACTTGACCCCTGGAATGACATCTGAGGGAGCTCAATCCGGGAGTTATTGAAGCTTCGCGGAAGTTTCGATTCGGTCATGATGGACGAGCGACTGCTGCCAACCGGTGTGTTGGTTCTCGAGATCCAAACGCCATCGACCTCAATTCCACTCTCGATCGCTCGAATACCGAACGGGATTTCGTCTGTGGTTTGCGATTGTACTCGTGTTACTGGTTGTGCTTCGAGCATCTCTGGCGTCTGCGTCTGCTTCCCCTTGTCGACTTTGCTGTACTGACGTGTCTTGTATCGATCGATTTGCAGCTTTATGAAACCGATGATAATTGTGACAACCTGCGACGGTCAGTGAAATGTTCATAACGAAGTTTAAGGTGATCCGTACGATGCCGCATCCCAGTACCTGTGACAAACGACGTTAGCAAGTATTCACAGTCAATAGCTAGTTGAAAGACTCACAAAACACATCTTCTGCCATAATTGCCAACTCGTGAAGAACGCATTGCCTCCTGACGTCCCAAAACCCATGGCTGCGGTTGGCGAAGAAAATTAAAGATTCAAAGGGTCCGGGCTAAGAATGATAGGTGAAGTGCAAGTGGAAACAATGTCAAATCGATGCAGGAAGGTACGCTTGGTTGTTAATACCCTTGTTTGGCGAATGCAAGGTGAGGGACAAACAACTGGCAAGAAGGGATATCCTAAGACAGAACCGGTCCAGTGGGCAACGACAAGACAGGCAGGTGTTTTAGATGTCCAACGCGGCGATCGGTATGGTTGACGATCTGCAGGTGATTGTAATCTTCTCACGTGTAATACGAGGCCGTTATTTCGGACGGGGTAATGATTTCGGTAAGAAGATTGGGTCCAATTCCAGCAGGGATAGCGAGTGAGGTGAGCGAGTGTGAAGTCGTATATTGAGTTTCCCAAGGGTACGACGTAGGTATTTGTGGTAGAATCGCTGGCAAAAACGGCGTAGTGGAGACGCGTGTGGAACTTGGTCTGGCTTGGCGAGCTGTGGGACGGTCGCGATACTACCACGAAGTCGATAATACCACTAGCCAAGAAACGATACGCGGAGTTGGATCCTAGTGCGGTGTTTTCTGGAGTGCTGGTGGGTGCTGAGAGTCGCTTGGAACGAGCGCGGGGAGAGTCTGGGAAGGAAGCAAGCAATTATATTAATGTAATCACAGGGTCGGATCTGCGCTTCTGTCTGGGACCACCGCAGGAAACAACGGAGCCTGCAAGATGAGGAGAAGAGTTTCCACCCATGTCCTCCAAAACGCCCACGACATGCCCCCCCCCATGCTCGCTATCCCGCCTGTTGACTTCACGCCACATAAGGCGTTGCAGGGGCCATCTCTGCCGATGGATCGGGAAATGCGTTAGTGACGGGCGGACGGCAACACACTGTGCCTAAAATAGGGAGCGCTTGTTTCGATGGTGGATCGATGGTGGGGTATCGATGGACAAGTGTTGCCGGCGTATGACCAGCGCGAAGCAGCCGTCTTGGGGTGCTGGAATATCACACAACAGCCTGTATTGTACAACGACAACTGTCAGCTCCTGCCTAAGTGGCTCAGCCAGCCTGTTTCCACCGAAGACACGTTGGATCGGATATTAGAAGACCAAGAAACCTTCTGCGCCTCTTCCTTGTTCCTAGCGCGCGGGAATCCGGTTCGGGATTAGAGGTCTTGTTAGGGCAGGTGGCTTTTTCACGAGTTCTTCTCCGCCAATGCATCATAGCGCAGCGCTGAAAAGAATACCCGTTCCACGCAGTAGCCTGCTCATCGATCTGTAATGTCGGCTGGCGCTACTGCCAGGTCATCTCGAGAATGACGCCAGAGAAGCGGGCCTTGGATGTCGGCCTTGTGGATCACGCACTTGGCCGGTCCCATCAACATCGAAATTTTATCAACCATGAGTTTTCCTTCGACTCCGCGTCGGGAATGATAGGCTGCGCTGCCGTCGGCTTGAACTATGATACTTAGTTCGCTTTCTGAAGTGCGTTGTCTCTCAAGAAGCGAGCGCGCAATTTCCCACGCTCACCACCACGCGGTCACTCCACATGCCGTGAAACTCTGGTGTCGTTCGGTTCGTTCAACCTTTGATCGCTCTTACCTAAGCGGCTCGTGGTCCCTTGACTGTTTTGGAGTTCCGTTTCTTCCACTGTCCAATACAGCTTTTCAACCCCTGCTCGACGCTCAGGCACAAGTTTCTGCCTGTACCCGTCCTCGTGTCGCACGACATGATGAGTGATATTGATACCGCGTTGTCTGTGACTGATGTGGATAGCTAACTCAACACACTGATCCCACGGTGCCGAGTTACGAGAAGGCACCAACTTCCATGGCATTGGGATCTTGCAGGCCGGAGTGAAGTTCCACATGTCCAAATTTGGCAACATCTTATCGATTGGCCCACATAAACAGACAACCGGAACATCTGCTCGAGCTAGGTGTCAAGCGTCCTGCACACGAAGCCCACGGTCCTTGATGAGCAAATCTTTTTCCGATTCTGAGGTCACAGGTCGTCAAGACTGTTGCATCGGGCCGCTGTCACCGACCAGTAACGAGCTTATAATGGCCACCCTGTACTGGGCCTTCAGCCGCGAGAAGTGGACGATGCAGTCAGCAAATCAATATCAACTCACCACTCGTATTGACGCTCCTCGCCACGATCCAATGCTTTGCTGCATGAGACGAGGCGCTGCGCCTGGTCTTTACCGATCCACGTTGTTCCGCTCCCAGAACATGACAGGTCGTGCACTGCACAGCCTCTGTCTCGAGACATACAAACGGACTAACATGATCCTGCATGACGACGTTACGAGCAAGACCTCAGCGAGAGGAGGATCTGCGTGCAGGTTCTGTTTGCAGAGATTTATGCAGCAGGGTAGAGTTCCCTGCATGCTTCCTGGTCTCGCCTACGCGCCGCCCAATCGAAGAAACAGACGTCGAAGGGCGGATATAACACACCAGCTGAAAGATCTCTTTGAGTTGAGTGCTTGAACGACCTTGGTGACGACTTTGCGCATTGTTCGAGTCTCTAACATTATCGTGTTCTCATTAGATTGCTAACTCGCCCGACGATATTGGACGGCTTCAAAAGTGTAGGGGTCTTTCCACGCCTTCGTACGGGATACGCCCCGGTGTGTGAGATACACGTCGAATGTCATCACTTGCGAGGAGGACCCAGGGACGGGCGCGCTACCGGTAATATGCCGTTTGCTGGGCGTAAAACAGTCTTCCAAACCTTGCCAGTGATTTGAGGCATCGTACACATAAAAGATCACCGGAGCCAAGACGGCTTCACAACGAAAACCAGAAGACAGAACTATTATCGATCTCGGATAGGAGGCGAGTCTAATATGGTGATCACGACTGACTATCAGAATTGAGCAGCCAGATGCAGGTCCAGTGTGCCTACCAGTATCACGTCGGACGCTGAACAACGAGTGTCACGTATGTCAGGCTGCTGTAGCACGTCGCCTTGCTGACGCATGGCCTGCGACATGGTCCACAAGCCCGCGCAAAGCGGTGTGTGTTGCAAAAGCACATTGCCAAAGTTGGCTCTCGCAGTGCAATCCTTGCCAGCGCTGAGGCTGCAAACATCCGAGACGTCGGGGAGCGTTTGAACACGATAATTGACAGCCAAGCTAAGAAGTTGTTTTTAGTAGCGGTCTGTACGAGGCGTTGTTCCTGGCTGAGGCACGATATGCAGGTACCGTCGGGCGCATCGCTTCCATGTCTGTCGATTGGCGTCTGGAGATCGTCATTTCTGAAAGTCATCGCTGCAGCGCCTGAAGACTCGATCATAGACACTCGTACAGTGACGTGATAGTGAAGAGTCCATTTCGTACGAGTTGGCCGGATGTGGACGATACCGAGGCCGGTGAACCGTTGCGGCTGCCCAATTGGCTCGGCGGCTGCCAAAGTCAATGATCTCACCCACGTTCAGATGGAAACTCTAACAACCTCCGCAAACGACCAAAGCCAACGTCCCTGAAACAGCCCCCACTACTTCCACACCCGCACTCGCGCCCGCAATGCCCATCCGTAATCCTTTTCGCCGCGCTGGCCCTGCCGAAGTCAACGAGGAGGCCCAGCGGAGCAATGCGGAGAACGAGTTCAAGAACACCGCAGTCTCGGGCGCAAAGCCACTGCACGTCGACACGCCCTCGGAATACAAACTGAGTGGTGAGGACCCACCTCGGCGCATTGCATCACCTGCAGCGCATCGAGTGGACATGCGCTGACAGTGGTAATAGAGATTAACGACAGCGGAGTGTACCTGCCGGTAAGACTTGACAACGTACTACACAGGGCAATGACGGGGTTGCGATGTTGTACAATGAATTGCCTATCGATGCTGACGTCGATGCTAGCCGTCGCCCACACAGGAGAAGCCCGCCTTCTGGCATTCCAAGTCCAACACATCGACGACGTCCTCGAACCACCGGAGCATGCTCAGCGAGAACGAGCCGTTCAACATTTCGCGCGAGAGTTTCGACTCCTACAGGCGGTCATTTGTACGTCGCTCCACGACACGCCGTTACCCCGCTAACATTGGCGCAGGACATCTCGGCCCGTTCTCCCATGCAGGATATCCTCGGCGAGACATACCCGCGCCAGTCACTCGACGCGCGACGCTCAGTAGACACGCGCCGCTCTCTGGATGTCCGCCGCTCGCGCGCTACACCGCGCTCGTCGATGCAACAACACCGCCCTAACAGCGCGAACCCGGTGCCTGAGGAGGGATTCGAGGACGTTGGCCTGAATGACGAGTCGAAGCCCGTGCCCCAGAAGAAGCGCAGCATCTTTGCCCGCTTCGGAGACAACAGCAGCAACGACAAGCAGGAAGAGCGCCCGACGTCAGGCCACCACTTCTCGCTGACGGGGCGGAAGAGAGCGGAAAGCGGCGGTGCGGAGCTGAAGCCCATGTCGAAGGGATCGTCGGAGACGCCCGTTGAGTCGCGGTAATCGAATGAGACGTAAAGTGGAATTGTATATAGAATGAAGAAGAGGACAGACATGACGGGATGGCGTTTGGGACTCGCGCGGACACTATCAGTGCCCTAACGGCGAATGCATTTGGATTTTGGGACTGCATCACAACCACGATCGCTACCTTGAGATGGGCAAACCTTGGACTGTCGCGCATGAGATCGGTTGAGTTATCCGAGAGCATCATATTCAAGAACAGCAATTAGTAATGAAAACTTATGCCAATTCCCCAGCAAGCAGCCTTGTGAGCTTGGCTTGGATAGGTGGCGTGTAAGTATTTTGGCTTGTCACCCTTTTTCCTTTTGCGTGGAGTCAGTGGCCTTTTCTTGAGGGTGCTGGTGCAGGTGTTTTGGATGGTAGGGGTTTGGTCGTATTTGTTGGACTTGTGCATTTATATTTGAAAGAGGTAGATTGTGGATTCTGGGCTTGGCGAGGGGAAATAGTCATTGTTGATTCCTCGTCATGTTTCTTGGACTTGTGCGAATGTTTGTTATGCAAAAGATGGATGGACATGAACACATCGGTGTGGGTATGTCACGGCCAGACATTCGTGGTTTGTCATTCTCAGTATTACTACACCGAGTGTGGAGGTTTCCAAAGATCTCTAGATTCGAGTATTCAGGTACATGCCTAGGTAATCCAGTGCTTTTCTGTAGCTATAGTCGTCCTTTTCACACTTACTCATGCCGCGCTGGTTCGTTGTTTTTCATCTCTACCTCTCTATTATTTGGTGTCACTTGTTGGTGGGAGGCGATGGGGATGTGCTGTGGGGCACTGAGGTGAGAGACGGGGAATAGACGGTGTGTATTCTGTTTGTTGACTTGCATGATTTAAGACGGAAAGCTGCAGGATAATGTTTTGTGTGTAAGTCGGTTGCCGAATCGGCCCCTTGCTACGTCACAACATTCAAATTACGCACTGGAAGAGAAGATGGAGAGGCTGATAAGTAAGTCTAGGGACTGTCGAGTATGTACCTGGGGTGATACGATGCGTGTGCCCCATGTTCCGCCACAAAAAAGAATACACGAGGTGAAGGTGAGTTTCCGTTTGCATCTCTATCACGGCAGCGCACGCACTCTCTTTTCCCTCTCCGCAATCCGGATCGTAATTGTATCTCACACCCCGCCAGCATCACCTCCAAACCACCCTACCTCACCCTCGCTCATCCTTTTGGCAGTTGGCTCGACGACACCCTTTGGAAACAACAGACTGATCTAGACAAGGTGAGCTGATAGCTCGCCAGTGACAAGGTCTGTACCCTCCATACTATACTGTGAAATGGCCAGACGTGGCTCTCAAACGCCTGAAGGCCTGCTACGCTGTCTTCTCAGATCATCCACTAACTACCCTTCCTCAGATCATGGCTCCGTCAAGCGGGCAACCCCCATCGGTTGAAGCAACCACCTACCTCATCAATCATGTCGTACTTCCGCCCGCTCTACCTCAAGCTGATGACTTCCGCCCCTCAAACGATCGCCATCTGGTCGAACAAACCCTACAGGCTCTGCATGACCTGGAGAATATCGTGCAAGAAGATGAGGTCAAGGTAGTCATTGGTGCAATTTCGATGATCAACAACCTGCTCAGCACCCAAGACTCTCACGGCGTGGTATCTGAGTCTCGTCTTCAGGCTGTATTTGCCAAACTCATTGATGGACCGATAGGTGTAGTCGCACCTATTGAGGTCAAAGCCCAGAACGCTGGGATTCTTGTTAGTCGGAGTGCTGACTACATCACCTTCGAGTTCTTCGAACTCTCTCCAACCAACGAGGCAGCCATGAAGACAAAAGGCCGACTTGTTCGCACCTTCCCAGCATCAGCATCTCGAATCTCCCTCACTACGATGCGAGAAGATGGACTTGTAACATCGCTTGCTCAAACGGTTGCTAAGATGGCAGTTCAAGCAGTGCATGGCTTCCGACCTCAGATAACCGGACCTGGCTACACGCAAGACGACCCGCACGATACTGCAGACCCGGATCTAGTTACCGATTTATTGCAGACCATCATCACTGCCTTGGGTGAGAAAGAAGATGTAATCTCCATCACGAAGAACACTCGCGATGAAACTTTATGGAAAGACTGCAAGAGACCATGGCGACGTTCCGCCTTGTGGCTTTTTGTACGTGTATCCCTGCAGGCTTTCTTCTCTCGCAACGCACCCAACAAGCGATCTCCAGACAGCTTGTATAAAGCTTTCATGATATTGTTTCTGACTCGGCTTTTGGACGACGAGAACTTGAAGGGTCTCGACAGCGACGTCATCTACACCGTCTCAGCCAAGCTGACTCGCCGTCTACGTAAGTTCGAGGCCCTGCAGCAGTTTGAGTCTCTCCAGCCTCACTGGGCACTTTCCGTTCATCTTGCCTTAATCGCGGCGCATTCTTTCATACACGAGAAGTGGAATGCTGCTGTAGAAAGCACAGAGGCCAATATTGACTTTACTTTCCTCGAAAATCTACAGCCGGAAGCTGATCTCGACATCAAACTTCCCGACCTCAACGCATTCGTGTCTGGAATGGCTGCTCGGCGACGAAGTGCAGCTAATCCCGGATTCAAGCCTGCCTCGGAGTTCCCTGACCTCTTGCCCAATGCGATCCCAGACGGCATAAGTGCTTCTAGTGACTACAAGTCGTTTCACTTAGCGGCATTGGAGGGATGGATTGAGCACAATCTTCAAAATTGGTTGTCGCTGCATGAACGCGATACAACTACTTGCGGAAAACTTCGTCGTTTGATGACAACTTACCATTGTGCTGCCAGCGAAGCATATGCAGGCATTCCTATCAGCACCTCAGTCATGTACCTGATTATCCTTGAGCTTTGGGTAGCCTGCGACAAATCGGCTTGCAGTATATACCCTCTGCTAGCTAAGTTTGATCCTGAGATCTGTATGGCTGAGCTGCAGTGTCTCTTGCTACCTCTGAAAGGACAGATGGAACGCTTACACGAGATTGAAAAGCACGTTCACTCACGAATATCCGGATCGACGAAAAAGTCACCATCCTTGTATCGTGACTTCGGAGACAAGACTTCTTTCGCTGTTCGATACTTCAATCAGTCGCACGAACATCAGTCGTTGAAAGCAAACATCGAACGCGATGCAACCGAACAGCGTGAACAGAAGTGTGAGGAGTTGATGAAGTTGAAGAGTGATTACGAACAGCTCATGAGACGCTACAACGACTCTGAGTGTGCATTCATGGAAAACGGTATTCCTGTCGATAACTCGATGTAAGTCTTCTTCATGGTTCTGTCATTCACTACTTGACATTCGCTAATCGTGTAATCACATCAGGATTGATAGAAAGATACACAGCCCCAGCTGCTCTCGATGTGCCTTCAAAACTCGAGCAGAAGCCCTGGATATCGACATACACGAATGGCCTCTTCCAAAGGAAGAACACACCGCGAAGGCAACAGTATTCGAGTTGAATATACCAGAGGCTTTCAGTGAATGGCGGGATTGTTCAGCGTATCTGATCATCAACGTGCTCGAGTTCCTGGACAAGAAGCCTAGAAAACCACAAAGCACATACGCTCTCGATCGGCACCAAGGGCTTTCTCAGACCCTCTCTTCTCACTACGAAGAACAACGCATCATTATAGTGTCTGCGATCAAGCCTCACACCGGTAATTATCGAGCGAAACAGAACGGACTCCTCAATATTACTGATGCGGATGTATGTTTGGATAGCGCGCTGGTATACGACTATTACGACAAACAACGCAACACCTTCAGCGTGCCTCTCAAACCTCCTGAAGATTTTCCACAGAAGTGCAGATATTCTATGCCCGATCATTCAAAGGCTCTCAAACGTTTCATGTACAGGCCATCCTCTGCTCCTGATGGCGTCGCTCCGAACGAAGTGATCTCTGGAGTTTCCGATTGCCCGCCTCGCTTCTCTGTCGATGAATTCAAGGCTATTGCAGCCATGGGATTGGGCCGACACATCTTCTATTCCAACCTGTTGTCGCAGCTTGCCATGCCTACCGTGGACTTTGCCAAGGTAGAGACACACTGCATGATCCTGCAGACAGTCTATCAGGTCGGCCCGCCAAACCGTAGCGTGGAACGCGGAGCTCACGAGAACTTCAATGATGAACTCTTCTGCAACGCAATGCTAAATCAGCTCCAGGATAATCTTGGACGTCTGACAAAGAACTGGGAGTCGTGGAGATCTCTTTCAATCTTCGTGATCCTTGCTCGCCGTACACTCAGCTTATCATCATCGACTGGAATTCATCAACGCGCCTTGGAATACCTTGCAGAAGTGCGCCGTGTCTGCATGGAATGGTTTTACCATCTACATCAGAGAATTGCTTCCTCCCTGGACGATGAGCAGAGGTGTGAACTCAACTCGAGAGCGACAGAGATTGCTCTCCTTTGCACTGACACGTTTGACGTTGAAGAAGTACACCTTGACGTTGTCCTACAACAAGAGTTTGCGATCTCGATGCTCCTTCAATGCTCAATTGCAGTGCAAGAGAATCAACGAACAGTCAAGCCGGAATCGGAGAGTCTCTACAACGCTACACTCCAGGACTGGAGACGTCTAATGTATCGTGTCTTTCCCAAGCTTCGCGAGAACATACTTCGTGATAATACGGGGCTTGACCAAGCAGTCTTGGCTACGTGGGCCGCTTTCCAGAGAACACCGGGAACATCATGGGCTTCGCTCAATCAATCGCAAGGGCACTGGCTTTGTGTGACGTCTGGTCAACTTCCCGTGCATTTGAATTTGCTCACTGCGGAACTGCTAGTAAATGGCTTACCTTTGACCCGGTTGCCCTCTGAGTACCTGTTACACGAGATGTACACACCTCTCTTCCAAAAGTCAGCATTGGATGTAGTACCTAGTGACGAGCCAGGGATGCATTTCTCTGGGAAGTCAACCTTCCGTGGTCAGAAAATACATTTTGGAATGAGAGGAAGTGATTTGCTGGTGGTCGCGCTGGCCAATGGTAGAAGGTGAGTATATCGTTCCTCATGACCTGCTACTTGGTAAAACTACTATTAGCTCTGGGTTTTGCGCTACTCCTTGCCGTTTCATGGAGTTGGTGATACTGACAGCCCACAGGTTTGACCTTCTCCCACCGCGTTTGTTTGAGCATCGACTGCCCCATGCGTTCGTGTCAGACTTCATTCATTGGTACGACCACAATAACAACGAAATTCTATTTCGACCGCGAGAGCACCCATGGATATCCGACGATAGCAATACCGGATGGTGCCTCAAACTCCGCGATTCTTCATGGCGTCTTGTGAAAGACAGCAAAGAACTGGTGGGAATGACTAGCGAGACCGCACGTGTCATCACGAGGATACTCTCAGCAGTCGAAACCCCAATGTATATTCACACAATGCTTGACAACACTTCCGCCAGAACTCGGGTCCAGGTTCAGCTTCCACGACTTCGGCTTGATTTCTACTTTACACCAGGTGAACGTCGACTGTATTCCCGTCAATATCGCGGAATGATTGTCGACAATGATCAAAGAACCGATACTTTGATTGGGCTTTCTAGCAAACTTGTGTTGAAACACGAAGATGAGAACCTTGCTCATCAACGAATGCTATTAGTACCAGCACCGCGAGGCTTCGAGAAGGAGAAAGTCCAATACGCGAAACTCTCCAGTCCGAATCGCATGTCCATCGTGATCAATAAGGATCACATTGCTAAGGTACACGTATATTTACTTGACAGCATCCTCGGACGGGTACAAGACAACGGTGACTTACAAAGCAAGCTACTCCTCATTTACCTTCACGCATTGACATCTCACTGCCTGCCTGATCCTTTGACTGGATTTACTGGTACAGAATCCGCTTTGACCATTCTCAAGTCAGAAGCTGTGGGCTCCTTCCAGGATCTCACAACCACAGATACGGAGTGCATGGTTCAGATTGCTCGGCTATCACCTGGAAGGTCCTTTCACCCCTCCCAGGAAAAGAAGATGCAACAAATTACATGGGATCTGAATCTATCGTCTCTTTCACAACACACTCAATTCCACACGGTTGTGACTGTTTTATTGGATCAAGCCCGGAAAATGAACATTTTCAGCTTGAATAGTTTTATTGAGCCCAAAGGGTTGCCTTCCATTAAACTGCATCTCCAAGAGCGAGAAGCAATTCGGTGTTCGTCATTTCGGGTCTTTGGATTCGGGGCAGAGAGCTTCACAACTACGGAGGATTCAAAGTACAACGCGAGAGACAGCAGAAACGACCCAGAGAAAGCTGAACGCGCTTTTGTAGCTGCTACGATGATTTTTCGAGATCAAGCCGCTCTTCACAGTGCCATCCCCAACTTCAGGGATGTCCTACTCCAGACACATTTCGATTTCACCACACAAAAAGACTTTACCACTATTACAGGTGTGAGTGACCCTGTAGTGGAAGTAAGCCTGCAATTTGATCCTATGTGGCTAGATTGCTTGACTCCACTACTGAAAGAGTATTGGTGCACTTTGCATCAATCTTTGGCAAATTTGTCCCAGAAGTACAACAAGTTCGACATCCTGGTTTGGCTTTCCACACTAGCCTATGCGAAGTCAGCCGATATGGATACTGTTCAGGCGCTTGGAGCGATGTATCGACTCCCAGATTTAGCCACACCTCAAATACCTTCTGCATCTTCCTTCGACTTGTCTCACGGACACACCTTCAATGTTCAGCAGATTCAGCTTATCGCTAAGCGTCATGCTGTGCCATTCAGGTCATGCCCGGAGTACAGTATTCCTATGATGGCGGATGAAACGAACAGAAAGTATGGCTACAGGAGACGGGGTGCATACCAGAGAAGTCAAAACCATGCCCTTCGAACTCTCCTCGAATCTGTGTCGAAGCAGTGGCCTCAGAAAGTCCCAACTACACCCGCTTCCACAATTATCAACACGTATTTCTACACGTCAGCTGCGATGAGAGAGATTGCCGATAGGTTCAAAGCGTGGCATGATAATCGACGCTTCCATAAGTATCTCCAGAGCGTTTCAAACATATTGGCTGGTCTAGGAACCCTGGAAATTTCGGTCCCACAGACTGATGGAATGCCGTTGATGGAGAAGCACACAATGGATGCTGAAGATCGACATGCCAGCATGAGAACAGTTTTTGCCTCACCAGCACCTGAAAAATCACAAGCACGTAAGTAAACCCCGATTATCTGATGCTGCACTACTTCACTCTTATGTAATTGTTTTGCAAACAATCTGTACCTACATGCGCCTTAACTCCAGTTATCTATGTTCCTTGTTAACCAATTCGACAGCGTTTGAACCGGATGTGCCGACTATTGAGCAGCTATCTCATCCTTCTACTCTTCACACCAAGCGTCGTCTCATGCTGCTCTGTGAGAGTCTGGACACTTGCGCAAGGTCCAACTGCGAGAAAGACTATGTCGAGAGTCTACGGGATAGTTGTCGTTCTCTTGACTCGCTTTCAGGCGGAACTGAGGTACAGAGCATAATGAGTGGCGGCGAGACTGAGAATTTGTTACGAGAATATCGGGATGAATGTGACGAGCACTATCAAAACTTGAGTGACGCTCTCACTGACGCAGTGGAGAACTCTAGCGAAGGAATCGCATTCCGCATTCAGCAGTGCCCACGCATATCCCCAACCTTCTGGCTCAGCTATCTGCATCGGGAGCGATTCAACACACTGCCCGAGATTTGGAAAAACGCCATCGTTGAGTACGCCATCGCTATCACTCATCTCCATCGCGCCCAGCGTTTGATGGCTCTTGGTCATAAGCCGGTGGAGCTAGCTGAAGAGCTTCGTCATGTGGGTCATACCAATTGGAACCCTAGAGATTTCCCCGAGACATTGCTGTTCGAAGCGGAATCATCCTCCATGATACGAGAGGTTCAGGAGGCGATTGCCGGCATGATGAGAAATCCCCCAGACGACGACAACACCCTTTATCAGCTCAACATGGGAGCAGGAAAATCATCAACAATTGTTCCCATAGTTGCGGCCGCTCTTGCGGACAAGCGGAGGTATGTTCACTGTGGGAGACTTGAAATATCTTGTGAGCATTGCTAACAAACCCAAAAAATAGATTGGTCAGAGTCATTGTCAATAAGGCTCAATCGAAACAGATGTTACAGATGTTGATTTCTAGGCTAGGTGGTCTACTCTCACGACGCGTGTGGAGTATGCCGTTCTCTCGCAATCTCAAATTACTTCCAACAGATGCCAAGAAGATTCGGGACATGTACCAAGAGTGTATGGATACGCAAGGCATTCTGTTGGTTCTTCCAGAGAACCTCCTTTCGTTCAAGCTCATGGGCATTGAAAGCCTTCTGGCAGAGAAGAATGAAACAGCACAATCGCTTCTCGAAACCCAGGAGTTCCTCGAAGAAGTTTCTCGGGACATTGTTGACGAAAGCGACGAAGTCTTTAATACCCGCAATGAGCTTGTCTATACCATGGGTGCTCAGAGGCCAATCGACTTTGCACCAGAACGTTGGTTGATCATACAGGGAATTCTCGGCTATATTCCAAGGTTCGCAGAGAAAGTCCAAGAAAACTCGCCTCTATCCATTGAGATACACTCCGAAGGTCGTGGCAAGTTCCCCAGGATCCGGTTGTTGCGAAGTGACGCTGGAGATCAGTTGTTTGATCTACTCGCGAAGCACTTGGTCGATCGTGGGATGCTTGGTCTAGCTTCCATATCCAACCAAGCACCCGAACTACGAGACGCGGTGTTTCGCTACATCACTCAGATCGACCCGAGTAAGGAAGATGTTGAATTGGTCGAGAACAGCGGAATCTGGACCAACTCAACAAAACTGCCACTACTTCACGTTCGTGGTTTGATCGGAGGTGGGGTTCTTCGCTTCATCCTTGAGCGGAAACGTTGGCGTGTAGACTTCGGACTTGATTCAAGTCGAACACCAAGTACGAAGCTTGCAGTTCCCTTCAAATCCAAAGACAGCCCTTCCCAGCGCTCTGAGTTCTCACACCCTGATGTGGTTCTGCTTCTCACACAGCTGTCATTCTATTATGGTGGACTAAGCAACGCGGAGATGTTCGACATTATAACTCACCTCTTGAGATCAGATCAATCGGTCATGCAGTATAATGAATGGGTCAAGACCGCATCTTCAGATTTGCCAAGGGCTTTTCGCAACTTATCTGGAATCAATATCAAAGACCGCATGCAGTGTGTCGAGGAACTTTTCCCGTACTTGCGCTACTCCCGGGCCGCTATTGACTATTTTCTCAACCACCTGGTATTCCCTAAGGTAAGATTTAGCAGAAGCACTACTAGTGGATATTCGGGATAAAGACAGCTAACAATTTTGCTAGGAGATGCGCGAGTATCCAGAACGGATATCTGCGTCAGGTTGGGATCTGGGTGCAAAGAAGGCAAATCCCACTACAGGATTTTCCGGAACAGCTGATACCTCGCATGTCTTGCCTCTTGATGTTAAGCACCTGAATCTACCGAGTCAGAGTCATACCAACGCATTGGTATTACAGCATTTGCTCCAGCCAGAGACAGAGATCAAACTGCTTGCACAGCGCACGGCTTCTACCGACGCAGACCATCTCCTCGAGGCCGTGAACACTGCAGGCTCTGAAATCAGGGTGATATTGGATGTCGGAGCCAACGTCCTAGAGTTTGACAATACTCAGTTTGCCGAGAGATGGCTCTCTATGCGTAAGAATGATAGAACACAGGCAGTTGTGTTCTTCAAAGAGGAGGAATCATCCGTACTAGACGTTTCAGGACGTATCGAGCCGTTACAGACATCGCCATTTGCAAAGCAGCTAGATCTCTGCCTAGTCTACCTTGATGAAGCGCACACTCGTGGGACAGACCTCAAACTCCCGCGGGACTTCAGGGCTGCGGTAACCTTAGGGGCGAACTTGACAAAAGATCGCCTGGTGCAAGCAAGTATGCGATTGAGACAGCTAGGCAAAGGCCAGAGCGTGGTCTTTGTAGTTTCCCAAGAGATCGAGACCAAGATTCGTGAGCGGATGCGCAAGTCTCTCGACGATCCCATCGACGTAATCGACATACTCTGCTGGAGTATCGGCGAGACCTGGACCGACCTATCCAGATCCATGCCCCTTTGGGCAACTCAAGGTCGCCGATTTGAGAATAACAAGCATCTTTGGAACGGCACAGAAACTACGAGGGAGCAAGCGAGCACTCTCGTAGAAGACGAATCTCAGGGTATCGAACTCCGCTACAAGCCGCGAGCCCAAGAAAACGACAGCACATCTCAATTAGAGGGATGGAACATGTCCAATGCAAACATTGCGGAGATTGTTCAGAGATGTCGAAACTTTGAGGCAAGTAGCTCCAGCCTTGGCTCTTTCCAAGAAGAACAGGAACGGGAGCTTGCTCCACAGAATCAAGAAGAACGACAACTCGAACCTCCCGTTTCACTCGCTGCTGACAAGCATAAATTACACGCGGACCTTGAAAAACTGGCACGTACTGGAGCTTTCAAACAAAGCTCCCGAGCATTTGAGCCTGCTTTCCAAATTCTTCGGAATACTAGTGCGGCTAGTCTATTCGATCTGAAGCAGTTCCCCACCAATTTGTTGGTCACGGCAGATTTTGTACGCACCGTCAAAATTCCTTCCGGAGTGAAGAAGGCGGACTTCATCTCGGATGGTTACCAGCGACCGATTCAATGGATTTTGTCAGTTCCTGGCCCTGAGTCCATCCGTAGCCTCATGATCATCAGCCCATACGAAGCCAACGAGCTGCTCCCGATTATTCGTCGCACTAAAAAGGTGACTCTGCATCTTTACGCTCCACGCTCGAACATTGCCTTCTCCTCTCTCGACAGTCTCGATCTCTATAATGTCGGCCGCGACTTTACTCCAGATTCTGTTTCACGTTCCCTCACAGTACAGCTGAACCTTTTCGCCGGCAATCTCTATCTTCGTTCATTCGCGGAGTACAGAGAGCTTTGCGATTGTTTGGGACTGCTAAATGGTCCATCAGAGGAAGGTCAGCAAGTTGCAGTCGATGGATTCATTACTCCGCCCACCGGCTCATGGGGCCTGAAAAAGTCACCGGTGCCATTCCTTCGGGCGCTACTCATGAAGATCAGGAGGGAGGGTCAAGGGGTTGAGAGGACACACATTGGTAAAATACTAAGTGGATTGAAGTTGGAAGAGAGCGACTTTGAGACTGATGCTTAGGAGTTTTGGGTAGAGGGACAGGGGTTACAAAAGACAAGGGTTGGATACATGGGCGCACACTTGAAGGACAACCTTGTCCCGACGGCATTTCTATCTTGACTTTTGACGATACGTAGGCGGAAAAAATGGAAGAGAATACAGTTTCATAAAGGGGTGGTACAGATGAGAAAAGTCTATGATACAACAGATTAAGATTAGTAGCGGATGAGAAGTAATCAGCATCTCGTTTACACGGTAGTTTCCACAATACGGAGCTTGTGATGAAACGAGAATTTGCAATCACTGGTGATTGGTGCCTTGAACAGCAAGTATTGCATGCTTCCATGACTCTCACTGGTACACAAGCCTCAACCGTTAGATTCACTGGAGCAAGTCACTGTAAGGAGAATGTCACATGCTCACTGCAAAGGAAGCTTGACATGGGGAAAAAAGTTTTCCATTTTTAGGTCACTCATCTGCTAAAGAATGTAAGTCCAGCTATCTATCCTGCAGCAAAACACAAGTATCGCACACTCAACAACTATCTTACAACCACACAGCCATAGCTCCACCCGTTCCGAATGCGAACCGCCTAGCAAGAGGGAAGGGGATCGGTGTAGATGCAAGCGGCCGAAACACCGCTGGAAATCTCCTCAGGCTCGTTGCCCGGGGTGGTACCCTCGAACTCCTCGCAGATGGTGCTGACACTGGTCGCGCACGTGTCGGTGATCGTGGCAGTATCGCCGAAGTTGGAGTTGATGCCGACCAGGAGATCGCCGTTGCTAACCTTGACGTTCTTGATGACGACGTGGCGCTCGGCGCTCTCCTTGCAGTTTCCGCATGAGCGGTACAGCTTGCCGAAGTCGTCGGCCGCAAAGCCATCGATGGTCACGGTACCAGCGCCGTTGTGCTGGATCACCTTGTCGGCAGCACCAGTAGCTCCGCCGCCAGTGATGGTGGCGTCACCGTCGCCCTTCAGGGAGAGAGCATCTAGTGGGTTGTCAGTGTGAGATCATCATGGTGAGGTTTCGAACATACCCTCGCAGACCGCGGCCCACCAGACGTTCTCAATGGTGCATGAGCCTTCACAGTGAACACCTTCGATCTGGTCCTCGCCGATGATGACGTTCTTGAGAGAACCGCCATCCGCGATGATGAAGACGGCATCGGAGTCGTCTCCCTCTTCCTGGCCAGTGCAGCTGACACCACGGCCGTAGGTCTTCATGCCACCATCAAAGGTGCCAGAGACTTCCATAGCGGCGTCCAAAGTCTCACTGCCCTGGGAAGTAGGGATGGCAAGAGTGGAACGCTTGCCAAGGCTGAAGAAGTTGTTCGGGGCCCTCCTGGAGGGGCCGGCAGCGGCAGCGGCAGCAAAGGCCAAGATGGAAGCAGCGACGGAGGCCTTCATTTTGATGGTTGAGTTGATGGGAAAGAGTTGGTGCTGGAAGAGTTGTGTTTGTAAGATTCAAAGAATGTGTTAAAGTCGCAAGCGAATGAATGCGTCAAGCAAAAAAGAAGTGAAGAATAGACAGGAGAATGTGAAGCTGAAAGACTGTTGATGGCTCGATGAGTGAGTGCAGAATTATGGGTGGGAGTCTTGCTTGTTCTTATACATTTCTGTAGCGTATCTCCAAACGTTCTCGAAGGCTGTCAGATCTATAGCGGCGGGGCCGAATGCCAGAGCCGCGTCCTATTGGAAACCACGATGAAACCGTTGCTAGCATCCGACCGGGAAAGATGGAGGTCGATCGATATGCTGCCGGACATTTTTGTTTTTTCGAAACTGAACATGCTGGGGTTCCTCTGAGGACTGGCGCATTGCATGACACACGGGTTATTGTTCCAGCCCGGAATCCTCCAACGGCTTCCAATGACGAGTCTTTGGCAATGCAACAGCTCTGTATGGCATAGAGGATATCAGTCAAGGGGAACATGGCTTCCATAGTATCTTGCATAACTCTATGGGTAAGAACTATGAAGCTGCCCTTATGCTTTCCAGTATCAATAAGCCATACATAATGTCGATTGTAGCGTATGAATAGAACGAACTAACTAGCACTGCACTCAGTCATGTCCTTAGCAAGGCTCTACGCGTCTCTTCTTCCAACCCTGTCCCTCCCCAACAGCTGTTGCCAGCGGAACATGACAGGGTTTGTGGATTTCGTTTCAAGCGCCTGAATCATATTGCAGGATTGCGGTTCGCAGGGAGTATCACAGTATTTCGATAACCGTTGTGATCTCTCAGAACCTATTCTGGGAAAGAGAGGTGATATAAGTGAACGAAGAGTGTATATCCTCGCAGCCTCAAACAAAGATACTAACAAACAAGAGGGCAAAACGCGTTCCGTACACTGTAAAACCAACTACAACCTCCATCGTGTCTCAAACGATGTCGATATCGGGTGCGGAGGGGTAGACAAGCATTGCTTGGCGGACGCCGCAATCACTTGGCATACCCCACAATTGCGTGTCGTTGAGGACGCGTCCTCATTTCCCGCTCTTGGCGCATGTAAGCAAGGCAATCCTGCGGCCGGGGAACGAGTACAGGCAAGAACAGTTTCGGCGGCACTCGGTAGCGCGCGCTCCAGGAATCTCCCAACCGATGTGTTGTCAGAGACTGGCTTGGATCCTGGCAACACTCTTGACCCTTCTTCTTCATTCACTCAAGCAGCCAAAGTGATGAGAATACCACCTCACCAATTATTTTGTTGTGTGTCATTATCAAAACGAGTCGAAGTTTTTACAGAAGTCTACGAGGATACGCGTTGAACCCTAGGATCATGATCTTGAAAATTCAGTCGATGTCAGCCTGCCATAGTGGCTACGCCTGAATTCGCTGAAAATTCATTCGCCTCTCCAAAATACGAAAAGCCTTATGGCAGCGAACGGCTCGAATAGGTCGACGTCTATACGCTCTGTGGAAGCCAAGCGATAGACTTGTGAAGCTCAACATTTTGATCTCTGAGAGGAAGACTCTATTGAGAGCAATTCGGAGCACAATACGTGTGAGATGGTAACCGGCTCAATCCCAACACACTCGAGAGCGATAAAGGAGACTGCTTGGCTAGGGATCCACATCGGCTGGCCGTGCCATCAGAAATCTGAATCGCTCGCGAAAAGAGATCTTGGACAAATACAGAGAACGTTGTTGGCGGTTTCGAGCAACATGATCTCCCTTGATAAGGAACTCGACTACAGGAGCCGTCAGCGAGGGTCGGTATGCTAGAGACATGGAAATAGAAACTCAATCGATCGGAAACTCGGTTTCTCGATGACCGACACATGCGGATATTGTTATCGTGAACAAGCACGGCTTGGTACGCAGGCGAGAGTAAGGAGTGACACCGGTGAGCTGAACCACTGCACCTTGATAGCTGACACTCTCATCGGTGAGAAAAAACTCGAACATTATTGCACGAAACCGATGGGCAAGGTCTTCACTCGACTTCATTGCTAGGTCAGTTGCAGGCTTGCGAGCTACAACTCGAGTTACCGTGCTCTTCTCCGTGTTCACAACACCACATCTTCTTCAACCGTCTCCAATCCTCATCCGTTCCAGTTCTTCCATTTCCTGTCCCTCATATTCCATGCTGCGGTGCAGTTTCAGCCCATACAGTTTCTCAGGCTTCTTCTCAACTTGAGTATTCTTAGTCTTCTCTTTCAGTCTGCCACCTAGGGCATCGTAACACTCGAATTTGCTGTTGACGAGGGCCTAGAAGAGGACAACAATCTTTGCTTCCTCGCCTTGGTGATTATCGACTCTCGGTATACCCCTGCCCTAAGCTCATCAATTTCTAAAATCTCGATCTAACCGTCTTGTGGACTTTACCACCGTTGACATAGAAGCCGCCTTCGTTATGGCTCTCGGACAAACGTGCGACGGCTTGACAGCGTGTCGAACATATGGTGGTTGTGTTCGCGTTCCCGTCCATGGGCTTGGTCTCGCGGCGTGCGTCGCTGATGTCATGACTCGAACCAGACGTCGCCTGTCGGATTTTACTCCGTACATGGATCGCACAAAGCTTGTTTCAACTTTCAATTCCTCTCCTTTCTCCTCTCCTCCGCGTCGTAGAGCTTGTTCACACGCCAGCTGCTACGATATCTCAATCCCCTCCTCACACCATAGGAACGCGTGTATCTGTCTTTTGAGTGCAAATGCGCAACGGCTCATGCATTTAGGTTCTGCGCAAAAGCACAGTGCGTGCCTGCCCGAGTAGGTGTCTCGCAACGCCTGCTTGTGTGATGGCGTTCGGTAAAGGGCTTCTCGGTTGATGGTCTCGCGGATGATAGCTTCGCAGTTTGTCTATTCATTTTCCGTATCCTCATCTCACAATTAAGAGTTGATCGGGTGTCACCTTCCTTTCGTCAATATCTCAGTATCGTAATCACATCTCAAGCTCTCTACTTTCTGTTTCTCTTCTCTGGTCCAGTAGGACCGATTAAGCATCCCTTGACGACAGGGTGCTCAACGTACCAATGCGAGAACACGTGTCCGAAGGCTGTGAGACCTTCTGCGTGGAGCATACAAACACCAGAAGGCGTCCCAAGGTTGACAAGCTGTTCGGGGTTGGAGTATATAACAATGGATAAGCAGTGTGTTCTCATGCTGCCAAATGCGCGGTAGGAGCCTTATCGTCTTTAGTGAAGCTTTGCCAAACCCCTCTTCACCACTCACAATCATCGTCGACGCCGGAACGGTGAATCAGCCGGAACGGACGACCGGCGCCCGAGCTTGGCGCGCACTTGTTACAAAACCAATCGCTGCTCGCAAACTCTTACTCTCTATCGCTTGCTACCACGCTCACCGCGCGCATGTTACGGCATAACCCCGTCCTTGAGGTTGCAAGCGATCACTCCAGGCTCCCAGCCGTTCACTTGGGATGGGATTTTCCAGCCCGAAAGCTGAGCGACTTCGATCACCTGCTTGACAGGGAACGGTTCGCCATATCCCCGCCACCAGTGTCGTCCTTTTTAGGGAGATGCGTGTGGAAGACGCCTGCGATACTGAGCTTCTCCAGAAGTCTCTGATAGGCCATTTGGTCCATGGCATTCTGTTTACAGGCACTTTCGATTTCGCAAAACCCTTTCGGGCACGTCTCTACCATGTGTAGAGCGTGCTCGAAGGTTCTCAGTGGGAGCTGTTTCAGACCCACTTCTCTTGAGCAAAGTCATTCAAGCCCGTCCTACCTTGTGTGTAGCGCGCTTGAAGACTCACGTTGGGTGCTGTTGTCAGTCCCTTCTTCTCTTCAGAAAAGTCACTCAAGACCGCGCTACCCTGTGTAGCGTGCACTTGAGGACTGTGTTAGGTTCTACTATACGTGGTCCTAACTTCTCTTGAACAAACACAAACATTACTCTCAAACCTATGAACTTCAACTTCTTACACAACAAACCGACGAATACACATGCTGGGCATACACTGGCGCCTTCTTAAGCGCGGCAACAAGAGGAAATACGCAGAAAACTTGCTAACTTATATGGCCAGGCGTTTCACACCATCGGATTCGGATTGTACATGCACGTACAGACGCTCAGAGATGACATTCACCACAAGGCGCTTACTTCAGCGAGTGTCTAAAGGGCAGGTTTCGGTTTGTCGTTCGGCATCGTACTGCTCACGACGGAGAGATTTAGGTAATTCAGTCTTATTTCAAGCTGGCGATGACCCGAGATGACCACAGCAAAACCCATCAGCGCCGACGTGGACGTCGCTAGGATCATGCGACACCTACTCGACGAAGTCCGCACGACATGCTTGATCAGCATTTCAATGGCCAAAGAGAGTTCATTGGACGCCGTCAGACTGCACAGTATTCGCCAACGGCCCGCGATGGAGACTGTCATCGACAACAATGCGGCGGCTCATTGCGGACGACTCACTTGCACGACACAAAGCGTCGGATGACTAACACCAGTTTCAAGTGGATGGCCCTATGCATAACTCGGTCGGCACGCTAAAATTCTACGGGCTTGAACTTTGCTACGCGCAATGGACGAAAATCTGGTTCTGGAACCGGCGGTATAGGGCAAGCATTCGCCTATTGATGTTCGGCCACTAAGTCGCCCCTGAGGAGCATACACATTCGACTACCCATTCCATGCCGTTCCACAACGACTCGCCAATACCCCGTAACACTCGTTCCGAGGAGCCGGCAGAGAAGAAGCAGCAGCAATATGGTAGCGTGGAGGTGGGGTTCACAATCCGCGTGATGCTCAAGGTGATCGTGGAGGTGATCGTAGACTAGAAGGAAGTTGGGGCCATGGGGGAGGCAGTCAGGGTCTAGATTGAGGGTAGTGGTTGCGTGGTGGAACGTAGATAGCAAAATGCCACGATTCCTTTTGTTATTGACATTCTCATGCACATACATCCGATCTCCTGTCTACATCCTGCAATCGCGAACTGAAGTACTTTATAATCCCCTCATGATGGGTAGTTTGGGTATCACGCCTATCTTCCTTATGGCCACACAGCTTGGGTTCATCCCCATGTTCCATTCGTGTTACCTTCCTGGGGCTTGACAGTATGACTGAGGTTGGAGTATACAATGGTACATAAGCAGTGCGTCCTCTTACTATCCATGCTTGGTAGGAGCCCCAGTATCGAGTTATCATCAATGAAAAATACCCGTCATCAGCGCAGTACCGGAAAATCGACGTCCGCGCATGCTTTTGTAGAAGCGTTTTGATTCGAAGAGCTCATCATCGACGAAGCCGCCCACGAGTCAGCCCGCGGTCTCAGTGTCCCGTGTGGTGCATTCGAGCACTGCATCAAACACATTACGCTCGCGGGTAATCACAAGCAAGGACGTGGGATGTCTCTCTCTGCAGATTCGAACATTGGGCATGCAGTGTTGTCTCGGAACATCTTCCAGGAGGTTGCTGAGGACCCCCGCCAAGTGCACAACGTGATCCTACTCAGTCAGGGTTACCGCATGCTCGAGGAACTGTACGCATGCGTGTCTCAATTCTATGACGGCAAGCTAAAGGCGTACTCTGGCGCAGGGAACATCGACAAACCTCTCCAGAACACTGCCGAGGCTTGCTGGAAGTCTCGTCTACGTGATTCCTTTGCAGGCTCTGTTCGTCAGGTCGCCATCGATGTCACTTCCGAAGGCACCATCAAGCATGCGCAACTCAATGGCACCACCACCAAACTGAATGAGGAGGAGGCGAAAGTTGTCGCTTGGACAGTCAAGGACATGCTATTGTTTACCCCGCCCGCAAACACACTTGGGATGTACTACCGCCCCTTTACTCCGGCGGACTTCGTCGTGGTCACTCCCTACACTGGCCAGGTTTTGGAGATTCGAAAGCATCTTCGTCTGTCTGGAGGCCACGTCTTCGTCAACACGGAGGGAGTTCTAGTCTGCACGACCAGCCACTCCCAAGGGAAAGAGGCTCTCATGACTTTTATTTCTCTCGTGGTGAACATCGGCAAGACGAGGGCTGAACCCGACGACAAGGTCCCGGTTTCCTTCATGGCGGATGACCACAACATCAACGTCGCCTTTTCTCGCCAGCGAATTGGACGGCATATTGTGGGTGGTCTTACGTGTCTGACTCAGATGAAGTACGATAGACACACGCTAGCCAGCAGACATGCCAAGTTCTTCAATCACCTCAAGGGGCTCTGCGAATCTGACTCCATTGTCACTTCAGAAGAATGGGACTTCGCCATGCGGAACAAGCGAAAGCCTGATCCTGCGGTCGACGGCATATGCCAGGCACTCGCCTTTTCGCGCACTATGGAGAAACCACACTCCACAAGCGGCCTCAATCGACCAGGTCTCGTCATTCCACCGCCGCCAGCTTCTGGGCCATTCCACAACATCACGCATGCTCATTAGACCACGGCAGTTGGCGTTTTGGAGCCCAGCCCGGAGGGACCGCCAACAAAGAAGCAGAAACAGGATGGTGGTAGTGAACGTGGTGCCCACGACTCGCGTGGCGGTCGAGGAAGTGGAGATCGTGGTCGTGGTCGTGCGCGTGGAGGTCGAGGTGAAAATCGAGGACGAGGTGCAGGTCGTGGGGGAAGTAGTCGTGGAGTGACGGAGTGACTGCGCGGGGGTGCAGTTGGTCGTGGTGGAAGTGAATAGCAAGAAATTATCATAACATGACTCTACCTGCGAAGGAAATGAGGAGCAGTGCGATCCCGTTGTAGTAGTGAATCTCTGAACCCTCGAGACCAAGCCTACCGTATTTCTAGTGACTGTTCAGGATTGAAGTAAATACAGTAGTCTGTGTGGGATGAAGGGTCGCGGTTGCGGCTAGTGTGAGACATCATCGACGTCTGAGTAAGCAGTCGCGATGCGCATCCAGCACTCCACATGAGCTCCATTGCGCCAACACCAATTCACTTGCTCCAGTTACCGCGAACAGCACACGTCTGCATCCCCGCTCCATTCACAAAGCGTTGTGTAGGTCTCATCCGCGCCCTCGAGATGGCGGCTCTGGAAGGCATGCCCTTTCGCAGGACTAACAATGGGCATCTCAAACAGCCGTCTCCAATAGTTTTTCTGGAACTGTCGCTCGCCAGCAATTCGTGACGCCCATCAGGCATCATTTTGGCGGCCACGGAGAAACATTACCGCCGAATCACGTTACCGCCGAACAGACCGCCTAGTTGTTCTGCCGTTATTTTGACCCTCGAACTCTCCTAGCAACCAAATCTTCGTCGCAACATCAACAACAACATTTCGCGCGCCCGTCAAGCTTCGCAAACTTTCTGCCTGCCTCGAGAGAGCTCAAAATTCCGTCAAAACTTGATACAGTCCATTACCGCCCTACGAGCACGGCGTGAAGGTTCGAAGCTGTGACAAAGGCTGGGGCAACTCGAGTCGATTTTGGTACACAGCATCCGTCTACGGTTGCTACTGCGCCGGCTGTCCAGTCGTTAGAGTTTCTGGCCGTCTGAAGTACTTTGAGCTCTGTTAGAATTGTTGCACATTGCGGGATTCACGATGCAGGACGATATCGATACCTTCTTCAACAATACTGACGTGGCGGCCTCGGAGGCGCCTTTGACTGACCAGCCCGACCAGCCTAGCACCAACAAAAAGCGTAAAAATGCACAGCCCAGCGATGTAAGTCCGGTTCTCCCACCTTACGCCCCAGCACCGCTAATACGTATGCGCAGGCCAGCAAGAAGCCCAAGGTCCAGGAGAATCGCGCGATCTACGTGAGCAATCTCCCCCGCGATACCAACCCGCAGGAGATCGAGGAGGCGTTCAAGAAGTACGGCATCATAGACCAAGGCGCAGATGGCAACAAGCGCATCAAGATGTACACCGACGATGACGGAGAGTTCAACGGCGACGCTCTGATTGTATACTTCAAGAAGGACTCCGTAGAGCTCGCCGCTAGAATGATGGACGACTACTGGTTCCGTCTCGAGGACCAGACTCAGGGCAAGATCCGCGTGAAGGAAGCCGACTTCTCGTACAAGCGTCACAAGGACGGTGATGCGATCGCTTCTAAGCTAACGCGAAAAGATAAGAAAGCGTCAGAGAACAACCGACGCGAGCTCAATCGGTGAGTCAATTTCGCTGTATTGGTGATGTGGTGGTCGCTAACCATTCCACAGCAAGCTTGCAGAGTGGTCTGATAACGAGGAAGAGGTGAAAGAGACGTTCGCTCCCAAGAAGAACAAGTGGGCCAAGCTCTGTATCGTCAAGCGAGCCTTCACCCTCCAGGAGCTGGAAGAGGATGAGGCTGCGATCCTCGACATCAAAGAGGACATGCGCGACGAGGCCGAAAAGCATGGTTCAATCACGAACGTCACCCTCTACGATAAGGAGAAGGACGGGGTGCTCACCGTTCGCTTCCGCGAGTTTGAGGACGCCGAGAAATTCCGTGATGCGGTGAACGGAAAGGGTTATGGTGGCAGAAAGCTCGAGGTGACGATCGCAGATGATCGCGTCAAGTTCAGGAAGAGCGCCAAAGAAGAGGAGCCGGACAGCGAGGATGAAGACCGCCCGGAGCGCGTTGTTGCGCAGTAGTGACGACGAATACAATGGTTGAGTACCGGAGTGGGAGAAACGACATGAGACGTGTTGATATCTTCGAGTTGATACCCCAATGTACCACGTACACGAAATAACTCGAGTTGACGACTTGGTTGCCATATTGCACTCAATCACGTTTCTGCAAAACTGAGCTGGATGTCTTCGGCCAGTCATCGTAATTCTGTTAGTGTCAAGCAGCAACTTAAAGACTTTTCTATCATTTCAAGTGTAAAACTACAAGCTCAGTCGAACCGCACTATGGGGTTTTGAGGAAGAAATTTGCAAAGTAAGACATATTCGAGGCCAATCAGGTTTCGACATAGGAAGGCTATGGTTAGCGGGCGGATGAGTCGAAGTGAGCGATTTCACAAACAAAGGCTTCAGAAAACACATTTGAAACACATAAAGACTCCGTTACTGTAGTTTTCACGCGCAAGCGCCTCCCACTCTGGCAACTTCCGGGTCTCACCTCAATATCAAAATCAGCATTAACATTGTCTTCTGCTCTTCTCGGTCTATTCCCAATCTGCTCAGTGCAAGATATGTCGGCCACACGCGTCACCGTCGCGCTGAACGCGAAGCAATCGCAGATGGCTCCACTCCTGGTTCCCGCCTCTGCATCGATTGATCCTGTAGATGCGTCTTCAATCCGTGCCCTGGTCTTCAAAACCACACAGTCAAAGCTTCGTCTCCAGAAGCCTGCGCGCCTCTTTGTAGGCGGAACAGGGCAAGAGCTGCTCACCAAAGAAGACTGGGAAGAGAACATCAAAAATGACATTGTGCTGCTTGTTTCTGCCGGGGAGGAACATGTTGGTGTGGAGAGGGCGTTTAACGTGCAAGGTGAGCAAGTCGGCGCGTGGTGAGCATATGTGTGCTTCATGATCTGTGCTGTGCTGTGCTAGAGGGTGTCTTGGTTTCGAACTGATGCGACTACAGACGCAAATCCTAGGTGTTCCGTCGAAGTCCTCGCCTCGAAGGCACCGCTTGAGGGGGACTGTATAACACAGCTTGTGGGTACCGCGCGCATGCTTCCAGGTATCGTTCGTGCAGTTGGCCAGCCAGATCTCCATCAAGGCAATAAATTTCCTATCGGCGCTGTGTTTGTTTCGAAGAAATGGATACATCCACTGTTGATCGGATCGGACATTGGATGCGGAATGGCATGGTATAAGACTACTCTTCCAAGAAAACATGTTAATGGTGACAAAGGCAAGAAAGTTGCTGAGAAGCTGCGGAGTCTGGAAGGAACATGGCTTACGCAGACAGACCGGACTTGTGGCTCTAAGATGAACAAAGCAGTTGCTCGGCGGGCGAGGAGTGGGTCGGCGCACTTGGGGCTATCAGAGCTGGCAACCATTTCGCGGAGATTCAGGTAGTTGAGGAATTGTCACTTGGTGAGGGTGACGGATCAGGACTGCATCAAGACGACATCGTTCTCTTGGTGCATTCGGGTTCGACGACATCGATTCAACCAAGAAGGCGTTACAGCAAAGGAAGGTCGTCGATATCTGGCACAACAATATCGAGCGCGTTCTCTGGCCCCCGTCTTCACCGCCTTCGTTGACCCAAGACGACACGACATCACCTTTAGCGCTGGCCGAAGTGACCACCGGCCTTTCTCCCAATAACGATACGCCCACACAAGACTACGTCTACATGCACCGCAAAGGCGCAGCACCCACCTACGACCCCTCCACCCAACTCCCCCTCACCATCCTCCCTCTCCCCGGCTCCCGCGGAACGCCAACTCTCACCCTCCAACCCACTTTCTCTGCTCACACATCTTGGGGTCTCAAAAATACTCTTTCTCTCGCTCGCGTCGCTGGTCGCGCCATGTCTCGTGCAAAGGCTCTCTCTGCCTTATCGCAGAAGTACAAGGGTCAGAACATCTTAGAGCCCGGGTCTTCAGACATCGACGGCACGTGGGTGATATGCGACGAGAAGGATCTTGTGTGGGAGGAGGCGCCAGAGGCGTATAAAGATGTTGAGGTTGTTGGACAGGATCTGGTAGACGCTGGGGTTGCGAGGGCGGTGGGGAAGTGTAGAGCAAGGATTAGCTACAAGGTCCGAATTGAGGGGCGGTGATGGGTGTTGGTGGCAGAGCAGATATGCAGGTTCCTGTGAATATCGACATGGATCTCGGGGCGTAGGTACAAAAAGACCCAGACAATCACAATCACAGTGATGATACCCAAGGCAAGCAGTGGGTGTTTCGGTGATTTGTACATTGGCCTTGTATCACCCATATTACCTACCGTCATGCACCATCACGGTCGTAAATCATCGCCCTGTTTGGGTCATAATTGCTATTTCCACTCCCGATCTTTCCGGTGCTGTCTTGTCTTGTGTTATCTTCCAACGCCGGGCTACCTCAGGAACAACTGCGACGCCCAGCGTTCAGAACACAAGGTCGCGCACCAGCTGCCTATTTGCGTCGCACGTGAAACGACGCCGGCCCTGGCTTCGACAAGTGCCACGCTGGCTGGAATGCTGTTTCTTCGTGTTGGAAACAATGTAGGGGCCTGTGCACCGACCAACGCCCACGGCCCGCAGCAGTCTGGAGTAAATTTGGATCAGCGCAAGGCTCAGACGGGGATTCGGCGTTGAAACAAAGCAGACAACCACGGGTGATAGGAGCTTTTCTTCTTCGACGGCTCTAGAGTGCTATGCCTTTTGGTCATGCGACGAGATTTCACCGCAGCATCGTCGTTTTCTCGTCGCGTTGCCAGTCGCCCAACCTCCTGCGCCCGTCTTGTGCATGAAGGTCTTACAATTGGTCTGCGGGCTGGTGCCTAGTCTCGCGCAATTGGCTGTGGAAGACCCCTGTTTCAAACGCCCTGCGCCGTGCGCAGAGTCTTAGTCTTAGCGTAAGCGTAAACATAGATCTCTCCTCCTTTCAATTTGATGGACCAGGCAATGTGCAATAAGGCGTTGGAGGGAGGACCAATTGCAGGCCCGTGGATGACTGTTGGAGGATCTGCAGGGTTATTCGGTGTGGAACGGAGGGTAATGGCCTGCCGAGTTGGTGAATATTGGTGCACCCAACCGTGGATCCCCCAGCCCTGCTTTCCAGCCCTGTCTGTACTGCGCACCTTGGAAGTGTATATAGAGGAAGCCACCGCCCTTGCAGATATATTGCATCGTCGTCTTCAGCATTCAGGTCTTCTTCATCAGCTATTTTCACGTCCAGGTTCTGGTAGTTGTTCCTGCCCTTTCACCACAAGTTCTGATCAAGTGACGTCGAGTTAATTTGTGCGTTTGTACTCGGCTCCAGGTAATTGCTTTACCCATCCCTTTCCCGTTTGCTTCCCTTACTACAAAGTCTCTCCTCCACTACACTCGACACTCACTCCTCAACTCACATTCGCTAAACTGCCTCACAGTCTCTACACAAGTTCGTCTAATACTCAACATCCACCACCAAGATGCGCGTTCAACTACTCTCCGTCCTCGCTGCGGCGTCAGCTGCCGTCAGCGCCCAGTCTTCGACAATTGTTCCTGCACCAGTCGTCACTGGCAACCACATGGGCCCAAAGTACATTGCTACCCTGCCTGAAAAGGAGGGCAGTACCGTTCGTGGTTCCATCGCCGCGATGCCGGCCACCGATGGCACTGGTGTCAAATTCGATGTCTCCATCTCCGGTCTGCCAGCTGAGGGCGGCCCGTTCATGTACCACCTCCACGCGAAGCCTGTTCCATCGGACGGCAACTGCACTGGTACCGGCGCCCACCTCGACCCGTACATGCGTGGCGAGGTCCCAGCGTGCGATGCCAGCAAGCCCGAGACGTGCCAGACTGGCGATCTCAGCGGCAAGCATGGCAACATCACCAGCCAAGAGTGGAGTCAAGAGTGAGTTTGCCTTTATCCTCAACTTGTGACCACCCCGCTGACATAAACAAACAGATACGTTGATCTCTACTCAGCCACCCGATCGGACGACGTCGCCTTCTTCGGCAACCTCTCTGTTGTCGTCCACATGTCCGACAAGAAGCGTATTGCCTGCGCCAACTTTACCCTCGCAGCCATGTATGACCCAATCCGCACCTTGTCGTACCTTTCAACTGCTTCTTCTGGCTTTGCTCTCCCTACTGGCTCTGGCGTCTATAACACCACCGCTCTCTCCACTCCAACCGGTAGCAGGACAGGTGTCCCAATTTCGCCGTCTGCCTCTTCAACAGGATTGCCAGAATCAAACGGAGCAGCAGAGAAGCTCATTGGTGGTACTGCCGCCATCTTCGTTGCTGCGGCTGCTCTGATGCTTTAGATGGTATGGCGTGCATATGAGGAAGCGCTTGACTTCTGGGCTGCTTTGAGGACGGACATTTGTGCATATCGGCGTTACGGATGATTATCATTGATACCAGATGGGCAGAGCGTGGCTCGTCATCTCCACACGGTGGGGTCTACTTCTTTTTCGGGCATTTCATGTATATGACAGGCTTGTTTTCCAGCACGTGGTAAAATGTGTAATGAGAGTTGATGGTGAGTGCAAATACCATAACATATAATGAGCAAAGTACGATTCTTCGCCATTCTTCTTGACACAAACGTGATGTGAATGTTTCAAATGGCCTGCATCTCCTAAATTCGGGGGGAGATGGAGTCCGCACGCCAGGACAAAGCACGCGAGGAACTTTTCCGCTCTTGCCCACTCCGCTAATGATCGTCTGTGGACCCCTGTTGCATCTACGCACGCCGCACGTGAGCCCACGAATCCTCCGAAACATATCCGCATCGCATGGGTCCGACTTTACATCTCCTACCATTGGCCGACTGGCGGTCTTGCGGCGCTGCTCCCCGCACTACGCTAACATCGACCCTTGCAGCGCAGACTCGCCGCGGACCGATTCCGCTCCCACTCCTAAGGAAAACAACGCTCTGGCGCATACGAAGCGGAAACCCCGCACCAGGTTGTACGTCAGGCGAAGATGCATTGCGGCTTGGGATAGCCTTGGGCAGTCTATCACGGGGTATTGGGAGCGAGGCGGAAGCTAGGGAGCGGGCGATATAAGTGCGGCTGTATGTCTTGAAGTTTGGACTATTTCGTTCAGCATCGTTCTCCTCCTTTTCAGTTTTTTGGCTCTGTTTTGGCACAGTGATTGAAACTATGACGCTTCCTGTTTATCTCGCTGGGACGGTGGTGCTGGCGTATTTCTTGTACCGTGTGCTGTATGGCACTGATACGCCGCATATCAAGGGCTTGCCTGAGGTCCCTGGACTGCCGCTGTTTGGCAGTCTGCTTGAGCTGGGGACGAATCATGCCAAGGTTGCGCAGGGGTGGGCGGAGAAGTATGGGCCTGTGTTCCAGGTGCGGATGGGGAATAAGGTATGCCTTGAACCACGGGGTTGGAATTGAGGAAATGTATGTCTGACATGGGGAAAAAACGCAGAGAATCGTCTTCGCAAACTCATTCGACTCGGTCCGCCATCTCTGGATCACAAACCAATCCGCCCTCATCTCCCGCCCTATGCTACATACTTTCCATAAAGTTGTCTCTTCGTCCCAGGGCTTCACAATCGGTACCTCGCCGTGGGACGAGTCGTGCAAGAACCGGCGGAAAGCAGCGGCCACGGCGCTCAATCGCCCAGCAGTACAATCCTACATGCCGCTCATCGACCTCGAATCTACCGTGTCCATCAAAGAACTCCTCCTCGACAGCAAGGGCGGAGAAATCGACCTCGACCCGCGCGCATACTGGCAGCGCTACGCACTCAACACCAGCCTAACGCTGAACTACGGGTACCGCATCGACGGCGACAAGGACGCGCCGCTGCTGAAAGAGATAGTGGATGTCGAGCGCGGCGTGGGCAATTTCCGCTCCACGAGCAATAACTGGCAGGACTATATCCCGCTGCTGCGTCTGCTGCCTAGCCAGAGCAACGAGGCGGTTAGGTTCAGGGAGAGGAGGGATGTGTATATGGATCGTCTTCTTAATACGCTGGAGGAGAAGATTGAGAAGGGGACGGATAAGCCGTGTATTACGGGGAATATTATTAAAGATCCTGAAGCGAAGTTGAGTCGTGGTATGTTTTGTTTTCTCCTTTACCCTTCCGACTATCAACTATCAACGAGTCTTTCACTAACACCCCCCCCTAGCGGAGATAAAATCCATCTGCCTAACCATGGTATCCGCGGGTCTCGACACCATCCCCGCAAACCTAATAATGGGCATCGCCTTCCTAGCCTCCCCGCTGGGCCAACCCATCCAAGCCCGCGCCTACTCAGAGATCCAACGCGCCTACCCCAACAACACCGCCTGGCACGCCTGCCTGCACGAGGAAAAAATCCCCTACATAACCGCCCTGTACAAAGAAATCCTGCGCTACTGGTCCGTAATCCCCATCTGCCTGCCGCGCGTCAGTATCAAAGATATCGTCTGGGAAAACGTGACGATCCCAGCTGGCACAACGTTTTATATGAATGCGTACGCTGCTGATTACGACGCAACCCATTTCAAAAACCCCGAGGTGTTTGATCCGGAGCGCTATCTCAATGTGGCGGATGGGCAGGGCACGCCGCATTATGGCTACGGGGCGGGGTCGCGCATGTGTGTCGGGAGTCATTTGGCGAATCGGGAGCTGTTTACGGCGTTTGTGAGGCTGGTTTGTGCGTTTGAGTTTATGCCGCCGGGGGAGAAGGGGGATGAGAGTGTGTTGGGGTGTTTGGAGGCGAATGCGTTGCCGACGAGTTTGACGATGGAACCTAAGTATTTTAAGGTGGGGTTTCGGCCGAGGGATCGGGAGAGGTTGGAGGGGTGGATTAGGGAGAGTGAGGAGTTGACTAAGGGGTTGAGATAGAGGGAGGGAGGGGGTGACTGGGTGTTGGGTGGTTAGACTTGGTGGAGGTGGAAGCATGTATACTTCCATATGATTGTACCTCCTCAAAAATGCTTTTATGTTTTGGTGCTCAGGCATACCCCTATGCTACTTTATTTGTAACCTCGACGAACTTCTGCCACTCCTGATACGCCACCCCACTACTGATCGCCCACTTCGCCCGCCGCACGCCCTCCTTCCACCGCCCGCCTCCAGGCCCAACCTCGGTGATCACCTTCCCATCATCGCCGTGCCCCATATCACTCGAATCCGCGTCGCAGATACCACTAACAACGAACAGCGCCGCCGTGTTGATGTAGACAAAGTGCAGAATGGGGTCGTCGGCCGGGACTTCGCCCTTGAGAATGCTCATCAAGATCTCCGCATTCCGTTCCGGAGACTGACCTGGCGAAACCTCACTGAGCGGGTGCGTGGGCAGCCCAAAGTCCGCGGGGGTAAGCGTGAAGTAATTGATATCCACGTCGTGTGAGTCCTTGTTCTCGACCAGGCGCCAGCAGTGCGTGGGCCCTGCGCAAGACAGCTCATCCAGCTCCTCATCGCCGCAGATGACCATGCCTTTTCTGCAGCCGGACTGGCGCAGCGACTCGGCGAAGTCGGGGCCGATTTCCCTGCGCGCGACGCCCAGGACGCGGGCTTCGATCAGGTCGTGCAGGGGGTTGGCAAGGGGGCCGAGCAGGTTGAAGATGGTGCGCCAGCCGAGTTGGCGGCGGATGGAGGCGGCGTGGCGGGCGCCGGGGTGGAAGATGGGGGCGAAGAGGAAGGCGTAATTTGTGTGGGAGTAGATTTCGTGGATGGTGGCGGGCGCGACGGCGGTTATGACTGGGGCCTTTGGGGGCGTGCAGGCCAGGAGGTCGGCGGAGCCGGAGCGCGAGGTTGAGGCTTTGTTGCCGTGCTTGGCGATCATGAGGAGGGCGCTGGCAAGGATCGAGGACGTGGTCGAGATGTTGAAGGTGTTGTGGGAGTCGCCTCCTGTGCCGACTATGTCGCACTATTGGGGGTGGTTAGTCACGTGGGGTGTGATATATATCAAAAGAAGGTGAATCATCAACAAAGGGGATACATACCAACCCTCCATTGTAACTCCCCTCCTTCCTCCCCCGCTCATCGATCAACTTTTGTAGTCCTGCGACGTCAATGCCGGTGGAGAAGTCCCGCATAGCCTTGGAGCATTTGGCAAGGATATCTGCCTGCCGGTCACGATCCGTGAAATGCAGACATGTCAGGAGAGCTCCCGTCTGAACTTCAGACAAGCTGTTGGTGAAGATGAGGGAGAGTGCAGCCGCAATCTCGTCGGCGTTTGGTTTTGTTGCAGGGGATTCGTGCCAGAGACGTTTGAGGAGAGGGGTGATGGAGACCTTGTCTTCCTCGTCGACAGGTGCGGAAGCCATTGTTCTGATTTACGTGTGGTGTTCCTTGCTCTTTCTCGTGCACTTTCAAAGCGAGCGTATGGCGGGGTAGCTGGCGAGTCCCTGATGGTGGGGTGGGGAAGGGTCAATTGGGCAAGTTATGTTCAGACGAGTCAAGATTAGTATTGCAGCCTGTGTGAGCAAGCCACTTTTTGACTCACAGCGGCAGCATGCGGAGGTAAAGTCCGCAATGAACATTTATGCACCAGTCGCGCTAGTTCCATCCAGGGCTAGCGCTGCAGCGGCTGCACGGCGGATAGTGGCGCCGCGCCGAGTCTCAAATTTCGACAGCCGTCGCGATCCAGTCGGCGCAGGCCATGACGAGTCGGAGTATTTTCTCTGACGGACCTTGCAGAGACAGCCTCCGCGACGCCGACGACATCAAATGGGGAAGAAGCGGACCCATGGCGAGACCAAGGATGGCTTCACGAAGCCGCCGCCCGCCGGCGACCGGGTGAGCGCCAAAGGTGACAGGAAGGACCGGAATGACAGGCGCAAGGGCGGCGACGGGCCCAAGAAGACGTCGACGCTGGTATGTATTAGTAAGCGACGATAGTATCATATTCATGCTGACGCGCTGCCCCCAGATCTTCAAGCCGCAGCCGGAATGGCACACAGTCGCGCTGCCGGCGCTGCCCACGCTCGACAGCCCCTCGATCCCGCCCCGCTACGTGCTCGACGCCGTGCACGAGTACGCCGACCAGCTGCTCGAGGCCGAGGCGACCGAGTACGCGGCCTCGCACATGTCCAAGGACTCGTCGCACAAGTTCATGTCGACGGTCATGGCGTCGGGTACCATGGAGGACAAGGTGTCGGCCCTGACGCTGCTGGTCCAGGAGTCGCCGCTGCACACGACAAAGGCCTTTGAGCAGCTGCTGGGCCTGTCGCGCAAGAAGAGCCGCAACGCCGCCATGATGGCCCTGGCCGCCCTGAAGGATCTGATGGGCCAGGGCGTGCTGCTGCCCCCCGACCGCAAGCTCAAGGCCTTTGCCCGCCAGCCGGGCCTGATCAGCGCCCTGCAGGGTAGCAACGCCCGCTGGAAGGCCGGCGACAAGCTGCCCGGCGACGTCCAGAAGGTGCACCTCATCGCGTGGGCCTACGAGGACTGGCTGAAGAAGCAGTACTTTGAGATGCTCAAGATCATCGAGGGCTGGTCCAACGACGAGGTCGAGTACTCGCGCAACCGCGCCGTCACCTTCGTCTGGGAGCTGCTCAAGGAGAAGCCCGAGCAGGAGGAGAATCTGCTGCGCCTGCTCATCAACAAGCTGGGCGACAAGGAGAAGAAGGTCGCCTCGCGCGCCTCGTACCTACTGCTCCAGCTGCAAATCACCCACCCGCTGATGAAGAACGTCATCATCAGCTCCATCGAGTCGGACCTGCTCTTCCGCCCCAACCAGAGCGGCGTCGCCAAGTACTACGCCGTTATCACCCTCAATCAGACCGTTCTGAGCGTGAAGGAGCACGAGGTGGCCAACAAGCTCATCGAGATCTACTTCAGCATCTTCCTCGGCCTGCTGAAGAAGCAGAAAGAGCACGAGAAGGAGGAGAAGCGCATCAACAAGCACGGCCTGGTGCAGGGCGGTGGAAGCCAGCCCGGCAAGATGGCCAAGAAGAAGGCCGAAAAGGCCGCGACCATGGCCTTCAAGGTCGAGGACGAGTCGAGAGAAAAGCTCATCTCCGCCATACTGACAGGCGTCAATCGCGCGTTCCCCTTTGCCAAGACAGACGACGTCAAGTTCGAGGAGCAGCTCAACACCATCTTCCACGTCACACACTCGTCCAACTTCAACACCAGCATCCAGGCTATGACCCTTATCCAGCAGATCTCAGCCACAAAGTCCTATGCTACCGACCGTTTCTACCGAACACTCTACGAGTCCCTTCTGGACCCCCGACTCATCTCAACTTCCAAGCACATCATGTATCTCAACCTCCTCTACCGATCCCTCAAAGCGGACCTCAGCATCAAGCGCGTCAAAGCATTTGTCAAGCGTTTACTCCAGATCATCCACATGCACGAGCCTCCTTTCATCTGCGGCGTTTTGTATCTCGTCAACGAATTGATCACCACCTTCCCCAGCATCAAGTCCATGTTGGTGACGCCAGAAGACAACGCCGACGACAGCGGCGACGAGCACTACGACGATGTTGCAGAGGGCAACGACGCAAAGACCAGCGCCAAAGAAGAGTCTACCCACAACAGCTACGACCCTCGAAAACGAGATCCAGAGCATGCCCAAGCAGACCTGTCTTGTCTGTGGGAACTCCTACCACTCCAGGCGCACTACCACCCATCCGTTCACGTCCTCGCCTCCAAGATCGTCAACCAGGAGCCCATCAAGGAGAAGCCCGACCCAACAATCTACACCCTCATGAACTTCCTCGACAAATTCTCCTTCCGCAACGCAAAAACCAAAGCCCAAGCCGTCCACGGCTCCTCCATCATGCAGCCCATGTCCGGCTCTTCCAAGGCAGCAGACTACCTCATCACCGCCCGCGACGGCGACCGCACACACGACCCCGTCAACTCAGAGCACTTCTGGCGCCAGAAGGTCGACGACGTGCGCGTCGACGAGGTCTTCTTCCACACCTACTTCGAGAAGGCGGGCAAGGCCAAGCAGGCGGACAAGAAGGCCAAGAAGAAGAAGCGCGACGAAGATGACGACGACGAGGAGGAGAGCGACGAAGACGAAATCTGGCAGGCGCTCGTCAAGAGCCGTCCAGATGTCGAGGGCGACGACGGAGGCGACGACGACTTCAGCGACATCGACATGGAGGACATGATGAGCGACGATGAAGCTGGCGGAATCGGCATGGATGCAGGCGTGGAACTCAATCTCGGCAGTGACGACGACGAGGACGAGGGAGCTGTCCAGCCTGCACAAGAGGATGACGACGACGACGACTTTGAAGACTTCGACCTTGACGACCAGGACGGCTTCATGGACAGCGACGACGAGGTCCCCGTCGATATCGATCTTGATGGCGAGGCCGACGCCGACGCGGATGGCAAGGACAAAGACGACAAGAAGCGGAAGAAGAGGAAGCTTAAGCATCTGCCTACTTTTGCCTCGGTCGACGACTACGCTAAGCTCATTGGGGATGATGATAGCGAGTAGATTAGATTGGGCGACGTGCGTGTAGGTGTTTTGCTCTTTCTATTCCTCACCCGGACGGAGTCGGCGCATGGGCTTGACGGCGCTGGGGAGATGCAGATTGCGTGGCTTTTGATTGTAGATATCCTGAATGAATGAAATACTTGTAATGGAATGGCATCATCTATCTAACTACGTCGCTATTGATTCAACGTCTCACGACTATCCCCGCCCCATAACAACCCTTCGCCAGTCCATCAAATCGGCTCATCCCTCGGCTCAATCATAACCTCATTAACAGCCACATGCCCCGGCTGCTTCAACGCATAAACAATACTCCCCGCCACATCCTCCGGATCCAGCACCTTCGCCCCACTCGGCTCACCATACTTCTTCAGCGCCTCCTGATCCGTGCTCATACCCAATAAATCCGTCGCGACGTTCCCGGGCTGCACACTCGTAACGCGCAAGCCCGAGCCCGCCGTCTCCACGCGGAGCGCCTGCAGCGTCGCCTCGACGAAGAATTTACTCGCCGAGTAGACGCCCAGACCTGGAAACACTTTGCGCCCCGCGTCCGACGAGATGGCGACGAGGTGGCCCGATCCGCGCTTCAGCATAGACGGCACGACAGACGAAATCACGTTCAGCAGGCCTTTGCAGTTTACGTCGACGGTCTGGTTCCACTGGTCTGTCAGTGCGTTGGCCATCATGGTGAAGTACATGACGCCCGACACGGAGACGAAGATGTCGACGGGGCCGAGTTGGGACTCGGTGGCGGCGACGAGGGCGGCGACTTGCGCGGCGTCTGTGATGTCGGTTTTTTGCGTGATGATCTTGCCTTCGCGGATTACGAGGCGTTTTTTTAGGTCTTCGAGCGCGTCGAGGCGGCGTGCGGCGAGCGCGACGTGGCATCCTTCTCTTGCGAGGGCGGTGGCGGTCGCGGCGCCGATTCCGGACGATGCGCCCATGACGATGGCGACTTTTCCGAAGAGTGGTCCGCGACGCGGGACGCGACCGGATCCGCCCACGGCGTCCTGGCGTTGGGGTGGTGCGGGGAGCCATCCTCTGGCGTACCAGTGGCGAGTGTACGTCTCGAGGAGGACTTGGTCGACCTTCGGACGCTCGACGGTGGAGCGTAGAGGTCTAGTTTTGGCGTTGTCGAGCACGACGACGTCCCTCAGGAACTCTATACTCGGCATGCCGCTTCGGAGGATGTCGACTGTGAAAGCGCCGTCTCCGCCCTTGGCTGAACCGCGCTTGTCGTCCCAGAGTGCGACCCATTTCTCAAATTCGAGAGGCTGGGTTGGGTAGCCGAGATGGTTGAGGTCGTCGAAGACCTGGCTGATGTCCACGGGGTCGGGATCTCCGATGTGGAAGACGGTTTGGTCGGTTTGAGTCTCACTGCTGAGATGGATGATTGCTTTGCTGACGAAGTCGACTGGGGTCATCTCGGCGCGCCAACCCTTGACGTCTGGGTAGTAGCCGATTCTGATTGACTCGACGATGAGTGCGGTTAGCAAGTCCCACGCGTTTGCGGCACCTGTCTCGCTGTGGCCGCTGATGGTACCTAGACGGTGGATCTTGATGGGTAGTCCTCGACGTTGGGCTTCCAGGGCAAGCTGCTCGGCGACCCATTTTGTTTGGCCATAGCCGTCTGCAAGCTTGGTGGGAACGTCATCAATACCAATCATGCCGTCTTCAGACCATCCCTCGCGGCCTGACGCTGGTGGGAGCACTCCGTTTGTGGAGACGTATTGCACAGTCGCACCGCCCTGAGAAGCAAGACGCAAAACCTCCCTTGTACCACCGACGTTAGGCTTCTGCAGTGCCGCGTAGGGATACACGAGGTTGACAGTGGCCGCAGCGTGAACGATAACGTCGACACGATCAGCCAACTGCTTGAACACATCTGGCGACAAACCAAATCGTTTTCGAGACAAGTTTCCCGTCAGAATCTCCACGCGCTCCATGATCGAATCGTTCCAAAGGCCAAAGTCCAGCAGGTTGCGTCGAATTCTTGCAATACCAGCAGGGACATCATCTTGGGAGGCATCGGAGAACCGTACCATGCAGATAATCGTCGCAGAGGTGCTTTCCATCAAGTCTCTGAGTAGGAAGGCACCCAAAAAACCGGTGACACCAGTAAGGAGCACTGTCTTGGCGTCTTTCAATGCACAAATCTTCGCATCGGTTGGTTGAATGTCCTTGTCCAGGATAGAGTCGGCGCGTAACACAGCTGGTAGATTGTCCTGTACTTCAGCAGTATGACCGTCGCGGATAGCTCGAACGGTATCCAGATGGCCGTTGAGCGTCGCGGGGTTGGCAAGACGTGCGACAGGCACTCGGAAACCGAATGTATTCGACAGCCGCGCAGACAGATCAGCAAGCAAGAGTGAGTGACCACCAAGGTCAAAGAAGTTGTATTCAGGGGTAATGGTGCTTGCGTTGATACTGAGGATTGAAGCCCAAATCTCGGTAATCTGCTCGACAGCAATAGGGCTTTGCTCAAACTTGCGTGTACTGCCGGTCGGCGAGCTGGGCCTTGGTGGAGGAAGGGCTTTGAGGTTTACTTTTCCTGACACATCGCTCGTTGGAAGACTCTCGAGCTCGACCCAAAGAGAGGGCAGCATGTAATGTGCGAGAAATGCTTGCAGCATACGTCTCGCAGTGGAGCTGCGTCCTGTGCGATCGATTTCTACGACCGGACGTTCCGCTGAGGGATCTTTGTCGCGAACAAAATACGCGACCAACTGCCTGTCGATGCCTTCGCCCCACGCTACCACAGCGCAATGGCTAACTGCGAGGTGGTTACGTATTGCGCTCTCGACTTTGCCAGGAACAACCGAATAGCCTCGAATCTTGATCATAGCGCCGACACGCCCAGTAATCTCGAGGAATCCGCTGGGAAGCAGCCTAGCCTTGTCTCCGGTTCTGTACATACGAGCGCCAGTCTTTGAGATGTAGGGGTTGGGTATGAACGCTTTGGCGGTAGTCTCTGGACGATTGAGATATCCTCGAGCCAGCATGTGGCCGCCGACAAAGAGTTCGCCATTTTCTCCCTCCTCAACCTTTTGGCCACTTTCATCGAGGATATAGATGAACTTGTTGTCAATTAATGGTGCTCCAACTGGGCAATATGGGGCATCCTTGTCGATCTTTTCGAGCAAATCCTTGATGTCACCACAAGCAATCTCGTGGGTTTCGCACGCACTGTAGCAGTTAAGCACCCGCGTATTAGGTAGTGCTTTGATGCCCCGGCGGGCAAGGTCTGTTGTCACCACCTCGCCATTCAGCCAGATGGTCTTGAGATTCGGAAGTCGGGAACCAAGCGCCTGGTGGCGAGCAAGAACAGCAGCAAACAAAGTAGGCGTGAACAAAGTCTCAGTAATCTTCTTTGAGGCAAGTATGTCTACGAGCATCCGCGGATCGTAACTCGCCTCGTCGGGGACAGCCACAACTGTTGCTCCTCGCAGGAGTGGGCGCAGTATCTCCCACACAAAGAAGACATTGCAGGCTACTCGATCACCTGGCTGGAGGTCAGAGAGTGCAAATCTGAGATCGTATGAGAGAACGGCTGCTCTATGTGGGTTCGCGATTCCTTTCGGCTTTCCGGTGGTTCCACTGGAGTACGCAACAAAGGACAAGCGATCCAGATCGGTGTCCTCAGGTAGGGGTGGTAGCTCGGACTTCTCCACGTGACCGTTTGTTGAACTTTGTTCATCCAGGACGACGAGTGGTGTGCCTTCCTTGATTTTGCCGACCTCAGCACTAATTGTAACCACAACAGTAGGTTGCGCATCCTCGAGTACGTCTGCAAGCAAATCAGGTGGATATGCGAGTTCTAGCACAAGGAAAGCACCACCGGCCCGCAGCGCTGCCAAACAAGCGATCACGTAGTCGGCGGATCGCGGCAAAAGGACGCCTACCAAGCTGTCACGACCAACACCATGGCCCCGCAGCCGGTCGGCGAGAGCAGCGGCTTTGTCGTGGAGCTGTTGGTACGTGTACGTATGTTGATCATCTTCTAGGGCAACGGCATCGGGTGTGGCTTGGACCTGCTGCGTGAAGAGCGCCGACAGGTCTTTGGTTGTATCGATGATAGTCATCGTCCAGATTTGTTGTTGGAGTGATTGAAGAAAAGACACTCGGGAAGGCAATTGACGTAAGTATTTATTTCAATGCCGTCTTCCATACGTCTAAACCTTGAATTACCGTAAGGACAGGGATGTAGCATGTGCTGAAGAGAACTGTTCGCAAGTCGTTGGGGACATTCGACGAAGTGTGGGGGTTTTGCAACCAATCGTGCGTTCTGGTGTTCGCTTCGGTTCGCACGTCATTCTTAGCCTTAGCCACTGCATTTCTTGGCCGCGTTCCAATTGCTCCATTACATTGATGGTTGTTCATCCAAGATGGCCAGATTCACAACATGAGGTCAGACGTTTGCCGCTGACAGCTTGGCGGCGTCGATACTCGGAGCGACGTCGGCTCGTCGCTCGCGTATCTGTCTCGAGAACACTAGTGCCTTGTTCGTAACGCGATAGGTTTCGGAACTACTGTGCTAGGCAACGTTGCTGGAGAATTGAAAAGCCTTCTTCGTGAAGTTGTTATATGTTCTGTAGGGAGTTGAAATGATGAACCAAAGTTAGACAAAAAGAACAGAGTTTTGTACGTCCTTTGGTCTCTGAGCACAGAGATATGGAAGCGTGCTATGCGATCATGTAAGGAGGTTTGTCGCATAGGGCACGATCGCTACTCGCATTTCAGGTCTGGTCAAACTCCATTTGATATCAGCAAATGGACATAAAACAGTAGCCTTGTTATCGCTAGGTACAGCTGACGTTTAGGTACATTGAGCCCTGATAATTCCCCCAACTATGAGAGTTATGTATGAGGATACAGGATCTCGTTGGGTTAAAATCGTCGCTGGGTCTGCGTAAGTGCGATTATTCGGGGTTGGACGATGCGAGTGCACTCGATTGACCGCGTATAAGATCACGCGTCGAACGCGTCGATGTTGATGAAATAGACGTGTATTAGCAGTGCAGATTTGGCGGTTGTGATGAACTGCTCATAGGTCTTTCTTTTACGACATAGCGTTCAGTCTGTCTGCAGCGGACGGAGAAGACAGGAGTGTGGAGATCAACGGCGCGTCGGGCGGGCTGACGCTGCCAAGACTTGCTCTTGCTAAAGACGTGACCCTCGTGCGAACTTCACTCTTCAACCTCAATCCACATCTGTGTCACACATTAACTAAGGCGGTTCTAGTGTAGTAGCGCGGAGCAGATTGAAAACTGACATTGTTTTATTGTTTTACGTGAAACACTGCACTTCACGGCAAGGCAACCACCCACCTTAACATCATGATAAAAATTTCTACCCGCTTATCAACTACGACAGATGCATTGAGATGATTTCTGATGGGAAACGAAATGGTTATTGCTGCGTTGTGTTGTTGCAGTACCTTAAAACCACATCACCCATCTGCAAGAACGCAACTCGGAGCTTTTGACAAAGTTACCGACTGAAGATTGCCTGATGTGGATTGAGATCAGACCGGGAAGGTTATGAAAAAGGCAAAAGCTCCTATTGGGGAACGGAACTTGTGAGCTGTTTCTTCCTTGCGCACTGCGTCTGCAGGCCCATGCGTTATGGATCACGCTCCACCGTGGCATTTGTCCCGGACGCACTGGCAGGATGAGATCCTCAAGGATGAAATCATATGTGCGGTATAAATGAGGCGCTTTGGTGTACCTTCCAAGTTACAAACAAGCTCTAACAATTCCTTTCCGCGCTCGTAGCGATGGACTCACAAGCATACCCAAAATCCTTCAACCTTGCTATTGTGGGCGGAGGCATTGCTGGACTTACTCTTGCCATCTCTCTTTTGAAACATAATATACCAATTACGATCTATGAATCCCACGCGCAATTCGGAGAAATTGGCGCCGGGGTTGGGTTTGAGCCTCACATGGTCCACATCATGGAGCTCATCGACCCAAGGATCAAGGAAGCCTTCCTCCGGCATGCGAACAACGTTGTTACTGATCCACCGAAATGGTTCGATGTCCGGGTTGGTGATAAGACACAAGCAGATGAGAATGGCGTTGTGACGAAGCAAAACGGCAAGGACATCAAACTTGGAGAAACATTGTTTGTTATGCCTGCGAAAAGAGGACCAAGAGGAGGCATTCATCGCGCGCATTTTCTCGACGAACTCGTCAAATTGATCCCATCAAACATTGCACGCTTTGGAAAAAGGCTCATTGATGTTACCGAGGCGACTGATGGCTCAGGCGATACAGTTCTTCATTTCTCCGATGGTACAACAGCCCAGCACTCAGCAGTCTTGGGATGTGATGGCATCAAGAGCCGAACAAGAGAGATAGTGCTTGGCAAAGAGGAAGCGCGGCCTGTGTTTTCGGGGAAATATGCCTACCGGGGACTGATCCCGATGGCGGAGTCCGTCCAAATGCTGGGTGAGGCGGCCCGCACACCGCAAATGTATTGTGGATACAAAGGGCATTTGCTGACATTTCCCATCGCCAACGGCAAAATCATGAATGGTGAGTACCCACTAGAAAAGTGGTGTTATGTTTGACACTGACCAGTATGTGAACCAGTGGTTGCGTTTAGCTCCCGAGATGAATGGCACCCTGCAGATTGGGTTGTTAAGACTTCCCGAGAAGACATGATCGCAGATTATGCGGATTGGACAGACAGCGTACAGAACATCGTGGCCAGCATGCAGAATCCAGACATCTGGGCACTGTTCAACCATACGCCAGCTCGTACATTCTTCCAATCGAGCCCACGCATATGCCTTGTGGGAGATGCGGCACACGCTTCGACACCTCACCAAGGCGCTGGTGCCGGTATGTGCATCGAGGATTGTTACATTCTCGGTGAATTGCTTGCTGAGGCGAATACCGTTCAAGATGTTGATAAAGCTTTTAAGGCGTACGATGAGGTAAGGCGGCCACGGGCTTTGAAACTTGTGGAGACCAGCAGAGAAGCGGGCACTTTTTGGGAGTTCGAGACTCCAGAGAAAGACGATTTGGGTGCGTTTGAAAGAAGAGCCGTGGAGAGAATGAAGTGGATATGGGACCATGATATGACATCTGACCTCGAGAGGGCACGAGCTACTTTTCGAGGGTAACCATCACGCTGTTCATGCTGCTAGGCCATGTTCTCGCGGTAACGCGGAACCCGGAAGTAGAGTAATGGTGGGGTCAGACGAACACCACATAAAACTGGTAGAAAAATATAGTTTTAATAGACTTCAAAGAAGAGGAAAAGTTTTGGGTGCGTCCTAGGAGTCTACTGCTCTTTTCTTTCGAATGTTGGAATTGTTGTAATACTGTTGTAGATGCTGCGGTAGGACGTTGCTCGTCGTATCACTCAGTTCCTACAAACTTCTACATTTGTCGTTACTGTTATGCCCTCGATAATGCGCTCTTGGCTCTCACTTTGGACCAATGAGTGGCTCACGAGCGTTTCGTTCCTTCCTCCACGTGTGGGATCTCTCGATTCGAGAGGGTATGTGTCTTTGGTATTCCGCTTGCTAGTGATCCAGCTTGGTTTCGGAAAACGTATACCGTGAGAGGGATGACCAAAGTTTTTTGGCCTTGACGTACTCCTATAATTACTCCTCCATTGTTTTGGCCACAGCTTCGCTATCGTGTTACGAAGGCTAATAAGACAGGCACATATAACCCCAACGGCAGCCTCGATAAATGACCAGAGGTTTGCAGGAGCCGATTCCCACGTCGGTTCTCTAAATCTTAGAGTCGCTGGCAGGGTCGCCATACGGAGTATGGTAATCAAGCAGACGAAGAAGCCTACCGAGAACAGGATACCGAGACCAATTCGACTGCTCATGGGCATGTTGAGGCGGCTGACGATGGGTAGTGGGAGGAAAAAAATTGTAACGTCAATGACCAGATTGAGAATCGCGTTCATCCATCTGTAAAAGTCAGTGTTCCTGAATCCTCTATAGTATGGCTATGTCACTGACCTCTGCCACACGAAGTTGATACATGTACCTGGTACATTTTTCAAGTCGTATATCTTGTGAATCGGAATGCACTGGAATATAGTAACAGTTACGAATGCGACCATCCAACCCATGCTGGCAACCATCAAGACGATACAGGTCTGGCGGAACCGTCTGGTCGCGAAGATACGGTAGTACAGCATCAGAAACGCCATTTTGTTGAAGCCGTTGGTAAAAAGGTACATCATTTGGGAGTACCAGAAGAACTGCCACCGCTTTTCATCAATTGAATTCTTACCAAGCTTCCATGATACGTACCTTCATGGCGGTTGGAACACTGCCCCCAAACCTCTCAATATCTTCCACATGAGTCCCGAAGCCGTACACAGTTGACATGTTTATCATGACAGCCAGTAAGACAAGAAATATCTGGATGACTCTGTTGTAAGCTTCGTCCAAAGTTAGGTTAATCATAGGTTTGTGCATACTGTAGACATGACAACAGAGGCGTCCTCCCACCCAAGTGAGCCACTGCGATTCCACGTACTCGTGAGGCGTGCAAGTAGCAAGACAACAGCTAGACAAGTTAGTGTGATTGTGACCCATCGTAAATCTTGTTGTTCCCCTGGATATGGTTCGAAGAGCATGCTGCCTGATAGACGGTTTAGGAACCAAGTAATGAAGAAAACACAAACATCTTCTACGGATGAAGATATGCTTTCTTCTGGAAAGTATCAAGAAATGAACAAAGGCCAAAGCACACTGTTAGATTTTGCCTGTATCAACCAATCACTGCTCATATCGACCAGTCTCATCAGCCCTGCAGCTTCTCCGATCGATCATACGTAATCTAGATGCGGGCTCTGCCATATTAGGGCTGTAATTGAGGCGGGCCCTATTGGGTGGAGCGATGCATGCTCCAATTCGGGGGTTTTGCCATTTCGAGCCTAATACCGTAATCCAAAGATGCCCCATGTCAGAACCAAGACTCAAAAGTGCGCTGGAAGGATTGAAATAAACAATCTAACCTGCAAGTTTATCGGCGAGTAGTTCTAGAGCCCGGCAAAAGTAGTGTACAGTGGGGACCGTAATCTGTGGGCTCGAACATATTATGATTACAGCGGGAGCAGAAGCGCATATCGTTTGACTGGTTTCAATGCTTGTACTGGTCTGTGTTCAAAATCCTATATTCCTATAATCCTATAATCCACTACTCCACACTCGCCACTGTACATTACTTATGCCGAGTACCACAGTAGACCCTTGAATCGTTTCAGATAGCGTGACCTCACGAACAATTGGAGTCGAGTCAAAGAGTGGACTCGCTTACCTGCTGACATGCGTCCCAAGCCAATAGCTTGTGATTAGAGGTGACCGTCGAGTACTTTAACGCTCCTGTGTACGCTCTTCTTCAGGCCATCTCCGTCCTGTAGATTACCCTTCAAGTAATCTCGACAACAATGTCAGATGTACACTCGTTAGAGAAAGGCGCGGCCGTGTGTGGCACGGTGTATCCTACAGATCCCACAGCTGTCCCACCACCTTTTGACCGTGCTGCCGAGCGCCGTCTACTCCGGAAACTGGATCTTCGCGTTCTCCCTGTACTCTGGTTCCTGTACCTGGTGAACTTCATCGACCGAGCAAATGTAAGTCAAATCCGATATTAACTCGATACAAAGACTGACTAGCTCCAAAGATAGGCAATGCAAAGATTCAGGGTATGGAAAAGGAGCTCAACCTCATCGGCCAGCGCTTCAACATTGCCGTATGGGTCTTCAACCTGGGCTACCTCGTCGCTGGTATCCCGCTCCAAATCGCGTTCAAGAAATATGGACCGAAATCGCTGTGCATTATGATGTTCTGCTGGGGCATAACTGTCGTCGGCTGTGGACTTGTCAAACGCTGGGAGCAACTCGTGGTTTGTCGAGTGCTTATGGGTTGCTCCGAATCGGCGTTTATCTCTGGCGCTGCGTATCTTATTGGGACGTACTACACTAAGAAAGAATACCTCACTAGATATGTCTTCTTCTGCACTGCTGGGATTATTGCGGGTGCTATCAATGGCTTCCTGTCTACCCTCATCGCTAAGATGAGTGGCACGGCAGGATATAGCGCCTGGCGCTGGTAAGCAAACCGGAAAACCCCAGCTTGTTTTGATGCTGACATATCTTCAGGATCTTCATTATCGAGGGAATTATCTCGATCAGCGTCAGTATTGTGTCTTGGCCTCTTATCGTACCATGGCCCGAGAATGTTACCTTTCTCCCAGCAGAGGAGAAGGCGCTGCTCCTTGCCCGTGTCAAGGCTGATGGCAGTCACATCTCCGACGATGAAATTTCGGTCAAGAAAGCACTGTACATGCTCAAGGACTGGAAAATTTGGGCTGGGTAAGGCATTTCCGTCCACCATGAACTCCTTCAGTTGGACAATATGATTAACCTAAATGGACAGTGTTCTCATGAATGTCGGAGTTACGGAAAACGCGAATTCGCTATCAAACTTCCAGCCAACGATCTTGAAAGGCCTCGGTTACACAGCCATCCAAGCACAAATCCACACCATTCCCGTCTATCTGACTGGAGCAGCCTTCAGCGTAATCTTCGCGTACATGTCCGAACGGCTCTGCAGACAATACTACTTCTACATGTTAGGCTGGGCAGTGCTCGCCACTGGTCTTGCTGTCGAGATTGCATATCCAGCATCGGCAGCTGTGAGGTACATGGCTGTATTCTTCATCGCTTCTGGATGCTACCTAGCCATGCCGATATCGATCGTCTGGATCTCTATCAACGCGGGGAGTGGCTATAAACGCGCCGTTGCGATTGGAGCGGTCATCAACTTTGGTACGGCAGGCGCGTTTGTTAGCAGCAATGTGTTTCTCAAAAGCGAGGAGCCACGGTTCCGTAGTGGGTTCTCAACTTCGCTGGGGTTGGCTTGTGTGGGTGCTCTTGCTGCGACGATCACCTTCTTTGGATGCATGGCTGAAAACAAGAAGAGAGACATGAAGAGGGCGGAGCTACCGGATACTATTGAGCAGACTTTGGCGGAGTTGGGTGACGAGCATCCTGATTTCAGACTGGTGTTGTAAAGTGTGATTGGACGACCAGACATACCTATAGTCAGTGGTGTAGTTTGTCAAGCGCCTACTGAATTTTCGCATACAATTGCTGGCACAGCCTGTTCGATGACCAAGATGTTCTCATAGTCTGCTAAGGCTAAGTAGATCTCGCTTGTACCGAGCATTTGAAACTTTGTGGAGTAAACCACTCTGTATGCCAAGTATACCCTTCACCCGTCTTGCTATCCTCCAAAAGTTCAAAGTCAAATTTCCGCACAATCTGAGGAATAACCTTCGACATCTCCATCATACTAATGTTCTTACCAAGGCAAGTTCGCGACCCAGTGCCGAAGGACAGAAAGTTCTTCTCCAAGTGGGCACGCTCCTGCGGATCTTTAGTGAGCCACCGCTGAGGGCGAAACTGCGAGGCGTCGGGTCCGAAGATAGAAGTGTTCCTATGAATGACCCAAGGGTTGATGCCGACCTCTGTTCCCGCGGGGAAGTATTGGCCAGCAAGCTGTGCGCCACCTTGGCCGACGACGCGAGTTAGAGGCATGCCGACCGCTGGATGCAGGCGAAGCGCTTCGGAGATGACTGCCTGGAGGTAGGGTAGTTTTTGCGTTTCCTTGAAGGCCGCGGGTTCAGAGAGCTCGCCTCTCTGCGTCGCCCCGTCGAGTTCCTGCCGCAGAGTATGTAGACAGGATGGATTCATGGCCAAAAACCCGATGACAGCAGCAAGAGAGATGGCAGTAGTATCACTTCCTGCCGCGATATTTTGCAAGCATACGGTCATCGTGATCTTCCTAGTTACTTTGCCTGCTTCTTCAAGGGGCAGCAAGATATCCAAAAAGTCGCGCCCATTGCTGGGGGATTCTGTTTTTCCCGATGCGCGGTTGGTCAGATGTAATTCTGCGTAATCCTGGACTTTCACAAAGTCGGGCTTGATTCCCAATAGACCAGTTATCTTACCCACCCACCAGTGCACCCCAGGCACAAGACCAACATAGGTCGAATATGCCAGGGCTTCACCGAGAATTGGTATAATCCCGCTCTTGTCGCCGTTGTCCTCCATAAGACCAAATCTCGCGCCGACTGTGAGCTCGCCGATGACGTCAAACGCATAAAACTGCATCAGCTCTCTCACGTCAAAGTCCTTCTTTTCTCTTGCATACTCCGATAATCTTCGTAATAACAAGTTGTTGCAGTTATCAACAGCAGGCTCATAAGAGAGCAGATGAGTCGTCGAGTACAATGATGTGATGGGACGGCGAAGTGTTGCGTGCGTAGCAAAGCTCCTCGTGGAGAACAAATTATCCTCGTTCGGTTCAGGACTACCAAAAGGGTAGTAAAACTCGGACTTTGCCATTGCATCTCGGTGTCCGAGTACGATCTTGATGGCTTCTGCATCGTTGATACTGTATCTGTTTGGTGCCAGGCGAACGATGGGTCCTTGGCTCGTTAGTGGCCGTTCAGAAGGGGGTCGCATCGGATATACCATATTTCTTATGTAGTGCGATGTTAGAGAGCGCATAGTCTTGACTTCGCAAAAGAGTTGCTTCCCAAAGGCGCGTGAAGCGTGCTAAGAAAGGGCCTGGAACTCTGCGTAGTGGGGAAAACAAGGTCTTGAATGCAGGCACAACAACGATGAATGCGAATAACGCGATGGCTCCATAAGAGAAAAACTTAGTGAAGGATATATCATTGTTGGGCATGAGGACATGAATAGAAGGTGCCATTGCAATTTCGTCCACTTCGTGGAATTCTGAATCTGAGACTAGCTGTAGAATGGGGATAGGAAGCCGCTTATATATGTCAGATATCAGTTAGTTAGTTGGTTGGTTCATTCATAAGCTATCTCAGAGGCCGAAGGCCGAATCCCCGGCAGTCTCGGGTGCCGAAAGGCGCCTATTCTGCCGGGGTGCCCCTAGGTCTAACCCTAGGAGCCCTTGTATCTACTAGAGAATCTAGGTGTAGAGATTTTAAAAATTTTGATTTCTCTGAAGTTGGTGTTTTTATGTTAGATATCAGAAGGTAACTCTCGCACAGTACACACACTTGGTCCTTGATGACACGAAGTACCCCGCAACGTATCTGGGCCTAACAAAATGACTGAAGCCTCAGATATCTCTTCGCCCGGCGACTTGAGCCTTGGGTGGAGGTTTACCCAATCGAAAGACGTTGTACAAGAATATTGAAGTCCAAGGGTGGATCTAAACATCGAAACGCCGACACGACGACGTTATCTGATTGGCTAATAGTCAGCCCCAGACTCCAGGGCGTAAGCCATCGGGCGAAGAGATATACCCCATCTTGGAATCCATCAGCATGGTACTAAGATACGTGTGCTCGTGCAGTATCCCAGTTTCCAGTCCAAAACAGTGGCAACAGCGACATCAACGACAAAGGCTACACAGGCGGTAAGTGCGCTAATAAGTACAACAGCAATCTATCCTAAACATGCATTGAAAAGAGAGAGAAGCGTATAGCAATAACCCTAGCGGTTTAGATGCATCAGAAACAGTAAGAGTCTTTAACCTGTTGCACATTAATCTCAAAATCCAGCATGGCCAGAGGAATCGAGCGCTAATTAGCTGTAGCCTCGCCTTACTAAAAGCGCATAGGCGACAAGTGTGTACGGTCAGAGGCGCTAGTATATCTTAAGAATAAGCATTATCGCCCTGGGACCGGCAACGGTTAACAACCACCCACATAAGTATTAATTACCACCTATATAAGTCACCCTTTTCTAGACCCAGAAACTTATTAATTCTAGGCTAATTCCTAATTTCCTAAAACTTAGCATTATTAGAAGTCTACTATTTTAGTTAGTATATTAAAAAGAACACTTTTCTACCTAAGTATAGGTAGAAAATAGGAGGAGAAGAGCTTATTTATAAACAGAGGAGATAATGCTAAGGGAGTCTATACTGTTTTAGGAGGTAAGTCTTTCTTAGCGCGTTCTCGTTGGTTGAAACAGCCATCAGAAAGTCTTAAGTGGGTGGTGGTTAATACTTATGTGGGTGGTTAACCGCTGCCCCTGGGACCTAGCCGCTGATACGAGGGCAGTGTTGTACTTCGAAGCTAATCCCTGCGTATCGCTTAGAAACCGGTAATGGGGGGGGGGCTCGTGCGGCTAGCCCCGCAATTCCCTACTCAACAAAGGAACCGTTACACTTAACACCCTTATGCCCACTTTAGCGAAAGTCTATGTCCAACCTGACTACTTACACTTTAACTCATTTTTACGCTTCGTTACCCGCCAAGTCTATACGCAAACTTGCTGTCTAATTACCCTCTATCCTCTACTCGCACATGCCTTTGTCCTCCCCTGTGCATGTCAAGCACCCTTAATCTCCATTTTGTATGCCTACTCGTACTTTTATGCTCTACGACCAACACAAGTGAATCTCCGGACAGACCGTCAGCGGCTACTTCCAAACACTAGTACGTGAGTCCTAAATAGTTCTTCCAGAGTTGACGAGAGACCAACGAGGCAACAGCAAGACGTTGGTCAGCACTGTTGAGTCCAGCACGGGAAGTGTTCCGGAAGGTCAAACTTGTTAGTCATGACGCTACTTGACGTTCCTCCAGAGGTTCTGTATGACATATTAGCACGTACTATGCACAGCACCGGACTGCGGGCCAGTATTCAGCTAAGGCTAGTATGCTGTAAGTATAATGTCAATGTACGAAGCTCAGCTAACAATGTTAGGGAAATTCAGTAAGGTCTTAGAGAGTGCTATCTTTAAGCTTCCTCTTTGCGTAATAAACCGTGAAGGGATAAGCAAGCCAATGGTAGCGAGGTTGATACTCTCAAAGTTGAAACAAGACAATGCGAACGAACGGCCTCTCTGCTATGCTATCGCTCAAACAACAAATTACCTCGTCGGCACTGTTGAACTTGGTAGCACTTTACAGCAAGAGTTCAGCGAGGCACTTGCAGCAGCGGCTGCACAGTCAATGTTTCTCTGGAATCTTCTTTCCAAACTCGAACCTACGGAGAACAAGGTCTCTTGCACTCAAACGATGAAGGATACCGCACTCATAGCAGCTATACGTGCTAAGCGAGTTGTTGTTGTTAAGGATTTGCTTGAAATGGGTGCAAATGCTGCCGCCAAGACCCGGTTTTTCGGCGAGCCTCTTGCTTCAGCAGCCAGGATAGGATGTACTGATATACTTCAAATCCTTCTTGTTTCACGAGATTGGTTGGCTTCTGGCGAATACTTCACACATCTTCGTTACAAGCATGCTATAGAGGCGGCTGCGGAAACTGGCCAAAAGGAGACCCTGCTGATGTTGCTGGAAGTCAACAATAACGAGCTGCAGTTAGCATCCACATACGATCGCGCCATCATCAAAGCCACCAGGGCCGCACAGGAATCGACAGCAAAACTACTCTTGTGTCAGCGAAGTCCCAACTCCCATTCTGAGAATAAAACATTCTGGCTAGACCTTGTTCGAACAATGGTCAGAGGCAACTGCCGGGAGTTCTTACAAGAAACATGGGTTGAAGCTTCCTTGGCCATCGGTGAGGGGTCTTTAGGCCTCTTACTTGAAGACGCGTGCCGGCATGGTCACGTTGGAATTGTTCAGTTCCTACTTTCTAAGGTTTCTGACCTAACCCTAAACGATTTCAACGGCGGTTTGTTTTGGGCAGCTCGTTCTGGATATACTGCTTTAGTCGATATCCTTATCGAGTTTCTGGCATGCAACGACAAAGCAGTTATCAAAGCATTGGCTGGTGCGGCCTCTAGCAACCAACATGATCTATTCTGTCATCTCTTGGAAAGGCTCAGCATCAAGAGGACCGACAACAGCCGGACTATCCAGTTCTCTGACGCAATTCGCCTGATCTATCCACATCTGCCACCACAAACACCATCTCGATCAGGTGTCAATGGCGATTCTCTGTTGTTCCATCGATGCCAGACGCTAGAAGAGAAAGCTGCCTTGGAGAATGCAATCAAATCAGGAGATCTAGAAGGTGTTGTTGCAATACTAAGCAAACGTCCTGCCGAGAATCCCAACAATAATCCCGATCTGCTTTTGGGTATATGTCTGGATGCAGTCCGGTATAACCACCCCGATATTCTCTTCTATCTTTACGAGAATGGCGAACCTCATTTCCTTTCTCAATGCACAGAATCCACTGCAATTTTGCAAATATACATGGATTTTGGTTGGGACATCAATCAACCAGACACCGGGGTTCATCATACACGATTTGCGTACGCTGCTCTACCCAGCTTGATGCCTCTGCTAACTCAGACCAGACAGTTTGTCCACGATGAGCACCTCACAAGGTGGCTCCTCAGTGTTGGAGCCGATCCCACTGCAAGAGCCGATTATGATGTCACAGCAATTTCAATAGCAGCCATTCACTCCTCTTTATCAATCTTTGAATTACTACTGGAAAGAGGTGGGAACATCGACAACGGCCAATTGCTACATAGAGCCATAAAACGCGACGACATAGACCAACTCGAACGCATCGAAATCCTTCTAGATCTAGGTTGTCCAATTGATGCAATTCTGTATGAGAACCACCAATGGTCTCAAATGATGCACAAAGCGATAGGAGCTGGAACCCCGTTGTTCGACGCAGCAGCAAAAGGCAAGGACGACGTAGTAGAATATCTTCTTCAACGGGGCGCAAATCCTGCCATCAAAAACACGCACGGGAAAACTGCACTCCAAGCTGCTGAAGCTGGAGGACATACTAGAGTTTTTGAGATCATCAAGAGATGGGATCATTGAATTTCTTTGAGAGCTATGGAGTTCTTCCTAGGGTACTAGCAGGATGGGAACCTTTCACTGACCAATTACGTCCATGAGCTCCCGTTCCACTTAGTCCATCTCTGTCCTTCTGCCATCCAAATATATTCATTGATAGGAGGCATGCTCTGTGTTACGAGGACGGATGAACCCAGCATCAGGTAGTATTGAGCAACACCCTGCTGTGTTAAATATTGCCAGACCGGAGATCTTTGCGGCAAGGATGTCACGTCTCTGTCTTCAACATACACCTTGGGGGTTGTTCCACGCCCATCAACCATAACGGTTCCGGAAGAAGTTCCTCTATTCACCGCGTCTTCTGAAGGTTGTTCGTAGTAGACTTGAGCACTTGAGAGATTCAATTGCTTGATGCTTGAATGCATAATCCGTATGTGTTCTGGTGCAGTGAGCACGACACCATTAAGCATTGCGCACACAATATAAGTGGACGAAGAAGGGAAAAGATGATTGTTGTCTCTGTATAGTTGTTTTGCCTCTCGCATCTTGTGTTCCGCAAGTTGTATGAATGAGCGTGGGTCGTTTGAGCCAAGTATGTTGGGGCCAATATGAGCAACGATGGCTGCATATGGGGAGACAATGGCAACGACTGAGCATGCGCTGAGGCCGTTGACGCCCAAAATCCTTGCTTCCGTGCCAAATTGTGTAATTTTGACTTCGTTGATACGGACAAGAGTGGTAGCCGTCGTATTGATTGCATGCGCTAACATTCCGCTCATTTTATCGGCTTGGAGATCGAAACAGTCGATGAATTGATTGAAGGTAGAAGCAAAAGATAATAAGGAAAGTTGTATTCGGGGGTGGCTTGCGATGCTGTGAGGAGACGACTTTGGCTCAGCAGCATTATGGAATGCGCAAGGACTTAAATATTACAACTTTGGCAATGTGGACATACATTTTGAACAATACCATTGTTGTAAAATCCATGTCTTTATCCTCAGCGTATCGCTAACCGCGCCTCTTTTCTGGAGCAGACTCTCCGCCAACCATAGCCCCAGCTAGCTGTGATCCTACGACTTTCTGGCTACTTTTATCTGCAGACATCATTTGCAGCCATGCACAATCGGTAAACGGACAGCATGTAAAGAGAGCGTTCACTGTATACTAATCAGTCAATTCGATATAGATAAGGATGATCCCAATCCCAAGACGTCGTGTTGATTGTCTGCAAGCAGTTTAGAAAAAGCAAGCTACGTATTTCTCCGTAAATAGCCAAAATCAGACTACGACTTGGCCGAGAAAGAAGACGATGTTGTGTAGCCAGGGCCAGCGTCTACCCCCACGCCCTATTTAGCGATCTCGAGAGACATTGAAACTACACCCCCAGAACCAGATACCACAATTGGCGGATATTTTGACTTCTCGATGACACAGATTAGAGCCGCGCGGCTACGCAAGTGGTCCTCCAACTAGTTTCTTGATTGTACGCACACGGCGTCTATCGTGATAAACAACAGCATAAACTTCTGGTCCCAAACTAACCGTCAAGTCCAGCGGTTCGAACAAGCCATTCAAAAGGTTCAGAAACCTGACCATACGTCCAATGAAGCCACTCAGTCCCAGCCAGCCTTTAGGGATTCACTTCACATGCCAAAAAACCTAACCAGACAGTCACGAACAGTAAACCTCACGAAACCGAACATATCCAAACCTGACACACAAAACACTGGATAACATAGTCTCCTACGCCAACTTCCCCGGCACATACGGCAGTCCCCCACTCAACCCGCCATCCACAGCCCACGCCTGCGCATTAACATAGCTACTCTCGTCGCTGGCCAAAAACAGCACCGCGCGCGCAATTTCATCAGGCTGGCCGCCCCTCCTCAGCGGATTCAGCTGCCCGATCTTGCCCTCTGACCCGCGCGCCCTTGCGCCGTCGTAGATGACCTTCGTCATACCCGTTTCGATGAGTCCGGGGCAAACCTAAAACCTCGCATCAGCAGACATTCCGTAACCATAGCGACTTCTCATATCCAACATACCGCATTACACCTAACCCCCGTCCCAACAAGCTGATACGCACACGTCTGCATAAGCGAGATAACCGCCGCCTTACTAGCCGAGTAATCCGTGGGCCCAGCATTAGACCTCAACCCCGCCACACTAGCCGTCGCGATAATACTACCCTGGGGGAACTTTTTCTCAGGCCCCGTCTTCAGCATAGCGCGACTAGCGTGTTTGGCGGCCAGGAACACGCTTAGTGTGTTGACCTTGAGCAGGTTCATGAAGTCGGCGGCGTCGGTGTCCCAGAAGGGCGCGTAGCTGCTGATGCCGGCGTTGGCGAAGAAGACATCCAGTCGGTTGTAGGTGGAGAGGGCTTCGTTGATGACGGCTTGGACGGCGGGTTCGGAGGAGGCGTCGAAGGCGCGCGTGTGGATTGCGACGGTGGGGTAGAGCGTGGTGAGCTCGTGGGCGTGTGCGGAGAGGTTGGAGGAGTCGAAGTCGCAGAGGTAGATTGCGCGGGCGCCGTTGCGGGCGAATTGGTGGGCGGAGGCGCGGCCGATGCCTATTATCGAGTTTGCGCCTTGGGGGTCGTGTTAGGATGGGGAGGGCTGGAGAAAGGTAGGGAAGTGTACCGGTGACGATGATGACTTTGTCTTTTACGCGTCTGTGTGCAAATCAGTGAATTGTTCTCTTTTGTGCATACGTTCGAAGGCGTGTTTACTGGTCTCCTAGGTTTCCTGCGATTTCTCGGACGCGAGGCATGCCTTCGAACGTCCCCGGGTCTGGGAGAGGCTCTGAGAGCTCCTTGCTCTGACCCTGCTGTACTACTTTGACTGAAGGCATTGTTTATTCGGGTAGTCGCAATTCAAAGCTATTAGCAGTAGAATAGAGCTAGAAAGGTGGTAGAAGCGTGGAAGTGCAGTCGAGACGTAAGCTTGCGGAGTTGAGCCGGGGGTTACAAACTGTGGGGAAGATGCCGAGGCACGTCGATCCCTCACTAACCAACTCTTGTCGCGTCGAAAACGGTTCGCATGACAAGATAAAGAACTAATTGTGTGTTTCAGGTTGTTCTTATTTGTAGGTGATATTCGTACCTTCATAAGTAGGTTGGACTTGCTCGTGATCCGCCATCAGTCATGGCTGATGCCAATCGTGCCTGTAACGATGCATCAGTCCTACCAGCATGCAGCTCTCCTCAAGTCTCTTTCTCGACAATTCGGCGCAGCAAGGCCCTGCCACTTGCAACGAGACTGTCGTCCCCCTCCTGTGCAAGAACCCCAGAGATCCCATCCTCCCGCCAGCGCTCAGTCGAAGCCCTATCCCAACGCACCAGCATCGAATCGTCCGCCGACCGAAGCAGTTACTCACCCTACACATCCTCTCCTCACCGTCCCCTCCCCCTCCCTCGCCCTCTTCCACCTCCTCTCCCCCGTCCACCCTTCCCCCTCGGCCCCCTCCCCGTCCGCTCATAAAGCTTCACATCCGCAAACGGCGAATCCGCAACCCTAACATAACTCGGCACGCCATTATCCACAACAGCAAGCAGCACATTCCGATGCCCATGCTTGAGTTTCTGATACGGTTGATCCGTCGCCTTGGGTCTATCTTCGGGCACCTGTGCGAGCAGATCGTTCAGCTCAGCACCTGTAGGGATCGAAGCCTCGCGCGCGTTGATGACGCAGATGCGGAAATCAGGGGTCCCGGGGGCGCTCTTGCGGAACTTGGCGCTCGTGCGGTACAGGTTGAAGTGCACGCGGAAGGGGTTGTCGGACGAGGGCGGGAGGGTGAAGGACGGTGGTGCGGTGCGGTTGTGTGTGGGGATTATTTGGACGAGGCGGTAGATGTCGCTGTAGTTTCTGTAGAGGCCGGGTTTAACGAGGGGTCCGAAGGCGAGGTTGGCAGGTGCGAGTTCGTGAGTTGGTTGGCTGATTCGGCGCCAGATTTCGGAGAAGAAACGTGTGAATACCCCGTCTTTTGCGGTGCTTTGCGCTGGTGCGTTGTCGCTGGGAAGCAGCAGATCGCCTCGCTCGTCGTCCCAAGTTCCCGTCCGGAAGACGACATAGCCAGACCTTTTAAGCCCCGCGTATACGTTGTACATCTCCAGCGTCAGTTTCCCACCCACGCCATCCTCGCACCCAATGAACGCCGCATAAGCCGCCTGTAGACTCATCGGCACGCCATCCTCCATCTTATACTCCTCCTCATCCCCCTCCGTGCGCTTCACCGGCCACCGACAATCCAACGTGCCCCTCTCGATCAAGAAAAGCGCTTCCTCGGGCAGTAACCACTCTTTCCCGCCCATGGAGCGGCCAATAGTAAGGAACATCGGCCCCTTGACTTTATCCACAACCGCCATATTAGTCTCCGGATCATACCGGGCCAGCACATGGCTTTTCTGCGTGTGAATGCGCTGCCACGACAGCACGCCGTGCATAGCGCGGCGCGAGGCCTCGAGCGTTTCGAGCTGGAGATTCGTCGCATGGGATTCAAAGTCCTTCAGGCCGCGCTTGGGAAGGGTTGTTTGTTCTGTGTCTTGCCCTCTGTGGGAGGCATGTTAGTATTGCGGGCTTGAACGTAGGTTTCTTGTTGCGGAAAAGAGCGCACATTAGCTTGTCCAGGAAGCGAAAATCCTGCGTTTCTTCTGTGAGGTCGACGTCCCCGGCGTCTGGCGCGCGCATGTACGATGTGTCCTCGTCTTCGTCGGCCATGGTTGCTGTCGAGTTTTGTGTTGTGGTAAGCTTAGAGAAAGGTTCACGAAGTTGGAATTCAGAGTCGTGCACGAGTCATAGAGATCGTCGAGCTGTGGTCCATGACTCGAGCTCAGGTGAACCGCATCTTATCTTATCTATCAACTCTCTCATCAACACGACATGACGACGAAAAAGAGTGTATATTCCTAGTTAAGCTTTCCATTTATCCTTTCACACTTTCGATGGCTCCATACAGACAGAACATCACCACGCTCCCCACCCCCTATACCAAACCTCCTCCCACCGAACATCTCCACCATCCCTCTCCGTCCCCCTCTCTCACGCACTCCCAGCATCCAAACTATCAATCAACACCCACGCACTACTATCCCCCTGCAGCAGCCTCCACCCCGGCCGATCCGGCCTATCCATCCCCAACCACTCAAACGGCATCCAAAAGAAGCCGCCCTCACCCCACCCCTCCCCCCAACTATTCTGCACCCTAAAGCACCCCTCCTTCCCCATCCCATCATCCCACCCCACAGCAACAACCACATGTCCCGTATCATACGCATCGCCCGGCCCCGGCGTCGGCGCCACCCCCCTCGCATCCAAGTTGCCAAACCCGTAGAACAGCTCAAACGCAAACACCACGGGATACCCATTAGCGAGCAGTTTCTTCCAGCACATGACGTCGTCCCAGGGCTGGGGGTGTGCGTAGCGCAGCGTGCGGTGTTTGACCGCGTTGGCGAAGCACAGCGCGTCGGGAGCTTGACGGCATAGTGCGCCGGGGGGGAACTCGCCGTTCACTGCGCCTGCGCTGAGTGTGACTTGCCATGGCTCCTGGTTCGGCGAGTAGCTGACGTCGATGTAGGGCCACTGGCCGCTGGCGCCGTACTTGTTGGTCCACAGCGTTGGCGCTTCGTTGCAGGCGCCAAGTGCAGAAAGCGCGCGCAACACGTCGCGGTTGCGGCTGCCGCAGTCGGGGGGCATGTCCTGCGTGGGGGGCTGCGACGCCATGGATTCGAACCAGGTGCTGCGTTGGGTGGCGGGGGCTGATGGGTCTTGGGAGAGGCGGGCGAGGTAGTAGAGGAAGAGGCGCGAGGGGGTGAAGTAGGCGTGGGTGTTTTGGCGTTGGAGGGCGATTGAGTAGGCGGTAGCGAAGGCGTTGCATACGCAGGAGCCGACGTTGCCTTGGTCGTAGATGTGCGCCTTGAAGGACTTGTCGGTGTAGATGTTGAAAGCAGCGGGGGAGGGGCCGGTGTCGAGGTTGAGGTCTGAGATGGAGATTTGGTGGTCGCGGCTGTCGTCCACGTCGGGGATGTAGCCTGTGAAACCTACTGAGGTTGCCATTGCGAATGGTTTTGATGGTTGGTTGTTGGATGGTTACTCGAGGTTAGGACTTGGTTGGAGTTATGATTTTATGACCTAGATACCCCCTTCTTTTATACACAGCAATGATCACCCATGACCTCACTCTTTTCCAACTTTCATATCATTCAGCTGAGATGTAGTTACCTCCATGTAACATAACGAGGTATCAGTAGTATGCAGCTGATGTAGTTCAGCCCTAGAACATGCATGAGAGATGCAGTAGTTCGTTTAGCGAACCACACAATCAACGCGAAGACTACCCTCAGCTACGCCAGTTCCCATCAGCGAACTGCTCTTTACCGAGATGTAAGAAAATAGTTGTAACGTCGCGTATGATACAATGTGATTGGATTCAAGCCATGTCTGATGAACGGATCATACCTCGTTGAAGCTTGGTTTGCGATTACAATGGCATGATCAGTTTCCGTGGATTGCGTGTTGGAGTATTGAGGTTGTAGTGGCTGATGAATGAATGGAGGCTGGCTAAATTTAGAAGTCAGTTTTCATGCTTGTCTGTGATAATGCTATTGGGGCGGTACATACCTCATTGGTCATGGACATAGGCTCTCAATAAACATAGTAGTTACTGCAGCTTTCTCATCTAGAAGTAAGACGGAGACAGCACATACCTGATGCGTGGATTCAATTCTGTCCACTCGTGCCCATGACGTCTCCCATGACTAGTATCGCGAGTGATTCGGGATCCAAGTATTCCCCGTATTAGAGCTGTCGATTAAATTGCTTCCCAACAACGAACTCCACACTTTCAAAGCTTCTCCCAAGATCTTATAGCAAATCCTTCTCATCCACATGCTCCCCCCTCCTCGCAGCCAAATACACCCTCCCACTCTCATACGCCCCAAGATACAGTCCACTCCCAACGAACGTCCAGACCGCCCTCAGCGCCCCACCCCTCCACAGCCCCTTAACCCCCTGCTCCTTCAGAATCTCCCTCCCAACCATCCACCCACTCTTCCTACTCTGCCTCTCCGCCCTGACCGAATTCCCCAACGCATCCACCACGCCCCCACTCTTCTGCGCGGGTTTCCGCGCCGGCGCCTCATCCCCCGCAGAAAGCATAACCCGCGTCTTAACCACATCCACCGGCGTCGTAATCACCGCGGCCACGGCCCCCGCAGACCCTGCGCTAACGGCCGTAATACACGCGCTCTCCCAAATCGTGCCCGTCGTCTTGCCCCGCGCGTCCCTCCACTCCCTGATCCCCACCTTCAGGCGCTCGAACATGGGGAACTGCATAGCCGTGAACGGCAGATTGCGGCCCGCAAGCGCAGTGTACCCGCGCCACAGCGCGAGCGGATTAGATTGGAATTTGCGCAGCGTGTGCATTGTTGCGTTTTGTGCTTCGCCCGCGGAGACCATTTGGGCGTTTTGCTTGATGACTTCTGCGGGCGTGAGGATGGCGCAGGATACGAGTTCCGCGAGCGAGGACGCGGCGGCGTGGATGACGGGGGTGGGGAGCAGGCCGTGCGGGTGCGTGGATGTGGTGTTAAGGCGCGTGAAGAGGGATTTTGTGCGCTCGTATGTCGTGAAGAAAGCTCCTGCTGAGGGCTTGTCAGCCCTGGTATGTCATATATCTGGGAGGGTGGGTGGTGTTACATGATGGCAGTGTTGCGATGATTACGCTCCCGAGTCCCTGGTACAAACCACGGAATAATCGAGCGTCTGGCTTCCCTGTCGTCGCGTGGGTGTAAAGTTTTGCATATTCCGGGCTTTGGAATCGCGTCTTGAGTGTGTCGAGAGGATAGACTGCTAGGTCGACTGTGAATGCAGCGATTGCGCCCGCCTGTATGAACGTTAGTCAAAGTTTTTGTTTTCTTTTTTGAATTTCGACTTTGCAAAGGCAATCCGGCGACTCACAATGAGGATATCGGAATTCGTGTTACCCGACATCTAGAACTGTCGTGTGTGGGATACATATTGAGTTGTTCTAGATAATGTTTTTGGAGCTGTAAATGTGGAGCCGAATGAACGACGTCACTACCGATTAGATGCCGACAGCCTAGCATGGATGCACATATTCACAGCGAGATCGGGGCTTCATCAGTGGTGTTTGCCATATTACCTGATATCGATGAAGGAATCGTGCAATCACAACTGTTGTTCGAATTTTTAAAATACTGGGAGTGGAAGCTCCAGTAAAGCAAACTCTAGTCAAGTAATCTGACGTAGATCCTCGAGATTTGAACCACTAGTGACAACAAGCAAAGGTTTAATGATGCTTTGATAAGAGTAGAACTACATCATCCCACCCTACCACCCCACTCAACCCCTCCTATCTAAACAAAGCTCTCCCTCCAGACCATGCCATGATAACGTGAAAAGGGTATATCTCCACCAAACCATCTGTAAAACGCCTTTGAACTTCACTTTTCATAACTCATATATCGTCGATCATGCCGAGTGCAACGCTACAACTTGGTGTCCTGTCTATTCAAGTCACTCAGCCTTCGGAACGGGCCTTGCAACGTTCCACTGGGGCCGGGTCGTGCGCTAGTTCCTTGCGGCGCGCTGCTGCTGCCCACACTGGCCGTCGTACTACCAGAGGTTCTGGCCGTCGTACTGGTGGCGGAATTGGAGCGCTGGTGCAAATGCGCACTCATCAGCCAGTGTACCTGCATGCGCATGCTGTTGATGGCGGCGTTGGCGTGCAGCAACTCGTCTTTGCTGCGTTGGCTCTCGTTGTAGACCATCATGCTAGTGCGGCCCTCGACCTCGGTAAGTGTGTTGGCGATGCGAGTCACTTCCTCACGCAGAGAGTCGTGCAGCGTGAGGAGATGGTGAACCTGTGAGTCGAAAGGAGGCTGAGCGGGTGTACTATCGCTGCTTTGGGCAGCGGGTGGGAACGAAGCTGGCGGCAAACGGAAGTCTGGCGTTGATACGGAAAAGGTATTGTCGGTGTCATTGGGGTCCAGAGGGTCGGTTACAGGAAATGAGGAGTCGTTGCCATTGGCCGGATACAGCATGTTGGTAATGCTGGAGAGACCATCCTCGAGGATGCCCACCTTTCTGGCCAGCGGCTCCATGCGCGCTTCGTTCCTCTCGATGCGGGCTTGCTGTTCTCGGAAGTGTGGTGCCATGGTCGCCATAGTGCAGTTCACTTCGTGGAGTACCACCTCAGCCCGCTCTGCCCTAACTTTGCAACCGACGATTGATCCCTGACACGAGACAATGTGTTTAGGGCAGTCAGTGTTGATGTGAGTCTTGAGGTCAAGTCGAAGAACACTGGCCGAGCACTGAGAACAGGAGATCACACGATGAGCACAGATTTCTCGCTGATGCTCCTGCAAAACAACGTGTTTAGTCAACGCTATACAATCATACACATATCAAGCTTACCTCGAGATCACGCTTCATCAGCGAAGTATGACAGTCCTCGCAACTCAGCGTGTAGTGCTGGCAGGCCTTGTTGATGTGCTTTTGCGAGATCGGAAGGCGGCAGTTGGGCGCTGGACACTCGATGGGCGTGTGCTCACAATACAGCATGACGTGGTCGTGCACGTTGACGCGTTGAGCAGCCCACTTGCAGCCCGCCCTGCTGTTCGGGCACTTGACCTCGAGCTCATCCAGCATGTTCTTGATGGATATGGGCACAGACCCGATATCAGCCTCGGTCTCGACCAGGCGTCGACACGTCGGACACGTCCTACGGATGGCAGGCGGTGCCCATGCGTGGTCGAGACACTCGCGACAGAAGGTGTGCTGGCAGGACAGCTGGGCGGGCCTGTCGTAGGGCGTGTGGCAGATGAGGCAGACGAGATTGCTGTTGGGCTCGCTCACGTACTCGAGGGCCTGGAACTCGGGGGGGATCTTGACGATTTGGCTCTTTCGACGCTGTGAGTTGGATGCGCGTAGCGCCAAAGGCGAGGGACTATCAGGAGGACCACCGACTTCAAACGACGCAGACGGCGATGACACCATGCCCGCGTTGTTGGGCAGGCCGCCGTTGCTGGAGGCTCGCGAGTTGCGCCGGTCGTTGGGCGGCGGGATGGGCGATGGCAACGACATGTTTACTGCTGTGCTGTGTTGTCTCTGAGCGACGCAGGGCAGGATTATATAGCAGCAGAAGCAAGCAAGAAGAAGCGACACATAGCTTCCCAAGACAACGGGAGCGTGAGCATGGGCGTCTGTGTTGTCGGGCGAGGGAGCAACACCGCCCGCCCTGCAGTTGCCCTGCTGCACCTCCGCATACGCCGGCCCAGCTTCCGAGCCAAAGACCGCCCGATCGTCGCTGGGCCCACCCAACGCCAGCGGTCCGCGCTTCGAGCCCTCTGTACCCACTTGCTACGTCTGTACCTGTACGTCTGTCTGCTGTTGTATCGTTGTGTTTGGCTTTGTGTCTCTGTTGCTACTCTGCATCGCTCCTTGCTGCTGCTGCTACTGCTCCTCCGCGCCTTCCGATTCGAGCGTCTGCGTGGACACATCCATCCCATCGCTCGCTGCAGCCTTCTGCGCCTGCTCTCCCGCGTCACCACCCACCATGTCGACCAACCCACCGCAGCTGTTTCTGCTCGCCGACCACATCAAGCTCTCGCTGCTCGAGCGCCAACGCGCCATCTCCCTCAATCTCTCGCCCAACAGCCAGAATGGCCAGATATCGCGGTCGCTGGAGCAGTTGCGCTCAGGCATCGAGTCGCTCGAGTCGCAAGTCGCAGACACACCCGACGAGTACGCTGACCCCACGTCACCATCAACCCTCAATGCTCTCATTGCTGACCGCCCAACCCTCCAGATCCATAACCTCGCAGCTCCCGCGCCTTCACGCCCAGCTCACAGACCTAACCTCGCAATTCACCCTCGCCTCCCCCCCAGCCAGCACCTCATCGACGCTCAAAACGCCCAACAACCCCTCCCTGCGCTCCGACTTCACCGCCGCGCAAACCCTGCCCCGCCACGCCTCGAAATCCGTCCGCTTCACAGACAACCCCTCCGCTTCCGACGCCGCCTTCGACGCCAACGACGACGAGAACCGCACAGCCCTCTTCCCCTACCGCGACGACCCCGAACCGCCCTCCCAGCACGACCTGTCAAACCAGCAGATCCACGCCCACCACAGCGACGTCCTGCGCGACCAGGACACGCAGCTCGACGCGCTGAGTCTGAGTATCGGGCGCCAGCGCGAACTGAGTCTGCAGATTGGGGACGAGCTGGATGGGCAGGTGCTGTTGCTGGACGAGGTCGAGGAGGGCGTTGATCGGCACTCGGCGCAGTTTCGACGTGCGAGAGGCCGTCTGGATCGGTTTAGCAGGAAGGCGCGGGAGAATTGGAGTTTGACTGTTATTGTCGTGTTGATCATCATCTTGGTTTTGGCTATTGTTATTACAAAGTGACAGGGCGCGCATGGATGGAGCTTTGTTGTTCTTGTTGCATAGATGGCGTTTGGTAGGTGCATACACAGGCGCTGTACATGGCACTTTTGCTTCTTTCTTCCAGCCTTTAACAATTTCCTCGTAGCGTTGTCATATATTCAATTTCATCTCATGTCACAACAACACAACTCCCACATGTCAATCAGTCGATTCATCTCATTACCCGCCCTGCAAACTACACATATACTACCAACACCGTACTCAAGACACGACCCAACCCTCACGGCCTATCAGCTCCCTGACACCCATGGTGTGAAAAGAAAGTGCTCCTAAACGCCGCAACCAGTGCAAAAGTCTTCAAACGAGGCCCCAAGCCATTGCATAAACAAACGTCATCGTGGGCCGGAATGGGTATCTCTCTAGCATGTGTAAACGAAAACGCTTCCAGAAGTCGAGTCGGGTTGGGTTGGGACGGGTCGTCAGCGAGCGACCCTTAGGTTGGTGTACTCTTCAGAGTGAGCCTAGTCGGTGTTGATTAAAGCTGAGGCGGACCCACGGTGTCGAGGGCGTGCGATGACGTCATTGCCAGCGGCTATGTGTGGTGCGCTGGGTCAAGATGGGCCAGACGGCGCGGCGGAACGCTGGCAACGACGACCAGAAACTATCGCAAAGGTATTTAGACCATGCTTATTGAAACCGATAAGAGGAATCCAGCATACACGAAACCTCACTGAAGGTCGAGGAGTTTCTTCGACTTATCGTATACGACGTAGGTGATCGATACCGAGGGAACAACCTTTAGTAGGTTCGGAGTCAGACCCTTGAACAGGCCTCTCACTCCTTCGCCCTTGATCGTCTGTCTGGTGACATCCATAATGCCGGTATACGTTCTCGGATGCAGGACCGTGCCCTGACTTTGGAGTCGTGTTCGAAGGAGGTTCAACGGATACACAGCGCTTGCTCCGAAAGCGCCTGAGAAGCCACCGATGGCTGCAGTCATGAAACCGCCTGGTTCGGCGTCTTGCTCGTGGCATCCAAGTCTCTTTGCATTGCGCACTGCCACAGCGTGCTTGAGATACTCGAAGGTGCCGAGGTCGAGTGCTGCGTATGGGAATATGCCGAAAAGACCCATGGGTAGTCCACGGTAGTATGCACCGAACCCACCACTCTGCCACATCTTTTTCGCCGTCGCTGAGATGAGCTTGGTGCCATGTAAACCGCCAGATACGGTTTCGCATTGCATGCGACTGGGTATGTTAGCCTCGACATGGCGCCACTCCAAGTGCAAGTGTACTCACAATTTGAGGGTATCGACCGGATAGACAGCAAATTGAGAAACCATTCCTGAGATAGTTAGCAAAGTCTTCCTTCAATCACAAAGATCAATTGACTGACCAGCAAGACCACCAGATACAAACTTGGACCAAGAATGTATTGCACTGGGATCATTGTGGCCTTCAAGTTTAGCAAAAGCGCGTTTCGCAGCCTAGGCTGGTTAGCCAGCGTGATTTTCAGATCGTCGTCGTGCTTGCCTCGTAGGAACCGAATTTGATAGCCGACTCAGGCATAACTTTAACTACGTTTAGACCGTTTCCTGATCATATTAGCAAGAGACGTTTGTCAAGAAATCCCAGCATCACTCACCAGCGTATAGACTTTGCAAGCCACCAGCTTGCCATAGCTCTTTTGTGGCAGTTGCAAGCGGTCTCCAAGCGTTCAGTGCAGCTCTAACAATATTGCCGTGTTTGACAGCGGCGACAGCCTCTTTGGTAACGTCGGTCTGGGCGATAAGATAAACCTTCAAACGGTCGAGGGGCGCAGTCGAGGTGCGAGAAACAATTCCTGCAAGACCTCCCGCCACGAAATAGCCTGGATTGGGAACACAAGCAATCAGCATGGTTCCGAAGCTTTCTACGATCTCCATTTGTGTCTTTTCGAGGGGAGAATCAAACTCTCCGTCGTCGTCGAGACGTGGCGGGAAGGTTTGCGAAATTGTAGTTTGCGGCGTAGAACGCGCTGCCATTTCTGGAAGTGTAATGTAGTCTGAAGCATATGGCGCCGACTTGGCTACAAGGAAGAGGGAACCGAAGAAGAAGTGAAGAAAACGTTGAGCAGTACCTAAGCCTTGGACGGTATCGTCGCTTATGAGGACGTCCCCTTCAGGGTTTACTTTCATCGTTGCTGAAAAGTACGACATAACCGCATGAAGATTTGGCGCGCTGGCCGGAATAAATAGAAGAAAGTCCCTTTCATCAGTCAGCATTTCCATGATTTCCCTCTGCTTAACAGTATCTGGCAGAGTGCTGATAACTCGATGTCATATCGCATGCTACCAGCTCTAGGGAGTCTTGACTTTGCGAGACCAAACAATGGTTTCTCCTCGATTGCTTCCACATGTGATCGCACATCGTCAAGCCTCCTGAAGCAGCAACGCACGGTGTTGTCTAGGCCAAGTATGGTATCGAATGGAGACATACCGCCATTCTTCGAAACTGATAGTACCATCTCTATTGGTATCCACTTCTGAGAAAAAGTTGTCGAGGCTAGCATTGGGAACGGAGAGCCCAGCACCCCTCAGCGCAGTGCGCAGTTCGTCTCTCGAAATTTTGCCGTCGCGATTGTGGTCGATGCTTGCGAAGAGCGCATGGAGCTCTTTTTCGGTTTCATGGACGAAGGTACGAAATTCTAAGCAGATTTGTCTTAGTACACTATACATTCGTGACGCGCAACACTTGTGTGAGGCCCACCATTGTATGTTATATGCCCGTTCCCGTCTGTATCGACAGCCTTCATCACCTCGTCCAGGAGCTGAGTCGCGTTTTTCAGAGCTACATTCTCCCCTTAGCAAGCGACATGTGCAAGTGCGTGTCCAAGCGTACGGTGGTCGAGCTTCTTGAGCCCCTTCTTCAGGGCTGGCAGATCCAGCTGGCCCTGTTTGTGCATGTCGAGCGTCTCCCATAGCTGGTTCACCCTGGCGTCCGCGACGCTGGCGCTCTGTGTGTCCATGGTCGTCCTGCTATCTTCGGTCTACCATGACTGGCGGTCGCGGCGCGTAAGAAAAAGCGGCTCTCGATACCCGACGGGGTGAGAGACTCAAGGAATGGCAGTCGATGCGACGACGGGTTCATGGGATTCGTCGTGGGGTATGAGGTCAGTCGAAGGACGAAGGCCCTGAAAAAGGCTAGTTCACCGATGGCAGGAGCGCCCAACATTCGGCGCCTCCTGATTGGCCCACTTCAGCTCTCTCTACACCTCCTCCTGTACTACCACATCCTTTGCTCATCTCAAGAAGCGTTGGCCTATTGGTGACAGGATATAGACATCTGCAGAGTGTGGGGTTTTACCGTTGTTGGCAAACGCTCTGACGCCCTTTCGCCTCCAGTCTAGCCTCATTGCAGCAACAGTAACCACTCGTCAGCATGTGTTGACAACAACCATTCCATGATACTCTACCCGCATACCAATGTAGACTTGCAGACCTTTTATTTACATCCCCAAACTCTCGCCTTCATTTGATTGAAGTTGTTTTCCCGAAAAGTTCACCGCCTAAAAGTTGGCATCCTACAACTGTCAAGAGTTATTAGTACTGTAAGAGGAAGAAGACATATCAGCGGCCTGTCAATACATTCCGTTGTCTACGACAGCCTATACATAGTCTTGTACTTGGTCAGAAGATCGATCCATCTGCCCATCATGACTTCCAGCTACTGGGAGTCGACTCAACGAAAGTTCTGGACATTCACAAAGCAACAACTGGCCCTGGAGCGCCAGAAAATGGAGGAATCAGAGCGGAACCTGGTCAACATCTATCCTTTACCGGACCGACGACATCTGAGCATATATTTTTACCACCGTAACGTCATTCCAATCACCGCTTCATTTCCATGTTGACCCATCCAGAACTTTCCAAAATGGCGAGACCTCTAGGCATCCGACAACAAGCTCTGGCAACAGCCCAGGTATACGTGCGACGATTCTATACAAAAGTCGAGATTCGACGTACAAACCCAGCTCTCGTCCTAGCAACCGCCCTCTACCTTGCCTGTAAAATGGAAGAATGTCCTCAGCACATTAGAATGGTTCTGGCAGAAGCGCGACATTGTTGGGGTAGGATATGCAACGATCAACCATTTCAATCAACAAAACATTAACAAACAATCCAGATACGTCCTTCAATGACATCTCCAAAATCGGCGAATGCGAATTCACGCTCATCTCAGAAATGAATTCCCAACTGATAATCCACCATCCCTACCGCTCCCTCGCAGACCTCCAAACCACTTTCCAGCTCACGCAGGAAGAAAACGCCCTCGCGTGGTCCATCATAAACGACCACTACCTAACCGATTTGCCTCTCCTGCACGCTCCACACGTAATCGCCACCACAGCCTTGTTCCTTGCTGTGGTCCTCAAACCAACACAAGGCGGTATTCAGGCAAACGCAGCAGGCATGACCGCCGCATTACAAACATTGGGCAACGCGCGGAATGCTGGGGGTTCACAGAATCGGGTGCAAAAGTTAGTGGATTGGCTGGCAGAAAGTAGTGTGGATGTTGAGGCTTTAGTGGAGTGTACGCAGGAGCTTATCAGTTTGTACGAAGTATGGGAGAATTACACGGACAAGACTTGTAAGGAGCAGATTGCGAAATTTGTGAAAACGAGGGGGCTGGAGAAATGAGATAGGAGGGGTGTGAAATCGGTGTTGGTGGTGTGAGAATTTGTTGTTTGTACAAGTACTCATGCTGGATGTTCTCAAGGGAGGAGGTTAGAGACTGGGTGTATGCAATTACTTTTCTCGACCCGCCCCCCAGTCACAGAGCCAACCCCAGATCGACCATGCATGAGTGCTTATGTTGGTGGTCAGAACTCAAAGCAGTCAGCAGCCTCATCGTGCTGTCTATGGGTGCAAGCGATCTCCTTCGTACCTGCACCTCCTTGATTGTATCTAGGCATAATAAATCTCTTTAGATAAAACGCTGTCCACGAATCCCGTTGTGAACGGACAAAGGCCAAGATATGAGGCTTTCAAATGTCATAGTGTCACGACGTTTCGAATCTACTCGCGGCATGGAGTGGGGGATGACAGGACGAGGCTGTTTCGAATGTAGATGGCAAGTCATGCGTGCTAACATTGGCGTCCCAGAGCGGTTTCCGATGGTCGGTTAAGGCACAGACGGCGACGTGGTCGAGGCACAGTGAACTGTTCGACTCGCAACTGCACTGCACCCTTTTCGACAAAAGACGTTGGCTGATAAGATAGGTACCTACGTGGAGTGGTAGGACGAGCAGGGGGCGTCTCGAGGCTGCTAATTATGGCTTCCTGCAGACGCTGCGAGACGCCATTGGCTGGCCTGTCTCCCAGCATTCCCCACGACCGGGAAGGTTCAGGGCGTCACACGAAAAAGGGCCCGGACGACAACCATGGGACGCTCGACGATAGCGCCAAGGTGTCAGGCATTACCAGCGTCTGGATGAGGGGTGCGGTATTAAGGTTCCTGCCTCGAAACGTGACCTCAGAACCATGGTCGAAGGGGCAATGCTCAGCCTTCCAGAACGCTACTCGGTGGTGGTGGCTGCAAAAAGCAATGATGTGCACCCACCACCAGCGAATCCCAGGAGGCGCTCACGCAGGATGCGGATGTTGAGCTCGCTGCGACAGGCACTGCCGCCATTAGCGTTCCCCAGAGCGACGTTGAGAATGAATCTCGACACCGATGAGGGCTGCGGGACTCGATTTTGCAATGCGGCCGCTCTTGCCGACAGCACATCATTCTGGTCAGTGTGGTGATGCTAACTGCTCTCGTGCAGCGGGGAGTTGTTCAGCATGCATTCCCCTGGCTACGGGATGAGACCTGCAGAAGAAGCGGTCAAGGCGACGCTTGGTGACTTGGTAGGTCACTTGCCAGCGCTCCCCGAGACTGTGAGCTGGCGGACAAGTTGGTAGCGCACTCAGGCGCATAAGCGCTGTTTTGAAATGCGCTTCCGTCCACGGCGCCTTTTGTTCCCTGGCGCTGCTCGACGGCGAGGACAGTCGCCCTGGCCGGGCTGGGGCGGCTGTTTGATGCTCGCACAGAACGATCTACGGTTGCAGCGCACACAGACAGCGCTCGACAGGCGACTTGGCGCTCGATCTCGAACCCTCGCACCGACACGCTGGCTGGCACCTGAGTGGATGCCCTCGCGTGGTGGCGAAGTATCGGCCCAATGAAACACGAGACGGCCCACTCGCACCACGCACGGGCCCCACACGGCTGACTTGCGCCTTCCTTTTCATCCCCCAGCCCTCTCCCTCCTGTTCCTCGCTTTCCCGCACCACCTCTCCAAGACATCTACTCAGCCTCGCATCGCACGACCATCAGTTAATAATCCCGCCTTTCCGCCTCTCGCCCGCTGTACCTGTTGCTCTCCCGCGACCTCTGACATTGCATCCGCCAGCCTCGACCCCTTTGTTTCGGCTTTGTTGTTGTTGCACCACCCAATCACCCGATAACACCCCTCTTCCACGGACTTCCATCCGAACTTCCATCAGTACAGTCCGTAAGCATGTCGCAATTCTTCAACTACGGTGCGCAACACCACCCGCAGCACCTCAACGCACACACGCACAACAACCACCACGGCCGATCGCGGAGGGCGCCCCGTATCTCGGCCCAGCAGACGCAGAAGCAATTCCGCCAAGTCCGCACCCCCAAGGAGTTCAACGTCGAGCCACCCACCATGCTCGCCTTCAAGCGCGACTTCGAGGCCGCCAGGTCGTTTGATCTCGAGGATGACGAGCTATTCTGCCCATTTCACCTTCTCACCGAGGATGATGTAAGTGCAGCGGTGCGCGATAGTCGCCACCCAATGTCATCCATGTCGCCATTACAGGCGCTGACGTTTGATGCACAGCTCCAGTCCATCCACTCGTCTGGCTCCGACCGCTCGTCGCTATCAAGCGGCTCTCCTGACCAGTCGCCTCTCCAGCACCAATTGCAACCAACGCCGTCCTTTGTCCTCTCGTCTGCCCCAAATCCATACACACCCGCTGCCTTCCAGCACAACAACTCCTCGCAGACTAAACTCCACCAGCCACTAGCCCAGCGAACCCGCAATGCCATCCCAATCGTTGACCCGTCGACACGAGCTGTTGCCAGCCCACCACCCTCTGTCTCGCCTAACCGACAGATGCAGCAACAGTTCATGTCGCGACGCTGGTAGGCCTCGCAGGCTCGAGGCCATGCGTTTTGTTCGGTTGGTATTGCGGCGTCTCCTGTTGCACGGCTAGTGGCTACCTGGATCTAATACTCCTCTTCTCGATATCCTCCGGAGGATCATGCGTCTATACTATTGACTCTCCTTGTACAAATCTACGATATCCCTTTGGACATGTTGGGTATACCACTTGGTCCGGCGACGGCGTTGCACTATAGCGAAAACATTATATCCGGACGGAGCGCTTGGTCTCTTGTCTTTGAGCGCGTGCGCATTCTCGGCGATTTGCACATACGGTGTTTTGGGTCGCATTCTGAAAATGCTTGGTTACAGAAATCGGTGTTCTGTAGCGTCTGCTGTCTTACATTATTGTCACCCGGCTGTCCCTTTCATGGAGCCATTACAATGGGTAGATTTCTTTTGTGCGGTCGGTTCTCGGTTTCAGCGGTCGGATCTATACCATTGGGCGTGCTCTTCGAAGCGGCGGTGTACAGCGTGTGGGTCGGGTTTTGGGAGCTGGTTGCATATTGTCTGGTTGTTCGTCTCTCTCTTTCGACTTTGTACGACGCTGGGATGATTCTACGCAGTCACATCTGGCGCTGGTGTTTCCGTCTTTTCTTTTCTTTTTTCTTTGTAAGAGGATTTATACGACCCTGGGTTGGGGGGGGCACAGTTTCGCGGATTTCTCATCGATTTGGCTTGGGTCCTTGGTGTCCTTCGGGATACTGGCTGTTTTTCCTCATACATGACACGCCTCTTTGGAGGGCAGTGATTATCCTAGGATATTGAATCGCAACTTATCACTTCAACATAATGTGTGCAATTGTCTTGTTGTGATTCATTGACCTTGATGCGGGGTAACAACAAACCACACCCTTGAGTCAAAACAAATGCAATGTCTTAATGTCCTTTATGTCTATTCTTACGTCACGCAAATCCTCCCGTGCCGCAATCGTTCTACAGATTTGATATCTTAAAACCCCATACTGCTTATATCGCTCTGTTACGCTATGTAGTTATTCTAAGAACTTTTCCTTATAGGATGACGGCTTGCGGCAGAAATTTACATGCTGTTGAGCATCGTATTCAACGTAGGACATATCAGCACCCCGCAGTGCTCACATCGCGGCCCCTTCAGGTTGCGACCTCACAGGATTGCTCACCAAATCTCTTGATTCTCATCTACTCAAATCCACTCAAACCAATATGTGCGAGATTCAGGTTAAAACGTATGCCCATTGTCGCCACAACCCTCATCACCAAGTAAGAGGTGACTGTCTGTGGTGTGGATTAGCGCTAGCACGCCCAAGCCAACAACTCTGTGTACCTGCAAGTGGACAGCAACGGGACTTGCCTTTGTCCCTTGATGTTCAAGATACGAACGTAGCTGGAAAGTGTCCTATTTGCAATGCATGGACAATTCCTCAGATTGAAGACCGGTTGGTGCCCCATTTGATCCGAAGTAACTTGCAACTCTCGCGAGCATATTCGCATGCAGCAGCGTCCAGTCTTTCAAATTTACTAATTCATTACTCAGCTCGAACTTCTGCGAGGGATGGGGACATACAAATTGCCGTTCTTTCTTACTTTGAAGACTTCGTATGCTATCATGCTATTATCGATTGCCGGATGTGAGTTACAGTGTATATCTAGAACGATATGCATCTTGGGAGATTCGTTGGGGGCCATTAAGTGAGAAAAGAAATCTTTATTTAGAGGTTCAGGGCCGTGCAGTGCAAAGAAGTGTCCAATTATAGCCGCTTCCTCACGCTCGTATTGAACGCTAAAACGAAGAACAATTCGCTTCGGCTTATTGATGGATACCATCTTGACGGTGTGGTTCTAAGGTTGTGTAGTGTTGCCAACTCCAACACGAGATTTGCAGATGTCTAGGCGTAGTGTATACCTGGTAGCGCGCTGTGCAAAGGATGGTGATATGTTCGACGACGGTGTGGAAGGCGTTCGAGGTTGACTGATTGTTGGAGACGGTCTACATTGACGGCGGCGGCCTGCGTTGGAGTGCTGTAGGCTGATAGCTAGAAAGAGTGAGTGACTGCAAGAGGTAAACAATATTTCACCTCGCAAAAGTAACTTACCTCGTTGCTGGATGAGACTGCCCGATGTTAGCTGTAGAATAGGTCCTTATGGTGATGTTCTACGTCCTTCGATGTATAGATTTGTAGCGATCACCGTCGCACTGTTGGGCGAGATAATGCGTGTTGAAAGTGGTTCGTTAGAAAGGTTTATGAAGTCGCGGCGCGTAGCACGGCGTCGAGCTTGAACTGGGCATACTGGGATGATGGACGCGTCTGAAGAACCAATGTCTACACGCGACTGTGCCAACAATGACATAAGCCAACCTCTGCAACTGGGTCACATAAAACAGCATATAACACTAATTTACATAGCCCTCTTCCTATATACCCAAACCGTGCAAATCAACGTAAGATTTATAGCAACTCTGTAACACCGTCTTAATACATTTTTGCTACTGTCGCCCTACATAACTTTATTACAACGTAGCAAATATCAACGCGTGCGTCGAACTATACACCATCAAGGTTGAAATGCCCCTCAGAATTTGCGTGACCCAGGGATGGACGTTGGGTGCAGTATCTTACACGTATTAACACTTCGCATGTCTTCTGACATGATGTCTGAGTGTTCCCACGCGGGGGCTTCGAGGACTTCAATGCAGGTACGCTGTCGCCCCAGCTAGCCTCGTGCCAGGTAGCCTGTGGGGGACGACGTTGGAGGCCGTGCAAAAGCAACACGTACTCCACAGCACGAGAGCCTCATCGTGCTGTATCAACAGGGCCATGCATGCTGAGAAATCAAAGCTCCGCAACTGGGCGTCTCTGCCCCTCGGTCAGTCAGTGGGTTTCGTAATGGCGATCAATGGGGTTGGCGTTGACGTCATGCCAACGAATGTTTCCTCGGTAGGACGTAGGAGCTGGGGGTTAGCTTTGTCCGGCTATTGTTTGCACCACATCGTCCACAGGCGTCAAACTTCTTTTCTCCTTTGCTTTTTCTAACACCGCTCAATTGATCGTTTACCTATCCACATACACCGCTGTACCCACACCCTCTGCTTTCGCACACTCACGACCAACACTCACACCACACACACATAATCATGTCTGCTATCCGTTCCCTTGCGACTCGTCGCGCGCCCTTTGTCTCGTACGGCATTGCGCAGCGCGCGGCGTTCCATCAGTCGACAACTCGCTCTGCGGGCAAGGAGTCGACTCTGCGTACGTCCATCCGTCTCACAGCACGAGCGAGTGCAGCATGCCATTTTCCCGCGGAGGTTAACATGTTCCACAGACAGCGAGGGCCGCTCCGATGAGGTCCATGAGCTCAAGCAGGACCAGTTGAAGAAGCAGAAGGATGGCAAGGGACACTGGGAGGAGGGTCTCGCGAGTGACAGCGAGAGCATTGTAAGTTTCTTGTACCTGGACCCGAAATCAGGAGGAGGGGGCGGGGTGAAGACAGCACGAACGGTATGCTAATAATTGAGCAGGTCAAGGCCGATCGAAACGATACCAACATGTCGTCTGATCAGCACATCAAGAAACTGCAGGAGGAGACTGCGAAGGTCGCTAGCAAGAAATAGAGGGCCGGGCACGCTGCGTATTCTATCTGGCGCCACAAAACAATGAATCGGGGAGGATTAGGGCATATGACAGTTATCCGGGCCTCTTCATGGCATGGCTTGGCATGAGAATGTGAAGGCTCACGTCAGATCTCGAGAAGGAATGATGAACTCAAACGAACATACACAACCATGATATCGATTTCGTTTTTTACATTGAATCACATGTCAATTGTCCCAAACTACTACTGACACCTAGTCACTGATGTTAATTGTTCGTCAGGACCCCGCAGATAACCAACATGTAGGTCACACCACTATACAAAGAAGTCATGGCTTCTGTGTCTCGACATCACAGAGAGGCTGGTCGTGAGGGAAATAAATTGTGCCTCAATCTTCACATTAGACTGCAACTCGAGTTTTGGTGGTAGCACGCTAAAGGCAAACAATCCTAACGATGCAGACAATTTAAAGAGGACTTGACAGATAATTCATGATATCCTCTACTCGTCTTAGTATGTGTGGACACGATGTCAGGAAAGTCAGGAAAGTCACGATATATCAGTGTTTCTCCAAGATCAAGGGGCTGAGATAGTCGTGACATGTAGAGCTTTTCTCATCGGGTGAACAGTCGTACAGATAGGCTTTGTAATACACGTTGTTTAACGTGCAAACATAAGCGGTTGAAGCATCGAAGCTAAGTGAAGCACAACCAAGTAGTTGTTAAGTAGCCGCTCTAGAGATCATCAAGTGGTTGATGAATAAGTGGCGATTAGAGGCTACCAGAGCAAGAGTTTAAACGCATGGATCGAGGATCAATTATCAGACGATGAAGTGCATAAATTGTAGAACAAACTAATCCAACTCCGAAAAATGCTACCAGACACAACTCATCAAGGCTCATGACCGTGTCCTAGATTCAAGGATTCCTACTTGATCTTACCCCCAAACGCCGTGCTATGCAAGTGAGAAAATGTCCATGTCGTGAAGCGCCTTCATAGCTTGACTTTCTTAACGGGCTTCTGCTCCAGGGTGTCATCCTTCTTCCGCTTGAAGATGCTCTGGCTCTTCATCTGGCCTAGACCGGCCTTGTTTGGCGGAGCACTCTTTGCTTTCATGCCGAAACTCAGCTTGACGGGCGCTGCGTCTGGCTTTGGCTCGTCGCTATCCTTCTTTTCCTCCTCGACTGGCGAATCGACCTTCTTTTCGTCTGTCGATGTGGCTGTCTCGGCTGGTGGGGTTGTATTATCCTTCTGCTGCATCGCGACCGCTGCCGCTGCCCTCTTTGCCTCGATCGCCTTCTTGGCCTCAGCTTCCTCCTGTGCTCGTTTTGCCATCTTTTTCAACATCTTGTCCTCGCCAGCTCCGCTCCTTGCTTCCGCAGCCTCCTGCTCGGCGATCTCTTCCTTCCGTTTCACAGCTGCCACGCTAGTATCTCGCCAAGCGATCATAAGACCGTCCTTCTCGTCTTCTTTGACATGGCAAATTCCTTCCCTTCCAAGATGTTTCGTGAATTCAGTCAAGCTTGCCCAGCGCGTTGCGTTTAAATGGACGTGTTCTTTCTCGAATATATAAAGCTGATAGTACCTGTTGACGCTGACCCATTTCTCGCCGTGCGTGGTGCGAAGTAGTGAAATGAAGTCTCGTTGGAAATCGTTGCTGAAGTTGTTGATGTATTTACGCGGGTCCTCGCCAACCACCTGCATTTGACGGACGTGCGATTCAGATTGGACGTGACATTTAAACCCATTGGCGTCGCGGCATTGTTTCTGGCAGATTTCGCACCACCAGCGCAGACGTTGAAGTCCCTTGGACTTCATCTTGTTGGCGACCCATTTCGCGGTTCCTGCTTCGGCTTTGCCCATGGTGTCGGAAGCTGTGTGTTCGGAAGAAGGGAGGTTGAGAGATTGCGATCGGGACACAGCTTTATTGAGTATGAGTTGGGTGTCGAAGTGAGTGGTGTGTAAGTGTTAGCAAGCAGCGAATGCTGAGTCGAAAGTCGCAGGGCTGGCTGACTAAGTGATCGCCACCGCTAGCATGGTAGTGGATGCGCTAGCAAACATCTACATCCCCACATCAGTCTTTGGTTGTATCCAGTTCACTCAGATGATCTGTGAATCAAAATCTTAGCAACCCCAAGCTTGATATTTGCATTGCACATGTTATCATTGTTTAAAGTCTTTAGCGTACTTATGCTCATCATAGAAGCATCTAGACGCAACATAACAAGAATCCAGTATCGTAACGCATTCTCTCGGTCAACTGTAAAAGGGGCGAGTAAACTACATTTTTTGTGGCTCCTACAAGCCGCAAAAACTACACAAATCAACTTTGTCAAAGTGCATGCGAGGCGTATACTGCTCAAACTTTTGGCATAGGATTCCTACACTGAACTTAGTTGTAGATGTCAAGCTGTTGCATGATTTCGCTGCACCCTGGTTCCCAGTATTTCGATTGGCCGAGAGGCAGTGTAGGAGCTAAACTCAAACCCTTCACATACAGTAGATATCAGCAAGAGTGCGCAGTAATTGTGAAAGAGAAGCAGAGTTAATCAATCGTCTCTTGACGACTGGCTGCTCAAAGTACCAGTGCGGACGCGTGTTCGAGAGCCCACGCAGCCGTTAATCGAAGTTTGGTTCGGGCCGTGAGACTTTGGGTCGTAAACACTGGGTCGTGAAAACGCTTCGATCGACGAGTAATACTGAACACATAATCAGAGCAGAGGATTTCACTGCAATGCTGATGGTGCCTGTGCTTCGCATGCAGCGACGGTTCGTGTGAACGAGCTAGTATATAAACATCCTTCGCACCTCGAGTAGCATGACACATGTTATATAGTGTGTGAAGATATGGTACTAATCCTGTGGTTCCTTACCGTCTTTCTAGCCAATCCTCATGTCAGCCTCACACTCTTGTCCTTGATCCCCTCCCAGTCTTTTCTCCCAAATGGCAGATATTTGTCACTACTCGGCGGCAGCCAATACATCGTGTCCTGCCCAGTGATCTTGTCTGGATCAACTCCTTCTGTTTTTAGCCTGCCTTTCTGGATCTTTAGTGTTCCGGTATATTCCAACGCAGGCGTCACCCTCAAAAACAGCGGCACAGCGTAGCCCGGTAGTACACCCCTCGCGTGCGTAGCCAGCTCACGGAAGTCAAACGTAGACTCAGTCACGCCGTCCGCCATGACGATAGATGCAGCGCCTGCCCGACCGTCATGCCCAGGAACCTGTACGCCGTAGACATTTGTCTCGGCTATTTGGGGAAATTTGCCCATCATGTCGGCAACCTCATTGGTAGAGACATTCTCCGATTTCCAACGAAACGTATCACCAAGGCGATCAACGAAGAATACGCGTCCTTCCGAGTCTTGTCGCATCATATCCCCAGATAGGAACCACCTTCCATTTGTTAGTTTTGTTAGATAGAAGCAAGTGGGAGACGACATACATATCACCCTTCTCAAAGACATCAGTGAGCCTCCTCTTGTGGGTTGCACCATCGTTGTTGAAGTAGACAGGAGCGCTAGCGATGTTCTCTGATGTTAATTTATGCAGCACCTGGCCTGGCTCATCGACACCGCATCGGATTGCGAAGCCATTCTCGTCTCGCATTATATCCTCAGTATCAACATCCATCTTCACTCTGACTTCTTGGTTCTTATTCTTCCAGTTCCATATCAGCCCCCGTAAACCTATGGTATGCGCCGTAAAGGGCCCAGCATTACGATTTAACGATGCACCAAGACCATCCGTAGCTGCGTATAACTCGTTGATTATTGGAATGTTGAACCGTTCACGGAATGGTTCCCAGACGTCTGGTCGCATACCGTTTCCCCACGCCACTTTTACGTTGTGCTTGCGTTCGTAAGGATTTGGCGGACCGTTGAGCAGGTACCGGCATAGCTCGCCAACGTATTGGATGTGGGTTGCGCCTGATTTGGCGACCTCAGGCCAGAAGCTTTTATGGGAAAACCTCCTACCCAAAACGATAGTACTACCAGCGTGGATACTTGGTGTTGTACAAAGGCCATGGGCTGCGCCATGGTAGAGGGGCATGCATGTATACATCTTGTCTTCCGGCTTAAGATTCAGGTATTTCGCAATACTGTAACCAAGGACAAGCTCTTTACTGGTGCCCATGATTACGCCCTTTGGAAGCCCTGTAGTGCCCGATGTGTACATAAGGCCACGGATTGATTCTATGCTTATGGCCTCGCGGCGGGTTTCGGGAATAAACGTGTTGTCGGACAATGATGCCAGGAACGATGGGTCGTAGTAGTGAATCTTGACGCCTATGTCTTCAAACTCTGCTCGGCAAGGTTCGACGTTACTTTTCACATCAACATCGGTAATCATATACCTGGATTCGCATAACTGGCCTAGCTGTCAGCGAATTTTCTCCCAAGACTTGGAGTATGAAACCCCACTTTTGCGCAGTGAATTAGTCCGGCTCCTGTGAGATTACAATTAACAAACGATGGTGCCGCGCCAATCGCATCGAGCGCAAACCAAAGCATGTAATACTCTGGGGTGTTTCCACCATCAATCGCAACAACTTCTCCAATCTGAACACCAAGATCCTTCATCAGCCAGTTGCCAACTCTGATTATGGCGTCAAAGAACTCCTTATATGTCCATGTCTTGCCCTCGAATATCAAAAACGGGTGGTTAGGCTGGTTACGCAAGGCGTGGTCTTCGAAGACGTGGTACGTGAGGACGCGCTTTTTCATGACTCGGTCAGTGAGGAAGTTGAGAGCATCTTGCGTAGGTGCGACACCACCACCGCGAGCGTTGCTGATGTCGGAAGCAATATGGAATTTCGCATTGAGGTAGGCGGCGAGGGCTGTTGTTCCAACAGCTCCAGCAAGTATAGGCACTTGGGGGATTAGCATGTTACAGAGAATACTAAATTCCTTGGATAACTTACATGCCATGATCTTTGATCGGATCAGACTGTGTTCAAAAGGTCGAGGTAGAATGATTTCATCCGACTCCAGACCATCCAATAATGAGGCAGGCAAACATGGAAACGACGCGCTTCATTTCAGAAAATGGGGTAAGTAATACACACCGAGGTTGTTGTTCCGAGTCAGCTAACAACGTTGTTTGTGTTCCGATCTGGAGCTTCCCCGCAATCTTAGAGCGTATTTCCGATATGTCCGGGTGAGTTTCCAGCGTCTAACTACTCGACCGCTGAACGCTCACTGTTTGTAGCAATTTGAGTAGCTTCCATAAAACTCATAGTTTCTAGTATGAGATTGAAGGTACCCAGGCTGACCCAAGGTTGAGGCAGCCTTGAATATCGGATTGGTCGGGATACCAGGCGATTGGGAAGGGTCTGGATACAAGGACATGTTGGTAAGATGCCCTCGTACGCTCAGAGTTAGGGAGAACTTCCAAAGTGACAACCAGGCTGCTGTAAGCGGCCGTATATGAAATTGAAAGCAAAACTCGTCGAAAGCTGAGACGAGAGTGAGGGTGACTGCAACTCAATTACAGACAGGGTAGCTTGGCAGATAGAAACGCTGGATAGGGTTCCCGTAGTTTCACCGCTCAGTATCAACACACAGGCGGGGCCCTGAATACCAGTCTCGCTGAAAGCCGGTACACCAGTGTCAAGGCCAATGATGAGTCTATAATTTCCAAGATCCACTCCTCCACTGGGAACATGTCGAGAAGACTGCGTACCGCACCAACGACCAAGCTAAAGAAGTTATCATTCCAGTAGTAAGACACATGAATTCAGAATATTGTATATACAAACCACTACAATACATCCCCAGATACTTTTCACCACTTCTTTCTCTCCTCGCTCTCAAAATCCCGCCCCTGTCGCTCCCTCTCAATCCTCTCGTCGAATTCCCTCTGCGCCCGCTCCCGCTCCCTCTTTCTCTCCTCGTCGCCCTCAACAAATGTGAAAGAATCACCCAGAGTAGATTCTTCCCTCTGCTCTCTACGCTCCGGTTCGGCTCGTCGCCCATCCATGCCGCCCGCCCGTGGCGCTGGCATATATACAGACGCCGGTCGCGCACCGCGGCGAAGAGCCTCCCATGTCGACTCACCAGGTCTTGCCAGCGGTTGTGATTGGACTTTAGCGTTAGTCGCAACTTCATCTTGGAACATGCCACCAGTAGGCGACGCGTCATCGTCATCAAACGGCGAGGAGGACTGAGGTGGAGGGCGGCGTGTTCGAGGGTTGGTGTAGGCTGGGTTTTGCTGTTGCTGCGACTTTGGCTGCGAGTCGTCAGACGCGAATCCGCCATCCCCCCAACTCCCCTGAGAACTCGCTGCAGAGCCCCACGCCTCGTTCCCAGCAGTGGGACTCATATCGTCGTCCCCACTCTGTGCTCTGCGTGGTGGTGGCGGCGCAATACCACCCTTCTTCTCCCTCTGCAAGCGTTCCTGGAACTCCTTCCTTCGATCCTCAATCTGCCGCCCTTGTTCCACGTTTTTCTTCTGCTCGGAGCCCACCGCAACTTTCAACTCGTTGCCAAACTGCTCCAATTTCGGGTCCTGGCTCGTTCTCTGCGCAGCAAGCGGTTGCGCGAGCATCTGGCCGATTATATTCCCCATTTGTCCCGCAACCACCACATACAAAGAGAAGCGCCAAGAGTGTCTTGCATAATTTGCCATGGGACCCTTCACGAAGCCAAAGCGATTCGGGTTGATTTCCTCCAACTTGGGCTGGTAGAACGGATATCTAAATTTATCCATGGTGGTGTACCATCGATATGCTCCGGCAGCAGCGCCTGTGGCTGCAAAATAGCTCTTTGTCTGCTCGAGTTGGTAGATGTGGGCGGCGAGGGCTTGCGATTCCTCGGGGTTGAGGTATCGGCCCACTTTGCGCTCTGCGAATTTGATAGTGGTTTCGGTCTTGAAGCGGACGGCGCGGTCGGAGAATCCGATTAGAGGCCCTATTATAGGCAATGGCTGTGGGAGAGAGCTCGAATCGAAGCGGTAGCCAGAGGACGGAGATGTAGATGCGTACGGGTCGTTTTCGGAGGGGGATGGGTTATCGGTAAAGCTGTCTGGAGCATTGTCGTTGACGTCTTGGAGCACCATTTTGTCGTATTGTTGTTTGAATCGAAGGAAAGTCGACAATCGGTTAGGTGTGTTGTGGTGTGGACGGAAGGCGAAGCTCAAGGTGAGGTTGACGATAATGACGAGTGGATCGACAAGCCCAAGCTCCACTTCACCATCGATCGGAAACAGTTAGTAATGGTCTTCTTCATTAGGTATGCGAACTTCTTCTAGAACTTGCATAGTTATTCCACTTCGAAAAACATCCAGAACATTAGGTAAAAGCAACAGCTATTCCAAGTAGCTTAGAGGCATGCAATCACAGCTACAGTCCATACCTCCCGTTCGTGGTCTCATTTCAACATAATTAAATAGCATCGAAAACGTCTATTGCATCGCTCTGTTTACCAGGCTAAAAACAACTACCAATCCTACGCCCCCCAAATTACTAATACAGCAAAGAAATAGCTCTCAGCGCCGAGCCTCGAGGCGACCAAGACAATGAATGATTTCCAAACGCCAAATCCATATGCACAAACAAAAGAAAGATTTAGAGGAGGATCGAGCCTCTTGTGCCTCGTCCTTGACGCGCATCGTCATGCACACGTCGGCTGACTATCTCAGCCTCGCAAGGACACCATCCTCCTCGGTATCTCATTATTAAATCCACGTGCGTTGATAGCCGGTTGGTTATATGTTCGCATATCTTGATGAGCTGCTGCCATATGAGGTCTGAACGTACGTCCTGCGCGCTCCTCATACGGTTCACCAGGGACAGGATACCGTTGATATCCGTGTTGCAAGCGGGACACCGTCAACCTGAGGGCTGGTGTTAGCCAAACTAACGAATCCGCCTATAGGATTACGCAGCGGCAACCGGCTGTTGGTTCTTCCTCATTCTCTCTTCTGCTCGTGCTTTTGCCACCTTTTGCGTCTTCATCGTCTACCACTTCTTGGGGCTTGACAGTCATGTGGACGACATTCGGAGTGTCAACTTGGAACCGACAATCTGAATGAAGTCAGTAATTGCATATCGGCAATCGTAAAAGGCTCATTCGTGGACCAAGTTGAGGCGTGAGCAAGCTTGGAGTCGCAGGCGGTCTCGCCCAACAGGTATCCGCGGACCAAGGATGGGGCAAGCCACGCCAAGAGATTAGAGGTGAAGGGAACGTGAGGGGCTTACCTTTCAGTGGCGATTTGTCGTCTAGCATGCGGCCAAAATGTATTAGTCGAATCGAACTTGGTGAGGTGGGTCTGGGCTCCCATTCTGTTCACAAATCCAGTTAGCCTAGCTGTAATGATGCAATGACAGTCGTGGCTGAGCACGAAATGTGCAGTGCAATCTCCGGCAAAAACGGCTGATGTTGGAGAGAGATGGTTCAATCCCATCGTCTATAATCGCAAAAACGTAGTTGACCGGCTACAGTGTAAGAGACGATGTACCATAGCCGAGCGCAACTGTGCTGCAGTGCCCACCGAATGCATAAGGGGGACGCGCATATGAGCGACATACCTTCTCGCCAGTCCCGCCATATTAGCTCCTTGAGCGTATACACACTGATGTTGTACGGATCCATGTCGTCGACTATGACATTGCGCTTCTTCAAATATCTCTCGTCAATCTTGTACGGATGTCGAGCGCCCGTCGTGAGCAGCAGCATTATCACTAATACTGGGCCATTGGAGTTGTCAGGGTTCGCGGCGGGTGTGTCTGTCGAAGGGCCGATGGCTTGTGTCTCAGCTCGCGTGAGTTCAGCGGGAGGCGCCACTTTCGCGGACGTGGTGGCGTGTTGTGTGCTCCCGGCAGCGTTGAGTTCGTCGACATGCGGTACGTACGACTCTGCTGGTACGGGCTCGAGGGTCCCTGAGGATTGGAGTGTAGGGTTCATAGGCGCCGGCGCAGCCGCGGATGATTGCAGCGTCCTCATCTCCACAGGACTTGACGACAATGCCTCGTGGCTACTCTGTGGTCGCGATCCGGATGCTGCCTGCTGAGGAGTGCTCTGAGCTGCCGTCGACGGCTGGTCCGTTGTATGAGTCGCCATGGCTGGCCGAGATTGATCGGTCGCGCGACGTAAGCGGCGAAGGCGATTGCGAAGTGTCAAGCGTGTCGATGGTGACGGTATAGATAGCGGAGAAAATGATAGCGTGTATGCTGTTGGCACTGGAGGCGACAACGAGTGTGGGGCGGCGTGGGTGTGGTCGGTCGAGAGGAGCGTGTATGGGTGAAGTGAGTGTTTAGGGATGTTGGAACGAAGCAATGAAAGTCAGGTCCCCGTGCGTCGGGTACGAAATGGCGCCGCTGCCCTGTCTACCATGTTCTCCACAATTGCAAACGCGGCAAGCACGATCCGTCCCCACACTCAACCATGCACCACGACCAATTCCGTCAGCGGCCGTTCGACGACTGCTCAGCCGGTTGGCTAGTACGCGCGATTTGTGTTTCTCTTGAGAGCATCACGTGCAATTCTGGACCATTGGAGTTGGTATCCCGCTATCAATATGCCCCTGCGTCTCCCCTACATCTGCAATCTATGCATACAATTGGTGGCACATAGCACGGATCATGCGTTGCTGGTCTTCGTACTGGTATATCGTGCACTTGGCAGCGGCTAGGTTGTCGTTATAGTTACGAACATTATTAGGCATCTGGGTCGGCGATCACTGCACAGATAGGATCACTATCTGCAAGCATGAACTGTTGCGGTTGCCGCAAGCCTTGGTTATTCATCGTATCGTCATTGGTCGTGAGTTCTAACCAGCGCCGTCTGTCCTCAAGGGACATGTCTAGTCTGATGTACGCTTTGTGTGCTGGAGTGAGGGATATCTTGAGCTTGCAGGCCTTTTACAGTCCTCTCACAGTCCTCTCATATCCACGCCGGCTCAATATACCATCCTTTCATAGCCAACTCTTTACCAGTTCATCTTCATCTTACCCTCGATCTCGGTGTGGAAGTCTGGAATCTCGCGAAGCTCGTTGCCTGTACATGTATTAGCACCCATCCCACGATCAAGCAGCTCCAAAAGTCTCCAAAGTGCTCTCAAGTGACGTATCAACTTACCAACAAACACATCCTCCCACCCGATCTCACAGTCCCTACCCTGCAGAATATCCTTGTGCACACCACTCGATCCACCCAACGCAGCCGGACGCCACTCACCCGCCGCCGCAATCTTGAGCTCCATGCCCCTGCGGACCGGCTCCGCGATACCAAACTGTCGCCTCAGCATCTCCATCTTCAAGCGGTCCTGAGTATCGCGCCACTGGACAAGACGAGCCTCAAGCGGGTGCGCTGACTGGAGCTCGACGGGCTTTGTGGACGACGAGCTGGTCGATGCTGGAGTCGTATGTGCAAGGCGGGAACGGAGTGTGTCGTGGACGCCTGGGGCAGAGGGGGCGGATGTCTCGAGCCCGACATGCGTGGGGTGGGCTTTAGGGGGGACGAAGCGGAGAGACTGTATATCGGTGAGCTATGTTTGGTCTTACTGAAATTGGATGTGAGTGCGAGTGTATCTTACCATCTTGAACTTGAGTTGGGGTTGTAGATGGCGAATGTGTTATCGTTTGCAGTGGGACGGCGAGATTTGCTGGGCCTGCGCTTTTCGTGAGCACAAGGAGTCTGGAAAGGCACGATTTCGTTATGTCGTACAGTTGGCGTAGTTCGGAAGTGGGATGTTCGCGTTCAAGCTGTTGTCGGAGCTTGAGGCTGCAAGTGACGCGCCGCTTGATGTCTTGGCATGTCAGAGCTTCAAAAGGTTAGTCAGATTGAATGCTGTTGCTAACCAAATATTACTATGTAATTATGCTATATGGTGCTGAGTCAAGCCGCTCCGTTGTGTGACTCTACATTCCAAGAATGCTGCTAAAAGGCAAATCCCAAATCATGCACGCGGCCAACATCGAGCCCACACTAATCGAAGCCGCCATCAGAATGTTGACAGCATTGTTGTCCAACAAGTCATAACCAGCCACAACCTTCCTGCTCTCATGCTGACCATCGGCGACTACTGTGCCGCTGGCCCCCGCCTTCTGCATAGTTTCAGTCGCTTGGATTGAGTCCGCGACGTCTGCCCCGCTGGTTTTAGCAATACCCGCCTTGCCTTCTGCGCGGCTGCTGACTTTGCTGCGCGCTTCAGCCGTCTTCTTGAGATGCAATGGGTTGGCGCCATGTACGAGGACTTTCCTGCCTCCTTCTCCCTCTACAACCCTGCCAGAATGAACGTCGACAACGCTAGCTTGGAAAATGGCTCCGAAAACCGAGTCCAGGAGAGAGCCGCTCAATCCAGCGATTGCCATCATGGCAGCAAATCTCGCCTGCTGTATAGGAGCCCAGTTGTTGCAGAACGGAATAGTGAAGAACGCAGTGGTCCCGATAATGGAGCCTCCAATCAAGCCTGCACAAAGCCCCGTTCCAGTCACTCCGCCATTGGTTCCTCGCGGTACGTTGCGCCATGGAGCTGTGATAAGGTAGGGTGTTGATCTCGAGAGGATGCCTAACTCGGAGGAGAAAGTATCGGCGGCTACCGCAGCGTAGTTGCTAGACTTTGTCAGTACATAGTAGGAGTGGTTGGGATTTGTACTGTACTCACGCGACAATTCCAACAACTAATACATCACTACCCTTGAGCCAACATATAGTTTGCTCGAGCCTCTCCTCCTTCTTCAGCTGCCACATGTGCATGAGGATGAGCACCGAAGCCACGCCCGAGTTCGCAATGACCTGAACGTGGTTGCGCGGTCCCTCTCCACCAGATGCGCCATTTGCAGATTGCGTGAGGTTAGCTTTGACATCGTGTTTGACCTGGCATGAAATTAGTTTGAGTCTGTTGATGAGAACGACATCTTGTAATCACCTTGGTCACAAAATTACCAGACAAGAAAAAGACGGCCAATAGGACAAGGAAAGTAATCCATGGATGAATGGCATGCACCACTCCTGTTAAGAAGGCTACAAAAATGCCGACAGGTGTTAACGATTTGCGATACCATGCAACCAATACAAGCGCGCCCACAAGAACAGCGCGTACTTCGTACCCCATGATGAGTGCCGGGGTTGAGGTTGTATGGGATGGGGCCGACGTGGGGTTTGGGAGCTCGTGCGGATGTTGCGTCACAAGGAGGCCACATCAACCACAGCCAAAACGGTCGACGGCACAGACGGGACGGCCATCAGCTTCATCTTTGCTTGGCGACGACATCAGCGCTTGGCTTATCTTTCCGTTGCCGTCAGCGAGCGTGAAATTCTTTCCTACCAAGATGTGCTTCACGACTTAAGTTCTGTCCAATTGGCATTGCCCCTCACTGCCTACAAGGACCGCAAGATGCTGCGCGCTGGCTTCCTCACCTGGATCAAAACATCTTGACATCCTGAACAAAATCCCTCTGTCCTCAAGTGTGACGTTTAAGACACTACTGCTAGGGCGATAATACAGGTCCTGATATATGTCCTGCCACTTTCCAATGACTACGTGTGATGTCCTTCTCTATCTCATCCGTCTCATACCTACTCCAACGCTAGCAAATCCGCTCATGAGGTTCCCTCCACGGTACACCAAGAACCTCGAAAATCCGTTTCTCATTCCGACCCTCAACCAGTACACCCTCATTCAGCTTCTCTCCTCGTCTCCCTCTCTTGACATCTTTATACAACCCTTTCTGATTCAGCCTCATTCCCTTCTTCCGGGCCAGCAACCGCATACTGCGATTAAAGATGTCATTCCCGGTAAAGTAGAGAAGCGCAGCGCCTATCTCCCCTTCTGGCACGAGCAAAAGATCCAAACGGCGCCAAGTCTTGGATGAAGGCAGACAAGAAGCACCGTGCCACTTTGTCCCTGTGGAATCGTTGGAGCGCGACGTCGCCAACGCGACTTTCAAGAATCCGGCTTTGAACAGCTGCGGGACGAGTGTCTCGAAGATCACAGTCCGCAAAGTTGCGAGAGAAGTCCTCGGACAGGATATTATGAGATCGATGTCGCCCGAGTCCTTTGTGCCACGCCTATAACTACCCATAATCGTTGCTTCAAACTTTGTGTCGATCTTCCTTAACGCGTTCTTCACAATTGCGCCGTGTGCTTCGACTTCTGCGCGCGGTATCCGCGAGTTGAAGTCTGCATAGTGCTCCACGCCCACTTTTTGCGAGTCTGTGAGTTTGACTTTCGTGTGCAGATCTTCGAGTGTGCGGTGACCTGCTTGGATCCATTTGTTTGCCTGCTGCAATCCGGCACCATAGACACCTAGAAAGAGACGCAACACCTGGTCCAAGGGGTCGTCGCGCGTACTGTCCAACTTCCGGAGTCGGTCTGTCAAGACTATTTCTTCGATTTTGTTGGCGAGACGAGTACCAATGAATGGTAGGGTTGCAGCTTGTTTCGCGCAAGTGATCTTGGTGGTCTGCTTTTTGAGGGTAGTAATGCCTTTGCGGTAGGCCAGGGTACGCCATTGGTCTTGCATTTTATCGTAGTACTTGCACATTTCGTCGAGGACTTGGATGGTTCGCGCGTTGGGGTTTTGAGAAGATAGATCGCCATTGTTTGGGTTCATACATTGAAAGTTGCTTTGATCGAAGCCTCGCTTCGAAGTGCGATTGGATAGGAGTGTTGTAGACACGACCTTCGACTTCTTTCGAGAGTTCAATACAGATTCATCATCGGTTCCACTATCGGAGTCTTCATCTACAAAGCTTTGTAGTGATACTTCTGCATCTTCATCTTCGTCGAGAGGGAGATGGGCCAAAGCTTTTGCCTCCTGTATGGCTTGCGATAATGCATCATTACAAGTAGGCGCAGACGTTTCTACAGCGGGTCAGTGTTGAATCGTAGGCATTTACAACAGATATGAGGCAAAGCCCTCGCAAATGAAAACTTTGGCCGCAAGTACTGTTGTAATTACGAACCTGACTTGTTCGACCTTTTATTCGGCTCTGAGGGCATCACAAAGCTGTCTTCGATTGTTTCCTCGTCTGGGGTGAAGAGTACCGTTGCCACTAGCTGAGTTGAAGGCATGCTCTCCCCAGTCGGGATTGAGTCGGTCTTCTGAGATCCTTGGACCCCCATCTGCCTTTTCGATGGCTTGATCTTGAGCGAGGTCTGTGTTGGGGTCGAGATTTGCGAGGATTCCATTGTTTCACTTGTCTGACTCCGTAGCGGGGCACCCTTGACAGTAAACCGGCTGAGTGTAGGATCAGACAACGTTCCGTACTGTATGCATTGTGGTATGTATGGATCGAATCTAACCAGAATGATTCTCCTCTTCGCTGACATTAGTGGTTGCACCAGTTGATGAAATAGAATACTGACTGGAAAGCCTGCTCTATTAAAGTGTCGTAGTAACTGGCTATACGTATGATTTGCATCATCGACCATGATATGAGTGATGTCGTCTCTCCACTTCGTAACCCATGCTGCTCCAAGTTGTATCACCTTGTGTATGCGTGTTCGCCGTACCATGCTGATATCGTCGTTTGGATAGAAATACACAACTCTTCCCTGAAGCAATTGCTTACGCGCAGGCTCCAGTTTGATGTTTTCCGCTGGTTTGGCATTCTTTCCGTGTTTCAACTCTCGTGGTATCACGCCCATCACCTTGTAAAATGGGACCTGATTCTTCTCAAACAGATCTGGCATCGAAATTACTCTCTTGATGTTCTTGCTCAGGCCTGTTTCAGAAACCAATGATTCTCGTGATAACTTGGTGACTGAAAAACTTCTACTACTCTCCGGACTGGGGTCTGTCGAAGAGCGAACGAGCGTTTGGGCGTCACTCCTTGACACTGAACGTCGTCGTGCAGCGTGTGTCTCAAAGTCTGCCTGTCTTTCTCTTGGGGTCGGTCCAAGAAAGCTGCTCGGTCGTCGTTCGGGCTTCGGTGGCGGCATTGCTTCTGAATCCATCAACGCACGTTCGACATATGCGAAGCCCTCGTCTGGAAAGCCAGTTTCATCATCGGTGAGGTCCAAGAGGTCTTGCTCTTTGAAGTATGCTTCTTTCTCTATAAGCTCTTGAGTAGGCATAATGCGTGAGCCCCGATTCAGCAATTAGAAGTATGAAAAGCTTGATGAATCTAAACAACTAAAAGAACAAGGTCGTGTCGTCGTGAAGCACCAGGTTCGGTAACGGTACTGAGTATGAGTGCTGAATAACGGATGAATGTGAGGGTAAGAGAGTCCAGAAAATATCTCGTTATTATGCCGCCAATCTCATGGCTAGCTCAAACAGACTTCGACTGTCGGAAGTGGGTAAAATAAAGTAAAGGTGAGAGTAGGTGGTGGCGCGTAAAACACGAAAGCACGAAAGCACGTGGGGTTGTAGCCGTTTATGAGTTAGCGCAAGTGTTCACTTTCACGAATCTTCAAATCCCACTTTCTCGAACCCCACACATACCAAGATGCTACAACCAAGGATAACAGCTCCGATTCGGCGCCTCGTCGTTAATCCTTCGTTGATTTGTTTTCGATGCCAAACCCGCATTGCAAGCCGTACACTCGCACAGCGGCTTCCATCTCGAACTTTCACATCTGCGCGCACTCCCCGCTTCCCCACTACAAACACAGAAACAAAGCCTACGGAGCCAACGCCCACGGAACCGGAGCCCTCCCCAAAAGATGACGATATATTCATTCCCAAGCCGCTTGGCCGCCCCATCGGCTTTAAGCAGCCCCCTCTTGCGGGTGAAAACGCCGGCAACCAGAAGACCAAGAAAGACTACTCCGGCATGACAATGTCCCAGCGAAACCTCGCCAAACGCGAAGTCCTCGTCGAGAAGTGGAGCACAAACTACTTCCGCGATTTCAAAAACATCCGCAAGTATCGGTCCGGCAAGACATTCATGGCAAACTCGCGCATCTTCAAGCGTGAAGCAGCGCTGTACTTTCCGAATCTGCACGGTGAAACGCTGGAAAAGAAGGGTGCGGATACGACACCTGCGCTGCAGGGGAAGGTATCGGTGGTGAACGTGTATAGTAGTCAATGGGGAGAGATGCAAGTGCAGACATTTACGGGGAAGAAGGTAAATCCTGAGTTGCAGGAGGTTCTTGCTGCAAATCCTGGGGTGGCTCAGATAGTTGACGTAAACATTGAGGAGAACAGCATGAAGGCGTGGATCATTGCGTTTTTCCAGTGGCGGCTACGGGCCGTGCGACCGAAAGAGGATTGGGGAAAGTACTTCATCATAAGGAAAGGAGTAAGTGAGAAGATCCGGGAGACGATTGGGTTGCTGAACGGGAGGGTGGGGTACGTGTATTTGATCGATCAGGATTGTAAGATTCGATGGGCGGGGAGTGCTGATGCGGAGGGGACTGAGATGGAGGACATGAACAAGGGGCTCAAGAAGCTGATCACTGAAGTCGAATAAGACTTGCAGGAGGGTTGTTGATTGAAGACTCCGTACCAGGAGCTGTAAACATAGTTGTACATGATAACCAAGGCCAAACGCCGCATGCGTGCCATACCCAAGAAAGTCGTGTGGATATTCGTCCCCTTGAACGCCAAAATCAGACCATACCAACCCAGCCATATCACCAAAACCACATCAGCATCAGGAAGCAAAAGGCGATGAAGCTCCCTAATATGATGCCGTCCCTCCTCTTCTTCGTGCCAATCCTGCCCATCAAGCTGTTGATGCCCGGTACCTGACTGGCAGCACCCACTATCCTCCGATTGATATTGGCCAGTGTCTCCCTTTGCACCCCAAAGCTCTCCTGCACTGCATACGCCTGGCTGAGCACAGAATCGGCTACGGTATGCGAGTTGTCGATGCGCCGTCGTTCGTCCAGCATGTAGTCTGCCTCGGCTTGCTCTGGGTTTGCGGAGCGGTATGCGTCGATGTCTGATCTCACGTTGGAGAGGAGGTTTGCTCTGTTGCGCGCATCACTGATGGTTGACTTGAGGCGGGACAGTTCGCGACGGTGATCTGAGAGGACTTCACGGTGTCGAGCGAGATTGTTTTGCTTTACGGCGGAGGACGAGTGTGCCGATTCAGAGTCGAGGAGTCGTGTTAGTTGGCCCACGAGAGCTTCCCGCTGCAGTCGATGTTAGCTTTGGCGAGGGTAGGCACAGTGGTGTATGTGTACCTTTTCGAGGACCTCTTGCAAGTTTGTTTCGGTCCGCAGCTCATCTTCCGAGGGTTTTGCTGGAATGCTCGGTGTCGAAGCGAATTGCGAGTATGTATGGAACAGCGTCTCGGTCTGTCGCTCTACGTTAGCAATGCGACAACCACCAACTCTGCGAGAATATGTGCAACACACCTGCTGCTCCAGAGCGCGTGCTTGCTGGCGCAGTTGCGCCCATCCTCCGCCTGTTGAAGACATATCGAGAGCACTGTAACTCCAAGATGTCGAGGCAATAGTGGTGTTCTTGGGCTCCTGCCGTCATGCCGCACCCGCACCTTCCCTGCCCTGTCTGTCCGCCGACGCGAAGCCAAGGCGCTACACCCTTCAGGCTAGCGCCTCACACTCGCTTATTGCGGATTTCGACACTCCTCGAATTCGACGTGAATCTGCAGACGACACGCGAGACCCCATCCACACCACCCGGCCATACTAACAGTACAGTCAAGATGGTACGTCCAACTTCTCATTTCTCGGTTCCCCCGAATTTCCGCATTGCGCAAGGCCCGGAGTCGCGGACGGTGGAGGGGTCAGGCAATTGCCCTCGCTGCGGAGGCTATCGCGAATTTGTTTGGTGGTGTTGCTTGATGAAGGATTTGATTGCTAACTCAATGCTCGCAGACGTCCAAAGTCGTACGTGACCTCTCACTCGAATCGCTCGCATCGCCCGACTGAATGCTCACAACCACCACAGAAGACCGCCCAGCTGTGGAACAAGTCCAAGGAGGAGCTTCACACTCAGCTCACCGACCTCAAGACGTGCGTTATCGAGAACAACCGACTGGAATGGGACATTGCGCTGACGGATTGAAGCGAGTTGATCACCCTCAGGACTGCCAAGGTCACCGGTGGAGGCTCGACCAAGCTCACCCGCATCCATGATGTCCGCAAGAGCATCGCTCGTGTCCTCACCGTCATCAACGCCAACCAGAGGTCGCAGCTGAGGCTTTTCTACAAGGGCAAGAAGTGCGTTTCGGCCGCGGACCTGATCGCAAACCGACATGTCTAACAATTTGCAGGTACCTGCCCCTCGATCTCCGATCCAAGCAGACCCGTGCCATCCGCCGAAGACTCAGCAAGCACGAGTCATCCCTCGTCACCGAGAAGCAGAAGAAGAGGCAGATTCACTTCCCTCAGCGAAAGTACGCCGTCAAGGCATAAACGTGCTTTAGCGGGTGTGTTTTCTTTTCTTCCTTAGTCTCTCACGAAGCATTGCATTGCCGGGGCTTTTCCAGCTAGCGACTCACCAATGTACCCTTATGCACCATCTTAAAAGGAGGGAAGGGCGGTGGCGTGTCCGGTTAGGAATGGACGGGGCGATCTTCAACGGAAATGGGTTGGCGTCCATGTCAAGATCAATATGAATCAAAAAGTTCAGACACTCCATGGAAATGTCTGTGACGAGTTATGAGGAAAGACTGCCTGACTTTGAGCCTGGATGTTGGTGTGTATGTGAGCTTTTGGCGCTTGTGCACATCTTCTTTGGTGAATGATCCTGACATGTCTGATTTTGCATGTTGTACTTTTTTGAGCTAATGCATGCAATTCGAAAAATGGCTGCCAAAATAGTTCCGCACCGGTAGCGTCATGGATATTCCTTGCAACAGCACATGCGTGTTACCGCGCGCCCTCCCTACGAAGCCGTGGTCCACTCGTTATAGAGACTCTGTTCCTCCGTCTTGACGCCCACCATCTCCTCCCTGATACCAAGAATACCCACCTTGCCGATTTTTGATCCGTCCGCCGCATCATTCTCCACCTTGTAGTTGCTCAACGACTGTTTAAGCCATGCAATGACCTCCTCCTTATCCTCCACCAACAGCACTACAGCATCAAAGCCCCCTGCTCCCGGCACAACACCGCCGATAACGCCATCCAAATTCGAGCAGTAATCCAGTAGCTGTGTCTGCTGCGGCGGCTCGATGGGTACGCGAGATGCAAGGCCCATCCGCCTAATAAGCTTCCTGTTGTTGTTGATGATCTCGCCGAGCTTTGCGTATTTCTCGCTGCCGCCTCCAGAAGCCTGGTCCGCGGTAGCAAGACGCGTGAGCTCTGCCGCCAACGCTTCGTTCCCTGCTTGCAGATCCTGCCAGATCTGCTCTGCTTCCTCTTTGTTGGACGCCCGCCATGCGAGAACCTGCTTCACCATGCTGGGCGTCTCGCTTCCGCAGTCGACGTCGCACATCACCAGACGGAGGCCCTGCGGCATCTTGATGGCTGCTTTCTGGATCTGCGTGTCCCATGCATCTCCTTCGATCAGGGCGCGCAGTTTGGAGGCGAAGCCCACGCTGCCCGGGAGAGGTAGGCTGCTGAGAAGTTGCGGCGAGAAGCGTTTGTACAGACAAGACCCGTACACTGCGGACGCAATGTCAAAGCCCGAGCCCACTTTCCCCTGTGCATAGGAATGCGAGGCTTGAGCCAGGTTGTGCAGGATCCTCAATCCGGTTTCACTCTGAAGGTCGAAGAGGGTCTTTGGGAGGTAGAAACTCAGAACTGCGGCTGTGAAGCTGGTCACTAGGGCGGCGGAGGATCCGAGACCGGTCTTGTGCGCATCGCGGAGCTGGACGTTGAAGTCGAGGAAACGGCCGGGAGAGGTTGGCGTACGGGGGGCGCCGGGGTTAGAGTAGTAGGCTTGATCGGCGAGGATCCTAATTGAGGACGATTCTATGCGCTTTTTGGGGAGGAGCGTTCCGATGTAAGTCAGGGCATAGATCAAGGCTGTTTCGATGAACGGATTCTTGGAGATGCGTTGTTCGTGGCCGCTGTTGGGGTGTGGTTAGACGTGGGAAATGAGAGAGTCATGTAGATATCATTTTGGGCATTGGGGAGAAAGTCGATGTGTGTCTCTAGAACTGAGGCTGCTGGTAGCACAAAATCCAACAAAAACGACATCCTCGCAGGGCACATGCAAGGCGGAAGAGATTGAAAAGGAAAATTGACTTGTAAGGACGATGTACTGAGGAGAATGAACATGGTATGGTTGAAAAACGAGATGCAACGGAAGATGCAAAGAACAATACTCACACACTCAACTGCGTAACTCTGATACCCGCATCTGCTTCCTGCGATCTGTACCCATACTCCCAGATGGCATCGCGAAACTGAGGACTCTTAACAACAATCCCACTGATGGTGACTCCAGATCTCGTCGAAACCGGCTCAACAGCAACGTGAATCCTCGCATCCAGACCAAATACCAAGCCTGTGTATTCTCGGTCGAGCACTAGGTAGCCACCTGCGACTAGCACCTTTGCCGGACACGACACAGCGGTAGAGGTCAGTGGCCCCTCCGACGCAGAGGCATTAGATGTGGGACTCATATGGAGGCAAGTCTGAGTTAGTTGGATTTGTAAAGATGGCGGAGTTAGTCGGAGAGCGATTGTGTGGAGCGATAGAGGTGGCTATTGATGATGGCAGAGATCTATTGCGGTACAAGCATCGATATTTTGCGCCAGACAAGAGACCGCTGGCAGCTTGCCACTGGTGGGTCGCATCTGCCACGGAACCACGACAGGACTGGCCGAAGAAATCTGTTTCTGACAACAAAATTCGAATGGCCCCAAAAAAATCTACTCTACCTATCCGTACTATTCGTGGTTCGTGATGCGATCAGCGTTGCGGCAACATCACGTGTATGTATGAATTGATAATCTTTCGAATCCTTCCGTGTCGAGCCTCTGAACCCTAGGATGCATGGGATTTTTGTGATCAGGTGCTCGCTTCCATGCCTTTTTAGTGCAAGCTCGAGGCGGGGTGCAGGTGTCTTCTTACGGCTCTTTCTCGTTGCGCTGACTCACCTTTCGCAACGCCTCGATCCCGTAGACGGGCTCGGTGACTGCATTTTGACCGGTGCCGATCCGAGTGGTTCGGAGAGGGAGTGAAGCTCCCCGCAAGGACACGTTTGGAGGCCCGTGTCGCGTATGACAACGCCGCTCTAGCCTAACCAGGTAGAGCACGAGAAAAAATCGGCGCCGGCGCACATACCGTTAATCTTCATGACGACTACGAACTGGATGCTGGAAACTTCCTTTTGATCCTCGCTAACGCCTTGCTTTGCCTGCACGGCTGAATATAGCCCCTCCAGGCCACCACACACACCTTGCTGTTTCTTCCTTTAATATTGAACGATCGCTCTGGTGATCGATTAGTACAGGCCGTCCGAAGCTAATAAAGCTTTGATCCTGTTTACTGTTTACCACCAGTCGGACCCTCACTACTTCCCGTCAAGGCGCGTTTATTTGGCTGTGAACGTCAAATGAACCTGCAAAATATTTGCGCGATCTCGAGAATAACAGTACGTACCCTCCAGTAGCAATTCGATTACTGCGACAATCTCCGAGACCACGCACACAAGTGGTATACCTGCTGCCTAAATACCAACCTTGGCCGGGGTACACGTTTTTATATTGTTGCTCATTTATCACCATTGAAGCGCACACGCGTCGCCACTGTTCTGACCCTCTCCAGTCTCACTCTTCCTGCCTGAAGGGTTGTTCCATTTTCTAAATGGTCTTCAAGAGCTTCCATCTCGCGCGCCAGAGTCTTGCCAAAGGCTTTACTCACGGTTATGCTCAATCTGTAGTTGCCGGTGTTTCTCCCCTAAACCTCAACCACGAGCGATTCCGCAAGGGCCTCAAAAACCAACATGCCTTTGCTTCCACCACTGCAGCCATCAAGGCCTTGGGGCCGAGCTCCCACGATCACCAGGATTCCGGTCTAGCTGCTTACTACACGGCATGGCAAAAGAGTCAACGTACCGAGGACACGGAGTGGTCGCAATACCAGTTCCGCAAGCTCATCGAATGGGATCCCAAGGCTTCGCAAAAGAATGTGGTTGAGGCCAAGGAGAATGATGTGGCTGTTGAAGAGTCGACCGAACCTATTCCAGCGCGGGCTGGGATTAGTCGCGCGTACAGCACGAGCCAGGTCGATGATTTCATGAAGGTTGCTGGCGATGAGGGCGCGGAAAAGATTGCCTTAGCGCAAGTGGATGAGGCAATCGCGCAAGAGACGGCTAAGCTTCAGGCAAACAACGAGGCCGCTCGATTAGCTGAGGAACATGCGTCATCAATCCAAGAGGAACGGCCAGTCTCACCCGCCACCGTCGCTGATACGCTTGTGGAATCGGTTACTCCAACCCGCACGGAATCGACGCTTGCCCCGAGTCCAATCGAAGCGGTCGACGAGTACACTGTGCAACTGGAAAGGCTCGCAGAAAACCGCAGATATGCCGAGGTTCCCGCAGTCTTCGAGTCCATGCTTCGTTCTGGCATCAAGCCTTCGGTTGCTGCATACAATGCTCTTCTGTCAGCAGCGATCCATCTTCCACAGGCCAAGCACCAGGCTGTCCCCAAGGCCCTGGATGTTTACTCTGATATGCTCCGTCGACGAGTAGCTCCTGATACGGCAACATACACTGCGCTCCTCGAGCTTCTCTCAGTGCGATCACTAGAAGTAGTGTCGATGAAACAGAGCCTCGAGGAAAAACGACTACGCTATGGCGGATTGGAAGAGGAGGGCAGGTTCATGCTTCAGTCAAACGAGACCGATTACGCCATCTTGGCCGAAGACGGATCGCTCTCAGTCGCCGTCAAGCTCTTTGATGCCGCTGTCAACATCGAGTCAGGTCGAACCTTCTCGGAAAAGACTTACCGTCTGCTAGTCACCGCATGTGCAGAGGGTGAGCGCGTGGAGGATATGGTGCGCATCTACTCGCACATGGAGTCTCGCACTGTAACCCCTGCTGGGGATATGTTTGTGCCCATGATTCACGCCTTTGGGAGGTCTGGCGATCTGAGGAGCGCTGTCGAATGCTACGATGAATACAAGGCACTTGCGATCTCGAACGACAACGGTCAGGTTGAGCTTGTCAGGAAAGACAACGATGTGTACGCTGCCCTGGTCAAGGCTTATGCGATCTGCGACCGCTTCGAGGGAGGAGAGAAATTTCTTTCCAAGATCGAAAAGGCCCTCACTACCCCGGAACACGTCAGATCTGTGCGCGACATTGTCACGTTGAAGGCTTTCCTGCCACAATGGTTGAAAAACGGTTCTTTCCAGGAGGCTTTTGCACACGCTACCGAACACTTGAGCACACAGGCGCGCCACATTGCCATGGCTGCCATCTGCATCAAGGCAGCTGACCGCGATGCGATGAATGTCGCCACTGAGGCTTTCGATGCTCTTCCTGCAGAGACCGATCTCGCTCGGCCAATCATGGCAATGGGAGCTATGCACATCCGCAATGGAAACATTGAGGCTGCAGAGATCTTCTGGAGAATGCTCGAGCTTTCGCCTACCAAGCCTGAGTTTATCGAGCCTACTTCCATGCACACCATTGCACTGATTGGGAGTGGACATGCTGAGCGTGGTCTCCGACAGGGTCGTCAGATGTTTGCTCGCATTCGCGACTCGCAGACGGGCTCTAACCAGGCCAAGATGGAGGTCGTTGAGCACATCGACGAGGCTATCGAGGTAACGGGACAATTTATGATGAAACGTGGTATCTTCCTTCCGCCGCGGGCGTGCATGGAATTGATGTGGACGATGATTGAGAACGGCGGCCTAGTCACCCCAGTTGCTTTACACCTACTTGCTGGTATGGGACCTCAGGCCATCGCTCAACTAAGCTTCGAAGACATCACTCTCCTGATGCAAGTCCAGTCTGGGATTATTCTCCAGACGGCAGATGCTGATGCTGCTCACGCTTCTCGGTTCTCCCACCTCCTCGAGGTCATTACCTCCAGCGGCAAGCCGGTCAATAAGACGACGTCTGGAATTGTTGAGCAGGTTCTTCCCAAGCTTGACCGAGGCGACCTTCAGCACCGATGGTATAGCTACAAGCACCCCGCCCCCGAGTCGATGTACTCTCCAGCAACACCCGCAGCACCCACCTTTGAGGATCAGTACGACCCATATGCTGCGTCGACGGACAACAAGGGCTCAGTTGCGATTACGGAGCTGCTCGAGAAGACTCACGGACGACCGTCGTCGCACCTCAATGAGGCTCTGATGAAGTTCAGGAACATGCGCCGAGCCGGACGTCATCCTCGCTTCTTCACCTACGCCAAGCTCATCACTGCTGCTGCGAAGGAGGACCGCCTGACGTTGGCTCACGACATGCTCAACCTCGCAAAGCAGGATGTACCTCTTCTACCACAATACCGCATTGTGCGTTACGGCTGGGTTACTATCTTGGATGCTATGGTGGCTGCTTGTCTCACCTGCGGTCAGCGTGATCTTGCTGGTCGATACCACCAGGATCTACTCGACATGGGTGCTGCTCCTACCGCTAACACGTTTGGTCTCTACATCACGACGCTCAAGGAGTCAACCAAGACGTTCGACGAAGCGACTGAGGCGGTCAAGATCTTCCTCCGCGCCAAGTCTGAGGGTGTCGAGCCATCGTCGTTTCTCTACAACGCTTTGATCGGCAAGCTTGGAAAGGCGCGTCGTATCGATGACTGCTTGTTCTACTTCTCCGAGATGCGCAACCTTGGTATTCGCCCGACGTCCGTCACTTACGGTACCATTGTCAACGCGCTCTGCCGTGTCAGCGATGAAAAGTTTGCCGAGGAGCTCTTTGAGGAGATGGAGAGCATGCCCAACTACAAGCCCCGGCCTGCGCCCTATCACAGTATGATGCAGTTCTTCCTGACGACCAAGCGCGACCGGAGCAAGGTGCTCGCCTACTACGAGCGTATGCGATCAAAGCACATTGAGCCCACCACGCACACCTACAAGCTGCTGATCGACACCTATGCCACGCTTGAGCCAGTCGATATGGAGGCTGCAGAGCGCGTGTTGGAGCAGGTCCGCCCCGCCGGTGGGATCCCAGAAGCCGTTCACTACTCTTCTCTGATTCATGCCAAGGGCTGCGTCCTCCACGACATGGAAGGTGCGCGCAAGCTTTTCGACACGGTGCTTGGGGATTCCCGAGTCCGACCTCAAGCTTGCCTCTACCAGGCGCTGTTCGAAGCTATGGTGGCCAACCATCAGATTGAGCACACGCAGTCTATCCTCGAAGACATGGCTGCGCGCGGTGTCGAAATGACACCCTACATTGCCAACTCGCTCATCCATGGCTGGGCTCTAGCGCACGACATCGCGAAGGCGAAGACTATCTACGAGTCGGTGCCAGAGCACAGGCGTGAGCCCAGCACGTATGAAGCGATGACGCGTGCGTACATGGCGGTGGAAGACCGGGCGGCGGCCATGACTGTTGTCAATGAGGGCCTGTCGCGAGGCTACCCTGCTGCCGTCGCCGGCAAGATTCTCGAGCTTGTTGGTGGTGGTCGCGCGTCTGTGTCTGTGCCTGTACCTGAGGTCACTGCTTGATTAACGGTTGTCAATTTCTCTTCTTTTCACTTCACCATCCACCTGCGTGGGTCTGGATGATAATATGTTTTTTGCCTTGTCCGCATCTGACTCAGTTTCAGCATGCATTTTTCTCGCAGCGACGGCGTTTGTGTTTTCAGGAGGGGTGTCTGAGATATATCCCGTGTTTCTCTGGTGGGAAGGTCGGTCGGCTGGGGGCGCAGGTAATGGTGGACTGACATGGGATGGGGGGTATGTCGTTCGCATGGTGTTTCCAAGCGGTTGTTGCATGGCTTGTGCGCGCGGTCTTGTTTGCGTTGGCTGTACAATACCCTGGGATACACCATCTCCTCTCTAGACGGTCTGGTAGGTGGATACATGGATGGATGGAGACGATGAATGCAAGTTTGACTTTATTATTGACTGATGTGCTCTTTGAGTGACGACATCAACATGTATTTGGGTAATCATCACGTCGAGGCAACAAGGTACTACCTATCCTTCTGGGGTTGTTGGATCGCAGCACCCTGCAAGCCAAAAGGGCCTTCTTGGGCATGCACGAACAGGTCAGGCACCGATTCGACGGGGCTAGGTACCAGCTTCATCCTCGCAGCTCTTTTTTTTTTATTCAAGTAGTTCTGTGCAGTCGTGTTTGTGTGACCAATTGCGGCGTTATTACATACATGGGGGGTGCATGTCTTGTCTTGTCTTACTCAGGCTGTGACCCAACTTCGTCATCGGATCGGATCGATCGGAGGTCTGCTGCTGCGGCTGACTGACTGACCGAGTTGAGATTGTGGATGCTGGGATGTGTTGAAGTGCTACGGAAACGATGTAGACACACTCAACGACTGAATAGGCAAATGCATGCAAGGCAAGCAAGAGCAGTGTGCAATGGTTCGCGACAGAGGGTGCCTGTGCAGAGTGAGGCGCTTCCAACGGCGGGGCTGTGCAGAGGTTGGCTCGTTGCTAGCGATGAGGGGCAGTTCTGACGTCTGGTCTGGTGATTTGCTGCGCACATCTCATCGCATCACCGGCCGGCTTCTCTCACCGAAGGCCTGCGAAGATGCCTGCAGCTTCCATGCGCGGCCAACCAAGGGCAATGCCCTGTCAGGTTCTGTCGACCCAACGCATGACGTCACGGCCAAGGCTTGCGGCCACCACTCACCACGCACCCAAACCCCAAAGCTCCCAAGAGCACCGAGCACCAAGCATTCGTGCATTCAAGCATCCACCAAGCAGCCAGTCCCTACGTAAGGCACCTGCCCGGAACCCAAGCCCGGACAGTCACGACCCATCAGCCCTGCGCCTGCGCCTGTCCGCTCTATTAAACACGCCTGCCGCCCGCACCCCGCGCTGCCTCGACACTCTGCTCCCTGCCCAACCACCCTTTTCTACTGAATTCGCCGGCACTCTTCATTCTTCGTTGCGACAGCCCCCCGCACACCCACTTGCGCTAGCAGCCAAGTCAGCCCACTCTGCCACGGACAGCCTTTGGTGAGCCAGCCTGCTTTCCCCCTCCCGCCCGTGCACCCCGCTGACATGTCGCCGCGCAGGACCCGAGGACCACGCCATGTCCGAGTACAGCTATGCACCGCGCCGGGACCACCGCACCCGCGAGCCCGAGTACGTGACGGAGACGACGTACATTGAGCGCGGCGGCCGGGGCGCCCCCGTGCGCGACCTCGTCTACCGCCCGCGTGACGACAGCATCGAGGACATCCCGCGCGACTTCCCCCCCGGCACCGAGTACCGCCAGACCAAGTACCGCGAAGAGTATGTTCCTCCCCGTCGCACGCGCTCGGCGAACCGCGGCTATGACGACGACCTGGCCTACGGTCGCAGCGATCGCGGACGTCGCCCTCCTGGCCGCGGCGGCTATGACGACTACGACGACTACCCTCCTGAGCGCCCCAAGCCCTCGCGCCGCAAGTCCATCGTCGACAACATCAAGGAGTTCGGCGAGGCGGCTGGCCTGGGAGGCGTCATCGGCGCCGTCACGGGCCGCAAAGGCTCGCGCTCCCGCTCTCGCTCGCGCCATCGACGAGACGACCGTGGCTACGACAGCGAGAAGTACGGGCGCTACGACGACCATCGGAGCAGCCGCTACGACTCACGCTCACGCAGTCGCAGCCGCGGCGGTCGCAACAAGGAGAAGTCGGACAAGTGGCAGCAGGCCGCCAAGGCCGCCGTCGTCGCTGGTGCTGTCGAGGCTTTCCGCAGCCGCAACGAGACCGGTCCCTGGACGGGTGCAAAGGGCCAGCGGATAGCGACTGCCGCTCTGGGTGCTGCTGGCATCAACAGTCTCGTCGACAGAGACCCAGAAGTGCACGAGAAGCGCCACGTCGCCGAGTCCGCCCTGGGTGGTCTCCTCGCCAACCGAGCTGTCCACGGCGCCCGTTCTCAGTCCCGCGGTCGCGACAGCCGCGACGGCTCGAGGTCTCCGTCTCGCACCCGCGCCCGCTCTCGCTCCATCTTTGGCCGCTCTCGCTCCCGTGGACGCTCCAAGTCCCACTCCCGCGACCGCTCCCAGGATGGCCGAGGAAACGGCCTCGCCAAGGTCGCCGGTACCGGAGCCGTCATCGCCGCAGGCAAGGCTCTCTACGACCGCGTGCGCTCAAAGTCCCGCTCCAGGCGTGAGCGCTCGCGCTCGTCCAGTGCAGACAGCTACGTACCATCTCGGAGGAGCCGCCGCTCGCAAAGCCGCGGCCGCAGTATGGATAACTACTCGGAAGGTCCTGCCCGGGCTAACCCAGATCGTAGACTAGCCGCAGGAGGCGGAGCGGGTGCAATGGCGCTGGCCTCTTCTGGTGGAAGACAGCGTGGGCGGGGAGTCAGTAGCGACTCTGAGTCGTCTACGGACATGGAAAATCAGCGCAAGAAGCTGCGAGGTAAGGAACTCCTCACTGCCGGGCTGGCCACTGTAGCCACCATCCACGCGGCGCACGGCGTCTACTCGTCCATGGAGGCCTCTGAGAGCCGACGCAAGCTTGTCGGTGAGGGCGAAATGTCGCCCGAGGAAGCCCGCAAGCGCAAGTCGAAGAACATGCTCCAGGACGCAGCGGCCGTGGGCATCGCCGCCCTCGGCATCAAGTCTGCGTACAGCGAGTGGAAAGAGATGAACGAGCAGCGCCACAGCGTAAAGGAACTCGAGGCCCGCCGTCGCAAGCGCAGAAAGGCCCGCGAGCGCAGCGAAAAGGAGGCCCGGCTCAATGCCCTCAGCCCTCAGAATGCTTACGCTAACCCCTATGCCTATCCTGTAGCCGCCAATCCGGCGTACCCGTCCACCACGAGCTATGTCGACGCCAACCCGTATAGTGCTATGCCCCCGCCGCCTATGGGCGCGAGGTACTAGGTTGAGAGCACTTGATGTTTCCTTTTTTTCGTTTGTGTTTACAGTGTGTGTGTGGGGAGAGAATGGGCATTGCTTACTCTGTGTCCTGCCTTTCTTGCGCTTTTGGGACGCTTGTATGGTTTTATACCACTTTTCTTTGACTTGGAATTATATTCTTCTCTTTGCATAAACGACTTGTTTTGTTTTTCCTCACCCTCTGCTTTATCCTAGTGTCGGGTCTTGAGGGCATACGTGGGCAGTGTCATGACCTGGATGAGTTTGGACATGGTTTCACGACTGCTAATGAATCACGAGCGAATGAATGAATGGATGGACGGATGGATGGGCAGATAGATAGATGAGAATTGCACGGTTATTCTTCTTTATACTCTTGAACGTGTGAAGTTATTCAGATTCAGATTCACGTTCTTTCTATAGGACAGTGATGAAAAGGGGGTATATATCATCCCCCCATCCTCCCTTTCCCCATACACAAAACAACCAAACTCCTCACCCTACCCCTTTCATGCTACTCACTCCACCTTCGCCCTAAACCTCGGCAACCCCAACCACAACCCCCATATCCCCCCCAACAGTCCCAACACAACCGGCTGCAACACCCTCACCCCGCGCGCCTGCGCAATCGCCCCAACAGCAAACGGGAAAATCGCCGCGCCCGACCCGCCAAACGCCGCCGCAAACCCAATCGCACTAACATGCAGTTCGCGCGGGAGCAATTTCGTCGCCGCGACAATAGCAGCGGGGAACAGCGGGCCGAGGAAGAAGCCCTGCAGTGAGACGGCGATGGCGGAGACGAGGAAGGAGGGTATGAGCCAGAAGATTAGCTCGAGGGCGAGGGTGAGGGGGAGGTAGATCTCCGTCTTCGTTAGCATTGAATGGGGGTGGGAGGGAAAAGGGGCGGGAGGAAGTACAGCGATAGCGAGTCTCTCGCCCACGCGCGGCGTGACGAAACCCAACACTACGCGGCCGGCTGTGACGCCCATCCAGAACCCCGTCGCTGTCATTCCGCTTGCGAATCTACCGCCGTGGCGCTCTGTTAGCATGAATTTCACGATCCAGCCACCGAGGGCGACTTCGACGCCGACGTAGCCTAGGAGGAAGAGCGCGCAGAGCCAGGTTGTGCGGGCGTGCGGGAGGTGGAGGAGGGCTTGTTTCATGCGGGTGTCTTTTGAGTGGGAGGAGCGGGGGTTTTTTGCGCGGAAGGCGGCGCCGGTTGCGGAGTGGAAGGCGAGGGTTGAGGTGAGGAGTTCGAGGGTTGCCATTGCTATCTGGGGGTGTGTTAGGCCTTCACTGCGAGAGTTGGGAGTCGCAAAACCACCCAGTCAGTCAGTCCGTAGCAGTGCAAAACAGGAAAAGGATAAGGGAGACACACCATAACATAGTAAAAGCACCACCATCCCAGCCCCCCCTTGGTAATCATCGTCGTAGCCACCAGCGGCGCAAGAACAGCCCCCACCCCATAACACGCATGCAGGAATCCCAGCACCTCATTCGGATTCGCCATGTTGCCCATCCAGGCATTCCACGCTGCGTCCGCGAGCCCGTTGCCGAATCCCGCCAGCATGAAGATGACGACTAGCACGGGGTACGGCGGGTGCAGCGCGATGACGATGTATGCGGTGAGGTGGCAGGATGAGGCGCCGATGGCGACGCCGCGCTGGCCGAAGCGCATGTGGATTATGTTGTTGAGGAGGGCGGAGGCGGTGTAACCTACCAGTGGGGAGAGGAAGATTAGGGAGATTATTAGGAAGGAGAGGGAGTAGTGGGATTGTAACTATCCCCATATCAGTATACTGTTCTATCTTTTTTTTTCATGTTTCTTGGAATTCTTGTACTGCTATGGCATGGCATGGTATGACATGGGATTAGTCAAGGAAAATATATATACATACATAAGGAATCAACGCCCCATACGCCGCATCATTACTCCCCATGACGACGAAACTCCAAAACGCTGCGCCTGTGCGGTACAAGTTCGTCCGAGGGGCGTTCCATCGCTCGGGTTTCTCGGCGGTGTGGGTTGTTGGCGAGGGGAGGATCTCGATGGGGTCGGCTTCTGGGGTTCCCTTTGTGTCGGAGACGCGTGGACTGCTGCTGATGGTGTTGTGTGAGACGGCGGGTTTGGCGTCGTGGGGGTTTGTGAGGAAGTGTGAGACGTCTTGGAGGGGGATTTGTTGCTCGATGACGGCTGTTGATGAGGTTCCGCTGGGTTGGTGGACGGCCATTTTTGGGGGTTGGGTCTGGGGGGGGGGGGGGGGGGGGGGGGGGGGGGGGGGTTGCAGATGAGGGGTGGAGTGCAAACGCACTCACTCGGACGAGGCAATGTGAGAAGTGAGAAGAAGATCGTGAGATATTGCGAGTGATGAACTGTTGAAAAGAGACACACACAGCCAAGCACAAACTTCAACCTCGCAAGATATGACGAAAGCGAGTCAAAGAAAGAAACAACAAACACTGAACCACCATCGACGTCTTTATACCTACCCATCCATCCACAAACCACTCTCAATTTTTCCCATCGACTCGACCAAATGACTAACTCCTCTCAAACGGTGCACAAAATGCGAGAAAAATCACACACTACCGTAGCTCGCAACACCTTCGTCCCATCAACGCACATACCGTTACGTCGTCATAAGCACCTCCGCACCCACGCCCCAACAGGCAAAGCCCGCCTCTGAAATCTGGGGTTATCCGCGATTCCCCACCATCTCGGTCCGACATGCTATAAGCTATACCCAATGCATCACTGTCATCATTGGATGATTGACACAAATCTTTTGAAGGGGCTATGTTTTTCGAATTTTCTGAACACTACAACGCTACACTGCCTCCACCTCATTACTCATCGAGAGATTCCAGAACCTCCATCAAATGCTGCCACGTCGTATGTACCATAACTATAACTACCTAGGGGGTATTTGCTCCATGTCATGCCATGCTATCCCATCAACCACCCACTACGAAAACCACAACAAGGGGGGAAGAAACTCGTGCGTCGTATGGTATCAAGCCGCCTACGAGGGCTGGATGACCGAAGGGCCAGCAAGCACCTGATCATCCGCAATCGACTGCGACTTCGTGATCATCATATACACCTCACCCTGCAGGTTCTGCGGGACCATGCAGTTCCCATCCGTGATCTGAGAGTACTGATTACCACCCCTACAACACATTAGCAATGTACTTTACTTCCACAAACATCAACAGCACAACAAGACAAGACTTACGGAGCAACAAAAGCGCAGAACGAAGCACCAGCCGGCTGCGCCGGATCCGCAAGCTTGAGGTTCTGGCCGACGGTAGCTTTCTCGGGGTTCTGCAGGGCAATGGCAGGGAAGGCCTGGATGTTCAAGTTCGAGCCTTCGGGGCAGGACTTGATGAACTGAGCGGCTAGGGTGAAGACCGCGCGGGGCCCGAGGGCGGTGTCGAAAGCGGCGGGGACGGCTTCGGCGCCCGAGGCTGTGCGGATGAAGGCCTGGTGGCGTGCTTCGACGGTCACGATGGAGCCCGCGGCGGAGAGAATGTCGGAGGAGTTGATCATGGGTGCTGCGCCCAGGTAGGCGGATACGCCGACTGCTTCGAGGACGCGGGCGGTCTTGACCATGGAGTCGGCGCTTGCGAGGGCCGCGTCGAAGTTGTACGTGCAGGGCTCTACGGGCTTTGCGCCGGCGCCGGCGATGGCTGACATGAGTGTGGTGACGTGGATGGCTTCGGTGGCACCGACGTTTAGCAGAGACTTGTACTGGGCCTCGGTGAGACCTAGGGCCATGAAGTCGCTCATGGGGAATTTCGCGAAGCCCATCTTGTAGTATGTTGACTCGAGATGTTCGGCAGTCAGAGCACTGGGGGTGTTAGATGGTGAATGTACATCTTTGTGTGATCCACGTTTGTGCTTACAAGTTGAGGATATCTATATCGCTCAGCGTTGCCTTTGGTGCTGCTGCTCCCGCCGAAGTCGCAGACGCAGAAGCAGAGACAGACGCCGATGCAGCCGCAGACAAGGCACTGCTCATCTCCTGGCGAGCATGAATATTCCTCGGGACAGCAGCCACAAGCGGGGCAAGGACAAAAAGCCCCTTAAGAACCGATGCTACACTCAACATGATGTCTGATTAATTCGTTTTCGAGCGTTGGAAAAAAGTAAGAACTTCGAATTCCAGCAAAGCCCTCGCTTTGATATCGAAAGAAAAAAATTAACTAGCTTCTCTGAAAAAGGTCCAACCAGGGACAAGCAAAAAAAGCCGTGAAAGGAAGAATTCGTAAAGAAAGTCGTAAAGTATTAAGGTACGGGATCGATGAAGGAAGGAAGATGGGAAGGAGTCTGCGATAATCGATATGCAACAGAAACGTTCGACACAAAACAGCATGCGCGGCCAAGAGACCTTATACAAAAAGTCCGCGAGACGCCTAGCCACCATCTGAGACGCGGTGGTAAATTCGGAGGCAAACGTTCCCGCGCCCACGGTGTCTGCATCTCACCCCCCAGTCTCCACCCACTCGCGCATCGAAACTGCGCCCATCAACCCACTCACCATCTAGGGAATGCCTGCGCTCGAGCAGCAACCGCCGAGTCGAGTGCTTGACGTTGCGATAGTAGTAGTATTGGGAGCATGGGGCGTAGCAGGTCCGGGGATGTGCGACGTGGTCGGCATCTTATGAAACTGCTCGAGTGCCAACGTCGAGTGTGTGCCATGTGCACGGAGGAGAGCAAAGCCGTTCTGGAGAAGGGCTAGTGTTCGCACGATAATACAGAGTGTTTGATGGCGGGGTCTGGTGTGTCCGGATGGCTTTGTTGCGGTGCCTCGGGGGTGGGCGGACGGATGGTTTCTCACGCTGGTGGGTGGGCGGACGGGCGGAGGGAGATATGTTGAAACACTGTTTTTAGCAGCGTCGCGGTAGCTGGATATCTTTGCATGGTTGAAAACCTTCTTGAGCAACTTTGCTGAGGCGCTTCATGATGTTGGACCGAGAAATGAGGATGGCAGTTGGGAAAGAAGCGATGGTGAAGGCTGGATACGCGAGAACGTCACCAAATCACTGCATTTGCACTTTTGCGCCCAAAGAACTGCCTACTAAGGCGGAGTCTGTTTGACAAGGGTATCTGTGCCCTGTGTTTCCTGGAATGTTGCAGATCCGTTCGTGACTATCCAACATGCGGCACCACGATCAGGCTAAACAATATTGCACTTGCCGTCGACACCGGAAGGCTTCTTTCCATGGCATCCGAAACAACTCCAGCAGCCCTGCAACTTGTGAGTAGACTGGATTTGTGAGCCAAAACCAGCGAGTTGGACGGACAAGTAGCTAAAAGCATGGATTAAAGCAATAAAAACTATCTCTAACTGTACTTGCAGAATCAACCAACACATTAACATACTACCCGTTGCTTCTGTGATTGAACATGCTGCAGATATTGCGATATTCATTCACCGCATACGTATGAACAATACACATCCTTCGCTTGTTCGTTTCCTTTCAGCCAACCGAGACTAACACATATCCACTCATGCAACCTCTCGTTCAAACAATTCCGAATGACGACTATGAGAGACAACCTTCCTACAGTACGCATCGATTACATGGTATGCTATGGTGGGCTAGGTTCCAACATACTCAAAGAGCATAGGGGTTCAGGGATCGGATGGTCAGGCAACTGCGGAATAAGTCAGTACATGCAAAAGCATTGTGAGGGTCATGTCAACTTACGGAGGGCTCTTTGACAGGTCCGTCTTAAGGATAACTGGAACGCGCATCATCTCCCGCACATCCTGGATGTAGCTGCCGTTCTCCTCGCGGAGAGTGAACCAGTCAAGGTACTTCTCCTTATTCGTCAGCTTGGCCCCGGAAGTCGCGCTCTGTGCAAGCTTCGAGTCGGAGTTGACACGAGGAGGAGCCTGTCCGGAAGGCCCGCCTCGCGTAGGCGAAGGAGGCATGCTCTGGGTTGGTCGATCAGCACCCGTCTGGTTTAGAGAGACACCTGCCATGGCCGAGTTGAGGTCGTTTGAGTCGTCATCGTCATCATCGAACAGTGCCTCGGTATCAGCAGTTGACATCGTTGCAGTATCCATGTGCCTGCGTTGGGCCTCTTCTTGCTCCTTCGCACGCTGCTTGGCCGCCTCAGCATCACGCGCAGCCGCGGCAGCATTGGCAGATCGGACTGAACCGTGTTTCGGCCTCTCGTCCTCGGGAACAAAGGCAGATGATGGCACGCCCTTCTCCCAGTAAAGCTCAAGAAGGCGGTTGTTCTTGTCGAACTCGGCCTTCTTCAGGGGAAGCTGGTCACAATGGACGCGCTTCTCGAAACCCCATTCAGGGATGAGGACGTCGAAAGCCGACTCATACACGCAGAGGACGATACCCTCGGTGATCAAATCGCCACCCTGCTCCAGCCTTACTTTGTCCATCTTGCGGCATGCCTCAATGTGCACGCTCTGCTCCTGAGCGGCATGAGCAGAATCCTTCTTGGTGTTGCACATCTCCGCGGTTTTGGCGAGAATTTCGATATCCTCGGTGAACTCAACAGCGCCCTCAGACAAGACCGCCTCCAACTGACGATGCACAATGATATCCGCATAGCGCCGGGATGGATTTGTGAAGTGAGTGTAGACGGGAAGGTTCAGAGCATAGTGAGGATGTTGATCTTCAGTCAACTTGCTGGCAACGAAGTACTTCGCACGAGGCATCGACTTGATCACCAGGGTCTCCATACCCTTTCGGATCTGGCTGTCGTCGACCTGGAAGAGACTGTTTTGCAACGTTCCGCTGCTCGTCGTGTCGATAGAATAGCCGATGGCACCCATGCGCTCAGCGATCGTTGTCAGACGACGAGGGTTGGGAGGTGCTTGACGACGCAAGAGTGCCTTCTCTGGCAGACCAGCGGCGATCTTCTTCGCAACAAACGCGTTCGCGAGGTGGCTGAGCTCCTCAATGCACTCATGAGCTGGGGAGGAATCGAAGATGTTCTGCTCCACAGGAACGTTCTCGTCATCCAACTGGTGCATGAGACGCAGAGGCTGGATGTCGGTGGTACGGTTACCAAAGCGTGCCTCACGGAGCTTCTGGGAGATGTGGTGGAGAGTCTTGATGTCCTTGGCTCGGGCTGCAGTGACTTCACTGTCGCCTCCATTGATAACAGAGTCGACCTCGTCATACTGCAACATGCCAGAGCTCTTGATGACAGCCTTGCCAATCCAAGTCTCGTCTTCGGACACGCGACCCGACTGAGGATCGACTTTGAACACTACACTGACAGTGTAGCGCTCTTCTCCTGGGTTGAGGCAGCAGATGTCGTTGGAAATACGAGGCGGGAGCATGTTCACTGTACGGTTCATAAGGTAGACCGCAGTTCCGCGCTTCTTGGCTTCGCGATCAACGAGCGAATTTGCCTTGATGAAATGGGCAACGTCGGCAACGTGGATACCAATCTCGACACGGCCATCCTCCAGGTACTTGAAGTGGATTGCATCGTCAAGCTCCTTGCTGCCGTTGGGGTCGATAGTGAAAGTTTCTTCGCTTCGGAAGTCGCGACGGTTCTCGAAGACGGTCTCGCCGTCATTTTCAACCGACCAATCCTCGAAACCAACGTTCTTGATGACAGCCTCAGAAAATTCATCCGGGCCGAAGTTGTTGTCGCGGAGGAGAGCATCGGTTTCCACCTTAAGGTCACCCATCACTCCAAGCTGCTCAACAAGGGTTCCGAATGGATGCAGCGAGGTAATGGGCCATCGCTTAATGCACGCCACGAAAATCCGGTCGGCGTAGTCCTGATGCTTCTCAACAAAGTCTCGCGGTGCCTGCTCGGTTGGAATGGCGATCAAGGGCACACGCTTGTCAGTCGGCTTGAACCACACAATCTTTGGCTTGTCCTGGCGTTCTGGCTGAGGACGGCCCGTGTTGCCCTCTCGTGCTTGGCGCTCAGCCTCCTGCTTCTCCTTTGTGGCCTGGCTGCTAGGGCGCAGAAGTCCGAGAGAACTAGACAATGGTTAGTAGTGAATCCAGCGAGTAGAATCGGTATACTTTGCTTACCCAGAAAACATCTGTCCAGCAACACGCTCGATGACAGCAACGACGTGACCAGCATACAAGGGCTTCAGCTCATCGTTGATCTCCTCCTCCTCCATCAAGAGCAGGCTCTGTCCCTCAACCTCGACGTCATCATTCTTCTTCTGCGTAGGCCGCTGGCGCAAACTGCCACGTCGTCGAAGACCACCCTCAGAGGAGGTCTCGGGCTGGGTGGTGGCGTCGTTCACGGCAATGCTACCGCCGCGAGGATCGGCATTGTCCTTCCTCTTCTTCTTCTCTTCCTTCTCGCGCTTCTGACCCCACACCTCGTCGACGTCAAGAAGCTCAATGGCCACCAAATCTCCCTCCAGAGCACGGTTTCTGTCCTTGCTACCACAAATGAAGATGTCAGCGTCTAGATCAGTGGTAGTAACATAAGCATCGCTTCGGTTCTTCTTGTTGACACGGAGGATACCGGCAACAAGCTGACCGTCGCTAAGAAGCGCAGGCAAAGTAGCCTGCGGAAGGTAAGGAGTGAATAAAGTTTTGCGCTGTTGCTGCTGCTGTTGCTGCATGCCCATCTGGGGCTGGGAGTGCTGGCTGGCACCGAGGCCACCCATGCCTCCTCCGTTCATCTGAGCGGCCTGAAGAGCCTGGAGATGAGCGATCTGCATAGGGTTGAGGCCACCTTGGTTGCCGAACATCTGTTGTTGCAAAAGAAGTTGCTGCTGGGGTAGCATACCCATCTGGGCCTGACCCTGGTATTGGAAGTTGCCAAGAGCGTTTGCGGAGCCAATGGACTGGCTGACGGAACCGCGAGTGCGGTGTCCAGGTTGGAAAGGAGCGGCGTTGGCAGTCTGGTTCATGTTGAAGTTGCCCATGTTCTGGCCTTGGTTGTCCTGAGTAGGCTGTTGCTGGTTGTTGGCTTGGGGCTGTCTCCAGTTGCCTTCGAAGTTGCGCGATGCAGTTGATCCAGTCCTGCCATGACCCTGGCTGCCACGGCGTTGGAAGTCTGACTGGCCACCCTGGGTGCTCGCGTCGGGCGCGGGCGCTGCTGGGAAGGAGAAGGCTGGTCCACCTCGACCGGCGCTTCCGCCACCACGTCCGACGGCCATGCTCTGGCTACGGCCATGGGCACCGCGTCCGCCACGAGCGGCTGATGCCGAGTCGTTGGACGGCGTGGTGCTGGCCCCGCTAGGGCTCGCGTCACGGTTGGAGCTGCCGCCAGCCGAAGGAAGGGGGAACTGGAAGCCAGAAGTCTTTCTCTTCTGTTCTGCCGCATCAGCCGCCTTCTTGGCGTCGGCAATAGCCAAAGAGTGTCGTCGGGTGTGTCCCGAGCCAGCACTGCCGCCGCCTCGGCCACGAGGGTTCACGTTCTCACGGCCCTGCTGCTGTGCACCGAAGTCACCGAAGCCGGCGGCGCCCGAGGACGGAGCTGGGGGTGGACCCATACCGACATTAGGGAGGGCGGACTGGTTTCGGCGGTGGGCAGGCGGCTGGCCTGGGGCGTTCATGGGGACGCCGAGGTGCTGCTGTGGCATCTGCTGGGGAAACTGGTAGTTGTTTACCTGGGGCGAGACGTTGGGCAGCTGTCCCTGCATCTGGAAGCCGCCAAGGGCCTGTTGTGGCTGAATCATGCCCATGTTAACATACTGCTGGTGTGTGGCAGCAATCTGTTGCTGCTGCTGCTGTAGAACCTCGATCTGCTGTGCAATGGCGAGTTGTTCCACTGCACGGGGCTGTCAGCAAGAGCGCGAGCTGGGACAAGGGGGGCGGGAGTACGCACTCATCAGCGGCGTCAGCTCAGACGGACTACGTCGGTGAGCAATGTGCAGACGACGGCCGGTCGGGCCCAGTGGACCCTGCTGGCCTGGCTGTTGTTCCATGGTTGATAGTGTAGTGGTGTTTGTTCAAGACTGGCGTGCAAGTGTATATGTGCTGTTCGCAGAAGCGACGGTCGACCCAGTCGAGGCTGCGGAGGACACGGGGCGGTGCAGAGCGGCGTGGTATGCTATCTGCAGGCCGTTAGCAATGCTGCCTGCAAACGCCGCGCCGTCGATGAGGTCACGGGCAGACGCAATGCGAAAGCGTGCAGAGCGGGGGCGGCGCTCGTTGCTCGGGGGAGCTAGTGGAGAGGACACTTACACTGCTGGAAGCGTGCTGGCGAGGCCGTGCGCGCGGGGTGGCTATGTTCTCAGGAATTGATGCTGAGGGCGTGTGCACTGCAGGTAGTGGGCAGGCGGTGGTGGTGTGGTTGTGTGGTTGCGTAGTGGGCAGACAAAGTCCGGGCTCTGGCTCTGGCTCTGGTCTAGAGGATAAGGATCGGGGATGCAGGGGCGGGCGTTGGCTGGCAAGGAGCGCAGTTTCCCTGGGAGTGGGCGTCTGGCAAAAACAACAAAAAGAGGACGGAGAGAGTGCGGCGAAGGAGGGAGCGATGGGGTGCGGGGGAAGGAGGGTTGGTGAAAGGGCAGGTCGGAGAGCTGCGCGCTCAAAAGGTAAGATCGGAGGGAAGGCCCCTGCTTCTCGGCTCTGGGAACGAGTGCGGTTCGAGAGGTACGTCACTACCAGGATTCACGAGCGATAGTTGGGGTAGCGGAAAAAGCAAGCAGACATGGTCTAAAGATATGTTGGGGATGGTTTCTCTGCCCTCTATATGCTGCAGCCAGAAGCCAGGTGGCCAGCGACAGTCTGCACTGCGTCTCAGCGGCCGCCATGTGAAGCACCACGTTTTGGCTCCCATGTTTCATCCCACCGGCTAGCTCGACTGCCTCAGCACACCAAAGCGGCCTGGTGTTGTGTGAGATTGACTGCAATCCTTCGCAACGCGTTGAGCCGGCAACCCCATCCCGGCCGTGTTCGTCTTTTTTTCTTATTCAGACGCTACTGGCTGCGCTCCTGGTAGCTGGGAGTCGTCTTTTGTCGATACGACAACTGTGAGGCCTATACGGCGCCTGCTCCAGCCTAGTCGTTGCATCCGACAAAGCAGCCGCCGCTACGAGACTGGCTGCCCCCGTCCCAGCGTCGATGATCCTGCAGTGATCCTGCGGTGACGCGATTGAGGTAGACAGCTGATACGGGCCATGCACAATGCTGCATTGGTGGCCGACGTGTGCGAACGGCGAGCGCGTGGAGTGAAATCAATGTCCCTAGCCGGCCGCTAGCGCGTCGCGCTCGAGCGCTTGACCCGCTTAGGCAAATCGTGTCTCCAACCACGTCTTTTTGCTCTTTCACGCATTCAACCACATCCTCCGCACTCAACCATGCCCGCCCGCTCGGGCACGTCTTCGTCCAGCATGCACACCAGCACCTCCTTCAGCTCCAGCCTCGCCGGCAGCTCCCCGTCGCGCCAATCGCCCTCCAGACACGTCCGCTCGCCCCGGGGCTCGCTGATCCAGGACCCCTATGACAGCCCGTCGCGCCAGCTGGCCCTCGAGTTCAACCTGCGCCTCAGCATCTCCGACCGCGACTTCAATGCCCGCCTCGACCAGGCCGCCGCCGAGCGTGCAAAGGTCCACGAGGAGCAGCTCGCCAAGGCCGCCCATGAACACCAGCGGGTCTTGAGAGGCGCCGAGCTGGAGCTGCAGCGCATAGCCCTGGAAGAGGAGCAAGCCAAGCTGCGACGGGCCGACGCGCAGCAGAAAGAAGTCGACCGCCTGCAGCAGGAAAAGGCCCACCACGAGGCCCACGTGCGCCGACAGCAGCTCGAGGCCAAACAGCGCGAGGAAGAGGCCGCGCGACAGGCTGCCGAGCACCAGAAGAGGCTGCACGAGGCCGAGGCCCGTCTCAGGGCCCAGAAGGACCAGGAGGCAGCCGCCGAGAGGCAGAGGAGAGAGAAGGAAAACACGGACCGGCAGGCGAAAGAGACTGCAGCCGCTGCAGAGCACGCCCGCGCCCAGCAGGCTGTCCAACACCAGCAACAACAACAGCAGCAGCCACCAACACAGGTGGTGTCTGCAGTTGCGCCCACGCCCGTCGCCCCGTCAGCACCCCCAGCAAGCACCCCGGCCTCAGCAAGCAGCATCAACACAATCCACGCCAAGTACCTCGAACTGCACACCCGCATGAAAGCATTTCGCGTAGCATTCCAGGACAAGCACAAGCAAAAGGGCCAGCCGCTCAAAGAAGCCGTCGGCAATGCGCGACGCAACATCCGCCTGCGTCTGGGCCAGATCACCACCGACCGAAAGGACAGCGTCGCGGCCATCAAGAGGCTGCGCGAAGAGTGCTTCAACGTGGCCCTCGAGACCCCCGGCCCCATGATCGACATCCGACACTTCATCGTCTCGCACGAAATCCCCCCTCTCGCGAACGAGGCAGAAGCGCAATACCCAGCCTTCCTCCTCTACGTCTGGATCTGCTTCGAAAAGTCGGTCCTCAAGCAATTCGAAAAAGAAGCCGCCAACGAGGACGGCCGCATCATCCAGGAAATCGGCTTGATAGCCGCCAGCCTGCTCGGCGACCAGCGCTACATGTGGAAAGGCCTCCCCCTCACCGACATCATTCTCGCTAAATTCCACCGCCTCTGCCCCATCCTCTTCGGCATCCGCGGCACAATGGACACAGCAGAAGGCCGCCTACGCTTAGGATGGATGCCCATCGACAAATCCCCCGCCACAACAGAAAACTACAGCCAACGCATGCGCGGCCTCGGCGCCGGCTACGCCTCGCTCTCCCTGCGCTCCTTTGCCGCAAAGGCCCCCGCCGTCCCTATATCGGAGTACTGGCGCGCCATCGTCTCCATATGCAACACGCGCGCTGAGGACCTCTGGCCGGGACACTTCGCCCTCCTCGGCGGCCTCATCAGAGACTACTACAAGAAATTCTTCCAGTTCTACGGCGTCCAGGCCCGTGGCGTCTTGCGCCGCGCTACGGTTGATCTGCCTGCTCGCGCGCCGGATCGCTGCAAGGACGCTGCGGGTACGGTTGCTGTTTTGCCTGTTGGCTGGAAAAAAGATGGCATCTCCCTGGATTGAAGGGGGTGGGGTGTGTATTGTATGCGTATATGGGGGTTTTTGCGGTGCGCTGTTGGGCCCCGTGTGTCTGGCCGAGGGTCTTTCTTTTTCTTTTGGTGGATCTACGTTTTCGTGTCTTACAACGTTAAAACTCGCATGGGTCGGCGTTTTGTCTGCATCTCTGCATGCATGTCTGTCTGTCTTGCGTTCTTTGGTTTTGTTTTGTTCCGTTCTGTTTCCACTGCTGAAATATGGTGGATGGGGTGGGTGGGGATCATCACGTACATGCACGTTAGAAGTCGTTGGCAAGCTGCTGAATACCATGTTTTCACGCTGAGTACTGCGGTCGATATATATATGCTGGAAAGACGCGTTTGTGGAGGGCGCTTTTCGCCGCCTCCACTTCTCGCTCTACTACTCTCCTATCTCCTCGCCTCGCCGCTGGCGTGTATTGACTAGTACCTCTCCACGGCCCAGACTCGCCGATACAAGGCTCAAGAACACCGTCCGTCTCCATGCTACTCACTACCCGCCCTACACGCGCTCTCTGCCCCCAAGTTTCGCCATATTGTATGACTCGGTAAAGCACTGGCTGTATACAATGGAAACTACAACAGAGGTACATGTTGTTGTTGTCAGATCGGCTTGGGAGAAACAAAGCAGCAACAGTATATAACGGCGTAGACGGAACATCTGGCAATGAACAGGGCTGGAAGGATACATCTGAATTAAACTGTACATCGTGGACGCGCTGAAAGTACTGACCGACACCTACCTGCCCAAAGACGACTACGATCGAGTAGCCGCAGCATCTGTGATGAGCTTGGGTGTGAAACTCCTTGTCCTCCTTTCGAAGGTCTTTTCCGATACAGATGAGGAAGTCTTTATTATTTCTATAACTACGACCTCGATATGCAGAATATTTTCATGGACGGGCATGGCGAGCAGACGTGTCTGCAGAGATTCTTCTTCGAAGAGATGGGACGCCTTCTGCCCTAGTGGGTGGAGATCTTCAAAGAGAGCGAAATCAAGGCCGATTTCAAACTGTTGGTACAAAATATTGACAACGCGCTTTGCTATGGGATGATCTTGGGCTGGATAGGGGAAGTTGAGAGGAGAGAGATGCCGATGAGTGTTTGGTACTTGTTTAGAAGGTGAACAAAACAACAAAGGGCCGGCAGGGCGAGCAAGATTGTGATCCTGTATACAATGCTGTTCCAAATTTACCGCGACTTTCTGAAGCCAAGGCGCAAGTTTTGGTATTATGAGGAGAAAGTGTGTGTGTGGGTTCTGCATGAGAAGAATGATTACCGCGATGTCACGTGTAAAGTATAAATAGCACAACCCACAATCGACTGCTGGCTTCTGCACTTGATTTCGTCTTCCTCCACCTCTAAAAGCGCCACGATTTCTCTCCAGCACAGAGCCACTAATGTAGGGCCCAATCGCAGCTAGTCTAGCGTGCCTCGTGGAAAGCACAACAACCCACCACGGGATCTGTCATTTCCTTGATCTGACGCGTTGGCTTGATCGAAACGGCATCAGTGGCCTCTTGTCATTATTTTAAGACACAGATACTGTAGGGCTTAGCCTAGGCAGATTCGCAGCACGCACAAGCTCGAAGATGCGAGGCGTTGCACAGCCCTCGCTTTCCCTCACCATCTCATTTCCCTTAGCCTAACTTGCAGTCCGCATCTTGCCATTCGCCAACACCTGTTCGTTCCCTTGAATCGGAAAGCTAACACAATCCCAGCGTGGAACTATACTGTGTACAACAAAAGAAAAACGTGCTGCGAGGGCAGCCGATTGGCAGCCACGGCTACACAAGCTGAAATAATACTCTGCCGCGTGGATGTATCTGGAAAATGCATACAGACGTGGCTCGCACGCGCGTCTACAAGACATCCTTACTGGTTTAAGATTATGCAAGTTTTGTACTACGACATCGCGGATGCATGCTTCAGTTCGTCGCTCATACGTCTAGGCCACCGCCTATTTTCAGGCAACCAGGCCTGGTTTCTCTTTAGTATTTCATGATAGTCATCCTTTTTTGGTCAAGTCTTCTCATTGGTCCAGGTATTCTGATCCACCAAGTAAGTGAGCTATGCCATGAGGCGGAAATGGCGTTTTGTGATTCCTGAATCGGTGGCCCATCTCCCCACCACTGCCTGAGGCTGAGCTCTTCATATCAAAGCTAGATGAGCATGGTTGGACGCCTTTGCCAGAACCTCTCCAGGGTGGCACGATGGTATGGGTCAATGCATAACGGTGCTTCGTCTTGCAGAAAAGTATATCTTCTACTTGATATCCGGAACATATACTCTTGTTAGTAGTACCTGCAGGTTTTGGTCAATATCAGCCCGATATCCCAACAACGTTTCAGCCTCGTACGGCGTAGCCTTTCAGTCATATCTCATCAACACGCCCTCCAGCCTTGGTGCTTCAAACACCTTCGCACCCTGATCCAAAGCAACTTCTGCAGGACCAACCTCCACACTCTCCTCCAAGTTCTTTACCATGGCTCCCACACCAGTGGACAACAGCCTCACCGCTGACCCAACATCCACACCCCCGCCATCGCCTGCATACTGGGCCAAAGCCAACATCATAACAACAATCGTTTTCTGCCTTTTTGCCCTACTCTTCTCCGGAATCCTAATAGCCTTCTTCATCCACCGACGCAACGAGAAACGAAAAGTCACCAACCCAACCCCAGACAAAGCAGGCCTTCTCGCAAACGAAGACAAAACAAGCATGTTCAGCCGCAACCGAGCGACCAGCGTAACCCTCTACGTCGACTCCGAGGCCGAGGCTCAGAGCAAGAAGACCAGCCATGAAACTGTGTCGCTGATACCGCTTCAACTCACTCCTGCGCAAGAAATCGGCAATCCTATGAACAGCACAGAGAGCGCGGGCAGTGGCATCAGTGCCATGAGCAGGGTGAGCCGGGCAACCAGAGCCAGCAGCGGTACACAAAGCACTATGTTATTGAGCCCTATCTCGTCGATCTGTGACGATGGAGATATGGGCTCGAGGAGGCCCGGCAGAGCTCGAAGCTCAAGTGCGACAAGCGTGCGTTACTACGATAGGACACCTCTGGACGCCCCTCCTATGCCGATTCCTATAATCGTTCGCACCGGGTCTGATTGAGATACACGGCGCGAGGTTACAAGGCTCATGATATGGATGTTCAGCCACTGTTAGGACAAGGGGTGGCTATATACTTTTCACTTTCGACTTCGCGTCAGCGGATGCAGCATGCGCTTCGCACGCCTTCTACTTTTCTGTTTCTGCACCTGTACTTATTCCGCGTTTCTCTGCTTTGTCACATTGCAAGCCTACCACCTGCTTTCTGGCGTTTTCATGAATACCCCATTTTTACTCCTGCAATGTTTACAGCGAGCGGTCGAGTCTGGAAAATACAATTCTTCGTGCTACACACATGTCTACCTGAATGACAAATCTACAACCCCCATGTTCCTGTCCTTGCGCGTTCATGATTCGTCTTGTCTCACCGCTATACACCGCAAGTGCTGCCTTGAACTCGGCCCCCACAAAGACCACTTGTTCGTCAGAAAAAAAGGCTTTTACGGTAGGTTTAGCCCTCACCCCTATCTGCTGTACTGCGGTCTTTCGGAGTCAGATTGTACTGTCAGTGTAAGAGCACTACCATGATTACCCCGCAAGGCAGCTGCGTATGAATCACCTTCTGGTTGCTTGACTGTGAGCTAGCGCGTGTGTTTGGATGATATCAAGATCGTGGAGTATGTACGGCGAGCAGTGCTTGGAAAGCGTCCGAATAAGCATCATTTGGGGCGAGGTCAGGCGGCGCGAAAACGCAGACCAGGCGCATGGGTGGATTGACACAGGGGTTGGGGGTCGGTTGTTGGTTGTCTAGACATGCACAGCCACTATCTTCCAGGAACTTGGTTGTGAGCATTCGATGGCGAAACATACGAATAATAGGTTCGTAATATTTGGCGCTCTGGTTGGTATGGTATGGCTTACAGTGACTTTTCAGCTGGATAGAATCTACTATGCGGAAGGTAAGTAAGATGGTTTCGCTAACAACGTGTTCATGGCATCTATACTCGTGGAAGTTGCGGTAATATGCAGCATAGAAACAAAGGCTATTACTGTACTGTGAGAATAGTTGAGGGGAGGCAATTGGACTGCAAGACCCGCTATTGATTGGTCAAGAAGACCTTTCTTGAACCAGTGGAGTTGGTGGAATTTTCCTTTTTGCAAACGACGTGCATTCACACACTCTGTCAGCTTCCGTTCTCCAGATTCACATGTAAGGCAATTACATACAGTTTGTTGAACGCATTCTCAGTCAGAAAAAAGGCGATATAGTCATCATCTTGAAGATGTAGGTACTTGGATGCAAAGTTCTTGAAGATATCACTCAACCGGGGTTCACTTCTTGAATCTGAGCCTTCCTCCACCAATATTGTCAAGTTGGGCCATTGTGCGGATGAGATCTCGCGGCTGGATGTAGGAGCGATCGTCATCAAACAGCATGTTTGAGATTTCTCATGCTGAAAAAAGGGCGACTGGGAGCACACTGAGCCACGAAATATCTTGTCGCTGGACAGAGAATATGTTTTCTCTGGCTTGTAATAGTCTAAACCAAAGGAATACATTGATTGAGGATAACTTTTGGCGCTGAACTCCCGTCTCTTAGGCTTGACGGCATTCGATGATATCTATACTCCAGACGACTATGAGGTATTGTTGCGCATGATGAGTGAGATTCTGTCATTAACGCCAATACCTAATCAACGTATGCTACATGCTAGGACTTAATATGTGGTCTAATAAACGACCTCCAGCATCAAGTAACCGTTTGGTTTCTAATATTCCACTTTGCTGTAAGTTGTTGTTGGCGGTTGTTACATGCTCATGTAAACGTTCTAGACAGACTCTGAGCTTGCATTGATGATTCTAACGCAGTGACTGCAGGTTCGGATTGGTAATGTCAGAATACTCTGGGTACGTTATGCTGGTGAAACGCTAGTAGCGGTTGAAGTGAGTTGTTGCGGGATTGGCGGTTCAGGAGGAAAGCTATGAAATATGTATTAATGCACAATCACGAACTAAATGCATTGCGGCGTCGGATATAGTGAACTCTTGATGTGACAGTCGACTGCTCGTTTGACCACTACGCTAAGACACACATGGAGGCAATTACATGGGAGAAGTCTAGAGAGAAAGGATAGACATTGATGAAGTGGTTATGCTCACACCCTGGCGGGGCTTTTGAAACCTGTGCCGTTTGTCGTAAAGATGAATTTGGTTGATCCTGGGGCTGTCGAGTGCATGAACACGCCAATAACCATGAACCCTCACACATCAACGCCATGCGACTGCGAATGTATCGCACATGATTAAGTTGAAGTCATGTCGCTTTTGAAGTTGTAGAGGTCTTCTTCAAAGTGTCCATGCCCCTGGCAGCAGTCTAAGTGCTAGCTTGTGTTGATTAATCTTCACAAAAAGATGAGACTAGGTAATCGTTGATGATGACAGTTTTCCAGTCAAGATGATACTAAAAAACTCGTGGTTTGATTTGCCCATACATGCAGAAAGCCCATTCTCAGGTCGTGTTCTAGCATACGTACCTGTCTGTGTCTGTTCTTGTGGTGTGTAGTATGCAGAGGAGGGCTGAGCTTGCTAGACGACAGCCTCGGTCTCATGTTTACTATGTGTTGATGTTGTGGTCGAGCATTGATGTTATTGTTGAGCTAAGCCACGAGAGATCGTCGGGTTAGTGCATTGGATTAAGAACCATCTAGCGGGCCGCAGGTTGCTGACTGGGAAAGACCCATTAGACATGTTGCGACAAACTGCAACTCGTTGCGCGGTCTGAGTGGTATTCTCACGAACGCAGATGGTTAAGAGTCTTCGTGCTGGAAGCATATCCAGTTAACGTGCCTGTTGCAGAATCCAAGTAGGCAGAAGATAGCTGTGTAAGGTTTTTTTCTTTGCCGTCGGCTCGTCACCACGGCAGCTTCCCGTCTTGCGGAACGTTAGGACCAAAGTTCGATAGATTCGCAAATGTGAGCGGCCTAATCTCCGGTTGGATATAATTCCCCGACAGCAAGAGCTTGACGTGGAAGACACTGTGTGTCGCACGCCTAACAAGAGATGCAGCCAGTGGTACATGCGTACATGCAATTGTACCTGCGGCAACCCTCCAACAACGATATGTCATGCTGTGCCATGACACTTGGAACATCAGTCGAGGATATGTTGCATTGCATGCGGCAGTCCCACAAATGTTTTAACCGAGTCAGTGGGTTCGTATATGCAGGCACTATCTAGCTTGGACTCGTGGTTTGTGTCCGGTTCGCGTCAGCAAGGACTGCTGCTGTGTTCCGTCAAGCCGTTGTACACATCTGTTATGCGGTGTGTCTGATCTGCAAAACTGGACAAGGCCGGCGGACGCTCTCTGTCGCGTCTCAGAAGTGGCAAAGATATCAGCGTACAAAGACATCGTTCCAAAATCCAGGTTGTGAGACACGGCGATATGGAAATGAGATGAAGGTCGGTTGCGACTACGCTAGCCACATCCAATCAGACCTGGGACTAAACGGCGTCGACATGGTCCCTGCAGGGCCAGCCCTCAAGCGTGTTTGCACGTTGTTCCCCCATGATCTTCCTCTTCACCCAGGGCCATCGTAGCTTCCCACCCGCTACGCTCTTTCTCGGTTGCGCCCGAGCCTGGTTCTTTCTTTTCTCAGGCCGCATCCTCCTCTGGCACGGTCTCTTTAATTCTTGTTACTGTACATATACACAGCACGCCTCTAACGTCTACCCCTGCCATCCCTGCCAACGAATGTCGTGAAATTGCGCGTCGTCTGCTATCTGACCAAGTCGTCAACACTGTCTGTCGCGCCTTCGAACCACTCACGCCACCAACTGGGACCCACGACGTACACGCGAGTGGAGGATGCATCAACGCACATGTAACGACTGTTCTTGCGACTCTCAGCACATGGATAATTGCCAACGACGTGGACGAGTGGCTCGCCCCCAGAAACAAGCATACCTCGGCAAAAGGCTCGTCGCTTTCTCACTCCTCGCCGCATCCGTACCAGCAACGTTGGCGCAACAGAGGTGCATTTCACTACAGGGTTCGACAAGTTGTCCGGCATTCAGCTCAGCATCGATCAGTACGAACTTGACTGGGGAATAGTACGCGTAGCCCTACGTCCAGTTGGGTTCAATGCTAATGCATATTGAACAGTTCTTTTCTCTCGTTCGTATCGGATGCCAGCACGTTTGACCGACAGCTGCAATCCTACATCGCGACCACTTATTCGCAACAAAAGTCAGTCTATCAATCACCCGTATCTTGTGCACAAGCATCATACAAGACCTCCAGGACTAATTTGAACACAGGTACCAAAACGTTTTGGGCTGTTCGAGCATCAATCTCACCAATACCACTAAGATTTATGCTCGATACACCACATCTGTTCTTTGTAATGCTATTGTTCAAAGTTCCAAAGAACCATGCGGGTTGAGTGATGCAAATTCGACACCACTATGCGCTAGCGATTGTGTACGCACTTCCCCTCGCAAACTCTGAATTCAACTTGAGGCGAATGCTGATCAACTGTAGGCTGATTTCGCCGTGAGCGAACAATTGATAGCTGCAAGCCCAGATCTATGCGGTACGCCAGGCAGCAATGCAAACACGCAAATACGAGCCGACTTCACACGCTGTTCATTACCGGCAGATTCACTTAGTGGGAGCTGCATCGAGGCGGTGCAGAATGAGCCGAGCGAGTGTGGCTTCCAGTCCAACCTGGAGGGATTGTGCGCGTTCTGTGCAACGAGCACTGCAAATTCCACAGACTCGTGCTGTCAAAACGCAAACGTCGAGTCGCGCTGCGTAGGCGTAGTACTTCCAACAATAGTATCAATGCCGCCGCTATGGCCATCGAGCACGACATCGGGCACGCCAAATGCTACTTCGGGCGCGACTGGTGCAGGAAATTCGTCGAAGTCGGGGCTGTCTGGAGGCGCAATTGCGGGCATTGTCATCGGATCCATCGTCGGCGCAGCGCTGGTTCTTGCTGGCATCGTCTTATGTTGCTTCCAAATGCGGAAACGCAAGCAAAGCCAGGTTGGCAGTGTTCTGAATACGCCCTCTCCAACACGCCACTCTTCTCGAGGCTATCCGATGAGCTACGGAGGGGATGGTATTGCCCCTCCCACCATTATACCCGGAGCTCGCGTGCAACGCATGTCAGCTTTGGAAGGATCAACATCATCAGAGGCTCAGAGCGATTTGGCAGGTGGCGTCATGATGTCAGCCTTTAATGACTCTCCACGTCGTGCTTACAGCTCTCCAGGTTCGGCACGCAGCCGTCTTGGAGGCGCTCTACCAAAACGCGAAGGTTCCCTGGCGAGCACCTCTGTCCTTGGTTCATCTACGACTTCTCCTCAGACTGCATCTGATGGGCAACAATTTTCTAGTCCTGATGGCGTCGCCTCTGCGCAATCTGAGCAACTGCAATTCTTCAAGGACTACTATTCTCAGGATGACATCCATCCAGGCACCACAGTTGCTACGCTATGGGCATACCAACCACGCGCCGGCGATGAGTTTGAGTTGGACCGTGGGGACTTGCTCAAGGTTGTCGGTATCTGGGATGACGGCTGGGCAACGGGAATCAGAATCAGTGGATCGGCAGAGGACTGGGAGTTGCGAAAAGCTGAGCAACGTGACTCAGGCGTCAGCAGCGCGAGCAGTCGTTCGCGAGGTGACGTCGACGGCGACATCAAAGCTTTCCCGCTAGTGTGCGTGTGCCTGCCGCAACACTGGCGGAAGACGATCGATGGGGACAGCACGGATACTGGAGGTGATCGACTGCCTCCAAGTCCCTAGTAGCGTCCCCTCAACAATGTCGTTAATGTTGTCTAGTTGTGTCTTCCACCTCACCTTCTCCGAGATTTTCCTCCCCTCGAACCAGAGAAACTGACAGGACGACGAGACACGGATCGAGCGTACCGCCATCTTCACCTCCTCTCATGCCAAAGAAACGATCCGCGTCACGACCTCTATACCCGAAGACGCTAGGCTTACATTCCACCGGCTCCAGCACGCTGATCAGCACCCCGAACAAGTTCTAACGCCGCTACGATGATGGCTTTCTACGTTACGCATTGCTTGATACCCTTCACCTTGTCTTCTACATTTTTGAAGCCTTTTTTTGATACCCGATTCGGACTGTTTGTACACGGTGTTGAACCGCACTTGAGTTACGAAGAACCAAACCGAATGTAATAATCTTAATACCTTCACCGTATCACCAAGCTTGAGACCGAAATCGTGTACCTACAGTCCCTTCGCCGCCCGTCCGTTCTTCATACTTTGCCACGCGAAACATTGACACCAATACCACCCGTTGGCGGAATGTCACCTTTCTGTTCTATACCCGCCACGCGTTATCTTGCGACGCTGGCTCTTCTTTGTTCGATTGTTGTGAGTCTAGGGGCCAGTACTGTATACACATGTTCTTTTCTACTGCGCTATCCGTTCCGGAGGAGGGTAATACCATCTTAGGATATTCATATTGTTCAGGGGCTTCTTTGTATCCAGCGGAGAAAGGGAGGGGCTGTTGGATAGCCGAGATGCGTGTGAAACGGAGAGTTGTACAGTATAGACTGGTTGGAAGAATGGAGATTGAGAAGTTGAAATGTGTTCCCGTTTATGATAAATATATGTGATACGTAAGGAATATCATAACATAAGTGATGGGCATGAAACCTTTTCAACTTTTGATTCGCTATTGTGAAAACCTGTCTACGAGTTTCGCTCGTCAGTGTAAATGCAAGTGTCCTATCTCGTGCAAGCCTGGCCTGTTCGCCATACTTGGGTTCAACAACGTATCCAGTGGGAGCAAATTAGCTAGGTAAGCTCTACAGGTAATCCCTCAAGTATTGAAACTTTTCTGGCTTTACGGACAGGATAGCTGTGTGCGAAAGAAATGTCTGTAAGACGACTCGTTCAATCCTCATCATCAGAGGACGCATAACCCAGACCCAGGGAGATGTTCGATGGCTTAGCCGGAGGTGCGGCCAAAGGTTTGCTCGACACAGCTGAGCTTATCGTAGAGTTCTTCATGTCACCTTTGCTTGTTGTGGCCGCCGATGTCTGCTCTTTTTGCAGCATTTTATCAACCGTCTTCTTCTCTTCGGCCGCCGAGCTTGATTTTCGTAGCTTGATTCCTTTCAAAAGACCAGCCTCGGGGCCCTTCTTCCTCTTCCTCCCAACCGCTGCCCACTGTGCTACATCGTCCTTTGGTGCATCGATACTCTCGTCTTCCAGGGCTTTCCTCTCGGCATCTTCCTGCTGTCTGCGGAACGCGTCCAGTCCCTCGAGAGTATCCTTTCTTATCAAGGCTTCCTGCTGCCGTTTCTTCTCCAACACCTCGTCAAGGTATGCGGCTGCGTCATCGTCGAGCGCTTCTGCAAGCTTGTATCGTGCTGCCTCTTCGAATGCTGCCTGTTTCGCGTCTTACAATGTCAACCTAACATGTCAATAGAGCTAGAGTGAAGATTGCTGGGATGTATCACCTTTGTTTGACTGGAGGATCTCGAAGAGACTTTTTCCTTCGTGTTGCCTGCTCAGCTCCGCTTTCTCTCGTCGCTTGTCTTCGAGCTCTTGCTGGGCTCGTCGCCACTCATCGTCCCTTTCGATAGGATTGTCGATGCTTCCACCACTAACGAACCCTGACGACATTTTAATAATTACGGGTGAGAGGCGCGGGATTGCTGGTCTCGTAACGACAGGCCGTCTCGAAAGTTGTGGAGAAACGCGGAGTTTTGCAACGCGGAGTGGAAGAGTTTCTCAATGCGGTCTAGTACCATGTTAGAAACCCGCGTAAAGTCCCCAGACAAGACATGTCCTGGTCAGTTGATTATCCGACCGCGGCCTCTTACATCTCTGATTCGTGGAATGCTCGCGACAGACTTGACCCGGCCGGTTAAAGGCGTGGTAGTGGGGCTTTATCCATTAATAACCCCGGCCCTATGATGTAGTTACGTGGTAAGGTGGTGGGCTGTGGTTCAAAGATAACTTGTGCCCCTCGTTCTTCCTCCAAAACATCTGCTCCTGCACTCATACTCTCTACTAAATCTTTTTTCAAACTCAGTATATGCTCCGTACTCTAGCAAGAATGGCCCCCAAGAACTGGACCAAGGAGCATTTCACGTAGGTCGACACTTTGATTGTTCGAGAGTTCTACTAACTCACGTCAGGCTCAACACTGGCGCAAAGATTCCAGCTATTGGTCTGGGAACATGGCAGTCGCAACCTGGTGAAGTCCGTGATGCTGTCAAGTCTGCTCTCCAGGCCGGCTACCGTCACATCGACACTGCTCTTGCCTACGGCAACGAGAAGGAGGTCGGTCAGGGCATTAAGGATTCGGGTGTTCCTCGTGAGGAGATCTGGGTCACCACGAAGCTGGACAACCCATGGCACAAGCGCGTCGAAGAGGGCATTACCTCTTCGCTGAAGAGCCTGGGTCTTGACTACGTTGACCTTTACCTTATGGTGAGCACAGTCAACATTGACATCACACAAACAAACCAATTAATCAATAATCTAGCACTGGCCTTCTTCTACCGACCCTGATGACCTCAAGAAGCACCTCTCGGATTGGGATTTCCTCGACACATGGGCTGAGCTGCAGAAGCTCCCCGAGTCTGGACGCGTCAAGAACATTGGCGTTAGCAACTTTGCCATCAAGAACCTTGACAAGCTCCTCGCCGACTCTCGATTGAAGATCACACCAGCCGTGAACCAGGTCGAACTCCACCCCAACAACCCTTCGTAAGCTACTTTCCCCCAGGATCGTGACTATTTGAAGACTAACATATATTCAGGCCCAAGCTCCTCGACTACCTCAAGAAGAAGGGCATTCACGCCACCGCCTACTCTTGCCTGGGTTCAACTGACTCGCCCCTTTACAAGAACGAGTCCCTCAAGAAGCTCGCAGACAGCAAGGGCAAGACTGTTCAACAGGTTCTGCTTATGTGGGGTCTGCAGCGTGGCTCCTCCGTCATCCCCAAGTCTGTCTCTGCGTCGCGCATCCAGGCCAACTTTGAGGTTGACGGTTGGGAGTTGACTGACGAAGAGGTGAAGCAAATTGACTCACTGCCTGAACGCTTCAAGGTCTGTGGTGACTCTTGGCTCCCAATCAAGGTCTTCTTCGGCGATGACGAGTAGACCATAGGATCGAGGATGAATTAAAAAATGATACCATGAGAATATAGGAGTATATAGACGGAATGTAACAATCAACCGCCAAAACATACAACTTGCCTGTGTCGTGTGAAGTCGCGAGTCCAACCTGTGAAAGTAGAAATTAAGTAGGTAAACACCACTGTCTAACGTACCTAGGTATAATCAAGTGTCAGGAACTTTAGTCTACTTGACAAGGTCATATCTAATTGGTTTCGGATCACGCAAACCCAAGTGATTGAACGGACCTGACGTCGCCGACAAAGATTTGTCAGGCTATGCACGTGAACACGCGTCTGCGCTAGGCGTCACTGCCTTGTCCACTCTCGCGCATTGCCACCCACATTCCTCACATCAACATCCTCCACTCCCACACTTCTTCGCAGTCTCTCCCTTTTTTGCACTTACAAACATAGTCAACATGAGCGCTGAAGAAGAGCAACTCGATGAGAGCGCAATTGGCGCACCTGGCGCACCCACCCCAGTATCGGCGCTTGAGGTATGTCTTGCACTTGCGGATTGCATGCACGACGAAACTAACTTACATGTCAGGGCCTTAATGGCTTGACAGCGCGCGATATCAAACTGATCATTGACGGCGGTTTCAATACAGTAGAATCCATTGCATATACGTGAGTTGCATCGCAGATGCAGAACGACCCCGCAGCTCATGTAAGACAGGCCACGGCGAGCGCTTGAGCAGATCAAGGGTATTTCAGAGCAGAAAGCGTCGAAGCTTCTCGCAGAGGGTATGCATTGCATCGTCGTTTTTGCATTCCAGTCACTGACGTAGCCAGCATCCAAACTCGTACCTATGGGCTTTACAACGGCAACCGAGATGCACCAACGTCGGAGCGAACTCATTTCGATCACAACTGGTTCGAAGCAATTGGACACACTTCTCGCCGGAGGTATTGAAACAGGGTCGATAACAGAAATCTTCGGCGAGTTCAGGACAGGAAAGAGTCAGATTTGCCACACTCTGGCTGTGACTTGCCAGCTGCCATTCGACATGGGTGGTGGCGAGGGCAAATGCCTATATATTGATACGGAGGGCACATTTCGACCGGTTCGTCTCCTTGCAGTTGCCAACCGATATGGTCTGTCAGGAGAGGAAGTGCTAGACAATGTTGCATATGCACGCGCCTACAACTCCGATCACCAACTGGAACTACTCAACCAAGCCGCTCAGATGATGACCGAGACACGCTTTTCTTTACTCATTGTCGACTCTGCCACCTCGCTATACCGAACAGATTTCTCTGGTCGTGGAGAACTTTCAAGCAGACAGACGCATCTAGCCAAGTTCATGCGCACCCTGCAGCGGCTGGCCGACGAGTTTGGCATTGCGGTCGTGATCTCGAATCAGGTCGTTGCGCAAGTAGACGGTGGGCCGAGTGCAATGTTCAATCCAGATCCCAAGAAGCCGATCGGAGGAAACATCATTGCCCACGCAAGTACAACCCGCCTCAGTTTGAGGAAGGGTAGGGGTGAGACGCGAATATGCAAAATCTATGATAGCCCGTGTCTGCCTGAGAGCGACTGTCTATTTGCAATCAACGAAGATGGTATTGGCGACCCGAAGGAGAAGGATCTGGAGGAGAGAGCGGCGAAGTGATAGGATGGGTGGGATAAGGACGCAGGACGATGGCTTTGACTGTTTATTTCAATTTCCTGGATGGCGTTACAGGAGCTGGGACATGGCTGGTGATGATGTAGATGCTTTTGACGTATTCCCCACTACAATGATACTCCTTAATATGCTCGACTACAAACTTGAAAGCAAGACATTTGTGTCGGTAGATCGAATTCCTAGGTTCACCATATTGGCTTGGTCTGTGCGCTTGCTGGTAGCTCGCGCATTCCAAACCGCGACTTTTGTTTGCGAAGTGCACCTCCGCGTCCGTCGTGTAACTCAACCGCCCACGACTCGAATCGCCTACCTCGACCTTGGACACTTTCGCATGCGAGCAGGATGGTCAAGAATGGAGGGACCTGTCTCTACAAAGAGGCGCGGCTGAACATTGAGCCCGCCTTTCCCGGGTCGACGATCGCGTTCACGCTGCCCGCAAGCTCTCTGTCAACATTCGTGCTGCGAACGACGGCGAAGCGCACAGTCATCACCGAGCAATATGTAGATCAGGACGAGGATGCTTTTGCGCGCCGCCATCTGGCGACCGAGGGCTCCATGTTCTTTCGGCGACATCATGCATACCCGCGAAGCTTTCTTTGGCGCGTCTTGGACAACAGGAAGATGCTCGAAATCCAAGCCACCGACCTAGACCACGATTTCAGCAACAAGCGCGAGGCCAACCTCACCCTCTTGTTGCAGTTCCCTTCTCCCATTCGGCCGTTCTGTGTGGCTTTCGCAGAACCTACAGACCGAGATGCGCTCACCGTCTTTGCCATCACGACTGCGAATGAGTTGTACACAATCACTCTTCCCCGCGACTTCTTTGACAACCCCGCGGCCTCGGAACAAGATGTGGAAAACTGGTGCAAGAGGTCAGAGCCGGCGCTATTTAGTGGCCGCGTTCCGTACCGCCTTGTCGCGCTTGGTGTAGACGATCTGCTCGTGACACTCGACGACGGAGCGATTTGTCGCATGCGCTGGGACACGGACAACAAGGTGTGGGATGGCGTACGATACCAGCATAGTAACTGGTCCGTCCGGGGCCTCCTCTCGTGGAAATCGCAGCCCACAGTCCGTTTCGACAATGCAGACTTCTCTGTATCGGCTGCTGCAGCCGTTGCAGTATCGCCAGACGCGCAGCATATCCTCTCCATTTCTCTGGACCACACGTTGAGAGCTTGGAACGTTTCGTCAGGAAAGCCAGGCCTCCAGATGGATCTCCTAGGCCAGATGGACGCTGCTCTTGAGAAGCCCAACAACTCTTACTTCATTGGCCCGTCGCAGTCGAAGCTCATGACTGTCATGGAGATACCCGACGGTGTCATGGGCGCAAAATACTTCGTGGGTACATACTCGCCAAAACAACATCAGTTCAAGTTCTGGGGCATAGTCGACGCAGACGATTCCAAGGATGGCGTCTATGACGTTCAGCCAGATGTCGATCTTATCCCACCGGTCGATGAGCTTATGGACACGACTGTATGGACCATGGAAGAGTTTCATATCATTGTGGGACCTGCTAGGTGGCAGACAACGGAGATGTGGATTCGCGTGAGGTCTGGGCCAAGCAGCAGAGTCTACTACTTGAGCTTCAACCTTACAGACCCTGTTGCATGTACACAGGCGTGGAAGAACAATTGGGTATCCGTAGAATCAGGCCCCTTAACAGTGGATGGATTGAAGATGAATCCTACAAACCCAAACAGACAGGATGGAAACGCTGTTATTCAACATGAATCTGGCTCCTCTGAACAATGGCTAGGCTTTTTGTTTTATCCGGGACGATTTACCACAGCCACTTTGGAAACCGCTCTGCTGATCTTCAAGAGAGGGCTGGATCGAACACGGTTGAGCAAATCATTAAGCCGAGGCTCTTTGAAGGAACGCATCTGCGCTGCCGTCACAGCTCTTGCTGGGAAGGTCCAGAATAGTGATCTAGACGCAGGCCAATTCGAGAACGCTGCTGTTTCGCAATGGCAAGGATTCTACGGCATAGTGAAAGACTTACATAAGCGCAGAGGAGAATCACTGTCCCTTGCTTACGACGAAGCCACAGCTATGCCATGGCTGGTGCTGAGCGATCACATCTCTGCAATACGGAATTGCAGCGAGCATGAGATTACCGCTCTAAACACTACGGCAATTTCAGCGTCGCAGCAGCTCACTAGACCTCTTCAAAGGATTCTGGAGCAGCCGGAATCTCGTGATGTCGCGCGACTTCTGAATGCCGCTTCCTCTTTCCGACAACGATTGCCATTGTTTGTTCAGCAAGAAGTGGAGCGCCAGATCAAGATGGATCTCCTCCAGAGCCGATCTCTTACAATAATGGATCGTATGGAAGATATCGAAAACCGCAGCGAGCTATTGCAGCACGTTTCAGATGAAGATCTGTCCATACTGCTTGAGGAACTTGGAACCGAGGTGAGGGATCTCAGCACCGAGACGTTTCTTCGTGCCATCCGGACTCTGGGCCATGAAGAACAAGGCCTTGCGAATCGGAGGAGGCAGGTCGCGCGATATGGGCTCAGTGCTTTGATCCGGGTCTCTCAAGAGACATTGGAGGCAGATTACAACACTCTCTTGGATCTTCTTGTTCTAGTCCTTTTCATGTTTGTCGAGCTTGAGGGAGAGACACCTGAAGAGTTCGATGCATCCGAGGTCTTTGTGGAACTCATAGACCAGTTCAAGGACTGCCTAACGGTGTCTTGGATGGCGAGCATGGTCTGGGCACATCAAACAGCTACTAGCCCGGCCACCGAGATACTGAACAAAATCCTGAGCGAGCTTTTGAAGACTGGGAAGAAGTTTCCATTCACACAAACGGTTCTGGAGGGAATATACGGTCATCGATCCTTGGATTTGCCATTTCCGAAGGACCAGAAGGCTAACATTCTTACTTACTGGAGCCGCGCGTGGATAGCGTCAGTGTTCAGTGACCAGAACTACGACTCTGTTGTGGAAGATTCCATGGGCATACTACTCTTCCAGAAAGAGTACGATCTGGCATTGGACTTTGCAAAGTTCCTTCCCGACGGCAATTGGTCTACCTACTTGAAAGGTCGGATGCACCTTGCGCTCGGCGAGAATGCACTGGCGTCCATCTGTTTCCAGAAGTCAGCATTCAATTTAGGTATGTTTATGTGTGTAACATACAAAATGACCGTACTAACATCTACAGCCTTGGGCATGTTCAACATTGAGGACGCGGATTCAGCAGGCTTGGTGTCCGAAGTTGATCAAAATTCGTTCTCATCCGGCCCTGCGCGATACTATAGTCATGTTCTGGGTCTTTTTGAAAAGACCAGGGCGTATACATACGCTGCGGACTTTGCGCGACTGGGTCTACGGTCGTTGAGGGGCCGAGAAGACGAGGAACTGAAGACTGATCTGCTTCAACGACTGTTCAGCGCTTCCATACAAACGTCGAACTTCGGCGAGGCATACTCGGCAATGACGAGGCATAGCGATGCAGCTCTGTAAGTTGTCGACGCCCTTGGCCTGCTTCGTTTGTGGCACTAACCAAATCTACAGCAAACACTCGTCCCTTCAAACCCTCATCACGTCCATGGTTTCACAATCGCACACCGGAGACCTCCTCAAATTCCCCTTCGTTGGCCTATCAGACGATGTAGATGCCATTCTCTTATCTCTCTGCCAGAAGACGCTCAACCTCGCCTCCGGGCCTCCTTACCACCAAATCCTCTACTCTTTCCGTATCGCCCGCAACAACTTCCGTGGCGCTGCGTCCATTCTCCACGAGCGCCTGCAACGCCTCAAGACAACATCATCCAAGGTTCACGACCCAGCAGACGAATCTTTGGCACAATGCTACCTTATGATCATCAACACGTTATCGTCAGTACGCCAGGAGGATGCGTATATTCTGGCCGAGCAGCGGGTTGATGAAGCTGGGCCGCCGCAATGGGGTATCGGCAAGGGGAAGAAATTGCTTAAGAGGCAAATCATCACGCTCGATACGCTGAGGAAGGAGTACCAGGCGGAGCTTGATCGGGTTGCAGCGATTGAGAGTGGGCAGTTTCCGTTTGTGGATCCGAGGGATGACATGGATATTCTATGAATGTAGGATTTTGCTTAGCGTGGCGTTATATGGTGATTTGGAAGGCATGTCGGTCTCTAGTGATGATCTCGAGTCCTTGAAGAAGTGGGAAATAGTATCTGCCAGGCTTGAATAACAACAAGGGGCGCTTTCGCACTGGCCTTCTTTCATATTCGAAGCAGTTTGAAGCTATTCACCTAATGTCTGTGATATCTGAGTGATGCGTGGGAAAGCAGCATTCGACGCCAAATATACGCGCTAGTGGTTGGCGGGGCGTTCCGACCCGCATTCATCATGAAAGACGCGTGACGATCTTGCAGTAATTCAGGAACGTCTCACGCTCTGTCTTTGTTTTTCAACCATCCACCTACACTACCTATGCAACACCTTTAACCAAGCGTAACATCAGAACCAACCATGGTATGTAAACACTCCACATCAACAACGCGTCCCGCCATTTACAAGTACACTCCAGAACTCAAAGTCACTGCGTCGCCTCGCAGCTGACCACGGCTCTCTCCACACCGCCGGTCTCCCGCCAAACTACCTCTTCCCGCCCACATCGTCCTCCGATTCCCTCACCGCCCTCGACGTCCTACTCGCCGGGCCGCTTGGCACACCCTATGCCTCAGGCGTCTGGCACCTCCACCTCGACATCCCACCCACCTACCCCGCTGCACCTCCTACGGCCACATTCCGCACACGGTTATGGCACCCGAATATCGAAGAAGCGACGGGCGTGGTGTGTGTGGAGACCCTGAAGCGGGACTGGAAGAGTGAACTCAAACTTCGGGATGTGCTTGTTACTATCTCGTGTTTGTTGATTCAGCCGAATCCGGCAAGTGCGTTGAATGAGGCTGCTGGGAAACTGGCGGGAGAGGACTGGGATGGGTATTGTAGGAGGGCGCGGCTGATGACAAGTATTCATGCGGGTGTGCCGGCGAGTCTGGCCGATGGGGTTAGAGAGGCGCAGGGCAGAGGAGAGGATAAGCATGATGCGGGTGAGATAAAGAAGGAGGACGTGGGTATAAAGGCTGAGGGGAAGGGGAAGGAGAGGGTGAAGGTCACCCCGGTGGTGGCTGCGAAGGTATGCAAGCTTTGGAGCACAGTTTCGTTTTCGTTCGAATATCGTGCTAACCACATATCTGCCAGGCCCAACGCCTACCCGCGGACGACGATGCAGAAAACACACAACAACGAGGAACCGCAGAACCCGAGAGCGACGAGAGTGACTGGATTCCCGGCCCCACAGCAGCACGCCGCAATAATAACATCTTCGGCATCAAAGGCCTAGCCCTCGACTCCCCTCCAAGACGCGGCCTCCCCCCAACCACCAAACCCACACGCGCAGACGAACAAGAAACACCCGATAACACCGACCCCTTCACAACCATAACCTCAAAACACAAACCCATATCCTTCGACCTGCGCATCCCCCCTCCCTCCCCGAAACCCGCCAACCAGCTCCAACAACAAGAACAACACCCCACAACAGACACACCCGAGCTCCTCAAATTCTCCCACCAGAACCCCTTCTCGGCCATCCAGCCAAACAACCAGACTCATCCCCTCTTGAGGGAATTCTCATACTCGTGGGAAGAAACGAGCATCTTGCATGATGTTGGCATGGGCTCTGCGAAACACGACTTGCGGAAGAGGGTTGCGGGCGACGAGTTTGAGCAGAAGCGCAGTTGGGAGATGAAGAGGTTTAGGAAGGCGGGGTTTGATCTGGGGAGGTATAATCGAGGGGATTTTGGGCCGAGGGTGGGGATTGGGAGACTGTGAGGTTTGAAAGGGAGGGGGAGTAGGGGAAGGGAAGAATGATTTGCGTGTGTATAACGCGGGTACGAGTCTTTTGAGCTTCGCTTTGTGACGATGCATGGAATCGATGATCGGGATTGGTGTTGGAAATGTGGTATACCCTCTAGCAAGACATGGTCTATGATTATCGTTGCGCCCCTGTCTTTTGTGCTTTGGTTATCGCTGAGTCGGCTGCTCTGACGATTCCATGAGAGGAGGTTTGAAATGAAGATTACAATTAGAATAGCTTGTTTCCACCGCCACTACTTCTACAACAAATACATCCAATGACATTTACTACACTGACATACATACCATGGTAGAACACACCGCCTACTTGCTACTAGCTGTTTTCACGCCTTCTAGAAAACCAAACACGCGTATAGCATGGACAAACGAACGGATGGTACCTTAACGCAGATACTTGTGTGCAATGGCAAGATATATAGTGTGATCTGTGGGTTATAGTTCAGGAGGGTTTGGACATGGATAAGTGTTGCAGAGTGTATCGTAACATTTCCTATTCCCTGTCCAGTGTACTGCTAGGTTCTGGGTTGTAGGCGATGAGTGGATTGGAATACAGTGGAGTGGGTAAGTGGTATGTGATATGTTGTATTATGGCTGGCATGATGTATGCGACCTGATGCAATGTGGGAGGGGAAAAAGAAGAAGTAATAGAGCAGAGTATGTCATGCTGGGTAGTTGGTAATTATCAGATCTCGAAGAGCGTACGGAGAGATGTTATTAAGTTTGGACCTAGATGAATCAATAAGACGTTGGAGATTGTAACAGACATGTGTATATATATGTTCAAGTAAGAGAGTACATTGTTATCCTCACCCTCCCTCCCTTCCACAACCACACTCGCCCACTACACATCAACTTACTTTGCTGGACCGGGTTCCACAGCACGTATCTCCCCTCTTCATTTGTTCTATCTTCATTGCATTGTTGACTTGTTGACTTACCATACAAACCCCTTGCTCATTTCGCTCCCCCCTCTCTTACCGAGAGAAAAGAAGCCACATTCATGTGCATGCTAAGAGCGCAGCATTTAGGACCTACAGTCTGCACACTGTGGATCAGGTTGAGACAAGGATGAGATGGGGATATATACACCGCGACTCTCCACTATGGAAGCGTGGTATACACTTGACAGTAAATCAAAGTAGTGCGAGAAGGGCCTGTAGGGTGTCGTAGGCAGGTTAGCGATCGAAGAAGACGTGAGTATGTTTAGGCGTGGATATCGTGAAATGTTATGGAGACGGATGTTATTGAGGACACGTCACGCTGTAGGAGATAGATACATGAGTAGATGTGAATACATATACTACGAAAATAGAAGGAAAGCACATATATGATGAAAACGAGACCTTGCTTGATTGAAACGATCCCCTTGTATTAATGAGAAACGTCGTAACACATAGGAACAACATCACTATCCGTAGGGGTACTCGATGAAGCATCGCACCTCATTACCATACACGAGGTCTCTTGTAAACCTTGCCCTTTCCATCTGCGTCATCTTGAAGATTACCTTCTCTCTGCATGCGAGCGGACAGTTAAAACCCCGACTTTATCTTTGGGGCTAAAGTTACTATTACCCGACTTACTCAGCGCTATGTCCCTGTGCTTTGTGTATCTTGCAGGATTGTGGCAGTATTGTGAGTCAAAGCATGTGAAGCTCAGCTCAGCTCTACTGCTTTGTGTGACTGATCACAGCAGCTCACGTCAATACGTTGTTCGTCAGACACCATCTCCATTCATCATATCGCGGTCGTCATCGTAGGACTGCTCTTTTAATCAGCAGCCAATCATCTAAAGGAGATCTAGGCAGCAGCGAAGCGATAGTCGACGTCAAAGCCCTATTTGCTTCAGCCCGATCGTTAAAAGCAGAAGCTCCCGATGACACGAGATATAGCGAGGGATGGCGAATGAAGAAAAGAGTGGCGGAATACATTCTCTTGAGATGATTGGATGAGCACGAATGAGTGTTTCAGCGAGGCGGTAGCATCGCAGCCGTGGTTGGAAAGGGAAGGCACATGTGACAACGAAACGGGAGGCAATCAGTAAACAAGAAATGAAAGCAAAGGACCGGGGTGCATGGGCGAGTAGGACCCTTTAACGGTTGCCTAAAACGATATGAGTGCATGTCGAGATTGGAGTGATCTATCACAGAGCCTCAATGCAGTGACTGGAATGATCCCTGAGCGCGGCTATGCGGAGACGATAACAAGACACCATGGCAAGATGGGACCTTGAAATCAGCCGCCGATGCTTTTAGCTTGGCTAGGGAAAGCCTGTTTGATGCAATCTCATATCGCGACGTAAATCACCCTGAGCTTTGACATGACTCATCGACCATGGTTCCCAACGATGTCCTCGGAGGTTGCGACCATCAAGCGTTTTTGGTTGTTATGCGAACGGGGGTGAAAGGGCAGCACCTGGTCAGTACTCAAGATACGACCCGAGAGATGTGTGGCAAACAATATTCGTATCATATATTCTTCGCCATGGACTGTGATTGGTCACTGAAGAACGGTTCTCGGTTTACGGGAGATACGCTGAAGTTAACGTCGCTTTACTTGTTTCGTATTTACGTGTCGACAGTAACGACAAAAACTTTGGCTTTGACTCCGAGACGAGGTCGCTGGCCGTAATCCGAAGATTTCCGTTTGCAAGAGTTCGCGAGCTCCGTGTAAGGTGGCGTTTCTAGCGACAATTCGTCCGAGGCGAAGCTTGCCACAAAATTCTTCGATGTCTCGCCATCACTATCCATAAGAGGCTAATTGTATATACACGTATGAATCGGACAAGAGCGATGCCGAGTACTGCACCGCCACAGACACTACCTACCATATGCCAGAAATGATGATTACAGGTAACGATCAATGATTTGTCGGGCTGCAGCGTATTTTGGGAGTCGTCGTGGTAAGCTGCGTCATGTAGTAGCAGGACCGCTCGCATACGCTACGCATTGCTCAGCCTGCAGTCGTGGCAGAAACGTGGTTCTCAGCGAATCCCGTGCGACAGGGCTGATGATGCTGCGCGAACCTAAGTGAGCTGTGACATGGCGAGCCTACCAACGATTCCGCTACTTGCTCCCAACCGATAGAAGGTTGTTTTGCGCAAAAGCACCAACCTGAGTACCGAACCAAACAAATTCATGCAACGACATTTTGTGTATGTCTGGTCATGGTTCCGTGTCAGAAATTATTTCTGGCACCAATCCAACGACGAAGAACGAAAGGTACTTTTCGGACGCGGAGCAAACAGTCCTGAGGAGTCACACAAACACGATGCGCATGGGGGACACGCAAGGTGAGTTGTCTGATAACAAAGTGGATGCCTTGCTAGACGGAGGAATGGCGTCCAAAATATAATGTGCGGCCTCGCTAGGAACGCATCCGCAGACAAGTGCAAGGATAAGACAATACTGTGTCCAATGGGGGATAAGCATTGATATCGAAATTCGAAATGAACTGTGTGCCGACAAATTGCAGGATATGAGCAAACGGCAGAAACGAGACTGAGCACGTCCCGGGCGCACGCTTCATGCAAAGCACGGCTGGCGGCGTTGGATGCAGGGCCAATCAGAGGCGACGCGCGACTCGATTGGGGTGCAGACTTGCTGGTTTGGGGTGGTTGCTGCGAGCGGGCAGATCATCCATGTCGCCGCGATCTTTTTGCTATGGTGTTCCAGGCTTCCCCGGCAAATCAGAGCGGAGGTGCAAGAGCGGTATGCAGCAGTGGTGGACCGTAACCATGGCATCGTCGGTGGAAGGCGAGTAGCGGTAAACAGCAGCATAGATAGCTCTCCAGGCGGCGGCATGGATTGTGTGTGCCATGGTGGGAAGAAAATTTTCATCCAAGGGAAATTGGGCTTCGTACCGTGTGTCAAGGAGAGACTCGCAGGAGGCCCAAGCAGTGAATGCGGCTCCGATGAGATGGAAGGGCCTTCCTAGCAATCATGGCAGGCGAGCCGGGACGACGTTGAGTGGTGGACACCCGTTGCTCTGGACGGAGACTCAGAGGCAGCCGTGTGCCGCGACGACGGCTCTGTGTAGTCCTGGTGCTAGGGAGAATAGTGCTCCCAGGGAAGCCATCCCGAGCTGGGGGACATGTCGTGATGGGGGCTGCAGGCCAACGACGACGTTGTGCTCGCTCTTGGGCAGGCGAGACGGTCGCCACTCATTTGGCTGCGTACGACAACCATGTGGGAGGACGCTGGTGCCAGGAGGCGGCGCGCAGGCCCAGTGCACAGACAAACAATGGGCAGCCTGGCTGCCGCTCTCAATCAGCGAACGGGCGTGGTGCCCAAGCCCAGGGCGGGTGGTTCATGCTGAGGGCGGAGGTGACAGAAGTGGAGCGCCGTGTGCAAGGAGGGGCCTCAGCAGCAGCAAACGAAACACGCTGAAAACGGTGGCAGAGTGAGGGGACAAAGAGGGTTGTTCAGGCGTTGCACAGCAAGGGGTATTTGGAAGCACCGTCGACGCAACTCTGGATGCAACCAACTCTGGTCCTCTTGCCGTAGCTCCCGTCGTTTTTGGAGCGAGCGAGCATGGCGAGCGGCGGCTGGCCAGGATCACGGCCAGGGCATATTGCATTTGGGGCCCATAATTACCCAGAGCTGCCAAGGCCAGAGCACTCGACGGCCGCCCTCCACAGCCACAGTCCGTCCGTCAGGCAGCACGACGGCGCGCGTGGATGAGCAACTGGTTTGGCAGATGAGTAGCTGGTTTGGCAGCTTCCAGCAGCTTCTCGCAGCCGTCGAGTGGTGCAGGGCAGCGTCGCAGCAAGAGTCAGCGCCCGGCGGCTGGCCACTCGGCGTCGGAGCAAAGGTCCCAGAATACGCGTGGGCAACCAAGGGAGGCACTGCAGGCTGTGCGATGCTCTCGGACCCGTGGGAGAGGGAGGGTCAGGGGTGCTTGGGCACAGCTAGCGGTGAATGGCGCAGTGCAGGGGCCCCCTGGCCGACGTGGTCCGCGCACGGAACGAGTAGCCTTCTAAAGGGCAGGCGCTGCCCGCGTCGCTGCCCTCCTGCGAACTCGACCCTCAGCACCACTACCAAGCTTTCAGACGTCACGTCACGTCTCGCTCCCCACGGCACACGGCAACCCGGGATCCCTCACTCTGGATCCTTCTGGCACCCCCTAGCACCTGCGAGCCGACCATCAAATGTGTAGCAGACAGAGCCGGCCCTCCCTCTTCTTGCCCGCCGCCGCTGCTCCGTCCTCCACCTCCACCACTGCCGCCGCCGACCGCGCACGGCGACACACCCACGGCCTGCAAATACCACGCTGAGACAGGCACGGCCTGACACTGCTCCTTGCTCGCCTTCTCCACAGACGGCAGCGACGACTCGACCCCGCACACCCGCACCTCACAACACCGCCAACATGTACGCAACACAGACACAGTACCGCACACCTCCCCCCGGCTACATGCCCTACGACTACCGCGCCACGCCGCCCATGTCACCTGGCCCCGGCGTGCACGCCGCCTACTACTCGACCCGCCACGGCCCCGCCACGCCTTCTCCCCAGGACAGCCCCAAGACCAAGACGCACTCCCGCCGCGCCTCGCACGCCGTCCCATCCTCGCAGTATTCGTCGTACACCTCGTCGCGTGGAGCCATGCCCTCGTACGGGGCCGACTTCGCTACACCGCGCGCATACGCGACGCCGCGAGCTACGCCTGAATATGTAAGTGATGGTTTCGATTATATCCGTCCAAGCAGCAGGCCTCGCCGCGAGTCGTACGCCTCTCCTCTCAAGACTTATCCTCGCGAGAGGAAGCGTCGGCCATCTCAGTCAACGCGCTACGTCCACACCAAAATCGTCTACGACGACGATGGCTACGGGTACGAACGCGACTACGACGTTTACGAGAGCCCGCCGCCGCCGTACCAACAGTACGATCGATACGACATGTACGGGGATGCTGATCGCTATTACTATGATCAGGTCCCTATCTATGATGCAGAGCCAAAGGCCAACGCTAGCCGCCAGCGACGCTCCTCGCACTCGACCCGATCCCAACCACAGCCAGCCGCCGCCGCCGCCACACCGAAGCGGCCCTCGGCCTCCACAAAGACTGCTCCCAAGGCCACCGAAGAGGACGCACGTCGCGCCCGCATCCCTGCTGGCTACTCGTACAAGAACTGGGACCCCACAGAAGAACCCATCATGCTGCTCGGCAGCGTCTTCGATGCCAACTCTCTCGGCAAGTGGATCTACGACTGGACCGTCTTCCACTACGGCCCCGCCACCCCTCTCGCCGAAATGGCAGGCGAGCTGTGGCTCCTTCTCATCCAGCTTGCCGGCAAGGTCAAGCGTGCCGACGAGAACATGAACAAGATCCGCAAGAAGGAGAGCCGCGAGATGGTCGAGGATTTCCTCGAGAGTGGCGAGCGTCTGTGGGTTCGCTTCGCCAAGCTCCTCAAAGTATGCGAAGACTACATGTGGAAAGCCGCTAAGAAGGAGAGCGGCCCCGAGAAGCCTGTATCCATGGGCAAGAACAGCGGCTCCGAGTTTGTCAACTCCATCTTCGGCCGCGATCGTGAGCTCGAGAAGACCGAGAAGCTCATGACTGGAATGCGTCTGTGGAGCATGCGCTTCGATGCAAACTGCGAAGACATCCTTCGCTATCCTGCTGCCTAGGATGTCTCACATCACCTCACATCATCCTCATCATCTTCATCATCTCTACCTAGACGCCTTGGCGCTGGCGTTTGTCTGTCTGGGTCTATTTTCAGACCCCGTCATTGTCTGTTTTGTCCGCCTTTCCGCTCTGTTTTGATCTTACCGCGAGATACCCTTTCTTGCTCTTTAATCGTTAATCCTGCGTTTTCTGTTCGGGTCGATCATCACTGTAACACTAGTCTACTACCGGGTCGAACGGATGGGAACTGCATTGGGTGGGTCACAGGAAAAAGTCTGTTTTTCTTTGCGATACCCCCTCCTTCGAGTCTTTTTCTGCTTTCTTCAATTTTTTGCTCTCTTGACAGCGTTTTTTTGTGTGGGTCTCTTTTTTTGTTTGCAAGCAAGGTGTTCAGGCTGGTGGGCTGGGACCGCGGGCCATCGCATCATCATCATCGTCATCTATATTGATGAGGTGTTCTGTTTCTCTCGGGGTTCTCTTGTTATTGTTTTTTGTCTTCTCAGGCATATCGCGATGTGTGTGTGTTCTAGATCTGGGAAACAGCCGGCTTGTATATAGCGACAGGCATTTTCTCATGGGACCTCACGGTCGAAAGTAGTTATTTACCTTTCATCTGCCATGTTTTACCAAATATTATCCATCGGTCCGTCTACTTCTTCAATTTTGACTCTTTTGCAAATCCCCACTGTGCGCGCTTCACCGCTACTGAAGATCAATGCTTCGCCCTGCCTCGCCTTGCCTCGCCTCACCTTACATTGATCTGCCCGGTCCTTGCAGCTATTGTTTTTTTTACACCGCTATGCCCATGAACTCCGTCCCAGCTTTCCTGCGCGCATGCATGCGTACATGCAAGTCTCCACATGGGCCCAGTCCGAGACGAGCCAGCAAGCCAACGAGCCAACGGCAGCCGCGCACTCTGCCCCCCAAGTAGGAAAAAAATTGCCTTGAAACTTGCTTTTTGCGCCCCGTCTATTCATGCATGCATACATGCAGGCAGGCGGGCAATGTATGTCATGTCATGCTATGTCTGTTTAACCGACTGTTCCACACACACGCTCTCACACACACGCTCGTACGCCTTGGTGGGTGGAGTGGAGTGGAGTGGGTAGACTTGTACGTACAACTACGTACGTATGTGGATTTTGTGGGCGTGTGACTCACGCACACACCTTTTTCTTGTTGCTGCGTGATGGGAGGGGATTGTGTTAGTTGGGATTGGGGTGGTTCGTGGCGGTGCTTGGACGCCAATCATGCGATGGGGTTGATTGATGCGGCGCTTGCGACGTTGATGTGTGGTGCGTCTGTCTGGCTGTGTATGGGCATTTGTAGTTCTGTTTGGAGAAGCTGTAGGGCTGTTGGGTGTGAATTGATTGGCAAGGCTGATGTCTTCTGTTGTGTTTGCTCTATCGTTGTGAGAAGATGGGAGGGGAGTTGGTTTCTGTCTCGTCATGTCACATTACATACATCATGTTCTACCTGGGTATTAGATTGCCAGTGTCGTGATGCGCAAGGCTGAGGCAAGACCACGCAAAGTGTAATCATGATGCGAAGCAAGAATTCTCCAGATACCGGTGTGGCTGACGTTTGGTTTACGTTCACTGTGTTCGCATTCATGTGTGTGTGCGAGCATCGATGTGGGTTGGGCATCAACCATCAATCAGCCAATCAACCTACAAAACACACAGCGAGCTCCTACAAGTCCCTCGTCTCACCGGCGGGACCCTGGAAATGCAAACGGGGGAGACGCATAGGAATAAACTGCCTGCGGCTCTTTTGGCAGGCCTCCGCCGTTAGGCTGCATGGTGTTTCATATAGTTTTCGTTGCGTTGTTGGGCTCTTGTCGGGTTGACTGAGGGTGTGATGTCTTTGAGATGGGGCGCGAAGTGTCTTGATGATGCTGGGTTGGGACGGGATGGTCCTTGGATGAGGTGGAAATGAGGTCAGGTCTGTTGGATGCTGTGTCTGTGGTAATGGTGGGTAGGACACGATTATCGGGTTGACTGGCTGAATTGATTCATTGGAGACAGTAAAGTCTCGCCGTTTTGATAGGTATCTCACTGTCGTCTTACGTATCACGACGTCGAAAGAAGACAACTGACAGCTCCTAGATCCGAATCCAAATCCCATTCTAGAACAGACGTACACAACATTAGGTTCCCTCTCACACCACAACATTCCTGTTTCAGGACTGACAGCATTAACCCCTAAACTACCACATACATACATGCACATCGATGCATGAACAGTACACGTACAGCACCTACCTACAAGCGACTACAAGAACAGCCGTTCGCGCAATCCTTCGCGCCCTCGCCAGTGAACCATCCCACCACAAGTTTCAAACCAGACCACGCATCTGTGCGCCCGTTCCCACCACGTACATCCTGCAGCATGCCATGACGCAGATCGATCTTCCAACCCCCGCCTTTTGCATCCATCCATCCACCCCACCATGTACCTACCCCGCAACCCCCGATCTAGCCGCCAACATGCAACACCAGCGCAAACACCTCGCACGCACGAGGTCACACGCCCGTCGGTACATGCGACTTATACGACTTGTACGCAGTTGCCGAGTGCGTGACATAGCACGGCATGAGGGCTTTCGGAACCGGCCGATGTCGAAGTATCGATCCGTGTGTTCTAGCTCAAGACGGAGAGATATGCTACGTACATGCGCGAGGTATAGTGTTAACTGACTTGGGTCTGCGCCCTATGGGTTGCAGAAACGGTCAGCTGGACGCGGCGGTTATGCAAGGCTGATTGTCTTCGCTGCAAATCATGACTGAATGCGCGTGGAATGGGATGTGATGGGGAGGAAGTGATAGGTAAGCGCGCTTTGCCGTGGGGTGAGGTTGGATCGGAGTAGATCAGATCGGGTCAGATCAGGGCCGGGTATGTATCTATCTATATATCTAATCAACATGACAAGATGTACAAGGAAAAGAAGAAGAGAAGAAAACAAAGATGATGCTGATGCTGAGAAGGGCAACCCTCATAGGTAGACAGCCTTACAACAACTAAGCATCAAACACAATCTTTCTACACTCTCCCACACACACCTCCCGTGACGCAAAAGTACTCACATCCCATGCCATGCCATCCCATCCCAATACGCCGTGCCCAATCTAGGTATAGCAACGGCAAGCCATGCCCTCCCCCCACGTGCTCGTCGATCCAACGTCGTCACTTGCATAAGCGCCCGCAACCCACCATCCAACCAACCACCCGACAACAATTCAGCCGTCCACCCATCCCTCCATCCACCCCCCTCGTTCACATCAGCGTCCCGTCCAAGACGCGGCAGATAAAGATAGTCGGCAACACAGCTCGACGTGCCGCGAACGGGGCAGGCGGGCATGCGAGCGCTTCTTATTTTACCTCGGGCTTGTGCAAGGGGGGACGAGAATGCGGCTTACGTGCAGGGCGCGGTGCGGTTGCACGACCGCTTGAGCTGAGGTGGGTGGGGTGCTGCTGCTGCTGTCAGCGGGGGCTGAGTGGGTGTTGAGATGGTTTGTAAGGGGAGGGATATAGGGGGTGTGCTTGTGTGTGTGTGAACTGGTATGCTGTGTATGGTATGGCGTGTACGACGTTGGTTATCTTTTGACTACTATCGGCACGTGTGTAGATTAGTATTGTGCGTCTTCTTCGATGGTTAGAAGTATTTGAAGGGAAAGAGGAAGACGGGGAAGATAGATATGGTCGAGATATAAAATGGGCGACGCATTTGTAGAATACAAACACATGTATATCCTTGCAGTAGAACGATGAAATTTCATCGATATATTGAGATCAATTCTGAATACGGCTGGCTTCCACCACAAACAGAACACCACTACGAGTATCATGTCCCATACACGTCCCAAAAACGCCATTAATGCATACATAGACACATCATTTAACCCCAACATCTGGGAACAGAACCTGAACCATCTCATCCATGAGCGTAAAAGCAAGATGCGTACTGTTCCTCGTTAGCAGCCATCACATCCAAGCTCCCTGACACAAGTACTTACTTCAGCCTTGCATTATTCAGACACCCCTCCAGTCTCCTCGCTGCCATCTGCGCATTGCCTCTCCCTACCACACTGCTCGCCAGCTCGGGAACAAGCACCTCCAGCACCGCGGCCGCCTCTTTCCTACTCCTCACCTTGTCTTGACTCGTCCTCTCAACACCGGCCTTCATGCGTCCATTCGGCCACATGGAATCCTTGAGTGCATCCACGTACCGCGCAACATTGTCCTCAGAAAGGAAGCTGTTGAAGGATTCACGAATCTTGCGCTCGATAGTCCCGCCGAGAAGTTGATGCAGTACGACGACGACGGCGCGGCCTCGTAGCCAGTTGTTCTCGCGATTGAGCTCAAAGGTTTCAAGGAAGAGATCGCAGATTGGTTTGACAAACGGTTCTAGCTCCTTGTTCTCGAATGCTAGCAGCTCGGCTTCGGCTTCGGCGTCGGTGCTGGGAATTATGCTGGTGCCGTTGCTGGATTGGTTGGTGTTGGCGAGCTGTGTAGTCGCGGCGGAAATCAAGTTCTGCCCTGCAACGGATAGCTGGTCGAGGACAGGAATGTTGCCGAGAAACTCCTCCATGCCATCGGCGACGGAGTTGTAGATGCGGGTCACAAAGTCATCTGGGTTGGGATTTTGAGAAGATGTCGCGTCGGTGGGATTGATGGTGGCTTGGGAGAGGAAGGCACGGAGTTCGAGACTGCGGCACACTGACGGGATAAGAAGGAGCTCCTGCAATGACCCTGAATTAGTAGTGCTTACTTACGATGTTCTACGGACAGGACTTACGCGTAGATATTTCTCTAAGCCCAGTCTTCTTTTGTGTAAGAAGTCTTTTTGAAGTTTGAGGACCATCTGGCGTCGCGGGAATTCAAGGTTCCGAACTTGAGGAAACTTTGCACGAAGCCGCTTGCTGAGGTCATGGAACTCGCTGTAGCGGCGAGAAATAACCCATGTAGCGGCAGGCATCTGATCACCAGCACGGCGTCTCACTTCGATGACATCTGTAGTCCCATTAGTATTGTGGCAGGTCGTAGATCGTAAGTCCTTACACATAGCATATTCCTTCCCGTCCTCTTCCGTACCAACCATGATCGATTGAATGAACACTGTCGCACGCCCATACAAGCTGTTATCACTCTCTTGAATGATATACTGTTGCCGTTGGAGTTCCTTTCTCTGTATCTCCCTTTGCAAGCTAGCTTTCGACTTGCGCAGAATCCTCAGTTCAGCCGCATTGTTTGTCAATTCGGCTTTTGAAGTCAGCGAATCCACGATCGACTCCTGCGAGACCAAGCGTTCAATATCAGCCGTGAGCGCATCGATGGCCTCCGCAAGGCCAAGGTCTCCTGGGGCTGCTTCATGAATCTCATCGTCTCCTGTCTTACTGCTGGGCTCTGGGTCGTCAATCTCATCTTCCAAGAACTTTTGTTCATCCCCAAACAGATCATCGTTGAAAACGCCACGCGTTCTGGGCGCACCGACAAGTCCCAATGACGCAATGCTCGGCCTCTCCCTTCCCTGTTGTAACAGCGGGTTTGGAGACAGAGCTCTTGGTAAATCCATAGAACCTCGCATTGAATCGTTGTCTCGAGACGAATGTAATCCTGGCTCGTAAAAGAGAGAGCCCTCGGGTTCGTCTAATATGTCATTCAGGGCAGCCTGCATAGCATCAACAATCTGCGAGTCATTTCCATTTGGTCGGACATGTCCCGAATCCGAGTCCAAGCTCGCGGTTGACTGTGCCAAGGGATCATTGTCGTAGTCATCGTCGAATAGAGATGCTCTGGGAGCCGTGGGCGTCTGTACGTCCAGTGAGCGTCGCGAGGGCGGCTCGAAGTCCCTAATCCTCGCTTGACTCTTGATATCTGACGATGAGGCAACTGCTCTACGAAGATCTCCGCGCTGTGAAGAGCTCAACTGTCCCGACTGCGTTCTAGCCATCATAGGCGCTGCTAAAGCCGGGTTGTCGAGCGTTCGCGCCACTGTGCTTGTTTTTACGGTGCTCCTCTCAGAGTTTGCAGCTTCGTCCATTGCCAACCACTTGTAGTAGAGGTTTGACCTTTTGAATCTTCTGAAGTGTGGTTCTTGAAGTTGGTCATAGGCAGCTGTTTGCGCTTGTAGTATGGCGCGTCGTGCGCTGTGATACTGCTGAAGCGTCGCCGCCCGACCTGATTTGAGGAACTGGGCGACCGCCTCCCGTGCCTCTGGAAGTATTTTGAGCTCTGGCTTCGATAGGTACGTATCGTTGATCTGAGCAATATCTGCGCGGTCGGAGTCTGACCAAGCGGGCAACGAGCCTACATGCTCAGATGGCTCGTCCGTATCAACCTCTAACGGATTCCGAAACCCATCCACGACTATCCAGAACTGCACCAGACGCATCAGGTTTGCTTGGTCCATAAACTCCATAAAACAGGAAAGGCCCGAGGCATTGTAAAGTACCTCTCGCAGAGACGCATTCTCAAGTCTGGACGCTGTCCGCTTGTGTGTGGGCCTTTCTTGGGCAGCGACCTTTGCCCGAACAGAACCACCAGCACTGAGGTTGGTGACTTTCGAATCCAAAATCTGTCGCGCCGTTTCCAGACGCCGGAGATAGGCTGGGTCCTGGCCCTCGACCACGGAATCCTTCCGTAGTTGACTTGAAATCTCGCTGCGAAAGCGGCGAGCATCTGCGAGGGTGTTGGTTTGTCTAATAGCTCTGATGAACTTTTCAAACTTCCTCTCGTTATCACCAGGCGCCAACTTGGGAAACTGGAAGTCCTTTGGGGTTCTCGGGGAGGCTGGCGCATGTTCGTCGAGTGCTGCGCGAAGCTTACGGACGGTCTTTCGTTCTTGCAACAACGTTCGTCCCTGGGGCTGTTAGGTTTCGTACGCACAAAGGGACATCAGCTCTTACGTATCCTTCCATCAACTGGTTCCACGTATCGGGGTCGGCGAACATGTGCATCACGGGCGACAAGACTGCACAAGCCACCATCTCCTTGATGAGGATATTGACCGCAGGACTGGTGGTCATATTACTAGGCATGATCTTGGGCAGCAGGCGAGCTACGACACTGCGCAGGTGTTGCTGCTGTATGGACGTCGTGTTGGAATATGCCAACGACGCTGCTGGATGCAGGCGACCCTCCTTGTACTTGGCCGCAATAGCCAGATCCAGCTCTTCCGACTCGGTGACGTTGCGCGACAGCTTGCGCCCGCGCACGACGCGCTCTGCCTCGTAGGATGCGCGCAAGTGGTCGGTGATCAGAGGGATCATGCGCGCCACGACCGTCTCGACCATGTCGACTGCCAGTATGCGATCGCGTATCTCGCCCAGCGCCGCGCGCACCGTCCGGTCGACCTCGTTCACAAACGTGGGGCTCTTGCTGATGCTACCGTACCAGCTCTTGACAAAGTCGCGCAGCACCAGGCCGACCAGCACGTCGAGGCTGTCCGAGACAATAAAGGACGCGGGGTATAGTGGCTCCATCATGTACATGTTCCTCTTGGTCAACGCCTCCCTCTCAGCCCTCCACTTCTCCGGCGCCAGAAAGGCAACATGGCGCGGCCCGTAATCGACCTCCCCGCCCTCTCGCAGCTCTTTCCTCCACGCAGTCGTGAGCGTCAGCCATGCTAGCCCGGCGAGGGCCGCGAGAACGCCGGCGACTAAGGCATGGGGCAGATAGTGCAGCTTGGGCTGCCAGTGTGTCAGGTAGCCCCAGGCGATGAAGACGGCGACGGCAGCGAGACATATCTCTCTGCGCTTGGCCATAATCTTGCGCCCAATCCGGCATCTTGGGTTGGTTGTCGTGACATGTAGGTGCTACTACGGATTAAACCTGCCACTTTACAGCGCACGGACCGGATATTTGACCCGACGTCGAGCATGCGTGGCACTTGCGGGGTGATAATCACAATTTTGGAGAAGGTATTGAGACGAGACAGTCAATTCATATCATCGACCTATCTTGTTCGCTGAGACGTGGAAAATGCCTCCCGCCCAACAAACCATTACATGGTATACCCTCCCTCGAAACCGCAAGTCCTGACGCCAAATGATATCCCGGTTTTAAACGCCTTCTCAACTCCAAGCTAATGCGTACCATACAGCCCTTCATATCCCGACCAATCCCAGTCTTAAAACTTCTGTCGACCCAGCGTTGGCTTCCAATCTAGCGGATGCGTCTCTTCTGTCGCATTTTCATCCTGCTTCCAAATCTTAATTGTCTTGTCCGACTCTCCTGTAATCAACCGCAGCCCTGTCTTGTCAAACGTGGAGCACATGACGCCTGCCTCTGCGTCCAGAGATCCCGGCTGAGCAATCGACTCGGTGTGCTGGAAGCGGTGCCCTGTTTTCCAGTCAAAGAAGGATACTGTGCCGTCGTCGCCTCCCGCAAACATGACGTTGTCTTCGTTGACAGAAAGCGTGTTGACGATGCTGTTCACGGGCTGCATATTCAGCATGAAATCTCCGCGTGGACACATCCACTGCTTTACGGATTGCGAAGAACCGGAAGCGAATGTGAATTCTTTCGGATGAAGGGCAAGTGTCCTTACAGACTTCTTGTGGTGGGTAAGTACTGTCTGAGTCTTTCCTGCCGCCAGGTCCCATAGCCGGATTGTCGAGTCCATGGAGCCTGTAATGACTTGTGGATCCGCCTCTTGACACTGAACATCTGTGATTGTGCCTTTGTGACCACCCAGAACATGGACGTTCGTCCTAGTGCGCATATCCCAGACTCTCCCAGCTGCATCCCTTCCTCCAGACACTAGCACATCGAGTGTTGGGTGCAGCGACAGACTGTAGACACCACTCAAATGCCCGTGGTAATGGCGAATGACCTTGTTCGTTTCGAGATCCCAGCATTTGATCATCTTGTCCTCGCCGCAAGAGAACAGATAAGGATGCCGGGGAGAGATAGCAAGTCCACGTACTGCGCTGATGTGTCCAGTCAACGTGAGCTTCAGCGCGCCACTGGCCAAATCCCAGATCTTGATGGTTCGGTCGGCAGACCCGGTAGCGAACCACTGGTTGTTCGGCTCCACTGCAGCTGACCTCACCCATCCGTTCGACCCAGCGATTACCCTCATAATCTTCCATGGCCGGTGCCACTCCGGCTTGTTCTGCTTGACAGTGTCCTTCCTCACCAACGCGCTCGACGTTGTATGTCTATTAGGCGTTGGCCCATTCGCATTCGGCGCTGTGCCCTTTCCTCCAACTCTAACAGCCAGCGCCATACTTTGCGCATCCTTTGCCTTGTCTGCTTTTTCCGACACACCCTCGATCATCTTGCGCACCTTGGGGTCGGACGCCTGCTCTTCTGCGTTTGCCATCTTGATCTTCTTGCGGCGCTCCGCAGCGGTGGACGCCGCGCTGGCCATTTTCGCGGCCAGTGCAGGAGGCAGGTCACGTACATGCTCGTATTCGTTGCGTATGCGAACCGAGATGCCGATATTTTGCGCCAGGTCGGCGGGTGCTGGTGTCGAGGGTTGAATGGTGGTAGAGAGGGCTTGGGTGTGGTCGAGAGCAGCGGGAGACGCGAAATCCGCAGCGAATAGCTCGCGCGTACGTTTCGCCGAGTTACGCGCAACTTGTTCGGCCATGGTGAGTTATGGGAGTAGGGCGTTGGTTGGAAGAGAGCTATGGGCGGTCAAAAGGTTGAAGTTCAAGCTGAGCCATCACTCTTTCGTTAGCGCGTTGCGGATTTATGTTTTCCCGAGACGCGTGTCAATCGTCTACTTCGAGATGCAATGCCCACCATCCAAGTTTATACAGCAACCTCTGCAGTCCGCGTAAGTCGATGTATACAGCGCACAATGCGAGTAAGGTTATGTTCACCCTCTTTCGCAGGTTATCCGCACGTGATGAGGTGTCTACTGTTGCTATTGCAGGGAGGAATTGTTACCAATGGTCAAGCATCCTCGAGGCACACAGCGTAGGGAACATATCCACACCATACGTAGTTGTGGACCAAGTGCAACACTTCACGTCAAGCAACAACATCAAGATCTCTACACCCAGAGAAATAACAGGGTTTAAGCAGCTTCAACAAGCTATGCACAACCAAGGTTCTGCAAGGTAATGGTAAGCCTCATCGACCTTCGTTCCAGTTCTGACTCTTCTTTCACTCCTCTGTCTCGTATACCCCGAAGGGCGCGTCCTCTCACGCCAGTAACAACTTATGACGATAGATTTGGGGCCTATTTGGGTAAGCATTTGGCTGGTTGTACTGCTTCGCAGTGTTTCTTATTCGACTTGCTCAAGTCGAATAAAGACTCTTAATCTGTCAGCTTCTGACAGTTCGTCGCGGCGCGGTCTTTGCTTGGATAGCATCAGGAGTACGCATTCGTTCCTGCTGTCACGATGCAGTCAAAAATAACGTACTGGAGCCACGAGTCTGAACATCGAACTACGTTTGCGATTGCTTGCAGAATACTCTCCCTGGAAACAAAATGCAACAACACTCGTATGCGCCGGCAAAGGGACTATGAAGATTATGAAGCTTTACTGCTGATCATCAGTCATCCAAACATGACCCCAAAAACACTTTTTGCTCGTCGGGAACCTGTGAAAGAATCGATGCACTATCTCAAAGGCTGCTGGAGAGACAGAATCGCTAGACAGTCAGTTGAAAGCATACGATCCTTTGCAACGGGACCAAGTCTCGTCACGTTCCAAGGGGTTGACAACCCATAAGGTAATTGGACCGCCGCTTTGTAATACGAAAAGAGACAGTCCTATGACAACGGCTAGTTACATATAAAGGGCCGATTATTTGCTTTCACGAACGAACAGATCGGCCATCAGCGGTGTCAATGCTGGCTCACTAATACCCAGAACAACGCCTGTGTTCATGACTGAATAGTAACACAGAATCGAATCCTTATTTAACGACCATGCGGTTCTCAAGGAATTGATCTTCTCTAGCCCGTCAGATCAGATTCCCGATAAACGTCGCACCGAAACCGGAAGAACCGGTACAGTGGAGAACTTCCTAACACTGTTGGTTGTACGTTCCCGCTAGCGCAAGTGTACCTTTCTTCATAGGCACCTGGTTCTGGACTGCGGACGGTTTGTTTCTCGGGTCATGGATGTCTTCCGTCAACGATGCTTCGCTGGTTTGTTTTGGTGAAGTGTGGACGCCCTGCATTTCCTCAAGCCACTAGAACTATCCGTCCGTTCTATTGGGGGGCTTGAGAGGTCAGGCAAACTACGCACATGCGGCCAAGAAGTCAGCATGCCGAGGCTTCAAGATCTCTTTGAGGAAATCTTTTGCTGCACTAATATGACGCATGCCGAGGTGAATTTGGCATACATGCAATGGACAGAGTTTACAGCCTCCATTCACCCGACACTGCGATGAAGTTTGGGTCCTGATTTGCACTAGGACGTCTCCAATTTTCTGAACACCATTTACTGCAAGGGTACAGACGCAGGTACATCCACACAACCATGGATGGTGAATATTATTGTAGAAGTTAGTCTCACAACATGATGCAGTAGGATGTCTCCACATACCGCGCCCGGAGCAGCACCCGGACCACGATTGGCTAACATAGTACAGTATCGCCACTGATCACAGCTAGGTCAAAGGTGCACAGACTAATCATAAACACACCGAGAACGGCTCGATCCATAGTTGGCAAGTGTAGTTTTACAAATGTGACATGCAGGGAAATCGATATCTCATGCATATGCTTCCGTTTAGGCACTCTGTCAGCTCATCAATGTATCAATGAAGCTGTCACTTTTATACGCTGACAAAACTGCAACTGTTGTCAAGTTCCTATTCTTGTAATGGCATATGGTCGAACCCAAACTTACTCCTAGAGCCGTCCGCACCTCATCGGCCATGCAAGCAATCGGCAAACATACTAAATATTGGTCCATAGGATAAAACTTGTGGCGTTCCACAACACGAAGCTTGGCGTCTCGAACCGTTCTCCCCGCACGCAATGAGAATTCAGGCAACTAGGCCCGCCTCGGCTGTTTTTCAAGCTTTATCGTTTCGGGAGCCACCTCCTCTTCCATCTCCAATATCATTCGTTGAGTGGAAACCTGAATGATTCGGCAGGGTAGCCCCTGAAAGCTACCAGTACAATTTCCCCAGACACCCTTTAGTGATCTGGATGGTTGTCGATCACAGCTGGCCAAGTCAATAAAACACCCAGCAATATAAAGCCGCCGTGTGAGCCACTTTTAGCTGTACGCTCGCTTCCATACTCCACCCTCGATAATAATTCTACCACCAAATCTCTCGCTACCATCCCAATCCGAGACAATTATCAACATGAAGTTCGCTGCCGTCACCTTCATTGCTCTGGCCTCTGTTGCCTCTGCTCAACTTGCTTCTATCCCGCAATGTGCTGTATGTTTACGTGAGAAACTTAACCACACAAACAATCAAACTGACTTGACCTAGCTGTCATGCCTCATCACCGCTACCACGGGCAGCAGCTGCAGTCTCTCCGACTACGCATGCCAGTGCCGACGCGGCTCTGAGCTCACTGCCTCGGTCATGCCCTGCGTTGTGGCTGCTTGCAACGCCGCGGACCAGGCTGCCACCCAGGAGGCTACCGTCAACCTTTGCAACTCTGTTGGTGTCCCTCTTCCTGGCGTGTCCTCAGCAGCCTCCTCAGCAGCCTCCGCCGCGTCCTCCGCCGTTTCAAGCGCTGCTTCAGCTGCGTCTTCCGCAGTAGCTTCTGCGACTGCCTCTGCCAGCGCTGCCGTGTCTTCCCTTCGCGCTTCTGCTTCTTCCGTCCTGGCCTCCGCCTCCGGTGTTGCTGCTTCGGCCTCTGGCGCTGCCTCCAGCGCTGCTGCCTCAGCCTCCCACGCCGCCTCCTCTGCCGCTTCCCGCGCCTCTTCTGCCGCTTCCTCTGTCGCCGCTGCTACCGGTGCTGCTGCCCAGGTTACTCAGGCTGCTGGTGTCATGGGCGCTGCCGCTCTTGCCCTCCTTGCTGCTTTGTAAACGTCAGAATATCGATATCAAAGGTCAATCGAGTCCAGAGGCCCCTGTCAGGTCTGGTTGGATAGGAATATGTTGATACAGAAGAAAGCATTGTATTGTATGATAAAAGCGTATACCACCTAATAACCATCTCGCGTTCGTCTTCCAACAAGGTCACCTTGAAAAGTCTCTGCACCTGTTGATTTCAACCATCATTTTCGTTTCCATGTGCTACAGAATCACTGTGGTAGTCGGTGATCAACCCAGGGGTCAAGTGGAGAATCACGTTGAAATCTTGAGACTTCCGCGAATCTCAACCATACGTTCAATGCTAAACTCTGTCATTTAGAAACTGCACGACCAACTTCATCACCAAACTTCCCCGGATGTAAGGAACCAATACGCCAGCCGCTAGCCCTCATTTCCTACCCACCACTTCACGACCTGGGAGATTGCGACCAATCTCCACCTGTTTTGACAACTGACGAATGACATCTCAACTCTATGACCAATTGTATTCGGTACTTACCCACGGTGTCTCTCTGCGATCATTGCGTTGCGCTTTTCGTGATGTTGTATTCAAGGCGCGTCCCTTGAGATGACGTCGGTGGTTGGGATTATAGTTCCTCTCAGATGTTTCGTATTAAGGAGGATCATCCTTGCCAATTCCGCCGGTGCGGCTTGTCTAGCTTATCTGGAGACAAGCTGGAATGTATCCATGTTCAGCAGAAAGTCAATATTTTGACATGTGACGGTGATTAAAATTCTCAATAAAAAGCTATGCCAACTTTTTCCTCATCACAACTTGACAGTGCTGTTTTCACTCTTGGATTAATGAAATTTGGTAGAGCAGCAATGGATCAGACAAAGTTCCGAATACTTGCACATAGTTGAGATGGTTTTGCTTGCTGCTTTTGAATGTTTTCTCTATCAAGACATGCTCTCGGCTGGTTGAAATACCAGAAGTTAAACTAGGTTCTTCTCAACAAAACAAAGCACCCGAATTTCAAGACCAAATGCTATAAGTAAAGCAAGCTGGACGTGTATTAGTAATGTTCAAGGTATACAAGTCTTACCCGGATTTTGCATTTAGTTTTCAGGCTGTTGCAAGATTTTGTGGCACCCTGATTCCTGGTATCTCGACTCACCGAGAGACATGCTCATTCTGCCCATTTGATATTATTCTGGAACCAAGCGTACGACTGATCCTGCACCTGGCTAGCGGGAGGTGCTATACTTATAGGTACAATCTACGATTTTGTTTCGCAGAGCATATCGGTGTGGTGAGCATGTTGTGTACATGCCGTTGTCAGTGTTCAGCGGCTGCACCGCACCCCTCCAAAATCGGCATCGTTGCCCCAGGTGGGGCACTCGCGTCCAACGAACGCTCATGATACAGCAGCAACAACGAACACACTAAATATCCTGATTAGTAAAACAAATTCCGTGTGGACACCACCGGCACCGTTTTCCGGCGTAGTCGACTGTGGCGTCATCGCATCGCATCGCACCGCCTCATCTGACCCGCTGCTGACTGCACAACGCAAAAGTGCAGTGCAAGCGCCGCTTTCTCTCTTCAACACACCTTTCTACCTACTGCCTATCATCACATCATGGCGATCTCATCGAATCACCTACTCCTCGTCGCGATCGCGATTCTGGTGTTGTTACCTAGTGCTGAAGCCTTCGGAGCGGGGAATATCGCGTCTATCTCGAAGATCGAGGGCAAGAACTGGCGCCATGGAGATATCGAGGATATGCTCGCAACGGTCGCATGCCTTCAAGGTCATAAATGGAAGGCTACGATGATCAAGGTTTGTCTCCCGGAGAGCCTAGCCAATAACGGTACACGTTGGCTAATATGAGCTGCAGCGTGTGTACTTTGGCAACTGGCTACGAGATTACTCACAGGTGCGTTGATTTTTCGCAGAAGAAGCTTGTGAGATACTGATCGTAGAAGGCTGTCGATGTTGGAACGGTAGCGAAAGTCCAAGTAAGTTTTTGTCCAGGTTGTATGTTGTACACCCAAAAACTGACAACCATAAAGAGCGAAACCATTCGTCTGCTTGTCTGGATATTGTCATTCATGTCCTTTGGATATGCGACTGGCGAATTCGAAGTGACTGCTGAGAGGCTTGGTGTATATCGACCTGAAGAGCACATCGGTAAGTTTCAGGTCAAGTTTTGGATGATGACAAAAACTAACAGCACTGACAGACAACCCTGTATGAGAGTCAATCTACGCAGACGCTCATTTGAAACTAACAGCGAGTAGAAAGATTATGCTGATGGCCAAGACGCTCGAAAGTTTGACCCCCGACTACGAAGCCCGGTGTTAGATATTGAACTGGCTGTGGATCCTAACACAGGTGCGACAGCTCAGGAACATCCTACAGTCTAAAAACACGCTAAATTTGACTAGGTATGAAGAACTACATTGCCAACGAGCAAGGTGGGTGGTCGACCTCAACAGGATATGCGAAATATTCCTTTGCACGAGCGATCCACTTTGGAAGACTCTATACTCACGGCCCATCTGGTCAACGTGGGCGAGAAGAAGATCTTTCAGAGGCACTTCGTTGTCTAGGTCAGGGCCTACACTGTCTCGAGGACTACGGAGCTCACACGAACTACACTGAACTCGTACTACGTGAACTCGGATATACAAACGTGTTCCCGCACGTTGGTACCCAGACTGCGATCAACCTCCGTGGTCAACACGTGTTTCCACTTGTGACGGGTACTTTTGGAGGCGTCGATTTCTTCCACTCGGTTCTCGGAGAAGCGACAGACCACATCACTTCTGCTGAAATCGACCAGATGGACACTACACTATCAGATGCTTTGATGACCAACAAGAAAGGTGGTGGAGACACTTGTACTGCGCTTACAGACGCCCTCAAAAAGATCCCTGGAACTGGCGGTCTTATTCAACAAGCCCAGTCCCTACAGGCTGCATCAGATGCTCAGGCTGCTTCCAACACTCAACATGGTCTTCGCTCTGGAGGCCCTGCATTCGATGCACCTCCAGGGTTTACGAATGGCCCTCCAGGCCCAGACATCCCAGGGACAAACACGGACCCAGCAACCATCATTCCTAAGATCTATCCTATTCTAGTCTTCAGAGATAATGTCGTTCGTAGCATCTCAGCTATTGTATCCAAGATTCCTGGATTGGAAAAGGCCATCGAGAGTATTACAGAGCGCGTCACACTCTTTGTGATGTCGCTGCTTGCTCCATTCGTCTTACCTGTTATCAAGACAGCGTCAGCGCAACTCAAGAGTGGATCTTCCGCTGTTGTTGAGGCAGCCGCAAAGCATCAGTTTGACGTTTGGACGAACCCGATGTCTACCGACCCAACCCACTCCATGCTCTCCAAGGACCATTTCTCGAACATTTTGAACGAGCCGGCGGGCCAGGTCGCCGTGGCTATTCTGCAGTACGTCGCCCCTCGTGTCATATATGCGTGGGACCATCCAGATGTTCCTGTTGACCAGGTCCTGGACGACTGTATGCGTGTCTTTCACCATCCAGCATTGCGAGACCCACGTTGTGAAGTGCACAACACAATGTTCGAGGTGGTTAAGAAGTGGGCACACAATTACCATGGCAAGGACCTTAACGACGTTCTAAGCTCCGACTCTGTAAAAGCGGGTAGGAACCACAGTGGCAGCAATGACCATTCACATGGCGCGCACGCCCATGGGGCTGCGAACGCGCAGTCGTTCCAAGGCGGCGGAAATTACGGCGGTCAAGGAGGTGGAAACCAACACTCCAGTTCCAACAGTGGAGGCGGCCTCTTCGGCAGTCTGGGCAACGTCATCAGCCCTGCCTTGAACAAGTTCAGTACATCGCGGGATGACGTTGGGTTAGATCCTTCTTCATCTAGCGTACCATATCAACCTTCACACTCTCCTCAACCCGCACAGTGGGGATCGTTCCAGCCCTACCAGTCCTCATACGCTGGGGAAGGGTACCAAGCGCCTGCGGAACACAACACCGCTGCTCCTGCTGGTGGTTATGGATGGGGTCAAGGTCAGTACTCGGGTGGCCAAGGCGATGCCCCTGCATATAGTGTTCCGACTGCGTACCAGCAAGGATACGAAGGCTACGGTACGGGACCTGGAGGGTACGAGCAGCCGCCACATCAACAGCCTCCAGCTGGCGGGTACAGCACGTATGATCAGGGTTCTTCTGGAGGTAGCGGGCGACAATGGGGTGCCGGAGGTGGAAACTCGGGGTGGTAAACGCTCTTCCAGGATGCGAGCTGGCGTCTAAGGGAGGGGCGCATGATAGTTTGCTGCAAGACGGATATTGCCAGAACAGCAATCAGTATGTGAACATGAGGTATAAGTAATACATAATTCGTATTACTGTCTCCATTTCAGTCTCTTCAGAACAGTGAAAATTCTCGAACTTTCGTCGAAGCCAACCGTCGACAAGGATATCGCAGTGAATGGCTAGCCTGCCTGGAGCTAGTGTCATAGTTCGCTTAAGAGAACTCTTGGCACTCGATTTTGTGTGGTGTTGAAGACTCCAACATCGTCGACACCCAAAGCAGTTGCCCCGCTCACTCCGCGACACGACACTCTTCGACGACGACAATATGGCGGACACCTCCAAAGATATGCCGTTCAAGGCCGTACAAGTCGACGCTCTGGTACGTGCGATATCCGCGAAACGAGCCACCCCGCCAGGCGCCCCGCCATTGTGCTCTCCGTCCTGTCTCTGCATGCGCGTTCTGTAGCGATGCCAGACTGACATCCAATTTTAGGTCGCAATCAAGATTGCTACCGCGAGCGGAAAAGCGTTCCCTTCTGTTGCCACAGGCAGTTTGGTGGGAATGGAGAAGAACGGCGTTCTCGAGATCACGAACACTTTCCCCTTCCCTGAGGCGTCTCTCGCGCAGACCGACACCCAGAACGACACAGCAGCAAACGTCGCAGCCGCAGCCCCCCGCGCCAAGCAAAACATCGCATACAGCAACGAGATGATCAAGTTCCTACGGGAGGTGAACGTGGACGCGAACAACGTTGGCTGGTACACGAGCACGAGCATGGGCAACTTCATCAACCTGAACATGATCGAGAACCAAATCTTCTACCAAAACGGCTTGAACGAGAGGACAGTCGCTTTGATCTACGATGTGAGCAGGAGCTCGCAGGGTAGCTTGAACTTGCGCGCCTACAGGCTATCGCCCTCGTTTGTGACGGCATACAAGGAGGGCAAGTTCACAACTGAGAGGTATGTACTGCCGATTCTTTTGATGCGAAGTGGTCTAACAAGCGCAGCCTCCAGAAGAGCGGTCTCAGGCACCATGAGATCTTGGTGGAACTCCCTGTCACTATCCGCAACTCGCACCTCCTCACTTCCCTCCTGCACCAGCTGCCTTCGGATGCGCCTAAGGAGGAGCTTTCCTTCCCACCAAACCTAGCTGCCCTGCAGCAGAGCCCAAATACCCCGCAGCCTCCCCTTTTCCCGAACTACGACTCACTCGACCTCTCCATCGACCCATTCCTCGAGAAGACATGTGATCTGCTTCTGGAGAGCATCGAGAGCCATCACACAGAACTCAACAACTACCAGTACTACCAGCGTTCGCTTGCCCGTGAGCAGGCTAAGATCACCGCTTGGCAAACGAAGCGCAAGGCAGAAAATGCCGCACGCACAGCATCGAAGCAGCCACTGCTTCCTGAGGATGAATGGCAGAGACTATTCAAGCTGCCCCAAGAGCCAAGCAGACTAGAGACGCTGCTCAACTCGAGGCAGGTCGAGCAGTACTCGAGGCAGGTGGATGGATTCACAGCAGGCATCACCGCCAAGATGTTCGCCGTGAAGAGCAATTTGCTTCCCGGAGAGTAAGGTGTAATAGGATGTGTGGGTTTCATGATTACGCCTTTCCTCGTCATGGCATGGGCACGGCGTTGGGGGTCACAATGTCCACTTTTGGCAAAAGCTGAGGATTAGCCTATGTAGAAGACAGGACGACACGATGGAAGTTCCGGGGCAGGTTCCAGCTTCGGAGTGCAAAATTCGCATGATAGAATCTTTGATATCGAGGTGCAGTTCAGTTTAGCCGGCAGTGTCATTTGGGATTTACCAAGCGATAATTCCGCTCCATAGAGTGCTGATTCAACAACGAACACAGCTTCACACCAAACTTATTTTCCCCTGTCCGTTTTTTTGCTCAGATCTAACACTTATATTTGCGACCCTACTAGCACTATTCTGGATAACTTTGTTTACACGCCAATCCGCGATCCTCTCCCCCTCTCGAAAACGGCTTGGCCCCTGGCTCAAAGCAGCGGGTCGGCGCGATGCAACGATCGCCTCTCCACCAGATCCACGCGTCTCATCAGCCTATCCCACTCCAAGACGCAACTTTGTTTTCTCCGCGCTTGCAACATCAGCTGCAAAGCCTCAAGGCGAATGAAACTATCTTTCAGCAACAACAGCAACATGCCTTGAGCGGACCTCCGCAAGCACCACCCCACGCATTGCACTTCCAACAACATGACTCACTTGCGCAATTCCCAACCTTCCCAGTATATTTTCACCATGCCGCGAGCCCCCAATTCGCCTTGACGAGTGCATATGCGCGTACTGGCGGTGTCCAGCATATCCAAAGACCGAGTCACCAAACATCGCCGCCGATATATTCAACACCACAGGCCATCCCGCAACAACCTCAGCATATTCAACCACCGTTCCAGTCGCAGCTTCGAACGCAGACTTGGCGGAGCAAGGCTCCGTTGGCAAACCATGCCCAGTTCAAGGGGTTGAGGCTGGTTTCCAATCCACCAAATCTTGAGGAATGGAGGAACAAGCTGTTCACTGTGGACGGTATGATCACATTGACAGAGGATGAGTATGTTTCCCTCCTCGATTCATTTACCTACAGCTACTTTTACTAATGATACACCTCAGATTTCAAACCTACTTTCCGCACATTGACAACGTTTACTCACACCGCTCGACGCAGCGCCACAAGCGTAAACGCTTCGTATCTCACTACTGGGACTGTCGCCTTAAAGGTCGTCCGCCCGGCACCAAGAAGTCTACAGATCCAGATAAGAAGAAGAGAAAGAGGGTTGCGCGGGAGCGGGATCTTTGCGATGTTAAGATCAAGATCACAGAGTTCTTCGATCGAGAGGAATACGAGGAGCACATGGGTAAACGGCCGCCTGGTGTTGAGGAGGACGAGACGACAACTCTGCATGCGACAGGTGCGGGTACCGATCAGGACACTCGGTACCTTGGACAGAGTCAGATGGGGCAGCAACAATCTGATCCTTCGTGGGACATATCTTCAAATACAGCCCAGTCTGAAATGAACATTACTCCGTTTGCGCCTACGCCCACCCGGTCGCTCGCTTTTCTGCCGGAGAAGGTATATACAATTCAGAGGGTTAATGGAAACGGCGGGAATGGTAAAGGCGATGGTGTTTCAGGACCACATAAGCATTCTCTCGAGGAAAGCGATCGTGTGAAGAAGAACTGTGTTGTCAGGTGGCTGGCGAAGAGCGAGAAAGTTGTGAGAAGAGTGCAGGTAAGCTTATCAATTCATGACGAACCAACTCCACTGCACTCATTATATGTTACTTTCTTTGCTTTCATCGTCCAATCAATTTTTTTCCTGGTCTATTCTGCTCTTTTGCATTGCAACACCTAGATCCGCCGCTTGAGGCTTCGGTGGAGCCTGCCAATCAAGTGCATAACGTCATTTTGATGCACCTTTGGTAGATCATGCGCCGAGAACGTCTATACCCTCTCAATTTGCAGCTGGTCATCTTCGATCTTACATTCTTTATGTATTCAATCCCCGGACGCCTACACACATCTTTTCGTTGTTCATCACTCTTAAATCATTCTCGTGGGCCAGTACACGTTCGCGTCTCTACTGCCAGCAACCCCGCTTGCCCGTCTGATCTATCCCCGTTCTTGACATCATTCTCATCGCGTTCCCTGTCACCAACAGTCTCTGTTCGATTCAAGATGACCGATACAAACCAGGGTGGGGACGCCTCGAAGAAGACCTATTACAAAAAGGCTACCGGAAACGCCTTAACAACGGCCGAAACCCACTCAGAAGAGAACAGCCTGAAACTCTATGGAAGCTGCTTCTGGTGAGTATCATGTCTTGCCAGTGCATATGACGTCATCTTAGATCATATACTAAATACTTTTTGTAGTCCTTTCGTCCAACGTGTCTGGATATCCCTCGAGTACAAAAGAATACCTTACCAATACATTGAAGTGGACCCCTACAAGAAGCCACAGTCCCTCCTCGATGTCAACCCGCGAGGACTGGTCCCCGGTCTCCGCCACGGCCCAACATGGTCAACCCATGAATCCACTGTTATCATGGAGTATCTCGAAGATCTGAACACCGGTCCAGGCCTTCTACCTCCTGACGCACAAACTCGTGCCACATCCCGTCTCTGGTCCGACCACGTGAACCGCCACATCATCCCTATGTTCTACAAATACCTTCAAGCGCAAGATACCAAGGACCAGGTTTCACACGCCACCGAACTGCGCAATCAAATCAGTAAGCTAGTTGATGCTGCGCATGCTGATGGTCCATTTTTCCTCGGTGCGAAGATGACGTTTGTAGATGTGCAGATTGCGCCATGGGTGTTGAGACTTCGACGGGTGTTGGGCCCGTATCGTGGATGGCCCGAACCAGAGGAGGGGAGTCGCTGGAAGAAATGGGTTGAAGCGCTTGAAAGTGAAGAGAGTGTCAAGATGACGACGAGCACGGATGAGTTATACCTGGATAGCTATGAGCGATATGCGGAGAATCGGCCAGGGACGAGTCAGGTAGCTGATGCTGTGAATTCGGGGAAGGGACTGCCTTAGAGATGGAGACGGAATAACAATAAGCGTAATTTGCTCCCATGTATGTATGGTTGTGTTGGCGGATACGTAGTGTTTGGTCAGCTTTGATCTTAATTCGACGTCCATAAAAAGGAAAGGAACTTACATTAGCTCCGGATGCAATGATCAAAGGTTTCTCGGCTCCCGTTCCATCTTTTTTGTTTCCCCGCAATCTGTCAGACCCTGAGGTTTTTCTCGTTATTCCAAATCGATACATACTCATCAACTTGTGATGTAATTACCCCCGGACAGAACTCCGCTACCCCTCATGAGTACCTGCATATACGACTAGATATAAATATACCCGATGTTGCACTTCAACATACACTACAAACGACAAGTATCACGTTTTCCCAATTATCTCTTTGATCCCAACTCCAAGATTGTGCTGCCTTGCCCTCCCCAATTCGTACTTCACTATGCCTACCTCAAAAGTCTACGGCACTCCGGGCCCCAACAATGAGAAGATCGGCGGCGTCCCCATTATGCATTACTTCGACTTTATGTCTCGTGGGCGTGGCCAAGCCGTGCGTTTGCTCTGGGAAGTACGTTGGATCTCCATCTTCTTGCAAATTGCTCGCACTAAGACTAATTCCTGCCTTCAGGACGCCGGAATAGCCTACGAAGATGTGCGCTACACATTCGACGAATACCCATCATACAAAGCCGACAAGATCAGCGCGTTGAACCCCGCGGCTACAATCCCCGTTGTCGAACTAGATGGCAGAATCCTAACGCAGAGTTACGCAATGCTACGTCACTTCTCGCGGCTACTAGACGGCGTGTATGACGGGAAAACCGAAGCGGAGAAATACTTTACGGATCAAATCTGCGACATGGTCATTGACTGTGCGTTTTTTTGTTTCCTTTTGCCGAGGAAACATGTTGCTAATCCATACTAGGGCGCACACTCTTCGTAACTGCCTTTCTCTCCCCAGAGAAGGAAACAGCATATCCCAAGCATTGCAGCACTACACGCGCAAACTTTCTCAAAGCCATAACGCAGCACTTCCAAGGCAGCGACCTGGCTCAGAGAGGTCCGTTTGTCATTGGGGATACGTTCACGTATGCGGATATAGTGCTGTATCAGATATGCCATGATGAAGAGCTGACGAGGAATGGACGGAAAGGATTGCAGGATTACCCCAGGCTTGTTGAGTTCGTGGACGCGGTGGAAGCGAGGCCCAACGTAAAGGCTTTCCTGGAGAGTGAGCGGTACTTGGGGTAGAGTGTTGAGGGAATCAGAGGGATGGAAATGGGATGTGTGTGGAAAGTGGGACGTATGCAATAAGAGGGCTCATGAGAATCGATCTGTTGACGTCCTGGTTCATTTTTCTTCTGCTTGGTGTCCCTGCAGTTTTCTGTCTTTTCTGCCGTTCGATAGTTCGCTATCTCTGGCAACTTAAAACGTGACTGAAATTGGGAGAAAACGGTGTATGCAACCGCCATATGGCGATTGATCTTTTGGACATGTATTTTCTTGTACAGAGCAAGTTGTTTTATAGTAGTTCTTGCATTTATTTGTCTTTCGGTGGTGGTCCCAAGACTACCACTCCCTTTGTCACCGCGTCTCTAAGAACCAACATCAGAGGTTGAAAACTACTGTTGATGTTTCCGAACGGAAGAAAATAGTGTACTCAATAAAACGAAGAGCAAAGACAACCATACTAGAGGAGTTCCTGCACACTTGAAAGGAAGTGGTTTTGACACGAAGGAAATAGTTCAGCTGGATCTTTTGAAGCTTTCTCGGAAAATCTCGGTCAACATAAATGGACAGATAATTGAGATTGAGTACAACTCGTTACATGGATTTTTGCTGCATATATTAGTATCGAGGTACAACGCAGTCTTTGGGACGTGTATATGAAACTTCGGTAACTCAGTACACGTGTACTGACCTCATAAAATAGATGATGAACATTTCGTTCCTCGCCTAACCTCGATCGATTTTACGAAGCGAAGAGGCGTAGAAAGCGATTCACGGACACGGCTCAGATTCTGTTGTGGAAGTAAGGAACCAATCACGTAGTCTCCACAAGCGCAATTCACTTACCGCTCACGACCCTTTTTGACTAGACTGCGTAATTGCACAATGGCCCTCTCGACCACCTGGCGTCAAAGAGAGTTGCATGAGGAGCGTTCCGTCTCGGACCTGCTCAACGATATCAGTAGGCTCGGCACCACTTCTGATCCTGCTCAGAAGATCGGCAGCCTCTTGCTCCGGTAGAGACTTCAGCAGCTCGAACAACTCCTCAAGGTATGCATGTCTCCTCCTCAACTGTGCGCTCTCGGTTTCTGTATACTGACACTCAGACCCGCGAGCAACACACTCGTTGCATTGTGGTCGGCGACCATCACACTGAGCAAGGGGGTTGATTAGCTCAGCTCAAACCCACTTGTCCACGTTGACACTACCTTAGTTTTTCGCGTCCGACAAGCCGCGCATGCGAAGGAGTTGCGACTTCGTTTTGGATTTGGTTGCGGATCTTCACGTGGGCCCAGGGCGGGAAGAAGGGGCCGGAGGGTTCGTAGCGATTCACTCGAACTACTTTGTGGTGTATTCATGTGCCAGCCAGTTGACGCGAAGATGAAGAAAGCCGGTGATGAGTCTGGATGAATGTTGAGTGAGGATGTGGGTTCTGAAATTCGAGAAAATCGCTATTGACGTGGATATCGCCAACGGGGCAAAGGAGATTATCATCAAATGCCTAGAAGCCTAGCCTGACGTGTCCAACGTCTAAACATTCCCGTAGACCCATTACGGACTGTGGAGGGTAATTCGAGCATACCATAAAACAGCCGTGTCCGGTAAGCCAATTCGAGTACTACATGTGGACAAGACAAAAAGCAAAGTAATCGCTTAACGCCTATGACGCAGCACGGCATATCCTCCCCACAAGCCGAGTGTGTGCAACACTGCTAAACCGAAACCAGGCCGCATGGAATTTCGCAAGAAGCGGGTCGAGTATGTGGCGAACGTGGTGTTTCCAAGACGGATTGCCTACGGACGGTTCGGGTGAGTTTCCATTTCGAGTACTCAATCAGCATTCGTAATCACCTCTTAACCACGTGCTTCAAAATGATGATGCATGCCATCTCAGTTAGATTTCGTTCAATCTTCAATTATGACTTAACTCCATTCTATAAGGAAATGGTCTCCAACAGTAGTGGGGGATAGGTAGACAGTCACATCATTTTATAACACTAGGGGCAATTAGAGAAACGATCACGGCACGTCAACAAGTGAACAGTAACAACGACAACATGAATCCAAAGAGGTATAATGTGAATAGCACTAAACACTTTAACAAGAGCTGTTGTAGGTAGTAGACATGACTAATACACATGAAGTGTTATATCTGGTCTTCACTGTAATATCCATCTGTACCATCCGGAGACAATTCAGTTCCAAGACGCATCGAGACCTTGATCTTCTTGACCACAGCAGCAATAAGGAGTAATATGTAGATCGAACATAACGTAAAAGATAAACACTATCGATCTATAGGTCGACGAGGTGGTAAGGGGGACGTCAAGCCAGGTGAAGACAGTACAGAGCCAAATTTGCACTGTAATCCGTTTACCACTCTGTCTATGGATAAGACTTAGGATGCTGTTGTACATCAAATAGCTTGTATCCCAATAGGACCCAATTTACACTATTGAGACATGTAACAAAATCGAGAGGATTGATAGAAGAAAAGAAAGAAAAAGTTTGCATGTTTATCATACGAGGGCATCTGCAACTACTACACAACGCTGGCAGAAGTGGCTTACATCCACTGGCTCTCGTGTCTCGCGTACTCTTTCTTGCATGTGGACCATCATTGTCAGAGTAGACATATCGGAGGTGGTACAAAGGGCCAGACCATAACACAGCATCCAAGATGCGGACGCGCTAACTTATGATACGCACAGTTTCATTTCGCCCTGTTCTGCACTGGTACTAAGCGACCCGTTGCTGCATGCATCGTTTATGCACAATCTTGTCGCACTTGTCACACTTGTGGCTGCACATGGGCTATTAAGATCGATCGTCAGAGTCCTTCAGCCCGTGTATGCTGATGACCACACGGCGGGATGCCGACATTTGCCGAACAGAGATTAGGCGGATGGCGACACAAGTTCTAGAGAAACCATGAATATGTATTAACAAGGCTTAGTAAATGACTAAACCAGTCAATGTTTGTCATGATAGTCAATTCCCCCTGGTACATATACAAATACAACCAACAGCAACCGTTCGTTCCTTGAACTAAGCCAATATCCGTGCCGCATCAGTATGTAACTTCTTTCTGCTTAGTACTCAAAGTCATCATCGGCACTCGGCCCCTTGGTCTTCGACACACTCTCCTGTCTTTGGTACATCTCGGCGATCATTCTCGATGTAGACGCTTCATCTGGCTTCTTATCATCTCTCTCTTTGATAAAACGAGGAAATCTCAAGCTGATTCCCTTCCCGCCACCTGAGACCTCATCGGCGGCAGCCCTGTATCGCGGTGACAATGTGAGATCGGCCGTCTTAACTTCCCACACGTAACGCGGCTCGAACCATACATCGGGTTGATCCTTGTTGCCCGACGAGTGAGTGTAGAAGGGTTTGGGGCGGTCGATGACAATTTCCGAAAGCTGTTTGTGGAGTGTCTCGAGAATAGCTTCGGAGAAACCAGTACCGATGTTGCAGACAGTCTCATAGTTCTGCGTCTTGGGGTTATAACAAGCGAGTAAGAAGGCACCGTACCAACTAGTCCGCTTGCCCCTGCCAAAGTAGGCCCCCAGGACGACTAGGTCGAGAGAGTCGCCGACACCGGCAAGGTAATCTTTCTTGACTTTGAGCCAATTCTGTGATCGTTTCGAAGGCTCGTACGAAGACTCTGGACCGTCGAGCATCTTTACCATGAGACCTTCGCACGATGCTTTTACAGAGTCTTCGAGGAGGATTTGGATCTCTTCTAGCTCGTTCGTATTACCAAACTTTGCGAAAGCAAACTCACCCTCAACTGGATCAAAGGCACCGAGCAGAGCCTCACGACGCTCGCGGAATGATTTGTTTACAAGAGCCTGGTTGCATTGGTTAGTGATTGGCATCGATAGATAATAGAATGACATACCTCGCCGTTGAGATAGAGGATATCGAATGCGAACACGCAAACCTGAACTTTGACATCCTCAACCTTAACATCTTTCCTTTTTCGCGTCATGAGTTGTTGGAAGGGCAGAACTTTCTTCTCCACCATATCCCAAGCAACCGTCTCGCAATCTAGAACGAAGCTGCTTGTGCCTTGTTTGATCCAGGTAGGTAGTTTGGCAAGAATGTCGGGATATTTCTTTGACAAGTCTTCGGAATTTCTTGAGAAGATATTCGAAACACCACGATCGCTCTTTCCAACAGCGGGAGCTGCTGTGGCCATCTCCATTGCAGCGTCGTGCGCGACAAAATGTATCTGAGCTCGTTCTCCATCATACTTGTACTCACACGTAAAATCCTTGCCCTCGAAGCGATCAAGGACCTCCGTGATAGACTTTGTTGGTTTGGCAAGCATAGGCTTAAGAGGAACACCAGGCTGCAGGCGGCACCTCTCGGGCAAGTTGGAAAGGCCATGCTCGAGCATAGCCGGAACAATGACCTCGTAGCTTGGAAGTTCACTATGAAACCTGTCAGTAACATGAAAAGCGTGCAACTTTCAGATGTCTCACCTGTAAACGGATTTCAGCGTAGACTCTGCCTTGGCCAAATCTGCTGTTGACGGAATTTTGCTCTCCTGTGACATTTCATGGAAGATCATAGCTTGCGATAGGGCAACCACAACCGTCCTCTCCGCAAGACCCAATCGAAGCTTGCCCTCCAACGTCCGCACGATATACTTAGCTTCGCTAGGCCCTCCCTTGTCCTTTTCGATGTCGATTTGCTTGCCAGCGGTTTGCGCATCAGCCGCTGATAACAACTTCTTGATAGCATCGACCTTGCGTCCTTGAGAACCTTGTCCCTCTATGGTAGCAATGGTCAGCAGACCCTTGTGTACGCCTTGCACCGTCAAAGACTTGGGTTTGAACATCGTCGGCTGCTTTGACCGACTCTTCGCTGCCACGAGACCAAGGTCACCAATTTCATTTTGATCGGTCTTGATGTGAGCTAGAGTCCGTCCTGTGCTTTCAGAAATGGCCTTCATAATTAGCGACTCGCCAATTCCGAGTTCAATACCGGCGTAGTCGGCAGCAAGCTTATTGATCATAAGCAGGACAGTCGGAAGCAGGTCAGTGGGTGTCAGTCGCAGTACTTGTCGTAAGAAAAGTGAGCAATGTGCGGATATCTCCAGTCGCTTTGTAGTCATCTCGATCTTCGAGAAAGTCGTGCATAGTGCAGCGTATGGTACTGGCTCACCAGACTTCCAGTCAGGATATAAGTCTTTCGTTGTTGACGTTAACGTGGTCTGAACCTTCTTCCGAGCCTTTTGTTTCAACTCTTCCGGCTCCTCATCTGAGCTCAATACTTCCTCGTCCTTCGGACTCGAGTCTGCATCTTCTTCTACGGGCGACTTCTCAACGTCTTTCTTGCTCTCAGCAATTTTCTTTGGCGCAGCAACCTCCTCATCTTCGTCTTTCGGCTCTACAACCTTAGGTTTCACGACTGGCTTCTTAGACTTCGCTGGGGACTTGGCGGCCTTTTTCGGCGAAGCCTTTGGCTTCTTGGGCTCTTCAGCCTCTTTATCGGCCTTCTTGAGCACTGCCTTAGACTTTTTTGGTTCTACAGCCTCCTTTGCTGGCTTTCTTCGCTGTCGTTTGGTTGGGGGCTCATCCTCAGAATCCTCCTCTTCCTCTTTCGCTTGCCTTTTTTTCCCACCATCTGCAACGGGGTCATCGACCTCCATGGTCTCGCCCTTCACCTCTTCCTTGACCTCCGCATCAGACTCCTCCTTGACATTGTCCTGTGTCTTGACTTCCTCAGGGGATGATTTGGGCTCTTCTTTTGGCGCCGAGTCTCTCTTTTCGGGTTTGGGCTTTGTCGAAAAGGACAACTTCGATTGTTGCTTGGCTACGCTGCCGTCAGACTTCCCGAAGAACTTCCTACACAACGACAGTTAGTACGAGAAGCATGAGGTTTGTAGCCTTTGGAAGACTTCACACCCTAACGTTGTCTGAGAAGACTTGACATACCCAAGGGTAGCCTGCTTGGGTGGCATGGCTAGAGAATGGTGACTTTCGCGTGCGCTCCAACGCTGACAATGATAGCGGCGAAACGAAGCAGAAAGGGCACTATGCAAACAGATTGGAGAGAAGAAACCCTTCAATTGACGTGGTGTTAGAGTATGGAGACGAGAAGCATTGGAGCGTAGGAGCATGCTCTGAGTGAAGTGCGCGTGGATTTCGCGAAGCATGGACGCAGTTTAGGCACCCACCCTCGACTCGACGCGAAACGCGCCTGCTGCACGCGTCGGAAAATCACACGTGATTCGTCCTGACATCATTATCTTTCCGTCGCAAATCAACACTCATCATCGTTCTCAGAATCGCCGCTTCGAAATACCTTCTCTACCAAGACACCCCTAATAAACCGAACACAACCTTCGAACTGGCGAACCTTCTCTGGCAACGTGTTCCACCACAGGAGCCATCACCTCCATCTCCGCCCGCCATGTCTCAACCTTCCTCCTCTCCGCGTCTCACGCCACAATTTTGCTTCAATCAAACCGCACTTCGAGGTTCGCCAGCCCTCACAACTCGCATTCAGCACACTAACTAATCTCAAGCCACCTAACAGACTTCCTCCGCATATCGCGCGGCACAATCGACGACTCGATAGCACAAAACCTCAACGCGCTCCTTACGCCTGCCCAGCGCGGCTTCGATCCCACATCTACATCTACACGGCAGTTGGCAACGCCAGGGAGGTCCATACCGCCTGAGCAATGTGGACAGTTCAAGGAGAAGGTCTTGTTCCCCTCGTGGGCTGTGCGGTCTGATGTGCTGGACTACTGCGCAGGCGTCGCTACATCGCCGGACCCATATGACCCAGACAGTGTGATACGGCAGATTGAGGACTCTAAGGCGAGAGAGCGCGTGGTGGACGAGCGACTGGATCCATACTCAGGACGCTACTTTCCACAAGAGGCGAGAACAGAGAGCCTGGCTATGCTGATGAGAAATGAGAGGGCTGTGGAGAAGATCATAAGGATGAGGACATGGAGCTTGATCGGGGAACGGTGCACGACGAGCCATGAGTCTGCGGACAAAGCGTTCGGCAAGTGGCGGGCGACACAGCGGCGATGAGTGCGCATTGGGGAAACACTTGTACGTTGGGACATCGTAGGATCTCTACTCAGCATGACTATGAATGCATTCAAGCGACGGCGTTTGTAGAAACAAAGCATGCTTCATGTTGTATGCGGGAATGTCATGTCGACAAGTCCGCTCTGTATAAACAAGACTTCATCCGTGACAGAATCACAGCGACAAATACGATCAAAACGAGTCACGTAAAGAACAATCGTTCGCTACACCATGACTCGTCGAGGATATCCATCACCGAGGCATTGACCGCAAAGCGCCACAAACAAAAAAAGTCTGCAGAGCCTCACAACAAGCAATCTAAGCGACAATGATAGACGCTTCCACATGCATATTCCATCTCACAAACAAACGCACGCCTCAATAACGAAAAAAGGCATGTCCCACACCATCCCACAACTCCAATCCATCTTTTCACGGACAGCAGCTGGTAAGGAAGACGGGCGGTATCTCTCTACGGGGCCGGGAACGGAAGACTATCCACAGGAAAATGGGATAACCCTCAGCAAGCCGCCGAAGCGGAGCCACGAAAAATGTAGGTAGATAAATCTACTGATGTACTGAGCAAAAGAGGGTGCGGGTGACGGCCGCCTTTTAAGCTGGTCGTGAAGGGGTCTGTGCGCTGGTTACGTGAGCGGCGTTGAGTGGGTCGCGGAGCAGAATTTTGGGAGGAGGTCGGGCGGGGGAACTTCGGCTGGGAGGAATGTGGAACTCTGCTCGAGCGAGCATGTTAGCACATTGATAGATGCTGAATACACTGCGATAGTTTATGTAGTTTGTTGCTGATTATCACTCTGTTCTTTAGGCTCTAATAATGCTGCCAAAGGATGATCCCTTGCGCACCTAAGAGAGAGTCTTTGACCTTGAAGGAACACTGTACAAATGCAACAAAAGCCATGAAGATTCTAGAAGCACATATTGAGAGCCTAGACTCTTTCTCCACAACCCTTGTATACATACCGTATTGACAGGTACAAGTGGGGTTGAGCAGAACGAGTTTCAAGAAGACTACTATATTGTACTTTACACTATCTAGGTAGGACTTATCGCAGCTGCGTGTTGAGTTGAGGTTAGCGGATTCAAGGTCAGGATTTCAAAATTGCAGACATCACATGAGACAGTGATGAAAAGAACAGTTGCGGGCTTCATGTATGCATTACTGAAAAGCTACATCATAACCCAACATTTGTTTCCGTCGGAGGTTCCATAACATCATAAACCGCAGCAATCCGTCTTTCGACGTCGTACTACGACATGCCAGCGAACACGAACACACTCAGCAACTCTCTAGTAGAGGCGCTTGGGCGGGCTCATGGTGGCCTTGATGGTCAAGGAACCAACGTTCTGCCATCCCTTCTTCAGCAGCGAGACGAGGTAGTTGATGGCCAACATGATGTTACCAATCAACTCATCCTCAGTCATACCGACGTTGCCAACGGCAACACCCATGCAGAGAACCTTCTTCAACTGGAACTTGATGGTGGACTTGACCTCGGTCATCTTGTTGGCGAGATCTTCGGCGTGGGAGACGGGCGTAGGGAACTTGCCGGCCTTGGAGAGACCGGGACCGAGGAGACGTGGGATCTGCTTGATGAGGGCGTCGGAAGCCATGAAAGCATCGTACTTGCGCGCGAGCTTCTTGATGAGCTTCTTGTTCTTGTTGAGCTTCTTCAAGTCCTGTGGCGGGGGTCAGTCGTGTTCGCGCACAGCGTAACTGGCACTGGTAAACGTACGTCAGTGCTCATGGCATCGACACCGTGGTGCTTGGCACGATCGATATCGTGCTGGTCACCGAGAACGCAGATGGCCATGCCTAATCTCAGTCAGCGCTTGTCCACCATCAACACAGATCGATAGAACTTACGAGGACGGGGAACGGTGGGGAGCTTGACGGTTCCCGAGAAACGCTTGTCACGCTGGGGGTCGTAGTTCTTGAGGCCGATTTGAAGCTCGACGGTCTCGAGGAAGTTCCTCTTCTTGGTCTCGTTGGAGTACTCAAGGAGCTCCTTGACGTTCGAACGAACGCCGGCAACAGAGATTTTCGACATGTTGGCAATGTGTCTCCCAGAGGATCGATGGTTCCTTTGGTGGCTCTGGTGCGATGGTGGTTGAAGAAAAGAGGTTTGAGGCGGGCGGCGATTTGGAAACGGCAGGTGCGCGAACTTTGGTAAGCGACGCACTAAACCGTTTCTGATTGACACCCCTGTCGTTATGTAACTTTGCCTCTGAGCTTGGTTTTTTCTCTGAGAGAATGTACATGACGAAGCCAGGACTAGGAGTGGTTGTTGTTCCTTCTGTAGATGTAGGGTTCGACTCGCTTTCATTTACAGTGATGCGACTGATTCATTGACAACTCGCATATAACATCACAATTCGATTACCGCAGAGTCACAAAGTGGTATACAGACTGGTCCGTGGGTATAATTATTATGCCAAACAATTATCAAGAGTTAGCATGGAGGCTCTAAAATAACCCCATCCTAACGTTATAAACACGTTCAATCAAAACCAAAACAGCCAGAGTATTGTACATCGCTTTTCGTCCCATCCCGTGCCAAAGACCAAAGACCCATACCACTCTTGAGGAGTGCCACGCCATGCAATGCCTAAAACTCCTCCCCATAATGTTCGCCGGAAAGATACTGATGGGATGCACATAAGATGTGAGCACACGTCATAAACAGTGTTGTCACGGGTATCGCATCAAAGAAAATCCCAACGCCGATGCCGCACCGTGTTCGTAAATCAGATCGAATCGAAGGGGTATGTGATCGCAAAACCACCGCGCATGCCGCCACGCCAAACGAAATCAAAGCCGAAGCCGGTAGAATACAAAGGCAAAGGTAAGCTGAGCAGGGAACAAGTTCAGCTCACAGCCGCATTGTCGTGAGTCGAACGTTTTGCTTGAAGACGCATTGGCCTCAGTGCATAATTTGCTGGTTGTTTGCAGCGTCGACAACATTATCGGAAAGGTTGATCAGAAGCTGAGCGAGGCAACGCTTAGTTGCAGCATCGTCACGCAGAACTGATGAAAAAGTGGCGTCGCGGAGAGGTTCGGGGAGACATTGACGCAGTGCCTCGCGGGCGCGGGCGTTGTCGCTCAGACTATTCAGATTAGATTCGGTGTCCATACTTGCATGTACAGAAACTTACCGAAGAAAGCAGCGAACGACGTGCTTAAGCAAGCGAACAGTTTGCTGCTCCACCAACTGATTGACCATGTTGCTGAGGACGGTGCCAACGGCATAGAAGCGCTCGTAGGTCTGGCAAATGTACGCCAGGCCAATATCGTCCAACAAGATCTTCTGTACGATGAAAATGGCAACCGTCTTGCTAAGCTCTGAGCCTGTCTCCATGATGCGCAAGCAAAGCGGAATGATCTCGGTCGTGAGGAGGAAATTGATGACCTCCGACGAGTCGTTCTTCACAAGAGCACCAATGACACCAAGAGACGTAAGGCGGAGGTACTCGAATGGCCTCGACTTGGATGTCGTATTAAGAAACGGATAAAGGAAGAGCGGAATGTGCGCTGCGGCGAGGTTAGCTAGGCGACGCTATTCAAACACAACCACTTACCACTCAGGAAGAGACCACGAGTCTCAGTGTGAGAGGCGACACATTGAAGCAGTGCGAGGGCATTGCAGACACGGTTCGAAGCAGCGGCGGTCAATTGCGATGGGTTGAGCAGAGGGTAGACAGAGATGATCTCCTGAAGGAGAGAAGCCATGACACCTGAGAAACTGTTAGCTGCGACTACCAATTATGCAGGCGCTAGAGAGCATACCGAAAGAATGCCAGAGAATCAGAGCCAGCTCCGGCACTTGCTCCCGCTTCTTGCTCAACTCAAGCAAGGCCGATTCGCGCGTAGCCGGCTTCATGAGCTGCGCGATCCAGTCGAGGACGCGCCTGTTCTCCTCTGTCATGCCGATATCGGTGTTTGTTTGAATGTCGTTCGCGGGTCCACGAGGAACGATGCCGCTGCTCGGGATAGCTGTTCCGTTGTTCCCCGCGATTTGGCTGTAGTGCTGCTGTTGGGCGACAGCTGCGGCGGCCCGGACGGCATGTGCTTGGGCCTGAGCCTGCGCCTGTGCCTGCGCATGTGCCTGAAGTTGACCGTGCTGGGCTACATGGTGATTCGGGTGCTGCTGGTGGTGGCCTTGCTGGGCCCACTCCCCAGGGTACTGCTGCTGGTGCGTGAAGATATGTTGCATTTGCTGCTGTCGGGGTTGAGATCGTGGGGTAGGTGAAGTAATTTCGTGTTGGGATGTTGGAGGAAGACTACTGTGAGTTACTAGTACTCAGGGCGGGAAAGCGCTGGAAGTCGTGGTGGAAAGAAGGTGGCAAGCGCAGTGTGGAGTCTGTTCTAGCAGTACTCGAGAGGTGAGGTTGGTTGGACCCCACGATCACTGATGGCGGCTGGCTCGTGCGTCTTGGCAGCCTGCGGGAGCTTGTGCTTTTGGTGATCCACACGGCAAAGCTTCAGATCAGGTGAATCTCCGACAGCCTTAAATTAAGGTACACTACAATAGCGAGTGTCCACAACCGAGTCTGCAACCTAGAGGCGGTGTAGGTAAGTTGGTGCCTGTATCACTTCAGGCAACCTCACAAGAAAGGTGCTTGAAGGCTGCACAGAGTGTTCACAAACGAAGGCCTTTCATCTGGTCTAGTATTGCGAAGAAAGACGATGACACCGATAACAAATAAGATTTCATGTCGCATGTTTGTACCCTCAACCCCTCCGCACTACAACTCGATTACAATCAAACAAATACCGCCTTCAGAAGGTAGAGTTCGTCATCACCAAAAAATGTGTTACCTCAAGAACGCCTCTCAAACCAGTATACCTATAGCCGCAATTCAGACAAGATGGTCTGCGCCATGTTCTTGTACTGCCATGTCCCTCCGTCCACCTTCTTGAACTGGATGCCATGGAGTCTGAACAGTGGCACCTTGACGATCAATATCTCGAAAACAAGAATCATACTCTCGCCCAGATCGCTCTGTACGTGTGTCGTGGTTTCTCCAGCCGCCACTGCCCGTCCGCCCCGCGGTCTTCGCTCATCTCTGTCCTCGCTTCCGTCAGACTCGTCGGTGTTGGTATAGCTGCGATCAGCAGGAGGAGGCCGAGCCCGTGACTTCGGAGTATGGGGAGCGCGATTATGGTCCCTGAAGTCTTCTCGATCCTTGTCACCGCCCATGAAACCACCAAAACTTATTCTCCTCTTGTTGTGTCCGCTTGGTGGAGAAGCGGGCGCGTCAACCACTTTATTGAGGTCAATACTAGGCGCGTGCCGGCATTTGAAGCCGCCTTCGATCTCGGTATACGTGACGCCAAGCTGGTCGAGCACTCGTATCAATTCATTCTGAATGAGGAACAATGGCTTGCTGCTAGTTGTGGAGACACTGAAGAGACCCTTCAGGAGAACGGGTTTCACAGCATCTGGGCTACGGCTGGCTTCCGCTTGGGCTTGCGCAAGCTCCGCATCCGTTTCTTCTGGCACCCCGTTTTGCTCTTTGGCTTGCTCGCGTCGTGCCCTTCGCGCCTGGATGCTTTCCCTACGTGCATGACCTAGGGATTTTGCGCGATGAGCTGCGATGGGACGTGAACCTTCCGAAAACTCATCTGAGGCAGCATCGTTGCCGCCTTGAACTTTCTGTCTACTGAGATCCGATCGATCCGATCCGCTAGTAGGCGGAGGGTTTCCAGGGTCTTCTGATGATCTCCCTCGTCGACTCAATCGTCTTCGGAAATCGGCCGAGTTCACACTGGTCGAGCGGCCCAGGGCTTTGAACTTCTGTGTGGCGCTGTTAGCACCACTAGGAGGAGAAAGCAGCTCTGGCTGATTTGCTGCATTGGTCGGGAGTTGAGACGAGGACTCTGTGCCCCTGTCGCGTTGTCTCCGAATACTGAAACTCTTCTTCGGAACGCTAGCTGTGTCTGGCGGGCTAGATATTGCGAGAAATGGCGTGGGTGGCAGCGGTTCTGAGGGGTTCTTGTCATGACCTCTGTATTTCCTGGTGCTAAAACGTCGCAACAGCCCGGCAGCAGCACCTTCCTTCTTTACGTGTTCGACAGGCGCCGGTGGTAAGGTTGGCGTAACGGCACCTGGCGGCTTACTAAGATCTACTCTCTTCAATCCATCTGCAATCTCGTCCTCGCCGTGAGTTCGTGCTCTCGGTCGCGACCTTCCGCCTGTGGGCCTCTCGCCTGCCATCTCATAAGCGGCGGTGTTGGTATACGCCGCTGGCGGTGCAGGAAGGTCTGGCATTTTCAACGGCTTCTCGCCCGGACTCTGAGGCATGGCTATAGCGCCAGGGTTCTCCTCAAGCTTCTCACGTTCTCTCTTCTCTTTCACGAGGAAATACACAGAGAGAAGTGGGCTGTAAGCATTGACAGGGTCTAATCCGCGTTGGATTTCTTCAGACGAAGAAGCCGTCAACTGCTCCCGGCTAGAGATTGAAGTCCGTCTCTTGTAGAAGTCGAACATGCCCCTCTTCTTGTCAGCTTCTGGCGTTTGGGCTGATGTCCTTTTGGCCGATGCGCGTACGGCGCGTTGGTAATCGTCGGATTGGATGACGTTGGTCAGCTGGGTTGTGATGTATTCAGAGGTGCCAAAATCGAAACCGGTCATCTTCTCAATGACCTCTCTGTCCAAGGGCAGTTGCAGAGGTTCGCGTTGGGGCAGGTAGTTTTCGGGAGGGCTGTTGAACCCCTTTGTGATCCAAGGGTGGGTCATGATCTCGGACAGCGTCAAACGCTGGGTTGGGTCCGTCTGTAACATGCGGTGAATGAGATTGCGACATTCTGTTGAGTATTAGCGATAGACTGAGTGTTGCACGCGGGCCAACATACCAGCAGACAACCAAGGGGGGTAGTCGACGTGCCCCTTCTTGATCTTTGCGTGCAGCTGTGGCATGCTCTGGTCGTCAAACGGCACTTTACCGCACACCAGAACGTAGAGGACGATGCCAAAACTCCAGACGTCGACCTCGGGTCCAGTGTACTGCTTGGCCTGCAGCAGCTCGGGGGCAGCAAAGTACAAGCTTCCGCAGAAGGTCTTCAGCTGGTTTCGGGGCGAGAACAGATTGCTCAGGCCAAAGTCTATGATCTTGATGTCCCCGGTCTTGCTGATGAGGATGTTCTCGATCTTCAAGTCGCGGTGCACAATGCTGTTGCGGTGGCAGTAGTCGAGGGCGCTGGCAATCTGGCGGGCGAACTTGCGGGCCTGCTTCTCCTTCAGGCGGCCGTGCGAGATGATGTAGTCGAGCATCTGCCCGCCGTTGACGAACTCGAACAGCATGTACCAGTGGTAGTTGGTGCGCACAACGTCTCGCATGCCGCACACGTAGGGGTGGCTGAGCAGGCTGACGATGGCGGCCTCGCGGGCGGTGCGCACCTCCTTGGAGTGGTCGGCCCGCTCACGGTCGGCGGCGGTCTGGTGCTGGTCCTGGGACAGTCGGGGCACGATCTTCACGGCCACCTAGGGGGGGTCAGCGTCGTCCGTCACACAGCCAAGCTGCGCAGCGTCCAGAGAGGGGGACATACCTGCTCTCCGGTCTCTACGTGCTTCGCGAGCTTGACCTTGCCCATGCTGCCCGCGCCAATCGTCTTGCCCAGCGTCCAGGTGCCGGTACTCGGGGCGGTGATGGTGGTCCTCCTCTTTGCGCCCTGGGCCGCCGTTGCTCCGTTGGAAGGCATTGCGGAAACCGTCGACGCGTCAGACGCATATCGCGCGTGTCGCGGCCGGTCTCTCGATTCGCTGGGGCGGGCCTCGGCGACGTTGGACTGCTCGTAGTCGCGCCTCGCAACGTTGTTCAGCGCCTGTGGCTGGCGACTGGGACGGGGCGGCTCGCGGTCGCGCTGCGAGTGTTCCGAGGGGCTGTTGTGAGGCTGCGGGCGCCGCGTGGACGTGCTGCGGATGGGGGCAGCAGCCGACATTGCGGAGCTGTTGTTGATAGCGCGCAGGGAGCAGAGGTGGGCCGTGGACGGGCAGCGATGGACTGGACGTCAGGGCGAACGGTGCGCCGGATGTTGCCGTGTGGTGCTGGTGCTGATGCAGAGCGGATGGAGAAGCGTGCATCGATGGACAGATAGCCAGGTCTCTATCAGGGGCTGACACAAAGGCTCTTGTTTACAGGTCCAGCAACTTGGCAGCTCTGAGGGAGACGGAGACGCGCCTTTCACTGTCGCAGATCAGGGCTCATGCAGGGCAGCAATACGATGTGCGAGGGGAGCAGCAGCAACTCGGTCGCCGAGCTGTCAAGTGCGTCGAGAGTGAGTGGTTTCCTTCTGGGCCGACGGGCGCTCACGAACACGACGATAGCTCACGCCCCAGATCCACCAATACCCTAATGGGCATGGCATTGGGCGCATGCAGTGGGGTAAATAGCCGTTCGCGATGATGTATGACCAAGTTTCTTCCCTGTTTGTGCCTGGCCGATAGCATTGTGCCTGGCCGATACCTCTCCTTCTGCATGGCCGATACCTTTCTGCGATTGCAAGTGGCACGACTCTGGCTCCGCTCTCGTTATACATAGATTTGCGTCCCAGGGTCTCCTGCACAGCACACGCAGCAGCAGTGAATAGCATTCGTCAAAGCAGCCCATCCAGGCGGGCCAGGCGTGTTTGGCGTACATCATCAGCCCCTCTCTGACCATGACTTGCGTCTGCTACGGCAGTGGCCCAACGACAGGCATCGTGTCACCGACACTTCTGAGCTTCCCCAAATTGCTTTTGCGAGTTACGAGTGCATTGGTAGAGACGTGAGAGCTGTCACAACATTCAGTCTCGTATATGCTTAGTCATGTTCCAACGAGTAGCTTAGTCTATGCTCCAATAACCTTCGCTTGAACACGCTCAATGAGCTCGACTATCAACATCAGCCTTTGACCCTCAAGCAACTGTAGAAGTACACCTAATCCACCGTCTCTACAGGTCTCGAGTGCGACACAATGTCGTACAAGCGGCCGCGCGCATCCTCTCCCTCGAACGCGCAAAAACGTTCACGAGGCGGCGGACCTGCAACGTACATCTTCATAGGCACCGAGCTCCCGGATGAGGATGGCGACGATGGCGCTTTTGTACCAGTGTGGAAGCAGACAGTGACGGACGAGCGTGGGCGCAGAAGGCTACACGGTGCATTCACTGGAGGCTTCAGTGCAGGGTAAGTTTCAGAGCTAGTCCTCTCCCGAACTCCAGACTTCTTGACTATGCTAAGACACTTTAATACAGTTGGATCTAAGGAAGGATGGGCCCCAAAGACTTTCGTCTCCTCGCGCTCGAACCGCAACAAGGACCAGCCTAATGGCCAAGCACAACGAGCAGAGGATTTCATGGATGAGGAGGACCTCGCCGCGGCCGCAGAATCACGCCAACTCGAGACTACTCAATCGTTCGCCGGAATCGGTGGCGCAGGAGAATCCAAAGAAGATGATTTTTTTGGTCTTTTCTCGACACAGGAAGAGACAATGGGCTTCAAGCTGGCGCAAAAGATGGGATGGCGACGCGATCAGGGCGTTGGCCGCAAAGTCCGCCGTGATGCGCGTATAGAGGATGGCGCTGACACGTCGAATGACGCTTCTGCGTACATGTTTGCCCCAGACGATGCTCGACCCATGCCAATTCCCCGAGAAGATGTCCGGCGCAAAGGACTCGGCTACCAATCCGAAGCCCGCTTAGGAGTTGCCGACGAGAAAGAACCGGAATCTCGCCCTTCGTTGACTCTACATTATCTTGAGGGCCCTAAGAAAGCAGCGCCTTCGAAGAAGGCTCAATTGAAGAAGTCTTCTTTTGGGGTGGGTGTACTCAACGACACGGGCTCCGACGATGAGGATCCATACGAGTTGGGGCCAAAAATCTCACTCAACAAGACTTTGGGCAAGGACAAGAAGACGAAGAAGCCAAGCAAGTTTGCTAAACCTGGCACAGGAGATAAGCTCGTGTTTGTTCCTAAAAAAGGATCAACGAAACTTCTTTCGTCGTTGACTAGAACATCGATGGATGGGAAGCCTCTTCTTAGCGGGTTCACGCTGACTGCTGATACTGTCGCCCTTTCGAGCAGGCCAAAGTACCCACCGCCAAAGATTCCTGCTGGGTGGAAGTCATCCAAGGGTGCCGCCACAACCGCAGACGCTCAAAAGTATCAATCTGTGGCCGATGCAGCCAAAGTTTCCACTCTGGATGCCAAGGGACGGTCAGCCATGCTTGGTGAGGCACCATTGCCAGGAAAGTCTGTGTTTGACTTCATACCTAAGGGAGCTCGCGACCGACTCGCAAATCTATCTGGCAAGGTCGACTTGCCACAGGGACTAGGACAAATGGCCCCGGAGGGACACATGCCTGCAGACAATGCGCAGCCAAAGGATTTGTGGAGCCTCGTACCTTCGCTAGACAAGGTTGTTGCGGCTGCAGCTTTAGCGAAAGGAGCAACTGGCTGGATGCCTTACGCGGAAGACACGAAGAAGCGCGCGAGATACGTTGGCTACTTAGAGGTGCGCACAGGATTGAAGACTGATTTGCCAGAACGAGCCGCCGGCGTATCCATATCCGACTGGGTGAAAGAACTCCAGGAGTTTGCACACGCTGCACAAGTGTTCAAACCGACGACTGGAATCATGGCATCACGGTTCACGTCTTCTACCCAAACCGCAGGCGAGGACGGTACACCCAAGGATAACCTCCTTCGACAACCGACCGTGAAACAAGAAGACCCAGCAGAACAAGCCGCGAGGTTGGGCATGTACGGACCCATGACCCGAAGCAGCTTCCCGTTCCACCCGTCACGGCTTTTGTGCAAACGTTTTAACGTGAAGCCGCCTCCAGACATGCCTCATGGCGCTGAAAGTAACTCTGGCGAGGCGCACTTTGCACCGAAAACAGAGGAGGCGATTTCCAAGTCCGCAATGGACAAGCTGGTACACGAGATGTTGACGCATGGGTCGGCACTCCAGCGGCCAGCGTGGATGGGAGAGGCTCCTCAAGAAGGTGCTTCCGCCGGAGTTTCCCAAACGGTAGAACACGCGAAGGTCGACGTGGAGAAGAACGATGCCCTCTCTAATGAGCGCGCGTCGGAGGATGTGTTCAAGGCTATCTTTGGGGATGATGATGATAGTGAGGAGGATTAGTAGTAACAGACCATCGTTGTCAATGAGGGGTTGAACTTTGTTTTGGCGGAGTAGTAATAGCAAGTTTCTTCGGTGACATCTTGATATCTTCCGTGCCACTCATCACACCTTGTTTTAGCCCTGAAATCGTAGCACTCCCTACTGAATCTCAATACTACATGTCATCGCATGCCTATGTCAGGCAAATTTTGCATTCACGTCGTGTCAGTCCTGGCAGTACACGGCTAGCATGCACTTTTATAAATTCATAGGTATACTTCGCACCTTGTAGAACCCACAAAGAACGTAGCTCACTTCCCACTTAACCGAGACCCTGTTGTGTAGTGATCAAATCAATGGGTCTCGCAAGTGGGGGTGGGGATACCTGTTACCCCACATGAGCAGCCGGTTGCCCCTCTCGGACTGGAGTTTTTTGTTTAAAATCCGGAGATAAGTTGTGCGATTTCAAAACTCCCATCAACAAGCTCATTACGAGTCGATCAAGGTGGTATGGTCTAGTGGTATGACGTCACGTTGTGGAGTTGCTACAATTCCGTGCCAGCCTGGGTTCGAGTAAGTTCACCAGCAAAAACAAGCAGTACTGCCAATTCTAACATTGGACAGTTCCCAGTACCGCCAAATTCGCATTGCGATTTCTTTTTTGTCCGCATCTGGGACCTTTGGGAGTTGAGGGTGCGATGTTCGAATCGCTGTGCGGACATCTGTTTTTGCATCTTTTTGGATTTGTGGCTAACTTGAATTTCGGGTCCCAGCGGTAGAGATGGTGGACGAGGGTGTGTGGTTGGTGGGTGACATGGTTTTACAGAATCGCCGAACACATGGTCGGCTTCACTGGGAACATCGAGGAAGGCTGGTCACAGCACAAAACTTGCGTGCCGTGAGATAAGCAAGATTGATACTTGCTAAAGTTAGGGACTCTTTGTTGTAGTCTTATGCATCAATATGCCATGGATCATGTGGTTCTCACGTTCGCGGAAGTCATTGGGAGGAGCGACCAGGCCTAACGTAAGGCTACTAAAATTTTGGATACGCGACCACCATTCCGATATCCACCACAACCACCGCCCAACATGGCTGAACCCGATGTGAAGGCCACACCGGCAGGTGGCACGCCCGCAGGGCCCGTTAAACCTCCGAAACCTCCCAACCCTGTCTGGAAGATGATGGGTGCGCTACACTTCTCTGCCATGCTGCTCGGCCTCTAATCGTGCATAGGCCTACCCAACATCCGCTTCAAGCTCCCCTCACGCAATTGGATGATATTCCTCTCTATCACGGGATCATGGACAGCCGCCGTCATGTACGACCGTCGCGAGAAGAAGCGCATACAAAAGAAATGGGCGAAGTTGGTAGAACACATTGCGCAGGAACACCTAGATACGCAACAGCTTCCCCGGAAACTCTCCCTGTTCATCTCCGCGCCGCCAGCAGATGGACTGGTACCTGCGCGCGACCACTTTCACGAATACATAAAACCTATCTTGGTTGCGGCTGCGCTCGACTGGGACGCGGTGGAGGGGAGGAGGGAGGGCGATGTTAGGGCTGGGTTGGCAGAGCGGATACGAAAGTTGAGGAAGAAGAGGGGAGAACCAACTTCTGAGCCTATCGAGGAGGATGTTGAGGAGCTGCTCGAGGCGACGAGACAAAAGGCAGGAGTGCGAGAGTGGGATGGCCCAGCAGGGGATATAGTCGTTGGGAGGCACGCTTGGAAAGAGTATGTCAGAGGGATGCATGAGGGCTGGTTAGGCCCGTTGGATTCGCCTGCTCCAGTACCAACGCCTGCTGATATCTCCGCCTCCACGATCGAGCCTACACCCGAGTCCACCCCATCTCCAGCCGAACCAATCGCTATACCTACAACGCCAGTAGCGACCGACGATGCTTCCCCCACTGCTGTTTTCGAGAACCCAAAGACAGAGGAGATTGCACCGGAGGCTGAGAAGGCAAAAGAGGAGGAAACCAAGGCCAAGAAGAAGACACAACCACCTCCATTTAACACAACATCCGATTACGAGAACGCCGCACTCTCTCCGAACTGCCCTCGATCACTTGGGCCCACCGCCGTCGTTCCGCTCCCGCATCTTCTCGGCTTCTGGAACTTCCCCATTCGCATGTACCGGTACTTGAACAAGCGCAAAGTTGCAGACGACGTTGGTCGGGAAACAGCAGCAGCGGTGCTTGGTGTCTTCCGACCTTTCGAGGCTCCTGGTGAAGCCTCCGTGACTAGCGAGGAAGATGGACACAGCAGCGCCCAATGGGAACAGCAGCGGTTACTGGCTCACGAAGAGGCAAGTTGGCACAAGACAGCACGAGAGCGGAAATACGAAGACGGGCAGGAGAAGGTTTGGTTGAGTGAAATGGTTCTCGATCCACGCATTGCAGAGCGTATGAAGAGATTCGCATTGGATGCTGACACCGAAGAGCGTGCCAGCAGGGTATCTGTTGAGAGAGAAGAGTCGAGGTTCAGTTCGCTATGGCCGAAAGAGAAGAAGAAGCCTCTTTGGGAGGGACTGAGCGATGATTGAGCATTCCTGAACTATACCATCTCACCTTCGATATTGTGTTATAAAACCGTGGAGTGTAAGAGTAGATATGTATCATGAAAGCATTTGACGGCGCAAAAATACCAGCTGGAGTTTGTCATCATCATTATCACATCATGCAGACTTGACCACGCATTCAAGCGCGTGAATATGACCCACGTGAAACTTGGTAGTTGGCCCCACCCTGGCAGGCGCCCCGCAGGTGGACGGAAGCTTCGAGTCCACCTTGACATTCTTCCACCTGCCAACAACTCTCTCAAAACAGACCTCTGTGTACTTCTCTGCCACCAATCTGATATCTAGGAACATCACATTTATTCCCTCGTCTCCGTTTACAACACAAAAGATTGCCATTGCCGTCATGGTGAGCGTTTTACCCCGCCGTGTACACATGGCTTCTAACACTCGCAGGCAAACAACCAATCTAGGAAGCGCCTGGCGCTCGCAATTCTCGACTTCCTCCAGACTTCACAGACAGACGGCTCAGTAGCGCCCGACGATGCCGAACAGCTCGAAGTTGCCGCGAACTGCATCTCGGAAGCTTTCAAGGTTGACACCGAGGACCAGGCGGCGATGAAAGACGCCCTCGGCGGCCAAAACCTGCTTGCAATCTACAACGTATACGAGAAGCTAAAGGGAAAGACCACGGCCACGACTGAAGGAAGTTCCTCTGCTTCAGAAGCGCGACCCGCTACGCCACAGGTGCCCTCGAGTTCCGCAAAAGGCCCCAACAAGGATGAGGCAGAACGTCTGAAGGGACTGGGCAACGAGGCAATGAAGAAGAAGGACTACGATAGCGCTGTGAAGCACTACACTGCTGCGCTCGACGTCATCCCGCTCAACCCCATCTACCTCTCCAACCGCGCAGCCGCACACTCGGGCATGGGCAAGCACGATCTGGCAAGGGAGGATGCTGAGATGGCGGTCGCTGCCGACCCCAACTACTCCAAGGCATGGTCGCGTCTCGGACTCGCAAAGTACGTGCTTGGCGATGCGAAGGGTGCTATGGAGGCGTACAAGGCGGGTATGGATGCCGAGGGTGGTGGCTCAGATGTCATGCGCAAGGGCTACGAGACGGCGAAGAAGAGGGTTGAAGAGGAGGGCGGTGATGTCGGTGCTGCTGATGCCCCTCGTGGCGCGCCGGGCGCAGGCGCAGGAGGCATGCCTGATCTCTCTGCGTTGGCAGGGATGTTCGGTGGCGGTGGAGGAGGCGGCGGCGGCGCACCTGGCGGTGGTGGTATGCCCGATCTCTCCGCGTTGGCAGGGATGTTCGGAGGAGGAGGCGGCGGAGGAGGTGGTGGTGGCGGCGGCGGCATGCCAGACTTGGCTGGTCTCATGCAAAACCCCATGATGAGACAAATGGCACAGAACCTTATGAGCAACCCGGAGGCGCTGGGCAATCTCATGTCAAACCCTAGAATAGCAGAGATGGCTCAGTCGATGGGACGGGGAGGAGGTGGAGGCGCTGGAGCTAGCGGTGCTGGCGGCGGCGGCGGTATGCCAAACATGGCAGAGCTGATGAACGATCCCAGCTTGGCTGAGATGTGAGTACCATCCAAAAGACTGGAGAGACGTTGGCTAATACCACGATAGGGCACGAAGCTTCATGGGTGGAGGCGCTGGCGGAGGTGCTGGTCGAGGAGCAGGTCGAGGAGCCCCACAGTAAGGGTTCGTTATGGAGACGGTCTGGCTGGGTATGAATGCATAATTAGATAGCATTCGTATATTGGCTAGGAGGTTCACGGCTGGCTTATAATGATACCATGTTTACTTCCAATGTAAATTCTCCCTGCACATAGCCCCTGTGACTTCATCTTGTTCGCCCAATATCCTCCACGAGGCTTTAAGGTTGAACAGCTCTGGAATCTCTATGCAGATATGACCTGTTCGCTCTGCGTCCTCCATACCTAGCCACACATGCCCAAGCACTGATGCCGATATCCGACTCTTCTCCTCAGTAATGAAAGTGCCCCGCCCCATTCAAAAAGTCCTCACGCCAAGTTCAACCCCCAAAGCCCATCTCCTAGATAATGCCCCGTCTCACACGCCTGCCCCTTCTTCGCCTCCTTCATCTCTTTCGTCCCCATCTTCAGCACGCCAACCATACACGCCGTCTCCTTCCCCTCCGCCTCAATCACCACCACCGTGCCCGGCGCCAGATCCTCAGACCCATATATCTCCTTATCCTCGTCCGACAAGTCAGCGCCAGGCAGTCGACCCCCCGGAGAGGTCAACCCGGGCGCCATGAGCGTTGCGCCGGACAGCACGAAGCGGATTGCGCCGCGGTCGATGCGCAGACGGTGGAACGCGGTTGGGTATTTGTGCACGAGTGTCAGGTGGGGGAGGATAGCGTCGTCCATGTGTTGAAAGAAGAGGGGTGTTCCGTTGAGTGTGTAGAGGGAGACGCGGTCTGGACTACGAGGCTTTTAGCACGTGTATTTCCGGTGAAATGGGGGGGCGGTGTACAGCTTCACGAGGTCTAGTTGCTCTTTCTTGGGCAGTATGTCCTCGATGTAGGGCTCGAGTTTTGGGTACTCTTCGATGACTTTGGAGCGGATGGCGCGTTGGGCGCTGGATTTTACCTTGGATTTCGCGCCCGAGGTTATGCTGGGGTGTGTGAGCTTGTGTTTGTTGTTTGGGATGGGGGTAGGGATACTCTTTCTTGAACATGTTTGCGGTTGAGGAGAAGGTGTTTGGTCGGGTGGGGTGTGTTGTGGTTCGCGTTGATGCTACGAAATGCCCCGCGTCGCAGCACGCTTGAAACTGCGTTGTTTGGCGGGGTAGCTACGGTTGGGTGTTTGGGCCACTTCGGTCTCTGCTCTACTCCTTCGAGTTCGACAAGTGCCATTGAGATTTCGATTCGTGTAAACTTTCTTTCGTCTGCACTAGAAACGTATACTGACAGTTCGGAGAGTATACATGGCTTCTCTTTATCTATATTCATGCCATCCTACTACAATACTACAGTCAATACCTCTGCATAATAATCGCCCCAGCATAACCATCAAAACAGCCACACCATGCCAGTATTGGTAAGGAGTAAGAGTTTATCAGGGACCAAAACATGCTTATTGTGTTTCATGGTTCTTATGCACCGGTTCTAAGCACAGAAAGCGAGTTCGCGTTTGGAAGAATCAAGACGGCGGCAATGATACTAGAGGCTACTGTCGGAGAATCGCCAGTAGAACCTTTGGGAACTGTAATGATATTCTAAAGAGGACAACATCCAGCACGATTTACAATCTCCAAGGGTATTGGGAGGTATCTCACTTCTCCAGGACTCGGGTCTACGAACTCGGTCACAAACGAGGGTTATACCAGACAGAGATTTCTCAATAATGTGTGCATTATCACATCAGGTAGGCAATATTTCCATGGAACATATAAAGAGAGACCAACAATTTTGGCGCCTCACGAGACCTTCGACAAATGCCAACCACCGTCATCCTACCATACAAAGATCCCTTACCTAACAAATCCATTCCTATGAGGGGCATAGTCGTGAAGATGTGGATGAGGAGCTTTGTGGAGAAAAACTCGATGTATGTATACTTCTGTGCAAAGGATGTGAGTATGGGTTTTCAGACTTGTAGCTTGTCGTTTGATGAGTGTTTTTAGCCTTGTGCACAAGCATAGCATTATGATGGCAACAGCATCGTTAGACTGCCAGGCTCAATATGCAATCTGGCTAGGTAGCAAGTTCGCTTTTCATGTCTAATATCTTGCCATGGAAAAGTCTTTGATTGTGTCAATGGCAAGCGACAGAAGTACCAGTAAAAGCTTTTATGTGTGAAGAAACTGACATAACGCCATACCATCTCACATCTCAATTCATTCAAATCATATACTTCCCGCCACAAACAGAAACCCCGAATCCATCTACTGCCCCAGCAGAATCTTCAGCGTCTCCACCCCAACGCCCAAAACCTCCTGCCTACGACTCTCCTTCAGCACAACCTTCAGCGTCTCCACAGCGCCCTTTTTCTTCAACGCCTGCACACCCGCATCGACATCGACCACAGCACGCAAGCACACCACGCCTCTATACCGAATATCCTCATCGTCGTCCTGGCAGAGCCCGAGCAAGAACTCAACACCCTTATCCTGCTTCAGAAGCTCCGTCACTGCCAGATCAACAGAGAGGAGCATGGCCAGCGCGCCTCCGGCCGCAGACCGTGTGGGCGCATCCTCGACGTCTGTCATGGCGAGCAGGAGGTGCAGTCTATGCTTTGCTCTTGAGGAGGCGTCTGCGAACTTCTCAATGCACAGTGGCGAGGCCATCAGGTTGCAGAGTAACTCTGTTGCTGCTCTGCGCACCATGGTGTTGTCGCCTAGCAGGAGTTCGTCTGCTACTTGGTCGAATGCTTGGCGGATGATCTGGTCTTGCGTTTGGCGGTCTAGAGAGGCGAGGTTTGTGAGCGCGAGAAGCGCCTCGAAGGCGTTGAGTTGCCATGTTGAGCTTTCTGTGCGCGAGAGCTGGCTGGCGAGGGGGCGGATGGCCGAGGGGCTGGGGAGCGCGGCGTTGAATACGTGTGAGGGGTTTATGCTGATTAGCAGACGGGAGAGGGCTTGTGCTGTTGTGGGGAGGGCGGTGGGCGGATAGGGTGTTGTTCCTGTGGCTGAGTTCTGCGCGGTGGTGGAAATGTGGTCCCAGATTTGGATCAGGAGTTTCACGGCGCCTTGTTGTGCCATGGAGCCCCGGCTTTTCGGCTCTTTACTTAGAGAGAGGAGGATTTGGCTGCTTTGGGAGAGCACGGAGGGTGATCCCTTTTTGCAGATGTGGATGAGGAGGGGGACGAGGCCGGCGTCGAGAACGCGCTTGCATCGTACGTTAACGTGTGTTTCGTTGAGAAGTTCATCGGGCTCGGATGGCTTCTGGACATTGGCGTAGGCTTTGAGTTGAGCCATGCGTTTCTCTTCTTCGGATTGGATGGGCAGGTAGGTGGTCAGATTCACGAATATTGTAAGGCCGCCAAAGAGGATGTTTGCTGGTGATGCCGGTTCGCTCATTGTTTCTATAAGACGCTTGAGAAACTTTGGTGATTTTGATAGATCCTCGCGGACCTTGGGTTGGAGAGAGGCATATGCAAGACCTTCCACCGAGTCTTGCTTCGTCGAGGCATCCCCTCCTATCACCATGGATTTGAAGCTTGCAATCAAATCGCTCTGGTCAATCTTTCCCGCCGTGGAACTCTGCGGACCCTCAGCGGAAGGCATTTCCTGGCCCAGTTTAACAAGGATAAGTGCCGCTGGATTCGCACGCTTCTTGTCCGGACAGTCTGCGACTAGGTCCTCGAGCCACTCTCTACAATTCTGATTGATCGCGTCTCGGCAATTCTTGTCCACACACGCTGCGCTGATGAGTTCTAAGATCGCCTGCTCCAGTTTGAGGGACTTCTTGCGTTCGACCATAGGTATAAGTGCAGCAACGAATCCATCGGTGAGGAACAGTGCAGCGGCGGCTGTTACAGCGACAGGGAAGATTGCCGCCGCCGCTGAAAACGCGATGATGAGATTGTTTGCCTCTCCTTTTTTCGCACGATGCGTGACAAACTTTGATATCAGCTCTTGTGCAGTATCCGGAGCGAGCTCGAACAGTTTGATAGTCGCGAGAATGGCCTGACTACGCAAGCTGTTCGGAAGTCGAATGTCGAGCGATGTGAGAATAACGTCGAAACTATCCGCATCGATGATCCCCTTAAGATGCTCAGCATAATGGGCAAGCAGCTGTGCGATGCCTTTCATAGCGCGTTCCGGATGCTCGAGCGCTTCCTCCATCATCATCGCAAGACTGAGCATAAAGACATCTCTGTGTCCACTCTTGAACGTTTCGTCGTCCGGCCAGATGCTTCTGTTGAGCATGACTTTGAGCAATCCATCGATGGAGTCATCCCCTCGCTCGAAGAATTCATAATAAATGCGTGTCGGCTGCTCCCTCACGGCATTTGCAAGCCACATCTGCGCACCCGGATTCCGCAGCAACTCGCCCGTAACTTGGTCCAAGACATCATCTTCACCCTTGAAGTCGAACAAAATCTCCATCGCCTGCTCCGCCTCTTTCTGTTTCAAACTTTGCGCTCTCAGCGTCTTTAGTGCTCGTTCCCCATCATGCTCATCCTTGCTCGTGACCCAGATCTTGCAGATAGCCAACAACTCGCTCTTGTCTTCTTCCTCCCTCAGCTTTGACCACGCTTCTGTGACTTGCGGATGGTCGGGAGCAATGGAGCTCGCTTCACGCAGGTACTTAGCGGCGTTTGCCAACTCGCCGGCTTTGATGCTCTCGCTCGCTTTTTGCGCGAGATGCAGCGCCCGCTCTTGCTCGGATGTGGGTGCCATTACACTTTTGAGAAGTCGAAAGTGGATGAGTTCATGTCGAACTGGGCGGTTTCCTTTATTCGGGGGAGGTCACTTGATATGCAGTGCACGGGCTTCCTTCCCCACAGACTGTTACAACGTCAGAACCGACGTTCGGGTATGGATCTTCACTACCCCAGTTTTGTGTCATTTTCAATCTCTTCTCATGAAAAAGTTTTAGCAACGCGCACATAGTCAAATCATTACCAATACAGTTCATGATATTATACAAGGGTCCGAAAATAATGCCCCACCTCAAGCTTATGTGCACGCTAAAAAGTGACCATACCCAATGCTCCGCCAGATACAAAAAAGCTCCGAGTGACGCCAAACACAAAACGGACCTCGAAGCACCTCAAACCGTACACAACACAAGCAATCCTATTCCTAGCCGAGAAATGTGCGCCCCCAGTCCTCGCAAAATGGCACGATTCATCACTTCGTGGCATCGTAGCTTCGTAACTTCGTTCCGTTACTCCATATCGCCGTTCCCAACATCTGATTGTTTGCGCTGCAGAACGCCGAGGAAGAGCAAGCGCTCCCAGACATCATCCTTGACAAGGACACGCGCTTTGTCGAATGTCTGACCATCGAGCTCTCGTAGATTCTTGCAGAGGTTGGCAAGCATCATCTCGGTAACACGACGCCTAATGCGTGTCTCGTAGTCCAGCCGTGAAAGATATTGGCTGTCTGCCTCGGCATCTCCGGCTGGAAGCACGAAGCGGTCTGTGTACTGCTCGTCGTAGGGCTTCTGTCTGAGTGATAGGACGCGGTTTTCGCATGCGGGAGCGTAGAAGCGCATAGTGAGTGGATTGTCTCGCCAGTCGAGCTTGGAGAGTGTGGCAAGTTTGCCCAAGACTAGTGCATTCGCGCGAAGGCGTTCGAGTTTGTTGCCGGCTAGCAAAAGCTCATTCAGTCGCTTGATGTTGAGGAGCGGTCTAAGATCCTTGATAGAGTTGAAGTTAAGATTGATTGAGCGAATGTTTGGGGTAAGTTGTCCAAAGTCGGCGGGAAGTTCCTTCAGGCCCATAGAAGACAACTCCAGTCGCTGAAGATTCAGTAGATGTTGCGAGATTTCGAGACCTCGAGTGGGATTAAGTGAAATGTAGAGATTGCGAACATCAGAATTCCTGACAAGGTTGCTGACGCAGGTCTCTGCATCTGAGTCGGTCTCCAAAATCTGCTCCCTCGCTGAGAAAGTACGCAGGTATCGAAGGTGTTCTAGGCCGGATACATGTGTCAGGGAGTTTCCATCGACATATAGAGACTCGAGTCTAGGGAAGTGTCTGTCGACGTCAAGGAGTGTTGTTCCATTTCTGCACAGGCGGATAGAACGTAAAGAGCCGCATCGCTCAGCAGGCAGATCGAACAGGGGAAACTCTTCGATTTCGTTGTCATCTATGCGCGGTTAGACTCAATCAATCGTACAAATTCTATCGTTTGTGACATACCAAGATTGAGATGCTGGAGCTGTGGAAGGCGATGCAGGTTCCGAACTTCAAGGAGATGATTCTCCCTCAGATCCAAGTCTGTAAGAGATTTTCTGAGGTCAAGGTTAGCAACTAACTCCCGATAATGATAGGAGCATAAACTTACAAGCTGGCTCGTGCAAAGTCCACGCTTTCAATCTGGTTTCCTGCAGCGCTAAGCTCCATCAGGCCATCAAGGTGCAAGATACAGTCAAGGGATTCGATCTTGTTATTCCCCACCTTCAGTACTCGAAGGTGAATCAGGTCTGCGAGCCCATCAAGACTGTCGATGTCATTTCCGGATATGTCAAGATGTTGCAAGTTGCCCAGGCTTGCCCAGGAGGTGAGCCCAGTAAGAGCGTTGTGTTGTGCTTGCAAACGGCGTAAGCTGTAAGGAATGCCTTCGACTTGACTGATGTTGTTGTTCGACACATCGAGTTCTTCGAGCTGGTAGCACATCTCGTCAAGACGATGCACGGTGCTAAGGCCTTTGTTATCAAGTTTTACTTCGCGAAGGTCTTCCCAGTAAGGCTCATCTGGTTCAGCGTCTTGTAATGCTTTCACTAGCTCCGCGGTTCCTTGCGCGTAGCGATCCTCTAATGCTTTGGAAAATCGTGTACCGTCATGCTTCACAACAACCCGATCTGGAAGCTCACGCTCGTCGATCTGGTTGATGGTGAAATCAGGTAGATCACTCAGCATGAACGTGACGTCTCCTTTGACTGGAGAAGACGGAGCGACAAGCAGTGTGTCATGCTCACGATGATTAAGAACAGGTGCAGAGACGCTCATTGATAGTTGCATCCGGTAGTTCTTCGAAGGCTGGTCGTCTAGAAGCGATAAGTCGCCATCACCGTGGAAGGTTGTCCGTCGAGCTGAGCGTGCGACTGGCTGCGCCCGCGTACTCTTCAACTGATTCCAGGCCGACTTCTTCGCTTGCGACCCGGGTTGAGGACGTACAGACCCCCAATCAGCCTGGCCGTACCTCTGTGGAGTACCCGCAGGTTGTCGATCTGAGTCTTGGACCTCCCGCTCCGCAATGGAAATGGTGATGTCCCGCACTCGACCGTGTGGGGCACCCGGAGCGGCATTGTTACGGCCTTCGAAATATTTGATCTCGTGTTCGATATCATCTTCGTCTGACTCCTGAATAGCATACGTGGTCTGCGACTTCGGCTGCTTCTGAGTACTTGTTTTCCGTGGGACTTGTGTGCTCCAAGATGTTGCCCGCGTCTCCGTCTGTGGGAAACTTGCTGCAAAGTTGGATCCTTTTGAAGGGACTGAGCTCACGTCGTTGAACAGAACCCCCTTGCCGTCTCGTGTGGTTGGTCGTGGCTGTTCTTGGAATTCATCCTCTTCCAAAATCGTTTCTGCGCTAGGCTGTGGGCGGACAGGCGATGTAGTCTTGATCTCTTGCTCCTCTATATCATCCACGCTTAGGTCAGGTATGTTTCCGAACGGATCGTCCTCGCTATCGTTCAGACCGCTGTGATCCTCTTGGCGGCGAAGATGTTCCTTCGATGGCCCCCTGTGACGAGTCCAGATGTTCTTCTCACGATCAAAACTCATGCCAGCAATTTTCTGGGGGATCAAATGTGCGACTGCCTGAGGTACAAGAGTCGCAACTTGGTCGGATCGACGAGACGCGTTTGTGGTGATAGTATGCCCCAGCGATGATCCTGCCGATCGATGTGTGCCGCTTGTCGTAGGTCGTTCGTCTTCGACGTCATCCGTGTCAGTCGATCTGTTTGGATTGTCTATCGTACGGCTGTCGTCTTGTTCGGCTACTTCGCTGTCTTCTTCAAGTGGCACTGGTCGTCTCATTTGCGAGAAGCGGATGGAGTTGACGGAAGAGTTAAGGAACGTCTCTGTCTCTCTTTCCTCATACTTGCGCAGATGGTCCACGACATTCGGATCTAGCTGACGGTTGTTTGGCTGCTTCCACCCAGATGCTGATAAATTGTAGCCTTCGCGGCTCGGGGGTCTCTCAAAGGATAATGAACTTGAGAGATGTTCTTCTTCTTCTTCATCTTCCAGAACCTCGGACTCAGGTTCCATTTCTTCAAGACTTTTCAGACCGCCGATCGGTCGACCTTTGGCTCGAATGAAGTTCATAATCGCGACTGCTTCGTCCAGAAAGTCCTGGGTTGTCACAGATCGTTTGCGTGTTTCATTTCGCGTCGCCTGGTTCCTTCTCATACTGAATGCGGCAACTTTGTTGGCGACAGCAGTTGCCCGAGCTTGTTCGAAATCAGCATCGAATTCTACCGAAGGTTCTAGTTGTTCACGGATAGTGTTCAACTTTGGCGAGGATTGAATGAAGGCTTCTGTAGCTTCCATGATTTCTTGTTCGATTTCGTCCCGTCGTCTTTGGCTGGGAGTGGGGTTCCGAGGCCTCAACTGGTGTCTTCGAGCCAGAATATCAGGATCTGCCACATGGTCAGAGTAACCATCGCGGACGTTCTGTCGTTTTCTTCCTATCACTGCCTGCATCGCTACGGGTGAAGCATCTGCAGTCTTCTCTCCAAGATTGCCAAAAACCTCCTCTTCCTCTTGATCCTCCTCCTCTTCGCTATCAACTGAGTGGATTGTTCGTCTGCGCTTGGGTGTGGGGTTCTTGAAGGGCGATGTTGGGCCTCTTTTCCCCTCTGCGTACTCGTGCTGGACCTTCAAGTTTTCCTTGTTGTGGGCTGGCGATATTGCCCGATGCGATTGTGATTTGGAGCGGCTTACGGTTCTGAACGGGTTGGATACACGGACTGAGCTTTGTCTGTTAGTCTTAGAGGGTTCTCGCGAAACAGGTGACTCTTCGACGTGAAACCTAAAAGGCTGACGACTACCAGGTGGTGCAACGTCCGTCGACGGCGATCCATCTGGAAAGCTCTCATCGTCATCTGAACCGTCCGAGGTGAGAACAGAAAATTCGCCAGAAAACCTGTACTTGTTAAGTTCACCCTCTCCAAACGTCCCTACTCTGCGTGGCGATGGGTGTGCATCCTTGGGGACAGGACTCAGGCCACTGTTCAGCATACTGAGCTCCTCGACTGACGTAAGTCTCGACGTCTTCTTCACTGGTTTCGTCGATTCAGTCTTACTCCCCTGGGCGCTGCTTGACGAGAAGTCAGGCTTGTATTCGAGCTGACTAAGCCGTCTTTGTAACCTGTTGCTTGTGAACGTGTCGTGCGCGTCAAAGAGCTTGAGAGGACTTCGTGGGTTGTTCGCTCGTTCCGGACTCAGATACTGGTTAGCCTGTCGATGAGGAGTCTTGGGATTGGAAATGGGAATGGAAACGGAAATTGCGTCAGGTGGGGTAACATTATTGCCAGTGTTTCGTCGGATATGGTTGTTGCTATCTCTTGCAGCGTTGTTGGCAGTTGGCGTGTGTGATGCTGCTCTTCTCTCTGGAGACGGGCTGAGTGGTCGTGTGCGGAAAGATCCCTCACGTGAGTAGCCGCCTCTCCGAAGTTCTACATAGCGACCAACGTCTGCTATATCAGGAGTGCCGGCTGGGAGGCCCTCCGGTAGTGAATCATCATGAAGCCTGGTGAAATCCGAGTCTTCTCGAATTTGGCTCAATGCGCTGTCTTCTTGCGGAGACTGGTACTGGCTGGCCAGGGGCGATCCAATCTGTCGCAAACGATTCGCAAGTTCCGATCCTCTGAAGTTTGGCGTCGTGGTCGAGACGTCGCCAACGTCAAGATTGGTGTTTAGGAATACCGGGCTGAAGTTCTCGTTCTCATACTCAATCTGACCGCTCACTGTCCGTGGAGGTTCCTGGTCAGAGTGTCTTGGCGCAAGCGTGGAAAGCGAGTCCTCGTGCCCTTGTGCCGGGTCACTCTGCGCCGGTTCGCTCTGTGGAGAGTCCTGTCGAGAATGCTGGGAGTCTTTTGTTGCTGGTTCTGGGTCGTGTTGCTGGTGAGAATCGTCGTGTTGCTGGTAGGAATCGTCGTGTTGCTGGTGGGAGTCGTCGTGTTGCTGATGGGAGTCGTCGTGTTGCTGGTGGGAATTGTCTTGCGTGGCTGCTGGCCATGGCGGAGGACTCGAGGGCATGGCGGCTAGGCCCTTGAGTAGACCGAGTTTGCGCTTCGATTGTGGCAGGGCGTCCGAGGTGCTTCCAGCCGGCTTCTGGAAGATGTTCTCCAGGCCTGTGGGACCAAAGAGGTCCGTCTGGTTGCCGTAGCCCACGTCACCCATGACCAGTCGTCGCCTCCACTCTGGGGTATCGTTGGAGCCATTGTCCTTGACGGGCGACCGGGCGACGGTGTTGCGGGCGACGGTGCCATAGATGACGGAGCCTTGCGACTCGGACGCGAACGAGTATGAGGCGGAGCGCGAGGGCGAGAGGCGAGAGACGTCTGGCGATTGTTGTGGGGACAGGTTGTTCTCGCTGAGGCTGCGTTCAGCGAGGGCGTTCCTGGGTTTGGGTCGCAAGTCGCGTGTAATAGGGCGGACGTGGACCTCCGAGCAGGCGCCCGACGACCGCCGCATGCGCGGGATGCGACTGCGCAGCTTCGGGGGGACGCTCTGTGTCTGGATCTGAGAATCATCGTGCGTGTCTTGGTCGCTTGGGTCGCCTGAGTCGCGTGACGTGGGCAGCGCTATCCATTCCTCGGAGAGATCCTCGAGCCACGGCTGTGTTGCGTTCGCCATAACGGAGTCGCGACTGCGCGGGCGTTGCGACGAGATGGTGGCTGGGGCTTATTTTGCGGCGGCGACGCGTCAGGGAAGATGCTTTGTAGGCGCAAGGTGCATCGTGCGCAAGAATAGCGGGCAATGGTGGGCTGGGAGCGCGTCGCACGTCGCACGTCGCAAGTCGGTGTGGTCGGTGTGTGGTCGGTGTGTTCGCTGTCAATATGCAGCACAGACGCCGTCTCCGATCTCAGATCCCCCGCCAATGCCAAGGTGGATCTGGTCCTGACGTTTCCCTAGCAACGCGGGCCATCTCCCGATACACCGTACGAGGCTGAAGCTTCAGTTTGCAGCACGACGGGCGGCCATACTGTCGTTCCCCGCAGCCTTCTCGCCCACGGACACGCCCCACCCGGCGGTTGAACATGCGACTCGGCTCTGCGCATCCTATTTCTACACGACAGACACGTCTCCTGCATGCCGCGCACTGCCGTCTGGAACATACTGGGACGACATCTACCGCGCCATGCCGCGCAATCTACACCCTCACCTGCAATTGAAGCGGGGCCGGGACACCGAGGACTATGACATCGACCCAGACGACCTCATCGAACCTCTTCCAGACCGTCACCACGACCCACAATCGCAAGCGGCGAAACGACGGAGAGTAGAGGCAATCGCACTGCAGTGCTATCGCGGGCGCCCACCGTTCATACTGTCAGCAGGCCTGAGGGGACCCTTCGACAAAAGCTGGAAGAATCCCTGGGCGGAGGAAGGTCAAAATGTGGAGAGAAGGCAGAGTTCGAATGCTGGGACGTTGTCGAACAAGACCAGGGGTGCAGTCGAGAGAAAGATTAGGTCTCGTGACAAGCAGGCAGGTGCATCGAAGGCAGTCACGCAGAACTTGGCAGTACCGGCGGCAAGGGGCGCAAAAAGGATGTCCAAGGCGTCACAGACCACGTCCCCTGAGGCGTCCAGGGCTGCCGCAGACGATCTGGAATACCACGAGCAGACACACAGCTTCGATGACTTGGAAGTCCCACCCGCAACGGCCCCTACTCCGGAAGACGACGTTACACCCAATGCACAAAATTACTTCAGCGCCAGCACTACAGCATATATACAAAGCCGATCACCACTGACCAACCCCTTCTGGTTGCGACGTCCTGCCTCGCAAAGCAGAGTCGATGCTAATCAACCTACAAGCAGTACGACAGATGCATCGCCAACGCACTTACGAAGCGGAGGCGTGCAGCTCAGTCTTGGACAAGAGCGCTACCTCGCTCTCCCAAAGGCACCGCTATATCACCAACGGCCCTCTGCAGACGAAGTTGTGCCGGAACACTGGAGATCCAGCGCCTCAGCATCCATGATCATCTCATCGCCTGTGACGCAAATCACAAGCCATACGGACCGCGCATCGACTCTGAATATCACACCGTCTGTGCAACCGGCGCAGGACGTTGGTCTCGTTAGCTCGACTCATGATGATATATCGAGCTCTGCGCGACACCGAGCAGACTCTGCTCAAGATGAGGACAACACGCTGTCTCGCCATAGCCAGGGTACGCAACATGCCCAAGCGGTGGCATCTTGTCAGACACCTGCTACGATGCAATCTAACCCAAGCACGCTCTCGCAACAGATGCACGATACAGATAGTGTTCAAATGCTTGTCCCAGCTACTGTCTACAGAACATCGACATCGGTACAATCCGTAGAACGACTTGTCGAGACAGCGTCATCATCTTGTGCGTCAGCAAAACGCGAGCAGCAACGAGTCAGTCGCAGATCCTCACAGAACCGACCCTCGCATGTATCCGTGAAAGATAGTCCTGTGGCCTCATCAGCGCTGGCTTCATCAACTGGTTTCATGTACAGGAAGATTGGAGACCCGAAAGCGAAGAGCAACAACGCGTCGAGACCAAAGCCAAGAGCCATAAACTTCAGCTCATCGCCTGTCTCGACCAAGGATACCCGTGCGTCGACAAAACGAAGTCCACAAAAGATGGGCTCCATCCAGGAGACTGGAATCATTGAGCAGAACGCAAGTGTGGCTATCAATGATCCTGAAGTCGAAGAAGTCGGAAATATAGACAACAATGGCTCAGAAGAAGGACAAGAACAACAGTTCAGTCATTCCAGTCGAGCTTCAGTATACTCGACTCAGGCTGCCATGTTGCTCGCACAGCTCGAATTTCAAGAGGGGACATTTCCTACCATGTCATCCGAGTCTCCTCAGCCTTGGACGCAACCTCAGGATGATACGCCACGGCCCAAACTACTCGAACCGAGTTTTGCGATCACGCCTCTCTCTGACTTTAAGGCTCCGCTGGATAAATCTCGTCCGCCAGAAAGCGTGTTTCGCGGCCCTCCCATCAGCACGCAAGATTTGTTCTCTGCCGCTTCGCCATTCGCGTTCAGCACAGCCAAGAAGAAGAGCGAGCGGCCTCAGCAAAGCAGCTTGAGATTTGCCCTGCTGTCGCAACATGGCGAAGAGTCAAGAGAGGGCGGTTCACCTGCTAAAAGCCCTACACCAGCTGCTGATCGGATTCCACTGAAAGAAAAGAATACTACCATGCTGTTCTGGAGCTGCGCGACCAAGAAAGCTTCGCAGGTCTCGCACGAATCTTCGGCGAAAGATTCGAGAAGATCGATCAGTGATGTAAAGTTGCCTCGCCTGGATTTCCACACGTCGCTGGATGATTATGGGCATGACGGCGAAGTACATTTCACAGATCGGCTTTTGCGAAACATGAACGACACCTGAGCGGCTTGTTTGACGAATGTAATTATATCTGCCCAATCCAAAGAGCGCCAATCTCGTTGCGTGGACCAGAACTTCGAAGAACGCTCACCCAGCAAGAACGGCCCTTTAGCCTCATCAACCGCACAACATTCTTGGCAGTCACAGACTACAACTCTTCTCGGGAACTTGCAGGAGATACGATCGTGCGTTAGTGGCCCACATCGAAGAGTTTCGATTCTCTGGAGATTGTCAGAATCTCGACATCTCCAATGATAGCGACGTGCAGCAGTAGTCTAGATACAATTGCGGTGAGAGGCCACGTTCTGCAATGATTGGACGATAACGAGTGTCGCGTCCAAGATGTTGCATATTTGCTACATGCGAAGGCCCGAGACGAGGAGTTTGTGTATCCATGGTAGATTTGGTGGTAGTGGGTCATGAATCGAAGGTTTGGTGGTGGGAGTGTTGAATACGGACGGAAGATGTACGGAAGACGGAACAAGGTCTAGCTCAAGTCATGGTGTGTATGTGTGTACTGACTGGGCTACTCGTTCGTATCGGCGAATGTCAATCTTGAGGTGATTTCAGATGTTGGCCTATCGTGCATGCATGTGTTGTGTTGCATATAGTTCGGGCGAGGTTCAAGGTTTCTTCTGACGACTAAACCACGTCCAAATGACGCTGACCTGGTCAAGTCCGAACAGACCGATTTGCCAAAAATGGGGTGGACCTTTCAATCGCGAACTCTCGACGTGTTGTTGCGCATAGACCAGCATGGGCGATCCTGCTGCCCAAATAAATAATAAAATGAACCCATGACACCGGAAAGAGCACTGGTCGCGTGTTGGAGGAAGAGCGCACAAGACAAGAGAGCAATTGACCTGGCTGCTTCACAAACAGACAGCAACCCGACCCAGCACGCGAAACTGCTGCTTTTGTACCCATCAACTGCATACCTGACGCGTGGTCACTGAGTAGGCAGGGACGTCATTCTCGCTTCCCATATCTCAGCGCCACTTCCCTAGGTCGGTCCAACGTCCGTCCACACAACGCCAGAACGTGCAATCTTCAGTCGCAGTTTGTGGTCCAGCACAGTGCACCTCTGCCCTCCCCCTCCGCCAGCGCCGCCCGCCCAGCCGTCCCTCCGCGGTCCTGGCCTGCCACACCGTCGACGATCCCGGCGCCCGCCCGGCAATATCTGCCAAACAGTCGGCCACGCACCCTCACCAGTGCCTTGCAGACGGCCTGACCAATGTCGGCCCCATGTCACCGCATCCGCACGCCCCGAGAAACACCTCACCACCCTCCTCGGTGAGGTCAAATGCGCCGCAGGACCCAGGCCATGGCGCTCCCCAGCCCTCTTCGCTCCTCCAGCCAGGGGCGGTGACACCCAAAAGCCTGGCGCAGACAGGCCGCTCCAAGACTGCTCCGGTTCCGCAGGAGAGCATCCTGTGGACGTCATCTGTCGACCGTCCGCAGCTGTCTGAGCGCGACAGCATCTTCGCGACCACCTACCTGGCCTCCGACAACACGCCCACGTCTTCTCCGCGCGCCGCTGCACGCACACCACACGCAAACGACGATGCTCCCGAACACCGCTTGTCCGACATGGCAGCCGTAGCGCCTCCCCAAAGGCGATTGATTGATCCTCCCGTCTTCCGCAGGAAGCAATCGACCCCTGCTCCCGCTGTCCTGCAAGACCACAAAACCCTCTTAGAAACCAGTTTCAACCCACACATGTCCATCAGCGCCGCCATGGGACTGGGAGAGGGAATGCATAGCCCCCCACCGTACATGAGTCCCGTCGACTCCCCCATCCAACGGCCGACTACACCTCACAGTCCCGACCTCCAATCCTCGCTATACAACGCATTGACGGACAGCGCAGAGAGACGGCGGAACAGAGAATGGCGCGAAGGGAAACCCGTCCCTTTCAAGGGCCACAACGCTCAGGATGACGCTGCATTGGACTCTCATCTGGGAAAGAAAATCGAGGCGACAATACCCAAGACCGAGCAGCCCACAGCGGCGCGTAGTCGGAAGGCTAGCCACTATCTGCGTGTCTTCAAGGATGCAGACGGCGTTGAAGAGCAGAAGAAGCGGGACACTCGATCGAAGGATCGCCGCTCTAATGACCCGACACTCTCCGCTCTTCAAGAGGAGAAATCGTCGCTTCCTGAGCAGCTGCAATGGCCGTCGCGCACCCCGTCGGCAGTACAATCGCCATTGGGTGGCTCGCTCGAGTCGTACTTCGAGAGGGTGCCTACACCTCGGACGGAGACTGGTCCAGCGACTGCTTCCAAAGTTGAAGGAAGCCTCCGCTCGGAGAAGGCAAATGGCCACGCTCAGCTTCCATCCCATCTTCTTGAAGAGATCAGGAATTTTGGAAGCCTCACCCCTGGCATCCAACCCAGCTCATCAATCTCTAGGAGTATTCCTACGTCAGTTGTTGATAAGCTTAACGCATATGCCTCTTCCAACAGGACTGTGCATGAGCAGGATGAACCGTCTGACTACTTCCAAGCTAAGAGCAAGGATAGCACAGATCGCTCACCAACGTCCGAAGAAGATGATTCGGAGAGGGAGCAAATTTCTTCAGCTCTCTACTTTCCTCATCGTCAGGTAAAATCAAACAAGCAGGTTCCGGCAGAAGAACAGGATCGGAAGGCAGAACTTGAGGTCATCCAGAAGGAAAGTCCGGTGAACACTAGCAAAGGACCTAGAGGCTGGGCTACGGAACAAACTGTTCAGACTCCGCAAGAAGTAGAAATTTCTCTACAGTCCCAAGATACCAATCAATGCCTACATGGTGACATTTCCGCAACACCTTCAGTGCAGAAAGACGACACCAAGGCGTCGTCACCTGCGTCTGTCGATGGCGTCTCAGCTGAATCTGAATCTGAGTCCCTCGCCGAGTCTTTGTACTCACTTGACGGTTCTGAATTGGGTGAGACTGATGATCTAGGCACTACGCCCACTGCAACACCACGCGCACACGAACCGAAAGCTCCTCTTGTTGCAGTTTCCCAACCGCCAGTCCCACTTGGCGCTGTAGAGCTAAAGCCATACGATCACCAAGTGGGTGGCCATTCCACAGTATACCGTTTTTCGAGAAGGGCGGTATGCAAGCAGCTCAACAACCGAGAGAACGAATTCTATGAGACAGTAGAGAGGCACCATCCGGAGCTCTTGGAGTTCTTACCAAGGTACGAAAGTCTTCGTGAGCATCTGGTCAGGTTGGAGCTGAAACTCCAGCAAAGATATCATGACCCATGCCACATTTGTGTGTTAAGATTGGCTTTGCTAATGTTGTGCTGTTCTCTAGGTATATTGGTGTTCTCAATGTCACATATCGCAAGGCACCCAAGAAGAAAAAGACAGACAAGGATAAAGCTAAAACAGACACTGCTAATGGGTCGACATCCAAATCCAATGCGGCCTCGCAACAAGAGACGGAGTCCAATAGCAATGCCAAGCCTGAAAGTCAACCACGAATGGTCAGTCATTCGCAACAGATCATGCCTGTCCCTCAAGTCGTATTTGAGAACAACCGACACATAATTCCCGATAACCTGTTCCAAGTGCCACCGCGATCGGCTACACCCGACCCATGGACAAGCAGATCCCTCTACTCAACTTCACCCCATCGAAGTCACTCTGGTTCCTTCGATTGTTCATCAAGACCCTCACTGCAACACCAAGATAGTTGGGGAGTTACGACCATCAACACGAAGCTACAAGCTGAGGTGCTTCGCCAAGTGTTTGCGCCTCCCACCATCTACCATCGCCAGCGCCATCATCACCACACTATGTCGTCGCGTAGATTGGTAGGCGATACATCCCAAGCAGTCGCTGGATCTGCGCCCACCATCAGGAGAAACAGCACAGATGTGTCTGTTCTGGTACCGGGAGCCACTGAGGAGTCTACGCGCAAACAGGTTCTGAAGGCTGCAGCGCGTCGACAAGCATCTAGCGCAAGCGATCACGCGATCGAATTTGGCTCGCTGCAAGAGTCGAGTGGAAGAAGTTCTGAAGTAATACACCCATCAGCATCGAACATTCCCCGACGGCGTCATTCTGGTAGCGGGCTTCTGCGAAGGCCGTGTGGGATTGATTCCGAGCGTAGACATAATCTAGAGTTCTATGAGGAGGAAGGCGGCTACGGGGGTGACGGAGAGGAAGAGGTTTTCGCTATGGACGAGGATCGAAAAGTCACATCGCCTCCGAATAAATCTGGGAAGGCCAAGGATTTGGAAAAGAACGGTTTTGCTGAACACAAAACAGACGACGCCTCGGACGGTTTGATGCCTCCGGCTCCGGTGACTCCCCCTAAGAGAAAAGATACACCGCCTCCGGTTGCTGAGCCCACGAATCCTGAGCAAGCTCAACAGCACCCAGACGAGCGTGTCCAGCATTTCATTCTCATGGAGGATCTTACGGCAGGAATGGTGAAACCGTGCGTGCTAGATCTGAAGATGGGTACTCGGCAGTACGGTGTGGAAGCCGATGAGAAGAAGCAGCGGTCGCAGCGGCGCAAGTGCCAGATGACGACGAGTCGCGAACTGGGCGTGCGCGTGTGCGGCATGCAGATCTGGAACGTGAAGACGCAAAGCTACGTCTTCGAAGACAAGTACTACGGCCGAGATCTAAAAGCCGGCAAAGAATTCCAAGACGCGCTCAAAAAGTTCTTCTGGGACGGCACGGGCTACAAAGCAGCGACACGGCACATACCCGTCATCCTAGAGAAAATCAGCCAGCTCGAGCGCAAAATCCGCAAACTACCCGGCTACCGATTCTACGCCAGCAGTCTACTCATGCTGTACGACCGCGGCGACGGCGAGCCCAAAGACAAGGACGCGCTGCTCACTCCCACCGCGCCCTCGACGCCCTGCACCGAAGACGCGCCACCCAATCCTACCTCCCCCGGCGCACCCCCACCTTCAACCTCAACCTCCTCCCCAACAACAACCAAAGGCTACCCCGAAATCAAGCTCCGCATCGTCGACTTTGCAAACTGCATCACGGCTGAGGACGCGCTGCCAGATGATTTGTCCTGCCCCCCGCAGGACGCAGAGGGCGTCGATCGAGGCTATCTCCGCGGATTGCGCTCGCTGCGTCTGTACTTTCAGCGCATCTGGCGCGATATTAATGATGAGTGGGTGGAGCGTGGGGAGGGCGAGGGCATGGCGAGGGGCCATCATCATCATGGGACGGGGTTTGCTGAGGTGGGCGAGGGTTGGATGGACGATGCTGGGGGTGAGGATACGGGGTATGTTAGTTTTTAGGTGGGGAATATGTTGAGAGGGGGAGAATGGGAGAGGGATGAGTGGGGAAAGAAGGCAAGAATGGAAGGAAGACGATGAATGGATGGATGGATGGACAGGGTTTCACGTGTGTGTGCTGGTGGAAATGGGTCGTTTGTCTTTTGGTCACTCTTCCTCTTCAGCGTGGCGCTTGTTTGCTTTGGGGGGGTGGATGGTGTTTATGTGTTTTTTATTGCTTTGGGTCTTGGGTTCTTGCTCTTGGGTCGGTGTAGTTTGGTCGGGTTGGGGGAGGTTAGATTCCTAGTTCATGGTCGTACATTACAGTAGCAGTAGTATAGTAAATAAGTATTACCTCGCAGTTATTTCTTGGTCCTGATGCTTTTCTTGAGATGTGGAAAGAGTGCGTGCATAGTGATTTATTTTATTTGTATCTTCATTCATTCATTCATTGGGGTTGATGCCCGTTTGAAAATCTAACTTTTCTACTTAAAACATGCCACTCCTCTTGGAAATAGTGGGCTTTTGGGCTGTCCTTGCAGCCGTAATATGCGTGAGTGAATGAGCATCTTGTGCTACGCCTCGTGCCCTGCCTGTCTGACTATAGACCGTCCTCAGTCACTCCACTCCTTGCACCTGCACCTGCACGCACTATCTGCGCTGCTCGGCATCCCCAACCCAACGGCTCTTCCCATCCATCTCCCAAAAATGTAACGTTTTTCTACTTCGTAGTTCATCTCATTTCATCTCATCCAACCTCAATCGCGGCCAACGCAGCAATGACCTCGTCAGCCACGCCCCCACGCTCAACAACCATCTTGGCCACCTGCGCAATCAAGCCCCTCTTCATGCCGCCGCGCGGCGGAGTCCACACGCCCGAACTCGCGAGCAATTCGCGCTGGGTCAGGGCGTCGGCGGTGGACGTCGGTGCTGTGCCACCAGTCGCGGAGTTCATCGAGTTGGGGACGGCAGGGGGCGTGAGATGGGACGGGGGATCGATGGTGCGGATGGAGACGATACGTGCACCGTCTGGTGACGGTGCGCAGGCGACAGCGAGGACGGCGTCGGCGACGGCGAGCTCCTCCCTGCAGGGGTCGAAGATGATGTTTGGACCGACTGCCATGGCGAGGACGATGACGGGCGGCTTGCGTGTACCGGTGTTCTTGGGGTAGAGGGCTACGGCGGCGTCCCAGTCGTCGTCGAAGAGGGGGTCTTCGTCTTTTTCGGACTTGAGGGCTGGCAGGCGTGTGGTGAGGAGGGCGAGGTGGGCCGTCATGGAGAGCAGGGCCAGCGGGTAGGAGAGCGGAGGCGAGAGCAGCAGGATGTCGATGTACAGCTTCCAGTGGAAGCGGCGGTTGATGTACAGGCGGTCTTTGAGCTCCCCGCTGGCGAGCAGGCTCTCGGTGAGCATGGAGGCTAGGAACACGGGGAGGGCGTCGTCCTCGCGGAAGCCGGGCACCTCGACGCCTATCTCGACCCACGCGTTCTGGCCCTTGCCCGCGCTGTCGCTGCTGCTGCTGGTGGCTTCCCCGTTCACGTCGTCCTGCTCGCCGAACGTCGGGCGCTGCGGAGTGCGCTCCACTTCTGCCTTGACGCCGACTAGGGCCTCGGTGCCGTCGTCGAGGGCAATGCGGGCGCTGCCGTTTGCGCCGGGCAGCACGTCATACTCTGCGCGCATGGCGCGAAAGTCGCGGGGCCCTTTGGTGACATCGAGGCGGAGGGGCGGCGTCTGGGCGAGGGTGGCGCGCAGGAACGACAGTTCGGCCGGCGACAGGTGGACGGCTTGCTGCTGCTGGGGGGCCATGGCGGGAGCGGGAGGGCGACGGTGACGGTGACGGGGACGGGTGACGAGGTGTTTGCGACCAAACTTTTGACTGTGAGGCGCGCGGGCGAATCAGCGGCGCGCCGACGTGGGTAGCTTGCTGCATTCCTTCTACGCATGACAGCGTGCAGTCCGTTCACCGCCGGCAGCCATGTACATGTACGGGCGTGCACTTGTATTGATACACACCTACATTCCTGCATTCATACACTCGTGCTATTGAAGTACTTATTCTTATTCTTATACACCATGCCCCTGTAGTCGTGCGCCCGCCAAGCATGTCGCCGTCGTCGTCGAAGCGGAGCAGCAGCCACGGCGCAGGTACCGCCATCGACAAGCTCGACTACGCGCCACCACACTCGCCGCGCCGCCTGCTGCTCGCCCCCGACGACCCCGACCCCGACTCGACGCGCCACCACAGCCAGACGACGAGCTACGCCGGCAGCTTCTTCGAGCACGTGGCCGAGGGCATCATGGAGCGCGACCGCGAGCGCATGCAGCGCGTCGTCGCCCGCTGGCTGAGCTTCGCCTGGGCCATTGTCAACTGCCTGTGCGCCGGCAGCATCACCGCCTACTCGCTGTACGGCCACCTGTTCCAGTCGCGCCTGCACTACACTCAGTTCCAGGTCAACATCGTCAGCATCGTCGCCGAGCTGGGCATGTACCTGCCCGTCCCCGTCTTCGGCTACCTGTGCGACCGCCTCGGCCCCGGCGCCCCGTCTGCCCTGTCTGGCGCCTTCTTTGGCTTCGGCTACCTGCTTGCTGCGTTTGCGTATAAGAGCGGGCCCCCGCCGTCTGCCGGCGGCCAGGGCTGGCCCTTTGGCGTCATGGTGCTGGCCTTCGTCGCCGTCGGCATGGGCACGAGCTGTATGTACCTCTCCGCCGTCACGACGTGCGCGAAGAACTTTGGCCGCGGGAATGCAAAGGGCATCGCCCTGGCTGTGCCCATTGCCGCCTTCGGGCTGAGCGGCATGTGGCAGAGCCAGATCGGGAGCCGGCTGCTGTACGTGACGAACCCCGACGGCAGCAGGGGCGACGTCGACGTCTACCGCTTCTTCCTGTTCCTGGGCATCCTGCTGCTGTGCGTCGGCACCATCGGCTTCTTCGCCCTGCGCATCATGGACGAGGAGGAGATGATCGACCAGGCCGTCGACGAGCTGGAGCGCTCCGGTCTGCTCGCCCAGGACGAGTTCTTCACCCAGGCCGCCCACCACCACGGCTACGGCACCATGTCGACCCAAGACCTCTCCGACTCGACCTTCGACTTCCTGCAGTCGGAAGCCGAGCGTCTCAAAGAAAAGGCAGAAGAAGAGGCCCGCAAGAAGACATGGCTCCTCAACGAAGAAACGCGCAGATACATCCTCGACCCCACCATGTGGTGGCTAGCAGGCGGCTTCTTCCTCGTCACCGGCCCGGGAGAAGCCTTCATCAACAATCTCGGCACAATCATCAACACGCTCGAGTCCCCCCACGTAACCATAACCACTTCCCCAGCAACCCACGTCTCCATCGTCGCCATCACCTCGACCCTCGCCCGCCTGCTAACCGGCACCCTCTCCGACATGCTCGCCCCCGTCGCCCCATCGCACCAGCACCGCCGCGGCCCAGACTCGCTCGCAAACTCCATCGCCTCGCTGCCCCCCCTCGACCCCGCACCGCGCCGCTTCACCCTCTCCCGCATCACCTTCCTCATCACCTTCGCCTTCATCCTCTCCCTCGGCCAGCTGCTCCTCGCAAGCGGCTGGATCCAAAACCACTCCGAGCGCTTCGCTCTCGTCTCCGCCCTGATCGGCGCCGGCTACGGCGCCGTCTTCAGCCTGACCCCCATCGTTGTCTCTGTCGTCTGGGGCGTGGAGAACTTCGGCACGAATTGGGGTATCCTTGCTATGACGCCTGCTGCGGGTGCGACGCTGTGGGGCGCTGTGTATGCGCTTGTTTACCAGCGCGGTGCGGATAGTGCGGCCCCGGGCTTCGAGAAGGCGAAAGATGATGTGCTGTGTTATGGGAAGATGTGCTATGCGCCGACGTTTTGGGCCATGACGGTTAGTGTCTGGATGGCGATGGGGTTGTGGATGTGGGCGTGGAAGGGCCCGGGGGGCTGGAAGAGGAGGGGTGTTGCTGTTTAGTCTGGGCGGGTCGAGCGTACGTGTTTTGGCTGTGGGTGTGGGTATGCATCGTGTTTACTGTTTTTCCTGCGTCTTTCTTGCTTGCGTCGTGTTAGCGTGCATGTTTTCATTCCTTGGGATTTTGTGGGCATCTTGGTTTTATATGGGATTTTGCTTTGTGGTTTTTGAGCTGCATTGTAGCGTTGGGTTGGCTTGGTTTACTTCAGTATGCAAGTTGGAGCTTCTATGACATGAACTACAAAAGAAATACTTTATCAGCGTTTGTTCCTTGCATCCAGAATATCAATCATGTCACAACTCGTGATAAAGAATAAGTCGAGTCAAGGTCAAGTGTGCGAAGTAACTTAACACTGCAAAACCGCTACATCACCCTACTACCTACCAACCAACCAAAAATCCCACCCGACAAAAGGCCAAAAACAAAAATACCAGTAGACACGACCAGCCCAACGCCAGCCTCCCAACCCTCACGGGAGTAATCCAACACCGCCGTCCCATGGTGGACGCCCGATTGCAGAATTTCTTCCCTCATCAGATTGCGTCCATGGCTTAGGTCCGCCCAGCAAGTCACGAGTTACCTGCGTGAGTGGGTGAAAGAATCTTGTTTTTACGAAAATTCCGGACGCCACGGGACTCGAACTGGGCTCCTGCAAGGGTGGTGGCAGGGAGGTAGGCGTGGATGACGGTCGGCCTTCTGGTGGAGACCCGCTACAGGTGGTGGTTTTTTGAAATTTTAGTATTATATATATGAGTTTTTGCACTACGGTGCTTGTATCCTTTAGTTGTTGTCTTTCTCTTCTGGCGAGTTCACGCTGGTTTCGTTGCTTGCGAAATGGTGGAGTGGGGCTGATTCGCGTCTGTGCGGAGTGGGGCTTCCAGGCAATATCGTGGTACGCTCTCGACACTTGCATTCCCCAGAACACACTTCTTCTGTTCACAAACATCGACGTGCGGCCAGTCCAGAAAGTAGTATTACAATATCATACATGCTATGCAAGGCTAGTCAAAGGGTATCTTCAAACTTCCTGAACCATGCAGTGCCGACCACATCTCCATCTACTCCTTCAATACATGCACCAGCTTTGCGATCTCGCTCCTCGCCTCTTCACAACTCAACCGTTCCCGCTCATTCACATGCACCATATCTCCAATCAGCTGCTGCACCTTATCCCCCAACTCTCCAAAGCGCTGTGAGAAATCGTCTGGAAACTGTCCCCGTCGAAGTTGGCCCAACGCATCCACACGTTCCATCCTGGTGCCGAATCGCCACAGCATCTCAAACCCCACAACACCCAGTGCGAACACGTCGAGTTTCTCACTAATACCACTACTGGTATCAGGACGGTAGAACTCGGTGCCGACGGGCTTGGTTGACGTTTCTGCTCCCAAACAGCTTTCGCCTAGAACAGCCACGAGGCCAAAGTCGCCGATGCGCGGAGTCACATGTATGCAGTCGCGCTGCGAACAGGGTTTGCAGCTTGAGAGGTCGACTGAGCCATAGGGCGGACGTCGGGCAGTCGACAGCGACAAGAAGATATTGGCGGGCTTGAGGTCACGATGTACGACACCTTGCGCGTGTAGATACTCGACTCCGGATATGACGTTGCTCAATAGTTCTAACGAGACGCAAGGGTGGAAGCAGTGGTGGAACGTTTGCTCGGCATTGAATGAAGACCACTCGGAAGAGAGGAAAGACGCAAGGTTGGTGTCGTAAAGACTCATTTGCACGTTGAGCGTGAGAACTGGTCCAGAGGTGGGAGCAGACATCAACGGGCCGGGTATATCGCTGTCGGACACCATGCTCTCCGAGACGTCAGAATCCGAGTATGTCATGTGCGTCCTGGGAATCATTTCGACATCCCCATCCTCTTCGTCTGCGTCCTCAACCGCACTCATACGAGACCTCGATGATGATGATATTGTTGCAATAGTCGCTTGGCTGGCATGACTGCCTCGTCGGTTCCCGCGCTTCTTAGGTCTCAGTCGATCGTTCATAGCAAGATCAAGCTCCTCATTTACTTGCTCTTCTACACCACCACCACCAGTGTCACTGGTCTCGAAAATAATGTCGGCGCTGTTGCCACCTCCGAATGCCTCATTGAAGGTCAGATCGTTGAAATTCATCTGCAAATCATCTACATTTGCCGAAGCGGACGAGAATGTAGCTGGATCTTCTAGCAGTCGGTCAGTTCGTAGCATATTGCTCGCGGGCAAATGTGGGATTTCTGTGGGTGCCATTGTAAACTCCAACCACGCATTATGGTAGCGAACGATATTGCCATGCTCAAAGCGGGCAAGCGAGCGAACCTCCTCCAGCATGCTCGTCAACTCGCTTGATCCATGCTCTTGAATTCTGGCTAGCTTGGCGGGGCTTACTGCAATCCGTTTAACGGCATAGAAAGATCCATCGAGGTTGTGTTTTACTTTGAAGACCCTTCCGTAACCACCCTTACCAACAAGCTCTAGCTCAGTAAAGTCTCGAACATAGCGATCCGCCGCTAGACCTGGGAACTCGGGAAGATGAAGATGTGCGGGAATAGAAAGTCCTGATACGGTATCGAACTTAGGGGGCGGAGGCTCTGGTATTTCCACGGTCATACTGTTCGGAGGTCGCGCAACTAGAGCTTGGGATCCTTCAGGGATTGCGGCGAGTCTGCTGAGATTGTTGCGTGTGAGTCTGTTGATACCTTCTTGCGCCGTCGCTCGATGACCGCGCATATCATCGTTTGCGTATGTGTCGTCGACATTGTTGGAAATTTGGCGTGCAACCTCTTGATACGTTTCTCGACCAAGTCGTTGAACATCCGGGTCGGATCGATCTTTACCCAATTGTTCTGCAGCTTGCGCCATAGCCTTGTCCTCCAACAACGAGTGAAGAAGCAAATCGCGAACATTCTGAGCTGAATTTTGCCGTGGTTGAAGGTGAGGCGGATTGGGTCTACTAACAGGCGGTCCAGAACTAGCGGAATCTAAGGTATTGATTCGGGAGAGAACACTATCTTGATGCGACGCGCTTGCTTGGTAGTCATCGGAATTGTCGCTGGATGTCTCGGAAGATGAAGACGAATCCTCGCCTGGCCTGCGAAACATAGACATCGCCAAAAAAGAAACACGGTTGACGATGGTTACAGGGGAGGGAAGCGCGACGTGACGGACACGCTGTCCTAAGCAGCGTTCTGAAACCAATTGATCTCCCCAGCCCAGCCTGTAATAGTTTGACGGAATACTGACTCGGGTTGAGGAGACGTTGGTGTTGGTGTTGTAGTCTAATCTTGTATTGCCGCAGCGACGAGCGAATACTTCCGGCGTCGACAACGGTGAAAAGGAGCCCCCATGAGTAAACAATGACCAGGCAGATATAGAAAGGTGTAGAAAGTGGTGGAAGCGATATGTGGCCCTTCACCTAGAAGATGAAGAGGGCACCTGCCGTGAAGGGCGCGGTCTTGGATGACGTCGATTGGTCCATAACCGACATGAGGTGCGCATTGATTCGTGAGTTTCATAGCATTATATCACTAGGCCAGAGAGTATTCGTAGTGTATAAAAGGTCCTCGCGCTGCAAAAGCACCTACTAGCATCTCAATTCTTAGCTGTGCTGCTACAAACCTCATTGTCTACGTACCGCGTCAAGCGACCTAGCGCGTCATTCATCCCACGTGATAGCGCCTAATCTCGTCGCGTTCGATGTTCTCGGACTCTTCCAAACGCGACCACGAGGCGAGTATGAAAGAGTATGAAAGAGCAACAGTAATGAAACACTCGTGATATCACACCATGCATCACGTGTACCTCTTACTATTGTGTCCGAATTCTGTCAGCTCTGAGCGACACGTTGATCATCGAACAGCATGCCGCGACAATTGCCCTGGGCGAACAAAGGTGGAGGAAGTCGAGTTCAGGCGAAACAGCCGTTGAAATCCGCAAAGAAAACAACACGCATATCATCTGATATCGATGATGGCTTCTTTGATGACACCGTCTTAGCGAGCACCACTAAAGGCAAGAGAAGAGCAGTTTTCGAATCAGACGATGATTTTCTTGATCTTCCAGGAGATTCCTCGACATCACGCGCCAGAAGGAGGACAGAAGATGGGATTCGCACTGGTCGGGCACTCTCTTCGTCACCCCCTCTGATTGCGGATCTCTCTCAACCGCTGTCTGAACCTATGCGCAAAGGCGTTTCCATGTTCGACCTTCGCGATGATGAATGGATGATGGTCGAAGATGAGCTTCTAGATACCGCAAAGTCATTTACGCGGTATCTTCACATGGCAGAGTACGAGAGATTGAAGGAGAGGATTGAGGAGAAGAAGAAAGAAGCTGCGATTGCGCGGCCAGTGGTTGCAGGTGCGAAGCTGTCAGCCGAGGGCACGATGAAGGCGAAGGCGAAGGTTCAGGAGAAGAGACATATGAAAGCTATTCGGGACGTGTTCGCTTCTCAAAACAACGACAACGATGAATTTTCTTCTGCTCGATCGACGGTATCAAAACAGCCAACAAATCTTCACGCAGCTCGCGACACAGATAGCGACGATCTAGATGCTCCACGTCGTCCACCAAAGTCCACAGCCCCTATGGCAACTATAAGAGAATCCCTTGCGCCGACCCGTCCCGTAAACAGGAACCCAAAGTCTTCCTCGCTGCAACACTCCAAGTCAGCGAGCTTGTCTTCATCCACAACTTTCGTCAAGCCTGCACCTCCTCTGCCGACCACGAGGCCTCGCACCGCAGCCTCGAGAACAAACCGTGCAACGCCGTTCGACATGCTCGACGACTACGTACCACGAGCCAACCACTCAGTGACCACGAAGGGTCAACACGAAGCGCAGAAGTCACGACCATCTTTACAATCATCCTCGCCTGCTCAGCCATCCCGCCCCTCAAGCGCCCAATCAGGCAGAAAGCCATCTCCAGTCCGACCAATAGATTTGTTTGACGACTGGGGGTCCGGGAAGAACAAGGAGGTTGCGGATCGATTAGCGAAAAGGAAAGCTGAGAGGGAGAAGGATGCGAAGGAGAAAGAAAAGGGAAAGGCTGTCAAGCTGGATGACATTCCGACATTTTTGTTTTGAGGATTGTGCACGGCGTTTGGATAATATACCCGATAGATGATTTCGTAGATCTCGTAGCTGGTGAGGACAGTTTTCGAGTTGTCAGACTCGGTGATTAACCAATGCATATCACACTGGTAGTACAAAGACCTCGGCATATCAACTATTCCATCAGTGTCATCGTTTATATTCATATCCCAAAATATCGAGAATTTCTTTCTATCTTCGTCCAACAATCCTAGCAAATTGTAAAATAGCCATCCAGTGCGTATCCAATCAGCAATTCTGCCTGAAACACATAAACGAACAGTACATCATGCATGAAACATACATCCACATAGACTCAGCCGAACAGCTTGTCCAAAATTCTGTTGAACATGTTGGTCTCAGGTTTCTCCACAAAGGTGCGAGTGTACTCGTCAATCTCTGCAAGATCGGTGACGAGGTCCATTTCCTGGGTCTTCACCCATTTGGTTCTCTTGATGAGCTTCCAACCCACGAAGATTACCGGGAAGAGGAACACCATCATGTAACTGCCAGTTATCAGTATACTTTCAACAGCACAACGAGGGAAGAACCTACGAGAACAGGAAAGATGGGACATCCCATTGTCCGTCCAGGAACACTGTATATCCACCAACAAACGTCATGATGAACGTGCAGGTAAGCCCATAGTACGCAGCATATGGTTGCAGTATACCCTTGTATGGCAGCGTATCCCTGTCAATGCCCTGTACTTGACACGCTTTGTAGAAGCGCAAGAACGTGAAGCACATGACGCTGAAGTTCTGCGTACAAAAGTCAGCAATCTTTCGAGCATTGTGGTGCGTAGATATAGGCTTACGATGAGCTGAGATGCAGTTACCAAGCTGACAAGCCAGTTGAGTACGACAGCCGAGTTCTCGCCTAACTGGAGGAAAGACAGAAGAGCAACGAGTAGCACAGCGCCGACGCAGTAGAAAGGCACACCTTGCTTCGTGCACTTGGTAAAGAACTTAGGGGCCTTGCCCTCGAGAGCCAGACCAAAGAGGGAACGGGACGCACAATAGACGTAGGAGTTACCGGCCGAGAACGCCGAGGCCAGGACACCGGCATTGACAATATGCGGCAATCCTTCGATGCGAAGTCTGTTCATGGCGATGACATACGGCGATGCGGCAGCACCAGGCTTTCCATCCCGGAAGGCAGCTCTTAGATCTGGGTCGTTGTAGGGCACGTTGATGCCAACTGCCAAGGATCCCAGAACAAAAAAGGCAGTCAACCTGTAGAACACAGCGTTGTAGGCACGCGGCATGACTCTGCGGGGGTTCTCCGTCTCTCCTGCAGCCATAGAAACGTAATCTGGGCCTGCGATCGTGAAGGACGCTTGGATGAGGCATTGCAAGAAGCCCAAAAACCGACCTAGATCATCTGTATAGTATAGTTCGGCGAAAGCTCCCGGGTTCTTCCAGTACCTGAAACCGTAGCGATCTTTCTCAGGGTTACCACCCAACATGCTGACAAAGGTGAAGATCAGGAGACCGACGATGAGAAGCACTTTACCAACAGCTGCCCAGAACTCAGTTTCGCCGTACCACTTGACGGCCATCATGTTGATGAGTCTGGTGAGAGATTAGCTTCCCTTCGACAAATAACACCACGAGGCATAGGCTCTGCAAAGTCACGTACCCGTAAAGCAAAATCACAATGGCAATGATAGCGCCCGTAGGCACGGCAGAGCTCCAGAAATTGATGATGACGTTGCAGGCCACGATTTCGAAGGGCACAAGCGCAGCCTCAAACACGAAGAAATTCCATCCCGCTGCGACCCCAAATGCATCATCCACATAGCGGCCGGCGAATCGAATAAATGGGGAAGATATCGGGAGGTAGGTGACCATCTCAGCAACACCTAAAATTCTGCTTAGCTGACATTGTCAATACGCAGAGTGGGATGAGCTGCTTTGGGCGGTTTGAAAAGGCGCATTGGGATTGTTGCAATGGGAAATGTTGCTCAGGAAAAGAGGCGTCCTTACTGACGGTTATGGCTAAGATGACGGTACACTTGCAAGGGTTAGCTTATCTTCCTCATATCAGATGCGCAACAGGTCCTCGTTTCCTACGCCTAACAACTTACCCACAACGTGAAGGCTAGAAATAGCGAGCCAGGCCCTCCATTCATCAATCCTCGACCAATCTGGACATAGAGAGCTGTGCCGATTGTTCCTCCAATACCGATAAGCTGAATGTGTCGACTCTTAAGCTTTCGGTGAGTAAAGTCGTTCGCCAATCTCACTGATCCTACATTGCTGATGCGGCGATTAGGATCGTAGTTTTTCTCTTCATCATCTAAGACGCTTTGATGCTTGCCATTGGGCAAATAATCAATGCCAGAAGAGGCCATTGCGTCTAGATTTTGGGTTTATGGGTCCTCAAAATTTAGAGTATGGTTTTCAGAAGGAGTGAGAAGAATTGGACGACGTAGTCCATGTACCCAGAGCCTGGGGTGTCAGTTCGTTAAGTTTTGTAGGTTGCGAGCGAGGCTAGGTGTGGGGACGATGTGAATTGAGAAAAGGTGCGTGTGGCACATTGATAACCCCTACGCAGCGCTAGCGTAGATGGGTGAAAGGTGATACCAACAAGCTTCTCTAGGATCACTGTGATGGTGGGCTGCAGGTCGCTCTAGTCAGCCTGGGCTTTCTTGTATGTCGCCCTTGTCAGCCTGAGCTTCCTGTATGTCGCTTGGCTGTCGTACTTGAGGATCACCAAGCCAATTGCGCATGAGCAGATCTTCTATTCTCAGCTACAAACTGGTTCGTTTGCCTCGAAGGCGATTCAGGCAAACATCATACCGGTATAAACGTTTGCCTCGGGTAAGTTGGCGGCGTGTGGAGCATGGTGTGGAGCAAATTGAGGTCCCTGGATACCCCGCGAGGCTCAACGCCAATACCACGTCTGCCGTGCCCGCTGTTCTATTCTCTATGAATGCCGTCGTTATCTCGAAAAGTGGCGCCTTTCCGTCGGGTGCTCCGAATCTGCCTTGGCTGTAAAGCCTCTTCTTCTTGGAGGCTGGGAATCACCTTGGCACATCTGGGCACGTAGTTTGGCCCCATCTCCGCGTTGCCCGCCACAGGCTTGTTTGAACACTGAACATCTTCGGCTCGCTAAATTCCTTCTCTGGACTTCAGCTTGTTCCCGGGGCCTGGGTTCTGGAATTCCGGTTTGTAATTCCAAGAGAGTATACGATACGTAATATGGCATGTGGGTTTGGCCTGTGGGGGTAGCATTTCCCCTCCGTACCTTGCATCGTTACGCTGGAACATTTCTAGATAGAGCGCTGTCACATCCATCAAGCTGACAGCCTGGATTGCTTTCGCCAGTTTCCTTGTGCAACCAGGACTTAGCTGAGGAACATATGCTAGAAGAGTCTCAGAGCGTTCTTGCGGTTGAAACGGAATGCGTAGACGAGCACCCCACGTCGCTTACCAAGTACACACATGCGCTAAACTCATGGTACATGCTCTAGAACTCGGAGCTTAATGCGCACTGCGTTCCATGCTTCGGGAAAGAAAATCTGGAGAAAGTTATCGCGCCCAAGAACCGAGGCTGCTTTGACAGCGACGGCGCGATTTGTACAAATCTGTGATCCTTGATAGCGCAGTTAATCATTCGGCGAATCACTATTGAGTATATGTAACAAACTGATGGTCTGATGCCTTTCCTCGGAGGACCTGAATATCCCGCCTCAGCCGAATGCGAACACGTTAGGAGCCACACTAACATGACGCGGCATGGCATTCCACTATGCTGGGTCGAGACCTGACAAGCGCGCGTGACACGCTTGCGTACAACAAGTTCCGATGACGAGTGTCACTTTTGTGAAAGCACGTGGAACTTCCAGTACAACCGTATTTGCGAGTATTTCAGATAGTTCCGAGAACAACTGTCACTCCAGATACTTGGTCGGTAGCAGTTCAAGTGGTCCACACACGGTCATGCTGGCTAAAACGACAGGGACAACACCCGCTGTGACAAAAGTGAACACACAAAGCCAGAGTGATCCGGTATTGAGGAGAAAGCTAGGTATTCAAGTTCAGTGGGCGCTAGGAAACTGATTAAATATTACATAGTTCGTTTTGTACAAGCATCACTTCCGGCCATTAACGTCGTCATGACCAATCACTTAATACACCCCACTTGCGCTGTTGGCAGGAATTGGTTTGCGCTTCTGCGATGGGCTGGAAGGCACTTTGGGTAAAGCCTGCGCGAGCCCATCGACATCAAGGGGCGTCTCCGAATGGGGTGGACGACTGGATTGCTCCTCTACCATATCCATCGTCGTGATCTCACCCCACCATCGCTCTCCTGTCTTGTGGTCGAAGTGTACCGGCTGCACTAGTCCATCATAGCCAGACAAGCTCGCCAGTGTCGGTGGGTGCAAGATTGTTGTTTCTTTGCGCTTGAAACCTTCAGCGGTCATGGTTGATTTGCCTTTAATAATTTGTGGCTGAGTTCGCCACTCTCGTTCGTATGTGATGGGCGCGGGTTCGTGCTGCACTATTGACCACCATCTGTTGTCGCCAGTGCGTGCAGGCAATTCTTCTGCAGAAATCTCTATGAGACCTTCACCGTTCGGGTTTGGTATCCAATGCCTTGGTGGCAGGACTTCGGTGTGAATAACAGGCTGGATGCGGTGGTACATTTCGTAGTTGTGGATTTCGCGATAAATCTTGTGTTGGATAACTTCGTGCTTGTGGGGTTTGATGAGTTCGTGTGTGACAGCTAGAGACTGTGTCAGAAAGGGTTTCTAGAGCTCAAGATCGTGTCGACGAAGACCAATTCACCTGGGTGAACATACCTGGAGTCCAATGGACGTCTGCGTCCGTATCTATCGTGTTCCTAAGATCCACAACACCCTTAAGACGCAGCTGTCTCTGCTCTTCGCTTTCATGGTGCCCGTCCACAATGGCTGGTTGGAAATCTGCTGGCCGATGTTGAGACTTTGAAGGCACTTGAGAACGAACCTTCAATGGTGCTGGAGGTTGCGGAAGGTCGTTGTCATAATTGTCTGATGCATCTATCCCCCTTCCCTTCGATCGCATACCGCCTTCATCATGCGAAGGCTGCAACGGCCAATCCGACCGTCTGTAATGACTTTTGTCGTGGTCTAAACCATCTGTGCGGAGCAAAATACCGTCAACGCGTCCCCCGTTCGTCGCTACGTCACGGCTAACGACATAGTCTCCTGCCGGCGTGCTGGACGGCGCTGCACTGACTGCAGATCCGACAGTTTTGCCTTTGTTTGGCAATGTTTGCAATGGGGCTGGTTTTGAAGTTACGGAGTCTAAAATCAAGTTAGAGGTGTTCTCAATTTCCGCAGGAAATTCCATCGCGGGTGAAATAATGATGTCACTTACTTGACACTAGAGGTAGTGCTGGTAATGGTTTTCTGGTGGCAGCGTCCATCGATGCTCTCTGCCGGTAGGTGTTCCGATCGGCCAGGTCATCTTCATGCTGTCTTTGGTTCTGTCCGCTTACTGCACGCCTGTCATTACCTCGCGTCGTTTGGTATTCGCTTTCGTTGCCGGATTTGGGAGAAAGTGCGGCAATGTAGGTATTGTAGTCCTTCGCCATAGGCCCTGGAATAGCCTCTTGGGAACTGGCCTCAGCATGGTTGAGACCAGTTGGCTGTAATCTGGGCGCATGCGACGCTCCGGGTGCTGCTGCTGCTAGTGGGTTGCCCAAGCGACGTGAATCGTCTGCCGAGCTCAGAGGTCGGCTGCGGCCGGCAGCCTGTGGAGCAGGTTTGGAGTGAACCGACATGCGGCGCGGACGCTCTTCTGAATCATTGAGGTATTGACTGGTGCGAGGCGAGTCAATTTGCTGACTGACACGAGGCGAATCGAATTGCTGGCTGACGCGAGGCGAGTCGAACTGCTGGCTAACACGAGGTGAGCCTGTCTCGCCATAATGATGCGTCCCTTCCGAAAGGTCGGTGGAACCAGACTCCCTTCTTCGGCGAAGAGCGGACTTGAGCTTTTGCATTGCGGCGGCTCGATGTAGGAATATCTTCAGGAGTTAGGATGGAGCGGACAGAGTATCAAGCTCCGCAGGTGAGAGGTCTCGAGTGACGTTCGCCGGATCTGGAAGCTTCTGGCGGGGATTACAAGGGTAGGAGCGGGACTGAAGAATACAAGTAATTTGGAGTTTAGCTGGTACCCCTGAAGTTATTAGAGCTCACGACCGAATGCGATCAACGTCGTCTTTGCACTGACGCTGCAACGCATCGATACCTTAAAGTCAAAAGCTCGACCAGGCGTGTTCGGACTGATCCAGATCGTATTCTATGCTGCACCTTACCCTAGCACTTTGCCATTAGCCAATGGGTTGCTGTCTTTGACCAACGGTCCATGCGGAGTGGCCGGCACAATGACGTACGGACTGCTGTGAAGACGCAAGAATGAGGCACTTGGTGACCAAGTACGAGCACCAACACGAAGCTGCGCGAACACGTCCTGCGACGGGCCTGCAGCTCTGAAAGCTTATTATATCTTGATCTTGAAGCACACAAAGCACGCGAAGATGGTTGGGCAGCTTGTTGACGTGACAGGAGTACCGTGGGGGCCACTCTCTCTTGCATAAAGATTTGTGAAGTACCATGCCCGCGGATCGTTTGTGAGAAGGGCATGACGTATCAAAACAAACGTCGTACGTTCGAACAAGTGGAGACCATAGGCGGGATGACGACAAGGAAGGCGAGCCCTCATCGCGGGCGCCGGGCGGATCATCTTCTAGACACGGGCTGATCACGATAGCGTGCCCAAACAAGGACGATCGTCGGGCACGGATCTAGAATCAGGCTCGAGCAAGCCAGGGTTTTGGGAGCGACGAATGCCCAAACAGACGCGGGTCAGCAAAGAGGGGTTGTCGCCTCCTAAAGGGTCTCCGATGCTGGATTCACAATATGCATGCGCACGGACAATGGTGATTTATCCTTACGTAGATCCCTGGATACACCATGGGCGCTGCTTTGCACAAAGGTAGACTTGCTCATAGCGGGGGGTTCTGCTTCGTACAACGTGTCGTGGGGTACGCGTTCTGTCTCCATAGTCGTTGCTCACTAGATGCACTATGACTGCATTGTTCGAGATGTCAGGCGGAAGTTTCAAAGACTAACGGATCGGTCCCACACTCACATATGGCGCTACACGATGTATGCTCCATGCAAGGCCTATCGCTACCGTCTGGGTGTGTGTAAACAGTGGCTGAGAGGCAAATATCCCTGTATCCCTGACGTACGCTTGCCGCACTGTACACGCCCCCGAGGAGTGCAGTGATGCAGTAACACTCAGCCAATGAACTTGACCAAAAGCAAACACTACGGCGTGGACCCACGTTCTCTGGGCCTGTTTTGTCCATTACGTCGTTCTGCATCCTGCGTTGGAGCACTGTATAAAGACCTCTGTCCAGCGACTGTCACTCATTATCACACCATTACAACACCGCTCAATCCATCTACACAACCTCCAATACTTCCTACTCAATACCCCTCAACCAACCAATCAATCAACCCATCTCACCTTCAAAATGGACAAGGCTAAGGTAGGAAGTTTCTCCCAGCATTCACACAACATTGCTAACATTGTGCAGTCTGCCATCAACGAGTTCATGTCCAAGTCTGGACACCATGACACCACTGTCCACGAGGCGGTTGCCCCTGCTGTTCAGCACGAGGTCGTCAAGCCTCACCAGCATGAGGAGATCCTGACTGCCGTCGACAAGGAGGTTCACCAGGACCACTACCACCGCACCGTCCAGCCCATCCAGGACCGCGAGGTTCTCCCCGAGCAACACACTGCTAAGCTCGGTGCTGTTCAGCACCGCGAGTTCGACCACCGCGATGCTGAGGCCACAAAGATGGCTCTCATTGCTGAGCAGCAGCTCTTCAAGGATGAGAGGCGTGTAGACCAGACGACCTACAGCCAGAGCGCAGCGGCCACTGTTGGCGGCGAGCACATCCACCACGTAAGATTATACCACACTCTCCTATCACCTACTTGTACTGACAACTTTTTAGCACATCCACGAGACCATCCAGCCAGTCATCCAGCGGGAGGTTATCCAGCCCCAAGTCATCCACACCACCGTGCCCATCCACGAGGTTCACCATAACAAGGCTACCCTCCACGAGGTTACTGCCCTGCCTGTCATGACTATGGATCAGTTCAAGGCCAAGGGTGGATCTCTTGCTGGCCGCGAGGAGCGATACGACGCATTCGAGGGTGTCCCCAAGAACATTGGCGCTGGCGCAGTCGGTGGCTTCAGTGCTATCCAGGGTGACCACAAGCGTGACAGCCACAACATCTCCCCTGCTCTGAAGGGTGAGGCTGCTCACGGAGACTTCCACGGCAAGACTCATCACGACCACCACGCTGGACGTGTCGGTACCGACGGTGTCATTGGCGGCCGCACCCGCAGGGGTTCGTCCACCAGCAGCTCCGACAACGAGTCCCGCCGCACTACTGGCACTACCGCCACTGGCAAGAAGCCCAGCCTGATGGACAAGCTCAACCCCAAGGTCGACTCCAACGGTGACGGCACCCGTGGCTTCATGAAATAGATGCGGACCTAGTAGTGGTGTCTCTTTTCATAAGCATTTGATACCGGCAAATAGCCTACCTTACGATTTGTACATACGATAGCGTAGTATTGCAATAATGATATACCTCCTTCAACTACACTTGCATTTTGATGAATTTGAAATCTCCTTGTTGCTAATATGATCTACACCACGTTGCATCGCTCAGCAACTTTTCATTTGTCATTTACATTTCGCAACTCAGTCAGAAAAAGTGTATTCATAACATTTTCTCTGCAATAGGTATCCATTCATGAATAGGTTTGTTCGTAGGAATAAGGACAATTTTCCCTCCCTCCCAAGCACCCATATCCCCACCACCCACGATATCGACACCCACTTCCTTCGCAAGCCTCTCGACCTCCACCATCTCCTCCTCATCAACTTTTGCGCAGTCATGGCTACCCAACATCAGCCTACCCAACCCCAACACAGAAAACGATACTCACTACAACAAGCTCAAATGCGGTGTCCACACCCCCTCAACCCACTTCTCCACCTCCTCCTCCCCATCAATCTCCTGTCTACACACCCTCCCCAACATTTTCATGCCCCCATTCTTCTCGCACTTGACATATAATTTCCGGAAAAACACAGCCTCGCTGCCCAGACCCTCAAATTTGACTTGTACGTCCTTCCCAGCTGGGAGGGCGAGCCCGTCAAGCCATGTCTGGGGATCTGCTGCGTAGGTGGAAGGCGGGATGTCGGATGTTAGCGTGATGTGGGGAAGGAAGGTGTGCGGGGAGGCGAAGTGGGAGGAAGTTGATTTTATGAGGGAGGGGAGGAGGGTGTTGAGGGGGTGAGATGGTGGGGGGAGGAGCCAGAGGGAGGAACCAGGCATGTTTTTGGTCTGTTCTTCTCGTGGGCTGGTGATGTGGTGCGGTTGTTGTTGAAAGTGGTGGTGGTGTAGTGGGGCTAGTGGGACATGATCGTCGTGCTGCAGCGGGTTGTCTACGTCAAGTGTCGGGAACACGAACTTTGTTGGGGGATGTGGGTACTTGGAGATAGATAAGCGTGATTCAAATACATTAAGATACTTTATTACCTTCACGCTCTATTACTAAGTAGACTTCTAGTTCCAGCTCTATCCCATGGTCAGCCACACTGAGCTCGTGGATTTCGGCCCGGCTATTGGCCAGTTAGATCGCGTCGGCAAGTCGGTGTTTTGCCCTGCGTAGGCGCGTTCTTGGTGCAGAGTTTTGGTTTTGATGTTCTTGAGAGATGCGCTCTGCTGTTCTATTGGCCGAGATCCGCGGGTTGATTTCACCAGTTCATAGGATGATATAAAATTTCTCTTAATAACCTCTACAGCAACCCTTACTCCTGTACTACCCTTCTACCGCTATTATGCCTATCTCCAAGAAAGACAGAGTACGTCAACCCTTGCCTTACTAATCCTTGCGCCCTGACTAACAGTCTTATCCAGATCCAGCGCGAGCACAAAAAAGCTGACAAGGCTGGGACCCGCGCCCCCGTCAAGGCTAACGGGCTGCCTGTCAAGGCGCCGAAGCCGACGTCTATTGTACGTATCTGAACCATCGTCAAGATACTTGGCGTAGAAAGAGGTGCATGGCTGGCTGGTCAGCTAACAGGTGGGACGTAGTGCCAGAACTGCCGCCGCGAGATTGTTAACACGAACAAAGCCCAGCTTGAGGCCCACGCCTTGAGTCACGATCAGACATTGTGGCCAAAGGAGAAGTGCTGGCCAGGTGACTTTTCCTGAGGCGATGTAGGATTTGCGAAGTTGGGACAGTACGCGATAGTCTCTTAACAGATATCTACGAGGTTAGGGTTAGGGGCATGTCACACGTGCAAATGCATAATTGAAGATGTTTATGATGTTGCAAGATTCGATGTAACTAGAAGATGTGTATTCCATGTGCTCCAAGGAACGGGTATCTTGGAAATGAAAGAGAATCGACAAAGTGTAATCCAACGCCGTCGCAATGCTGTGCAAATGATGACATAAATCCCGCCGTATACCAGAATATCATGCAAGTTTCGTCATATGGTCCTTTCATCAGTTGTATGCCCTCATCTGCGTGTTTGACAAGCAGCGAACAAACATGTCGAGAAAGTCCAAAGAGCTGAGGGTCTTCAAGTCGAACCCTAGACATGATCACTCCCAAGTGTCCCAAGCGACCGTCTCCCCCAACTAGCCGTCCAACAGGCCAAGGTATTTCTCTACTTCGTCGTTGCCATAGAACATCTTTTGTAGTTTTTCATGCCTTTTCTTCTCGACCTTCGCCAGCTTCCGTATCTTCCCTGCCCCAAGCTTCAGGTCTTTAACTTGCGCAGCTGCGGTATCGCCAGTCCCTCTCGACCCATCCCCGCCCTTCTTCTCGATGCCCAAGCCCAGCCTATCCCTCTTCTCTTTCGGTACTAGGGGAAACAGCATGCCCTGTCCACTTGCACCTAGCCCTACCCGCGCATCCACATCGAAGCCATAGTTCTGCAGGTATTTCAATCCCATGCGCGTTCGATCTATTGAAGATGGTATGGGCGCTCGCGGCAGCACAGCTTGGTGTGCGGGACTCAGATAATGTATCCGCGGATCTGACTCTTTGACTGGTTCGCCGCATATTCCACAGAGAGGGAAGGCTTCGGGGCGTGGTTGTGGTTGGCCGTTGGGGAACATGATGGCGAGATATTTCTCCGCCATTGTACGGCCATCTGGGGTGGGTTTGGTCGTCGATGTGGGGAGGGTCGACGTCGCGGAGACGAATGAAACGGGTCGCTTCCAGAGACCGCGGCCGTAGGCGGGCTGGTCAACGAAGGGCGCTGTGGAGATATCGGCGTCGTCGCGGCGGGGGTCGTCTTCGTCGTACTCGTCGCGAGGGTTTGGTGTTGGCGTTGTCATGGTTTCAATTTTTACAGAGTATTGTAGGAAGATGGGTATAATTGGCTCAATGCTCGAGGTCGTTCTACGGCGGTGAAAAGAGCGACACCGCCGCAGGTACGTAGACGTTGAAGTGTCGGCGTTCTGGAAGCAATAGGCAGCGAGTGACTTCGCGCAATCACATGTCGATGACGCTACGCGGTGCAGATCACTTGGCAAAGCTACTTCCGTCCGCTGCTAAACTAAGGGTTGTACCACATACCGCGATGCCTGTCAACATCCTCGCCCAAGTGTTTAACGAAGGCTTAGGGTCTGTCCCTTACGGCTGGGAGATAGCAAAGGGTATATCTGTCTTCGCAGTGCTCTATTTGCTGAAATGGTTCTTCAATGGCGCCGTCAACGGTTCGGAGCGGAATATGCATTCCAAGGTGGTCATGGTGACAGTAAGTAGTTGAAACGAGACGGGTAGATGAGGGAGTGCTAACACCCAATCTAGGGAGGGACAGCTGGTATAGGCGCTGAAGTAGTCAAAGGCCTTGCCTCTCGTGGCGCACAGATTGTTCTCCTTGTCCAACAACCCCTCTCCGACCCCTTCCTCGTAGACTACATCGAAGACCTGCGATCCCAGACGAACAACGAACTCATCACCGCTGAGAATGTCGACCTCAACTCGCTTCACAGCATACGACTGTTCGCGACGAAATGGGTCGACAATGCACCACCGCGCCGTCTCGACATGATAATCCTGTGTGCAAACACAATGACACCATCTGGAGGCAAAGCAACAGTGACAGAAGACGGCCTAGAGTCAACATGGGGGTTGAACTACATGGCCAACTTCCACCTCCTGAGCATCCTCAGTCCCGCACTACGCGCCCAGCCGCCAGACCGAGACGTACGCATCATCTTTGGAACATGCAGTGCATACATGGCCGGTAAACTGCCAGACTTCGGCTCCAATCCAAGTGCAAAGAACGCGAAGAAGGACGCTGAGCAGATCGACTTCACACCCTCAACCGTCTATGCAACCTCCAAGCTCGCTGTCATGACCTTCGCCGTTGCTTTCCAGAAACACCTTTCCAACTACGCTCGCCCTGACAAAAAGCCAATGAATGCACGCGTCATCCTCGTCGACCCAGGCTGGACACGTACGCCCGGTATGCGCCGCTACCTCACCTTCGGCTCGCTCTGGGGCTTGATCATATACCTCATCATGTGGCCTGTATGGTGGCTGCTCCTGAAGAGCGCCGATCAAGGCGCGCAGACGTTCCTATACGCGGCTATGGAGGCGCAATGGGGAAGGGGCGAAGGAGGGTACTTCTTGAAGGAATGCAGAAAGGTTGACTGGGTACGGAAAGAGATCGCAGATGAGGGAGTGCAGAAGAAGCTCTGGGAGAGTAGTGAGAAGACGATCGAAGTGTTGGAGAAGGAAGCCGCGAAGAAGCGGGCGGCGGAGAAGAAGGAAGCGGAGAAGGCGGAGAAGAAGGATGGGAAGAGTACTGCGAAAGAGAGCAGTGGTGAGGCCAAGCAGAGGAAGGCAAAATAAAAAGCAAGCGGAGATGACTACTGTTGATGGGCTGTACAAATATCGCAGGCATGCAATGTGTTTAGAAGTGTTTGTTGTAGGGGTATCCCAGGGGTCAAGGCAAAACAACACACAAGCTCAGCGGAGAAAAAAAAGCACCAGGCAACAACTTGAACACGACAAAACAAGTAAAGAAATCAAGTCACATTGTTCCGCAGCATGAGACCACACGTTTCCGTACAACTCCACTCTCGCATCTCATTACGATTTACCGCGCCTAGCACGAATTGGCGGCACTCGGCCGCAGCTACTACATACATACACACACACATACACAAGAGATCTTTCTCCACCCACCGCTAATACGCCAAGAATCCGACAGAGTAGGACGAGGAGATCGGGAGCTGAAAAAAGCAAACACGGATGCTGCTACTACGACCCGCTACTCATATGGACCGAACATGGAAAGCTAGCTAATGCAACGAAAGTCGAAGCGGAAGAAGTCCAAAAAATCAAACACAGGAAGAAGAAAAAAAGGTTGGCTAATGAGAGGCTAGAATGTAGGGTGGTTTGGTATTTACAGGCTGAGGGTTGTGGGAGAGGAAGTCTTGGGGGTGAAAGACGGGGGGAGAGAGGTGTTTGACGCCGCCAAGGACGTCGGGTATCTGTAGTGACCGAATAGGAAGAGGCGAGGGGGGGGAGGGGAGTATAGCAAAAGGATGTGACAGGAGACGCTCGGCGCTAAGAAGACAAGCTCAAGGGCGAGCAGCGCACACGTGGAGAAAATAGGAGACCCGTCCGAGAGAGCAACTTTCCAGGGACGGCTCGTATGTATATGCAGTTTCCACCGAGGGAAAGGCGGGGGGGAGAGGGCGGGAGCATGGTCTCATGAAAGCTTTAGACTAACAGTTGCGTAAACTCATTTCTGGGCGCCCAAGTTGAGCCAGGACATGTCGCCCTGGTCCTTTGAGGGATCAGGGCCGGGAAACATGGTGACTGTGCTGTCGTGTCCTATTCGCGGAGGTGGGTAGAATGAGCCGCCAAACTGGGGACTCGGCAACCCACCATATGCGGTCGAAGGTGCATCAGGCCCCGGGAAAACAGTCACCGTGCTGCCACGGTCCTGGGGTTCACCGATACGTGGTGGCGCCGGGTACATGGAGCTGAACGTGCTCACGGGCGCCTGGCCAAGTGGCGACGCACCAGACGCTTTGCCTGATGGGAACATTGTGAATGTGCTATCCCGAGCGTCGGGAATCTCGAGCGAACCCTTCGACTGGTCAGGGTAGAAAGAGCTGACGTTGCTCTTAGGGTAGAAGGAATTCATGCCATTGTTGTATTGGTTGGGGTCGATGTGCATGCTGGCAGTGTATGTGCTGCTGGGTGGTCGTTCATGGCCGACTGGAGTCCAGCTCTCGACAGGTCTGCGGGAGTAGTGCTCATCGTTGTGGCTGAGACCAGATCTTACACTGCCATTCGAGTTGGCTCGTCCAAGCTCAGCTGACATTGGCTGGATCTGATGTGGGAGGGGTCCGTTTCCTAGGGTAGGACTTCCACTGGCCACACTGCTCAGGCGCTGGCTATCGGAAGGAAACTTGGGAATCTCTAGAGGGGGAGGAAGCTGTGATCGGTGTTGGCTGTATATACGGGAGTTTGTGTATTCTGACTGGCTTATTGTGCTTGTCCGGTCGGAGGCATATGTTGATCGGTCGGCTGGCATGTTAGCAAGGTTCGTGGCTTCATTGTTGGCGAAGTATTTGCTCCATCCAGAGCTACGAGCTCGGGCACTGACCGGGGCACCATGTGGCGTCCGGCTGGAATTTTGTCGTACGATGGGTTCAGGCTTCAGGTCAAACTTCGACAGCTCGACTGGCTGTGTGTACGCCAGCGGGCTAGACTGCTTGACCAGACCTGCTGTGCTGGCATCGCTTGCCATGTTCTTCTTGTGATTGCCTGCTCCTCGTCCCTGCATGATAGCCAACGAGGAGTGGGAATCGTTGTTCAAAGTGTAGTTGTGGGATATTACTGATCCGCCGGCTTCTTTCATAAACTCGGCCCCACGGTCAGCGAAGCTAAGACGGTCCTTGTCCTTCTCCGCGGATCCTGGTTGCTGGCTTTGCTTCCTCTTGTTCTTCCTGAACTTGAGAAATAGGAGGAGTAGAACCAAGATTGCTGCAATACCAAAGATAGTGCCAAGTGTCGCTCCGAGGACAGTCAACATCCTGGATTTGTTATCGGGAGCAGCCGCTGCGGCTGCTCCACTAGAAGCTGTGGCACTAGCCGTTGATGTTGGAGTCGACGAAGATATGCTTGACGTAACCGAGTCTGTGAGGATCTGCTGTCCATCAAACATGGCAGTAGCATTGACCCAGGAATTCGCCTTTGCGTTGAAAATGACAAGCGGTTCGGTCTCGTTTCCTCCACTCGCAACGGTCATGCCATCGTCGCCTTGCGCAAGAGAGTAGCCCGATCTCTGTGACATCGGGGCAAGGGTCGAGTTGTAGTCTGGCCAGTTCGATACTGTAAAACGTTTTGCCTTGTCGCCGATAGTCGTTCCGGTGGCAGCGGCTTTTCCGTCTTTGCCCAAAAGCACAATACGCTCGATCTCGTTGGGCGAGACGCTCATATCGAACTTTTCCAGAACTTTCATGCCGTTGGATCCGGTAACCACAGTGCACTGGACATGCTCCTGACTCACGATGGGCTGCTCAAGAGTTACGCCCATGTTCGTCCATCCTTCATCTTCGCTAAACTTCCACACGGCAGTGTTTGTCGCACCACCGCCGACCATCACCGCCGAACTGGAATCCGACGAAAGCAACAAGGGGTCTACGGCGGGAGGTGCGCCATTCGATGGTAAGCTTTCAACCAAGTAAGGTGATACGGTGGAGAAGAGGAACGATTGGGTGGAAGGTGCAACGTCTCCAGTTGTTTGTGATCCCGCGTAGACCAGAATCTTCTTCGAGTCTTGGATGTAGACGGCGCCATGGTTCTGGCGGTTTTGTGTGTTCCAGCTTTCGGCACGAACCCAATCCCACTTCTTCTGGGAGAACGAGTAGTGCATCAGTCCGGGGTAATTCCATGTCGAGGCTGTCGCATTGACAACTCCTCCAACAATGTAAAGCCTAGCATCGTCATCTTTACTTCCTGCAGCCTTGACGCATTGCGCGCCCGTCAACGATATGTCCATAGGCAATGCCTTCCATTCTGCCCCCTCTTCAAGTTTCAACGATTGGAAGCCAGTTGGCGAATACACATATAGCGTTTCGTCGTGGATGACCGAGCAATGCCCGCTCAACGAGTACTTGGGTTCCGGAGTGCCCATGATGGCGAAAGATTGTGTGATATATCCAATGGATGAGCGAGTGTGTGGAGACCTGAGTTCAAGCTCAAGGTATCTAGAAGACCAATTGACAGACGACTATTGTTCCAGAAAAATGCTCATGACGGAGGGGAAACTAGTGGATGGTGTCTGGGAATAAGCGCAAATGGAGGTTGGATCGAGAAGGGCAGGAACGAATGGACGTGGACTGGTCGCGTCCACAGACTTGTGAGGAAGGTGGGCTACAGTGAAGAGCAGTGTTAGTGTTGGCATAGAGCCTGGTAACGCGCTAGACGTACTCGAGGCGAAGACAAGTATCGAGCGTGATGGCGACGGTGGTGCTGGACCCGCTATAGAATGGAGACGGGGAGGCTGGAGTGACAGAGCGGTCCTCTGTCAAAGAGGCGTGAGGCGGTAGAGGGGCAGGGCAAAAAGAGAGGAAGCAGCACAGCACAGCGGTGAGCAAGAATTGATGCCGTTCAATCAAGGCTATCCAAACACTCGTCGGCGGCGACTGGGAAAGACAGCGAGCGTGGGCGAAGGAGAGTTTCGACAGCGCAGGCTACTCGAGGTCCGCCCGTGGTCGCACAAGGGGCTGGCTTGGGACGGGCGTGGGCTAAGCGGCGACCTGAGACTGGGAGCGGACCATGCACACGAATCTGTCAGGGGCAAGGCCAATGACAGGCCGATGCAGATCGGGGCTAACCACACAGACGGGGCTCTACGCTTAGCTCGCGTACCTTGCAGCGAACAGACAAGCCATTGTCGGAACACTGGCATGCCCGCCTCGTTGTGACTGGCGGCCCGATGGACCTGGTGAAATGTGCCAGCTGATGCGGGGTCAACGGCGTGCGATAGTCGACGCCGTCGCCACGCCTGCAGGTAAACAAACGACCAAGTCACTGCTGCATGTCGCCCGACGTACATGTACTGGCCTTCGCACCCGAGACTGCCAAATGAAATTGAAACCCCGACAGGACCACAGCAGCAAGGTTCACCATCATTTCCCGCTCCTTCTACACCGCAAGTGGGTACGAATCAAGCAGACCGCCTGCGCCTGCCTCTCTGGACGCGCCTTGCCGTCACGGGTATGGAGCCGAGCAGCACCCTGATCCCACGTAGAAGATTCCTTTGTTATGCACCGACCGACCTGTCTGTGCTAGCCATCGCTCCTCAGCACACATGCAGTAGTGTGACCCGAAGCATCGCACACTGGCCATGTGTGTGGGCGAACTTTCCGGCAACCATAGACGCCTTCGATTGTTTGTTCCCGATTCGTGCTACCTACTTGCTGAACGTCCAGCATGGCGCATTGCCGCTCGTCAACACCTTCCCGAAGCTAGGACACCCATCACACCCCCCAGCACAGCGATTCGCCGAGGGTGAGCGTGACGGCATTATCGTGATTTTGAGGCGCGCGCTCAGCTCGAGTGACCTGTGGATCTACCAATCCACTCGACCAACGCATGAAACAGAATCGACTGACCAAGCCTTACTCATCTCTGAACACAACGGCTCCCACGACCACACTTCCCGAAACTCTGCAGAAGCAGAACATATTTGCTTTCAAAAACATAGTTGGGCGTCAAGTAAGGTGCTTGCACCCCGAACACATTCGTGTGGATACCTCTACCCCATAGAAAATCTATCAGCCAGCGACATGCAAGATCATCCCATCTGTGTGCGACTATCGCTATGAAAGCCCGACTCGCCTCGACGATCAAACGGTTATTTCCGTGTTGACGAAGCTTGGGATCCAAGTGATAACCCATAGATCCACAACAAATATGCAGTTTGTGTTGGCCAACCGCATCCGCAGACGGATACCTTCAAGGTTACATTCGTACATGTATCCGCCTGTTCTTTCTACGGGGTAGCTTGCTATTCAGACGAGTCTTGTGCTATCCTTTTTCTAGGTGTTACTACCCAGGTAACCGATATAGCCAAGCCTGGTGTCATTCCTCCAAGTTTATGCGCCCAGACAAGTCACTGAAGAACGAGCTACCGAGGCGATGTGCAGTGCTAGTTTATGTGCTTGAGCGAGGATGCAAGACATGACTGGACCATCAAACATAGCCTTTGTACTCCAACCACTGTTCGTCCAATGGTGAGTCACAGTCAGAAGTCTACTAGGTAGTCTCTACGCAATGGCCAAAATAGTTAGCCCTCAATCTAACCACTTGGAACTCCAGTAGTTCAATCAGCAGTAAGCACGTCATCTACCCAGGACAAAGGTAGACATCGGTACCGCTAATCAGTCCGGCATTCTCCCACCGTTACCACTAGAAACAAATTCGCCTAACGCGTATGTTACACAACCAAGGTCCCTCTACCACATATTACGATGATAGAACGACGGCTTGGAGAAAGTAGTTCATGAGTACACTTTCTGTCTTCCTCAAACTTTACCACCACACCAACAATCATTCACTGCCAACACCAAGATCTCGAACACAACCCACTAGACCCAACCAGACCAACGAAAACCACACGCCCTGCAGCTGACATGCAGTACAACAACAAAGCCCAGCTTGAAATGCAAACGGCGTGTCCGTATACATATTTAGTTTTTGGCCCTGCTGCGCCTCCCGAACACGAGCACGAACACGGCCACCACGACCGCCACCGCCACCATCGAGCTGACAGATCTAGACATGTCACTATCTCCTTGGGGAAACCTCAGTGCTGTCAAGGACTATTTTCCCATCCCGCGACCGATCAACACTCGTTGATCCCGCCATGTCCGTGCCTGACGGGCACGCCACCTACGGCACGAAAAATCTCCGAACGAGCATCGTGCTGCTGCGAAAAGAAGGAATGCACACTGGCTGACGCCTCGAGTAGATTACCATGTCGTGTGGACTTGTGTTGCTAGGTATAACCAACTCTTTCCATTCATAAGATATAAAACACAACGAGCCGCGCGTCATCCATACCCATTGCCCATCCCCATCCCCAACCCTGACTTGATACAAACGCACGGCCAACCCCAAACACCCTCCTCCTCGCAAGCCATCTCCTCGTACCAGACATCCCCGCATCAATCCCGGCAAAAGCATTTCGTCCTTGAAAATCTACATCTGCACGCAATAGACGCATACGCAGACGCGCACCCACGACCCCATAACGCGTTGCCTAGCGTCGAGGGCGGGCCCTGCTGGCTGGCAGTACCTACCTAGGTGTAGGTGAAACAGTCCCTGTCGTGGTTCGACAGGCCAATTCGTGCGACTCGTGCGGCTCGCTTGCTTGTTAAACGTCTCGTCTATATCTGAGTGCGGGAGAATTGGTTTCGGCTCCTCCTTTGTGCGACACTCGGCTCTCCACTAGGGAGGTCGGTCATATCTGAATATATGTGAAGAGAATGCGTTGCGAACGTCTTCATGATCAACATTTGTGGCATGCTGCTCGCATTGGAGCGGACAGAATATAGATCAAATGCAGGTTATTGAATAGTTCACATAAGGTAGACGAGCGCGACGCTTAAGAAGACAATGGTAATAAGTTGGAACTGGCATGTCTTTTCATTCATTTACATCGCAGGCTATCTGCTTTTCATATGGCGCATTGCCAGATTCGTAAGCTCTTCATAAGCTCTTCATAAGCATAATGATGATATCCCAACGTCTCGACGACTGGAGGGAACAACCCAGTTCTGCAGTAAAAGGCTTGGAACCACCTATGCCTTCGCCGCACCAGCCTTGATGAGCAGGATGTCACCGTCCTCGACAACGTATTCCTTGCCCTTGGTCATGATTTTGCCCTTCGCCTTAACACCTGCTTCGTCTCCCTCCTCCTTCAGCACGTTGTAGTTATACACGATAGCTTGGATGAAGGTCTTTTCAAAGTCACCGTGAATGACACCAGCGGCTTGTGGTGCCTTGGTGCCGTTCCGTATCGTCCATTGCCTGACCTCATCTGTACCAGTTGTGAAGAAGCTGCCAAGGTCAAGGGCCTTGCGCATCGTGAGGACAACCTTGGGAAGCGCAGACCTTGTTCCAAGGGTTTTGCACTCCTCAGCTACCTCTGCGTCGGACAAAGCTGCAAGACGCTCTTCGAACTGCACAGAGATGGGGATGATTGGGTCGCCAGTGGCATTCTCCTTGACCCATTGAGCGATCTTGGGCAGGTGCTTGTTCTTCTGGCGAATGTAATCCTTCTCGCTAAGGTTGACAAGGAAGACAACAGGCTTGGCAGAAAGGAGCCAGAGGGGGTTGATGTGTTCGACCTAGCGATCCGTAAGCAGAGATTCGCAAAGCAACTCTGGTATAAAATGAAGTGGATGCGAGTTAATCAGAAAATGGACGTCTTTTCAGAACGTTCCGGCGTTACGGGAACATCAAAGAGCTGGGATTATAGAGCAATCGCTCTTTGTCATCTTGTAACAGGAAGGGGAGTGCGAGAGAAGAGCATGTACATACCTCCTTTGGCGACCAGTTGTTCTTTCGGACATCTTTGCCGTCCTTGAGCATGGCGAGAACCTTCTCGACGGTGGCTTGTTCTTCCTTCAGCTTCTTCATCTCCAAGCTCTGGCCACCTCTCCGTGTCTCCTTGACAAGCTTCTCGAGGGACTTCTCGGTGAACTCGATATCCTTGAGGCGCAATTCCTCGGCGATGATGTCCAAGTCACGGATTGGGTCGACATCGCCCTCCACGTGAATGATCTCAGCATCGTCAAAGCATCGAACGACCTGGAAGATAGCATCGACAGCCCGGATGTGCGACAAGAAAGCGTTTCCAAGACCAGCACCAGTAGAAGCACCACGCGTGAGACCAGCAATGTCGTAGACAGTCAAGTTGGCAGGCACGACTGACTTGGGCTTATACATGTCGCACAGGAAGTCGAATCGGTCATCAGGGACGATGACGCGAGCCTCTTCTGGGTCGATGGTGGCATAGGGAAAGTTCTACAGAGATCAGCGCAAACCTTGCATGGGAATGCAAAGGCAACTTACGGCAGGATTGCCCAGAGAGCACTTGGTGATAGCCTGGAAGAGAGTCGATTTACCGACGTTCGCTAGGCCAACCTGGCGATTACTGTTAGACAATGTGAGAACGTGACAATTGACAGCAGCGCAGGGCTCTCACTCACGATGCCGCTCTTCAGGCTGTTACCCGGCCGTCCGAGAAGGACCTTCTCCTCCTTGACGGCTTTCTTGGGAGGCATCTTCTTCTTTTTTGCGCTCGCGTAAGTGCGAACTGTGGTGTGGGTGATGCAAAAACTCTGCGTTTGCAGAGAGAAGCGGAATGAAGTAGAAAACGGGCTAGCAGTGCTTGCTGCTTGACGGCAAAGAGTGGGTATCAAAGAAGAGAAAGAAAAGGTGAGAGAATTGGCGGGGGGCGTGATGAAGGAGGGGCGGAGAGATGACTGCGCAGCCAGCTCTCCAGTCAATTCCTTGGTTGGTTGTGGGTGCAGAATTTTGGCTGGATCTGCTGCAAGTCGATTTTTGAGGTAAGCCGCCGCGCTAAGCTAGCGTGCCGAGAACGGAAGCTGCGCGACCAGGGTCATCTGAGAGCCCGGCTATGATGTCGTTGCCCATTCACATCTCAACACCTCACCTTGGTCTCGCCTCGTTCGCTCTAAGATACCCTTGAAGAGCCAGTCTCGCTCTCTCATCTTTACTCCCTCATACCCCCTCATCTCCTCCAAGCGTTCCAGCGCATCCGTTTCCAAGCTTTATGATCCTCTAATACCCTGTCCCACTGCGACACACGATACTGAACGCAGCACCTGGTACAGCAGCTTGACCTGTTTACACAACCTCGCGCAGAATGTCTTCTTCTACCCGCCCAAAGCCGTCCCGCAAAAGTTCGGGAAACCATCGCAGTACACTATCACTACAGAAGACGAACATCACCATAAACGTCTACGACCTCCTTCCCCCCGGCAAAGTTGCGACAGTATTATGGACAATCGGCAGCTCTCTCCTACACACTGGTGTTGTTATTGGCGACAAAGAATACGCATATGGTGGCCATGACCGGCGGGACCTGACTGGCGTGTATTGGACAAAGCCAGGACAGGAGCCGGTAGGCGGAACCTTCAGGCAAGCAGTACTACACGGCTTCGCATTTCGGTCGCCGGAAGAGATGGAGGAGATTATACAAGAGGTATGGCACTGCGCAGTTTGCGCGCGCCGAGCTAACAAGTGCCAGGCCTCTAAACAATTCCAAGGAACCTCATACAATCTGCTCACTAAGAACTGCAACCACTTCACTTCCTACCTCTGCGAGAAACTCACCGGCCACGCCGCTCCGGCCTGGATAAATCGCGCTGCTAGTATAGGCGTAGCTCTCCCATGCGTTGTGCCACGGGAATGGATTGATCCACCGGATTATGATACTGCGGATGGAGAGCTCCTTGACGAGGACTTCGAAGACGAAAGAGCGTCTATGCTACAGCACGATCGGCAAAGACGTCAGCGTGCAGCTGCAGACGAGGCAGATTGGGAAGACGCGAGCTCTTCTGGTGGCAGTGGTCGAGGTGAGCAAGGAGGCGCAAGAGGGAATCCTCGGTATACGTCCAAACCTAATGTACCCCGGTTGGTCGACGTCAAAGAAACCGACAGCAGTGGTAGGACGCTGCCGACAGCGGAGAGAGCGCCATTGCCAAAGAATCTGAAATGACTTGCCGCACATTGACATTACATCTCATTCGTCAATATGTACGAATTGTCGCATCGCACATGCTCCTATGCTGACATGTGTTCCAAAATATCCATACACCTGATGATGCCATATTTTACAAACAAGCTGAAGTCCCACTCGCAATTGATTCAACCCAATCTCCTCGGCTTTTTGCTCCTCGTACCACCAAACTTCAGCCTCGTTGAATCCGACAACTTCACAATCAGCGGCCTAATTTTCCTCCCCTCAGTACCCAGTATCGCCTTCGTAACCGCTTCCCTCCCTGACCCGAACCCCCGATAGATCAGTTCTAGCTTCTGAATCTGCGGCAGCAAGCCCTTGTCCTGGATTCTGCTCATGACAAACGCCGCAAGCTGGTACCCAGCATCATACGTCCCTCTTCCAGCCTTCCTGAAGCCAATATTCCCGCATGAGACCGAGATCAGCGCATCGCGTTTCGGGTTCGCAAGTGTGATGTGCGTGTTGTGCTTGTGCGAGTATATGTGCAGCTTGTGACGGTCGTCTTCGGCCCAGTCCTTGATAGCCAGGTTGCGCATGCCGCCGCTCTGGCCGGGGATCAGGTTCGAGAAGTAGTCTGGCGAGGCTTGCATGAAGTTCTGGTCCACATTGCTGAGCATCGAGTCGAGATTCAGTGGCGCCTTGGCCTGCTTGGATCCGAATGGGGGAGCCAACGTGCGGGTCGACTGCGAGAAGGGTCGGAGGGATTGTGTGTGGAAGCAGGAGGCGCAGATGGTCGACTTGAGAGAGCGGAAGGCGCCGAGGCCGGTTTTGCTGGCCATGTTGACGGTAGAACTGGTGATGGTCCCCCAGCTGAGGCTCAGAGGGCTGGTCGAAGGCGAGGGGAAGTCGTCGTTGCGAAGTTGACGATGAGCGTCAGAAGAATTGGTCCGAGCGTCTAAAGAATTGGATGGATTGCTCTTTCCTCGCCGCGGCAAATCCTCGACACGACGTCTTCTTGACCTGGTTCATTCCCGTCCTGGTTTCATAAATCTACTTTTACTAATTGCAAGAGCATGAGGCCTCCAACATCAAGCACATTCGCCGCCAGGGCACGTTGCGGCAGCACACAATCGGCCGCCGCATTACCTTTGAGCGCACGAACAGCTGCATACAGACAGTTATCCACAGCGTCTTCCATCTCGCGGCAACCAGCGATACACACATCCCTCCCTTTGAAAACCTCACTACCATCCCCATTCCAGTACCTGCGGAGTGAATTCCTGCCGCAGGACATCCTCTTCCGCACTTCCTCCGCATATGCCCGCCACTTTTCCTCCCAGACCGCATTACGTCAGCAGGCACAGAAGAAGAAGAAGAAGGCTGTAGCAGAGGAGCCTGAGCCACCACGGGAACCCAAGGAATCTCCGACTTCGGAGCAGGCAGCCGGTGACAAGGCCAAGGAGGAAGGGCAGAACGGGGAAAAGAAGGCTGGCGAGGAAGAGGCCGGCGACAAGAAGGAAGGCGAGGAGGGTGAAAAGAAAGAAAAGAAGGACGCCCCACCACCTCCACCCCATGGCGACAAGACTCCCTGGCAGGTCTTCACCGAGACTCTGCAGCAAGAATTCCAAGCCTCCAAGGAGTGGAACGACTCTACAAAGCAGCTGTCCGGCTCGGTGCACGACTTCACTCAGAACCCCGCTGTTCAAAAGGCTCGCCAGGTCACAGATGAGGCTAAGACAAAGACTGCAGAGGCACTCAAGGCAACGGGGCGGGCTGTCGGTCAAGGCGCAGCATGGACGTGGGACACAATGCCGGTCAAGGGTGTTCGAGCAGCCGCTAGAGTTACTGGAACTGGGCTCGAATATGCGACTCGACCAGTGCGAGAGACAAAGGCATTCAAGGCCGTTCAGGAGACTATCGATGACGGAAGCTCGTCGCGATATGGAGGCTGGACAGAAAAAGAGGAACGCAGGAAGAGGAGGGAGCTGAGAGAGCTCAACGAACTAGAGCGGACTGGGGGTAAGCCCTCTGGGCCCTTGGTCGAAGATCCGGAGTACGATTGCCTTTCGAAGCTTTGAATTGCGCATTACTAACTGAAATCAGGGCCGGCACGAACGTCACCCTCCACAAGGACGCCAAATACAAGGAGATCTGGCGGGAATGGAAGGATACCTCCAAACTCGCCCAGGGCTTCTTCAGTATGAAATCCGTCTACAACGAATCCGACAATGCCCTCATTTCAACCGCCCGCAGCATCTCCGATCGCATCTCCGGCTTCTTCGCCGAGAATGAGACAGCTTTGGTCATTAAGAAGTTCCGGGAGATGGACCCCAACTTCCAGATGGAGCCCTTCCTGACTGAAATGCGCGAGTACATCCTTCCCGAAGTCCTGGACGCCTACGTCAAGGGCGACATCGAAGTGCTGAAGCAGTGGCTGTCGGCAGCACAGTACTCTGTCTACGCGGCGCTGATGCAGCAGTACCAGGCTGCTGGCCTCAAATCTGACGGAAAGATTGTTGATATTCGTGGTGTGGATGTCCTGAACGCCAAGCTGCTTGAGCCTGGGGAGATCCCCGTTTTCATCCTCACGTGCAGGACACAGGAGGTGCACGTCTACAAAAACGCCAAGTCGGGCGAGTTGGCTTCGGGCATGGACGACAAGGTGCAGCAGGTCACATACGCCATCGGTGTGACGCGGATACCAGAGGATGTCAACAACCCTGAGACCAGGGGTTGGAGACTGATTGAACTCCAGAAGAGCGCCAGGGACTACTACTGATCGATTCACACCATCGCGCTCCAATTGTACCAACAAATGTTTTCCACGAATTTTTGCGTTACCGGATTGCTTCTACACACGGCATCTACTGGCGTCTAAAAAGTTCTTTTCCGGAACTTTAACTTGTTCCAACTTTCGACTGTTTTACCATACTCCCCTTTTTATGAGCCAAGGGATGATCTTGCCTCTCGTTTTGGAAGTGACTAGACGGACGCTGTGGTCGGAAAGGACTGGCGTTCGACATGATGCTGCACTTCCCCACTCTGTATGTATAGTATGTAGATGTTTTGAAGAGGATGTGTGGGCTGGAGAGGTGTGAGACCTGGGTTGTATATGATTCATGTGTTAGACGAAGTACGTGTAAAGAAGAGAAGGTGGAATGGAAATGGCATGATCAGTACGCAGTACTGTCATGTTTTCCCTATCTTTGTGCACCTATGCCAACTATTGGTAATACATCTGCCAGATACGACCAAACCATCAAGACTCGCAATCTTTTCCCTTTGCAATTTTCTTCCTCCAAGGCTTCAAGCCAAGTTTATCATCTGCACCAAACTGACCAAACATGACACTTTGTCCAGCCGAGGCATTGCAGTTACGTTCCGAAAAACTGGTCCGAGCGCCGTTTTCTTTGCAGTGATATCGTGTTCACCGACTCACGCAAGACTTTCTAGCGGCCCAGATCTCTTTGCTAGCATGGCTTCCGCAAGATTCGCCTTATCGAGACATGTGGGCCTCTGTCTTGCGAAAAGGAGCATTGCGCCGCTCCGGCGCGATGTCGGCGGGTTCCGTATAAAAGAGTCTGGAGTTCCGAGATGGAGAGGAGAGACACGGATAACTGGACAGATACGGTGGCAGAGTAGTGCTTGTGAGTCTTGATAATCCTGTACTGTAGTTTGGAGAGCGATATATCTAACAACCGTTAAAGCATCAAATCCCCAAACTACCATACCACCACCACCACCGAAACCAGATACCAAACGCCCCCTCTACATTCGACTCCCTCTCGCCCTCGCCCTCACCTTCGTCACCTTCGTAGCAGGCTTCACCATGGCCGGCGCCCCCGCCCTCGAGTCCCTCCGCGACATTGCGAACCCGCCCACCGACGCCGAAACACTCACCCTCTTCACGCCCCCGACCGACGAGATCGCCGCAATCGAAGCCGCAATCTTCGCGCACCCGCTCACAAAATCCCTACTCGCAGACAACAAATACATCGCCTCGCGCCCGCACCTCAAGATCCCCGAGCCATTAAAAGCGCAAAACCTGACAGGCGGCACGCTCCTGGGGCCTGACAAGATCGCCGTCCCACCACTGCAGTTCTCCACCGAAGACGGGAGCAAATTCGTCAGCATACAGTACCTGGGCACGGCGCTGTGCGGACACCCCGGTATCGTGCATGGCGGGCTCCTTGCTACATTGCTTGACGAAGGGCTCGCGCGGTGCTGCTTCCCTGCGCTCCCGAATAAGGTTGCTGTTACGGCGAGCTTGAAGATCGATTACAAGGCGCCGTGTATGGCGGGGCAGGTCGTTGTGTTGCGGGCTGAGACAACAAAGGTCGAGGGCAGGAAGGCGTGGGTCAAGGGCCGGTTGGAGACGCTGGTCGATGAGAGTCAGGGGGAGAAACCGATTGTGCTTACCGAGGGGGAGGCATTGTTTATTGAGCCAAGGCAGGCGCAACACTTGAAGAGGGTTGTGGTTTAGGGGTTGTTATGTGGTGGGGGAGTAAGGCATAAAATGGCGTATTTGGAGTTAATCGTGCAGTGGTGGCAGATCTTGATGGGCTTAGAATCGGGTCGTGGAATCGGTTATGTGTCTTGTATTTTTGGTTTGGGCGGACATATAGACGGAACGGTTTTGTGACTGGACTGTAAACGTATGTGTCTGGATTCTACGTGTGGTTTACGTTGATTCAATGATGGAAAGAAAGAATGCAGTGACGAATACAACGCATCAACTCACCATATTGTGCCACTACACCATCAGTTGTCACCACATAAAGACGAGTTCTTTTGTACTGAAGAAGTATTGCAGCGCGAAGGCATGGTGAAAACCCTCGAGTTCCTTTTGATCGAGTCTAAAGCGAACCTAAATGGAAACTGTTCTGTTCCGTGACTGGACGCCGCGTGAGTGTTTCGGATCGACAACGGCTTTGAAACTTGAATCCCGGGACTTCATTCTGGGAAGGACTCGCGACAACCCTCTCTAGCTGTTTAAAAATTAGTTGTAGGTCAGTGCAATTCGAGAGATATAAAGGAGACCAGTGACGTTCGTTGAGCTCAGATGAGGAACGTAATGAACAGCAAATCCTGTGGTAGACTACCAGATATATGCCACAGCGACCGACAATCACGTATCGTGAGTGCGATGCTCAGAGAATTGAAAATTGGGTAGCCAACCAAACTTCCATCATGACTCACAATTTGGTTATCAAATGATTCACTTGCACGGCTATACTCAGGATGAAATCTCACAGCTGCTCTCACTTCGCACGTCTCTTTAGACATCAGTACCGATCGACTTCCTGCTTCACGTTGTCGGATCGCCATCCTCTATCTGAAGAAGTGAGTAACGCAATCTTGTTTGAGACAGCCAGTTTCTCAACGAACCGTCTTTAGAGCCTAGGAGGTTTCCCAAGACAGATGGCATATTTCCCACCACCAGATTTCCAAAACAAGTCAGACGGTACTTCAGCAGAAGCCGAGGATCTGCGCAGTCCCGACCCGTCGTCTGAAGAAGCGCTGGTAAGTCCTGAGTGTACACTCTTAGTCACAAGCAGCAGCTTATACAAACCCAGGACGAAAACCCCACGACGCAAGACAAACCCAAAGCGCCCAAGCAACTCCAATACGTGAGGCTATCCCCATTGAACGCCCGCATGTTCACCTGGTCGAACGATCCCGACGATCTATCTCTAGATACATACTTCAACCCCTTGAAGCCGAACCTCCCCGATGAATACAACATCCAAGGCCTCCTCCCCGTTCTCCGCGAGCCCAAGGGTGCACAGCGGTTCCTCCTACGAGACGCCAGAGATCGATTCTACCTCTTCGACGAATTCGAGGGGGAGCTGTGGTGGGTGAAGTTCAGACCCGGGGAGGAGACTGAGTGCTTGGAGGAGGTGTGGGAGAAGTGCATGTGGATTCTGGGAGAGGTGTCGATGTGTAATGTTTGTTCGGAGGCGGTGTTTTGGGACTATAATCCTGCTGATGATGTGGGGAAAGCGGGGTATTATGAGTGTGGGTATGCTTTCTCTTCTATGTCGCATGGGGAGAGGGTTTAGGTGGCTTGCTGGGTTGGGGTTGAGGAGGGGGGAGGGGGGTTGGATACAATGTATCTTGTCATGCGTCAGTTGATAGGGTGGGAAACCGGCAGGGAGTGAATATACAGCACTCGACCAACTAATCTCAAGAATTTTTTGATTCTACAAGTCGAAAGACACTTCAAAAAGTCGAACATTCCCTGAAAAACAGCGATATTGTGACTAGCTCCTCAATCGACCACATTTGAAGTCCAGAAGACGTCCCCACAGCATGGTCGAGACGGTACAAGGGCTGTGGAAGATTTTAGCGAGTCCAATGGCAATGTGAACCCTGACGACCCACTGTTTTTTCTCCTTCCCCAAGTTACTCACCGTGACTACCCCTCATAGAATAGACAGGACATCGCTTTTTGGTGCTTGCAATGCCGATACCAGATTGAGTTGCAAGTTAAATCTACTTGACCTGACCATCCAACCCCACGTCGGCAACAGACGCGCCACCACTTCTGCACCATGCCAGAATATCTTGTCAGGCTCGCGCAAGCGCACGAGAGTTTTCGGAAAGCTGAACTGCGGGCTTTGGCTAATCTAGCTGGGGTTGCTTTGGAGTTTGTTAGGTATGAAGAAGATGTAGGTGCACTCCTTGATTTCAGTCAATAATACTTCACAAACTTCTCAGTCGCATTTTTTATTTCTACATTTTTGCGTCACTTTCGTTTTTTTCCCTAACTTTCTTAGTCTCCATACTGTTTGGTCCGTCTACCCTCCGACTCGGCAGCACGAGAGGTCATCACCCGCAGTATATTATCACAAGGTATCTACGAGCTGTGGGGTCAAGGCTCGACGTATGATGCACTTCATCAATCGATCCGTGACACGTCAGCTTCCAAATGGCCACAGTACAGCTCTGGTTCGTTCCGCTTCACAGTGGAGGGGTTTCGTGGGGGGCATTCTACCGCTGATCAGCGCGCCATTATCGATTCCTTTTCTTACCTTGGATTCAAAGGACCGCCACGGATGCGGGACCCCGATGCTTCATTCCGCGTCTTCGAAGACTACGATTTAGATGTGTCTGAAGCAAAGTACATGTACTTTGGAAGACTTGTTGCAGAGTCGAAACGCAACGATGCCAAGAAAACGTACGATCTGAAGAAGAGGCACTATATTAGCACTACTTCCATGGACGCTGAACTGGCCCTCTTGACAGCAAATATCGCACATGCGGCACCCGGCAAGCTATTCTACGATCCTTTCATGGGCACTGGTGGTTTCCCTGTGGCGTGCGCTCACTTCGGGGCCGTCGTATGTGGAAGTGACATCGACGGCCGTGCTATTCGAGGCACAGGAGGTAGTGCCAGGAGAGGGCAAACCGGCAAAAAAGACGTTGTTGGCAACTTCAAGCAGTACGGCATGGAGGCCCAATACCTCGGTGGCTTTGTCTCGGACCTGACGAATACACCACTACGGATACTGCCGCGCGACAACGATTACACAACCGGCTACCTGGACGGCATCGTCTGCGACCCACCGTACGGTATCCGCGAAGGCCTCAAAGTCCTTGGTACTCGCGATGGGCTCGGCGACTCGCGCAAGAAAACGCATGAGGATAAATATAAGGAACCGGGGTACATTCCGCCCAAGAAGCCGTACTCGTTCACGGCGCTTCTTGACGATATTCTGGCTTTCGCTGTCGCTACCCTTGTTGAGGATGCGCGGCTCAGCATGTGGATGCCGACGGCAAATGACGAGGATATCGAGCTGATCATACCCAGCCATCCTTGTCTTGAACTCGAATCGGTCTGCGTACAAGCTTTCAATAAGTGGTCACGAAGGCTGCTGACGTATCGACGGCTGCGCGAATCTGAGATACCGGAGGGTTCACTGGAGGCTGTGAAGAGGGAGTATGAGAAGGGAAAGAGGGCTAGCGAGCTGAACGATTTCCGCAGGAAGTACTTTGAGGGCTTTAGGGAATTCGAGACGATGAAGAAGGAGTTTATCAGGATGAAGACGGACGATGGGACTAACGGGAAGTTGTCCGATCCTTCAACTGAGGGCAAGACAGAGGATATACATTTGGAATGATGCTTGTCTGGGGTGTAATCGCCTGAGCGTATTGTCACTACTTTCCAACTGGCGAGCAAACGACCACGCTCGAACTCAACGTCTCGACTGTGCTTCCAATCGAGTCACATCTGTTGAAGAAGGTGTAACACAATTTCAAGTGATTCGACTCGCCAACCTCGTATACCCGATGCGTTTGAACGCAATTCAAGAGCAATGGCGTTGATGAAGGTCATATTCGAAGACCAAAGAAGAGTATCTGGACGACGCGTATCACACCTGTGACGTCAGGGTCAAGAGTCATAAGATACGATGGTTGGAAGACCCGAATCACGAATATAGTGACAGACAGTGGTGGTTGCTGAAGTTCATGTTCACTCAAAACGAAGTCATGAGGCAAGACGAACAGAATCCATAACAGCGATAGAAGAATCGAAAAGCCATGAATTCGATGGTGGGTGCATGTAAGACGTGATGTGTTTCTCGATTGTGTATGAAAGAAAAGTCATGTCAGCAACGACGATGCTGTGAAGGAAGTCTGGCGGAGGTGTCTGTGCTCACCTCCGAGACGCCGAAGTTTTTGGGCATGTCATGCAAGTGCGTGCTGCTACCAGACGCCCCGCGAATCATGTACCTGTTGGCCTGGCGGATACGAACAGTCGAAAGGACATCGAATTAACAAGACAGGTCACTTCTTGGTCGCCAGGAGTGAGCGGGCGCGGGGCACACAATGTCCCTCTTACGACCCACGGGCGTCGCACTCGCGCGGCGATTCTGTACCTCCGCACACGTCGAGCAAGCCCCACGGTCGCGCATACTCTCGCTGATACAGTCACACGGCACACGGCGGATGCAATGTCGCGCCTTCAGTCACACCTCCCGCTTCTCCGCCAAAGTCATAGACCCGCCACAGAACCCCACGAACCCAAAGCACCAGAAGCGCACCGTGCAAATAGGGCCGCTGCCCGACGGCCGCGTCAATGACAGCACCGTGCAACGCATCTTCGGCCGCCGGCTCTCGCCCACCGACGGCAACAATGTCCTGCGCATCCTGCACCACCGCCGCACCGCCGGCTCGCTGGCCGACTACGGCGTCGACAACTTGGGCAAGCAGTACACGCACGTGAACCGCGACACGGCCCTTAGGGGCCTCGAGTGGCTGCGCGAGCAATACCCCATCGACGAGGCGCGTGCGGCAGAGGAATGGGCCGAGAAGGAGGCCAACCGCATCTCGTACGAGCTCTGGCTGGCCGACCCCGAGACAGAGTCCAAGTACAAGGACCCCGCTCGCGCCTTCCGCGAGAAGATGCAGGAGGAAGAGGAGGCTGAGCGACTGCGCCAGGAGCGCGACGGGGAGAGGATCGGCATACTGCATGTCGGCAAGTCGCAGTTCGAGCGCAACATCGAGGAGAAGCGGCGGCAGCGGCTGGAGGAGGTGACCAAGAAGGCCGAGGAGAAGGAGGCCAAGGAGCGCGAGATGGAGGAGAAGCTCGCCAGCGGGGAGTGGGTGCGCACCCCGACGGGCACCCAGCTCATGAAGCCGGGCCAGACGGCCTACGTCGATGTGTTCGGCCGCGAGCAGGTCAGCCGCCGCAAGGAGGAGCTGGTGGCGTACCAGAAAAAGTCCGAGACGACGTTCGAAGATGAGCAGGACATGCTCTCCAAGACCACCCTCGTACGTCCTCCCCAACCGCCTCCTCTCTGCCCAGCGCTAAACACCACCAGTCCGAACGCCTCTACCCCATGACCGCCTTCGTCCTGCTCACCGTCGCCCTCTCCACCGCCTTCGCCTACAACTACGCCCCGCCCGCGCCCGCCTACCGCATCTTCCCCGACCTCTCCCCGACCCTCGCCACAATCGGCACCCTGGTCGCCCTCAACGGCGCCGTCGCAATCGCCTGGCGCATCATGCCCCTCTGGCCCCTCATGACGCGCTACTTCATGCACGTCCCGGGCTACCCGCGCGCCGTCCAGGCCATCCTCAACGTCTTCTCCCACGTCCAGTACGAGCACTTCCTCGCAAACATGATGATGCTGTGTCTCGTTGGCCCCGTGTGTCACGACCTCGTCGGCCGCGGCGTCTTCATGGGCACGTATCTCAGCGCCGGCGCGGTCGGCACCCTCGCTAGCTTGTACTGGGCGAACCTTGGTCGCGGCAATATCGCTGCCCATTCCGTCGGCGCTTCGGCTGCGCTGTGGGGCGTGTCGGCTGTCTACTGCTTGTTGACTGAGCAGGAGCGCATACAGATCCCCTTCGTCAAGGACCAGAGCGTGTCCTTCTGGCCCAAGGTGCTGTTCTGCGCGTTTGTTGCTGCTGAATTACATGGCGCGCTTAAGAAGAAGAAGGTTAGTACTATGGACCACGCGAGCCACTTTGGAGGCATGTTCGTTGGTGTCAGTGTGGCTGGGTACATGAGGGCGACGGGGTGGCATGGGAAGAAGTTGGATACAGTAGGGGAAGGGCAAGATAGTGTGCAGGAGCGGACTGGCGTCGAGGGCACGACGGTGGATGTCGGTGCCATGGTGAGGGAGGAGGCCAAGCAAGTCCGGGACAGCGTGTCGCGGATTGGGAAGTAGACGACGTGTTGCTGTCGATGTTGTATGTAATTATACATGTATAGAATATATAGCGTACAAGGAGATGCCGAATGTTTATACATAGGATTTCGACTTCAGCAGAACTCCCATATTCAACCCTACTATCAAATGCACTAAATCCCAGTCCCCGCCCTCACCTACACAATCCATAATAACCACCCCGGTACTCCCATCCCCCGTCCCCGCCCTCCTGACCTCACTCCCCTCCCCCTCCCCTTCAGCTTCCAAATGAAACCCCCCACAAACCCACTCCTCCGCCCCCCTATTCACCACCCTCGCAATCCTCCCCGGCCAACACCCAACCTTCCAAAAATTACTCCCGCTCAGAAAATTCAAATACAGCGCCTCCATCGGCACCGGATGTCGCAAATCCGTATTCACACCGGGGATATGATGTATAGCTCCCGCGGCGCGCACGAGATGCTCATTCGCGTACGTGGCTTTCAGCGCGATGGCGGCGGGGACCATGATCTCGCAGAAGTCTTGGATGCAGATGTTGGGTTCCGGGAGGAGGGCGTGGGTGGCGTTGTGGGGCCAGGATGTTGCGTCGAGACCGGGTGGGTCTGCTGTGTCTTCGGTGTGGTAGCGGCGGAGGAGGATTAGTTTTCCGCGTGCGGCGCCGAGGTAGGGGAGTGTGTTGCTGGTGTGCCAGTTTGTGGCGTGGGGGGCGAAGTAGTGCTGTTGTAGGATGCGGGCGAGGTGCTGGTCTGTTGCTGCGCCGACGCCCTCGCGCTTCAGCGAGACGATGATGGTCTCGCTGGGGTGGCGGGCGAGGAACGCATAGCAGATCTGCAGGAGGGGCGCGAGGAGCTTGGCCCCCGTCAGACTAACAGGGAAGGCGCCGTGCACGAGGTAGAGATCCTTTTTAGTTGTGTCCGTGGCGTGGGCGGGCTGGACGCGGATGTCGAGGAAGCGGATGCCGTTTTCCAGCTGTGTTTTTACATCGACGACTTGGCAGCGGACTGAGGGGAGGGCGCGGTGGTGCGTGTGCGAGTTGTGCGTTCCGGGGATGCTGAGGGCGGAGAGGGGGAGCGTGTCGGGGAGCGTGGACATCCATTTTCGGTAGTCTTGGAGGTGGTTGGTGTGGATTGTGAGGTGGGCTGTTGGGATGGAGGGGTGGAAGAGCGCTGTGTAGCTTGTTGGTGGGTTGGGGGAAAGAGGGGTGAAGGATTGCGAGGACTTTTGCGTGTACGAAGGGTTTGTGTCGATGCGATATCGGCCACCGTCTGGTGATTCTATGGTGAGCCGGAGTGTCGTGCTGGATAGTATGGAGGCATTTTGGTCTTGCTCCTGTCCTGGATGGGTCAACGTGTACGACTCGAAAGGTGCCAATGCGATGTCCAAGTCTCGATGTTGGAAAGAATTTGCATGTTTGCCAAGTTGGGGAGCGGACGGAGCGATCGATGTAGTATGTTTTGATCCAGAGAAATGACCACTGGCCTTTGACTGTAATGTATTCGGATCTTCGAACCGCTCAACGCGTTTTATTACGATCGGAGTAGATGTCAGATTGCGCACAGCCAGTGGCGGAGTCATTGCTAGCAGTTTCCAACTCTTTCAAAATATGCAGCAGTTTATATTGAGCTTTTTGTTGTGATAACTGGAGGAGGTTATTGTTGAACTGAGATGGTCGCAACAAGATAAACACAGCAAAGGAAGGTAGTGGCGATGCCGCCGGGAAACAACACGAAATCGGAAAGCAGAGTACAAGCACACAACGAGTGTTGTCCGATGAGATAGAAAATGATGACGAAGCCGTTCACAGACGCAACGGCGAAAGCGCATGCCAAGACTACAATATCCTGGAAAGGCACGCGTCCACAACGTAGTTATATTCTTCAGTTTCGAAATTTACATGGGATCCACGATGTTTCGATGAATCGTTTCATCCAAACACATCACCGTGGTTTCAAAAAAGGCAGAGCAACCCAATCTAAGATAACAATTCTTATTGATCAATGATAGCAGCCTCAGTTGCTGTTACCGCTACGCTACCCAACGCACTACCTATTTAGCATGCGACTAGGGACCTCAATTGCATATCCTGCTCTCTAGAGGGTTGCCCGGGTATTCTGCAGCTACAAGTAGAAAACACAAATGCCCCGAGAAAGAATTACTACTCATACAGCCTGGTATGACAATAAAAAACGCCTTATATGCAACCGTCTCACAACCACCGATTGCGGAATTGTCCCGAGGGACGACAAGTTTCCAACGCCGAGAAATGCCGAAAAATACTAGCACAGAATGTTGTTCATACCATGAGGGACAGAACCTGGCTTTACGATCATATCCCGTTCTGAGTGAGCGGTAGAGGGACGAGAGTCACTTGTTGAAGACCTGGCAAATGCAAATTCCGCTTCCTCCTGTAGTTGTTTGCTGGGCGTAGTAATACCAGACGTGCGGGTCTTGACTGGCGAACCTCTTGGCGTGAAGGGTTCGGGAGTGGGGCCCCTTGGTGAGCAATTGTTGCGAGGATCAGCGTCCGACAAGGGCACCATGATTCCATCTTTGAGCTTTGTCAGTCGCGTCCTTCTTTTGGGAGTAGCCGGAGTCGGTCTCTTCTCAACGTGAATGGTATCGTTGTCATTTTCCGATTTCGACTGGATAGGTAGGAGCGGCAAGGTCGTGAGCATAGGGTTGGAGGTTTTGTCCAACAGTTTAGCGGCGGGCCTGGTAGTGTTCTTCGAAGCCCTGAAGACGTTGTTGATAGCTGGAGTGTCCTTCTTGACATCTTTCTTCGCTTTCCCCTTAGTGCCCGTTGCTTTCTTGGGTTGCCGCTTTCCGGGTGCTTTTGCAGGCAACTTGGTGTCAAGTTTGCCAAAGAGATCCATTTGTGTGCCAGCTTTCCGTTTTGTCCTATTCTTCGATGGAGTTGTCGGTTCTTGCTTGAGCATCATTCGAGCCCCAACGCGTGGGCTTTGACCGGGCGTCAAATGGCCTGCATTTCGAAGGACGCCCATCTTCCGGGGAGTGCCAATAACAACATCTGCCCTTTGTCTTTCCTTGGCCTTTTTCATGTCCTCCTCTGAAACCTCCTTATAATCCATTGGATCATCCCACTTCCGCATGTTTGCATGACGCGCGACTTCATCGCATGGTCCCTTGACGACCAGATCCCAAGCATCTTCAAGGTCCTTGCCCAAAGGTTCTGGATCGTTGTTGATCCAGACGGCAACACCGTCTCGTCTGTCGCGCACAGTTTTGCACATTTCCCGAGCTATCCTCCGCACGCCAGGGACCTTCAACGTGGTGCCAGCCACGATCACAGCGTCGGGTCGTAAACGAATGTCGGTAGTCGCGCAAGACCCAATAGCTTCGTCGTCGGGGTTGTGTTCGTTGTAGAGCACCATGCGAGGTCGGAGTCGTCCAATCCCGTGGCTGCGCTTCTCTGCAACCAGGCGAACATTGTCTTCCTCCTCGCACTTTGGACAAGAAGGCGGAGTGGGCCCGCTGAATATCTCAGATTCGAAGGGCGACAGCACATTGCATTTGGAGCAAACCATATGGTCGAGGCCTCCATGCACCTGAATGGTCTTAGGCCAAGGCGCCTTTTTGGGCAGAGGGGCTTGAGTATTCAGGGGAGGGAGTGATGTGTCTATGCCATCAACGTTCTGGGTGTATAGTCGCATTAGACGCCCCTCTTGAGCTAGGGTAGCGAGCAGTTGGTGGAAGGCGGTAGGCTGCGCAGACTTTGTTTGCTGGGACAAGGTCCGCACCATGTCGTGGAAAGTCGACGTGGACGTGTCGTCCTGGTACACAGAGGCGTCGAACAGGTCCTTGCCAGACGACTTGAGCTTGTGGTCCTTCTTGAGGGTGTTGAACAAGCCGGTAGCTGATCGGAAGTCGGGAATGCCTGCCGACACCGAGATACCCGCACCCGCTATGACCACAATTTTACGCTTCGTGTGCAGCACCTTCAGCAAGCGCGCCAGCTGGGGCATGTCCTCGTCGGCGACGTCGCCCGAAAGATCAAGGTACTCGGTGGTGCGCTCTTTTGGGTCTGTGAGTTTTCTCTTCTTGGACGGACGCGGGTCTTCGTCGTTGCTTGGGGGCGGAGAAGGCATGTTCTCGGGCGCAGGTGACGTCTTCGCAGACGAGCGTCGAGACGAAGATGGGGACGGGTACGAGCGCCGTTTGGCTGGCGATGGGTATGGGCGCCGTTTAGCGAAGGATTGCTCGGGCTCAGGAGACGACTCGGGAGGCTCGGAGAGTTCAGAGTCGGAAGCAGCGTCGTCGCGAGGAGAGGAGGGAGGTAAAGAGCTCAGCGGAGAGCTTGGCTCGCCGTGGGGGGCGCGGTAAGCCATGGTGAAGGCAGGAAGGTCGTCGTGTGTTGGGGCGTGTTCGAGAACAGGAAGCGACAACGCGTGGGTTGGGCTGCGGTGAGCAACGTCGTGAGCCAACCGAGCTTGGGGCAATGCTGCGGCTACGATTGCAGCTCTAGCACGGGACAGAAATCGCGCTCAGGCCCCGCACGTATGCACGATATTTTCTAGCTGACCAGCGACCCGTTGGGGACGTGTAGATGTGCAGACGTGACGACGTGACGACGTGTAGACGTTGTCGTGGTGCTGGGGAGCGTTCGACAGGGCGTGTGCGTCGCTGCCGTGGGAACGCCGGTTGAGGAAGGCCGCAGGGACTGGGAGCTGCACCTATGACATTGTGACTGCGACGACTCGAATAGCGCGACAAAAATGGGGCAAGCGCGCGTTGACGGCAGGCGCGTTGGCTCGGTGATGCGGGCGTGGGCCAAGTGAGGAGGAGGTTGGAGATCGTGGTCGATGACAGAATGCCCGAGGGAGCGTTAGACCTTGAACAAAGCCAAGCCCCAGGGACCCCGACCAAAACAACATCTACTGTTACCGCAGGGACGGTAGGCCATATGATGTGCGTGCCGATGCCGCGAGGCGTAGAGAGTCAGGCACCGTCGCTTCAAACTTGGTCAAACTCGGACGTTATGTGCCAAAGCGACGCCCTTTTACTTCATGTCTTTGTAGCTTGGGGCTTTGTCTGTCAGGCTTCCGGCTGGATACCTGCATACTTCAATGCGTCTGCGACAGCCACGGCGCATAGAACATCACCCTGCCTGTGAGGACGCGGGCCTAGGCGCATGCGGGCTGTTCGTTCACAACACCTCGCTACAACGACTGCGCACAACAGCAATCGCATTCATGTCAAATTATGTGCGTCATGTCTGGGCGAGGGTGAAGGTCACAAGTAGCACGAAGCTTCACGAACAACACACGCAGAACGAGGCGGAAGCGCTAATGCTACGACCCACTCTATCCTTGTCGAGTCTATAGGCCAACCAGAGCAGGGTCTTGCGAACCTCCATCGCGAGTTCCATGTCCAACCCCAAGCGTACTTACTATTTTCCCTTGTGATACCCGGCGAACTGACTCCCCGCCAAACTGTTTCTTCTAATGGGTCCGCTCAGCTGGTGCCAAGTCTTTCTCTAAGCTTCACTTCCATTTTGCAGCAAACCGCGACCGCGTACCCACGCGTCCGCCCGCAACCATGGATCCCAGCTACAATATGGACGTTGACGATCTCTTTGGGGATTCAGAACATGTAAATCTCCAGACCATCAACGTGAGCCCACCAGTAAAAGGGCTCGCTGGCCGAATCGATGAACTTGGAACTAGTGGGTGCTGCCAGTAAGTCACCGTCGCTGCGCAAATCTAACAGTGCACCTACTCCAGTCATGCTAGCTGGCGTAAACCAAACTTCAACCACTTGCTAACTTTTAGAAGAAAAATTGCGTGGTCAAAGAACGGATGCGTTGCCTACATCACACCAGATGGGTATACGGTCAACCTCAAAGTCTTTTCCAGAGACGCCACAACCGGAAAATGGGATCTGGGAAAGGATGTTCATCTAGAAATTCCAGAAGGTCGCGATGATTACCAGTTTGTCCATCTCTATTGGAGCCATCTAGGCAATGATCTTGCTGTCATGGACGCTGCCGGCCGTGTAATGATATTCTCCTGCGCTATGGCTCTGGACCGCATGCAGTTTATCAGAACGGAGCTAGCTCAATCAGAGTCTGAGGTAGATGGGGTTGTCGGAATGCATTGGCTAGCTATTCTTCCATATGAGCAGAAAGTCAGTCAGCAAACAATCGAAATCAACGATGATACTAACTCCATCACAGAACCAAGTGGCGTGGTCGGCCGTTCGTGACGGCCTCAAGTGGAAATGGCATGTTCGCTCTCATGTGTTTCACGATGCACATCATCCGCTCGATGGGAAAGCATCGTTGATATATCTCAAAAGATATGGCGAGCTGAAGCTCCGTTTTCAACAAAACGACAACAGCTGGCAAGAGGTTTCGACGCAATTAGGACCCATGGTTTCAACCAAGGAAGCATTTACACATGCTGCTTTTGCTTCTAACAACGGTAAAGACCATCAGAATTACCGTATATGTAGGATGCTAACATTGTCTCAGACGACAGCCTGCTGCTAGCAGCGTACGATGTAAAGAGACGCCTTTATATGTTTCGAGTAGAAGCAATTTGGAACATACCGCAAGAAAAGCGTACCCCAAATTCAGGTCCATTTGACAAACCCGGGCTGCACGTCTCTTTGATGGTCGTTGAAGACAACTGCAATCCCATCGATATAACCAGCGACGACTTGAACAACGGGATCGAATCGAGAGGCACATCTGCTGCTCAACTTACGCACCTCAACTTTCTTCCAATCACACCCGAGCAACAAGATGGATCTTTACCTACGATTCAAGCCATATTCTGCAGACCTCCAAACCTCATCTCGTTTGATCAACTCCACCCACAAGAGCCTTCGTACAGTGTCATAGTCAAGTGGACAATTCATCAAACGCAGCAGAACCAGCTGCACTCAAGCCTCGACCAAATCGCATCCAAAAAGAAAAGCGTGGCTTCTATTCCAGCCCGCACTACCTTCCAGCTCAAGAGAATCACAGATTTTCCGCTGCATTCAGTTGTGCTAGCTTTCTACCCGATTTGGTACCACATGATACTAGCACTTTGCTATGCTGATGGTACCATAGAGTTCAGGAAACGGTCCACGATGGAGACCATTGTACCTGATGGCAATACAGATACCATGACTTCATTGTTACAGGCAGGGTTCAGTTTTCCTCATGCTGAAGCATCGTTACACGTTGCACTGTCACCAAATCATTGCATGGCTGTGTGCATGTCTCAGGAGGGCACAATCAAGATACGGAGCATGGAATACCAGCATGGCACTCTATCAACAGACGACGATGATCCAAGACACTCTGCTGCTCTCGCTGCTCTCATCTTACAGTCATCATCCGCGGCAAACCAGTATTACTCTAGCGATGACATCTTCAGCATTATCGGGACGCTCACAGAGAAGCGAAAACAAGACTTTATCAACCTACTCTTCGAAGGCCTGCAAGTCGACATCGATTGTGGTATCGATGACATGAGCAATCAACATCTCATGTTGCTAGGTCGCACACCATTCTTCGTCAAAACACTATCGGCAATGCATCTCCTCGGACTTGAAGGGTCAGTGAATCGCTCACTATCTAGCAAAATGGCCTGGATAATCCTAAACATCAAATACGTAACGCAAATCTTGACGACCATCGCCCGCATGCACGGTATCCTCGACAAGACATCCCTCCGCCCCGAAGTCGTACCCCGGTTTATCGGTATCTGTCGCTGGATCATGCACTTCATGGCCTACACACTCGACGAACTCTTCGCCCTCGGGCGCGCCGTGCAAGACATTCCCCCCGCGAACCTCACCCGCGAAATTCTCGAACAAAAGATTCATGAGATGAACAACCCCGCCGTGCTCCTCCTATTGTCCGCCTTCCCCCGTGCAATGATGAAACTCTGGGCCCAACCCATCGCCTGGGTCAAACGTTCTGCCGAGGCCTTTACGAACGCGACTTCCAACACATCGCCAGAAGTACGTAAACTGTACACCCCGTTGCAAGCCGCGGTCTCGGAAATCCCCTTCGAGTGGCGCTGGTTCGAGGTCCTCGTCTCAGAAACACACACGATGGTCCGCGGACTCTACAAGCGAAACAACATCGAAGATGCGCAGAGGAACATCATCGAGCGTGAACTCCTGCTCGGAAAACTGCCCGATGTATTGTTTCCCGTTGCCCGCCGCCTGGTCACGGAAACGCTGTGGAAGGATAACCAGCAGGGCGGATGTCTGGCCGACAAACTGGATCTCGGCCGTCTGATGTTCTTCGACACGACGTGGCTCGGTTTTCAGGAAAGTAAGCGCGGTGCCGAGTGGCACGAGACGCACGTTGTAGATGTCTGCCAGAAGATGATTATCCGCGGCGTCGGGACGCAGACCCATCCCATGTCCGGGTCACAGGACAGGAATCACAGCGATAACACGGGAGCCGGAAATGCGGAGGATACGGACAAGAAGAAGAAACAGCAGTTGCGTCGCTGTGTGAGGTGTGGTGCGTATATGGAGAATGTCATGCAGGGGTCGGCGGGATACACACCACTTCATGCTGCATGGTTGATGGGCGTGGCGAAGCATTGTGTCTGTGGGAATAGCTGGATGCTTGCGCCGGAGAAGAAGCGTGCGAGATGAAAAGTCTATACATTATTACGTAGAAGTCATAGAGACGGAAAGGTGAATTGAATTAATACTCGACGACTGCGGCGACAAAGCTGAGCAATTTCACTTTACAGAGTGAAGCTACCCAAGTCCAGAGTATCAGAAGTACTACTGTCTACCTCGCCATCACAATTGAAAGCTTTGTCGACGAAGGTAGGTCAGCAACATATAATAGGTGTTGTAAACGGATTCTTGTGGATAGTGAAAGTCCATCAGTTACATAAGCGGAGCCAAACGTTACCGCGTCTCCAACAATTATGCCTCGGCGCAGTTCACAGCAAACGCCATCTCCACGTCTCCAAGCACACACAGCAACCACAAACATCCCAGCAACCCATACCCTCTAAAACCCCAGCTTCCCCCTCTCCACCACTACAATGGAGGCTCACAAAGCCAAATACGCAATCCACGAAGCCAGCCGCGAAGGCCACAGTACGCCCCACCTCGCCTCCCCCACCTCCTCCCTCCCCCGTCTCTGACCCGCCCACCACCCAGCCCGAATCGTCGAGTCCCTCCTCGCCGCAAACCCCAAACTCGCCTCGCTGCGCGACCCCGACGACCGCCTCCCCATCCACTGGGCCGCATCCTACAACCACCTACCCATCGTGCACATCCTGATCCAAGCCAAGGCCTTCGACCCCGACGTCGCCGACGCCAGCGGCTGGACCCCGCTGATGATGGCGTGCTCGCGCAAAGACGGCGACGCGATCGTAAACGTGCTGCTGCAGAAAGACGCGGACGTCAATGCCAAGACAAACGCGGGTCAAACAGCCCTCCACTTCTGCGCTTCGAAGGCTAACCTCGATGTCGCGCGCACACTGCTTGCGCAGAAACCGCCTGCCTCGGCCCGTGTGAAGGATAAGAGGGGCCAGTTGCCGCTGCATCGCGCGGCGGCTGTGGGGAGTGTGCCGATGATGAAGGCACTGCTCGATGCGAGGAGCCCTGTCAATGCGACGGATGCGGATGGTATGACGGCGCTGCATCATGCGGTTAGTGAGGGCCATGGGGATGCGGCGCTGTTGCTGTTGCAGAGGGGCGCCGAGTGGGATAAGAAGGATAGTAGGGATCATGTACCGCTGGATCTGGCGCCGGATGCGAAGACGAAGAAGTTCATCCTGCAGGCGGCGGAGCGGGAGGGCATTGATTTGGAGTGATTTCTTGGACAGAGATGGCGAGGGAAGGACATGTGTGATGAGATTTACGCGATTTGATACCCACGGCATTTGACAAGGCGTACATGGTTAGCATAGCATAGCATAACATAACACAGCATAGCATAGCATACGGCGGAATGGAGTATACGTTTGGTTTTGCCACTCAACATCACATTCGATGTTGAGATCTAAACTCCTACTTCATAGTCTGCACCAACTCGCGATAAATCTTCTTCAAGTCCGCAACATCACCCTCAAGCTCCTCGACCTTCTCCGTCTTCTCGCCCAGCATCTCCAGCGTAGTCTGATAGCGCTCATCCATCGCTCTCAACTCCTTCCCTAGCTCATCCACCTTCTGGTCCTGACTCTTCTTGTCCTCGACCTCGCGCATAAGCGCGACGACCTCCTCTCTCGCTTCGTCTCTCTGGGCCATCAGGCGTGCTAGTTCCTCCTTGGACGTAGCCTTCTCAGACTCGAGACGACGGACGGCAGCGCTCATGCGCTCGACGAGTTGAACCGAGGGTCCTGCGCCGACGGTGGACACGGAGATCATGTCGTTGATGGTGCGGTGGGGAGAGGAGGTGTTATCGAAGGGGTCGTCGTGGTCGATTGCGTAAAGCGAGGGCGTGTTCGACATACTCTCCTTGCCATTTAGATTCGACAAACTGGACGGTGTCGAATTTTGCCGCTGGAGCGTGCCAATATCTGGCGTGCGGAAACCTGACGTTGCCTTGAAGCGTGAGCTGGAGGGTCGTCGGGGGTCGTCAAACATGCGGTCCATGGGCGAGGGTGGGATGTCCACATGCATGCCAGGGGAGATGGAGCGGGGTAGTGCTCTTCGACCATATATCCCAAGAGGATCAGGGGACTGTCTCCGATTTGTTGTGGATGGTGAGTCTGCACGAAGGTGGTTGGGGTTGGCGAGTTGGATTTGCGATTGCACCTCGAGCTTCCATCTCATCTTCTCTTCTTCCAGCCGTTGCTGGACTTCTACTTCCCACACCTTCTTCTCTCGCTCAAGCTCAATACGGGCATCTTGCGCTGCGGTCTCTGCCTGCGCCAGCTTAGTCTGTAGCTTTTGAGAGGACGACTGGTGCTCAGTGAGATCCTGCTCGAGTGTTCTGGCACGCTCGTTGATGCTTTCGAGCTCGTCTTCCAGTCGACGCGCTTTCGAGTTGACATCTCGAACTTTACGCCTGACATCAGACTCTCGCTTCGCTGTCTCGTCGCGATCCTTTTCGAGTGCTGCAACGCGAGATGTCAAAGTGGTCTCAATACCCTGCCAGTTCTCCGAAGCAAGCGAGTACTGTGACTGTAGAGTCTCAATCTGCCTTAGAAGCTTGGCCTGGGAGTCACCTGTTGCTGAAGAAGTAGCCTCTTCCGAGCGGCTACGGAGGAGTTCGAGCTTTGACTCAAGATTCTAAAGGTCATGTTAGCATACCTGGTTGCAGGAGGAGTTCTAGGGTCTATTACAGCGATCTCGCCGCGCAGTTCAAGTTCGGCGAGTTTGGATTTCTCCTGTTGGTTCTTCGCTTCATCTCTCGAGGCCTGAAGTTCTCGCTTTGCGCGATCCTCCGCGAGCTTCTTCTCTATGCGTATGTTCTCCATATCCTCCTTGAGAGACGCAGTAGCCCTCTTCTCCGCTTCCAAAGCGCCAGCTTGTACCCTCTTCTCAGCATCTTCTGCCCTTGACAGCGCATCGTTCAACTGCTTTCGAAGCTCCGAGATTGTTAGACCGGCCTCTTCACGTTCCGCTCTGATGAGCTCAATGTCCTTCTCAATCCTGCCGACGATCTTCAGCTTCTCCTGCGCAGACCTGTCTGCCGCTTCCGCACGCTTCGCCCGCTCAGACTGTTCCAGAATACCCTTCTCGGCCTTGGACAAGCGCTGCTTGAGGGTGGTGATTTCCTTGTTTTGTTCCAGAGCCTTTCCTCGTAATGTCTTGATGGTCGTCATGTATTTCATCTCGGTCTTTGAGAGCTTCTGGCCTTCTTCCATAAGCGCAGCGATCTGTGCATCCTTCTCTGCCAACTTCTTGTCTGTTGGTGTGGCTTCTGAAGCTGACGATGCTGCTTTGGCGGACGAGGCCAGCTGCTGCGAGAGGTAAGTGAGCTTGGACTGTAAAGCATCTATACGCTCAAGATGTGAGTTCAGTTCATCGCGGTGCCCTCGAACGGTTTCTTCGTGCGCATTTTGCAACTCAGACAGCTCAGTTTGGAGACTGTCAGGGTCTTTTGTGGGGGCTTCCTCGGGTTCTACCAGTGTGGACGTATCGATCGAGGGCCTAGAGGGAGTGCTGTCGAACGATTGGCGTGGTGAGGTCGGCTGCGGGGCGACAATGGAGGGGAGGGATATAGTAGGGGCGGCTGTCGATGCGGGTTGTTCGGATACTAGAGACGTAGTTGGAACGAGTGTCGCAGACGGAGACACAGCAGGTATAGCTGCTTCAGTGGAGGGCTGTGGAGAGGCGGTTGGCCTGGTTTCTTCCGCAGGAACCGCATCCTCGTCCTGGGCAGCTGGCACAGCTTCTACCGCTACCCCAGACGTCCCCGAGTCTATGCTTGACCTGCTTGTGTCGCCAGCAGCAGTTATACCTACGCTCCGCAGTGCTGGACTCTCCGGCCGTGAGCCAAGATCCAGCGACCCTCTCTCCGTCCCCTTGTTCACTGCTTTTGCCAGTCGGTCCTGTAGTCGCGAGTTCGGTCTGCTTCGGGAAGAGTTGCGCGATGCTTCTGTGCTGTCAGCCTCCCAAAGCCCACGATCACTTCGTCCTCTATCAATCCTACCCACCTGGCTCGACCATCAACGTCTTCTCCGTGACCACCTTCTCACCACCCTCCTGTTTTGCCGCCGCGTCAGCAGCCCGTGACTTTGCGCTCGCCTGGTCATCTTCGGCCAGTATCGTGTCTAGCTTCGACTCCAGGCCTGATATGGCGCTGTTCCACCAGTTTTTCCCGCTCATGTTGGAGCCTGCCACTTGTTTCCAGTGCCCAGTAAGAGTTATTTGTATTTCGACGACTTTGCTGTCAATCACCGTGCACCTGTTCTTCGCCTGACTTTGCTCATGGCTTAGATACGCCAAAGGCCAGATTGGAATTCGACGTGAGACAGCTGACTAAAGCTTTAAGCTTTGGCACGTAAGGACGCAGCAGATTCGTATGTCAAATCTCGGCAACGGCTGAAGCTCGATCTGTCGACAAGGATTACCAGCAACGTTGTCGTGGTTTCAGTAAACCGCGCGGTGCTGCTGTGGACAGGTTGACGCGGTACCGAATCGCCGAAGCTCGGACTTCGACTGACGTAACAGCGCAACTCCGTGCTTCCTTCTCTAGTCCCAGCGTCCGCCACATTTCAGCCTCTTTCCTCTCGCGATCTCAAGCTCACCGTTTCGTATATGGAAAGTGATGATGCGTGTTAGCAAGACTATACAATGGCTTACACGATACTTGCCCGATCGGAACTAGTAAGCCTAGTATAAGGATACTACAGATCGCGGCTTTGACGACGAGATCGATTTTGCAGTTCAACAACTCCTTACAGCTTCAATTCTGCTGATTTCATGTTCAAGAGAGCCCTCAAGATGTCGCCTATTGCAGTGAGTTATATCATATTTTCACTGTCATTGCCTATCACCTTATCTGGATAACCTCAAAGGCCAACGTCTACCATGATTGTTTCGCCACGTCAAATTGGGCGTGAGGCTGTGAACACTCCAAGACTTGAAGGCTGTGGTAATCAGAACTCTGTTGATTCTGCTTTCATACCGCTTTCTACTTCTATCTCAGTTTGGGCATTATCTACTATCAAGTCCAAACTCAAGTCCAAAGACATCGCAAAGAAACACAAATCTCTTCAAACCTAGTCTCATAATCTCATTTCTCTCGAAACACGTCTGGAATGACAGTCCCACTAACTCCACCCCCAGGCGATCGGTCAGACCCGCTCCACAGCTTCCCCAGCCCGCAACCTCGCGCAATGCCAATCCCTCGTCAAAAAAGCCTCCTTAGCCGGTGCCTCGGCGCTCTTCCTCCCCGAAGCCTGCGACTACATGGCCCCTGACACCGCCACATCACTGTCACTTTGTCAACCCGTCGAGAAGTCCGAGTTCGTCCTGGGACTGCAAGCGTCTGCACGCGAGTACAACATTGCCATCAATGTCGGTATCCACGAGCCAGCCGATGGCAAGAAAGTGAAAAATACGCTCCTCTGGATCGACGAGAAGGGCGCCATCACGCAGCGGTACCAGAAACTGCATCTTCTGGAAATGGACATCAAGAATGGCGTGACTCTCAAGGAAGAGAACTCGGTAGAGCGTGGGGCAAAGATCGTTGATCCATTTCCGACCGCGGTAGGGATACTCGGACTGCAGATTTGCTTCGATATGCGATTCTCCGAGCCTGCGCTAGCGCTACGGGCTCGTGGCGCGCAGATCCTGACCTATCCGTCTGCGTTTACGGTACCTACGGGGAAGGCAGGGCATTGGGAGATTCTGTTGCGGGCGAGAGCGATCGAGACGCAGAGCTATGTTATCGCGGCGGGGCAGGTGGGTGCGCACGACGACGAGGGGAAGAGGGAGAGCTATGGGCATTCGATGATTATCGATCCGTGGGGGAAGGTTATCGCGAAGATGGATGGAGCAGAGAGTGAGGGGGGGAACGAGGAGGGCGAGATTGCGTTCGCAGAAATTGATATCGACTATGTTGAGCAGATTAGGCAGGAAATCACCTTGAAGAGGAGGACGGATGTGTATCCTGACATCAAGTGAGAACAGGTAGTGGTATTAGAGTAACTCGTAATACATAATGGTTGAGCTGGAGCAGGTCTTGGATCTAGTTTCCAGCTCGCACCTTACCGCATCTAATCGGTATAGTTCATGAAAAAACAAAGGTACGCCATATAATGCCGTCGTCAACCGTTCGCCCATTACCCAAGCACAAAACGCCCGCAGACCGACTCTCTCTACCCCTCCAAGTCGAACCCCTGAAGCAATCGAGCCTTGCCCTCCAAATTGAGGTACGCAAGCGGGTGATCCACCCTCTCAGTATCCCGCTCGACATTCATCCTCACCTCCTCCAACAGACAATCCATGACATCCGCCATCCTCTCAAGCAGCGTGGTGAAGAGACTCCTTCCCATACTCCCCGGCTCTCTTCGCGGACCCTGCGTCCTAGGAGGTTCGAACTCCCCAGTCGCATCTTCACTAGGCCACTCCCAATCATGAACACCATAATCGTGGTAGAGGTTGAGCAGCGTCGTTTCCGCATCGGACGAGGCATGGTTGAGAAGCATGTCGGAGATGAACTTGGGACCGACGGTGAGCATACCTTCCGCGAAGCAGAATTCGAGCTCGTTGCGCAAGGATAGCTGATCGCCGTCCAGGAAGCGGCCATATGTGCGCTGGTGCATCCAGCCTGAGCCGTGGTAGCGTGCTGCCAGCGTGGCGTGGTGCAAGGCGAGGTACATTGCTATCAAGGGGTCTCGTCGGAGGGACTTGATAAATGTGAGCTTGGTGGCGTGGGTCTCTGCAGAGCTGTTAATGATGTGCTGCATATTCTCTGAATATTGGTAACTTACTGTGTGACAAGAGTTTGTACATGAGCAACAGGCCTGTGTTGACCAGTGCCATGTTGTTGCGTTCGACGGCGAAGCAGTTCTGGTCACAGATGAGGGCGCCCATCACATCGTCCACAACGTTGTAGTTTTTGGCGCACTCTGCCAGCCACTCGTATCTGAAATCCTCCTTGCTGTAGGAGAAGTCCGTTGGAGCGTGTCGAAGCTCGTTCTTGACAAAGCTCTTGGTGATAGAGCACTCGTAGGCGTCGAGGAGAGCCTTGATACGCGGGTGTGCATGACGGAGTGCGGCGATGGTTCTCCCGTCTTTGAAGGGCAGGTATTGAACCATTTGGAGGATCAGTTCTGAAGGGAAGCCCTCGGAAACGATGGTGAGTTGATGCTTAGCCATGTTGGGCGATGAGTTGTATGATGTGTTAGAGAGTTGAAGAAGAATCAGGTATCAATTTATAATCGTGAAAATATGCAGGGCCCTTATATATAAAACCAGTGAATACCGTGATGTCAATATCCGACCAACCGAGCACCATGATGTCCGGTTACGCCAAGTATTATCCAGTAAGGAAATTCACTTTTGAAGCTGCCTTGATTACTGTGCTAGACTGACCCTTTCCCTGGACTTGAGACCCAAGTTTCAATCAGTGCACAATCTCCATCCTTCCAATAGCTCGTCACAACTGCTGATACTTCTGCAGGCTGCAATATGCTACCATTGGTACGACACTAAATCTGAAAGTCTGGTTGCGGTACCGCTTGCCGTACCGTACCGAACCTGAACATCTTGAGCAACCAATAGCGTTTTGAACAAAAGTAAGAACATGGACTAGTTGTGAAAAACGAATTGAATTTGCTAAACTACTACCACTTTTCTCCGTGCGATACCGCCTATACTTTGACCGAAAGGAATACGCAAAGGAGTGTTACGAAATCAAACATGAAAACGACTTTTGGCCGCGAGGCATTTGTCTTTGGTATAATGTAAAGGGTTGAACCGATGTCTCCAATTTAGTAGCAGCTGGGATAGAAACGGGGAACGTCGCTTGGGGGTGATCCGACGACCAAGGAGCGGCGATACACCATAGCATGAACAAGAAAGCAACGCTTCGATGATCCAGGAGATAAAAATTGCAGTCAAAAAGAATGTACAGTACATAGAAGGGAAATGTGTTCCAGCTCTTGATCCTCTGTCCAGTCCCGTTTTCCGCCCCTCGATGCCTTCATATCTCAACGTCCCTTCGAAAACCCCTTCTACTCTTTTCTCCAAGCCGCCGCGTACGAATCCTACATCCTCTGAATACAAGAACAAATCGCGCAAACATAAATACAAAAGCAAAAAGATGCAACAACAATGCAAAGTTCAAGTACAGAAATAGAACAACTACTCTGACCCACAGCCTGTAGCAGCGTGCTATGGACCATGGGAAAGAAGTATGTTTGGAAGAAGTGAAGAGTCATATGGGTATCGACAGTTCCGCCGCGAAGCGCATGGAAGCAAAGTTCCAAGTCATGATGTAGTAAAGCAAACGATAGGCATGAAGATGATAAGTGGTGATCGGCCGGCAAACAAAGACAACGCTAATGATACTGATACGTGGGAATGCTGATCGCCTGGTAATGCCAATGATAGTCTGAAGAAGAAATAGGATGGTGCCGAAGATACAAGATGGTCGTTAAGTTCGTCTCAGTAGTACTTGATGTGTTGATTATATGTTGCTGTGATGTGGAAAATGCAAAGGAGTCGGAATGGCCTAGATCATAGGGGTGTCCATAGGGTGATAGACGCCAGCCCTGTAAACACCGGGTTGCAGCGTTTCTGGAGGCATATTGGCACGAATCTCCTTGGGGTTCCTGTAGAAGGATTGCTCTGCGTCACTGGGCGGGATGACTTGCTCCATAGGCTGGGGTGGAGGGGGCGGAGGTGGGATCTTGCCAAAGTAAGAATCGAAGTTGCCGCCCTCGATAGGGGAACGAGTGTTCCCACCACCCCGAGGAAATGAGTATTCCGGCATACTCTCATAAGGAGAGACGTCATTGCGCATCATCGGTGGAGACTTGTTGCGGGAACGGCTGTTGCTACGCATGCGGTCGGTAACTCTCTTGAAGGTCATGCCGAGATTTTCGCTCACGCTTCCATGGCCTCGACGATGAGTATGAGGAGAACCTGCACCCGAAATGATGGATGAAAGCTCTTGCTGCTTTTCGATTGGACTTCCTTCAATGGCAATGTTGATCATGCCGAGGCTGTGTGGAGTACTACCGCTACCAAACATTTGAGGTGGAGGTGGCGGTGGCGGTGGCGGAGGCGGAGGCGGTGGAGCCGCCAGATGTTGAAGTTCTGAGAGGAAATGAGGCTCACTGTCGTCTTGCTCGAGGATGACAACTTGGCTCTCGTGAATAGTCTCGGCAATACTGGCGGCGAAGGGAGGTGGGCTGATACGCTTGTAGTTGGCTGGAGCAGACGCGTCAGGTGCAGTGTTCATCCTGACGTGTCCGCGAGTGCCACCAAGGGATGGACGCCTGCTGACAATGGGGTATGTAGGCGAATTTCTCATGCCAGAATTAGGTGGGAAGAGATCCTGCGGAGGGGCCGAAGCAGAGCGGGGAAGATTGATGGTTTGTCCAAAAGTAGTCGCCGGGAGTAGGGGCCCAAGATTATCTTCGTACCTGTCCTGAGGTTGCTGCATGTGTGAGAGGTTGTCTGGGATTGTCGGGACAGCAGGGATTTCTTCTTCCTCGGACAGGTCAGCAGTCATATATCGAGGATGACGCATAGCTCGGGGATTGGCTGGAAGGCCGATCGCCACAGATGAGTTCGAGGTCGCACCAACAGGTGCCCTGGTCGAAGGCGAATACCTCTTCGAAATCTCGGGATCAGCGGTTTGGCTTCGTTGAATGGGATCACGGTATGACGAAAGTGTGTTCAGCATGTCATCAGTGTGAGAACGCTCATATCCAACTGGTCGATATGCCAAATCTCCTGGATGAGGAATGACAGGCGCCGAGGGTCGTCGAGCGAGGGACTGTCTGCGTTCTTCCAATTCCCTAGCGGCAACCTCCTTCCTCGAGCGTGTCATAGGACGTAATCGCGACACACCAGAACGGCCCGAAGTCATTGAGTCAGGAGAAGCCTCTCTGAAGTTGACGCGTGAGCGGCTAGATTCTCTGAGTGCAGGCGTGGGTTTCCGACTGACAGAGCGGTCGCGCGGTACGCGGCGTTCTGAGGACTGCTCTCGTCGAGTACCTGCTCCACCCTCACCAGGCCGACGGCTAGTGCTTCGGTAACGTGGGCGAGGTAATTCATAGAAATCGGTAGTGCCATGCTCCTCGCGCTGTATTGCCTGGGGAGATTGAGGAGAATGTGTGGCACTGTCCCCACGTGTAGTGCTCCTTCCACGGTCTTCGGCTGGACGCCGACTGGATGCTCGGCTAGCACCCTTGCTTCGGGCACGAGTTGCACCTTCAGGCGATTCGGTACGAAGCGGTGTTTTGGAGGAAGATCTAACCTTGCTTGCCCCGCGTCTCGCGCGGCTGCGGTTGGTGCGAGTACTCGCAACAGATTCTGGTGCAACGGGAGGAGGAACACCGACCTTGTAGAATCGTTCATCATCGAAAGTCTCAGTATTCGTTGCGTATATACCAGCATCCTCAGGTGACATAGGCACAGGTGAAGATGGAGAACGTTTGGCAGGACGAATGTATCGAACTCCAGATCTTCCACGACTTTGAGATTCGTCGCGGGTATTGCTGCGAGCTCGTCCTGTGCGTGACGCCGGTCTTTGCTCGGTTCTCGAATCAGCGCGGGTGCGAGCGTGATGGTTTGCCTCCTCAAGACTGCTGATGTATTGATCCATGCTACGCGCCTTTGCACTTTTCAAACTCGATCCTGTCAAAGGCGGACTTAGCTTGTCGGCGTAGCCTGACTCTGGTCTTTGCTCTATTATTATCTCATTCATCTCAAGGTGGAGGTCCTGTATATTGCGGCTTCGAGAACTGTTACGTGATTCTGTTGTTCTCTCTTTGTAGGTCTCGAAGACGCCTACTGCTGGAGAGGGCAAGTATCCCTTAGATTTTCCAGAGTCAAATGTCGTGGCAGTGAGCATGAGTTCTTTGGGGGCGGCGGAAGTTGCTCTACGAGTGCTGAATGGGAGAGTTTCTGCTTCACGGCCGACATTGTCGATAGCAGTCCTTGGATGCGACTCTCCACGTTGCCCTCGGTCGGGAATAACAAGAGAGGCGAGATTCTCATTGTTCGTCGTAGAACGACTAGCATCTGACCGAGATGGAAAGCGCTTTCTGTTGTAAGAGCCAGGCGTCGCAGTTCTGGCAGATGATGGTTCTCTCGAGGCGTCTCGGGCGGCCCTTGTGCCTAGCCATGGGCGGCCGCCACCAGAGGGGCTGATAGCAGACTCTACAATGGGAGTAACGCCGGCATTTACCGGAGTCTGATCGTCGTCTTCGTGATGAAATTGTTTGGGTTGAACTCCACGTGAGAAGTCAGTGACAAGCTTGAGTGAGGCCATTCTGGCCGCAATCCTGCTGTTCCCTGCACTAGGAGGGGACAGTGGTGGGCTGAGTTGAGAGCCAAGTAAGGCCTGCTTTTGAGCAGAGAAGACAGCATCCTGCGCTCGTGGAGAGAACCACGGTTCAGTGGTCTCAAGACCCATACAGGAAAAGCACCTGACAGCTAGCTCTGCTTTGCCACGAGAGACAGCGGCTTCTCCCCATTTTCTGACGAGAAACGATTGTCTCTGCCAGTCGGTAGGGAAGATTAGGGAGGTAAGCAGGACTGATTCCATATAGTACTTTCGAGAGACGTAGACCTCAATGGCATCGTTGTGTTCACCGAGACCAAGCAGGATGGCCACAGCAGGGTGTATGTCACCTTTCTCTAGCAGGCGCTGAACGAAAGCCTCGCCCACTTTCTTTTGCGAGCCTTGGCCCATGTTGCTCAAAGCAAGTAACATCCAGTCTGACGAAGTCATCGAGTCAGTACCGACCATGGAAGCCAGCATATCAGCGCCCGAGTCGCCGAGCCACTTGGAGAGAAGTACAGCTGCGGCGGATCCATGATGATGACGTGCAACTATGTCCGTCAGTCAGTTGATTACATGTTGTAGAGTGTAACTCACGTTCATCCCGAATGAGTTCTTCAATATCATTATCCCAGCCGAAAACTACCCGCAGCATGTTGTGTCGAAGGTCATCAGGCGTCCGTTCAGGACCGAGATCAGAGGCTCGAAAAGGGACGTCGGTCAATCTGGCCTTCGTAAAAGGAAACAAGTCCATAGGCTGTGTACCTTGCGGTTTAGGTGGAGTCTTCTGCACTTCCTTGCGTTGCGCCGATGATCCATATCGGGAAGAAGTCGCCGACGACAGAGATCGAATTGAAATACTCTCTCGAGACGTGTCTGCGTTCGAAGTCGTTCCGGACGAGAACACTGTTCCTGAACTCCGGGAAGATCGCGCGGTGCCATAAGAAGGTTTATCATAGCGATAGCGTGGAGCGCGACCGCTACCCGATGACCGTGAACTCTGTGAGCCTCGACTTGACACTGGGCTCAACGGCCCAAGACGATCACGACGCTCCTCTTCCAGTTGATCCATCTCTTGTGCAATCTTCTGCAGTGGTGACATGACAGGACCTTCGCTTTCGCTCTCGGATTCAACAAACGCTTCTGGCGCTGACCGGACAGGGTGCGCTGTTACAGGTTCCTCAATCTGTCTACTTTGCTCGTCCAAGGAAATGGGAGGCGATGGAGGGGTGTTAGCGGGAGCATGCTGGACATTGGCAACGATCTGTGCTGTGCCGCTGGGATTCACGTCATACTGTTGGACGCTGAAGTTGCGTCCCACAGTGAAGAGTGTGGCGGTAGGACCATGATTGCATATGGCAACAACGCCATTGACTGTAGGAATAGTCTCATACGATACGCGCTTAGTGCGCACATCCCATGAGCAGGTTTGCCTATTGGCGGGGAGATGTTAGTGGGTTGTCTTTTAAGCGCCGAGCAGCCGCCACATGCAAGGCAGATCAACGTTCGGAGGCTTGAGTACGTACCCTTCAGTGTATTGGATGATTCGCCCGTTCTTCGACCAAGCAAACCAGCAGGGTCCTGGCTCTCGTTGGTCCGATTTGTTAAGCACACGAATCACGCAAGGCGTATCCGCACCATGTGGAGCCTTTGGAACACTCCATACTCTGAGATCTCCGTCTGACGTCTGAGCCGCCAACATCTCAGACTTCTGCTTTGACGAAGAGCCATGCCATGACAACCCGGAGATAGGGGAGGGAGATCTAGGGGTAGTGAGAGTGTGGAGGATGGTGAAAGAAGGTTGCAGAGTCGCGATCAAGATTGAGCCGTTGAGATATCTACGCCCAGTTAGATCAAACCCGCAGTTTGGTATAGAATGCCTCGAGTAATACATACCCAATCGCAAAAGTTCTGCAGTCCGAGGCGGGTGCCAGTGCTGTAATTGGATCGAAGATGGTTCTTGCGGAAAGGTGTTCCGATGTGGAAGGTTCGAACAAGATGATGTTACCTTGCGCATTTCCTGTTTCCAACGATCAGCGATCAGCGATGCGAGAAGCAGGCGCGTGCGACCACTTTAGAACCTACCAAAAGCGACATTTCCGTTCTTCATCCATGTTGCAACTCGAATCTGCTCATATGAGGCGAATCGTGCCACCTCGTCACCGGTGAGGATGTCCCAGACTATCGCCGTTGATCCTGCATCGTAGCTCACTACCAGCCGGCCAGCTCCTCTTTCGCTGATGGTATCTGCGCTAATCCAGGACACATCCTCTCGATGTCTTGTAAACCGTCTCTCTACGGCCAGGGTATCATGGTGAACACACAATATCACATTTTGCTGTGCATATAGCAGAAACGATCCAGTTGCAGCCGATGGCTCGAATGCGAATTCGTCGACACCTGGAGTGATGCTTGGAGTTGGGGGTTTCAATTTGATGTCGGAGTGAGATCGGACGGAAGAGCTCTTATTCGAGTTTGAGCGATGTCTTGAATGCCCGATAGACATGATGCGCGGACCTAATAAGCCAATTTCCCGGTCAGTCGCATTACGAGAGAAATGTAATAGATTGAGGACGACAGAAACACAAGAGGGGTCTCGGAAAAAGCAAGAGATGAAACTGCAGACTGCTGTCTGGGGAATTGGGACTCACAAACTAAAGAGCTGTGACAGCTCTACGGCGTTGGCGTCGGTACCTATGCTTTGGCCCCGCCCTGCTGTACAAGGGTGGAAGTTGGCGGTTAAAGACTCTGCATGCGACCACTTTAAAATGTTGCGAGCGGGTACACGAGCTAAAAGACAGACAAAGCAGGCAAGACAGAGAGGAAGAGGAGAAAAGACAGCAGAAGCGCGGTCGAGGGTTGAGTTGATCCGCGTGGGCATCAACGACCTATCAAGCTCCGGCGCTTATAGGCGCAGAACGGATTGATATTGCTCAGAATAGGACTGGAGCTATGGAACCAGGCAAGTGCTTGACGAGAGGCATAACCGGGTATCTATCATGAGGCGTTAATGGCTGGGAAGCGAGCCCGCTCATTTGCTGGTCGACGTGAAAGCTCGAGATGGACTTGGGACTCGACAGCCCATGCAGAGTCATGCTGCATGCTGAGGCGATGCTGGTCGCCAAGGTGGCCGCCAGGGTAGCACACCTCGTCGTTGGTCGAGTTTCGCGCTGGTGCCTGCATGGGACGGATTAAGCAGCCTGTAAGAAGGCGAGAAAACACAGCACAAAGTCGCGAAGACGAGGGTTCAGCCAGAGTCGTCGACATGCGCCGATGATTGGTGAGCCTGACGTGACAGAGCAGCAGCTGGATCACAAATTTGAACCAACCACGATTCGCAACGGCCTGGGTACGGCCCGGTGGCACATGGGTGATCCCACCCATGCGCGAAACCACAGCGATCGGCCCACGGCAGCAGAGGTATATGTATCAGACTCCTCGCCAGCCATATTCCCGCCCTGATGGCGATTGCGTGATTCTGTCTGTATCATGTCTTCTTCAACGAAGAGCAGCTTGACATCAGGGACATAGTCTGCCGGTGGTTGGTGAGGACCGCCATGCATCATCTGAGCCCCAAGGTTTAGCGGAACGGTGTCCATCCCGCTGGCGTTGTGCTTCGGGAGCGGATATGTAGGTTTGTGGCACGTTCGATCGTGGTTTGTGGGCAACAACCATTCCCTGTTCGCTGCGACGCTGCGGGAAAGCGCATTGTTGGCACATCCCAACTGAAAGATACACATCACCGCCTTACACATGACGTGGAGTACCCATGAGATGGATGACTATGCTGGTCGAACAAAACCCGCCCTGGCGTTAGACCCGAACTCATGCATCGCAGAGTATTGCAGCCCCTCTTCGACGAATGTACCGACAGGCACATGTACAATCTTCAGCTCCAGGAACCAGCTGCTGGACGAGGTACAAGGGGACAGCGTGCGTGGTGTGCACATGGAAGGCACACAAGTCATTGAGCTCAACACGAAGTAGTCACAAACCGATATCTCCTCCACACGCCATCTCTTGTGGTTCGTGTTGTTACCACAGCAGCCAAAGCTTCGTTGATCTGCTCGGTAAGAAATGATGCCGAGTTCTGATGATGGCCTGTCTTCTGAACTACGGACTGATGTTGAGGGACGGAGTACCGTACGTGTGGACGAGGCCAATATCGTGGCGTCTTCTCATCAATGTCTCTCGAAACTTTGCTTCCACAACAGCGCAGGGAGCCTCGGACTAGGTTAGAGCTCATCACATATTGCGTTCTGCTCATATTGGATTTGCATGCCACAAGGAGCAGAATCCCTGCTCTGCTTCACCGTCTAACCAGCCACCTGCAGAGGTATCATCAAGTATTCTCGCCTTTCTCCGTTCCAGCTGTGACGGACGAATGTAGCGTGTGTCGCTCTGGCGCTGCTCCTTTTCAGCGCAAGACAATTTCATTGTCGTTAGTCCGTAAATCCAACTAACGGTGATACTGGATCTGCAATACAGAAGCGAAGACATTAGTAGAGATGCGATGCAAGCGCAGCCTTCACGGGCCCCCCACTTCCGTTTCTCGCTTGCTGATTGCAGACTCTGAAGCTTATTTTTGGCCTTTGCGACATCATGGGATGCTGTTCGCAGAGGACATGTCTTCGATGATTCGAGGAGGCGTACTGCGAAGGATTGCATAGGTAACAAGATGACAGGAGCCCTACCGTGAGGCAGCAATATAACCATGACTCCTATGAGGGCTACAACTTTCTAGGAGAGCAGCAACGCCCTATCAAAGCGTTGAGGCCCAAGACTCAAAGCGCCTCACTTCTCCACACATACGCGTTCAATGTGACGAGATGTGATGGGCTTGTTAGTTCATTCTCAGCACAACCAGCAACTACGATTGTCACGATGGGTATGCAAGAGATTCTCGGGACAAAGTATTAACATTCGTTGGGTATCTATCTGATGGGGTATCATAAAAGGGAAAGCGAGTCAGCCTCGCTTAATGCAAAAACCGCGCCGCGCAGGAAATGCACACAAATCCCAGCAAGAGTCGTCCGATTCGCGGAACGGGGGTATCAATGCTGGACGCCTGCAAATGCTCAAAAAATATCACAACGCTTCCTCCGTTCCTACTCGTCTGTCATCCCTTTCGTACGGTCCTCTTATTCACCGTAGGGTGCGGTAGTGATCCCGACTCCGCGTCTTTCATGGTCATCAGGTCTAGATTCCTCCTTCAAGGAGGGTTGAACAAGTAGGGTTGAGGTGCTTGACCATGTGATCAACTTCGAAACGTGTCGCGCGATCGTCACGTGGTGATAACGAAACGTGGCAACGTTTTGGTGCGTTGGCGCGATAGTGAGTGAGGCTGAGTTGAGACGGCAGCCGAATAAACGCCGTGATGCGGAAGGCGTGATGATGAGATCACGACCACGACCACCGATGTCATAAAAGAGAACGAGTCTCCATGACAACACACGAGGATGGGCCAGCCAGCCGATTGCGCCTCATGACAGCAGCCACCTGCCACGCAGGTCGCCGACGCGTGCGATGAGGCGCGCGCTACGTGTATGACGTCGTCTTCAAGAAAATACTGGAAAGTGATGTTAGCACTGCAATGCTATTCGGTGTTTCTGTTCAACTTACATTGCCACTAAAAGTGTTTTCCGTCTTGGTAGAATTGCTCACTCGACTTGCTCGGGTGACTCAGAGATGGGAGTCATAGGCTTGGAAGCACGACGCTGCTTGCGCCCACTGCTGCGCCTTCGCTCGCTCTTGGACTTCTTTTCCGAGTAAAGAGGTGGCAGAACTGGGAATGCCTGGGACACTGTTGGCTGTCGAGGCGGTGCAGGTGCTTCCTGGAGGAATGGGATTGCGAGCTCGTCATCGAAGTCCTCACCGAAGAGATCGGCATCGCTCAGGAAGGAAGAAGGCGGGCTGCGGTATCCAAGCGAGGCACTCTTGGGCCATGAGGGGAAAGCACAGGATGCACCACGGCTTGAGTTGGACTCGAAAGAGTAGATGCTGAAGATGGATTCAGACGGTGACGCCATGGTCCTGGGAGAGATGGAGATGGGGAAGGACTTGGATGGCGAGGAACTTGGCGAAGTTTCGAAATGCATATTGTGATGTGAAGTTGTGGGCTGTGTGTTGTGGAGAAAAGGACGGGTAGATCTGGTTTGTATATACACCCAACGGTGGTTATCGGCCGAATACGGTTGTGTCGAATTTTATCGTTGTGGTAATAGTGCGGAAAGTGAACCGAGGCCGGCGAGATGACGACGATGCAAGAAAGCAAGTAGCGGGACTCCCGAAATGGCAACGTTGTCCTTGATTGGCAAAACAGCGATCTGGGGTCTCAGGTCTGCAACGTGGGGACGATACGGTTAAATAAGTCGATCAAGGGGCGGGTGTCAGGAGTCCGAGAAAGTGTCTCGAATAATGAATATCATATGGTCTGGATGGGTAGGGTGCGCGTGGCTCCGTTATATCTCCCGCACGCCACAGCCCGATCAATGAAACGCGATTATCATTTGTGTCGGTGAGAGGACACCGCTTCTTTGATGGGAGAGCGTAGATTGGACGCATGCACAGGCCGCCCACCGCTGTTTGCGCTTTTGGCGTCCACGACGACGCCCCGTCCGTTGCTACTAGAATAACCCCGGCCATCGGGACTCGAGACCGCGCTTCATCTCCCGCACCTGGGAGCTTGAGGCGATGAGGCGATGACTCGTCCACGCGGTCAACAACCAACAACGTGTCATGCTGAGCAGCTCGTTGTCCTTGCAGCCTGACACTCGCCAGGGCGATTTTGCAAGCCTTTTGCGTCAACACCCCCCCTGAGTCACCTTTTCGCGTTACCACCTGGAAAAAGCAGCTCGCTATCGTATCGTACCGCAACGCGATCGGCATGTCACAGCACTGTCCCCCACGGCACAGTCACGCCTCGTCCGCATCCGCGCCGACCTGGCTCCCACGCGTTGCTCAAACCAGTAACGCTAACCTGATGATCGCCTTCGGGGGTTGTGGGATGTAAACCTTCCACCATTCTGCCCTTTGCGTTTGTGCTTCCTAATGCGGATTTTTAACGTCCGCGCTCCGGCTTCTCCATCCGCGCGCCGCGACTTGTTTACATCCGCCGGCAGAGCCTCGCCATAAGCACAGACATTCAAAACAAACTCCGGCTATCGATACCGCGTGTTAGACTTTCTGTTTGTATTGATCTACGCGTGGGGCACCCATCTCAGGACAATGAAGCTGCTACGAGCAGTTGGAACGAAACAGTCCGAGCCATCGAAAATCGACCGCCGGTTGTTTACCTTCTTCAGTAGCCGTTCAACCGACAACCTGGGGTATACCACTAGATCTGTTTGCACGTGCTCTCAAACTCCACTCCTAGCGTCCGATATCAATTCTAGTCTCCGTGATCTATCACACGCGTTCACAGGTAAACTTCGGCGGTACTTTCCCAACTTCAAAGCGAGGTTACGGCACTCGTGAGGCTGACTTCACACGAGTTGGCGTACACCCTCGCGTGCACATGCAATCACAAGGCGATGCGAAAGCACACTCGCAACCATCAGATCCGCAACTTCATAAGCCAAATCTGCTGTTAGTTTGATTACGCGGCAGCTTGGCTGATCAATCATGACACCTGTATGGTTGGGTAGAAATCGATGGTGTCGAGTAAGACGCAGTCAGCATACTCTCACCTTCGCATTCGCACACCCTTTCGCGTTCAATACATCGTGTGAAGAAGGAAGCAAATGCATTCGTCGCTATATTAAGGCGCATCTAGCCTGCTTCTACCGGTGTCACATACCAACTCCACGTTTTACTTCCCCAGCTTACATTCATTCTGCCGGCCTGGGCAGGTTTCAACGGTGCATTATGATATTGAAGTGAACGGACGATTCTCACACACGTAGCGGACATATTGACGCATGGAATGTTCTTAATGTTCCTTCGAGCTAGCAAATACACAAACATGTGCACGACTCATCGTCAGGAGTTCCACATGCGCCCTCGTTCACTCAGCCCCTGAAAGCACGTTTACATCTAAGAAAATTGCACAGGTCCATACAAGGTCTTCTCTCGAACATGCGAACGGGGATCTGGCATAATCTCCACGCCGTCAGCGTTTTCAAACGGACAATGCACACACGTGGCGGAGAAGGTTTGCCCGCACGCAGGGCAAAACCCCCTAGGTATCAAATCTCAGAAGGGTGGAAAGAACAAAGAAACAACCCTTCCGCGCACCGGGCCGTTGAACAAAGTTCACGATGGCGTCTTCTGTGACGTTTGAAACATGTCAAAACGATTCAGCGTGCCAAAGGACATTGTTCGCCGCATGCAACCAGCCCTTTGCAGCAACTCTGCCTTTGCTGTTTCGCCATACGCGCGGTCGCTGGGCAGCTAAAATGAAGTTTTTTTGTTAGCTTGGGTTTGTTTTTCCATAGACCGAAGTTGCCCCATGGAGCATATCTGAAGGTGTACCGGTATCTATCCGGTATCTACCCCAGTATGCGATTGCGGTGACGTTGGAGTCCTACACGTGGGCAATTCAGCCGACAGGTCTTTGCAGACATGGGTAAGATGAGTAGGAGCCTTGCGGCGGCGGGGAAGCGGAATGAGGCGTCTTCTTTACGGAAATTTGGGCTCATGAATTCACGAGTCGCGGGTTTACTCGAGTCGCGGGCTTACTCGAGTCGTGTGCCTACTCGAGTCGTTCACGGAAGGTGCGTAACATCCGCGCTTCGTTAACTTGTTACGAATTGTCGATTCCATCCATGCAAGTAATTCATTCGAAAAAGACCCATAGTGTCCAGAGCCTGGATTTTGGATATCCCAAAAAGGTAAGAAAATCCACATCTTCCCACTTTGGTAATGTATCCGCTATCACATATTGATGCCCAGTGAAAATCCCTTCCAAGCTTTGCAACGGCTTTCCAGAACCCCCGCGTACCAGGCTAGATAGTCACTGTGACTCGCGAAATGAGCGGCTTGCATGCGCACTTCCCCGTACACTGTACTCGGGGCCTATTCTTCCGCATGTGCAAACATCGCAAGGGCGGAGATACTCCGCCTACGCCACCAATGGAGAATCATCTTCAGCTTCGAGTAAGCATCTCCTATCGATTGAGCGGAGACATGGAACATTTTCGGAGCAATGAGTGGGCAAAGGAAGTGGAGTAGCCGCCTTGTCAATCCCGCACACTTCCATCTCTCCGGACTTCGGTTCTCGTCAAACTTCACAAGGCTGACATGCACATGTTCATGCAACCGTAACGGTGCTTCTGACAGCTGTCATTAACTGCTCCGGCTCCAGTTCATACTGGCCATGAGACTAAAAGCAATCTCACATGGCTATTCGCAAACTAACTATAATATACCCCGCGAAAACGTCTCCCGCTCATCCAGATCAAATAGACCCGAACCGTCCTCCGGTCCGTCTAGATATCACCATCAATATACAAGCGTAACACCACGCTGCTAAGCGGTGAGTTGTCCGATGCGCCCAAAACGCCAACGGCGGGATGTTTGCAAGCTGTACAACCATGGATCCCGCTGTTCAATAAACTTGACCGCATGAGTTGTCAAACGCGAAACAAGCAAGTAACAACAACGCAATGAGGCGAGAAAAGGAGTCATCAGACTTTTCCACCCGCGTTGTCAGGTTCTCACAACAAACCGTCAGCGTATGTGTGACAGCACCCAGTCAAGAAACGATAAGCGCTCTGCTGTTACGCCGTGCGTGCGTGCGTGCTCCGCCCACGCGGGGCACTCTGGAGACAGTCACAAGCCAGAGCGCGAGCGGACAACAGCGGGCGGTAGGTAGACATATACCATCCAACCATTTGAGCACGTATGCAGCCTTGAGGACTCATCGAGTGCATCTGATTCCGCCCTGTGAGCCGCGTGAGCCACGGCGCCCCCCATCTCCGCGACGATCAGTTTCCCAGGAGGGGCAAACCGAGGCGCCCACTTTAACCCCACGGCGCTGATGGAGAACCTCCACTTCAGACTCCACGCTCGCTCACAAGACCCTGAGGAGGTTCTGAACAGCACGATCGACAACTACCAGGGTTCTGAATATTTTCGGTAGATTTCGGAGGAGCTCTTGGTGTGATGTCACTGTGGGGTTTTGTTTGCACATGCTGCTTCGGAACTGGCAGGTTGGAGTCGTGGATGCACGAGAAAAAGATCACATGTGGGTTTGCTATCGGGTACTGCTTCGTCAGACCTTCTGGTGTAGTATTTGGCTAAAGCGGTACTTAGCTGCTGCCTGTTAGATGACTTGAGGTATCCACAAATCAACAACACAGGTCTGGTGAATTAACTTTCGCAGATATACTTGCCAGACTCGGCGTATCAGAACATAGTTTATACTACATTGCTCATTTACTCAAGACAGAATACCAAAGCTTTCGCGGAATCCAGACACATACAAGATTAATGTCCCCACTGGCTGCCAGCAAGACGACACGTTACAACATGACTTTATCGAACTCAGTCTTCAAACCTTACAGCACGGAGTTTCCGTCTCGTCTTCCGAGAATCTCTCCAAGAATCTCTCCAAGATGCAAGGTCACATCGCATGTAAAATTTTGCGCCACACAACGCACAATGTCAGGATGTTCATGTATGTTCGTTGTACATTTTTCTACCAAAGGGATAGCGCTCATGCTCATGTCTATACTGCATCCACTCTATTCAACACCCAGCTGTGTGCCCAAGCCAGTTTCACACACACATGCCCGCAAGACTCCAGAAACGCCGTTGCTGTACCCAACACATCCGACCGCCATGCATTTCCATCTTCTATTCTACTCCCATGCAAATAACTCATATCCCAAGGTAGTATTTCCCGCGCTCGTATACGTAGAAACTCGCCGCCGCCATGGGCACAACCTTGATGTATCCTATCGACAGGCCAACAAAGTACCCTCTCCATCCGCGCTCCACATATATCCTCTTCGCGACCTCGGCAATGCCCATGCGATGCCCGTCGCCTACTACACCGCCGACTTGCATCCGTCGTCGGATGACTTCCAGTGGGTATGAAATTGTTTGCGCGACGAAACCTGCGACACCTCCGGCGCTAAGTTCTGCCCAGTAGCGCAGCTGCGCGGGCTTTTGTGTTGTTATGGTGGATTCTTCGCGTGATGTATTGGGGAGGGTGGTGTATGCCGAAATGCGGGCATGACGCAAGAGGTCGGACATGGTGTCGTGTGCTAGAAACGATGCGCCTGCGTATGGCACCATTCCAAGCAGCGTGGGTGTGAAGCCGCGGAAGAAGTTGGACAGGCCTGATTGCGGAGTGACCTTTTCGACGACGGTGGAAGCCGTTGCTGTGAGGGCGTTTGTTGGGGTGTGGGCTGTTGGGGCGGCTGTTTCGCTGTATATCTTGCGAACTATCGAGGAGAGATTGCTTTTCTGCTCCACTTTCGTCTCGAAGGCTAGCCGTACTCTGATGACTTCTAGTGGGTAGGTGCAGAAGACTGATGCCATGCCTGCCAGACTCCCGCTCACAAACCTCCTGCCTGGTGTTTCCTGAGCCTTGGTCGGGATAATTACGGCGCGTATCTGCTCGTAGGCAAGAAATTTTATGCCCGCGTAGGGAAAGATGCGGAGGAGAGTCGCAGAGTGACCTTTGAAGAGCCCCGCCAGGCCAGCTTCGAGGTAGATGTCGCGCATGGCGGTCGGGAAGCCTGACCAGGAGCCTGCATATTTTTCAAACTGGGGGTTGCGAGTCTGGAAGAGGATCTTGACACGGTCAAGTGGGCCGACTAATGTTTTTGCCTGGACAGTCCTTCTATTAGCCTCCTGTTCCTCGTTGTGGTAGAGGGTCGCATGGTGCGTGTAGCGTTAGGAATTTGTAACGTACAGCACATCCGGCAAGACCGCCTGCGAGCATACTCTTCATGAGATATTCGGGGCTCTGCTTGTCCACCTTCCTCTTTCTCCCCTCGGCCCCATCTACACGCTTCTCCTGCTCCTTCCTCGCTGACACGATCGCGTCACCATCGCTGGGAAATGGCGGCGGATCTCTCCCATTTTGCACCGCAGTTGTGGTCATGTTTCTGAAATCGTCATGGCGGGTAAGGAAGGCGTAAGGTGTCGCGTGTTGATTAGAAAAGCGACGGCGGGTTGTGGACGGTGATGACGTGCCGAGGTGAACGGCAGCGGATTATTTTCCGGACTCTTTGGTTAGTCAGGAAAGCCGGAAGTAGGTTACAGCCAAATCTTGCCACACTTTGACACTACAGACAAGTTTAGTACAGAACTCAAGTGCCTCAACTGCTAGTATTCGCCAAACATAGATGGTTCGTAGCATTTAATCCTAATATTTTGCTTCGTCTTAGTGCTACAGCTTTCCCGACCAACCGAGAGCCGCGTTTCAGTCCGATGCTATGCGCATAGAATTTGACACCTCGAGATCATGTAAGGTTCTTTGCTGTTGATGACGACATCGGCGTGCAGATAGTCTTTGAAAACATCAAGGGTAGCCCAGACGCACTAAGCATGATAGACTTCTAGGGGAACAGACATCTGAAAGTCTGCCAGGATGGTCTCCCTCGAGTCTGACTGGTATGTAGATTGGACATCTGTAGTCATGGGCCCAGAGCTGCTCGTGCGAGAGAGGGGATACAGAGAGATGAGGAGTCGGAGAGACACCCCCTACTCGCTGCCTCCATTTTACCACGCACGCACCGGTCAACACCTCTGCTTGACATGACACTCAGCCACAACGCCACAGGCTTTCTCGCTCATTACCCATGCGCTGCCTCCAGTTTAAACGCACGGTGGGCATGCTGAGCAACCTCCAACTGCTTGACACGAGATATCACTCTCCGCAGCTTGCATCAACCGCGCGAAGGTATCTGAACGACCGCCTTCCATTTCAGCGGAACGCATCCTCGCCTCGAAAAGGTTTGATTTAGCATATGTTGTACCAGCTCGAGAAGTACGTCATCATACTCCGATATGTTCTCCTTATGCTACTTCATGATTGATTCCAAGACAACAAGTGTGAGACCGAGGTTGTTAACAGGGCGATCGTAGACTTGACCGATGAGATCTTAGAACATCCAGTCTTCGGTCAGTACTTAAATATTCCAACTTACTGGAGCAGGGGCACAATCCACAATTGGATTACAATTAGGTCGTCTTGGATTAAGATACTCCAGAAAAATGACACAAACGATTTCTTATCTAGAAGAAAGTATTCCCAAGCTCTCTTGTGGTCCAGCTATGAAGTGGGTGCCTGATGGAATCTCTTGTCCTGATATTGTAACTCTCCCAAAGGTTCGACTTCCTCATGACTGCAAGATACTAGATGCGTCTTCCCAGTCCTCTTTGTTTGGATAGGTCCTCGTTGAGCCAAGCATCGCCAGAATCTCTTGTGTTGTATGGGATATTGGCGTAGGTCTGTCGGTCACTACACGTACAGCAGTAAACTGAGCTCCGACCAACCTCCTGCGGGATCCTTGGCCATCGGGTTCTTTTCCTGCCAGCCCAGCCTCAAGAAGGCGAGGATCTATCACTATATTTTCCAGTGCCTCTACACCAGTTTGTTTGTGCTTCTATCTCCGCTCGTTTTGTGATGAGCGTAGTACTGTTGGGGTACTCTCAAGACACTTACACTTGGTGCCTTATCCTTGCTTGCCATCACGATATGACCAAAACTTGCTAGAGTTTTGCAGGCTATGCGCTCGTTACCACCAAAGCCAAACACAAATGAGGCTGGGGTTGACGTTAACCAGACTGATAGCGACAATGGCAGCAATAACAAGGACACCGACACTGGCTGTAATAACTAGAACGACCAGGATGGGGAGGAAGAAGACAACGACGAGGATTACGACGAGGACGACAAAGACGAAGCAGATGATCGACAGCTGGAGGCATTCGACATCCTCCCACAAAACAGTATCGTGTATGTGAACGCTGGAGCAATATCACTGTATGACCAGGCGCATGCTCTACGGGCATGGGCTAGTTTGCTACACGCATCAAAGCAACTTGCCCGTCGTCTTCCCAGCCTTCAATCATCCTCCAACCATGCCCCGCGTGGGATGATGTTTGTTAGAAGGGTTACAACTCTATGCATACACATTTACGAAATTGCTGTATAATGAATATGACAGAAACTACTTTAGGCTAGACATGTATTGGTAGTGTTTACAACATATAAATTCTACCCAAATCTCGCCTGTATTTGTCTGGCTATTTGGAAATTTCGCCACACGCTAGTCCTGGTATCTCGACTACCTAATCGAGACCCGGATTTGATAATACAACGACAACAAGAGGGGGCGATGCAATAAAAGTCACGTTCAATCTTACCATTGTTACCAGTATCACATAGCACCCTAAGATTAATATGAGGAGTTAATTGAGACAATGCCAAGTTTTCCACATCATTCCGCCCGATCCTTTCCCAGAACAACCGCCTTGTCTCAACAACAACAAACAGTCAAAAACAGCCATGCAAAGGACCCCACGCAGTGCAATCCTCTACCAAAACGCAGAGCGCGACATAACACTCATCGACATCCCCACATCGATAGCCCTGGCCCAAGGGCGCACAGACACGCTCCTCTCAACCGCACCTTTAGAATCACCCATCGCGCTAAAAGATGACTACCGGCCCAAAACACAAAAGGCAAAGGTAAACAAAGCTCAGGAGTCTTCCGACACAGCGCAGCATATCGAATACAAAGCCATTATCGAGCGGGCACTTGTTGAAATCCGGCAAAATGTCTCAGGCGCGTGGTGCGCACCGCGTAAGCTGCAGGCCCAGGTCTCAGAGCATGGGGATAGTGACACGCATTTCGAAGAGTTGGAGAAAGAGCTGGAACGCCGGATGAGAGAGTGGGCTACGTGGACTGAAACAAAAGGAGATGATGTCGCGTTCGATCTCCAGCGGATGATGGCTTCTCTCGGCGCGACCCCCGAGTCTGATACAACACCAGCAGGAGACGCAGCGACACAAACATGGACAGTAAGGTACCAGCCATCCCCGAGCGAAACCCCCGCCACAGAAGAACCACCCCCCCACGACGAGCCATGGACATCAACGTTCCACAACCCAGACGCCCACCCCCTAGCCCTCACCATCTCCCAAGCACAAACCCCCCCGTCGTCATCCTACAGCTTCACCATCCCACCCCACTCCACCCTCTTCCTCAGCAACACAACCCACTCCTCCGCCTTCCGCGCCTCCTTCCGCGACCTAACAGCAACCTACACACTCCCCCGCCACTTCGACCTCGTGCTCCTCGACCCACCGTGGCCCAACCGCTCTGCCAAGCGCAAAGGCGCATACGAGCAAATCGGCGGGATGCCGTACCTCATCCGGATGCTGCGACGGATGGACATTGCGCGGTACCTGGAGCACAACGCGCTAGTCGGGGTGTGGATCACGAATAAAGCATCCCTACGCGCGCACGTACTAGGTCTGTTCGAGGCGTGGAACGTCGGGCTGGTGGAGGAGTGGGTGTGGGTCAAGACTACGACGGCGGGGGCGTGCATGTTCGAGCTCGGGGATGACGGGGCGGGGCGAAGGCCGTATGAGGTTCTGCTGCTGGGGCGCGCGGCGCCGAATGCGTGGACGAGGATGGTGCATGTGGAGGTGGTGAGGAGGAGGGTGGTTGTTGCGGTGCCGGATGTGCATTCGCGGAAGCCGTGTTTGAAGGAGATGCTTGAGGGGTATGTGCGTGATAAGAGGGATTATGCGGCGCTGGAGGTGTTTTCGAGGTATTTGGTTGCTGGGTGGACGGCTTGGGGGAACGAGGTGTTGAAGTATAATTGGGATTTGTATTGGACTGGGGGGGATCGGCCGGTTGAGACGAGTCTGGCTATACGGACGGTTTGACATTTATATGCCATCCAAGCCAACCAACAAGTGTTAAGCATTCCTTGAGTATCCTACACCAACCCATACAATCACGTGCCATCTAACCCATGATGTCACCACTTCTACTGCAAAACACCATCCCAACCCATCCTCTCCCGTCTCCTCCCAACCCACCAACAACAGCAATGCCCAAACCCTGCACCCTCTGCGCCACCCCCCGCCCGATCCTAATCCGCTGCCGAATCGACGAGTCTCTCACCTGGCACTTCGTCTGCCCCGGCTCATGCTGGAGGAAAGTGTCCGGCGGGGTCGAAGACGCGCGGGGGATGGAGGCGCAGTTCCCGTGGTATGTGTATGGGGGGATGGTGAGTTTGTTTTCTTCTTCTTCTTCTTTCTTTTGTGTAGGGGGAGGGTGGGTATGGGGGTGTAGATGTGGGGATATGGGGATGTTGGCTGATGATCATGTGTGTGTAGTGGAAGGATAGAGGGCCTGATGGGCCTGTTAGTGCGAAGAAACCGAGGAGGGTGAAGGAGAGGCAGAGGGTGGAGAGGAGGGGGAGGGAGGGGGGGAAGGGAGGGGATGGGGAAGGGAGAGAGGAGGATGTGGAAGGTGAAAGGGAGGATGGGGATGGGGATGGGGATAGGGAATTGAGAGAAGAGGATGGAGTGCGAGATAATCAAACATAGTGATGAAAAGACGGCGATACAGAGGATTACGAAAAACAGTTTTTTCTCTCATCAGAAACACAGGTAATTTTAGAGCATCCATGTTTACAGCTTAAAGCCTGCACAACTTGCTGAGGTTGTCAAGTCTTATACGAGGTCTTCAAAGCTGGCAACACAAGTATGAGTATACATATCGTTGATTAATCACTACCTACGTCAATATTCCCTGTCGAGCTATCCCAAGATATGGCTTCTCACCCTCACAATCATACCCAGCTATCATACCTCATATCGCATACTTCCATGCCGATACCCCAAAACCCTCTCAATGCCTCTTCTTCCAATTCCCATGGCAATGTCCATCTGTAATGCATACTCCCACAGATAGCATGTTGTAGATGTAGACTGTCAAAATGCTATGCAAGACACCTGTCATCTGATAAATATATCGGTGTAATCGATATCTGAGATGTCGTGATGTCGCCGTGCTGAATTGGTTTCAAGTCGCCATGTTCCATACTCGTGGTTCGCAGAGTCTTGATGATACTTCAACTCGAAGCTCAGGTTGCGGCGATACTACTGGCAGCAGGTGCGGGAGTAGGGGGAGCTGCTGCGGGCGTAGCTGGTGCCGAATCGCCACCTCCTGTGACCGGACCGGCTGCGACATGGCCACCCCTCGCACCGCCGCGTCCACGTCCACGAGGTGCGAAGCTACCGCGACTAACTGAACCACCACGAGCAGGTCCCGTCGGAGGCCCGGTGAACCGTGGATTGCGGGCGACCTTTTCCTTGCGTTCGAGCACCTGGACAGCGCCCTGGGCGATCTTGATAGGACTAGCGGCCATGGCCTTCTGCAAGCCCTCTGGCTCAACAAAATCGACATAGGCAAACCCTTTGCGCTTGTCAATCTCCACCTTCTCAATGGCTCCAAAAACCTTCAGGGCCTCCTCAATGAGTGGCTCGGTGATGCCCTGGGAGGGGTTGGCGTGTTTGAGGAACGACTGTCTGCTGGTAGGGGAAGGGACTGGCGGGGCTGCTGTAGTCCTTGGAGTGGGTTTGACTGAAGGGGCTGGAGGCGCGGGAACAGTCTTTGTTGGAGTTGCTTGTGCGTGTGTGGCAGCGGGAGGTGCCCTGGCAGCGGCGGGCTCGGTGGGTGGAACTCGTGTAGCAGCCGGGCCCTTGGGAGCTGTGGGAGTCTGCGCAGGCTGAGGCTTCTTCAGTATCTGAGGAGCTGGGGCCGTTGCAGCCTTGGTTGGCGTCTGGGTCTGTGTCTTTGTGTCGTCTGGAGCAGCCTTGTTGTTGGGCTTGTCGGTCAAGGTGGCCTTGAATGCACGGCGCTCGGCGCGGGTAGGACGTTCCTTCCTGGGAGGTGCTTGCGCCGCCTTTTCTGGGGCTGGCGTGGAGGGTGCCGACGGGATAGAGTTTTCCTTGGTCTTTTGATCTGATGTCGTGGTGTTCTTGCTCGGAGTGCCGGCCTCTGGGACAGCAGAGGCGACCTCGCGCTTGGTACCACGTCGACGGCTGGGAGCAGGGCCAACGCCGAGGTCGCGTTGGAGCATCGACTTGGCAAGTGCAACATTGCCGCGCTTGCGCTCTGGGGCGGGACTGGCAGAGGCCTTGTCGGTGGCACTATTCGCAGCTGCCGCTTTCGACGACGCTTCCTTGTTCAGGATCTTGACTGCCTCTTTGGTTGCTTGGGTCTTGTCAGCCTTGCCGAGTCGGCGGTTCTTGTCTCCTGCATTGAGCGCGTTCTCCTTGCCAGGCTTGGCCAGAATCTTCTTGTCGGCGGGGTCGTCTTTGGCGTCTCCACGGGCGTTCTTGGAAGCTTTGGTGACGGGCTTGTCCTTGTTTGCCTTGCGCTCTCGCAGCGCTTCGATCAGAGGCGTGGTCTTGACTTTTTCTCCCTTCTGCGCATCGCTCTCAGGGGCGGCGGGCTTCATGATGGGGTTCGTCAGACTCTCCAAAAAGTCCTTGAACTCCTGGTCCTGGTCAATGGTACCCTGTCGGTTGTCGTTCCTCCGCCGTCCGCCGGGCATCTTGGGGTAGGGGGCGTATTCGAGCGTGGGAGGGCCGACGAGGGCGGGGTCCTGCCAGGACTTTGCGGCATCCTGAAACGTGGCGGCGCGGACGTGGTCGCCGAGCAGCTTGACGTGGTCCTGCTTGGTGACGTGGAAGTAGGCCCTGGCTGGCTTGGAGGGTTTGGCGACGCTGTGGGGGGATTAGAGCAGGCACGGCGGACGCGGTGGAGGGACGCACTCTTTGGAGATCTTGCCCTTGCGGTAGTTGAGCCAGTCGACCTTGCCCGCGCCGGCCTTCCACTCGTCGCCCAGGACGGCCTCGAACTCGGCCCTGGTCATGCCCGGGGGCAGGCGGCGGCAGATGAGCTTGAGGCGCGGCTGGGCAGCCTTGGGGCCGCGGGGGGGTTGCGCGGGGGCGTTCTTCTGCAGGACTGCGACGGGCAGGACGCCGTTGATGCCGGCCTGGGGGGGCATGTTGGGCGGTGGTGGTGGTGGTGGAGGTGGAGGCGCGAAGGGCGGGATGTTGACCAGTGTTTGTGTGGGTGTGATTGTGGGACACAGGGACAATACCGTGGTTCAGCACGCTTATCGAGGGCGGCCAGGCTTATCAAGGGCTGTCGAGCGACGGAGGAGGGGCACGGCGGGTGTTTGTAGGGGCGCGCATTGGACGCGACTGCTCTCGACGGGCAGACAGAAAGTCGGGCAATGACGGTGGTGGGCGGGAAGGGCAGCGGCATGCAGGTGCAGGCCCAGCACGACTTCCATGTGGGACGGCACCGCACGTCGGGCAGCCAACCACCGAGGGCCAGGCGCAGATGCACCGCCAGCCGCGACCAGCACCCAGCTCCAGCAGCCAGCTCCCGCATCCACCGCCGGCCAGCTGCCTCGCTCTCTGCCCTGCCCTGCCCTGCCCGAGCCTGCACGCCCTTTGTTCGCGCGGCCCGCCGTCCATGATAGCGCACACCTCGACGACGTCACGCCCCCGACCCCCGCCGTCGCCCCAGAGCCCCCTCCTGCCAGCGTCGACTGCTGCCCCTGCCGCTCTGTGAATAGCTTGTGAAGATGCCCAAGGACAGCGACGTGCCGGTGCCCGGGCCTGCGCGCCTCGCAAAGGGCGCCGGGCCTGACGAGTGGCTCGAGCAGGCCAAGCAGTGCAAGTACCTGCCCGAGGCCGACATGAAGCGTCTGTGCGAGATCGTCAAGGAGTGCCTCATGGAGGGTGAGTCCCCGCCCAGCTGCACCCACGCCCCCGCCGCCGACCAGCCTGTCCTGACCCGCTGCCCCCAGAATCAAACATCCAGCCCGTCCGCACCCCCGTCACCGTCTGCGGCGACATCCACGGCCAGTTCTACGACCTGCTCGAGCTGTTCCGCGTCGCCGGCGGCATGCCCAGCGACGCTCCCACGGCCCCCATAAGCGTGCCCGTAGCCCTGCCCAAGAAGATCAACCCCGCCGACCTCGAGCCGCCCACCAGCATCACAGATCCAAAAGTAAAGCGCAAGATGAAGAGGCGCTTCCAGCGCGACCCAAACTACATAGGACCAGCGAGTCCTCCAGAAGGCGACGAAGAGGTTGACGACGAAGAGGAGGAAGAGCGGGGCCGAAGCAGGAGTGTCAATGACCGCCGCAGTTTTGGGTCAACATCAGACGCAGGCGAGACGCGAAACACGGTCGTCGGCAACGGCCAGCAGAACTTTGTTTTCCTCGGCGACTTTGTAGACCGAGGGTACTTCAGCCTGGAGACGTTTACACTCCTGATGTGTTTGAAAGCAAAGTAAGCATGCCAGCTCCCCTCGACACACCCACAGCTGACACGCCCAGATTCCCCGACAGGGTAACACTCGTCCGCGGAAACCACGAGTCGAGGCAAATCACCCAAGTGTACGGCTTCTACGAGGAGTGCCAGACCAAGTACGGCAACGCCTCCGTCTGGAAAGCTTGCTGTCAAGTCTTCGACTTCCTCGCGCTAGCCGCCATTGTAGACGGCAAGGTCCTGTGCGTACACGGCGGACTGAGCCCGGAGATCCGCACACTAGACCAGATCCGCGTCGTTGCGCGGGCCCAGGAGATCCCCCACGAGGGCGCCTTCTGCGATCTCGTCTGGAGCGACCCCGAGGAAGTCGACACATGGGCTGTATCGCCGCGAGGAGCGGGATGGCTGTTTGGCGATAAAGTGTCTTCGGAGGTACTTACTTTACTCTCTTCCCACATTACATTGCACGTCCACACCCACTAACACCACGCCCCAGTTCAACCACGTAAACGGTCTCCAGCTCATCGCCCGCGCGCATCAACTCGTCAACGAAGGCTACAAGGTACGTCATCCCCCTCCCCCCTCCTTCCCTCGAAACCCACCATCACAAACCCATCTTCTAACACTCGAGTAGTACCACTTCAAAAACAAAGACGTCGTCACCGTCTGGTCCGCCCCCAACTACTGCTACCGCTGCGGAAATGTCGCCTCCATCATGAACCTCGGCGAAGACCTCAAGCAGGAATTCCAAATCTTCAGCGCTGTCCCCGATCATCGGCGCGCTGTGCCTGCTGGCCGTGGTGGGCGGGGAGAGTATTTTTTGTAGGCGAGATGTCATGATCGATTATGTCGATGATGGGAGATGGGTTGGGTTGGGTTGGGTGGGGATTGTGCGACTCCTTGCACTGCTTTGGCGGTGGCGTGGAAGATATGCCTCGTTTTTGTCTGCATGGAAGGGAGGGGAAAGTAGGAGGGGTTGTTTGGGAAAGGGATTTGGCATATGTGGAGGAGGAGGAGGAGGATGAAAGAGGCGACTATGGAATTGTTGTCAAAGAGGAAATGAATACCCAGGGATGGATGACTTGATGAGACGAACACACACACACACATAAACAGACGGCACTGGCACTAGCACTGGCATTGGCACCTCTTGGGGAAGAACGGCCCCTTGTACGATATCTGCAATGATTGCGTTTGTACGTAGAAATACGCTTTTCTACTACTCTTGCTCGTTGACCACATGAATGTGAAAACGTGTTTCGTCATTTAATTGATTCATTGATTCGTTCATTCATATATCCAGTCATTGCCTTCCTCGTACCCTCAACTTCCAACCCAAGCCATCACAAACCTACACATACTCCCTCTCGACATAACTCTGCACCATGCCCTTAGGCGTCGCCTCATACTCCACCAACTCAACCTTCCCCTCCTTCTCCACAGTATTAGCCTGCACAAACACCTTCCTCGGCGTCTTCTTCTTGAGAACCGCCGGCCGGACAAGATCCGCATAGAACGACTCCACATCCGTAATATCGTCGTACAACCTCTTCGCCGCCTTGAAATCCGCTGTACTCTTATAAACATGCAGCTTCTGCAGATAATCATCAACAGCCGGGCGTCCAAGGTCGAGGATACGATCGCGCTCGAGACGAATCGTGAGATCAGACAAGTCGTCGTTCTTCCACTCGAGCTCGCAGAACTCGACGCCGGCGTTGAGGAAGGTGCGCAGGATGGAGAAGCGGGCTTGCATGTGCGCCTGGCCCCACTTCCTGCTCTTGGGGTCCCAGAACTCGAGGGCCGCGATGCCGGCGCGCGCCATCTGGAGGTAGGCTGTGAAGAGCACGTCGCCGGCTTCGCTGGCCATGTCGGGTGTGCCGTCGCCGAAGCCGAAGAGCTGCAGGATGGGGAATTCGCAGGAGAGCGCCATGGCGACGCATTCTGCGCGGCATTCTTCGTACGAGGCGGCGAAGGCGCCGAATACTGAGCCCCAGGTTTGGCCTGGTTTGTACCAGGTTGTGATTGGGCGGTGGGTGATGGGGGAGATGGGCGGGTTTTCTTTGTCGAAGTTGAAGACGCCTGGAGCCGTTTCTTGCAGGAGTTTGCCGCAGCCGTGGCCGAGGAGTTCGTGCAGGCCGACTTGCACTTCGAACGCAGGATCACGGTACTTTTGGTATGTTGCAAGATCGCTGTCTTTGATGAATGGGATTTGCTCGTTGGGGGCTTTGGCGGAGAGGATGTTGCCTAGAGAGACATTCTTGAAGCCGACGTTTTGGCGGATGTCGTCGTAGTTGGGAATGTTGATTCCTGCGGGGATACTATGGTCTGTCAATGCTGAACAGAATCATGAACCGACTTATCGGGAAGAGATGTGGATTAAGTCAGATGCACGACGAGCACTTACCCACTGCCAGCGAATGTGAGCACCTCCAAAGAGGTGAAGTCCGGACTGAGAAATGTGTCTTTCTCAAACGCCTTGTCCCAAGGTAGGAGCGGGATGTACTGTGGTGCCGTTTCTACAAGCTTGCCAAATGCTCTTGTGCGCTCCTTGTTCACCATGGCGACGAAGCCTTCCCACTCGCCTCGAATACCGTGTGGGTCTCGGTAGGTCTGCAAACGTTAGTTTAGGCTATCAGACTATTCGTCCAGTTACAATACCTCAATGAAACCAATGTCTGATTCGACCTGTGGCCCTTTGTCTTTGATCCACGCTCTCTGGCTCTCCTTGAAAGCCTCCAGTGAGCCAGTTCTAAAACTCTTTGTGTACTCCTCCATCATCTTTATCTCATTGTCGTTCGCGGCATACTTCTTCGCCTCGTTCGTGTGATGAGCGATAGTCTCCATCTCTTTTGCGTAATCGCCAAAAACCAACTTGACCTTCTTGCCATCGTCCAGCGTCCACTCGTTCTCCTTCAGATCCCTTTCGTCTGCGGATGGATCATCCAATGCCGACGCGATTAGGATCTCGAAGCCTTCACTTGTCTTCTGGATTCTGGTGTTTTCAGGCAGCAGACCCTTCCCTTCTAGGAAATCGCTGACGCTTGCAATCTCCTCCTTGGAGATGTCAGGGCTATCAGGGTAGTACGTCGACAAGTGTCCTGCACTCGGATATCCTAGATGCAGTTTCCCCATATCGTTGCCTGCATATATCGCATCCTTAAACTTCCCAAACTGCGCCAGTGCTTCCTTCGACACGGTGGCCAGTGCCTTTAGCTGTCTGGGCTCAAGTCGTGGTATGAACTTCGAGTCGCCGAATGACTTGTAGTTGCCCAGATTGCCCAGGAATTGTGCTGCATAGTTGAGGTACGCATCGATTTCCTCTTGCGAAAGGCCTGCTTCTTTGGCGAGGGCGGCATAGTCACCGTTGCTGTGCTTGTGCAGTGCGATTATAAAGTCATAGATGGGCTCGGATTCGGGGGAGATCTGACGCAGCACAACACGAGTTCCTGCAAAGCAGGCTCTGTGAAAGTATCAGCAAGGTAACATACGGTAATCGTAGGTGCCTTACATTGAGATGTGATGGGCATAGAGCTTCTCTTTGTCGGTCAACGCCTCGAAATGAGGTTTGATAGTGAGTGGAACGACACTGGGAGGGCTGTCGGCAAGGTATTGTTTGAGAGTTTCTGAATCTATGCTGGCAGTCATTTTGGCGTGAGATGATAGTTGCTAAACAGACACGCAGGAGCTGTAGCTGGAGACATCTGGAGCTCCAGTTGCGGGGTAGGTAGTGGACATGTGAGCACGCGTCGCGCTAAACTAGCGTATATTCATCTATCATTCGTCGAACTCCTGTCCACCATCTCCAAGACTCCAATAGGAGGCATATAAGGCATGATTGGATGTATGATAATGATCCCTAAAGGCAGTGGATGTCTTCTCCTAGCTCGTCGTAAGGCATATCAGCGGCGACATCAATACAGGATTCCTCGACTCGTAGGTTAGTAATAGGGTCAGTCCAAGCGTAGTCTTGAGGTCAAATGCATGATCTTGTTGCGCTTGAATGGTTTAAATATACGTTTTTTACATGCTACCCGGAGACGACACATGTCTGCCTTCATCCGTAGTCTCAGAACTACCATGTCCCTTCTCTATCCAATTCGTCCTTCTACGAAACATGACACAATTCGTTATGTCGGCACCAATGAGACGTGCAAAGCTGTCTTGAAGAACAATACCCAAACGCCAGTGCTAGATGCAAATGCACGAAATTTCTCCAACGCTATTTCCAACTCTTATCTTCGCTCTCCACTCGAGTCTTCTCTTGAATTGCATCTTCATCTAACCGAGTCTCGTCTCACACATCATCCCCTGATGTCTATGGCTCTGACACTTCTTCCTTCGACTCCCCATTATCATGCCCAGCCACATCGTCAATCACTTCTTTCGAAACACAGGATACTCCATCGGTCGTGTTCTTCTTCTTTTGGCTGTATGGAGTCCAGCGTTGGACAATCGCCTGTCGCTGTGGCTTGCGATTGTTGGAATTCGAGTTCTTGGATATGGACCCGTCGTCCATGCGTTTCCATTCGGTTTCCTTGCCATCAATATGATCTGAAATATCCGCATTATTCTCGTCTTCCCAGATCATCAAGTTTGTTCCGTTGATTTCGATCGATCGACCGCCTGTTCGAGGGACAAAAAATATATCGGATCCAGAGTTGGTGAAGTCTTGCTGCCACGTCTCTTTTTGTTGGAGCTTCAGGACGTAATCCATGGGTAGCGCGTATAATATGTTATCGTCCTTGTCGTAGAGCTCCTTCAGTGGGTAGTCGATACAAGCTATCCCATGGCTACAGTCGATTCGACTCGAAAGTGGATGTATGCGCCCACCAAAAACCTTCGTCTCAAATGCAATCCCGCTCTCGGTCCACATGTTGTCCCCAAAGAAGACTTCAGGCTCAGATAGCAAAGGATGTTCGTGGTGAGGACCAGAAACCTCACAGAAATGAGCAAGTTCGTGACTGAGGCAGATACCGAGGAACAGGTTGAAGCGTAACACCATGGCTGGCTCTCGATACTGCAACATACTGAGCTTCTTGGCCGTAGTATAGAAATCAGAGTGCAAACAAATACGACTCGTGTGACACTTGTGGTTCATCTTTCGCATTAAACCATTCTTGAAGTCTTTCACCAGAGCCATCGAAGCATACGCCGTCTCTGGTGGTAACGGATTCCGGTGGAAGAAAAAGTGAACAGCATCCAGCTGGTTTTCCAAAAAGTGTTTAAACGTCGCATGGCGTTCTTCCGACCAAGACACGTCCTCTCGAATACGAAAACATGGTTGTCCATATGCTTCTGAAGTCCGTTCGCATGCTTCTCGCTTGCCAAAAACCAGTGTGTGCCAGAAGTGAGCGGTGGCCTGAGATGTTAAAAACAAAGTCGCAAGTCGCATCCCAGGCTTCAACACTTCGTAGATATCATCTGGACAACCATGCCAATTCTCTAGACGAAAGATCGGATGAATCTCATTGTCAAGTGTGCAGACATGTGTATCAACGTTTTCGGCGAAGGTGACAGCTTGTTTCTTGATTAGCTCGATGGGGTCGAATCCTAGCTTGATAGCCTTGCGCTTTGAGACATCCTTGCGATGACCCAGCAGCCGTCGATACTTGTCAAGCGCTTTACGGTCTGCCACTTGAGCCAGGTGGTGGTTGATTGAGATCGACAGATGTAGGCTAAAGTCCTTCGATACCTCGATGGTCGACGGGGTGAACGAAGCCGAATTATCATAACTCAAGATATCCGGCAGATCACGGACAAGCTTGTCAATACACTCGTCCATGACTATGCCCTCTTTGAGCTTGTGGAGGAGCACGGCATTTTCGCCTCGATCGAGGGCTTGATACTCGCCTTCTCCGCCACCAGGCAGAAGATGGCGCAGTTTTTTCGACAAAGCAGGTGGAGGTCCACAATCCGGAGGAGAAGTTATAGACTCGGTAGGCGTCCAATCCATACTATCAGGGTCATGTTCTTGGAAAGCGACCTGCGCTTCGTCATTCTGTTCAAGATTTTCTTCATCAAGATCGACATGTCGGTTCAGCTTCTCCTCAATGAGCTGGGTCGTATGAAGCATCGCCGCATATGCCTCGCGGTACCGGAAGGGGTCCATTCTGAGTCGCTGTTAGTGTCCTGGCTTCGTTGGATCTAAAGACGTGTATTCGAAGTAGCTGTTGAGAATAGATTCAACCAGGCCGCAGGCATCAATCCCCAGCGTAAGTGGTGGGGACAACAGCAAAACGCGTTGATGTACCCATGAGGTCAATATCTGTTCCGGGACAATGCGTATTGTCTTGCTACGAATATTGTAATAATCAAGACCATCCAGACGATGCGCGTTGAAGCCCTTGGACTTGGTCTCGGCTTGTCCGCGGAAGGAATGTATTGGCATCTGTTCTAGCCATTTCAGAAGCCTGCGAGACTCTGGTGTCTGTACCAGCTGCTATTGGAAAGGAAAAGGTTGCGGTGAAGGGCGTGTCTTACTCGGGGCCGTCCAAGCGGTCAAGGTCCGCCAAAAAGTGGAAAGAGTCTCATCCAAAAAACTGTGAGCCAGGGGACGTAAGAGATATCAATAGTGTGGTGTTGTCGGTGTTGTCGGTGTGAGCTGGTCGCAAGCTTGGAAGGTCAAAGAACGCCCCGTGCTTGGGGTCGCTTCTGCCTGTCGCGCCTTTTCAAAGGATCCACCGGTGCCACGATTTCGACTCGTCCGTATCTTTGCACTATCGTCAAGTCTGTCGAGATGCACTATCGCAATTGGAGCAGAAACCCACTTCTCGAAGAGACTGCGCTGTGACGTCATGGTAAAGACTGTTCATATATGGTAGACTTATGCCTTAGACACAATAAGACTACATGCTTCAACCCATCCGCATTCTAGACTGCACTACTCAATCCTGAAAAGACATCACGGCAACGAGTTACATCATTCCCGAGACCTCGTCACTAACACGAAATTTAACAATATCATGTTTCAAGCGCATGAGGGTATGACCAAACATAAGAAGGAAAGATGCTTTATGTCTGCCTCTAGAAGAACCATTCAAAGAGCGCTCTGTTAAAATCCGACAACCCCTTGAACGCCTCTGCTCCATTGCAGCCCTTAACGTCTGTCAGAAGATCAAACGCCATCGCCAGATCCTCGTTGAAAGCTACCTCGTCGATATGTGGAATGGCCTTCATATGCTCCTCTTCCAAGACATCTTTCAGCTTCGCAAACGCGATGCAAGCCTGTGCATGATCCTGCTTTCCTTGTATTCCCCTCAGATGTGCTTCCCATTGCGCGTCAGGCGGACCAAAGTAGCCAGTGACAATCCGAAATTCGGCAAGACGAGTACGCATATCCATCCAGGTCGTCAAAGCGAGGTCAAGTTGTGTAAATCTTGCACCCACATTAGCCTGTAAGCTTGTAATATCCTGGAGCCAGAAGCTGGAAAGTAGTGTGTTCATCCACTTCTCCGCATCATGGTCGTATGATTCGGGATGGAATTGATCAATATTATTAAGATACGCCAGAAGAAGTCTAAAAAGCTCTCTTCGAGTCTGTCGCTCTCGACAAGGGTACTGATTGACCAGAGTTGCTTCGGGCGGCTCCATCACGCGTTTGGGGATCTCGCTGTCTAAGTATTGAACGGGCGCTTGATCGATCTCGGCCGTTTCTTGTGTAGGCGTGGGCGGATCATTTTGAGTATCACTTGGGATGACAGAGTCCTGTACCCGAGAGTTATGATAAGTACCTGATGGACCAGCAATGCATGGCTCATAATCCTCATGCACGTATTCGGCTCCGGTCGCTGGAAAAGTTGGTGAGAACAGTTCTGTCATACAGTTAGTCTGGGGGTCTGTTTAGTCTTGCTCGCGACAGCGTAACATACCTCTGGCCTCTCTTATAGACTCATCTACATCCAACGTCTCCTCAGATTCAACACTACCTTCTGGGGAGAGTATAAAAATCTGTGCAGTATCGCGTGTAGCCTCCCCTCGTCCCTGATCCTCGAAACGACGGGACGAATGGGCACGGCCCGAAGACGCTCTGCCAGGCGATCCCAGACCGGAGCATTTATCGACTGGAGCTGTCCATGAGCCCTTGGTTACCTTAGGTGTCTTTCTGGATGATTCTCCTCCATTGCCGTCTGTAGATTTCCTCTTGTTTGGTGAAGCCAATCCAGAGTTTCCTGGTGTGGACCTAACTCCCTTGGGAGACTTATTGAAGATAGGGAACAGCCGCGTTCCCGTGGCGGAGTTTGGTAGGTCTGATGGAGCGCTAGTCTTCGTGATCAGGGGTGTTGTTGGTACCCCAGAATCCGAATACTCGTCGTCTTCTACTTTAGCCTTGCCCTTTGCTTTGCCTTTACGCGAACTTGTACCAGTATCTCTCACAGCATAACCCACGATCCAACATCGCAGAAAGAAACGAATTCTATTTGCTCCAATCAGGCACTCGTGGATATAAGCTTTGTCTCATCATCACTCACCTCTTTCGGTCTTCCTCTCTGTCCCAGTCGAATGGATCTGTGGCTTGACTTTGCCAATCATGCGTTCTTCCCCAAACCGCATGCCCATATTGAACTTCCAACTCGTCGAGTTGCTCTGAAAAACTATTTTCCTTGGCCAACTCGGCTAATAGTTGTCCTTGGTTGCCATTGTATGGGACTTTGAAGGATTTGGCAATCTGAATGATTCTCTTATGAAGACAGTCGGATTCGTCCGTGTAGAAAGCGAGTTTCTTGGGATTATTGTTGGTCAAGCTAAACAGGCCTAGAGATTCGTGTATCGTCGTGATCGATATCGTTTTGTTGAGACAACCGTAAAAGAATGAGTCGTCATCGTCGTTAAATGAGCTGCCTAGGTCCATGGTGAGACGATTAGGTGATGTTGACAGAAGGTGAACTAGTTAAGCTTGACCACTACCAGCTGAGTACTGGCTCGATAGGTTATGTAGAGGGCGGTTACCAGTTATATCGAGTGGCTGAGCATCGTTCCTGATCATCGCACGAAGATAAGGTGTCATGTGGAGTTCTCGCAAGGCTGGCAAAATTCATGCACTCTATCGTCGAGCCGTCCCATAGGGCGCCGCGTTGCACTGCCAGCCTTGTCTGCAAGGCAAGAAGAGTGCGTAAATGCATGCTGTTGGAGCCTTTGAGGCAAGAGTGCATCTCACTAGCGAAGAAAACTTCTAATATAAACATAGTTCTTTCTGGTTTTAGCGCCGCTTCGTGAATATCGAACGTTGCATGGTTTGTGTTGTTCCAATGTTCAGACCCTCCTGTTACGCGCCAACAGCCCACGCCGCTGAGACACTGTGGCTGCACCCCTGCAGCCTTTCGTCTTGGAGTTGGGTGACCAAAGTCAAAGCGTACCAGTAGGATCCGATTCTAATAATACAAATTTGAACGACCTCGTGAGCACTCGCAAGGCTGACATTCCTCCAGACTTAGAATAAAACTACAACTTCGATCCTCCCTTCTTCTTCTGCGTCTTCAAGAACCCTTCCATGAAACTATTCAACTCCGTCTTGAATTTCGCGGGCATAACACTCCTCTCAGTCCCCTTCAAATTTCCCCACTCTTCCTGTGTCTTTTTGTTCCAATCCCGATACCTGACCATCTCCTTGCCAATCCATTTCGCAGCATGCTCAGCGCTCTCTTCAACCTTCTCCATAGGGATGAGATGACCTGTGTCTTTCAACATAACGCTATCCACTCTACCTTCAGCCCTGCCACCGCTCCCACCAACACCAGACCCCGTCAGTGCTAACTTCTCTTCAACCGTAGTGGGGTCCTCGGTGAGATTAGACTTTTCCCCGAAAACGTAGAAGACTGAGGGCTGGACATGAGGTAGCTGTCTAAAGACGATGATTGATTCACCACGATAGAACGGCGACTGTGGAACCATTGAAGGAGTGAGATCTGGATGCGTTCGACGGTTGATTTTGGGATTGGCAATTGTACATTCCGCAGATGAAGGTTCTTTTTCATCTGGACTGGTAGGGAAGTTTCCCCGCAGAAATGTCATGACTTCTTGATGCACCGTCGTTGTCAACGTGACTTCAGGAGATTGGGCGTCCGGATACAACGTTGAGGGCGCGTCCCGCAGGCCATGTTGAATCCAGCGGTCTAGCACACGGGGATCCCATGCTTGGTAGAACGGGCGACTTTTGAAGGCCTTTGCGGCTTCCTCTCGCGAAGGCCATTTGTCGCGGCGTTTGGCAGATGCAAAGGCTGGTCCGACATTTCCAATGATGTTGATTGTGCCTGCAATGACAGGGTCAAAAAGAACAAGGGTTTCGAACAAGCGAGGATGTAACAGCGCGAGGTTGGTTAGTTGGCAGCCTCCCATGCTATGGCCAACACCAACGATCGGTCGCGGCATCTGTCTTCGGAATACATTGACCATATTTAGAAGATCACGGCTATGATCGGTGAACGAAGCTGCGGTACGTGAGTATGTGGTTGGTTTGATAACGGTCATATACGCACGATCGTTCCCAAGCTTGCCCTCGTTCAATACGCCGCTGTATCCTTGATGAACAACATCTGCCATCCAGATACTCCGAATGCCAAATCCAAACTTCTGGCATCGCTTCAAAAGTTCATCCCATAGTGGTTCGTACAGTTCTTTTGGGAAAGAGTTTGCATGTGCGGCAATGATGGTGATATCTCCAGGCTGCGGATTGGTGTTGCTAAGTGGAGTGTATTGCTTGACTGCCATGTAGAGAACCTCCTCTTCGTTCGTGGAGGTTCCTCTGGGATATGCGCGAATGTGAGCAGCCTCCACCTTGTGCTCGTCTATGTGAAAGAACTCTGTAGACATGATGAAAATCTGTCTGATGAATAGCTCTTGACGGTTGTGATGTTACAATTATGTTGCATGCGCGTAGAGATAGAAGGAAGCTAAGTATAACGCTCGATGCCGACGGGATTGCCGTCTGGGGAACCGAGGTCCCTCAGCTGATCTCCGCAAGGGTTGCTGCACTGTCGCCCACCATGACAGAGAGCTGGGAGGTGACATCTAGCTCAAACTCTGTAAAACCCTGTGGATCCATATTGGGGTGGTTTAAGCAATTGACAGAGTTGTACTAAATTCCAAAAGGGAAGCCACCTGCATACGGTACTCAGGCGAATACTGTAAGATGGAAGCCTCGAAGATGTTGGGTCACGGAGGAGGAATTACTGCTCATCATGTCCAAGTGTTGATATGATATTGAACTTCAACTTTGCTCCGATCAGATTGCACAATAGACAGAAGGACGCGAAAGTGCGCAAATGGTGAATGACGCGCACTGGCAGAGCATCACGTGCTAACATGATTACGCGACTCGACATGAAAGCGCGACCGCGTATCACCCGCCTGAACTCGATAGACGCACGATCAAAGTCAGCCAACCCCACCCATTTTTCGCCATAATGGAGGACTCGACTATGCTGGAAGGATCGCAGGGTCTCTTCGAAGAACTCACCTTTACGCTTATTCCCAATGGCCTGTCTGATGATCGCTTGCGACAGGTACTACAACGCGTTCTTGCCATAGTGAATAATCGCTAACGCGTCATACAGCTGCGCGAGGATATTGTCGCTGCGAGTGGAACCATAATACCATTTGACGCATCTGTCGGACGCATCGATCGCCTGCAAGAGATCAACTACATCGTCTCCGAAACGTCAGACTTCCCCGATTACTACCGCACCTTGGATCTTATGCTACACGTTGTGAAGCCATCATGGGTGGACGCGTCTCTGAAGGCCCAAAAGACCAAGAACCCACGAACGTACAGTCCAGATCCGGCGTTGTTCATGAATGACGTTGTCATATGTTGTGGGGATATACCCACTGGTGATAAAGAAGCAATCGAGGGTGGGGTGCTAGCCATGGGAGGGCAAATGACCCCTGCCCTGTCAAAGACGACTACACATCTCATCGCGCTTACACTGAATGACCAGCGGTGCCAGCTTGCCATTAGCAAGAGGCTGCCACTGGTCATTGTGCTACCCCACTGGTAAGTCTTGGGACGCATGCAGGAACGCGCCAGACTGACGCATGCAGGTTCGATGATTGCCTCAAAGTCGGCCATCGGATATCTGAACGGCCCTACACTCTCCCCGATCCCGAGATTCTCAACGTCGAACCAGGGGTGATCCCTCCGACGCGAACGAGCCAGCAGATCCGTGACGCGACGACTCCAGACCCAACAAATGATCCCCCTGCGCCACCGACACTACCTCCACACTCGGCACCTCCACGAGCGATCAAAGCATTTGCAGGCAAGAACGTTAAGCTAGGCCAGGATCTCAACTTGAACAGCAAGCTCCAAGGGATCATCTCGGGGATGATCAAAAACGGTGGTGGTAATGTAACGACAAACCTCGAAGAGGCGGACATTTATGTCTGCAACTTCCGGGAAGGAGCAGATTACGTGAAAGCATCGCAAGATGCGAAAGACGTGGGCAATCTTAGCTGGCTCTACTACCTCATCACACATGACGTCTGGACGAATCCGATGAGACGGATGATGCACTATCCAAGGCCCCGAGAAGGCATCCCAGGTTTCGAAAAATACAAGATCAGCATCTCAAGTTACACTGGCGAAGCGCGTGTGTACCTGGAGAACCTCGTTCGAGCGGCTGGGGCCGAATTCACAAAGACGTTCAAGCAGGACAACACACATCTCATCGCCGCCCACAAAAACAGCGAGAAGTGTGAAGCTGCACAAGAATGGGGCGTCAACGTTGTGAACCACCTTTGGCTGGAAGATAGTTACGCCAAGTGCAAGCAAATGTCGCTCACAGACAACCGTTACACATACTTCCCTCCCCGAACAAACCTTGGCGAGGTTCTGGGACAGACTGAGATTGATCGCGCTGCCATGAAGAAGGTCTTCTTCTCCGAATCTCGCAAACCTGCGAAAGCTGTCAAGCCAAATATTCAACCGAACGGTGTTTCTGCACCAGGTTTGCCTCTGGGTAGGACGACTAGCGATCCGATGACTCGTAGTTCACCGGTAGTGGAAAAAGCTAAACGCACAAAGACAACCAGTGATGTAAAGACACCATTGCCCACGCGCCACCATGACGGGAAAGAGAACCAGACACCTGGCAGTCGAGGTGCCAAGGATCGAGCACTGTCAAAACTCCACGATGCTGCGGGCGATATAGCGAAGTTTGAAAAGGAGATGAAGCGAAAGGGCGGCGTAGTTCATGGTGGACGGAGGCGGACAGATGAAGAGGTGGAAGAGAACGCGAAACAGTCCAAAGGGCGAGATTCTTTTTCAAGCAAGCGCTCAATCGATGAAGTCGACCAGGACCAAGACGAAGAGACTGAAGATGGATCTCCAGAAGCACCCGCAAAGAACAAGAGAGCAAAGAAACTGATGCCCATCAAATATCGCATGCTCATCTCGAAAGACGAGCGGTGGTTCAACAATGACGAAAAAGCCTCGAAAGACAAAGCACGCCTCCGCGAACTTGGACTCTTCATCACCGACGACTTCAAACGTGTCGACCTGCTCTGTGCTCCAAAACCCGTCCGCACCAAGAAGTTTGTTGCTGCAATGGCCTGCGCGCCTACCCTGGTCTCAACTACATTCCTCGATTATGCACTCAAAAACAACAAGCTCCCACCGCCAGAGAAACATTTGCTCGAAGCTAGAGACTTTGAGAAAGCGCAAGATTTTGTTCTGAAAGAGGCATTCGAGCGCGCAAAGCAGAACAAACACCGTCTCCTAAAAGACTGGACCATTTTCTGCACCGAGAAGGTCGCCGGCGGATTCGATACATACAAAGACATCATCGAAGCGAATGGCGGCAAGTGTTGTATGTGGAAAGGCCGCTCGACCAATGTCACGGCATCAAAACGCTCTATCTCCACCGCGGATGCGGAGGTTAGCCAGAACCAGACCGAAGACAACGGCGATGAGTTGTTCCTCATCTCCGATCCCAACAAGAAAGAGTTCAGCAACTGGACAAAGTTCCGTGAGCTGGCGCAGAAACACGACATGGTGCCGAGGATTGTCAAAACGGACTGGTTGCTGTTTGTGGCTATGGCTCAATATGTGCATTATAAGCCGGAATGGGAGCTTAGTGAGGATGTTGTTAATGCTGCGAAGTAATTATCTGTCTTGGCACATGTGTGGTTGATAATGCGTCAAGCGACAGGCGTTCAGGCCCCGGTATGGGGTTTCGCACGGCGTATTGACGGTATTTTGGGCAAACGTGACAGGTGATTCTGGCAAGATTTTGGTGGAGATGATGGAGTGTGTCTGGCATTGATGTGTTTGCAGTCAATGGCTATGTTCTTGGAATAACCATCCAAATGTTTATCTATCCGGGTTCATGATGCCTGAAGCTGTTCGTATCCGTGTATCTCTCGATCCTCGTTGTTGAAAAGTTGCTTGGGAGTGGGAACGAACCAGGACGCGTTCAGATGACGTCCGAAGCTCCCCCGCAACGCGATTTCCCAACCATGCAAGCTCCAGCTCCAAACCCCACCCTCTTCATCTTGAGCCCCAGCATTGCCATTCTACACCTCAACACCTGTCAACATGACTACCGCCTCTCCGCTCCCAAACACGTCAACCCCACAACCCTCAGCAACGCCAACAGGCTTCCAATTCCCACCCCACTACTCCTTCCCGCCCTTCTTCACCCTGCAACCCGTCGCCAGCACGCGTTCCTCCCAACTCGCCTCCTGGTCCACCCTCATCCAAGCCTACTGCCGCCACAACCGCATCTTCACGCTCTCCCTCATCGACGCGCTCAACACGCCCTTGTTCCACAATGCCGCCCTCTCGCGGCGGCTCTCACTACGCGACGCAACAGCCCTCTTAAAATGGATGAGCACCTCCGAGGGCGGGAACCGCGCCGAGTACATCGCGCCGCCGGGGACAAGTGCCAAGAAGAAGAGCGGCGTCGAGGACGAAGGCGGCCGGTTCTGGATCTATTGGCGGCGACCGGACGAGTGGGCAGGCGCGCTGGAGGAGTGGGTTGAGCGGACGGGGCAGAAAGGCAGCGTGTTGACATTCTACGAGATCGTCGAGGGCGAGGCGACAATGAAGGAGGAGTTTTGGGGCATGGAGGGCGCGCTGCTTATGAAGAGTTTGGGCATATGTGTTAAGAGAGGGAGGGCGCAGATTTTTGGTAGTGAGGGGAGTGAGGGCGTCAAGTTCTTTTGAGAGTGTCATGTAGGGATTGATGGTGGTGAGGTGTGAACGACGGCAGGACATCGCTATGTGGTCCTACGGGTCCTGCAGGAATTATGCAAGAAACTCTGAAGGTACTAATCTAGATGTCACGATCGACTTCAAAGTTACCCGCCGCCAACATCCGCGTACTTTCCAATCCCATATCACCACCAAGTCTAGCTTTACCGACACGCCCTTCTCGGAAAACCGAACACGGACTTCAAACAGATGAAGACGATGACGTTATCTACAGATTGCACCGCTCGGAAGAGTTGACGGAATATTGCTGAGGAGGAGGAGGTAGAGGAGGAGAGCCAAGGGTGGCAGTGAACATGAGAAGTGCATCGTGCATGTTGTGCTTAGATAGTGGTACTCGGTGCATGTCTCAAGCGTGTGGGGGGCTGGCTGATGGCCTTCTTTCCTGCGTATCGTGCTCACTATCAGGATTAGAGCGAGTACAGACTAATATGCGCTCACTCTACAAGGGAGTGGGATATTGTAAAACGGGAAGAAGTTCGCGAGTTGGATGTACATCCACGTACAGCCATTTGATTGTTCGTCATGTCGTCCTTGTAAATGCTCAACCTCTATCTACCCAACGCCGTCTAATGCGTATGCCCATGTCAAAGTGCTCACCAGCCGCCGCCGACAGTGACCGCCAACCCGGCTACTCTTTCCATGTCGCTCTGTTTCTTCTTCCCCACATCACTTTCCACCTTGCGGTACGACGTGTACAACAAGCTTTGCAAGTCCACACCTGTGACATCTGACCAATGCGCCAACACGTCCTTGACATGTGTCCTCGAGATACCGTTTACGACGTCGTCTTGACCGTTTGTGATCACCTCCCTCACCTCCTGGTCGCCATCGCCATCGCCGTCGACTTCAGAGTCGGAACCAGAGAAATACGCCTCATCCACCTTTGCCAACCACTCCTTCTGCTCCTTAGGCCCGGGCTTCACATCGCTAGTCGCTGTCTGTACACCGTCTGCAATGCGCACATCCTCCACCTCTGTGACTTTGACCTGTCCACCGCCGTTTGTGCATCCACCGGGACAAGCCATGACCTCGACATACGCATACTCTTTCACGCTCTCGCCGACTACCGCACCACCCCCAGGTCTGCGGCTCACGCCTGTCTTGCCACCAGGTAGTCTGCTTATCTTGGCTGGTTTGAGCCGTCGTACGAGGTTTTGGATGTTTCTGAATCCATAGAAGCGCGCCATTCTGACAATGGTTTCTGGACCTCGCACAAGCGAGTACTCAACCACGTCTGCATTCCTGCCGCGTGAGACTGAGATCGAGGACCCTGGGTTTTGCGCTTGGTATGTTTGGAGTATGTGGTATAGGTAGCCGCCTGAGGGTCCAGCGGCTGGGTCTTGGTTCTTCCGGCGCGAGGGTGGGAAGAGAAAGGCATCGAGTTTTGGATCGGGGAAGGGCGTTCGTTCTGCGGAAGAGAGGGGCGTTCGGGGGAGGGTGGAGAAAGTGATGCCACGCATGGTGGCAAGGTACATCAGTTCGCGTGCTGTGATGACGCAGTCGACGTCTCGTACGGGGTCCTGCGATGAGTTGTTAGGAAGCCAGGCGGATGAGGTGAGCTCGCTGCGACTGGCTTCGAGTTTCTTGTCGAAACAGGGCATGATGGCGAGATGCCATATCTGCGACGGAGAAATGTTGTAGCGCTGGCTAAGTACTGATTTTACAAGTGTGCCGGTGAGTGCTTGGGGGGATTTGAGGCGCGAGAGGTGTGGGAGGACGTAGGGATGTGTCTTTTCGGCGTAACATATCCAGCCAGGACATGCTGATGTGAGAATGGGCTGCTTGGGTGTGGTGTCGATGGCGCCTTCAGATCCCGGTGCTGATATCGCATTTGAAGCGTTTGGAGAGAGTGCTGCTGTCACTTCGTCTGCTGCCGCCACGAGACAGGCCTCGCGGACCACGTTCGTGTCGATGACCCAGGTGAAATCGCTCCCATTAACGCCGCCAGCCTTCAAGCCAGATGGTCCACTGAGCAACTGCGCGATCATATTCCCAGCCTCGACTTCAGAGACATTGAAGACTGCTGCCAAACTTGCGCGCACCTGCGGAGAGATGCTGGCCACAAACAGCTTTCCCTCGGTACCATGACCATTGACGCCATTCGTAACTCCGTTGCTCACGTGTCCATTCGCGCCCCCGTTTGTCCCATTGTGGTGTTGCCATGGCGCGCGCAACGACGTGTATGTATCAAGCGTGGTGAGGACTTCGGTATGTGATTGCAGCGTGACAAGTATTGCCTCGGCGCTCGTTACACACCCCGAGCATGCAAGGCAATCCGTCAGCGATATCTGGGCAGGCGGTGGCGGTTCTGCAGCAGCAGCTTTGTCTTCGGTCGTGACTTCGTAGGGGTTCTAGCACCTGTCAGTATGCGCCCGACTATGACAAGACGCTTACAAAACTCGTACAGAATTGTCTTCTGGTTTCAGAGGAAGCGTTTCTATGGGCTTTATGCACGCGACACCAGGCGATATGAAGTCGTTCAAGTCATCCGCAGAGAGAATGGCGCTCATTGCGGCGTGTATATGGCGGGGGGTGGGTGGCAAGCCGGCGCAAATATGGAAGGCGCAACGCTGAAAAAGTAGTAGAGCATTCAAGCACTCAGAGTTCCAACACAGAAAGAAATCAAACCAAAACTAAGTAGTTGGTGTCTCACCGAAACTCGGAGAAGCCCATTGCCCCCAGGGACTATTTTGCGGTCATCGCAACGCGCCCGCCTATCGATAAGCCTTGATTTCACATCTCACACTTCCGCGGCTGGGTTCCGCATTCTACCAACACTGACGTGCTCGCGTGCCTTTGCTTAACAAGCACTCCAAGTTGCCAATCATGTCACGATACTTTGTACATTGACTTTTACATTCTCAGCTCTCAAGACCGTTCCAGCCTAGCCAATGAATCTGCCGTTCGTAATCCCACCATCGACGAGTTCAGCTTCTCACAATCAACATCAAAGAATGCTTGTAGTTTCCATCTCAGTACACACACGATCCTTTGCCCTGTCAAAATGCTCAGTAACCGGGCGATGAGACTTCGTCGAAAAAGCTCAGCTCTCTCTCACCCAGCAGACTGTACCACAGAGATGCAGGGCAGTTGCAAGGGAGAAAGCGGGGAGCATGTGCAGCCTAAGAGTACGTTTGTTATCAATAGTGGATCTCAAGCGCGATCCCCCTCTGGCCAAACTTGTAGTAGTTGTGGATTCAATCATGAGTGAACGATCCAAGTGAAAACTCCAAGTGAAAACTCCAGAAGCAAACAGAGACGAGCCTAATCTGACCGGAGGCCCCAACGACAGAAAAACACAGACAAGTAAACCATTGAGAAGGGCTCAACACACAAGTGGCGACTGCCATGTGAAGAATTCAAGATCGAGAAGGTCGTAAGCCCCCATTACACAACACCCACCACCCTTCCAACCACTCTCCACCAAGCCTCGTAACACCCGTAATCCCATGATCCAAAAACACGCGCGACCCGATCCTACCTTCCGATCCGACATCGTACACATCTACATCGGCAACGGCCCGTCGCATCCCGTCATCGCACGACATCAAACGGGGATGCACCGATCCGCCCTACCTACCTATGTCATACTACGCTAAGCTAGGTAATCGTCGTAACCGGTACGGACAGGGATTTGTAGACAGCGAGGTGCACGTGCTCACTTGTGGCGAGAAAGAAAGGACTGGACGGGGTACCTGGTCGTGGAGGGATGATGGCGGCGGAAGGGCAAATGGCAGGACCAAAGTGTGGTGGGCAGCAACTTTGTGTACGCGTAGTGCGGCGTGGCGTGGCGAGGCAAGGCAAGACCTCATAGGTGAAGTTACAGCATACGACGAGATGATAAGCAAGTAGGTAGACATCCGGTTTGATTGGTATTAAGGATGGCTAGTAGATATCTATGTGAACAAAGGAAACTGTGCTTGAGCTAAGTGGTTTTGTTTTCCAAATAGCAGGTGAATTACGCGATGCTAATACTGTGGCGTCGAGCCGATATTGTACAATGACCAGGCCATCCAGGACCCCCGTCAGAAGAAGCAATATGATCTTATTACAAAGAGGGTAAGGTGGTCAAAACAAAGCACGCGCCAACCAGTCTATAACTAAAGAAAGAGCAAAGACGAGTTGGAGAGAGACAAAACGACGCAAAGAGATTGGTTGATCGCTCAACAAGAGAGTAACTAGTTTCTTACAGTTCCTGACTATAACAACAGGGCCCAACCAAGTACCAAGTTTTCCAACACAAGGGCCCTTCCTGACTGTCCAACCTACCCAACAAGGATAGCGAGGAGGTGATGTAAACTATGTTGTCGCTAAACACAGACTGAGGGTATTCGCCAACGAAACGAAGTCAACAAACAAGGAAAAGCAAAGCGAAATGCTATGCGATCTAGGGAGGTATCTCTTACGGAAATTGTTTGCCCCTGGAATGGGAAAACTGGGAATATATGAAGCAAGTAGTGGAGAAAACTCAAACACACTGGCCCCTGGTGCATGAACGATGTCGATATGGTAATTTCCCATAGACACGATAACCCCGCCTTGAGATAAAGAAAGATGTCCGCCAAGATGATTCTGTAAAAGGAAATATTGTGGTGTACATAGTTGATGTGGAGCTCACGTCGAGCGACAAGATGACGTTGCGAGATAAAAAACGATTGTTGAGTGAATGCTGGACGACGCTCGAAGCACCATGACAAGATGTGCTGATTTTGCATTCCCACGAGGGCATGTGTCTAAGGCTGGTGTGCCGTTCCTGACGGAAGGCCAAAGCTAAATGTCGTATGGTCGTGACCAGGAACGAAATAGATGTGGCGGAAGCCTTGTCTGCGTTGCGGGTGCAAACATAGCAAAGGACTTCAATGTCATGGGGTAGCCAACATGACACTACAATGGGTATATAGCGGGAGACAACGTAAGGAATATCGAACGAAAAACTATTTCCGCGAGTTGCGGAATATCATCGGTATAACTTTTGGGTGGCCATGAGGCTGGCTGCCACACTCGATGCCCAGTCATTCTCATCATAGGGTGGAGTGGGCCACTTCGAAGTGCTCTCATCTTGCTTGTTGTGAGACTTGGAAATGTCCATAGGTTTGCTGGGTGTGCTGGAATCGGCTTGTCCAAACCCGGTGCTGTTACCTTTGGCAGATGATGCCGGTGTGAGGTACGATGCCGCTGGACCCGACTCAGTTTGCGAGTGCCGTGGGGCATTCTTTTGGGTATCTAGAGTGTTGGCGGCCTCGTGTGCCGATGCAAGGACTTCGCTGAGCAGTTCCTCCTCCTCGTTGGGAGTTTCGTACCGATTTGAAGGGTTCGATTTGGTTTGTACTGCTCGCCTAGTCCTACTGGAGATGGGAGCGTTGACACCTCCTTCCGAACCACGCGGATCAGGTCCGTGAGGCACCGAGTGGTGACGCTTGAGCATCGGGTTCGAGGCGACGCGCTGACCTTTCGTCTGTTGAGAGTGGCCTTCAACACTAGATCTTACCTGCTGCAAGACTTTGTCCAAATCCGAATAATCCGAGTTAGTCGACGGTGCTGGTGCAATCGAGGACTGGTCCAAACTCAAAGGTTGTCTGGTGCCAGTACTCGCCCACGGGGAGCAACCAGCATTAGCCTCAATATCGTCTGAGTTCGGCGACATGGGAGTTTGATAGCGTCCAGACAGGCGGCGAGCGCGCTTCCTCAGGTGAGAAAAGAACCCCTCTTTGGGTCCGCCGACAGGCGAAGTAAGTCCTGATTGGCCGTTCAATGCCCTCTCCGCTTCTTGCCTGTGGACGTCTGCATAGTGATTGCCGTGTGAAGCTTGAGAAAGCTGACGTCCGATCTTGCCTGCAGCACGTACACTTGCTTGTGCAGTGACTTCTGCAGACAATGGAGAGATGGGCTTGATTGAGGGCAAGATCGGGATTGGCGCGCCGTGAGAAGGAACCCCGTTCGTCCACGTGGCTCGCTTAGTTACGTTGGGGCGACTTTTGGTCGATCCGCTTGCATCGTCAGGGCTCACGTGTGCAGGTGAAGCGCGGGGCGTCAGCGTCTGCGTTTGGCTGTGCTGCGGGACTGCTGGAGCACTCTCTCGAGCAACCAACGACCTCCGTAGCCATGATGAGGTTTTCGAGGTAATACTAGGAGAGGCATCTGGCGAATCCTTTCCTGAAAGGTCTGACTGCTTGCGGCCCAACAATCTGGAGGATGACGATTTCAGGCGCAGAGGATCAACAGCATCTTGGAAGTACTCGTGCGCTAGAGCTTGTGTGGATGTTGGCCTGCCCCGAGGATCCCAAAGCAGGCAAGATGTGACAAACTGGGCCAAACTTGCTGGCCACTGTGGCGCTGGCAAGATTGTATCAATTGAATGAGGAGCCATCTGTAAGCCTCGTTAGCAGTATTCAAAACAGAACATGGATGGATAACTACCTTTGGGAACGAAAAGCCCAACTTCTGGGCTAGTCTTACACCATCCTTCCATTCACCACCACCAACTGGTTGGCCGTGCTTGTTAATCCATCCTCCAGGACTTCCCATGATCTCGCACACTCTCCATACCTGGTCCACTTCGTTTCCGCCAGGGAAAAGAGGTTTCAAGGTTGCTATCTCGACAGCCATGGCGCCGACTGCCCAGATGTCCACTGGAGCTGAGTAATGGCCAGCGCGCAGTAAGACTTCGGGTGCACGATACCATCGCGTCGACACGTATGTGGTGTATGGGAGCTTTGAGTGGGTCTCTCTTGCCAGACCAAAGTCGGCAATCTTGATTGTGTAAACGGGGGGTGTTGACGGTGGTGTCATCATGGCCGAGTACCGTCGGAAAGGATGCGATGAGTCGTTCTGCTGTGATGTCGACACCAGGATGTTCTCTGGTTTGATGTCGCGATGGAAAAACTCTCGATCATGGATATGCTCCAGGCCGGAAAGGATCTGGAACAGAATGCTCTTTACACTGTGGCCATCCATTGGTTTATGGTCGCGCGCCTTCATGAGCTGGTAAAGATTCCCATCCATATACTCCATGGCGATGTGAAGTCTCCTGCTGTAGGGGTCCAGGAAAATGTCCAAAGCAGGCACAAGATGAGGATGCGGTGGTAGAGATCGCAGGAATATGACTTCCCTCAGTTCCAGACAACTCGAAAACGAATCAAACGTCTTCTTCATGGTCTTGATCGCAACCTGTGACGCGTCAGTTTGCTTCGATAACCGACATTCACGCGAAATGGTACTTACCAAAGTGCCGCGACGAGCGACGTGAGCACCCGCGGTTCGAACGCGTGCAAGGGTGACGCTTCCGAAACTTCCATCACCGATATCTTTCATGACTTCATACCTCTCCTCGAGTGAGGCCCAGCCATGAGGCTGAGTCTGTGAGTCGGCGAGCATCTTGACGAGTATGAATCAAGTTGTCGAATATGATGGCTCGTCTCCAATGAAAAGGACTGTCAAGCATGAGCAACGCGTCCTGAACAATTTATCATTGCGAAGGTTGCTAATTGAAGCTTACCTGTGAAAACTTGAGGTTCTACTTGGTTCATCCCATTCAAAGAATGTGAGATCGAGGCTTGGGGGTCAAGAGGGATGTCGAGTCGAGTTGAGGGGTCCAGTGCGTATCAAGAAGATCAAGGTGATTGAGTGGTATTAAGGGTCCAAGGTGATGCAAGTGCGGGAGTGTCGAAGAAATGAAAGACGACGGTTGGAAAAGGGCGTGTGGAGACCAGTCCGGAACCACGGTAGGGGGATGGGATTCCGTTGTTTAGGTGTTCTAGTGAGGATGAAAGAGGGATAACCTCTTGATCATAGCTTTAGTGGCTAAATGATCGGACAGGGAGATTTGACCGGGACTGTGCGTCCGGGGGATGAGGGAAGTGGATTTGAAGAGAAGTGAAGTTCAAGACTCAGGTAGGTGGTCTGGGTTCAGTGTCGAATGCACTTGTGACAGACGAGGCGGTCTAACGAAGCCAGGCGAGATGGACTGACGGGAGGTGTCAACACGGGCAGGATGGCGCGAGATGCCGATGGATAGACTACCTACTGTGTGGGCGAGAGAGGCGAGGATGTTTCTCACATGAGTCGCAGCCCAAGCCGTTGAGGAGATTAGGGTGGAAGGGGCACAGGCAGAGCGTTGCGAGGCGTAATGATGAAGATCGCAGGGCCGGGATGGGACAAGTGCGGTCAGAGGCCAGTAGTCGGTCTGTTGCCGTGGTGAAGCGGTCGCAGCTGTGCGTTGGCAGACGACTCGACAGGCCAGAAGGATTGCAAAGACGCGAGCCGGTTAACGAGCGAAACACAGCACGCGGCGGGTTCGAACGAGCAAAGATGGGGCGGTGTGGGCAAAAAGCATGTCGGGCGCGGCAGTGTTTTTGAGAGATGTGAATGTGGCGTGCAGAAACATTGAATCACGCGAAATGAGGGCAGGACGGGCTTGGGCTTGGGCTGACTGTCAACGGGCTCGGGCGTGTGAGGAAAGCGCGATGGAGGGTAGCAGGAGCGCTCGGATCAGGCCGTGCTCGACTGTGCTCGACTGCGCGTAGTGGCGCCCTGGCCGCGACGATTGGACGCTCGCCCCTTTCATAAGGAATTGTTGCATCCGTGATTGGGCTCCTGCCTGTCGCTGTCGCTTTGTGATTGATTTATGAGACGACACCACTCGCCCATGCGCTAATTCTGTCTTATTCATCCACTCAGCGCCTGCATTAGCCTGCGCATTACTCCATGTGCGCCAACGATTAATTCACCCCGTCGCAGAACCATAACTCGGCCCTGTCAGCGCCCTGCGTCTCTCGAGAGCAGCGCGACTGCGCCGAGTTTCGCGCAACCTGCCTCGCCGTGCCGCAGATGGTTCAGTCGGGCGACCAAGGCATGACTATCAGGCTCGACATGGGGCACTACCACGTTCGTCTTGTCGACGGTCCCCTTTTCCAATATCGTTTCTCGCTCCGACGGCACCTAGTACCTGATTTGTAGCAGGTTCCTGCAGCCTTACCCCATTAGCCATGGGGGTCTGACGTCGACATCATTGGTAGGGAACTCTTGCCAGAACCCGTCGGCGTGGGTTCGCTGCTTCTAGCGCCCCGCGGCATCCCGGAACAATCTTGGTGAGAGAGCCCGTCTGAAACTTGCCAGCCTCGAGTCAGTGGCGGGGGGAGGGGAGTGTTTACGATACTATCATAATCGTGGGCGTACCCATCGCAACGCATGCAGGGCATCTGTTCCTTCATCATGCCAACATGTGCCAAACTGCCCTGAACATCTCGTTGCATGCCGTCATCAGCAAACGTAAGCTAGGGGGCGACGAGAGTCGAGAGCCCTCGTGTTGTGTAGCTACACTGTGATCGACGAAAATCGTGCAACCAAGGCCCGGCTCTATCAAGAACCTCGGGCGTTTCCACGGCAAAGGCTGCACGTTCATTACTGTCAATAGCCTCGCTCCATAAGGTTTGTGCCGTGCAGAATCTGATGGGAACATACCAAATTGCGCGTCGTGCTGCCTCTTCCGTGCGCAAAATCATGTGGTTATTCCCGTCTGTCTGTTCGGCCGCTGTTAATCACAGACCTCCCGAGACAGCAAGACCCTTACGATGCTCGAATCACCTACGGTCCGAGTCCATGCACAGATCGCAAGCAATATGTATTGTGGGCGCGTTGGGCGCAGTGTTCGTATTAAGGGTCACAAACTGGACCCTCTCATCTTCTGGAATGTTTCTCATATGAAGTAACCCTGCCAGATCCATGAACACAGACCGGGCCGTGAACAGGAACTCTGAAGGATGCCCATGAAAAAACCCAATTCCTGGTACCTTTCCAGCCCCCAAGATCGGCATGCAAACATGACCGATCACGGCTACTACCTACTCGCAAAGACGATGATCGCATCAAATCATTGAATGAATCGGCAGATTACCAAGTTCTCAGAGTCCCCGGATCATCTGCCAATCCTAGTGGCTGCCTACAGCTATCCAGACACGCCAAATACCAAGACCCGGCTAATACCCCTTCTAAACACGACAATGGAGCAAGGTCATTCCCTTCACTTTCGAAGCAGCTGTATCCTAATGACGGCTATGCAAGTCATCAGCACATCAAGAGCCGAGCTTGAATGCGCACGTCGTTCGTCACTGAAGCTCTGTTGTTCCTGCGTCCCCCGCAATTCATCCCTTTTGTCAGTCGCATCAACGTCACATCTTCAAGCCTATTCGATACCTCGACACCCAACAACAATCATAGGTTGAGGACGTCACACAATCAATCGATCGATTCATGACATAGAATAACCGTGGCGGACTCCCGTCAGGCCCATAAACAAGTTACCAAGTAGTACCACACAGCCTCGTGCGTGCAGGGAAACAGGCTGCAACCCCCAGCCTGAACTTGTTTTCCAGGCACATCTTGCAGCACATAAGCTGCGCATGTCCTGGGTCCTTACGAGGAACATCATTCATGGGACGGTTTGAAACGTCGTCATGTCACCAATATTGGTTTGTTCGTATCTTCTCATTTCGGAGCAACTGCAGGAAAAGCAACAATGATCTCCCCGCGTTCGCGTCCGTTTTGCACCAAACAAAAACAAAAACTCAGTCAGTGTGGGCCGGCACTTGTGTCTCGAGCCATACGTTCTTCATGCAACGGCTGCACGCAGCAGAAAACAGTCGCTGCATCTGAACGTGGCTGGTTGGGGTTCATTTCGATCAAAGCAGAAAGCGGACGTATACTCGTAACGCGTTTGTTTTACGCGCGTCATCCTCATTTCAAATCTTCTTTCCTTTGCCCTTGATTCTATCAACCAAGGATTGTAGAGACCACTCGGAGCCATTACAAGGCTTCCACCGTTGTCCGGCGCATTCCTTTTCTTGACAAGACATCCAACATGAGCTTCCGCATATTGATTCGGCGCGTCACCGTCCATACAGAAACACGAAGCGGGCCGGTGCGAATTCCATTTTCAAATCGGAACGCCGTAAAGGGGGATGGCTAGTATGTGCTAACGTTACTCCCCAATCAATGTATGCTATAATACGTAGAATACGGCCATCTAATCTGATGTCATATTTTCATCCGCAGCTAGATAACGCTGGCGCGACGAGCTGAAAATACTCCCTATACGTTGTATCTACATCGTGGCGGCTTACGCCGAGGACTTTACTCAGTCTCACTCATTCAGCCCGAATTACGTGAGGCTGGCTATTTTGAAGCGCATACGTCTGTACATAGTACATATCCAGCTTACCTTCCCAACATAGCATGTAGGCCACATCTGTTCGAAGCGATGTAAGCCACAGTTATTCGAAGCGATACAATAAGGCTCCATCAGCCCACATGTGAATCTAGTCCAGTCTGCGGCGTTAGCCGTAGGTACTTCTTCCCGAAACAAGAAATCACAATATACACATATTGGCCCCTCGTTTCCCGAAACAGACGTAGACTAAAGCTCTCTATTCATATCAACATCGCGATCAGATTCTGCAACTGCAGTTCCAATTCTGCGCCCACTATGGGGAACATGCATATGGCCCACGTCTGCATGCATGCCATCAACCCCACACCGTCCACGTCATGTCACGCCAGCCCCGCGGGTTGCGTTATCATCATCATGATGTTGCCATACTGAACGATAATGCATTACTGATGGGTATTTTGTGGGTAGATGGAGTCATCACCATTCCGGGTGGGCCTCGTTCTCGTGCAGTTCCAACTCAAGCTTCAGCTGGGAACACACACCGGATGTTTGACAATATCGAAGACACGGTGAAGGTGAGATGGTGTACATGCAGTGCTAGTAGTACCTGCAGCTAGACGTGCATTGACAACGCCAGCCATTTTGACCGCTTTTTACACCGCGCTTGTAGACAAGCTGCCGAAAGCCGACCTACGAACCGCATGAAAAACACACTACCGCATGGAGGCAGGGTCAGTGAATACAAACACGTTGGAAGCATGCGGGGTTATTGCGGTCAAGAACCGCCTAAAAGCGGGTCTACATGTTCACTTGCACACCGACAAATTCAAAGTTTGAAGCATGAATCATGGTGTATTGATTTAGAAAGACTATATACCATGCCAGCCAAGTGCGCACGTTGTAACCATATATTAAGAATACTGCAACTAGTCAGCATATTAATCTGGAAGAAAGTATGCCAACTCTGGGAGAAATAGGTAGGGGGGGGTTCAGTTCTCCAAAGTGATTAATCGTCAATGTGATTACGAAATTACAGCAATCGTATTTTCATCATAAGAAGGGGAAGTAGACGGATTGTGAACTTACCGACGTTCAGAAATTCAGAACAATCAACGTCACAATCGTATACTGTTGTAAAGGCGTCAGCTCATGTACAAATGTCGCCTCATATCATCTTGTTCGGACGAGAAGGTACGTGTCCATCAAGAATCAGCCTACAGTGAGTTAGCAAACGATCCTCAAGTCCAGTCGCACAGGCAGACATACCTCATTAAATCAGATTGTTTAAAGTGATCAGGACGACGGACGCTCGTTACAACGCCGCCGCTCACACAGTGTGAATATCAAGAATCATCATTGGATTGATGGACCGCCTGGAGAGAATGAGAGCTTGTCATACCTGTGGGACATGTCAGCAAAAAAGCTCGGCTATCGTGGTGTGATATAGGTATAAAGGTTTGGGCAATCAGTGATGCTGTATCAACAAGTACTTCCTCTTCCAAACACCCACAGGTTTGTACGCCTGCTTTTGATGGATGTCGGTCGAGGAGTACGATCTGTCCGCCCGGCGCATCAAGGGTATCATCAGGGAAGCCGTCATGATCGAAAACATGTCGTAGAACGCGATGGAGGAATGTACCTGAAAACAACCTGTCAGCTCGTTGATCTCAGATGGACAGATGTAAAGAGTCGGAAGATGTGCAGCAGAATCAGACAAGGCTGAAACTAGTTTGGACAGAATCGACATTGTATATTCAGGTCGAGGAATGCCTTTCCGTGTCAAAGTATCATCACTCTGCTGGCGATGGGAAGTGGAGCGAGGAGGATCTTACCTTTTCATGAAAAATGCCGCATCGAAACTATCTGGAAACAATGGGAAGATACTGAGGCAACGTTAGCAAGCTAGTCATTGACAGATGCATGAGGAAGCTGCTGCTGAAGAGTGCATCATTTTAATGTTATGTAATCCTTCATGGATTTGTAGGAGTTGGATTGTTGTTCAAGGTAATCATCTGCGGCGGGTGCACAGGAGGCAAGAAGACTTACCATATGTGTAAAGTGGCCGCGCAATCTGCGTTAGTGACAGATCAAAGTAAGAGACCAGAGGCACGCATGCAAAGCGCGTTGTTGGTGTCGCAGAAAGATGATAGCGAAGACGTTGGAGAGGCTCCCGAAAAATTCGCTTTGAGCTCCATCGGCCCGACCGTTTTGCCGTAGCGCCTGATCAGGTACGTGCACGAACCATACACATTGCGAGGGAGAACACCTCGAAGCTCGAGGCAACAATTCAGGAATTTGTTGGACATCCATAGATTCAAGAATAAGACTTCTTCAGTTTTGTACCTGCGCCCCGGAACCAAAAGAGATATGGTTCCGGAACGATGTGACATATTTTCTATGTCAATGAACCTTGTAACTGCCATCGCTATAAAGACAACAATTCTACCCTCATGTCATCCAAACGAGGATAATGCTAGATCACACATAACATACAACGCACGCAATACCGTGTTGCTATGATTACGATTGTGTTCCACATATCAACACTAAGCACCATCTGGAACGTAGGTATCACGCTCGGGCTATTCAGAGTCATCCTAGTTTTACGTGGATCGGTTTCGGTTTCGTGCCATAGTTCCAGGGAACGACACATCTCATGCTACAGAGAGATATGGGCAATGAGAGGAGACATCGACGCCACGTGCAACGTGACGGCTCTGAATCGTGGATTGTTACAGGAAGCGTCTTCCCGGCCAAGGAATAGCAATTTGAGAATCAATAAAAACAACACCATGCAAGTCCAAGGAGGCTCCCATGTGAGGTAAATCGTGTTTGCGATAGAGGACAATAGGATTCTCGGCAAGTGTGATTGTACTCTCTCTCCTTTTCTGGTTGTTCCGACACGGAGCTAGAGACGAGAGACCGGAAGAAAACAACCGTCTCTAAACAGGTCATCTCAATCACTGTAACATATCACTTTTCAACACATAAATCGCAACCAATGCATTTGAGGAGATCAACCCTCCTGTTCTCGAATTACCAGGTGTTGCCTGCCATTCTGCACCGGCAGTAGTAGTATACATTAAGAGCATGGAAATGCAAGTATGGGCGCATAAAGATAAGATGAAGGTATAAAACGGCCCCTCAATGCTCATTCGATACATACATCCAATGAAGTGTTACCTGGTATATGAAAGCCACCGCATGACAAGTCGTCTAAAACATGGACACATGCGAGATGGAAAGGGCAAAAATCGACACCAAAGCAAAGTGCTGGGTCATAGGGGGTATGTAACGTCCTGTCCAGTGCGCCGATGTAAGCAGATGGTGAAGAAGATACACGAATGTGAAATGTTGAGAGTAAGAGAGAGCCTAGAAACAATTCAGTGTGCCCTTTTTCTTGCTCTTCCTGTTGGCGTCGTTGAGGGCCGCCATGCGTGCCTCAAGATGTGCACGTTCAGCTTCGACACGCAGACGAGCATTGCGCTCCTCCTCGACGGCCTGAAGAGAGTGCCGTGCCGCGCTACGCTCCTTGCGCATGACACTAAGCTCTTCCTCCAAAGTAGCGCATTTTCTTTTGAATTGATCCAAATCGCCCTTTGTTTTCTGGCTGGAGGATTCAAGATCTGTTAGAGCATCCTCAAGGGTAGCTGTCAGCTGCTTCTCGGCGAACAGGTGTTTCTCGATGGTGCGGATGCGAGCCTCTTGGTCTTCAACAACCTGAGCATGTGCGATATCCTTGCTCTGGTGACGTGAGGTAGGTGGGGATGGCGCAGACACTTGATGGGGTGGAGGACTGCCCGGAGGCAAAGGAGGAAGAGGAATGGCGGGCGGCGGGGATGGCAAAGATGTATGCGAAGCACTCTTGCGTTGATTGGAGGTGTTGGAATTTGACCTCTGAAGATCGTCGAAGGGAGTTATAGAATAACGGGCAGAGCCACGTTTTACATCCATAAGTTGTGACTGGTTCTGTTAGCGGCAGTTCCTGAAGATAATGTGACACACATACCTCCAAGAAAACAATCCTTGCACGAGACTCTTCCGCTTCCTTTTCGAGCTCTTCCTGGCGACTCACGGCATCTTGATAATCACGACTACGTTCTGTTTGAAGGGCCGAAAGCCGGTTATTCGCAGCCTCGTGCTGGTCCCAGTTTGAGTTGAGTTGGTCCTCGAGTTCCTCGACAAGTCGAGAGCTCTTTTGTTCCTTTTCGCTGACCATTTCGAGTTCTTTGAGTGTTTCTGCGTTGATGATTTCGAACTCTTTGATGTTACCTTTCAAAGTATCGACGGTGTTGGTAGTAGCGGAGAGTTCCTGCCTCGCTGTCTGAAGATCGATGATGGCTTGATTCATTTGCTGTGAGAGGGATGTCCTCTCCTGAACCAGAGACTCGATATGGGACTGTATTGTGCCAAAGTCAATTTCTGCATCCAAAGCATTTGAAACAACCTTTAACAGAGTCTCCATATCGGCCTTGGCACTGGATAAATCGGCCTGGAGTGTAGCCGATGATTCTTGTTGAGAGGCGTACTTCGACGTAAGCTCCTCAAGTTCAGCTGCGTGAGATTTCTGAAGAGACTCCATGCCCTGCTGATGATAATCAATAGCTGCCTTGTGCTCATCGATCTGCTTTTCCAGGTTTGACACCAGCGACCTATGAGTTTCGAGTTCCTTTTCGTTAAGAACTCTGGCTTCTGCAACCTCTTCTACTTGCTTGATAATGCTTGCATGAGACTCCTCAAGCTCAGCTAGGCGAGTAGCATTGCTGACAGCGGTGGCCTTATGTTCATCAACTTCAGCCTGCAAGGCATTGACAAGCTCGGCGTGCTTTGCTTTCTCATGCTCTAGAGCAGCTTCAGATTGAGCACCGTTGGTGTCCTCAAGCTCAGCTATGCGAGAAGTGTGGCGCACCTGCAGCTGCTGCAAAGCCGCTTCCAATTCCCTCACAGTCTCGGAGTGCTGCTTTTCAGAAACCTTGGTGGCTTCAATGGCTTCCAGATGCTTCCATTGCCAATGGGCTGCTTCATTCTTCATCTTGTCGAGCTGGGTCTGACGAGAGGCACCATCATCAGTCAGAGTGGAGTCGTCACTGGTGAACTCTCCAGGGACATGTCGAGAACCAGTAGCGTCATCGGATAACTCTGGAGTCCTAAGAGAATCTCTGAGAACCGCGACTTGCTCTTGGAGTTCGAGCTCGCGCTGAGCATGTGAGTCTTTCAAGTCTTTGATCAGTTCCTCGCTCTGTTTGATCTGATCCTGCATAGTGGCAACAAACGACATGTCGAGTGGTGACGAAGCCTTCAGGCTGGACCTCTCCTTGGCCAGACCGCTAATCAGAGTCATTTTACTCTCCATCTCTTTTCGCACGGAGTTGACCTCTCCCTCTAGCTCCTGAACACGCTCAGACCTGATGTGTAGCTCGGACATAAGGGCGTTCAAGTTGAGCTCGAAGTTTTGGAAGGAATCGGGCTCTTCTCCAATAGTGTCGAGAGCAATGTTGCGAAGAGAGGTAAAGGCGCGATTGGATCGGTCATTCGCAAGGACAGCTTGACTGGACTTCCGGCGGATCATATGTACCGAGGGTGAGCTTGGCCGTGTCATTTGGGCTTTTGTCACTTCGGTCTTCAATTCCTCCACGTAGTCCAACACATCCTGATGTTGCTCCTGTAGATTCGAGTAGTCCTGGTTGAGCTCGACCATGCGCTCTTCTTTCTCGGCATGCAGTAACTTCAACGCCTCCAATTCGTGAACCAACGTGGTCCCCGATGATTGATGCTGTGATTGCTCTGCAGAATCAGTCGAGAGTCTCATTGTCTTGACTCCGTTTTGCTTAGAACCAGCTCCCGTCTCGTTGTGTGGTAGAGTAGTGTTGCCAGATTCCGCCAATGATAACTCCGCAGACAATGTACGCGAAAGTGATGGTGGTCCATCCTCTGCCCTGAGCCCATTCGCCTCCGCATGCTCTAAAAAAGGTGTTGGTCGAGGAGACTGCTCCAAGGATGGCCGATCATAACGTCCCTCGTCCACGGTGTCTTGGAGAGCGGCCAAAGTTCGCAAGGCCTCTTGGTATTTGCTGGTAAGCGTATCATAGTCTTGAAGCGTCCCCTCATGCTCTACCCGCAAGTCAAACAGCTCTTGGGTCACTGAATCGAGCTTATCATGAACGAATCTAGATTGCGCTGGACTCGATGGTTCATCCGTGGTGTTCTCTGGAATCAACTCTTTTATGAAAAGACCGTTCGCCGCTGAGCGATCGTTTTGTTTTCTTGGCACTGCTCCGACTTGAGGTGAACGCTCGCCATCCTCTTCTTCTGCGATGGCGTCCACAGTGGTGTTGAACACATGAGTCCCTTCGACAGAGGGTCGCGTCTCCATCTGAGGTCGTTTTTCGAGAAATGCATCACTGTTTGTTTTCGAATGTCCGTTCACCGAAGCTTCCTTGCCCTTCATGTCTGTCTGAGGAACGTTATCAAGCTCGTACAAAAGGTTGTCGAGCTTGCCTATGCTTCGTTGTCGCTCAACCACATGCTTTAGTCGCTCGATCTCACGCGTCATAATCTCAACCTCTTGTTCGTTCTCCGCAAGACGTTCCTCAAGAGTGGAAATGTATTCCTCGCAACTGGACTCGTTGTCGCGGGCTTTCTGTAGCTTGTCACGTAGGTCCGAGATTGTGGTATCGTTCTTCTCAATACCAGATGTAGAGTTATCAACCTGGCTTTCCAGCGATTTGACATACTCTTCGTTGGTTGCATCTCGATCTATTGCTTTCTGGATGCGCGCCTGTAGTTGTTGGTTGTGGCTTTCGAGAAAAGCGATACGGGTCTCTTTCTCTAAAAGGTCACTTTCATGGGCCGACAGAGATGCTCGTGTGTTCGATAGGGATGATTCCAAAGTCTGGATAGTCTTCTCGTACTCAAGGACTACAGACTCAACAGCTTCTGCAAAGGAGTTTGACCTCTTCATTCGATCGAGCGCAGAATCACCAATGGCGTCCTTCAGTATAGGTGTCTCTGCATCACTGTCGTCGCGCGCTTTCGTAATCTCGGTTATCAGCTTAGTATGACGAGCACTGAGAGCGCTGTAGTTTTCTTGAATATCGAGAAGCTGGTCCTGGAGCTCTACTTCCCGCTGATGTTGTCGTTCAGCTCGCTCTTGAGGATCGGTTTTCTTATTGTCTGTTCGCTCTGATAATCGGATTTGGTCGCGTAGGAATTGAACTTCCGCTCTTAGCCGGTCGATTACCACCTGCTTATCGCTGTCATCATGGATTTGCTGAATCCGAGGCTTGGACTGGATGGCGCGCGCGCGTTGTGCGTATTGCACCGTGTTCAAGGTTTCGCTTAGATGGAATTCGGCCGGATTGACGCAAGCAATCATGTAGGTAATGGCGGTCCCTCCGAGGGAGTCCTGGAGCAGACGCGTGAGTCGAGAGTCCCGATATGAAACGTACGAGCCTTGTGAGCGGGACGATAGCTGCGAGATAACCTTGCCTAAGCTTGCAAGGCCAGCATTGATAGAGATTCCTTCCTTGGCCCGATCACCGGAAGCCTGTGTGTTCTTCAACCTCTCACTCCCCGCCAAATCGACAAAATGGAGTTTGCTGTCCACCGTCACCCAGTTTTCGCTTGAACCTGACATGGCCTCGATAGGCACCGATCTGCGCTTCTCACGGTTCGAAAGGGGCGTGGAAGGGCCCTTCTTTTGCACGAGATTCAAGCTGAAAACGGCGTGAGAACGCGATGACTTTGCGTTCACAGCCGTGGCATCGGTCTGGCGGATAGAGGATCCGAGATTGAGAGCATCTAGTAGATCTTCTACTGAGTGGATTGGCTTCTGCGTGAGGCCAGTAGGCAGGATACGGCCGTCACGGTCTTCGCGAATGCTGACAGCCGGCCGCTCACCGAAGGGTATGGTGTCAGGAACCAGGAGATCGCGCAATTGTTCGTTGTAAATCTAGACTAGTCAGCACTGCGAGAGATCTCCATTGCAAGGGCTATACCTCGACGTAGGTAGCGTTCAGTTGCCAGTTCTTGGTCGCTGACGGTTTCTTTGTGAAGCTATGCATGCCCGCGCTCGAGATGCGAGACGACGGCGCGCGAATGCCCGACCCAGGCAGCGGCGTGGCGGACCCTTCCAGCCTCTCGAAAAGATTGGCAGCAGCGCGAGGAATGATGCCTACAACTGCAGTCAGAACATGTGCCTCCTGTGCGTGGCTGCTGGCCTGCTATCCAACATACCCATGATCTGAGCGTCTCCCTGCTCCTGTGGACCTGTAGTACCCATTGTGTACGACTTGCCGGCACCAGACTGGCCGTATGCGAGGATCGAGACATTGTAGCCCTCGACAAAAGACCTGACACTGTCGACGACGTAGTCGAAGACGCCCTCCTGCTGGACGTCTTCCCCAAAGACACGGTCAAACACGAAGACTTTCCTGCCGCCGGATGCATCGACAGCAAGACTCGAGGGCGACGTGATGTGACAGGTGGCGCCGCGGAATCGCTTGGGGATGAGTTCGAATCCTGGATCGCCCGGTTTGAGCGGCGGGCGCACGCGAACGGCTGCAACACATTGTGGTTAGCGAATTGGTTGTGGTGGGGGATGCAGTTCGCGGTCTGGCAGATCAGCGGTTCAAGATGCACACATACCAACTTTGACAGCCGTCTTGCTGTCCTCATCTGAAGCTCTACTTCCTCCCGGCTTGCTGCTCACGCTCATGCGACTGGAACTCCGGTTGGAGCGTATCAGGGCACTTATGGGCCTCGTTGCGCCTCCAGGCGGCGGCGAGCCCGGTGGTGTTGCCATGGTCTACAGCGACGAGCGATTGTCGGTGTGCGCTCGTGGCAGCCAACTATCGAGACGGAGGTAGATATGCATGCGCGAGCGAATGAGAGCAGTCTATTGCGGTAGCGCCGAGGTTGCTGTGCCACACGCAGATTCGAGACGGGCAGACGGCAGGCAGCAGATGCACTGCGACGGAGGAGATGGGATAAGAATGCAGGAGTCTTCTGCCAGCAAAGACGGACGAACAAGACGACCAGGTTGTCGCGTCAACCTCGCAGCCTATGGCGGGACTGGCTCTCGTAGTCCAGGGGAAGAGAAACAAGGGTCGTTCTTTCCCCGGCGACATGCGAATAGGTAGGCTTGCCAAGCCCGGGATCCTTGTCCCTCCATACAGCTCGCAACCACAGCCGTTGGTGCAACGGATATCTCCAGTCGACCGTGTCTCGTTCCTCGTCTCCAACCCCAGCTGTCACCGAATCACCATCTCATGTGTGCGCGACAGCCCAACAACAGTGTAACAGACCGAACTCTGCGCCTCTCCTCGCTCACCTGTGTTGTTTTGCTAGCCTATGCTTCGCGTTCTTCATGGTACTATCCAACAGACACCAAGCGTCTGCTACCACCGCACCGAGCGCCGTTCATCTAACGCGCCGCACTAAGCACCGTTCATCTCACACCAGTCACTAGCCTGATTCGGCTCTACAAGTCTGAGGAAGATCAATTACCAGGCACTCAGTAGAAGCTCCATGACATGTGCCTTGCCCATCTCACTACAACACGATACCTTACTACAATGCATCCTCGTCCATTCCATCTAATCGGTGGGTTTCCTGGGTTGAGTATGCTGACAAAGACGACACGGCGTGTTTCAAGAAGGGCTATCCCCGCCATGAGAGCGAGGCGAGCGCTGTCACACGAGCCGCCAAGCACTGCGTTGGGTGACGAGGACTGCAGCATGGAACAACCGTCGAATCCTTCTCCAGAAGAGGGGCATTTCCTCTATCGTTAACTGGACGGATATTAGCGGTATGGTCCCTATTAAGTGCATGAAGCCAGTCATATCATCGGTTCTTGATGATTGTTCGGTTGTGGCTTGCATTTCAGGTCCACCGTTCTACGCCTCATTTCTCTCATTTCCTTCCTGCACCATTAGAGTCTTTTCGGAAACAGTTGATCTACCATTCTCACGCTCCCGTTCACTCCCAGTCAAGAATCAAAACAGTAGGTACTCTCATTCGTCTCAGATCGGAGATTCTTAGTATTTATGCACTGCAAAATCTCTCGCAGAAAACGCGGTCAACATTTAGCGGATGTTCTTCCACGTGACCATGTGCGAGTCGTGACGGCAAGCCACAACAAACATTCGGACCGGGTTGGTTGACGTCCCGATTTCTCGTTCGCATCCGTCCCGAGGTCTGAACTTTCTATCCGAAGTGGACATACATACAATTGATTGTGGCAGCTCCACGCAAAGATTCGAACTCCCCATTCATCTCAGCATGTGCCACAGTATAACAAGCATTTCGAAGTATGGAAACGAAAATCCGATTATCGTTTGCGGCAGTGGAGGTTTATAAAACGTTTCCAGGAACCTGGAGAAGGGTCCGTTACCAGAAAATCGATAGATAACTTTATCCAATATTCTTCAAGCCACGTCTAAAAACGATCGACTTCGCTAATCCAACCTACTGGTACAGGCCTTTGTCGCCTGGACTCGGCTTTTCCAAGACCTTTCAAGATAAGTGTCGAAACAGAAACTTTATACGACGAGTCGTGTAGTCATCTTGGTCTTGGTTGAACACAATACCAGCCGGAACAATATATCCCGCATCTCATTTTGATTCGTTGTCCATAGAAGACCGCATGTTGGACTGTGCTACAGGCGATCGAAAGCTTATCAAGTGCCAAGAACGTAAGTTGACAGTCCAAGCGTGTTCCTAATTGGTGGTTGGAAGACCTGATCAGTGTGCGGACGTAGTCCGTCTAGAACCCTGAGGTATGTGTTGAATCTTCCCTCGTGGACTCACCAGTGCTTCACCCGTATACTCCAAGGCTATTTCACAGGACGTATAGAATTGGATCGTTCATCCTCGCTGACTCGATTCCATGCAAGCTATGGCATGTAATTCGAGCTTTGTGTGCACCAAGCTTTTTACAATTAGGCTCGGTTCAAGGACAGGACAAGACATGAAGATCTTGCTACGGTAATTAGCACGGCATAGTATACATGACCGAACATCTACGAAGACAACCAGCGATCTTCCCTTGGCAATACACTTTGCTCATTGTATGCACGACATTGGATTGCCGCCCATTGCAGACATGGAACGACAAGATGCCGTACCCTTAACGAGCCTGGGCTAGCCATTTTTTATCTCGCGGACTGCCGGAGAAGCCGCGGAGAACTCGAGTAACCTGTGTTCAATATTGTGTGCAAAGTATATACTTCCGATACACCGAAGTCAATTTACATCTCATCGCCGAATCGTCAGCCGTCGAGCCGATCATTGATAAGCCAACATTTACTATTCAATGTTCTTCAGCCAAGGAAACTTGTGCGAGGACTAACGCCTTCCTGACTGTGATGCAATTCTTAGACATCCCAGTATGGGTTGATGGATGTGACTTATGAGTTCAAGCTGGGAAATTCAGAGTTGAACCGGTAAGCCTGCTGCTATACACGGCGTTGACGTTTCAGCCCCTTCTCATTCGGTCGACTTTCCCTTCATCGGTCGTTGGTTGGCGACTGTTCGACGACGTAAAGATGTAGAAGTCAGATCCCTACTAAGGACCATATGTTGTTGTAAGGCGCCTCTTCCCGTCTGCTGTTCGCAGCTATACTGCCTGATGCACTAGGATGAATATAAGCATATTTGCTACTACGCAGGATACTGCGCGAAACATGGTGGCATGCTAATATTGTGTAGAGAAATACCCAGAAGTCACTCCTTGTACGTTGCCTTCAGAGGTATGAACCCAGATACAAAATTGCGTGTAAACACGAATGATCCCTGGGGGAACGTTAGTGTAAGAGCAAGTGCTATTTTAGTTAACAACGCAAATCTACTTGATAAGCCGACCATAGAGTCAATTGTAAATTAGAACAAATATGAAATCATCATTACATGTATTGAAAACTGGCAGTTCGCCGTGCTTTTCGTCCATGCAGGTCATTGTTCATAAATCATTCCCGCAACACCTTTATATAAGTGGGTGGTGAAGTGTCTGGTTTACAAGAGCCGCAGACGAATCCTTGTTCTACCCTTATACATATAATACAATCAAACATACATGGCATCTCCGAATGACGCTATGCCTTGATCGTGAACCGTTCAGCTTCCTCGCTGCGCACCACCTTCCCCGATCTTTTCTGTTCCCACACCTCTAACGGCGATTTTGTCTTCAACCTCTGTCTCTCCTTTTCCTCGAGTCGTTCGCTCTCAGTAAGTTCCGCCTGTCGACCCCCCGTGGTCGATAGGTTCTTCGCCTCCCTCTTTCCCAGTAGCGTACCAACCTGCTCCTTCAGGACTCTGGCAGACTTCCTGACCTCTTCCTTGCTATCAGGATTGTTCGCGCTGATTGAATCCTTCACCTCCTGTTGCTTTGCATTCTTCCCCCAGGGCTCCAGGTTAGGCGTTTCGGGCCAGACAAACGGCAGCTCCATCTCGACCGTCATGTACTTCTTCGACTCAGGACGGAACCAATGTCGTGGCTGTTCTCGTGTGTCTCGCACGGGCATCTGCTTGACATATGATCGGACGTTGAAGCATTTTACGTTGTAGGCATGGTAGAGGTAGTCGCGGAGGTCGTATTTGGAGAAATCGAGTGGGACTTGGAATCGCGCGTGGTAGGGAGAGAGTGTCGGTGTTCGCAGGAGCGCTACTGTGAACTTAGGCCTGTTGCGCCATCTTTAGCATTGCGTTTCGCGCATGGTGGGAGTGACCTTACAGATAGATCTTGTTGCTGCCGAAAGCAATGAGCTTTTTCGTAATAGGTACAGCGTCCATGGCAGAAATTGTACGCAAAGAGCCAGGGGGTGAGTATGCTTGTGGCAGACCGCGAGCGAGAGCAGGTATCGAGGAGTCGTCTGTTGCGCAAGCCAGGCGTCGAAATCGGTGGGGGATAGCCTGCGGTGGTCGTGAACGCGGAGTTCACAAAATCTCCGCGTCACGTGTGTCTGACAACTCGAAATCAATCACTATTGCCATCCGAACTTCCATACTCACATCCGTAGTCCGTTGTTACGTACTCGGCACCTATGAGCGCAAAAGGCTCTTCTGACGCAGTTGCAACAGAAATTGCTTATAATCTGGATAGCATTTAGCCCCATTCGAGCAATCCAGCAGAAAGAGCTATCATGCAAGCACAAGAATTTCTCAGGACAGAGACTCTACATTATAGCTTTGGTATCAGATGTATTTCCAGTCTCTCTTCCTACAAGTACCAAATTCTGTGACATAAGTTGACCTTGCGGCCCTGTTTCATCCTTTTCCGACTGCGAATAAGAGTAGTAGATCTTCTTTTCCGGCGAACGATTGTATCGGTAAGGTAGAGGGTTGGTTTGCTGGCACCATGGACATAACTTCCCAAACCGAGGGTGTTTGCGTTTTAAGCTCTGGCTTCCTCTTTCACCTGCCCCCTCCATCACTTCCTCTTTGTCGCTGCTCTCACTTCGCAAATCTTTTTCTCACCATCTGTTTACCTATCCGGTCACGGCTGCAATTGCTTGCTTCCAATGGTACACCAAGAGTGACATAGTCAAGCGGAGTGTTACTAGCATTACACAGTACAAGAGACGCAAGTCTAGTGTATAGTGACTGCAGCGACGGCACAACTACCGCTCACAAACTGAGGCCCTTTGTTCTAGCTTCTGTAACTGTTTGCTACGTCACCTTTCCCTGCGCTCCTTCCAACTCGAGGTCACCTCCACTTTGACCGTCGACAGCGTCCCCTTGGCAACGTTTGAAGCCACTCTGCTACCACCTTGCAACACCTGTTCGACATCTTGGTTACCTGTCAAGAGTAACCGATATCGCTAGTATGAGCCAAGAATACTGGAACCGTGCTTCTCCAGCGAGGGGAGCCGACAGTCATGGGAGGAAGCCGAACAAGGTCATACCAGTTCCTCTCGAGTACCGGCGCAAAACTCTCGCAAGAGAACGCGATGTGTTTGTCCGGGATCTAGAAGTCAAAACAGGCTGTGAAGTGGAGCTTCATTGGGACCAGGGCAGAATTACGCAGTTCGACCTCTTTGGCTCTGGCGCAGGCGTAGAAAAAGCTGTCCGCCACATCAATCAGTGGATATCCAACGCCCACGTCAAGTCAAGGGAGGCAGCGTCTTGGGCGAAAACGCCTGCTTTTGATGCTAACAAGTGGTACTACGAGGAAATTGAAGCGATGGAGCTTGAGCACAAGCAAAAGTTCAAAGGCCCCGTTCCAGATGCTTCTGAAGACGCGCGCCAACTTCTCAGGGTATGTTCAACTTGTCTGACATATGGTGCATCGATAATGATTTCGTAATAGGCCACTGTGGACTGGCCGGAGGACCTTAGCATTCAGTCTATCACCCCTCGAGATGTCTTCGGAAACAAGCTCGAAGCCTTGGACGACGCCATTAGGCTGCAAGATGAAGTCTTCGTCACTCTCTTGCCATCTCGAGGGGGTCTTTGGCAGATTGAGATATGTGGGTATGACGACATCAATGTGGACAAAGCAGAAATGCGTCTTCGGACAATGATAGAGAAGACGCGCATAGATGTGAACAACATTCGGCCTGTACTCAACATAATCCTTGACGAAAAAGAGGGAATCGACATTGTACTACAAGAAGCTGAGCCATGGTGGCCTGACCGTACTAACGCAATCGTCCCACGCCTGCTTTCCCATCCTATGATGGATACACCAGGAGACTTCCGTCAAGAAGGAATGTACTTCTCAGACTTGTCGAAGATCCAGGACACCATCAAGCTAGCCCTCGAGACTGTTCGACACAAGAAGGGAGCATACGACTTTGTCGTACGCCTAGGATGCCTTGCGCTGAACTCCACGAAAATAGGCGGTAACGCTACTGAGACAAGGTTCCGCAAAGAGCAGTTTCTCAAGGACGTCAACGACAGAGTGGATCTAAATGTGAAGAAATGGTACGTCAAGACTATACATGTTTATCACTGATATTCGCTAAACACACAGGCTCGCTCATCATGAGCTTGGTAGTCAGATTCTTCGTCGACTTATCGCGGAAGACAAATTTCTAGAACCCACGAAGTCAAGTGCTTACTATGGCTATACTCCCAAAACCCTGAAGGAGACTCTCCCAGTGTTCCGAGGAACATGGGTTTTCCGCGATCCGAATAGTACACCCCAATTTCGCCAGCCGGTGCGCCTTCCTGGAAGGCCAGCTCCCCTAGGACCAGGCTCCACCAGCAACACTGCACCAGCTCCCTCCGGCCCTCTCTATGTCGTTCAAGTTGACTGGACTGACAACGAGGATGGCATGTACGAAAAGACAGATTCGAGGTTCTACAAGCTGGAGGACGGCAAATCTAGTCCCAACAAAAACATGGACATCAACCTTCTGGAACTTGGAGAGTATGTGCACTCACCATACATCTGTGACATTGATGAGGCTTTGCTGACCAAAACTAGGAGCAGAGGATGGCAATTCGCTTTGGAATCCTTGATAGGTCCACTGGCTCCAAAGATCGTCTCACCTGTCCTAACTGGCTTTGCCCAGCGCGTGACGATGAAGCAGAACTACGATCCATCTTCCGCGGAGGTCTTTGCTCAATGGGACGCGTCAATGCCAACGATCAAGAGGAGTCTGATGACCGGCCGTCTCGATAAAGTCTACTCATTCGGCATCCAGAAGACTTGCTACAAGGCCGAGCTCACTGCCATGTGGTATCCGAGCCGAAAGTTGCCAGTATGGGGTCTTGCTGTCCGCCACACCGAGTGGGCGATTCATCTCGCCGAGTTGGAGCGCCTGCCTGTTGGTCATCAAGCTGAGTGGGGCAATATCGTTGCCGCCTTTTTACCTGATGATGGCCAGATGTCATGCGCTACAGGAGATGGGGACGCTGAGTTTGGTATGACGGATCTGACGCTGGACGATGATGCCAAAGCACCACCTCGAGATGGGATCCGGTTGTTAACAGACAAGCTGATGCAACTTTCGGATATTGTCAGTTCGGTTGTTGCTTCCAGTGATGGAGGAGTCAACGTTTGATCACGACGAAGCAAGGGCTTGTTACACTGGCTTATACAGTTGAGGCACAAAACGGATGGGAGAGAACCATTTGCAGTGTATTCACGTCGCCGCGATGAGAAGAGTGGAACTTCCGCTAAGGACGAGCATTCATGTCTGGGCAGCAAGCCTCTTGCAAGAACAGGCTTCAGATGAGCTCTGAGTGGGTAGTTTTTAATTTCTGGCTTTAATATTGTGCCGTTTCTCAGGGCTCTTGAGTTTCCCTTTTTCTTTGATCTGGCCTCCGTGAAGCAGAGATGCTGGTCCCCTATTGGAACATGCCCACGCTCAAATCTTCCTCTTCAGATGCCAACTCATATGCAATCCCCATTCTGCTTTAGTCCCAGAGTACCTTCCACAAATACAATGTTATCCTACTGCTCATCTGGCAAGTCTCGCTCCCCTCAGCTCTCGCTCGCCTCCGCTTCCTGACCCTGGCCCTGACTCATAACCTTCCACCGAATAACGTCCTCTACGCTCTTCGCATTCTTTGCCTTCTCATTCACCACACTTTCCAAATCCTTCAAACTATCCCCCAAATCCTTGACCTTGCGCTCATAGAAGTCCTTCGCACTAGCAACATCCTTCTCGACGAAGAAGCCTGTCCCTACATCGACCAGTACGTGCTCCGCGTCTGTCAGGCGTCCGGGGACGTATAGCGAGGATGTCAAGGGGACAAGTAACGGCTTAGAGGCGACGGCAGAAGAGACTCCCGAGCTGATGGATAGGAGGCAATCGCGGAACTTTGCCTGTGCGGTGCGGAGCGACGTGTGGGATTGTGTAAGGTGGGCGATTTCGCGGTCGAGTTGGGTTTTTAGCTCGTTTAGTTGGGCGACGGGGAGTTGGGTTATTTCAACTTTTATTGTTGTCAGTCGGGGATTATCACGAGGGAGGGAGATGGAAAGCCTACTCTGTCCTGGTTGGCCTTGCGCCGAGGCCTGTTTGGAGGCCATTGTGTGCGTGTGTGTGGTGGTGGAGCTTGGGCTTGGTTATTGAGAGGAAGGTATGGTTGGTTGTGGTGGGGCAGGTATTTTGTGGGGTACGGCGACACGTGAAGACGCGATGCGATGGAGTTGACAATCCGTCCTTGCTTCGTCATCTTTCCATTCCTACTCCATGTCTAGATCTTGTCGGAACTTGGTCAATGGCACAATACTGCGCTCATACTCGACAAGCACGCGCTTTCCCGTAGCAAAGAGTATACAGTACAATGAGGCAAACGACACAGCTGGCTTCGATGCAAATGAACCCGTCGTATTCAGAAACAGCTTCATACATCTACCAGCTATATCAAAATGGTTTACAACTTCATCAACAGACACCCAATTCTGCTACCATGAACTGAAGACAGCTTATCTATCTCAACATGGCGACGCAATCGTCCCACTAGAGCTCACCCGTACCAGCCTCGACCCCCAAAACGCAACATTCGAACGCTTCAACGCGCCGCTCTCACTCCTCCTCGCTCACATAATGGGTCCCCCCACACCATCCTCCCGTCTTTATCTCGCACAGCATTCCCTCGCAGATCTCCCATCCACACTACAAGCAGACCTTCCCACGCCGACCTTGCTTTCACGTCTCGGTCGCGGCGACATCTATGCGAGTAGCCTGTGGATGGGCAGACCGCCGACACGGACTCCGCTGCATCGCGATCCGAACCCGAATTTATTTGTGCAGTTGGCGGGGCGCAAGTTCGTGCGTTTGATGAGACCGGAGGTAGGGAGGGGCGTGTACGAGAAGATTGGGCGGGGTGCAAGGGCGAATATGAGGGGCGAGGAAATGATGGGCGGAGATGAGATGGAGGAGTTGGAACGGTCGGTTTGGGAAGACGATGGAGAAGAGAGTGTTGGTGTGGAAGCCGAGCTGGGAAGTGGTGATGCACTATTCATCCCTCTAGGGTGGTGGCATGCTGTGAGGGGTGTAGGGACGGGTGCCAATGCTTCGGTGAGTTGGTTGTGAGGAGACATGAGATTACATGCTGATGGGAGTTTGCAGGTCAATTGGTGGTTCAGATGATGGTAGTCTTTAAACTGCCCCTGCCGGCCACAGACTCTATTTGATTTCGACTCTGACCGTAGCCTCCGAACCATCGATCCACGTCCCGATAGATCTTGTCCCCGGCACGATATCAACCTCCCTCATGACCCTGTCAGCTCCCCTCTCATCTTCACTGTCGTCAGAGTTCCAGTCGTCCTCACCCAGATCGGCCATGGATTTATTCGCCGACATCCAATCACCCGTCTCCCAGATCAACCCACATTTCGAAGGCTTGATGTCAAAGTGCTTGGCAACGATACCGAGAACCGTATACGCTGTGCAGCTCATCGGAATTTCTGCTTCATAAGTCTTAGACTTGATATTTGCTTTCTGTGTCTCTCCAGCGACGAGACAAAATTTGATACGTATCAGCCGAGCGGCGAGCGAATTTGGGTTCACTGCATTCTTAGATCTCTGAATGTTGGGTTCTCCATACTCTTCGCACAGCCATTTGTACCTGGGATGGCTATCTAGAATCTGTGTTTGCAAGCGCTCAGGTGCGAACTGGACCTCTCGTGCGATCAGCGAGAGGTAGTACGATTCAGCGTTTAGACGCTCCTTGGGGTTGATAGGGCTGTAATTCAGGGTCTTGAGATTGCCGAGACGTGCAAGGGTGAGCATATATCCGTCGTCCGCAGTGAGAGTGCGACCATCGGCGGCTTGGAGGGACTCGTAGAGCGGATTGTGCGAAACACGCAAGCTGGTTAGTCCGGGAAAGACATGTTCCAATTTGTCGACAAAGGCCCATGCGGTTATCTCGTTGAACGACATGTCGACTTCGGATAGTGTGGATGGAAAGACGGGTGCTGGCGATCCTGGATCGTTGATCTCGCATATCTTGTTCTGTTTCAAGACCAAGCGCTGAAGATTCGGCAATTTGGTGAGAGGTTGGAGAGCGGATAGAGAAGGGAAGAGATTGTCTTCGAGCGTTAGGTCGGTTATGGTAGAATTGAGATCGTGAGATGTCAGTGCAGTGTAGAGATTGCTGGACGCCACAAACGTTGAGAGGACAGGAAAGAGATGTGTAACCTCGGCAAGCTGCTCCCAAGGAAGCAGATTTTCTTCCATTCCTAGTCTCTTGATGTTCGCAAAGGCCTTCAGACAACGTTCTCGCTCGGCTTCAGTCAAGCTCATGTCTCTGAACCGGTTTCCACTGTTCGATCGTCAGTAAGCTATTCCATACACTCAAGAGAGGGAGACTCACTCAACTCTCAAATGCGTTAGCCGGTCAAGCTGTTCGCAAACTGAAAAAATCTCTCTCCACTCTTCGAACAAATTCCGACTCAAATCCAGCTCGTAAGCCTTCGGGCACGCATCCTTGACATCAGTCTGTCCCTCTGACCACCCTTCTTCCTGTTCTTTCAGCCTTGCGTTAGGCCTCCACATGCACAACCCATCCAAGATGATAATCTTAAGCTCCTCTAACTGCGCAAGCTGTTTGCGAATCTTATCAAAGCCCACTTCTTCTGCTACTTTTCCACTGAACTTGATCGGCTGATTGAGTTTTGCAAGCGGATCTTTCTTCTTGCTGTCGCCTTCTTTCATGACGAAGACGACATGCACATCTGGGTCTTCAAAATTAGGATCGTCATAGTCTTCTGAGGCGTATTTTGCCTTCAGTGCTTCTACAAAGGAACGTGGGGTGTCTGGTTTGCGGGTTGGTCTGATGAATGAGCCTGCTGTTGAATGACTGCTGAAACCTGAATCACCGTAAGCCATGTATTACACAGTACATAGAATGCCATGTCACTACATTTGAAATACTTGATATCTTGGTGTTCGCCAGAGTGCTTTCCTCGTGTAGGATCATCCCACTCTACGCCTAGCCATTCGCCTTTGGTGCCCTGAACTTGGCCATGGTATCGAACCGTGCAGAGTTGATTGTCGAAAGATAGACGCTTGCCAGGATAAAATTGTGTCGTCATTGTGTACTGAAGTTCGTGAAGAGTGCGACCTGCAGGCGATCGATTAATTGATTTCAACAAGATTTGAGGCACATGTAGAGACGTCTGGGTTGTGCCAAGATCAATCAAAAGAAAACGGGAATCAAATTCGACAATAGCAGAACTAACATATAATTCTCGAAAGGTAAGTGGAAAGAGCACCCAACGTTCGGCAGAGAGCCCGCACGTGATGTTGACGCTAACCCAATCTTACAACTGCAGGCGGCAGATCCCCGGAATTTCCACGACTTTGACGCGCGCTGTACACTTCAACCCATTCACAACAACCAACGTTTACTTGAATAGTCACGAAACCCGTCTGGACCTTTATAGACGCCTGTTATTACATTCTAAGAGGAGCGAAATCTTGCGACAGGATGGACTACCAGGTAAGACTTTCCATGCGCCTTAGCTAGAACTATGTACTAACAATTCGCAGAACCGCGCAGGCTCCAAGTTTGGCGGCGGAGGTGTTGCCTCCCAATCCGCGACCAACGCCGACCGACGAGAGCGTCTCCGAAAGCTTGCGCTAGAAACCATCGACCTTGACAAAGACCCGTACTTCTTCAAGAACCACGTCGGAAGCTTCGAGTGCCGCCTATGTCTCACAGTCCACCAAAATGACGGCTCGTATCTCGCCCACACGCAGGGAAGGAAACATCAGACAAACTTGGCGCGCCGTGCTGCGAAAGAGCAGCGAGAGGGCAAGAAGGATGACGTGGGTCAGCAAGGACTGCTTGCCGGCGTGCAGATCAAGAAGAATGTACTCAAGATCGGACGACCAGGATACCGGATAACAAAAGTCCGCGATGCGGTTACGCGTCAGAACGGGTTACTTTTCCAGTTCCAGTTTCCAGACATCACTCCCGGCACAGTGCCAAGAGTCCGCTTCATGAGCGCCTACGAACAGAAGATGGAGGAGCCTGACCCAAACTATCAGTACTTCATTGTTGCCGGAGAACCATACGAGACGGTGGCAGTCAAGCTGCAGGCTCGCGAGGTGGATAGGCGCGAGGGCAAATTCTGGACGTGGTTCGACGAGGACAACAAAGAGTTTTGGTGCCAGCTCCTCTTCAAGACCGAGCGAGACGAGCGCTTCAGTGCTGTTCCCGGACTGGCACCTGGCCGAAAGTGAGCAGCCAAGGATGGAGTTATACGACTAATGCGCATGACGCGCCGAGAGAATACATGAGCAAAACCAGAGTGTTTGGAATTGATCGGACACACACTAGGCAAGGTAAAAGTCTCGTGTTTGTCATCCATATCACAGTTCTGACTGTCCAAACATCTCCACTAATTCAACTCTCCGCGGAAGGGTTCAACGGCGTTCAAGTGGCGTTTAGCGGTGCAAGTTTTAATGGCGCATTTGGAGGCTCCACATGGTGTAGGTAGTCCCAAGTTCAATACAACAAACCAGTCCATATGATCTAACGCTACAGAACGGTGTGGCTAATGCGCCTATGTCGCAAATTTCAAAAAACTCATTCGCGGAGACGTGCATGAGAAGTTTGCTAGATATGACTAGAAAATGTTTGTTATTCCCATCCGACTCTAAACTCGAGCGCCTGCTCCTCCAATCATTAGCCAGCATCTCTCTAGCTATCATCTGACATCTGATACTGCGCCCTGGGCTTCGAAGGACCCCCGCAAAGTCGATACGGTTTCCCGCCTGACCACGGCTGTGGCTGGTACTTAATTGCTGATTCGCTGCAAGCATTATCATGTTCGTAGGAGCCAGTCATGGATGAGGCCTCGCTACACTTTCTCGTCTTGCTCGTCTTGCTTGAGCATTCATACGGCTTTTTTCGATATTCAGTATAACCGACTAATTGACTGACTGACGGACTGACTGGTTTGACATGAAGTGCAGAAAGATAAAGACGGTGCCAATAAGACGTATTGGTCGACATCCATGGTAGAAGGCGTCGGGAACCATGTCAACATCATCTCAATAAGTGTGTTGACATCGTGAGTAATTTCTTGAAAGCCCTCCAGTCGCGTGGTGCTATCGGGTCCCCACGAGGAGATGGACGCCAGTCAGTCATGGGAGGCGTGTTAGCTCTTGGTCTTGCTCCCGAAAACATGGCACGGCCATAACGATACGGTTCTTGCTCATAGCACAGTGGCTTTTTTCCCCGCCGCCACTATCTAAGTCGTATCCACAGGGAAAGCAAAATAAAACTTTCCATCGCCAAACCCGCCTAACACTTCAAAACAAACGGAACACAGCTTGCCGAATACTGAAGGCAGTGCTGGCTGGCTGGACTGACTGGCGCCGCGTACAGCAATCCAGACTCGGCATGGAAGCCTAGTTCTGTATCTCGATGCTCTAAAATGGTCAATGGAGGGCAAATCAAGTTTCCTCACGCTTCGCCTCACCTTGCCTTGCCTCGCTTCGACCAGACATGCTGGAGCGGCATGGTACGGCATGGCAGTGGATGTGAGCTGGGATAGCTTGTCGCGAGATCATATGATGGCCTTGATTGCTCCGCCCGACTTAGTTTTGAGACATGAACGCCAAGTGCGGAAGGCGCGACTGTAAATGGGCCAGAGAGTGGTTTCGATTGTTGTGCGGCATGTTGACTTGACGCGTAGATCGTACGTGAAGTGGAGTTTGTGAGATGCGGCGGGACAAGGCGCGTTTGCATACGAGACGAGACGCATGAACAAGGGCGATGTCGTTGCATGTTTGCACGATACGGTCTGCAAGGCATGCCATGACATGGTGTCTAACTCTGCTGCAGAGCAGCCTGGCCGAGGAATTGTCCCCGCCGATCCAAGATGTCATGGCCATGCATCAAGCCTTCCCGCACGCCATTAACCCAGACAGGCAGGGCAAGACGGGTATTGCTATCAAACATGATTACTTGTAGTGTGTGCTTTGGCCAAGTTACATGGCCAACTCGCCTCCTCCTAGTCAGTCTGAAGGTATCTTGGAACGTTAGTCGGGCCGAGGCCGAAACGTGCCGTTGCGTTTCGTCTCGCGCAAGCTACGCGTGCGTGAGGCGATTTGCAAAAAAGAAACGAAAGAAATATGGACCTTGTCAACCCCCTGGGGAGGCGAGACGAGGCAGATGACAAGGCACGTCCGAGACATGCACTATAGCTCGTGCAAGACACTAGCAAGCGATGGGCATTGGGAGAGGGGAAGAGGGGTCCAGTGGAGACGAGAAGTGAGGGAGTTGGAGGATCGGAAATGCGTATTCTCATGGTTGAGAAGTGGGTGGGCGTAGATACTGTAGAGTGTTTAGGTCATGTGTGTTGCTGCGATGACGAGATATGCATGGTTTGAGAAGCAATATGGATTCCCTAGTCCATCAGTCATTCCGTGAGTCGTTCAGTCAGGCAGTCATTCAATGCGTCTATCAGTCGGTGGAGACTACGCAATGGTTAGAATTGCGGCGAATTGCTTGCTATGCCAATCACACTTGAGTTCCGTGTCTCATTTCATGGGGATAGAGGATGATCCATTCCCACAAGACGTCGCGCCTTCTGCCGAGCACGATCTCCCCGTATACCTGGTCTCTAGCGTAAACGAGAAATTCGGAAGCAAGATCCGAGTCTGAACAAGCACCACTGCCACAGCGCTACATGCACGCCATGCAAGAAAATGACAGTAGAGGCAAAAGGGGCTGTTGGAGCTGCCGCACCTGTTGGGTTCTTGCCAAACTGCGTTATTCGGTTGATCTGATACGATGCTGGCGCTATTTTGGACTTTCTGCTTGCTTGACGCTAGAGACCTGGCCTGTATCTTGCTTGCATTCCTTCCGCGCGCGCATGAGCGCCGGCCCGTATCCTCCACCCTTTCGTATCTTGACCCTTTGGCATTGTCTGTGCGCGCTGGAAGACGACATGGGGGCTGAATGCAGATGCTCGGCTAGCAACAGACAACATGAACAGTCACGGAGGGACGGAGGAGCTTCCCCAAACACACAGGCAACTTGGCAAGGGTTGGAGTCAGGATTCTGTGTTGTATTGCTCAGGCCGCCGAATGAGGTCTGGAAGTCAGTTGATGGGCAGAATCCGGATGGGTGAATGCATGACGACGGCCGCTTATGCACGTCCCAGAGCAGCGTCGTGCAGCAGACATTGATGATTCGATAGCTGCCTGCTGACACCCTCCGCCTTGCTCAATCAGCAGTTGGAGGCGCTTGTGACTGGCGAACTGGTCGCCGCTTCCGGGCGAGGGCGGCCGTGATAGGCAGCTGGCGGGCGGGCTGGGGCAACAACTGAAGCTGAACAGTATCGGGGGGTCCGAGCTAGCGGTCGCTATCGCGAGCTGCAAGTGATGGCGCTCCACTCTGCTGTCGCGACGCAAAGTGCATGCAGCGCCGTCGTCATGGTGGGTTTGTTATTTGCTCGCTAGACGACATGCCTTCCGCCGTTAGCTCTGCCGTATTGCGAGCGGGCCGTCAGTGTGACTCGGCGGGCTGGGGTCGTGGGACAGGCACTACAGGCTCACAGGCTCGCACGCTCGCAGGCTCTCCCACGCACTGTGGACAGGCACCTGTGGCCAGCCTCTGCGACGGGCCAGGCTCTGCGCGCTGCTCGCTGCGCCGGCTGTCGGACGCGGTGCACGCTGCAAGTCAGCCTGAGCAGGACCGAACCCTACAGCGGCTACCAGCAGGTGGCCTGCATCGCGGCCGTCGCGCTCACGTGGCCGTGGTTGCCTGCCCGGCCTTAAACCTGCTGGCGGCAGCTCCCTGGTGTCTCTGGCGCCGTGCTCTCAGCCAGCTGCACCGCCGTCGCGATAGTACTGGCGGCGATCTGCACCCGCGATTCGTCACCGCAATCGCCCAGGCAGTCCCCTCCCGCTCGTCCTGTGCTGCGCTGCTCTGCTCGGTGTTGCCTCTACTGGCCTTGCACTGGCCTTGCACCCGCACTGTCCCTCTGGCCTCGCTCTGTGCACTGCCCTCCCGCGCCGTGTCCTGCTTAGTCGTCCGCTCGTCCCCCCGTCCCCCTCCGCTGGCCCATCGACTGGCCGTGCTCGCCCACTGGAAGAACCTCGGGAGCGTGCAGCGCGTCAACACACGTTCTGCCACGGTCACTGGTATTGTGATCCTCACGCCCACGCCACGCCCACGCCCGCCATCCTATGCCCTCCCCGCCACGCCCGACTGTCGCGAGCCGTGCCTGCCTTGCGCGTCCCACCGTCACCACTGCGCGTCGCCGATTGGCCCGCCTGCAACCACCTCGCCGCCGCTGAACCCTCGCAGGGCCTTTTGCGCCGTTGGGAATGTACTCTGTGCATCCCGTCCAGACCATGTCCATGTCGAATGGTGGCATTGGGAACGGCGCCATGGACCCGTCCGCCACCATTGACCCGGCCGCCCTCAATGCAGCAGGTACGACCACCACCATGCACACTCACCCTCGCGCCGCCAGCCTCTGCGCGCGTCGCACAGCACCCCGTCGCCGGCCATGCGCGCCCCGTCGCTGTGACTCTGTTGGCTTGCGCTCTTGTTACATCCGCCGCCTGCCGCACGCGAGACGAGACGATGAACCCGCTAACTCCCTCGCCAGATGCGCTGAGAGGCCCACCGCAGCCCGTCGCACAGCAACCCTCGCGGGGGCTCAAGCGCAGTCGCTCGCCCGAGAACACCTACGGCGACGTGCAGCACGGCGATGGCGACCCAGGTATGCTCTGACCCACCTCGCAGCGAGAGCGAGTCGCGCTGTGGAGACCTGACTAATACGAATGCCGCAGACGACGGCAAACCACGCAAGCGCGGACGCCCGCCAAAGGCAGCAAAAGGCGCGTTTGCTGGGAGCCCCAGCCGTGCATCCCAGTCCATGTCCACGCCCTTGCACGCCGGCGCAGCTCCCCCAGTGCAGACGCCGCGCCTGCAGTCGACGCCCCTACCCCAGGGCTCTCCTCCCCTCACGTCCCCGTCGACCAAGTCCACGCCCACCAAGCCCGCCGTCATCAAGGCCCTGCCCACGGTACGCGACCACACCACCGACCAACTCAACCCAGAGGGCGACGAGTACATCCCGCGTGAAATCGACGACGCCGGCGAGCGCAAGGTCACGCAGCAAGGGCACCCGCTCGACGCACGCGAATACCGCTGTCGCACCTTCTTCGTGCCCAACAGAGGCGACAAGCTGTTCATGCTGGCGACCGAGTGCGCGCGCGTCCTGGGCTACCGAGACTCGTACCTGCTTTTCAACAAGAACCGGTCCCTGTACAAGATCATTGCTACACAGGCCGAGAAGGACGATCTGATTCACCAAGAGATTCTGCCCTACTCGTACCGCTCCAGGCAGATTGCCATTGTCACGGCGCGGTCCATGTTCAGGCAATTTGGCAGCCGACTCGTAGTGAACGGAAGGCGCGTACGCGACGATTACTGGGAAAGCAAAGCCCGAAAGCAGGGCTTTACCGAAGAAGACGCGGCTGGAGAAAAGAGACCAGGTGCTGCCAAGGCGAGGGAAGCCGCGGCTGCCGAAGCGAACCACGCCAGTGCCATGGCCTTTGCACATCCAGGAGCATTCGCTGGCAACAACCAAGACTACCTAGGCGCAGCTGTCAACCCCCTGCAGCCATTTGGCGGACTCAATCCAGCGCCAGGGAGCATGCCTACTACCACCGCAGAACAGTACAACCCGCGCACATCGACAGAAATGCAGCCTCGAGACTACAGCGGTGTGCAGCGACCACGACAGGAGATGACTGGTGCACCATTCGTGGATGTCACGAGACCAACCCCTTCTGGTGAGATTCTCAACCAGGCCGCCCAGACAGCCGAGTTCAACAAGCAGCTGGAACACCAGCGCAAGAGTCGCAAAGAATATCTGGACAAGATCTGGACCCGGCCACATGAGCCAACTGTGCAGCCCAACCGTCCAGGAACCGCTGAAGGCGACACCGTGCCACAGGTCTCACAGGCCGTGCAGTCTCCTCGTGTGTCGACACACACTGTCTTGCCAGGAAACCAATACGGCATGGTATCCCAGACTCCTCAACGGGCAATGCAAAACATGGGAGCGCAACCGTACCGCCCGCAATCTCTTCCGCAGAACAGCATGATCCAGTCTCCTATGGCTCAGCAGCAGCACAACCAACTTCGACCAGAGATGCACCGTCGCCCGCCGAGCATAGGTATGCCTCAAGGCATGACCCCTACTGGAATGAGCCCTGGAATGAGTCCTGGAATGCTTTCCGGTGTACAAAACCCAGGCCATGGCTATTCCCAGTCTCACATGTGGCAAGGCCCCCCGCAGCCGTCACCACTCTCTCAGCAGCACAACATGCAGCAATACGCCCAACGTCCTCCACAACAGTCGCCGCATCCCCAGCAGTCCCCGATGCACGCTTCTCCCCAGCTCCATCATGTCCAGAACAGCAGCTCGATGCATGTCACGCCTATGCAACAATACCAGACAATGGGTACCATGGGAGACACCGGATATCCGTCCATGGGCCAGACTCCGTATCAACCCAGCCCGAGTCCCCATCAATTCATGCAACACCAGAGTACTGCCGGACAGCAACCTGGTATGCCTGGATGGGCTCCTCCGCAGGCTCAGCAAGGATGGCAATCGTACTAGCCGCTTGATTCGTCTCATGACAAGCCTCCGAAGGAGCTGCAGACTATATCAGACCTGGTCTCGGTTACACAAGAACTGCAAGGGTGCATGGTAACAAGCTCGTATTGTCAGAGCGGTTTCAGACTGCCATCGCATCCATCATGGTTCTTCGTTCCTGCCCCTTCTTAGTGTACCTTGTACCTCAAACAGGCATTATCCTTCGCTTTCTGCCCTAGGATAGTCGTCAACAACCTTTATTGCTAAGAGAACTTTATTTTCGGATTTTTGCACGTCGTTTGGTGGAAGGACTACCTGGCGAGTTGGCGAATGGCGTTCCTTACTCTCCACTTACTCGAATTAGCCTTGCTCTGGAACAACAAACACTGCACGCTGCATGCGAGATGATCATACACGTCAATCCACGAGACCAAGAACACACGTAAACGATGGGCGGCTTGGATCTCTTTCCACGGCATCTGGGTACATGACCAATCTCGCAACCTCCACACCTTTGGGCTTGTTCCTGTCCTTGACACTGCAGCTTCATATATGGCATTCTTCCATCTTTTGGGCTGGCATCGCTTCGCGTCGCACCTCACTGTATTGTATTGCATGGGTTTGCGGGCATTGTCAGTTGATGCTCATCTTGGAGTTCTGCATCATCGGGGCCTTTCGGTTGCACCAGATTGCTATTATTTTTTCCTTGTCATTCTCTTTTGGCCCCTATCCGTATCATTGGTGGATTGTCATTTACTTGCACAAGATTCCCCCATACCCATACCCCTTTTCGTAGTATGTAGCATTTGCATTTAGGGTATTGAGAGCAGATATACGATGGATTTAGGGCTGAACATCTTGGTGGACAGTGGCTTGTGGAAATGGCGGGGAGGAATGCATAGCAGGGATGGTCTCTTTCCTGCACATTTCCACTAATATTAATATCAATCCGTTCCGCTCGTTAACTTGCAATCTATCTTGTTGTCCCAAGTACCGTCGGAGCACTCAATCCTGATGACAAACTCTCTGTCATCCGATTTCGCTGAAGGATGATAGGGTTTGAACTTCTCGGTTAGCACCCCTACACGCACGTCGCGAATACCTGGATGAAGGAAGAACGCGGTCGCGTTATGGATGAACGTCACGATTACAACATGAACGGAGAATACCAAAGCGTATATGTATGCATTGGGTTATAAAGTATGTACTTGAATCATGTACTAGGAACCCCGAGCCCGGGAATCTGGCAACTTGCACTCCACAACCCGAGAAAGTTAATAAGGGTCTTCGCATGGCAATGGTTCGGGAACCACTCCCGAGTATCGCGAGCCTCGTTGGGGAGATTATGCTCCCAAGACAAGGAAGCCATACGCGCAAGTCACGCCTGTTTAGTTACGAGACACACGATACACCGCCATACATAGCGCCGGAGCAACTTCCCCTTCGCAACAATGTACACGGTCATAGACTTGGAAAACTTACTTGCGCTTGGCAGGTAGCTCGATCCATCCTATCAGTCCAAGTACCGACCTAGCACGCACACCAGACTAAATAGGTATGTAGGTAGATGCCTCGAAACTCGGCTTGGACGTGCATTGCATCGTGGCTCACGAACCCCTCGGAGCCGTATCCCGAACCACACGGTAACCCCCGTCTGCGCGTCTGCATTTGCAGCCCGACAAATGCAAATCCAAATACGAGAAAGAAAGAAGAAGAAAAATCCACCCCAAACTAGATACCCTGCACATGAAAAAAAAGCCATTTTGTGAAGAAAGTGGAGGTTGACATGTGTGTGGCTGGGTTTGCAGTCCATCGTCGCTTGTTCTCGGGCTAGTTGGTGCATGCTAGCGTGAGATCTCACTCACCCACATGGCTCGATCTCACCGCGTGCGTCGTGCGTCTTCGGCGAATCGAACATGACATGCAGGCGGATAATAAACTGTGCTTACTCCATTTGGCGGTGAAGCAAATCGAGGGTAACTGGGGCTTGGCTGAACAAATGGGTCGTCGGGATCTCTGGGGCTCGATCTCGTGCGACTTGTACGAGAGAGCATATGTGAGATCTAGGACGTGCATTAGATAGTTAGGGCTTGGCGATTGGCAGGCTGATTTGTGGCCTGAGGGAGTTCATCGTTAAGATATCGCCAATCAGACTGCACTGTTAGTAGAACTAAAGAAGGGTTTTTCGATTCGCTGGAATAGACTTGCGGCGAGTGCGTACGTGGTCGGGATTAGTCGATCAATAACAAGATTTTAACACCCTAGACCACGTCCACTCGACTTGAAATCAGGGTTTGCGCTACGGACATATTGGATCTTGTACCAAGAGGCTGGAATGAAACAGGGTTCAGTCTTGGTGAAGACGCTTGTTATTTATGTACTGAGTTATCCTATCACTGTATCAAGATCTGCAAAGAAGATCGAGTGCAAAGAGGTAGGACAGATATGAAAGACTTGCAAGCTCCAAGGAGCTTCGAAACTACTAACCAAATCACCACATCATCTAATCGGCAACTGGCTCTTGGACTCGAAGCTGTACCTCAACCACTCTCCTACCGCTCTCAAACTCTCCCACCTGACACTCTCGTCTGCCTCTTGCATGAGCTCCATAACCCTGCCCTTCAGACCTAGCTTCTCCAGCTGTTGCCTCTTTTCTGGAACTTCCTTGACGAGACATGCTACGTCATTGCATCCAATAGCCAGCACCTGTTTGTCGGTTTCCCAGCTCTTGGACATGATCTCCGCAAGCTTGCGAGGTAGCTCTCCCTTGTTGTCTTCCAAGATGCGGCGCGCGTTCTCACGCCAGAAGTCGGGGTTACGGTGAGGTGGTGACCAGCGGAGGTGGCCGGACTGTAGCTCGGCGGCGTACTCATCGAAGGTAGTCTGAGTCTTGGTGTATTCCTCGAGGAGTTCGTTCAGTGACTGCAGATCCTCAAGAGCATCTTCGTCTGTCAAGTGGCGTGATTTCAGGCTCGAGAGAAGTGCTGGTAGGCGGGCGAGGACTGCCGAGGGGAGAAGGGTGTTTCGGTTGGTGTTCAACAGGTTCACGAGGGTCGAGAGTAGAAGGCGCGTAGTTTTTTCTTTGGGTGAGACGCGCAGGAGATGTGTGTACAAGATGACAATGTCGTGCTCACTAAAAAGTATCAGTATCCGCGATCCCAGGTCTTCAATATAGACTTACTCTTGGAGCCCCTCGCCGACTAGTTGACCCTCAAAGCTGAGCTGCCAGATGACAAGTAGAACATGGTAGAGGAGCTGTAGTCCTACACCACCTGACAAGCCACCTTCAGTGCTACGAATGCTAGCGGTGCCGCCGCCGCTGTATAGCGTCGAATCCTGGTCCTTGGTGGACCCTGCTGCTGCTCGCAGAATGTCAAACAGAGGATCAAGGGTTTCTTTCCTGTGCTTCCAGAAAATTTGCCGAGACCTGGCGCTTCGAAGGACAGCTGAAAACTCCCGCACAGCAATGTCCTGAAGGCCAGCATCTGACGCCTTTGCAAGTGTGGAAAGGTACGTAAAAAGCTGGGGCAGGGCCTCATCGACTTGAGACGTGGTCTTCGAGGGCTGGATGACAGCGTAGGAGAGCAGACCCGAGAGTACAGAAGACGTGAGCAGTGGAACAGGATCCTCGCTGTTCGACGAAGCTTTCAGAAGCGGCAGGAAAGGCTTGTACGGCGTTGGGTGCTGAACGAGAGCTGAGGTGAGAGTGGGGATATCTAGAGACAGTTAGTCTCATCTGTACCAGGTGCGTGTACTATCACAGCCATACCCTCGAGCATATCCCCCAGCAGCACCAGCATGTAGTGGATAATGTCCTGGCGTTTGGCTGCCGCCTCGAAGATGCTCTGCGATCCATTTCCGCCCAGCAACAACGTCACGAAGCTATCCGTATCCGCCTCGATTGTCTGTTTCCGCTGCTCCTTGCGCACCTTGTCAATTGACTTGATCTTCTTAAGGTCTGCATCCGTGATGGTCTTGGCCCGCACTGCGCCTTCCCATGATATTGGGCGCGCGCGGATGTTGTTTTGGATCGAGGTAAGGTACGCCGGCGGCTCTAGCGACATTTTGAGGAGGTCCTTCGGGATTACGTGCTACAAGGCGCGGCGTGTGGAGCTGACAGTGTATGTCTAGGGAAGCTCTGATGTTGGCAGTTGCTATCGCGGCTCACCAAGCTCCGTCATAGCTCGGACATATGCTAACTGTGTAAGGACTAGATCTCTTCTTTTTCTCTTGGCATCACGGTTTAGACTTCTGCGGCTCATCAACACTTTTACCCGACATCAAAGGTCAATCAACACATCTACGACCGGAAAGATGGAGTACTTCAGTCTCAAGAGATCGAATGCCGCCGATCGTGGCCAGGCCAACTTGTCTAGCAAAGTCTATGTTCGCTCAACAAAGAGTGGCAAGGTCCAGAAGATCGTAAGAGAGTTATACCTACGACAAGATATTCCTTGCTCGTCGCACCTCTGTAGGGCGTGCTTGGACATTGCACCCACGGATTACTCAAAAAAGGGTCAGGCTCCAGGTCGCATGTGAAACAGCAAAGCTGACCAAACCCAGTCGCCCCGTTTGTGCTCTCGGATACCCCAGCTGGATCGGAACATTTTCCAAATGGACAGTACCTTGTGCCAGATACTAACGCCCTCCTTACCGGGATGGATCTCTTTGAAGTCGAGACAGCGTTCCACGATGTCATCATTCTCCAGACTGTCCTCGAAGAAGTCAAGAACCGCTCCTTACCTCTGTATCACCGTCTGATCGCCTTGACCAAGAACGAGGGTAAGCGCTTTTACGTGTTCTTCAACGAGTTTCGCCAAGAGACGCATGTACCTAGAGATGTCGGGGAAACTATCAATGACCGTAATGATCGAGCTGTGCGAAAAGCTGTGCAATGGTACAATCAACACATCACGGAAGCTGTTACTGCGCGCAGCAAGAAACAGACGCGAGTACCCACCGTAGTCATGATCACAGATGACAAGGACAATTTGAGAAAAGCAAAGGCAGAAGAGGTCCCTGCCATGACATGTAAGTTATTGAATTAATGAAAGTGGAACATTGCTAACAAAATAAGTGGCCAAGTTTGTCTCTGGCTTGGAAAAAGCAGACGAGCTACTGGATATGATAAGTGCTGCACAGGAACAGAGAGAAGTGAGGTCGAAGAAGGCGGAAGTCTTCTACCCCGAACACTACTCGGTTTCGAAAATGATGACTGGTGTAAAAGCTGGTACTCTGCATCAGGGTATTTTCAACGTATCAACATACAACTACCTTGAAGGTTCCGTACACGTGCCAACGTTTGACAAATCACTTCTTATCCTGGGAAGAGAGAACAGCAATCGAGCTGTGTCTGGCGACGTCGTGGTAGTGGAAGTTCTTCCTCGGGACCAATGGAAATCGCCTTCAACCAAGATCATCGAGGAAGAGACATTGAACAAGAACGACAATCCCGAAGCCGAGGACGGCGAGAACATTGTTTCTGAGAAGGAACGACGGGCTCTGCAGGATGAGGTTAAGCGTGTTCATGGACAGAACTCAGAGGGCAAGCCGCAACCAACTGCGCGTGTCGTTGGTATCAGCAAGCGGAACTGGCGACAGTATGTGGGTCACATCGATCGCGATTCTGTTCGGTCAACCTCGAAAACTAGTCGAACACAACAGACGGTGTTTCTTGTACCAATGGACAAGCGCATTCCCAAAATTCGCATACGAACACGGCAAGCAGGTGAGCTTCTTGGTCAGCGTATATTGGCAACAATCGATTCTTGGGAGAGGGATTCAAGATATCCAGTCGGTCACTTTGTGCGATCACTGGGTGAGCTAGAGTCCAAGGGGGCGGAAACAGAAGCTCTACTTCTGGAATGGGACGTACAATACAAGCCATTCCCAAAGACTGTATTGGACTGTCTACCAGCCGAGGGACATGATTGGAAGGTTCCTGCTAGTCTTGAGGATCCGGGTTGGAAGGGACGAAAAGATTTGCGAGACCTTCTGGTTTGCAGTATCGACCCTGTTGGCTGTGTTGATATCGACGATGCTCTTCACGCCACAAAGCTACCCAACGGAAACTTTGAGGTCGGAGTACATATCGCTGATGTGTCGCATTTTGTCAAGCCCAACAACGCTATGGACAAGGAAGCTAGCCAGCGTGGAACCACAGTCTACCTCGTCGACAAGCGAATAGATATGCTGCCAATGCTTCTCGGAACTGACCTATGTTCTCTGAAACCGTATGTTGAGCGATATGCTTTCTCGGTTTTGTGGGAAATCACTTCAGATGCAGACATTGTCTCCTCACAGTTTACGAAGTCGGTCATTCGTTCAAGAGAGGCTTTCAGCTACGAGCAGGCGCAAATACGCATTGACGACAAGTCCCAGCAAGATGATCTGACAGCCGGAATGCGAACACTACTTATGCTATCCAAGAAACTGAAGCAAAAGCGAATGGATGCCGGAGCTTTGAACCTCGCCTCACCTGAAGTCAAAGTTCAAACTGAATCGGAAACTTCAGACCCAGTGGATGTCCAGACGAAAAAGTTACTCGACACCAACTCGCTGGTAGAAGAATTCATGTTGCTTGCCAACATTAGTGTCGCTGCAAAGAACTATGAAGCCTTCCCACAGACTGCTCTCCTGCGTCGTCACGCCGCGCCTCCAAAGACAAACTTCGAAGAGCTCACCAATCAGCTCAAGGTCAAGAAAGGTCTAGAGCTACGGACTGACAGCTCCAAAGCTGTAGCAGACTCTCTCGATACATGTGTCGATCCTAACAATCCCTTTTTCAACACCTTAGTCAGGATCATGGCAACGCGGTGCATGATGTCTGCCGAATACTTCTGCGCCGGCACTCAAGCATATCCAGAATTCAGGCATTACGGTCTGGCAAGCGAAATCTACACGCACTTCACATCTCCCATTCGTCGATACGCAGATCTGGAGGCGCATCGCCAGCTAGCTGCTGCTATCGAATACGAGCAACTTGATACGAGTTTGCAATCCAAGGCCAAACTTGAAGCCGTCTGCAAGAACATCAATGTTCGCCACCGCAACGCGCAGCAGGCCGGTCGTGCCTCGATCGAGTACTACGTTGGTCAGGCACTGAAGGGCAAGGATGTCCAGGAAGAGGGGTTCGTCATGAAGATCTTCTCGAACGGCTTCGTCGTGTTCGTACCGAGATTCGGTATCGAGAGCTTGATTCGATTAAGAGATCTAGCTACCCCGGAACCAGAGGCGGATTTTGATGCAGAGAACTACACATTGGAGATTAGAGGCGGCGTGAGCCGGAGCATCGAGTTGTTTGAGAGGGTCATGGTGAGAATCACTGACGAGATTGAGGAAAGCACTGGGAAGAGAAAGGTGCGATTATCATTAGTCTGAAGATAGGCGTTATACACTATAGTCCGTCGTCAGGAACACGAAGTACTACAGGGTCGTGGAACGAGAAAAAGCATTATTGTCCAGAAAACTCCTCCCGTCTCCGTTGCGCGGATGTTTCGATCGTATTCGTATAACCGACAGATCTCTAGCTGTTCCTGCGTCAGTGGTATTAAAAGCAAGCACAGCTAGACGCCTAGTACCCGCGATCAACACCCCTTATTGAACCCTTGTAAGCTGATTCAGTCGATCACCATTGGTAGCTCTGTCCGTAAGGCAGATCTTTCTATCGCCACTCTTCTTTACCAAGACAAACGTTCTTCTCACATAGTTTACGAATTTACCTGAGATCCGGCAAGGTTCGATAAGGAACTGGTCACATTCAGTTATGGCTACTGCACGTCCAAAGTTGCACCCTTGACCTCAAATTTCCAGTCGATGTGAAACTTTCCGACAAACCTTGGCCGATCGTTCACCGGCCATGATCAGATTATGGAGATATTGCCCAGCCCCTGATCCGCGCAGTTCGTCTCCTCGCGGTTAGGATGACCGTTTGTCACAATTACAGGCCTGACACACGTTCACAACACTCGGGGAAACTGCCCAAAGCGATTTGCGTAGCCGAACCTCTGCAACTTGCTTACGTTCACTATGCTATTTACTCTCGCCCATTTGCAGTAATCGGGGGGCACTCCGAAGGTGGCGATCGGTGGTAGCGGTCGGCTTTTGTGACAAGGGTAAGCTAACCGGCGCGCATCAAGTTATGGGACGCGAGGCTGTGCAGAAAACTTGGTTCGATCTGAATGCTAGGCTTGTAGCGTAAAGTTTATATCGAATTCAAAGGGGCGTTGTGGCGGCGGGAAGGACCGAAGAGGGTACTGTGTACAGAGAGAAAACTTACCTGGGTGGCGTGGTGGCAGTTCAAGTTTGTCAAAGAAGAGGCGCGCGCGATGAATTTCGGTGGGTGCGGTGGGGTTCGTCAAAGGGGTTCGTAGGGGTTGCATGAAAGGCAGTGTTCATTTGTCCATGTGAGCGTGGACCGCCTGTTCGCATGACTAGCCTATCGATAATGCTAAACTGCACAAAAAAGTCATATCATTCCAGGGCGCAAACACAGATTTCAGGTACTGAGTCGATGACGCGTTCGCTGCGGCACTCAAACGGTCAGGCGATATAGAAACGCTGAAGCAATAAATATACACAATCTTGGCGAACTACTAAAAACAGGACAGACCGGGAAGCGAATGAATGTTATTGGATATATAGACAAGAGTGGTAGTGTATTGCCGGATTCGAGGGGTGCCGGTGCCGTTATCTGTGAACCTCTCCCAAAAGGTCCTCCCGCTTTCTTCCGGCTTGCGTACTCTGTTTTAACGTTCATGGCAAGGACGTTGAAAATCTCGGCGAAGCGCTACGTATCCAGTGACATAGCGGAGCTCAATCCATAATTGTCATTATATTGCAGAACTAGTCCAACCGAAGAGCAATTAAGGTCCGGGGTATCGAGTATTGCAATGGGATAAAACAGCGAGCTGTGGCAAACTCGAGATCTGGATCTCGAGATATATATTGACTGTGTTCTGATAAGACGTTTAAGTAAAGTTTCATCGTTCATGTGATGTGCATTAGGTATCGCAGATGTTGTTTTCGGCGCTGCCACTCGAAAGAGCACTGAAAATGCACCACCGTATTCGGTGAGGGCGGTAGTGACAACGCTGTTCCAGTGTTGAAGTGAACTGCCACATACCGTACCTGGTTGGCTCATGTGAAAACCCGTCAATCGATGTCATCGGAACAGTCTTGACACCTTCTGGATTTGTTAGACTTACGGTAGCCTGACACCCCTGCTCGTGCCTGGATCGAGAACAAAGAACTGTTGGCGCTTCGCATGGCAAGCCGCAACTCGCAGCTCTCGTATTTCACGAGCCATCGGCTGTCCGGCCAAGCCAGTCCTGTGGCTAGTATAGTTTGGTTTGTGGCGTCAACCAATTGACGTGCTACACAGCCGCTGGGCCAGGTACAGTTTACTTGTTTTTGCAGGTTGTGAACGAATGGTCGCACGGGAGCCCTGACCGAACGCCAATCTCCTGATGCAAGAGCTTAATGCATTTTCCTGTCGATGCGCCTTGGATATTCGCCGCTGCAGCATCTGAAACTCACGATAGCGGGTGAAATAGACACAGACATGATGTGGGAGGTGCATCACGTTTCGTTTTTCGACAAGAGAGTATGCTGTAAGCTGAAGAAGGACTCTGGGTACAGACATTTCTTGATGGATGGTGCAGCAAAACCGTGTTTCTCGTCATGTCCGTCAAGTGTCGCCAGGCGCAAAAAGCGCTTCAGAAATTCTGCCGTAGATATCCTTGGTGGGTAAGTCCGAGTGCATGGCTGAACCATGGCTAGTGGAAAAAGAAGAGTACTGCTAGTTTCCACTTCGTAGTGTATATCGGAAGAACGCAGCCTTGACTTGGTCATGTTAGCAGAGGGCCAGGCCTCTCCGTCGACGGCTAGGGCGATTGCATACGTCTATGTCAATGTCAACCTGTGCAGGTGTATACCTAGTAGACGGAGGCATATCGTTAATCTAATCAATGATGAAGTATCGCATGCTGCATAATAAGCACCAGATGATCTGGCAGGACGGTAACCAAGCAACGACCTGAGACCAGGAACATGTCAGTGCGTCTTGGACGTACCGGCGGGCTTCTGCATGTGCATGTCACCCAGGCCAGGATGCGATGCAAGCGTGCCAGGAGACGTTGGCTGTCCAGTGCGGTCGATGGTTACACGCCCAATGGCAACATCACGAGTCGCCATTATATCGCTGTGCTGGTCGTGGCTGCCGAGCTGGACTTGAGATGGTTGCTTGTTGTAGGCGTCTGCAATGCATGCGATTAGGTAGGTTTGGTGTGGGCCGATGGCTTCCCTATCGCGGGACGCGCCTAAAGCCCGTCATCTGAATGGACGGGAAATGTACTGATCGTCATGTGTCAGTGCACGGCCCAAAGCGTAGAAGTGCGTTCCTGTTCCTGTTCCTGTCCGCCACTAAAGCGCATGCTTGTTTCGTTTGTAGGGCGCGCCGGGCAGGCAACGAGGGAGCAGGCAACGAGGGCGCTGGATGCGTACTCGTAAACATGGCGTAAACTGCTGTGCTGTCATGGCCAGCTGTTTGCTCCTCTGTCTCACATCCGCAACGCAGAGCAGAGGGCTGCCCCACGATTCGCCATAGCGGATATGACCCGACAGCTCATCGACGTTTGCTGACCCCAACAGCGCCACGTCGCTCTCTCTACCCTGCAGGTACGCAAGCGAGCCATCGGTCGTGACTTCCTATCCTAGTATCGCAGGCTTGCGCCATCTCCAATGGTGGGGACATGTCCAGATTAGCACCACACTCACCGCACTTCAGACCTCTTGACAAACTTCGTAACCCACCATCAGGTACCTGCATATCGCCCCCAGGCTAATACTGTCCGTCTCTATAAGCCGCAAGATCCTCCCACTAGGAGCGCCGACTCTGACTCTACCGAACAAATATCCTTTGTTCTGTCTCGGTTTGTCCCGCTAGTCACATACCATCACTCTCTCCTAGGGCATTGTGGAGCAAGTGTATACGCATGACCAAGGTCTCCGCTCTGATAGTTTCGCAATACATTATCATCTCCGCCCTCCAGGTTCCTGTTACCGGTAATTCCAGACATTTATTTTCCTTGTCGATCCAGCCCGACCGCCAGCCATTGCGAATTTGCGATCCCATCATGGACACGGGCGAATCACCATAGTTCTCTCTAATACTTGTCGGGGCCTATGTCAAGATTCCATCCCTCCAACGGCTCTTGCCTATCTTAGCTCTGCCGTGTCGACTTCAACCTTCTTGTGTGTTACTTAAGCCTGCTTCGGGTACGACTATCTGCCGCCGTCTTGCGTAAGCGTCTCACATCCGACACTCATATCACTCCCTATTGGAAGACTCTGCCTCAGTCCAGTGTACTTCACACTTCCATACCATGGAGCAAGAGACGATCTGGATCGTTGTTGGCGTCGTTTTAGGCACTTTGGTTTTGACTGCTACCGTCGTTGTCGTTTTCTTCTGTTGGAAGCGATCTCAGAGAAGGGTTCGGGGTTTCTCGCTGCGAGCAGTCACACCTCTGGACGATGCAGAATTTGAGTCATGGCGCCGGCCCAGCCAACTCACCCAGCCTACAGAGAAGTATGGCATTCGAGCTGCGCCATCGGCCGTTGTGCGTGACCGCACTGATTCCACCATGTTCGAGAAGGAGCTCGATCTTTATGATCAACCTCGAACTCCTTCACCCGTCGACCTCGTCTCCCCAATGAGGTCACCATCCAGTTCCATAAGGAAACCAGGACGCGTTCGAAGGAAGTCCAGCGTCGCATCATCCATCGCTGATCGGCCACCAACACCCTACTCACCGGCTTCTACCACCAACGAGTTCCCCCGAGTGTCACTATCCTCTCGCGCATCACACATCCACTATCCTTCCGTGTCAGAGGCATCGGCCTTCAGGTTCGAATTTGATTCTGAACATAGCGTCAATAGACAAGAACCTGGTCGCTGGGTATGATCTCTTAGTCACTCCTCGATCATGACGCAGGAAGCAACTCTACTGGAACAAACCACACTCTTCTAGGGGCCAGCACTGGCAACGGGCACAATCCACACGTCCTCCATACGCATAGTCGCCTTGAACATGTTGTCATTACACCCGAATGACAGTCGTGTGCGTTGCCTAGCCACCCCAGCTTCTATGGCAACATTCCATTGCCCAGCATTCTACACTCGCTTCTTACGACAGCGCTGGCCACCGTACCTATTCTTCTTATACATATTTTACGACAGCACATGATATCTTTTTATCGGCGTTCGGCGGATCATTGGCATTTGTGATACCAGACTATCGTCACCCCCATAGGCTTCGGCCTCTTTCTTTTTTCTTGTTCTCGATGCAGGGCCCGCAACAACTACGGACATGAGACGGAGCTGCAGAGTGATGGATCGTGGGATGGACATACTGCGCAGAGATGGGAAGCAACCACGAATGTAGTCATGTAGCGTGATTGCTGTAGGATATAAACTTCTAAACAACTGTTTGATCAGACACAATTCATCAGCCTATTCACAAGTGTTTATTTTTCTTCATGCAAATGTCCCTAAAACTCCGTGTCTGCCTCACGCTATTGTGCATCAGCATAGGAGACTGTATGGTCTGCCCAGACATTACAACAAGACAATTTAGACTGTTCGGTATTCGTTCTTCATCAGTGACCGTGCGGTCGGATAACCCTAGTACATACATATAGCCTAATCTTGTTTCATGACTGCCGTTGCGGGTTGGAGTTCGGGAGTTGTTTCAAAGGATTTAATAACATGCCCCTTCACCGCCAATTCGCGACCTTTTTTCGCAAATCTTATTCTGAACCCTGGCGATCATTTCCGCCCGCCCCGCATGTATTTTCCGTGGAACGTCAACGTCTGATGCACGATCAGGCACAAATCAGTCACCGCATGTTGCTCGGACCTATCGGCCAAATACATCACGCAATGCAATGTCGTGCAGTCACGCTACCCCGTGGCTTGAGCAAGATGTTGGTAGGTTGTGGAACGAGCAGGAGAGTTACTAAGCCGTGTGTTGAGATGCAGGGGTATAGCTTGTACATGAACACGCTAGGCGGGTTCTCCACATGAACAGCTGTCACCGCAACTGTGTAAACAACAAAGACAAAAAGTTCTTTGAGCTCTCCATAATAACCGCATAGACCTTGGCCGTTCCTGCAACACACCTGCAGGCTTGACTTCACTCTCTCTTACCTCACACGTCAACCGTATCCGATACAAACAAACCCTCACACATCATAAACCATGGAGGTCATACAAGGTGCGTGGTTCCCAATCTACCAAGCTCTTCACTCAACAGTAGACTAACATGTATCTCAGATTATATCACCCTCCTCCCGACCGTGCTCCCCGCATCTCTCGCCTCTCCCATTCTCAAATTCGTCACGACTTCTTTCGGCATAACACAAACTCTCCAATCGCACCTCGCACCGTTCCTCACGCGCGTCATCACACAACCAGATGTCGCCTCCATCTTCGCGCTCCTCGTCGTCTTCTTCATCAGCATGAAGATCCTGGACATGATGTACCGCGCGGTCATCTTCTGGGTGCGGATGGTGTTCCGCCTGGCGTTGCTGGGCGCAGTTGTGGTTCTCGGGCTGTGGGTGCACAACCGTGGCGTGGATGGATTTGTCGCCGATGTGCAGGGATTGGGCGAGAAGTGGACGGGCGAGTACCAAAGATATAGCGGGGAGGTTAAAAAATTCCAGGCGCAGAAGGAGGATCAGATCAGGATGCAGGCGGCGAACAAGGGGAGAGGATACGGGCGTTAGTGGGGTTGAAGAGTTGCTGCACGAGGATGAGGGGACTGTCATGTTGTTGTTGACAATGTGTGTGGTGGTGGGATTCACGATTGCACGATTGGATGATTACATGTCGGGGGCATGGCGCTGGGATACGGCATTTATGTGGAGTTTGAGACATCGGCCAACGACTTGGGTTCATAAGGAGTCTGCAGGAACGGTTCGGCTAGAGAAGAGCGCAATACTCTCAGTTGGATATACCCTTTTCTTTACTTCCTGGCTTTAGTCCTGTGGAAGACAGAATATAGAGGCACGGACCGAGTCACACGACTTTCAGATAGATCACGGGTTTGATGAACAGCGAATTCGTACTTTTCTGCCTAAGCTATGCTCCCTTTTCTTCTAGCTTCATCTGCAGAGGCGTAGCCCAAACCTGATCTTACTTTTGATCCTCCGCATACTGGGCGGGTGAGTTTGAGGATTTGACACTAGCCGGTCAATTACTATTTGTGTAGGGTTTACTGAACAATGTATACTCAGTGATTTTCGCCGGAGGACGAGATGCTTTTCTGACCTTCTACATCCTCCTAGCCCTCAACTACCTCGGGTTCCTCTTCATCATAGCTTTCGATATCTTAATCATCGCTATCAGAATCATCGCTGTCAGAATCATCGCAATCAACCGCGATGTCATGTCCGAGTTTGCTATCACGCCTGACGAATATAATACGGTCCATCTGATTTATCGAGTCCTGTTCCGTAACCTTCAGTTGCATTCTCAGCAAATCCACAAACCGTCCCAACGTTACACCCTCATCGTCCTTGATATATTGCGTGGTCTCTTTGATCGGCCAGCAAACAAGCAATTTCAGTTCTTTGACGGTTGGAAAACACATGAACATATTCCTCCACGATCCGTCCTGCTTGTAGTGACCTGCGAACTTTGACGTATCTGTCAACTGCTTCAACTCGTCGAAAGAGAAGAATCGAAGTTGATTGCAAACTCGATGTTTCTCCTGGATCTTGAAGTTCGGGTTGACCAAAGGCATGAATTCGTTCCACCCGCTCAACACAGGATGGGGAACAGTCTTGCCGAAGGATGTTTTCCGTAGCGATGAGGTGCCGATATCGAATGCGATCCGAGGGAGCTCATTGGGTTGCCTGTTAAGCTTCATGTCGATTTCAAGGTGCAGATGAATTTGTGGCGTTGTATCGGGGTGTTTATCAGAAACAGCAAACTTTGCTCGCTGGTAGAGCGCTTCTTGGAGCCTAGGATCATTGCCAGGAAGATGCGCCCTCCAATCCTTGCAGACACGCTGACAACGGATGAGATCGTAGAATGAAAGATGGCGAAAGATTGTTTGAAGGATCTCAGGAGGAACATGTGAGCTTGCAGAGTTCCGAACGGACGCGTTCGCGACCGTTTGAGTAAGTGACACGTTCATCTGGTCAGAGATGGTGTCCATCGTGACATCCTTGGGCCTGTTTCCTGAGGACATATTCAATGTTGACATTCGAGGTACTGTGTGGCGAGGCAGTGACAACAGGCTCTGCTTTACTAATGTAGTCAGGTATGGGAAATCAATGTGCGGACGAGTACAAAATTACAGCGTGCGGGTGGCTTTTATATGTGAAACCCAGGGACTGAAGGTTTTGTGAAGGAAGGAGCGTCCTGGGGTGCGCCGTTCTCGGTAAAGGTGCTCGTAATTGTAGAACCGGCCCTGCGAGGCGAAACTCGAGCCAGTGAGGGCGAGGTCAGACGGTGTGTTGCTTGCCAAAGATTACGAGCTCGAAGGCTCATAATCGTTGACGGCGGTCTAGCTCACGCTTTTCTGTTTTGGTTCGGTAAATTTCTTTCACTGTGACGCCGCACTGTTGCCTACCGGGACAACCGTGCTTGCGTTGGTCAAATAATGGCCAGAGGTAAACTACCAGCTAAATTGTGTATACTAATGTCACAGAAGCCAAAACTAGTAATTGCAATCCTATCTAAAAGTTTGTGAGTACCGCGAATGTTACGTAACAGCCACGATGATACTCAAAGTGCAAGCTAACATAACTTCTTCGTCTTACGCATTACTCATCTCTTTCTACAAAAACGTCCAAGCAAATTGCACATGATAGTCACTTACGTGGAGTACAACAGAGCTGAGGAGGTGAACTATCGGTCAACTGTAAAAGCGGAAAGTGAGCTGCGATCTTCGTGGCTTCTAGAAGCCGCAAAGCCACACCAATTAAATGCACAACGATTGCGTGCCAGGCGTATACTTTCCGGAATTTAAGTACAAGACTTCTATACCAATCTTAGATGTAGTTGTCCAGCTGTTGCAAGATTTGGCTGTCCGACTAACCGAGAGAAAGGTTGATGAGAAGACCCCACTTTTTGGTATTAGTCAGTGCATTCACATCAGTCAATTCGCCTATCTACTTATATACATATGTAAACCTGGTACTCGCTATTCTAGTCGTCTCTCAAATCTTCATGAAGTTCAACACCAGAATACAACTAGAGTCATAACGGCATTTGCCCAGGCCCACCCGCTCGCCAATCCTCCACATCTTCCACCCCAATTGTCGTAATCCATCTAAATATCCTCAACCCTCCCAAGAATGGCACCCCTAAACATCAACCCCCCACTACTAAACTCCGCCAACCCATGGTGCACCAGCCTCGAACAGCTTCAGGAGCTATACTCGCATCCCCAAACCGGCGCCGTCACCACCCGAACCTCACTCTTGGAAGGCTTCCCCCACGACCCCAGCATCCACCAATTTACCTTCTACAACCCCACCACGCACTCCACCTCCCCACCAAACGCAGACCAAGCAGGCCAAGCAGACGAAACAGGAAGTCTGAACACGCTGGGCTACAGTCCCCTCCCCCTCGCCAAATATCTCAGCTTCGTCCAGACGATCAGCGATGCCCTCCCCGCAGCGACAAGTAACAAGCCCTTCATAATCTCCGTAACCGGCTCAGCAGACGACGTCGTAGCCTGCTACCGCCAGATCGCACATCATCAACGGGCCGTGAAAATGCCGCTAGCCATGGAAGTCAACCTCTCCTGCCCGAACATCAAAAGCAAACCACCGCCCGCGTACTCCAGCGCAGCGCAGCTCACATACCTCACGGCCCTCAAGACAGATATACTCAAACAAGCGGATGCGGAAAGGATTCCAGTTGGCATCAAAACCCCCCCGTTTACGTACCACGATCAGTTCCAGGCCCTGATCACCGCGTTGCTGGACAGTGCTAGGGACGGACCCTGTCCGATTGGTTTCATCACCGCGACGAATACGCTCGGCTCGTCGTTACTCCTCGGTCCGCAGGGTGCTACGTCTACTTCCGTGGATTCGTTGCAGCGTGTGCTGGAGAGTGCTGCGGGGACGGGGATAGGGGGGCTGGCGGGAGCGCCATTACACCCCCTGGCGTTGGGGAATGTGTACTCGATTAGGCAGTTGCTGGACCAACACGAGGAGTTGAAAAGTATACAGATTATCGGTGTAGGAGGCGTGGAGGAGAAAGAAGGGTATCGTAGGATGAGGGCTGTTGGAGCGGCGGCTGTGGGCGTGGGCACGGCGTTGGGGAGGAAGGGCGTCAAGGTGTTTGAGGAGATAGGGAAAGCGGCGGAGAAGGAGGAGTAGTAATAGAGAAGTGGGACAAAGATGAGGGAACGAGGATATACCCCTTGGATTATAAAGTATGCTGTGGTATCACATACTACTACACGTGTAATTCTCAAATATCATCTGTCTGCTAAAGGATTAAAGTACACTGTGATTAGCCGGCTACATGGTTGGCAAGACCATGTAGCCGACAGACAAGCAAGCACACGCCAAAAATACACAATTCCTGATACCACTTACTTTTGTTGAGCGTGTCAAGTCCCATCCATCAACTACGTTATCTCGTTTCCTGGTGCGAGAAGTGTCGTCCTGTTATTTTGCATGGGAAGTCTGCTTAGAAGAAAGTTTCTAGTCCTCTTCAATTTCACCTTCCTCGCTGCCAGAGCGAATAGTACGGTCTTCTTCCTTGATTGGCTCGGGAATAGGAGTCTTCGATTTGCGATCCGCGTGCGGAGAGTAACGAGCGCGCTGTAGAGTCAGTATCTGATGTTGAAGAATTTGTAACCAGGAGAACGTACCTTGGTGTCACGCTTGGTTGCACTTGCGTCGCTCTCCCGACGGCGCCTAGTCGAAGAAGTGCGACCACCACTGTCACCGTAATCCAAAAGGCTCACACTGGTCTCGCGGGGGTCTGCCCTGCTAACGTACGATCGTTCACGCTCAACCTCGCGCTCGCGACGCTCACGTACATAGTGATCAGCGGGACTGCGACGAGAACCGTCATACCGGTCGTCCTCACGGCGCTCACGGCGACGAGGCGGGGATAAACCTGTGCTATCGTTGTTTCTGTAGCGTGCCTCCCGGTCCTGCTGAGCACGTCGTCGTTCTGCGGCGTACGGGTCATGTTCAGGTGAGCGAGTACGCGTACGACGGCGATGAGAGTCAGAATGCCCGTTGCGATACTCACGATCTCCACGGTCCCGGTCGCGCCTGTCCCGATCACGGTCACGCTCATCACGACGCCTGCTGCGATCGCGTCGATCGTTCTCCTTGTCTTTGAGGCGGCGCATGTACTTGTCGAAGACGGATTCGCGGAGGGTATCTGATTTCAGTGCGCGATACTCGTCTGTCTTCTCAACACGGGGACGTACCACTTCCCAGGTGTCCGAATGAGACACTGGAGGATCGAGACGCTTGATGACAGAACGAAGATTGTCCATGGCGTAGCGCTCGTTGTGCTCCTCGTCTCGACGTTCATCTTCTTCTCGTCGCTTCACTTTGGCGAGAACGTAGTTGTAAATGCTCTGTATCGACTGCTCGTCAATGTTAGCGGTGCGAGGATCTGTTCGCATAACACTTAGGAACTCTTCGTAGGGGGTCGCCGTCGTAACCTCGAAGCGTTGATACTGGGAACAGAGTCAGTGGTTGTCTTGAGCGTGGGTGCGATTGACTTACTTCCAGCACGTCCAGTGCATAGCGGCGCAGGGTGCGGAACTTGCCCTCTTCCTCCTCCAGGGCATCCCAAAACAGGTCAAGTGGCGATGATCCACTCTGGCCGAGCATGGCAAGGAAGCGCGGATCGTCCTGGATGAACTCGTGAATGTCCTTCCATTTGGTGCCAGCCTTGACTTTACCGTTCTCTCGGAGCTCGTTGAGGAGGTTCATGAATGCGTCGCGGTTCTTGCGCTCCACCCGGTGCTTGACGCGCCTCTCGGCCTGAACGCGGTCGTTGTGCTCGCGCTGGAGCTGTCGGATGTGCGTCTCGAACTGGTTGAGGACGTCCATCTTGGTCAGCGACTGGAACTGCTCGCTGTTGAAGTCGTCGTTGTGCTGCAGCTTCTCTTCGGCCTTGGACCAGCGCGTGAAGGGCTCCAGGTCCAGGCCCCGCAGCAGGCCCATGACCTGGTCCAGGGCAGAGCGCCGGTTGTCGGCCTCCTTCTCGTCGTGGGCCTTCTTGAGGGCGATGATGTACTCGTCGAACAGGGAGCGGCGCTCGGTGGTGTCCTTGGCCGAGCGGAAGATGGTCTCCTCCTCGATGATGGGCAGGGCGGTGCGCCAGCGCGTGTAGTGCTTGATGTCTGGGTGCGAGCGCAGCATGGCGGTGAAGTCGGCGCGCAGCTTGGCCTGGCGGTCCTGCTCCTTGTTCTTCTCCTGGGCGCGCAGGTCCTCGCCGTACTTCTTGAAGGCCTCCTCGCGCTTCTCGGGCTCGGGGATGGCGCGCCAGTTGGGGTCCTTGATGCCCGCGCGCACCGCCTGCGCCCACGTCCAGTCGGGCTGCGCCTTCATCTGCTTGAGCACCTTCATAAAGGCCGCCTCGGCCTCCTGCGGGCTGGAGAACTGCAGCTCGCTGCCCATGGCGATGCTGATGTTGGGCCGGTTCTCGTCGTAGCGCTCACGGTCGCGCTCGCGGTCATGGTCGCGGCGCTCGGGGCGGTACTCGTCGCGCTCGGGGCGGCGGTGGTCGTGCGACAGCTGGTGGGGCGAGGGCCCGGCGACCCAGCCAGAGGGGCCCGCGGGGGGGCGCTGGGGCTGGCTCGCCTTGTACTGGTCGATGTTCTGCTGCACCGCGTCGGGGATCTGCCACGTCGTCTCGCGCGACTGCGTGTGGTAGAAGTAGCGCTTCCCCTCGGCCGCGAAGTGCATCGCCCATCCCGTGCCGGCAACTGCGCGCTGGGCCGTGTCAGCATCATCAATCGTCGTCACGTGTCGGTGTCAGTGACATCCTACCTCGACCTCGTCCTTGAGCTCGTCGGGCTTCTCCCACTGCGTCTTGTTCAGCGCGGCGTTGTAGTAGTACTCCTTGCCGTCGGCGCCAGGGATGGCCGTCCAGCCAGCGCCAGGCGGCGCCATAGCAGGTGGGTAGCCGTTCATCGCGGCGACGGGCAATGGTCGTGGGTCGAGTCGAGGCAACGGCGTGTTGGTCGAGACGAGAGGCTCAAGCTAGCAAGGCGCGCGCCGTCCGCGAAATCTTTGGGGCACGGGCCCCCTGTCGGTGAAACAGTCGCGCCGGGCCTCCCCCAGTGAGTGAACAGCTTGCGTGTCCAGCATTGGATGTGACAGGTGACAGGTGACAACAGACGCTCTTTGCACGTAAACGTCTTCTCGCTGCCCACGGATACCGTCTAGATGTCCTGGCCGGTCCCCCAAGCATGACAGCACAGATTCTGGCGGCAGAGCTAGGCACCCTCATTCAAGACTCCAAGCGCAAGAACACGGAGCTTCGGAACGCCGCAGAAAAGGCACTGCAGGACCTCAAGTCGCTTGCCAACACTTCAGAGGCCCAGCTCTCCGCAGGCAAGCAAATCCGAGCTTGGGGCCATCATCACATGACTGACCCTCACAAGACTTATCAAGACGGCCGCATTTCATCTCACCCTTTCTTATTGCCTGCGCTACTCACAATGCCAAGTTTGCATCGACGGGAGTCTCGTGTCTTCAAAGACTCAGTGTTTCTCGAGCTCTGCCTAGGGAAAGGCTGATAGAAGTACTAGACGCTTTCAAAGAGTCCATAGCATCAAGTACGCCCGTTCAACCGACAAGAGCGAGCTATCGCTGATGAATACAGGCCATGACATTCAACTGAAGATACTGCAATCTCTGCCATCACTTCTTCAAAACTACCCTGTCGAGATACGGGGTGAGCCACTGTCAACAGTATTCCACATCTGCTCTGGTCTCCAGAATGCAAAGAACTTTGCCGTTAGCAATACGGCAGCAGCCACTCTGCAACAGCTTGTAATCACAGTCTTTGATAGAGTTGTATCAGAGGACGGTACTTTCCGAAGCTCAGCACATCTTACCTTAGAAGCTGATGGTTTATATAGACAAAGCCTTGCAAATTCCAGTCGTGACTGAGGTCGAAGGCGACGATGGCCTTGTTCCAGTCAGGCCAGCTGCAGACGATGCCTACAAGGTCGGTCTATTTTTAGGTGGTCGTCTGCCCATTTGCATACTGACAACTGGCAGATGTTCAACGATCTTAATCTGCTAATCACTGGGGAGAAGCCAGTATTCATACGCTTTGCTCCGATACCAGCAACCTCGACGCTTGAGTTAATTGAGGCGATACTGTCGAACCATGGTCGGATAATGACTACGCACGCAGAACAGATTTATCTCCTTCGATCTCTGTTGATGCCAGTCATCATACGGTCTCTCTCTGATCGTTTGTCTTTTCCAACCACCGTACGTGTCATTCGAATATTGAATCTGATCATCCGGAATCACTTGGAAATCTTGCCGTCTGAGTGTGAGATTGCTCTCGGATTGCTGAACCATATGCTCGATCCGGAGGCCTCGCAGTTATGGAAGAGAGCTCTTTGTCTTGAGATGTTTCGCGGAATTTACGCCGACTCGCGGCTTCTGTTAGCCATCTACTCTCATTTCGATGCCACGGAGGGAAAGAAATGTATATTCGGGGACAACTTGGCAGCTTTTGTACGCCTTGCCATCGAGAAACCTGCTCTCATTGGGCTTGGTCAACAATCCACGATGCCAACGAGGTTCGGGGATAGCAAGGACATAGTGTCTGAACAGGCTGCTGCCGAAGCAGGAGCACTAGCTGGTGTCATTGGAGGCCCTGTGGGCGAAACCAGCAGTGGTAACCGTCCTTTCGGTATTAGCACTCAGTGGAGCTCTCTGAAGACCCCTTGCATGGATCATCTCGACAAATCAGACCCGCCAGCCTTGCCTGACACCTACATATACAGCTTGGTGCTGACGTGCATCACGAACATATCCGAAGCTTTGGCAAAGTTTGTTCTTCCTCTGACAGTTCATCATGAGACCAAAAGCAAGAAGAAGAATAAAGCAGACGATCACGATACAGATATGGTCTCTTCAGACCTAAACAATCATTCACTGTCAAGAACGCAGTCTTTCCGCAAGAAAACCGTACCGGTGAATCCACTCGATCTCACAGATCATTCTGCATACACATATGTGCAAACTTCATCGACACTTGTAACTGATTGCTGGCCTGCAGTACTCGCAACCTGCTCAACATTCTTGAACGCGGCGCTTGATACAGACTACTATCGGGCTTTAGTTCGAGCCATTCAGAAGTTCACTCAAGTCGCCGGTCTTCTCAGACTGTCAACACCCCGCGATGCGTTTCTCACCACCCTGGGCAAAGCAGCGGTCCCATCAAACATGTTGCTCGCCAACGTCTCCTCCCCCAAGACAGCCGAACCAACCGGAATGTTCTCCAATGCAAAGGGCTTACTCAGTGTGGATAGTCTCGTGAGTCAAGCATCTTCTTCGACGCCGGAAAAGAATCGACAAGAGATGAACATACCGGCTTTAGGCCCTCGCAATCTACTATGCTTACGAGCCCTCCTCAATTTGGCGATTGCGCTGGGTCCAACACTCCAATCGGCGTGGTCCATTATATTTGAGACATTGCAAGTAGCTGATCTGGTGATGGCGCTATCAAGTCAGAGTGGTGTCGGTGCACCAGGGATGACTGCCAATCGCGTCGATTCGACTGGTTCATCAGAGAAGATGGACGCCGAGACTTCAGCTGTGCAGGCCGCAGCTCGAAGATTATTTGAAAGCACTGTAGACTTTCCAAATGAGTCCTTCACAGAAGTGTTGCAAGCCCTGTGCGCACTCCTTCACTCTTTTACACCAGCAGAAAGTGGTCAGAGAACTCCTGTTACCTCTGGTCGACCGAAGCTTCACCAACGGAAACTGGGCAGTTTATCCGGCATTTCTCTCAATACAAAAACTCACTCACGCGATTCAGCTTTTGCGTTGAACAAAATTGGCGAGCTTGCAGCTTTTAATGAGGCCAGACTGTCACAATTTGACCCTATAGACAGTGGCTGGAATGTCCTGGTTACCGAGATCGTGCGCTGTTCTACCGACAACCGTGAAGCAACATCCACGAGGTTATTGGCCGCGGACATTCTATCGCGGACAGTTCGCAACATTGCGGAGCTTTCCATGTCCGATGAGCAACGTGAAGATATACAGGCTCGTATTCTTCGAGCACTGCAGAACCAGATTTCGACTCTCCATCGAAGTAACGACGACAATGATGATGTCTTTAGTGATACCGACATTCGAGTTCACCAAATAACTCTCGAAGCACTCAAGGGCGTGATTGAGCAATGCGGTGAATCGTTAGTCGCTGGCTGGGGCTCCGTCTTTGATAGTTTGATGAGTGTCTTCTTCTTAGAAGAACCTTCTACCACGAGTGAGCACAAGAAGAAAGACGCTATGACCGACAACCCTCACCTTCAACTCCGCAAAGTAGAGGTCATCTCCAGATCGCTTGCTCGATCAGCGTTTGCAACAGTACATCTAGTCTGTTCCGACTTCATGGCGGCTGTGCCAGATGCTCATTTGTCAACACTCCTCGAGCTGCTACTTTGGTTCTGCAGTCAGCAAGAGGACCTGAACATGTCGCTGACCGTGAGTCTGCAATTCATGTCTCTCAATATTTCTAACAAGAAATAGGCAATCACGTTCTTTTGGAATGTCTCGGACTTCTTGCAGTCCCGCAGTGATCTCTCTTCACTGCCGAAAATACTTGGTGATGTTGAGAAGCACGAGAAAGTCTACAATGTGATTGCGTCGCAGTCACGAGAAGGCTCGATACCTGCGCTTTGGCTTCAAGTGTTGTTGAATTTGTCATCTATCACAACCGACAAGCGCGCCGAACTTCGCAGTTCCGCAATCCAAACTATTCAAAGAATCTTCGGTAACTATTCTGAGCAACTCTCATCAGATGGGTGGATGTTCTGCATCCGAATCGTAGTATTCGGAACAGTGGAGGCCAATCTACAAGTTCACGACGACGTGAGAGATGCGCATAGCACAGCGGGTGATCTCCAGAGCTGGAACGATACCACAAAAACTATCCTACAGAGTGTGAGCGTCTTGAGCACAATGTGCATGGAAAAACTTGGCGACGCTTCAAAATTCGGGGAGATATGGTCGGATCTGCTTGACTACTTACAACGGTATTTTCAATGCGGTTCACACGCTCTTGGGACATCCGTCTTTATAACAATATCCGGGGTGTTGTCGCACTTAGACAATGCGCAGATGCTGGGTATGCCTCCTCTTCTCAAGACTGCCCAGGTCTGGAAGCGCTATTTCAATTACCGCGATACGTGGAAAGATAGGCAAGAGGGAAACCAAGACGCATACATCGCTTATGCAGATGCATTCAAGGCCATCTACCGGCTAGCAGGTCAAGCCCTTGACGCGGACCTTCCTTCAATGTTGTCAAATCTCGAAGCTTGCATTGTCGACTCCGACCAAGACAATTATTCATCTGATGTCGAGCACATGACTACCCTACAAACCCGAGTCATGGAATGTCTATCCAGCGTCCAAACAGAAAGTTCTGGTCTCCCGTCGTACCTAATCAAGCTACTGGGCCGATTCAGTGTTCTACCGTATACATCTCCGGTAGAGAACTCCGAGAAACGTAGACCGACCTTCGTCGCACTATCAAAGGCCGCCATGACATTGCTACAGAAGACCACTATCGAGCACGTTAACAAGAAGGATGTCTTCGACAGCGGTGCTTTCTATTCTGCATTGAGTAGCTTAGCAAAACCGATAGAAGAGAAGTACTCATGGCAGCGCGAGGGTAAACCCCCGACAATATGGCAGAAAGCCACAACTGCAGCGATAGCTATCCTCGATGTTGGACTACCGAAATTGGAGGCCCACGATCTCACGAGCGCCTCTCTCCAAGACATTTGGAGTACACTGGTCAACATCGCCCATTTCATCACACGAGCCCAGCTCGCGCCTGGTCAGATTCCGCCAATATCTCTCGAAAAGGATGAGACCTTCGACATACAATCTTTCAAGCAGCTCCGTGATCTAATCACCTTATCTCTTGGCTCCGCCTCACTTGACGACGACCTCCGCCGAACCTACGCTCGCAATCTCTTCTCTACATCCCTCATTCACTCGCCGTTTCCTGGCGAACTACCCGATCTCCTCAGTGCGCCTCTCGAAGACCTCTACAAAATCCGACTGGGACAGACAGCTAAGCTCGAGTCAACACTACGCATTGAGATGAATTACGAATGTTTATCAGAGCTGTTTAGTCTAGTGGCCGTACATGACAGCAGCGCTTCACGCGTCAAGCTCGCCCAAGCTGCAGCGCCGTACCTCATACTACGTGCAGCGCTTCCGCTCAGGACGTACATTGCAGACCATCCCCTGCGCGGACGCATGCCGGCACCGCAGTCACAGAGACATGAGTTGCTGTTTGTGCTTGCAGAGCTGAGCAAGCTGAAGAGCGAACCGCAGGCGATACCTGATGCCCCGGGCGTGAAATCGAAATATAGGAAGCACTTACATAGGTTGTATCCGTTGCTGCTGAAGGCTATGCGGGTGACGAGGCAGGACCCCGAGGTATTTGAGGAGCTGGCGAGACTCACAGATTTAGTTGGAGATGAGTTTGGCTTGGAGGATGACTGAAATTTTTCGAGTTGTCTATCTGTATACATTATTGGCTAGCGGCTCATTAACTAAAAAACCAGCAGTGTTTATTGTAGCTTCCTTTTGAAGTATTAATTATATCCGAGATTTGTGCATTTTAACAAGAATGTGCACCCATATATTTGCTGGAGCTGTTGATAAAACATGAATTGTTGGTCCGCAAACACACTGAAATTCTTCCAACACACACGAGTGAGTTGTACTTGAGCATTTTACAATAGTAGAAAGCCGGCAAAATCGATATGATGTCCCTTAGCATACATGATGACTCGACTCTTCGAGTCACGTCCCTGCTGCGGAGACGGCCGCGGTTGAATGATCTGGCGTAAATTATGGCAAGGTTTGATTGATTCGTGTACGTGCAGATACGATGTTTACGTGAATTGTAGCTACTATCGTGGAATTACCAAAGGGGCTCTCCTTGGGAACGAGGTAAGGTTGCTGATCTGGGATAGCGAAAGAAGCACATATATCGATACAGGCCAAATTAGTTTGATACACTTTATATCTGACATCTACAGTCAAGACTTTGACTTTTCCAATCAGAACTAAACGCTCATTCGCAAGTTCATCTAGGTACTCATGGTGTTGATGGTCGGATCGGCAGACCTCGGTACCCCAGAACTCTCCGCCTCCGCATCACCTCCGCAAGCCTCATGGCGCATTTATATACTAAGCTGACCACCTACCATTAAAATGTAATTTCTGCGCAGAAGAGCGACAACAGCTCACCCTCCCATCCCATTTCCCGCCACCCCACTCGCGTGCACGCCCGCCACAATGTCGTCGACAACCTACATCCCCTTCTCCGAGCCGCCGTACATCCTCGGCCTCCCGTCGCCTTACTACCAAGAAACCCACCTCAAGTGGCAGAAAGCATGCCGCGCGTTTGTGGAGAAATACCTGCTGGAAAAAGCGCTGGAGTGGGACACCGCCGAGACGGTGCCCGAGCATGTGTTCGAGACGTTTGCGAAGCACGGCATGTTGCTCCCCTCGCTGCCTGCGCCGCTGCCGGTCGAGTGGCTGAAGAAATTGGGCATTCATGATATTCTCGGCGTGGTCAAGGTCGAGGACTGGGATTACATACATACTATGATATACGCGGATGAGGTGTGTATCTTTCTGTGCTACGTGGATGGGGACGAATAGTGAGGGCTGATGCGATGCGATATAGATGGCCAGGACGGGCCTTGCGGGTCCATCCGGATCCCTCACAACAGGAATCTCCTTTGGCGTGCCCCCGCTCGTCAAATACGGGAACGCGCAGCTGCAGGAGCGCTTCCTCCCCGAACTGCTTACGGGCAAGAAACGCACTTGCATTGCTATTACGGAGCCGGAAGCCGGGTCGGATGTTGCGAATATTACGACCACGGCGGAGAAGACGGCGGATGGCAAGCACTATATTGTCAATGGCACGAAGAAGTGGATTACAACTGGTATTTGGTCTGAGTACGCGACTATGGCTGTTCGTACTGGGGGCCCAGGGCCTACGGGACTCAGCCTGTTGGTTGTGCCGCTGAAGGGGTATCCGGGGGTCAGCATGCGACGACTGAAGGTTGGTGGGCAGGTTAGCGCTGGGACGACATTCATTGAGTTGGATGATGTGAAGGTTCCAGTGGAGAACCTCGTCGGGGAGGAGGGCATGGGGATGAAGTACATGTATGCTCCCCTACATCACACATATGTGTCGGCTCCAGGATGTTGATGGCTGACAAAACCAGCATGACCAACTTCAACCACGAACGTCTCTCCATCGCTATTGGAGCTACACGACAAGCCCGTGTTGCCCTCTCCGCGGCCATGGAATATGTTATGTAAGTTTGTTGACTCGTCAGACTACCACTTCCTAACATCGACCAGGAAACGCGAAGCCTTCTCCAAACCACTCATCGACCAACCCGTCGTGCGCCACCGCCTCGCAAAAGCAGGCGCCCTGCTCGAAAGCCAATGGGCCTGGGTCGAGCAATTCGTATACCAGATGGTCAAGCTGCCCAAGGCCACTGCAGACATCGAGCTCGGCGGCCTGACAGCCATGGCAAAAGCGCAAGCAGGTATTGTGTTGAACGAGTGTGCACAGTGCGCGCAATTGCTATTTGGCGGGAACGGGTATACAAAGAGTGGGCAGGGAGAGCTGGTTGAGAGTGAGTCTTCTACTTTGTTTGTGTGTGCTGATGACGTGGGACTGATCTTGACACAGGGATTTATCGCGAGGTTCCTGGCATGAGGATACCCGGTGGGAGTGAGGATGTGCTGCTCGATCTGGGGGTTAGGCAGTTGGTCAAGAATTTCAAGAATAAGACAAAGGCTATGGAGAGGCCGCAGGGGTCGTCGAAACTTTGAGTGGATCGTAGTATATGATGGTGGAGGGGTGCTTGGATAACTGATGTATGGGCTTTGAGCATTGGCAGTTGTCATCAGTTGATGGGATGGGTGTTTTCTCAGAAAGAGATCAGATGGCCTGCAATGGTACCACAATGTCCTCTCTGTACCCTTGCCCATGTTTTCTGCTTGCATGTTCAGACAGACGTCATCCAGCACCGAAATGTCGCCAATGTACATCTACCTACCTAACATGTGCCAGTGCCATAGCAGCCACCACGTGTGCCACTCTCAACCCAGCAAACCACCAATCAGGACGAGACCGACGATCCGGAGTGTTACGTCGTCGCGCGTCAAGCCACAGCAAGATAGCCGAGTTTGCCGTCTCGACAGAGAATCAGGTTGCTTGAGGTGGAAACGTGGTGATGTATGTATGAGAATGACAAGAATTGGTGTTTGTGTTTGTGATTGTAGGGCTGTGACAGGCGTCAGTGTGGCTGCTTGTTACGGGATGTCAGGGTCTCTTGCAAGGGGTGGCTACCGTATTTGAGTGTGGAGTCGGCTTGCGGGGCTAGCAAAACATGGGAAGGTGCGAAGGGGGACCACATGCACGCGACCACTGTTCCGTTCCGTTCCTGGCCCTGTGCACTTTCAAGACTTTGTTGCTGGCACACTTTTTGTAGAGCAACACGACAGACCTCACTGCAAACTTTCCACGTCTAATTGGTACGTATGCGCTGTGGTTTGCAACACACAGACTACCGACAAGGGACGCGTCTGCTTTCACATGTGACGCAAGGGTCCATTCTTGACATTCCGCACATCCCCAATTCGTCTCTACGCCGCGAATTTGCGCTGACGACAGAACCACATAGCATCATGAGCAAGTCACCCTCGCCCTACGACTCTCTGCGACACATCCCTCTATCCTACGACAACACCGACTCGCGCAACTCGGCCCTCAACCTCATCCTCACCCTGAGGCCAGACTGGAAGGAGACACAGGACACGATTGACTTTGTGCGCTTCACCGATGGCATCACCAACACTGTATGCTGCACCCTCCATTCTACCCGAGGCAAACAACTCTGTCTGGACAGGCGGCTAATATACTGGGCAGCTCCTAAAGGCGGTGAACAAGCGGCCGGGTCTCTCCAAGACAGAGATAGACGAGGATGCGATTCTTCTGCGCGCATATGGAAAGGGCACAGACGTCCTCATAGACCGAGAGAGTGCGTCGACCCCCCACACACACGGCCAGGCGTGCCATGCTAACCCCACGTGCAGAGGAAACTCGCTCCCACTGCCTCCTGGCCCGCCACGAACTCGCGCCCACGCTCTACGCCCGCTTTGACAACGGTCTGCTGTACAAATACATCTCCGGCAGCGCATGTGCGCCCGCTGATCTGCGTCGGCCAGAAGTGTGGAGAGGGGTAGCTCAGAGGCTCGGAGAATGGCATGCAACATTACCTATATCGAGTATCAGCACCACGTGCCCTGCCCCGTCCCAACTCACCCCCCACAACAAGCGTGCATCTCTGGCCACTATGGCACAACTCACGCCAGGCAAGTCTGTGCCGAATGTGTGGACTACTATGCAAAAGTGGATCCAAGCGCTGCCAACAAGCACCACCGCGCAACAGGACCGCCGCGACCTGCTGATGCGCGAGCTCGAGAGCCTGACCAAGATGCTGGGCGACACGCCTGGCATCGGCGGCTCCAACCCCTTCATCTTCGCCCATTGCGACCTCCTCTCTGGCAACGTGATCATTGAGCCCTCGCCCTCGTCCGCTGCTGCCTCGCGTCGCTCCAGTGCTTCGAGCGGCTCTGAAGAGCCCGAGACAGCTGCCTCTGTGTCCTTCATCGACTACGAATATGCCACGCCCGCGCCTGCCTCGTTCGACATTGCAAACCACTTCGCCGAATGGGGCGGCTTCGACTGCGACTTCTCCGTCCTGCCCACGCGCCACGTGCGCCGGGCCTTCCTCCGCGAATACCTCCAAAGCTTCTCCACGCACCAGAACCGCACCTACAAGGAGACTGAGCTGGAAGAGCTGTTCGACCAGGTCGACAGGTTTCGTGGCGTGCCGGGGTTTTACTGGGGTATATGGGCCCTCATACAAGCGCAGATCTCGCAAATCAACTTCGACTATGCGAGCTATGCTGAGGTGCGACTGGGCGAATACCGGGCATGGATGAGAGAAATCAGCGGTGAGAGGGAAGCGGCTGGCGAGCAGATGCCCATTCGTGAGAAGCGATGGGCGCAGGAAGAGTAGTTTGAGCTCGGGGAATCGAGTGTCGAAATCATGATAGGGCGTTGGGCGAGGGCTGGTAGCTGTCATTCAACATGCTAAGATGCAGGCGTAAAGGAAAGGAAAGAGACGAGACGACCCCGTTATTTCTTTTTAATACTAGTTCATTCACCTGGGCAACGTTTTTTGTGTTCTATTCGCCATTACACTGTTATCAATAATACCGTCTCACACCAATGAGCCGTGTTCATTTCTTTCTAGAGTTCAACTCGACGTTCTTGTCGATGCATCGTTGTTAGGTATATTTCGACAAAGCCCGATGAGACATTCATACAAACTCACATATCAACAAACCCTTGAACTGCACGCTCGTTCTACGGAGATATAACAGGAGCTGTCAACATCTCCATCTCAAAATAAAGCGGGAAAGTATTCTTCACGCCACCCACGGAGGTCTCTTACAGTCCAGCCCAGCCCAGCCCATGCGTTCATGCATGTGCGTTCACGCACTCCCACGATGCTCAGTCTGTAAGCGAGCATCCTATTGCATCGACAACAAGCCCGAACTTCATGCGCTCCTTGCCGCTAGAACGAGCGGATGGATGGGTGGATGTATGCATGGTGACTAGCAGGGGGGGAAGGTGCAACGTTGAAATCATGTCATCCAGATTTGGTCATTGCTACGTAGCTCTGATAATTTACAAAGGGATTGGTCCATCCCGTTATTTTATTCCCATGCTCCATCCTTTTAAATAAAAACTGGGGAAAAGATATCTTGTTGATAGGACATGATATGATGAGATGTGTATGACGAAACCAAAACCAAGCGAGAAAAACATGGATATCGTCGCGGGAAAAACCTTACACAAAATTCCAACAAATGTGCTGATGATAATGATGAAAGAGAAACCTAAATTTTTGAGTCTATGCATCCATCCGGTCGTCCGTCATTGTCGTAAAATTGCCGAATCGTGGAAAAGGAGGTAGGGATGCGCGCATTATACCTCAACAGCTGGCCCCGCATCTCCTCCTGCGACCAGCCAATCCACATCTCCCAGCCCCGCGGCGATGCCCATCCCCCCGTCCATAAACCCGTCATCGAAGTTGAACGTCTCGCCTACAGCATCCAGGTTTAGTAAAGAATCAAAGTCGCCATCGTCGAACTTGTTCAGCGGCAGACTGGAAAACAAGACTTCGTCGTCTTGGTGGTGGATGATGGTATTGGCGGATTCGATTTTGCTCAACAGTTCCGACGGGTGGGGCAACATGGTCCATTTGCCAAAGGTTGTATCTCGGGAATGATTCGCGGGTACGTCATCAATGTCCATGGATGGGTCGTCGGAAACGGTGATGGACAAGTGCTCGTGATCAGACTCCGGGGGTGTCGAGGCGAGGAAGGTTTCGAGACGGCGAGCGACTTCTTCATCGGTAACGTTGGGCTGATTTGGCCGCTTTTCCAGAGCGTGCATATTTGTCGTGCCGTTGTCGGGAGGTGGAGTTAACGTTGAACGGTCATGTGATGCCATCATCGTGGAATTGACCAGATCAAAACGTCTGCCTGCGTCGACAAGATCTTCAACCGTATTGATGGGGGAAGGCTTGGGCATTGACGACGTCGTTGCTGTCATAGGTGCAATATGAATCCCTGCTTTGCGAATGGCTGCTTCCAGGAAAGCGACAGAGTAATCGGCAGCCGCGTACAAATCGCGCAGCTTCCCTATCACCGCCATGCATGTGCAGAAGCCGCGCAATGATATACGGCGAGTCTCTTCTTCGGGAGCCTTGATGTCGAGCAGGTGGATAATGATAGCTGGTAGGAGAACGGTAACGCCTGCTGTTGGTAGATATTTGACCAGATCGCCGGAGTCTAGTCGTTGGGCGATCGAAGTAATAGCCGAAGCAGACCGGCGAACGTTGCGACGAGAAACATCGAGGGCATCAGATTCAGCGTTGACCTTCGACGGAGTGCGAGCCGAGCTGCTTTGCGAATTCGGCAAGACTTGGGGTCGATGCAGTGCGGAAAGAGTGGTGAAGAACACCATGTGCAACAACGAACGAGCCAAATCGATTGCTGCCTCACCGCAGAATTTGTCCGAATATTGAGCCTCTACAGGCAGTTCTTCGACCCATTTCTGGAGCTGTTCGTCGCAAGATTGAACCTCGCTAGTCTCAGGGTCGAGCTTCTTGGGAAGTAACATCATGGTTGTCCGGTCATTCTGAAGGCCATGGTTGTTGTTGAGGACGCAATATTGCTTGGAGAGCACCTGAGATATACATAGGCAAAGTCTAGCCTTCTCTATGCACATGATGGCTAGTTGACGCTGAGAATTGACATCTCTGGCGACGCGGCAGTCAGCCGGAATGCAGGTAATCGAGTCTGGAATAGGAGCAATCTCAAAGTCATCCAAAGTCAACATGGGGACGTCGAAGTCTTCGCTTTTTATTCGTGTTGGTCGTCGCATACCGAGCGCAATAAGACGGTCCCGCATGTAAGTCGACCACCATATGCGCTTCCAAAGTTTCACACGCTTAGAGTCCAAGTTTGTGTTATCCGGATTCCTGTGTAGACCGATTGTATGTGCGACAGATGTAGCCACGCCCATCCAGTGCCAGGTGTCTTTCTGGTCATCAGGTGTCTCATAGTAGTACGTTAATAGCAACAGCGCCTGGACCAGAGATACACGGTCGGACTCGTAATCGAAGTCGTACAAAATCTGCTCACGTTGTTAGCCATGCTTTTGAAAATCAACCGGCTTGTACGTGTTCTGCAATGAGGTCATCTGTTCACATGCGTGCCGAGTATTGAACTCGGAGAATGTTGGCTCCTCCGATGACAATCACATGCCGAGGCAACAAGAGAGCGCCAGTGCTCAAGACTCCAAGGAACAAGGGTTTTACTTACTCTAGTCTTCTGGAAAAAATCTTTGCGTGCTTCTTTCCTTGTGGCGTAGCCTGCAGCATGCAGATGTTGCATGTCGATGAATGCCGAGCCGGCGAACATGACAGCCTGGAACAAAATCAAGCTGACTTTTCCTTTGCCTCCATCCGGCCGATCAATTGCCGATAAAAAGTCGTGCAGATCCAGAAGTGGCATATATGGATGGACAAATTCAATGTAGACACGCAACATCTCACTACGGAGAAGTCCCTTTGGCACGCTCAAGGCTCCCTTTTTCCCCAGGTACTCTATCTCTTCGGGCCCAATTTTAGTCGGTAGCGGTTTTATGAATTTTGGCAACTCGATTGAGGGAGCCTCTGGTAGTATGTTGCTGAAGAAGGATGTTCTGCCGTCACCAGAAAATGGCGAAAATGGGACAGAACGGCGATGCAAGTCCGAGAAATTGGTCACAGAGGAAAGGCGGTGTCCGTGACTCTGATCTTGTACGAGGTCAGCATATCGAATTCAAGTATAACCGTCCTTGAAGGAAACCGTACAGATTGAATGAGGTACATGTCCATCACGTTGCGACTCTGTCTCTTGAGACCCGCACGATGAGTTCAAATGCAGGATACTGTCGAGAGCATCGCGTGAAGCAAGTTTTCGGTTGGCACTCGATATCGAACTCGTACACTCTACTTGTGGCTCATCATCTTTGCTCCATTTCCTATCAAGGTCAGTACGATGTCCAATTAGCCGCCATGGCGGTCGTTCGTTTGAAGCCAAGTTGGCCGTGAATGAGCATGATGCATGTAGTCTGAGAGCAAGTCTTGCGTGACGACGCACGAGAGGTCACTGGCTGATCCATCGCGTGTAGGTCTGAATTGAAGAGGGGTTGTCGGATGTTGCACTGAAAGGACAAAAAACTGACTTTTTGCGTCTGCTCTCGGATACGATGCATTCGACCTCGTCTAGTCTGCAATTGGTGCACGGAGCGCCATGCTCGGTGACATTGCACCTGACCTTGCGAGCCCGACAACATTGACAAGCTTTGGAAGCCCTCCTTTTCACCGAACGTCCAGTAGTATGTCCATCGAGGCCAGCATGAGTAGCTTTACGCTTCGGCGGTTGTGTTTCGTGGTGGTCGGATGGAGATCCAGAGTACTCAGACATGGCTGGAGTTTGTTTTCGTCGTCCGAATAGGTTTACCAAGGGTGAAGACTGGTAAGCAAAGAAGTGAAATTATTACCAATACACACGCGACGCGGCGGGTGTGGGGAAGTGCGAGCATTATGTATTGCCGCGAACTCCATCAAGGTGGATAACAATTCCAGGCCACGCTAGTGATCCCAGGGCATGCATGCCAGCCGCTATTTCTCATGGTGCAATTGACCCCCATGACGCCGGCCTGTGGGGATAGTTAGTGAGTACGGTACCCCAGTTCCCACCTGCAATGGCCTGCGCTCCACACTTGGCGTTTGGGGACGCGGTCTTTCTCGGATGTGGTCGGGATAAGCCCCCTTCTGAGTACAGAACACGTTGTACGACATAAGCTGCTGCTCGCATACGATGCTGCCGCAATGAAGTTTTCTCAGAGCCGATCCTGCCCTTTCTTCTGACTACAGCCTGTGAAGTACACACAACACGTTGGCCAGCGCCATGAGGCCTGTACTTGCGCGAGCCGTGAAAGAGACAGGAGGGTTCTTGGTGAGCAACGGCGGCCTTCTGGATCGGGGTCTTCGCAGTAGAGGCGGAAATGTATGTCCAAAGTGCAACGCGATTGGTGTCAGCACAGATCAACCCAGCAAGTCTGGATGTCTTAGCCGTCGTGTTAACCGGGCCGAGCACGTGATGGGTCATTCTGCGACATTTAATGCTGCTGTCTTGTCCCTGACCGGAGAGGTCCTGTGCTCCGACGCGGACAAAGGCCAATGGAGGTGCGCCCCAGGTGTTAGTGTGTTCACGGTGCATGTCGTTTTCCGTGCAACTGACCGCCTGACGAATACTGACGATCTGAGTCAAGCTGAGCAATGCTGCAGAGACATGATCTGCCGTGCAAGCAACAAGTATCGGTGTTTGGGCGTGTGCGCATCACGCATCATGCTTGACATATTGACGTTTGACCACCGGCAGCTTCCGTCAGATCACCGTGCGGCTCGGTCAAGGCTCGGAAAAGGCCAAACCCACGACATGGAGTAAACGTTCATTCGCCCATCGTCGAGATCAGCATGCTCAGCAGCGCAGCATGAGGCGGGGGCTCTGCATGCAATTCCTAAAACAAAATTTGCATGTACTTCTCGCCCTGTTTGCATGCCACCCCATCTAGATTGTCCAGGTTTACTAAAGGATGCGTAGGCTAACCAGGTTGCGGTGGTAGTACGATGCTAGTTACGCATGTCGGTAGATTGAAAGCCGTAACTAGACATAGGCAGTTAGCCTATCGAAACCGTTTCGCAACGTGAGTTCTTTCCTTTTGTGGCGTTTGGGACCCCGCAAATTCTCTGGGGAAGCTTGTCGGTTTGGAAATCTTGTGAATGTAGGTAGGATGCTTGACTCAACTGTCGCAACGACTCGAATTTTACGACAAGCCTGGCTTCCAGAAATTCACTAGCAGGCGTTGATTGGTTTCCACCTCGTGTCAAGACATTAGTCCAGCATGACACATGAATGGACATCCAGACACAATTTCGGTCGGGGTGGCTAGTCGGAAGGCGCCCGCACACACACCCAAGTACACCTAAGTATAGTGCCCCTGAAAGTCTGGAGAAGCTTCTGTGTCGCGAAGGACTATTCACAGCCACGTGTGGGTACATTCCAGTTCCATCTCCACGGAGAATCTTACCAACTGAAATTTGTGGGGTAATCCGGGGATCTGTCCACCTGTCGACGGAGCCTAACATCGCAATTCGAGATGGAATTACGCCGGTCAACTCTAGTACCCTCACCCTGCATGATCGCATTCCGACAATGCAAACTTGTTTTCCTCTCCTACCAGCGTACTGAACATGTCGAGAGACATAGACAATGATCCAGACGAAGCCAGGACAAGCACTTTTCCCTTGATTGTCAACACTCCATCAGACATCGGAAGAGGGCCATCGGGCACATGACGTACGATGCATCCCCGCATTTGGAAGCGAGTTCGTGACAGGTTTGACTGTGCATGGAAATGATCCCGCAGATCATGATTCGTACATCAGCCTCCGATTTCTCCACACTCTGGTCTAGATTGACTCCGAAGACGTGCCAATGTTCGGAGCTCTTGGTGGCGTGAACTTGATCGCCAAGGATTTCTTACTGGTTCTGAACCACCGTTCCCTATGGACCATCTCGTATTGACCATCTTCGCTTACCATTTCAAGTCCTAAATCATGAACTGTTCATCTAGTAGTGTATGAAATTCGAGATTTGCTCAAATCTACAAAGCGATGGCACTGGCGCGATGTCATCAAACATACGAGCTCATTCGTACCCGTATTTTTGGCAAATACAAAGCGCGAGGTCAAACAAGTGATATCGTAGTCATTCAATATAAGGTGACGGTAGGTGTTCCTCGCGCAGTGGTCTCACTGGAAGATAATATCGAGGGCGATGATAACGAGCTACATATATCAGAAAAGCGTGGAGGCGCGAACATAATCTTCAGTCTGCTTTCAGAGATACGAAGAAGACCAGCGCTCTAGCCGAGCCAAGGTTCGCTGTTCAGAAAGATATCGAGGAGAGCATGTCTTATTTTCGCCATTGTTGACAACAACGATGCAAATGGAAACGTCTGAATGCTTACCAGAGCATTTTAAATACTGACCAAGGTTCAAGATAATCGACTTTACTCCAGGACCTAGAATCCATCATGGCTTGTCGAGTGTATAAGCGTTGACCAGGTCCGGGCGCTGAGAAATATACAAGGTTGTTCAATCAGTTTATCTTGGATGCAATGAAGAAGAGAAGATGGCGTGTCTTGGAAATAACATTGCTGGGTATCCGAAAGGCAGAAGAAGTTACTCATTCTAGAGAGGAAGGAAACAGCGTGAATGTACCTTGCTACCCTCAACAAACTGACTACTTTGTCTTTCCTCGCTGTTTATGTGAACCAAGACCTCAGCAACAATATAATTTGTTTTAGATAGAAGACCGTAGAGAGATGACGATGGATAATTTTGGTAAGGATTCACATCCAAGCGAACCATAACCCGGCGACAAGATGATGTGAATTACAAACGAAATCATGGACATGGAAGCGAACACAACCCCGAATGTAAAAATCTGAATTGTTAGACGACCTCCTCCAAGGTTATGTGGACTGCCATGCGCAGGTACGAGTGGAAATATGCTCGCAGTGTCAACTTTCGATATATTTGGCCCCTAAGCACACATTCCCTTCCCATCTACACTCCAAACTCCGAGCATACCTCGTTATCCGCTTCCATATATCCGTAAGCTTATCTAAACCAAGACCCCGTCAAACGTCTATTGAACCCTCAGAGCAAGATGCCATACTTCCTCAGTGTATCTTTGCCTGTCGTGATTTTCATACCAATCCTATATCGTGCAACTCGTCAGCAAAGAGATCGTCAAGAAACAAGGGTATCCAGCAAAGACTTTTCTTCGTCTTCATCAACCAAATCGCCCCATCTATTTGAAGAAAGTATGAAACAGATCTCGTACCTTGCATCCAGGTCGAACGCCTCCCACTTAGACACTTCCTCGAGCCAGTCCTTGCATTGAACTAGAAGCTTTGGATGCGACTCTGGACTGCCATTCGCATCGGCCTCTCGCCAGAGGTTGGCGGCCATCTCGTACCGAGCGCAGGGAGCCGTCCAGTTGTCCTTGAGATTACCCTTGAAGAGCGCTCTGTCGTGGACCAAGACCTCGCTCTCTAGGAGCGCTTTGGCCTGCGTGGTTTGATCCATGTTCCTCAGAGTTGCTGCACGGAGAACAACGAGGATGGCTTTCTCATCCAGGCCTTCTTTTTCCCAATGCGGATTGGCGGTAGATTCACTCCAGGCGAGGTTCTTGAGCGAGACCTCGAGGTGGTCGGTCCGCATTCGTTTGTAGCCATTCCAGAAATAGATCATCTCTTCCAGCGGAGAAACACCAATTGCGTCGATCAAGTTGCAGTTCCACTCCTTTGCTCGAGCCTCCCATTTCTGAATCTTGCGGATCACGAAAACATCAAATGGTAGTTGACGTGCCATGAACTTCTTCTTGCCCGTGTTGGGTATGACCTTTTTGAAGAAGTCTTCGGCCCGTGCAGCGTACTTCGCCGCCGCCCCCGGGTCTGTTCCTTTGCTCTGTCGATAGAGCTCGACGTGTGAAGCACCACATATGAAGTAGTATAGTCCATGACTCCAGTTGTTGAGTAGGATGCATTTCTCGAAAGCAAAGGAGGTGGCCTCGTAGTCGTGCATGTACATATGGTTGAGACTACGCTCGAACCAGCCGAGTGCTTCCAGTTGTTTGAGCTTTGATTCGCCTGCGTCCTCGATGAACTTCACAGACCTCTCCAACTCTTTCTCGGCAGCCAACATGCGTGCCTCCTCAAATAGCCAGAGATGGCTATTTGGATATCTCTCGCGCATTGACCCCAACAACGCTACACATCTAGCCTTGGGATACGACCCTTCTCCCGTACTCGGAAGAATATCGCAGAAGCTGGTAAATCCGTTCAAATAGCCCATGAGCACAATACCGGCCATGGCTCCGTGAATGTCGTGGAACTTAGTGGCTTGCCAAAGCATTTGCATACCACGTTCCCTGTCGCCTTTGAATCCAACGATCTTGAGCAGTGAAGCGAACGAAGGAGGTATGAAGGAGAGAATAAGTAGAAGCATGCCAAAGCAGAAGTTGGATCCTGATAAAATGAACATGTCTAGAGGGTGATCGCTAAACGTCGATATGTCTGCTTCAGGATTGCCTTGAGCATCAAGTGTAAGTTTCTCAAAGTCTTCTTGGGCATCCACAAAGTCGAAATCTTCGTCGTCATCGTCATCCGCTTTTGGCTTGTCTCCGTGCTGACTCCGTTTCAAGCTTGCGGTAGATCCACTGAGCGAGGTTGGAGGCCCAGAGCTCTTGAGTGTACTGCCACCCACATTCGAGCGTATGGAACCGGGCTTTGACAAGCGGCCCGCACCTGTCGAATTTACGCTATTCGTACTCTGCTTGCTCAAGAACTGCTTCTCGGCATCCATCACTGCTTGTAGCGCAATATATGCCTTCCTCAATTTGTAGAAACTTTTGAGAGCCTCTGTCAGACTCTCGTTCAGTACGCCCACCACTGCGCCCATCAACTGTGCCTCTGCCTGACATACTGCGTATTCGGTTCCAGGGGGATAGATCGGCGAACGGTATGCGTTGGTGTCTTTAGAGGCTCGTTTCTGCTGATCGTATGCCGTGCACTCCGCTGTATATAGGGTGTTGGAAGCTGCACTCAATGTCAATACTGCTTCCTTCGAGGTGTACAGTCTATGGTCAAACCTTCGCGCATCGCCTCTTGTTCGAATCCAAGTGTCGCTCTCAGGAATGTACAAACACCCACTCCCAACTATGCAGCGTCAGCTTCCTGCCTCATGGGGTCTTCACCGACTACTCGAGGATGAGGCGCACCTGGTGAAACGACGAACTGCTTTTCGCAAGTTGTGCTTCAGCGCTGTCGATGTCATCGTTCATGATATGGGTAATGGCTATGTTCGCGTGGCATCAGTCCCATTCGTGCAGTCGGATATCGCTTCGATATTGAGGATCCCATACCACTCATCGCATCTTGTACTGTGCTAACTGTTAACTCTGTCGCTGCCATACACTTTGACAGTACTAACGTTGAGCAAGCTCACTAAGAGCATCCAGACTCTTCGCGTGTCCATGTCCTTTGGCTGACTTCCCAACGCCCAGCCATCCTCCAAGAGGCATATTGTAAGCACGGCCTCACGACGGAGAGCCGGTGGCGGGGTATGTAGATAAGAAGAGAGCGTTAAGAAGTGAGAGAAAAAGATAGACGATGAGGATCAGATCTCCCAGCTCAACATAAGGTCGATTGTACACGCGCATTCCGTGACGCGGTGAAGCAAGGATGCCCAAGGCATGTAAAACTAAGCGGAGCTCTGATGCTTACAACGAGCATCGCGGACTTAGACATCGACGTCATGGCTTCTAAGTAGTAGAACTTCCGCGACAGGCGCTGCATCTGGCTAATGAAGCGAGAAGTCTGACTCGGTGAAACTCGAACAGCGGTGAAGATAACAGCATCCTTTGCCAGACTCAAACACTTTTGCGGAAGGCGCGGAGAGGTACCTGGACAGCAACACGTGAAAGCGCGCTTAGTCACCGATTGGCGCTTCGTTCGACAGAGCCGCAACGGCAGCCACCAAGCTCACCAAACTCACGAAGCACACCAAACACACCCGTCACGAAACTATCCAACACACTTGTATACCCAGACAACAGCACACGCCGTCAAGATGGCCGGCCCCGCACAAGGAAACACCGCCACAACCAAAGCCGCCGACCCCAAGAACGGCGAGCAACCGCTTTCACAGGACAAGAAGCCCGCCACACAACTAGAGGAGGACGACGAGTTTGAGGACTTTCCTGTTGAAGGTACCCGCGCCTGAAACATACCCAGAGACGAGCTGAGGGCGAATCGAGGCTGACAATAGGACAGATTGGACAGAGGAGGAGACACAGATCCCTGGCGGCAACGCGCATCTATGGGAAGAGAGCTGGGACGACGACGACACGAACGAGGACTTTGCGGTGCAGCTGAGGTACGGCAACGCGTCTCGGAGGTGTTGGCATGGCTAACAATACACAGGGAGGAGTTAAAGAAACTGGGCAAATGAGCGATACACCTTCCACGATGAACACGAACACGAAGCGGACGGGCGTTGTTGAAGTGCATACAATGTAGTGTCTTAGGCCTCAAGCGCAGGAGTGCTCATGCAGAGATTATGGCATCACAAGCATCACGACAAGAAACGGATGCGTGAATTGAAGTACAGTTCTGGCTGTATTGAGATAAAAGAGCTATAACATACACACATCAATCATAACTTCGAGGATTTGCCTTCCAAGTTAACCCGATGCTCCATCTCCTCATAGAAAGTGACCTCACTTACTAGACAGAGCAGAGACACCGGGCAGATCCTTGCCCTCAAGCAGCTCCAGCGACGCACCACCACCAGTCGAGACGTGCGACAACTTGTCTTCTACACCGTACTTCGCCGCAACGGTCGCAGTGTCACCGCCACCGATGATGACAATCTTGCCGCTCTGTGCAGCCTCAACGGCAGCATCTAGAGTCTCCTTTGTGCCCTTGGCGAACTTCTCGAACTCGAACACACCAGCGGGGCCGTTCCACAGAATGGTCTTAGCCTCGCTGATAGCCTCCTTGTAGAGCTTGATTGACTTGTCTCCGCAGTCGAGACCCATCCAGCCATCAGGGATACCATCCTCGTCCGTAGCATATCCAGTCTGGGCATCCTTGTCGAACTTGTCTGCAGTGATGTAGTCGACAGGCAGCACGATCTTGACGTTGTTCTTCTTCGCTTTCTCAACAAGGTCCTTAACGGTCTTGCTGCCAGCCTCGTCGAACAGACTGTTTCCAATCTTCACGTTCTCGAGTGTCTTCTTGAAAGTGAAGGACATGCCACCGCAGATGATCAAGCTATCAACCTTGCCGAGCAGATTGTCGATGAGCTGGATCTTGTCGGAGACCTTGGCGCCACCGAGGATAGCGAGGAATGGTCGCTTGGGCTCCTCGAGCGCTTTTGCGAAGTAGTCGAGCTCCTTCTTGACGAGGAACCCAGAGGCCTTTTGTGGGAGGTCGACACCAACCATAGAGCTGTGGGCGCGGTGGGCGGTACCGAAGGCATCGTCTGCAACTAGTCAGTTCCTTGTGTTCATGCCCGCGCTCGATAGCGAGACTCACTGATGTAAATGTCACCCAGAGCAGTCAGTCCCTTCCTGAACTCCTCGACCTTCGCCTTGTCAACCTTGACCTTTTTGCCCGCCTCATCCTTGTAGCTGCCCTCCTCCTCAGCGTGGAAGCGCAAGTTCTCTAGGAGGATGATCTGTCCATCGCTAGCACCGTTTACAGTCTCCTCGACCTGCTTGCCCACACAGTCCTCGGTAAAGGTGACCTTCTTGCTCAGGAGTTTCTCGAGCTCGGGAACAACCGGCTTGAGGCTGTACTTCGCGTTGGGCTTTCCATCAGGGCGACCGAGATGGGACATGAGAATGACAGCCTTAGCTCCATTTTCGACGGCATACTTGATGGTGGGGAGAGCGCCGACGATGCGCTGGTTGTTTGTGATCTTCTTGTCAGAGTCGAGGGGGACGTTGAAGTCGACCTAATGATTACAGTTGTTAGAGCACGGCTTTAATTGATTGTTCATGATTCAAATCTTTGACTTACTCGGATCAGGACGCGCTTGCCCTTGAGGTCGACGTCTGCGATAGAGAGCTTGTTGGAGAGAGACATGTTGGAAGTGTTTGAGTACTGTGATGAATGCGGGGTTAGTTGGGAGCTCAATGAAGCTTATATAGGGCGATGCTTAGTGTTCAAGTGAACAATTGCAATCTCGAGAAAAGATATGACGCGTATCACTTACTGTCAGATGGTTGTGAGAGATGTTAGTTGAGACGAGTGGAGTGTTTTTATTTTGTTGAATCGCGCTCAGTCGTCATAGGGTCACGGCGGGGCATGGTGGGGTGAGACACAATCTCGTGAAAAGCCCCCGTCTCCTTATCGAATCACAAGCAAACGTAAACATTGCCGCGCCAGTAGACTGTGAAAACTGCAGAAGTAAGACCGCCGCGAACGATTGTTGCCGCGGTCGTGTTTCGTCGAGCGCGGCGAAGATGCATTCCCGCGGCCGAGAACCAGATGCTCCGATCCCTCTACAGAAGTCAAATGTTAGTCGTACGAGGCCACATGACCAGTAAAATGTTAAGAGCTTTTCATGACATCTGTGTTGTGGAGTCTCGAATGACATTACGCGCCACCTTTCGAAGACAAAACGTAATGTTATCTGATAGAAACAAGATGCAATTGACACCTAACGAGAGGATATAGGGTAGTAACAATGGACAACCTTCAATCACGGACGATTGACCTTGCGCCCTGACAATGCCCGAAACGCCATGTTACCAGTCGATATGCAAGAAGGAATCCACGCTATAAGTCCCCACAATGTCCAAACCACGACTAAGCCTTATGCGACACAGAGATACAGAAATAAGTTTGTTCGATGTATGTAGAGATGCTTATGCACTCTCGGCGGAGTTTGTGAGAGAGAGATATGCTGTCCACGCGATACCGACGGTAGAAACAAAAGGCTGTCAAATCTGTCAGTTCTCGAAAGCCTCGATAACACGACCAAAAACGTACAATCTGGAGCTGGATGGGCATCAATCGGAAATTGATCAATTGCACCGCTGGCCAGATCACAAAGTTGGCCTTCAGGGCAGGAATGTAGACGTCCTGGAATTTGCGTTGCACGGCGCGCTTTCCGCCGCCCTCGGCGACGGTCATGAAAGTGAAGAAGCAAGCAAGACCTGGGAAATATTAGTGAAAGCTAACTAAGGGCTGGTATCATCCGACTTACCGACTGGAGCAAACAGAAGCTGGTCAAAGGCCACGCGCTTTAGTACGGGCCCCCAGGTAGCAGCTTTGGTTATTGGAAAGGTCGACGCTAAGAACCGAATCCAACGGAGCTGAACCGGTGACATGATGAAAGGGTAGGCCATGAATCTCACTGTGCGCTCGAAATCGAATGGCGGAGGCAATTTGAGCGAGTCGGGGATGATATCAGTATCTGGCCAAGGGTTCCTCCTGTCAAGTTCATGAATCTCGATCGCAATGAAGTCGTCCTTGTCCACACCCTTGCGAACAGCGCGCTGCCGGACCGCGGTCAGTGTCTGAGCCACCGTGTCTGCGATGCCACCCAACACCTATATCCCTTGTCAGTCCAGATTCATAGACGGTGCACATTGGTATGTGTGAGGGCGAATGTGAAGAGTTCGTGATTCGAGGACGGTAGAATGCTCGGTGGTGCTGAGGGTACGTACAGAGTTGGTGATCATCGTCGTAATAACTGTGCATGTTGTCAGCGACGTGCACATTCCGAAAAATAAGCAAGAGGACATACGCGGTCTCTGTGCATAGTAGCCGTTGTACTTGCGCGCGAGGAATGATACGGCGGCCATTTGTACAAGGAAAACGGCGGCGTGGAGAAGGGGCTGTTCAAAAAAATCTGGTATCAGTAGGTGGCTGCGCGTTGAGAGGTAAAGCTGCTCACAATCTTTCCGTACAACCAGCGTCTGTTGAGTTGGTAGAGCAACCTGTGTCTGGTGTTTTGCACCATCGTGGTGGAAAGTCGTAGCGGCGCGGCTGTCGATTACGATGACGTCTATCAGTGTCACGAGTGGAGGAGGGGTCCGTGTGTGCAGCTATTCTATTGCACCCACGTTGTTATCAGTTATTGGTGAAGTGGGAAGAGAGGATCTTTCGTTATCGCGGTTAAGAACGAAGTCGCCTTGAAGCAAATGATCCAGGGTCCTGCAGGCATCCGCTGGGGTCGAACGGCGGAGTAACACCTTAATCAGGCGGAGGCGACGGCCCGACGCCGCTCGGCACATCACGACCAAGGCATGACGAACGCTTGCGTAGTTTCAGGCATCACAATAGACAAGAGACGGGCGCTACGTGAAACGTGATCGTGCCGAGGATCTGCGAACTATGGGATTTGCCTGATCGGGTAGAATTCTGAATTGTTGAGTCTTGTCAGGCTCTATCGGCCAGGCTTGCTACTTTGTTCAAGCAATATCTTTCCGTCACAACTCTATATTGTGCTGCTCTTCTATTCCAAGAAAATCTCCTGACTACCGTAAGATAGATATGGGTAACACTCCGTGGTTCTGCTAGACCGAATACATGTCCAGAACCAAGTACGTCGAGATGGATATACCTGCTCTTTTATTCATTCCTTCTCTACTGCCACAACACTTGGTAGGTTGTGAATGTCCGCAGTCTCGTTCGTTGCCAAATCGATGATGCGGACTGACTCGACAGACAGCACGCCAGAAGAAAGCGCGAGGAATTTTAAGTCAGCGGTGTAACATGAGCCAGGTGAAAGTTGTCTGTGAGTTGTCAGTATGTACGCCCAACGTGGCTTCTTCAAAGCGACTCACCCTAATCGGATATCGGTCGTCAAGCACACCAGCTCTGCCATCTCCGTTCTTGCGCTCTTTTGTTGCGCATACACAACGTTCTCGTCCACCACAGCGCTTGTGAGGAGCTCCTTCTTAGCAGTTCCAAGACCGATTACTGGCGACGTCGAAAGCTGGGATTTGCGCTTTTCAACATCTCGCCTTCTCTTCGGCATCACGAGAATCGCCAGCTTCCGCGCCTTGTCTGAGCGGTTGACTATGAAAACGTTCCAATGGAATATCTCTCCTACCGGTACTCGAGGCGGGCCAGATACAGTAAGAGTGACATTAATAGCATTCTTTAACGCATCTCCAGCTTGGTTTTGCGTATCAGGCGTTGGCAGAGAATCAGGACCCAAAATTTTCGGAGCCTGCATTGTAGGATTACTGAGCCTGTGAGCGGCCTTGAGCATGTTGGGGTCCTGTTCAGTCGCAAACTCTACCATCGCCTTCCATTCGATCGCGATGCTTGGTCGACAGTCTTCGGAGATGAATACATCTGCTTCGACAACCATAGTCAAGTAGTGTCCCTTGCTCCCAAGTGACGGTGTGCCGTCAGATGCCCGGTCAGGCTGTATCTTGTACAGATAAGTGAGTTGGTCGCCTGGTTTGTGTGCGGTAGTTGCACTTCCATGGTCGGCCAAACTTTCTGCGTCTCCGCCGCGCAAAGTCAGGTCGATCTTTTTCACTTTGGCATTGTATGTTGAGAATTGAGGGATTTCAAGATCCAGTGCGGCCATAAGAGATAAGTCGTCCAGAGACGTGTGTATTTTCGAGTACCTCACTCTCCAGATCAAAGCTGGTACTACTCGGTACACCGGTCGCTGACCGTTTCTGATTGGACGCGTCAGTTCTCTTGTAACAGGCGTGGTCGGTGCGATTTTGCTGATACGCATTGCTGAAAGTCGTGGATGAATCCCAGTGAGAGCGGGATCGTTATCGAATGCCTGAAGGAGATTCAAAGCAGTAGGTGCACGACTTGGAAGGTATTCATCATCTTGGATATCCTTTTTCGTACCCTCGGTGGGCTTCAAAGACGCTGCGGGTCGAAAATAGACAGAAGGCGTGTGAAACCTTCCCTGAGGACGAGCTGGCAAATGTCAGATTTGAGACTGCAGTCACACTTTTGTTTCTCACATATGAAGACCTCAACTTTCCAGATCGCGTAAGCATGCAAAACATCTCCTTCTTCTTGGCGGACAATCAAAGGCTCGGTCACGTCTTTGATGGTGTCCGAATAGATGAGTTCTTTCGAAGGCGCTTTTGGCTCATGCGCTGGTGGAGGTACTGTACTGAAAACAAAAGCATCCACACTGATGGCCAATCTCGCAAGATACGACTTGAAGGTGACATCGTCGAGCAAAGGTGTCCTGAACACAATGTAGACTGGAAGTAATTCATCTAGATACCTATGCATAAGTAAGAGACTTGTTTGGGATGCAGCCAGTTGTGATTCACATACCAAAAAGAATAACATCTCTCTGTTTTATGAAGGGTAAGATGTAGCCATTCTCGTCTTGCACTGCTCCATCCCAAGAGCGCAGCTCGTTTGCAATGTCGATATTGGGGTTGATGGGCACGACAGTTTCGAGTATTGAGTTCTCCACAAAATCAGTACTTGCCCGGGGCTGTACCTCCGCAGAACTCGCAGCCATCATCGTATCGTTACAAGATGTCGTTTTCTAGGAGAGTAAGTGAGGTGCAGCTCACGTGTGGAACCGTGCTAAGCACAGACGATCTTCGTAATCCTTGTCCCTTGTCCGCTCCATCATAACGCTACGCCAAGAGATTCTGGCAAGCTGCGTACGGCAATCGCAATCGCCGTGTTTCCTCATCGACATTTCGTTTGCACCAAAGTTCTAACAACCTGAAAGCTCGCCCAATATCCTGCAGCATCACTGCTGCTTGCGAAACATATTCTCTCATAGCGCTCGACAGCTCCAGCTTCCCTACAAATAGCGGGGCACATCCCACTTCCACTCACGCGTCACACCTCTCCCAGTCCTCTGCGTAACAACCACGAACATGGGCGCCAAAGTCCCACGAAACTTCCGTCTGCTGGAAGAGCTAGAGAAGGGCGAGAAGGGTCTCGGTGCTGGTATGATAGGCCTCACAACGACCATCCACAACATAAAGACTGAGAGTAGACAGAGGCGTGCTCATACGGCCTTGACAATGGAGATGACTTGCTGATGTCGGACTGGAATGGCACAATCCTTGGCCCACCACACGTATGCGCTTCTTCATCTCTTGGCCACAGCAACGTACTAATTCGGCATCACAGAGCAGCCACGAGAATCGTATCTACAGCCTGAAGATCCACTGCGGCCCAAGCTACCCCGACGTGCCTCCCGAGATCGCGTTCACATCGAGGATCAACCTACCTTGCGTCAACCCGCAGAATGGAAGAGTACATACTCCCTGCCAACACTGAGGAAGGCAGCTGCTGATGACGCTTAGGTCGACAACTCCAAGCTACCCTGCCTTGCGCAGTGGAGGAGGGACTTCACCATGGAGACGATACTGATTGAACTCCGCCGGTAAGCTCTGCTAGGGCTCTGAAACGGTCAAAGCTGACGGCGCACAGGTACATGGCCCACCCTCAGAACAAGAAGCTCCCACAGCCGCCGGAGGGATCCAACTTTTAGGAATAGTGATGATGGAAGAACATGTGGTAACTCCATCAACGCGAGTTGGTGACAGATCTTGGGGAGCAGATGGACGCTATGAACGACATACGAACTACGAATGTGCATGGGTTGGAGTTCAGGTATGCAGGCTTAGCTAAAAGTCTAGAGCGAGGGCAAAACAAATCATTAACATGAATCATCTATCCCTGGCCTAACGGTTGTGTGTAGTGCAAAGGTTCTTGGGCGAGGAGAGAATGTGCAACACAGATTGACTCAATGCAAACCACGTCCGATTCGTTAGGAAATACATGTCGACCATGCTGAAAAATATACATCTCAACAATCAGCACATGAATTACAGTCCTGGGATTTGCCCTCACGACTGGTATGGCACGTGATTGTGACACAATTTGAAAGATTCGCGTCATTTGAGATCGTACACCTCCACCAACGAGCAATGCATGCATGCCCCGATTCCTCCAACCTAAAAAGTCAACACAGCATCGTGTAGCAGGTCAGTTGCTGGAGAGTACGCGCTCATTTATGATCTAACCTTCTACATAGCGATCGCTCTGTACAGAGCACTGCTCTCACGATGTTCCACCGCAGCCCTACCGAATGACGATCGAAACTCTTTGCGCAACGCGATCCAGAATAAGTTTCGCAAAAACAGGAAGATACAAAGTCCTTACCAGCTTGGGCTGAGCTTCAAGGCTGGCTATGAGGTTAGCGATTTGTGTGTCAATTCCAGTACACGCTGTTGACAGGGTACAGACGCTGGATCATCTCGATGCATCCACCACCGGCGACACTACGAGCACAAAGTTCTTGACGACATTGATCGCGGCGATACCACGCGGTTTGACTCGAACTCCTTGGCGCCGCCCTCTTCCACCTCCACCGTCCCCACCAAAAGAAAGGCTCGCGTGTCTTCCTCCCGAGAAAGCCGTCCTGAACGTCCGACCGTACGCGAACGTCTCAGGGCCGCGGCATGTGCCCATTCTCGCTTCCGCAAATGGTGTCCCCTTCCTACGCATCACGAAGCCCCAGCCCCCCGCCTTGAGTAGGATGCTCCGCCAGAAGCTCGAGCGCAGAATAGACAATTTCCACAGGAAGGTGGAACTTGTGCACTATTGGATGCCGATGGGAAGACACGAGGATGAGTGGGACGAGTTGATCAACGAGCAGCTTGAAGGGCGTGAGGACAATGTGAAATGGGTTGATGCAATTCAATTGTCAGATCGAGAGAATCAGGAGGCCTACGATAAGGATATGGCGAATGACAAGGAGCTTGTGAAGAAGATGCAGAGGATCGTAGATGCGGAGACGGAGCTTGCGCTCAAAGAAGGGAGGACGATTGTTAGAGGGAGGAAGAGGAGACCCATACGAGTAATTACACCTTGATCTCAGCTTGGACTTGTTTGTTCATGTGGAAGTGCCATCTTCTCGTGCAGGCTGATGGGTATATTTGAATCGCTCTGTGATTGATGCTTATCCAACTCGTCGAAGTGGGTTGGGTGGGTATTCTCTACGAAGCCGCCGAGATCTTTAGCTTGTCCACCTCCAAGTCATCGCCTTCATCCTCCTCATCCACCTTACCCACCAACCCTTGCTGCCACAACTCCCTGCCTGTAAGCTTCTTCTCCTTCTCCACAATCCTCTTCTTTTTGTCCTCGACCTCCTTCTCCTCGACCTTCCGCCTTTCCTCCTCCTCCAACTCGGCCCTAAACTTGTCTCTCCACGCCAGAAAGCTTTCCCTCGTGACCGCCTCGCCCTGGAACTTTGCATTCTCTGCCTCCTCAACTTTGGCGGCCTCTATATCTGCCAGTGCCTGCTTCGCATTCGCGCGCTCGGCTATCAGCAGCTCGGCGGAGTCCTTGAGCACGGTGACGAGGGTGAAGATCATCTGCATGCCGAGGTTGTCGGTGATGGTGTCGGTGAGCGAGTCCAGCAGGCGCGACTTGTCATTTTGGATGTCGAGGTAGGGGTGTTTTGGCGCATTGGGAGGTTGGGTTATGTCGAGTCGTGGGGCTTCGTCGGGGTAGTCTGGGGGGTATTGGACGTTGAGGATGAGTTTTGCTGGGGCTGTGTTAGATATATATCGTGTGAAGGAAGTGGGCGCATGTACGTGATGTGTCTTCCTCATCGTCGTCCTCGTCTTCATCGTACGAGGGCTCGCCCACGTCGAGTTTTATCAGGACTCGGAATTCTGTGTCGGAAACATCTGCGGAGATGCTGTTAGCGCTTGGATCTGCGTGTGAAAGAGTGTTGCTTTGAATTACCGGTTATTTCTTCGGGGAAAATGGACTCGAGGACCTCGCGTTCCTCTTTCTGGTCTTCGATACCCATTGCGCTTATTGGTGTTGGGTGTGACGTTGGTTGCTTCTTCCCTGGTCGGCGGGGCGCGTTTCCTTTGGCTCCCCGCGTCAAGTCGAGTTACAAGGGGGTAGCATGAGCGGGCTGGAATACAAGCAGCCCTGCCGCTAATTATTGGGAAACATCACAGTTGCTATTGACCTATGGTAGTTAAATAAACTAGATTTTAGAAGAGTTTTAGTATTTGTTCTATTCTTAGTATACTTTAGTAACTCTTACAAGATTTTAATTGATACGTTATAAACATAAATAACTTATTTGTGATTTCATATACTATTCTAGAACATTAGCTTTTAAAAAAGCATGGCAAAAATTGCATTAAGCTTAGGACTTGTGTTAAGCTTGGTAGGACAACTGAGCGAAGCGAGGTGGTCCGTGGGGCGCGTAACCCTAGATGCCCAGCATACTGGCCTGCAATCACGTTACGCAACACTTCAGCAGGAGCACGAGAACTTCTCGATTCAGCACGAGATACTTGTGAGAAAATCTGATACGCAACAAGAAAAAATTGATTATCTAGAGAGTGAGAATGCGGAAATGAAGAGCCTTTTGGAAAAGTACATAGCGGAACAACAACAACTAAACGACGCATACCACCGTGTCAAACAAGAACACGAGGCCTGCCAGAAAGTCAAAGAACAGCTTGAAGATTTGGCCCATCAATGGAAAGCACGGTTAAAAGAAAACATGGAGCTTCACTCTACGAGTACCAAGCTCCGACGAGAGCTAAGAAAGGCTTTAGAGATTCGAACGCTGGAAGAACCGCTTCCGAGAGCAGAAGAAGTACAAGCGCCTGTTATAGTAGAGGCTACGGCTATGTCGGACATAGAATACAGCGACGACGAGCCAATTTCAGATGATCTGACACCATAATACTTGGACAGCAGCGTCTCATAAGCAGAACCAGTATGAGATATTCCTTGTTTATACCGCTACTAAAGAATGCGGATTGCAAGGAAATAGCTTTCGTATAAGCTAGAGTATTGGGGAGGCAATACCTCAGATAACTGAGTCTCTACGCCAAGCTAAAACAGCATTTAGTATTGACTAGTCTCATGCGGTCACTGTCCTGAGCATGTGTCTTATCAAACGGAGCCTGCATATCTTTTCAAGTGTCTTGAGATGGATCAGACGATATTTATTGGACGCAAGTCCGTGCTAGCAGTATTCGTTCCTGCATTAACCGCAAGAGCATCTTCTTCGCAACTAGATCATTTATTGAAAACTATTGACAGGCCGCTGCCCAAACTCTAGCAGAAGAATCTACCAGACTAGGTAAACGAAAGCGAGGCGAGGCTACTGGAGGGATCACGGCTAAGCGGCGTTGCGTGGCTGGGACTGAAATAGCACCATCTACTCCAAAGCCAAGAGCCAAGAACAGAGAACCCCTGAAGAAAGCAAGAATAACTGAGCGGGATGCTGCTGCTACTAGGACCTTAACAGCAGCAGAGCAGCAAATACACGACCTTGACATCCCATAAAGGGACTTCTTATGTAGGTCTAAGTAATAATGAAGTAACCTAATAACGAGCATACGGCACCATTAAAGCAAATCAGAGGAACATTGCGAGAGTTACCATCAACACAAGATTAAAATAAGGTCGAACTTTGATTTGATTGTTTACAAGTCTGCTAAGTTACTTACATAGCTAGTTTCGATAGCTTACAATAACACACAAGTTCGCATCTCATGAGCACATTCCATCAATTTGTAACGTAGCCCGTAACAAAAAGAGTTACAGTTTAGACGTCCTGTTTATACTATTGAAGGGACTAGAAACAAGAGTCAGTCGAGGCTGTTTGAAGCATCTCCGACCAAGCATGACTATGAAGGAGGAGCCCACTCGACCGCAGTTCCAATCATCCTGTAATAACGGTTGTATTGGGGACTCCAGACCCAAGCAGATGGAGTTTGCTGATTCTGCTGCTGGGGTACCGAGGGTATAGTCGTCAAAGGGGTATTCGAGGAAGTAGTCGCGTAAGATTGGGCTGTAGCAGACGAAGATACCTTCTGTATAACTTGGACCACCCTATCCTCCACATACACTTGAATAGCACTGCCGGTAGCATCCACAAAAACAGAACCTCTGTCTCGATGGTCTCTCAAGGTCGGAACGCGATATGTTTTAGATGTATCCACATTCAAGCCCACGGCGCGTAGCTTCATCTCCATGATGTTTTGCTGGTCAGGGAGTGCAACACTGTTGCCAAACACCGCGCAGACAACCCAAGAATATGGGCTGTGAGGGAAGAAGTTCTGACATTGGACGTAATACTCCGTAAGGCGGTCCATAAAAAGTCGTACATGATTGTCGCCAGCGTAGGGGTCGTTACCGTCAGCATTATGTGGTTGAGGTGCGATGTGTCCGAGGATTGCCGCATGCGGAGAAACAATGAGAACGACAGAGCATGACCCAAGACCATCCGTTCCGATCGAAGAGGTTCGTGAAAAAACGGCTATGTCGAAAGCATTCATACGAACTTCTTTTGCCTGTGCCGTCCTGACAGCTTCTCGGAATCGACTCTCGTTAAAAGTGGCCATTGTACGTAACAAAGAAATGCTGCTTGGTTTATGTGTAAAAGGAATGAGAAGTAATGCCTAGCTAGAGTGACCTAACGTGAGATTTATAGACATGAATTGCTGTGCCGCAAAATCAATTACTTCTGGGCCTAAGTGATCCAGGAACTACATGATTTACCGTCAATTCCTGTGATTCGCTGATGGCTCTTCTTCGACCTAGGAATCTATCGTTGTGGTGGTTTTGGTTGGGCGGATCGGGCGTTACGCCGTCCGGCACGGTAGTTAGGCTGAGCGGTACGCCTCGAAGTGGGACTAGTGACTAGTGCAGCGGCAAAGAACATACCCCGCTTTTCCTTTGCTTATAGGGGGAGCGGGCAGCTCTGGCCTTCCTCGCGCCATACCTAATAATACTTCTTCAATTTTGTAAAATGCAATCTCCCCAGCTTCCCCCGTCCCTTGGACCAGAGCCCCCCTACTATGCAAGGCCAAGGCCTGAACAAGTAGATATCTGCTATCGCGCTGCCTGTGACGGAGACCTTGATACTCTTAAAGAACAGGCCTGGCAGCTTCTTCACAACCCCGAGGCGGCATTTGTTGAGCAACCGCATCCAACATGGCTATATCGTTCATTAGCTGAGGCGATTCGGCAACAGAACATAGAGATGGTCCAGTTTTTGTTGGATGAGAACGTCGCGAATGGTGATCTTCCAGTTGAGGTTGCTGTGCGTAGTCGAGCGTTCAAGGTACTGGAATTATTCCTTCAACGTGGATGGGATATCAACCAGCCAATGGGCCGAAATGAGCCCTCCGTGTTGAGGTATTATTACCAATCTTTGATACTCTAAACCTTTACTTACACGTTCAGTATCCCTCTGTGTACCTCTGATAAGGAGATGGTCATGTGGTTGCTTGACCATGGTGCCAATCCAAACAGCCGCTGCGATTGGGACTTTACACCTACATCATACGCCATGCTTGCTGCTCCTCTCGAAACTATCGACGCTCTTTTCGAACGAGGAGCAAACCCACTCTGTGGACAACTCCTCCATTATGCTGTTCTAAGGGATACATCTGACGCTCTAGAGGTGGTCTGCAAGATTGTAGAGAAAGGTGCACCAATCAACGAGGTCAAGTACGAAAAGGAGCTAGAGACATATATTGAGCGCAAACCATTTGGCCTTGGAACGCCACTTCACCGAGCTGCAGAGTTTGGTAAGAAGGATGTTGTTGAGTACTTGTTGAAGAAGGGCGCCGACTCCCTAAAGTTGGACAGCAAAGGTCGAACGCCACGTTTCTGGGCAGAAAAGGAGGGCTTCACGGACGTGGCTCGTGTTCTCGAGGAGGCAGAGCGTAAACAGGCAAACATTGATCCAATGTAACTAAATCTCCCGGGCGCTGAAACAAGACGTAATATGAAGAGCAAGAATCATCTGTCGAAGCATTCCAACCCATCTCTAATGTTAATTCGCTCGTGCACCTCAGCATTATGTCCTCTAGAGCCAGCCAATACCAAGCGTGCCCTTTGTGGACTATCAACTCCGTCGTCACTCAGGTTCCTACTATCCAAATCTCCGATCCCTTCGTCGACGTTCCTCGTCCGCCACCGCAGCCGTCCGATGACGCTATCATCCAGAACACGATCAACATCGGCACCATGTTTGGCACAGAGAAAGATCAAACCAAATCATTCCTCAAGGTCAACACCGCTACCAATCTGCACGCTAGGTGCCTTCCAAACTCTACCGAGGTTTGGGTCCTCTGCCACTTTACACAGACTACGCAGCGCGACCCAAATTATATGCTGTTCCCTTACGCTACCGGTGCTCTATCCACTGCTGAAGTGCAGCATTTCCATCTCTACACCCTCACTTGGACCGTCTGGAACGTCTCTACCCATCCCGCGCATCAAAACGTTATGGCCGAAATCACAGTTCACACCTGGGCACCTAATTTACAAGCCATCACCTCCAACTTTACTCGTGGTGTTCCCTCCCAACTTAGTCAGCAGCAGCAAGAAATCTGGTTTGGGAATATTGGCACAAATGCCGATGGAGACGACGTGGAGGGCATGGAGTGAACGGAGTCCAATGCGGTGACGCTGATGATATGTAACAAGGGCATCTTGAACTTGTTTGTGCAGTGGGTACTATTCATAAATACTACGTCAGCAGAAGATTTAATAACATAGAGTTGGTATGTACCAAGAAAAAAAATAGCCGTCCGAACTGATTAGAATTAATCTAAGAATTATTCTTGTGTATTACTCAAATTTAAAGAAGCGCTATGAATTGGTAATGTAAGCTAGAGTCTGCTACACAGCATTGTAAATTATCTTTACAATACAATTTGGTAGGAGAATTCATGTCCTTTAATTATTAGCGGTGGGGTTGCTCGTATTCTAACCCGCTCATGCTACTACCTTGTAAGCTTGCTTGCCCCACATTTTTTATTTTCGTCACATCTTTTTGTCTGCGTTCTACCTCGACACTCACACATCACTCTGCACAGGAAAAGTACACATACCTCCACACCCCACACATCATGGCGAAAACAAAACCACAAGACCGCGCCAGCAAGTCCAAGAAGAAGGCGAAGAGCAGCGCATCGGATGGCAGCGCAAAGAAGCCGAAAGCCTCGCCGGAGGAGCTTCTGACCCAGGCGGCTTCACTCCTACAAATGTCACAGCCTGAAGAGGCGCTAGTCGCAGCGAGGCGAGCACTCAACCTCCTCCAGCCTACATCGAAACCCACAATAGCAGCTCTGCCCGCGCTCAACCTGCTCGGCGAGATCAACGTGGAATTGGGCGACCCAGACGCTGCAAGAGACGTCTTCCAAATAGCGATACTACTCGACCCGGAAGGCGCGAATGACGGTGCAGAGAAATTTTTATGGCTGGCACAACTCAACGAGGAAGGCGGCGCGGAGAGTGTGCGGTGGTTTGAGAAGGGCGTGGAAGTGCTCAAGAGGGAGATAAGCGAGCTGGAAGGGAAAACGGCTCAGAAGCCGGAGGTGGAGGAGCTGCTTGAGGAGAAGAGGCAGAAGATTGCCAACTCGCTGTGTGGCATCGCTGAAGTATACATGACAGACTTGTCGTGGGAAGCGGACGCTGAAGTGCGGTGCGAAGCTGCAGTCACAGAAGCCCTTATTTTCGCGCCGAACAACCCTGAGCCCCTGCAAACGCTTGCATCGATACGGATCTCGCAACTACGGGCCGCAGATGCACAAGCAGCACTTACGAGGAGTATGGATCTGTGGAAGAATTTGCACCCAGACGACCCCAAAGTACCCGACTACTCGACAAGAATCAGTTTGTCACGCCTACTGATGGAGGCCGAGATGGAAGACGAGGCCATTGAAGTTTTGGAGAGGCTGATTGGCGAGAACGATGGCAGTGTGGAGGCGTGGTATTTGGGAGGATGGTGCTTGCACCTGCTCTCTGGAAAGCAACAGGCCAACGGTGAAACCGATACTGCGACGTCCCTGATGCGTGCTAGCCGCGACTGGCTCGAGAACTGCCTCAAGCTGTATGCGCTGATGGAGTACGAAGACGAACGACTCAAGGATCACGCAGACGAGATTCTGAAGGAGCTGAACGGTGTGCTGGGCCCATCCACTGGTGAGGATGAGGAGGAGGAGTGGGAAGATGCAGGGGAGCATGACGGCGAGGATGATGACGACGATGATGAGGAGATGGACGGGACATGAGAGCACAGGCTATTTGCTATGAAGTGGTGTCGACCCCTATGCTGGCCGAATGCTGAGGCCCTATGGCGCAGTCGAGTCTGGCGAGGGCTCGACACGGCATTGTTCCGTGCGTGATTGTACATTGAGCACGGGCGGGCGAAGCATCGAGAGGACAATGTTGAAGACGTCTGGTAGGGTATGCACCCACGGACGTGGAGACGAGAAGTGCATGTTCCAGCAGAGCTGAGACGGCAATATTGCTTTTTCGCTAATGAGCGGAGATGCGCAGAGGGCTGGCAGGGCACGATACGGCCCGTCCCTGCATGTGCAAGGGCGGTCTCGCTGGGATAGGCCGTGGTAGCAAACCAGATCTACACGATCTGTCGGAATTGACGTCTGATGTCACGCTAGACCCGTGAGACTCTGCTGAAAGTGCTGTTGTTGGCGCCACAGGCCGAGGGCTGCGGGCACGATCAGATGCATGACGGCGGCCAATAGTGCGCGGCGCCAGTGCAGCTCCATCGGGTTACGGGACGCGTGTCGATTGGGCCGGTGCACGGCGAGTGTTACACCACGGCAGGCGACGTGATGCAAGGCCAGAGGAGCGCTTGGCACGCACCGAAGCCGTCCCCGTCGTCGAGCGCGCCATGTACGCCATCGAGAAACGACCCTCTCTGCACCGCTCGCTGCCCCGTGCCGCCGTCTGCTGTCCTCGAGCCAGCCTGCACCTGCCTCTGCTGCCTCTGCTGCCCACCGTGCCTGCCCCACAGATGAATGAACCGCCGGACATCACCCCACGTGCCCACCCATCGCAGTCGACGTCGAGCGCGTCGCAAACCTTCAGCTGAGCGACCCGCTGCGCTCCCCGTCCCATGTCCTGTGTAGGACCCGCGGCGCCGAATGATCTGGTACCTCCTTTATCCGTTGCGTGGGTGAGTGGACCCGTCCCCGTTGCCGTCCTGTGTCCTGTAGAGCACCCAGCTGAGCGCGCCGCCGCAGCACGACTGAGCCGCCGAGGCTCTCCCCTTCGCACCCCATCCGCCGCGCTTTCCAGGCCCACGGCACCGCCACGGCCCGCCATTGGCTGCTGTCCATTGTCCTGACCATCATCATCTCGGTGCTGCTGTGCTATCCCGCCGTCTTCCAGACCGACAGCTCCGCCGCCGCCGGCCTGCGCAACCTGCCCAAGCATGCCTGGACCTCGACCACCGAGGTCGACGGTGAGCGCCCGGTGGACGTCGTGGTGCGCCAGGTCTGGGTCCACGGCGACTACATGAAGGCCATCGCCGTGCCGGTCCTGCGCGAGGCCATGCACGTGCAGCAGGCCCTCATCGGCAGCGGCTTCGACGGGGACCATGTCGCCCCCGCCAACAGCTCCGGCTGTCTGGCGGCTGCACGTGGCCAGGGCTGGGGCTGGCACTCGCCGCTGATGTACTGGGACTGTTCGCTCAGCGCCCTGGAAGCGGACAAGGACCTCCTCCACACCATCAATGTGCAGAGCGGGGCCCAGTCGGCGCTCAACTTCACACTCCGGCCCAGCACCGTCTTGGCAGGCAAGCAGTTTCTGCACACGAAGCTCCGTGCAGCAGACGCACTGGTCATCAGTCTCCTCGTCCTGAACGAAACAGATCTCGGAGAAGCCTGGGACTCGAGATCGCGAAGTCTAGCCAACAACCTCTCGCCAAACTGGACCATCTTCCCTCAAGATGGGCAAGTCGACCGAAGTCGGCTGTATGAATTCAGGTTCAGGCCAATGACCCTCAACGACGACTTGTTTCTGGCTGCGTCCTACCTCGTGACCGCAGCGTACGTGATATGGCGCATGATGCAGTTGCGTGCTGTCAAGAGTTGGTTCGGTCTGCTGCTTACAATATGTGCCAAGGTAACATTATCTCCCTCACTCGCCTCCGTCGATGCTCATACCCATCCTAGATGACTATATGCATCATTGCCAGCTTCAGTCTATGTACCAATCTAGGGATCGATCTAGCGCGTATACCCCGCCCCTGGTTTCCTGCGGTTGTTTTTTGTTTTGGACTGGGGAATATGTATGTACCCACCAGCTGTGCATATGCGGGGATACTGACGACTGTAGATTCCGCTTGATAAACGTGGTACTCGAGACACCTCCGGAATTGCCCCCGCACCAACGCGTTGGAAATGCTTTGGGCCAAATCGGACACAAGTCCCTCGCGGTTGCATTCCAGAACCTTGCCCTGATATACTTCTGCTCGCGGCTCGTCGCACCATGGGTTGCTGATTTTTGCGTGTTTGCAGCCGTCACGCTGGTGTTCGACTTCGTCTACCATGTGACATTCTTTGTCGCTGTTCTGAGCGTTGACGTGCAGAGAATGGAACTCTCGGACTCCCTCAAGTGGGTGGAGCAAACCCCAAAGTCGAAGAAGAATCGTCAGGAGCGACAGTCTTGGCTTGCTGCGTTACGACAGGGCACTCTACCGCTGGGTACGCGATTTGCAGGAACCGTCGCCATTTTCTCTATGATCCTGGCTATAAACTGGCATTACTTCGACATCACCGACAAGGAGTTATCCTTTGCCACCCTTCGTCGGAGGCTTATGACCAGTAAACGGAAACGCAGTAGTAATGCTGCATGGGGACCACCTCCGATTAACCAAGCTAGGACACCTGCCGATTGGTTGAGGCTCCAAGATCATAACACCGCTCGAGAGCTGTTTGGATATATCAAGCCCGGTGCTCACAGCTTCATAGCCCGCATCTACGATCCGCTCCTTGTCGTTTCGAAAGGGGCGCATGGCAGAGATAGACCTCAACCGCCAACATCTTTGCTCGAAGGTCTTCGCCGATTTGCTCATGGCCACGCATTTCCTGCAGCTCTGATGGTAGTCTTCCTGATAGCCGGTGTTACCTTACTGATGAACTATCTCCTATGGACTGGGTTACCGCAAACTCTAGATGGAGACAAGGACGAGGAAGTGATGCTCTCTGTCAAGACGCTACCAACACGACAGACCCTCGATGTTGACAGCCTAACTTCTTGCCCGAAAGGTCACCTTGCTAGTATTTCCCTCGATAGGTCCACCTCAATCTGGCTTCATGGCCGGACAGGATACCTACACACAGTATTACAAACGGCCGCAATGAAACCAAAATTGTGGCCCATACTCGCCAGTGCCATGAACGACGCGGGAAGCATGATTGCCTTATGTGCCGAGAGCGGACACATCGGGTTGTGGAGCATCGCTGCCTCGCGCTTCTTGATGTTTCCAATGGTTGAGCTTGGCGGGCATACGCCAGTTCTCTTCACTTTTATTACCATTTCTCGCGCAGATTCCGATAAGTTGTGTCTCATCATCGTTAACCCGGACGGCTTCCTGACTGAAATGGAGGCACACACGGGTGTGCACCAAACTAAGCGTATTAGCTGCAGCTCGATCATCTCGGCGACGCTGTATACATCTGCCAAGGGTGACACCAGCCTCGTTTTTGTGATCAAAGCTGGAGAAGTCCATATTCTATCATTGAAAGAGTGGGACCATTCCGCGTCTGAGATAGTTGCCGGTTTGGATCCAGGACCACCGCCTGGCAGCAACCCCGCGAAAATCAAATGCATCCAAGGTGTTCCCAGCCTTGGGTTAATATTTGCCCTTCGCAATGAAGAGGCCGAAATTTTCGACTTCAACAGCAGGGCGCTCATCCACTCGTTCCAGATCGGTCATGCCAAACCTCAATCGTTCAGGGTTATGCATCCAGCACGACGGCTGTGTCCCTGTGGAGCCCCCGCCGTACATTCCCTATCCATTGCATATGCAGAGCAAGATTCGGACCAGATGACCATGCAAACATTCGCCCTAGACGACACCGCCACATCGCAAATCTGCCTCGGCAAGCCGCCAGATAAAGGCAAGTACAAATGCCAGGGCCTCGACAGCGCAAAAGAGAAAGTGCACTACGTCGAGCCAGCCGGAGTGTGGGAGTCGACGAGCGCGCTCAGCGTCGTCGGAATAAGGCGCTGTGTGCAATCCTCGACGCCATCGTCCACGGCGTCCGGCATGAACGACGGCAACTACGCAGCTGAACCATCGGCCCTCGCCTACGCACTCAAGCAACGCGCCCGCAAGGAAAACACACCGAACGGCCTCTTCCACTCCCTCAGCTCCCTGGGTAGTCGCCACTTGCATCCCCCGGGCGACACGGATGTCTGGGAGGCATGGTCGCTCTCTTCCACGGGCGAATCGTGCTCCCGCCCTCTTTTCCCCGATAACCTCGAGGATGCGGACTCGGCGTTTGAGGATGAGCTGTTTGTTGCTGCGCCCGGTCCGATTACTCGGCTTGGGCAGCGCAGTGTGGCTGTGGGCTTTGGCAATACGGTCAAGATTATCACGCTGGGGAAGGAGTCGTTTGATGGGGCGGATGTGAGCATGGGGGGCCGTCAGTGGCGTCCGAATAAGAGCGGGGGGAGGAAGGGACAGTAGTCATGTTGGCGTTTTATTGAATTTGGATTCGAGTCTGGGGGGGGTTTTCCCCCAAGTATATAGACCGGCGATTCTGGCGTTTTCTTGTTAGCGACGGCGACGGCGGTGGTGATTTGTGCTTTGTACACGTATGTATGTATCAGCAAGGTGGGGGGTTGGGGGCGTTGTTTAAAGTGTTGTAGGAACAGTTCCATTGTAGATTTCCTTTCTTGTTACTTATTCAGCAGCACACGCTCAGTACAAGTAGAGCCCAAAAAATAAGATAGTAATGAAGAAGACACGGACAAATATCTAGACAGCATAAATATATCTGTTTTCGTTTAGCAAAATGAAATGGAATTCTGTATTCTTTCCCTACCATGCGACACAAATCACCCCTTTTAACACAAACACCCACAAACACACTGTTAAAGAAAAAGAATGCCCAGAATCTATTGGTCTGGAACTAAATACTAGACACAAGCCCAAAAACCCAAGCAATAACTACTTCTGCACACCCCCATCCCATCCCGTCCTCCCTTCTTTGATTCCTCAAAACACACAAATGGCAGACACGGTGTCGTCAGGCCCACAAATCCCCTGAAGCCTGCTGATGACTAACCCAACGCCCGCAGTCCCTTGCTCGTTCTCACACAGTAGCATATCCATCCGTCAACGCTAGGTGCGACAATGACTAACCCGCCGCACCAACACCGTTTGTATCCATTGGGCTGCCTGTAGCGCCTGAGCCGTTAGCCGTCCGTCTCCGGGTGCGAATGGCCTTCTTCCTCCGGTCAGCGGGGCCGGCGCCTCTCCCTCCCTCGGCGACATCGACCATGTTGAGGTCATCGTCGTCGGGCCGGTCGGCGTCGTCTTCGCCGCGGCCTTCCCAATACAGTCGTGTTTCGTCGAGCTCCGTCACGTCTGCGGGACGCATGCGCAGCCATTTCATGCGGGGGCCTGAGCGCGCGCGCTCGCTGACGCGGAAGCCGTATATGCGGGGTTCGTAGATGTTGCCTGCGCCGAGGGCGGGGGCGAGGTTGTGGGGTGCGACGCCGTTGATGGACATGACGTTCAGGGGGGTCGAGTTTCGGGACTTTGCCTCGTCGCTCTGGGCTTGCAGGGCGGTGATGGCGTCGATGGTGGACGAGGCGGTGGTGCGCAGGCCGCCGCCAATGTCGAGGTCGGTAAAGGTCATGAAGAACAGCGAGGGGAAGGTGGTGCCGAAGAAGGCGCCGTCGACGGTCTGGAAGCGCGAGTTGGGCGGCGTGTAGACGTCGAGACACGAGGGGCAGAAGAGCTTGACCGTCTCGTGGCCGGGGCTGTCGTTCAGGCCGACGGGCAGGACCTTGCACGAGTTGCAGTTGACGCGCGGACAGGTGCCAAAGTGCTGCAGCTCGTACTTTTCGTGCATCTGCTGGATGCCGGGCCGCGACGTGATGTAGCGCTGGTGTATGAGGCCGTAGAGCAGCTCGGCCGAGCTCTCGATGACGCTCAGGTCCGACGCTATGCGCAGATGTCGCCGGTCGCTGGCGCGGCGGTAGCCTGGTGTGCGCTCGTCGCCCAGTATCTCGTCGTCCTCTTCCTCTTCGTCCTCGTCGTCTTCTTCGTCCTCGTCGTCCTCGGGCTCGACGTCCAGGATCATCTCCAGGGCCTCCTTGTACATGGGCACCTGCGACTGCAGGCCCGTCAGGTTGAAGTCGTCCTCGATGAAGTCCTCGGACACCTCGGCGAAGTACTCGTGGCCCAGCAGTCCGCAGAAGGACGCGATCCACGACTCGACGACCTGCGACGACGACGACATGCTGGCGTCGGTTGCGTGTGCAATTGCGCGCCGCTGTGCTGACGCGGCTCAGGCTGCCTCACGCAGAGCGTGATGTGGACGAGTCGGCCGCGGGCTGCGAGTGTTCCAGGAGCGGCAGTGGCAGGCGTCGTGTGCACTAGACGAGGGTGCGGCGGATGCTGGGGTGCGAGTGAACGGGGTGGGGGAGGGGTCGGCCAGCGAGCGTAGGTGGACGGGGCGGTGCGGGAGCGTCGTGGTGGGTTGGGGCAGTCGGCGTGTGGTCAGTGGGGGTGCGTCTCCAGCAAGCACATGGCCCAGCAGGTTCGGTGTGGAGTGGCAGTTGGACTGCCTTCTGAGCCTTGCCTATGGCTGCCCGCATAAGGAATTATTGTCACGTGACTCGCTACTTCCACTTCGAGTGAGCAACAACACCATCTCGCTCGATTGCTCGAAAGGGTATAGTCGGCTAATCTACAGCACATCCTCACAGCACCTGTCGCTTCAAAACAGATCCCGCATGATCCTTGCCAGCTCATCGTTCTCCTGCCCAAATGCGGTCGCGTACTCCCCATGCGGCACGTCAGCCGACGACAGTCCAAACCCGTTCAAATTGAACGCGCCCCCAGCAGCTTCAAACAGTGTCGTGAGATCCGACGCCATGCCGTTGGGTGTATCCAGGTTGAGCCCATTGCGACCATTCGAGAAGAGTGCAAGCTCGTCGACCTGGTGACCCGCCAGTCCCGCCATGGCTACAGCCGCAGATGAATGCGCATCCGTCGCATCGTCGTGGCTGACCATCAACCCGAGTCTTGGCCCCACCTCCTTGAGCGTCTTGATCGTCTTCCACAGTCGCTTCGAGACGTGTGAGTTTGAAGAGAGTACGCGGACAAGGTCGAGAGCCATGTAGAACTCATCACGGCACTGTTGGCTGAACTCGACTGGTGCGTGAGCTACCGCGAGGAAAAGTACCGCCAGCGCGGATATGAGAAAGTAATTAAACATGGTTTGCTGACATCTGTATATATCCGATGTCTGGTTGATATATGTCAAGATTCGTATCGTATCCTTGGCCACCTTCACAACTACATGCGCAAAATCCAGGTGCTCCAGTATAGTCGTCGATGTATGCAGAACTGGTCGGTAAATGAGTATGCGCATCTGGTTCGCTCGGAGGTAGAGAACGACTTGGAGACGATGAAGTACGCGCGCCGGGGGTTCCATCTGTCTGCCACTATCAGGATGCACAAACTTCAAAGTATCCGGTATTGATCGGTGCCAATTCAGCACCTGGAAATCCAGGAATTGTATATCTTCTTTGTGAATTTTGTCCTGAGACGCGACATCAGCAACCGACCTCCACACTTTCGACCCGATTATGCTATAAGAGATCATCGAATTCAGATAGGGTGTAGATGCATGTGTCACGACATCCTAGCTGTTGTTAGAACCTGCATCGGTATTTCTTCAAGTCTGGCGACGCATAGCTTACCGGCTTTGGAACATTAGGGTCGATGTCGGCGTCTTGCAAAGCAAAGGGCATTCCAGTCCCAAAACTCCAGCGTCGGTCGAGAACGTAGACAGACCAGAAGGTTCGAATAGCCGCTGCCTGTTCGTCTGGATCTGGGAAGAGGGTAGCATAGGTCTCACGACGATGAAGGCCGAGTTCCAGGCAGTGTCGCGCAGCTGTGCCAATTACTCGCCAGGAGAGTGCTTCATCGTCTATGGTAAAATAGTACATGGCCTGTTTGCGTGAGCAGTATTTCAACACACGGGTAAGCTCGACGTACAGCTAAAACCAGCAGGTTGATGCCGTGAAGGCTCACACGATCGGTTAGTGTTTTTATCACAGCCATGTTTGCGTTTTCGAAGAGTCTTTCTCCAAGCGCATCCTTGCCCGTTCCCTCCTGAACCAGTGCGATTGCGAGTATAATTTTCAAGACGCTGGTCTGCTCGTCCATTATCGCGTCTGAGCCTGGTTTCATGCCCTGCATGAGCCCAGTTCTCGCTGCAGCCTCAACAAAAGTGAACAGCATGTCGGTGTAGCGCAGCAGCTTGTCGATGTCAACGACAGGATACATGATGCCCTGTTCCTCGTGCCACACATGTACCAATCGCAGCGCCTCGCGCTTGGAGAGGGACCATATGGGATCCTTGTCGATGTGCATAGGGCTCTTGGCTAGGATGGCGTTGAGTGTGGGCGGAGATGGCTGCGGCGAGCACTCGTTTGTCGCCATAGCCTCGTCCTCTGCCTCTTCCGTCGCCGTTATGCCCATGGTCTTCAGGCTCGACCTGGCGACTCCGAGATTGAATGCGCTCGACGTGGGGCCGTGGAAGCGCGGGTGCTTGCTGAGCGACTTGGTGCGCAGGCGCGATGACACGGGCGGGAGCATGGGCGGCTGGTGGTAGTCTTGGTGGTGGAAGGGCGCGCCAGCCGAGCCGTTGCTGTGGCCCTGCATGTCGACGTGCGACCTCAGGGCGTGGAGGTTCTGGAAGAGGTCGTCGACCTGCTGCTGGAGCGATGCGATGTGCGCCGACATGGAACGGAACTCGCTGCGACATGCACGTCAGCGGGTCAGCAGCATCTGGCGCGTCGGTGGCGGCTGCTTACTCGGACTCCTTGAAGTTGTTGCAGCAGTTGGGCGCATACAGACACTCGAGGTTGAGGTTGCCGCAGCGCTGGCAGGGAGTCTGCCCGTTGCACTTGATCTTGCGCCGCTTGCACTCATTGCTGCGCCTCGGTCAGTCGTCGCCGTCGCCGTCGGAACACGTGCATGCCATACCATGCGATGGAGATGTAGCGGTTGCGCTTCGCCCTCGTCTGCGGAGCTCCACCATCCTCGCTCTTGCGCTTCTGGCCGGTGCCCTCGTCGTTTGGGGGGCTCATCGTGTCGCTCGCATTGTTCCTGTCCGTCGCACTCGCCGGTGTTGCACTCATGTCAGACTTTGCTCTTGGAAGCATCCGTCCGCCACGGCTTGTCGAGCTGGAAAGCGAGCTGTTTGGGGTCAAGGGCCAGTGCGAGCTCGACGACAAGGATCCACTGCGCCGACCCCGACCCCGACGTCGACATGCGGGGAAGGTACAACCGATTTCCCACTAAAATGATTCGTTCGCCCACACATCTCACATGTTCCAAGACTACAATTACGTCCACTACGATTCATTCATCGACACGTTCTACGAGTGTACTTTGGTCCTGCATAACGCGTCTGCTATGCTTCCTCAAGCCCTCAAAGAGAGAATCTTGCTCTGCAGCAAAGCAAGAACTTGTCGAAGCTGCATAAAAGCACCTACCACAACCCCTTGCAGCACTGCTCCCACATCTTTAACACCCAACCCACTCTGACGGACTCGATAAGCTGCGACAACGACAAGAGCCACAGTCATGAGACGCACTGCCCTGGTCTGCAGCTTCTTTACAGCCCCCTTCCTTGTATATGCAATGTTCCAGTCACTCCACTTGGGCCAGGTGCATCGCCTCCAGAAGTCGGTCTGTGTGTATCTGGAGAGCATCAGCGTCAAGAACAACATGAAATCCACAAATCATACGTACGGGTAAGCAACCGGGTTCCAACCATCCTTGGTGTAGTACCAGCTTGAGCAGCCGCCAGTCATCCACACCATCTTCTTCAGTGTTTTCTGCACATCCGCCGTGTATGCTACTTCAGCTTCGTGTTTGACATCCACCGTCTTCACCTCTCCATTGAGAACCAGCTTGATGAACTTGAGGCTGAAGTTGATTATGTTCTCGACCGCCATCACCACCGAAGAATGGCCCGTTGCAGTATTGGGCCCGAATATCATGAAGAAATTCGGAAAGCCGTCCATGGCCGTGCCTTGGTAAGCCTGTGCACCGCCTCGCTCGACCATGACTTCAACGAGATCTTTGCCACCTTTGCCGGCCACTCGCAGTGGATGCAACCATCGAGTGGTGTCGAAACCGTTGGCCAGGACAATGATGTCTGCTGGGATTTCTTTTTCAGGAAAATCCTCGTCCTTTGCGTTGGCCGGATACGTTGCGCCAGGCCCTATTATGACACTGTTCTCTTTCACGCGCCTAAGAGGTTGTGTCGTGAGCTCGATCTTTGGGTCGTTGAGACTCTGCAGCCACCGCTTGTCAAAGATCCGCCTCTTACAGCCAACTCCATAGTCTGGCGTCATGATCTCATGGTACTTTTCGGGTACCGTTTTCTTCAAGTGCTCCAGGCACTGCTCTTCGTACTTCTTCCGTCCCTTCTCAGCATAAGGTGTTGTGGGAAACAGCTTGAAATATTCACTTTCAGAATTGCAAAAGACGAGGAATCGAAACAGGTTCATCAATGGCGGTACAGCCTTTAACAACTTCGGACCGTTCTTCTCCCACCATTCATCACCACCTATAAATCGTTAGTATCTTACAAAGAGCCGGAACGGGATGTAGAGTTACCTGGAGCATCCAAGGCCTTGACAACCCATGGCGGAGATCGCATCAACTGGGTTACTGACTTGGCGTTGTAGGGAGCGTTTGGTAGTGTCGGAACGATCTGCGCAGAGCTACAGCCAGTACCTACAACAACCACATTCTTGTCGTTGAAGTCGACAGTCTGGTCCCACCGAGCGGAATGGAACACAGGCCCTTTGAAATCATCGAGGCCGGTTATGTCATCGGGCCAGCCCCTTGGCTCCACGAGACCGCCGACACAACTGACAAGGACCTTTGATTTGACAATCTCCACCTCCGAGTATACTACATCTTCACCCTTCTCTTTCACCAGCTTCATGCGGTCTTTTTCGGAAAGGTCACCCATGCCTGCTACCATTCGTCGTGTCTTGACCTCCCATAGTTGTTCGTCTTCCAGCCATGTGCATTGGACGATGTCTGTGTTGAGCTCAAATTTGTCGGTGATCTTGTACTTCTCACAGACCTCGTGGTAGTATTGTACAATCTCCGATCCAGGTGGATGGAAAGATGTCCAATTTGGGTTCTGCGCAAACGAGAAAGAGTAGAAAGTCGCCGGTATGTCGCTAGAACAACGTTAGTCTGTTTTGCACATAGTTTGATGTTTTGCCTTTCGGGATCCCATCAGGTTTAAGCAGTGGGCGTATTTGCTTATGTGGACGTACCAAGCAACACCGGGATATCTGTTGATCCACCACGTCCCTCCAATACCAGCTTGACGGTCAAATATGCGGAATTGGTCGAACCCAAGCTGTTGCTTTAGCTGGCACCCCATGGCAATACCACTCGCTCCAGCACCGATGATGATGACGGGATAGTAGGTGTAAGCATTGTGGTCATAGCCTTTGAACCGTCGAATAGCCTCCGTAATCATATTGAAAGTCTACGCAGAACAAGAGACGAAACGATAGTTGACGTAAAGGTTTCGGCAAACGGGAACGAACAAGGGGAAAATCAATGTGTATTATATCAAGGGAAGTAGTGTATCAATTTAGGTGGCCCACTTCGACTCTTTCGATTGCTCTGTCTGGTGCTATCTCACTCCGCACAGTTTAAGCTACTGCTGACGTGTTGCACGCCTTATCCTACCTTACCTGTCTACGTGGTTGAAATATGACGTCTGAATACAAGGGCAGTCTTCTCTACCTTTGGACAAAGTAACCAGATTGATTGGCCACGCAGGACACCGTAAGTACTTTAGTGTAAAACCTATCAAAAAGATGACAAATGTAGCATACAACAGGAACGTCAGACCATCACATTGTTGTACATCTGCGGGGAAGAGATAAGTTGTGCCTCTCCAACAGGCTGGCGTCGCATTCCTTGGCCAAGCACTGTCTGCAAAACTTCGCCCATGAAAACCTTGATCGTCTTTATTCCGAGGGAGTTGTGGGCTATCGTCTTTTTTGAACCAATCGACACATGCTTTTGTGAAGTAGGGCGTTCTGCTTTGGAGAAATCGACAGTGACGGGGCGTACGACTAGGATGGTGTCAGCCGGTAATATAGACAAGCGTGTAGAGCTCCTATAAGACACGTCTTACGGAGTCAGCCATGATGCAATAAATATTAGATGTAAGCCCTAAGGCAGGTTTACTGCTGAGGGACATTAACATGAGTCTGAGCTGTACATTTCGCATGATAAAAAAGAGTGTCTATATCCTGTTACATCGATAGAATCTGATGGCGAAGCTGTCTCTTGTACATTGTCTGAGAGATTCTGACATGTCCGTCGAGGAAATGAGAGATTTGTAACATTGAACTCTCAGATGCTCGTCCTTGCGATTGATCTAAGAATGCCATCAAGTGGGACCATGACGTCACGTGATAGCGTATAGTCCGCGGCGGCCTCCGAGTTTCGCGAAATGTCACTGAGAGGTCTCACAGACAAAGCTTCGAAGCTTGGATTGCTCTACTGCCTGCCTCCATGCCAGTGCATCTGACCGGGAGCTTAGCGAACGCTCCGCTGCTGTGATAATCACGGATCTCAATTTCTCAAAGCTCAAACTAGAGCAGTACTGGGCAATATGAACGACATCGATGCTACGAATCGTCACACCGTGACAGAAGAAGGTAGGATCCTGCCGCCGACTGCACGACGCGCACACGGCTGACTTGCATGCAGCCCCGCCTCCGTCTCTTCTCGCCATCGTGCTCGACACCAACCCGCATGCCTGGGCGCACCTCTCTTCTTCGCTCTCGCTCTCGGCCGCTCTTGCCAACATCCTCGTCTTCATCAATGCACACTTAGCCTCCGGAAACGCGAACGAGGTTGCTGTCATAGCGTCCCACTCGCACAAGACTGCATTCCTGTATCCAACGCCAGCCAAATCTCAGCCCAAGTCGCGTAATGGCACCAACAATGGGGACGTGGAGATGGATGAGGCTGGCGATGGCAGCGGGCATTATGCAGCAAATAACCCGAACAAGTACCGACCCTTCGCCCTGGTTGAGAATGCAATACTGCAAAACTTTGCGAAGCTGCTTGACGAGACGACTGAGAGCCACCTCTCAGCGACGCCCACAACCCTCATCGGTGGCGCGCTCTCTCTGGCTCTGACCTACATCTCAAAGTCCACCATCCTACATGCTCCTACTGCTGCTTCTGCAGAGAACACCTCCCTTGCTGCACTCGCCGATTCAGAAGGCACACGCGTCGATCGCATATCCCTCACATCTCGGATTCTGATAGTTTCGGTATCCGGCGATTTGGCGAATCAATACATACCCGTCATGAACTCTATCTTTGCCGCACAACGGAGAAGAATACCGATAGATATATTGAAGCTGGCAGGGGATACTGTGCTATTGCAGCAAGCGAGCGATGCGACAGGAGGCGTTTACATGAAGCCAGATCGTCCGGAGGGGCTCCTACAGTACCTGATGATGGCGTTTTTGCCAGACGTGACAGCACGGAAGAGCTTGGTAATCCCCAGTGCAGGTGGTGTCGATTTTCGTGCTGCCTGTTTCTGCCATAGGAAAGTAGTCGATATCGGCTTTGTGTGCAGTGTGTGTTTGAGCAGTAAGTCTTGCTTACATCCTCTCCGAGTGTGAACTAACCACCAACAGTATTCTGCACTGCGAACCTACCCGATAATCTGTGTCTAACTTGTGGCTCGTATCTCTCACTTCGCAGCGCTCTGACCAATCCGCCAGCTCTGATTCCGCGCAAGAAGAAAAAGAAGAGGAAGGCAGGAACCGACTCTGCGACTCCTGGTGGGGGTACACCTGCTGGTTCTAATACACCTGTTCATCCTTGAAGATGGATACTTCAACACTTGAAGACTTCCAGGTCTTAAAAGCGTTCATTCGTTCCCTCTTCCTCCAACGACACAGCCTCTGCCACAATCACCTACTTCGTTGTGACTTGAAGCTAATCTCTTGCTTCCTCTCCTCTCTAGACATATCACAATGTCTCTGCGTTGGTCAGGTCTTCCATTGGAATGTTGACCTGCATGTCACATCACCTGGATTGATCTTGTCAGTTCTCACTAGAAGACGAGAAGCGACGAAAGAACTAAATGTATCACATGCTCCACAGCGTATCGCAGCGGGAACAGCGTAGAGTCTGACTCGGTTGCGAGATTTGCGATTGATCCTCTGCCGAGGTTCGCTCTGTGACGCGTCCTTCCGGGGGATGAGACGACGAAGATGGCTATGCATAGGTGCGGGAAGAGCGACAAAATAAGCGATGACCCGTAGGTAGCAATTTCTAGCTATGTGACATTGCCCGTAACTACGCAATCAACCTTGCACTGGCGAAGCTCTCTGGAAGCTTCTAGCCCAATGAAACTCGATGCAGGATTCCAGCAATCGTTCAAAAAGTCAGTATCCATGTATTGATGAGACATATCATGCTTCATCACAGATATTCTGTCCCGTCATCCAATGTGCTCCATGATCCCGTCCTTGACGGGAGAGTACGCTGTTTGGATGGAAATTCGCCCACTAGAAGCAATCCTTGCCATCTTTCATGCAATCAACAGCACCGCCGCACCGCCGCATCGTCACCCCCGTGCACTTGCAGCAGAACCGAAAGAAGAAACCCGAGCAGGAGCAGTCCAGGACCCCCCATTGCAGGACGCGGGATATAAGGGGCGGAAACTCGGAACCAGAGGTGAGGGTCATGATAAGAAGCTGACATGTGCGTGAACTTTGTTTTTCTTAGAACGGCATGAATTGTTTAGATGTGGTCGGTCAAGAGTGACATTTCGCCGTTGTGCGCGGGGAGTTCCTTTGATCGCCGTGAGATGGTGGGTTGATGGGCGGTGGGGAATGCTTTGGATCGCCATGTCGCCATAACTCGTTGTGAGGCGATGAGATGGGACGTGATGGGCAGAGGGTTTCTTGGCAGGGGTATCGTTGTGTTGACCCACTGAGTATGCAGCAAAGTGGGACATGTTTGCTCGGATCGTGAGGGTTTGAGCAATGTTCTCTTTGGGTTGGTTTTGGTGAGCTTCGATGAGGGGTATCATCTAGATGTGCTCGAGGGCATCAAGAAATCTCCTCATAACACCGAGGTTTGCAAAAAAACCTATGAGACTCATTCTGAAGTAGTTCTGAAGGGAAACATGTGAAAGTATCTAGAATAGCAATTAAGTTTTGTCGTTTACCTGGCTTATCTGTGGTTTGTCGCATCTGTTAGCAATCCCCTCTTTCTACCACTCGCTGATGGTCGACCAAGAGCTGGTCAAGGCTGATCTCAAAGTATCTTTTTATTGAGAGCATCAATTGCACGCAGCAGACTCCAAAGCTTGACGAATCACAGTCGCCTGTGCATTAGAGTTACGGCGGGTAGAAAAGGCCGATGAGCGACCAAGCACTTGGCCAGGGTGATCCCCAAGTGGCTTCAGCTAGGATCACCGGTTACAAACCGACGGATTTGGTGGCTTGACGAATCGAAACACTGAAACCGTATACCTAACTTCTACAGTGTCAATGGCCGTTTCCCCCCGTCGGTAATGGGCCTCTCTTTCCCGCGATGCTTCGCGTGTTCTGATTGCTCCTAGGCCTTATCGCGGCCAAGCACATCCTTCGCCTAAGAAACTACTAAACACTACTGCAACCTTTGATAAGTGTGCGCTGTCTCATTGGCTCGGACTCGCTCGTCCATGTGCAACTGCTGGTGGCGCAGACGTGGGTGACGCCTTCAGAGCAGTTGTACGCGATGCATCTAAGCATTTGGAGATGAACATCATACATATATACATTAAATTCTTTCATGCTGGGTTGCAGTTCAGTTTCGAGCCCAGTAGTCGATGTGGAAGGAGGAGTAGAAGATACGAAGTCGCGGGTAGTTGCCGGAGGCTTGGTTCTTACAGACGGCTGAGGGAACGGCCTCGGATTGGCTGCCGCGTCTTGTTAATCTCACACCCCACTGTGGGTGGCTTCATCGCCGGTCTAGGTAGGGACTGCTGCTTGAGAGGCGCTGTCCAAGCGCATGCAGGGAGCGGAGGTTGCATACTACGCCAACGACCTCATAAGCTCCCACGGGCCCCCATATACAGTAAGCTCTAATTTAGAGTTGCGCATCGTCGACAGCGATCACAAGTATATACATCTTCGCCAGCCTCGCTCACGGGTTCTTCGTGTCTTCGAGCCATATTCCTTTGTCCGTGAACGGGACAGATGCCAAGGACCTTGACCTCCAGATCCCAGGTAGTGTAGCGATCGCCCTTCGTCAGCTCACTCCGTCCTCTCTTTATACGCCATTTGGATTTCATTTTACGTTCCTTTTATTCTTTACACTCAGTCGTTTCGAGGCGTGCGAGCGGTAACTGCTTGTTCCCGAGATCCCAATCTCGATACGCGAAATCACAGAAGCAACCACCAGTATGGATCCTGTATCGTCTGGGATGGATCCCACCGTCCCTTTGGAAACCTTCAACAATGGAACGATTCCCACTGGAGGAGACTCGAGGCTGTACAACCTCAATGTGTTTTACAACGTGAGTTTGTTGGAGTTCAGGGTCGATGCAACGTGGGGCTAACATCTCTAGCCGGGCGACATCGCTTGGATGATCACGTCAACTGCCCTCGTGCTTCTCATGATCCCTGGTGTCGGGTTAGTCAAACAACATCCATGTCGCAATGTCTATCAAGCTGACAGGACCTCAGACTATTCTACTCTGGACTTGCGCGAAGAAAATCAGCCTTGTCATTGCTATGGCTGTCTGTAATGGCAACAGCTGTGGTTAGCTTCCAGTGGTTCTTCTGGGGCTACTCTCTTGCTTTCTCACACAAGGCTGGGAAATATGTTGGAGCTCTGGACAACTTTGGACTCATGAACGTCCTCGGTGCTCCTTCCGTCGGAAGTCCCCGCATCCCCGACCTGATGTTTTGCGTGTACCAGGGCATGTTCGCGGCTATCACGTATGCTCCCCGGATCCAATGCTTTCCCACCAGTACTGACTATCCGTAGTGTTGCCCTGGCCGTTGGCGCCGTTGCTGAGAGAGGCAGAATGCTTCCCTGCATCATTTACATGTTCATCTGGACGACCGTCATCTATGATCCGATCGCGTGCTGGACCTGGAATCCATCTGGATGGGTCTTTCAGATGGGTGGATTGGACTTCGCTGGCGGAACCCCCGTTCATATTGCGTCTGGATGTGCCGCGCTCGCCTACTCATACATGCTTGGAAAGCGAAGGGGCCACGGCACCCAAGAACTGAACTACCGCCCGCATAACGTCACGCACATCGTCATCGGCACTGTTTTCCTCTGGGTTGGGTGGTTTGGCTTCAATGCTGGATCAGCACTGGCCGCTAACCTCCGTGCGATTATGGCAGCTGTATGCACTAACCTGGCTGCGTGCACCGGTGGAATCACATGGTGCTTAGTCGACTACCGTCTGGAGCGCAAATGGTCAACAGTCGGTTTCTGCTCCGGCGTTATCGCTGGCTTGGTCGTTATCACCCCCGGATCTGGATATGTGCCTGCCTGGGCGGCGGTCATCTTTGGTATCGCTGGTGGCGTTTGCTGCAACTACGCCACAAAGCTGAAATACTTCCTCCGATGCGATGACGCGCTTGACATCTTCGCGGTACACGGTGTTGGTGGATTCCTTGGCAACATCCTGACTGCTTTCTTTGCTGCGTAAGTCACACTACCTCAACAGTTTCATACGTTCGTCTCTAATGCTTCCTCAGCGATTACATAGCTCACCTTGACGGCTACTCGGTCATCGCTGGTGGCTGGTTGAACCACCATTGGATCCAGCTAGGCTACCAGCTTGCGGATTCCGTCGCTGGAGGCGCCTATTCCTTTGTAGGCACCTGCATCATCCTTGGTGCCCTCGACTTCATTGGCAAATTCGTCCCAGCCCTTAGACTCCGTGCTAGCGAAGAAGAGGAAATGGCCGGAATTGACGATGTTGAGATTGGAGAATTCGCTGTAAGTCTACTCAGTCGCAGTCCATGCAATTTCAAACTAACGCTATACAGTACGACTACGTCGAGCTCACCCGTGAAGTCCCAATGATCCCTGACGACGAGGTTGACGAGGGCATGTCGACGCGCTCGTTCGAAGGCCAAGGCGCAGGCATGGCCATGAGTGGCCACCACGAGAAAGCACAGGACTCGGTAGACTCGGGCAACCAACTTGCCGAATGGGCGCACCGCGCATGATCTTTCATTGTTGTTCTATTTCTATAATCGCGCTATACCATTTGCTTTGTCACAAGTTCTAGGAGAGGTGTCGCAAGGGGTCGCTGGCCATGTTGGACAACCGGCCACTTCGATGGACGAACGTGTAATTGTATATGAGAGGTTGGATGTATTGTATGTGGTCGGACGAAGTATTGACGGAGATGTAGTAAAACATACCAGGCTTATTTAGTTGGATTTGAAAGTTAGACGAAGACTTATTGATCATTTTTCCTCATCTACAATCCGTCTTTGGCGTTCGTATCGCTTCGACTCCATCTAACAGAAATAAGTTCCATAACCGTCTACGTTGACTTCTCTCTCCACTCCTCGGAAATGATTGGACACAGTTTTCTTGAACGTGGGATGGCGCGCGATGTACTTGGCTCTGAACATCCTTCACTCAATATGTTTCTGCAATGCAAACACGTAGAACTACACAAGCCTTCGTGACACATCAACAAGGACGCGATGTGTTTGGGAAAGAGTCGTAAACTGTAAAGCAATGGTATTATCAAAAGCACACTACCTACAAACCAACAAATGAACAGGCGTCATCAGATACGCGCGCGCTAACCATACATGTGAAGAAAATCGACTCGAGCAGGTACTTGATGGTACGCTGCAATCATTCCTCTCATTCTGCTCTCGTCTGTCTCAAGAATGACAAGACGCTCAAAAATTCGTAATCAGTATTCAGGAAAGGAGAAGGAAAAAATTTGGCTAAAATTTGGCGTTCAAGGATAGTAAGAATATATGGAAAGGCACCTCCGACGCCGATATCAAGGAAACAGGGCATCAATGGCTAACAAACGATGCAGGTATAGCTTTCTCTCTCTCTCTCTCTCTCCCTCCCCTCTCGTCATCAACACAAATAACAAAGCAAATGCGCGTTTACCGAATTGTTCGGTTGCTGTGACGCGATCGCAATGGTGTTGCGTATTTGGAAACGGGCATCGTTTCGGTGTGAATGTAGCTATCATCGTCGTGCTCCATGATGCGAGTGGGAACATCAGGGATATCGTGCACTCGGTGCTGGAGGCTCAACCTGTCCGGCGTTGTGGACGCGCTGGCCATTGACATGGATGTGCTCGACCGATGGCTAAGGTCGGGGGTAGGAGGGATGCTAGATCCACGGTTTGGGCGGAGCATGTCCTCGTCGCCGTACTCGCTGCCTAATGAAGAGTGTCGTCGTGAAAAGGCCGACTGTTGGCCGAGGCTGCTGCGACGGTCGCTGCGGTCATCTTCCGAGTCGGCTCGCTGGGCGAGTTGCAGACCCTCCACAGCGGCGGCGCACTGCTCGGAAATGTTGCGGATGATGTATGCGATAGCATCGGTCTTGTCGCGCAGCACCCTGTCGGCGACGTCGACCATGGACTGGTTCGAGAATCGCTTCGAGTTGCGTGCTGGACTGCTGTAGAGGCGCTGCTCCATATCTGCTGTGACGTCCTCGCCGTCGTAGTGTTGGGCAGCGACTGTGCTCGCTCTCGAATGGTTGCGGCTCTCGACACCGGACACACCTCGGATGGTGCCAACCTCGGACTTGTCTTTGGCGGAGGCAGTAACGAAGGAGGACGTGTCAAGTTCATCCTCATCCTCCTCGGGAACATCCTCGAAGCCCTCCTCAATGTAGCCGGTCATCTCGTCCTGGTTCAAAGACTTGACAATATGCTCCATGTGGTGGGTTTGGCCCTCAATGAGCGCACGTAGGTGAAGTACAACGCGTTGAGCCTCATCTCGTTGACGAAGGATAGCGACGTTAGTATGTTGCAGGGCACCCAGATTCTTCTTGTTCCTCTGTCTCTCGCGCTCGAGCTCCTCAGCGATTTCTTGCTGGAGGACAAGCGCCTCCAGAGCATCGTCGCGCTGCTTCTCAGTACCCGAAAGACGGTTGGTAAGTCGTGCTGCGTCATCCTTCTGCTGGTCGATAAGACCAGTGAGGCGTCGGTTCTCGCGCTTGTGGGTTTCAATCTTGACTTTGAGATCCTGGGTCTCCTTTGTGAGCGCTTCGGCGAAGGTTTGAAACTTGAGGAATTGCTGCTTCCAGCTATCGAGCTCCTCAACCAAAAAGTTGTTGCGCTTCGTGACCTTGCCGAGTTCAGTGTCCATACGGCCCTTGAGGTTGATGAAATCCTGCCAAGCTTCCTGTGCATCCCGAGAGTACTGGTTGCGTTCGCGCACAAGTTCGTTCAAATGACGCATAGAGACCTTGGTCATTAGTGGCTTCTTGACGGAGCCTCCGAAGATAGCCTTCATTCCAGAGTTGCGGCCCTGTGGGACAAAGTCAGCGTCAGATGCGAGGAGTAATTTGAGAGTTGAATGCATACCAGCTTCTCACACACGTGATCCATCACTGTCATGATCGCATCCTGATTCCACCAATCTGGATCTTGGATACTCTCAACCTCGCCACGCATTACGATGATTTGGCCAGCGGGGATCAGCTTGCCGCCACCGTAGGCCGAACGCAAATGTTGTGGAACACCTGTGGGTGCCACCTCACCATTGAGGGCTTGTGTGAGGCGTGTGATCATCTTGGTCCTTTGCCCAGCAGAAAGTGCTGTCGGTGGGCTTGAAGTTAAAACGAAGTTTCGGTCCAAATCGATAACGAGGGCGTCAGTCGGAGCGGTGAACAGCGAGCGGCATTCCGATGTTACACCAAGTATGTACGGACCCGGCTCCTGTACCAGATCCGTGACATGACGCGCATGAACGATGGGTACATACAGGCCGCTCCATTCATACACTCTAACGCAGAATCGCACAGTCTCGGCCACAACGGTAAGCACCGCAGGGTAGTGGCTGGTGAAGATGATTCGTCGAGTCGGTGACACCGCAGCTTCAATTACACCAACGATGTTGGGAATAGAGAGACATGTAAAGAGCGGCCACATGGAGAAGTTCTGGAATCCTGTAGGCGAAGACGGGAACTGGTAGCACAACGCATAATCTTTCATGTCAATTCGGACCAGGTCGTTCAGTCGTGGCGCAGGGAAGCTCAGTATGCGAGACACTTCCTCGGCATGGAAGAGATTTGTAGCCTTGTTCCAGTGAATCCACATGCCACGGAGGTAATCCCCAAGCAGGTTGTACAAGGGGTATCGAGAAAGGAAGCTCAAACAATACGGGATCCAGTATGTCTCCTCTGGGTTATCAAAAAAGTCGGGTTCAATTCGCCTGCGCAGGTCGCGAATTGTCTCAGCCCTCTTGTCGTCGGCGCGAGACCACACGCGCAAAGCAATGCCGTAAAGAGTGTGGGACGAATTCTGCTGGAGAACAAAAGAATGGTGTACGCAATGTGGCTGACTCCTTCCTGTGCAAATCTCGACATCATGAGGAAAGCAAGCCTATGGTTGTCAATCAGGATTTGTGTCTTGACAAGTGCAAGGAGATGACCTACACGCATAGCAGCATGGAGAGACCGCGCAATCTCATTGTCTTGCTCTAGTCTTGGACTGCTCCCCAAGATCTCCGGAAGCCAGAATGTCCCAACTGCACCTTTCATGTGCCCGATTTTACCCTGAGTCGGCGCGGGTGCCTTTACCCATTGCGATGGTTCTCTTCCAACACCACATACCATGTATGCGTGGGTTAAAGTCTTTGGGCTCCTCGCACCAGACTTCACATTCAATGTGGAGGGAAGCGGCTGAGTAATTCGCGAGTGGAGCGAAGATGTTCGACTGGGGATGATAAGGCTATGATCCGGATTATCCCTCGTAGGTGGTCGCTCGCCCGTGCGAGGGCGCATACTCAAAGAAGGTGCCATCTCGAAACGATTTGCCGTGTATTTGGTGGTTTGTGAGCGACGAGACGAGCTATGGGCGCGGCTGAAACCGAGGAATCAACGGAGTTATTATAACGACAGGCAGGACATTCGAGGGTACTAAAGAAAATCCAGAGAGTAGGCTGCAAAGATCAGAGCGAGACGAAAGTACATTTGCGTACTCCGTCAATTGAGGGCTCAAGATCAACCTTGCTGCGGGTATGCAGTGAGGAGTGCAGCAGCAAGGGGAACTCACGAGAAGGCGGGTCTGGCTTCTATTGGGGAACCTGCGGCAAGACTCGAAGCTCGGGCTAAAGCAGGGAGCATGGCCATCCGTGCGTTAGCATGGACGGGCTCATTAAGTCCCGGTTGAGGAAATGAAGGCCAATCCCTGCAGATGCGCTTTCGAGTTGAGGCGGGCTCCGAGAACGGTGGCTGTCAGGGGTACATATCGCCGAGCGCGATGGGCGTTCTCGCTCCTGTGCCATGTTCACAACAACGGCTTTTGGCAGGCTAACCGAGAGAGCGTATCGTGATGGCAGCGAGAGATGCTGTCGAAGCAAGCTGTGGCAAGTCTCCGACAGTCGTATCATCGGCAGCAGGTGATGGGTTCAACAACCGTGCCGCAAGCAATCGAAACAGCGGAGGTATCCCCGCTGACGGTAACGATAGCGCGTATGATGCTTTTCCATGCTGAGGGCCGTTTTCGGACAGGCTTTGATCCATTCGCAGCCATGTGCGCGTTGCGAGGCTGCAGTGTGAATCTCGCAGTAAACGTGCATGAGCGTGTTCCATTACGACGCTTGGGCACGCCCCTGGTTTGACAGGCTGCATTAGTCGTTCCTCTGGGCATGCACTAGCTTCATGTGGCGTTGCGTTCGTCTATGACAGTCGTCCACGAGGGATTCGCGGATTATATCGAGGGCAGTGGCGCTGAAACGGCAGACTAGAATCCGTACCAGAATTGAGAGAGATCATCGAAGAGTCCCACTCAAAGGGTTTTGCACGCTCCGGAAGGTGGATAGACGAGCAGAACCTTATGTTCGCTATCCCCTCTCGACTGTGAAACCTTCGATTTGGTGGCCGGGTGGAGTTTGATCATCGCTTGGATTAGCCTGGAAAGACAAGCGCAGAAGACCAGTTCGTCGCTCTGATTGAGGGATTCGCAACTTTCGACTTGTGAGTTCGCTTGACTACGAACACTATGACGCCACCCACTGGTTTGGTTGTCTTCCGTGAGATACGCAAGTCGTTTGTGCGCGAGACATGAATCAAGAGGCTTGCAATCAGCGGAAACTGGCCGCTACCATTCTGACGCCATAAATCTGTGGTTAACTAACCCGACACCACTAAACTTTCGCAACGTCCACCGGTAGCGTGAAATATACGCTATGTAGGCAAATCCATGATTATCATTGAGACCACTGGCTGCGTGGTGGTTACTACACAATTTCATTGGGCGAGAGCAGATCGCACCAGGAAATTAGCGCGCAGAACTAGATGCCAAGCCGGATTGGAACTTCTTCACCATCAATCACCCAAGACACCAACGACCACGTCATCAACACGCCAGTCTCGCCAAATCCTTTGCGCCAATGTTGCGCTCTAGCCTCGACTTGTCTAACCGCTCGTGATCTTTCGTGCACTGCTTTGCTTGAGATCTAGCATCCGTGAGCTGGCTTTCAGATTCGATATCACGGGACCACGCGTTAAAATGTCAGACCAGGCGCTATTGAGTGACCTTTGTGGTATTTGGTATGTTTACATATATCATAAGCCCCTCCGTATAGATCGCGAATCGAATTGCTCTTTCTCCTCTGACCATTAATAACTCGATGCACATGGTTCATTAACTGCTCACTCTGGCCGGCCCAAATACGTTTGCTTAAACTAATACATATACAGCAATATCAAAACTTCCAAATATAAATGTCCCGGTTGCTCCGCACGCACATGCTCGCTGCCATGTTACAAACGTCACCAGCAATGGGCGCAATGTTCAGGCAAACGAGACCCTACAAAGTTTGTCAAGAAATCGCAATTAGCAACGCCAGCTGGTATCGATCATGACTTCAACTTCCTCACTGGCATAGAACGGGACATGGCCAAAGCAGAGAAGGAGTTCAACGACCAAGATCCACCGCGGTCGCTTGACCGCAAACACTCATCGAGATCCTCGCAGCCTGAGATGGTTAATCTGGCGGCAGCGGTCGGCGTTACTTTGATTCGGGCGCCCAAAGGCTTGAGCAGGCAGAAGGAAAATAAGACTCATCGTGTAGCTAAGACGAAGTAAGTCTAGGATTGGTGTCTTTCGTGCAACTTACTGACACCGCATAGAAATGTTGTATGGACGATCGAATGGATGGCACATGACAAGAGCCGGGTTCTCACCAACGTGTCTTCCACATGCCAGGTATCGAAGGCCCTATCAGTTGATGAGGCCAAGCCAAAGAAGAGGAAGCGGCCGGCTGAACCCAATTCCAACAGCAAGCTTTGCACCACAGAAGATACTGTGAATGCAATAGAGAAACAGGACACATCACTGCAAGCCGAGACCAACGACAAGAAGCCAGAAGACATGGTCTGCATCACGCCTCTCAATACAGCCCAAGAAGAACACGAACATGAACAGCTCAGCGTAGAACCCAAAAGAGCAGACGACGACGTTCTGAATCGCCCATCGGAGAATCAGTTCTTCCTCCTGCGTCCCCGAACCAGCACTAGTCGACACGTCGTCATTCCGCTCACACCCTCCGCCACACTCGGCGAATGTCTACGTGGTCGCACCGTCCTTGAGTTCCCTACCATCTACACATTTCCAAGTTCCATGACTCAACTACCTGAAGGTTTCATGCTAGAAGAAGAATATATCAAGCAGGAAGGTGAAGAGCAGAAAGAGTTTGAGGATATGATGAAAGAGGTTGACCCTGAGATACTGAGGAGGCTAAAAGACGAGCGCTCCGATGGTGAGATGCAAGGAGAGGAGGTGGACAGCAAGAAGATCCTTGATGTGTTGAAGCAGGACCTCGGGTCAATAAAGTGGTAGTATGGAACGGAATTGAGGTAGAGTACCAAGTATGGAGAATCATTAATAGCATTGTCGCAACTGGACTCGCACTCGGTTTGCTCTCAGGCTCAGAAATTACGAACTGCGTGGACACGTAAGTCCAATCTATTATGGTACCCCCCGGAAGTATAAGCCATCTGCCACATCCAGCTGGGGTAACACCTTACCAAAAGTCAAAGTGGCGAATGACTTATACTTCCGGGGGGAACCACGGTATGCCTTTGCGCCTCTCGCTTGGCTAATATCTTTATTTTTCTCCGCATCATACGTTCCTATTATACTTCATTTTGTTGACGCCCGTCAAACGTTTCATCTTTCTTCTAGCCTCGATTTAACGATCTCGCTTCGACCCCATTGTCACCCCACTTGCATGCCCAGGTCATCCTGGCCCTTCCAGCAAGGTCCTCCCAGCATATTACCCATCACGTACAAGCCCGCGGATGCTCGGGTCTTGAAAGTAATAGTCAGATTCCGATTCGCACGGGAGACTTGCCGATGTTTGACAATGTCGTTTTTGACGCCAGAGTAATGCATTCTTACTTTAGGGCTTAGGGGCATTATTTGTATAGTGCATCCCGGACGTGTCTAATGAGGTGGAGTTGTTCTCAACATAGGATGGTGTTACTGTGCTTGGCAGGTTGGGAGGATAAGTTGCAACGCTATTGTGGGTGTAATTGGTGGATAAGCAGATCATACCCATATCTGTAGGTCTTGACTTATATAGGGACTGCGCATACCGTCAATAGTCGAGCTTGAGCTGAATTGTACTTTTAGCATTGAGGAGTATATTCAAAATCACACACATGATAATTGCTGAGATTCCACCTATTTCTCCAAGCTCAACAGCCCCCGTCCCTGCAGGTAGTCCACAATCTCCTTGACGCTCTCCTCCACACTCTTCAGGTCACTCCTGATGTGAATTTCCGCCTTCTCTGGTGCCTCATATGGCGCGCTAATGCCCGTGAACTCGGGAATCTTGCCCTCGCGCGCCTTCTTGTACAGGCCCTTGGGGTCCCTGGCCTCGGCAACCTCAAGCGGAATGTCGACGAAGACCTCGACAAAGGCCAGCGGCTCGTCGTCGCCAGTGGTGACGGCGTGTAATTCGCGTGCCATGGTGCGGTCAGCCTTGTATGGCGAGATGAAGGATGTGATGGCAATAGTGGAGCTGTCAGCGAACAGCTTTGCGACCTATCATCCCAAGAGGTCAGCATCGATTCATCACCCTCCCCATACATCAGAGCAACGTACCTCCGCTATCCGTCGGATGTTCTCATTCCTGTCCTTCTCTGAGAACCCCAGGTCCTTGTTCAGTCCAAAGCGTACATTGTCGCCATCGAGACGGTAGGCGGCGAATCCAAGGTGTAGGAGATGTTGCTCGAGGGCCGTAGCAATGGTCGACTTTCCGGACGCGGAGAGACCGGTGAACCAGATTGTGAAGCCTTTCTGCTTGCGGAACGAGTTGCGCTCAGCGCGGGAGAGCGACGGGTGCCAGGTGATGTTGCTATGATAGTGTCAGCGAGTTGATTTGGGGGTGATGGCGGGGCATAGTGGGATGCTCACGTTGACATTTTGCAAGGTTTTTTGGGAGACAGGAAGGTAAATGGATGTTAGTTGTGAGGTGGAAAGTGATTTTAAAGGGAAGAGCGGACGAGGACAGAAAATTGAGTGGTTTTCTCGACGTTTGATGCCAAACGCCGCATTCTCACCGCGAAGGACGCGTTTGGGTGAACCATCGAATTCTTTTAGCGCGAATGACGTGCTGTCGCGATTCGCTCGTGAGGCTGAAACATGGAAATACACACAACACGCATAAGTGTGGATTCTTTCACAACGCTAGAGAGAATTACGTGACAAATGTCCAGCACGGTATGGATGACTTCGAAATACATTGCTGTTTAAAATTCGTCTAGGCTTCTGGAAACCTGACCACCCGCAATGCCTCAACGCTCTATTCCCAGGTATCAAAGGGTATTCGCACAACTTCGGACACCGTGATGCTTTGACCCACACCATTTACAACCTTACGCCTTGCTAATAGAGCTCTTTCTAGGCCCTGTTCCGCTTGCTGTGCTGTAGAAAAAACATGATGCTATGCGCCCGACAATGCTGCTAATAAAACATGTCTGAAAACGTTTTGAGAAATGGCAACGAGAATATAATCATTCGTAGGCTTGCTATGAGCCACCATCTTCCTCTTCTTTGTCATCGGCCTCGTTCTCGTCCTCACTATCATCTTCCTCTTCCTCTTTCTCGCTATCCTCTTCTTTGCTATCCTCTTCCTCGCTATCCTCTTCCTCTTCCTCGCTATCATCTTCCTTTTCTTCTTCCTCTTCCCCTTTCTTCTCTTCGTTACCGTCCTCTTTTATCTCGTCTTTCACAAAGCACCCCGAATCACTCTTCTTCGATTCGTCCTCCAGAACCTTCTTCTGCCACTCCATGTGGATCCTTGCCCTCTCAGCATATTCTCTTGGCGAATATCTCACCACGATAACACCCCTTCTCTCCAGACCCCTACCGATATCCCGCTCCCTCTCTAGCAGACGTTTCTTTTGGCTTGTTTCCCAGCCGTAAGTACCTGGCCGGTAGTAATCTGTGATATCGTCGAGCCGGTGATGCACACGAGCGGGTGCCGAATGCCAACCAAGACGAAACAATTCCGATTCCTTCCTGTACTCAGGAGCGAAACGAATAGGCTTGGAGATCGCTGTAGGCGAGCGTTCGTCGGCGTTTCTGTTCGGCTGATTGGGAAGAAAGCGGACTCTTGGTTGATTCCGCACGGGCATGGGCATGGACCTGGAGCCCAAGCTGTTTAAGGAGAGGAGAGAGATTGGTTGTGACATGGTGGTAGTTGGTGAAGATTTTGATGAGAGTACTGTGTGAGGCAAAGTTTTGGAATGGAATTACTTCAACAACTACGAACGTTTATAATGGAAGAGATGTCGAATTCTGGGAACTCTGGGAGCGTGGATCGTGGGATACCATGGTTACGCACTGAAATGAACTTTGGAAGTCCAATCACTCCCAGGACATATCCAACTGTTGGTAAAGATTCGAACAATATCCATCCACTAAAAGCTGCTTGTATACTGGGAAACAACCAAGGTCTGATTGCTTCGACCTACTTTTGTAAGAAAATCCAATAGCGTACCAAAGATTTAGGTGGACCCTTGGAGTCGTTTTCTCCTTGGGTGTAGCGGTATCTAACAATGAGGTCAACAGACAATACTATTCTATGTACGTGTAGAAGACCTTTGGGTTGTCGTGTTGTGTTAACTTTTGATGCGTGAGGCTCGAGAGTGACAATGTTGCGTAGTAAATGAACTGTACAACGATATTAACATATTGTTGCTTCAAATAACTGCAAATTTGTTGTAAAGGATGAGTACCTAACGACTTATTACTTGTTTCTTGTATATAAGAGTGTTTTTTGAGCGTGTTGGGGCTTAGTAGCTCTCTGTGCAAGGCATCACTCTGCCGAATAAAAACACGACTGCACCGAAAGGTGCCCGTTAAGTTTCACAGACTCTCACAGCAAAGGGATGGTTCGTTAAGATACGTAATTACAGTCAGAGAACGTGGTTGCATTTGTGCCCGCATTCATAAATCTAGACTATCAAACATGAGTGACTCCTCGAAACAACGACCAATCTAATTCCTCCTCTCAGTAATGGTCTTCTCGTCAGGGTTGATCGAGATGCTTGCTTGTCTGTCCACGTCTTTATGCTCAATCTCAGCGCCGCCCTCGACGTGATTGGCACCACCGAACTTTGTGTCCATCTCCTCCAGACTCACGTTCTTGGTTTCTGGCACGAAGAACCAGACAAAAGCAGCTAGTAGAAAGTTGATGCCAGCGAACATGTAGAAGGCGTAGAAACCCTCCCTTTCCAGGAAAAGAGGGAAGAATTGCTGGAAAATCGAGTTTGCCACGTTTTGGGTCTGCGAGCACATGCCGACAGCCTGGGCACGAACGTTCATGGAGAAAATCTCGGCGGTGAAGATCCAGACGGTAGCGCCCCAAGAAGGCTTGTCTGCGAGTTGTTAGTAAAGGAAGAAACTGAAAACAGGATAGCTTGGCAACTTACAAAAGAAGGCGAAGAGGAACATCATGAATACAATTGCGATGGCAACTGGCTGTGTCTTGGCCCCGTCGACCGATGGGGTTTGTGTTTCAACGGTTGCGGTGATGATCATACAAATACCCATACCGATGCCACCAAGGATGAACAAAAATTTGCGGCCGAAGCGATCGACTGTCCAGGTGGCATTGAGGGTGAAGAAGATAGCGCAAGTTGCGTTCAACGCGTTAATAAGAGCAATTGTGTCGGCACTCTTGAAGACCTTCTTGTAGATGATCGTAGAGTATGAGTTGAAAGTTCCCTGTCCTGTGATCTGCTGACCGGCGTTGACAATCATCGCAATGTACATTCGCTTGCGAACACTCTTGTCCTTCCACAACGCGGAGTAGCCACTGGAGATAGCCTCGGCCTCAAATTCAAGGGCTTCTCTGATTGTCAGGATCTCGTCGTCAACCTCCTGCTCAGAGTCACGAACTCGGAGCAGAGAATTGCGGGCTTGGTCGTAGCGTTTGCCTTTCTGGATGTACCATCGGGGAGACTCCGGGATGAAGAAGATTTGCGAAAGGATAAGAATAGGAACGAGGAGCTGGAATATGATAACCATCCTCCAGTCCCATTCGCCGAGGTGCTTGGGGTATTTGGTGCAGGCGTAGTTGACCCAGTACGCAATGAAGGAGCCGACAGAGTAGAACATTTGCCAGAAGGACATGATCTTTCCTCGAATCTCTGCAGGTGCCATTTCACCGATGTAGATGGGACCAGCAGCTGGCATCGGTTAGTATGTTGTTTGTGTCTGTATCAAGACGAGACTTACTCAGAGCAAGACCCTGACCTAAACCAATGATAACACGTCCAGCAATGAAGCATCCAATGTTCCCGCGTGGGCTGAAAGTCTGCATCAATGTAGCGATAATGACAAGGACCGAGCCAGTCGCCATGCCAACTCGGCGTCCGGCGAAATCAGCAAGAGGGCCACCCAAGAAGAATCCAGCCACCACAGCTCCGACCGTATAGGCAGTGTTGATCGCTCCGATGATGTTGGGGCCAGGATGGTTGAAGTAGGCAACCCAGTTCTTCGAGCCTTGCACGGCATTGAATACAGAGGCATCGTATCCATAGAGCACCATGCATGATGCGGCAACGAGCGAGACGTACCTGATTGAGTTAGTTGTGCCTACAGACTGAGATTGCTTGTAGTCTTACCAGTTGTACGCTCGTTTAGAGGTAACCATTGTGACGGCTGCTCCTTGATGTTGCTCTTGGTTGATTAGATGCTACCAGAAGGTTGAGACGAGACCTTGTTCGAGTTCTGGAAGGAGCTCGTGTCAGTAGCTGAAGAGAAACAGCAGCGGTGTATTGCATGATATATATACTCGGAGTACAGTCGTTGACCGTACTAGCACGCTGCCGTCCCATGTCAACCCCATGTCAACCCCATGGTCTCGGGACGCCGTGGCCCACCGTCAGGATCCTGCGTATTACCTTTCCGACAATATCACACGAATCACATTGCCCAGACGGCCATGGAAGCTTGCGTTGACTCAAGCTAAATTCCCGACACATGTACAAGCAAACGTGGGGCCCCATACTATACTGTTTCCATAGCCACATGCTCCGCTTCGTGGATGCGATGCTAATCTGGTGATTTTCCACGAATGAGAGCCGTAGCTGGTAGATGAAATAGCGTATTCCGGGGGGGATGCATGCTTGCGTTATTACCGAGTTGTGCTAGCTAGCCTCGTTTCGACTAGAACATGCGGATATGCAGTCCGAAACGAGCAGGACTCCCATTCCATGGGAGTATGTCAAGCTTTCGAACAACGAGGTGCAGCAGAACAAAGCTTTTGGGTGGAGTCTGGGCTCTCTTGTTTCCAATCTTCACAGTAAGTGCCATGGACAAAGGACCGAGTTCATGCATGCTAAGATACATTTGATAACGTCCGGATTTATTGCGAGGTTCTCCGATATCACTGGAATCATCGACTGATGTTGTCTGGGACAGGCGTGCTTGATTGGCTTTTCGCATTCCTTCATGCGAGGCATGTAAGCTTGGGGTGTAGTCCGTGTGGGTCAGCGCTTGTTATCTCGGAAGGGCGGACGGCCTCCTACAGCACAGATGGGGCAGATTATGCGGGGATCTCGTTCCTCTCAACAGCTAATCAAAAAAGATAACGTAGGATCAACAACAGGAACCACAGAACCGCAAACAGAAAGATGCCCACAATATGAGGCTCAACAAACTAGCATGGCGAAAAAAGCTTAATTGAACGAGACGCTAGTGATCACGTGAGGGCAATGCTGCGCCACTTTTCTCGACCTGTTCAGCCCCGCTTACTGCCCGCAAATTGCCTGTCAGTCGCCAGCTCACGTCTCTGAACAAAACCACAAACCACAGACCACAGACGATCCCTCCGACTCCACACCCCCCTACAATTTTCTCAACATGCCTTCAGGACAAGGAGGTAAGCGTTCCACCCTGCGATAGTGCTGGTTTTTCCGTACAAGCCAGGCAGCAAACGAAGAGTGCGAGCTGACAGAAATGCGCAGCCGGTACCAACCCCATCCACAACAAGAAGCCCAAGAAGAAGGCTCAGGATCTCGACGAGGACGACGTGGCCCACAAGGCTAAGCTGCAAGCTGGTTCGCGCCGCCTTCCATACCCTATTTCACACTCTCGCCGCGAACATCGCAGCCTTACACACGACGCAAAAGCTGACACAGACACAGACAAGAAGGCGCGCGAGGAGATGGCCAGCGCGACCAAGGGCAAGAAGGGACCCCTCAACACCGGCTCGCAGGGCATCAAGAAGTCCGGCAAGAAATAAGCGACATGCGAACGACGCGAGACGACTATTTGATATTGAAGATACCAAGGGCTTGGAGTCATGATCTGGGAGGCGTTCATATTCTGAGTGCGTAGACCACTACGAATGCATGGGAATGACGTTGATTGTGCTTGCTGTCAACTACAATAGGTGATGTCTCTAGGATTCTGTGCTCAGCCAGCCTCGCCTATCCAACACACCGCCTCTCACCGACTTGATCCTCCATCGATAGCCACGACTCGAGTTCAACGCTTTGGCCCACTTGCGTTCTTCAACCCAAACACATACTCGGCATTTCTCCATGCCACCCTCTCCCACTCATCCTGACTCAAGAACCCACTCTCCTGCAGCCCTTCCATCAGCTCCTTTCCTCGCTCTTCTAAAGGGTAGTTGCTCGCATACAGCACCCGGTCGATGGGTATCTGCTCTAACAACGTGCGCATAGTCGACATGTCCAGTACGTCGGCCGTTGTGAGATAGATGTTGTGTTGCCAAACGTCTAGGAAGCTGCGTTTCGGTTTGTCTGCTTCAGGTATGCTGGCGAGCATAGTTTCGATTCGCGGGAGGAGAGAAGGTAATAAACCTGGATGAGCCAGGATGAGCCGCAAGTTTGTATGCCGGTCGAAAACGTGAGTGAGGTAAAGACGTAATATCGGTAGAGGAGAGGTTGTATGCGTGGTATGAATACTTGTGATCAGAGGCGTAACGACGGTATCAGGAAGGTTTCCTTGGATGTCCGCAAACTGCGCTGCTTAGCCACTCCCTCCTCATCCTCAAGCACAGCTGGAACACTCACATCCGCGCCCACCGGCCACATCTCCCTCAGCAAAATCGGCACGCGAAACTTCTCCGCCACACCCCAAAGCTCCTCCAAACCTCCGTCTGCGTCCTCCAGGCCTGTCGCCCGGCTCACTCCCACAACCCCGCCGACAAACCGGTACTTCCCAACACACCTCGATAACTCCTTCCCCGCCTCCCGTCCCTGGGGCAACATCGCCAGCGCCGCAAATTTCTCCACGTTCATGTACATCGCCGTATGCAGCGCGTCGTTGATCTTGGCGCAGGTCTGTGGCGAGGTGGAAATGGGTACGTGCGAGATGATCTGTTTCGAGTGGGCGAGGGCGCGCATGTCACGGACGCGGGAGGGGCCGAGGTTCTTGAGTTTTGTGAGTGTGGGAGAGGGGAGGAGGTGCAAGGCGGGTGAGGCGGGATCAGTCGAGAGGGAGGTGCCGATTGGGAGTGAGGGAGAGAGGTAGGATTCGAGGGAGGCGATTAGAGAAATGGAGGGCGAGGGTTGCGAGGCGCTCATTTTTGGCTTGCGGGCTGAGGATGAGTTGGTTCTTGTGATAGTAGGTTTATAGATAGGATGTGGATGTTAGAGCTCAAAAGAGGTGGGTGGTGGACATGAGCCAGCATTACGGTTGAAGATATTTCGCTTCACTGAGATAGTAGGTACGAAGGAGTCCGTGAGGACTCCGGCACGATGGAGCGATAGAAAGAGCGATGTGGATGGAAGCATGTGGCACACGCGCATACATTCAACCAAGACTTATGATATTACACAGCACTCTTAGCAACATCAGGATCATACACTCATTCAGCCAGGTTCCTCCAAATCGTACACGCGATACCCTCTCGCATCAGACACCACTTTGCCAATAACAGACATGCGTAGATCCTCGCCTGGGAGAGAAAACCATCCAACGGTTCAAGAGATGGCGGCGGCAGTGATTGCTGCGTGAATTGCTCTTCCTGGGTCCGATGTCTTTCCCCAAAGACGAAAGGGAGGACATGCAAGAGCATATCGAGGTCGATGCTCACAAGTTGTGACCGCGGATCCGGCGGAGTGGCATCACGGCTCAGTGCCTGGCAAGGGGTATCGTATCGTCTCATTCCAACACTTGGTTCGAGACAGTCTGGGTTGGGGGGTCGTAAAGTTCGTCGTCCATCATTCATCGTAACACATCTCACTGGTTCCTTTCAGGTTCCGCGTCGCACCTTCTTGGTGCCCAGCGTGAATGCCCTTCGCTTCAACAACCCCATTTTGCTCGCATGGTCGTGGGTTGAGGACGTGGGGCTCGGTGGAGCAGAAGAGTCGCTTCCAGTTTGAGATCCTTGGGATGATTGAGAGGCAGATCTCTTGCGGCCTTCCTCTGCGAGAATATCCTCAAGGGAGACGTTGAGGTGGGGGTGGGTGTATGTGGGTGCCTGAGTTGGCTCGAGGATTTCGGTGAATTTCGACGTCATGGTGGGACAGTGGGGAAGAAGACGGTGAGAAGACTTGACTTTGAATGTCGTTTGAAGACTTGAGGGTGATGTATAGTCCGTCGAGTGATGATCATATGGGCAGGGTATGGGGATGTGTTCACAAAGCCAGCACGATGCTGGGGAGGGGGGGGCCTACTAATTTATAAATCACATTCCTCCACCCTCCACCCCATTCCACTCCATACCGCACTCGCGGCCGAGGACCTGTACAAATTTCAGGGTCTGCATGCCGATCGATTAGTCTCGACGCCTAACCATCTAGACTAAGGCAGGGATGACGACGGTCTCTTCCCGCCTGGCTAGGCATGACCCGTAAAGGTTTTTAAGTGGCTTGCAACCTCATTTACGCGTTTTAACCAGCCACGCCTCGGAAATAGAAAGCAAGGACATACCTCGGAGCGGACATATTGACAGCCACACGGACAATATTTGACGGCCACCCATCCCCCCCCAGTCTTGCTTGCGTCTCTGATAGATGGAAGCCTATGACATGGCCTTTGCCAGCCAGTCCGTCCGTCCCCAGCCGCAAGACGAACGCGCAAGCAGATTTGCCACATGGCCAAGCGAAGGGAAGGAAGGAGTCAACGGCTGGCCCCAAATAAATGGTTGCATGCGATCAGCGGGTTCGGCTAAGCGATCAACCAAGATCTGATGGGGTTAAATGGCGTGCACACCACCATGCAACGGTAATTTTCAATTTACTGTGTCACCTGTTGTCTCGTGCCTGTCACGCTTCTCGTTACGAGCTATCGAATTTTGAAGCACGAGGACAGGTTGTGCAGCAAATTTCGTCTCGGGCGACCAATGACGCATGACGTGGTGCAGCCATCCTTCAAGCCACGTAAAACCTCGTGGGCCATGGGTAGACCTGCAGAAGGAAAAGCTAGCGAGTATTGTAGCGCTCGGTTGTAGTTGGGTACACGGTCATTGTGGGAACGGTCAGACACATGCTTCTGCGCGTCTCCCGCCAAATGACATCATCTGACGGGAGAGCGCGGATACCTAATGGACCCTTTCAACGGCTACCTCCACATGCCATCTGTCATTTCAGCGTGCAAAAGGTAGATAGCGGCGCAGGTATGGATACTAGCCACGCGTGCACCGCATAGCCAAACTCTGAATTCCTATCTTGACGCTGGTGGGCGCAGACATCAACGTAATGTAGAGATACGACAACGCACTTTACCAATGTCCGCGACTACGCCCTCCGCGTCCTCCTCTGTTACTACCGCTATGTCCGCGTCCACGACCACGACCACGTCCGCCGCCACGACCTCTATCTCCTCCCCGGGAGCCACCCCTCCCTCCGCCCCGATCAGACCGTTGTTGTTCAGGTTTGGGACCGTTCTGCATTCTCAACGTCCGCTCTTCGTCTGTTGTATGGAACGCATTAGGGATCTGCAGCAGATCGCAAAATGCTTGCGTGTGTGGATTGCTGTACTCTTGTGGGGAGTCGTTGACATGGATGCCCAATGATGGATCATAGACGGGTGCAGTCTGTGCAAAATCCTCCGGTATCGTCATCTTACCGGCCTTGACAACGTTCTCCTCGACCCATGCTATTTCCTTCTCTATCTGGGGCCTGTAGACAGCGTCGCCTTTGTCAGCCGAGACTTGCGCATGCGGCTTGCCGAGTTGGAGGTCGTCTGCAAAAACACGAGTAATGGCAAGCCATTCGTGATCGTATGCTAACTGCAATGGCCGCTGAAGTTCTGCGGGGGCGTGAGGTGTGACTTCCAGCAATTGGAGGAAATGCCTCTGCGGTAAGCATTTGTCGAGTGCGAGAAATTTTGTTGTTTTGTTTGTAATTTCAACAGGAAAGGGCAATGTAGGTATTGGTTCGAATGTTGGACGAGCGAACGACTCGGGCAAAAGATCTCTGACGTCCTCGGAAACCTCTGCGCCGTTGGTAGTCTTCTGCATATCGTTGGATTTTGTGCCTTCGTTGGATGTGGAGGCTGGAACTTCCGACATCTCGTCATCGTCCAAGTCAAGATCTATCTCTGCCTCATTCTTGGGTTGTACTGCAAGACCGTCGTCCGAGATGTCAAGTTCGATCTCACCCTCATTATTGACTGCAGGGACCACTTCCGCGGGAATTTCAGACGTTGCAGCATCTAGCGCATGCGTATCTGTATGCTCCCATACAGCAGTAAACTTGGCATGCATGTGAGCGCTGAACCAGTGAGCAGGTCGTAAGCGCTCCAATACAGTTGTGGCCGCAACGCTGCCCAACGTACCATCCTTTGCTTCCTGCTCAAAGTAGGGCTTGAACCTAAAGAGCTGTTGGTGGTTACCTTTCCACTCCATGCTCCGCGGCCAATCATGGCTCAGTCCAATGTCAACTTGAGTGCGGAGTTGGAGCAACTTGCGCACGTCGAGCTCTCGTACATGGTATATGCTCCTCACATCGTCACTATTGTATGGCAAACGTTCGTGATGCGGCTTCTTGTAGTTGTAACCTTTCCAAATGCCCGAGAGACCAGAAATACGGAGAGGGCCCAGTCGAACTACGTTCGCAGCGCCCATGTAGTAGATTTTTGGTGCGGCCCAACCTCCGTAATACAGCTCCCACATGTAGTTGCTCGCTTCGTGGTTGCCTCCAATGAACATCGTCAGGTACGGAGCGACTCGAGCGCCGGAGTAATACTCGTGGAAATCGTGCATCGCGTAGTATTTGGACGGCATGGAAACGGCCTTCAGATCGGAAGCATTGCGAACAGCCTGCATCATTAGCGACTGTTCAAAGCGCGCAGTGAAGCTGAGACATACCTGGAAATCTCCCCCGATGATCAACAAGTCTACATCTGGCCAGCCTTTGAGCTCGCAAGCCTTGTTGACCGAGGCATAGATCTCATGCAGCACTCCATGACCGCAGCCTTCCACTGCTATACGCAGGCCTTGCTCTGTGAGTAGTGTGGGTGACGCCATTTCTTGGTGCTGTCTGATAATGGGCGGGTTATTGAGCTGTTAGCAGAGACAAATTCAGCGCCGACGGGCGACTTTTTGCGCAGTAACTAAGCGCAACGATTCGCGACACAGCCTACGGGCAGGCACTGCGAATGTGGACTTGTGTAGCCCATGAATCGTCAAAGAAAGCTCGCATGGGAGCTGCTCCTAGCGTCGGTGGTCGGCATTTCCCAAGCAACACGTGAATCTAGAGAGCTTTTGAGAAGCCTTGCACAACACGGTCGAGCATTTCCAGCGATGACGTCCATGGATTCAGTCGGACTGAGGTCAAAGTTTCTCCAAGAGGCAGCACACCTTCTCGCTGTCTCCTCCCCAGCGGCTTCAGCATTCCTAGGATCAGCGCGGGATAGGCTTTTCGAGGATACAGAACAGGGCATTCCCGCCAAGGATTGGGATGCTCTTCGTCGCGAGACTTGCGGAGCTTGCGGGAACCGTATGATTCCAGGATGGTCTTGCAAAATTACGACTCGAACTTTATCTGGTGTAGTTGTAAAGAAGAAACCGGCCATTCCGAATAAATCAACTAGACCAGAGAAGAATATCGTCCTCGACTGCTTAAGATGCCGTCGGAAGACCATTCAGTCGCTCCAGCCGAGGCCGTCCAGACACATCAGAAAGTCCAAAAGCCGCGTGGAAGCAAAGTCGACATTGGACCTCGTACAGCCAACCAAAGAGGAGGAGAACAAGGTGCTCAAATCAGCAAACGCCAACAGCAAGCAAAGGAAAAAGGCTCGAAAGGGCGGTCTACAGGCAATGCTAGAGAAGAACAAGACAAACTCGAGCCAAGGAGGACTGGGGCTTGATCTAATGGACTTTGCGATGTGAGCGGCCATAGGGCTGAGAAGTGGGCCAGGGTCCTCGCTGCAGGGAAGGCGCCAGAACGATTGCCCCTCCAACCACAGCCAACTAACGCGGGGCTGCTCAAAAATCTTTGAAACTTCGTCATACGAGAATCTCTAACTCTACCACCACAAACAACTCACTGCCGCTATTTGGCAATACATACACTTTTGACAAACAAGATGGCACAACACCAGGGCCTCGCGAAAGACCTCTTTGAGGATATGGGGCGCAAAGTCGCGGAGGCGAGCGCACAAGAGGGCGACGACACTGACACAAAAGTTGTCGACGAGATCGAGAGCTTGTGCATGAACTGCCACGAAAATGTATGTGTTTAGATATAGGAGAAGAAATGCGCATGGCTAATACAATATAGGGCACCACGCGACTTCTTCTCACCAAAATCCCCTTCTTCCGCGAGATCGTCATCATGTCCTTTGCGTGCCCGCACTGCAACCTCAAGAACGCCGAAATACAATCTGCTGGCGAGATACAGCAGCGCGGCGTCAAGTTCTCGATGAAGGTCGAAACGGCAGAGGATCTGAACCGACAGATTATCAAGAGTGACACGGCGATATTCCGGGTCGAAGACATCGATCTGGAGATTCCACCAGGTCGAGGACAACTGACAAATGTTGAGGGTATTCTTGCGATGGTCGCGCAAGATCTAGAGCAGAAGCAGGACGAGAGGAAGGAGGTTATGCCGGAGGTTTACGAGAAGCTCCAAGGCGTTATCGATACGATCAAGCAAATGTCCAACGGCGAGAAACTGCCCTTCAAGCTCACGATCGACGATCCGGCTGGCAACTCTTCGATCGAACCGCCAACAGTGCTTTCTGCAGGAAAGTACTCGCGACACGAATACCCGCGAACTGCTGCTCAAAATGAAGCGCTCGGATTGGGTGACAGCAGCGGCGAGGCACCGGATACCGACATCCGGCCAGAGTACCACGCCTCTCAGATGTATCCTGAGATGCCTGCTTCAGCTCCCATGGTGAACAACGTGGATGAGGACGACATTGTCGAGAACCAGGTGTACTCGTTCCCCGCCACGTGCCCAGGATGCACAAAGTCTTGCACAACGAACATGAAGATGGTCAACATCCCCCACTTCAAGCAGGTGATATTGATGAGCACTGTCTGCGACCACTGCGGATGTAAGTCGACTCGGAAAGGATTGAGGTGACCGTGGGCTAACTTGGCACAGATCGCAGTAACGAAGTCAAGACTGGAGGTGAAGTTCCAGAGAAAGGCCGTCGCATCACGGTGAACGTCAACACCAAGGAAGACCTGTCGCGAGATATCCTCAAAGCCGAATCGTGCGCAATGTCATGCCCAGAGCTCAATCTCAGCGTCGAGCCAGGAACTCTTGGTGGCCGGTTCACAACGGTGGAAGGCCTCCTAACACAGGTTCGCGACGATCTTCGCTCTTCCATCTTCGACGTGGGCGATGGAGGTGACTCGATGAACGCAACATCCAAGGACAAGTGGGGCAGCTTCTTCGAGCAGCTTACCGAAGCCATCAACGGCAACGTCAAGTTTACCATTATACTCGAGGATCCGCTGGCTAGCAGCTACGTGCAGAGCTTCACTGCGCCAGAACCCGATCCTCAGATCAAGGTTGAAGAGTACAATCGCACAGCGGAGGAGGAGGAAGAGCTGGGTCTGACGGATATGAAGACTGAGGGGTATGAGGAGGAGGATGCGGCGACGAAGGCTGCGAGTACGGACGGCGCATAGTTTGGTGGGGGGTTGAGAGTTTCATTTTTCTTCTTTGCATTTGGGCCGGGGTTCCTGTAGATACCACGGCTTCACCAGCCACTGCGAACCATTTTGATGATCCTACATGTTCCGGGTAGTCTATCCAGCTCGCCAGAGTTCCGTGCAGTATGGTGTGTCGTGTCTGGGCGTCTCTTCATCCCGCTAGAGGGTTGGCATGCACAGTGACGCTCTTGATCTCAACCCTCTCGAGCGGACGCGACTTCTTGTCCACGGCAATGCTCTCCAGGTCGTCCAAGACCTCTATCCCCTCAATGACCTTGCCAAACACGGTGTTCTTCCCGTCGAGATGCGGGGCGGGGGCGAAAGTAATGAAGAACTGGCTGCCGTTTGAGTTTGGGCCTTTGTTGGCCATGCTGACTATGCCGCGGGCATTGTGTCGCAGCGCTGGGCGGATCTCGTCTTCGAACAGGCCATTCGGGGTGTCGTAGATGGATGTCGACGTCTTGGACTTGGGGTCCGAGGCGGGACTGCCGGCCTGGATGATGAAGCTGGGGATCAGGCGGTGGAAAGGGCTGGCCGTGTAGAAGCCCGAGGCGCACAGGGCGAGGAAGTTCTCGGCTGTCTTGGGGACGGCCTCGCAGAAGAGCTCGAGCTTGACGTCACCGCGGGAGGTGTGCAGAGTGAGCGACATGCTGAGGGCGCGGGTCGTCGCATCGTCGGCGTCGTGGCGCGGGTCGAGGTGTGGAGGCGCGGTGCAGCGTCAGGCTGGCCCCACATGCTCGAGCACCTCCAACATGTCATGCCCATGCTGACGAGCGACACCGACACCGACACGGCCACTCTGCTCGTCCTGTGCTGCGATTGCTGTCTGCGATTGCCTGTGTGTCGTGTCTGTCTCGGCTCCGTCTCGCCATCGCCGTCGCCATCGCCCGTGTGGGAAGCTGTTCGACGTGCAAGGGCCGTCCGTCTTGGAAGTTCCAGCCCTGCGTCAACGCGCCCGCAGCCCTACCGACCGACCAACGAAGCCTCCCACGCCGTCCATCCGTCGTCGCTCCTCGCCGCGCCTCGATACAGCACCACCAACGTCGACCGTCCCACGCCGTCGTGCGCCCGGCTGTCTGCCGCCCATCTGCTCCACGCCCTGCCAGCACCCACCCGCCGTCGACACCTACAGCGGCATCCCCACCCCACACGCTCCCGTGCGGCGAGGCTACCCACCACACCACCCCGGCCCCTCGAGCACATCCACGGCAGAGCGGGCACACCAGTACTCGCGGGACCAGAGCTGACGCCCATGCGGCGCAAGCTGTCCTCCCAGGCCAGCGCCTACCAGCCCGTCATCGCGAGAGACCATGTCGGCCTTTGTGCGCGTCTCCGGACCGCCCAACAGTAACTTCCTCGTCGGCTACCCGGGCATATCGGCTACTCTGGTACGTCTCTCGCCATGCTCCCGTCATTGGCTCCTGTGCGCACGTGTCGTGTTGCGACACCACGGCGCCTAGCACCCCGGCACCGTCATGGACACATGCTGACACCCCACATAGCCCCGCATAGAAGGCAAGGTCGAGATTCGACCACTGGCAGGCATCTCGGCCCCGGTCAATATCTCGCTCGTCACTATTGCCCTGCATCGCCGCGAGACCATCCACCCCTCCGCCGAAAGTGTCACCAAGAAGCACTTGGGCGCCCCGCGCAAGGAGATTACAGACATTGTCGGCAAGGAAATGCTGCTCTTCCGCTGCCACAATGGGAGAGAGTTCGAGAGCATACTGAGCATGGACCTGCCGTTCGTCATATTCATCCCTTACGGCCGCGGCGGCGAGGAGGTAGCGCGACGGGTGCCCCCTGCGAGCCTGCAGCTGCCGAGTCGCACGGCTGAGACGTTCTACGAGCTGGTTGTGACCGTCCAGCAAGGGCAGCAAGAGCAGAAAAAGTACCCGTTTCCCGTGCCAATACAGCGGTATGACACACTTTCGACGTTTGGCATGTACAATCGGCCAGAGAGCGCGGAACGCGTCACAGACCATCTAGTCACCCTGGGGATAAGCTTGCCACGGTGGAGTTATGGTCCCATGGATCCCGTATCCGTGTACATCAAATTGAGCCCTAATAGAGATTGGCTCAACAAAGCAAAGAAAGTCACCATCCAGAAGATCACAGTGGGCATAGACGAGGAAATCATCTACAACCACGAGGGCGATGAGCCGTCGAGAAAAGTCAAGACCCTCGCTCGAACAACACAAGCCGTGGGTGTCAAGATGCCAGAGGCAGGATACTTTACAAATCTCGGACTCGTGTTTCCTGCGAAAGATCTTCGCGACTCCGAAGGTGTTATCCCACGGGGGAAGAAGGAATTCCCCATGTACGCCGTCAATGGCTTCACAACAACAGGCACGCTGTACAAGATCGAGTATTACCTCACCGTCAAGGTATTCCACACATCCACACTCCATTGACACCATCCACTAACACACCAACACAGGCGCAAATGTCCTCGGCCCGCGACATCCTCCTCCGCCAGCCCATCGTCGTCTGCCCCTTCGACCACGCAGGCTGCAAAGAGGAAATGGAAGCCATCGAGCAAGCCGCCAAGGACGCCGCACACGTCGCCCCCGAAAATCCAATGCTGCCCGCTAGCACAATCGTGCGCGCAAGCGATCCCATGGGTCTGAGCTCCTTGGGCATCGCCATCGTAGGCGGCGTGCGCAAACCGCTTATCGAATGAGAAAACGCTCGCTTTGTGGAATTGAAAAGTGTTCCCGAAGACATATCGCGTCACAGCACAGTGGGTGGAAGCCGTTCAGCCAAATGGCCCCCACGACATGGGGCCAAAGAGGTGGGGCGCGAACGGCTGAACGAACGAACGAAGCGGGGCGACAAAAAGTCGCCCTGCGCGGCGTAACTGGGTGTCGTGTCCCGTCATCCATCCCCTTCGAGGCTGAGAAGCGGGGCCCGTTTACCCCGTCTTACTTCAGCGGCCCATTGTCCCATTTTGTAGCGGTGGCGTCTGGCGTTTTGGCATCGTTTGGTTTTTCTGGCCATGGCGCTGTGGCGGGTTGTTACTGTTGCCTGGTCCGTGGATGGATGGATGGATGGATGCGACGTACGTATATCTTACTGCATTCGCTCGGCGTTGGGTTGGTATATTGTTCTTGGGTTGCGGTATGGTACGGTATGGTACGGTACGATACGATGCGATACCTTTGGGTTGTTTGCGGGGCGACGTGTAATTGTAATTTTGAATATTGTTTTTGGTGGAGGGGGAAGAGAGAGGCTGGAGAAGATGCGAGGAGGGGGACGATGAAGGGGGTTCGATAATAGGCTTCGATGTACTCGGTAAAGGGGAAGGCAGCCTCAAGGGGTGTGTATCATTGAGGGACGAGGAAGATGAACGGGTAGATGGATGACATCGTCTACCTAGCTTCAAGGCTTCAAATAAATCCATAGCAAACGCAAATACATACCAATTATTCTGACATGGCTACTTAACTGGACCCGCATAAAAAACTCAGATGTAATCATGCTCAGACAAAGCCTCAATTGGCCAGGGCAAAACAAGTGTATCCAAAAGGTGATGTTATATGAGCAGTAATCTATCTAAACCCCAGTCTTTTTCTACAGACATGTATGCATCACCCACTCACTCCAACCCCCCAAACACCCTCTCCAACAGCACCCCCGCAAAGACATCCACCCCAGGACTCGCCGTACACCAATCAATTCGATTCCCCCTCCGTGCATCGCGCCACCCGCCCGCATCCCCTACAGCATCGACATCGACATCGCCGACGCCCTCGCTGACCGGCCTCCCCCTTCGATCCACAACACAGCACCCCCTCGTCCACTGCCCGGCCGTCTCGACGCGGATATCCTCCGTCTTGAAGATCCACTTTGGATCCGCGGCGCTCAGCGCGTACCAGATGGTCAGTGGGTCGTGCAGCTGCAGGCCGATTTGAGCGGGGTCGAGGGCAGAGTTCAGGGACAGGTTCTTGGCGAAGGTCGAGGTGAGGAAGTGGGTGCTCCATTCTGCAAGGGGGGAGCCGGCGATGGGGGGTGTGGTTGTGTGTGTTTTGAAGAGGGTGGAGGGGAGGAGGTGGGATTCTGTTGTGTCTTTGGGTGTGCGGGTAAGCTTGTGTTTAGATTGGTTGGAAGGGAACTGGACTGGACTGGAGGGATAGGGGGGTTTATACATACCGAGCGGGAATAGCTTCAGTTTCAGCCGTCGGGATAGATTCTCTGGGTAGGGGGGTAGTTGTTCTTTTGCGTTTCCGCTTAGAACAGGCGGCATTGTGGACTTTGGGTTGCGGCTCGTGAGGGCAAAGACGCGTGCGCTTGCTACGGAATCGGCGTATGTGTTGAATTCCGCGCCGGGCGTCATCTGGTTTCTGAGGTTCAGTCTTCTGCGTAATGGAGTGTCGGGTTGCTTGATGAGACCGAAGGTTCGGAACAGCAATGGCCATCATGACTTCAGGCGAATACAAACGGTCAAGAGGCGGTGGCTACACCAGTAGCTTCCAGATCTGAGGTGACGAGAAGAGTAAGGAAATATATGGATACTCACATTGCCAGGTGCATCAACTGCGCCTCCCATGACGACAACCTCCTTGACTTTCAAAAATGTCTCCGGATCCTTCGCAGCCGCAATAGCGAGATTCGTAAGTGGACCAACGGCTACGATGGTGATTGTGTCGGGATCATTTTCTCTCAGTAATTCCAACATCACCTCATGAGCCGGCTTTAAAGTGGGCGTAAACAGAGAGTGTTGGGTTTTAACTGCTTCCAGCGCAGCGGCTTCTTCAGGGGATAGATTCTCCGGCGTGGGCAGGAACAACGACTTCCATGTTTCGGCTGGCGAGAGATGCGGATGCTATCATGGTCAGTCAAGCTCGATTTCTATCCGATGATATACTCACGCTGGTATGGATACCACCTAATCCATCAATGCCATCTATCCCTTGTTAGCTCTTCGCCCTATCATTCCCACGAGGATCACATACGGAAAAAGTCCGCAACCATCATGTGCTCTGCCAACGGCTCCTCGGCCCCGATAGCAACTATTGAACTCCGAGTTAGCCATACACGTTTTCAAAATCAAAGAATCTCACAACACCCTACCGATAGGTTTCCTAGCGTTCAATGTTTCAAAGCCCTCGGGTCTGCCATTTGCTTTTCTCCACGCACGTTCCTTCTCGATATGATGGAACAGCGTGACCACATTTCTCAGGCAGCTACAAAAAAAACTCCATGTCAGCATGAACGCATCCCACTCCAGTGTTCAAGAAATGAGCTCTGTCTAGAGAAGCAACGGTATCATGACCAATTGGAAACGACCCAAAAAAGAGAACGGCAGAAAAATGCCAGAAACTCACTTTTGAACTTCGACATTCCCAAAAGTGAGCGAAAGCATCAGAATCTCCAACTCTTCCGGCTTCGCTGAAAAGGCCAGGAGCATGGCGAGTACATCGTCAACGCCCTAGAAACATGTAAGTTCAACGGCAACCCCGCAGGAACACAATGCACCTACAGGATCCGTGTCTATGATAATCTTGTTGGGCGCCATGTTGATTGTTGTTTTGAATGGTCTGAAGTCTCGTGCGATGGTAGTACAAATCAAAGTGCGGAAGGAGCTGTTGAATGCTTGATACTGATTAGATAAGTTTGGATGATTAAACCCTGCATGGCAGGTGGAAGATGCAGCCCGCGGCGGAGGTCCCCGACCATTCCATACGTGGGGCTGTAATGACGTTTAGCTCAGGGTCCAGCTTTCCGAAGATGTATCCACAATGGATGTCTCCACATGTGTATCAGATGAACCGCGAAACAGACGGGTTGAGAAAGTCGGATTCAAAATCAGTGCAACTGCACGTCCAATTGCTAGATGATAGAACGCCCAAGTCATATCTACATTGCCCAAGCAACAGGTCGTCGCTAAAGCGCCTCTGCGCTTGGCCCCATTTTCCCGCCAAGCTCCTGCACATAATGCTCAAATTGCATTGGAATTGCGCTTTAGATGAAATGCATATAACACATATGTTTCGGTTGTACCGAAGTGATAAAAGAAAAGATCAGGGTCCAAAAGACTCGTCTAGTAGACCTTCTTCTTCTCGTCGACGGAGAATTGACCTGGGCCCATGTTGACCAGCAAGAGAAGACCACCGCTATAGAGTGTGTTAGCCACATAATTTCACCATGCGAAGACTGTCCACTTACACAATTGAGAGGATCTGGAAAAAGTCGTACTTGGCGAAATCCTTGTGCGGGTGGTGCGGGTGTAGAGTCCAGAAGTTGTTGACGTAGAGATTGAAGACACTGAGGATCAGCACCAGCATAATGGCAGAGAACTTGGCCTTGAAGCCCACAACAACCATGATGCAAGCGACCAGACCGAGAATACTGGCCACGATTCTCCAGAAACCCCAGTCGCCGCGGAAGACAAAGCCAACAAAGAGGAAGATGAGAAGTACGCGACCAGCAAGCTGGAAGTACATCTTCTTGTCCTTCTCGTCGAGCTGGGGAAGACCGGCCGGGGCGAACTTCTTGCGAACCCAGGAATCCGAGAGAACCATGAGCAGACCACCCATGACGGAAAGATTGCGCAGGAAAAAGTTCAGGTCAAAGACCAGGCCGTATCCAACACCCTGCATGACCACCACACTTATGAGACCAGCTACAGCGTATTCCGAGTGTTTCCGTGCGATGACCATGATCGAGCAAACAGTCATGGCGATAACATTGACAATGAGAAACGTGTGGGTGACACCGTTCCAGACTGCGAAAAGCATATGTCAGCGATTGCTCAGGTGGATTCTAGGAGTAAGCGGGGATGCGTACTGTGTCGGTAGTCGTGGAGGTACGTAAGTTGGTCGCGCCATTGCGTTATTATGCGCAGCGCATCTTCGAGGAAAGTAACAACAATTAGAAAGCGTCCAATTGCCGGGAGATAGCTGTTTAGGCGTTTGGTTAGCCAGGTTCTCAAGATGGAGGCCTGTAAGCCTGTCACAATGCGCTCAAGGATACCAAAAGCTCTCCGCATGGTACTTACGGCTTGATCGGGTCTGCAAGCGAATCCAGCATATCCTCAATCTTGTTCGTCTGCTCTCTCAACTGGTCCAGCGGGCTTGGATCATTGGTGGTCTCATTGCTTCGTCCAGCGTTGCCGAAGGGGCTTTGATTTCCCAGGTGATAACCTGCTGTACCACGTATTTGCGCCATCGCTGTGGTGGAGTTTTAAAGAAAAGAGGGTGGTGAAGGAGTAAGAGAGAGAGCGACGTTGAGTAGACGTTCCGAAGCTCTGAATGGTTCGAGACAAGTGGCTTCAAGACAAGCGATTATGTCAGCCGACTAGTTGCTCGTGTTGAATGTGATCTGCACGACTTGCCCCTCCTAAAGATGGTTTGCGATGCCCGTTTTGGTGGACTGTAATGTGAATTGTGTCGCAAATTCAAGTATTTATTTTACATCTGCATACACTTACAGGAAATATTGTGTGTCGTGTGATTCTGTGACCATGGGTAGCCAAATCACGGCCCCAAACATTGCATTGAAGCCACATGTTCTTTTTCTCTGCACTTGCCAGGGGTACTCTACTCCTACAAGGGGCGTTTAACAACTGTGGCCTTGCAAGACCTCGGCATGTTGCTCTCCTACTAAGAGCACCAACAACGTAGTAAGACCCGATCTCTTACATCTTCACAACATGGGCTATTGGGTGTTCAATAATCACAAACGTCATTGGCAATGGCATTCGTGACCATAATCAAGCACCACGAGAGCAGAGAGCAAGTATTAGTGAGGTTCTGTTTGCTTGCAGACGTGGGAGTTTCATGTTGTGAACAAGGAGCAGCATGAACGTATCTTACTATAAATTCATCAAACGTAGGCTAACGACCTCCTTTTTCTTTCCTTTTCTATGCTCGTCGAAAACAGCTTGGCCTGACTTATGTCAAGGGGAATATGTCACATGATTGAAAGACTGGTAGCTGCGCACGGCAGAAGTCTGATCTGCCAGACACCAACATCGATACAGAAGAAAATGCAACCTTCATTATCCAGCCAACCGAGCGCAGAAGAACTTTGATTGAAAAGCGCATAGTTCATGTCGTAATATTCCGCTTTTGGCGAACATGGCAATGACATCCTTGTAATCATACAGAAACAAAGCCGAAGATACCAAAACTCCTAGTGCGGTCATTGCTATAATGACCCGAATATCAGAAGTTGAATGCCATAGGCTTCCGAAAGAAGAACCGAGCCTCCCGAGTTAGGTGGAGCCGGTTATTGCTCTCAATAGGGAACTGGAGCACTAGACGACAGGCCAGTCGTCAGGGTCATCAGGCTTCGCCGTGAAGGACTCGTCGAGGATCGAGTAGCGAGAAAGGGGCTTCTTGTTCTCGGCAACCTTGGGGCGAACAGGCTGAGTGGGCTGAACTGGCACATATTTCTGGGCGGCACCAGAGTCACTGCCCTCGTCGGTCAAATCGCCACCAACAACCTTGGCCTTCTGTTTCTTGCCGCCTTTGGGAACAGTCGTCCAAGCGGAATCCTCCATCGCGAATCGCACCTGCTCTTCCTCGGATGGCAGACCGTTGTAGTGGCCGCTGGTCGATGCAGAGCCAGTGGTGGGGGCAGTACCATTAGAGGGGGCCGTAACGGAGCTGACAGTTGGAGCAGCTTCGAAGGTGTCGAGAAGTTGGCCACCAAGGACTGCCTCTGGTGCCTGAGCAACACCCTTAGGACGGATCTTGGTCCATGGGTTCGACTCGGGCGCCTGATCAATCGGAACGCCGTTCTTGGCTGGTTCTCCACGAGCCTCGCGAGCTGTGCGTCGCTGCTTCTCCAAGAGTCCCTGACGCTCTTTCTCTTCTGCCTCGCGCTGAGCCTTCTGCTCCTCCACCTTCTTCCTGTTCTGGCGCTGTTTCTTAGACTCCTGGACTGCCTCAACCTTTGGCGCTTGAGGCTTGGAGGAACGAGCAGGCTTGCCGGAGGGCTTGATGTTCAAAACGGCGGCAGCGGCTGCCTGGGGCTCCAACATATCAGCAACACTCCGACCGCTTGGAGCTTGGGTTGCACGGTTGTCATCGTCGTCGGTGCTAGCTCCAACGGCCGACGACAAGTAGGCCTCTGCTTTGTTTCCGGCCTCCTGGACAGCTGTCTTGACCGACTTGCGTGGCGCCTTTGCCTTTGCCTGCTTAGGGGCCGCTTTGGACTTCTTCTCTGGCTCAGCCCATTGCATAGACTCCTTTGCTGAGCCCGCGCGCGTCGTGGTTCGGCCTCGCGCCGCCGCCGCACGTTCGTTCTTGGTGTAGTAGAAGTAGGCACCTCCTATGAGGACCAGAAAAGCAGCCCAGCTCGCCCAGGCCTGCATTTTGCCGATTGTCTAGTGACGCGCTGTTCTGAGAAGAGCTCCTCTGATGGTATATATGTCGCCGAGTCGATTGTAGGGCGACGATCTTTCGCGGGGTATGGTAAGGTACACCGGCGTATGCGGGGTAGAACTGGTCAATGGAGGTGCGGTCGACGTGGGTTGAGCTGCCCGTCGCGAGAGGAAGTCGCTCTGGTGACGTTGCAGGAAGTGGCCAGGTATGGTATTGAACCGCTTTGGGAGCTGCTGCACGATGCAGGAACCCGTCGAGGACTCGATCAGGCAATGCTGTGACTGTTGCAGTTGATTGGACCTGATGGTAAGGGCAATCAATCAAGTGAGATAAGGAGACAGTGAGGAAGATGGGAGAATGGGCGAAGCAGCTGAGGAAATGTGTACTCGGAGGTCATGTTGAGCTCCGTCCTTGCCCAATTGGTATGCCGCTAACAGGCGCTAAGTGGCAGGGGCGCGTCACCCTCAAAGGTCGAGTGGATGTCAACTTGAACGTCATATCCTGGTTTGCGGGAATTGAATCTCTCTGATATGACATGTCGACAGCTGCCAATTAAGCCAAATCTAGATATGTAGTCCTTCTCAGTAATCAACGCCTCATCATACCGGTGGAATGAGGACATCTTGAGACTCGGCGCACGGTGATCGTGGTCCGTGGAAAAGGCCACCTTGCGTATGGGTCGGTTGTGGGCATCCGAATGCGGTATATACCCTGTCAAACGGTTTGCGACACAGCTGGAGGACGAGATGACGGAATCATCAAACGTCATCTGCCACATAGAATCTGTCATGCGCAGCTACTTTGTTGTTCGTTCTAACAATCCCTTTCCAAGAGAGTGACACGGCCTTGCCTTACACAGTGGAGGTAACATTCAAGCTATGTCTGCGTCTGTGTTTCTATAGAATACGACAGTCTGCCGCTTGAGATGAAGATACTAGAAGCTAGCTACAGGTTTGGTGTTACAATTCAGCTCTGAAGGTGTTGTCATTGCTCAACAACAGCAAGAGTAAGTGATACACCATCGAAGCTGGAGGTAAAGTCAATCTGCAATAGTATAGTCAGAGCGTTGTTATCGAACACACACCTGCCAGATTAATGAACACTCTCCTAGAGCTCTTGAACTCATCATTGTAAGTGACATGATTTGTTGGAATGCTAGTCATTATACTGTGCCTACCCTCCGCACCTTCTACCTTCATGTGCTATTACTAATAGTCTTGATCGATCGAAACAACACTGACATACAAGACAGAACACACTGATGTAACTCATTACCTTCATGATGCCTCACTGAGCATATACGCTAAAACCAACAGCTCATAAAACACCGACATATACACTGAGATGAACTAGCATCAAGCCGTCAAACAACACCTAACATCATCAGAACTCTTGTCAACATTGTCTTTTCCCAACGCTCTCCTCCGCATCTGAATCAGACCTCCTCTTTACACCTCCAGGAACCCCGCTCGGCACGCTCGGACTTCGACTCGATGGTGGTGTGGGGGCTACCGCACTCTTCGATGCCTGTCCTTGATTCTGGCTCTGCTGCTGCATAGATGCCGTCTGATTCCGTTGCGCCAATTGCATCTGTCTCGCGATATCGCCAAGGCCAGGGCCGACGATATTTCGATCGCCTATTATAGTCGCACCGCAGTTGATAGTGATGTTCATTTTGAGGGACTGCTTCGTTGTTCTTCCCCTCCCTCTTGGTGTTGACGATGGACTCTGGTGCAGGCTCGTAGCGTTCGTTGGCTGCTCCCCATCTAGTATAGCGGCCAGGAGACTTGCTATCCGTACGCTGTCTATCTGTGCTACGGAGATGATGTTTCCACTTCCTCGAATCTGAGTTGAGGCGTTAACGATGATTTCTGGTATGTCATCGTCTTCATTCTCGTCGTCCTCGTCCTCTGGGTCGTACGGGCTGCGCATGTTTGGTATCGGTGCATTTGGATCAACAACCATGTGGTAGGCTGGCGGCTTGTCGAATGTCGGTGTTTGTGGCGGTTGTTCTGAAGATATAGAAACGGACTGCTGCAGTTTATCGCTTTGTGCCATAGAGTCGCAGGATGGATTCATTGTTGTATGAAGTATATGACTATCTGTCAGGATGAGAAGTTGTTGGTCTTCCTGGCGATGAGATATGTTGTGACGTTGTCGTGAGGTTGAGGTTTAGGTGGTTCAAGTCTGAGTCCTGAAGGCAGTAGAGTATGACTCTTCTTGAAGTTTGCTAACGATGACGAAGGTCGCGCTGAGAAGTTGCCTGGCAGAGACGGCAGAGGATATGAAGAGAAATTTATATGACTGCTTCCAAGTCTGATTCCAAAACCAGAAGAAATATTACGTGATGTCTCGTCTTTCTTACTACACCAGGGATCAGCACACGTAAGAATCTCGACATCGATGCGCAAACTCACATGCACTCGAATCCCAAGACAGAACAAAGTTTTTTTCACGACTCACAAAAATCCACGAAATTTGCAGTAGGCTTCACGTATATATCCAGACTTCAGATTGCAGCCTATGTACCGATACCGCACATTCACGCACCACGCACCAATCCGATAAGCTAGCCCAACTTATTCACAAGTGCCCTGAAACATGTACACAATAGCAAGCCCACAAACACGATACACGTCCCCGTGCATGCAACAAATGGCCGAAAAATCACACGCCAACACACCGGAACCCACACTAGCAAATTACATTCCTATTGTTACAATAAGGTCTGGCCTGCAGCATCGTAATCGTACTACCGGGTACAAACTTCACCCACAGTTGACCAACCCCCCAACCACAGCATCGCACCGCATCACACCATAGCCATCCATGTCCAGAAGCGACGCAACCAGCTTCGCATCTTCGTTACGCTGCCGCTCCGACGTATGCCATTGGCCCGCATGACCATTCCAACGTGGATGATCTGCGGCCCGCACTTGACACACGGCTGGGAAACTGCCGGCGGTTGCGTGTCGGAGAGCGACTAGGCAGAACTATGCCAGCTTACGGCGGATGGTCATGAGTCGGTGGAGACTGTGCGTTTTTGCGCTTTTCTGGTTCACAATAGGAAGGCTTGTGCGGACAATAGGGAGTGGATGGCTTGGAGTGTCGGATATAGATGCGGAGAGGTGACGAGACTGTGGGTGCAGATGCGCGCGCGTGTGACCTGCTGTGAAGAAGTGGAATTTATTGACTGTGCAGGTCAAGGTGACACCTTCCCTTCTTTGTGCTATGGTTGTGGTTGTCGTCGTTACATTGAAATCAAGCCAGACGTGACACGATGACAATTACAGGAATCATATCCTGATTTCGAATCTCATTCCCGATCCCAACGCACAGAACGTACGGTAGTGCAAATTACAGCGTCGGAAGTATCAGAACGAAGAACAATAGCAAGACTAGCGTCATTGTCTAAAGCAAACCCACGATGACACGACTCCTTCAAACCACCATCTCCGGGGCGAACCCTAAAGTGCATGACACGATATCCACCGCGTCGGTATTGTCACTATCGCGCTCCCGTAACCAACACCAGTCGTAGCATTTGTAAAGCAAGGAACATGTGCGTGTGAATAGCTTCGTATTGGTGCGTAGAAGCCGGAACAAAAACCAAATTTACCGCCTATTGAAGCGGGCGCTTCGTCCTTCAACCCGCCATCCTATCTCATGGGAAGACGAACATGGTGCTACAATATCTGCCCTCGAACGCCACGCTGGGAAATGCTACAAAGAATACCACTTACATTCGAAACATCCTCCTTGATCCGCCCTTGGTTTCCAGGGGGCCGGTAAGTACTGCGTAACAATTACTTGGGTATGGAAGGATGCTACCGCTGCGGCCGATACGTCTGGACATCGTGATATGGACGATCCTGGAGGAACAGGTTCTCCGACCATGGCGGCAGTTTCTTGTCCCGCTCATACAAATATCCGCAGTTGTTACAAAGGCTGCGTGGGCCTCGCGGGCCGTCGCGGACGGCCCAGACGGCAGTGCCCCATACACAGCAATGTGCGCATCGCCAAGTAGTGCGTTCCCTGCGTGAGGCGTTAGAAGAGCCGAAATGAAAGGCTAGAATCCTGATGTTACTTACCCGTCTTGCAACCCTCCGTCTTGTCCACCGTATCCAGATCCTGCGCCCGGCGTGTCGCGGCCCACAGGACTGAGACTCCTGAAGCGTCGCTTCTTCTTGCTACGCTCGCCGCGACCCATGTTCTCCTGCTGTTCGATGTTGTTGAAGAATTCGTTTTGTGGGGCCCCGCTCATGTTTGTGGTAGAGGAAAAGCGCGCGGTTTCTCGTCGTAGTCGACGGATTTGTCGTTCACGGTCGCCTTCACGCTTTTCTATTTCTTCTTGGGAGAGAATCTCGACCTTGGGTTCCCACTCGTCGCAGAGGTGCTCTTGGTCATATCTCCAGCCTGCACCGATTGTGGGTTCCACAGCATCGTTGTCAATCTCGCCATCGCCAACTAGTCCACCGTTTTCGCAGGCTTCTTTCTTTAGACGCAGAACTGCTTCGTATATGGCGTGTGTCATGGCTGCTACCCATTCTCCAGATAAACCTAGATCGGCACACGTAACCTTTGCGAACATTTCCGCAAAACCTGGAGGGTGCAGTAATGACCATTCGAACTTGTCGGTATACAATCGATTCATCAGGTTGATGTTCAACGTGACGATGCAGCGGTAGGTATCGTCTGGATTGTGTAGTTCCTCAGAGGGCAACGCGGTAGCAGAGGCACTGACGCCATTCGGCACGGCTGCAGGTGTTTGCGCGCCGTCTGTGTGCGTTGTACCATTCGCAACGGGTGTGGATATGCCATTTGTGGGCAGTACTGCAGGGGTCGACGTGCCGTTTGTGGCTGGTACTGCAGGTGTCGAGGTCCCGTCCAATGCTGCTGCAGGCAGAGCAGGCTTAGTCGCAGTCGCATCGAGTGCAGGTGATGTTGTGGAGTGGAAGAGAGGGTGCAGCGCGACTCCTGCATACTCCTCCAACTGCTGCCGGATCTGGTTTGCGATTTCGAGGATCAGCTGGGGCTTGCGGGTTGCCGGGAGATCCAACTCGTCCACAAACTGCTTTGCGAACTGATCTGGCGTCATCAGAGCCTCGTGCAGGTTCCACAGAAAAGTGTCCTTCAGCCTGTATGCCGGCGTCATGTCGGGCTGCTTGTATGCGGGCAGGCTCTCGTTGATGCCGAAGTCGCGGGCATTGGAGGGCGTTGGAAGCGGGGCATCAGGGCGGAAAGACTGTATGTCCATGTCGATTCGGATGGGAATCAGAGTGACGGGCAAGACAGACTGCACGTGCACCTGTTTCTCGGTCCTGCGCATTCAGTTAGGGCTCATGCCGCATATTCGTTGCCCCATGCCAGGCTGTATCTCCGGCTGCACTCACAATGTGCGCTTGGGCCGTCCCATCCAGTCACGCCAGATGCCCTGAAGGTCGACAGGCGCAGTCAACTCCTGGCCCAGCGCTGCGATTTGCGCCGTCTTGTCCATGTTCGACGCGTCGTCTCCTCTCTGCACGCTGCGCAGGCCGGTCGCGCGGCGCGGGCGGTCGCTGTCTTCGAAGTCGTCATCGTCGTCCACGCCCTCTGCATAGCTGATGACGGCCGTTCCGCGTTTCGTCACGCGCGGCGCAGGAAGTGTGTTGGACGCCGGGACGATTGGCGATATTAACGAGTTTCCGTGAGATCGCAGGCGCGGCGCATAGCTGGACATGAACGCCTGGGGAGGCGCTGTCCTGCCCGTGCTTGTAAACATGGCTCCTGGCGCGCGCGATGGACCGTTTGCGAAAAGTGAGGAAGCTCAAGAGCTCGCGAGCGCTGGCCGCGTTGCAACGCTTTCAATCAAGAAGCGAGGTGGATGCGAGGGCGCAAAAACCGTAAAACAATCCCACGACTCTTATTTGGCCTAGTTTATCCGTTTTCCTACTTGTCTCGTCTGAAGCGTGTGTGTTGCTGCGTTCCTGGCGATCGATGCAGGTCAACTTCGCACCTTCGATGTTTCGCGCCTGCGGTTGTTATGTCAGGACGCTAGGCCAAAATGAGCTTAGTCGCTTCCGTCTGGACATGTTCACGCGTTTCCGTCATCATTCACGAAAAACCCTTGGCCAGACAGCCCATACCGACAGTTACTTTACATATTTCTGGAAAACAAAATGCTCTGTATAAATTATTGAACGAAGACATGTTACTCGCGGGCTACATTCAATTATCACCATAGAACGATGCAACGATAAAGAGGGTTTGTGTTCTTCCATGGCAATCTCAGCAGATAGAGCCCGCCACCGTTGCGTCCTCGATAATTTCAAGACCAGTCGTTCATGCGAGTATGGGGATTCGATCGCCCATCTGAGACAAATGTTTTCCGTATTGTTCCACCAGACAACTGACCAAAACATGTTTCTAAGCAAAGTTGTAGACTACTATATCAAATTTCCTATCCTCTCAACCTTCGCGCAAAGGAAGTGAATGAACTAGACCGTGCCAGGAGCTTCTTCTACTCTCAGTCAATTCGACCGTCTTTTCGTAGCGATATCATGTCTTGATCTCTTATTTGCGGTAGCAGATTCATCATATTCTGTTGTTTCTCTTCGCATCTTGTCCAGTCTATCATACTATTTCCATGCGAGAATTCCCAAAACTTCGAGCTTGAAGCACCCTATTGTCGTACCCACAGACTAGGCAAACTCTTTGACGTTACGTTCTTTTTGGCTAAGTATCATCATACTCCTTCACTTGGGTTCACTGTTAATGCACGGAGCCAGACATTGTCATCTAGTCATTCACTATCACTTCTCTGTTCACACACCAAGTTCTTGTGACGTCAATTCATTGTGAAGGTATTGTGTAATAACTCGACGATAATGTACTCTCCCTCACCGCAGCCGTTTGCCTATATAACTCTTCTTGCTATTCTCCCCTTCTCAACCAAAACGCTCAAGCAGGACAACTCAACCCACCTTCACTCAAAGCGCATCCCAATCTAACCTCAACCAACGCGCATTTGCAACAAGTCAAACCTCACGCTTTCGATTACACTGTTTATCAGGATGTTCACTTCAACCGCTCTTTTCGCCGCCATGCTGGCCATGGCTCCTCTGTCCGTCAACGCACATATGATCATGGCCAATCCCGTCCCCTACGGTTCGCCAAACAACTCACCTCTCGATCCCTCAGGCTCCGACTTCCCCTGCAAGGTTGGCGCCGGCGGCTCGTATGAAGTCAAGAAAATGAACGACTGGGCTGTGGGCTCCAAGCAAACCCTCTCATTCACCGGTACAGCCGTCCATGGCGGTGGCTCCTGCCAGGTTGCTGTTACGACTGACAAGACGCCCTCGCCTTCGTCAAAATGGAAGGTGATTTATAGCATTGAAGGGGGATGTCCAGCGTCAACGCCGGGTAATCTCGGTGCTGGAGGCGCTCTAGGCACCTTTCCCTTCGACGTTCCTTCTGAACTGCCCAACGGCGAGATGACAATGGCCTGGACGTGGTTCAACAAGGTCGGTAACCGCGAGATGTACATGAACTGCGCGCCCATCACTGTCTCAGGCGGCTCAGACGATAGCGCCGCTTTTGACTCGCTCCCAGATATGGCTGTTGCGAACATTCAAGGTCAGGGCAGCTGCAAGACGTCTGAGGGCTCTGACTACACATTCGAGAACCCGGGCAAGTACAAGACTGAGATCGGGACTGGTCCCTTTGTTTCTCTGTGCGGTGGTGCTCCAGCGGGGGGTAGTGGAGGTGTAAACCCTGGCAGCGGCTCTCCTCCTGTCGCCAACCCCGGCATTCCTGTCACTCCCTCTGCTCCGGCTCCTTCAGCTCCGGCTTCCTCTACCCCGATTGGGACCTCTACGCTCCGCACCATCATCACCGTCACCGCTCCCCAGGGTCCCAAGCCAACTGAAGGTGGTGTCTTCGCCCCCGGTGCATCGGCTCCAACTCCTAAAGCCCCTCTCGCTTCTCAATCTTCTTCCGCGCCCCAGCCCTCTCCCGCTCCTTCTACGCCCAAGCCTTCCCAAGCTCCCACCATCCCCGTTAACAAGCCTGACAATGTTAACTCTGGCACTGGTACTGGTACTGGCACGGGTACTGGCGCTGGTGATTCTTCCTGCTCTCCCGATGGCGCCTTAGTGTGCAACGGCGAGGCTCAGTTCGGCCTTTGCAACTGGGGTAAGGTTATCTGGCAGGACGTTGCTGCTGGGACGAAGTGCCAGAATGGCAAGATTGCCAAGCGGGAGTACACACACCGTGCTCAGCGTACTGCGGTTTAAGGCCGCAAGGCACAGGTTAGCCGTATAGACGAGTTTACAAGATGGACAAGTTCGCTTGTGACCGAATTGGCGTTGAGGGGGGGAGTGAGAGATTAAAAGCATTTTTGTCACATGTATATTTTTGTGTCTTTGCGCGATACGGCCAGTATGTAAGCCCTGCATTCTGTCAACTGCCTGGCGCACTGCAAGAGACAGAGCGAGTGTACTAGTCGTCATTTGAGTATCGTAGTGATAATCTAAACATCGTTTGAGTAATGTTATCTTTATTGTTTCTGAGTCATGTTCCCACTTCCTACTGCAATCCATGTTCTTTGCTTGGTATGCGGGATGGCAATGTACAGGATGAGTATGTGAGACAGAAGTTTTGAATGAAGTGTTCGTATCCAATACCTTTGCCTTATCTCAACCGTCCTCTCGGTGCCAGCCCCGGTCCTCCATTGCTTCTCAGCAACATGACACCAAACACGACCGCCACACCAATGGCCACCACCGTGACAGGTGACACTAGAGTCTCAGCGTACTTCTTACGATTGCGTCTCTTAGCCAATTCCGTGTATTTTCTCCTCCTCTCGGCAAACACCTCTTCCACGTTATCGGTCTTCTTTGTCTGCGTACTTTCATCTTGTTCCTCCTTGATCTCACTGTTCGCAATTGGCGTGTCGTTACGTTTCTTCCGCTCGGCTTCGGCCTTCTTCTCCCCAATGCCCAGGTACTCCAGCACAAGCGTGTCACCGCACTCGCTGAGGTCGATCCAGTCTCTCTGATCTCCACCTTGATCAAGAGGAACAGCGATATTGAGGCCGCCGAATTCACCTTCCTTGCCTTCTATTCGGCCGGCATCGACGCCTTTTGGTATCCAGGCTTCGAGAGCTTGAGCAGGCAGGCTGCGGAACACAAGAGACATCCACATTTCGATCACGTTGAGTAACAAGTCGGGAGAGTCCATGCCAGGTAAGGTGTGATTGCCCATGCTAGGCGAAGGTAAGAGCGCCAGAGTACCGAAAGCGTTGTAGATGCTTTTTTGGATGGCGAGGTAATGCAGACTAGGGTTGTCACGACGGTAACGAAAATTAAGATGCTGAGCGAAGCGTTGGCGGAGTGAGGATGCTTGTCCTATGTATGTGCGTACCCTGTATCCGTGATTAGATTGACATACTAGTAAAACAAACTTGTCGAATACATTTCAATGAAAGTCTTGAGCTCACCGTTTGTCCAACCCAAGCACACCGTTCACGTATACGCCACGACCTTCGAATCTGAGATCTCCGCCGATTGCTTTCAATCTGATTCATCATCAGTCATTTATGCACGAACCTTGAACTTATTTCACTCACCCATCAAGACTCCACCGCCCTCCCAAGAAGGTCCAAACTTGCGGTCTAACACACCGAAAGCAAAAGTCGTCCAGTTTCTGATGCCTCTCAACCCACTTGCCATACCGCGCATAGTACTTCGAGTCCGGCTCTTTCAGTTTCTCCAAAACATGCGTCAAGATTTTCATCGCTTCGACTTGCGCTGGTGAAAGTTGGTCTGGGATGTCGTACATTTTTGGTAATGATGGGGTGTGAGCATGCTGGGAGAAGGGTGAGGGCTGGGAAGCTGGCCACTGGCTATGGGTCGTTGCCATTTCCTAGTTTACGGATGCTCGTGTATGTTGGTGAGGATGTTAGGCAGCGCACCCGGACGGGTTTAGCGCAAGGCAACCAGGGGCAAAAGCAAAGGTGAAGTTGGGATGGATGATCTGGGCGTGAGATGTTGAGCGTCTGTTGCCTAACTGTGCTGCCAGTTGGGTCTAGGGATGTCTGTATCGATGAAAGGTGTCGTGATTCGAAGTCTAAACGACGATCTAGAGATGGTGTTTACAGAATGGGTGAGGCTAATGGAGGATCTTAGCGTCCGTAAACTAATATGCCTGATTTGGAAGGTTTAGCAAAGCATTGATTGCGGGCGCCTCTGGTGCCCTTCCTGTCAGGCACCAAACTCTTTTGCCCTGGTAGTCTCTAACTACTGAACTCCCACCTTCCTTGACACGTTTTGACATGGAACTCAATCACAACAGGCCGATCCAGTTGTTTTAGAGTAGGAAAAAAAATCGAAATTGTATATACTGAGATTTCAGTTGATTTGAAGGACGAAGGAGCCTAAATCAGGTTGAGGAACGAATAATATAATGTAGACTGTATAATGCCAGTTTATATGAAGGTGTATTTAATATGAAGTGAATCAGTGTTGGTCTTCTCTATGAACGTAAAAAACTGTTAATACACGTGCTTGAAGCTCGTAGCATGAATTGGTCGATCGATCTAATCTTATCTCATCAGTGCCTAACAGCCAACGACCCCTGCTGTAAAGGCCACAGCATCACATCCCAAGCCCAAGCTACAAACACCTAGCCGCGACATCTTGCATCCTTACTTCTCTGCGCCTACTACACCCAGACCTTCCAACCGAATCAACGCCATATATCCTCACGCGACTGCAGCACAGCCAAAATGGCAAGTACCTCCCCGCTGCGCACTGCAAACGCGCTTTCCCGAGTTTCTCCCGCTAACTCCAGCATTCCAGGCAAACGTAATAGCGAATTCCGGACACGATGAAATGATTGTACGTCTACAACAGCCTTCGTACCTCTCGCCGTACACGCACACATATTCCAGCCCAAAAAGTTTGAGGAGGGAAGCGCGCAATGGCGGCTGGCGGACAAAACATCGATCTGCTCTCTATTGAAGCTAATGAAGCACAGCATGATGCCGTGCTAGACTACTATGGTCGGCGGCTAGCGACATGCTCTTCCGACAAGACAATCAAGATCTTCGAGGTCGAGGGCGAGAACCACAAGCTGGTTGAGACGCTGAAAGGGTGCGTCATTCGCGACTATGACCCTCGTAAGATGTTAATAGCTAGACAGACACGAGGGCGCCGTCTGGTGTGTCGCGTGGGCCCACCCTAAGTACGGCAACATCCTCGCCTCTTCCTCCTACGATGGCAAGGTCCTCATCTGGCGCGAACAGTCGGGCGCCTGGCAAAAGATTTACGACGTCGCCCTCCATACCGCATCCGTAAACCTTGTCGCCTGGGCGCCCCACGAAGCGGGCTGCCTCCTCGCCTGCGCCTCCTCCGACGGCAACGTCTCGGTCCTCGAATTCAAAGACAACGCTTGGACACACCAGATCTTCCAGGCCTGCGGTTCCGGTGTGAATAGCGTGTCGTGGGCTCCTGCGGTAGCTCCAGGACAGGTCGTTAGCGCAAGCGGGAACCAAGCGGGCGCTGCGAGACGGTTCGCTACTGGTGGAAGCGATTGCCAGGTCAAGCTTTGGGACTTCAGCCCCGAGACAGGGAGCTGGCAGAACACACAGGTTTTGCCAGGACACACGGATTGGGTACGCGATGTCGCGTGGTCGCCTACAGTTCTCTCTAAGTCGTACATTGCGTCTGCATCACAGGACAAGACTGTGCGCATCTGGACATCCTCGGATTTACGTATGTGAAAGATGAATCAGGACATCAAATAGGTACTGACGAGTTATAGGTGACTGGAAGTCCACTGTCCTTAATGTCGATGCCGTCGCTTGGCGTGTAAGCTGGAGTTTGAGTGGTAATGTGCTGGCAGTGAGCACTGGTGACAACAGGGTCAGCCTGTGGAAGGAGAGATTGAACGGTGAATGGGAGTGCGTCAAGACGATTGAGGAGTAAACTATATTCTCGACAGCAAGCACACAAATACGTACGAAAGATACTGGCACGACGATAGTGAGACACGGCCTGACTGGCAAGGCTACGGCTGTTGAATATACATGGCAAGTCAAGCATAGGCGAGGAGTGGTGGTTGAAGCGTGTGAGGAAAAGAACCAACAGTCCATTGAGAAGTTCGTACTGTCTACAAAGGCAGAAGTATCAATACAACACACGGAAGTATTTCTCTCTGCAATTACTTGCCCTTTGTAAGAAAACCTGTCCATATCACTATTCTTGGGTCTGTAAGCATTTCGTCTCCTGGCTACTTGAACCGTGAAAAGATATATGGCGCAACGCATCAAAGAAGAAACAATCTTCATAGTGGTATTTGTAATATTCCATAGTTCAAGAGTTAGCTCAAAGTTACTATTCGTGCTTTCAATCGAAAGATGTTGTACGCCCATGAACTTGATAGCATATCCATTCTCGTCGTGATTCCGGAGGTGGTATATCGTGATAAGGATACCTTTCCTAGCACATTCTTCTATATTAAAGACGGGAAGAGCCACAGGCCGCTTTCTTCCTAAAAACGTCGCCCTTTCGATATGGGTGAACAGAATCAGAATCCCAACGCGTCGTGAACACGTCTCTTATCGATACGTAGCCCCACTTTTACAAACTCGACTCCCTCCGATTCTGCCACCCTCCCCACACCGCCTCCAAATTATCTAAACCGCAACCAACCACTCCAACACCAACACCACAACCTCCCACCGTACCGAAATCGCAAACACCTACACACCCAACACCAACACCCCACATACCCACGAAACCCCCCGCACAAAACCACCCTCCAAAATGGCAAGCCAATACCAGCCCCCCAACACCACCGCGCAAGACGACGCCGCCACAGCCGCCGCAGCAACCGCGCGCACAGTCCTCTACAAGTGCGGCGACTGCGACAACGACGTGCCGCTGAAGCGCGGCGAGCCCATCCGGTGCAGGAACTGCGGTCATCGCGTGTTGTACAAGCAGCGGACGAACCGGTGAGTGGTGGTTCTGCGTGTCTCGGATGCGCTTGGAGATGGGGGGTAGAAGCTAACGTGGGGATAGAATGGTGCAGTTTGAAGCGCGATGAGCGGGTAAAAGAGTCGGAGTATCGCGGTGATAGGGCGGTGGGGCGGATAGGATTTCCATGGAGGGAGGTGGAGGAGTGGTCGGCGAGCTTGGAGTGATTATCCAGCATGGGAGTAGGCCTTTTTGCAGCTTTTGAAGCATGGAGTTATCGGTTGGAATGGGGAAGCTTTGGCTTTGCAGAGGGACACAGCGCATGTGTGCAAAGGATGGAAGCCATGGAGATGGAACAACAGGAGGACAAACGTGAGCTGCAGACTTTCTCAGCGTCAGAGTCATATATCCCCAGAAACGGACATCACGCGCAAGACATTTGCTTTACTCATATCTTGGTCGCTTCTCGTTACTCCCCCATATATGCACAGAACAGTTCCTTTGCCCTCACCAAACCAGTACGTAAATTGCACCTCCTAGGTCTACATACACTCAATCACCGGACGCCACAACATATCCATTCCCGACACAGTGAAGATAGGCAGCGCTGTACTTTGTACTTCCCCGAGGCTGCGCCCGCAGCAGCAATCACCCGGACTCCGACTATAAGAACAACAGCAGCAGCCAGGTTGAAAAGGTAGGCTAATAAAGACAAAGTCCGACGCCTATGCGATGCTCATATTTCGATATGACATGTTCTACGGCTTGAGTACCTCTCCGCAAAACCATCATAGCTCATGCAATCATCATGCGAATCGGCGTTGCATCCAGGCAATTCGCAGACCTCCTAGGATCCCCTAAAGGCATCGAAACGCTTGTACGTGTAGCCGATGAATGGCAAGCTCGTCGCGTACTCATCTTCGCCCGACTGTGCGGCCTGCGCCCTGTACGCAGCGCTGGTGTCGTTCTGGTCAATCTCGTCAATGGGGAAGTATTGCGTGTCGACGTTGGACTGCAATTTGGGCTCGAACGGCGCACGAATGCGGCGCAGTCCATCCCACGACACGCCGCGGAAGAAAGGATGTTGCCTGATTTCGCTCGCGCCACCAATACGGCCGATACGATGCTCTGCATCACAGATCAGGCTAGAGAGATTCTCGTTAGCTTTAAAGTTTGAGAAGAACAACGCAAGGAACACTCACCGCCTGACAAAATCTTCGGCCTCTGCGCCAAGCTGCTGATCCGGTGGAAAGTGCAAGTTACGCGGCCAGTCGACAATCTTGCGGTATGTGTCGTGTGGCTCCTCTGCGCAGAACGGCGGCCAGCCAATAAGGCACTCAAACATGATCGTACCAACAGACCACCAATCGCAACCAAAATCGTATCCTTGACCGCTGAAGATCTCCGGCGCAATGTAATCTGGAGTGCCCACCGTTGAGTAGGCGAGTTGACGACGCGACTTTCGCCATGTGTTGATTTGGGTACGGTTGCTAACCGTCAACTGAATTTGGTCCAAGTTCATCGAGTTTCGGTTATCCCGAGCTGACTTGTGCGCGCCGCCAGCAAGCAGCTTCTTGTAGTAGCCAGCATCGTGTTCCTTGTGGAAACCTGTTGATAGACCGAAATCAGTCAATTTGATGTGGCCCCCACGGTCCAGCAGGATGTTGTCAGGCTTGATATCACTTCCTATGGTTAGCAAAATGTACACAAATGCTTAGAATGAGTAGCTCTTACCGATGTATGAATCCCAGCTTATGAACAGCTTCTATAGCCAGCACAATTTCTGCCATGTAAAAGCGGGTGATGTCTTCGGTGAAGATTTCGTACTTGATGAGCATCGTCATCAAGTCACCACCAGGCAAGAACTCCATAAGCATGTATAGGAAAGTGTTGTCCTGGAAAGTAGTATGGAGCTTCACGACCCACGGACTGTCAGATTCGGCAAGGATATCACGCTCCGATCGGACGTGAGCCAACTGATCTTTTTTAAACTGCTTGCTGTTAGCCTAATGCCCTACTCAATAAATGCGAGACATCGAGGCCTTACCATTTCTTGTTTGACAAGCGACTTCAACGCATAAATCTTGCCGTCGTTCCTTCGTTGAACAAGCTTGACTTCTCCGAAAGCTCCCTTGCCGATAATCTTGAGCGTCGAGAAGTTTTCTGGCTTCTCCTTCGTTCGCAGGAAACGTAGGTATTCGATCTCGGCACGGCGCATGTTATGCTCCTTCTGTGATTTGCGGTTGTCGGAGATGGAGGGCTCCTTCATGATGGATTCTAGCTCCAGAGCTCTGCTTGTGCGTTAGCAAAATCTTTCGAGCATGCAGCACTTGAGTTACCTTTGGTTCCGGTCGCGTGCCCGCTGGACACTATCTTTGAAGAAGGTGTTGATCAGACTCTTCGACATGGTCGCCTGCTTCGCAACATTCTCCGAGTACTTCTCCGGGTTCTTGGGCAAGGGCTCCTCGTCGTTCAGCGAAGATCCTCGAGGCGCAGAGCCGCTGCCATAGTTTCCGTAGCCATGTCCCCTGTTGTCTGCAGTGCGTGGGCGCTGCTGGCCTGGTGAGGCCTGGCGACCGTACGAGCTTCCAGAGCGAGCGTTGCCTCCCAGATGCTGGTGGGAGAGTTGTTGAGCAAGACCGTTGGCATCATAGCGTGCCTGACCCTGGCCCTGGAGGTTCCCCTGCTGTCCCTGGTACTGGGCCTGCTGGTAGGGGTTTTGGAAATAGCCTCCATAGCCATTGCCCTGCTGCTGCTGCGCACCCCAGACCTCCTGTTGGCCGGCCTGGTTCGGGTATACGGGCTGCGGGAACGTCGAGGGAGTGGTTGGGAACGCTCGACCGTCGTTTTGGAACTGGTTGCCGCGGTCACCGCCTCCAAGGCCAAAGTTTAGGTTCAGCCGGTTCGGCTGCTGTTGATTATTCATTATGGGCGGTGGAGAAGGGATGAGGATCCACAGATGGCCTCCTCAGTAAATTGGGTGTCGGGACGGTTGGGTGGTGGGTGTGGTGCGGGAGAGAGAAAGGTCCGCAATGCTTTTGGAGGGGGTGCTGGAGAGCTGCTGCCCAAGCCGGCCGCGGGGGAATCAGGGAGCACGAAAAGGATACCGCGCTTTCCAGACAGCGCAAGAAGTGAACGACTCTGCAAGCAGACTCAGAGCGGACAGCTGGCAGGTAAGAGAGGACTGGGGAGTGTCGCAGACGCTCAAGTCAGGGATAGAGTCCAAGGAGCCGGACTAGAGCAGGCAAGTGGGTGCAGCAGACAGCTAGCGCGGAACATTATGCGGGCGGGGGCAGGTCAAGATCGAGTAGGGAGATACACGGGTGACACTTCCAGAGCGAAGGCATGGACTCCTGGTAGCTGGATGCGATATACCTGGGATTCCATATATTCACCGCCTTTCTCGCAAAGCTACCCGATGCCCCATGGAATCACCATCTTTGGGCATCTCCACACAGTACGTGCATACGGCAGATACTGCAGCGCATCCCGCCGTTTACATGTTCACATGCTTGGGCCAGAGCCGTTGCAAGCTCTGTGCAGATGGCGGTTCCGTGCTGTGCTCCTGCAACTTCAGATCCAAACCCTGATACCAAATCCTTGCTGGGAACAAGATGTGCGCCGCGACGGAGGATAAGAGCGCACACTGGGATCACCAATACCTGGCCATCATATCGTCGTATTATTCTGGAAAGCATATATCTAGCTACCAGACATCTCCACGTGTCGCTTGAGCATGTGGGCTCATACAAAAGCAATACCACGGCTGCAGCCACGCGAGGAAAAAGCGTGGTCACGTAGGACGGGGGGGGAATCGAGTTTTCTATTACCATACACGTTGAAACACATTCACAGAATGGAATTGACAACAGCACGTTGTCACCAAAGCAAGAGGCAGAACTAATAACACATCAATCGACTCGTTTTCAGCCTTGATCCATTACACATTTATAGTACATTAACAATACATCAATGCTAGCGAGAGTACAAGCCATCCAAAACAAGCTCGAAGCCCAAATTAGCGATCCCACGATGTATACAGGGTTGCCATTAATGAAGGAGAAGTATGTGGCATCGTAGACAGCTGGAGGGTATAGAACGATGACCGCAAAACTGCTGGTCACGACAAATAGTAGGTATCCTCAGGATGCAACGAATGTGTAAGGTAAAGCATAAAATGCATGTAATCGTGACGCCCGAAATGCGATATTCAAAAAGAACGCCGGACATGTTGTTGTGGAATTACTAGGGCTGTCGAGGATACAGCTAGTAAGTTGAGGAGGGCAAGTAAGGCAAGAACGTCGTGGCCAGTGTACAACATCGGGTGTGATGGAGTTACGAGGTAGAGTTCATCAAGACCTTGACCTTCTCGCGCTCGGAGGTTATCTCGGCTTGGAGTTTTCTCGTGGAGCGGAGAGCTTCGTCTCTGTAGCTAAGTCAGTGGTGTATCTCTGCTGAATGTCTTTGTTCGACTAACCTCTCGAACTGAAGTTCAGCGACCTCGATCTGGGCAAAGTTCATGCGTCCGACAACTTCCTCCATCTCGCGGTCAGCATCTCTGAGAGCCTTCTCGAGCTCCTCTACGCGCTTCTGAAGGAGTTCTGTCTTAGTGGCCTCGGCCATGGTCATAGCGGGCCCGCTGCTTGTCACGTCGAGGCGAGGAGATCGTTGAGCAAATACAGGCGACAAAGGCATCTTGGGAGAGAAAGCAGCCGGACTAAGCAAGCCAGACTTCACACGACGCAGGTGGTCGCTGTGGCTCTCCTTTAGTGTCTGTACCTCCTCTTCGTGCTTCGCGATGGCATCTTCCGACGACTGCTGAGCAAACATAACCTTATCTTCTGCCGTCTTTAGTCGTCGTTCCAGCTCGATGATCTGCTCTGTTGATTTTTGTTGCTCTTTCTCACCACGAGTGATGGCTTCAGTCAGGCGATTGCGCAAAGAACTGTTAGCTTGAAGTTGTTGTTGTATCCTGTTGGACAACTCGTCCATGCGTGTGGCAGCGGCGAACAACTCGATGCTGAGCTTTTGCTCCTTGCCCAGATGCTCAATTTCTGACTTTTGCAGCTCTCGGGCTTGTTCACGATAATACTCAGCCTCTTCCTGAGCCAAGTCGCGCTCGGCCTCAGCATCCGAGATACTCTGCTTCAGAAGATCTAGCGTCCTTTGCGCTTCAACTCCAGCAGCACCAAGCGAGTCGCCATCACTTGACTCCAGTTGTTGAATACTGGCGATTGAGAGTGCATGAGTGGTACGGAGCTCGTTGTAGGCCTTGTCCAGAGAGATTGGCTCGTTTTCGAGGCGAATTTCCGGAATAGCAATTTCATGCTCGTGGAGAAGATCCCGAAGTGAACTCGTCTCTTGTTGTGCGCGATCGAGGTCCATTCGCAATCCACCTAGACCTTTCTCGCACTGGTATTTTTGCTCCAGCGCATCGTCGGCGCGACGTCGAAGCGAATCGACCTCTTGTCTTAGATCAGAGACTTCCTTATGGAATGCAGTTCGCCGGGGGGTGACATTGAGAGCTACATCTCTCTCTGCCTCTAATTCTCTGATGCGTCTTTCGAATTCCTTCTGTTGCATCTCCTGTCTTTGCAACAGGTGCTTCAAAGCTTTGTGGAGTGCATCCCGTTGTTCTTCCAGTTCCTTGACTGGATTACCAGCTACCGGAGCCTGTTCTCTGGGAGACGCTTCACCTGATTTATCCTTGACGGAATTTGATCGCGACAACCTCATTGACTTGAATGCACCAGTACTTCGAGCTAAGGAGTTGGAGCGCGACAACCCGACGCGCAAGGTTGTTGTTGGGGAGTCGTTGGCTTCTTCGGCGATGGGCTGGAACGGTAGGTTTTGCTGTGGCATTTCGAGCTGCAATTTGCGCGTGTTGTTCAGTGCCTGGTTTTCGGTTCGAAGATGCTCTATCTCTTGTTGCATGCGAGTCGTCTCGTGTACAAGTCTCTCCGTGTCGACTGCCTCGACCTCCAAGACTTCGAGTCGAGCTCGAAGCTGAGGAACGATTTGGTCTCGTAGCTCGTCAGCCTCGTTGCGGTGCTTCTCAAGTTCATCGCGGAGTGCGGTTAGGAGGTCTTCGAAATTCTCTTTTACCTGCCTCTCTTCAGCCAAACGTCTCTTAGCATCTTCTAGCGAGGTTGTGAGCTCTCTGAGTCTAGGGCTTTCTGAGAATGAGCCAGCTCTCGACTTGTCGCTAACCTGCTCCTCTAGATGTTGAACTTGCTCCTCTAAATCTCTCCGACGTCTAAGCTCTTCTTGTATCCGCTCTGCCATACGCACTTTCAGCGAGGCACGGTCTTGTTCTGCTTTCCTGCGTAGTGTTTCGACTTCTTCGAGTTTGGCTTCAGGGTCCCCAATAGGGAATCGAACCGAACTCGTCCCAGAATCTGAGAAATAGTCGCTGGTCCTTCGATTGTCAGATGGCGCAGTGGTGGAGCTTTCTGCCTTCCACCGCTCGACTTCATCCTCCAGGTCCATCTCTCTTTGTATTGAAGAAGCAAGCTCCGAGCTTATTTCGCGCAACTCGCGCTCGAGTTCCTCTACGTGGGCGTTCATCTGAGGTGACGACGAGAAGAGGGGGGTTCCAGGGACATTGAAATACGACTGGGCCGCTGGGATGTCCAGGCCCTCGGGCTTCGTTCTGGTAGACATGTGAGATTGTGCGTATCGTGGGGAATTTCCAGGAGACAAAGACCTCTCGGAAAATGTAGTGGCTGGCGAATCTGCGCCGTTCTGGCTCTTTGATGCGTTCCAGCCGAAGAAGGATGTGAAGCCGCCGCCTGGCGATTTAGGCTTGCTTGATGACGTTTGTTCTCGTGCTACGTCTTCGTCCAATCTGTAGGTGTCTTCGTCGATGATGACTTCTGTCACACCATCCAGTCGGAGTCGGAGGTCTGGTTGTCGTGGGTCTGAGGTATACACGGGCATGTTGGGCATAGTAGGAGATCGAGTGTGCAATGGCCTGCCTCCTTGCGATCTCAATTCCTCTGTCCTGTTTGTTCGCCGAGGTTGGAAGCTACTGGCCGATCTCTCATGCCGCGGTGCAGAGGGGATAGGCGTAGTCGTGATGGAGAGCGAACTCTTGCGTGGTGCAAATGTGCTCTTGGAGGCGGTTCCCTTTAGAGGCGTGTTGCCATGCGGGTTGCTACAATTGATGTCAACGCAAGAGAAGGCGCGGAGGGGCGAGGGACTTACTCGTCTAGGTTCCTGGGCAAGAAGTTGGCGTCGTCTAAAGGAGGCGACAGGTTCGCAAGGGGACGTCGACCTGAATCGGACTGGTGACTTTCTGTATCTTGGACGACACTTGAGCGGAAGGTCGGTTGTGCTTGTGGTGCGGAGAAGCGATTGCTAACGAGCGAGTTTGCCGGGAGGGGCTTTCGTCGAACCGGCGACTGGGACTGGGAGTGGGAATGGCCGGCAGCGGACGCAGGTAGAGGAGGTGTCTGCGACCGGAAGGAAGCGAAGGATTGAATAGCAAAAGATGCGAGGGTGAAGGGGTTTGGACGAGGTGGTGGTGACCCAGATCGCGTCGGGCCCTCTACGGGGTCTTTGTATTTGTGCATATTCTGCTGTTATCGCTCCTCAAGAGGCATGGCATTGCACAACTGGCCGATGCAGTGAATGGAGGTGAGGCGCGACTCGCCAGCGCAGGCGGTGGGTACTCGTAATAGGAGACTGATTTGCCGACTAGCAGATCGCAGCTCTCGAATTGGCCGCTCTCGACGCGCCCATAAACGAGCTTGGCCGAGACGGGCGGTTCGCGCTGAGAGTGGAGCGTGCCGCGTTGTTCGCTTCTGCAGGAACCCTTCCAGGTGACAGGTGAGGGCCTATCAGCGTGCCAGAGCGGATCGACGGCTGATGATGAGCACCAGAAGGGGTGAGATGGCTGGAGGAATGCTTGGGGATGCTTGCTACGACCACTTCCACATGCTACCCTGTCTGAGTGGCAATTGACGCTGTGTCGAACTGCCTTGACACTCCCTGCTCCATCGACAAGGCGAGGGCATATCACAGTCTACAAAAGTCGATCAAACTCTCCGTGCAACATCGACGCCAGCAGCGGGTGGCTTGCTGACTGCTTTTTGTGCATCTGATGCGCAATCTTCTGCCCGTCAACGTAAGATCCAATGGGGCAAGCGCACCCTGAAGAATGGGGAAAGTGCCGAGTGCCCCTGACCATGGCGCATGCTAGAGCCATCTTGTGAACAGCTCGTGATGGAGCTTTTATCTCTGAACGAGTCTGGGCCGCTGCCACTGTGCTAACAAAAGACTGCAATCTGTTCGGCGATGAAGCCCTTCATGTTGAGCACGGCGGTACTGACTCGTGTTCACGGTGGGGAACAACATGCGACCGACATCTTGACGTGCGTCAACCTGAACGACCACTGGCAACATTGATAAGTTATCACGCATTTCACATCACTAACAACTCACGGACCTCAAACTACACAATGGCATTTCAATCGCCCCGCCACTCACAGAACTTCTACCAATACGATGCATCTACCCCACCTCCACCCCCGCCAAAGACTGCGACACCATCGACAGGCCCTCCACTACCTCCCCCGCCCCCAGGCCAGTCGCAGTCGTATGGTGGCCAGCAAACCTCTTCCCAAAACCCATCTCAAGCAGACCCCAGTCAACTCACAGTTCATCCGCCAAACGATGGTTGGCTGCCTGACGTCTTGAAAGACAGGCCGTATGTCACACCAGACACGCGCCGGGCTCGATGCTGAAACGCGTACAGGACAAAAGATCTCCATCACATCCTGCAAACCCCAGACCTTCAGCATGCAATAATTCACAGTCCTGAGACAGCACACCCATCACTTGCAGCATCAACTGCGCCCTTACAAGCACTACTGGCGCAGAATATAGCGCTGGCAGAGTCACTGAAACAGATTGAATCACACGTCCAGCATCAACGTGATAACACACAGTCACGTCTACTGTCTTTGCGAGCCTTGGAGCGCCAGTGGAGGGCGAAGCAGGCTGAACAGGACGAGGCTTTGCGGGAATTTAGCCCCCCGGCGCTGTATCAGCGGTTGAGTGCTGCAGTAGGCGAGCAAGAAGCCCTGTGCCTGGGTCTTGAGGAGAGTTTTCTCGAAGGTCAAGGTGCTGGAGGTAGCGATGTCATTGCAAGTGAGCGAGAGGTGACCGAGTTTGTGAGGCGGCTGAGAGAAGGTCGAAAGACGTTGTATCTCCGAGCAGAGCGCAAGGAGCGATGGGACGAAGGTAGAGTTGGTGGGTGGCGATGAATCAGACACATCATTTCGACGCGCCTCCCAACACAAGTTAGAAAAGGTTGACACACTTTACTCGAAACGAGGCGTCTCGACCTTGGACAACTTCGTTACAACAACAACAACAATAACGATCGCAAAGGCTGCTAATCGCCCCCACGACTGTGGACTTTGTTCGACCAAAGCTTCATGAAACGCTCCAATGGCCGAGCAATCCGCATGATACATCAACCGCAAACTGGCAGATTCACTCAAACTTGGATGCTACAACAGAGTCATGCCGTCAACCACCATAAGATCAGGCACATCTGAAGAAGCATAGCGCACATCCAGCGTTAATGATGCTTGTTTATACTAGAGGTAATTGTAGAGGAGAAGAAATTAGTATCTTGTGAACTTGAGAGTGTCAACTATATGTGTTACACCTATTTATCCCATATCGCACCTCTTGTGCTTTGGGTAATCAACCTTTATCTCGCTTTCCCATTGCATACTCGACGACCCCATATTTATTCATCCACAATCTCGCCCGAGCATTTTTGCGAGTACATATATATCTTCCTCTCCCCCTTCTGGCCATCCACGGATCAAAACACACTCCACCGCTTTCTCGAAGCTACATTAACCAGACTAAAACACAGGAATCACATTGTATAACAGTAAGCAGCAGTAATGTAGCATTAACAACTACAGATATACAAGAAAAGATCAAGTATGACAAGCTGTGCAGATACATTCGAAAACAGACCAAGCATCAAGTCCTCTTACAAGAAGCATGCGAACGGCGTTTAAACTTAAAATTAAAATTCGAACTCTCACAGAACCGTGTATATAAGTGCCAGCCTGTTCAAACACTGGAATGCGACACTGATGGAATGGTAAGTAGTATGGGCCATGCATACTACTCTGCAATATTCATATCGCCATCTATGCTGTCAAGTATGCTCGAAAATATTCTTCAAACCGAAGTCATGAAACAGTAACTACATCATTAGGATTGGCTACGAGTTAGGGATAAATCCGTACCTTGCCACTGAATTAGAAGCAAGAGGTCTTCATATTCAATTTTGAGGACTTTACGTATGCTGTGTTTATCGACCTCCTCCACCTCATGTCAAACTTCTCGACTCCATTCAACGCCGTGTAGTTGCAATTTGTATAAGGCTTTAACGCAGTCGCCCACGCCAAGTTGTCAAAGAGAGTGAACAGTTGCTTGTGCTACGTTGTTGCTAATACCCATCAACCCCTCCAAGAACACGGAACAATTCTCGCCTGGATTCGCGTTAGAGATGCATGTCCGCAGACAGGCTCAATTGTCTGTGCGAGCATGGGATGTGCTAATATCAAGGCAAGGAATCCCCGCTGAGACAACTTTCCTGGCTAAACGTATGTACTCGTAGAATGATCCTCGTCCATTGATGGTTCTTGAAAACTAAAAGCTAGTAATATGTAACCGAGTAGTTTTGAAGAAACGTCTGCATCTTGGGCTTTTGAAACTTGATCCACGTACACATCAACCCGTACGGCTCTTGCGGTGAACATTCACCATATTCTACTTCTACGGTGACATGCCCGCCGAACATCATCTTAATAAAGAGTGTTTCTTGTTTACGCTCCGACATATGTCACTATTGTATGAAGAGTCCCTCATATTCAAATCCGAAACAACGAGCTGTCAAGAAGACCGCATATTTGAAAATCGACTGTAAGGTTATGGCTGGCAAATTGAGACGCGTCAACGCGGGTGATCACCATGCTTCGTTTATGGTTCGTGGCCAAGCATGATGTGCTCGGTTGGCGCTTGAAAGGTTCGAGAAGGGTTCCCTGCCCATCGCTGGGGATACCCTGGACTCATGTATTTTGTTGGCGAAGCGAGGCGGCGAAGCTATCTAAACGAGATCATCCGTGACCTCATCTCTTCATTGGCGCCTACGTGTTTGACATAATTCAGCTGGAAAGTGTCGCACACAGAGCTGATGAACAAGAGGTGGTGATTGTGGTGTCACAGAACCTGATCGACGTATGCCTCCAGCCGGTCGTCCCTGATTTCAGGGTCCTTGTTCTGTGCAACGGTAGGACGGACAGAGCGATGCAGCATGATGAACAGCTCATTCCTCAGGTCTCTGATTTAAAGTTTAGCCACGGCCTGCATCGGCAGTGAGTCCTGCATGTCTTCGCTAACGCTGTAGAGATGGGCAAAGATCTGCCTTTCATTTGAGTGATGTGTCATGCAGCGACCTGTTGCATTCAGCTTCCGTCAGGCAACGGCTTCAACGGCGGGACGTGTTGTCGTCACACGTCAACAGCCCTGGGTTGTGCAGACATTACTTGGGCTCAGTTTAGTTCTAATGAGTGCTACATGATGGTTAAGTGCTTGCTCTTCTTTGGCAACCCAGATACCGTGTCGGAGGTGGCTGGGATTTGAGGTTGCTCTGGGGGTCTATGGGTGATTGGTGTTGAAGACGTCATTACACAGACGGAGGTATGCCTCGTGAAGGAAACCCGGCCCGGAAGACGCTGTGTTAAATGACTGAATGAAAGTATGAAACCAGGATGTCGGTGTTTAGCATGGCAGAGAGGGAGCACCTTTGATGTAGACCGAGACTGGAACTACCCAAGCCAGAAAAGTGGGCAAACAAGAGGCGCCGAGAAAGGCTGACAGAGTAGGAAGGTAGAAAGTGGTGGCTCATGAGGCGTTTGAGAGAAGGGAAGCTTGTCCTCGGACTGCCCCCCGGTTCCAGGTACTGCAGCAATCAGCCTCAAACTAGGCATTTGCCAGGCCGGGTCGGAAAGGGATTGGGCAACGCAAACTGCTCTGTGTAAGCGTAGCAGAACGCGTCGAGAGGCGACGCGCCTTGCTGCATGCATGGTACAGCATCCCGATCGTCCCAATGACACGCGACCAGCAATGGCAGTGCGGGTGACGAGACGAGCAGGACGCAATCTCCTGCATGACAGCTTGAGGCCCTTTGTGGACAAGACCCTTGCCCGATGCGTAGTTCCAATGAGATGGGTGGTCAAGTGGAGAGGGGCGAGGGCTGCTGAGTGCTGATTGAAGGAATTAGCAGGTGGAGAGTCGAGAGCTGTTGGAAGGTGGGCAGGCCTCGCACGTGACGGGCTCGCAGGCGCTAAGACGGGTGTCTTCAGATGGCATTTTCCTGCTTGCAGCATCTGCACATTGACTCCCGTCGACCCTCGTCTTCGCCAGCGCTGCATCGCTCGCTTCCACGCCCAGCGCTGTAACCGAGAATCTGCAGAACAGCCGCAGCCTGTAAGAAGCGTGGCAGCGGGAGCAAGGACGCAAGCGAGGCGACTAGCACTCTGTAAGTTGCATCCGTTTCCCTTGAGCATGCACTTTTGCTATTTCGCTGCGCACTGCCACCCACGGCCTGCTCAAGGCGGCTAGGTGTGCAGTGCTGCAATCGGGGCCTGCGATGCCGCCTCCCTTGGTTCCAGCACGCACACACGCACACACGCACGCACATGCACATGGATGGCGCATTCTTGACGTCGGTTTCCTGCTCGTGTCTTGTTCCTGTGGCTCCGTCGCGCATCCTGTCCCGTGACACGGCCTCGCCCATGCGTCGTTGCTGACGATCCAGTGCTAGAGCGCAGTGCATATCCAAATCGTAGGTGATAGACGAGCGTCCGACCGAGGCCCCCCTGTGAGCAGCTAGCTTCCCGATCCGGCTGGCATTGCGCCTCGCCAACATATCCCAGTCCCTACCTAGCCGTCCCTCGCCCATCTGCTGGCGTCGAACCTTCAAGCTTTGTAGCGAGCTGCGGCTGCGTGCCTCCCAAAAGTCGACTGTCCGCCAACCTGTGCAGCGCCCGCCCGCACCGTCGCCGCCCGTGCCAGTCCATGTCGCAGGACTTCTCCTCGCAGGCCCACGCCGCGCCCTACTCGTCGGCCCCCGCGCACTTTTCGCAGGCGACCATGGCCGACCCCAACGTGCAGCAGCGCCAGCAGGCCGTGGCCTATCCGTCGCCGCACTCGTACCCGTCGCCGTCGATGCAGCCCACGTACACGTACCCGCCGCCCCAGGGCCAGCAGGGCAGCGAGCCGTACCGCGAGTCGCCGCAGAACGCCAACATGTCGCTGCCGCCCCTCAACCTGCCGCCAATACGCCTGCAGGACGGCCAGCAGGCGCCGCCGCAGCACCAGCCCGCGCAGCAGCCCATGAACGCGTCGCACCCGCCGCCGCCACACAGCATGCCGCAGTACTACGGCCACCCAGGCGCCCCTCCGCCCGGCCAGCAGATGAACATGGGCAACATGGGCCCCGCGCAGTACGCGGCCATGCGCTACCAGCTGCCGCCGCAGCAGGGCGACCAGCGGGTCCTGTCCGGCGGACGCCACAAGAAGGAGATCAAGCGGCGCACAAAGACGGGCTGCTTGACCTGTCGCAAACGACGCATAAAGGTGAGTGCGGACCTCAATGGCTTGCGATTGGCAGACGCGTCGTGGACGTGATGCGCGAGGCGAGGCGACGTGCTTCGCTTGGTCGCGACAACGGCTGTCGCTTCTAGCCGAGCCACCATGAAGCGAGCCAAACTATCCACCCCCTCTAATGCGACCTCACGTCTTCGCCGTACACGCGCGCTAACCGCTTAATCCACGCAGTGCGACGAAGCACACCCCATGTGCAGGAACTGCCAGAAGAGCAAGCGCGAGTGTCTTGGCTACGATCCCATCTTCAAGCAGCAGCCCAGCCCTGCCCAAATACAGCCTGCGCCCAACTCGACGTCGACACCACACGCAGCCGCTTCGGCACCTGCCCCAGCCCCGCCAGTCCCCTCTGCATACAACCAGAGCCCCGTTCCACAAGGGTATGCGCCCGCCTCTTCTGCAGGGTACGCGCCCGCTGCTGCTGCCACCAGCGCGACACACATCAAGCAGGAAGACTTCAACGCCATCGACCCTGCGCTTGCCGCCGGTGCAGGCCCAGGGATACATCCCAACCACATGCCCTACAACGGTGTGCACGCAGTCGACCCTTCAATGAGGGGTGCCAACGCCTACCCCCATGCACCCCAGCCTCAACCAGAGCCAGTGAAAGGTTCGTGCCCACAAGTGTTAGTCGCCTCCTGAACCATTACTAACCCAGTCACGCAGGGAAACGACTGACCATGAACGACATATTTGGCATCTGCAATCACAGCCCACCAGATGTTCCCCAGCGCACCTCGCCTGTGCCGCCTGAGTTCGACGATGAGTTCACAAAGATCTTTGTAAACGACTACTGCCAGGGCCTAGACCTCATGCTCCAAACGACATGGTTCTCGACCAACAACAACGCACTGAACAGAGTGTTCGCTGACAGGGCCCTGCATGAAGAGGCAGCCTACTTTACCGAAATCATCAAGTACCGGCCAGGACAGGCAGACATGACTGGCGTGTTTAGTCAAGAAGCTCGTCTCATCTGGCACCTGCTAGGTACTTCCAAGCACGCACTACCAGCTACCAACGGAGCCGATGGTACATCGTCCGCTGAGGCTGATGATTTATCGTTGAGAGAAGTTCGAGGGCGATTCGATATCCTGGAAGCTCTACTTACCAACCAAAATCTATCCGCGAACCCTCTGCGTCAGATATCGTATCCAGCTGATCTCCTCGATGACGAGAGAAAACAACAGGAGATTCAGTTCTGGCAACTGCTAGGCGATTTTGTCCAACATGCTGATGCCGAGTCTGCGCCACCAGGTGCTGCGGACCATGCACTAGCCATGCTACGTGCACAACTGCACATGATCGAGGTGCGCGACGCAATATACTCCATGGCGATTGCACGATATTACGGCAACCGAACGGGCGGATTTCCCAACGCACTGCCACCTGTGCTGAATCCGGACGCGGACACTGATCTGAACAAGCTCACCGTTGCCATGGGGTTCATCAGCTACGAGAGTCGGTCAAGCACACAGCAAGTCCTTGCACGTATCTGCGACATGGCCATGCTCTCCTGGACAGTGGCGAGGTCTCCGTAGCACGGTAGCCTAGCTGCTGACGAAGTTCTCACGCCACGTAACTCGCCGGGTGTGCGCACATAACGAATGCTACTGCTACAGACGAGGATCGCTTAGCTTCCATCGTATATCATGCCCATTATTCTGATTTTTTTTGGTACCGCGCTGCTGCATTCTTGGAGAAGCGGGCGTTTTACCTCAATTACCCACCTGCTATTATTGCTCACAAACATATCCAATCCCCTTTTTTTTATATTGATCTCCTCCCACCCTGGTGTTTACTTTTTATTCAACTTCTTGATCTATCTCGGGTTTTCGCAGCTTAGGAGCTGTTGCATCATCTAAGCGTGTGTGGAGCTGGTGGTATATACGATGAACCTCGCATTTTGGCCGGCCAGCCAGCTAAAGAAAGATATCTCCCCCTCTGTTCCTCGTCCGGCTGAACTCGTGCGTGACCTGGCTTCTCGACTGCGCGGCAGTGTAGTTAGCTATGCGCCTCGCAAGAGGACGCTAATGGAAGTTTTTTGTTGGATTTGCAGGGACCTTTTTGTTTCGGGTTTTTTTTCACGACGATGGATGGAAGAGGGAAGGAAGGGGGCTTTTATAGCTTGGCTACGCAATGGAAATTATGGACTTTGAGCGTGTCTTGGTCGCAAAGTGATGGGATCTCTCTCGTGTGTTTACTCGTAAGCTGTGGTGAAATCCTAGGAAGTAGGTAAGGTGTAGTGAAGCGATGTCTTGCAACAGCTTGACAAGCACATGTAAAGAAAAGTGTGGAAACATATACGCTGTAAGTGTTGTCAGTATACGTCTACCAGCTTGCTTTGTCCTCGTAGTATTTCTATCTTGTAGTTTGGGCTTGTTGTTTCCCTGCAATGAACATAAACTGATTCCGACTGATTCGACTGGTCGAGGAAGCGTGTCACATGGCATGTTTGAAAGGCAATCTGGTCAAGAAACGAGATCGAAACATTAATTTTGTCAAAATATAATAGCTCCGACTCAAAGAATTTCCATCGAAACCAAACAATACCGGTCGTTTAGCTCAGTTGGTTAGAGCGTGGTGCTAATAACGCCAAGGTCGCGAGTTCGACCCTCGTAATGACCATATTTTTTGCCGTTGTGCTGGCCTTCAACAGTATGATAACTCATATGCATCTTCTTTTTGCAGGCGTGCGGTGCTGAGTGTTGGGTAAGATCGAGAGAGGCTCGTGCAATGTCTAGTCAGAAGTATAAAATATGAACTTGTCAAAAGCAGCAAATGTGGTTGGGCTCATACGATGCATATACCAGGATCCCTATGCCGACCAAATACTCCAAACCCCCTACTAATCATTACACACCTACCCCAATATTCACTACGCCTACACCTCCTCCTGCGCTGCCTGAGCCGCCTGTGCCGCCTTCCACCTCTGCGCATTGGCCATGAGTTTCGCCAACTTGCCCGCACTCTCATCATCAGCAGGGAACACGTAATCGACATACTCCTCAAAGCTATCGTCATCGAGCTTTCTCCTCTTCTTGACCTTGCGCGGCATCTGCTTGTCGATATTCTCCTGGTCATCTTTGGAGCCGTGGATGGCTTCGAAGGCACGCCATGCGTTGAGCAGCGCGACGCGATCTTCCTTGAGGTCTTTGTCTTTGAGGCGCTTGTGCGCGCGGTCGAAGATGGCGCGGGCGCGGGATTTGGCGGCGGCGCTGATGGGCGGGTTGTCGTCGTCTTCGTTTTCGTTTGCGTCTTGTGTGTTATCGGCGTCTGGATCTGGGACGCTGATTTCGAATTGCGCCCACGAAGTCCATACTTTGACGTGGTCTGTTTTCTGCAGGAGGCGCTCGTACAGGGCGCGGGTGCGTTCGTACTCTGCCTCGCCTTCTTCAAAGTCGATGTAGGCTTTCCAGAGGAGCTCGGGCATGTCGAGTTGTGGTTCGTCGACTGCGAGTTCGAAGATGGCGCGTGCGCGGTCGAGGTCGTCGAGGCCGCGCTCCAGCTCGGCGAACTTGATCCAAGTCTGGCAGTTTGCGCCGTTCCACTCGATGTATTTGGTGTAGAGTTGGCGACAGCGGCCGAATTCGAAGAGCTTCATTTCCAGCTCGATGTAGCCCTTGAACAGCTTGTCTTTGGGACACATGCCGATGGACTGGCCGAGGAGTTTGCGCGCCGTGGGGAGCTGGTGCTGCCGGACTTCGAAGTGGGCGAACATGAGCCAGACTTTGGCAAAGGTGAAGCGTTTGTGGGGGAGCAGGCGGATGCATTCTTGGTAGATTTGCCGTGTTCGTTCGATGTCGCGCGAGACTGTTTCCTCGTAGATGGCGTAGAAGAGCCAGAGGTAGATGTAGCGTCTCCAATGGCGCTTTTCTTGCGTCGGTGGTATTTGCGCAATGGCGCGTTCGTAGACGTCGCGCACGCGGTCGGTGTTGCCGGACGTCTCTTCCAGGCGCGCAAAGTCGATCCATGCGTCGTAGTTTTTGGGGTTCTCCTTGACTTGCTCCTCGTAATGCACCCTGCGTTTTGATAAAATAACATCCTCAATTCCATCCCTGTCTCCGAACTGCTTCTCGAACTGGGTGAAGGCCTTGTGCAGATTGACTGATTTCGAACGGGGCATGCGATCCAGGGCGAACTTGTAGATGGCTCGCGCACGTTCCAACTCTTTCAGTCTCGCCTCGAACTTGGCATAGGCCATGAAAAGCTTCTCGTCTGTGAAGTCGTCCCCCAGCGTCTCGACGGCGGTGCCATAGACGTCTCGTACCAGGTCGCTCGTGCCGTTCTCCTCCTCGAACTTTGCCCACTTGATCCAGTTCCTCGGCTCGGGGTGGACGACGGTGAAGCGCTCGTAGATGGCGCGGGCTCTCTCAAACTCGGCGTGTCTCTTCTCGAGCTTGATGTACGACGACCAGGCGGCCTCCTCGGGCTCCCACTGCATCCAGCGCTCGAAGACAGAGCGGGCGCCGTCGATGTTGCCCAGTGTCTCCTCCATGTAGACGTACTTGTACCACAGCTTGTCAACGCGCGGGAGGATGGTGACGGCGCGGTCCAGCAGGTTGCGGGCATGGTTGATGTTGCGGTGCTTCATCTCGGCCTCGATGTAGCGCAGCCACAGGGCAATCGAGGTGCTGTCGACATCGAGGGCGCGCTCAAAGACAGAGCGGGCGCGGCGGTACTCCTTCTGCTCGAGCTCCCACTGGGCATAGCGCATCCAGTTGTTCATGTTGATGCGGTTGCGGCGCACATAGTCCTCGAACTCCTTGCGCTTGCGGCCCTGGAACTCGTGCAGCTCCTCGAGGTCGGCGAAGCGCTGCGTGGGCGCCTTGAGCTTGTCATCCTGGCGGTCGACGGCTTCGCGGAGAAGCTGCTCGGCGCTGATCTGGATGGGCGCGGCGGCCTTGTTCTTGACGCGCGGCGGGCCCCGGGTCTCCATGGCGGCGGTTGCTGTTATATAGGGTATCGTGTGGAGTGAAGTGACAGTGAGGTGTTGGAGCAAGGAACTTTACGAGGCAGGCGCGAGTGCACGGGCCACGCTTGCGGAACTAACTGCGGCAATGCCAAGCGCGCTGTCTCTTTCGTGCTTTCGTGCAGGTGCTTCCGTGCAGCCACTTCCGTCGAGACCCGCACACCGTCGCGCAGACGACCCGCCCACCGCACCATGGCGACACTCGAGCAGGAGCTGCTGGCCGACTTTGCCGACTCGGGCGACGAGGATGTCGCCGACCTGGAGAACGACTTTGGCGGCGGAGAGTCGCCCGAGGCCGTGGGCGCCGACGAGGACATGGCCGACGAGGAGGCCGAGTACGCGGCGGGCCACGACGGCAGCAGCAAGCAGAAGGGCCCCGTCGACATCCGCGGGGCGCAGGCGCTGATGGGCAGGCTCGCGCCGGTGCTGGCCCAGATCGAGCAGGTGCGCGACCGCATGGAGGAGGCGCTCGACGGCGAGTCGATCGAGGACAACCCCGAGTACCAGCTGCTCAAGGAGGCCAACGAGCTGTCGACGCAGATCGACGGCGAGGTGGCGGCGGTGCACAAGTTCGTGCGCGACCACTACTCGCTGCGCTTCCCCTACCTCGAGGAGCTGATCAAGAACCCCGTCGACTACGCCAAGACGGTCGCCATCCTGCAGAACGGCCCGCTCGACGACATCAAGTCCATTGCCCAGCGCGCGGATAACGTCGTCGGCGTGCCGCTGAAGAGCATCCTCGACGCGCCCTCGCTGATGGTCGTGACGGTCGAGGCCACGCGCGCCCAGGGCCGCGACCTCGACCGCGCCGAGCTCGACATGATCGTCGCCGCCTGCACCCTGCTGCTCGCCCTCACCGCCGCCAAGGCCACCCTCACCGACTACGTCCAGTCGCGCATGGCCGTCTTCGCCCCGAACCTGACCCAGCTCGTCGGCTCCCTGACGGCCGCCCAGTTCATCAACTACGCCGGCGGGCTGGCTGGCCTTGCCAAGACGCCCGCCTGCAACATCCCCCCGCTCGGCTCCAACAAGGCCAGCGGGCTGGGGCTCTCGACCAACGTCGGCATCCGCCACCAGGGCTTCCTCTACCACAGCCCCATCCTGCAGACGATCCGCCAGGACCTCAAGAAGCAGGCCATGCGCATCGTCGCCGCCAAGGTCATCCTCGCCGCCCGCGTCGACATGGTCCACCAGTCCCCCGACGGCGCCACAGGTCAGCAATTAAAAGATGAGTGCGAGCGCCGTCTCGACAAGCTCACCGAACCCCCGCCCAACAAGGGTGTGCGCGCCCTGCCCGCCCCAGACGACAAGCCCAGCCGCAAGCGTGGCGGCCGCCGAGCCCGCAAGGCCAAGGAAGCCACCGCTATGACCGAGATCCGCAAAGCCCAGAACAGAATGGCTTTCGGCAAAGAGGAGAAGGAAGTCGGCTACGGCGACTCGGTGAAAGGCATGGGCATGATCGGCGCCGGCGACACAGGACGCATCCGCGCACAGCAAATCGACCCCAAGACGCGCGCCAAACTCTCCAAGAAAACCCCCGGCTGGGGCGCAGACACCACCCTCGGCGCCGCCTCGTCACTCAAGGGCTTCGGCGCCGGAGGCACCGCCACCAGTCTGCGCGCCCAGGGGCTCAGGACAGGCGGTGTCGGCCTCGGCGGCAACGGAACGAGCTCCATTGCGTTTACCCCCGTGCAGGGCCTCGAGCTCGTCGACCCTAAGGCCAAGGAGGAGATGAATCGCAAGCGCAAGGCCGACGAGGATCGCTGGTTCAAGGGCGGCAGCTTTACGCAGTTGGGCGCCTCGTCAAAGGTCGATGCTGGTGGGTTCAAGGTCCCCGCCCTGCCGAATAAGAAACCCAGGACGTGACGTGGCGTGGCGTTGAGTCGATACGATGCGACGGGTTGGGAAAAAGCATTTCACTGGCGTTTGGCGGGCGCTGCATATACGGCGCGTTTGCATCGGGTGGCGTTTTTGTGTGTCCATGGATGGATACCTATCGGATTGTATTATATATCCGAGATTGGGAGAAAAATATTCTATTTTCTTTGCACGGCGGGGGAGTTGTTTAATAGCACTTTTGTGAACTCAACGAGATTGAATAAATAATACCCCAACTTCTTCTTCTTCGTCTCTCTTCTGTTCGTTTCGCATTCATTCGGTATCCAGTATTCAGCAGTGATCCACCCACCCCCTATCCATCCATCCATCTACCTTGTACGCCCCCCTTTCCCCCAAATACCCATGGTGTATTATTTGAATAAAGCGCATGCATGAACGTGACGAAACAGTACAAAGACCCCAAAGAACCAACAGGTGGTATATCGCAGGACGAACAGACTAATAAACAATTACGATGAAATGACGCAAAGGGGAAACCGCCCTGAAGGAAACGCAAAGTAAAGCAAAAACTATCCGCCTGAGAAACGCCGGTATGATACAAGTAGGACGCATGTGTGTATGGGTCCTTGATGTTGTGAAAGGTGGTGTGTAGTGTAGTACAATGCAGTGATAACATCAACATCGACGAGACAGAACGGGATCAAAGCCTGCCAGCCAGTCCCTCCCCCGGCCAGCGCTCAACAAGACTCGAGTCCACAGACGGCGAGCGCGTCGACGGGACGAGAACAAGGTCCGCCTCGCGGTCGGGCACAGTCCACTGGACGTGCATTCTGCGGGAGCGCTCTCGGTCCTTGTCGCGGTGAGGCGCGTGTTCGCGTTCACGTTCCCGTCCCGTCGCTGCGAGTCACCTCTGCGGGCGCGTCTGGTCATGGTCGCGGTCGCGGTCGCGGGGGGACGGCGGGCCCGACGAGCCCAGCGGCCGAGGGTACATGTCTGCGTGTGTAGGCGAGTTTCTGAGCGGTGGGGAGCGGCGGAGCGGCGGCGCGTCGCTGGTCGAGGTCTTTTGCGAGCCGCTGCTGCTCGAGTGGTGGTGGTGTTGGTGTTGGGTTCGCGACGAACCGCGGGGCGTGCTGGTTGCGTGGCTTTCTTGACTGGCTTGTCGGGTGCGCGGTGTGGTGTCTTGACTGCTACTGCCTGTGTGGCGGTGCGTGTTTGATCGCGGTGTGGTTTCGTGGCTGCTGGGTTCTTTTGGCCGGGGGACGGCGGGCTTGCTGGTCGAGTTTGAGCGGCTGCGTTCACTACCTCGCGGTTGGTCTTGTGGGGCGAGAGTGATGGTTATCGGGGGGCCTTCGGCTGCGCGTCTGGTGTTTTGCTGGACAGGTGCGGTGGGTGCTCCGTTTCTGTTGCTGTCTGCTGGTCGCTGTGTAACTCCGTCTTGTGCAGAGGGTTCAGGGCTGCTCATCCCCCCGACTCGAGGTGTGCCTTCCCAGCTCTTGCGCTTCATCATTCTGCCCAAGATGCTCACCAGCTCTGCGGCATCTTCGAACTCGGTGTCATCCATTGCTTCTTGCGCGCGGTACACGTCTTTGATGGCGCGTCGGGCGACGCGTCGTGACGCTTCGTGATCGTGAAGACAGTCCCAGAGGAACGCGCTGTGTTCAAGTGCCACGGACAGTCGCAGTGGATGAGATCCGACGAGGAATGAGGACGCGTAGGAAGTAGCAGTGGAAAAGTAGCCACTGGCTAAAGGAACAAAGTTCAGGGGCGGGAGGATGAATGACGATGGTTGCGGGATGGGTATAGGATTGAGTCCAGGAGGCGCGTTGATTGTTGGTCCTGGTGATGGTGTGCCGACAGGTCCGCCTGCTGAGTATGGATTGGTGACGAACGATGTCTCAGACACAATCGAATCGACCGGTTCTCGAAGAGCTGGCTGTCTACCTGTGCGTTTGGATGGGGGTGACAGCCCTGTAGCATCCATTTTGCGACCTTGCCCATTGCCCCTTTGCGGTGACGCAGGTATAGGAGGCGCGCCGGGTATTCGAGGATCTGTACTTTCCATGTTCGTTGCTGTGACGGGGGGATGATTGTGGAATAGGCAGAAGATGTGGTAGAAACTCGCGCGCAGCTTGACGCTCAGAACCCTACACTCCGGCCCATGTTGATTGTCCTGGGCGTATGGCAGTATGTGAAGCTCTAAGATTGACAGCCCTTCGCGAGAAAGCCATAAGATGTGCTGGTAAGCTGCCAGTGATGGGGTGTCTCGACTCGTATCCAGCTTGCGCAGCTTCCTGGCGCGGATGAGTCTTCGTGATAGCAGCACCGATAGACCTAATATCTGATAAAGCGCGTCTGAGAGGTACGGATTGGATTCCGCTGTTTGTTTGGCTATTCGACCGAGGAATTTCTGATCGAAATCCAGGGATGCCATCTTCTAGCGCTCTGTCGAATGTACTTGATTAGCTTCTGAATGAAGTTGAAGTGTTGATGGAGAGTGCGCAAGTTGAGATCCGACAACTTTCGGAAAGCGGGTAAGACTACTCTCCAACTCAAAGTGAATTGAGGAATCGACAGAAACAGTGGAGCCTTGACGAGAACTTCTGCACTCCTGAGAAAACCAGGTGACAATGCAAATGGATCAGGATATCCAGTATAGTGATGATGCTCCTTCCGAAAAAAAGTAGTCACTCACCACTGACCTGCCAACTCGGACCGTTGCGCTGTATCTCCAAACTGGACACAGTGCAGCCCGGTCCGAGCTGACTGATGACGCCTTGCAAAAAAGCCGCCGGGGAGATGAAAGCCTGCAACCAAGCAACCAATGTTGACCAATTGATACGTTTCGAGAGCCGACTAAAAGGCCGTGCGCGGAGCCTTCTCGAGTGAATGGCGATCCTCGTGACGGCCCAATGCGAAGATTGACGACGCGGTAAAGACGGCGCCAAACGCCACTCGGAGGTTTTCTGGATTAGGCAATTGTGATGAAAGTGTATATGATACAACTTGTAAATATATTCGGAAAGAGGTCGAAGCGCGAAGGAACTGATTATAATGTACAATGCGCTCGCATTAACGTCAGAACGATCCGGGGTATCTCTGGACAGCTGTCAGTGAGGCTATCCAGGTGTTCAATTGCCTGTATGGCGTGGTAGAGCCCGCGGATCTCTGTTTACCTTCAAAATGGGCAAGTCGAGGCGGTTTCGTTGGTTTTGGTCGTGGCTCTACTCTCATTCGATGACTGGGGTGCCGATTGAGCCAATGACAGCGCTGACTGGGTGAGGCGATGCGGAAACCTTTTGCGCTGGGCTAGCAGACGTCAGGCATGAATCGTGAGATGCGGTGTGGCTGAAGGGTCAGATTCTGGTGCCTCGGACAGCGCATCGCGACGTCCTCGAACCTCGAGTACTCTTGCGCGAGGTTCTGCGACGATATACGTTCGGCAAGCGGTGTAGAGAGGTCAGTGCAGCTGTCCTAGTCGGCCGAGCAAGCGAACCGGTGCGTCCGCGCACACTCAACCTCCAGATTAACAGCTCTGCGCGAGGATGAAGCGTCGAACGCGCTCTAACGAGGACGGCGCGGCTCTTTCCGTGTCGCGCGTGAGGGGAACGAGCGGAAGCTGCATACACAGCTAACAACGACAGCAATTGAGTGCAACAACAATGACAACTGAGGAGAATAGCAGGGCGGACGCGACGGACGCGAAAGAATTCAATGCTGGTGTTAACCAGCTCATCACTACGTGCCAGCCTTCCGGGAACGCAGGTGCAGCTCCTGCGTCAATCTGCATACAGGCGGGCTTTAAGTTGACTGACGTGTCAAGCGTCGAACGCTCCGCTAAACCACACCCGTTTGCGTGCATGAACTTTTCCCCGTCGAGCGTTCGGATGAGACTTTGCCAGCTGGCACTGGGGCGAGGGCTGCCATGTCGTATCTTTCTCACTCAACGATGACGCCTCTGTGATATTCCTTCGCCTCGATCAAGCAGGGCTGTGCCTGGACATGTCTCAGAAGAAAGGCGACCAGCTGCCAGCGCATTCTATTATGGCTTGGAACGCATCATACCGTCATCAGGTAGTATACTCACCTGTGGGGAAATAATGGAACAGCTCGCCGGACAACACGCCACGGAAGGTAAGAATGCGACAGCGTGCTCTGGACCCCATCATGGACACCAGCGGCAGAGTTTGAGTCCTAGCCATATTCAACAAACAGTCAGACATTTGGTCAGGCATCGCGAAATCAGGTATTGATGAGCCAGCTCTCATCTCATTGTTGTAGTCCAGGTCACGACCTCAAGCCATTTCTTCGTCTCAGCTTCACTCCTTACATCTCCTCACCGCTATATTCATCTTGCTCTTAGCCGTCCCGTCTCAACTTCCGTGAGCAGCATCTTTAAGGTCATCTTGTCCTGCTTCCTCCATCCTTGGGAATTTCCACTTGATCTATTTCCAGTCTTTGCTAGTTGAGCGGTCTATTCCCTTGGTGATCTGTGGTCGAACGTCGATTCCATTTTGTTGAACTATTACAATCACATGTTGCTGGAGTTAGTTGTGGCCAAGGCACCTCGTAGTCTTGGCTGTTATCTACCTTATCACGAAGTAATGTATACTTTAGGGCACTCGCCCTGAGCTCTTGCATCTAGACGTGTACGGTGTCCCTGCTTCCAAATTTATGCATAGACCGGATATCATTGTGTTGGAAGGCTCAGGGCAACGATAACGAACACAAACAGAACTAGGAGGAGCTGTACATGAGGGTAAAGGCTGGAGAATAAGTATACCGGAGTCGGACTAATCTACTACGAAGTAGGCGTAATGAATGAGCCAGAGCATGATGCAGAAACGAACAGACTGACAATGGGCTAGACATAACATACAGGTTCGTATCGCACCTCGATAGATACGATTTGTTTAAACTGGCCAATTCACGAGAAACTCGAATCGTACCTGAGCTGGGGTCGTAGTATCAACTTATAGTTTGAATCGCACATAAATCAGCTTGGAAGTACAAGTGAAATCATCTACGGCAGTCCAGGTGCACAGCCCAAGTAAAGGTATTTCGATGGCTTGAAGAAGCGATGATGGCGATGCTCTACGCGATGCGGTTTGCGAGATTGTTGCGGAAAAACGATGCTCGTCGACAGGTTAAGATGTTCCAAAAACAACTCTAATTTACAACCCGTTGACGTGCCACTTTATCGGGTTCAGCAAAGATCACATCACAAGCCAGGCAATGGCCATGGAGTTTATGTTTGTCAGCCCCTAGACACACAGTGATTTTCACAAAAATGTTGGTTGTTTGAGCACAGCGAGGATATTCGCATTTCTCAGTTTGCAAGTAATGCTGAATGGCAATCGTATCTGCCCGTGGCTCTCTTCAGGTGGTAAAACGATTTCGATGCGGCAAACCCAGATATGCATTCCCGCAACGGACAACATTCACCAGTCAAACAGACAAACTTACAGCTTCCCCGAGGAGTAGTCGTGCTGGATTCCCATTCTACTCAATAATTGGATTCGCCCTACTTCTAAGATGTAAATGACAAGTATACTATAGCATTACTTAAGAGACTACAGTTGTTATTGCATACCGAACGCATAATGTAACCCCACTGTGGCTTTTCAAGTGTCGTACTTGAGTTTGCAGTGGACGTAAACTTTGGGAGTTTGTAGGCTCCGTCAACCGTTCCGCTTCTGCTAACAATCGTGCCCAGCAACTTCCTATGGGGTGAGCAACGCAAGTTTACAGTGTTGTTCTGTTCGAATGCTTCTCGTCGTTCAAGAAGTCAAACTACATATTGCGATGGAAGTAAATAGCATACATGGGTCGAGCGATGGACAAGACAATATATAAAAGTACCACAGTGAGATGTCAATTCTACAACTCATCGCTTGTAACATTTGTTCTTTTACGGTTCCTACCACTTGATTCTCACGCTTTTGCCCCAAATTCGTCAGTCGTGTCGATATCAAGTCACTCAGGTCATAAACATCACACGGTAAGAACGCCAGACCATCATGCAATACATTCCATACGTACGAGATGGTTGGAATCGTGCCTAACGTTGCAGCAGCACATCACACAAGGGACAACCAAATCCAACCCTCATATCAGAGTACACACCAGCCTTGCACCAAGTACACAATAACGACTTCTTCTGTTCTTTACGTCCAACATATCGCCCGCTACGTCAATATGTGCTTCTACCATGCATACTCACACAAGTGCGGCCACACTGAAGTCATCCTCCAACAGCTTTGCTCCAAGGGGCAGATGGTTCAGCAGAAGTGTGGAAAAGGACAAGAAGGGAAGATTCTGACAACGGTCAAAGTAGAAACGTCTTGTGCTTTGTGTCCGAGGAAGGTAAGAGTTGTCCATCGATGGCTGCGGTGGTGTTTGGGCATTGCTGACAATTTGCATAGTAACTGAGTTGCAGCATCTACTCAACTGAAGAACAGCGTTTTGTGTTCTACTTGTTAGCTTTTGGACTGCGAAAGATAGGACTCTGCCTGGATCTACACGGTAGTGTTGTCAATTTTCTGTCTTTGTATATAGTCACAACTGGAAGCTCAGTCCAATTTGTACCTGCCTGATCACCCTACCTGTTATATCTGTGTAGCATCTCCCTACCCGTGACCACGACCCAGGGGCTGTTCTTCGTTTCCATATATCAGGTAGCCTGTAGTATGATTTTCGCCGATTTTGGACATCGATATCATAAGATTGCCGATGCGAGTTGGAGCGGTTTGCTATGCAGGGGCAGCACACACTCGTCCAAAGAAAAGCATAGACGCCCTCAATGATGGAACGTAAACTACCAAAATTTCAGATCTACGCAAGGCAGGAACAATGTTCGAACTTACAAAAATGTTTTCCGATCCTAAGAGCTTTCTATCATTTACTGTTGAAGTTGTTGTTTCAAGCAGTATTAAACAAAGAAGATACTGCTTATCTTGTAGGTTACATCTTTTGAACTGAGTCTCTTTGTTGACATACCAATACAAGGTTTGATTCTAACGTCCAAAACCTGTCAAGCGCCGAAGCTTATTAACACATGCTCATTTTCGTGCCTCGTGCATGCAACCGAGGAACGTGCATGGTCCCTCAGTTTCATCTACCTAGCACGGCACACTTGTCAGGTAATTACTACCAGATATACCTATGCTTGTGTTAAATCTGCCATCTGATATCAAGGTAACCGGTGTGAGAACTAGGAAATTCTAAACCCACCAGTTGTCGAACACGATGGCGAAATGCAGAGCAACAGAACGGTTTGAGCAACGGCTGGTAAGCCACAAACCTCGTTTGCTTCTCTAAGCGATCTGACTTAAGCAAACGCCCCAAACGACGACGCTGGTGAGCCCTCATTGGCTTCTCACACCCGGAGAGCTTGGACTCCGCGCAATATCGATGCAACCTTTATGAGGACTCGGCCTGCATCCTTGCCAGGGCCAATAGCAGTCGTCACCGTAACATATGGCTACCGTATTCGTTACGGAGACGGACACCGCCCTCAAGTCAGGGCATTCATATAACAGCCATGTGCCCCTCAAGATTGTTGAAGTGTCTTAAATGCTCTACATGGTGCAGATCTTGACGAGTTGATGAGTAACCTTTTCATCAAAAATTCTGCTCCCTCCTCGCGTATACCTTGTCTGCGCAATCTTTCAGAAGACATTGTAATACTTGATTGTTGGCGTCGAGCATCCAGACTCGGCAGACCGTATCACCTAGATCGCCCCACGTAGCCCACTGCGGCCCGAGGCGGTACCGCCCGGCCGTGTTCGAGCGGAGATGCAGAGCTCCTCCACTACCGTCGAAAACCCGACAAGCCACGAAAGTGAGAAAACACATGTCATTGAAACTGGGGATGAGAAACATGATAATTCGGTGACGGAGAATGCCGAAGCGACTGTCGAAAATGTTGAAAGGAGTAAGGAGCTTGGTGAGAAGACAAGAGCAAGTAACGACTCGAGCGCAAACACGGCAACAGAAGTTAAAGAACCGGTAGCGAACGTTTCGCCATCTGGAAAAGACGCAGACGGCGAGCCTGAAGAAGAAGTGGAAGATGAATCAAAATATCTCAGCGGCTTTAAACTCTGGATCCTTTCGCTCGGCCTGTGTCTTACAACCTTCGTTATCGCTTTAGACAATACTATTATCGCCACGGCGATTCCGAAGATTACGAGCGTTTTCAACAGTCTTGGAGATGTTGGGTGGTATGGATCTGCCTACTTGCTGACGACTACCTCGCTCCAGCCATCATTCGGAAAGGTGTACACGTACTTCGACGTCAAGTACACATACCTTATATCATTGGTCATATTCGAAGTAGGATCTGTCATCTGCGCTGCCGCGACAAGTTCGCCTATGTTCATTGTCGGACGCGCTGTAGCCGGAACCGGAGCAGCAGCTTTGTACTCAGGGGGGATGACTATCATTGGCTTCTCAGTGCCCTTGCGCAAACGAGCTATCTACATCGCTGCACTGTCTTCCATGTTCGGAATCGCGAGTGTTGTTGGACCTATCCTTGGAGGCGCTTTCACAGATCGATTGTCCTGGCGATGGTGCTTTTGGATTAACTTACCATTCGGTGCCATCTCCCTCATCGTCGTGTTCTCCTTCTTCTCGAATCCGGAACGGCAGTACAGCCATATCCCCATCAAGGAGCGGTTAAAGTATATTGACTTGGCGGGTGCTGTGTTCCTAATCTGCTCCATCGTCTGCCTGTTGTTGGCACTGCAATGGGGCGGCTTTACATACTCGTGGAAGAACTCCAAGGTCTGGGGCACCTTATTAGGTTTCGGCTTACTGCTGATAATATTCATCATCATTCAAATCAAGCAGAAGGAGAGAGCAACGATTCCGATACATGTGTTTAAGCAACGGACCGTGCTAGTCAGTTGTATATTTTCTGCCCTCCTGTCTATGGCCTTGTATACGTGAGTAGAATTCCTCCTCCACTAGATAGTCAGATTTGTCAAGCTAACATCGCCTAGTCACATCTTCTACTTGCCATTCTACTTCCAGGCTATCAAGGGCACAACAGCTGAAGAATCCGGCATCCGCACAATCGCCTACCTTGTCAGCATCACCGTCTCGTCAATCGTAATCGGAGCTTCCATCACCATAGTCGGCTGGTATGTACCCTTCATGTGGTTCGGCAGCGCTATCTTCACCATCGGTGCCGGCCTGATATTTACGCTCAAAGTCAATTCGCCTCCAGGCCAATGGATCGGTTACCAGATTCTTGCGGGGATCGGCGCAGGTGCAGGAGGTAAGGACATTGCCACCGTGATCAAAACATTCGTTGCTGATAACTGCTTTAGTTCAAATTCCTTTCGTTGCAGTGCAGGTAGTAACGAGTTCCAAAGATATGCCTACAGCAAACGCCTGTGTCCTGTTTTTCAACAGCCTGGGTGGCGCGCTGAGCATATCCATCGCACAGAACATTTTCGTTAATACGCTGGCAAAAGAGATACCAAAACATGTGCCGGGACTCGACTCGAAGGTTATTGCTGAGGCTGGAGCTACGAACCTTAGGAACGTTGTGTCGCCGGAACAGTTGCCTGGTGTTTTGGAAGGGTATAACACATCTGTTGTTACGGCGTTCATTCTTGCGATTGCGACGGCAGCCGTGGCATTCTTTGTGAGCTTGGGTATGGAGCAGAAGAGCGTTAAGGGGAAGAAGATTGTTGCTGGAGGTGCGGCATAGAGGGAGCTTGACCTTAACATCAGGAGTTTTGGACTTGGAAGAGCGACGATAGTATCTTTGGTAATTTATAGATTTGAAGTCTCAGGTGGTGGACCACTGTGTTGTGCTTTACGTATCTAACCTTGCAGCAACTTAATACATCCTGGCCTGACTTGTGTCCTACGCATCTCTACATCGTCGATATATGGCCTGCTTCACACGAATAGTCAGCTTCTTCCGCAACTTGCCTTTCTCTGCCCCTGTAAACGTGAAAATCATTACTGTTCGAGTGTGAGTATGCCATGGCTCAACTCAAAGCCGAGTGTCGCCCTTGCCCATTGCGACGTTGCGTCCTGATCTCCGCACAAACACGCTCCAAGAACGCCATACACCAACCGAGGAGTGGTCCCGGTTCCTAACCCTCTGACAATCCGTTGCGACTAGAAGATCCCTCGGGCGTCACTGGACACGCCATCGACCCATCAACAAACACATTCGCGTGCTCCGTCGGCATCGCCGTCCTTCCAGTCGGCAGGAACAGATTCCGGCGCTCCATATGTCGCTTCACTGGATCCGTGGCATCACTGAACGCCTCCTGCGCGTTCTGCCAAGCGTCGTAGTCTTCTTGTTTCCCGGATTGCTGGTACGCCTGCAATGCGGCGGCGACGCGCCGTCCCAAGCTTACGATAACTTTAGCTTGTGTCTGAATCCAGTTCGCCCGGTCGGGTTTCCGGGCGTCTAGGCGAGCGTGGGCTTCAGGTGTGTGGAAAAGTTTGCCAGGCGCGGAACGGAGAGGTGAAGGATGGATGGGAAGATCGGCAGAAACAGCAGAGTCGCGAAGGGGCTGAAAGGTCGCAGAAGTCGGAGTGCGGACCGCAGATAGGCATGGTAGAGATACGCTTCTTCGAAGAGCCACGCGTGGCCTAGAATTTGTCGATGTTTGATGGCTGACGTGATCAACAAAGAGGTCGGTATATTTGCGGTGGTGACCGAAGATCTTGTCCATCTGGTTTGGAATGTCCTTATACTCCATGGACAACTTATCGCCAGGCATAACAAATGGCCGCCAACTCCTCTCCGTCTCGAGTTCCTGTGCTCTACACCAAGGTCTGGGCGAAGCAGGCAGTAGAGAACCCAGCCCAGACACATCAGACTCAAGATCATTTCTGAAGTGGCCGAGTCCCGGTAGCGATGGCATTGACGCCATGGAGGACATACTGGACACCCTTCTATGCTGCAGCGACGGGCCTGGGACATGCAGATCTCGAGATAGGGGCGTAACAACTGGCGATCGTGTGCGAGCAAATATACGGTCAATTTGCCGAGATCGAGTCTGATAGTCTTTCGGGTCGTCACTATACACGAACCTGCTCATGCCATTTGCGCGAGAAGAGTCGCGTGAGTGCGTTTCCATGTCCGCAATTCCAGAGTTGAAGTTGTGCGTGTTGTGTATACTGGCTTGTGCTTGGGTTGCAAAAGTCGAACTTCGAGCGCTGCGTTGATCAGGAGTAGTGAGGAATTTCCCACTGTTTGTATAGTAATCAGAGAAGAATTGGGCGAAACGTGAGCGAGGACGACCTTGGTTTTTGGGCTTCACTGTCGTCTGCCTAGACGGTGAGTTTGCAACGCCTCCATGACACTCCATACCGTTCGTTGCCGCCTTTTTGCTGCAATTCTGCACGTCATCTCGGTACCTAGACGCAGGGCTCAGGAGATGGCTGCGGCTGTGTTGCTGGGTGGAGTGCGAGTCCTGGTGCTCACGCTCCCGCAGAAACGAATTGTTCTGTTCGGATGTTTGCTGTTGGAGCTGTGGTAAGGAGGTGGATCGAGTGAACGTAAACTGGTGATGATCCATGGTAGTGCTTAATGAGTGGTCGCAGTTGATTTGCCTGGTGAGTAAGCGTAGAATAAAAACAGGCAAAACACAACAGCACAAATCTTGAAACAAGTGACCTAACGTTAGTGAAAACTAGAAATGCTGTTGTTAGGTGACATGAGGTGGTGTTCTGTGGTGTCAGTGTGTCGAGGTGAAAGCGACTTTTTGTATCGTAGCAGCAAAAAATCGAGCGCTCGAGAAAGCGTAGAACGGTACAGTAGTAAGTAGCGGGACACTGTAATAAATTTTTCTGCTTGATGAACCATTAAAGGGAGATGGAACTCTGTAAGGTCACCAATCTGCAACTCCTACCACAGGGGTATAGGTGGAGTAATACTGGTCGACTGAAAGGATCTTCGGGACCCAAAGTTGAGAAACCAAACTTTAGTCAACTGCTGCCTGGGTTTTCGAATGGACGTGCTCGCATCCATACATTGAACAACCAGTCGTCAAGAGTCAAGAGGGGATAGGTCAGCTCTGCTTCGCCATTGTCATGACGGTGCGCTGTTTTCATGTGTAGATCATAAGACATGTACTGCGTTGGAAAATCAGGCCTACCACTGTTGTGTCCATTTGTTTCTTCACCAATCGTGAACACGCCAAGAAGATCAACCGAATCAAGAAAGTTTTCTGAATTAGTTGAGCCAGTAAAGTAGTACATGAATGTGATGACATAGTGTTGCTTGCTACAAGGTGTGGCGTATTTTGAACGCGAAGCGTGTGCATGTACCGACCTGTGTAGCGGAGATGCAATTTGCAGCACGCGTGTATTGTAACTAGAGACAGATGAAAATAGTGTAAGCATCATCGTACAGCTCTTTGCGTCTAGTATAGAAAGTTTCAGTAGGCAAGAGGCTGCGATAATGCAGTTGTAGTAGAAGTAGTTATTGCGTTGTTGATGCACGTCAAGCGTAAAATAAGTAATTAATTACTCTAAAGAAGAAAGCTCTAAGAGCTTTATTAATAGCTAGTATAAGAAACTAGAGAACTGAATCAATAGCAAGTAGTTGAGAGGAGCTAGAGAACTAAATCAATAGCATGTAGTTGAGAGGAGCTAGAGAAATTAATCAATAGCATGTAGTTGAAAGGATCGCAGGTAGAGCCTAGCGTTTGGCGGGTTGCACGTTCAAGCCAAGTTTCTTTGCATCGAGGATGCAAAGAGGTGTGCCGGTGTAGAACTTTGTCGGGTGCTGGTGGCTCGACGAACCGTCATCGAATCCTTGGGGAGGCACCCATGCCTTGAGTTGGGCTACTACCGTGGCTCGGCGTTGCTCTCGTTGCTTGTTCCAAGACGGGAGAGTCTCTCTTCCGAAGGCTTTGTCCACCTGTTTGCAGCGGGATAACCAGTTTGTGAGTCCCGCCCAATCGAGTTGATCAACTGGTGGCCATCCACTATTTGTTGTAGTCTCGGTAGGATTCTCTGATGTTACAGGAGTTGCCGTTGAGCTCCCGTCGCGCTCTTTTTCGGCCACTAGCTTAGCATATTGACGAGCAAGGATAGCCGCATCTGCCATATGCTTCTTGCTGCCGAAAAGAGCCCATTGTTGGTCTTCTGACAACAACGGAGTGGTTGGAGGTTGCCAATCGCGCAGTCTCTGGTAATCGTACTCGGTTCTTGCCTCTTGCTTCTCGGCTTTTGATGTTATTTCCGTGATATCGACCTGCGCCAGTATCTCCCTTACCACAGGCTCTGTACTTGACTCGCTTGCTTGGCGCCAGTCGTTCCCAGGCCCATCTGGCACACCGAACATCTCAAGAGCGCGACCATAACTCATGATAGATGGGTCAGTCCGGTCACCTACTGACGTATTTGGCAGCCTCTGGGAAGCTTTGCCAGCTTTGAGAAATACTTCGAGGCCAATCCCATCACTCACCAGCGTGTCTGCGGTCGCCGGAATATTGGAGCGGTCTATACCCTTGAATGGCAGCTCGCATGTGGGATCCTCTGAGCAGAAGAGAACGAATCCGTCATCAACCTTACTCTTCGCAGCATTGCGCCATATTTGCCGGAGTTCATCTTCGCGCTCCGTTGCGTTGTACTCGAATGCTTCCGAGAGTGCATTTGGGTCAGTGCCTAGTGAAGATTAGTTTCGTACAAAACTGAACATAACATGGTGCTGCGCTTACGATTGCACACATCTTTGACTTGTGCCTCTACAGAGGCAACCATTTTCTTCAGCACTTGGCAACGCTCATCCCATGCCGCGCATTGCTTTGTGATTCTTTCCAGCTTTGCAATAAAGCATTCTCTATCGCTGCCGCAAACAGCGGTGGCTACGAGAAGAGCTTGATAATCCCTCATTGATTTTCCTCGATTGCTGCTCTCTGTAACAGCCTGAGAGTTGTCAGTCTAGCAAATGAGAAAAGCGATGGTATCACGCTACCTCTTTAAGCTCGCTGCGCATGTCGTCAGCGCTGCAAGACAAGCAGCCTACTCGATAGTCGGCGTGTTGGCAAAGTGCACGACGATCAATGGAGAATGGAGATGGCATCTTGAGAGGTGATTGAATCTTAATTGGATATTTGATTGGTTATGCGTTTGATTGACGATTGTGTTTAAGTGGTGTCGAGGGCTCTAGACCGCAAAACCAAATAAGCGAGCCGAGGTCCGTGCACAAGAGTGTGCACTAAAATAAATTGCCGTAGGCAACAACAACAAAATCACCTCGTCGAGCTAAATAATTACTATATACAGTTCCGTAGTACATATTCCAGTTCTAACCGAAGAGCACATCTCCGAGTCGGATGGATACAGTCTTGGTTTGAATATAATTGTCCAGCGCCGCCTCACCTAGCTCACGGCCAATGCCAGACTCTTTGTGCCCTCGTTCTGCAAACTGCATCCAAATCGTTTCCACAATGCATGCGAAGATCTAGTGAACGAGGGGAGCTGTAAGTAGTCTGCCGCTGTACTCTAGCAGAGCGACATGGTCTACATGTTTGATTATATATTGGCGTCGGCCTTGTACCGGCCTCGCACCAAGGGACCAGAGCATCTCGAGTATTCAACATGTCACCCGAACAATCACATTGAACATTCGAAACATACGAGCAAATTTCTTCCGTGAAGACCGTTCATAAATTGAGCTACCAAAACAGAGAAGCATTTTCTAAGCCTCAAGTTCGACCGCCGTGAGAGTAGTGTACAAAACCCGAACCGTGTGCCCTATCGATCAACCAGCTGCTCATGGCAACCTGAATATGGAGGAGAATTCAATTTTCGTGAACGATGTCGTTTCCAAAGAAATGAAAAAGATGAGAAACCCGACTGCTCCAGAGCGTAAACTGATTGTGCTCATATTGATTAAACATAAAGTAAGGAAAGTCGCAATGGTAAGGCGTTTCAAAGTAACTCAGAGCATCTCGTCGTCCATGGCGGTGTCGCCGCCAGCAGTTGCTTGTACGCCATCCGCACCGCTGGTGGCCATGGCATCAGCACTGCCCTCTCCACCGGCAGGGAAGTAGTCGGCCATCTCAGCATCAAGCTCTTCGACGGTCTTCTTCTTAGGACGGTCACGACCACCACGTCCACGACCGCGGCCGCGACCTTCACCACGGCCTTCGCCGCGTCCTCGTCCAGCAGCAGGAGTGGCCTTTGCAGCGGTAGCAGGCTTAGGCTGGTCTTTCCTTGGTTGACTAGTTTTGATGAGCTATTTTTCACGTGATGAGGGCGGAGGGTACATACGTTACACGGTCGGCGAGAGAAGGCTTTCCAGCTGAAGCTGGAAAGTTTGCCGCGCTCACAAGCATCTCGACGCGGATCGGGCGGTTGTCAATCTTAACGCCATTGAGAGAAGTAGTGGCCTTGACAGCTTGCTCGTTTCGGTTGAAGATGACGGTGGCGCTTCCAAGGCTACGGCCGTTTGGTCCGTATTGCATGAGAATCTTCTTGGGCCTGCCGACGCCAATTGCTGAAGCAAAATAATCCTATGAGGCGCATTAGTCGTTGTGACGGGGTATGAAGTTTGCAGACACGAAAGCAAGTTTGACACGTCCAGGTACGGCGCAGTCGGCAACGAAGATATGGTCGAAGTTCGAACAGTCGTACAGTGCCACCTAGAAAGAAGAGATTGATGTCCAGACGCAGTGAGCGGGCCATTCCGCAGCACATGAGCGTTTTCGGCGCAAAAGCACCGTGCAGCATGACAAGACAGCGAATGGCAAACGCCGCAAGTCATCCATGAAAGCATCTACCCTCGACCATATGACTTTCGATGCTCTCATGTTGCGACTGCTGGCTCGCTTGCCGTTGCTATAGTAGCATGCAAAGCCTGCCAGAGACACAATGCTGGTGCACTGTCTCGCCCTGATGGGCTGGCGTTGCTTGTGGACATCAATCTCCAACTTTCGTCGTGGCAGCACTTCAAGGTGTTCGCATGCTGCGAGTCTTATACCAGTCGTGTCCCCAACACAGATCATGGCGTGACTATTGCAGAACATGGCTCAACGACCCGTTTCAGAGCGCATGGGGAGATTGCGAACAATCTTGTCGATGTGGACTCGCGTTGTCTCGCGAAGTGCGACGTGACGTAGGCTCAAAGACCTGCAAAGGTCTTACATACCTGAAGTTGATTCTGCTCAACGTCCAAGGGCTGCGCGACGTTAGCAAGGTTCGTAGCGCGTGTCTTCAAGGGAACCTACCAGGTTGGAGATCATGATCTTTGTCTCGCCGCCCGAAGGAGCAGCGGGCGCCGCAGGAGCAGCCTTGGCCTGCTTGCCTGGCTTGTTCGCTTTCTGTACACCGCCAACAGGGCCTGCGGGAGCGGCAGGACGGCCTGCATCAGAGCGGCGGCCTCCGCGACCGCGACGGGTGGACTGGCGGCGCGTCTTGAGGATGTCGTCGAGGCTGAGTTCCATCTTGGAAGACATGATGGCAGATGACGTGGTGTAGAGACTTGGGTGAGTCGGTGGTGAGCGAGAGCGCGCTGACGTCGACAGACGCAGGTAGTGGGGGCAATGAGGGTGGAGGGATTTCTTATTCAGTCGACGAGGCTGAGCAGAGCGCGACTACGAGTGCTGCTAAGGCAGAGCGCGTGGCAGCTAGAGCTTGGGTCGGACGAGTGTGGGTGGCTTGCGCGCGGTGATGGGGCTGTCGTGCGAGGACGCGCCGGTGGTGTGGTTGATGGAAAGGGTGGTGGAATGGGTCGAGAGAGTGAGAAGCAGACTGCGAGGGCTTAAGAAGGGGGCAGCAGGCAGAGACAAAGCAGGCGCACGGCCCGCGATGCAATCGCGCTAGGCTGGGCCACGGCTTGGCATTGAGATGAGTGATTGGCCGCGCCTGTCCCAGGCGACGACAGCTCCGAGAAGAGGCAGCTATGGACTGGTAGGAAGCAGAATGGCAGTCACTCCGGTAAGCCGCCTGGCCGGCGCCCCGCTCGGCGACTCGATCCATGGCGACGCTGACGCGCAAGCAGTGGCAGTTCAAGTTCTTCGACGTCTCGCAAGTCAAGCTCCCCGACGACGAGAGCTCCTTCCTCGCCGAGGTATGATCACGTCCCCCTCGCAGACACGTCCTCTCACACACGGCAGCCTGGGAACACGGCCTGCATCGTCTCTGGCTCCGAGAGCATTTTCGTGGGCAGCGCCGATGGCGTCGTCCGCATCCTGTCGCAGGCCTTCAAGGTCGTGCGCACCTTCCGAGCCTATGACGCCGGCGCAATCACGCACATGAGGCAGGTCGAGGGCACGTCGTTGCTCGTCACCATTGCCGAAGACCTGTCCAACGAACCCGTGCTGAAAGTATGGGCTCTGGACAAGCTGGAGAGGAAGACTGGTGTTCCGCGCTGCCAGAGCACTCTCACCATCCAGAATGGACGCAAGCAGTTCCCCATATCGGCCTTTGCCGCCCTGGACGACTTGTCGCAGCTCGCTGTTGGCTTCGCGAACGGCGCAGTCACAGTGGTACGAGGCGATCTCATCCACGATCGAGGAGCGAGACAGCGCACCGTGTTCGAATCTGAAGAGCCCATTACTGGCATCGAGTTTAGAGAAGGCAATATCACCACTCTCTACATCGCCACCACCGGGCGCATCATGACCCTCGTGATATCTGGCAGAGGACAAGGGCAGCCTGCAAAGTCACTCGATGAATACGGCTGTGGAGTAGGCTGCATGGCTGTAGACAAGGCTACACGGGACGTTGTAGTCGCAAGGAACGACGCCGTATATTACTATGGTCAACACGGTCGCGGGCCTCCATATACGTACGAGGGCGAGAAGAAGTTGATCTCGACGTACAAAGACTACGTTGTGATTGTCGCACCCCCAAAGTCGAACGCAATGCCCAGATCCAACCCACTAAGAGCCTTCGGCGTTGGATCTGCTGATGATGTATTCAACACAACCAGCTTCACCCTTCTCAACACCGAGCTTCGGTTCGTAGCGCATCAGGAGCAGATATCGTCGCAGGTCCAGGCCATTGTTTCCGAATGGGGCGACCTCTTTGTGTTCACACTCGATGGAAAGGTGAAAACTGCATGCACATTGACGCGTTCAAGAAGCTGATACAAGCTAGATCTTCCGGTACCAGGAAAAGCCTTTCGCTCAGAAACTGGATATACTCTATCAACGCAATCTCTACGTTCTAGCTATCAACCTCGCGCAGAAAGCTGGCCTCGATTCGTCACAACAGAATGTCATTCTCAGGAAGTTCGGCGACTACCTTTATTCCAAACAAGACTATGACACTGCAATGCAGCAATACCTCAAGGCTATTGATAACACAGAACCGTCCCAGGTTATCCGGAAGGTATGCTTACTCAAAGCTCATCCACGAGCACTGCTGACAATGAAATCAGTTTCTTGATACACAGCGCATTCACAATCTGATTGAATATTTAGAAGAACTACATGACCATCATAAGGCGACTTCAGACCATACCACTCTACTACTCAACTGCTATGCCAAGCTTAAAGACGTTGACAAACTGGAGGAGTTCATCAAGTCGCCTGACGATCTGAAGTTTGACCTAGACACCGCCATTTCGATGTGTCGCCAGGGAGGCTACTTCGACCAGGCAGCATTTCTTGCTCGCAAACATGGCGAGCACGAACTAGTTGTAGATGTGCTCATCGAGGACTCGAAACGATACGCTGAAGCATTGGCCTATGTTTGGCGGTTGGAGCCTGAAGTAGCGTACTACAACCTAATGAAATACGCAACAGTATTGCTGCAGCACATACCCAAGGATACAACCCAACTTTTCATCGATTATTACACTGGGAGTTTTCGACCAAAGAAGGATGCTATCATCATACCTAATGCACCATCATCAGGTGGAATGGGCATGGGTCTCGGTGCGGCATCGAGCGCTGTACAAAATCTTGCTGCCCTTCTACCTCTGCCTTACATGAACACCAACGCATTGGCGTCCCCTTCATCGGGCGAGCAGAAAAGCACAATGAGTCAAGCTCAGATTGTCGAGACGGACACGGACGAGCCTGCGCCAAAGTACAAGGTACCAAAACCTCGAACTGCATTCTCGGCATTCGTGGATCACGCTCAGGAGTTCATCGTGTTTCTGGAAGCATGTATCGATTCAGAGAACTTACGCGAAGACGACAAAGTCGATCTCTATACCACACTTTTCGAGATGTACCTGCACATCGCGTCCTCGAAGAAGGACAGTGAGCGGCAAGAGTGGGAAAATAAAGCGAAGAAACTTGTCGAGGGCAAAGACATACCGATAGACACGTCGAATGTCCTCCTTCTATCCCATCTTTCCAATTTCCGCGACGGCGCAATCCTTGTTCGCGAGCAACAAGGCCTCCACTTCGATATCTTCCGCTCCTATACCACCGCAAAAGACACACAAGGCGCCATTCGCGCACTTCGCAAGTACGGCCCCGAGGAACCAGCACTGTACCCAGCTGCCCTCGCATATTTTACCTCCTCGCCCGAAATCCTTGCCGAAGCAGATGACGAGCTAAACACAGTGCTGAAGAAGATCGACGATGATGGCCTCATGGCACCGCTTCAGGTCATACAGACCCTCTCCGCAAACGGTGTCGCTACAATGGGCATGATAAAAGCGTACCTCAGCACCACGATTGAACGCGAGCGCGCTGAAATTGCAGCAAATCGCCGCACAATCGATACCTTCCGTTCCGACACCGAGGCCAAGAAAGCAGAGCTCCAGAATCTGAATGCAAAGCCTGTCGTCTTCCAAGCTGCGCGATGCCAGGTGTGTAGTAAGCCGCTCGAACTACCGGTCGTACACTTCCTGTGCAAGCACTCGTTCCACCAGAGCTGTTTGAGCACGGATGAGGATGTCGAGGATGCAGAGGTTGAGTGTCCGGTCTGTAGTAGTCAGAATGCGACGGTCAAGGCGATTAGGAGGGCGCAGGTTGAAAGCGCGGAGAGGCATGACTTGTTCCAAGATGCGCTTAGGAGAGGAAAGGACGGGTTTGCTGTCATTAGCGAGTGGTTTGGGAGGGGTGTCATGGGGGTTGGAGGTACAGAGTAGCAGCGGTAGTCGTAGTGTCGTTCAAATTCAACCAGTGTTTTCGAGTATTGCATGAGTTTGCTGTCCAGGTTTGGACCGATTGACTGTGTTGATGGTTTTCTAGCTAACTCCATAGACAGTTCTACTTGATTATCTATCTAGCAGCTGCACCGAATAGATTACTTCGCTGTTGACTACGATTCAAAAGCCACTATTTGGTATAATTGAATTTTACTCGACATCGTTAGGCTTGTTACTGCAGCTTAGAGGGGATAGGAACCGCTTCGTTAGGTTATTATGAGTCCCTCCACAAGCCAAACTACAAGCTAAACTACCAGTTTTACTATAAGCTAATCGTTCCTTGTCGTGCTCCTTCTAATACTAGAAGTATGTTGCGTGCAGCATGATGTTAACAACTTGTAAAGGTTTAACGTAATGTTCCTTCTGGATAGAAAGTAATATCGATCTCGCTTCATCATCAAACAGAGAGACCATTATGTATTATCGCACATGTAAGATATATTACTAGGAAAAATTAGGGTCGCTATGCTTCAGCAACAAGCATCGCTACACTGGATAGAATATTGATTACACTGAAGTGCTCGCCATTGAGAAAGCCTCAGACAGCATTTCGATAGCCATTCGGGATGTTCTTGACATCCACGTGCAATGAACTTCGTCGAACAGCTATATTGTCTCTTTGTGCAGGCCCCAATCCTACAGTTAATACTGCTGCAGTCTGCAGTAGACTTCCATCATCTAACAACAAGGTATCTTTTGCATTCCCACCATATGCCGAATACCTCCCCAGGCTGCCGTGTATCTCAAAAGTTGTACTCCTCAATATATTCGGCTGATGATTCCATTTACCGCGATGCTATGTAGATACGGGGTCATCCACAGAAAAGACAGAGTATCACTGGTGGTATATGTTGCTCTTCCCCACACGGCGTTACGCGCTCATCAACAAGCGATCTGATCATAAAGTTTACAAAAACGTTGGGCGATGGGTATCCCAAGTAATGGCACACGGGGTGTCCCAGCCTGTAAGAAAACAAATCAAGCGTCCTTGCTCTTCGATGTTTTGCATTTGTGAAACGAAACGAGAAAGCCTCCGAACGGGCTCCGGTCAGGGTACCCAGGCAGAAGAAGTGGTCCATGCTCTGTGTCTTGAAAACGGGCGTTGGGCATGGCGTTTCTTGGACGCAAGCCACGGGCTCTCGAAGTTGGGCTTGAACTTGATCTTCAACCTCGACTTGCCAATGTACTGTCGGGCTGGAAGGCTAGTTCAGAAACCTACTAGCTCCAGAACGGTGGTGTCTGATGTGGATGAAGAAGTTTGGAGGGATGACGCGGCGAATAGATAGACACACGCTACTAGAAAAGGAAGGCACATCGTGAAGTCTCCACCCGCGTGCAGCCCTGCAGCGGCAATGAGCGCCATGTTCTTGAGCTTATTTCAACTCCCGTGTCTTAGAATACTTGACATGGAAATCGGCATAACGATCACGGTTGATAAACAAGTTTTGATTGTGCAGAGTTGAGTATTCTTGAGGTGTGAGAACGCGAGTGATTTAAATGATCATGCCGGATGGTAGATCGCGAACATGTGAATGAACATGCATGCGATTGTGAGTGCTTCCTTTCTGAGGACATGTGCTCTGAAGTCGAAGACCAAACCAGGCCAGGCCAGACCTCTGATACATAGTAAACTTTCTGACCATCTTGTCGATATTGCTGCCACGTATTGCACGATAGCGAATTTGCAGAGGGAATGAGTCCTGGTTCGCAAGCCGCGTCACTCAAGTCCAGACTGTCGATGTTCAGCAGTGTGGATGATTTCCAGGACCGTGACTTGCGACCTTTCATCTCAGGTTCTCCAGCAAGATATCATCGGGTGGCGACTGGTGGCCCTGTGGTTGTTTGTAAGACGTTAATTGAGGCCCATGGGTTGCTCCATCATCAGACCTCGGCGTGAGCCAAACTAGCAAATTTGTGGCGGTGAGGAGGACGCAGATTGGCATGGCCACAGAATACTAGATTACCAGATTGCTTATTGGTAGATCAGTGGGCCTAGTATGGCGCAGTGCCACAGCAACTTCAATGTTGAGATGAAAGGAAGCTCGGTGAGGGAATTGATTGAAGTAGTTATTGACGGGAGCCATCACATATAGTACGAGGAGGAAGGCGAATGCCTCGCGGAATAGGCTATTCGGCTGTGCGGTTGTACGTACGTGTGGGCAGTTGTAAAATGAACATGTAGGAAAGGTTCAAGCCCCTGTGTACGTGAGCTAGCTTTTGGTTCGCTATTTTAGCCGATCTGCCCTTGGTCGTGTGGTTTGGTGATCTGTGATTGCGATGTTCGCCAACCTTTATTGACATCTGGGCTCGATTTGGCAAGTCTACCTTTGAGTATTTAATCATCAGGCATAACGCCGTCGAAACCGTGCAGACTAGCATGTATCGCACGCAACCACCATACCTTGACAAATCTTCTGGTCAGAACAGGTGTCATTTCAGAGTTTGCTTCCGCGAAGTTTGAGACAAAGGAGCAAATGTAAGGTTAATGATCCATCCATTTCCCTCGAGCCCACAGGCCAGCCGCGACGGCGGTGTGAACTGAGTGGGCGACAAGCCATTCAAGGGTCTTGACTTGTTTAGTCAACGGGGATCGGCGCTTGGGCAGACACAACCACGAGGCAATTGGCTGGCACGTATGCAAGTGGGTACAGTCTTGGCATAGTATGCAGGCCCGAGTTGTGCAAAGATTCGCGATAGTGGGGATAAATTCTATGGTGTTGCACGGCGGCAGGGATGGGGCAGGAAGAGAGGTACAGAGTATTCACCGAGCCGTCTGTTGCATGGCGGGTGAGGAGAAATGGGGAACGTTGCGGAATGCCTGCCCATGAAGTTGGCGTGGGATCTCACGCCGATCGTCAGCATCACAAGAGCTGGTGGATAACGTGCGACGCATACTGGAACGCAACCTATCGGTACCAGTGAGTACTCGCGGCAAGTGTCTCAGGCTACACTGCAATCACGTCCTCGGCCCAGGATACTGGACAAGGGCAAATCAGTGGTTTTCTTTGCTGTCTCGTGAGGCAGCATACAGAACCTGGCCTGGTCGATCAAGACTGGGAAACTGCAGAAGAGGGGTGATCATGAGACTATCTTCCAAGGGTACTGCGGCAATGTTTCAGCACAACGGGCTTATCGGACTGTGCAAGTGCCAGATGATCCGTAGACTGCCGATGTCCAACAACTGCCTTTCTGCTCAATCTCGAAGACACGGCGACGAGACGACGACAGGCTGATGCTGGGATGCACAGCATGCGTTCCACCGGGCAACGAGCGGTGCATAACGCTCGTGAATCGTGCCATTCGGCAGACTAGTACAAGAACAGACCAAGCGGCCCGCTTAGTACAAGTCTAATCTCCTGTCGGCATCCCTGCGCATTGAACCCCTAGCAACACTTAAAGGCCTTCTGTTGAACAGTTTTTTTGTTACTCTTCACCCCTTCTGTCGCGCCTGCTTTATCTTGCTTGCACGTGCTAGCATTGCGCCTTCTTCTTTAGACTTTTGTAATCACAGACCGCCCTTCTTCTTACCCTCTTATCTGCCCTCGTGCACCCGCCGACTCGCACCCTATATCCAATCCGTTCCTCTTCGCACACCAAGCACACAGACATGTCTATCGAAGAACAGAAGCCAGTTGTTGTGGGAGAGTCCAGCGCTCCTGTAGCGCCCGTTCCTTTTGTGGACGTCCAGACTACGGAGCCTGTTGGTGCTGATGCTGTGACTGAGCAGCCTGCTGTCGAGGATGAGGTAGCTGCCCCAGTGGAGGAGGTGAAGGTAGCCGAGCCCATATACAGCGGCACCCTGGGCTACAAGGCGCCTGGTCTCAAGAAGTAGGTGGCACTAGATGACATGTGGAACGACAGCGCTAACCATGGTTACAGCGCGTTCCGCTTCGCGAAGAAGCACTTCTGGTTCGGCGAAGAGCCAGTCCCAACATCCAGCCTCACCCAGTACCTCCGTGGCGAGAAGCCTGAGATTGGCCACTCCGTCGCGGCATGGTCCAGCCAGACTGGAAAGGGTCTGCTCTTCTTCGTCAAGCACGCCGACAAGAAGGACGCGCCCGATGGCGTTCTCAACTTGGTGCGTACAGATCCACAATCTGCCCGGTTCAACCTGCTGACGCATGTGACAGGCCTATGCTACCGACCTTGTCAAGGATGGCGCTCTTGCCTTTGCGTTGAAGGTCTCAGGACACAAGCACACTTTCGAGGCTTCGACTGCGGCTGAGCGTGACGGATGGTTCATCGCCGCCGAGAAGGTTATTGCTGAGGCAAAGGAGGCCAAAGAGAGCATCGAGTCCAGCGAGAGCTACAAGGAGCAAAAGGAGAAGCTTGGTAAGTTTCCGCAGTTTTTCGATTTAGGTCGCGTCGCGTAGGCCGCATTCGAATTAGGCTCTGGTTTCGGTTCTTCCCGCTGCAGGGTGCTGACATCACGCACAGGCAAGCCCACTACGCTAGCGGCCGCTACCACCCCAGCAAAAAGCATCGATGCTACGCCTAAGGCTGTCGAGGGCGAGGCCGTCGCTGATGCGCCTGCCCCTGTCCGTGCTGGATCCTCGTCCAGCAGCTCTTCCGATGAGGAGAAGAAGCAGAAGAAGAAGGCCACCAAGAGCAGGAGCCGCTCCAACAAGCGCGCCAGCATTTTCGGCGGCTTCCGGGGCAAGAAGGAGAAGACTGAGGAGAAGGCCGAGCTGAAGAAGGACGGTAGCGAGGCTACGGCGGTCCCTGAGCTCACAAAGGAAGAGCCCCTTGCCGTTCCTCACGTTGGTGACGTTCATCCTTCTGAGCTCCCCCAGAGTACGCCAGTATCTTCCGCACTACAATCGAAATGTACTGACAATGACTCAGCTACCGCCGCTCCCGACGTCGCTCAAGATCTCCCCACAGAGAACGAGGAAGCGAAGGTTGACACTTCTGCTCCTATCGTGCCATCCGAGGAGCTCTCCGCCACCCCTGGGCCCTTGGACACTTCCGCTGCCGATAAGCCCAAGATCCAGAAGCGTGGCTCTATGTTCGGTACCCTTATGGGTAAGCTGAAGAGCCCCACTACCGAGAAGAGGGAGAACGATGTTTTCCCAGCTGTTCCTGCCAAGGACACTGAGGCCCTCCCGGAGATCCAGCAACCTACCGAGGAGCCTTTGGCCGCTGTCCCCGTCACTGAGACCTCGGGTTCTCTCAAGGAGGCGAGCCTCGAAGCGCCCAAGACCGAGGAGACGAAGCCTGCCCAGGCTGTAACCCCATCTAAAGAGAAGGAACACTTCTCGTTCGGCAAGCTGTTCGGCGGAAAGGACAAGGCCAAGTCGCCTGCACCTGAGACTGCCCACAAGGTCCAGGAGTCGGCGCCCCAAATCGAGGACACCACCGTTCCTGCCACCTCCGAGCCTGTTCCGGCCGTCGTCGAGACACCCAAGGTTGAATCTGCGGAACACAAGGAGGAGACTCCTGTCGCCAAGAAGCGATCTTCCATCTTTGGCTCCCTCATCCGCAGCGCCAGCAAGGCCGGTGGTAAGAAGGATACCAAGGAGAAGAAGGAGAACGTTGCCCCCGCGACAGTTGCGGAGACTGCTGAGCCTACCGATGCTGCTCTTGTCAGCGACGTCAAGGACGACGTTGCCGCTCCCGCCACCATCGGCGATGTTGTCCCTGAGGCCGTAACCGTTGACCAGAGCTCGAAGACCAGCGCGCCTGTCGCCTCAACTGCGTAAGGTTCGGTAGAAATAATCTGTTCCTCTCGATGACAGCAACGACGCCATGACGGAAAAGCAAAGATACCGTAACTCGCTTGTTTGACCGCACAGCCACGGCGAACATATATCCTCAATACCCGACTTTGGATCTCACACATGGATTCAAGCGCAAGTTTTGGATCGAGCGTTTCACATGTCTCCTCTCATACCCTGTATCCTTTTCTTTGTTCTGGACCAACTCTCTGTCGCTCATTTGTTGTGGATCCCTGATCTGCGTGGCAATTGCATTTGGAGATGTCTCATCTTGCTTATGCAGTGTTTGCGCTGCTCACCTGTTTGTCTTTGTTTAGACTGATACCACTTTGCTCTTGTTTCTCTCATTTTGATACCAATTTTTTGCTTTGTTCTGTTCTGGTACGGTTTGGTCGCTGCGGTCGTAATGTGGCCTGGTTGGTTTATCGCGAATACCCTGATACCCTGCGTACAGCCTTATTAGAGTTGTACATAAGCGGCCAATAGGGCACACTACGACGTAATAATTCCTAATCGAAGTCGTTCCCTGAACTCGTTTGGCTACTGACTGTTCTTTGTGTGATTGCCGGTGCAAGATGTTTATGATGTGTGACTTGGAGGAGTCGAGTGTGTTGCACGTCTTCCAACCCAACTGTTAGCGTAGGTCCACTCAGCAATGCAGGCTTGGATCGTCGTGCAAGCTGTCGTGACGTCGTGGACATGGACATGAGCACTAGAAACATTACGTGGAGACATAATGGTGAACCCCTCTAGCCTGATTGCTCGCATGTGCTCGTCTGATCACGGGAGTAGCCGAAGGAGCAAGTGCGGCGACACGGCGACCTGCTAACGAATGCAGTGAACGCGCCATGCAAGACCAGGTGCAGGCACACCTCCCCGCAGCGTTAGCATCTCTCCCAAACCTCTCGCCGTGAAAGTATCGTGCCCATGCGACCACTTCGTTGTGACATCCACCGCCGGATCTCATCTGCATCGCTGCACTCCCTGCGCTCCCAGTATTGTTATCCACACCGTCTCTGCTGGGTCGAGTGTTGAGGGGCACGACGATTTACCATGGTAAGCACTGTCAGGCGCACGTCTCGGCCCCGAGCATGCGACTGACACACAAATGTTAGGGGTGTGGTGCCTCCCGTCCAGAGAACGGCTCGGTTGCGCCCGTCAGCGTCAACAACGTCTCGCAGTCTTCACGCAGCCTCGTCGCTCGTCCCACGCCAGCCCACTCACCCCGCGCGTCCCAAAATGCCCTCCACGGCCGTCACATCGAAGCACGCGACCGCCCAAACCATGCCTTGAAACCAATATCCCCGGTCCAGCGCTCCCGCCTGCCGAGCAACACGCTTGCCTCCCCAACTGCAAAGAGCAGTCTCCCTGGCTCCGCGAACCCCTCCTGGACGCGCTCACGGCTGGACAAGGAGCGCAATGATTGGTGGGACACACGCGTCACTGGGAGTCAAGAGATGTGGTCTGCCATTCGCATGGCTGCGGAGCATCTGCAGAAGGGAGAGATACAGGAGGCGCAGACAATCCTCGACGCGGCAGGGTGCACTTGCCCTTCTGGCGAGTTGTGGAGGGCCGTGTACGACTCTACCGGCATCAAGTACAAGGTGCCTGAATGGCTCGTCGTTTTGCCCGACGGCTTAGTGGAGGAGGAGGAAGGCGCGACTGGACCTGCAGGCTCGGCCATTCCTTGTGCGTATGGTATGGGTGGCGACGAGATGCAGGAGAAGACAGAGGAGCAGGGCGACACGGCGCTGATAAAAATACGGTTGAGTAGCACTCAACGCGACGTTAAACTCAGGGTTCGGAAGAACGAACGCGTTATGGCGATCGTAGACCAGCTCAAGCAGGACGCACAAGTAAGTCGACGCATGCTATTTCACTGCCTACTTTACATGTTTCGATATTGTTGCTAACGTTAGCAGCTGAGCCCCAGCTCCAGGATCCGGCTTGTCTATCTCGGTTATCTGTACCAAGAGCACGAGACGCTCGATTGTCCAAAGGCGTTGTGGGATTTCGGTCGCGACGATCAAGTCCTCGTAGGGCTGGTGGTCAGCGAGTAACCCCCTTCGAGCCAACTAATATCTGCGACGTCTCAACTTTTCTGTAATCCCAACAGCCAATGAGTTCGTCGTCGGAATGTGCCTGGTGGTTCTCAGCATCGCATCGGAGACCGAGTTCGACGTATCTGCAAGGGTTTGTATTGATGCATCTAGTCCTTCATTTCAGCCGTGGAGTGGTTCGGGGCGTGTTAATCTTTCGCTACTGCATTTGGTATTGCGGTGATTCGGATACCCAGATACCCCTCTTTTATTTGTCGCATACCATGTGCTCGAGGGAAAGGATCTTACTTGGAGTATTGTGTAATGTTTTATCTTAGTATTCTCGCCGTCGTGGCATCAATCGTGTTAATGTGTCATAGTAATCTATATCTCCCCTTTCCAGTCTCGAAGTCTCGTGGGCATTTCTCTGACGTCTTTTACTGACCGTTCGACTGAGACTCAACATGGCCTAGTTGATTATGGTGAGAGGGGATGAACCGTCTTCCTATTCACTTACCCAGTGTGCAGAATTGACGAATGCAGGTGCAGCAGTACTGTTCTGAAGATAAGAAGCGCTGTTAACGATGTAATAGCTAGCAGTAGCGCTTCTCCGACAGACGCCTTCAACAACAGCAAGGATTGAGGGTGCTACACGTAAGTGTACTGCACAGACGCGCTATCTTTTGCTAATACACTACTGTGGTCCCCCCCTCTCGACCAATTGAAATACCAGGAACCAGGGTGCAACGAAATCATGCAACAGCTTAACAACTACAACTAAGCTTAGTATAGGAATCTTATGCATAAATTTTAAGCTGTATACGCCTTGCGTGCACTTTAATAATTTGTAATTGTGTAGTTTTGCGGCTTATAGGAGCCATAAAGAATGTAACTTACTTCCTGCTTTTGCAGTTGACCGAGGGCCCCCCAGAAGTATAAGCCATTCCCCACTTTGCGTACTAATCTTCTATTCGTCAGAATTGCTGATTAAGAGGCTTCTGACCAATCCGTGAGCGTCCTGGAAGGTACCCACAAGAGGCGAATGGCTTATACTTCTGGGGGGGACCACAGTAGTTCAACCACCACATCTTCGACCCACTCAACACCATAGCACACACACACACACACACACACACACACACACACACGTAGTTTTTTTTCCTTTTCCAAAAGAACATTTCTCGAAATTTGAAATTATGACTTCTATCGCCCTCGACGTTGTCTCGGCTGCGGTCTGCCATGATTGGCCTCTCGGTAAATGCCAACATGGGAATGACTGTGCACGCGAGCACCACGAAAACCTGGATCCATCGCTGCCCCACGCACAGCCGGAGCCTGTCGGGTACATGGTACCTGACCAAGTCAATGCAGCATGCCAAAGATGCATGCAGAGGATGTATCCGGCAAGTCTACCCTGCTGACCATCTGGATGGGCCTCATACACTAACAGTCCGCAGTGTGACAAATTGGTACGCGGCGACATAGATGACCCTTGTTCGGAATGTCGTTGGTTCGGTGGGGAGAAATGCCGCTGTATGCTTGCCACGGATACAAGCTACAACGACCAGATATGGTCAGTCATGATGAACCGTGGCAAAGCCCACGGCTACACTCTCCCAGCAGCCAAGGGAAGGGAGGAGTTCAACCCGAAGAAAGGGGTCCGTCCTGGGCCAATGCCAGCGAACAAGATCAAGGCAGACTGGCAAGGTGAGACCAAGGAGGCACTCTTGGCCAAGCCAGATATGCTGCCCACAGGTGTACGCGCATGTCCCAGGGCATTCTTGCATCCTCCTCGCCCTTCCAGTGCCATGAAGTCTACACAGAACTGGGCCATATCTAACAAGCGTAAACTGGAATCCGATCCTGGTGTGGATGCTCGTATCGCTCCATCGACAACGGGTTCTGCGCTCCCGGTTTTCCCACCACGACCAGACTTCCCGCGACCACCAGCTCACCCCCAGTATGGCGAGGTGTTGACTGCGTCCTGGTCTTATTCGAAGAGCACGTGGACGTATACATACGCATCTGGCTTGGAAATCTGTAGCCCGCCGATGCCTGCTCCCATAGGTGAAGTACGTTTTCTATCGACAGTACCTCAGAGTGTTGTTGTTAACAATATCATAGCAGAACAGCAAGCCTACTGAGCAGAGCAGAATTAGCGCCAGCTTTGCGACCCACCCGAAGAGGCAGCGTGTGACTCCACGCGTTCCAACGACAACACCAATGGAACTGAATCCTGCTGCTGCTGCCGCCTTCACCCTTACCACCGCCATGAGCCCCGCTGCTGTCGCTTCGACTGATGTCATGGATTCACGCATGGATGAATCTGCTGACAAGGATGACGATTCTATCGGTTACGTATCGAGCGACGACGACTAGAAGGCCTCACTCGATCGTTTCGCGCACGCTTTGTACAGCTCTTATAATATGCTCTCGGTTGTCGACCGACAATATAATACCCCGACGCTGTTTTTCACGCCCAGCTATTGATTCAGTTCTCTAGCCTTTCCATACCTGCTATTGATTTAGTTCTCTAGCCTTTCCATACCTGCTATTGATTAAGTTCTCTCGTGTCTCTTAGATACCTACTCTTAATATAGTTTTCTAGCTTTGTACTATGTGCGCAGAATCTTCCTCTTAACCGCCCTCGTTGCCTCTTCCATGTGTTTCTCGAGCCTTGTATTACCGTCACTATCCAGCCTTTCAGTGTGCGTGTATGACGCCATTCCAGGGTCCAGAGAAACACAACACCATTCACATCCATCACAGCTGCCACGCAAGGCTGCAAACGCAGAATTGCAGTCTACGTAATCACAACCTTAACAAGTATTGCATTTGTATCGTGTAAAAAGCCTTTCTCATACACCCAGTAATCGCACTTGAGTGCAACTCGCCGTGCTGAAACTACATCTTTCAAGCTGTGGAAACCCCAGACACCAACTCTAAATAATTACGAAATTCTCTGCGCGACATCCAACTTCCACCCGTCAACATTTAAGCGCTCTGATAACTCGTGACCGATGCGTGTTTATCTCTTTTCCGCATTCACGTTTCCTAACAATTCGCTGCACTCTTTATATTTATATTTGCGCCATTCCAAAGTCGAGAGCTCGCATGTGAACAAGACTGCAAATCCAGGTTGTTTTTGATCTCAGCCCCTTCCCCCCTCCTGAAATTGCAAAAATAATTCTGCATTTCAATATAACTAATCAATAATCCTTCAGTGACGGGAAAATTCATAGTAGCTTTTAAAGGGTTTAAAATAATATCATATGCGCGAAAATATCGAAAAACTGGCGAGAAATGCGATCTGAAACCCTCTGGATATTTGCACTATTCCAAAGCTCAGACACGCGATTCCACGAGTTTTCGAAATCGCAGAAGTCAAGCCAGAAACCTCGCTGTAGGCAGCGCACATTGTATAATTCCTTCGTCTTAGCTTCCTCAAATAAATAAAAACATAAAATAACGAAAAAACACTACAAATACGACCAGGACCCGGATGATGAAAAATGCTCCTCTTCTGAATAGCCTGGTGACACGCCGCCGCTCTCCAAAAGACAGAAAATTTCACCCGTTGATGATGCCGTCGTCGCCGGTGGTAATAATAATCTTGGTGTTGAGGCTGAAGCTGAAGCTGATGGCAGCGTTGAGGATGAGGAAGAAATATTGCTAAGTACAGAGAATGCACCGATACCATAAGACCAGCATCTATGTAAGGAACTTTCCGAAACAAATAAGATAATCAAGGTGTAGATAAATAGAGTTAATGAAGGGGGATTAATGCCCCAGATAACAACTGCAAACTTTATAAAATTAGATTATCACACATATGTCCTACGATTGCATTCAAAGCGTAAAAATGTTTCGTGTACAGATAGTGCCGTTTATCGTTCGTTTCTATATTTTCAATATTTCTTTAGTTCCTAAGCAGAAAGAAACATCGTGCGGACTTAAAGATTCCTAGTCATACACCCAAACTAAGATCAGGACTAAGCTACCAAGGTAGAAGAGAGAATATAGAGAATTGAATTCAATTAAGAGTAGTTATCTAAGAGAAGCTAGAGAACTGAATCAATAGCATGTAAAAAGAAAGCTAGAGAACTAAATCAATAGCATGTAGTTGAGAGGAGCTAGAGAAATTAATCAATAGCATGTAGTTGAGAGGAGCTAGAGAACTGAATCAATAGTAGGCGTAGTTATTTGGTCCTAGGATTGTCCGCCTGCAGGGTTCTTTGGCATGCCTCCACGAATGAAGTTCTCAGTGTTACCAGTCATGCCAGCGATGATGTTAACCAGTTGGTCTCGAATTTGACCCTTTGGCAGGAACTCTGTGTCGTACCAATATTCGGGTCGTACAGAAATGAAGAGTTCGGGTACGATTGCTGACACGAGACGTATAGTGTGTTTAGAGATGCCGTCACTGTGAAACTCGTTGTAGATAACCCACTCATTGCCACGAGATACAGCACCAAGATTTGTGTCGGCTGTCAATTTCGCTGGAGCACCGTGTCGGCTGGTCACATACCATCTCGGCTCGTTCGAGGATTTGCGCTTGGCAATTCGTAGATGATTGCCTGCCGCAAGAGCCTTCAACATTTGGACATGGTAGCCTGGTTTAGTCGCATCTAAATAGTTGAGTTGCCAGTTCTTGACCTTCAACAGCGTGCGGAACAAGTGCAAGCGGATCTGATCAGCATATCGCAAGACACTCCCTTTAAGCTTGTTCTTCGACAGGAATTCGTCAGCTTTGTTGGTCGTGCGGGCTGCTGTCCAAGCCATATAGATATTGAAGAGAGTGATATGATCGCCGCTACCATGACGGAACTGTTCTCGGATAGCCTGGATCGCCGCTTTCTCTTCGGCATCGGAGGGATTGCTGAACAAATCACTGCCTCCATTGGTGGCTTCAATCATCGAGACCAAGGAGATCACCTCATCCGAGCAACCAAATCGCGGGCTTTCCAGCAACACGACCGCCGAGTAGACATCGACGGGAAGGCTCGTGATATCCTTTCCAAGAGGAGTGAGGCTTTCGCCCCTTGCGTCCACGGCTCCGAGAAGATACAGAATCCCCAGCGCTTTCACTATCGTTTCGGTCGCTGGTGCCACAATGTAGGAGAATGTGAGCGGGCTTCGACCCATTTTCAAGATGCTCAGACATTCATTGAGCATATCACCCTCCATGATAGCAGGCACAGAATGCTCCAACATTTGCTCTTGGAACCCACCTTCCGTGCACATGCGATATGCCATGCCATCTCTCGTTCGACCTGCCCTGCCAGCGCGCTGCCGAGCTACAGCTTTGCTGATCCACTGCTCACGGAGACACCATGACTCATTGCGCGGATTCCAGATTTTGCCTTTGACTTTGCAGGAGTCGATGACATGAGTGACCCCCGTAAGAGTCACGGACGTTTCTGCAATGTTCGTTGCAATCAGAAGTTTTCGGCCAAGCTGGCCATTTTGCGGCACGGGCGAAATGGTCTCCACAGCATCATCCTGTGCCTCCGGGGAGAGTGTGGCGTGCAGCGGCCAGCATTCAAGCGGTCCAATTTCCAGAGGACCAAATCGGGCTGTGGGTCCATTGAGTGCTTTCTGGATCTTCACGATGATCTGGTGAATTTCGCGTACGCCAGATACGAACACCAGAATGTTGCCATTTCGGCCATTCAAATGCACCTGCAAGATGGTCTCCACGATGGTGTCATCCGTGGGCGGCTCCGCTAGGTACGACACGGACACCTGGTGTGTTCTACCGCCGACTGTTTTAAGCACGGAGCCAGGTAGAAATTTCAAAAAAAGGTCTGCATCTATGGTAGCAGACATAATGATGATTTTCAAATCATCTTTCCTTCTCGCCGCAAGCTCTTTTAAAAGACCGAGTAGTAGATCGGTCGGGACAGTATGCTGGTGCGCTTCATCGATGACGATCGCGCCGTAATTTTGCAAGTCGACATCAGATTTTGCAGCCGCAACAAGCGAGCCTAATACAACGTAAATAAAAGATGACAGCTTATCGCATATACTGATTGACTTACCATCTGTGACGACATCGAGGCGGGTTGTGCGGTTGGTGAGGTCACGGCCTCTATGTTTCAGACCGACAACGTTACCAACTTGCACATCCATCTCCTCTGCGATTCGGTCGGCGACCTATGATTATCGATGATCAGCGCTTGTTTGAAGTCAGGCTCGAGGCGGCTTACCAACTGCGCCGCTAGGCGGCGGTTCTGAGTGAGGGCAATTTTCTTGCCGCTCTTTCTAAACTCATCATCGAGCAATATCGCCTTGGACAGCTGTGTTGTCTTGCCCGAGCCCGTCTCACCAACAACTACTACAATATGGTGTTGCTTTATGATTGAAAGCAGCTGAGGAATTTGCTTCGAGACAGGAAGATTTTGCGCCGTCTTGCGCAGGACGAAGTAGTTGGCACTGTAGGCCTTGGTGGTGAAGGGGTTGATCTCAACGTTAGAGGAAGACATTGCGATTGATTTATGAAAGTAAATTCTGGTTGATAGTTTGGTGTCTAGTGGGCGTGAAGTTGTAGCAAATTGTGTGTATACTAGAAGCTCATGGATATTGTCACCGCGTACTTGACGCGTTATTTCGGTCACATTCGGCCCAATTGTCTTGGCGCACTTACCAGATTAGTCGAATCTTGCTCGGCTCAACCTCGGCTTATTGCTACTCAGGCTTGTTCACCTCAGGCTGCTCATGCTCGACACCGATTGTTTGTTCGGATCCTGATTCTAATTCCCTTCCCCCCATAATAACCAAGAGTGACTTTTGCACGATAGTAAACCTCATGACATTCCGTGGCTGCCTCCTGCCGAATAACGAGAGGCTTTGGCTGCGCCCAATTATGGAATCTTCTCAAGGCTCAGCGAATCACAAGGTTTTCAGAAGAATGATCCTCGTCGGTCGAAAAATGCACCATGGATATGCTGTATCCTAGGCGTTATGATGTCCGAGTCTCACGAGGCTTGACCTTCTCGCAAGAAGTGTCAGTGATTATAGTCTAAGCTACTCCCGCTGGCAAGAGGCGAAAAACTCAATCCTCTTTTCTACTGTGGCATACTTATACCTGCATAGCTCATCGCTCCTACTCGGCCTCGTCACTCTCACCATGGCTCTGACACTGACTGCGTGTCAACGAGAATTTCTTGCACGCAGCAGTGCAAGCTATGGATCCGTCGAAGTTTGAGGACAAGAAACTAGAGGACGACTAAAGTGGAAACGATTTGGATGCAGTTTGCAGAACGAGACCGCGTACCGTCATCACTCCAATAACACAGTAATTCTCATACATTGTGCCTTCCATATCTGGGATATCCATACCCTGTCTTTCGGTCAATCGAAATACCAGGAACTAAGGTGCAGCAAAATCATGCAACAGCTGGACAACTACAACTGTGTTTAGTGTAAAAATCTTGCGCCTAGATTTGTAGCTGTATGCGCCTTACGTATACATTTTTGTATTTTTCTTGTGTAGTTATGCAGTTTGTAGAAGCCACAAAGAATGCAGCTTACTTCCCGCTTTTACAGTTGACCGAGAGCCTGTGTTGATTCAGATGCGACATTGACATTACAAGATGTGTATCAGGCCATCTCTAGCCATCGGATGCCGATTGCAGCCGATGAATTATGCCTGCCTGTATGGGTCCCATGTTCTGTCTGCGTCATATGCCGCCCTTACGAAGAGCTCACACCAATGTTTGCACCTGGTAGCTGTTCCCCGCAATCCACTAGACTAGTTGTAAGTTTGCGGCAACTCGCGTTGCCGACTCTCCCTCCATTGGTGAATACTGTAGGATTGGAGCGCTCGTCCGACGCAATCGGATAGGAACAGAAGCACTCTGTGGAACCTCCGGCGTTGCACCTTTCAATAAGAACTCAGGATTGTTCATGATTTGTCATACAATGAGTTTTCCAGTCTCTGGACAAGTACGCCCGGTGCTCGCTCAAATGGAAGCCGAACATGCTGGGGTTCATGGGGTAAGCTTGACCGTTTCCACATTAGTTTAGAGGCTCAGACGTAGGCTCTTGTTCGGTTTTCGTCCCCATGCCACTTATCGAGACTGTGATATCACAATCATTGCCGACTGCAATACCCATAGTCATGGTCTTGCATTGTGGAAGGGCAACTAAGAAATTTAGCTATCACGTTTGTTTTATGATTGAGGATCAAGCACCATCTTTGGAATGGTCAGACGCGCCTCCACGATGTTCAAATCCCCACTGCGGGGCAGAGAGCGGGGCACAGGCTTCCGCTGCTGCGTTAACCGCCACTCGAGATATGACCACGAAAGCCGCGATAGGTTGCTCGAAGGCCCGAGTCTGGTTCCTCATGGCCGAGGCTGCTAGGCTCTTTATCTGGGGCATTCGTCCGGTGGAGATATCCACTCGCGGCGTCGTGGCGGGGACTACTTAAGGTTTCCGTGTCCCTCTGCTCTCTCATCCAGATCACCTACTCCCCTCACCTGTTTTCTTTCTACTGATACCCAGTTCGTTTCATTGCACAATCAACATCATGTCTGGTGTGTCTACTAAGCTCAAGACCCCTCAGACGGGCGAATATGACCAGCCTACTGGCCTGTAAGTGCTGCCTCATGCAATCCTATTCGTACATTGTTCTACAATGTACTGACACCGAACAGTTTCATCAACAACGAGTTTGTGAACTCCGTTGATGGCAAGACATTCGAGGTCATCAACCCTTCGACAGAAGAGGTTATCTGCTCTGTAGCGGAGGCCACTGAGAAGGATGTTGACATCGCTGTCGCGGCGGCACGCAAAGCCTTCAACAGCGGGTGGAGGAAAGAGACACCCGAGAACCGAGGAAGGCTCCTCTTCAAGCTTGCCGATCTCTTTGAAAAGAATGCCGATCTCCTCGCTGCGGTTGAGGCTTTGGACAACGGCAAGGCCTTTACCATGGCTAAGAACGTCGATGTCCCTGCTGCTGCTGGCTGCTTGAGGTACTACGGTGGTTGGGCCGATAAGATCGAAGGAAAGGTTGTCGATACTTCACCCGATACCTTCAACTACATCAGGAAGGAGCCAGTAAGTTATGCATCTACATGAGTTGCGCGAGCCAAGCTAACTTCACCAGGTCGGTGTTTGCGGTCAAATCATCCCATGGAACTTCCCTATACTCATGTGGGCTTGGAAGATCGGCCCTGCCATCGCTACTGGCAACACTGTCGTCCTCAAGACGGCAGAACAGACTCCTCTCTCTGGATACATTGCTGCTAGCTTGATTAAAGAGGCTGGCTTTCCTCCTGGTGTCGTCAACATCATCACCGGCTTCGGCAAGATTGCCGGTGCAGCCATCGCCTCGCACATGGACGTTGACAAGGTCGCCTTCACTGGCTCGACCGTTGTGGGCCGACAGATCATGAAGGCTGCTGCTGGCTCCAACTTGAAGAAGGTCACCCTTGAGCTCGGAGGAAAGAGCCCCAACATTGTCTTTGCCGATGCAAACATTGAGGACGCTATCAACTGGGTTAACTTTGGTATCTACTTCAACCACGGACAGTGCTGCTGCGCTGGTTCGCGTGTCTATGTTCAAGAAGAGATTTACGATACCTTTATTGAGAAGTTCAAGGCGCGTGCTGCCGCGAACGCTGTCGGCGACCCATTCCACGCAGACACATTCCAGGGTCCTCAGGTCTCGCAACTCCAGTTCGACCGCATCATGGGGTATGTACCATAAATGTATGCTGATGCAATTGCTAACCTATACTCAGATACATTGAGTCGGGCAAGAAGGAAGGTGCCAAGGTTGAGACGGGTGGCAAGCGTTTGGGTGACAAGGGCTACTTCATCGAGCCAACTATTTTCTCCAACGTCACTGAAGACATGAAGATCCAACAAGAAGAGATCTTCGGCCCCGTGTGCACAATCGCCAAGTTCAAGACGCAAGAAGAGGTCGTCAAGCTTAGCAACGCCTCAACCTACGGTCTTGCGGCGGCCGTCCACACCACCAACCTTAACACAGCCATCTCAACTGCCAACGCACTCAAGGCAGGTACCGTCTGGGTCAACACATACAACACTCTCCACTGGCAGTTGCCCTTCGGAGGGTACAAGGAGTCAGGCGTTGGCCGTGAGCTAGGTGAGGCGGCGCTGGACAACTACCTCCAGACCAAGACCGTGTCGATCAGGCTTGGTGACGTTCTTTTCGGTTGAGCAGCGAATGTAGAAATGGAGGGCCTCTCTTTGGAACTGTATATAGTCAAGCAGCCATGAGAAATGAAAGTAATGAACAACACGTTTGTTTGTGTCGTGGTGCCGTGAGTCGTGCTTCTTGTGGGTGGTGGAGTCTTCTGTGCAAAACATTCCATAGCCAGCTCACAGCCCAAGCCTTGCACATGCTGGAGCAATTCGAGCCGTGCATGGCTATCGATAAGATGTGATGTCCGACATGGATGGCAACGTTTAGCGAGCAAATGTTGGTGTTGCGTCAGAGCTCCATGGTGGTCGGAAACGTGCACGCGGGAACCAAGACGGGTCATGGCGACTGTCTACTCTTCCACCTCGTGAGCTGCTCTGCCACGCGTCATGGGGACAACGAAGCGCATGTTTTTATCGACATGATTTGAAATCGCCTATCCAGAGCTGTCCATTGCTGCGGGTATCACTAAGGCGCCCATCCAACGATCACGACGATCATGGCGAACCGCGAGCCAACCATGCTGTCCCATACCAACTCGTACATCCGCGAGGTGCTCCACTCGTCTGAAGCACCACCCGCTGTGCCCGTCCGCTACTTCTACACGTCGCCACTTGCCATCGACGACCCGCTTTCCCCGCTCCCTCCGCCTGCGCAGACGGCGTCGAGTGGGAAGAGGCAGCCACCGCGCCCGTTTTCCGAGTACGACAACGACGCCATCAACGCGTCATGGCTGGAGCTGAGGAAGAAGATACTGAAGCACAACGAGGAACTGGGCGAGAAGGGCACGTTGACAAACCCAGCAGTCGAGCGGCTGAAGAGGAAGAGGGGAGGCAGCAGTGCGTCACGGGAAGATGTGCCTATGAAAGGGAGAGACATTCCCCTGGCGAGGTCGAACAGCGGAGGACGCTACTCGAGGTCTGCAGAACTGGTCGCAAGCAGTAGCCCCAGCTCGAGCGGTGGGAGACAAGGACCGGCAATGGGCACATCGCTGAGGGCGCTGGACCCGGGACTGGCATCGCCATCTTCCGAGCCGACTATTACGGGCACGCCTTTTATCAGGGCCCCTTCCCGGGGGAACCTGGCCAAAGCATGGAAGCCAGTGCCCATGGACGGGGGCAGCCGGCCGACTATACATGAGGTGGACAGCTACAAATGGGACGACGATATGGAGCCTGCCTTGTCAGTGGGCAAAGACAAAGGCCCAGCCAAGAAGCCGTCCAAGCCCAAAGCAGGCCCCTCTGCAAGTGTACCGGTAGGCGTGTCGAGACTACATCAGGTCGTCATGGACGCCGAGTCGATACGGATGGAGCCTATCTACTGGTCGCCGCTCAGCGATATCGCCCGCATAGTTAGAGGGACATGGTTTTACAAGGACACGATGATGCCTGTCGAGGTCGAAGTCGCCAACATGCTCGAGGCGGGCTACATAGAGCTGCAGCCCTGGACACAGACATGGAAGGACGAACTGAACAGCGCGGCTGAGGTGGGAGCGCCAGGGGAGATGAAGATTCTGCACAAGCTCTGGCCTGACAAAGTGAAGAGGCCGGAGAGCCGACCATCCACTTCGCAGGAGATGCGGTCGACAGGTTTAGTCCAGAGCACCCTACCAGACGAAGTAGACGATCCAGAGCAGGAGCGACGAGAAACCGTTGAGGATGCGTGCGACCTGATAGACATCTCGACAGGCCCTGAAGGTACCGACAACAAAGCAGCTGGGGACCTCGAGTATGGCGCTGATGGCACAAAACGTCTGTACTTGAAAGCTGGCATAATATACGCTGACGAAAGGGTGGCACATATCCTGAAGCCTGCACTCCAACCATCAGATTACTACGGCAGAAGACCACTGGCCAATTACATCCGCAAATCCAGAGCTATTGGGGTCTGTGTCGTGCGTGGCTTTGACCAGGCGAAGTGGGATAAACTGCATCCGACCAAGAATACAGTCACTGCTCGGAGAGCGCGTGAGGGCGTATCGACTTCTCAAGCTGGAGCACCTGTTTCTCGGAGACAGAAATCTGATGCTGAGCTTGCTCTTTCGGAAAGACCAAAGGTGACAGATCTAGTACTTGTCATCCACGGTATTGGGCAGAAACTGTCAGAGCGTATGGAGACGTTCCACTTTACACACGCGATGAACGCTTTCAGGCGAGAAGTCAACGTAGAACTCGGAACACCAAGCGTGAAACGCCACTTGCGGAAGGATATGGGTGGCGTTATGGTGCTGCCGGTAGGTCACTACCTCTCAGCATAATCTAGTGATTTTCAAGCTAACGTTTAGTAGGTGAACTGGCGACATCGCGTTTCTCTTCAATCCGACGCTGCTGATCCTGAGGATATCGAAGACCCTGCAGTCAACAAGTATACGCTCAAGCACATCACCCCAGAGACCCTACCTTCTATCCGCGGTATTGTTAGCGATGTCATGCTCGACGTTCCATACTATCTATCCCCAGAGCACAACCCCAAAATGATCGCCGCATGCATACAAGAAGCAAACCGCATCTACCGAACTTGGTGTGCAAATAACCCTGGATTCCAAGAGTACGGCAGAGTGCATCTAATCGCGCATTCACTCGGCTCGGTCATGGCTGTCGACATCCTAAGCCAACAACCAACATATGTGGACCCCGAGCTCAGTTCTCTCTCATACCCCGAGGAAGATCTGCCTACAGATCAATTTGTCTTCGATACTACCGACCTCTTCGTATGCGGCAGCCCAGTCGGCCTCTTCCTCCTGATGAAAAACGCCGGTCTCCTCCCGCGCCGCGACAAAGAGAAACCTGGCGCAGACTCGTACGCTGCGCCTGGAGTTGCCGGCGAACAAGGCACTTACGGCTGCCTAGCGGTAGACAATATTTACAACATCATCAACCCCTATGATCCCGTCGCATGCCGCATCAACGCCACCGTCGACGTTGTGTATGCTGAGATGCTGAAACCCGTCACCATTCCTTCCGCGTCCTCGTCATACTTCGCCTTCAGCAATCCTTTCCGCCGCCAGGATTCCTCATCTGCTTACGATGTCAACAAGCCGCCTACATTCCGCCTGCCGTCGAATGTGGAACTTGAAACGCATAACTTCACGCGGGAAGAGATTGCAGAGAAGAGAGCGTATCTACTTAACGACAACGGCCAGATCGACTTCTTTATGAAGTACGGCGGTGGGCCACTGGAGATTCAGTACCTCACCATGCTGGGTGCACATAGCAGTTACTGGCTCAGTAGAGATTTCGTGAGGATGATTGTTGTAGAGGTAGGGCGGGGGTTGGGCAAGGAGGGCACGGTTCCCGCGATGCGGGCTGTGAAGAAGAAGCCTGTTGTTGGAATGTGAATTGGCAAGTCAAATCGGCGAAGACGGAAGGGGGGTTGATTGCAAACAAGGCAGAAGGCGAGGAGAAGGAGTTTGTGGTCTTGGTATACCCCGTTTACTATCGTCCATTGTGCTTTCCCATTCTGCTCTAGAATAGAGTATATTGTTTAATACGCGAGCATCTGTGTATTTCCCTCTATTTTCTTTATCGTTCGTGTACTCTCCACAAAAGCCGGCGGGCTGTGCATCTCAAACGTTGTCCCGATCCCGACCATACGATCTCCGCCGTTCCATCCCGTCCGCCAGGGCAAAAGCCCAATCCCCCACACCGCCTTAAGCGCCATGGGGGATCTTACGCCCTGCCCTGCCCCTGCCCCGCCTTTGTCGCGCCCTGCACCAGACATATTTAGCCCTTGCAGCATGGTGTTTACGCCCTGCATCCGCGCGTCCGCGTGGCACCATGCAGTGCTACCTGTGACGGGTGTGAGGCTGACATGTTGGCGGTTCTGCATCTTTATAGTAGGGTTGGCTTCTTGGAAATCTGGAATTAGACAGGATGGGTGTGATACGGGCCAGATTGTGAGGTGCCAAGCGGGGAGGGGAAGGGGGTGCTTGAGTGGTTGGTCTAGAGAGATTAAAGCTGGGCGACTATGTGTGGGGTGGTATCGTGGTGGGTTCTTGGAGCAGTGTGATGATGGGCATTGGGAAATCTACCGCGCTGTCGTGCTAATTGCTAGTATTCGTTTTTGCAAGGTTTTTGTGCTGCTGGCTCCGCGGCTTCCTTGACATATTGCTGTAGGAAAGAGGCGCTGTAACTTAAATGTGCGCTAAATACAATAAGATTGCATTATATACGTGTCTTTGCGGCGTGGTGACCGCGGCAATCGCTGGCACTGCAGAGCATGTTTGAGTTCTATCTGGAAAAGGCAGCATCTGTTCAAAAGAAGAAGGGGATACCGACATTCCTCAACGCTGTATGATTCAAGTCAAGAAAAGAGTTTTCCTCTGCATAATCGATCAAGTTTACTATTTAGAATGCCTGGTAGTCCTCTGTCACAAAGGAAAGAAAAAAGTATCTCTTCTTGCGGAAATTACTGCGAGGACTGGGCTGTCACTTGCCCAGAACACAGCTTGGTTATACCATGCACGTAGCGCTACTAAGGTAAACGCTTTCCAATTCTTGCTGCCTGATTGTATCGAACACACTGCGCGCAACAGCTCTATCATGACTCAGTATCAAATGGGTGTCACTCACCTTGAGCTCCGCCTGCGATCTACCAGTTACTTGAAATATCCCAGTCACACTACATGCCTCGAGCTGAATCCCAATCCGCCCTGTAGTCTAGACATAATGATCTGCCTTGTCCATCGACGTTGCATTGCTCGCAAGGGTTATTCGACACCGTTTTTCGCCCGGCTATCGGCGCCACATCTCAGCCGCTTCGGGAAATGTACGACGCACGGGACTGTCAGCCCGCAGAGGATTAGTAGGATTCTGTGGAATTGCAACTAGCTTCTGGATACGTTCAAGTTGCACATGCAAGTCGTCTTCTTGCAGGCAACTCGACACGGTATCTGGTCTCCAGCGACTTTCTTTGTTCAGTGTGCGAACGACTTGGTTGGTGGAATAGTTCACCGACTGCCCTATCTACGATTACCGAGAGATAGTTGCCTAACCCGTTAGGGCTTGGGCGAGTTGGTTACAGAGTTACAGTGCCATCTTTACCAGCACACAATTCCAAGGTTTACGGACCCGAACAGAGAGATCACGGAGACACGGCCCATGTTCTCGAAAATGGGGTTCATCAGATGAGGTTGTTGTTTCTCGAGGAAGCGCCGGGGCGTAAAATAATGTGATACGTGATCGACCTTGCATGGTTGCTGCGGAGTATTGCGCGGCGTCGTTTATTGTTGCGTGCTTTCCACTTTGATCCCTGAGCCACGTCGCTAGCTCGATGAAATTGCCCAAGGCAGACGTTGTCGGAGTGTAATGGGGTTGGGATGCAACGGGGAAGAGTACCAAACAAATCACATGCTTGTTAATCTTGTACTCCAATCAGACGGTAGGTTTTATAACAACGTGAAGCCAGTACCTCGCCCATAGGCTATACTTTGAAGTCCTGGTAACAGAATGCCGCAAAATATACTCAATTGAGTAGATCTTCAAAGTCTCCGCACACGTCACAAAAGTCTCTAATTGGATAAGTTTTGGCCCCCACAACGCTACATGCTCGAATCCATTCCAATAACCGTCAATTTGCTCGTGATAAATCGCGCACATGAAGTCGACGTGGGTCGAGTCTGTTAGTTTGCGGACAACAGTAAACCGGTGAAAGAGCCACGACTTGAGATTCGTACGCGCATGTAAATCAAGTGGAGACGATAAGCAGGTACTCGGATCCGGGATAAGAAATGCCTGCAAGCTTTTCATTCGTGCCGTGCCGTTTGTTGTGCGAGTCGACGAACTTTCGCGTCAGAGTGTCCCGACATGTCTCTGGACAAGGGACAGTCTTGCCCATTGAACTGCGCAATCTGGAGGCTAACAGGGATCTGCGATGGAGCGTCCTTGATTACTAGGGGATTCAATGCATATACTCATCCAGAGATCGCAAAGTTCAAGAACAAGAGAAAAAAGTATTTGAAACGTGCTGAATGTGTCTTTGAAGTGTCAGTCTGGCTTCTTATAGCACATGAAGTTGTCGTCTTCAGCCCTACGAAAGATGCCTCATCATATCCTGTCAGCCCTAGTGCACAGGTCCCGGTGTCAGATGCTTAGCGAAGTTGAGAGCCGTTTCAGACAATCTGGGGTAAGATAGACAGATGTATCAGAGCAGGATAAGATCTTCCTCTGTCAATGCTCGACGAATTATCGCACAATCCCACTCACCATTTGCTTTCATTTCGTAGTCTCAAGCTACAACATTTAACGGTCGACAATGTGACATTTGACTGGAAACATCAACACCACCTGAGCTGTGTCAGGTGTTTCTAACTCGACGATCTTTCTCGCAAGCTCATCTTATCCAGACCGGCTAGCGCGGATATAAACAAGGCTTGATTTCAACGTCTAGAACTCACCCCCATGCAACGGGACACGTTGAAGTGGGGAACGAACCGCCTTTGTTTTGCAGCTAGCGCTGCATCCGCCTTTCCCCAATCCCCTGAGCTCGAAACTGATCTTATGACCGGGGAAGCGGACCGTTATGGAGAGTTGATAATCAGGTGAGGAATGTAGTACGTGAAAAGAGACAGGCACTAGACAGCGTGCTCAGAACTATGTTATCACATCGCTCCATTGAAGTATCTCAGATGCTAGTATTGTAGTTCAGGTGCTCTGAACAGCATGTAGCTCTTTACATTTCGGGGTGGTCGGTTGGTTGTAGCGAAAGTTTGGTTTCTATGTTGGTTTCCGTGCGTGCAAATTGGGTCCCTTGCCCAAGCTTCAGGTCGTTGGAGGCCTCACCTAATTTGCGACCAAGAATAGCATTGCGTGAGTCCTGGAGGAGACCCGCATGTTTCTTTTCGGGCAGTGCATGCGTGTTGCAAGGCTTCTGCAATCGCTGATACTGTTCCTTCCTGACAATTGCGCCAAACGCGTTCGAGGTCGCGCCGGTTATTGCGCAGAGGAGTTGAATATATGAGATCACTACCTGGTCGGAGTTCGCGAAGGTGCGAACCTCATGACAACCATCGATCGGGGGCCCGAGAGCGTGGCTTATCGGGCCGTTCGATGACACGAGGTGACATGGGTGACTGTATATACTTCGCGCTACGACCTTGCTTTGTTTAGAATCATAGATACTTTCCTCTGTTGTAGCAACTTGATCCTTTTTCGGCTCAGTTCTCGATCAACCTGGCATACGGCGGTTACGTTTATAGTATTGTATAGCATGCATGCCAAAAGCAAGAAATACATGTTGCGTTTCTGTGAGAAGACTGTACAAAGAAGAGCCATCAAGGTCTTAGTCATGGTCACAATCATTCACAAACCTACCCTGTGCAGCCTTACGCCCGTACGACAGATGGTTTGTAAGCAGCGAGGAGTGGTTTCGCTTAAATGCAAGATAGTGGATTAAGGATTGGGCACAGACAATCGTTGCAGACCGGTGTGTTTATGTTACACTGTAAGGCTACAGCGTGCCGCCTGGAGGCATAACGAAACCCTACATCCGTTAATCTCCGCCCTCAAGTCGGGAGAACCGTGTTGTCCGACTCCGGTATTGAACGGTTAGAGGTTTGTACGCTTTCAGTCGATGATTGGTTGTGTATAGAGAGCTCTGATATATATCGTTACGACAATGCTGCGTTAAAGGACAGCACCTTTGCAACTTAGGCGGTCGAAAAGCCGAGGTCGAGGAACAGGTCATGAGGAATCACGCTACCACTGCGTCGCTGCTCAAGATTTCATAGGACTGTGTCATAGAACGCTGCAAGATTCTGCACATGTAAGCCGACATACGACCATCTGATAAAGATATTGTCGCATACCTCGAAAAAGAGGGTGTGTACAGATAATGGCCTTTGGAGAGGTTCCGGCGATCCTGTAGGTGCGCATAGTTATCCCTTTGCAACATAGTGCGGAGGTCGTGAACCTACCCCACGAGGTGACGCCGCGTCACCAGGTAGCACAGTTTGACACCTGAGTGCGTCGGGACAATGGTTGGCCAAATCCGTTTCTAAGAGATGTATTTGCTTTCAACTCACTCGCCTTATCAAGTTATATTGATGCATATCGTACGACTGCGTCTACAGCGCGGCCGGAGAAACCAGCTAGTGTTCGAGTTCGTGAACCCACAAGCAGACAGGTCTGTTAACCCGCGGGTTTTGAAAGCGACCCACTGAACGCGGGGGCACTCTGCCCTACGATGCAGGTCTGCCACGAAGTCTGACACCCTGCAGTGGGCATCCCAAATGAACGGTGACTATCCTGTGCCGAGCACACACAAGGTCGAGGGCGAGTCTTGCTGCAGTTGACTCAATGGTGGTAATGCAGGATGAATGGTTATTCGCTCCAATTAACTGAAAAACTTTGAAGTATGACTATCACTGACTTAGGAGTCACAAAGACGGGGTTCAGGCGTCGCAAGATGCGAAAGTGTTGATTTGCCGATACGTCATGCAGGTTGTAGGGCTGTGAGACGTCAGGCTCGTGGCTTAGCTTGGCAGCGGTCGTTAAAAATAGCCCGTTTTTGTTTCGAAACAGATGTCGGTTCAAGCATTTGAGGCCAAGAATCCTCCTCTCGCATTCATACCACAGAAGGGCTCGACATCACATGACCCTGCAAGCTCGCACTACATACGTACCACGTACCCTGGGTCAGCGGTCAAGAGCGGACGGGAAGACCGATCCTAGTCTCGCCTTGCACTCCTAAATAGGCAGTTGATTCGTGCAAGCTACTCAGAGCGAGCTTGACGCAACGACTTTCTTGTAAGGATGAGCGTTAAGTCTAGCCGGTTCGGGACATCACATGAGTCTTGCCATTCGACAGCTTGATTGTGATAGAGAAATATAATTTACAGCTTCTGTTGAGAAGTCTATCCGTGCTGCGAAGATTCCGCTTACTGACCGGTTTCCAACTATCGATGTGCCATACCGCCATGCGATGTCACCCGCGTTATGTCGGTCTCCAGTGGCGTGAAGATAATATGTCACCATGTATTATTTGGTGAGTTGATCGAGTCTTAAGCTTTCGTTTATGGCAGTGTAATGTTGTATTGTAAGTTAAGTGCTGGCTTCAAGTTAATAATACGACGATTTTGCGATGTTGAAGCTGCAAGAGGTTCCCGCGTGACAGTCTTAGGCAATGTTAAGCCCCAAATGTGAGAGACGATGATATGTCGAGTATTAAACTCTACCCATATGAAGTGGTTGCCACAAGCGCGTAGTAAAGGTTACAGGCTTATTTGGTACTCTGAGATACGTCGACGATACTCGACTAAAATGTTGATGCTGCTAAAGGTCGATATGTTAAGAAGTTCACGGCTACTCTTGAAGGCCGAAACTACAGTCTAGGCCGGGGTTTCAATGTCTCAATGCTGAAAAGTGGTTGGAGAAGGTTGTCATTGGATAACAAGACATGAAGTTGGTTGCCTAAGACGGCGAACCACGAGGTGTTCACGCCTAAACCCATTGATCATCAGCAGCCTCTAAGACATGAATTTGGTTGCAGCTATTAACAAAATCTGTATGGCTCCTGGTTCCACTGAGAGAAGCGCGCAGCCCGCAATTGTGATTATAGTCTACTACAACGGGGCGTAACTCCGCCATGCTGCGCAAACAAATTCTCTGACTAAGGTATCATAGCACCGTCCTACGAAACAAATAGGTGTCGCAGATCTTCGAGGTTCGGATCTTCCGCTTCATTGGCATGGTGGATACTGATCATTTTCCCGAAAAGATATAGCTCTATCTCCAAGATCGAACTAACGCTTGAGTACAACATGCTGACGCGGAGATGGGATAATGGGCATTGGGTGCCAGTATCATTAATCTCTTATCTGTCTTTGACAATGCCACCACGTGGCAGAGAGTAAAACCGTCCCAATGGGAGGTTGAAATGAGCAGCAGATGCTGTTTCATAAGGTACTCTTTGCATGACAGCTATCGAAGTGTGATGGGCTGGAAGAGAATCTGTTTTAGTCGGAAATAGAAGCAAATCTGAAACTCTGAGGCGATGTCTTTACAGTCTCAAGCACCTCTCCCTCTTCGAGTTCATGTGTTGTTCGCTACCATGCAAGATCATCCTGGTCTATGTGTTGTGGAAATGGATGGCAAGTCATTGCTCGACAAGACTCTTCAACCCGGGCCGTAAAGACAGTGAGACAACAGAGTCTCGGGGCGTAGCTTTCGATTCATATGTCGCCTGGTAATAGTATGGAGGAGCACTGCACCGCCAAGTGCCACAAAAATAGTTCATCTAGCTTCTTCGACAAATGAATGGCGGGCATAGGACGAACATTCACAGAGCGCCCGACGATCGTAATATCGTGCCAACATGAATCGAAACAAGCCCCTGGATCTTTTGAGGAATAGGAAGAACAGAATTCGATTCGATATATAGACCGATAATTTTAGGAGAGAGGCTGGGCGAGTGTCGACCAGATTGACCAATTTCGGTTCCTTGGGAAATTTTCCACGACGTACCTTGCGTCGTGTAAACCTCCATGTTACTCTGTCGGGCGTATTATGCTCAGATACGTTTCGATCCTGGCGCAGCAGTGGGGAGTGCTGTTCCGACCAAAGCCTCCACCGTTTATACGTAGGGCGTACAAGTGGTTGTCACGCTAGCTTGCGATCAACCATCGTAGCAAATTAGGTAGCAAAGGGTGGATCATCAGAGGCGCCTCCACGAGTATTTCCAGGATGGCTTAGATCTTAGCGCTAATTGGCCCTCCTCATGACAGCGTTCTTCTTTCAGAGCGACGACAGAAGAGATCGTTGGACAAGCTTTTGGCTGGGCTGACACTACCCGCAAGTGGAGGCGGACCACACCGACTTCGTAGTAAGATGCTGATGCAACAGCCGGCAGTGTGGAAAGGTGCGTAGGGCTGGTGGTATGAGACGCTTGTTTGCGAAAAACCCCTGGAACTTCGCCTGTGGCTTGCGCTGTTGGTGGGAATACCTCAAGATTAGAGGCAAGGGTAAGCGACAGCCTATACCGTAACCAGCAAACGGTTCGCAAGCAAGCTTGGTCATTCTGAGGAGGGCATGCGGAGAGAGGCCACTGCACACAGCGATGCTGACCAACGGTCGTAACGGCCCTGCGACGGGGATTGGAAATACACGATGCTCTACCCCCGATAAGTCACGAGGTGCAGCGCTCTGCGAAGTTGTGCATTGCGTGACGACGCGTCGAGGACGGCCAATCGTTGCGTAGATTGGACAGCTGCCACGGTTTGCATTTGTGAGCTTTCTTCGCGGTCAAGACAGCGTAGGGGCGTTTCTGTAGAGCTCTGATTCACCCAGCAAAGTTGCCTTGGCCCCCAAAGTGAAGTCTGCTAACGAGTCGGTGATTCGCTGCTACAACAGGCAGCTGGGCGCTCAAGTCGCTCACGAACAAAACGCCATCGTGATGATGAAGCAGCGCCACGAACCCTGTCCGTCCACGACAGGGACGGAGATAATAAGAGATCCGACACGCCGCGTGAGGACCTGTGATGCCGTCCAGCCAAGGATCGTAGGGCTGTCTGTTATCGAGTGTGTGCAGGGGAGGCAGTGAGTTGACCGCTGTATGGAAAGCCGCCCTTCCGCCAATCCTCTCTATTTACCGGCCCATGCGTAGGGCCCCCCGACTTTCCGTGCGCGCATTGGGCTGAGCATGGACAACACGCAACGGTTACTGGTCCGCTACATGCTTTGCGCTAGCGCTATCCCAAAAATACGAAAGCTGCCTGTCGGTGAACAGTGAACGCGGCAGGGTTGTACCCGCTGCTTGTAGTGCTGCGTGCATGCGAGCATTGAGGGCCTGAATATGAGGACCACTACTAGGCAGTCTGTGCTCCACCTGGAGGGCTGCGGACAGATTCGAGAGGAGATAAATATACTATGATTCCCGACTGCCTAAGCCTCCCACCATCCCACTCATAAACAGACAGCCCACCCCACAGCTGTCTACTCACCACCACTATCCAGTACCTTTACAGCTATGTCTTTCATCAGTGATACAGCTCGGCACCGCTCCCCACCCACCATGCAAAGACACGGTAGTTACCAGTATGCCACAGCGGCACCCACCACCACAAGATACTCAGGCACATCTTCAGCCTTCTCAGCATCCGCAAACCCCAACGAAGACTGGACCAAGATATCAGACCTTGCAGAGCGTCGCAGAATACAGAACCGTATTGCCCAACGCAATTATCGTAAGAAGCTCAAGAAGAGGCTCGAAGATCTCGTGAGTTGCCGTGACTTGTACAGCTCCGGACGATAGGCTAACATGGTCCCAGGAGCGCCGTGCTGCCTCCAGCTCAGCTTCACCGGAACCAAAGCCCGCCAAGCTGCAGCCACCACAAAGATCGCCTCGCCAGGGACTCCCCTCACCACCGCCTTCGGAAGCTTCGTACAGCACCCCGACAGCTGAAGATCGCATGTTCTCGCATCAGTACACACGGCAGTTGTCCACAAGTCCGCCTCCGTTTTCTGTTGCATCCTACTCGTCGGGATGCCCACCTTCAGATGCAGTCGCATACTCAATGCCGTACACTGCTGCGTCGCCCTACCACACGATATCTTCTACCATTCTGCCAGAGATGACCACCTACGCCTATCTCCCACCAGTCTCGGCGACCTACACACTGCCCAGCCTGATGCCCAGCCTGAAGAGCGACTACTACGCTGAGGAGGATCTCAGCCCATTTGGCGTCGGATATGCAGCGATTGGTGGGATGGACATCCCGCCTCCACATGGCTACGCAGACTCGCACCCTCATGTAAGGCTCCCCATCCGACAGCCATACTATGCATGAAGTTCCAGCTCTTCTCTGCGATGAGCCCCCGCTGACCGATGGCGGCAGACACCCCCACTCGAGCATTCGGAATTCGGCTTCCCGACAACACCAAATTCGATGCCACCGACACCTCCTCACTACCCCATGCATACCATGTGAGGGGCTTGTTACTACTGTCGCATGTTGTTTGTTGTACCATCTCCTTCTTCGAGACCTATGTCTCTAGGCGTTTCTCGTATTCTTGTTTTCTGTCTGCACAGCGTTTCAGCGATTGGTCGTTTGGATAGGTCCCTCGTTTGACCATGAATGATGGGGATTTGCTGCATGTTTGGTTTTCCAAGAGGCCGTTGGATCAATGCTGCCACGACAGCCCCAGCACCGCAGCCTTCAAGGCTTGCATCATTACACCGCTCAGTGCCAGTGCGCGCCTGAGTATTGACGAATAAACATTACACTTGTAACAGTCTCTCAATGAAATAACGAACCTAAGATGTGCCTGTTTGTGAATGTTGGTGTAGGTGATGTGTTGGGTTGTGCAATGAAAATAGTATGTTGGAGCGGTGAGATCATCGCACTTTGCGCGTTCTCGAATGCCAAGGCCGTCGCGACGCGTCGTGCATCGCTCCTCCCCTTCTTGCAACCAACATCAGCAACTAAAACACAATCTCAACCCCCGGCTACAACCTATGGCTCCCATAAAACGCTCACAAGTCGAGAAAGCAAGGCAATATCTCACAGGCGGCGCTGTACTGCGCGAAGACTCCGACGACGAGCTTGGCTACGAAGACCACCCATGGGACTGGATCTATGAAGAGGCAAACGCTGATGAAGCGCAGCCCAGGGAGAATGCGACACCACGAAAAAGAAAGGCGGCGCCTGCGTTGGCCGAGAAGCGCATAGTGGGCGCGCGTATGGGCAACTTCAGGTGCAAATTAGGTGATGCTGTTCTGCTAAAGGCGGAGGGCAACCAGGCATGGGTGGGCATTATCTACGGTTTCTATGAGGATGGGGAAGAAGACGAGAAAATGGCAAAGTTTCTGTGGTTCTCTTCTGAGAAGGAAATTCGCAACCAGAACAAGAAACGCACCGACTTTCTGCCCGTGAGAAAGTTCCACCCTCTATCATGCATGATGTTACTAACCACAGCCAGAACGAGTTATACATATCGACTGCTTTCGACGACAACCCGCTCGAATCGATCAATGGTACCGCCATGATACTGTCACCGGAAGAATTTCAGAAACGATATCCTGCAGGGCAACCCAAAAAGTCCTCGAAGGACTTTGGTAAGGTCTTTATCTGTAGGAGAGGCTGTAACACCCGCACAGCCACATACACACCCGAGTTCAAATGGGAGGACGTATATGGGGGGGCTGACGACATGCAAGCGTTGATTGAGCTGGTGCAGGACCAGACCAAAGCAACCAGAAAAGGCCATGGTCGCCCTAAGAAGCCACAACAAGATCTGGACGAATTTGTGGTGCCAGACTTGGACGAAGACGGTGCGCCAAAGACTCCTCGGAAGCGACGGAAATTGACTGATGCAACAACGCCTACCTCGACCCGGAAAAGCCCAGCTACTCGCAAGTTTCTTACTCCATCACACAAGAGAATTGTTCTCAAAAAGCAGCTGGAATTTACGCCCCTTGGAACACGAACACTTTCTCCTTCAGCACTTGCGTCGCCCTTCCAGATTGCGCGAAATCAGCTTCATGTCTCATCCGTACCTGCAGCACTCCCTTGCCGCGAGGAAGAATTCTCGACAGTCTACAGCCATTTAGAGGCAGCAATCACGGATGGGTCAGGTTCCTGTATCTATATCTCTGGTACACCAGGTACAGGAAAGACCGCAACCGTGCGTGAGGTTGTGGCTCAGTTACATGCTTCAGTCTCAGCTGAAGAGCTGGATGACTTCATATTTGTTGAGATAAATGGTATGAAGGTCACCGACCCTCACCAATCGTACTCTTTGTTATGGCAGGCGCTTCGAGGCGACAGAGTCAGTCCATCTCATGCGCTCGAGCTACTAGAGCGGGAGTTCTCAACTCCCAGTCCACGTCGTGTACCTTGCGTTGTCCTGATGGACGAGTTGGACCAGCTTGTCACGAAGAATCAGTCCGTCATGTACAATTTCTTCAACTGGCCTGGACTACGACATAGCAGATTGATCGTTTTGGCTGTCGCAAATACGATGGACTTGCCTGAACGAACGTTGAGCAATAAGATCAGCAGTCGCTTAGGTATGTACAGGCACCCCAGATTCTCGTTTACGCCTTGTCAAGGTTGCATCGCATTTTACCCTTAGCTGTGTCCCCTCTCGGCGCGTTCCAAACTCAAGAGGCATAGAATGTGATACAATCACACAGCCGACTCACCGGATGTCTTGGAAGTCTTGGCTCGGAACTGACCCGTGCCATTCAGGTCTTACTCGTATCACTTTCCCCGGTTACACACACGACCAATTAATGCAAATTATTCAGTCTCGACTTGAAGGCGTCCCGGGCAATATCGTGCACCCCGATGCCGTTCAATTTGCGGCGCGAAAAGTCGCAGCCGTAAGTGGTGACGCTCGACGCGCATTGGACATTTGTAGACGTGCGGTGGAGATTGCAGAGACGGAAGTTATATCACACGACCAGGACGACGACGCGCAGCCCTTGACTCCGAGTAGGACTGGTCGGGGTAACAAGGGCAAACCCCTCCAGCCAGTCCGAGGCACCGGAACCCTGGATGCCATGCCACTGAAACGTGTGGGACGCAAAGGTGTTGTGACCATCGCGACGATCAAACAGGCCATCAATGAGGCCACCAGTAGCCCCCTACAGCAAGCACTGCGGGCCCTGCCGTTAGCGTCCAAGATATTTCTTGCCGCGCTCTTAACGCGCGTACGACGGACAGGCATAGGCGAAGCCATTCTGGGCGATGTCATTGATGAAGTGAAGAAGATAGGGCTGATGAGCCAATTGCAGCCTGTAACCGAGTACCTTCTTGCGTCTGGGAAAGACTATGGAATGGATGGAAGCAATAGCACGCATACTCAGCTTGCTACACCGTCCAAGACTTCTGGCTACGAGCTCAAGGCTGCAAGGGTGTTTGGTCTTGCGTCCGCAGCTACGGAACTCGCTGAAGCAGGTATCATAGGCATCGAGTCTCGTCATGGCGAGCGTGTAGGACGTGTGCGGTTGGGTGTTGGAGAAGACGAGGTGCGGCTTGCGCTTGGTGATGATGAGTCTGTCAAAGGCATGGGTTTTGGAGCGTGATGCTAGCATTTTGCTTTCAAATGACGACGGAACGTGCTCTGCAGATATTACGGCCTTGCAACAGCATGTTCAACAGCAGGATACCCCACTATTATTTTATGTCAATAGCTCAAAATATTCTTCCCTAATTAGATTATTACTTTAGTTACATATTGAGCTGATTTCCTAGAATCTTGATTTTCGTTTCTGGAAATGATCTCCGTTCAATATACTACGCAGCAAACAAGCCTCGGAAAGAGAATCTGATGTGCCTTAGATGGTAAAAGCCTCACTTCGATCTACTTCTAGATGTTTCAAGAAGACCGACAAGCTTCGTGATCATGATACTAAACAAAGAACCTCGAGGTATCTATCCAATCAAAAGCCCCGCTGTACGACGGATTGCCGAATTAGGTCAAAGGTATTGGATCTCAAAAGCTAGCGTCGTGTAGGACCGTTTGGAGACGTCACACCTGCAACTGCTGCACTCCTTTCATCAACTTGTTGGTCTGCACCAAGGCGGTTCCTCACGCGCCTTTCCCGCTTCTCAGTGTTATATGCATAATTCATCTAGCCCCGAAACGTTGCATCGATAGGATGCTTGCTGGTAGCCATTGTATACGCATCATATCTACAAAGATCTGAACAACGATGTCAACGAGGCGATCACACAATAAGACACGACTCGGTTGTCAACAGTGTAAGAGAAGACGAATAAAGGTACATTACTGAAGCTTCTTGGACTTTCATCTCAATTCCACCCGAGCTACTGTACGAGGATTTCTCAAGCAAATACGAACAGGAATCCATATACTTAATTGTTCCTTTATGTATCGACAAACACTCTATCTGCGATAAATGGTTAAGGCCAGGAAACACTTCTAGTTGTGCTGTTAAGCAACGGTTGCTAAAACAGCGCAGCTAAATACCGACAAAATGATGAATTGGGTGGCTTCCAGAAATCCCCTTCTGTTAGGAAAGGCTTCATTGAAGAGGCAATCTGACACCGATTTCCCACTAAACAGCACACCAGACGCTGACCATAGGAACAGTGCGATGGCAAACATCCTGTATGTGCAAATTGCGAAAAGAAAAACGCAGACTGCAGTTTCCTATTGCTCGCCCCTTCATCTCGGCTCTCTGTCGCTTCGGCAACATCGCCCACTGCCAGATCATCCTCTACTCAACTTACGCCGACCCCCACGTCTACACCCACACCCACGCCGTCGCCAACTGAACGCATTTTTCTCAGTACAGAACTAGCAATCGTGCCAGGCGCAAAGCGTCAAACTGAAGAACGTTTAGAAGACATGAACCTTGGCACCCTAAAAGGGATAAACCCTCGCCCCCTACAGCCAAACTACTACTCGGAGTTCGAAACCTTGACCACGCCAATATATTCCTATCTGCGCTTCAACGATGTGTGGAAGGATACCCGAGAATCACTACCTCTGCCACTTCAAGATGTTTTGTATCATTACGAATACACTACTAGTCTCACATTAGCCGCAGACGACCCAGCGAAAGCAGCATGGCAGGCTTGTGTTCCTGAACTCGCTCATAACCATGATTTCTTGGTAAACTGCGTGCTCTCAGTCGCCTCACTTCATATGGCCCGGCTCCACGAAGATAGAGCGGAGAAAACAAACATGAACGCCATGGCAGCCGCACGAATGAACAAAGCGCTCACACGATATCGACACGAACTAGAGAATGTCACTGCACAAAATGCCGCCGCACTCTTCGCCAGCGCGACACTAACAGCCGTATACCTTTTTCGAACCTCAGTCATGGATATCGAAAATCTCTGCGCTAGCATCCCACCAAACACCATCGTTCCTCCTGCAGACATTGTAGACAAGATGATGTCTTGCGCCCTGCGCCCAATATGGGGTCTCCGAGGGCCTCTCACCGTCCTCATGAGCGGCTGGAACTGGGTGGTAGGCGGAAAGATGAACGCTGTGGCAGCGCGAAAATGGTGGCCCAAGAAGTGCTTACCTGCGACACCGCGTGCGCAGCAAGAAGACGGCCGACTAAGCAGCATAGAAGACCTCTGGGTACAGTCCAATCGCGCATACGAACCACCCTGCACACATCTATCTCAGGCACTACTCTTTTTACGCGAAGCGTATTCGTTGGTTTCGCAGTTGACACTCCCGGAAGTGTATCCGCCTATGACTGCAGTGCCGTATTCGGTGGACGATACGACAGTGGGCTTGCTTACGGATCGGGGCGCGATATTTGTCTGGGGGACGCGGATATCGCGCGAATTTATCGCGCTCATTGAACAAAAAGACCGTGATGCACTTGTCATCCTAGCGCACTATGCTGTTCTGCCCGGGCGAGTGCGCAACGTGTGGTGGTTGGAAGGACTTGGAGCACATATTGTAACTGCCATAGCAATGGCCCTCGGAAGGGAGAATTGGACGTTGATCGAGTGGCCAGCACAGGTTGTAGGTGTAGATCTGGAGAACGCGTTTGGTGTAAGGATAGATAACTTGGAGGGGACGCCAGGAGAGATGCATATGGAAGTTATATGAGCTGACAGACCTTATGAATCAGACAAATATCAATCATTCATGCTCCTCTCTGGTCTGCAGTGATGTTCGTTATCAATGACATTGACATGGCTCGGAGAGAAAGTAATTTGGGCAATGTCAACCGTCAATTTGTCATGTCATGTCGAGTTTTATCTGTCAGCTTCATGTAGACGTAGGGTATGTAGGGTGCACCAACATTACGTGGGACGCGTCTGTTAGCTTAACCAAAGATGTGTACAAAGTGAACACCAAAATGCGGGAGATCAGCAAAGTGATGTGTGGTACCGTTCGTGCTCTTTGCAGCGATTTGTTGGGGATGAGAGGTCTACTTTTCTGTTACATCAAATATCTTGGCCAGCTGGACAATTCTGTGATTTCGTAAAATATCGTTCTGGTCAAGGAAGAAGCGTAGAGATGAATATGAAGCGATTGCCATCATCCGGTTGCCTCATTTGAGCCTGTAGTAATTTCCATTGTGTATGTGCCCCTTCACGTCGCCCTGCGCCGTCCTTCGCGAAATCTTTGTTCGACGGGCAGTGTTTGTGCCGTTCACGATCATTGCATGGGTGCGGCAATCTCAACATTGGGCTATGGCCTAAGTCGGGAGCCTTGAGTTGGAGTCATGTAACCGCTCGACATGTAAGGTTCTTGTGGGAAGCTTGGAGCGTGGTAGAGGTATAAATATACGCCTTAGGTATTTACTCATACTACACCAAGTTAGAGACTCGTCTTGGCCCGCCGTACCATACATACCGTCTAGGTAATCTGCTGCAATGAGTAGCTCCAAGCACAGCTCAGGTGGTATATCCATGTCCGAGACGTCCTTGCTCTCTGCATGCTTCTGGTTATAGTAGAGGTATTCGCAGACTTTCTCGAGAACGACGCCACTGTTTTCAATCAGCGTTTTTCTATCTCATTCCGTATCCTCCTCAACATGTAGTTTAAGTGCGTGGCTGCAGTGCCACTCGAGGACACAGTGTGAAGAGGGCGTACTTTATTGTGGGCAGATCGACGCGATTCTGTGTATTTTCTCGGAAGCCAGCTGTAGTATCTTGTAAGTTTCGTTCTCTATTTGACGAGAATGACCAGAGTAAATCTACACGTACACATAGGATCTAGCGCCTTCTTGATCGTCCCTGCGATGCATGCCGCTGAGCGGAGGATCTTGAACTCGTAGCCATCGTTCGAGACGAGAGTGACGTATTCAGTAGTAATGCTGTCTGTCATGGCTGCCGTGTGTATATTGTGGAGAGAGAATCTGGTGTTTATAGGGGAGGACGAAATGCGATGTGAACAATCACACACAAGGATTGTGCAAGATGGAAGGCGCAACCTGCGGGGAAGATGCGGAGGATGATCGCGCCATCACGTTTTCTCGCGTATTGGCTACATATTACTAATCCCGAACTTCACCACCAAGCATCGTTGGATCATTAATAATTCATGTCCTAAAATTCTAATCAAACTTTAGAAACCCCTTATTAGATTCAAATACGCTTCCTGGCACATTCTCGCCGATAAGCCGACTCAATCAAAGAACTTTGAGAAGAGAACCGCTCAATCTTCAAACCACCTTCCTGCTTATCATGGCATCACCACGCCATGTCCTGATCACAGGCGGAAGCCGAGGCATTGGCCTTTCAATCGCCCAACTCTTCGCAAAAAACAACTTCCGCTGCACGCTGCTATCTCGCTCAGAATCTGCTCTGAAAGCCGCCGTGGCCACACTACAGCCTCTTCGCCCACTTACACAGTCATCACCACAGCCTTCAACCGCTTCCTTCCCACATCATACACATGCCTACATCGCCTCCTCCCTAACCTCGCCTACACTGTTCTCCGCCAGCACAGACTCCGCCTCAGATTCCATAACCTCGCACCTTCCTATCCCTCGCCTCTCTCCTGCAAACGACGCCTCACGCATAGACATTCTTGTTAATTGCGCGGGGATAACACAAGCCTCACTTTTCCAAACCATGTCCCATGCTGGCATTTCGGAAATTGTGGACACAAATCTAACAAGTCTGATGGTCGGGACCAAGTTCTTCCTGCGGCAGGGGTATTTTCGGAAAGCTAAGGCGAAGAAGGAGAGAGATGACGATGAGAGAGTGGGAGGTCCGGTGATAATAAATGTAGCTAGTCTTCTTGGGTTGCAAGGCGGCTACGGTGCTGTTGCATATGCGGCCAGCAAGGCAGGAGTATTGGGATTCACTCGTGCATTAGCAGCCGAGTATGTAAGCCACGGTGTGAGAGTAAATGCTATTGTGCCGGGGTATGTTGAGACGGATATGACAAAAGGTATGTTTTGCTTGAATTACCACAATTCAACCCCGTTACCCAAACTAACATGCCTAAAAGATCTCCCCGCCACCCAGCTCAATCAAAGAATCCCCCTCGGCCGTCTGGGCAAACCCTCGGAAATCGCTCAGGCAGCATTCTTCCTCGCAGAAAACCAGTACGCACACAACTGCGTGATAAACCTGGATGGGGGGCTTTCTGCTGTTTGATGTACTGAAGTGCGATGGTATGACTTTCGTGACGAGAGTTTGGAGTTTATGCTATCGAGATGTAACGCGCTCTATTGCACCGTCCTTCAAATTTGCCTCGGCCTCTCCAATAGGCGAAGTAGAAGTAAAACAAAAAAGGTATATCCATCTCCCAAAACGCCGCCATGTGCGCGCCTACGCTGATTGTGGAAAGAAGAGAAGGAAACCTGTATACTGGATGCGTCAGTACGTGCCCAGACTAAGACAATGTGTCCAGATATGACGAGCAGTTCGCTGAAAGCGCGCCTAGTCATCAATAACAATGGCCCCATCGTCTTCAATTTCAATGACTTCATCGTTCGTCACCTTGCTCGGTACCTCCGCAACCTTCCCCTTCTTCCTGCTGAGTTCGTCTTCAAGGCCAGCTTCGGAGGCCTTCCTCTTGGCGGCGCCGTTCAAGTGTCCGTTCACCGTGTTGTTGGCCGTTCGATCCGAAAGCGCGTGGCCATTGGTTTCAGGAGCAGCGACTGCAGGCTTCTCTGCGATGTGCAACTCTTCAGGCATGTGGATAGGCTTAGCATCGCCAGAGACTTCCTGCTCGATGACCGAAAATACTACGTCGACCTTTGCACCCTCATCCGCGCCGTCGTATACCGTGATGAAACTGTCCGCTTTCAGATTGAGCTCCGCAAACGTCTTCTCTAGGTGGAAGTCCTCGTCCTGATCGTAGAGAAGGTCCTGCCCCCTATTGATGGCGAACTCTTCACCATAACCCAGTTGCCCCTTCAGCACGCCTTCGACCAAGTCACTGAGTTTCGCGCGCGAGGGATCGACGACAAGAGTGGCGTACGCGATGCCACAGGTCGCACAATGGGGATTTGGTTTCCGTAGAGAGTCGCTAGAGAGGACGCGCTCGGTGGATCGGGTGAGGAAGACCATTTTGGCTTTCTGCATGAGTTCTTTGGGGTCAGGGTGACGCATTACCTTGAAGGCTTGGAGGACGCAAAGACTAGCGGTCATGGCGTTGGTAGTCGCGATAGCAGGGATGATGTTGCCAGCCATTTCTGTGATACGTCAGTCATGAGAATATCTCGCGCGTTCAGAATGGCTTACGCTTGATGTCGAACTTGGACCGCGTCTCGATGCCAAATATATGTGACCGCAAGTTTGCACTCGCAGCAACAAAGTCCAGTGTATCCACATCGTCCTTGTCGAAGGTGAGGATTGGCGCAGCACTTCCCGCGTTGGAATTTGCGCGCGCCTCCTCAATGCGGGTGCTCAACCGTCGCAGACTGTCCACAAAGACAGCGAAGTTCTCTGCGAGCGACCAGACCTTCTGATCCCGCTGCGCGACAGCACCTCCCACACCAAGCGCCTCCTGCGAAAGCGCGTCGTAGTCCAGCGCTTTCGGCGGCTTCTTGGTCTTCCACATATCCTCCATGCTGAGCAATCGCTCAATGTCCTCCTTGAACACCTTGTCGAAGACCAGCCGCGGGAACTCGACCGTTGCCATGGACTCGCGTATGCGCTTCAACGCTTGTGCTTCCTTCTGAAGATTTGCCACCTCCTTTGCATTTTCTGCGTCCTCGCGGTGGTCCATCTCTGCTGCTTCATCCTCCGACGCGCCGAATATCTCAGCGAAGAGATACGACTTGCCCCAGACTATGCAGTGGATGGGCTGCGAGGGCGTGCTTCGAATGGTGCAGACGGGGAACGATTTGGGCGGGTCTTTCGGAGTGCAGTCGTAGCACTCGGTTTCGCCTTTCTTGATGACCTGGACCTGCCCGTTGAAGCCTGTGGTACCGCTCTCGATCAGAGGGACGTTGGCCGCCAGACACATTTTGTTCACATGTCGTCGCGCATCCAAGTTGTCCAGCGCGTTGAAGACGATTTCGAACGTCTTGAACCACGCGACGTTGAATTGCGCATCCTTGATGTTGTCGTGGTACGCCTCGATCTTGACGTTGGGGTTGAATTTGCCGGCCGACTCTTTCGCAACCTGTCGCTAGTCGTCAGCGCGGGTCCAACCACTTCACAACGAAGTCGCGCATACGTACCAACGCCTTGGACTTCTTGATGTGCTCGTTGCGGAACAGAAACTGCCGATTGAGGTTGCTGAGGTCGATTGTGTCGAGATCTACAATGTGGATCTCGCCGAAGCCGGTAAGAACCAGGTTCTTGAGCAGCTCGCAGCCAATGCCGCCAGCTCCAACCATCAGCACACGCGCCTGCAACACATCAGTACCTTGTATACAGCTTGATTACGCGCCATCGAGGCTCTACCTCTCGTATGCGCTGGTGCAGAGCGCCGCCGAGGCTCTGACGAGCAAACTTGTCGCGTGCCATTGCGCGGTCGGTGGTGAAGTTGGGCGGTAGAGTTGTGGTTGGTGGTGAGGTTACGACATGCAAGTGTTTGCTTGGTTATAGTCTCCAGGTGAGAGAGGCAGCCCTAGGAGACAGACGTCAGGGCCGCTAGGGCATAGCGTGAGAGATCCACTCCCTCGGAACTTGTCCTGGAGCCTCAAAGCTTGGCGAATGTCCTATTATTGGGTCGTGGAGCACAGAGTCACCGCATACGTGTAATATCGATCCCTGGTCACGTCGACTGTTACTAGCTTTGCCATCTTGGCTCACTGTAGAAAATCTGCAAACTGAATTAGACCCAAGTTTGATTCACCCCGCTACTTGCTAACTCAAATTCCCATCATCGAACAGAATCTTCACCGCCCAACATGTCAGACGACGAAGTTGACCTTGAACTCCTCGATCTTCTTCGGAAACGCTTCGGCATTGGCGTTACTGACTCGGGACCCTCAGAGACAAAAGTTCTCCAGGATGCAGAATTCATATACAGCAACAGCGTCGACGTAGCCATAGACATGCGTTCCACCAAGCTTACTGCCCAATCAATCCTGACAGAGATGGAAACACGCGAATATAGCACAAAAACCTGGTCAGAACACGAACTTCACCCAAAAGCCAAAGACGAAGCAACCGTAAACTTCATCTTCACCATGGATCTGCTAAACTTCAGCTTCTGGAGCGAAAAGAACGAGGAAGAGCGGTTTGCAGTTACGTATAAAGGAAAGAGATGGACGGGGTACTGGAGTCTTGTAGCCATGCTCCAAAGAGCTTTAGATGAGGGCATTCCAATCACAAGTCCCGAGTTCTGGACTGACGAGGACAAATGCACAAACGAAGTCCTCCTAAACGTCTTCCGCTCAGACACCCAAGAACAAGTCTCCATGTTCGACGAAAGAGTGCGCTGTCTGCGGGAAGCAGGACAAATCCTCGAGGAGGTGTGTTGATGACCCTCTTCAAAGCACATCGGAATTTCATCAGACTGATAACTAACATTGCAGGAATTCGACAGTAGCGTAGTCACACTAATAGAGGATGCAAAACACTCAGCAGCCGGTCTAGCGAACCTGCTTGCCTCGAAGTTCCCCTGCTTCCGCGACGAAGGCGTCTTCGAGCGGCGAAAAGTCCGTTTCCTGAAGCGTGCGCAGATCTTTGTTGCAGATCTTTGGGCAGCATTCGACGGCGAAAGCTACGGCGATTTCAATGATGTCGACAAAATCACCATGTTTGCAGGTGAGCTTCATTTCAAGTCCAATTTCACCGACCACAGACTGACCTTTAATCTATCAGACTATCGCGTCCCCCAAATCCTTCACTCTCAGGGCGTACTGTGGTACTGTCCCCCCCTTGAGAATCGTATTCGCCGCCTCGAGCCCCTCGAATCTGGGCATGCATGGGAGATGCAGATCCGAGGGTGCAGTATCTGGGCTGTAGAGCTGCTGCGGTGTGAGATTCTGAAGGTGAAGCCAGACGCCAACGTCAATGCCATTTTGATTGACTTCTTCTTGTATGATCTGGCAAAAGAAAGGGAGAGTGAGGGCAAGGAGGCTATACCGCATCATCGGACAAGGTGTATCTGGTACTAGTTGTTACTTTGGAGTGCGCGGTTCAATGATATCCTGGGCTGAGCTGGGAGATGGCGTATGGTTTAGATCTTGAGAGGGTGCTTATTGGGGCATCATTTGAGTGGGTAGAGATAGATTTTTGTACATATTCGTTTACACTCGAAAAAGTTTGGATCTTGCTTGCTTTCTGAACGGCGTTTTGAGATATGCCATTCTCGGTTGCAGATGCGACGTGTGGAGATGATCTTGCGTAACAAGTTAGCACAACTGCAACATGCTGCAGTATAGCCCCCTTCAGGTCGTCGGCTAAGTGCATAGCTTTGGAGCTATCACGAACATATGCATACTGTTGTATCTGCTGTGGCATCTCTTCTCCTCATAAAACTCTATCGTACCGCAGACACAGCATCTCCTGTCTTCTCGAGTACTAGATAAGTTTCTCGTTCTGACACACATCTTACAGAATTCATCCTCAGCACTTTTAGAATCCCTCTTTATGATACACTCAGCATTCAGACAGTCCTGCCATCTACTCCCAAATCCCGAACCACCTCTTTACTCGCCTCCTCCTCACGCCATCCTCCCCAACATAATATCTCGGATCCTCCTCATATGTTTCCCCCCTCGCCTCCGCCTCCATCTTCCTCTCTAACCTATACTGCTTCCTCTTATCGACATCCTCAGCCTTCTTGAGCCGCTGCTGCGAGTACACCTGGCTTGTATGCTCCATGTGCATTTTGTAGACGTCGATGAAGCGGCCCGTAGACTCGAAGGGGTGGCGCAGGTAGTCTTTGCGGGAAGGAAGAAGAGCTGTATATATTGTTTTGCTCATAAAGTCCATGTACCAGGCTGCTACTGCGAGAGACACCAGGATGCCCTAGTGGACGTTAGTCGGAGGAGGGGGAGGGGTGTAAGGCAAGGTACCATAGTGATCCAGAGGTGGATTGCGCGGTTGTTGAGAAACCAGTGAGAGAATGTGCCCTCCGGACTCATCATGTTTGGATACTTTTTTGTTGCCATGCGTTTCTTGTCTTCCTCTGTTACTGGCGGGCCATAGATTTTGTTCTCGAGATTGTTCTTTCTTGGCGCGTATTTGTGCGATGGCGGACGGAATTTATCTGGTTGCGGTATTACTGGTGCCTTTTGCTGTTGTGCGGCTTGTCGTCGTCGGAACTCCTCTGAGAGGCCCTTGGCGGGCGATGATGCATAGCGGAGGGTTGCGGGTGACCGTAGCGCGGGCAATGCGCGTGTTTGGGTTCGGATGAGGAGTGGACCCCTTGGAAGGAGGAACCGTGGTATTTGGTGTTGGGAGGCCATATTTGGTGAGAAGTTAGAGCCGGGGTGCAATTGCGGGAGTCCGAGATGGAAAGATGAAGATCTTGGGATGCGGCAAATTGTCGGGCCGGCGCATCGTGCCTTCAACCCCAGTGCCCAAAGCAACACAATAGACATTGTGCATCATCACCTTCATCACCTTCATCCCCTTCATCCTCAATGATACATACGATTTGGCTGTCGAGTGTCAGACCTGGTGTCCGCGTCCTGCAGGGAGGCCTGCATTGTTATAACCATGAAGTTTGTATTTCCAAACGCTCACAATAACATGTTGCTACGGCATGGATGGTCCTAAGAAGCTTGCGATGACTCATGGGCTCGATTGAAAGGGCAGCATTGTTGTAGGCGAGAACGGAGTGGATGTACCTTTGCGTACCTTCCGTTGATCACACATTGTAAAACTGACGTATCTTTGCTCAATTCAATTCTACATAATAAGATCTTGACCTGACAACACATCGTCGCTTGAAAATCACGTTCGACCCCATCTCAACTATACACCCCCGGCGCCCAACTTTTCCTCCCCTCCTTCTCGTCCTTTCCTTCAAAGAAAAGGTCCACCTGATTTGGCTCCCCATGTTCACCTTCCCTGTAATCATACCGGATCTTCTTCCACTTCAGCTTCGGATGATTCTTAATCTCTTCGCCACTCAAATTCATCCCAGCCTTCCCAATCCGCGCAACGACAGGACTCAACAGCATGGCCATGCTAAAGAAGCTCTCGTCCCTCAAAATCGTCTTGTTCGCCCAGATCACTAGGGCGCACAGCGCTGCAAACTGTATAAATAAGATACCGCCGAGAATGGCGATCACGTATGGCCAGTCGACATCCAGTTGCTGGCCTGCAGTTGGGCAGACGTTCTGGTTTGAGACTGTGTAGCGAATACCGTGGTCGTCGAACGCCGCAACAGCGCCGATGGTGAATCGGCTAAGTAGGCTCTCAACTTCCTCCGTTGTGTTAACGTCGTGAATAGGTGACCACATAGACCCTAAAAGTTGTCAGCTGTACGCCCATTTGATGATGTGTCTGTTACTACTGACCTTGGGCGTGCGTGCGAAATTGCTCCGTATCCCAGCCATTCCAGTCGCCTCCTGTCCAACTTATCGCGCCGGCTGCGATGCGCGCGAAGTTGTTGGTCCCGAAGACATGTTTGCTGTCTTCTTGAGAGCGAATGGTAATGTCGTTTTTGCCGTCCATGGTGATAATTTCGGAGAGCGTACTGTTGCAGAAATACAGGTATGAATTCATGATTGTGGTGTGATCAGCAGCTTGTAGGACAGTGAAGTTTGTGCATCGAGGGCCACAGTGTTCGTTCACGGATGCGATCCATGTGACGCTTCCCTCGCCGTACTGCGGAAACGTGTAGTTGGCCCATTTTTCTTGTCCTGGCGGCTTCCATTCGATAGTAATTTCATCGCCACCGCTGCTGACGTTGCCGCGTGTCTCAAGCTTCTCGCAACTTGCTGATGCTGAGATATTACGTTGGCTCATGAGATAATTCGTATATTGATGATTTGGGTTGCGATTGTAGAAGCGGTACTCGTAGGAACTTTTGTTCTGATACCCTTGGTACAATGGTGTGCCTGGCAGTGATGAAAGATCGGTCTGTGTGTCGTTGTTCATGAACTCGGGATAAACTTGAGCTTCCATGCCGTACATCCAAGCAGCGGCCATACCTGTGTAATTACCGTTATCTGCTGCCTCACTGTGCCATAGAGTAAGATCTGCCACTGTCACGTTGCCGTAGGTAAAGAGGGGAATATCTGACGTGTCCATGGGCCAGAACAAACTCAATAAGGCGACCAAGATTTGAGAACCAACGTTGATACAGATCCAGAGTGTGCAGACGAGCCATGTCCACTTGGTACCATCTTCTCGTACGTCTTTAAAAAACCCAAGTTTCTGCACCCATTTGCGCCGCCGGATTCCTGGTAGAGATATAACCAACAACTTCGAAACATGAGATAGAGATCCCAATCCCAGAATGAGTTCGAAGACCTCCAGGCTGACATACCGTCGAGCCAAGAACGACCAGCGGAGAGTATTCGCGTATTGCTTGAGTGAGGAAAGGAGGTTCAGACCCAAGCAAAGGGACAGCCCTATGGTGATGGCATTGAAATATCGGATGTCCGTCTTCGACAGAACCACTGGCTGGTTAAATCCTTCCCAAGCCCTGAGGCAGAGGCACATTGCCACGCTGAAGACAAGCGTGATCAAGAATTTTTGAGATCCTATTTTGAGGATTGTCTTCCGTGACTCGTTGTGGTCGAAACGCTTGACATGTTGACTGTGGTGATGATGTTGCTGATCACCAATCAAAGATTGCTCCATGGATGCTCGTGAGTCATTACGATTGTCTAAGGGCGAAACAGGTGTGTTAAGGGATGTGTATGCTCCGTTCCGGTTGGAGAAGATAGTCCCGGGAGAAGATATCGGCGGCGAGTTTAGTGTTGGGTCCATATCTTGCATGGTGAGGTCGCCGCCATTGTAGCTTTGCGAGGAATCATATGGCGATAACGGCGAGTGCGGAGACTCGCCGTTGCTAATTCTTCGCTCGTGGACCATATCGTGCGACACGTGGTTTGGATGTTGGGATAGTCGGGGTACGCTTCCAACCTCTAAACGGATAGGTCGGTCCCAAAAGATTTTGCGTCTTTACACCTTGATGTTAAAATCGCAAAGTGAACCAGAAGTCCCCGCTGTTACTCAGCAATCGGTAGTTCTATGTTGTTGTGTGAACAACAGCAAGTCGGAGGTTCATTGAGAAAGAATTGTGGGATCGTTGCCTCGAAGTACCAGAATGAAGAGATGCTCAGCTCAAACGAGCGACAAGTACGACCTTCTCCCTCCCTTAAGTCTCGTTGACAAGGCTGGATCCTGTTTTCGAGGACATAAATGTTTTTGCTTATCATGCGTCCTCCCTGTCTTGCGGGCCCGTCCAGGCACGGCGGTTTGGGGGCCGAAAGATGGGCTGTGACCGAGAAAGAATCAATCAGCGTCTTAGACCTATCAAACGAGGGTTGCGAGAAAATGCAAGCCCACGATACGATAGAATTTTCATTAGAGATCAAAGAAACACTATATACAGGTGATGAGTGACCCAAAATGTTGTGTTCGGACTTGCTTTCAATCAGCGATCATCGGCCAAAGACTGCAAAGGCTTAACAAGCTGCGGGAGGCCTGATTTTCTATAAATTCACAAGGATGGTCCTATCGCTTAGGTGCACTATTGATACGCGCTGTGGTTGACCGGAGCAAATCTAATTCGTTGGTCGTGATCTAGCCTTGCAGCAACTATATTAAGTTTCGGGAAGATGGGGGCTAAGACGCGACTCTCCCCACAGCCACCACCATCTTGATAAGATGATACTCATTTCGGCAACACCAATATTTGGTGTGAACCAAATGCATTTTACTAAGAAAGATCGGCCGTTCAGGCCAAGTAGGGTAATTATTACCAATCTCAAAAGACACATGCACCTCAGTAGAGACTCATGATGTATCAAAGAACAAGTACGTCTATATGTAGCCACTGCGCACTTAACAGATCTTTTGCTAGCATTTGATATGTTGCGAGGGCCCTAGGTTGCCATCTGCGTGATGATACTGCTGTTTTAGGTATAGAATTTACGCTGTTTTGTGAATCTCTCTACCAATGGCAGCCTAATACGGCAGCCTCGAAGCTATCACGACATTAGGATTTTGACATCCATATCAAACAAAGCGGCCCTAGTTTCGAGAATTGTCCGGTCTACTCTTTTGACAATAGCCATGTCTAACCTCGCTTTACTCGAGAAAAATCGATGTGAGCTGTCCATATCTCCTTGGAAGGTTGTTGTGGGGAGACTATGAGAAGCTCTTCGCCAACTACCCTCACTTCTTGGAAAGCGCAAGGATTGATAAAATTGGTAGTGTACCTGCCGAACAAGTAATGAATCTTTTGCGGTCTCAATACTAGTTTTCAGGTCATATGCACGTCAAATATTCCGCAGTCGTGGAACACAAAGGTTCTCCGGCTGGGGATATATACGAAAACCTCGCTATCTCCGACGACCTATGTGCTCAGCTGTCATCATCCATATTCGGAGCTAGTTCGAGGCGGAAGAAGAAAGTTTTGTGAGTCTCCACCACCAGCTATTACGAACACTGTTACACATTTCCTTGCGCTAGATAAGCCTAGTCCAGATCGCAAATTTCTTGAACTCCTTGAAATCAACTCGAGAAATGACGAGGAAGATAATTATACAAAACCTCATATGCAGAAGAAATCTGAGGGCAAATTTACTCTTCACTACGATGAGGAATGGCTCTCCATCATCCGTTTCTCTAGTGATGGCCCAGCCGCCGGGAACACATCCCTTAGCACGACGTTGGGAGAACCCCGGCTCATACGAATACAATCTCACAGAGTTTTCAATGGATTAAAGCCAACATCACAGCAAGAGGTCTTCTCAAGATTCCCGACAATTTCGATAAAGACGCCCCGATATACGACCCAAACGACAAGGTCAATGCCAATGAACAACCTGGCGAATTTCCAAACTCCCAGATGGAAGAGTTTTGCAGGATGCTTCAAATTCGAAATAGCTTTTCAGTCGGTGAGGACATGACTGAAGTTCTTGTCAGGAACATAGGCCCAATCGGTTGATCAAGATGTCATAGTGGCCATGCGTAAACATACCGTCGGTAGAGATATAAGTAAAGTCCCTCTGAGTAGTAGTGTGGAGCATGCCTTGTGTTAGAGAGCAGGACATGGCGAATGGTGGACTTGGTCAGGTAGTGAAATCGTTGATAACTCAATAGTTCTTATCTTACATCTGATGCTAGTATAAGGTTACGGTTATATGACGACTGCGACTGTTCACAATCGATAATGTATCTCCATTCTTGTATTATTCTGGCGTTTCAATGCACCGAGAAGTTATGCTACGTGCGGGGGAGTCACGTGGGGTAGGCTGCCTTTAGACGTTGCGGGAGCCTGGCTGTGGTGTTCTTCCTGTGACAAACTTCTAAGTCTTTATACCACCCAAGCCCGACCTCCACGTTCGACTCATAACACAACGATGTCGCCACAGATAATTCTGTATGATGTCCCTACCCGAAACGGTGTTTCATGGTCGCTGAACCCTTGGAAAAGTAGGTCCTGTAAGTATTATCAACCGTATCACTGCTTACAAGCTCAGCCCGTATGGTATTGAACTACAAGGGCATCGACTACAGAACCGAGTGGCTTGAGTTCCCAGATCTTGGATCTAGACTGAAATCCTTGTATTTCAGACTACTCTTGAAGACAATCCAAGATTAGTTTCCTAACATGCTCCAGCGGCATCCCCCCGAACTCCAAAGAGGCCCCAGAATACTTTAGGGACTACACCATCCCGGCGATCAAATACACCAATGGAACCTACGCGATGGACTCCTGGTCCATAGCTCAAGACCTCGAAGTCCAGGTCTCAAGCGCATCTCTCCATCTCGACAACCCGATTGTTGAGCGAATCCGTGATCATGCTGGCAAGATGATGGAGACGTTGGTGGTGCACTTCGTTCCCAAGATTCCGAGTGTGTTAAATGGACCGTCAGCGGAGTACATCGACAGAGCACGGGAACAAGATTTTGGCGCACCCTTAAAGGAAGTGGAAAGGGAGTATGCGACGGAGGAGTGTTGGGAAAAGGCGAAGAAGCCGGCTACAGAGGCTGGCGATTGGTTGAGGAAGAACGGAGGGCCGTTTTTTCTAGGGGAGACGGGTGAGTTCAAGATCTGTTAGACGCAGTTGAGTGAGATAAGAAACTAATCATCACTAGTATCGTATGCTGACTTCATCTTCGTCTCGATGCTACACTTTTTCAAGCGGCTCGACGAAGGTATCTTTGAGAGGTATCTAGCACTCGATCCAACCTTTCCGAGGGTGTATGAGGCGTGCAAGCAGTGGCTGCAGAAGGAAGACTAGCGGATGGCCTGTTCGAAGTGATCTGTACAGGCACGATCACTTCTGGAAGTAACCAACATCCATTGAATCACATGTCCTATGATTATGTACTATTATATATCGTATTTCGACAATTTTTATGGCTTTTATGAGAACATCGCGATCGGGCTCGAAGTACAGCTTCTCAACAGCCATCTCGCAAGAGAAAAACTGAGGGCTGAACTTCTCTTCTCCTGGATCTCTCCTATCATGAGCATCTTCGTACAACGCTGCAACGTACCACCAGATGAGCTTTACGCCCTTGCCATGTAGCAGTCTTCTCATCGTACACATGAACGGTTCAGTGAGCCTGTCATGAACGAGAGCCTCATCCGGCGTATCTGGAGGCTCGTCACCGGCTGCTACTCTAGTGAACATACGAATAGGTAAGAGATGGCATGAGTACCCGGTCTCTTCAGTTATCTCGCGTAGCGCAGCATCCTTTCGTGTCTCTCCAATGTTACGACGTCCCTTTGCCAGCATCCATTCGTCTTTCTCTACAAGGTTGACGAGGCAGACTCTCTTCGATTGCGGATCTGAACGGTCGAAAAGAATCGTGCCGCAGCTCTCGACAAACTGGTCGGATGAGAGCTGGCGGGTGGGGAAGTTTGACTGGGCCATGCTGTATGCGGCACCTAAGACGTGATGGTAAGGATGACGCGACTGATGATGTCGCGTGTGCACGATCCAACCTCGGCAGTTTTCATCTCAATCCCGAGAATTGTGAAGGACCGGATCAAGACCATGCTGACACCAGCAACATCTTGACGTGTTAAGGAGCTATGATGGAAGAGTGCGAGGTTCTCTCAATGTCATAACGAATTGCCGGATATCGCTCAATTTTAGTGAGCAACACCGTGATGATCTACAGGCATGCGGCGCAAAGACCCTCAAAACGTCATCCAGTTCGAAGCTACTAGACACATAGTCGTGATTGCCCAGAGGCATTTGCGTCTTGAGACTGTCATAATCCACTATACTTCAAAATGTTTGCCTCCCTTCGTACCTCCACAACCAGACTCACACAGGTGACTCGACAATTGCAACCTCGATCAACAGTAGCACATCAAATCAGAATGGCCAGCACAACATTTACTCTCAATACAGGTACCAAGATACCTGCCATTGGCTTTGGCACTTGGCAGGACAAGGAGGCTCAGGAACCGTAAGTCGGCAGTCTCTAATGTTGGTATCAATTGCTCATACTACTCGCAGCGCTGTCATCACAGCACTCAAGGCCGGCTACCGTCACATCGACACGGCGCGCATCTACGGCACAGAGCCCGCCGTCGGCAATGCCATCAAGCACTCCGGCGTGCCCCGCGACCAGATATTCCTCACGACGAAGCTCTGGAACAACAGCCACCACCCAGAAGATGTCGAAAAGGCACTCGACGCCTCGTTGAAGGATCTCGGCACCGACTATGTAGATCTATACTTAATGCACTGGCCGTCGCCCTTTGCTCGCGGTGACGCCATGTTTCCCAAGGAGAATGACAAGGTCAAGACTGGCGACTCCGACTTTGTCGACACATACAAAGCAATGGAGAAGCTTGTCAAGTCAGGCAAGACGAAGGCCATCGGTGTCTCAAATTTTAGCAAAGCAGAGCTTGAGCGCCTACTGAAGGAGACGTCTATCGTCCCTGCAGCTCATCAGATTGAGCTTCACCCATATCTCCAACAGCAGTCTTTCACCGCGTTCCACAAAGAGAAAGGCATCCATGTTACCCATTACTCGCCGTTTGGCAACCAGAACGAAATCTATGACGCTGGCAAGAACATGGGCAAATTAATGGATGACCCGGTCATTGTCGAGATTGGCAAGAAGCACGGCAAAACTGGTGCACAGGTCGCGTTGGCTTGGGGTATTGCACAGGGGCACTCTGTTATCCCCAAGTCTAAGACTGAATCTCGTATCAAGGCCAATCTTGAGGGTGACTTCAAGCTTCCTGAAGAGGATGTCAAGAAAATGGCTAGCATTGATAAGAAACTTCGCTTCAACGATCCTTCGGCGAACTTTGGGTGGGACTTCTACACGGATCTGGATGGAAAGAAGGGAGCTAAGCTCTGAGTGGGCCGCGGAACGAGACAACGAGTTGATGAATACACGTTAATCAGCAGCCGGATCACTCTGGGACGTATATGTATATAGATAACGATGCCAAAAACTAGCGTAACGCTATCTGACTTTTGCTGGTACATTACGATACAACCGAAATGCGATTCTCAATTTGTTCAGGCAATCCAATAACGAGTCCTTGCAGATGCATCCACGACCGAATTTGAATACGAAACAGGCGAAATAGACAAAATAGGTACTGTTAGAAACAGCGTGATGTTCGACTTGCACCCTTCCGCTTCAGACTCGCGTGCCGCCGAAGAGTCTTCGAAACCGACTTGGCCTTGGACACACGAAATTCAGACGTGAACCTTGTGATGGCACATATGGAGCACGGCTTGCCGAATTGTTCCACATGAGCGCTGTGGAAAGCTCTCGTGCCGTAGAGCTGCAAAGCCAGGTTCTCAACATCGATGCGTAAAACCCAAATTGAGCCTGGGCTACCCCGGATGTAAGGCGAGGCGAGGGTAGTAGCTTGAGAAATGTGGTACTGATGCTCGACTTCGTCGACAGTCTAGGAGTGGAGTGAGTTTGTGAGGCACCGGGAAGTGCAATAGGGGAGTAAACGCACCAGGGTCTGTCTGAGGAAACAGTCTTCACATGCGGCTATGACGCGCTTGACGAGCGGAAAGGGATAGCAGTCTAGCACTGCGTAGCAGAATATACATATTCTGGGCGCATGTTGCAGCCACAGTCGTCTATATATGATTTGACTCATATCTGGATACACACACCTCGATCCATGCTTATCGAAGTGAGCAAAAGGAAGGTTGAACTTGTTGCAAGACCGCACCAAGTGCGAGCTGTAGCTTTCTACCAACTCATTGCAGCGTTTCGATGTATGTGCTAGTGAGTTGAATGGGTGGCAGAGCGCAGTCCAGGAAAACAGGTCAGCGGCCCAACGGTCGGTGTCAGGACGTGTGGTAAGATCCTCCCTACTCTTGATATCGAACTTTGTTTGCCGGGGAAAGTCGTGCGCGCTTTGAGTTTCGGTGAGGCCCGGCAGGCGAGACCGTGGGTGAGTAAGGTATGACAGTATTTGGTTGACAATTTCGATTGGCAATGTTTCCAGCTTGCTTTGCGAGTATGAACATCTCGAAAGGGTGTCAAAGTAAGTAGACACGCACGGTGGAGGTCTTTCAGAGGCAGTATGAGGAGGACGCGTGGCCAGATTGGAAGAAGGTTGCACGTGGAATTCATCGCCGTGGATCGGCTTGGTGGACTCAATGGGGTTAGAAAACTGGACGGATGCTGGGACACAGCTACAAGAGAGAATGGACGTCATTTGAACGGAGCGAGCTGCAGATCTCTTTGAAGATGACGGACTTATGAAACAAAGGCCTGCCTTATACTCGCCAGCGGAGAACGAAGAAACGACAAAGAGAAGGATCGCGGCATATGACCACCAAACTCTCGGCATGCCGAAAAGACGCTACGGCTAGCTGTGATTTGCTGAGCCTGCGGGCAGTCACATTCTGCGTGCATGCATTCGTCCGTCAAGATCATGCACACAGACTGATCGAACTTGGTTTGTGGTACTGGCGACGGAGGAACGAGCTCACATGTCATCCTAGGATAAGCGTGCGGGCTAATCCGCATCGACTAAGCCTAATCAGACTAGCGTTTCATGTGTGACGTCTGTAGAACTGGTTCTCTCACTTTGACAAGGTAAACACTACAATTAGTATTTGACTGCGCGCAGCCGACAAGATGGCTGCCCAGCCCTACACGGGTCCTGTCGTCGCGAAAGACGTTGCCCCACCGCCTGCCGTAGATCCCAAGGCAGAGTCCGCTGCGGAAGGCGCGTTGGAGGGGGCCAAGGTCAAAGGCGAAGAAGATGAGCAAGAGGACGGCAGCATGTGGGAAACAGCCTCACTATTCGAGGAGATCCTGGATGAAGTCGAGGCCTTTGAGTACTCTACCAACGGTGGGTTGTGTTTGCTGTGCGCCTCTCACTACGGCGATTGACGTCCAAGACAGGCATGGACGCGTGCACCGCCGACGAAGCGCGACAACTCAAGAACCGCCTGCATGACGTGGGTGCCAGCCAGTTTGTGATGGAGAACATTACCAGCGAAAAGATGACGGCGCGCAAGTTGTGCACCGCGTTCGGCGTGAGACTTCCTAAATTCCTCGACAACGCTCCAGACGAGAGCTTCTACCAGCTGCTTGGCCTAGCGATTAACCGCGAGCTCAACAAACGTCGAAGACTCGACCAATATCAGACCATTGACGACGCTGCAAAACTGCTACGAGAGCGCAAGAACATCATGGTCATCACCGGCGCAGGCATCTCCACAAGCCTCGGCATCCCCGATTTCCGCTCCAAGAACACCGGGTTCTACTCGCGACTGCTTCAGATGGGCTATCAAGAGCCGGAACAGGTGTTCGACATTCATAACTTCGACGACGACCCGCGGACCTTCTACGCTCTCGCCGGCGACATCATCCCTGACTTAGAAAAGTGGACGCCTACGCACGAGTTCATACGGCTGCTACAGGATAAGGACAAGCTGCTCACCAACTACACCCAGAACATCGACAACGTGGAGGCGCATGCTGGCATACGGAAAGATAAGCTGATACAGTGTCATGGCTCGTGGGCAAATGCGACATGTCGGAAATGTAAGTACAAAGTTCCTGGGGAAGAAATCTTCGACTCTGTGCGCGCACAAAAGCCGGCTGAGTGCAAGCGCTGCATTGAAGAGATTGCTGCACAAAAGCCGGGTTTGAAGCGAAAGCGATCATCTCACGGAGGCGCCAGCAGGAAAAAGCGATCGAGCGGCGAGGATTCGGAGTCAGACGGTGCATTCGACATCCCACAGCCCGGTATTATGAAGCCAGACATTACGTTCTTTGGCGAAGCACTCCCTTCGAACTTCTTTGATCGTTTGAAAGACGAAGACCGAGACAAAGCAGACCTGGTGATCGTCATGGGCACGAGTATGAAAGTCGCGCCTGTGTCAGAAATCCCAAATTTCTTGCCGCGTGATGTGCCACAGATCTATATTTCACGAGATGTATGTTGCAGACCATGGTGTTACCACAAGCAAGTACTAACATGGTCCAGCCTATTCACCACATCAACTTCGATATCAATCTGCTAGGTGATTGCGACGTAATAGTAGCTGAACTTGCGCGCCGTGCAGGCTGGGATCTCGAGCACAAGATGATCCCAGAGGGACAAAAGACCGAGATCGGTACTATCAACGAAGAGGACCATACGTACAGCGTGAAAGCCACAGGTCCGGTGCCAGAGAACAACAACGAGATCAAGGCACAAATCAATACCGAAAGTAAGAATAAAAATGCATGAGCTACATGATGGGCATGGCGTAAGCTATTGAGGGCGTTTGGAAGGGTGGGCATCCCCAAGAGGTTTACGACACTAGACCTCACAACAGTGTTGCGGATGACGAGAAGGAGTCTGGCGTTTGAGATGGAAGTCCATGGGCGGAAGGGGTATAGTCAACACCTTTGGAAACGGGTCTGTAATCGACAGATTTAGAACGAAGGTGGCAAGACCTGTACATCATCTAATAAATGACGGATATATTCCTCCCGTGTACCACGTTTTGTAGCACTTATCAGCCACATGTCAGTCCTCGCATAGACCGTCTCAATCAATACATGTTACTGGCCATTGACAAAGGGCAGGACTGGATATACATGTTTACCTTCAAAATGCTAATATGTTCCTGTACGTGTTCACATGTCAACGCGCTACGCCAAGCATAATAGGGCTGAATATTCCCACGCGACCTCAACTCGCGACTTCCCCCACTACATGCACCCGCTCTAGACTTCCAACCTTGCAGCGCGCGCATTTTCGCCTCCACAGAAACCATGTTAGATATCCATCGTACGGATTCCGTGCCCGATACGAAAATCTACTTTTCGCACAGTATCCTGCCCACTTGCATCGATCCGCAAAACGTCTCCACGAAAAAGAAACCGTTCTCAACATTTAGTAAGCAAAGGTTCAGTCACACACTGGACCTCATACTACCGGAGGAAATCTACGATATAGTGGAGAAAGAATTGTATCGAGAAAATGGCGTTGGAGATAAAAAATACGCGAAGGTGCATATGCAACTAGGAGAAGTGCTGGAGAGCGAATTCCTCGACCAGTACGTCAGGCAAGGTATGGTTGCGCGTCGCTCATGTGAGAAGCTGAAGAGTGGAACTGATGGACAACAGGCAATATCATGATGCTTAGTGAAGGACGACCGCTTGTCGATAATGTTTTCTCCCTCTACGACGGTACACTGCGTCTCGAACTCGACCGCCCTACCTACGAGCGTTGCGGCCTGCAAGGTATTTCTATCGAAGACGGTGGTCGCAAACACCAGAAGTCGCGCTGGGTCGTGGAGTTCAATCTTCGCGATAAGGCTATGAGACATGGCAAAGGGAAATTCGAGAGACTGATGTGGGCTTGCAGGAATGTGCTGGACCAGAGTCTAACGTGGCTTTTCTATAATTTCAACCCAAGTTCGGCGGAATCGCTCGCGGAGGGCAAGGAGATGTTGTCGAAACACGCGCCTAAGATATGCTCCATTGAGCCGAGTGTAATAAAGATGAGGAATGTGCTGGTGCCGAAGTTATCAGTGCACAATTTAGCAAGTCTCTACGAAGAGGAAGATGCGTTGAGTTTGCTTGAATATTGCCGCATGCTCTCTTTGGACTCGCCTCGGCTTAGCGAAACCGATGATATCGACCCCCATCTGTCTCGTTATGAGGTTCCTGATTTCGAGCACGGAACATCCCCGAGGAGCATGGTTTGTGTTCGGTGGAGGGGCTTCATCCCGTCTTCTTTCGCGCGCGACTTGTTTCTCGTGGTGAGAAGACTAAGCTTTAGGAACAAGAGTGGGAAGGATGAGGAGGGAGATGTGGATATGGAAGGGGACGAGAAACGCGAAAATTGGTTTGCGGTGAGCGCAGAGGGTTTTGGAGAAAAGAACGCGTGGACGGCCATGCAGTTTGCTGGGCGGGAGACCCTAGTTTGGGAGGTTGAGAGCTGACCTGAAGAGAAGGGTGCGTGGGGCGAAGAAAGACCGCATATGCAATACTGACAAGCAAGATGGAGGCTTCGGCGTTATCATGGTCACAAGACTGTCGGTACACGACACTTTTGATCAAGGAAAGAACTCAACATGGAAGCCTGGACATATGCCAGGAGACTCGCTTTCTCGACCAGTCACGTAAGGTAGCTCTTGCTTACGCTCGCCATCTTGTTTTATATCCAGCTCTGAACCAAGAGTCTCTGGTCGAATGGACACCCTACAAACGATTGGCGAATGTGGCCGTCGATGACTCAAATAACTTTACTCTCAAGAACAGGACCTAGTGACCATATCTATATAAGCTTATTGTCACGTATCCACCTCGGGAGGCCCGAGGGGCGACAGATGATACGTACGACGGGGATCAATACATATTGATCAGAATGGAGCTGAAGACTACTATGGCAGGATGACGTGGAATTTGGCGATGCCTTTAACTGGCACATGACGATGACCTCCGTCCTCCTCGTGAGGTGCGCCACCACAACCCATTGGTAACCATCAAACTACCACGATGTAAGCCAGCACATCCACACTACATCTTAAGGCAATTGGGATATTTGTCCATCAATGATTATATCCTAGTAGCCTTCACTTCGCGAACCTGGGCCACGGCATGACCGACCAGGATGCTAACCAGGGGGTCAGACATGGACCCAAGACTGTAAGATTTTTTTGACAGCTCGTTCAGCATATTTGTGTCACTCTCTTGGTACCCATGGAAAACGCCGGTCATTTGGCGTCGTTCCTGCGTGAAAGTATCTCCTTTTCTCGGGATTTTGGCTTGGAAGCTGACCACCACGTTGGTGCAGATGCCGGTTTGTGTCACTCACTCTCGGCATCTCATCACTATTGATCATCGAATTGGTCTTGTTTTGACACAGATTTGAGACCTGCATTCTAGGTCAAGAACTTGATGACTCTACCCATACCCCTGTAGGCATATGGCCGGAGAAGCCGATCCGGTGAAGCTTATGGCGAGGCTGGAACAAAATCGCAAAGGTTGCCGGTAACTGATACTTGTAAGCTCAGACTGGCATGACATGACCGCATCAGCGCTGACCATGCTCCTGCACGCTGCCGACAGGCAGAAATAAACGATGAGTAAGCTGCATGTACCCTCAGTCTATCGTGGTATGATGGCTCAACGGAGTTCTACGGATATGAGATGACGCGACGACGTTGGTAATCTCAAGTTGAACATATGCGTTCTTTCAGTAGTGATTCCTGTTCGATGAACCAGAAAATATTCAATTTTCAAGCTGGTTATGACAATCGCACTCGAAACCAAGTTAAAGTTATGTTGAGTTATGATATGCTTGCCACCAAAAAGCCATCACTAACGTGTCAGGCAGACTTCTAGGCGGTAATCTCGCAGCTGGGCAACTGCCATCTTTTTCGATCGGCGACTTGGAAACATTGGCGCGTCAAGCCTGCACGACGTCGACCTTCGATGCCCAGACTGAGGCTCATTCATCCGGAAACACATTGAATGGTTGCTGACATTGAGGCGTAGTAGGGCAGTGACGACGTCGTGTGACAACCAATGTGCTGATGCAAGGACCAGTCTTGTTGAGCTTTTCCAATGCCAGAACCCCGTAATTATGTTGGCTCGACGGAGTTCATGACATGCATGGCTGTAGGTCCCTGTACAACGTAGGCCTTTCTGAGATAGTAATACCAATAAGGAAACGACTGCGAACCCAGCTGAGCAGCAAGACAGCACGAATATGATGACAGAAAAGCAACCTCACGACAACGGTGAGGCGAACACGCATTGAAGCCTGATTTGAGGATTCAGCCCCTGTTGACAACTGCTGAATGGGGAAATAATTGATACTGATATGAAAACAAGGCTCTATCCGGAAAACCCGCCTCGCATGGTCATACCATCCGGCCTATTGCTCTTTGATAAGGTAAAGATAGAACCATGTGGCGCTAGTCTATCATCTCTGGATACTACTCAAGAATTGCGATGCGCACATGCCAAAGCCTTGCAGGTCCTCAAAATGGGTTGAATGCACATCGTAGCCAATGGACCGATTTGTCGACATAGATCATGCCAGCAGCGTCTTTCCAGGCGTGAAGTGGAGTATCTTCCGACCCTACCCGTATTTCCCCGCATCCGTCGTATCCGTATCCCATATGCAGAACCCAGAATATCTCCTCCATTGGTCTCACATGATCTGTGTGGGCATGGTCCCACTCTCTCCGCTAATGAGCGCCGATTGTCACTGACATGCAGTTTTCAATAAAAGAGTTCTTTTCTTGAAGCGCATGAGTGAGATGTGTATTGATAGTCCAAGGCTGACGCCATGAAGAACGTTGGAGAAGCTCTCGATGGCGTCCAGTCACGCGTCGCTCCTTCCTCTGATAGCAGGCTTACTTAGCCCTTCAAGCTAGGACTCCTAGCAAGTGTCTTCAGCGGAGACAGATGTTGGGTCTCGATATCCAGTATCCAGCCGCATACGATTGTGGGATCGATCGGGGGTGTAGGGATGAGACAAAGCATCAAGCTTTTTGGCCGTTGATTAGTCTGTGATAGGTGTGCGCTAGTCGAAAGTAGGCAAAACGTGGCATGTCCGTGCCAGCCCTGGAGTGATGATAGTGACGAACTACGGTTTATTTTAGCTTCGTATCACGCAGGCCTGCCTCGGGCTTGCTAACATACATCGACTTGCATACAAACCTCTCTTTAGCTTCCTCGACAACCAGGGGTATTATCACCTTAGCGACATAAGTCGTGCCTTCGGACTTCGGGTGTGGAGAGCCCTCTGTCGTGACGTTGAATGCACCATGTAAGAGTTTCTTGATTCTCCCATGGTTCTCGTCATCGTGTAAGGCTCATGGTCCTGCATGACCGCACCACATTACTACCCATGTAGTTCGAAAATAAGGCTTAGTTTTCCTCGTCCTTTTCTCCGTCGATAGTCATAACAACCCTGGTAACGTCGTGGCATGTGAGCCAATGCTCTGGTTTCCTGCAAGTAAGCAGGCCACGCGTTGCTTTTGACAGGTGTCAGAATCGTCCCGTTGACGCTTGTGGCTTGCGAGCGTTGGAGTTGTGTACGTGATGGTAAACTCGAGCATATCAATATTACATGCATGTGTTCTTGTTGATCGGTATGACGCAAGCGCTTCTGTAACCTGATTGCATTGTCTTCATCGAACCGCACACAACAACGCAGGTGTCTTCGGTAATCTTTGGCCTGGGAGGGAGCGACTGAACAGATTTGCATGTGGTTTGTACCACTACAATACTTATCAATATCTGAATCGATGCAAGCGAAATCACGCAGGGTCTATAAATTTTGAGCTGCATCGGGCTGATTAGGGTTGTGCCAAGGCTGCAAATTCGGCGGAAGGTAAATTCAAGAGGTATAGTATAACACGAGAGCTGTAACCCGACCAGATATACTAATTATACAAAGACCTGTCATTGAAATCTCGAAATAAAACACCGTTCAGCCGTGAGCTCAAATCTCGGATTACCAAAAGTGACCCCCCTTCTTCTTGCATGCGGAGACTGCAGACGTTGGAGTTACGGTTGTTACCCTCGTATATGTGACGCCAAAGTTCTTGGTAGACGTTATTGTGATGTATTGATGGCTGACCTTGGTTTTTGTAGGAGTGGGGAGCGTAGTAGTCAACGTCAGGAGACCACTTAGTACAGTAGCTGCAGGCAAAGTTGTCGTGGTCGATACTGTTTGTAGGACAGATTCCGTTGTTGTGAGCGTCGGCTGAATAATCGTTGTCGTCGTGCTCACTGGCACAGTACCCGTAATAGTGGATGTTGGAGCGTCTGGGGCGCGACGCTCGAGTGCAGGACCAACTATTCGAGCCCGCTTCTGCTTAGCAGCTTCCACACGCGCGCGAGCCCACTCGTAGTCAACAGCCCGGTCGGATTTGCGCACAAAGCGGTGAAGCTTTGGCAAGCTCGTAGGGGTGACCAGAGCAGCAGGGTGGAGCAGAGTGGGTGAGTATGTGCAGGGCTTGTCAGGTCGAGTTGGGCGACCCGGTGTCGTGCATGTGGCAGTGACAGTCTTAGTGGTGGTAACGGCCTTTCTGGTCGATGTGATAGATGTCCTCGTCATCAGCTTTGTGGAAGTTGCAGTAACTGCCTTGGGTGTTACAGTCTTAATCTTCTTCGCAGTTCCACTCGGGATTGTTACAGTCGACAGTGGGCCGATAGTGGACACGTCGGTGAACGTTGCTGTTGCAGTCATAGTGGTGACTGGTACTTCGGTTATGCTGAAAGTGACCGTGGGTGTGTAGGTCATGGTCGCTTGTGCGCCAACAGTGATGTACAAATCTAGTCTCATCAGCACAAGTCGTTTCCTATAAGATCCAAGGTAAACCGACCTCTCTGCCACGCGAATGGTTGACCTTCTTTGCCGTTGTTGCCCAGAATGAGAAGAATCCAATGCCCAGATGACATTTGACTTTTCTGGATGGGACATGTCGATAGTTTGGGGTCATCGTCAGGCGTAGTTTCCACCTTAGAGCAGAGGTACTCTGTATCGTTTGGATCCACGAACAAGATATCCGACAAATCTGCTTGGCATCCTTTGAAGGTAGAGACAGCAGTGAAGGCTTCTGTGGACGCTTCATTGATAAAGTATGAACCCTCATCAACGAAGTCGACACCGTATGAGTAACATATTGATTCAGGATCGGAGGTGACGAGCGAGAGCAATGCAGCAAACGCCGTCAAGGATAGAGGACGGGAAAAGAAGACCATGTCTAAATAGACTCAGACAGTGCGATTCTGAACGATCAAGATGATGTACCGCTTTCCTAGAAGCGGGCAACACGTTCTCTTGTACTTCGCCATTTTCGAGGAGCTGGACAGATGGCTGCCTGTCATAACTCACTGTCAACAATTCATCACCAGATCTTGCACAGGACCTCGATAAGGAGGCTTAGACGCAGGTGTGAACAGGTTCCGGTGAATGGCTTGTTGCAAGATGCATCAATAAGCTGAGCTAAGAAAGGTCATGGGTGGAGTCATCGCGATTGTCTGTTAGCATTCTGCACCTCGTAAAAGCAACGAGGCTTGTCGCGCAACAAAATAAATGCTGTCGGCAAATGTTGATCAAGAGTGGATGGAAAAGGCGATGTCAAAGCCACCCGGACGTGACTGCATGGCTAGCGTAAAAATTACCCGAAGACCTCATCGCCGGCAGGCTTGACCACTCATTGCCAAGATGAACCATTATCTTCTTACGTCTTGCAGCATGTTCTCTCATCATACTCTGTTTCAATCAGCCCGAACCGTCCTTACGGCTGTCATGGGTAAGTTGTTACCCGATTCAGGGTACTGATAGTATCTTTCATCAAGAAACAAGATAAGTGAAAATTCATTTCGGCCCCGCCCTATGTCCAACTTTTGGGAAGGAGTGCTTGAAATTCAGGGTCCTGTGGCTAAGATTGCACAACATACTAGGTTCTGCATGTCGAGAGGGTGCAACGCAAGACCAAAGTCGCGGATGTCTTGAATCCAGTGACCTTTACTGCTGGGCCACCATGTCGTACCACTCGTAAAGCAGGGACAAAAGGTCAGCCGCAATGTGGCAGCCTTACAGGCATCTCGGGTTCCAAAAACACACACTTCGACTCTCTGGCACCGACGAATGATATAGCCTGTTCCCCAATTCATCATTTTCGATAATGCATCTGACACGAAGCCCCAGCCAGCGGGATCGCAGTCCAAGACACTCACCCCTACCACTACTTCGACACGAGGGAAGCCTCCCGAACCCTCGGCTTACTATCCATCTCGCCGCCTGCACTACATCGGGTACTACTCTCGAAATAGATTCTTTCGTTGACCCGTGTGGCCATGCTCTCGGCTCTTGAGTGGTGAAAAGCTCCCGTATCCTGGTGCAGAGGCTTATTACTATCTTGGCCAAGTTCCGATATACCCGCCAGCAGGCATGATCAAGCCACAAGGAGTTCGTGTAGCTCGGAGAAAGATCATAGCCTGATTCATCTTTCACTACTACAGACATAAGCGAGTGAGATTTGTCAAGATCGAAGATCATTTGAATCCTATGTGGATCCAGCCTGGGTGGAATCTGGTATAAAGGGCATCTCTGGCTCACTTGTTTCTGTCTTACTTTCCTGCCAAGTCTTGACCTCTCTCACTACTCATCAACTAGAGTAGTGAGCTTGAATAGCTCTATTGTTTCGTTGTTTCTCCACAGTCTTTCCAGGTTGCAATATTTAATATGCAACTCCGTTCTTTGGTATTCTGGCTCTCTTTTGGGTCTCTGACTTTGGCATTGCCGTCTTCGCGAGGATCCATCGAAAGCCGAGACCTTGTTGAAAGACAAGATGGAGCATGTACAAATGGCCCCCGGACACGAAATTGTTGGAGCAACGGTTATTCCATTGCCACTGATTTCGATGCCAAGTCGCCCCCTGATGGCACAATTGTGACAGTATGATATGGACTGGGGGGTCTCTGCAACAAGCACTAACAGTCTCACAGGTCAACCTCGAGATTTCAAATGTCACGCGGGCGAATCCAGATGGAAGCGGCGGAAGTCGACCTATGATGCTCATCAACAACCAATACCCTGGTCCAACGATTCGAGCAAAATGGGGCGATACTTTGGTCATTAACGTGAAGAACAATCTGCGAGATAACGGCACCGGCATCCACTGGCATGGCGTTCGGCAACTGAACACTTGCCAGCATGATGGAGTACCCGGAATCACCGAATGTCCAATTGCCCCAGGAAAAACACGCCAATATCGATTCCGAGCGACTCAATTCGGCACGACGTGGTACCATTCCCACTGGAGTGCACAGTACGGAGACGGTGTACTCGGTACTTTGATCATCGATGGCCCTGCTACGGCCAACTATGATGAGGATCTGGGCGTTCTACCTATAACTGATTGGTATTATCCGCCGGTTTTCACTCTGAATGAGGTTGCTCAGCATTCTGTCCGTGGACCGCCTCCGGCCGACAATCTCCTCGTAAATGGCACTCACATCAATCGCAATGGCGGAGGAAACTACGCCAAGATGACTGTAACCAAGGTATGTAACTGGACGCTTGATACGACAATGATTTAACATTGTGTGAAGAACAAGAAATACCGTATTCGAATTATCAACACTTCGGTCGACAACTACTTCAGCGTTTCCATGCATGGTCATCCCTTCACTGTCATCACTTCTGATTTTGTAAGTCTGGCTTTGTTTTCGTAGGCAAAGAAAGTATACTAACTCCAGCAGGTGCCGATCAAGCCATTCATCACCGACCAACTAATGATAGCCATCGGTAAGATACCTACCTCTCACACAGTCCCAAGATACGCCAACTGACTGCCCGCCTAGGCCAACGCTACGATGTAATCATCAACGCTAACCAGACATCTGGCAACTACTGGTTCCAGGTAGCCGTCGGAGCCTGCGGTAGCAACTCAATCTCAACCGCAGGCGTACAACTCGGTGCCATCCTGCACTACAGCGACGCCCCAGATACCCAACCCACATCCACAGGCGTCACTCTACGCACAGCTTGCGTAGAAGAATCGACCAAAAACCTCGTCCCCTTCGTGCCAAACGAAGTCCCAGCCTCCGTCGTCGGCACCGCCGACCAGTTAACCGTAAACAACTTCCAAGACCCCAACAAGGACAACCTCTTCCGCTGGCTCATCGACGGCACCCCCCACGTCGTCGACTGGAACAATCCCTCCCTCGAAACCGTCCTCGCAGGCAGCACCAACTTCGGCAACAACTCAAACGTCCACGAAATGCCCTCCAGCGGCTGGTACCTCTGGTGGATCCAGTCCACCGCCTCCATCGCGCTGCCGCACCCCATCCACCTACACGGCCACGACTTCTACATCGTCGGCTCCGGCTCCGGCACCTGGGATGGGACTACAGCCGGCCTCACGCTGAGCAACCCTACCCGTCGCGATACGTCCACGTTGCCCCCGGGGGGCTATCTGCTCATGGCGTTCCCCGCGGATAACCCGGGTATGTGGATTATGCACTGCCATATTGCGTTCCATGCGTCGCAGGGACTTAGTATGCAGTTTATGGAGCGTAGGAGTGAGATTAAGGGGTCGATTGGGGATACGGGCGCGTTTAAGACGGGGTGCGATGAGTGGGATGGGTATTGGTTTCCTGGTAATCATCCCTATGAGATGACGGATTCGGGGATTTAGGGGCTGTTTTTGAGGGGGTGTTGGTTGGAGGGGGATATGTGTAGGTGCGTTGTGGAGTGTGGTGTTGTATCTTCTTCGTTTTCTTCTTCTGGGAGTGATTTTCTTCGAGGGGTTATGTGTTCCAGGCGGACTATTTTTGTGTAAGAGTACGACGTGTTATCAATGGTAGTCTACTTTTTGTTGTTTGAATACGAAGTTGTTTGGCCAAATTTGCATACCTACTTTATCACTAACTCTTCTCTCTTTGTTTACCTTCCACTCCAACTATACTTACAAGTACTTCTTGGACGTGTTTTCTTTACTGATGCTTAGTTCCCACCCAAACCCAGTATACTCAAAGATCCCCACTCTCGATACTTCGGTCTCATCCCTCCACCTCTCCGTATCCCTCCCCCTCTCGACCCATCTCCAACTTCCACAGCCCCACAAGCAGCAACAGCAAGACTTCCATAAGGATGCACAAGCGTAGCTACGACCGGTACCTCTTCCTCCTCTCCACCAATCCCACCTCCGCCCCCAACACAAACCACCTCATCCGCCTCAACAGCACCCTCCCTCCTCCACGGATCCTTCCAAACCCTAACCCGCCCATCCACGCCCCCCGCCCAAACTTCATGACCAATCCCCTCAACATCATACATACTCGCACCCGAATTCCAAACATCAAAACCGAGTTTCTGTTTCGTAGCCGCCCTCCTACCCACGCAATACCCCAGCGTGAGCGAGAAGTTGCGCACATCGTATATGAGCAGGACGTCGGACATGCGCTCGGCAACGTAGAGGTATTTGCCGCAGGGGCTCCATTTCAGCGACGAGACACCGTCGCCCATGACGTGGGACAGGTTCTCGCTGCGCAGCTTCTTGCCGTCGAGGGTGCCGGGGAGTGAGAAGTGGGTTATTTCGGAGCCGCTGACGGGGTCGTAGATGCCGATGTAGCGGGTTCGTGCGCCGGCGGCGAGGAGGCCGGCTTGGCATGTTGAGGTGGCTGGGGAGAGGGACAGGGCGGAGATGTAGCCTTTGAAGCCGCGGCCTCCGCCTTTGAGTTTGCTGTTTCGGGAGGGGATGGTTTTGATCGTGTGGATGGGGTTGTCGGTGTGTTCCAGGTCGAAGATTGCGATTGCGTTTTGAGAGCCGGCGAAGAAGTGGGCGCTGGAGTGCGAGTAGACGAGGCTGAGTGGCGCGGTGACGGCTTCGTTGAGGTGGTTGATTAGCTTGTAGGAGGTTAGTGGGGTGGAGATGTTGACTGGGCTGGTTGTTTTCGCGGCTTGCGATTCGTTTGATTCGTAGATCCTGGTGGTGTCCCAGAGTGCGTTGTGGAGGTTGATGTACGAATCTCGTTGACTGACGAGGACGTGCGTGCTACTGGCGTCGTTGAGATTGAAGAGCGGATTGGCAGCAAAAGCCCATATAGGGTTTGATGAGGTAAATTGCGCATATGGTTTGAGAGCACGTGTGCCAGTTTCTGAGAGAATGTCTGTGTCGATGGGATAGACGGAGAATGTGCGATTGTAGTCGGATGTAAATACACAAGTCCCGTCCGGCGAGAGCTGCGCTTCTTGAATACAGCTAGTATAGCGGGATTGTGCCCCAGGGTTAGTTGTAGTACTGGCGTAACTACTCTCTGAATCTGAATCAGACTCGGATGTTGAAATCGAACTGTCGTCGTCTGACAGCTCGTCATCATCTTCCTCTGCTTCCTTCGCTTCGACTCCTTTCCCAGCACTCACTTCCCTAGTTAAACCCAACTCCTGCTCATCATCATGGTCTCGAGTCTGTTCATCACGTGGTTCCGCATCTTTCTTCTGGCTAAATCTTGACTCTTCACACCGCGCTCGCTCAGCAACCCTCGTGCTAGCCAAACATCGTACCCTCAACGCAGCGCTGTCGAGATCAGTCATCGTCTCTCGTCATCTGCTTATAAAGAGTCACGCGTACCGAAGAAGCAAACCGTGGAAACAAAACGCAAAAGTCGTGTTTAGTCGTGGTGCCTGAGCATGGGTGTTCGAGGTCCACTAGCTCCATTCTCGTAGGGCTGATCTAGCACAAACACGGACTAGACCTCGCCAGAAGTTGTGAACGCGACAATCGTCATGACTTGCGAGGGCGAGCCTCACGTCAACCATGCAGCATCTTGGTGAGCCGCGGCGTGGACGCGCATGGGTTGACTCGCCGTACCTGCGGTCACTGATTGTAAGTTATCTCGTCTAATCTTAGTCGCCAATTCCTGTATATTTCAAGTACAATGGCATGGTGTTGTTGTCGCGTGTGCCCGCAATGCAACACCCCACTACATTCATCCAAAGCACAGAACACGCACAACACAAACGGCATTCGCACACTCCCCAAACCTGCCCAATTTTCTCCGCATCTCCAATCCCAATGCTACCCTCAAACTAACCCCCACCCAGGCCGGCGGCCTCGCAGGCACAACAGTAGACCTCTCGCTGTACCCGCTCGACACGCTGAAAACGCGGCTCCAATCGTCCGCCGGCTTCGCCGCCTCCGGAGGCTTCAACGGAATCTACCGAGGAGTCGGCAGTGCGATCGTAGGATCCGCGCCCGGCGCCGCCCTCTTCTTCATAACCTACGACTCGATCAAGCGGAACTTCGCACCCACACCCTCCACGCGCTATACCGCCGACGGGAAGCCGTACACTTCCGCGCCCGACGCCAGCAGCGGGGCAGCCGTCCACATGCTGGCCGCGAGTCTGGGCGAGGTGGCCGCCTGCGCGGTGCGCGTACCGACCGAAGTCGTCAAGCAGCGCGCGCAGGCGAGCCAGCACCCGAGTTCGCGCGCGGCGCTGATGTATATTTTGGACCAGCGGCGGACGCGCGGGCTGGCGCATGTGTGGCGTGAGCTGTATCGTGGGTGGTCGATTACGATTATCCGCGAGGTGCCGTTTACGGTTATTCAGTTCCCGCTGTGGGAGGCGCTGAAGAAGTGGCGGCAGGCGCAGACGGGGCGGGGTCATGTGTCGGGGCTTGAGGGCGGGTTGCTGGGGAGCATGGCGGGTGCTGTTGCCGCGGGGATTACGACGCCGTTGGATGTGCTGAAGACGAGGATGATGCTGGCTAGTGAGAAGCAGCCGTTGTTTACTATGCTGTCGGTCATATTGAAGGAGTCGGGCCCTGGGGCGTTCTTCGCGGGGATAGGACCTAGGATTGGGTGGATCAGTGTTGGCGGTGCTATCTTCCTGGGGAGCTATCAGTGGGCGAGTAATGCGCTGGGGGACGCAGGGGACAGTGATTCAAGTCTTGATTGAAAAACAGTGTGAGTAGTGACGTGTAAAAGAATAGATAACATAGTCCAGTAATTGCATTACCCACATCTCTCTCTTTCTCTCATATCTTCCCCTGATGACACCAAACCACTTCCTCCCATCAACACCAGGCTATCCAACCCCCACCAATTCATCCAACATTAACACTACATGTCCACCCCTCAACCAATCACACCGCCAGAACTCACACTCCTCCCCGCCTCACTACTCGACTTCCCCTCACTCACACTCCCCGTCCCCGGACCAGCCTGCGCCGCAAACCCAGCCTGCGGTCCCGGATACGGCGTGGTTTTGATTTCCTTGCGACCGTTGGCCTTGTAGTGCAGCACCACGTCGCCGCCTCCGCGCCAGACATGTGCGCGGATAGAGGCCAGTGTCATCGTTGGGTGGATGAGCTGCGGTGTGTTAGAGGAGATTAATAGTGTTTTGAGAAGAAAGACCTACCTGTCCGTTACAGTACAGTTCCAAATACTCGTCTGGCTTCAACCCGGGTTCCTCGCTCTCGGCCTCTTTAGGAGGCGCTTCGATGCGCTCGGCCACGTAGCCTAGGATTTTGCGGGCGCGTAGCATGCGGTTTGCATTGAGGCGGTTGTTGCTATGAAATGTTAGCATGATTGATCGTTTTACGGATGGAATGGGTGGGGAGGTGTACCCATCAGATGATATGGCCGGGAGGGTGCCTTGATGCGGTTCGAGGATGAAAGACACTTTAACAATGTCCTTGATTGGAAGTTGGTTCTGTGGTTATCTGGATTAGCAAAATGTCGAGAGCCGCATGCCGAATAATCGGGTCGGAGAGAGAACGTACGCGTAACAGCACCTCGGCAAGCCACATAGGAGCAGCCTTCTCAATGAGATCAGCCTGCTGGCCCAAAGACCCCACTTTGCCCTCGAACAGATCCGCGACACCCCCAGAATCCGGTCGATCTTCTTGAATCAGTATGGTAGTCGAGGCAGGTGGTTTCAACACCGGGGTATCATTCGGCAGACTTGGCGCAATCTGAGATTCGAGCTTCGTCGCCCCCGCGCTCAACTGCTCTTCATATCCTTGCCGTATCCGTTGAATGCTACCCAGGAAATTATCTTCGAAAACCTTCTCCTCGGTTTTGGTCGATCGGGAATCACTATCCTCTGCTTTCTCATCGACGGCTGCAGGCTTGGGTGGCTCGGCTATGGCAGTGCCGGTGCTAAACTTCTTCATGTTGAACGACATGTTGAACTTCTTGCCAAACATGCCCTTGCCCTTCTTCGCTGGCGTGTCCGGCTCCGTGGGTGACTGCAAAGTCTCCTCTTTTGCGTCAGTCGAGGCTTCCGCTGCAGATTTTCCGTTTCCATTGGTATTCGATGCGCCGTTGCCAAAGTAGTCGCCGCCTTCTATTGTAGAATTGCGTTGTGTCTCGACCTGGGAAGTTTCTTCGGTGGTCGGAGTAAGATAGGGGTTTTGCATCGAAGTGCGACCTGCGCTTTGGGGTGGAAGCATCGGAGTTGCTAAGCCTATGGCGAGTCCAGGTGTGTGCGGCAAGTGGAAGCCGTTGGAGGCCCTTATGGTAGAACCCGTTGGAGGCCCCGAAGGAATATCGTTCCAACCATTGAGGTTTGTTTTTGGAAGTTCGATGTTGGTGGGTCGACCTGCACCGGCCTTGATTTCTTTCTCCTGTAGTTGCTCTGACCGGAAAACTTCGTCTCGTCGTATTTCTTCGTCGATGAGATTGGAGAACAAGTACCGCAAGATCCATTTCCCGAGATTGACTACACAAGATCAGCGCATAATCTATGAAACGATGTGATAAGAGAGTATGCATACTGCGGTGATCTTCACGAAAGTCGATTTCCTCTTCCAATTGCAGTTCGTCAGCGTACATCTCAGCGTCGAAGCAGTAGTTTTCTTCAAGTACACAAGTCAATGTGCCTATCCTTGTATCGACGGCGCACCAGTGAGCGACAGTTTCCTGGGTGTTGACTTGAGGGATGACGTTTTCGAGGTGCGTCTTGCCATATGACTTGATGGGGGCACACTGCTTCTCTTAGTTTGGGCATTGATATCAGAATCGAAGCAACTCACCTGTAGAAGATCCCACAGCATAACCTCACCCGCAGTATCGAGAGTCAATACCCTTCTGCGATCGTTCAGCAGATGGTGTTTGATCAGACCGTTCTGGCCTTCGATGGAGAAGTCAGGCAAGTTTCGACAAGGTACTATAACGCTGTGGTCTGCCGTAACCAATGCCTCGGATTGCCTCCGAGTGCCATTCACTGTGGAAAGGGTTGCAGTATCGGCCTCTTTGGTGGAGAATATCTGTGGAAAAGGCGCCGTGTTCGACATGCGCAGCAAAGCATTATAGGGTATCTTAGGTGTTGGCCCGGTGTTCTTTGGACTGTCAGCAGGAGGCGAGGGATATCGCGTCCGAGAGGTAGACACGCTGTCGCGATGCCACATGTAGGACTCTGGCAGTTCAACGGCGCCTGTTGTCTCGACGTCGTTCCATCTGTTGATGCTCGAGCTGGAAGTGGCCGTCCAAAGCCAGTCGCCCGCCGAAACAATTTTGTTCACGCCCTCGTGCTCTTGACACACTGCCACGGACAGGCCCTCGTCCATCTCAGCGCAGTGGCGCACATCGCTCTTGGCGACGATGCCTGAGCGGTCTGACGAGTAGAAGACAGACAGCTGCGGGCACTCGGAGTACAGCGACCAGACGCTGTCGTGGTGCATGGTGAGGGTGTACATGCAGCGTCCAGCCGTCATGGACCACACCTTAACCGTCTGGTCGGACGAGGCCGACAGAATGGTGTCGCCGTCCTCGGCGACGAGTATGTCGCGCACATTGTCCGTATGGCCGACGAACTTAGTGACGCGCTTGCCGGTGCGCGAGTCCCACACGCGCACGATACTCTCGGGCCCGCCGCTCGCGATGATGCTCGGGGTGGCGGCTAAGGCATAGACGGAGCCCTTTGCCGTGTTGCCGTCCTCGCCCACGGCGATGTCCAGCTTCTTGCCGGCGCCATTGAGGTCCCACAGGCTGATCTTGCGGTCCAGGCCGCCCGAGGCAACCCAGTTCTCGTGGGCGCCCGGCGAGGCGACGCGCTTGATGTAGTCGGAGTGCAGGCCAATCGTCTGCGGGGGCAGTGAGTCCTGGGCGGCGGGGCGCCAGAGCTTCACGGTGATGTCGGACGAGGCCGAGACGAGGGCGGTGCTGGTCTGGACGAGGGCGATGTCGTTGACCCAGTGCGTGTGGGCCTGGACCTGCTGGCGGAACTGCGTCGGCGGCGGCTTGTAGTCGGCGGCATTGGAGTCGGCGAAGGGATCGTCGTCGTCGGCGGCGGCGGTGCGGGCCAGGTCGAGGTGCAGGTCCCAGGCGCAGATGACGCCGTCACGGCCGCCCGAGTACAGGATCGAATTGGCGGCATCGACGGCCAGGCCATTGACGCCCAGACGGTGGCCTCCTGCGGACTTGGCCAGCGGCAGCACTGCGCACGTCGTCGTCAGTCCAGCTCATGTCCAGCTCACACCGAGCACACACCCACCGTACGAGATACGCTTGCGCGTCGCGTTGCGTCCCATGCCACCTCAGTTAGCTGTGCAAGGACAATTACATGTAGGTACCCGGGAAACTGGGGAAGAGAGAGCGAGAGTCCGTCCGCCTGCGTGCCTGGATCCCGCTAACCCCGAGTCGCTACCGTCGACAGGCCATGGCTAACCTTGCAGCGCCGATCCAACGGCTTTCTGCGGGCAATCACGTCACCGACCCATGGCCTCACCCCCAGACGCAGCGAGAGGCCACCGCCTGCCTGGAACTCATGTTTGGTGGGGCCGGCACGATGCAGACAGGCATGGCCCGGACTGGCGACGCGGCTACTACCCCACTGCTACACTCTCTGCCATTCCACCTTGTCAACTATGTCGAGTCAAGTTGCTGGACAGCGTCGTACTAAAGACATACCATACATCATACCGTTCCGTTAACTGTTTCGTGTACCATTCACTATATACTAGCATATATCATAACTGCTCTGCCATGCTCCCCATGCAACGCGAACGAATGCCGTGGTCGATCCAGCGGACTCTGCAATGGCGCAAAGGCCGGGTATTAAAATCACAACGCGAACCTCCATCCATTGAAATTGAACCCCATCATAAGACCACACCACATCCAGACACGGCTGCCCACTCACACCCTGTGATGCGCCTGCACAGGCCGCGTCGCAACGTCGTCGATAGCATCGTAGCTCTCCCGAGGACTGTCCGCCAGGTCAGTGCCAAACTCTTTCTGTCGCAACTCCCAGCTGCCAACCCTCTCGTGTCCCCTCTTAGGTCCTCCACCATAGCCTACAATTCCCGCTGCAGGAGGCGCTCCTCCGTTTGCGTTTCCGACGTCGGCATCAGATGCCAGCTTTGCCGAGCCCTTGAAGCCACCCAGCTCGGATTTCTCACCTTTATGCACGCGATGCAGACGCACACCACCGACCAGCATCGCGAGCGCAAACAGTATCGACGCCACGCCAAGTGTAACCATTGCGCCGATGACACCGGCGATCGTAGGGGATAGACCCGCCGCACCGTGTGGTGTCGACATAACGAGCACATCATCCTTATCCGCAACCCGGCAGAACAGACTCGGGCTGGCGCACACGTCGCACCACTCCTTCAACGTCTCTACCATGATGCCTTGAAACGCGCTCTTGAATTCCGACCACGACATGTCCGTCTTGGTGGACTCGTTCCCAAACATCGGGTACGACACCAGCTGCTTCGGGTACCCGGTGCTGTTATGGTAGTAGAACCTCACCGACAGATCGTCTTCACTCGCGGGGAACGAGGCATTCGATCCAGTGCTGAACAACTCGAAGAGCATGGCTGAGCCAAAGGACGGCATAGCGCGGAATTCCGGGTCGCGCTTGTCGAGCATCATGAGCGAGATGAGGGAGATGAAGGGTTCTATCTCGCCGAACAGGAGCGTGATTGGGTTGGGGGTGTCTGTCTTGTTACCCTGGCCCATGCGGTCGGTGATGATCTTCTGGAACTGAGAGAGTATGGATGCGGCAAGTGTTCTACCACCTGTAGCACGCAAGGACGTGGTGTTGGACGAGTCCGAGACGTTGCCCCAAAGGTGCCATGCTTCTTCGTCGGCGAGGCTTTGCAGGGTATCGTACACGCCGGCGTTCGGTGTATCGTTGGCCAGCGACTGGTAGACACTGCGGTCGTGCGCATACTGGTAGGAAAGGTAGTCGAAGCGTTTGATAGCGTATGTAAAGTCGCTTGCAGAAAAGTCAGTCTCTCAACCCTCTACCGTATATCATCGACACTCACCTCTCATACTCGTCTAGATTCGCCCCAGACCAATCTAAATCCAGCTCCTTGTATAGCTCGTCGTTTATCGTCTTCGAGTTCTTGAATTGCTCCGTCACGAACCACTTCTGCGCGTCGCTCTGCGCATACGGACAGTTCTGATCGCCCTGGACAAATATCGACTGCGGATCGAGCGCGCCCTTGGACTGAATATTCGCGTGCTGGTACCCCCCAAGAGGATAATCAATCGCCGACCCATCCGCCAGCAAGTCCGCCGCATCGCCCGTCGCATTCGACAGCGAGTACGGAGGATACAAGCCCTGCATCAACGCCTGCGCCGAGGCGACGAGATACTGCGAGTCCAGGGTGCGGACTAAGATCTGGTCGTTGTCCAGAACATTGGTCGACAGCCCATCGATGTGTTGGATGCCCAGATCATCATGGCTGGCGTCTGCTCCGTCGATGTATCGTGTTCGCAAGTTCTGTCCCAGGCGGTACATCTGCTGTGCTCCCAGGGCAGTCAAGACGGGAGCACCAGGGTGAATGGTAGGGGTCCGCTCCCCCGTCCGAATAAACGCGAAAGCCGCGTGCGGATGATACGCGTCATCACTCTGAGCGTCGACCGACCAGGCCAGGGCCAGCAGTCCAGCAGAGACAAGGGCAAGCATAATATCGTCGTCGTATATATGGGTGGTGTGATGAATAAGTCGGCAGCCTTCCCACCAGCTAAAGAAATAATCCGCAACGCAACACGAGGGAAGACGAAACAAAAACAACAAGGCTAAACCCGCGAGAAGGCACCAACCCTATATTTAACCTTTCCAATGACCGTGAGCTTACATACAGCGCGAAACCCATGCACATTCGATCAAGGCAAACATGGCGTGCTAAACCTGCTAACCAACGCGCCAGAAGCTCACTCCTGCCGGCCTAATGGGACCAATCTAGCCCCAAGTAAGCGCAATAGACAGTTAGCCTGCAGACTCCAGCACGGGAATCGGCTCCATGGAGCCATTGCCATGATCTGACTGGTTTTTTTGCAAGCGAGACGGTCCGCATTTACCTAGTGGTGAACCTCCCGCGGCGGCTAGTGAAAAAGCCACAATGAGGTTCGCGGGCTAGCTGACACAGCTTTAGAGTTTACCTAGATGCCCTCATCCATTGAAAGCACGTCTGTTGTATTTTACTCGCACTCCGAGTTTCAGATTTGTGTCGCGATCCAGCATCAGGGTTGTGGAGTGAGAGGCTGAAGAGAAGTGGATACGAGGTTGGAGTGAAGAGGTGGAGACTGCGTGTTCCAAGACTCGGGTCAGCAAACAGTGGACCAAGCTACATGTGACTTAGCCTGTACTTGGAATGGACACTGACCGGTGAAGAAAATATGTCACTTATTGTCTGACATTGTACCTGCATCTGTCCAAGTTTTGCGGCACAGCCATCTTGCGCTGTCTTCTCCGAAGCTAATGCGAGTTAGTCGGACGAATTTGATGGCCCTTTTCGACCCGAGGTTGCACTCGAAGCAAATCCACCACTGCGGTACATGTATGCTTGTTCGTTTGGCATTAAATACTATATCATCGTCACGGCTACCTTCGTAGCCTATGTTGCTACATGACCCGCAAATCTGGGCAAGAATTTGTCTACCACACTCAAAACGCCTATCGAGGTCTTGGATCAAGCGACCTGAACCTGATATAACCTTCCCTTTTCTTTACTCATAAATCTAAAGGCTGACCTCAACACGACCCTCGGCACCTGGAGCGCCACCCTGCAGAGAGGGGAGGAGGTACGTGATGTCGTCCCAAGGATGCCTGTAGAGACCAGTCCTCAACCTCTTCTGGTCAAGGAAATGGGCAATCAGACCGATACTGCGACCAAGCACGAAGAGACCGTTGAGAACACCCATTCTCAGGTAGTCCTCAGCCTCCTCGGGTGTGAAAGAGCCGCTGTTGCGGACGAGGTCCACAAAGCAGACAGCGATGCAACCGTCAACATTGAGAATGAGGTTATCCTTCTTTGATGTTGTGACGGACTCGACAGCAAGAGCGTAGTCGAGCAACTTGGTGCTGGGGAAATGCTTCTTCACGTACTCCTTGACGAGCTCGACGCGGAGATCAGGGTTGTTGCGGGACTTGATCCTGTGACCAATACCAGGGACTGGATTTTGTTAGTGATTGCGATATGTGGTTGAGAGCAGAAACTTACTCAGCTTGTTCTCCTTCCTCATTGTGTCGACAAAGTCACGAGGACTGAGACCCTTGTCAAAGGCCTTGCTGAACTCCTCAGCAGCGCCGTCAAGGGCACCACCGAATCGCGAACCAATAGTGAGGAGACCGGAAACCAAAGCGCTGATAAGATCCTTGCCAGCACGTGTGGTAATGATGGTGTTCATGGCACCAGACACAGCTGGACCGTGATCGGCAGTCAACATGAGCACCATCTCAAGGAAGCGGCTAGCGTAGTCGGGCAGACGGCGACGGAACCAAAGCAGAGACATGACACCACCGATACCAATCTCCTCCCTGAAGACATCAGAGATGGGCATGCCAGCGTACAGCAGCTCTTGACCACGGTCGTCAGAAATTGTGGAAATGAAAGCAGCAGGCTTTCGGATGAGACCAAGCTCCTGCGCCCATGAGTAGTCAATGGGAATCTTGGGGACACCTGGCTCAGCCTTGGGCTTGATGGTGCCGTCCTTGACGAGCTTCTCGTAGACCTGAGCGAGTGTGCCAGGCATCTCCTCGAAGGTCTCTGGTACGTAGAGACCAGCATCCCTCATTGACTTGTTCTTGGTCGCAGCAGTCTCAAGTTGAGAGTTGGCGAAAGAACCGGCGTGACCGAACTGGACCTCGGTCTTGAGCATGCCAGCAACGGTACCGATAGCCCAAGCGACAATGGGCTTGTTGACCTCGCCAGACTTTACAGCCTCGATGACGCGGTATTCCTCAACACCACCAACCTCACCGAGCAGCACGATGATCTTGCAGTCGGGGTCAGCCTGGTAACGGAGGACGTGGTCGATGAAGGTGGTTCCGGGGTACCTGTCACCACCAATGGCAACACCCTCGAGCACACCGTCTGTTGTGTTTGCAATGATGTTGTTCAGCTCGTTGGACATACCACCGGACTTGGAGACGTAGGAAACCGAGCCAGGGCGGTACAGCTTGGAGGCCACGATGTTGTCCATCATACCACCAGTGTTGCCGATCTTGAACGCGCCGGGCTTGATGCCACCGACGGTAGCGGGTCCGATGATGGTGATGCCCTTCTTCTGGGCAACGTGCAGGATCTCACGAGCACGCTAGCGAATGTTAGGACTGAGGAGGAGACGCAGCGCATTTGTGGTTTAGACTTACTCGCTCAGGCACACCTTCAGCAATGATGGCGATGGACTTGATCTGAGGGAACTCCATCAACTCCATGGTGGACTGGAAGACGGATCGCGACGAAGCGAAGTTGACGACAGTGTCGACATCACTGTGCTTGGCAATGGCCTTCTCGACGGACTGGTAGACCGGCAGCAGAGTCTCGCTGGTTCCCCAGTACCTGCAAGCTGCAGTCAGTATTGCAATGGCGGAGGGGGAGCCCATGGCTTGGCACACACATTTTGCTCACGAACTGACCACCGAATGTGTAGATGATACCGGCGACCGAGGGCGTCTTGCGCTTGCAGATGAAGTCGAAGTCGAGCATGCCCTGCACGGCACGAGGCTGCAGTCCACTGCGCGCATCCTGTTAGACATGCTTTTTGGTGTTGTGTAGCCACGGTGTTTCCTTACTAGACGAAGCATCGTGTCTTGTCGTGGAAGAGTGTGTGGGCCGCTGGCGGGCTCATTGGGCGGCTGGGAGCTGCAAAGCGGCGGATGTTGTCATTGGCAGAGGGGCCATCGCTTGTCGACGTGGCTGCTTGCGAGGGAGTGCTCCCAGTAACGGGCGCGGCGGAGGCCATTGTGGACGGTGATGCGTCAATTGACACGGTGAATGTTCAGTTCAGAGAGGCAGAGCAGGCTATAAGCCGGGTTGTCAGTCTGGCTCGAATGGGTGAGTCGGCGGCGCTGATCAAAGACAACTGGCGGTCTGACGTGAGGGCTGAAAATGGAGGGGGAAAAGTCGAGGGAGCTGGGGCAGGCACGCAATGTCGCGGCAGGTGCAATGGGTCACGGCGAGGAGGGAGCGAGAGAGGGAGCTTACCTTATGAGTGCAGTACCTGGCGTGGCAGAGCTGGTGCTTGTATGAATGGGGAGAAGGTTGCGAAAGACGATCGTGCGCGAGTGCTGCGAAAGATTCAGTATCTGTCCGCCGGCGGACGGTGATCGGATCCCTGCTTTGTTGGGGCGCGGCGCTATGCCATAAAGTCCGGGCGGTGAACGGGGAGCCGTCGGTCGTACTGGCTGCCATTGTGTCTCGGGGAGGGGGTCGGCGGTGCGGGCAGGGGTGTCGTGACGTCTCTGTCAGCAATTGCAGCTGTTGATATCGCGCGCATCTTGTCCGCCGGCTTCTGTTGGCCGTCATCTACGTCTGCAGGCTGTGGCAGCTATCGGGCCCCTGCCAAAAGCGCCCTGAAATGTGCTGGACCATTGTTGGGGCTAGTGGTGGGGCGGCCAATGCTTAGCCCGCGTTTTGCCCATCCTCAACCCTTGGGCCACGGGCTCAACGCAGAAAAAACAGCAGACCGCCAGCTGCTAACCCCCTCAGTAGTTGTCTGACACGCACGCAGCCCCTCGTCTTCCACTCCTCATCGTTCTAGCAGCCCTGCGCACCATCAACTCCCAACCACATATAGGTACGTCCCACCAGTCCAGGGTGTGTGCTTTTTGTCTTTCGGCTTCCATCGAATCCCGATCTCTTCCACAGCTCGGACTTCCACTTAAGGATACCGTTGCGATATCGTCGGACTTGTCGTCGGGTATTGGCACCGCAAATCCCTGGAACGCTCCTTCCCTCTTCCCATCGCACCTGCCCTCGCGATAACTCTTTTGCTCCTCCATCGTTTTTCGCGACCTCTTTCACTCACCACCTCCAGCTTGACCATCATATTACACAATGTCTGCCAAAGCAATTCTCGAGGCCGACGGCAAGGCCATCCTCAACTACCACCTCACTCGCGCCCCAGTCATCAAGCCCACCCCTCTGCCAGCATCTTCCACACACAACGCGCCTTCCAAGCTTGCGTCGCTGTACTTTGCAGCTGATGCCGACGTCAAGGGCGTGCTCGACCAGGCCGAGGTCACATACCCATGGCTGCTGGTTCCCGGATCAAAGTTCGTCGCTAAGCCAGATCAATTGATCAAGAGGCGAGGCAAGAGCGGTCTCCTGGCCCTGAACAAGCCGTGGGCGGAGGCTCGCGAGTGGATCGAGGCGAGGGCAGGGAAGCCCGTAAAGGTCGAGACTGTCGATGGTGTTCTGAGGCAGTTCTTGGTTGAGCCCTTTGTTCCCCACCCCCAAGACACCGAATACTACATCAACATCAACTCAGTGCGAGAGGTACGTCGTTCTTTTATTTTCCGTTGTATTTTTCCAGTGGTTTCGGAGAGAAAACGCTTCCCCGGTCGGTTTCGAGCTTGCAGTGGACATTTTTGTCTGCCGTTTGGTTGAAAACTCGCAGTGGGTGGCGCGAATGGGAAACCATTCAAAACCCACGGGCGCGCTGTCTGGTTTTGTTAGACGGCCGGCCGGGCGAAGGGAAACAAGTTTGACCCACTTCTGGGAAGCGCCTGCTCCTTTGCGATACGCACGTCCACTTTCACATGTCACTGAGCATGCGTTTCTAATTTCCTTCCGTGGTGTTGCGGCTCTCCTCCACATTCCGACACTTTTACTAACTGTTCTGCTTAGGGTGATTGGATCCTGTTCACCCACGAAGGTGGTGTTGATGTTGGTGATGTTGACGAGAAAGCTGAGAAGCTTCTCATCCCTGTCGACCTCAGCGAATTTCCTTCCAATGAGGAGATCGCTTCCACTCTTTTGAAGAAGGTCCCTGAGGGTGTGCACAATGTTCTCGTCGACTTCATCTCGAGGTTGTACGCTGTCTACGTTGACTGCCAGTTCACGTGAGTTCTCCACTCCCTTACATACTAAGCACCTGACTGACCTATCTTGAAGATACCTCGAGATCAACCCTCTCGTTGTCATTCCCAATGCTGATGCCACCTCAGCGGAGGTTCACTTCTTGGATCTTGCTGCCAAGCTCGACCAAACTGCTGAGTTCGAGTGCGGTGCCAAGTGGGCTATCGCTCGCAGCGCCACTGCTCTCGGCATACCAGTTGCTCCCTCCAAGGAGGCTAAGACTACCGTCGATGTCGGCCCGCCCATGGAGTTCCCTGCTCCCTTTGGTCGTGAGATGAGCAAGGAGGAGGCATACATCGCTGAGATGGATGCTAAGACTGGTGCTTCCCTTAAGCTGACCATCCTCAACGCCACTGGTCGTGTCTGGACTCTTGTTGCTGGTGGTGGTGCTTCCGTCGTCTACGCTGATGCCATCGCCTCTGCTGGTTTCGCCAGTGAGCTTGCCAACTACGGCGAGTACTCCGGAGCTCCCACTGAGACACAGACCTTCCACTACGCCCGAACTGTTCTTGACCTCATGCTTCGTGCCCCTCAGCACGAGGAGGGTAAGGTGCTGTTCATCGGTGGTGGTATTGCCAACTTCACCAACGTCGCCTCGACCTTCAAGGGTGTCATCCGTGCCCTGAGGGAAGTCTCTCCTCTCCTGGTTGAGCACAAGGTCCAGATCTGGATCCGACGTGCTGGTCCTAACTACCAGGAGGGTCTTAAGAACATCAAGAACGTCGGTCAGGAGCTTGGTCTTGACATGCACGTGTACGGCCCTGAGATGCACGTCTCAGGTATCGTTCCTTTGGCGCTCATCCCTGGTAAGACGACGGATATTAAGGAGTTTTCTGGTTAAGCGCGCGATTTGTAACATAGGTCGGACGTCAAGCGGACAGTTTATGAATCATGGCTAGACAAAGATTTGCATTTGGGAAGTCATGGGTGGAGTAATTGTTTGGGCGAACTTGTCACCTTCGTCTAGACTTGACTGGCCCGTACAACGGGCGAGCAGCTCTCAAATATAAGATTTAATACCCTTCCTTGTTCATGACTTCAAGTATTCCAGTTCACGTTCTTCGATTGCAGGGCATACTTGCGGTCCCGTCATTAAGCGTACTTACTGTCGTCGATGCCTTGTGAGGTCGCTCCTTCCCAGAACGAAAGGCTATTGAGTGTGTTTTGCCACTCAGATAGTCAATCACTCCGAGTCAGCTATCACTGGCCATCATGTCTTTCATCCGCCTTGGTATCTCAACAAACTCTACACCACAAGAATCTACATGTATCTGTATCGCGCTTAATACTTAGAAAAAGGCGGTTCCTTACGTGTCACAAGCACCCGACCGCTTATGCTTTCCAATAAGGCGGTTGCTTAGATCGTATAACAAGGCGTTCGCTGACATCTTACAACTAGTCCTTTGCTTTGAGCTTCCGGGGCGCTAATTGAATATGGAAGATGGATTATGCTCTCTCATCCATTGGGTAGGCAAAGCCAGGGGGGGTAATAGTGCTTATAGACCCAACTGCAGTAGGTCACTCTTACATGCAGACCAGATGTCAGCGAAGCCTTCTTTCCTCCGCGGAGAGTTCTCAATGTTCACGCTCTTGCGCCAACAATGATATCGAGGCCGCTGGTCGGTATGTTTTCCTATTGTACTCGGTGGCTGAACGATATGTTTCTGCGGGCTTGCGGCGTGCGTGACTGGATTGGAAGGTAGTAGAATGTGTATATAAAGCTCTACTGCATTTCTGTTTTGTAAACTGAGATTATATACACCTTGAAATATACACAGGCGCCCTTCACTTACCCTGAGATTCCTACATTATCACAACATCAGAAGATTGAAATACCACCATGGCTACCCGTCCGGAAATCGTCGATGTATTGGTCGTTGGAGCTGGGCCCGCTGGTCTGAACGCAGCACTCACGTTTGCTCGCACTCGCAACACGGCGATAGTCTTCGACTCCCAAGAATTTCGCAACGAGGGAGCCACGCATATGCACACCGTAGCATCGCGCGACCATTACGACCCTAGCGAGTTCCGCAAAACAGCCAGAGAGCAGATCGAGACTGGATACGAGACGGTCTGGTTCCAGCAGTCTACGATTACCCATGTGACGAAGAAGAAGATCGGCCAAGAGGAGTATGATGGCTTCGAAGTCACAGACAGTAACGGCCACACGTATCAGGGAAGAAAGCTGATCCTGGCAACGGGCTCACAAGACGTTCTCCCCGACTTGCCGGGGTTCAAGGAGAATTGGCCACAGCATATCTACCAGTGTCTGGCCTGCGATGGATATGAGCAGCGAGGCACACCGATCGGTTTCTTGTCCTTTGACCATCCCGGATGTGCGCATCTGGTGCAGATGGCGGCACGCTTCGACCCGCGACTCACCATATTCGGCAATGGACCGCTACCAAAGAGCGAGACCATGGAAAAGTCCCTTGAAGTTGCCTTAGCCTTTGGAGCACAAGTCGACGAGCGCAAAATCGTTCGCCTCATCAATAACGGCCCATCCCATACAGACGGCGTCACCATCATATTCGAAACCGGCGAGCCAGCCACGCTCGGTTTTCTCGTTCAGAGGCCCGTCTGCGTCAACAGGGCTCAGCATCTCATCGATCAGCTCGGCGTGGAGACGGTGGACCCGGCCATGGGTGGGCATGTCAAGATTGTGAACCCGATGTTCAATTCAACGAGTGTTCGGGGCGTATTCGCAGCGGGAGATACGATGGGGATGATGAAGCAGATTGCCATAGCCATGGGTGAAGGTTCCAAAGCGGGGGCTGGCGCGGGTTTCGAAATCATGGGAGAAAGGGCTGAAGTTGCAGTCAAGGCGCACAGGGAGAAGGGGCAGCCATGAATGTAGACAGTGAGATGGGGAATGTGAAGCGGATTGCAGATGTAATCGGGGCTTTTCTCATCACGGGTTACTGTAATCAGATCTGCCCTGACTGTACCGAGATGTCAGTTGTGATACTCTTCATTGGCAGATATGATAAGCATATGAAATCTAACCATACTATACATTGAATCAAGAACATGTGTAGACACTTACTGCATTCCTACTACTAGCCTCGCATCTGAACTATCTCCAACCTACCCACCGCTCTAGCATTTCGTCATCCACGTCTCTCACCAACACATGCACATGTTCCAAACTCCGCACACTCTGCAGGTTCGTCGTGTTCTTGAACCATATGACCCTGCTACCCTCCCTCTCTTCACCGAGACTCAATCTGAACTTCTCGTCTACAAAACGATCAACCAATTTCCGACCTTCCTCGTCCAGAGCCCCGTTCTCACCCACCGACAGCCGCCCCTTCAACCACACAACGATGTGCTGAACGCCAGGCTCGAGCGCATATGGCCAATCATTCCGGAGGACCTTATAGTCCCTATCATCAGCAAAAGGCGTCTGATCACATATCTCGAACTTCAACTCTCCATCGACATCCTCGAGGGGCTGCCAAAGCAAACGCTGCTGCAGGAGATAAGCAGTCGCACTCCCATATTTCTCCTTGACGTGTGCTGTCCATGCAAGATATGCTTTGAGGGCAGAAGGCCAGCGCTTCAACTTGTCTAGTTGTCCACTCGAGATCAAGGTATGCAAGTGTTCCCATGAATGGGGTGTGAACTGTGCATCCGTGAGGGTGAGCTGTTTCCAATCGAGTGGTGTGAGAGGGAAAGGAGGGTCGGCCCGAGGAAATGGTAAGGCTGTAGGGTCTGGATTCGACTTCCATGCCGCCTGGAAGACTGAGGGCAGGGATGCTTCGTCGATACCAAGTCGTTGTGCCATTGCGGGCCGAATGCTAAGTGAAGGACGGAGTAACTTTAGGATAGACGGCTGCATGCTATTGAGAGTCTGATAAAGAATCAAACGCTATCACTAAGCCCTGGATGCATATGCTTCTGTTGTGATGTTAAACCATTTTGTTCATGATTGGTAGTGGAGTCGTTAAAAACGGATCAAAGCAGTGGACCAAAGTGGGACTGTGTCGTCCGACTCGGATACGGCAATCGCGAATACCGCACAAACTGGTCAAAAGCCGCGCGACTAACCCTAATTAGGCAGGCAGCCAGCTCTAATCAGATAAGTTAAAAGTTCTCCTAATGCAAAGGGGTATTGCTTAGCATTAGTTTCAACCTTAAGAACGTTATAGATATGCTTGTATACTAAATTTTATTAGCTTAATACATTAACAATACCTCTTAAGGGTAGGGAAGAGCTTTAATTAAGTATTTATCTATATCTAGCCTACTTACAGAAGATAAATTAAGGCTAACACTGTGCCTTAACACTGCTGCTGCTGCTAGTAACGCTACCTACAGCAGCTTAGCTATACTGTATTAATAGAGAAGCTATATACTAAGAAAACAGTAGCAGTAGTTTACTGCCTATATAAGACCTTAGATTATAAGGTTAGTGTTGCATTAGGAGTATTAAATTAGCTGCGCTGTCCTATATACTGCCTAATAATATTCTGCCTAGGTAGTAATAATTATTTAACCCCTAAAATAAGTAATACTTTACTACCTTAAAGGATCTTTTTACTAGAGAGCCCCTAAGTAAACTACCTAAGTTAATAAAATATAAGTTTAGGATAGAGTTAGATTTAAACGCAGCATTACTGCTAAAATAGAGAAGAATAGGACTACAGACAAAGCTACTAGCTAAAAGGAGTAATTAGTATATAGTAAGGTTAAAGGCCTATAAAATAGCTTCTTAGGAGAAGAAGATTAACGTATACTAAATAATTAACAATTGTACTAATTAGGTTATAGACTGCTCTAGTAAGCTAAGAATACATTAGGGGTATATAATAGAGGGAAATTATAGACCCCTAAATAATAAGGAGATAGAGAAAATTATAGGTATCCTATATTAGATAATTAGCAATTAGTAGCAGCAGTAAGCTACTGTTATCTAAGCTCTAAAAAACAGCTGTTAGGTACTAGTTTTAAACTTTAACTCCTTTTAGCTAGCTATAGAGGAGGCGTTGTATTAATATTTTATTTAATATTATTCTACTAACTAGCTAGTTTTAGGTAGGTAGCTCTAGCAGGCAGCTTAATAGTTATTTTAGTAGGTATATAATGTTAAGCTTAAGTTTACCTTTACTTCTAGGTAGTTCTCTAGCTTTAAAAAGTAATAGGGGATCTTCTATAGAAGGCTTACTAATTAAGCCTAAAAGCTCCTAGCTAATTAGGTTAGTATTATTAATTTATTTTTAAGGTTTATCTAATAGTATTTATAGGTTAAAATAGGCAGTAATTAGTACCTAGCTGCGTATATTCTAAATATAGATAAGACGCTAATTCTATTTAAGTATTTAGATAGTTATACTTACGCTTATACTAGTAACTATATAGTCTCTAGGCAGAGTATTAAATTAGGCTAGGGTAAGCGCTAAGCTACGTTAATACTATACATCTTTACTAACAGCTTTAAGCCTATAAAGCTAAAGATAATCTTCTATAGCTCTGCTAAGGGAGACCTTAAAAGTTAAGAAGATTTTATATACAGTAACGTAGTAATAGTAGAGTTTAATAATAAGGTATATAATAATAAGGAGAGTTTCCTAAGCTAGTTAAAGAAGGAGTTTATACCCCTCTAGTCTGCTAATAGGTATAATTTCCTGCTTATATTAGACTAGGTAAGCTTCTATTAAACTAATAAGGTACTTAACTTACTCTGTAAAAATTAGACGTTACCTACTATTATTTCCTTTAGCTGTATATCTCTTATTTAGCTGCTTAATACTGTAGTTAATTAAGCCTTTAAGGTAATACTACAGTACTAGACTAAAGCTCTTACTACTATTAAGGAGAGCCTTAGTAAGATAAAGTTAATTAAGGACTAGCCTCCTTAGCGCTAGTAGAGGCTTATAACTTACGCTGTTAGTAAAGCTTAGAAGGCTCTTAAGCCTAAGCTTATAGTATAATTATTCTAACAGTATAGGATCTTATTACTAGTTAATAGCTTATATAATAGTAAGCTTAAGATTAAGAATCTTATATAGGTAAGCTTTAATAGCTAGTAGACTAAGATAGATAATTATTTAGCAAAGCTTATAGCGTTAGAGGCCTTATAGGCAGTAGCTAGATAGGATACTAATAATGCAGAGGGTAAGTTTATATTAGATAAGGAGGTTAAATAGGAGTTTCTAAAAGGTAAGGGCAGTTAGTACGTACTATATAAGTTAAGTTCTTAAAGTACTAATAAGATTACGCAGCCTAAATAAAAGCCTATAATAAGTAGGCTAAAACACCTAATAAATATAGAGGTATAGACTATAGTAAACTTATAAGAAAACCTTAAACAGCGTAGCTTAAAAGGCCTACTAACGTATAAGGCTAAGCTTATTAAGCTGCTAAAGTTATATAACGCTAAAGAGTAAGCTTAGTAGAGTAGGTAAGGTAAGGCGTAGAGCTAGTTAGACTTATAGAGTTACTATAAGGTTTTAAAGCTTTTAACTGCGCAAAAATCTAGCTAAATTAGTATAAATTTATACTGCTCTAGAGTAATTTACTAGGGGCGTAGGCTTTACTAACTTATTTTACTGCTATATAGATAATAGCTCTAAGTTTAAGTTTAGCTAAGTTAAGTTTAGGCGTAAGGTTAGATATAAGGTTAGTGTTATAGATAGTATTAAGATAGCTGTTTAAAATTATTAAACTCTAAGTCTAATACTAAGGCTTATAATAGAACTTTAAAAGTACTTAGTCTTATATTTAAGCTCCTAAAGCTCTGCATCCTAATTAAAAAGGTAGGTAACTTAATAATAATTTTTTTACTGTAAGTTTATAATAGTTTGTACCTTACCTAAAAGCCTTAGCTACAATAAGAACAGTAGTAGAGTATAGTGTTATAATAAAGATAGATAGGTTAGACTTAAGAGTATAACTGCTAAATAAGCTATTAGCTAAGCTTATAGAATATTATAGAATACTTAATAGAACAGTAGAGCTTAATACCTAGATAGGTAGCTAGTACTGTAATTTAAACTATCTTAACTTCTTTAAATTCTATCTAAAACACCTATAATAATACAGAAACTTTAGCTATATATACAGGAGCTTATAAATAATAATACAGTTATAGAATAGCATTCCTACAGTACTATATTTAGCATATATAGATATATAGCTGTGTAATAATGTATTGATGTTGCTTAGTACTTTATGTTTAACGATCTGATTAGAGCTTGGCTGCCTGCCTAATTGGGGTTAGTCGCGCGGCTTTTGACTAGTTTGTGCGGTACAACGCCGATTGTAAATGCTGCGCGTATCGCGTTAGGGCCACGAGGAACGCAATTTCGATGTAATTGTTCTTCGATCCTCTTCGTACGTGCTTGCGTGGACGGTGTCGGTAGATGGTTGGGGCAAATTGAAGGAGCCAAGACGGAACAACTTGATAGGAGCGCGCCCAGCATTCCAAGCCTTTTCAAACCGCGGCTGACGGCGCCATTTGCGCCCCCCGCACACCGCTTCCACCCGCATTATCGAGTTCTTGGAGGGCAGTCTTCGAGACGATCAAGAGAACATCATGTATGCCAACCCCTTGGTGTTTGCGTACGTGCGTGAACTGTTTCTTGTTCCATCCTCCAATCCACAGTTTCTCCGCCTCCGTAGGAGCTAGCACCCTGTATTTCGCCCATGTCTCCTTCCGAAGTGGTCCATGTCAAGCAAAACGGAGATTTCGCTTGGCGTTCGTAGGCCTGAAACGTGGATGATCCCGTACACTTGTAGGGGCAAAAAGCATGGGTGTATATTGCGGCGAACGTGAAGGATCTCGAGGTAGTTTGATAAGCAATTGCTTAAAACCTTCGACCGCAATTAGCAGTGTATATAAAGACATACCGAAGTACATAATTTTTTATAACAGTGAGCTGTGGTTCTCTGTTTAAAATAATATCTTTTCAATCATGCATTTCCCAGCTCTGAGCCTTGCGCTTCTTACGTGCACTGGTGTCGCCCTTGCCGCACCAAAGGCAAACTCCTCAAAGCCATATTCGACATGGATGGCAACGTCGTTCCAATCGAAGGGGCAAAAGTTCGATAACCACTATGTGCCCGCTGTCACATTCGAAGGCATCCAGAAAGCAGCGACACTGCACAACAATGCCTCTCTTCTCGCCTACGCCTCTGACAAGATCTCCTCCCTTGTTTTGGCCAATGGCACGCTCCAAGGCTGGAACGCGACATACTACACGCTCGACGACATACGGATGGGAAACAACATCCTCTACTTCTGGAACTCGGAGGGCCGCAAAGAGAAGAAGTACGAGATTGCCGCAAAAGGTCTGAGAGATCAGTTGGATCGATGGCCCCGAACCGCTTCAGGTGGTTTCTGGCACCGCGCTCCGACATACGCGAATCAGATGTGGTTGGACGGAATCTACATGGCCGATACCTTCTACGCAACATACACGTCGTACTTCCAGCCGGGGAACATCACAGCATGGAACGACATCGCGTTGCAATTCGACTTGATCGAGACGCATTGCAGGAACCACACATCAAACCTCTTGGCCCACGGTTACAGTGAAGACAAGACCGCAGTCTGGGCTGACCCCGTAACTGGCGCCTCGCCTCACGTCTGGGATCGTGCTGTTGGATGGTACTTCGTAGCTCTTGTTGAGGTGCTCGAAGTGTACCCTACGAGTCTTCCCGGCTATGCCAGGATGAAGACCTACCTCTCGACCCTCGCAGACGGCCTGAAGAAAGCACAGGACAGCAAGGGCGGGTGGTGGTTGATCATGGACGAGCCATATCCTGGTATGGAGGGCAATTACATCGAGTCGAGTGGGACGGCCATGTTCACCTACGCATACCTCAAGGGCATCAGGCTGGGTTTGTTGGACAAGAAGTACAAGAGTGTAGCAACCAAGGCGTACGATCTGATGCTCAGCGAGTTTGTGCAACACGAGAAGAATGGAACTTTGAGCTGGGAGGGTACGGTCGAAGTTGGAAGCTTGAAGGGTGATGCGTCCTACGAAGTAAGTCTTTCAGAACCTTTTGTTGAAGATGGCGCTAATCTTTCTTCCAGTACTACATTGGTGTGCCTCTATCTCCCAACGACGGAAAGGGTGCGGGACCGTTCATGTACGCGGCAACTGAGTACGAGAGATTGTAGACAACGAGGCTGGTTGGATGTATATGCATTGTATGAGACAGTATTATAATGCGATTGATGTTGCCGAATTTGTGTTTAGGATGTCGAGTATGGTAGTGCACCAAACAATCTCGTAGGACTGGGGCTATATGCAGCTACCCGTCGCACCTTGCCTTTAGCATTCTGCACCAAAGAAGCGCGCCTCACGTCATCACAAACTCCCCTTCAGCCAAACATCAGCAATCAGCACACCTTCGAAAGCGTTTGCCTATTTGCCAAAACCTCGTAATACCTTGACTAAATAGCATAACTGCACTGTCGTCGCGGCACCTTCAATCCGACACCCTTGCCATAAATTGTAAAAATAGAACTCGGAACAAATCGCCCGGACAACCATGTGGGACCACCCATCGTCACTGCCTCACAGCAAGATCGCAGCTGCGATTGTAATTATAAGATGACATGCGTTACTGATCGTCGTATCCGCAAACACTCTTCATCTCCAACTAATCGTGCGTTTACACACTCACATCAAACAGCAGAGCTTTTAGCCACCATATAAGTTAGACTTCAAATTCACTGCACCCTCTGTACAAGGTAAGTTTTTTTCTAATTTTCCCAAAATACAACTGACTCGATAGTCTTCATCACCACGATGTCTTCCGTTCTGTCTTCCGCTGCCGCAAGCGCAACCGCATCATCATGCTCGACCGCCGACTTCACTCAGTTTCCCACACAAGACGTTGCCTGCGCAGTCGGTAGCACCCAGGGCATCCCCAGCAACACATCCGACGTCCTCAAATCCTGCTGCAAGTCTGCGCCCGTCGAGAGCTTCAACGGCGAATGCGGCTGGTATTGCCTGTCTGTTGATCAGGCAGTTGCGGATCTATTGTCATGCTTCATGGAGGGCGGTGTCTCGTCATCAAGCGTCTTCTGCAATAGCAACAATACGGCCACAGCAACGAGCAAGCCTGACAAGACTGGCAGTGCAACTGCGAGTGGAACAGGCAGCAGTACGGGTGCGGAAGAGAGCAAAGGTGCTGCACCAGCAGTATTTGCGCCCCAGGGTGTGAGCAAGACTGGGCTGGGGGTGCTAGCTATGATTGTGGTGTCTACGTTTGCGGGTGCATTGTTGTAGAGAGGTATCTCGAGGATGGAGGAGAGAGGGAAGAAAATGACGGGGTTGAGCAGTTCGACCAATATTATACCAAACACTTCGAGCCTGAAGATAAGATAGAAGGCCTCTCGCCTTGCGAACAACTTTAATCGATACTCGCATGATCGAATCATGAAGACCAACAAGCTTTCCACTACTCATACGACGATATTGCAAGGTGCGGCTTGGGAACTTCTCAATGCAATAGACCGGGATATATTGTGAGAGTATGGTTACTGGCTTGTTCATCTCTTGATATAACAGGGAGTGACTTTATTGTGGTGAAATCAAGGCGAATACTGATGATTCGAATGGCTATTCCATAAACACAACACGGAGTGTGTTGTGCAACAACATGTTCGACTATCCTACGTTGGACCTTCGCGCAAGTTGGAGTAAGACAGCAGGTAAAAACGACCGCGTACTGATTGTTTTGAGAGTGGCACAGTCGCGTCAGTGGCACTTCCCCGCCACCCCACCCAACATCGAGCTCGAGCTCCACTCTCACGCTTTCTCACTACACAGTCCAAACCAAGACACAACTAACTCCAACCCCAACTCCAAGACTGCCAAACCCTCACTCCCGCACAATGTCCGCAGAAGCCCTCCCAATAACGCCTGCCCGCTTCGCCGCTGCTCTCCAAGACCTCCCCATCTCATCGCTGTACGCAAAACACGCCGAGCTCTCCAACCAAATCACACACCTGGAATCGAGCAACAAGCAACTCGAGGACTTTGCGCGAGAAAACGACGACAGGGACTGCTACGAGGCGCTGCTGGAGAACAGACAGGTCATGCGGAGGTTCAGCGAGAGGAAGGACTTGATCAAGAAAGAGGTGGAGGAGGTGCGGGGCCTGCCTTGGATGCCGCAGGGTGAGGAGGAGATCAGGAAGGAAGAGGGAGATGTGGGGCGCGTGAACGGTGCAGTGGTGGGCCAAGAGCGGAGGAATGGTGTTGAAGCTGGTGCTGAGTCGCGAAATGCAGATGAGGAGGAGGGTGTGTTCTTGTGAGCTGATGGGATTCATGGCGCGCGTTACAGAACGACGTCAAGGAGATTCTCACGCCGGTGATCTCCATCCTCTAAGCGAGCGGGGTCTCATAGCATCTGGCGATCTGGGGAAGCACACGATCTATAGGATTGCGCATACAGTTCGTCACCTCTCCTCCAGTGACTCTGTTGAGCTAACATGTTTGTAGCGTTAGACTGAAAGTCACTTTGTTTCGGGATGGATAGTGGTAGGATGAGCAGAAGCAGAGGGCAGGTGTTCATGGTTGATCATTCGCTATGGGGTATGTGAACGCGAAAGTGCTACCACCCGTCTGATGAAGTCGAAATAATGGACAGGACCAAAACAAGTCATGTTATCCACGGAGACGCAATCACAGATTTCGAGTTGGTCTAGTTTTTTCCATCGTCAATTATCATTCATGTTCACTGGATGAGGTCTTCGAGATGAACCAACCTGCTCTCTTGAGATATCGTTTCATATCTAGAACATAACCAGTGTGCATTTCCAAGACGTTCGCTTCACGCCAGAACCAAGCTCGGGTTCTCACTCTTTCTTTTCCCCACGCTCTGGATAGTAACCCCCTGCAAACTCCAAACTCGCACCCTCGAACTTCTCAGTCTTGACCTGTTTCCACCCGCTCCAAGGCATCCATCCGCAGCGCTCGTACACCTGCACTTCAATCGTCGCAATGAAGCTCTCTCGACAAAAGTTCTTTAGGTGCCCATCAGGAAACGGACTTGCGAGGCCAAACCATCCCGGTTCCTTTGGCGCATGTGCGTTCAGTTCCAGCTTGTGGAAGTAGTTTGACACAGACATCTTGAAGGTCCGACTCTCCCAATCGTTGCTGACGCTCATGAATGGTGCAAAGACGCTGAAGTATGACACCGAGAATGGAGGCACAAAGTCCAGGTTCAGGGTTTCAGAACGGTAGCCTAGCATGTAGGCTGTCATGCCCAAGATCTGGCCACCGGCAAGACATACTCCTTTTTGAGCGTCGGCGTCCCAAGCTTGGACCCACATATGCGCTGCAGGGAAGCTGTTTGCCCAGTTCTTCTCCTGATGGATGTTTGCTCGGCCCTGGCGGTCTGCGATTGGATGGTCCTCGCCGAGAGGTGGGATACTGAGATTGAACTTGCAGGGCGAGCAGAGGGAGTGAACATGCCAGTGTAGAGGCAGCGGTAGATTGATGATCCATCCTTCGGGCGTGTTCTTGTCCTGTCTCCATGCAGTGAACGTGTCGCTCTCCGCTTCGAGACTCCAGTCCTCAGCTTTCAAACTGTAGGAGGTCGTGCCATCGCCCTTGCTGCGCATGTATCCCATGCCTGGTACTCGTAGTTCAAATGCTTTCGTGTCCGGGTCTGTCATTACGCGCTCAATGTTGTCGATGAAGTGTTCCCGTTGGAAGATGTTCTTGCCATTTTTGGGATAATATGTAAATGATACCATATGTGGCCGACTTGAGGCATTTGGCACAGAACAGATGATTAGAGCGATGTGAGAGCCGCTAGCGAGGTCGAACTTGGAGTAAAAACCCTCAAAATCGGCACTTAGATGGGGCGCGAAGTGCTCCATGGTGGTGCGATTGCTATTGACGTTTTGTTTAGCAAAGTGAGTAATTGTTGTGGTAGAGAGCCGATGAGGAGTTGATGTAAACTTGTACTCACGTACTCACGAATCATGACGTAGAGGAACTGTAAGCTTGGCAAATTGAAGCGACATCTTGACTTTCATCCTGTCTCGATATTTCATAGATTCATAGTGTTGTTTGTGTCCAGATATATCACCAGTCCATCCTTATCTTCCCTGCATGTAGGCTAAGTTTTGCTTTGTGCAGGTTCTTTCTCTTTTTGGAAGTCTTGAACAATATCGGCCAGACCTTCTGATCATATCTACAATTCATCCTTAACATCGTCTTGCTGCCCTCCAGTCCTCGCTTGCTCGACCAACCCCTTTCGCACAATACTTGTTAGGATCTCGTAAGCAACTTGTGCTGCGGCCATGGCCGTGGTCTCCGCGGCACCGTCATACGCCGGACTGACCTCTACAACATCTGCGCCAACGACATTCAAGCCTTCAATACCCCTCAAGATCCTGATCAACTCTCTGGTTGTCCAGCCTCCCGGCTCCGGTGTACCAGTGCCTGGTGCAAGGCCAGGATCAATGACGTCGATGTCAATGCTGAGATAGACGGGTTTCTCAGTACCAACACGTTTCATGATAGATTCAATAATCCCTTTCGCACCTATATCATCGATGTCATCTGTTGCAATGCGCATCCAGCCCTGCTGCGTGTCGTCGTCATAGTCGTCTGTGCCATCGCCCGACAACCTGGTTCTCAGTCCAGCGTGTACTGAGCTTCCATTTGCGATTAGACCCTCAGTTGCCGCAATCCAAAACATGCTGCCATGGTTGAAGAACGACTGTGGCGACGGATCATCGGGATCCATCCATGCAGAAGGATACTTCGCCGGATGCCAAGTATCCAGATGCGCGTCGAAATGGACGACTGTGATCGGCTGACCATACACCTCATTCAGTGCTCTCAGCGCCGGAAGCGCAATGCTATGGTCTCCGCCCAACGTGAGTAACTTGGGTCTCTTGAAGTACTGCACACCACTTTCTGTACTCTTCTGAGTTGGCCCTCTCTTGCCAAGTTCCAAGAATGCTTCGCTCATCTGTCTTAAAGCTAAGTTGTTATCGAACGGCGTGATTGGTATATCTCCGCAATCTACAAGTGTCGCCCATGATGTGTATGGATTGAGGTTTGCGCGTGGGTTGAAGCCGCGAAAGGAGGTTTGACGAGAGGAGCCAGCGCGGATGGCTCGAGGCCCGAATCTCGCGCCTGGCCTGTAGGAGACGGCTGTATCGAAAGGCGCCCCAAGAATGGCAATGTCATAGTTGGCCTGGGGATGGGTCAAGCAGCGCATGTGTGGGAGGTGAGCAAAAGTTGAGATGCCACTGAAGCCCCACTGTGTATCTGTCAGTCACTGCTGGTACAAATAATCTCACAATCTTACATCCGTGCCCCATTTCTTCTCTAGTTCGAGCAGTCGTTCTTGTGCCAGTGGTTCCTCCTCATGAGTATGGTGAGATGAATGTGACAACGCAGGAACGGATAGCGCTAGAACGGTCGCCCAATGCCACAACATGGTGAACTTGTCAAAAGTCAAAAGGATCTGACAGAAGCAATGGAGGGGTCCTGCATATGAATATCGCCATGAAGGATCGCTGTATTACGTATTTTATAGCGACCGTCTTATCACCGTGCAGATGCCGACCTCGCATCGCTCCCGCGCCTACCGTTGCGGGGCGTCCCGGAGCGGCAAGTCCATCCCGTTGTATATTTTGCAGTACCGAGCATCGGCAGCAATTGATGGCGAGAGCATTACTTGAGGGTAGAAAGTAGAAATTCTGCGGGAAATTGTAATGACGGAAGAGGGGGTTTTAGTCTTCGTTGATGACGTCGTGCAAGTCGCGTGAGTACGCGTACAACGTTGAAATCGCGTCCATGTTCGATTCGTCAACTTTTCTCAGCAACTTTCCTCGCTTGGGCGCGTTTGAAGACACACGTCTCACAGTTGATTCATCGTAGTTAGGAGTTGATTTTTAACACGTTATATCTAAGACATCAGAACATCCGAGGAACTCGTGGTGTTGAAGCAACATGCCTGAGGTAAGGACGCGCTCAAGCTCTGGCATGATGACAACCCAATTAACGCGTTCTAGCTCGCCGAAGTATCGCGTATCGTACACTATCTAAAGAAACATGCAGTCGGCAGGACGATAGAAGCCGTCAAGGCCCAAGAAGACGATGTGAGTCTATGGAATCCCCTATAGGGATTGAGAGATTCTCGCATCATCGAACAATTCTAAGTCGTTGTACAGATTATCTTTGGCAAAGTCGGAACCTCAGCATCCGCTATCAAGAACTCTCTGACAGGCAAGAAAATTCTCGATGCCCGCCAACAAGGAAAATACTTCTGGCTCGTCATGGAATCTGCCCCACATCCTCTGATGCATTTTGGTATGGCCGGCTGGATGAAGTTCAGCAACGATGACAACGCACATTACCGACCCCCTAAGCCTGAGCAAGCAGAATGGCCGCCCCGATTCTGGAAGTTTGTGCTCCAGCTGAAGGGGGAGCCGAAGTGTGAAGTGGCGTTCGTTGATGCGAGGAGGTTGGCGAGGGTTAGATTGGTGGATGCGGAGGCAGATCAGATGAGGAAGACGTCACCGCTGAAAGAGAATGGACCAGATCCGGTGCTCGACAAAGACATTTTGACTGCGGAGTGGTTGGGGAAGAAGATGAGGGGTAAAAAAGTTCCGGTCAAGGCGTTCCTTCTCAATCAAGCATCTGTCGCGGGTCTTGGCAACTGGCTAGTGTAGGGTTATTTTTAAGGTTGGGGTTCGAGATATGCTGACGGAGAACAGAGATGAAATCATGTACCAAGCAAGACTCCACCCAGAGCAGTACAGCAATACTTTCAGCGACGAACAGATCGAACGACTCCACAAAACGATAATGTACGTCTGCGATACGGCTGTCGAGGTCCTTGCAGATTCGGATCGATTCCCAGAGGACTGGTTGATGAAGCACCGATGGGGCAAAGGGAAGAAGGAAGCCCAAAAGCTACCAAATGGGGAGAAAATCACGTTTCTGAAGGTTGGCGGACGGACATCAGCAATTGTACCAAGCGTACAAAAGAAGACGGCAGCTGTTGCAGGGGATGTGTCTGAGGGCGCCGAAGATGACGAGGAGGCCAAGCCAAAGCGAGGCGGAAAGAGGAAGACCAAGACTGCTAAGGAAGAGGAGGATGAGGATGATGAGGTAGAGGTCAAGACATCTGCAAAACCAAAGCGAGGGAAAAAGAAGGCCGACGAAGAGGTCAAGAAGGAAGCTGAAGACGTAGATGAAGGAGAGAGTTTACCAGCTACCAAAAAGCAGAAGACGGCTACGAATGGTGCCGTCAAGAAGAGTAAGAAGACGAAGACGGAGGCAGTACAAGTCAAGAGCGAAGACACGACTGTGAGACGTAGATCTGGCCGTCTAACGAAGTGATTAATTTGTTGCTTGTTCTGTTCGGCAGAAGCATAGAATAGGAATATTGCGTGTTCAAACTTACACATCAAACGACTGCTTTGCTATTGCATGTGTTTCGTGTACTTACAGACAAGTAAAATATGTTGGTCAACTGTTAGGAGAGATGTTATACTTGCAATCGTGGTGAGGGGCTCTCAGCCAATCGAAATACCAGGAACCAGGGTGCAGCGAGATCATGCAACAGCTTGACAACTACAACTAAGTTTAGTGTAGGAAGCTTGTGCCAGAATTCTAGGCAGTATACGCCTTGCGTGCACTTAGACAAATTTTAGTTGTGTAGTTTTGCGACTTGTAGGAGCCACAAAGAATGTAACTTACTTCCAGCTTTTACAGTTGACCGAGAGAGGGGTGACATCTGAGGCACGTGCCTTGCGCTAATCGCGTACGACGATTTGAAGCTCCCCACATTGCGACGTCGTGCAGCTCTCAAACTGTCCGTCAGCCTTTCCTGCGCGTCTCTGTGCTTCTCTTGTGTCGCAATGATACTTTGCCCCTCTTGATCTCTCCCTCAATTACATAACCTGTCGCGTCAGGCCCTCCACGAGCTCCTCAGTCCACATATTTGATTCCGACCGGAAGTTGTCTGTGTGCGGAACCACCTCGACTCTCCACGTTTACGCCACATATTCGCAATTATGCCACAACCGCTGCCCAGCAAGGAGCAGACGCTCTTTCGCTCTGTTGTCAAATTCTACGAGGGCAAGCAGTACAAGAAGGGTGCGTCTGTTTGCAACCACGACCAACAGCATTCTGACCCCAACAGGCGTTAAGGCGGCAGAACAGATTCTGCGAAAGCATCCCAATCATGGCGACACACAAGCGATGAAAGCCCTCATCCTCAATTCGCAAGGCCAAGGCGATGAAGCCTTCACTCTCTGCAAGCTTGCCCTCAAGAACGACATGAAGTCGCACATCTGTTGGCACGTTTACGGTCTACTATGGCGTTCGGTCAAGAACTACGAGGAGGCAATCAAGGCATACAAGTTCGCGCTGCGGATAGAGCCCAACTCGATCAACATTCTCCGCGACCTGGCCCTGCTCCAATGCCAAATTCGTGACTACGACGGATACGTTGAGAGCAGGAAGAAGATGGTGCTGGATCGGCCGCAACTGAGGCAGAATTGGACTGCCTTGGCTGTCGCATACCACCTCGCTGGGAATCTCTCCGAAGCAGAGAACACTCTGGAAAAGTACGAAGGCACGCTCAAGCAGACGCCTCCTAAGACCGACCTCGAGCACTCAGAAGCCACGCTGTACAAGAACACAGTAATAGCCGAATCTGGGGACAAGGAACGGGCGCTGAAGCATCTGGATGAAATACTGAAGAGCAACCTGGATCGCAGCGCTGCACTAGAACTGAGGGCAAAATACTTGCTTGATCTCGGGCGGAACGAGGAGGCTGAGAAGGCTTACCGCACGCTTCTGGAAAGGAACAGCGAGTACCGCGCGAACTTTGATGGACTGGAAAAAGCGCTTGGCATAAGCCAGGCCAACGAGGCAGATACCGAGAAGCTGAAGGAACTGTACGAGTCGTACGCCAGCAAGAACCCCCGCAACGATGCCGCCAGACGGATACCGCTGGACTTTCTGAAAGGAGACGCCTTCAAGACTGCAGCAGACGAGTATCTGCGATGGAAGTTGAACAAAGGGGTGCCTTCGACCTTCCCCAACATCAAGGCGCTATACACCGACTCCGAAAAGAAGGCCATCATAGAGGAGCTCGTGCTTGGGTATGCCACCGATCTAAAGTCAAACGGCTCGGCGGAGGGAGAGACCAACGGCGCCGACTCAGATCGTTTCAAGCAGTCTGTGTTGTACTTTTTGGCTCAGCACTACAACTTTGTTCGGAGTCGCGATCTCAAGAAAGCGATGGAATACATAGATCAGCTGATCGAATTGGACCCCAAGTCTGTGGATTATCATCAGACGAAAGCCCGGATATACAAGCACACTGGCGACGTTCAAAAAGCCGCGGAGATTGTCGACTTTGCTCGAGGGCTCGAAAAGGGGGATCGCTACATTAACACCAAGTGCGCAAAGTACCAGCTTCGCAACAACGAGAACGAGAAGGCGCTGGATACGATGAGCAAGTTCACCCGCAACGAAACGGTCGGCGGACCTCTTGGGGATCTCCATGAGATGCAGTGCATGTGGTACTTGCTTGAAGACGGAGAGGCGTATCTACGGCAGCAAAAGCTTGGCCTAGCCCTCAAACGATTTACCGCAATAGCTGACATCTTCGACGTGTGGTATGAGGACCAGTTTGATTTCCACAGCTTTTCGATACGGAAAGGGCAGATTCGCGCGTACATTGACATGATTCGATGGGAAGACCAGCTACGTAGCCATCCGTTCTTTACACGGGCAGCCACTCAAGCGATCAAACTCTACTTGAGACTGGCGGACGATCCTCGTCTGTCTAACCCAGGCCAGGCCGACCTCGATAAGCTCGATCCCACAGAACGAAAGAAGGCGGAAAAGAAGGCAAAGAAGGAGAGGGAGAGGATTGAGAAAGTCGAGGCGGAGAAGAAGGCTGCGGCCGCTGCGAAAGCGACTGCCAAGGGCGAGGATGGAGAGACTAAGAAGGAAGACACAGATCCGGCCGGCGCGAAGCTGCTCCAAACTAAGGACCCCTTGGAGGCGACTTTGAGATTCCTGAAGCCCATGCTCGAGCTGGCGCCACTGAATATCGAGGCCCAGAACGTGGGCTTCGAAGTGTACCTGAGGAAGAGTACGATCTGGCCCCGTTGTTGATTTGTCGGGATCGTTTGCTAATGGTATATTCAGAGAACTACCTCCTCGCGATGAAATGTCTGCAGGCGGCGCGAGAGATTGACCCTGAGAACCCGAAGCTGCACGAGCAGAGCGTGCGCTTCCGTCAAGCGGGTGAGTTATTACCGATCTCTTTTACGATACTTCCAGCTAATATGTTTAGTCAAATCTCTCTCGGACCTCCCAGCGCAGACCTCGGATGCAATCAAAGAGTCATTCACCACACCAGCAGCAGACGCAGATCTCAAGACCTTCAACGACGAGTTCGCCCAGAAGCACGCCCAGAGCGCACCACACCTCCAGTCGGCATACAACACGCGTTATGTTCTCGACAACAGCACGAAAGGCCAGAACGAGAGCGATCTGAAGGAGACGCTGGGGCTGGACGGGGTCACGATAGAGCAGGCACAGGCGGGGTTGGCGCTGTTGGAGGAGTGGAAGAGCGAGGAGAGTGTGAAGGATGATTACAGGGCGAAGGCGGCGGAGCGCTGGAGCGAGGCTACCGTGTTTAAGAAGTGAGGGCCGGCCTGTATATTCGACGCCCGATCTATGAATGGGTAGTGCACAAAAGTTGAAAATGGAAGTACTTGTACCTATGTTGTAACGTAACGGCTCAGACATGTGACGGATGGTGTGAAGACAAACTTGAAAATATAATCACATTTCACAGCAATATTGTGGTATGGGCATGGAGTGTATTGCAAAGTATGGTATCCACTGATGTGTCAATACCTCAGGCGAACAAACATACCCCTCACCTTCCCCTCCCCACCCTGAGATGACGATACATCAGCCCCGCAGTGTTTGTTCCGATATTTACGTTTTTACGAGCAATATTCATATCGAAAAAACCAAGGCACTTTGGCGGAGTGGGTAAGTTTAATTCAATCCTCTGTCACATGACTCCAAAGCTGACCTCATGCTGTTAACGCGCGGGCCTGCTAAGCCCGTTCCTTCGGGAGCGAGTGTTCGAATCACTCAGGTGTCGGAATTCTTTTTTTTCTATTTTCCTCCACACGTGACTACATCGAGGGTGTGAGGGTGTAGTGTTCTTTTTTTCTCATCATAACAGTATGTGTGCAAGTGCAGGATTGTGGATAGTAGAAACGTGGATATATTTTTTACAACGCCGGGATTTAGTATCTAACCAGCAATGTTTTGATGATGGAAGAAACCGAGTTTATTCAACGCCCAGGATTCATACCAGGCATAAGTTCCGGCTTATCAAGCACCATACCCCTCAGCAAAACCCACTGCCGCAGCCCCTCCCAGTCCTCGCCCTCCTCATCCCCGCGCTTCCACAGCTCCTTGAACCCCCATGCACAGGCAATGCGATCGAGGGCGGCGCGCTCGTCTTCCCTCAGATAGCGGTCGAGCAAGGGGACACCGGGTCTCCAGACGACGCGATCGTGATGGTCGTTGTGAGTAGTGAGGGCGACGAAACCCAGGGTGCCTGTGCACATGACATATGTGCTCATTCCGGCGAAGGCGTAGACTTTGAAGGTCCAGGGGTCGATGAAGCCGCTGTAGACGGAGAGTTCCTGGGCAATCATGTAGAGGGCGAGGGGCATTGCGGCGGCGATTAGGGACGGCAGGCCGAGTTTGGTCAGGGTGCGGTGGCGGCGCCAGGCCGGGGCGCGGTAGGTGTGGTCGACTATGTCGAGGGCGAGGGAGATGTCTTTTGCGTCGATTGCGGCGGTGAGGGCTTTGGCGGCGAGGTCGGCGGGGATGGCTTGTTTTGCGGATTTGGGGGACGGGCGGGAGAAGCGCGGCGGGGAGGAGGATTCGATGGGGGTGGGTTTGTTGGCGTAGAGGTAGAGGGCTTCTGGGAGGGTGCGGGGCCGGGCCAGCAGGCGCTGCAGGTGGATGTAGACGGCTAGCACGTTGGGCGAGATGAAGACTTTGGCGTGGCGGATCAGGTCCTCGGCGAGCTTGGAGAGGTAGGCGGGCGAGGGCAGCTCGTTCAGGCCGAGTCTTGTGCGTGCGGGCTTCTGCGGTGTGTGGGTGGGCGCGTCGCTGCTGAGGCCCGAGAGGATTGCGCCGGCGGAGCTCTGGCGGATGGGCGTCTTGGTGGGGAGCGGCTGGCGCGAGCGGATGGATATGGCTTGCTGGGCGATGTCCTCCAGGCTGTCGAGGGCGCGCAGTGTCAGGGCTTCGGGCTCGACGCGGGGCGAGTCGTATATGGCTTTGATGTGTCTTTCCACCTCGGCGAGCTTGGTCTTGATGGCGGCGATTCTGTCGGACAGCTGCAGGCCCCCATCTTCCGCGACTTCTGCGCCCTGTGCTCTCCGGACGGCTGTGGTGGTGATGGGTCGGACGGGTATGCGGGGGAGGGCGCCGTGGTTGCGCGTGCTCTGCCTGCGAGTCGAGGGCGAGGGCGAGGGCGAGAGTGCCTTGAGGGCGGACGCAGACAGGAAAGAGCGGCGGGGGGCGGGCTGCTGCAGGATGAAGTCGCACAGCTGGCACACTGGCCGCGACCGGGCGCGCAGTGGCAGACAGGTGGGCTTCATGGTGTGGACGGCTGGCAATGGCGGTGGCTGCAGTCGAGTGCGGTGACGCGGGCTGCGCTGGCGGAGAGGTGAAGTGCCAAGCGCCGTTTGGGCTGTGACGAAGCGATCCATGTCCATGTTCCTCTCCTACCCTCGTCCACGCCATTCCCACCACACCGACCCCGAGTCCCGCCGCCAGACTCGCCCAGCAGTGCACCTATACCACGGGAAAGAGAGGGAACACACCACAACACCCCGCCGAGAGACGCCACACGACACACGACACAACACACGACACCATGCCCGGCCCACCACCTCCCCCTCCGCCGATGCCGCCCATGGGTCGAGGCGCTGGAGGTCCGCCACCGCCGCCCATGCCCGGCATGAAGGCCCCCGGCGGAAAGAAAGCGGCGACGGGCGCAGGCAGGGTACGTCGACGGCCGCCACGACGGCGACGATGCGCATGCGACGCGGGCACCCGCTAACAGGCCACAGGGAGCGCTGCTGTCAGATATTGGCAAGGGCGCACGGCTCAAGAAGGTCACACAGGTCAACGACCGCTCCGCTCCGACAGTCGGCAAGGTCAAGGACGCCGGCGGGGCTGCCATACCAGGCGCGCCGCCCATCCCCGGTATGGGCAGACCGCCTGCAGTGCCCGGCCTTGCGCCGCCAGGGAACCGCGCGAGGAGCAACAGCGACACGGCAGGCGACAGTGGCGCGGCCGCACCGCCTCAGCTGGGGGGTATATTCGCCGGCGGCATGCCGAAGCTGAGGAAGGCAGGGGGCGTGAACACGGGCGCAGAGTCCAAGACGCCCTACCAGTCCGACCCAGAGTCGTCGCGGGGGGCAGCGCCCAAGCCGCCGCGAGGAGCAGCACCGAAACCTCCTGGCGCTCCCCCAGCACCGCCCACGCCAGGCGCCCGACCGCCGCTGAACTCCGTCGGCTCGTCGGCCAGGGCCTCGAGGACCAACTCCATGGCGTCCAGCAAAGGCGGGAAGCCCAAACCCCCGCCGCCTATCGGCAAGAAGCCGCCCATGCCCCCGCCAGCGTCGCGCAAACCCTCTGGAATCGCTCCCCCGCCGCCCCTCGCCTCGCCAGTGCGGCCTCCACCAGTGCCGGGAAGTGCGCCTCCACCTCTCCCACCACCGTCTACACCGTCTACACCCTCTGCAGCACCTCCCCCACCACCACCGCCACCGCCAGCATCCGCCCCGCGAGCACCATCAAGATCGACGCCACAAACGCCCAAGGCGCAAGAAGAAGACTACGACCCATACCAATACGAGGCTCCCACACGACCACCCGCAGCGCCCGCCCCTCCGCCCCCAAAAGCTCCCCCAAGCGCCCACACCCCCTCCCTCGCAGAAACAGCCGCGCGAAACTCATTCGGCCGCGCCTCCCCAGCCGCCCCACCACCACCACCCCCCGCAGCGGCCCCAAGCCCACCCTCCTCCATCCTCACCATGCCCACCGCGCCCCCCGCCGCCCCGCCCAGCCGACCAACCTCCCAAACCCCCCTGCGCTCCATGCAAGACTCCAGCTCCTACACACTGACAAACGGCGCACGCGCCTCCACGACTAACCTCGCCGCTGCGGCAGGGCACAAGGGCAAGATCCTGCCCATTCACGATCTGAGGTGGAGGTTTCAGGATGAGGGGCAGTTTCCGGGCCCTAGGGAGTTTTCGAATGGGCCGAAGATGTATCGTGCTGGGAGGGGGAGTAGCGTGCCGTTGGATTTGAGCGCTTATGATTGAGACGATCTTGGGGAGGGGGGGTGGATGGGGGGATGGATAAAAAGAGGATGATGTGTGTGTATGGGTTTTTTTGGTCTGGGAATTTATCTTGGGGGTCTGGTGTGTGATTAGCTTTGGCGTTTGGAAGGGGCTTGAAAAAGGGGGGGGTGAAATGGAATGAAATGAAGTGAAATACTGTGTGTGGGATGGGAATCGGGTGGGAATGGAATGGGAAGGGAAGGGAAATGGAGATTATATGCGTTAGATTTATAAATTCTATATGTAACCTTTTTTATTCGCGATTAGTTGTGCTTTGTACCCCGTTTTTGTGGAAAAGTCTTGTCTTCTTTTGCTGTGTGGTTTGGTTTGGTGATGGGATGGGATGGGATGGGATGGGATGCTGTGTTTTCGCGTTGATGGTGGTGATTGTGGTGTGGTGGTGTGTCCTTGGTTTCGTATCGTTTTTTGGAATTTGATACGTGGGCTAGTTGTTGGTTGCTTAATATTTTACTACTGATTGATATGAAATGAGAGAAAGAGAAAGAGAAAGAGAAAGAGAAGGAAAGCACGAGTACGGGATTCTAAAACTACACGTTTAACGGCAATGTCGGGCGGAAGGACTTTGTCTGGCTCCTCCCGAATAACTGCGCTGTAATGTTCGTTTGTTCTTTTTTTCACTTTTCCGTGTTCGGTGGCTGCAAAAGCGTATCATCTTCCAATATGTTTGGGTCTGTTTGAAAACTTGATCGATTGTGGGTCATGGTTGTGGGTGCCAGCTACCTGATGACATGTTTGGGATTCCTGGAAGACTGATGAATGTCTATTTACTTATATTTCCAGCGTTCAACGGGGCTTTGTGTTATGTTATGCTACATGTGTTAGATTACTTTACTTGGTGTTGGAAAACTTTGGTTATCCTCGAGGTAGATCGAACTGGGCGTAGGTAGGTGTTGTTACATTGAAAGAGAGTTGCACTTCATGACATAGTGAGCGATGATATTGATAGTTATTAGTGTGGCTGTGTGTGGATATTGGCTCGCTCCTACGCTGTGTGTGAACATTGGGCTTTTCCCGTGTTGTGCCTCTCTACTTATATTATAAGCATAGGTAAGCTGAGAATGATGAAAAGGTCATGATGAAACATATATTAAGAGGAGGTACGTTGCAAGTCTGGCTTACACCTATGTTAAGTCTATCTGGTTTGACATGAAGAATTAACACGCTGGAATATTACAGGATAATACAATAGTGATAAAACGTGACCTTGCCATCTGCTACGATTAGACCCCTTCCAAGCATGCACTAACAAACTGCAGGCTGGTCCCTCCATGCCCAAGTCCGGCCACAGGTCAAAGCTAGTGTCCGGATGGCCACTCCCATCTCCATCTTTCAGAGGAATATGTGACTCTGGCAGGCGCTGGCGCAGGCGCCGAGCTCCTCCTCTTAGCCTCAAGCATCCGCATCTTCCCAATACATTCTTCTCTCTGCCTGCGTCCCCATCGCGCCAATTCATCCCCGTGCGCAATGCACCATAGCACAACTTCCCGCGCCGCAAAAGCATCTTCCACCGAATCATGTCCCCGATTCCCATGATTCTGGATATCGATGCCCAGGAACTCTGTACACAGCGTTTTCAGCCCCCATCGCCGCGGAACACCCGCGCCCACGGCGTCTTTTGCCAGGATACCCGCGTCCACAACACGCCAGTGCTGCATCCGCAGCGCCTCGAGATCGTGATTCAGTGCCTGACCGACAAGAACAGTGTGCGAATCAACGTACTTCCACAGCTCGGCGCGCGCTTCCGGCCAGCCCTTCAGCACGCGGTTCTCCGCCACACCAGCAACCATGGCTTTCATCGTGATACCGCTGTACTTTGTACGCCAATCTGTCACTGGCTGCGTTGGCTGCACCAGCGTGTCGATGAGAATTTCCCCGCTCAGACAGTCAATCGCTGAAATACGTGCTACTTCGCATAGGCTTTTGCCCACGCCCACGCCTACTCCCACCATCTCACAGTCCAGTGCTACCGCGCCGCGTCTCGGTGCTTGGGGGTTGTGCGCGGGACTCGGCAGCGGGATGAGGGATAGCGGGACCTGGGCTCCTGGGGTGTTGGCGTAACCCGGTCCTGATGTGTATTTGTTATGGGATAGAGTGGCGTAGGTGTGGCAATGTGAGATGAGGGCATCCAGTGCTGCGATTTGTTGAGGGGCAGGGATAGTTGACCATTTTTCTTTGGGGCGCGAGGCAAGGACGTGCGCGTTTGATTGCATACTGCGTTGTGGCTCGGGGATGTATGTGTTCACGGTCGACCTCTCATCTGGTACAATTTGTCTGTTGACAGACTGTGGTGGGTCGGCAGATTCCCCTGGCGGTGGGCGTGAAGCTAAAATGCTACAATCTGAAGTCTGGAAATGCGACCGCAGATGTTCCCAGCTTGTGAAAGCCAGACCGCAAGAATTGCAGCTGCCCAAATTGGCCGAAGATGTAGATTGCGCCTGTTGGTGCAGCCTTGGTAACAGAAGTCCATATTCGACGTCTTGTCCGCTGTGATTCGCTACGAGTGGAGAAACCAAAGTTTGCCCGCCATTGCGAGGCATGGCAACGAGATAACAATCATTGATGTCATATGGCATGTACAATCCATACAACGAGGCGTGTTCCACAGGTTGTAGCGTCTCGTTTGGTGGCGGTGCGTGGGTTCGGGGTCCTCCTTGTGGCTCAGCACGTGATGTATATTCGAAAGTTCCCCTGCGTTCATCGAGTACGCGCGCTATCTCTTGTACACCGGGTACAGTACAGGGCGTATTCTCAGGAGCTACAGATGCATCTTTGTAGACGTTGATGGCAAATGTGTCTGTTGTGGTAGAGGCTGGAGTCCTGACAGTCTTACGAGAGGTGCGTGGAGTGCCGGGCTGGTCTGACGTATCATTCGTTGTGAGCATGTTGTAGCCGGCAAGAAACATAGTTTGATCTGATTTCTTAAGTTTCTTCCCTATTGGCGACGTGTGGGAGTGCGGAGTAAGGCTCTCTTGTTGGCTTGCGCATGCATCTCTGTGGACAGACGATGTCACATGTTGTTTGAGTGCTTTTTGGCTTTTGAAGACCTTTGCACATCCACTGATTGTGCAAGGCACCACAGGTATCGGGCGTCCATTATTTTGACCACGAATTACCAAGGTGCCGGCGCTGGCGCTCGGAGACGAATTCGTGCATTTGTCGCAAGAATATGTCGTAAAAGACGAGTTAGAGTAATTCTCGGTTGCGCTGTGAGAAGCCATCTTCACTGATGAAAGGCAGAAACGGTATCCTTATGTCTGTTGATGCCAAGCGACCAGGCGCCCGGCTGCGATTCCACCTACAGGGGGCATGAGTGGTCGAGGCGGGTAAGATCACCGGACCTATGGTAGTCGCTTACACATCATTCTCCACGTCGACCCCTCTTCGGATGCATGATGAAACATCTGAATCAGTTCATTGCCATTGTTATCTTCCTTCGCTCTGAGCATCGTGATCCAAAACGAAGACAAATGGAGCCTTGACGCACCTATGATCAATAAGAGACTAGTTCAGCCTTGTGACGCAAGGCATTTGCCTCACCTGTAGTATACGCAGATACTGACTGGTCTTTCACGGCAGGATCGCGAATTAAGATTTCTTCACATACCTGACATACCACCTTCCATATCCCACCGATTCTCATGCCAATTCTTCCCAATCAGATCATTCTCTAGCGCTCTCACAAAGTCTAGTGGAGCCATATCACCCTCCATGTTCATCGGAAAATCGGAGAATACCCCAAACGCTGGGGAATCGAATGTCGGTATATAGTTGGCCAGGTTCTGGAACTGCTGTTGGGTGTTTGCGAGATGATCAACTATTTCCGTGGACGCGACATCGGTTCTCTGGTTCCGACGCTCGTCTTGTATAGCCCTCGATACCTTATTTAAGGCCATGATAGTCTTTGCGAACGGCGTGAAGTCCAAGCGTACGGCGCAGATATTTGCCATGGCGTCGCCGATACTTTCCAAGGATTGCACGTCTTGCTCACAATCTTCTGGGTCGGTACAGGCGAGAATATGTTCGTACAGTGAGAAGACCGCGCAAAATGGATAGAAGCTTATGAAACTACGGAAGGCTGTCAGCACAGATCGAGACGGTAGATTGAGGTAGTGCTGATGTCATTCGGTCAGTCTCAAAACAAAGCAGCCCCAATGAGCACTGCTGCATCAACAACGAGATCTAGACTAAGAGCACCAATGCTTGTTTGAGCAAATTGTGAGAAGTACATACTGAGCAAAGGTAAACTTGGTCGTATCAGGAAGGGCGGGGATGCCCTCGAAGTAGAGAAGAGTGGCGACCATTTTTCGTGCAGCGCGGAGAATGATGGGATGGACGATAGCAGGATCTGTCGGCCTCGCGAGTCGTTTAATTCCAATGATGATGGCGTAGATGTTCATGATATGATCTGCGATAAGGCATCGAAGAGCATGTGATGAACTTTCGGCTTTCATACGGGCCTCCATGTCCCACTCTGCCATTAAATCTTCAAGCTGTGTACAGAAGTCATTGACTTTTTGAACCACACTGGTGTCACAGTGCTCGAGGCCGTGACTGTCAAGGTAGTTGATTATCTTCACGGTCCTCAGAGTGTATTGTACCCAAACGACCGCTATCATCACCTGTGAGGCGGATGGATGCACATTGCGATGCGTAAATACGGCTGGCGGCCTCACTTTGTTCGGCGACCATGATAGCTGCACCAATATCAACCCGGCTCGCAAAGAAGGTTGAATTGTGCAAGGCAAATACTTACAACAGTAGGTTTTCCGAAGAAGAGTCGAAACAAACAATCTGTAGAGAGAATGTGCCAATATAGGTATCGAGTAGCCTCTCTTGCATTCTCTTCCTCAAAATTTCGCGCAGGTGCCACATCGAGGTCATCAATACCTCGAACTTTGATAAAGTGGCAAGACTTGCAATGAAACTTCCAAGACAACTGGTAGTCGAGATTGTTGATTGCAGTCCATGAAGTCAGCGCCGCAGTGTACCCATCCATGTCTGTTTCAGTATTGGCATCAAGCCAAGTAGGTACAGCTCTGAGCAAACTCAGATAAGCTTCTTGCGTACGCGCATCTCCTGGGCCGCGGAGTTGGTAAAGGCCATAATGAACAGCATTATAATACATGACGTATGCGCTTGGATCCACCCTGACGTATGGAGAATCGACAATGTCAGGAAGCATACGAATTAGATTGACATCGAGAGCTGTAGCGAATATATCCGGTACGACCATGGTGCCCATGTGATCAACGAAAATGTCGACGCACTGCCGCAGCTCTCCAGTGGAGAGATCAAGGTTGATTTTGGTCGCGGTTAGGTCGGGTCGAATCTTGAGATTGCCCAGGTCCTTGAGAGCATCGTTCAAAGATGACATCTCATCGTCGATACGAGGGGTTGGTGTGCTGACTGGAGTTGTCTGACTCTGAAATTTGCGCCTCGCGTCGGTGGCCATACGATAGATCCAAGCTACAGAGATCAGCAACTTCATGCAAATAATGAGGTAGTCTGGATAGTTGCAGAGATCTAGTTGTGAAATTGAGCCAGTACACGGGCTTAAGACGTTTGCAGTTCTTGAACATAGACAGAATTTGAGCCGAGAACATTCAATATGCTGTACTTACACTCTTGGGCGTTATCGTTCATGAACGCTCTGCTTGAGGGAGTTATCATAGATGTGTCTTCATTGACTGGTCCTGATGGGACTGTCAACGGTGAAAATGGAGATCGCTGCTCCCCAGTGCCGGAATTTGCGATCTGCTTCTCGAGCAGTTCTAGTCGGTAGTTCAGGCATGGAACAGTTTCTCTCTGCTGTGTCAACCGAGGTCGTCGACGTCGCTCTACATATTGACATGTTGTTGAGGCTGTAATGCACTGATGGCAGATCGGATTGCCTTTGTCGCACTTGATCTGAAGCGTATAAGCAAACTGAAGACATTCGAATAGGCGATCAAAAATTATCCTGGATGACGTACGACCCATCAAAAAGTGATTCAGAGGTCGGGGCGTGCATGCTAACGAACCCAATGGGTTTACAGTGCGGAACAGATGGGAGGTGTACCTACTTTCTTGCGTTTACATCGGAGACACTACAGATAACAATTAGCGAGGTCTCGCCTCGAATGCCTTCAAAAAGCATACGGCAAGCTTCATGGTAGTCTTGGAAAAAGAATTGCTTTATTAGACACCACTTCTTCTGTTGTATGATAGGTTGATATTCCTGAACTAGTAGTAGTCAGAAACAAGAATGATGATTTCCAATCACTTACGCCATAATGCCCTTGTAACGTACCGCAAAAACGCCTTTGATCAATCTGGTATAGTGCAACTCCTGCTGATGCTTGACGCGACATGCATGTCATTAGCTAAAAGTGCGGTCAAGTATGAAGTAACCCGGTGCTTGGGACGGCGAAGATGCCCGACTAAGCTGTCGGTTGAGATCAGGTCTGCTCTGTTTACACGAGGAGAAGAAGGTGGTAACGCGATGGCATGTTGGTTGCGAAGCGGAGACCGTGGACGCGCGGAATCTTAGGACTCCGAAATCCGTGTCGACGCACCAGTTGCAAATACGGCTAGCCTGGCACGACACTCCACAAGCCGGACTTTCAGTGCTGGGAATTCATGCGGAGCCTCACACTTCGGGATCTTAGTCAACAATGGCTGTATGCAAAATTTCGCAGGGACAGGTCCCATTTGAAGGTGTCGCGGACGTGGCTAGGGCCTCCAGATATTTCAAGGTAGAGACGGTACCGAGGCCGTGTTTGGGCAGTTCTTACCGGTTCCTACTCTTGAAATGATCCAGGAGGATGGACTTCTTTTATAAACCCAGTCGCCTATATGCTGACTGGATATGCTCGCTGTTCTTCGAAAGATCTCCCTATTATCACAATACTGGCCAAAATAGGCCCAGATCATATGGCTACCACCAAATTTCCACTTGAATCTCAAGACAATCCGGAGTCATGCTCTAGTTCGCGAGAAAGCAAAACTGGCAACGGTCGATCAGGATCGGCAACTTGCACACGAAGTGCTCGACCTTGTACGGAAATTTGCCTTGCAATCGGCGCCGTGTCATTAGGAATCGCCCCTTTGCCCCCGCTGAAGGTAGTCGACTGAGCCCGGAAAGGGATCAATTTTAAGCGAGAAATCGGGCTTAGGCTTTTTATAAATTACATTACAATAGTGAAGAAGTGGTTCGTCGTGTGGCAGGCGTCGCTTTCAAGAGTCTACAATCTTGTCTCTAGGTAAGATTTATATACATTTAGATAAGTTTGGCTCAAGGATCCACCCCACTCCACTCCATAACCATGCCAATACGCAGATCCTCGTACAACGACTGATAGACAGAAACGTGAATAAGAGGTCAACCAAGACACTTGCCCTGTTTTCTTGCTCTTGTTCTGCTTCGTTTCCCCTACGCATACTCCCTCCCCACTCTTGTACAACTTTCCTAGCATATCGAGCTGCCTGTTTACATGAGTTGTAAACTGTACGTACGTATGTTCAAACATACAACATACGGGTTTCTTGTATTCTGTGTCGGGTTGTTTTGTTTTGTTGTGGTTGATAAAGTTCGGGCTCGGGTTGATGCTTATTAACGCCGCTTGCGAGGAGAAGGGAAGGGAAGAAAGGGAAGGGAGGGGAATTTTGCTATGGTGGATAGTACCCCATGCACAATATATGGATGAATGGATGGATGAATAGATGTATGGATGGATGGATGGCATGTCATGGGTTGGGTTGGGTTGGGCTGGGCTGTAGGTCTAGGTCTAGGCGTAGTTGTGTGTATTTCCAGAGTATTGCTTAAATAGAGGAACAGAGAAGTGGCAAAGACAACTAGATTGTAGGTTATAGCTGTGTTCATGTCGCTGAGGCCCAAGTAAGGAGATGGAAACATACAACGATGTCGGATGAAAAGCGTAGAGTAGCCGGAAGGCACTATCAATATCCCTCGATTATACAACGAAGATATACATCAATTAACAACTAAAGCAGTGTCTTTCAAGACAAGACGATTCAATTCGATTCTAGTCTGATGGAAAAGAAAAAAGAGGCACAGAAGTATGAACATGAGAAGTAATTACTACGCTACGCTACAACATTTACCGACAACAACAATATCTATCTATCTACCCGCAAATGCCAAACGCGGAATTGCATCCCGTCGAGCAATGCGCAGTACTAGAGCCGCACCACCCGTATTGCGAGCAGCACTGACCGCCGGAAAAGCCAACGCAAGAGTACGCATTAGTGCCGCCGCATGTCCCGTCAACTGACGCTTTCCTGGTCGCAGTGGCGGAAGCAGAGGTGCGGACGGTGGTAGAAGAGGCGCGGGTAGTAGTAGAAGTAGCGCGAGTGGTCGTGCTAGTAGAGCGGATGGACGTCGCTGTGGTGGAAGCACGGGATGTAGTGACGGGGGAAGAGGATCCGCACTGGCCGAAGGCGGATTGGCAGCCAGTCGAGCAGTGGTCGGTCGAGGCGCCGCACCATCCGTACTGCGAGCAGCACTGCCCGCCGGAGAAGCCGATGCAGCTGAAGCCGCCTGTGCCACCGCAGGTGCCGTCGGTCGAGGTCTTGCCTGTGGGAGAAGAAGCTGGGCCTGTGCTGGCGCGAGTCGAGGAGGAAACAGCGGTTGAGCGGGTAGCGGAGGTGGTGACGGGGTTTGTACCGCCGGGGGTGGAGGAGCGGTACCAGTTGGCCTCTGGGTCGTTCATGCACTCGCCCATTGTGACGGCCGTGTAGCCTGTCTGCTTGAGGTATGTGAGCATGTAGGCGGTGAGGTCGCGGGCAGTGAGCTGGTGGATGTCGTGTCCGATAGCGAGCCTGTGGTTACCGTACTGGTCGGTCTTGGCTGCATCGACACCGTTCTTGAAGTTGTTCTTGGCGACCTGGATCTTCTCGGTGGTGAGTTGGTTGTAGTCATCAGTATCGAGGTCGAAGTACGACACGACGTAACCAAGGGCCTTCATGACCTTTAGACACGTTGCTCCCACGCAAGCAGAGTAGGGAGGACGCATGTAGGTGGGGTATTTTCCAATGATGTTACGGATGGCCATCTCGTTCTTCACCATCTGGTCGTAGATCTGCGCCTCGGTGATCTGATCAAGGTTCTGGTGGGACCATGTGTGACTAGCAACTTGATGACCCTCGGCAACCATACGTTTAATCATGGCTGACCATGTAGCAACCTCGTCGATGGCTCCCTTGCCGATGTTGATACCGGTGACAAAGAAAGTTGCTTTGGCACCAGCGGCTTTGAACTGATCAAGGACTTCATTGGTGAAAGAGTATGGACCATCGTCGTAAGTAATGGCAACCGTTCCAGCCTTCCTGCACTTGTAGATAGCAGTACCATACTCTACAGCCCCCTTCTGGGGACGAGCATCGTTGCGGGTAGTGCTTCCGGCGGGAGTCTTGTTGGCGTCGCAAGCTGGGCCATACTGGAAGAGGCAGTCCGGAGCGTTGCAGTGGTCCGCAGAAGTACCACAGTATCCCTTTATGTTGGTCAGCAACTTACATAAACCAAGCTAGTATCGAGCACTTACGGAACCGGAGCAGCAGTAGCCTGCAGCACATGAAGCCCCACCAAACGAAGGACCACAACGACCGTCCTGGCCACCCTGGCGGGCCTCAAGTTGGTGAGCCTCGTGGGACTCGGCAGCACTACGAACGGCATGGGCGACAGGGGGGTACCTCCTCAGGTTCTTGGGGAGACCAAAGATCTTTGGGGCTCCAGGAATTTCACCTCCATGAGCAGCAACAAGCGGCGCCACCAAAGCGGCAGCGAGAACGCTCGTATAACGCATTATTGCGGCTGATCGTAATTCAAATGTGGTTAAAGGTGCTTTTCATATACTGACAACAGTGGTCAAGTTTGGAAAAGTGGCGTCGAATGAATTACCAATTAAAGAATAAATGAACTATGAACAAGCGAGTGACTGTCACTATGCGTAAAAAATGCAAAGCGATGAAGAACCGGAAAACCAGGATCCCTCAGATACTTATATCGATATTCAGTCCGGCAGGGGGAGCGGACGAGGCGAAGCGATGGCGCATCCGTCTAGTGATAATCTCCCGCCAAACGAGCGTAGTCAGCATCTCAGCCAAGCCCGCCCGCGTGGAGAAACATCATAAAGCTCAAACCTGTCCAGCGGAGCCAATCTCTCGCCCACTTTGGCGCGGGAAACTCGGCTGCCATCGCTTGGTGGGAGCCGCGACATAGCAGAGACTGTGACACAGTCGTAATTCGAAGCGTCATGACCGTATTGTGCAAAGAATCGACTAGTTTCAAAAGCTTGTCATTTGGGCGCGCCTCTTCAGGGCTGAGATCGAGTCGTGCTTTTCCCCTCGGAGGCTTGGCAAGTGTACATGAAGGGTTAAAAATAACGTGCCGAAGCCATATCAACCTGTCGCGACGAGCGGAACAAGAAAGATCGCCGCTAGTGCCTTCCCCGCCAAGAGACTTACCGACTGGGCAGCGCGCGACTGGAGGCTGGGCCATAGTGACGCACTGATGCCGATTGGTGACTGCAGGCAAATGTCGGCTGTTGGGACGCTGCTTCATGCAGACTGAGGCCCTGTGGACCCTCAAGTATGATATCCGGGGCATTGAAGTACCGATATGCACATGGTCCCTGGCATCCCCGGTCATGGATCAATGGCATCGTCCCGTCAGACTGTGCCGTTAAACTTCGCTTCGCAATGCTGGGATTTCGACCGGGTGGTCGTTTGTGGGGTTCGCGCAGCACGAGATCTTGTCGTACAAGCAACTGTTTTTTCGCGAAGTTTATGGGGTGCTGACGACAGTCTGACTTTGCGAGTGGTGCAGACGTTTGATGGCACGGTCAACAGATAAGCACAGCAGACGTCGGCCTTGGTACCAAGACCTCTGTATCCATCATCGGTCGATGCTAGCTGCCCCTGTGGACCTTCATTTCCAGATGGAGTAGCTTGGCATCAGAGGACCAAGCCCATGAGAGCATGGCTTTCGCTCCCAATATTTGGCGGTTCGCCTGATGCGTCCAGAAAAGCTCACCGGCAGCACAACAAGATAGTCTTTTCAAGTGGAGTCTTTGCAGATACGATGCTAGTACTAAGCTACTGCATTTGATCATCGATTCTCCACAATGGTGTCTGTAGCGCGACCAAAATACAGACCATGAGGAAACAATCATAAAAAATGTAGAACTAACGTTTGCTATTACGCTGTAGATGCATGTTCTATCGTTTTTCCATGAAGTCTCTGAATGGGTGTGTGGGACATGATGTGTCATGAGGATGCATCTAGCCAGCTAGAAAAAGCGTGAGATGATAAGTAGAGGGAAAACGGAATATTGGGTATCGTTATTGGGCATTTCATAATATCGTTGCATCGCAGGCACGTCGTTTCGGCAGATAGCCGAGAATGTGAGCGCTACCCCTTTACTTCTTCAGTATGCGTAACAGTGGCGCTATCCTCGCCCGTTTGCTCAGCCCTACCCGATGCGGCACTTTCCCCTTGTTGACTGGCGAACGGCTCGCTGGTTTCGTTGATTTATCCGGAGTGCCCGAGACCACAGGCCCCGAGATCACCTTGAGCGCCGGTGGCGGAGTGAGTGGTTCAACTTCGGGACGCTCGGGTATCCGCTCGTCATTCAAGGTTTGAACAACACTTGGATCAACATCAGACTTCCTTTTGGGGGGATTAGTATTGGGTTCGATGGATTGTAGAACTGAAGCTTGTTGCTTCTTCTGCATGACCTCTTCCTGCTCTTCTTGTACGAATTCGGTCGATATAGCAGATTTTGCTGCCTTCTTTGGACGACCTCGACCCTTCTTCTTTTCTGTCGTTGCCTTGGGCGCGATAGGTTCTTCTGGAGTAGATTCAGGCTGATCCAAGGTAGTCTTTCTGCGTTTTGGCTTCTTGTTAGGAGCATCCACCAAGCTTGACCGTTGTGGCGAGCTGATCTTTGGCGATTTCTTTGCTATGACAACCTGGACCTTCGGACTTTTGGATTGAGCTGCATCGGGAGTCCCTTCCGCATTGAAGACCGAGCCAACTCTGTTGTGTTCAATATCTGATTCGGATGGAATGTTCTTTGCCACTTCTTCTGGGTGGAATATTTTTGACTCTTCATCTTGGACAAAAGTTGCGTGTGAAACAGATTCGGGCTGCGTCACCGGGGGTGGGTTCTTTCCTTTCGATTTGCTTTTGCTCTTTGGAGAGTTTTGCGGTGCGAGCTCATCGTGGTCGATGCGATTCGTGACAAGCCATTCTATGGTTTGTGTAATGTCGCCGTTGTTTTGCTTCAAGGCTCTCTTAGTCGTCGTAGGCGAAAAGCCCATATCACATATTTGCTGAACCTTCTGAGGTGTCGCCTGTATTTCCATGCTACCAGCCTCATTTGTCGTTTTCCGCCGTCTGGCTCTGGTAGCTTTCTCGGGCTTAACCGAATAATCGATTGGCTCTTGAGCATTGACTTTGAGTGATCTCGAGCGACTTGGACGTGGTTTGTATCTGAGGCCTCAAGGTCAGTAACCCTTCAACCGATCAACGCAATTTGCTGCCGCTGAAAACGATTCCATTGTTCTTGGGTCGTTTCACACTGAGAAATTCATACAGATTCGGTCTGTGGATATGACTTACTGTTCTTCCGGCAGGCCAATGGCAGCTGCGTCATCATCGGGAATTGGCAGTGAGCTGACTTGGCTTTTCCGCTGGCGAGGTGGTTGCTGACTTCCGTCTTGCACACTTCCATGTGATTTTGTGGACCCGGTGGGAGGCACATTTGATCGGTCACTGAGAGTGACTTCAGATGGTGGCGCGTCCACTTTTATGAGGCCATCGCTGTTCCGAATTTCGTTTTTGAGAGGACTACCTCGTAACAGGACAGACGAACCTCGACGGCTTCGTTGGGATGTGGAAACTTCAGGGATTTTTCGTGGAGTCTGTATAAGGGTGGCTGGTGTCAATGCTGGTGCTAATTGCGAAGTGGACTCCCCTTGGTTGGACGACTCGGGTTGCTCTCCACCATCCCCGGGCGATAACTTGAGATAATCTGACCAGGGTATTGAAGGCTCTGGTTGGTAAGGAGTGCCAGGTTCAGCGTCGATACCAAGCAAAGCCGGGGCAGCAACCGCTTCCAACATACGTTGTTGGGTGAAAGTGGCATTTGGTACTGTGCTCGAAGGATCTGGAAACATCATCGGGTCATGTTGAGCGTAGTCGTTGCGCATAGTGCCCTCTAAACCCCAAAGCCCTTCTCTGTGGATTCCTGAACTTTTGCCAGTTTGGAATTGATCCTCTACGGGGACCATTGCAGGGCTGCTGAAAACAGTCTGAGACCTTTTCTCATACGTAATTGATCCATTCTTGATTGAAGCTGCGGAAGGTGATCTACGCGGAGAAACATCGGTGGATGTCCTTTGTCTCTTGTTTCTATGTTCTGGGAGAGACAGCGAGGAAGGCGGCTCATTGCCAACAGGCAAGTTCGAGTCTAACGACTGTGATTGGAGGTGGGTACGGTGAGCCGTCTCAATTGCTCGCTTGAGTGAATCTAGCACAAGCCGAGTCAGTGTTGTCCGTAGACGTTCATGCTAATGCGCTTACCGGTGGATCCCGTACCCGGTTGCAGGGTCGCATCGTTGGTGAGCTGCATCGAGGACGCGCCTGCTTCTTTAGATGGCAGCAGATCGGCTTCGAGGTCGTCTTCGAGTTCATCGTCGGAGTCCTGGATGACACGCATTTTCAACCATAGCTCCAAGAAATGGGAACCGTGGAATTGTCGAGTGCGCCGAGAGAAGTGGCGTGGATTGGTGTTCTCCTCAGGGAAATCGCGAACGCGAAGCGCGCAGTCACGGGACGACCAGCTTGGCGCGATTGACTCTTCTAAATGTGGGCTGGCGCGATCGTGCCACAGCCAGGACTCTACAACGTCGTTTATGCGTCACCTTTTGCCAAACATTAAGCCTTCGAAATAATATGGACAAGTTTGCGTCCAGCCCCGCTTATCGATCGCGCAGCGAAGTGCCGGTAAATCCGCGATTTACATCCCAAGCAGCCACCGCAGAAGACCTGCTCAAGGCGCAAACCGTCGGGCTCGTCAACCTCAGCGATTATCGCAAGCGAAAGCAGCAAAACATAGAGTTTAAAGAGCGGGGCAGCTCTAATGTCAGCTCGGGTGCCAGTACTCCCCTCGATGGGTAAGAAGCATCTTGTAACAATATAGGAGGGTACAAGCTAATTGACCAAGTACAGTACATTGACGCCTAAGCCTGTATTCAAGAAGAAGCGCAAAACAGCCGGCAAGGGGAAGCTATCGTTTGGCGTAGACGATGAGCACGAGTCTGAGTCCAATGCCTCACAGGCACCTACGCCACGCGAAGGGACACCCGCCGAGTCTTCGGCAGTGAACTCAGAGACTGAAAGCAAAGTCGCAAAGAAGAAGCTCGGGGCAAGCACGAGCATTGGTCTGAAACCACGAGTCTTGACCAAATCCGCACTGCAGCGTGAAGCGCAACAGGCAGATGTTGCTCGTCAGGAATTCCTGGTCATGCGGGAGGCGGTGAAGGCGACCGAGGTGGTGATGCCGTTTGTCTTCTACGACGGCACCAATATTCCAGGCGGACGTTGCAGGATAAAGAAAGGCGATCACGTATGGCTGTTTCTTGACAAAGCTAGGAAAGTAGGCGCCGAGCTGGGTGCTGGCAGCGACAAGAGTCGACGAGATTGGGCCAGAGTCAGTGTTGACGATCTGATGCTGGTCAGAGGAGAGGTTATTTTGCCGCATGTACGTCGCTATCTCAGCCCTTTACAAGACGTCGACTAACATTCATCGTAGCACTACGAGTTTTACTACTTCCTGTTCAACAAGGTCACTGGGTTCAACGGCCCTCTCTTCGACTTCTCTGCGCAACCGACTACTGCAACCCCAACTATAACAGATGTAGAGAAGGACATGGAACCTGCCACCTATGATCCACTCAATCCGACAGCCAAGAAGAAGACCAACAATTCAACGGTACCAGACAATGAACTTGAAGGCTTCAATGACGACGCAGCTACAACAAAGGTTGTTGATCGACGATGGTACGAGCGGAACAAACATATATTTCCTGCGAGCGCGTGGGCAGAGTACACTCCTGAAAAGGATCTTTCAACAGTTCAACGAAAGGACACGGAGGGCAATGCGTTCTTCTTCTCTTGAGTTGATCAATATGGGTGACATACTAGCAATACCAGTAGTCTGGACATTGCGGTGTCGTGCTTGGTTAAATATGCAAGATGTCCTTGGCGGCAAGCATGTACTAAGGCGGGATGCGGAGGTAAACTACACTGTAACGCAGCCAGCACTACGACTGCTGGGAAATAGGAAGCAGAAACTGACGTTATGAACTTGGTCCTGTCAAGCCACCAGTCTGAATGTTCAAATTCTACTAACATCCTATGCTAAAAGTAACGCATGACTCCCAAGTCTAGTGCGTTGTGACCTTTATTCAAGCCGTTTCTAGTCGCGTGAGCCTTCGCCTTCGCTGAACGTACGGGCAACTTCGCTCTCGGACAGTGGACCAGTGTTGTAGCGGTGTGCAAGACCACTCCAGCATGTCTATAGACGCTGCAAGACATACAGCACGTGTTCTTTTTTGCGCCGACAGAATGAGCGACGTGAATTCCGATAAGACAGATCTACGCCGCCGCGATCTACCGGCCACAGAGCATCCATAGAAAAACGCAAGGAACCCCCCAAGGATCAAAAGAATCTGCCAGTCTCCACAATTTGAAACGTCACGCAAGTAACAAAACATATTCAGGTAAGTCACGCCGGTGCACAGTACATGAACGAAGCACCTCTCGTCATTGGAGGATAGATTCTCGCGACGCACCAACCACCACCAGACTTCATAAAGAATGTTCACGTTGGATAACTCCAAACTTACAACATCAACCACACTGCCCGGTCCGCTCCGCTTCAGTGTACTACCCCCTTGCCTTTTGCTACAGCTTTCCCTCCATATGACAGTTCGTTTGACTATGTTGCAGGCGCGCTTTTCTTGAGCCTTGTCTCGTCCAATCAAAATGGACAGCGAGGCCACACCTTGATGTACACACTTCGACGCGTCAATTGCACAGATCGCATGGAATACACATCTTCACCAACCGACTATTCAATTGCCTGCATTTACGATATCGTTGCGAGTACGTTTGTACGGAGCTAAGTAGATAAGCCGCCCTAGAGCTATCTCCTGGTGCTCGATATTGATCAACGTTTGGCGACGAGCATCTACAACCGCTATCCAACATGAAGTTTGGGCAGAACTTACCGCGGAATCAAGTCCCAGAATGGGCATCGTCGTACATAAATTACAAAGGCCTGAAAAGGCTTATCAAAACCGCTGTTGAAGCTCCCAGGCACAGCTCAGATCCAGATCTAGCAGGTGAGTAACCACTAAATCCTCCTTGGCATGACTCAGGAGAGGTAACAGCGTTGAAACACGATGAATAAGGCACGTTTTCAACCCATAAAGAGTATCGCGGCTTGCGAAGCGCATTCGATACAAACTGCTTTTGTTAGTGCGATAAGCAAATACGCTGACACTACTCTGCAGAATTCTTCTTCTCCCTCGATCGTAATCTCGAAGACGTCGACAACTTTTACAACAGAAAATACGCGGAGTGTGCGCGCCGGCTAAAGCTCCTTTACGGTCGCTATGGACGCGTTACTCAGTTGCCGGAGGGCATCGATAAGGACGAGGCACAAGATTTGATGGGCGCGCTGCTGGAGCTTCGCAGTCAAATGCGGAAACTACAGTGGTACGGCGAGGTCAACCGCAGAGGATTTATCAAAATCACGAAGAAGCTCGACAAGAAGATCGCATCAGTGTGCACACAGGAGCGCTACTTGGCATCGAAAGTCAACCCCAAGCCCTTCGCCCACAATCTTCCACTCAATCAAGACATGAAAGCGGTTAATGAGTGGTTATCCAGTTTGAGCGATATTAAAACGTTCGACGATAGTGGCTCCACACACTCTGCGGCTTCACTGGGGAGGATCCCAGGCCATTCATTGAACCTCCCTTCAAGTTTGCTGGACGTCATAGATCAGGCAATCCGTGGCGACAATGCTGATGACCTTGGCCAACGTCTATCTGAAATCAGCGCAAGCAATGATCCAGCCAGTCCTTCATTTCAGCAATTGCTCCTAAACTTCCTGCAGCGCGCTATTTCATGTCGTGCCAAAACTTGCATGTCCAGGCTATTGCAAGATATCACTTCTCTGGACGAGGAAGACGACATCAACAAACGTAACTGTATTCACCGTCTCGTCATCAATATTGGACGTTCAAAGAGCGGCGAGTTACTCGGAGGTGATGGGGCATTACTACAAAGCTCCTCAGAGGCCAACTTCATAGTCCCAGCAGCAGCTCCAACCCGGCAACCTCGGCCATGCACGACTACCGAAGAAGAATCCACAAAGCTCTTGAGTGAAAACGACGAATCAGTGCGCCTGCTCGTTCATCTACTTGATCAGCTCCAACTACAGCAGCGCGTCGCACTCCAATCTCGGGACTCGTACGGGCGGTTGCCACTCCATTACGCTGCTCAGTATGGCTTCGTTGTCATCTGTCAAGTCGTTATCAAGTATATGCAGGAATGGGGTCAGTTCAACGTCACTCAGGGTATCGATTCTCCATACTGGCAGGACTCTGATGGCTATGCTCCTCTGCATCTTGCTGTAGTGGCAGGGCACCAGCTCACTACGAAGGCCCTTCTTGAGGCCGAAAATTGGCATGGATCGAGCGAGGAGAAGCTTACGTCCCGAAAGATGATATCTCAATCGGGAGCGGCCCTTTCTCTAGCTACACAGTCAAATTTTGTCGCTATTGTCAAACTTCTAGTCGAGGCAGGCGTCGATGTCAATTATCAGGACGAACGAGGCGAAACAGCTCTTCACGTGGCCGCGCGATACGGTTATGATGAATGTGCTAAAGCTATTTTGGAAAGCTCTAGCACCAACAAAACGGACGTCGACATCCTAGAAAAGTTGTTTGCATGGACCCCGTTATTCGTTGCCTGTGTCGATAACCATAAATCCATTGTGGATATTTTGGCCGATGCTGGAGCAGACCTGCGGCGGTGTGATAACTCTGGGTGGACGGCGATGGAGCATGCTGCACTTCGAGGTCATATGGATATCGTACAGACTCTTGCTAAGCTTTCACCTATACCTGAATCAACTCCTACAGCACCTACGGATGCTAGAATTGTTGGCGCTGGATCACCTCCGCAGTCATCTCTTGATGAACGTAGATCTACCAACAAGAACCGCGATAATGGTGGCGTTCTGCAGAAGTTACCGGAACCGGTGAAGAGCTTCGGTCATCGCTATCTGCAAAAGGAAACTATGGTTTTAGTCAGTCTGGGATCTATGGACACAAGGAAGGAAGTTCCACCCGTCAATCTCGACGATATCCCCCTGGCTGATGCACACGCAACACAACTTGATACCGCCTTGTCGGTAGTTGTTTCGGCAACTGGAGCTAGTGGTGAACCTACTGTCATTGATTTGCCAGTGCAAGAGAATATCTCAACTGACCCGATAACTTTCATGACCAAGGATATTAGCAAAGTCAAATTATTGTTCGATATCGTTCCAACATACGCCGGATCAAAGGACCGTGTCGTGGGACGAGGCGTTGCTCTTTTGTCGACGATCAAGACTAGCATCGGATCGAATCGTATCCCCTTACAAGGAGACGTGAGAGTTCCAGTTGTGGCAGCTTCAACCTTGGACGTCATCGGCACAGTTAACTTCAATTTCTTGATCATCACGCCTTTTGAACATCCGAACATGAGACTCACGGAAGAGCGTACCTACTGGAAGAAGATGGCATCGACTATGGTCATTGGACACCGAGGCCTTGGAAAGAATACAGCATCTCGCACGTCGCTGCAACTTGGCGAAAACACAATCCAGTCTTTCATCTCTGCAGCAAACTTGGGAGCAGAGTACGTTGAGTTCGACGTGCAATTGACAAAGGACCTTGTTCCTGTCATCTACCACGATTTCTTGGTCAGCGAAACGGGTATTGATGCACCTGTACACACACTCACCTTGGACCAATTCCTTCACATTGGCGAGGGTCAAAAACCACGGCAATCTCGTCCACAATCTCCCGAGTCTCTTGTTGTGACGAATGGAGACAACAATGAACAAGACCGACCAATTTCGAAGAGACTGCGTTCGTACTCTGTCGACAATTCAAAGCAGCGAAATATCCACATTGACCGCCAGTTGGAACTCACAGACCGCATGAAGCATACGCGCGACTTCAAGAAGAAGGGGTTCAAAGGTAATAATCGGGGATTCTCTATTCAATCATCTTTTACAACGCTGGAAACCATGTTCAAGCACCCAGATCTGCCAGAGTCTGTGGGCTTCAACATCGAAATGAAGTACCCAATGCTTCACGAATCTGAAGAAGAGGAGATGGATCAATACGCTGTCGAGCTCAACTCCTTTGTGAACACGGTCTTGCAGCAAGTATACGACCTTATGAATAAGCGCAACGTGATCTTCTCGTCGTTCAACCCGGATATCTGTCTCATGCTTTCATTCAAGCAGCCTTCGATTCCGGTCCTGTTCCTCTCCGATGCAGGTACTTCGCCCGTAGGAGATGTGCGTGCTGCGAGTCTACAAGAGGCAATTCGATTTGCCTGCCGATGGAACCTCCTTGGAGTTGTGAGTGCCGCAGAACCTCTCGTCATGTGCCCGAGGCTAGTGAAAGTTGTGAAAGAGAGTGGTTTGGTCTGTGTCAGCTATGGATCGCTGAACAACGACCCTAAGAATGTCATGGTAAGCTTTGGGTACATATCAGACAGACAGTTCAGCTACTGACTACTTTGAAGTTGCAGAAAAACGAGGGTATTGACGCCGTCATTGTAGACACGGTCCTCAGAGTTCGACAAGGTCTGCAGGCCTCCAATCACGATTTCACAAACGGAATCTCCAACGGCGCTGCCAACGGCACCATTAGCGATTCTACTCTCACCGTACCAGCTACTTCCGTGCCTACTATTGATGAAGCTGGTGAGGTACCACAGGAAATGGAGCGTAAAGAGCAGAATGAGTAGGGGCTCGCTCTATTGACATCTTTTTAGACATGCCCTCACAGAGTGTTTACGATTGGATGTTGGGAAAACCCTATAGAAGTGGCGCGGCGATTCCCGCGATACTCTTAGTGGGCTTGCATGATTTGAATTAGGGTCTGCTGGAGTTGGAAAGCAATTAGATACTGGTCGGCTGTCTATAACGCCACGCATCTCCTATAGGACGGCTGTACAACATTTTCGCATTGAAAGTTAAGGTTACCTCGCATACAATTTCTGGGCCACGATCGCAAAGTATGACGACGAGTGCTCAGACATGCAGCCAAGCATTGTGTTCATGAGCACGGCTTCTTTCTGACAGTCGAACTGAACACATGCCTGCAGAAATCATGCTAAGCGAGAGCCTACCTGGTCTTTCGGTCTGTCAGAGTAGAAACATTGCTAACGACTCCGCTCGACGCAGGCAGCAGAGCTACACACGTTAATGGCGTATGTAGTTCGTTGCTACTGGCTGCCGAACCAGCAGTAGATGAACATCAGCAGCATCATCAGTCTCTATCCTCGTATACGAGCATATCATCACGACCCAGTGCCCAATAAATGACGTGCGGTTCATACTCCCGCAGCGACGGTTATTTTCGTCCCTAGCTTCATTGAATTTGGCCGCATGCTGTGGCTAGTGACTAACCCCTGCATCTGTTACCCCATCCCATCTCCTCACCTTGTCAACCCACCATCGCGTGCACCCTCGTGTCCGTCTGTTTCACGCACGACTCAACCAAAACGATCAAAGTTTCTAGGATCTGTCATCCTTGGCGATACGCCCAAGCCGAAACTCCCGTCGCGGCGGTTTGTAGTGCACGCTATTCGCCTAAAAACGGACAAGGCCAGGAGAGATCATTCACGCTGGCGCTTCTAGATCCCGCACGGCTGCGCCCCAATGTGTGCATCCGCAGAGATCGAAACACCATGTGGATGACGGACAGTGAGCTAGACAGCTGACGGCAGAAGTATATGAGCTTAGCGATCGCGCAGTCTTTGTTTGGTGTTCTGTCCGCGTTCCTTCGTTTGAAAATTCCTGTTGACGGTTTGTTGATAGGTGACACTCGCTTTTATTTACATTTTACCTGTTGTTGAATGTTTGTAGTCTCGTTAGAACTACATAATTTTTCGTTTGTCAACATTGCATATCTCTCGTGTATCATTTAGTAGTCGTACTTCGCGATGTCGTTGCTTACCCTCATCCTACCCGTTGCAGCACTTCTCCAACCTGCCCTCGCGGCATCCGCCTACACTACTACCAACAACGAAGTCCCGAAAGATAATAATGCCGACTGTAACTGTTACGTCGTCCAGTCGGGCGCCGAATCAACAACGCCCTCGTACTTCCAATACTATCGCTTTTACGACTTCCGGAATCTCGACAGCGCGATGAACGAATCTCCTCCACTTATCAACGACACACAAACAGCAGGCACGTTGGACACATGGCAGCCTGAAATCTTCAACAGCGATGCGTGGAACACAGACTGGAGCATCCAAAACTGGAGCAAGCCCGCGACCGATGACTTCCCGGTAAAAATGGACAATTCTCTCGCCAATGTCTACATCGGACAAGAAGACAATACGTCCTGGCTGGCGCTCCGTACCGCACGCGGAAAAGACCTCCAGACATCGGGCGAGATTGAGAACAACCAGCGTAACCTCATGCACGTCAGCATGCGCATGTACGGACGCGTTGTCGGCGATCCGGGGGCCGTGGCGGGCTTCTTCACGTTCCACGACGATGATAACGAGTCGGATATTGAGGTGTTGACCATGGACCCCAAGGACACAATCCGCTACACAAACCAACCGTCCGTCGACAAAGAAGGCAACGGCATCGAAAAATCGTCACTAGCGCCTGATAACCTCGCGTCTTGGAACGACTGGCAGACACACCGTATTGACTGGCTGCCCAAGAACAGCTACTGGTACCTCAACGATAAGCAGGTCGCTGCCAACACATACTCTGTTCCCCGTAAGCAGAGCAATTTGATCCTGAACATGTGGGGCGATGGCGGAGAGTGGAGTGGAAACATGACTCGGGGTCATTCGGCGGAGTTCCACATCCAGTGGATCGAGATGACATTTAATACGAGTGGATCATATACTGGAGATAAGGTCAGCAAGAGGGCGGACAATGGCTGCAAGACGGTATGCAAGATCGATGGGGTGAAGCAAGTCGGCACTCCGGAGATCCAGAGCGCTGCTCCTGATGTGGGTGTCTCTTGGGGGCTTTTGGTTGTTGTTGGATTGGTCTCTATGTTTGTTGGATTTTGAGAACGTGCTGATTTCTTAATGTATTTGCTGTAATGCGTAAAATGTTTCCTAGCCGCCATGGTATTTATTCTGAATGCTCAGACATTACCTTTTCGGACCGTTCCAAGCTTCTTAACCTGTTCATAGCGAAATCGTTACAAGCTCTTGCCTGCATTGTGGTCTACCATGTCTTGACGCAATTAAAAGAAGCAAACTAAATGTAGTCATGGTCATTTTGGTAGAATTTTTATTTTGTCTTTTAACTCATTGTCCCCCGAATCTCCAGTTTTCAACACAGACGTTGAAGATGACCCAACAGGTTCACTTATAACATAACAGAGCAGAGTATATACCAATTAACGCCAGCGGTGATGCTAGCATGTCGTGAAATCTTTTAGGCGTAATAAGCAGTGGTGGTACAATAGAGGTACATTCGTGTCGAGTATGGCGGATGCGACAATTGTCTACTCGTTAATCTTGGCCAGGAGCCTGCGGAGGTCAGTGGAATGCGCAAAATCTAGGAAACTGCGTGACATACTCGTGATCGCGGAAAAGCGAGTACTCGTCCTCGCCAACCTTGATGGGGCTGCCACCGAACTACTATTTGTTAGCACTATGCGCTTTCCCACTTCCATTCCATCCCAAGTTTCTGCTCTTTCCAAAATCTCCAAGACCCTGCCTCAACGTACCTGAGGAATCAAGACCTTGTCACCGGGCTGTACACTTGGCACAATCCTCTTTCCATCCCGATCGAACGCACCAGGTCCGACAGCCAATACCTTCGCCTCGTTCAGCTCCTTGACGGCCGTCTCCGGCAGGAAGATACCGGTTGCGGTCTTGGCCTCCGGCTTAAGGCGCTGCACGAGGACGCGGTCGAGGAGGGGCGCGAGGGAGCGGATAGACTTGATGGCAGACTGTGCGAGTGTTAGCTTGTAGCTCTAATAGATGCGGAAGGAGCAGGAAGCTGACCATGATTGGTATGTTATGAGGCAATTAAGAGACACAGATGTAAGACGGGGTATCACGAGAATTGAAGACGGGATATGTGCTGGTGACAGAGTCAATCTGAAGTCGGCGTGGGATGTTTTCTCGGAGTTGGGGAAATTTCTAGAAGGTGCGTCCGTGCGCACAGATGATGCAGGACCTCGGAACAACGCGTCGACACAATTCACGATATTCACGACGTCTGGTCTTTCTTTGAGCTTCGTTTGTCAGTCAGGTACCTTGTAGGCGCGTTCGATGCCACGGCCCTGTACATGTGGAGCAGCAATGTCCTTAGGTTGAGGAACTGTGCCTCTGCTACGACGACTCGCCATGGACTGAAAATTAGATGGTATAGCTCCGTGGGGAGCTTGCCAGTTAGCGAGGAAGAGTTTGAGAAGGCCCTGGCAGGGGTTTTGAGGTGGAAATGGGGAACAGAGAGCAAAACTACATTGGGTATGTTTGAATGCATGTATCAAGTGCAACAGCTCATAGATTGATTAGGCTTTGCAATCAGTGGAGGTGTGGACTCCATGGCCCTTGCTGGATTGTATTCGAGGGCTCGGTCTATCAATCGTTTTCTGCCCAAAGCTCATGGTTTCATTGTGGACCACAAAGTACGTCAAGAGAGCACAGACGAAGCGGAATGGGTAGCGCAACAATTGCGCTCCAAGTGTGAGATACCTTGGTCTCAACTTCTCGATATGGGACGCTGATAGTGAGTAGTCGGTATGGAGGCTACAGTAATTCCCCTCTCATGGTCGGAAGGCTATGACATCCACGACGACAAGCGATTCGAGACAGATGCGCGCACTCTACGATATCAGGCATTAGGCAAAGCTTGTAAAGCGAACAAAGTATCATCCCTGTTAGTGGCACATCATGCAGACGATCAGGCCGAGACAGTCATGATGAGAATCATGAACAACCGGCTGCGGTCTGGGCTTCAGGCTATGCAGAGTGTGGAGTGGATCCCCGAGTGCTATGGGATATATGGAGTGCATCACAGCGGACAGAGGCAGGGACCAGATCCCTATCTTGATATTCCATTCCCGATCGAGAGAGGAGGGATTCGAATCTTGCGACCTTTGCTGAGGATCGAGAAATCGCGGCTGATAGCTACATGTGAGGAGCAAGGGGTAGCTTGGGCTGAGGACAAGACCAACTCGATCCAGACCCTCACAGCACGCAACGCTATCCGACATGTGATCAAGAACCACAAGCTACCAGCTGTCTTGAATGTCAAGTCACTTGTCGACATCTCGCTCAATATGCAGAAGCGTGTTGAGTCACACAAGGCACATGCCGAGAAGCTCTTTGATCAATGTCCCATCAAGATGGACATTCAGACTGGTTGTCTTCTTGTTCGCTTTCCACCGTTTGCCTCCTTGCTCAACCGCCTAATCAAGTCTGCCTCAGATATGAATGAAGCGAAAAACAATGCCTACTTTTTGGTGGAGCGAGTTGCCGAGCTTGTTACACCTAAACCCAAGGCTCCGCTCAGTCAACTTGCAGGCACTATCGAAAATATATATCCCGAGTTCCGAGATCCTGAAGATGAACTGGCACACTACAACGAAGCCCGCATGAAGAATTATTCCGTCTACAGCGTCTGGTGGCGTCTCTGGGATAAGGAGTCTCCCTTCGAAGATCAATATCTTGGAGACAATTTAAACGGTTCCTCGTCCAAATCGAGGGAATGGTTACTAACTCGTCAACCACTTGACACGGAGGAGAAGAGAAACCTAGCAAACCAAATCGTTTATCCCCCAGCACAGACCGTCTCCTCAACTTCAGTATCCAAACCTACCTGGCAGTTCTTCGACGGCCGCTATTGGATTCGGCTCCAAAACTACTCACAGGATACGCTCATCATGCGTATCTTCTCGAAGGAAGATCTACGTCATCTACCCTCTCCTCAGAAACCTGATATGACAAAATCTCCACTCAATGGCCTTCTCCCTGAACGCTTTATAACCGCCACTTTCAACCTTCTCAAACCCAGCGACGTGCGCTTCACGCTACCCGCAGTTTTTCGTAAGGATAGCACCACGGGTGAAGAAACACTTGTTGGGTTCCCAACTCTCAATGTTGGTATGGGAAGTCCTGGTGCGCCGCAGAGGGTTTGTGACTGGAATGTGCGTTACAAGAAGATCGACTTTGGACGGCGTTCTGCCGATGACATCATTGTGCCCGGGACGTCGAAGATGAACATCGTCACTGCTGAGAGGAGACAGCGTGGGGGTCACAAAGTTATCAAGCGACACAATGTTGTCATTGACGAGCCCAATGATCCGGTTCCAGGGTACAGGCGGGTCTCTGGTGATAAGGACACAATCGCGGAGAGGGATAAGTGGTGGCACAAGCAGCAGCAGCAGATACGACAAGACATGAAAGATGATGAAGTTGAGGGCTTATAGATCTTGGTGGAAGAGGGCAGGAAGAGAAGGGGTGGCAGACGGGGTCATTAAGGTACCTTTTGCGTTGAATACGAGATAAAGATAATTATATATAACCATGCCTGTATTCGTAGGGTAGCCGCTCCCGTCCCATGTGTACCATTTATCTCTTCACTCACTGTAGAGACCTGTCGATGAGTTGTTTTAGGGCTTGTGGTTCCAGATAAAATGTAAAGGGTAGCAGAACAGTGAAGGGACATTTCGCTGGTGTACTGTTTCAGCCTGGTCAGCAGATTTCTGCACTACGCCTTGCGCTCAGCTCTTCTCTATTCGGGCTTAGCTCGACATACCAGGGAGTCGTAAAAACGCCTTGCAGTCCGTGGAGATTCATCTGGTATGGGAGCGGTGAGGAGGCCAGGAAAAGACCACCCGATCAATAGCACACATCGACACACAGAACGTCATCGAAGCTAACAAGGCTGAGTATTCAATCTGGTTCATCTGTTTACTTAAGATAGATAGCCTGTTCTCGAGTATGTTGATCAAAGGTTGCGTCGAAAATTGTCACTCCACTTGATTGCGGAACATACCATACAACTGCAGGTCAAGAACTTCAACGATAATTTCATATCGCGAAGCTGTCACGCAAGAACTGTTATTCTTTCAACCAGCTCTGTTCAAGAGTGGAGTCATGGACCTTTCCGAGACTCATTCGCTCATCGACCACGCAATGAGTTCTGGCTTGAGTGGATATGTCCCTGAGACCGTTGAGCAAACATCAGGGAGTCAGGTTAAGAGCAATGAGGACTGCACAGACATCGTTGTTTATGTATTCGCCGACAATACCTGTCTCGATGATCAGCTCCATTTGAAGACAGTGGAAGAGCTTCAAGACTTCAGCAACAACTGGACAAGCGAGTCCGGAAACGACTTTCTGTTACTGATGGAAGACGCCTCTATCAAAGCTATCGAAAAATATTTTCTCTTCCTTGCACGACTGGCAAGTCGGCATCTGTCACTCCTCCGTACTCTATGACTGCCAAGCCTCGGAGACACAAGCGTAATTATTGGCCACTGCTCTGGGAGTACGTAAAAATAATTACCAGACCCAAAGCAAACCCCGAAGATCGCGACTTCGAACGTGCTAGCTCCCCTGGCTCCACTGCCTGGGATTATACTGTACTTCGAAGAGGATGTAGCTCGGCTTACCAAGCAGGTAGCTAAGCTGAGCTGTATCCTCCCTCTCGGTTAGTCGGGAAAGCCGGAATTAGGCCTTGCAACATGATGCAAAATCCAGCACGTATGCGCAGGGTTGGAGATACTTGTTAAGGTCAGAATTGACAGTACTGATAATTTCATATCACTTGAGTATTTTAGAAATGTAAATATCTCTGTTTAGGTTGGTAGCTGGGTGGTATTTTGTATGATGTTGGTTCGAGGTACAGTAGGCTTAATTCCGGCTTTCCCGACTAACCGAGAGCCTCCCTCTCATGATGCAGAATAACCCGGATGTAAGCATGTAAGCCCAAAGGCCCAAGCGCGCCCGCCGCAGATGAACACCAATTGAATCTTGATTGAATAGCTAAAACTACATCTTGTTTCGCAGTTTTGTAACCTATATTTTTGTGCAACAATTAGAAGTTTCTAATGTATTGGAAACACCAAATATATAGTGGTTTGTGTAGAGTCGAACAATTTGGCTGGGTAGTGCTAAGCTCAAGCTTACATCCGGGTTATTCTGCATCATGAGAGCCTCCTCGGCTGGGCGACGCTCGGACCATGGACGCCTTGCGGCTCGGGCCGAAGTTTAGCCACCTCGGCGATGTAGCTCTCGAGATAATCAGGCATCCAAAGGCATCCAAAGGCAACCTCAAAACCCACTGCGAATCCACAACAAGAGGAATAATGTCGTCTTTAGGTCTTACCGCCGCACTGCACATCCACAATGTATTGCTTCTCATGCAAGTCATCAATCATACGGCGTAGAACCCGGACTAAGTAAAGGCTAATTGATCTGTTCGTGCGACCCTTTGATCAGGTCCAGCAGTATAAGTAGGTAGTTATGGTTGTTCGCCGTCTTTATCTCTCTACCCAGATATCCACATATCTACACCTTCTCCATTGTTAGCATCTAATCAGCACAATGGTTCAACTCCTCCCTTACGTCGCCTCTCTCCTAGCCCTCGGTCAGGCTGTAGCTGCTGCCAAGGCAGTTACATCCTTTTCAGAATGGGTTGATGGCATCATTGAGAATCCCGATGGTGATAACATGACACCCGAGGAGGTCGTCGCTGCCTTTCAGAGTGGGCAATTCAGCACTCCACCATCAGGTATTTTCATTGTCTGATCCGTATTGTGCCTATATGAAGACTAATATTGACGTACATGTAGCGAAGCTCAGTCGTAGCTTGTACCAAAAGCGCGCGACTTGCTATGAGCAACCGAACACTGATTGTCTTGTATGTAAAACGAACCAATTACCCAGGAAAACAGTCGAGTAGTTTCATTAACATCGGTCCGTTCAACAGATTACAGATGCTGTTGCATGCATCAACACCGTCGCCCGCAAAACCAACTGCCTCAACGATTATCTGCAGTGCCAGATCAATACTGCCGCATTGACGACTGACGGTACACCAAACTCTTCATGGTAAGCATCCCTATTAAAGAACTAGAGACTCCCGAAAACTAAGACGGATGATGTGAAACTAACGTTCAATCTTGTTGCAGTAACGACGTCGCCCGTGGCGCAGGGTTTATTCTGGATGCTTGCGTTGTTTCAGGTAGTGATAGGGTGCAAGGGTCGGAATTCGCATATGGAAATGGAGCAGAGCTGGTGCGACTTCGACGACCTTAGTTATGGGTAGAGAGCATATTAAGATTGTACTTCGCTATTCTGTTATCAAGAGAGTATACAACGTTGCTCCTAGAAAGACACTTACCTTGTTACGAATGTGAAACGAAGAGAGACAGCGTTCTTCAATGGCGCCATCTGACCTTCTAGGCGACAAGCCTGCGGCATGCGCGTTGCTTGGAATATCGACGCAACTTTGCTTCCAATCCGCAAATATGCTGCACCAATGAATGTATCGCGCAAAGTCCCAAGTTCTTTGCTCCTGTCTTCCACAGCAATCACAAACAAGCAGCTCACTAATAAACTCATGACGTGTCATTATTTCCAATTGAATGTAGTGTTTGGAAAATGACAACATCTATAGCCCTCCACCATGCCGGTCCCCAGATGTAGCCACGCTCATATCCTCTACCACTGAACTTTTCCGCTTATCATGCAGAGTCTCCAGTGCCTCCACATGCACAACCGCACATTCCCGGGGCGCACAGTCCCCCGTAATAAATTGTACGCTATCTATAGAGCGCAAGCTGCGCACACGAGTAAGCGAGGCGTTACTTGATCCCTCGACCTGACGGGATGGGTCAACATCAGGATCCGCCGACGAGAATGTCAGCCAGTGGATGACCAGCACATCCCAGAAGACTGTCTCATATTAGCTTCGTGTTTTTGACTAGTGGAACGAATTGCCTGAACGGTTGAGAGTATCGGGTGAAAGAAAGAAAAGAACTTACCATCGACCAAGCAAATCGTCAAACAAACCATACCTAGCTCCTGACCTTTGGTAACCATGAATTGTATCATATTCGCCGCCATGGGAATCTCAATGAGCAAGCTCCCAATGAGACTCTTCCACAACAATGCTTTGAGGCTCTTCTGCACGGCCGTCTTGTTCTGTGGTAGATGCGCAATCCCCTGCGCGGGCACGTCGTGGTCCGCTAGGACGGGTCGTAATAGGTAGATGAACACGCTCGTCAGTACAAAGTCGGTGAATATGTTGACAGCAACAGTGGGGATTGACGCGGCGCCGTTGATGCCAAAGTGGCATCGCTCTCCCAACATCTGCGTGATGGGATGGACAAACACATTTATGCTAACGGCCGAGTACATGACGACGACCATGACCATGCACGAGAGGTAGATGGGGTCTTCCCTGCGCCGATAGAAGGGCTTTCGCACCACATGAATGCGTTCGACGAGGAACGTGTAGCTATTTTAAACGCGTTAGTTTATCGTCGAAGTGAAAACAAACTTGAACCATAACTTTAGGAAGGCATCTTACATGAGGGCTTTAATACTGATATAGTATATTAGGCATACCCAAGTCCCCACCATGCAGAGCTGGTGGCTGTACAGCCCCTGGCCAGCGACCAAACTCGCAGCGCAGATTGTGTATAGCAGGACGAGTATGTAGAGTGCGATGACAAGCACAGTCATAATATTCCGTCGTCGCATGCATTCTCTTAGCTTGCTGAATCTGGAGCCTGTGTGGCGTATGTCAGTTTGGATTTGGAAAAACACAAGCAGAATAGGATAGAATGAAATTTGAAGAGAAGGAAAATTCAACACGCACCTATCAACCCCGACAAAATCATCATGCACACCAACGACAGCACAGTGAAGAGCGTTCGATCAGATGCAGGCTCCCCCGCCGTGATTTGAATTTTCTCATCGTCTCGAGCACCAAGGTACCGCGACTTGTCTAAAGGCGAAGCCTGAGCCGCGCGAGCAATCCCGCTCACCAGCAAAACCCGCGACCAACTCTGCATGCTCGTCGTCATCGTCATCATCATCGTCATCTTTATCTTGCTCTTAAAAAACGCAAATGCAGAACAATGAACGCTTTATGTAAAATACGAGTTTGAGAAACGAAACGTGAAAGATGAGGCGGTGCAAAAGACGAGGCGGTGGGAACGAGGCGGTGGGTCCGGAAAGAAAACCAGCTTACCGCACCTCACTCTTTAACAACTACACTGATGCAGCCGTCCGTAAAAATGATGTATAGTAATACCTCACTCGCATGCCCGCTCTGCGAGAGTCCCAGCGTCGGGCGAGTTGCTTTTGCGTACAAAGTTTCAGGGCGTATGCAAAAGTGATACTGTTGCTCATGCGTTAGGTGAAGCAACGGGGTGGCACTATCAACCGCTGGGGTGCAGATCAGCCGCGTTGCATTGCGGAGTAATTTCCGACTGGCGTTTCGACATGACTGATCGACAGACCTGGCAGATCAGGGTTTTGACCGCTGGGAGAATGGAGGTTCTATTGGAGGTAGCCCTGGCACGCTCCTGTGGTGACAGGGTTACACTGTATTTACGTTTCTACGGGTGAGCGGAAGTGTTGGGATTGTTTGGATGGATATATGGATCGACGCGTGTATTAGGACTTGGACCAGTATCCCCATCATGAGCTAGGATGGAATTGACTCAAGATTTATCGGGGAACTTCGAACCGTGCCACGGTTCGATCGTCAATCGTCAGTCCCGCGGGAGTCGGCATTGTTTCCTTGCTGATAAGAATAGATATCCAGGGTTGAACATCCCTGGGTGATAACATGTAGAGAATAGGTGATTGCTGCAGGAGGCATTTCGCCATCAATCGCATCATTATTGAAACGATGTAGTTGTACTTTGAACTTACGCCTGATACCCATTTTGACTTGGAATAACACCAAAACACGGCCCCCCTTTCTTGAACATCTTCTGCAGATCCTCTGCGATAACATCTGGTCTCTCCCACGCTGCAAAGTGTCCTCCCTTATCGTTGTCACTCTCATAAACGACTGGACCTAAACATGGTCAATAAACGCCAACGGTTCACGCTGTGTCAAACACTCACCCATCGTTTTCCCCCAGATCTTTGGAACACAACTCAATTCTCTGGGGAAATGCGCTAGTCCTAGTTTCACCGTATCAACCCATTGGCTCGCGCGGTCCCTGTTTGGTACCTGTTCTGTCGGATTGTGCTGCGCTTCGTAGTAGATGCGCACGTGTGCATTTGGCCCCGCAGTACTGAACCAATATATGCTCACCCACGTCAGAATCTCCTCATCCGACCAGGGATACGCGTCAGTCCAGTCGACCAGCTTCTCGTAGATCCATGCGAGCAGGGCCACGGGGCTGTCAGCGAAGGCGTATGAGATGGTCTGAGGTTTCGTCGACTGCAAGATGCGGTATGCCTGGCCTTGGTCGATGAACCAGTTTGAGCGATCGATACCGCGCTGTTCAGCATCCGTGTACGGTGTGATTGCGTGTTGTAGGGCAAGTGCTGGCTGAGAAGAGAACGTGGGAGGTTGTGCGCGAACCATGTTTATATGATTTGCCAGAACGTGATCCGGGTACAGAATACTCATTATGCGCGTGATGTAGAATCCCCAGTCGCCACCTTGAGTAACATATTTCGCATAGCCCAGGTCTTGCATCAAACGGTGACATGTCTCCGCATACTGTGATAGAGCAAAACCGGGTTTCGTAATCTTTTGGCTGAAGCCAAAGTTTGGGAGGGAAGGCGCTATGATGTGGAATGCAGGACTTCCTTCACTCTCGCCAGCTTCCAGCAACGGGAGTAACTTGGAGACTTCGATGAAGGAACCAGGCCATCCATGGCAGAAAAGCAAAGGTATGGCGTTGGGATTTGAGCTCTTTTTCCACACAAAATGCACGTCGATGGCACCGAAGCCCTCAACCTCTACTTTCTTTCGAAAGTTGGGGAGTTGGTTGAGACTTGCTTCTACTTTGCGCCAGGAGAAGGCTGTCTCCCAGTATTTCGCTAACCGTTTTACATCCGCTAGAGGCGAGCCGTAAGGCCATTGTGAGGGGGTGTCCAACTCATCAGGATAGTCTGCATCAGACAATTTTCTCTTCAGTTTCTCAATAGCAGAATCCTGAACTGATATCGTGTATGGTTCTGGCGGGGTCGCCATTGTACTGTAAATGCGAGTAAACGGTTGAGCGACTCTGAGGTTGGGGATAGTAAGATTGAAAAAAGGTAACAAGACAGCCCTCGGAAAGCCGTCCGCCTTTATATCTAAGGCATACTAATGGTGCAGAGGCTTTACCCCTCATTCGTATTTCAAATCGGCTATTAGGTATTTCGGACGACATCATCAACTACAACTCACTCATCGTGAATAAGCAGGCTACCAAAAATAACTACTTACGTCATACCTCCTGTATTATGGCTGCTTCCAAAGATTTCATATTCCAAGACCAGCTGGGGCAGCAGCGCGATCAAGATAGCAACTGGTCCTAAGAAAAGTCGGCGGATTCCTCACTACTGTCAAGTATGTGACATTGGGCCTCAAGATCAATGAAGGTGTGATTTAGGGACCGGCAATGAAGCTCAGGGCTGAAGAAGCGAGTCGATAGAACAGAACGCGTAGGAATCGCGTAAAAGATCGCGGAGATCGCACTAGCCCCACCAACCAATCACACTCCCCTCCAGCAACCTTACTTACCCTCACTCATCATCAGTCAACTCTCAGCTTCACCAGTCATCAGCCACCAAACATGACAAACCTCACCACCTTACCACCCGAGATTCTCTTCACCATCCTCTCCTTTGCCTCCCCCTCGGGAGTAACAACAGCCAAGGCACCCGTCCACCCTTTCAACACTATCGCAGCGACCAACAAATACCTCTACACCATTGTAGAAGAATACACCCGTGGCCTCCTCAAACAACACACCGGATTTACGCCCCCCAAGTCGTCCAAAACTTTCACCTGCCGCAAGAAATGGGTCGAAGGCACGTGCCAGGTGTGCAAGAAAAGCAGCAAGAGACGGGCGACATTGAATCGTGTTTTCACGTGTTGTCGGACGTGTGACAGGAAGTGTTTTCCGAAATTGGTGAGTTTGAAATCGGTTGTGTATTGAACTGTGTGGATTGATTCAGAGGGATGAGAAGCCGTCTGATCCTTTCAATTGACATACAATATCGAACCCATCCACAAAACCTAACGTGCATACAGACAATGACCCAAGCCCGAGAAATCCACAACCTCTCAAAACTAGACCTCTTCACGCCAAACCGCCTGCACCCGTCTCTCCCGCCCCTAGCAGTAGGTGAAGTCGCTTCCATGGGCGGAACCGCCACCATGATCAGCGAGGCCGACATCATTACGCGACGCGAATTGATCCACAGTCGCCTAGGCGAGGTAAACAGCACGGATGCCGTGTATTTGCGGCGGCGGTGTGCGGCACATGAACGGCTCATTGCACATATGGATATTCTCTATAACTGTCGGTATAGGACGTGGGCGGCTGCGCGCAGGTTTGTAAAGAAGGATTCTGGAGAGGAGTCTACGCGGTGCAAGAGTATGTTGACGAAGGAGAGTAGGGAGGAGTATGTGGAGAAGGGGCTGTGGAAGGAGTGGGCGGCTATGAGAATGGGTGGTTCGTCTGAGGAGGATGCGGTTGACATTGGTTGAGATTGCTTGCTTGTAGTTGTGTGGATATCACATAGGTGTGAAAAGTCTTGCCCCACGCCCATTCAATACTCGCGTTGCTCGTTGATTGTTACTTATCTGATGGTTATCGTCCAGTTCGCACTCAACGAGAACCCCGCCACGCAACACTACCCTCTTCAAGATGAGAGTAAAGCGTGCCTTCGACAGCTCAGCGTCCCAACGGCCCTGCGTTAGCCATGCCTCCACTCCGTCTCGACGTCTTGCCCCCGAGCGCAAAGGCGCCCATGTTCCTTGAAGCATTGCCGCCAAGGGGCTGTCTTGTGATCGGCGAAGCTTGGTATGGGGGACCGATGTCCGGGTTTCGGAAAGCGTTCTGACGTGTTCCGCCGAGAGTTGGTAGCCGGCTTGAACGAGATTGACCTTGCGACGGTGTGCCAAGTGGGGCGGATTCTGCGAGAAGTCAGCAATGCTTTACTTGAAGATGCTACCCGCTTGACAAAATGTGAGAGCCAGCTCGGGATAGACTTACGGCCGGTATGGGCTCTGCTACCCAACCCACGCCCTTGCAATTGAGACGCGTACATAGGACCGAGTCCGACGCCACCACGCTGCTGGCCACTGCTACCAGAGCTTCCGCTTCCTGCTCGGTTGTGCTGTCGTCTGCTTTGCTGATTGCCTACACCCATCAGGTTGAAGTTCGCGGAACCGGTTCGTGCGCCTGGTACCCGATCGATGAAGCGGTCACCACGAGCAGTTTGGATGGTCATCTCGGCCTCGTCGCCTGCGGCGTTGGCAACGTGCGATGCCATGACTTGCGCTTTCAACGTTTGGTAGAGATTCTGGGCTTGTTGATGTGCTCTAGCCTTCTTTTGAAAGGCGTCGCTGAGCTCGTGATTGTTCGCCTCGAGGGTTGTTTGCTCAGCCTGCATAGCTGTGCACCATGTTAGGTTCAACATCTATAATTCGAGGTGTTGTTAGAACACACCCTGCATTCTGTCTTGTAACAACTTAATCTGTGAGTTCGCATCGTGTATGAGATGGTCCATTTGCTGGCTGAGTGTGGTGTACTTTTCGGACAATCCTTTCGCGAGATGTTCCTGATAGATGATTTCCTGCGATGTTTGGTAGCTGTGAAATGCTAGACCTCTGCTTGCACACTCCATGATGATTGTAGGGCTGAGACCGCTCAATACACTCGTCTTGTAGTCCTCAGACGGCATAAGATCGGCGACAACTACGTCGTCGTTGTTCTGGAGCGAAGCATTGCATGCTGGACACGTTCTGTGTGCATTTGACGATCTCGAAAGGCCAGTAACGTCGGCGCAGTTTGTGCAGAAGACATGGCTCGGTGAGGTCAGCAACCGCAGTTTGGAATTCAGGCTTGCCGTGACAAACCAACCTGCAAGTGGTGACGACGGCACGTTCGTGGAGCTGCGCCCGACACTTGAGGTCGTTACACCGGAGTACAAATTCCATTCTTTGGAGGTTGAAGTGAGAGGGGAGTGGTGACAGGAGTTCATGGATGGAGAAGGCACGATGCAGCCCTGCGCTAAACACGTGAACACGCGAGTCGCTCAGTGGGGTAGGAGCGCATACGAAGTACGCGTTACTGTCAATACAACCTAGAATGTATTGGAGCGCTGGTATCATATCTCGTCGCATCGATCCTATTTGGCACGAAATCTTCAAGAAGCGACTGGGGTTCTCCGCTTCCATTTCCGATGCGGCCGGTACTATCGGTCATCCTTATCAGGCTTTCGTCTCTGTCTTGTACTCTTTTTCCCTGGCAGAGCCGTCTCATCTTCCTCTTCGTCGCGCCCCTTCACGAGGCTCTGGTCAAGACTCCATTCCTCGGCGTCGTACCAGTCTTCTCCATCGCTCATCTCACCCACATGTGCTTCAGCTTTGGCCCACTTGAAAACGTCCTGCCTCATACGGTCGGCTTGTAGCATTCCTTGATAGAGGTCAGATGTTATTCTCGCAACCTCCTCCTGCTTCTGTACATAGGCCATGAGCGCGATGCGCGCGTCCTCGGCCTCATTAGCTGGTAGGCCAAAATCGCAGTCGGGTAGTGAATCGATTGAGAACGTAAAAAGCGGATGTACTAGATTCACATCGCTCGAGGGTGAGAGGGGAGGTGATGGTGTCGAGGTTGCGTGTGCGCGAGCGCGTGTCGTCATGCGGTGCGCGGTTCGCGATGTGGCATCAGAAGCATCGTCGCCAGCAGGGGAGTCGCCGTTCTCGTGCGCTTGCTCTGTGTCTACGTTGTGAGATGTACCGTTCGTTACAGGTCCTCTACCGTTTGTGCCGTTGTCCTGAGGAGCCCCATTGGACTGCCCTGCATCTTCCATATTCACGTCTGTGTCGCTGCCAGTCGTGTTCTGGATCCCGTTGTACGAAGCCTGTTGGGATTCCGAGTTTGTGCCGTTGGCCCAGGGTTCCTGAAACGGCGCATTGTTCATAGCTGCCAAAGCAGCAGGCGCAAATGTAGAGTCGCCTTGTAGCTTGGTGAGCAGGCCTTTTGCGCGCGATATCGTGACCTGTTCCTTCCTCGAGAGTGTGCCCGCTTCGTTTGCCAGGTTGGTGAGGTGTTTGGATGTGTAAACGACGCTCATAGACGGGTGAGTCGCCAAATCAGCGGCGGAAGTTAGCGGCGCAAGGAGATCTGCAGGCTCGTATCAGTCTATCGCTCCTTACACCCGCGCGTGTTGGTCCACATACTCTCTAAGTGTATGTCCCCGTATGGATTCTCTTCGACCGCTTCCAGATCATCCTCGTCCTCGTATTCGTCTTCGTGTTCGACAATGTCGCCGTCGGGATCGAATCGCGTGGGGTTGCGCTGCAGGATGGATCTGTGGTAGCCGGCGTGCTCGACGCGCTGTAGGCGGTCAGTCTTTGGGCGAAGCGTACTGTGAGCGGCGCAAAAGTCGGGGACGCACCTTCTTGTACGGACGAGGGTCAGACAGAAAGTCTGGGTCGCTGGCGCGCGCGTACCGTGTCTTGCGCTTCAAATCTTGTCTAAATGGCGAGTCTGCTGCGTCTTCTGTGTCCGCTACGGGGGTCAGCCCATCTCAATGCTGGGGAGCGCGGGCTGGCTCTCACAGTCGTCTCTGCGCAACAGCTTCCTCTTCATGCCAAAGATGGTGTCGATGATCTGCTGCTGCTGGCCTGCCATGGCGACGACGAGGTGCTGGACAGCTCCAGTACAAAGTTGGCCGAGTCGTCGAGGAGCGTATGGGAGTGCCAAGTCTCCCAGGGAGGATGCGAGTTCGAAGCGGGCTGAGAGCAGCTGGGATTATGCGGGTGTTGCGGTGGGGAAGAATGGAGGGACGTGAGCGAGGTGTTCGCGCAAGTGTGTGGGAGCTGGAGCTGGAGAGGAGCGGCGAGGCTGCTTAGCGTGCGTCGGCATAGTGAATGGCGGGACCCCGATGACATCTTCGCGAACACAAGATATCGACAAATCGACCCTCGATGCGTGTGCACGAGACACGTTGCAGCAAACATTAGACGTAACTCGACAAGCACACCGTCGCACGCCAGACTTGCTACCCCAAAGACACCGACATAGAAGGCCCTCAACTTGGCAGCATCTCCGGCCTCAGCTCCGCATCTGTCTCCTTCATGGACAGGTAGCGGCCGCGGTACAGCAATGGAGGCGTACCCCGTCGACTATGTCCAGCACAACCTGCCGTTCATAGTGCTCTCGGGTCTGGGAGGCAAAGAGCTTGCCCCGCCCCCTCCAGTCCAAAATGTGATACCTGGCCAGGCGGCCACCATCCTCAGCTGCGAGATACCGCCGGCGACGGGCGAGCGCGCAAACCAGCTGCTGCACGAGTTCCAGAGCGCCGATAGCACCAGCGCGCCCTGGAATGGGCGGGCATCCAGTCGCCGGGACATCGCACATGGCTTCCGGATACGTGCCGTAGGGAGGGTAGGTCTGGCGCCTGCGACGTGCACATGTGGGAGCTCCGTGGCTGATGTCTGCTAGGACTTCCAACTGCCTCCAAAGAAGGCTGATGTTCCCACCGCGTCTGCAACGACTCCCCCAGGCAGCCCTGCCATTGCACCGCCAACATCATGGGTCCTGCATTCTCCCATATCCCCCTTGTCTCCAGGGTCGTCCGTTTTCCCAGACGGCATCATTGCATCTTCGTGGGTCGCCAAACATCAGCACTACGTGCCTGCCGTGTATCTGTCCTTCTTCGACTTCACCACGGATCCCATCACAAATAGCCTGCATGACAACCAGCTAAAGACCGAGATCAACAAGATCAAAGGCCAGCTACAAAAGTCAGGCTACCACACACGCTATGCAGTCGTTTTGCTCAGCAACAAGACTATACTCGAAGCACCCGACATCGAAGAGCGTCTGACGACGATCCGGCGCGCGACCGGTCTCGACCCCAAGAACTCCCTGTTCTTCCTTCCACCAAACACATCTCAAGTCGAATTACGAGCGTTCGTCGCGGCTGTGCTCTCCATCTTACAACCTGTATGCGTCGAGTATTATCGCGACCTTACCAAGCATGCCAGACGAAAGAAAGGAAGGGGTACTGTTCCGCCGCCGACAGCTCCGCCAACCTGGGGAACATCTCAAACACTGTCTTATCCGGGTTGGGGAGTACGTTACGATTTCAAGCTTGGTGTGTTTGCCGAATTCCGGCAAGAAATGGACGCGGCTCAGCGACATTACGACATTGCCCTCAGCGCTCTGTTCGGCCCTGAGGGCCTCTTTGAGACGACAGCAAGCTGGTCTCCCAGATGGGACGACACACGTATGCTAGCTGACATCATTGCTATGCGTCATATCAGATGTCAATTGTGGAATAACACCCCGACGTCTGCAGTTCAGACATGGCTGAGATACAGGTCCAAACTGAGAGATGTCTTGGACCGTCGAGGCAAAGGCAGCTCCAACTACGGCTGGCAAGCATGGGAGTCTCGGTGGGCACAACTCATGGGCCAGCTCATTCAGCGAGCCGAACTGCCAGGCTTCAAAATACCACCTTCATTGAAAGAGGCGGATGCTGCCATTGGCGGGGTGAACCCGTTCTATTGCTTGCCTGAAAAACAGTTCCCGGTCGGCGAAAGGCTACCACCATGGGAGCATCTTCACCATGCTGGCTACTGGCACAAGCTCGCAGCTGACCACGCTAAAAGGCGGTACATCCTAGCACGAGAGATGCCCGAGGAGGACAGAACACCTCCGGGCATGTCACCAGCTGCAAAAGTGTCCAACCGAAACCAAATTTACGACCAGTACCTCGTCTTCCAGCCCCACGAGGAGCTTCCACTTCCAGGAGCGAGCGGAGGCTTCGAGCATTGGAGTGACATCTCGGCAAAGCTAGATGCAGCAACATCCCAGTTCAAGGCAAGAGGACAGAACCGCAAGGTGGAGCAACTGCAGTTGGAGGTAGCTCGCACGTTGCTACATGTAAAGAGATTTGACGACGCCTTCAAAGTACTGCGACCACTCTGGGAGACAATGTCCTGGAGGAAAGAAGGCTGGTGGAACCTCGCCTCGGAAGTGCTCTGGGCTTTACACGAGTGCGCATTGCGGATTCAAGATCGGGAAACTTACGTCGCTACTGAATGGGAGTTGTATTGTCAAGGTCAGTCAATATGTTTAGCTAACACTTGAAATTATACTAACGACAATCAGTTGTGCATGGCAAGACGAGATATAAGCATGACCTGATGGCATGCTTAGATACCTTCCCCGAAGACGCTTCGATTGACAAAGCCAGCGTTAGTCTAGACACCAACGATTTCATCTCTTGTTGTGAGTGCACTCCAGTCTGGAACAAGATGCAAGACTAATAATGCAGTGTCTGCAACCTTTGCGTTCTCAGCAGCCGAGGGCAACGTTGGCGAACCAATGCCTTCGCAAATTGTGATCAGTTCCAATGCTCGACAAGGCTCCACTCCCATCACTATGTCTTCTCTGCTCTTTCGGTTTAAAGGGTGTTTGAGCGAAGTACAGCTAAGTCATAAGAAGGATGAAACTGCGTCTGGAAGCGAGTCAACCATTTTCGGGTACGCTCTGGATGAAAACACCTCTGCTCTTGAAAAGCCGCGGTGGGCTGGTTCGTCCGACTTGATGATACATCCTGGGCAGACTAAGGTTTATGGTTTTCCAATCATCTTCCGTGAAGCTGGAGATGTAGACGTGACTGCTTGCACTTTCGAAATCAACACAGACCGCTTCAGTCTAACCTGTTCGAATACAGACATCCCGGAAGGAAGCAACCCGTCATGGTGGATTAATTCTGCTGCTGGGGGCAAACCACGAAAGTCGAAGCACAACACCGTGACCTCAACCCATGTTTTGCCAAAGCCACCAAAGATGGAGATTCGATTACCAAATGTACGAAATCAATACTTTACAGATGAGTCTGTCACTCTGGCCATCGAGATCCAGAACGAGGAAGACGAGGACACGGAAGCCGTAATCGAAGTACGGCTTCTCGGTCGGTCAAAAGATATGCTCGCATATTCGTGGGTAGACCGTCCCGCCTCTTCGCCGATGAAAGAAGTTCCACCACCGCTCGATGGCTCTTCAGAATTCGACCTCCCAGGTCACGTAATAGGGCAACTCGCTCAAGGTGCTCGGACGACAGAAAGGATACGTTTCATAGCGCCACCTGATCCTGCAGACTATGCTCTGGAAGTGAAGGTCTTGTATCATCTCCTAAGCGATCGCGAGATACCAATCTCCAAAATTATGATTGCTGATTTGGTCTTCAATGCACCTTTTGAGGCCAGCTATGACCTCAATGTTCGCGTCCATCCGGATGCATGGCCAAGCTACTTCGAGCTGCAAGAAGCTGAGAGCAACAACAACTCTGAATCGCCCGACGCCTTTGGAATTGCACAAAAATGGGGCTTGCGGGCCAAAGTCGCATCCTTTGCCGACGAGCAGGTGATAGTCAAGGATCTCATCATCCAAGTCCACGGCATTCACGGAGGCGCAACATGCGAAGTGTCGAAAGAATTTGACGTTTTGGATGTGGCCATGGATCCAGAGAACATGACGGATTGGGCATTCAGCCTCGATGTTCGCAAGAACAATCTTGAAGAACGCCGACCTACGGCTCTCGATACCACACTCGATATCACCTGGCAGCGTGCCTCTGCCCTCGACGCTCCAAGCGTAACTTCTTCCCTACCAATCCCGCGCATACAGATCCCGTCCAGCGAGCCACGCGTACTGGCTTCTGTGATGCAATCCAATACCGTCGATACGCTCCTGCATCTCGACTACACGCTCGAGAACCCAACAATGCATTTCCTCACTTTCGAGTTGAACATGGAAGCCAGCGAAGAGTTCGGTTTCAGTGGACCGAAGTTACGGACGCTAAATCTGCTGCCTATGAGCAGGCAGAGCGCACGATACAATCTGCTGCCGCTAGTTAGGGGCGTCTGGATCTCACCGAATTTGAAGGTCCTGGACAGGTACTTCAACAAGACGCTCAAGGTGCAGGCTACAGAAGGACTCAGGATGGACAAGAAGGGGGTGAGTGTGTGGGTGCCTGGAGAGAATGGTGAGGGTCCGCCGTCTTAGGTTGGCTGTTTGGTGGGCTGCGCGAGTACGTTTCTCATGAATATCACATGACATGACATGATTCAACCTGTCTCTTTTGGAGTGATGACAAACGGTGGACTATTTGTAGGCACGGCGGATTGAACCGACCTCGGTATGCCGACGCGCCGTGTCGTGTCGTAACGTCATCCTAAATTCGCCGACAAGATGTTGGGGCATTTCAAAACTCCGCCCCATCTTGCAATTGTAACACGCCAGACGAATATTAATCCAACACCAAACATGCAGAGTGCCACCCCGCTCTGCAAAACACAGTATCTGAACGTTTGACGGCGTGGCAATGTCAGATGGCGGGAAGTCGCGCTCGTCGTCTTCTTGTAAGCTCCCCACTCCCCTCACCTCCGAGACTGAGACCGAAAACCCGCCCCTCATAGCTCACAACACCCGTCTAAGCAGCAGTCACTAACGCCAACATGAAACAGTCCACTTCTTCGCAGGCCTTAGCTCGGGCGTCCTCTCTGCTGTCCTCCTCCAGCCCGCCGACCTGCTCAAAACCCGCGTCCAGCAGTCCCGCCAAAGCACTCTCCTCTCAACCATCCGCTCCATAGCCAGCGGGCCAAACCCCGTACGCCAATTCTGGCGCGGCACACTCCCGAGCACGCTGCGCACCGGCTGCGGCAGCGCAATCTACTTCTCAGGGCTGAATGCGCTACGACGCCGCGCCGCGCGCAATGAAGTGCTGGCATTGGCGGGCGGCGACCACTCGAGCTCGCTGCCCAAACTCGGTACCATGGGCAATCTGACCACGGGCGCCGTGGCGCGCACCTGGGCGGGCTTCCTCATGATGCCCATCACCGTGCTGAAGGTGCGCTACGAGAGCAGCTTGTACAACTACTCGTCGCTGTTCAGCGCGTCGCGCGATATCCTCCACACAGAGGGGTTCAAGGGTTTCTTCGCCGGCTTCGGCGCAACGGCCGTGCGTGATGCGCCGTACGCAGGCCTCTACGTCGCCTTCTACGAGTTCTCCAAGCGCAGACTGTCCGCCCTGGCGACTCGCATAGAAGACCCCGCGGCGCCTGTGTACGCTTCTTCGTCGAGGCTGTCGTCGTCGACGTCGGCGGGCATCAATTTCGTGTCTGGAGTCGCGGCTGCGGGGCTCGGCACGACGTTCACGAACCCCTTCGATGCGATTAAAACGCGGATTCAACTCATGCCGCACCGCTATGGGAATATGGTGCAGGCAGCCAAGATGATGGTTGCTGAAGAGGGTGTGCAGAGCTTGTTTAATGGACTGGGGATACGGATTGCGCGCAAGGCGATCAGTAGTGCGTTGGCGTGGACGGTGTATGAGGAGTTGATTCGCAGGGCGGAGAGGGAGTGGAAGGAGGTTGTTGTTGAGGACAAGGTGTAGGTGGAGGTGTTGGTCTGTATAGTATGGTTGCATGGATGGCGTTCGCGGGCCTACTCTGCTCAGGGCATGTTTGTGGAGTGTGAGAACTCCTTGTATATGTAGGGGATGTGAGATAAGCAAGCGGAAAGAAGGGGAAGTTTACTGTCTTGTCAAACACTGTCCAAATCAATCTAAACTACGATTCAATCCAATTCGCTTCAATTCAAACGCAAAACGCCTCCTACTCCCTGCTAAGAACGAACATATAACCCCAAACCTGGTATCCTAATCATCGCTATCGAAATAAATATCCCTGGCATCTATCCCCACCATCCACACCCCGGCATTATAACTATAACCCTCCTCGGTCCACGCCCTAGTGGTAAGTCCTCGTCTCGGTCGCCGCGTCCGCTTCCCGCGCTAGTCGGTTCTCACTCGCAGCTTGTTGCAGCGTCTGGTTGTTCGTCTGGCGTTTCTGCGCATCAAGTTTCCTCTGCAGATCGCCGGGCGAGGATTTGTTTGCGCGGGCCTGCGTAAATTACATGTCAGCCAGCCATCCAACCAGTAAATCCACCCTCAGCTCAACTCAGAAGCAAACGCTCGTCCACGCGCCCCCGAAGTCCTCCTCTGTTCGCTAGGAAATACATATGCGCAACGTACCTCCGCAGCAGCAGCAGCCGCCGCCTTGGGATCGCTCCCCGCATTCCCCTCGCCCAGCGTGCGTGGCGGCCCGCCGACTTTCCTCGCGGGCGTGCTGCTGAGCGTCGCGGGTATCGAGGCTTTTGTGGCTGGGGCGGGGGTGGAGGCTAGGGTGCGACCGGGGCCATCGAAGGCGTCTTTTGACTGTTTGCCGCAGAGGTTGCCCATTGTGCGCGGGGCGTGTCGTTGAGTGAGGTGGATTGAAGTGTGGGAGGTAAGGTGAGGTTTGTTGGGTCAAGGGAGGATAGCTAGATAGCTAGCTATGTTGGGGGTGGTGACGAATTGCGCGAGGGCGGAGGAGATGCGGAGGAATTGTGGCGGAGTTCAGGGTTCAAATGAGAGCTTCGTAGCCGTTTTGCCGGGGGTGCCAAGGTCCTGGTTCTTGGTTGCGCGTGTGGGACGGGGCGGACCATCGGATGGTGCAAACGGTATCGTGAATTGTTTTCTCCTGTATAAGTCTGACCTGGTGTGAGCTTTGCATGGCTGCAAACGTTGGGATGTGCATGGTCGCATTCCTGTAAGGCCAATGAATCAGTCGTCCTCCGCTGTCCTACCTGGCCAGGAAGATTTCAACTCTTCATATTCCATAGAAAAGAATATTGACTGAACTGGAGACATGCTGAACCACTTTTTGGATCGTCGCCGGCCTTCTTTGCCGGGATTTAAACATTTAAACGCGGCAGGCATGACGGGAGAGACAGACCAATGGTCGCACGACGCACGACGTTTAGTCAGCGGTGCTCGAATTTCGTCACAAGCGCTCTGCACTCCACCAGGCAAAATTTACTGTTTTGCGCAAGAACAGCTCCCCTTCGATCCATTGAGGCTGCAAGATGGCGTGAAAACAGTTGCAGAGTGTCTTGTACGTATTTGCCTACCACAGCTTCCTCTCTTTGTGCATCCACCCCGCTCTCCCTTTAAATTCATTCGCGCCCGCCCTTGAACACCCTGATGGCCACCTGAGGTGGGTGGGCGAGGATGAAAATACACAAGCCTGAATCTTTCAAACACATCGTCCGGCTCTCTCCACGTACGCGACCATGACTAACCTCTCAGACAACGATTCGGCCTTTGGCGATGAACCTTTCTTTTGGAATACCGATCCCATGTTCTCTTCTTTAGCCGCGCCGCTCGCTGGCTCAAAGCGCAGTCTCGAAAACGATGACGCCAAAATCCAATCGGGCCTAACGCACCAGAAGGAGCCCAAAGCTGGACACTTTATTGACGAATGTTGCACTCACTGTCCGGAGCCGTGCGACGAGGCTTGTGACCGCCCTTCCAAACGTAGGGCGTCGCCTATTAAAGTGGGTGAGTTCCACAGCATGACCACAGAGCCGCACGCGAGCTTCGACACGGACCACCAGTTCCCAGACGACTGTTTTGAGAAATTCTGTCAAGAGTGCAACATAGAGCCCTCGTGTCCCCCAGAGTGTGCAGTACCGTGCCCTGGTGAGTCGAGTTGCTCGCCTGAGGATGCCTGCTTCGACCCCTCCTGCGACCAGAGGGGCGAGCATTGCTCAGATGGGTGTATAGACCCAGAGTGCACCAAGCTATCTTGCCCACACGAGCCGTGTTTCTGCCAGAAATGCGACGCTCAGCCCTGTCCACTGGGTGACCTTCATAACGAATGTCATTCTGCTCATTCAGCCCCTACCCAGACCGGTACCATATACTGCTACGACGACTCACCCTGTCACTTTCAGGAAGGTTATCATGAAACTAACAACGGGCTCTCGTCGTTCGAGACTTATCCATGCTTCTCCCAAACTCATCCATACATGGGCGGAAACAATAACACAGGTCACGCATCGAGTGTTCCCACGCCTCTACTCTCGCCGAGCAATTACACATCACTGGAGAGTGCTTTCACCAGTGAACCGTCGCCAGCTCCAGGACAAACCAACTTTTCCAACTGTTATCTCAATGTGTCTTCGGACCACTGCCACATTGACAACGCGTGTTGTCATGGGACGAAGCGAGCGTGTGGAGACCACCCTTCTGCCCCTCAACTCCATCTCGATATGTGGAACTCGTCCATAGCGCAGGGTAACGGGTTGGCACACAACTTCATGGGGTTTGGAATCAATACAAGTCATCCCACTTCACCCGTGTCATCAGTCCATCCGTCAATGGGCTCGAGTCTGTTCAACAACTCTCTAGATCAATCAATACTAGGATTCCACAACCAGTCTTGGACGCTTCCCGACTCTTCGTTCTCGAACTCGTTCCACTTCAACGCACCTGGAATGAACAAGCTAGACTTCCTGGCGACTGCTCTCCAACAGGAATTCATGAATCCTACCTCCTCTCTCGCCAACACTCCATCTGTAGACCCGGGTTCCGTTTCCGGTACCGTATCATTCGCAGGAACATCATCAGATTCACAGAACTGCACATGCAGATGGCAGCATGCCCCAGGTATCCTCTGTCTCGCCGCCTTTGACTCGGCTGAAGCTTTACACAAACATATGAAGGCCGCACACGTCGACAACTGCACGCGCTGCTTCTGCCAATGGGAAGCTTGCGAAGCCTCCTCCAAAGACTTCAAACAGCGCTCCAAATTATCACGTCATTTACTCGGTCATGCTGGCTACCGTCCCTACGCATGTAGCTACGAAGGCTGCGACAAGACATTCGCGACGAATCAAGCAAAAGATAACCACGAGCGGACACACACCGGCGAGCGACCGTACGTATGCGATCGCTGCGGTTACACAACCACCACGCACACTCAACTACAAACACACATCAGCGCGCTGCACGAGGGAAAGAAGCCACACAAGTGCCGCTTCTGCGACTTCACATGCGCCGACTCGAGCAACCTCAGCAAGCACGAGCGGACTCACCAGGTACGTTCACTCCAACTGAGCTGTTCCTTCCAATACGAAGACACAACTCTAACTCTAACTAACCATACCCCACAGACTCTTCGCCCCTACCGCTGTCCCCACCCAAACTGCACTTTCAAGCCCGACTGTCGCTGGGAGAATCTCAAGCGCCACCTGCGCCGCTCGGGGCACTGCCCACAGCTTCTGTTCGACGATAGCGAGGAATACAGGGTGTACAGGGAGAGCGTAAGGCATGAGATTGATGACTGGCATAGGCGGAATGAAGATAGTGGCACGGGGAAGTTGGGTCGACGCAAAGGCAGAGGGTGAGTGATCGGTCGGTTCTCTACTACCGTTGCATTGCTGGAGTCGGTTGGGTGGAGAGGCGGCATTTATTGGAGGTTTCGTTGCATGGGCTGAGATGGAGGTGATGCTCGATGAAGAATTGTGATATGAGCATGGTGCCTACTTCCCTTTGGTACAACCATAGGCAGCAAGAATACGAGCGCAGAGGCGACGTACCTCTGGATGTGTTTCTCACACCCGATCTGTGGCTTCTGTTTGTGCGACGCGAGGCTTGAGGCATTCCCATACGACGACAATCTTTTTAGTCCGAGCGAGAATTACTCTACTCGCAAAGTCCATCTCAACACTTGTAGCACCATCACCTCGAACGTATTCTCACTATCTTCATCAGCGGAAAGCGATACGTCGCCTCTTGTCTTCTCGTAACGCAGCGAGGTAACGTCTCGTATGCGGACAGACGGGCTGAGGTTGTACGACGCATTGTTTTGTGTCTACTGCTGTGCTGTGCGGGTTATCGAGGTGCGTCGATGTTTGTTGGACAAGGTGTGGATGTGGCTGCAGCAGGTGGTGTTGTTCCTAGTTAGTGGTGCAGATGTTTCCGGGACGGGGGTATGTGTGGTGATGTGTTGCCTGCAGCATGTACGATTGGCGGTATGTTGCAAGGAGAGTCAGGGTGTGTTTCGTCCTGTGGTTGCTCATCTCGAATATACGACGGTTACTACTTCAAACCTGCTGTCCCTGTAGATATGTTGCGATTGGCTATGGTGATTGCGATCGTATTGCTTCGAAATAACTAGTCAGCAGACATGTCAGAGGGAGGTTCTTGTTAGATTGGACGTTGTACTGTGTGACGAGGATGAAGGGATGGCTGGGTCTCATGGCTTGTGGCGTGATTGATTCGTTCAGTCTCGAAGGCTAGGTTCCGGGGCATCCGCGGACGGGAATGGGAGTCTTGGCTTGCATGTTTCTGTGTGTAGATAGAGGTTCAAAGGACGAAAAGAAGCTGTGAGTTCTCGTCGCTGGCTGGGCGATGTGCGATTACAGGGATAGTTAGGCGACCATGCAGGAGACTTGAACGGTGAACTTCAAGCGTAGTCCTATCCTCTTTCGCTATGATGCTGTGTCGGTTGTTGGGCTTGGGGAGAAGAAGTTGTCCGGTTGGGTCGAGAGTCCTGATGCGGTGGGCTTCGAGATGTGCATGTAGGTTGGGTATCCATGGGCATCAAGGTCATGCCAGCGTGTTAGAATCGATATCTACAATCTATCGAGGAATGCGAGGTCAGATTTGTGGCGAGTCCCCTGTGGTTGCAACAAGTCTCGTCGATGTAAGGGAACAGGAATCTGCTTTCTGGTTTATAGGCTCAAGGCCCTTGAGAAAATTGAGTGTATGTGATAGGTGGAGTCCCGCATGCAGATGATTAGTCGGCAGCTCGCAGGATTAGCCTCAGCATCTTCAACGACCGACGAAATTCATACCCCTTGGTTATCATTGCTTGTTAGGTATCCTGCAGTGGCAAGTCCATTACAAAAAAGTGGCGATACTGTCTCGGAGTCGCCGTGGGGCTCTCCGGGCTGAGATGCATATGTTTTTTTTAAGGGGGCTGTGTTCCAAAAGTCGCCGCTGACATGATGACTTGGTATATTGTGCTTCAATTGAGATCTGAATACCACCAAAGGCCTGTTTCTTCGCTCTTGTCTGCCGTAGCCGTTCTATTTTCTTTGTCAAGTGTTGAGTGGCAGCGCTTACTTTGGGCACCATAGTAGAATGTCCTAGAAGACAATAAGACTGAGCAGAACTTGATGTACCAACTGCCCTGCAGCTGACAATAGCAGTGCCAGTTTACCTCGAACAAGTAATGTGTACGAATGACTGCATATGCAAGGATGGATCATCGTAGTTGATTAGACACGCACCCTGGACATGGCTGATCGTTGCACACGCGTCGAGAGAATACTTGGTTCTTGTACACCGTGGTTGCTCTAGGACCCAAGGAAGTCACTGGATGTGAGCTGTTGCCTTCAGGGGCGAGAAATGTAGGTCTTTGATATGAGGCAAGATGTTTCGACGAATCATTGATGCCGATGAACGTAAGAGATAGAAAAGGTGTCGTCACAACAAGTGATAGATTGATGAAAGTTGAGTCATGGTCACCGTATATTGTGCTCACTCAGCCGCACCATGCCTGATGGTAAAGGGACGCCAGCTAGTCATGCTGGACGCTCATGAACAAAACAACAGAACGCCGTACAACGTAGTGGAGAAGAACGAAAGACATACGCAACAAAAGAAATAGTTTGTCATTTCTCACATACCACGTAGCTCCATCTCATGGCTATGCCTCATTCCTCAGGATCGCCGCTGCCAAGGCTTTTGTCTCCTAAGGTTTCGTCAAATATATCTGTTTCGAACGCGTCCACCATCTGACACTCGAGGCCTCCTTTCTGGGACGCTGCAGATACTTGCACTCGTCGCGACTACCATCTCATTCGTGCTCTTCTCGCAGTCGCGGACCTTCCTAGAACCTGTCTTCACGCTCGCTCGCCTCGTGCAGGGCCATCGTCGTCGCAGCGGCTGTCTCGGGATATAGGTAGAGGGTGCTCACCGACACGATCGTGAACCGGTATAGTCAGACGATGTTGCGCATTGTATGTGCGTTGTCCACGATGGGCAATAAGCACGGAGATGAGTCAAAGCGTTGAATGTAATTGCCTCAAGCCTTTTAATGAACGTTCTTTCGCTAATGACCACTAGTGCATGATCTCCCTATTGGCATCCAGCTAAGCTCTTGCTCTTCCTCAACGACCTCACAACGCGAGCGAGGTCAACGACCAACTTTGCTCACACCGTTGCCCGCAACCAGCCAACATTGGCGTATCCAAGTCCTCACGGAACAACAACGTATCGCAAAGCAAAGAACCTCGTCGTCAACGTATCCCAAGCAACCAAAACGCCAAATCCAGACCTGAATCGTGTCCCACGAGTTTGAATATTTGAATAACATCGTCGATTATCATAAATGAGTGTGGCTACGTCGTCGATATCAGGCGTGCAGAGGTCATAACAATGAGATGCAAACAAAGAGAAGAACAGAAAAGAAAGCACGAAAGTTGTGTTTTTTTGGCGTTGGGATACTTTTTTCAAGAACTTGGGCAAGAAAAAGACTTCAAGCTTTGCAAATACTGTCTCCTGCGAAGACATTGACCAAACAGAGCAAAAGAAAAAGGTAGTGTAGCTTTGACGGAGAGCAGACTTCTCCGTCGAGGCCATGTGTGCAGTACCTGGCATGACCAGTACAGCTGGAAACGCTCTCAAACACCTGGTTTTGCTGGTTGTGGATCTCAAACAAGTTTTGACGAAGCTGGCTTACGACTGGTATAGGCCTCGAGACCCATGCCCACCGCATCCACAGAACATTGAAGAGCAACACAAGGTGTAATCCCCATCGAGGGTAAGAAAGAGATAGCATAGGCTTCGGGTTCGATCAGGCATAAATGGTGCGACTTCAAGCCTGGTCCGATGGCAGTTACTCATGCTGAGTTCCGATCTTCTGCAGATCATGTTCGCGTAAGTCTGGCTGAGCAAATTGCTGAACAGCATATGCGTAGCCGGAATAATAATTTTGGGTTCCGTCCGCTGGATTTACTAAAAGACTCGAGGCTTGACTGTCGACGAACCACGAATCCTCGATACGTCCACCGGTCACATCGATAGATCGACGCGGCGACGAAACTGTGCGACGTATACATGGGCCCACAGCAAGGTGTCTATGTTGTCTCCGATAATGTTTGATCCGAGCATCCATTCTCTTGAAAGTCTTGGCACAATTATCATCTTCACAAGGATATTCCGCTTCTGCCTCTTTGTGCTTATGCCTTTTGTGCCTATTCAAATTGCCCTTCCGATATTGGCCGGTAAACACCGTCTTACAAACCTCGCAAGGAAGGTGTGCGGGCGTGGATGAGTTTGCAGGGGAAGGGGGTTCAGAGTTTGTCGCCTGGGATGGCGAGACTGAAAGCCAATGATCGCTTCCGTCAGACCTGTTGCAATTAGTAAAATTGTCAAGCCTAACAGAAGATGCACTGAACTCACATTGAAGGCGGACCGAACCCCTGCTGGAACGCAGTTAGAGTTCTCGGCACTGGAGTGCTTTGCCGTACAGCCAGCTGAAACGGCGGTTCATGTGGCTTTCGCATCGCTCGATTCTCTATCGATACGCCCTGCGATGTATCCGGAGCGTACGACTGGTCTACCTGCATGGGTTGACTAGGGCCGATGGTCGCCTGGCTGCTCACCATTAGACCGTCAACGTCGTCATCGAATGATGAATCCAACGTTGAGGGGTTGGTGGTATCCGAGTTCGACATGACAATCCCGTCGGTGTTGCTGGTATGACCAGTGATGGATGATCCTACGTGTTCCACCATACGAGCTATTGGGTCACCCATCCCTCGCAGTCCGTCTTGTCTCTTACATACGGTCGACCAGGGCGGTTCATCGTTGTCCAGTGAGAGCTCTCTTCCGATTGTGAAGGGAGTATTCGGATCTGGATTCGTGGACAAATTGGATTGCGCCATGACAGGTTGGTTGTGGTATGGATAAACATCTTGTTCATACTGCTTCAAGTGATCTGCGACGTGCAGTGGGTTGTACCTAGCAGCATCGTTTGCTGAACAGGGAAAGAGCTGTTGAGGCTCTGTCTCGGTGTGTGGTCCATGTGCGAAAGCACGAACATGGTGGTTGGTGCTCACCTGGGGGTGAGGTCGAGTGTCGATGTATTGTGATTGACTGGGTGGTGCCCAGGGTGTCTGGAGTGATGTGGGTTCGGAGCGTGAGTTCCACGCGCAATGCCGATCCTGACCAGCGGTTGACAAGACTTGCTCAGGCTGACGACTATGTGACAACGGCTGGGATCGGCTCCCAAAGTTCCTCTGTTCGAGATGGAAACTGCCCTGGACGGTTCCTCGATTTTCTTGGATTTGGTCTATGTTCGACAAGTAGCCGCCTGGACGGTGATACGACTGCTGCTCATTCGAGAAGGTTGGAGCGTGGGTGTTTGATATGAACTCATCGTTGCATGAGGGTGGTCTCGATTCCCAACCGTTATCCTCGACGCCTATAGATGAGTCGTTGCGTTGGCCCCATGCCTCGTTTGGACGATTGCTTTCGCAAGGCTGGGTGGTATGAACGAAAGCGCGACGCGGCTCCATCCTGATGGATCGAGACACGCCCAGCTACCGGTAGATGTTGACTCTTGTCCGATGAGCCAGCCGTCTACTTGGTGGTCAAGACCCGGATGGTTGTGTTGGAGCCTAGTATTACTTGTCGAGCGGTAAATCCTGGTGTACGAGTAGACTCGCAACGCTATGACTGCGAAGACGACGATAGACAAGAGGTGGATGCCTTAGGGTGATGGAGAAAGACTCGACGAGACAACAATGTATCGGGGGCAGAGGGGTGATAAAGATGATTAGTAGACGGGTGCCAAGGGATGACTCGGCGTGTGCAAGGAGACAGAGCGCGGCAACGACGGGTCCGACAGAGAGAGCCATGACAACCCCGGATCCTGGACCGCAGACGCTAGGAAACTTTATGTTATACTACAATGACGACGGGCACGAGGCTGCGTGCTGAGCATGGTACAAGCCAAGTCTGTCTGCGGCATGCCAATCAGCCGATAGCACAGTGATAGTGGACACGAACGCCAGGTCCATTTGGGGGCTTCTCCTGTAACGGCTCTGCAGGAGCTTGGGACTCGCATCATCTTCAACCGAGCGCATGTCCATGCATCATGGGCACCGACCGGCTCTGCCTCCGCATCGTCGGTTCACGCAGCGACGGGCATGCTCCAGCGGCGGGCATGCTCCAGCCACAAGGCTATGAGGTGACCGACACAAGCCGAGTTATGCCCGTGAGCTCTGCAGATCTCTCTCAAGATTGCCGGTTGGACATGATGGAGTGGTGTGCTTCATCGTCTACGACGACAGGAAGGACGTTGCGTGTTTTGGATCCAGTCGATGCCTCGATAGGTCCGTCCTGTGATTCGATCAATATAACATGGACGTACTGGTCTACCAGTCGCACGGACAGCGGGAGCCACAGGCCTCCCGCGACCTTGACCAAGTTGTATTCACTCCTACTGCCAAACTTTATTGTGCAGGACCCGTCTATTATGGTATCCACTTCCCGGTATCTGGGTGCAACTGGAGCCGTGCTCAAGATCCAACAGGTGCCAGGGATCTAGTAACACAGTGAGGCAGCTATTGGCAGAGAAGACGGTGACAAAGCGTCCCTGAGAATAGCTGTGTCAAAGACACAGAGTTTTCCCACGTTTGCCGACTCATGGGAACTTGTGGCCCTTAATTGTGCATTGACCCTAATGGAGTCTAGGATCTGGTAGAACTAACATCTGGGGGCGACAAGCATGCCGAAAATTGATAATGAAGAACGCAAGTGGATTGTCGCGAACGGACTCAAACGCAATTTACATGGGCTCCCAGCCTTTCTTAATCACATTTCGATCCTACCCACCATAACCGCAGCCACGTCAAGGGGTGTCCCAGCAGACATACATACTGCACGCACGTCTTGTTCAAAATGGGATGTACCGATCTGGATTGCAACCAGCCACCGGCGCGAGCGCACCACCCTCCCCACGACTGGGGAAGCTCATCCGGCCAACCCCGCAAATGTGCATAGCAATATCGACTTGCCGATAAGCCTTTATCTCCAGGGTGGTTGCTACTATGAGTGCTTGATATCGAGTGTTTTGTCCGCACCTCAATGCACGACATTCGGGTTTACCCGTAAGCTTTGGCGCCACGATAAATCGTATACCGAGCGTAAGGACGTCGGGCCACTGAACCAACTGTTGATGTGTTTCATGGCAGCGAGTCGCTACATCGCGACTCGCGGCAAACTATCAATCACAGAAAGAGGAACAATTGTCCGCGTCTGTGTCGGCTGCAGTGTATGCCAAAAATAGGTAGATGGGCGACAAAAAAACGTGTCGCGGAAGAGTTGTGTTCACGCAATCTTTCGAAAATAAGTAGAGTACGCTTGCAAATATTCGGGCTAGCTGGTTTTGTCAAGCGAGGGTGAGATCAACACGAAGCAACTGTGATCTTAGAGAACATGTGGACTCGTGTCAGTACGCCTCGTACAAGTCTGTCTTAGTTGGGCGATCGAAAAGTCCCTCTTTGGCAACACCCAATTGCGTCTTTACGCACGTAAGATCCACGTGCATCCATCCCAACCTCTTCTCCGCACTCAACCCTTGCATCGGTTTGGGCTGAGGTCTCGACTTTCTGGAGTCGAGCCCTTGGCCCCTGCATCTAAACGATAGTCACATTAGGCTATCTCGAGCTGTCAATAGGTACTGAATCCGTCGCGCTCATGACATCGCAGCCTAGATGTATGAAAACATTACAGTAAGTGTCCACCAAGCGTCTATCGTCGAGAGTAGATCCCCAAGCCACGAAATGTCACTGCGGAGCTTGAAACACCAAAGACGGCTGACACACGCGCGCTTGAGCACATCCTGGCCTGTCCACCTAACCAACAAAAGTAGCAAACACAATTTCACCCTATTTAGATTTTGTGAGTTTCTGGCATTGCTGGCCTCCCAGATTCGACACAAGTCACTAGTCTCGATCGATTACTGTTGTTCAATTGAAATTGAACAATTAGGTCGAGAGGTTTCGCATCAATTTGGGTTCTAGTATTGGGCAACTTCTAAAGCAGTTCCCTCGAGTATTACAGTGAGGTCGAGCTTCAAGTAACAGCTGCACTCAGAGCTTTTTCTGGCGCAATGCTAACATTCTACTGCAAACCTGGCCGCATATGACGAGTTTGTTCACATCTAATAATCATTATGGCCCCGTCATTTTACATACAATCTTCGCTCGCAGCGATAGTGGAACCTGTCGATTACGAGGAAACGGGGCTGTATCCCAGTTGCATGCTCATAATGTAGGTTGTCTCGATAAACTTTCCTAGTTATCCTAGCCTACGTGATCCCGGTCCCAGGGATTCATATTAGCCAGGGCACCGCCATCCCTGCTCGGGTAGGAATGCTTACACGGCGGCCCGTCCTTCACTCCCAATTAAAATCCATAAGGATCACAATACCCAAAACCGGAGGCATGTGGCTGTTTGATCAACATCGTCCGATATCACTGTCTGTTCACCGACATTTGGATTTAGCACTTTGCCCGTACTGCCCTGCTAGGATGCCGCCGTTTTGTTCGTTGCGACCCAGTTATGAAAGTGTGAGCTTGGATCAATGCCGTTGCGTACTATTGCTTAGCCCCCATATCGTTCACTACAAGGACGAACATTAGATTTCCACTAGAGATGCATCGTGCCTTTTTTGCAAGGGTGCAGCCTGCGCTGCTTCCATTGCTTGGGCATAGCCAGAACTAAGGGATCGACCGGGGGTGTCGGGGGTTATATTTCCATGACCCATCTCCTTGTTGAGTTTCTTTCCCAGGATGACCCATAGGTCTTGCATACAGCAAAGCTTACATAGTAGATAAGGTTCTCAGCCTTTGCCCCATGACACGTACTGCCTAAATATTAGAGGTCAAGGCGTTGAGGTCGTACCTGATGTATGAAACCTGTCAGATATGCAGGATTCGATTACGATGCCTCAGCGCATGGACAGATTCTGCAGAATGCTTGACTAATCCCAACCGGCAGGAAGCGTGCATTCGAAGGGGCAAGGCGCGTTGCCTCAATGGGTGTCGGTTACACGATGCATACCGTAAAACTCCTGCTCTTTCGCTTACTGCTAGAAGGGGGTCAGAGGCTCAACACGGGTACTAAGCCTAGTACAGGATGATAGTCCCAAGATTTTCCACTTTTCCCCGCAGTCAGAGCGATGTCCAGCCAATTAGTGAGGTTGTGCTAATCTTCAGCCGCTACATCCCCCTGCTAGCAGTAAACGAAAGAGCAGGAGTTTTACGGTACGTGGCAAACTTCACGATTGAGCATTCGTAGAGCCTTATCCCACGCAGGAATGAATTTATCGGATTCGTCATGTGTCAGCATACGTCACTCGTGCGTCGGTGTTTTTCGCTTGGCGCAACGATTGGTTGCCATTCTTTCTTGCACACGCAGCAGAGGAATTCACATGCGGCTGGACAGGCGGACATAAGTGGGGTTTTGAAAGACAGCATGCGGGGGCAGGGAGAAACCACAACCGAAATCAAAGTAACACTGCGCGGCAACAACAAAGGTTTCGGAGAGAAAAGGTGACGCCGTTTGCATTAAGGCGTTGTTCTTGTATACGCATCTCAAGGTACTCGTGTTGATATTGCCATGCAGAGCTGTCCTGGTATCAAGAGCGCCTTTCTGATGAGTGGGTTATCCCTTTGCACACGCGTGGACAGGGACTCTGCGGTCAACAGTAGCTGTTATTTCCGATGGTTTCATAGAATTATAGGACTCATCAGGTGTGAGGTAGAAGCAAGGAGATCCCAGCCCGTAACAAATGCAAACGTGGAGGGAAATAAATGACCTATCCCTGAGCTCAGTAGTGAGAGACTGCAGCGATCGCTTGAATAAGAATGCAGGATTTGTGGGCGTATCGAGAGTAGAAGGCGGTGAAATCATAACGCTCAAGTTCTGATTTCTTATCGTTTGCGATTGAATACTGATTCTGGACAAAGGGACTAGACAACGCGTGTTGTATGAAGAAGAGAAGGTGAGTTCTCGAAGACTGGCACGTATGAGCGGTTTCAAAGGGTTAGAAATCTCGCAATACTTTGTTCAGGCCTGTGATTTGAACTCTCCGACTACATCATGTTATCGTCGTGTCAAAGCTGGATCGCTCTCCCTGATGTATGTTTCTGCAACTTTTGAAATGTTATGTGGAATTCCCTAAAAAGACCGACACATTCTTTCAGCAGGAATTCAACTTTCTTTGAGCTACCTCTCCTCGTTTTGAGTCACTCACACTAGATTGGAGATAGCACTGTAGGTCTTGAGAAGGTAAGCCGTGTTCTGTTACGCCAACACTCCCTTCGGACTTAGGCGTGAGTCGCTGGCTGGCGGATGTCTTAATCAGAGATTATTACACTTTCAATCTCAGACGACTCTGAAAGGACATCAGCAGATCTTATCACAGAGGAAGACGTACCATCAGACCTGCACATATCTTATAACTGTGTTTCCTGGATGAAATTGTTCGCTGGGCATACTAGAATTTATCGGCATATGTCAATCATTATACCATAGTCCGCTTTTGAACTCAATTATGTGATCTGGTTTCGAAACTTATGAGCTTATGCTTCCATTTGCCAATGATAACTACAGAAAAGAAGAACAACCAGTCTGTGCAAGGATAAGATTGGTGATTGGTTGATATTGTGGACAAGTACTCAGGTATAAAGATATAAAGAGTTTGCAAGAGGAAGCCTCAAAGCCTAGTTGTCTAATCTCATTCTGTTCACAAGCCCATAGAGATGAGATCATATTTTTCCTGATGGATAAGGAGCTCTTGTCGTCCACCTACTCCGCAGGCCTGATGCTCTGAGGATTGTGAAATATATCCAATGGGTCTATATCCTTCTTAATCCGACGCAGTTTCTCGACGTTGCCACCCCAATACAGGCTAGCACTATTTTCTCCTAGAGCCGGATCTACGTAGCCTGCGTATGCGCCCTTATCGTTGTTCGGAAGTGCGTCTGCAATAACGTTGTTGACGCCAGCTAGGAAATCCTTTGTCTTGGCATTGACATTGCCAAAGGGATTTACTGCGTACACCTGATGGTAGAAGAGAGCATCCCGATGGCCGTATGCTGTGGCGTCGGGCGCAACATCGTTAGTAGCTCCACCTTCTAGGTCCCAGATGACGAACCAGACAGCTCCGCCTTTGTCCGCTTTGTCGATGTATTGGAAGAGTTTGTCAACACCGTCGTCGGGGATGATGTCGTCTTCAGTGTAGGCGAGTGATTTGGCATAAAAGTTGGATTGAATGCCACCAACAATGTCCAGAGCGACATCCTCAGCCCAATGCCCGACTACGCCAAGCCTGCAGAACCATTAGCAAGAGTTCAAACTTGCGTTTCCAGCCAAGATGAACAAAGTACATACCAGTCTTTGAGTTCGAGGACAGACTCATCGTTGCTCGGTAGTCTGGCAGAGATGTTGAGCCCGTCGAATTCTTGTTGGGATCCAAAAAAGGTGCCAGTGATAATAGCGCCAAATTGCTCAGTAAGGATGAACTGACTGGCAAACTTGCGAGAGAGCGTTGGATCTGAGATCAATTTCTGCCACTGCTTGAATGCATTTGCCTTGGCAGCGGCATCTCCGCCGTGGATGTTGTACGAGTAAAGCACGGCCTTGCCCGGCTCGGCCTGTGTGCGCACCTTGAACTCAGTGATGATACCGAATCCAGCTGCCGCACCTTTGCTGGCGAAGAATACGTCCGAGTTCTGCTTCTCGGAAGCGCGAATGACTGACGAGTTGGCTAATACAATCTCTACCTCTTCGACGTGGTCCAATGCTGAGCCCCACATTCGAGACGATGGACCCAAGCCACCTATAGTCGCATGACCCCCGATACCCACTTGGGGACAGGTGCCGTGAGCCATCGCTCGTTTCCCATTCTCGTGAAGCCGTTTTGACACGTCGTCCAGGAGGGTACCGCCACCAATCGTGGCCTGCCAGGTCGATTGATCCATGGAAAACTGTTGAAAATGTTTCATGTCCACAACAATGGTATTGTCTTGCCCTCCAATACCTATATCTTAGCGTTAGCATGGCGATATGATAAGAGGCCGGAGCACTTGAATAGCTTTGACGAAAACTGGTTTGCTGTGTAAAGTCCACTGTGATCTTCCAAACTCACCGTAATTAGCATACGAATGTCCACCACAGCGCGGCTGCACTTTTAGCCCATTTTCAACTGCACAATTGACGACAGCAGCGACTTGCTCGGTTGAATCAGGGTAAGTAACCGCAGCCGGTGAAACAGGTATATCGAGGTTATACGGCTTGACGTGGGTGATCTGGAACAACGGTGCACCCTTGAAGGCTACGTTGTCACTTCCTACGGCGCCTTCGAGGCACTTTTGTACTGCACTGCTCGATGTGTTGCCCATGGTGGAAACCTGTAGCAAAGATAGAACGAGTGGTAGGGAGGGGTGGTGGATTTTCCTTCATATATACAGACGAGGTAGTATCGCCAAGAGCAAATGATGCTTGCAAGGAAGCTGCGGGTATTATTGGGGACGAGGACGTGAATATACTTTGAAAAGATCGACGATCTGGAAATAGTTCTAATATGAACAACCCCTGGCCATATACTGTGACAGCCTGGAACGTTACAAAGGGATCAATAGGCTTCCGATATCATTCACTATGGACAACAAGAGCTTGTTTTTGAAGAAGACTAGAGACAGCTTCTTACTGGAGGAGAAGAGAAAAGGTAGGCCTGTGAAAACCAGCAAAGTGGCACAACAGGGTTAGGCCTGTGATTGTGATTATGCTCTGAGGAAATGTGAATGGCCAGCGCAACGGCGCGTGGACTGTGAAGGACGTTGGGCCTTGCAACCCTTTCTACTGCGATCCGCTTCCCAAGCACAAACCACACCCCGCTCTTTGCTCTTTGGCCGATTACGTTGTTGTCCATCTGCTGATTTGTACTGCTATTAAAATGATGTCTGACCAGTCTATAGAGTACTTGGAAGGGTTTGATACTTGGTGAAGGGCATATACTTCAGCTAAGCACTACAGTTGTATTGACAAGGCCGTGGGAGGAGACCATTGCTGAGACAGACGTTTTTCTGAAACAACCCCCTGGGGTGGCATGAGATGTCGTCCGGGATCGTAACAAGGTCGTGGTCGCCACTCGTTCCACGACCTGTCAATGGTCGATAGCAGCGCGTCTTGAATCTGCAGAAGGAAATGGACTGGCATAGTAATGCCAAGCCACACAGTTCTTCTGCAGATGCGAAGCAGGGTACCGTAGCCGGTGATGAGTGTGAAGAAGCTTACAGAATGTGAAGCAGACAAAAGTTGAGGGAATGCCGTGTCGCGCTGGAGTAACCCCGCGTTTACAGAGCTACGTGCGCAGCAATCAAAGGACCGTCTAATCCCTAACAGATCGTCTTCCGGAAGGGCGTGCTCGGGCGATCTCAATTTTGGAGAAACTCACGGCGACGTTACGGTGGAGTCACGCCAAGGCCCTAGCAGTCGCTGTTCTTCCCGACGTTTTGGCACCTTTGTTCTACCTATATCGACTCAACAACATTGGCTTAACATTGGAAATCAAACCCAAGGGCTTGTAACAGGTATCGATTTCACCGCTCGAGGACTCGGTCATAATGCCTTCCCCTCCGCCAGCATTTGGATCACAGGGCTACTGGAATCATCGATTTGCCGCAAATTCGACACCATTTGAATGGCTTGAAGCACCCACTGCACTTGACCCGTTCATCACCGACGCTTTGAAATATACGGACGAGCATAGACCTGAGCTGCTACACGTAGGATGTGGAACATCGCTATTGTCTTTTCACCTCAGGGTACATGTAGATGACCCACAGCAAATACATAATCTAGACTACTCGGAGGTCGCTATCGACGTTGGAAAGAAGCGCGAATCAGAGATATGCGGTATAGATGAGGAGCATAAACATCAAGATACCACCAATATTGCTACAACCAAAGCAGACATTATGGCGATCAGCTCAATTAACAAGAGCACTAAGGAACATGATCGGCCACGCACATCTTTAGCCGTAAACACCCATCAACAGTTCAGGCATATGCGCTGGGACGCTGTGGATCTCCTCAGTCATAGATCATTACTCGGCGCCTGTAATTCTAGTACATACTCGGTAATAGTCGACAAATCCACCTCCGACTCTATCGCCTGTGCAGACGACGTCGATGTCCCGCTTCCATATCCCATCGGCATCCGCCCAGAGGTGCCCATAAAGTTGGACCTCGAACGATCTGGACCCCTACACCCTCTATACATCATGGCCGTCCACCTTGCCCTCGTCATCAGACCCAGGGGTCGATGGATATCTCTTTCCTACTCGCAGGGCCGCTATCCCTTTGTCAACGTGTTCGAGAAGGTCTCTCAAGACGTGATCGATAATGGCTTTCCGGACCCTGGGCTCTTATGGAAGGTAGTGGGCAAGCACGAGATTGACGTGCCAGAACAGCAACTGCCAAACGCGAACAACGGCGACTCAATCACGCATAGACCCAAGACCATGCACTGGGTGTATGTGCTGGAACGGACGGACGTGCCGCTCTTCGTTCGTGGGAGTCATATTTAGGTTTGGAGTCAAGGTCACGCAATGAAGTTGAGTTTCTCAAGTCTCTAACTTATTTCAAGTCTTACCACCTCTGATAGCAGCTACAATATTAGCATTATCGTCCCTATCAAACATATTGATATTCAACTACCACTGTCATATAGCATTACGACTTGCTATATATATCAGCACTTCGCAAAAAGAAACACCTGTGATTGAAGTAGTCCTGGCTCTTTCGACAGGGGGCATAGAAATATCGTCATATGGAGTCGTCGGACTATCATCAACGTGCACATCCACTACACATACGACAGCATGCTAGTCTGCCGGTACGTTGTTTAAACAGAGCAGAGCAAACGTGAAGCCTTGTTTTTACGTCCTATGGCCGTATGTGGAACAACTAGCACGTGTTGTAGACTACATGTCTACCAAGTATTGGAGATCTGAGGAATAACACGTCTTCAAGACTCCAACCTGATGCTCACCTATTAGCCCGCCAGTAGCATGCTGCGAACGGCTAGTCCCGTCGCTAAGCGCAGTGTAGTGCCTGGAGGAACTTCCGTATTCGATGTCCGGACTTTCCTCGCATGCATTCTGAGGACTGATTCGTAAACCCTGTATCTTGAGCAGTCGTTGCGATACGCACTTTTTGCTTCCTCAAGCGTCGCCTCACGCATACACATCCAGGACGGATTAGGCGTCTGCCCTCTTTGCGAAGCGTTTCTTCACTACACATCGCGCACTCCTCATCGTTATCTAGTGATAGTCTCATCGTGACAGCATGCTGATAACTTGCATACACAGTACGTGCCTGCACTCGCAGGCAGTCTGTGACCCGATTCGAGAGCGGCAGCAGTAGTCGCCGAGCTGTCCTGGGTTCTCGTATAAGATGTTTCCTCATGCGTGCCCCGCTGGTTAACCTGGACGACTTGCAGATCTCTAGCACAAATATACTTTCACACAGTTTCGAAGCGAGAAGTGTTGTAATGGACACAGATTCGATCCGGGAATCCTGATCGGGCTAGTAGAATGACTACATCGGGACCGAAGATCATCAGAAATCCCGATCGGAGCATCAGGTAGCCGACTCCATAGAACATCACCGAGCTGACCCACAACGCGCTCATGAGCAAATCCCACGATTCAAGCCTGTGTAGGTACTTACAGTGACCCTCCGAGTAAGCACCGCAGTTCAGAGGCAATCTTAGGTTGGAAAATTATCTTGATTTTCAACATGCAATGGTCAAATTTGGAAAAATTGCTACGGCGGCTGGGTGTTGGTAAAAGGATCAATTATTTCTGTAAAATAGACAAGACTGTACGTCTATTAGTCTCCATTAAATGAAGCAAAACGTCATTTGTAGAGCTCGGGACTGCAAGTACCAGTTTTTAAATGAAATTTTTAAGTCTTGACTGCATTACTCTCAGAGCTTTATTCCAGTGAATAAACTATGACCATGTAAGCCCCATGAAAGCGTTTGGGATCAAATCGACCCAAGATCATGATACCAATCACAACATCTTTATTTTCTCACGCAACGAAGAAAATCTCCAACCCTTGGACGAAGAAGATGTTTCTTCTATAGCAGTGGTTAACATAACCACTGTAGTTTCTGCCAATTTAATTGAAGCACACACCCGATTACAAGGCGATTAGCTTTACGGGCAACGGACGTGGCTTGCTAGCACGACCTTGATTAACTAGCTCGACATGACAGAGACAGCTCACTGTACAGGCCACCCATCCTTTCGTGTTTTGAATCTAAACCTCTCTTGTCTCCTCTTTGCACGTTGGTTTGCACATATACTCACCGTATGTAGCGGTAAATCAAAGCCCCCCTGCAATCTCTCGCAGTGCACCCATAGCTTCTTCCGACACTGGCTGTAAATTTGCACCTTCCTAGATTTTCTGAGCACCTTTGACTGAAAATGCAGCTGACTGGTCACCTGGCACAGCAACGAAATCTAGGACAGTCTTACAACTATTGGTGGCTGGCGTTGGTTTTACCATGTCTTCACGCGGATTTGGACAAAAGATGGTTGATAAAGTGACTAACATTCCGCTATTTTGAATGTTTTATATCACAAGTCATCAACGCCAAACTCCCTTCTCCCTTCTCCCTTCTCCCTTTGACGTAGTATCAAGCCTCGATACGTTCACCGGTCTCATCGATAGATTTGTGGCGCTTGCATCTTCACCTTTCTCTCTCGATGCGGGCCTCTTGTTGTTGGAGGAGTAGATGTCAACACGGGCAAACTTGGCATCCTCGACAGCCTGATACGCCGCCAGTTCAGCTTTCTCATCCTCGTCTTACGGCAACGGAATTGTGCGAGGTATGCCATGAGATCTCCGACAATGTGCTAACATACCAGCGTTACTCACAAATGTTTTAGCACAATTATCGACTATACAGGCTAATGTCGCTTTAGGCCATTCTTCGTGTCGGACCATTCTGTGCCTGATCAAATTGCGCTCCCGGTATTCGCCGATGTAAATATTGTTACAAAACTCGCACGGCGATGTGCTTCGATCCAGGGTCCATTTTATGTTCCTCAAAGAACCTTGGTCATCGGCGTCAGTGTCCGCCCATTTTCTCTTTTTCGAGGACACATCCGTAGCGGTCTCGATCTCCTCGATGAAACCAACGTGTTTCTCAGGAGTGTTCCGCTTCTTGATGGATGGACCAAACCAGACATTGCAAGCGTGACTACAATTGTATAATATCAGTGATTACCCGCAGACCCCTGCCTGGACAATCTTACCAAACAGACCCGCCAGTATCTTGACACTGAGAGATTTCCGAGGATCTACAATGGGGCATTGGACATTTCGTAATTTTGAGGCAGACCGTGTCTCTGTTTGACGGTATGGCGACGATAATAGCCATAGTGATCGCCGTGCCCGGCACAAGGCGAGAAGTAGCTGTAACTACTTCAGACTTCCTCCTCGTCCGGCAGAGCTCATAGTTCCCGGCCCTAACCTCTCTGGCGCCCGATCCAGACTTAAATCGCTGCTGGATGATCGTCACCAGCATCTCGAAGTCGTACTCTGACGGGACAGGAAACTTGTAGCCCAGGGCGTCTTCGACCACAAGCGGTGCCTGGAAATGCGTCCAACGAGTGTCTACTGGCATTGCCGAATCGCGAATTTGGACTACGACGGTATAGATTTGTTGTGTTGTCACACTGGCGTAAGCATCAGCGGGTTAAGGATAAGACATTAATTTGCTTGAAAATGTCAAGTACACCCAACGATCTGACGTACCATATTGTGGAGACAATCTGCTCCAAGTGATCCAGGGAGGACTTGATATCGCCACGCACCAGGTCATAAACACTGCCGAGCATCGAATATACCTTGTGCAAGACCAGAGCTTGTGCGGGTACGCTCTGTTGTAGGCCTATCACCATGGTCTGTGTAGTATTCACCTGTTCGTAGATACGCAGCGCGTCTGCCTCTGATTTCTTGCTGGTGACGTGGATGCGTTCCAGGCCATACTGCGCTAGCAGCATGTTGATTGTACCGATGTGCACATTGAGATAAGTCTGCAGGCGTTTGATGTCGTCTTTCTGCCCAAATGTCCATCGGATCTTATCTGCAGTGCTTCTCACAGCACCAGAACAGCTCCGGCTGTCCAACGAATTCTCATATCTCTTGATCTTGGCCAGGAATTCCTCCAGTGGATGGCGACAACTCAAGGCTGCATATTTGATAGAATCCACGCGCGTTGAATCGGGGTCGTTGCTGTTGAGTCGGTCGAGGTGGCGTAAGGCTGCGTCGAGAGCCTGGAATTCCCTGATGAGCTCTTGGTACTCTGATCTGGCTCCGCCTACAGCCTGGAGGCAGCTGATTGCCTCGCTGATCAGCTTTCCCACCGCGATGAAATCCCCGACAGAGAAACCGAAAGACATGGTGGGCGGAACATGATGAGGAGGGATGAGCGCGAAAGCATGTAGTCGTCAATTTGCACAGCCTCTCTGCCACGTCAAGCACCTAGATCAGCCTGGTGGTTGCAGCAAGGCTGAAACATTGGTCACTTGATGTCACTTGCCTTGGCATGTACATATGGCTGCGTTCCAATCAATTGCTAACTGTAACATAATAGATTCAGCACCATAACAACACCTACCAAGCCAATAAAGTTACCATCACCACGCCTATAAAACTATAGCGCAAGACTCACCAGTAGCTACAAAGCTCTCTGTTCTGGAGTCTTTGTAAGAAAATCTCACACATGAGGTAGCTAAAAGTGGTGGCTTACAGTGCATCTCTGAGTGAAAATAGTCTAGTTTAGTGGGATGATTGACTTGGGACAGAGTCAAACTCCAACAGAAAGATAATTTTAGAACGATATATGCGTGTCTTACACTAGAATACCACGCTGGGTAATCACCCTGCAATCTTATCAGGTAGAAGACACAGACGATAGACTGCTCTCTACACTGCTTTGTATTGTAAAGTGAGGAACAAATCAGAATGTCTCTCTATATAGAGGATTATACAATGATCATGATCTACACCCCTGCCTGAACCTACCCAAGACTCCCAAAACTAAAAGTAAGAGTCCTAATCCACCCCCCTATACCCCCCAACACCAAGAACCGTTACCCTTCTCCCGAGAAATACACAGCAAAGAAACCACAACGCAATAAAACTACTATCTCTCAACACAAACACTCATCCACACATCCCTCTTCCCAAACCCCCTTGGCCTCTCCAAGACATAAACCCCCAAGCCAAACAGCATAAAACAGCAAACCTGCACATCCTCTCAAATCAAACCCACCCACCCACCGCAGTATAAACCACACTGACGTGGTACTCTACTACTCACTGCTGAGACGTCTAGGCTGCATTCCCAGGTCCATCGAAAACAACACCAACCCCTTTAAATCCTAACACTCAGCACAAAGGCGATTAACACGCCATCTTATCTCCCCAACTCGCTATTCCTCATCCGCCCCTTAGGTTACGTTACATTACTCACGAACAGGATACTATCCATTGCCCAAACACTTCCCACCGCTAACGTAAAGTCTCATACTGATCGCTGCGCGGAATAAAGGTATGGGATGGGTAAGTAATAGATACCCGGGCTGCGTATCCGTATGCATGTATATAGAACAGCCAGTCTGCGTAGGTCTGCTTCTGTGTTACTACATATTACTGTGTACTCACACTCGCGTTAACAGGCATAGTGCGTAAAGCGATCACACTGTGTTTTCCCTGCATCACATTCGTCTGCTTGGATGCGCTGGAAACTAACAGGAAGACATGGTGGTAGTAAGGAGTTTTGAGATGGTGGATATGTGTGTGATAGTGATGTACTGTTCTTGTAGTGTATGCTGATTTGGCTTGTTATTTCAAGATAGGATGGTAGTTCTGTACGGGTGTTGGTCTAGTGTAGGATTTACTCACTGTGGGTGTAGAGTTAGTCATTCTTATTGGGATGCTGGGAGGTATGTCGAACGCATTTTATCAGAGTCTTGATTTCACCATGCCATACTGGGAAATCATGTAGTTTGGGAAGACACATTACACATACAAGCCCAAGACCAACACCCCGTACCCATACACAGAATCATGAACATAAAGCATCAAACCCCACAACACTTACTACCAAGCCAAAGAAACATACTCATCAAAATCATTACACATTAAACTACAGTACATCACATCAGCGGCCTCGCAGCATCAACCTTCATCTCAGGCAACAACCCCAATTTCGCCGTATCCGCAAACATCTCAAACACACTCTCCAGCGTATCGACAAACCCACAGAAGCCCAACCGCCTCGCCTTATTCATGGACAGCGATCCCCAATTAGCCCACACAAAGTCCGCCATGGGCGCGTCCTGCATATTACCATCGAACACATCGGCGTCGAGCTGGCCGTTGGAATTCTTCGCGAGTTCCTGCCAAGCGGCCTTATTCGCCTTGTCGGCTGCCCAGTCGGCGTACGAGAAGGTTGATTTGATGGTCAGAGGGGGCCCGTAGCCGAGAGGTGCGTCGGCGCCGCCGGCTGTAGTTTGGATCTTGAATGCTGCGTCGTCGGTGGTGAGGGGGCTGACGCCCGGTGCGCCGTACCAGCGGGCGAGCTCGTTGAAGAAGCGGTCCCAAGTCATGGCCCCGCCGTCCTGGGCGTTGAAGTCCTGGTTTGCGCACTTATCTTCTAGGATGGCCCATTCGCTCAGGAAGCCGGTGAGGCGGGCGGAGGAGTGGCAGCCTTCGGCCTGCCAGGTAGTGATGTCGGAGGGGAAGTCGAGGGGTTGTCCTTTCTGGGCTTGGACGGCGGCGTAGACGGCGAAGATGAGGAATGTGTTCATTGAGGGGTGGGCGGTTGTGCCGATGATTGCGGCGGGGCGGATCACGTTCCAGCATGTTTCTGGGTGCTCTTTGCAGAAGGCTTTTAGTGCGTCTTCTTGTGGGTAGTAGAAGTTGGGCATGAGGTGTCGGGGCTGCGGGTCGGATTCGACGACGGGTGTGCGCACACGGCCAATGTGCACTCCGTAGTTCTTGCCTCCGGTCTGGAGGAGGATGCGTTTTGGCTTGAGTCCCGCGAGGGGTAGGGAGTTGAGGAAGTTTTTGAATGGGCCTACGTTTGCCTCGACGAGCTCGTCGGCCTGGCTGGGGTCCATGGCGTTCTTGTCGGATTTGGGTGGCAGGTAGGCATAGTAGAAGACGTAGTCAGCAGAGACGTCGCCATCGCGGAGGGATTTTGCAATGTCCTCGGCAGAAGATCCAAGATCAATCGAGACGTGCTTGATGCGCGAGGCTTGCTCTTTTGTGAAAAGGGACAGTAGATTGTCAGACAACTTGCTTCTGGAGAGTGCGTAGACGGTTGACCAGCGGTCTGGAGTGTCAAGGAGCGAGCGTATTGTGTTGAAGCCTGAGATGCCCGAAGCACCACATACTATTGCTTTCAGGCCTTTGAGCGATGGATCGAAGGACGGGAGGTTGCGATAGACGCCCGACTGGCGGAGTGGTTGGTTTGCAGAGGACATGGTTGTGGGTGGTTAGATTCAAGCTGTAGTTGTAGCTGTAGTTCTGACTATAGTTGTAACTGTAGTTATCAGTTCAGCAACTGCTGAAGTCTACTTTATGTTCTGCATGCACACTTTGTGGTTACTCGGGGTGGTCGGATACGCGACGTCATGACTTGCTCGCCGATGACGAGAATCGCAAAGTTAGGTGCGATTGAGCATTTCACGCGGACTCTTACGGCGTTTCCACCCAAACTACGATTTTGCCTAGATGGACGAGTTCCTCAACACTTCCAGAAACGCATCTTGACGTGCCTCATTACGCGTCGTTGGAGACGGGCACCAAGGCGAGAGGATTAGGTCGAGGACGTGAATTTCCACATGGTCGGTTGGGCTGCTTCTGCCGTGGTCAAATCTCCTAGGGAATTTGTGCAGAGGTTGTTTGGGTAGATTCGAGGGTCAGGCGTGGGCACGGTTGCGTATTCAGGAGAGGTGAGGGCCGTGTCAGTATCGTATGCTTGCCTTTTCTGCTCATTTGAATAGTCTGAAACATATTATGGCTGGACATGCATGTCATATTGCGGACGTAAAGGCAGGAGACATTGGTTCCAGCATGGTCCCAGCGTCGTGTCATGGCATGGGCGGTGGCGACAGGCAGGGTCGAGGCTCGTGGGTGACAGGGCGGCGCCACAATGGCTCCGATTTGCAGAGGCAGCCAGAGGCAGGCGAATCAGGCGCATGGAAAACGGCATGGCTCACATGATGCAAGGCAGCGGCGCGGGAGGCTAGACGGCTGACGGCCGGCCATGTAGGTTGGACATTCCCATGCTCTCAGCAACGCAAATCGGCAAATCGAAATCGCAGTCCATCCTGGTGCGCATCCCCACTGCACCGCCACGCTGATCCCTCTCCCGCGGCGGACTGGCATACAAGACAATGGGCGAACCGGTGCGAAGCGTGCGCTTCAGTGGCAGACCCATGGCGTCGCTGCCAGAACACCCGCCGACGGCCGCGGCAGGCGTCCACACGCCGCAGCGGACGGACAGCTCGGGCTCCTCTGGCAGCGAGTTTGACCAGGATCACGACCTGCTCGGCAGCGCCGACGGGCAATATCAATTTGCGCCGCCCGCCTCTGGCAGCGCCCTCGACGACGTGCCTCCCCTCAGCAGCGCGCCCTACACCTCCAGGACCACCGCGGGCCCGACTCGCTCAGTGCGCGCTCCCCACAGCATCATGACGGACCTGCCGCCCGCCGCCCACGCCAACGGCCTCAGCGCTGGCTCGACGGCCTCTGCCTCGGTCTCGGCCACGCGCCCCCAGGCCCTGCGCACGCCGTCCAACGCCTACGCGCCCGCCCGCCGCCCGCAGCAGTTCTCGCTCAACTCGACGGCCGCCCGCCACCGCAACTCATCCGCCACGCGCGCCCGCCGCAACCCCAACGCCGACTACCGCGCCCAGGAAAAGGCGTACGTGCAGCGCATCCGCCAGGAGAACGAGCAGGACGACTTCTTCGACCCGCCGCTGCGCACCCCCAGCCTCGGCTACACGACCGACTCGGAGACGGACGAGGAGTCGCCCTCGACGGCCGACTATGGCGAGAACGACCCCTACGACCAGGAGACGCTGCTGTCGTACGGCAACGAGGACATGCAGCCGTCGATTGAGGAGCTGAAGATCCCCGCCAACCGCGAGCGCCTCGAGTGGCACTCGATGCTGGCCAACGTGCTGACGGGCGACGTGGTCAAGCAGGAGAAGAAGCGCCTGATCGGCAGCACCGAGACGCAGGGCGACAGCACCATGAAGGCCGAGATCTGGATGGGCATCCGCGCCAAGGTGTGCGGCCGCTCGCTGCAGGCCCAGCGCCGCCTCGTCGACGACGCCCGCGGCCGCACCCGCGCCCACCTCGAGAGCATCGTGTCCTTCGAGGTCGAGGGCGCCGCCGAGGCCGGCCAGACGGCCGCCCAGCAGGTCGAGGACATTGTCAAGAAGATCGAGAAGATCGAGGGCGCCTACCCCACCCGCCAGGCCCTCGAGGCCGCCTACCCGCGCGCCGCCTCGCAGCCCTACAAGGACGCCTGCGACGCCGTCATCGCCTGGCACAACACCATCGCCCTCATCAGCACCGAGATGTCCGTCCTGCGCAAGTGGGTCGGCAACGAGGAGCTCGACTTCACCAAGCCGCGCCCGCGCTCCTCGCAGGACCACCACCTCACCGACGAGTCTTCGTTTATCGACCGCATTCTCAAGGAGGACGGCCTCAAGTCGCTGCAGGGCGACACCAACCTGCTCATCCCCCTGGAAAAGGTCATCCAGAAGGCCAAGACGACGCTGATCGCCAACGCCGAGGGCTTCGCCGACCGCCACCTCCCGCCCTACATCGAGGAGCTGCTCACTCTCATCAATTTCCCCTCGCGTCTGCTGCAGGAGATCATCAAAGTGCGACTCTCCTACGCCAAGAAGATCAAGGACCCATCCCAGCAGGGCGTCATGATGGCCGAGCAGATGATTGTGCAGTTCCAGATCCTGCTCAGAATGGCCGGTCAGGTCAAGGAAAGCTACCTCGTCATCTCGCGGCCCGAGCCAGGCTGGGACCTGCCTCCGTGCATCGAAGAGAACTTCGACCTGGTCGTGCTGGACGCGCTCAAGTTCTACTTCAAGATGCTCAACTGGAAGCTGGCCGCAAACAAGAACACCTTCAAGGAGGCTGAAATCCTCGAGCAAGAGTGGGACTTCTGCAACAAGCTCGGCAGGCAGCTCCAGGGCGGCGACGTCGAGACAGCGGAGCAGTTTAGTATTCTCACGTCAAAGTCACTCACCCGCCTCAGCGCCCATTTCGAGCGAGAGCTGCAGCGTCGGCCAGACGAGCTCACGGGCTCGGAGATGGAGAAACGGTACAAGCAAATACTCGACTCTGTACGTGTCCGGCAACGTAAGCTCTTCCGTTTCTCGAGGATCTTGACGACACGGTTTGAGAACTGCACCGAATACAACATCAACCACATCGACTTGGACATGGAGCAACTGGGCGATCTATACGAAGCCTTGGTCGTTACTGGCCACTTCCTCGTTGAAACCACTGGTGGCAACAACACAGGAGTATATGTCATTGCGTCGCCGGTTCTGATAGATCGGCCCAAGGACATCCAGTCTCTTCTCACTACCTGCTATCATACAGAGGAGGGCCCAGAAGACCCTTCCAACCCCTATGTCTTGATTCTCAGGCCAGAAGAGCCTCTCTACTGGTCTGGACAGAGCCTGTCAGCCGACATTCACGAACCACACTTGGACCTGAAACCTGGAAGACTACGTCTGGTTGCGGATGGCTCGCAGCAGCGACTCGCTAATGCTAACCTGTCTTTCTCGCAAGCCATTGGCTTCGAGTTGAACACCCTGATCGACCAGAGAGCCAACCTGCCCAGAGTCAACCAGGAGTTGCAAAAGATCAAGAAGACGGCATACAAACTCTCCAACACCATCATGGACAGCGTCGAGATTGTCCGCAAGCAGACCACTGGTCTCGACTGCCAGGATCTCATCCAGACTTGTTTCGCCTTCGCCACAGAATTCGGTCAACGTTCCGTGCTCTACATGGACTACAACCGTCGTGCGATGAACAACATCAAACTGACCAGACTGGCTCTCGATTGGGTCAGCTTCATCTGTGATGACTGCATCGCGTCGGACCGCAAAACCTTTCGATGGGCTGTCGTGGCACTCGAGTTTGCAATGATGATGACTCGCGGTCAGAACATTCTGTCTATAAGCGATGAGGAGTACGCTCAGCTACGGATGAAGGTCGGTGGTTGCATGTCGCTCCTCATATCACATTTTGATATCATGGGCGCAAGGTCCACGATCGCTGCTCAGGCCGAGCGACAGCGTTTGAACGCCATTGCTGGGAAGAACTCGCTGGACCCCACAAACTCAAAGGACGACGACGAGGCGATTGAATTGACGCAGATGCAGTGGGTGCAGAGACTGGATGAAATCGACATGTTCAGGAAAGACAAGGAGGCTGAGCGTCAGGCTCTGGGTAGGGTGCTCGAGGACTCTAATGAAGCCGATCGAGCACTCACCTACCTGTCTTCCTCGGCTACCAACGTCACCCTGCGATGGCAGCAGGGTCAGTTCGTCGGTGGCGGTACTTTCGGATCCGTGTACGCCGCCATGAACCTGGATTCCAACCACCTCATGGCTGTCAAGGAGATCCGTCTCCAGGACCCTCAACTGATTCCCACCATCGTCGCTCAGATCAGAGACGAAATGGGCGTTCTCCAAGTCCTCGACCACCCGAACATCGTCTCGTACTACGGCATCGAACCGCACAGAGACAAGGTATACATTTTCATGGAATACTGCTCCGGCGGCTCTCTAGCCGGCCTGCTAGAACACGGCCGCATCGAAGACGAAACAGTCATCATGGTCTACGCATTGCAGATGTTGGAGGGTCTCGCCTACCTCCACGACGCAGGAGTCGTGCACCGCGACATCAAGCCTGAAAGTAAGCCACACCCCTAACCTCCCATCATCACCCTTACCTCCGGCTAACACACCCCACCAGACATCCTCCTCGACCACAACGGCGTAATCAAATACGTCGACTTCGGCGCCGCAAAGCTCATCGCGCGCCAAGGCCGCACCCTCGCCGCCGAGCACAACGCCACCCGCCAAGGCCGCCAGGGCTCCATGACCGGCACGCCCATGTACATGTCCCCGGAGGTAATCCGCGGCGGCTCCACCGGCCGCCACGGCGCAGTCGACATCTGGTCGCTCGGGTGCGTCATCCTAGAGATGGCCACCGGCCGCCGCCCATGGGCTAGCATGGACAACGAGTGGGCTATCATGTACCACATCGCGCAGGGCGACCCGCCGCAGCTCCCCACGAAAGACCAGCTCAGCGATACGGGCATCGACTTTTTGAAAAAGTGCTTTGAGCGTGACCCCGCGCGCAGGGCGAGCGCGGTTGAACTGCTGCAGCATGAGTGGATTATGACGCTGCGCGCGCAGCTTAGTCTTGAGCCGCAGCCGCAGACGCCGAGCTCGGAGTCGAGTGGGGGTGGGAATACGCCGTTGAGTAGTCGGACGAATTCTACGTATGCGTAGTGTGTTGTGGTTGTGGTGGTGATGGTTGGTTTGGTTGGTTTGGTTGGCGTCTTACTTCTCCCTGTTCTTTAGATTGTATACCCCCTCTCTCCCTTATCCTATCATATCCTATCCTATCCATTCATATGTACATGTCGACCCACCTCACTCTTGTCTTGGAAACCAACACCAACCTACCTCTTCTCTACCCCCTTCCACCCTTTCATCCCTTTCTAGTTTTTCCCACGGATATTCGTCTACGCACACGGTGCATCAGCGAAGGAGTTATTTGGTTGGCCGTCTTGAAATTTCCCCCTCATCTTTGTTTAGTCTAGTCTAGTCTTGTTTTTTTCAAGTTTTTTGTGCTTGTCACTTGTCGGGGAGTTTGCTTTGGTTTTTTGCGCAATGGGGAGGGAAAACCGGGTATATATATGCACATGTATGTATGTATATATATATATATATGTCGTGGGTAATAAGCACCATTTACCTTCCTACCTTTCTGGTTCTGCACGTCTTTGGTCTTTTGTGATGTGGGGGTGCTTAGGGTCATGTCATGTGGCGTGATGCCATATGGAAAGAGCGCAAGTTTTCATCAGAGACTGAATATTCATATAACACCCTGAAATCATATGAAGGATGCTATCTATGCCAGCTCAACGCGTAGAACGAAGCAAACGTAGCAAAATACAGACTACATGCTAATCTTGACTCGTTGAAGCTACCTACTGCCAACCACTCATTGCCCGTCGCGCATCTTGCGGAAAAAGTCCATGACGCCCGTGTAGACGACGAGCAGGATACCACCTCCGGGACCCAGTCTCAGCACCTTGGGAGTGAAGCCCTTGTACAGAGCGCCGAAACCTTCCTCCCTCGCGACGGTGCCGAGAGCAGGCCATGCCCAGTTGTACTTGGGCACTGTGCCGGCGATCTTTGGCGAGTTCTGGATGCGCGACTTGACCACGTCCATGGGCGTGTTGATGATGGTACCGACGGTTCCTCCGACAGCGCCAGAAATCAAGTCGTTTGTGACTTGGCCCTTCTTTGTGGTGGCGGCGGGGATGAGGGCGCGGACCTGGAAAATGCAGCCAAAGTATCCTGCGTTCCACAGGATGTGGCGCCACATTGTTGACTCGAGACCCTGGTAGAGGGTGAGGGGACCTTCTTGCTTCACAATCTTGGTCACGCAGTCGACCATGCCGTTGTACTTGTGCGATTGCGCCTTGTCTTGTAACCGGATCTTGACGAGTTCAAAGGGGACGACGACGAAAGCTTCGGTCGCTCCGGCGGTCGCGCCAGTGAGAATGGAGAGCGACTGGTTCATCTTGGACTGCCCGAACAGGTTGCGGTAGAAGGCGCCCCATGAGTCGTTTGCTGCAAATTTGGTGGCCCTGAGTTGTGTCAGGGACAGATCACGTTAGAAACGACGGCTTCGAAAATTGATCGCGTACCTCTTGGGAGCCTCCATCAAAATGGGCGCGGAGATACCGCGGTACAGCCTTGAAGATCTGCTTGACGTCAGTCCTGCTTGAAGCCTCAAATGTTGCATGCGGTCAGGCGTACCCTTCATGCTTGATAATCTTCCTGAAGCAGTCGACCATGCCATTGTAGGCTTCTTCACCGACCTCCTTTCCGGTTTGAAGTTGTCTATATACGTTTAGATGCGGTCATCATAAGGTTGGCAGCGAGCGATCCCTTACACTCGAGTCTTGACAACGTCCAGCGGGTACCTGTGATGATACGTCAGCAATTACACACCAAAGATTGTGTCCAACACTCACATGAGCAGAATCTGTGCGCACATGCTCCATTAGCATTGCCAGGTTCCACATGCGTTCCATTGCCGATTGCGCGCACTCACTTCTGACACACCAGCCACGGCACCTGGGTACTGTCAGCAACTGCTTCACGTGTTTGGAAGCTCAGGTAGCCGGTATTGGTGCGCTCTGGACAGTCGTCACACGGCCACATGCCGCATTGCTTGTTCTGTCGAGGCACCAAATGTTCACGGCTACCCGCCGTATCGGAGCTGTGCGGTCTCCCGCAATTGGACTGAGACTCACCAGCCGCAAATTGGTAGATGAAAGGCAGGGGCTTCGCTTCGGGGGCCGACATGTTTGCGGTTGTGACGGAGGGAGGGAATCAAGGACGGAGGGGGATGTTGGGGAAAAGAAAGACTGAGGTGGTATCTGTTGAGTGCGCGGATTGACCGCTGGCGTAGACTAATAATCTGGGGAAGCAGCGTGGGATGTGGCTGCCCCAAGCTCTCTCTCGGCCTCCGATAACGTCCAGCAACATCCTTTTGGCCGCTTTGCTTTACGGCTCCCCGGAGAACTCTGCCAAGTACGTCAACGCTGTTCAGGTGGTGCTGATGCCCCCAAGTTATACCAGCCATGTGGCTGACTCGAGTCAGCTCCCAAACGTCCAAAGTGCGGCATGTCTCGCCGATGTCGCTTACGTGATGGCATGTGTTTGACTGGTATGCACTGACCGGCACGGCACCTGATGACCGCGACGCGTCTCGTTCGCGTCAGCCAACCCCAGCCGTTCCTAGCTCGCCTTTTCCTATGGCGACTCGTCAGAAGTCTTTCTTTGACCAGAGCACGAAGCCAAAGGTGGGCCTTGCAACTAATACCAGTATTTTCCACATCGCATACTCACTTTCTCTCCTCAGCAATTTAGAGGCCAATGGCACCGCCCAGGCAATCTCCCCCGCCACCATAGCCACCCTGCACCTCCCGCGCGACACATCGTGACCGGCCCGCCCATAATGCCTTCAACACAAACACGCTCGAAGCTCAAGGCTTTCCAATTCATCGAGGGCGCGCCTTCCGTCCGGACTGCGAGGGAACGTGAGGCTGAAAAAGAGAACCTACCTGCACTTGAAAAGGCATCCAAGGCAAAAGAGACACCGAAGACGTCCAAGACCGTAAAGGAAGCTGGAAAGCCTTTCGAAACGCCCAACCCGCCAACGACAAAAACCTGCCCACCTCCCTCGACGCCAAATATGCGGCTACCACTCGCGGATCTGGTCGGGAACATCGACGATTCATCCAGACACGCCGTTGAAGATGTCGTCTCCCCGGAAGAGCAATTATCTTGGCGAGGATCCCAACCAGTCAACACACCTCTACCTCGGAAGACCAACAAACGCGCGCGGAGTTCGTCACCAGTAGGGCCGTCGCAGGATGATCTCAGGCTGGACTCAGCGAAGCGAGAGCTCACAACGCCCCAGGCAGACCCGGCCATGGAACTATGGTCCCGATACACAAGTAACAAGGGAACGCCAAGCGCGATCAAAAGCGTCGCCTTCGCACACCTCATCAACGAGGCATCACCTCGGTCTACTGTTGCTGCTGGCAGTGTCAATGGGCTGAGGCGTTGGGCGAGTTGTGGTACCGAGTTTCCTGCTTCGACCAGGAAAAGGAGGAGAACCCACGCCGTATTTCAAGGCGACAAGGAAGCCAGCGAGGACGTGTTCGCGGCTGCGCCAAGCTCAGACGGCGATGCCTACGGGCAACCAACGAAGCCAAATCTCGCCAGCATGGTCCAACGAATGAGGGAATGCGTAAAATCTAAACCGTCGCCAATACCATCAAGTTCCACACCATTACCTGAAACAACAGATCCCCATCAACCCTCGTCCGGCTCCCCTCTGCAACGGCGCGCACGCGAGCAGGACGACGAAATTTCGGAGACCCTACAGGTTGAGATTGAGGATTTGGAGGAGCAAGAACTTTTGGTCGAGGAGGAAGACTTTGTGGAAATTGAGGAACAACGCGGGTCGTCAGATGAATTTGGCGACGACGACTTCGATACAGACATGGTTGAGGCTCTCGACACGTCGCCAAGTGAGGTTGAACCATCTGCACACCCCAAAACTCATTCCACGATACCGACAGAGCCTATATACCCGCCTCCGCAACATCCACCTCACGAGACGCCTCTGAACGATCTGGAAAGTGAAGACGAGTTTGGTTTGGACGACGAGGATGATGCAGACTTGACGCATGTGGCATCATTGTTTGATGATAGACCTATCGATTCTCCTTTCGAGAACCAGGCACAGGCTGGGACTGATGCTGCTGCGAGTAATGCGGCACCACCGCCGGTTATAAGTTTGGTGGATGATGACTCTGATGATTTCGGTGACGACATAGGCGACGATGAATTTGCTGCAGCAGAAGTAGCAGCGACACAGACACCAACAACAACTGTATGTAGCATGGACGTTCATGGATTTTTATGAAATGAAGCTAAATTTTCAAGAGTCAACAGGATATCAGAGCCATTCAACGTTATCTCGTTAAGCGGGTGGACGAAGGGTCTTACACCACGGATCGTGGTTATCAGTTTCCTGAGAAAGTGCGCACCTTCACTACGCCCCCCATTTCCTGACCCGCAGTAGCTGACACTAATCAGATTTTGCTACTTGAAGAAGAGAAGACGAAGCTCTTCAAAGCCATCACTTTACGACAAGCTTGGTATGATACGCCCTGTACTCCGGGCTCCTTTGTCCACGTTATCGGAGAGTTTTCATCTACTGGACAATGTATCGTTGATGACCAACACAATATGTTAATCTTGCATCCGGACCATCTGATCTCAGCAACTGTCGTTGCTGACTCATTTGGATGTCTACGCAGAGCGGTGCTCCAGGACCGCGTCAAGGCGACTAGCAAGGCCAATTCACCAATGCTTTACGGAACACTCCTCCACGAACTCTTCCAAGAAGCCCTCAAAGTGAACAAATGGGATTCGGCATTCCTTCTAGAAACCATCGATAAGCTTTTGCCCAGTAAGTTCGAGACTATACTCGAAATTAACTCAACTTGCGAGGCGATCAAGGAACATATGAGCAGTAAATTGCCTGAGCTGCAAGCTTGGGCCAAGGTATTTGTTCGTGCAGAGCCTCGATCTGATGCTGTCGTTCGAGAGCGAAACGGGCGACAGGCGACTATGAGTATCAACAAACTTCTTGAAGTGGAAGAGCATGTTTGGTCACCTATGTATGGCTTGAAAGGAAACATTGACGCCACGGTTCAAGTCACGATGCAGGATGATCTAGGTGAACGTACTTTGACCGTTCCGTTTGAGGTGAAGACGGGTAAGAATTCATCCAACGCTGCGCATGTAGCGCAGACAGCTTTGTATAATTTGCTTTTGTCCAATCGATATGGTAAGCGCTCCTTTCTATTGGCTTGTTTCATTGGCTAAATTGTGTAGATGTTGAGATTGCATACGGTATCTTGTATTACCTTGAAACCTCCGACATCAGTCGTATTCCTGCTATTCGTAACGACATTATCCATATGATCATCAAGCGTAATGAGCTGGCCTGTTACGTGCGAGATCGCATCGAGTTGCCGCCAATGCTAAAGGAAGATTTCAAGTGTGGAAATTGCTATGCTCAAGAGTCATGTTTCTTATATAACAAGCTGGTCGAAGGTGGTGACGGCGAGTTGTTGAACAAGAAGGCTAAGGAGCGTTACGACGAGCTCGTAAAGCCACTCAAACCCTCAGACCAGGAGTTTATGAAGAAGTGGGACATGCTTCTAACCAAAGAGGAGTCCGATATGATGAAGTTCAGACGAGAGTTGTGGACTATGCTTAGCACCGAGCGCGAGAAACTGGGTCGATGTTTCTCGAACGTGATCTTAGAGCCCGGGTCTGGACACGAGGAGCAGAACGGCCAGAAGATCAACCGTTACAGTTACACTTTCACTAAGCAACGACCAAAGCCTGGATTCTCATTCACGGAGTCTCAACTTATCGTCGGAGAACCGATCGTTGTTTCAGACGAGCAAGGTCACTTTGCACTTGCGAATGGGTATGTCACAAACGTCAGGAAGCGTCGCATCACCGTGGCTGTTGACAGACGGTTGCACAACTCTCGTACAAAGCTTCCTGGTTTCAACTCGCAGAGCAACCAGACATTCACCGGCATCATGGAGGTCACCAAAGAGGGCCAAACTATTCCAAAGTACGAATTTGACGAAGAGCCTGTGCTGTACCGATTGGATAAAGACGAGTTCAGCAACGGCATGGCGGCAGCTCGCAACAACCTTATCCAGATCATGGATGATAGTGTTTTCAAAGCTCGGGACTTGCGCGCGTTGATAGTCGACGGTAGAGCTCCGGTGTTCAACCCTGTCGCGGCTGCCGCTGTCATTCCCCAATCGTCACAGATGTCCATGAACTCCGACCAAAAGGCTGCCATCTCCAAGGTCATGTCTGCGAAAGACTACGCTCTTGTGTTAGGCATGCCGGGAACAGGTAAGACAACTACTATCGCACATATCATCCGGACTCTTGTTGCCAAGGGGAAGAGTGTCCTGCTCACATCATATACACACACTGCTGTTGACAACATTCTACTCAAGATTCGGAACGACAAAATCGGCATCCTACGTCTCGGAGCTTCGACCAAGATTCACCGCGAAGTCAGAGAATTCGCAACTTTGGCTGCAGAGCCAAAAGATAGTCTTGAAGAACTGGAGAGGTCGTGGATGGAGCCGCCAGTTGTGGCTACCACTTGCCTGACCATCAACCACCCGTTGTTCAACCGCCGAGTCTTCGACTACTGCATTGTTGACGAGGCTTCTCAGATCACGCTGCCGGTCTGTCTCGGTCCGATTCGAATGGCTAAAAAGTTCATCTTGGTGGGTGATCACTACCAGCTACCACCCTTGGTGCAGAACAAGGAGGCAATGGAGGGTGGTCTAGACGTCTCGCTCTTCAAGCTTCTTTGCGAAGCTCACCCTCAAGCAGTCGTCAGCTTGGAACACCAGTACCGCATGTGCGCCGACATCATGCTCTTGTCAAACACGTTCATCTATTCTGGCCGCCTAAAATGTGGCACCTCCGGCGTCGCATCACGCAAACTCACACACCCCAAACCTGCTGGTCTTCTCACGCACCACCACAAACAACATCACTTCCGATCCAGCGCAGCGCCCACATGTGCCGGCCCAGAATCCTCCAACTGTTGGCTCTCCCGTACACTATCGCCCGAATTCCCTGTAGTCTTCATCAACACGGATCTTATCTCGGCAAATCTAGAAGCTCAGTCCGGATCCCGTATCACAAACACGCTCGAAGCGCGTCTCGTTACTCAACTTACAATCTCCCTCCTCGGTGTTGGTGTCCCCGCGGATGAAATCGGCATCATCGCCTTTTACCGCTCGCAACTCGCGCTCCTGCGTACAAGTCTTGCTACCGCATACACGCAAACCCAGTCCTCGGAGCTCGCTGCGCCGGTGGGCGGCCCGGGGTCTGCAGGCGTGGAACTCCACACTGCAGACAAGTTTCAAGGGAGAGACAAGGAGGTTGTCATTGTGTCTTGTGTACGGAGCAACGAGAATGGGACTGTAGGCGATTTGCTCAAGGATCGACGGAGAGTGAACGTGGCGCTTACGCGGGCGAGAAGCAAGCTCGTAATTCTGGGCAGTGAGAAGACGCTCTCGAGTAACGAGCTACTGCGCGACATGGTGGCTTTGTGTCGTGAGAAGAACTGGGTTCTCGATTTGAACATGGAGATGGTGGATAGCCATGCATTTGACGAAGGTGTGACGCAGACGGGGAAGACGCCGTCGCGACCTGTGTTTTCTGGGAAGATCCCGAGCCCCGTGGAAAGTCCGTGTAAGAAGCGGAAAGCGCTGGGTGATATTACGACTGGCGGTTTCAACATGAGCCCGAAGAAGAGAATGCCTGGCATGTGTAGTCCCGAAAGTGCGAAGACGGGCAGAAAAGTCCCGCAGAAGACGTTCAGGGCTGGGAAGAGGGGAGTGCTTGATGGCAGGCCGGTGTTGAGAGATATTTATAATGGGATGATGTGAAGGGTGTTTGTCGTTATTGGCTGGAATGGTAGATTTATGGATCGAGTTGACTTTGTCTGGGCATGGTTTAGGATAGTTCAGGGCGCAGTATTGGAATAGCTTAGCGTAGCCTTGCGTGGTGGGATGAATAGGTTTGGGTCCCATATCGGTAGTCTAGACTATGATCTGGAGGGTTCGGTACGCTGCGTGCAGGGTGAGAGTTAGATAGACTTGTATGAAATGTATTTGCGGGGGTGTACCGAGAAATCTTTTTCACAGGCAAAATGGTGTTTCATGTTCCGTGCGGAAATATAAACCACTCTAAGAACTAGCTACCCGAATATCAGAAAAGCGGCACCAACACATCAACACGTTCCTCTAGGAAGTACTAATCCCACCCAAGCTCTCTTCCCAGAGCCCACCTTACCCATCCGCTTCAACTCCTCCACGTGCTTCTTGTCATCCACATCAGCCTCCCTCTCCAACCAATCCTCACCTCCCCACAGACTCCAACTGTTTAAATCCTTCACCTCCCTCCAAGAGTCCAAGTTCTGTGGATACACAGCTCCCATCGCCCACTCCACAACCTTCTCCATAACAACATCAACGCGCTTCCCATCTTCCCTAATTTGTTTCTGCTTCGCACGGAATTCTTCTATCTGCACATGCCGCTTCGCAACCGCCTCTGGCATCTGGCAACGCGGCACATATGTCTTATCTTGGGGCACACGCGTACACCAACCCGCACCCTCATCAAACTCCCCATCCCCATCTTCAGAAGACGAAGAATCGTACAAACCCGCCCCCCACCCACGATCCCATCCCTCACTTTCCCCCGCGCGCCTCTCCTCCCGCGCAACCAACCTACCAACTTCCTCCTCCAACCGCGCCCTCTCCCTCTTCGCAGCCCGGAACAAAACATCCGTCTGCTCCGCCTCGCGCTCAAGCCCACCAATCCTATCCTGCAGCACCCGCACATCCCAGTACTTCTCATCTCGCGCTTTCTCCCCGTACTCCTGGCCACGCGCTAGCATTTCTTCTCTCAAACGCGTGGCCTCGGCGTCTCGCGCTGAAATTGTCTTCTCGTGCGCAAGCCGCTGCATGTCGGCCTCGGCTTTCCAGTGTTCGATGGTGGTGCGTAGATCGGCGATGTGTTCCTTCAGGAGGATGGTTTCGTCCTGTGAGTTGTGCAGTGAGGTGGTGAGAAGGCGGTTTTTGCGCTCGAGGTCTGGTTGGTACATTTTTAAGGCGGTGGATTTAAAGGCGGAGAATTTTTCTTCTGCGGCGAGACGGAGCTGCTTTTCTTGGTGGTAGAGGGTGCGGAAGGGATCTGCGTCCGGGTCGCGGGATGAGAGTTGTGAGTTGTTGATTTGCGCATCTTGAGATTCCAGGGCGCTGTTAAAGTGTTGTATAAGGCGGGAAAGTGCGCGATGAAGAGTAATAGTGAGAGAATGGTAAGTTGGTAGCGGTGGAGAGAGAATCACAAGGGGTTCACCACCGTCGCGTGTGTTGAATTGCAGGGCCTGCGATACAGCTTCGATGGATGTGATGAGGTGGTGAAGATCCGGCTGCAGATCCTCAGATGGCTGTTGGGCCTGCCAAGTGTGTTCTCCTGTTTCGTCCCGGTCTATCACCATCTCCGGCAGTTTGCTTCGGTCGTTATGTGCCGGTTGGATTTCGCCCGCGTTTTCTCCCGTGTCAAGGGTGTTTCCTTGAACTGGTCGGAACGAGTTGCCATGCTCTGCTTCCCCGTTGGATGGTCCCGACTCATTGAACTTACCGTCGTGCTGGGTTCGGTCCGCAGATCCTTCGTTATCTATCCCCGCTGCGTACTGACTTCTGGCAGGTGGGGCAGAGAACGGTTCTATAGAACCGACTTCTGTGGGAGATTGGAGATGGTCTTGATCATGGCTTGGATCCCACGCTGGAGTTTGTCCTGAGTGTGATAGCTCCTGTTGAGATGAAGCGTCTGACGACAGCATGGGTGTGGGTTCATCATGGCTTTGTGGAATTCCAAAAACGGGTGCCGGCGTAGCAGAGGATATGGCCGATGTAGCTTTATCTCTTGATAACAGAAGCTCATTCGATGCTGGAGTCGATTCATTTGTCGCTGGCAAAGAACCATCTGATGTCGTTCTCAGAGCCATTTCTAATGTTGATTGAAATGTTGTCGAAATGGCTTGATGCACTACCTCGTCGTCGCCATTGAGTCAAACCCCCTTCATGCTTCCAATCCAGGCTTCCCTCAGGCACGACATATTCCTCGTTTGCATTCACGTTTGTCTTCGTCCCCTTACTCACCATGCCCCAAATCGGTTCAGTTGACCGTTTGAACGAAAGCACGTCCGCAACCACCACTATTGCTGGATTTCACGTTCCTCCAGTGTTATTTTCAGCACCCACGTTCCATTAATATCCCTCCCCTAGCTTCAGTCTGCGTGGTAAGAACAAAGAACATCACACTCGCCCTGACCCGAAGTATCTGACATCTACATTCCGTCTGCGAATACGGACTCTTTGTCTCGGACGATACCACGAGATCTCAGGCATCCCATGGTACGAGAACTGACCAAGATCTCGCACCGTCTTGGTCTGAGACGTAGGTTTCAAGTGAGGCTTCGAATGAGGCTTCGCCCAAGTTCTGATCGCCAACATACAAGGAGGACTATTGCGAGTACACGTGGCAGCATTCTCAAACAGGTCATGCTAAAAATGGCTACCTGATTTCATATGGCAGGCCGCTTGCGGAAGAGCCGGTGCCACTGTTGCGGTGTTGTATATTGATGGAACGAAATGCAACAGTGTGACAGCGCAAAAGGTTGACAGGCCTCCAAATTAACCACGGGTCTTGCCTTATAGTACAGACCGGGGAACATATGACCCTATTTGAGGATGACTAGTCAGTGTTATAGTGATGCGCGTGGTGCACGATGTTCTGACACTTGCTAGGTGCTTGTGCAAAGTCACTCCCACTCCCTGCGTCCAGCAAAGACGTCATTGAGTGAGGGAGCTACATGGCTTTACTCACTGTACTGAAACGCGAGAGACAGCTCGCCCCTGAATAATTCGGACCGCCAATGACCAAGAAGTGACGCAGCCCAATATCGCTGAACTATCGTCAGTAAACTCACCAAAGCGTCATCCACCTCGCCGGAACCATCGTTTGCGAGATATGATACGGTGTTACTATCACGTGTACTCAACATTCAATATCGCATACCGAGACGAAATCCCGTGCCTAAGAGCGGCACCGCGGGCAACGAACCGCATTGGAGACGGTACCATGTTGAAAAAGAACTATATCGGACCAGATCCAGGATTGCGTAACAGCATAGCTTGGCTCCCGCCTCATGGTCTCCGTGGCACTCAACAAGCTTCAAGTAGCCGAAGCGGCAGCATCTATCCAAACGACCGTTGTGCTACTGAAAAGCTCTCGTTGAAGTGTACCGGATTTCACATCCCCTCGGCCGAGCTAAGACCGTGTTGACATGGGGAAGAGCCATAGAGTTTCCATGTCGATCTCCTCGCGACGAAAGCGTGTGAATACACGTGTGTAGTCCCTTTTGTTAGGGGTAATGCCGAGTGTGGTAGAAAAACTCAGGAGTAGGGTGAGGTGCCATGTTCGCTTCACGATGTTTGACGCGGGTCGTCGCCGGGGTGGGGTATCCGCAATATGGAGTGATAAGGTTCGGCTCTAGCTTCCGTAGGAGTGCAAGTGTTATCTAAGACTCGATCTATCTACCAAGTGTTTATCGAGTAAGTCGGGTGACGCGGGTGGTAGGAGGCTGTTGAAGGCGCGGAAGGATCTGATGCTATTTCAAATCCAAATCTAAGGATAATATCACCAATGACTGCTAAGGTTTTAGACCTAAATTGTCTTAATGATGAATCGGCGATGTACTACTCTTCGTTTAAAGTTGCGCGTCATCTCGAGTTCGCAGACACTAAATCGAGTGGCGCCCGGCCCGATGAACTACGTACAAGACTCCGATCTAACTGTGGCGCGTAATGGCCCTCCATCTCCATCCTGTTTACCATATGAGGGGAATAAATCATAGGAAAGTCGTGTTATGTGTGAGTATCATTTATGACTTCGACGGAGTTTATGCAAACACTCTTCAAGAAAGCACGTCTTGTAGTTCTTCATACGGCCGTACCATAGTACCGTTGGTCCAATCTCAAGGTCCTGATTGGCTTACGAGATCCTGTTATTTGGTATACGTTCGGCATCACGACGGGCACTTGCCCGTCTGAGCGGTGCGTTGAGCGGTACGATGGGGTAGCTAGTGACCACCGCCGTATCGATTGCGACATTCCGGATGGGTGGAAATGCTTTTGGTCATCACCGAAGCAGAACAGTCCGAGGCTCACAGGCGATATATCCACATGTTCACACGGCGCTGTGAAACTGCGATGCGGAGGCCTGACGTGACACATCTGATTCTTTGACGGAAACCGTACCGCTGACAGTTCGTTTGACATCGGATAGATGTTTTTCGGTCAAAGCGTACATCTCAAACCCCACAAACCAGAATGAGCCCCTGATACATCGCCCCAAAATACCTGTAGGCGAGCAGACGACCCACCCTTATGTTCGCTTGTGGTACTTTTGGCCTTTGAGGCTCGAACCAGAACGTTGAAACACTTTTTGATTGCTATCCCAAGCCGGCGATAGTGCATCTGGGCCGGCAGGTCCAGACAGGGTCGACCCCCAGTTTTAAAGTGGATCCTCCGGAAGCAACCGAACATGCACTGCATGCGTACAGGACGCTTGCTCTGACGTCCATAAGCTGGTTCACGTAAATGGGACTAGCAGTTAGTCTACCGTGGCGGGATTCCCGAGGAGCATATACCTCAGGTGGCAAAGATCGACAGTGTAATGACTGGGAGCAGAAAAAACAAACGAAAGGCGTCCAGCTCGAGCAACTGTAGTTCGGCCAAGTTTTTTTATGCATCTGACAGGCAACGCAATGTGATGAACTCTTTTGAAATATGCTCACATCAACAGACCTTGGCTATGCTCATAGAGTAATGCCGTGGGCCAGGTTCCTGAACTATAGGATACGGAATACGGTCTTGCGTCAGCCTGCTGCGTAAAAGTAGTAGTACAGGACCCCTGCATGAGCAGTTCAGGAAGGGGCGGCTTAAACTCTGCGAGTGCAATTGGCGGAAGGAATGTGGGTCTTATTTGGGTGGAACACCTCCAAGAGTTCTCATCAATAGCAGATAATACTAGAGACTCCGTGGCCAGCCCCAACGAGTGCTAAATGCATATGTTTACGGCTTGCCATTGGGTAACCCTGTCAAGATCGACAAACAGGACGCTACTAGGCAGATGTTTCTCTGGAATGGGCGTTCAGGAGAGTGCCAGGTGTTGGTCATGGCTCCTCGACGTAGGGACGGACGGCCGTTTTCAACCGCACGGTACGGGTGACATGAGTTTTAGACTTCGGGACAACAAACGGGATATCTATCTCAAGTTTCGCATCATTTATACAAACGTGATCGCCGGTAGACTCTTGTTCCAAAAACAGCACGAATTTCCTAACTTGGCGAATTTGACAAACCATTACCAATCCGGCCAGTCTTTGTCTATCTTCAGACAGCTAGGTGAACAACACATAGGTGAGTGATCGATATCGAGACCTACAGGTCGTTACAAATATCGTCCAAGTACTGATCTTTGGACAAAGGATCACCATCCGTCAAGTTGTCTTCAAACATTGCTCAAGTTGCCCCCTCACGACAAAGAGCCGAATCAAAACATCAAAAGTTAGACAGATCAGTTGTACATGACTGGGAATTTGCATCGTCTAGTCGTTTGAAGTGATTGCTTGTATTCAGAAAATTGAAGCCGGTAAGAAGCCTTTGCGAAGTGTTATGCACAATTGCGACAGAAGCAAACGCAACAACACATCAGCACTGTCCATGTTTCGACTGACACATATGCAGAGACACACCTGGACCGGAACCACTCAGTTCAGAATATCTCCAGAAACCACGCAAGAATCAATACGGCGTCTCGTATCTGTCGCTGAGCAGGTCTCACTACTCAAGGTGGCTCGACTGATATCGATATCCGTCTTCCAGATTTCCTTGTTCATAGAGATATTGTTGTCGTCGACTTTTGTTTCGTCTTGAATTGTTGAGTATCGCGCATTGTCGCGCCGCCTTTATCCGCCGTTTTCACCATCATCGTCATTCTGCGATCATCAAACGTCAAGACTGCCCATCATGATGAGGAGTGACACCCTCTTCCAACAACACCCTCCAACTCCACCTACCGGTGTAGAAGGTCAATCTGGGTTGCAGCATCTTTCCCAATATAACGCTGGGCCTAGGTATTCTTTCGACTCTGTAGGTTACAGTTCTCCAGGGGTGAGAGTGCACGAAGGGATCCCTTCGTATGCGTCACGTGCAGACAGCCACCAAGGAGAGGAATTTGGGTTAGGAATCCACTATGTAAGAGCGCATGTGTCCTCGTGCCGACAGAAATGCTGACCAAAACACAGGAGGGTTATGGTCCTGCGACAGAATACTTCAATAACGGGCAGTACAATGGCATGTCGGCAAGTAGACCTTTCGATGCACTCTTTAACAGTGCACTAACAGAACACAGAGCAGTCATACTATGTTTGCGCCGCTTACGCCAAGGTCTGCTACCGAAGATGATGCGGGCACAAGAAGAACGCGCAGTAGGCGCGCAACAGTACCTTTAAGATCTCCCCAGAGAAAAGCTGCAAGCCCCCGACCTAAAGCGACGCCAAAAACCAGGAAAACAAAGGCAACAAAAAGTGACAAGGCAAAGACACCCAAGTTGACTGCGCCTCTCAGTATCTTGACGAGAGAGTTGCACCATATTCCAGTCAAGGACATGGAAGGATGGGTGAACAGACCAGCCGATGTCAGGCGAAGGGAAGTCGAGAAGCGAAACGGATACATTACGAGACCCATGAATTCTTTCATGCTATATCGGTCGGCATATGCTGAGAGAGCCAAGTCATGGTGTCTGCAGAACAATCACCAGATCGTATCGTCGGTCGCTGGAGAGAGCTGGCCCTTGGAACCACAAGAAGTACGAGACATGTTCAACAATTTCGCAAAGACCGAAAGGTTGAACCACCACAGCGCACATCCAACATACAAATTTTCGCCCAGCAAGGCAGCAGCCCCACCCCGGAAGCGGAAGAGTGAATGGTCGGATGACGATGAGCCCAGCGATCTTGACGATGGGGAATGGGCTCCCGGCAGTGGCAGGTCTCGTTTCAGACACGCAAGACGGTTTGACCAGTCGATCAGTTACCCTACAAATGGCGTAAACGTAGGGTTTTTTGAACAGTCGTTTGGGCCCAACAGTCATGGCATGAATAGGTCGTCATGGGACATGACAAATGAAGGAAGGCCAATGCCCCTACCAATACAGACCGATGTGTACGGTCAATACTTACAGACCTCTGCCTACCCAAGCCTCAACATAAACCAGAACTTTTCGGAAGATTCTCACATGAGAAGAGTGAGCTCACTGGTCTCCCCTACACAGTTCTCATCCAACCAAGGGCTGTTGGGTCTGCCAGGAGGCAATGCCAATGACTTGCTGCAACCAATGGGTACGTCTTTCGAAGAAGGACAAATGGACCCAATACTCCTGACTTATGACGTTGGAAACCTTGCCGACATCAACTCGGGAGCAGTCCAACACCACGGCTGGCGAGCCGGCTATGCGAACATGTTCGACGAGAAGCTTGAGCAACGAAGCTTCGACAACTTGTTAGATCTGACGCCAACTCGAAGCGAGTTCCCCTCTGGCTGCTGGCAGTCAGATCCAGCCATGGTGTCGCTGGAGCAAGAGTCGGAGTTTGACAAGTGGATGGGTGAACGTTAGCCTGGTCGCAAGCTGGGTGAAGTGGTTTGAGGTGATTTTCATCATTGACGTCGTCGCTCTTTCAGCATCATCAGCGTTCATAGCGATATGATATACAAAGCATATTTCCAACATGTAACGAAGCTTTTCTTCTGATTGCATTCGTGGTAACATCATGCAAGGCGTTGGCCGGAACGAAATCTAAGATTTCGAGTTGCATTTACAAGCGTTCCTTTTGCATTACATAGAGAGCATAGCAGTTGCAAAACAATATATCTTTCCATCATATTGACCTGCCTTGAGTGATGTCGCTGAAGTGATCAATGAGGCTTTTGGAAATCATACTTCAAGTTATTTCTTTTAATAATCTTGAGTGTCTTCAAACTTATTATAGATATAGATAGATGCAATACAGTCTAAACCCAGCTCTTGTACATACGGTAGCTATGAGTAATAGTACCATAAAAAGTGATAGTACCATAAAAAGTGATAGTACCATTAAAAGTGGTAGTACCATTAAAAGCAACAGAGAAGCGCAGCTCATCAAACATCTCCTGAGGACCGACCACTTAATGTACTGATGCGAGCACGCCTTTTCAAGCGTCCAGGCAGCCGCTGCTAGAAGTTTGGTTCTTCAAGTTTGGATTCATGAAAATTCTTCGGTCGACGGGTAATACCCCACACATGGTGCTCCAACCTATACTCACCCGGAGAAAAGAAGAAAACCCTGAAGTTAGTGAACGTGGTATGAAAGAGTGCGAGCATATACGCGTTAAGTTGAGGGGATGGAGTTGGTTCTCGAAAGGCTTGGCGCCCCACCCTCTTCAACGTTACGCGACGCGCCTGCCTTTTGAGGGGGAGGGGTCAGCATTAAGCAAACATTACCTTTACACGAGTACAATCCTTTCGTCTGAGTATTTTCCTGGAAGTCACTCTAGTTTAGCCTATCCACAAACACAGAAAGAGCGGGAACATTGTCAATTGAGACTTGCGACGTCAACACAGCACAGCGTTCAAACAACCAATAGCCAGAGCTATTCACACCATCATCATGTACGGCGAAACAGCCAACAAGCTCGTGAGTACTCCATACACCTCTCCAAACAATGCCTAATCCCACACCTTCCTCAATCCTCCGCACTACTCTCCCTATCCGTCCCATACCACCACTCTCCCAACCTTACCTCTTGCTCCCCACACGCCCTACACGCTCTACACGCCGCACTAACGACACCCCCGCAGGTCCAAAACGCCAAACGCACCCTCGCCCTCCCCCACCTACCCCCCTACGCCACCGAGCTAATCCGCTCCACGATCCGCGAAGTCCGCGACCTCGACCGCGACGTATCCTCGCTTCTCTCCCCCTTCAGCGGATCTTTCAACCCGTCCTCCGAGCCCGCCACCGCCTGCGCCCTGCTCGTTAACCACCTGTGCATGCGGCGCAACAAGCGGTGTCTTCTGGCGTACCACCGCGTGCGGAGCGATAAGCTGGAGGAGTACTGCTGGGAGGGGGTAGATGTGCTGGAGCAAGGGGGCAAGAGCGGGGGCGGGGAGAGTAAAGGCGGAGAAGGTGGGCTGAGGGGCGGCAGCGATGAGAGTAGTCTCAGCCCCGAGGAGGAGGAATATGTCAGGCAGTATAGCGATTTGCTGGCCGCGTATAAGGGGCAGTGGACGGATGTGGATCTTACGGGGAGCTTGGATCCGCCTAAGGATCTTTTTATCGATGTTAGAGTGCTGAGGGATGCGGGGGAGATTCAGACGGAGTATGGGTATGTATATGATATAGTCTGTGTTGTGCTTGTAACGCTGATGATGAGGTGTAGGTCTATCACTCTGACGAAGAACAGCCAGTTCTACGTCAGGCAGGGCGACGTGGAACGTCTGATTGCGCAGGGCTATCTCCAGCGACTGAGTTGAGCTGGGGGGAGTGGAGGTGAACTCATAATCGACTACGCCACGGACGACTTCCTCCTCATCCTCCCTTCCCAGACCGCGCGCGCAAGCCCGTATTCCCACATGACCGAGAACCCACACCTCGCATTCCACTCCCTCCATCATGAAACACGAGACACACGCCCAGACATGCATGTCCGTTCCCGCATACCTGCGTTTCAGCCGCATATCATCAGATAGACAGACGGACGGACGGATAAACGCCACTTGTTTCGTTTCATGTCACGTACTGGTGTGTCTAAATTGGTCTTCGGCGGAAGAGCCGCGCTGCCGGAAGCGGCGGAGGACGTGACGTGGGGACCGCCACTGGGGATAGTGACGGGGGGAGAAAGGAATGCGCACTACGTGGAGGGGGGTGGATGGCGTGTTTGATCTGTGGGAGAAGTGTAGAAGTTTTGGGGGGTGCGGGATGTGTGGTTGTGGCTGTTTGTTGAAGGGAGATGGGATGAGATGGTGTGCATGCACGTGAGTGACGAAGTAAGCGTTAGACAAAAAAAAAAGAGTCACGTCAAGAAAGACACAAGCAAAGCAAAGCAAGTAGAGAACTCGATATATTATCTGTCTAAGCACAGAGTAGGTAATAGTAGTAGTGGTAGTAACTACGTGTGTGTGAATGGGCTAATATACAAGCATCAATCCCCTTCCTTTCCGTTCCATCCATCCGTGCGATCGAGAGTCGCCATTTTTTGCGCATATGTTTCGAGTGGTAGACATCCGGATTGACCTGCGAAGAGGGGGCGTGTAAATCGAAGAAATCATCGACGAGATAGATATAGAGAGAGAGAGAGCTCGGGTGATTACTCACATGTACATGGCGTGGGTACACTTCCTTCGAAAGCGAGTTCTCGTCCCCCCCTCCCCCCCGTCCCCCGTTCAGATGCATATTTTTCTTTGGCTCCATTCATTCCGTTCCATTCCATTCCATGCCATCCCAGAATATGCACACCATCATCCCCACGGCTTGGATATGGAGATCGAGAGAAATGCAAAAAAGGCAAGAAAAAAGAGAACAAACAGCTGGCTACTGTTGTTCTCTGCACACACACACATGCACACACATACCTCGAAGAGAAACCCGTCTCAGACAACGCTGTATTTGCCCGTCGGACCACGAGTCGTCGACGCCTCCTCGGCCGCAATAGTTCCCTCGCGCAAGAGACGAGTGAGATCCTGCATAGCCTGTGTGACGACATTCTCGGTATCGCCCTCGACGAGGATGTACAGTTTGGGCAGATCGGTTTCTGTTATTCTGTTAGCTTGGGTGTCGCATGTCGATGTCGAGTTGGGGGTGTACTGACCTCCTGGTTCCTTGCCGGGGGCGTAGAAGACGCCCTTGCTTGTGATGGAGACACCAGTCGACTCGAGGATCTTCGCGACGTTTGTGCGGTTGGTGACGGCCCATCGCGCCTTCTGCGGGAAGTCGTTGATCTCGATGGTTGAATGGTATAGACCCGCGTCGGGGCCCTTGTTGTCGATCGGCTGTCCGGCGTGGATCATGCCCTTTTTGCTAAGACGGCCGTCGACCTTCATGGCAGCCGCCATTGCCTTTTCCCTGGGCGTCATAGGCTTGCCGGATGCGCTGGCTTCGGGGCGCTCAGTCTTGCTGACGACGACCTTGCTGTTGAGGATCTTCATCCAGGAGGGTTGGTCTTCGGTCTCGGCTGCAGCTCCGTTAGCCGCCTTTTCGATACCAGGGCCGGCGACCTCGGGCTTCTTGAGGGCCGGCAGCTCAGGCTCCTCGTCGCTCTCGTCATCGTCGCCCATTTTGTGGGCGCGCTTCTCGCGCTTCTTCTCCAAGGCACGTGCAGCGTCAAGCTTGTCGAGACCTTTGCCACCGAAGCCAGTGTACCATTTCTCCTCGCCCGACTTGACCTTCTCGTGGAAAGTGTCGACCATCTTCTGTAGATCGTCAGATACATCGTGCCCGCTCTCCTTCAAGGCTTTGGCGATGTGAACAGCAAACCGCTCTTGGCCTGGGTTCTCGATCAGTGTGATCGCAGTGCCCTTGTTGCCTGCTCGTCCCGTGCGTCCGCATCGGTGAACGTAGTCCTCCAGATGTGTCGGGCAGTCAAAATTCAAGACCATGGCTAGGCCTGGTACGTCCAAGCCACGAGCTGCAACAGAAGTAGCGATGAGAACAGAAAGGATACCTTGCCTGAAGTCGTTGATAGCTTCGTTACGATCAGTCTGGTCTTTAGCTCCGTGGATAGTGTTGACAGAGTAATACTTGGCTTTGAAGAGCTTGGAGAGGAGATCTTCCGCTGTTTCTTGACGCTCTGTAAATATGAGTACTTGCGCGTTCTCATCATCAGCGAAAAGTTGACCAAGATGCAGCAGAGTGTTAGAGATCTTCTTCTCATACGAGGGTAGCACGAGGGAGATGATTTGGGTAATTTCAGGAGCAACCTTGCTTCGACCGCCAATGATGACTTCTGCCGGCTTGTTGAGCGCCTTTCGGGCAAGCGCAGCCATGTTCTTTGGAAAAGTTGCAGAAAACAGGATGGTCTGACGATCAGGGCGAACGTTTGCGAGAATCTTCATGACTTGCGGCTCAAAGCCCATATCGAACATGCGGTCAGCTTCATCAAGAACAACATAGGTGATGCGTCGGAAGTTGAGAACTCGACCTGAGTTGCTTTGCAGAAGATCAATAAGACGGCCGGGCGTCGCACAGAGCAGATGGATCCCACCTCGCTTCATCATCGCGATTTGATCAGAGATGGGCTGGCCGCCATACGCGCACTTGATGGTGAGTCCTGATGCGCTGAGGAAGGGCTTAAGTTCAGCGCCGATCTGCAGGCACAGCTCTCGAGTGGGGGCTAGGATCAGTCCGATGGGGCCGTCAGCAGGCTTGAGAGGACGCTGGTCTAGAATGTGACGAATCATAGGGATACCAAAGGCGAGTGTCTTGCCGGAGCCGGTCTTGGCGACTCCGATTAGATCTGAGCCTGATTCGGCGATGGGGATCGCTTGAGACTGGATCGAGGTGGGCCGCTCGTATCGCAGCTTCGTAAAGACATCCATGGTCGCTTGCAGCAAGCCCATCTGTGCCCACTTCGTAACCGGGCGCGTCACATCATCCGGCTTGACCTTGATGCCGTCCAGCTCGTGCCTGAGGTCGGCGACCTCCTCTGGCGTCATCTGTGTGACCTCGGCTGGCTCAGTGTAGAAGTCTTTGCGAAATGGCTCGTACTCAACTTTGTCATGGTCGATTGCGGGCACTTCCTTCTTCTTCTTCCGCGACGCGTGCAGGGCGAGCAGGTCCTCTGCCTCGACCGACGTCTGCTCGGGCTCGAGGTCGTCGTTGAACATGGCCTGGCCCTGGGGGGCGCCGCGCTTTGGCTGGGCCTCGCCGAGGTCGGCCATGAAGGCATCGAGAGGGTCGACGTCGTCTTCTTCGGCGCCTGCGGATTCGTCAACGTCCATCTTGTCGGCGCTGTCGTCGGCAGCGGGGGCTTCTTCCATGCGCGAGTCCTCGTTTGCGACCTCGGCGCGGCGCTTCTCGAGCTGGGCCTGCAACTGGGCATGTGTCTCTGCGTCCTCGCTGCCGAAGTCGCTCATGGCCGCGTCGTCCTCGTCGTCCTCGTCGACGTCGAGCGAGGGCGCAGGCTCGTCGATGGGCGTGAACTCGGGGAGCGCCTGGAACTTGCGCTTGCCCGTGTCGTCCTCGTCGTCGAGCAGCGTCTTCTTGGTGGCCTCGCCTTCGGTAGCCGTCTTCGCCTTGAGGCCGAATGAGCCGATGTTGCTGTTGGCCTTGGCCGCCTGTGCAGCAGCGCGGCCTGTGTGGGTGAGCATGTGACTCGCAAGCAGGGGAAGGGAGGGGCACGTACTGGCTGCGAGGGCGGTGACGGGCTTGCCGGCGGGCTTGGCCAGCAGCGGGCGGGCGGCGGCCGACTCGTCGAGCTTGAAGGTCGACTTCTCGGGCTGCTTCTGCTTGACCTTGTCCGTGGCGCTCTTCTGCGGCGCCCGGGCCTTGGCGGCTTCTGGTTTGGTGTCGCTGGCCAGTGGTGATGCAACGGTGGCAGCAACGGCAGCAGGAGCGGGCGTCGAGGGCGCAGTCGTCGTTGGCGAGGCTACAGAGGCCGCCGGGGTGTCGCCCTTCTCCTTGGCCAGCCGCTCGGCGTTCAGCTTCTTCCACTCGGCGAGCTTCGCGGCCCGCTCTGCCTGCTTGTCCTGCTGCTGTTTCTCAGGGTCCTTGCGCTTCTCATCGCGCGCGTCACGCTTGCTGTCGGGGGCGGGCGTAGCATGCGACGAGCCCGGGCGGTATGACTGCGAGCGCCGCGACCTATCGTCGTTGTCGCGGTCGCGCCTGTAGCGGTCTCCATGGCGGTCTCGTGACCTGTCCCGGCGGCCTGGCGAACGCGAGCGGCGGCGGTGCGTGTCGCGGTCTCGGCGGTCGTCTCGACGGTCATCGCGGCGGTCGCGGCCCCCTCGGTCTCTGTCGCGGGCGCGGTCGCGGTCGTCGCGGACTCGACCCCCGCTGTAGCGGTCTGCATAGCGGTCCCTCGAGCGGTCACGGCGGGCTGGCGACCTGGAGCGGTTGCGGCGGGGTGGGGAGTAGCGACCACGGTCGCCGCGGTCGTACCTTGATGAATCAGCGTGGCGCGTTGCCATGGCGGCTCGTGGAGCAATACTATCAGGGCGCAGTGTGGCAGCGGTGCGCTCGGCGTCGTTGGCCGCGGCTCGAGATTCTTCGCCGTCGCGTGTCTGGGCGACGTCAAAGGCGGAGGAGCGACTTTGTAGCCTGCATGACGCTAGTCGTCTTAGCGTAGAAATTTTGGGACATTGTCAAAATTTTGGGAAGGGACCAGGCCTGCAACTGCACAACACCACCTGCACCGCCGACATGTCTGTGAACCCGCGCAAGAGAAAGGTCGTCACCCGGCCAGCGCCGCCGCCTGAGAGCGACTCGGAGGAAGAGCTGGCCGACGGGCTTTTGGAGGGAATCCTGTCGCATTCTGAAGACGACTCGGACGACGAGCAGGAAGAGGGCGATGACACCGATGCTAGCAGCATCATTGAGGGTCTGTCTGACGAGGACGCCGAGGACGAGGATGAGGCCGACAGCGACGAGGAGGGGATCCGCGAGCAGATTCGCAACCTGAACACTTCAGACGGCCCGCTCAAGCGCAAGACGGCTGGCCTGACGCATGACATGGACCTGGACGCTGGCGCAGACGGCGAGCTGGACGACGACGACGAGGACCTCAAGCCCAACTACACGGTCGCCACCGACGCCAATGGCAACAAGCGCTACATCTACAAGGAAATCGACCCCGTCTACGAGTCGGACGACTCCGACGCCGCCGATGTGACCAACACAATCGGCGACATTCCCCTCACCTACTACGACGAGTACCCCCACATTGGCTATGACATCAACGGCAAGAAGATTATGCGCCCTGCCAAGGGCGAGGCGCTGGATGCTCTGCTGGACAGCATCGACATCCCCAAGGGCTGGACTGGTCTCACAGACCCCCAGACTGGCAAGCCGCTGAACCTGACCGACGAGGAACTGCAGGTGCTCAAGAAGCTCACCAGGAACGAGATTGTAGAGGAGGGCTACGACCCATACCCAGACATGGTGGCCTACTTCTCTGGCAGGCTGGAGGTCATGCCGCTCAGCGCTGCACCAGAGCCGAAACGACGATTCGTGCCTTCAAAGCATGAAGCCAAGCGCGTCATGAAGATTGTCAAGGCCATCAGAGAAGGTCGCATCCAGCCGTACAAGGCGCCAGAGGAAGAGGAGGAGCAACAAGAGACTTACTACGATGTGTGGTCCGACGAGAAGCCGCGCCCTGAGCACTCGATGCACATTCCCGCTCCCAAGCTACCCCCGCCAGGCTACGAAGCGAGCTACCACCCTCCCCCCGAGTACCTACTAGACAAGGCCGAGGAAGAGGCGTGGCTGCAGGAGGATGAGGAGGATCGGGAGAGAGAGTTTCTTCCCAAGAGCTACGATGCGTTGCGCAAGGTTCCTGGTTACGAGACATTCGTCAAGGAACGCTTCGAACGCAGCTTGGATCTATACTTGGCCCCGCGAGTACGAAGAAACCGACTCAACATCGACCCTGAGTCGCTGCTTCCAAAGCTGCCAGATCCAGAAGACCTGAAGCCCTTCCCGACCACCTGCGCGGCTATCTTCAGAGGCCAAGAAGGCCGTGTCCGGTGTGTTTCAATCGACCCAATGGGCATCTTCGTCGCTAGTGGAGGCGACGACGGTCACGTCCGCATATGGGAGCTTCTGACAGGCCGTCAAGTCTGGAACGCAAAGTTGTCCGACGACGAGGCCGTTGATTCAGTACAGTGGAGGCCAGTAAAGGATGCCTGCATCCTCGCCGCTGCAACTGGTGAGAGTGTCTACCTCATTGTTCCCTTCACATTACTATCCCCCGACGTCGAGCAGAGCAGTCGCGAAGTCCTCGACGCTGGTTGGGGCTACGCAACCTCCAAACCGTCCAAAACAACCAACGGTGAAGCCCCCAAGCTACCACCAGGTAAGTGGAGTCGCCCTGGTGTTCGTATGGAAAACAAGGGCATTCTTGTCCAAGTCGAAGTGCGCTCCGCCATCAAAGTAATCAACTGGCACCGTCGCGGTGACTACTTCGCCACCGTCTCCCCCCGCGGTCAGAGTACCGCAGTAGCCATCCACACTGTCTCTAAACATCTCACTCAACTGCCCTTCCGCCGCCTCAAGGGCATCGCGCAAACCGCACAGTTTCATCCTTCCAAGGCCATCTTCTTCGTCGCCACCCGTAATACCATCCGCAGCTACGATCTCGCCAAGCAAGAGCTCGTCAAGATCTTGCAGCCCGGTGCGAAATGGATATCGTCTATCGATGTGCACCCCGGTGGAGACAACATCATCGTCGGTACCTACGACAAGCGACTGCTGTGGCACGATCTCGACCTATCCAACAAGCCCTACAAAACCCTGCGCTTCCACAAGGAGGCCATCCGTGCAGTGCGCTTCCACCAGGGAGGTCTACCGCTATTTGCGGATGCCAGTGATGACGGCAGTTTGCAGATTTTCCACGGCAAAGTTGTGGGCGATTTGATGGAGAACGCGACCATTGTGCCGTTGAAGGTACTCAAGGGACACAGGGTTAAGAGCCGCCTGGGTGTGATGGATCTGGATTGGCATCCGCGAGAGCCGTGGTGTGTGTCTGCGGGTGCCGACGGGACGTTGAGGCTGTGGAGTTAGATGGGATACCAGTGTAGATCATGTAGATCGCATGGCGGCGTTTTGGCGAGGGAAAATGATACATTTGCGTGCTCAACATCTACTGATGGGATTTTGAATGTGATTTGATCGTTTGGATTGTGCTTTTATCGTCTTTCACAATGAGAACCTCGCTGCAGTACTAATAAGGATATGGGTGAACAACCCTCATCCCTTGGCACGTGATAGCTATGAGGTGGGTCTACAGTGGGGTTGGTTGTTACCTACCAGCATACATCTCGCATCACAATTTCCCTTCCGTAGTGACACTTCAAATCAACACTCCTAGACATGAAGCTCGGCAATCAGCAAACACCTGGCTTCGATGCAATGGCCGTTTTACGCCACGATATACAAGAGAAGACGCACCACGTTGTGAGCATACGACAGCTCGATGGACCCTCCGACCTCGTAAACTGGCCCACACGTTCCATACAAAACAGCCACCAGTTCACGGTCCGTTGAGCGAGCCGCTGTTCGGCGCGTGCACGCCTCCGTCATAGAAGCTCCCATTCGAGGCGCATCTAAGGCCTCGATGGTGTTTGAGCCAATCACATCGTTATCAGACACCGCGTGCTCCAGCACCCAGTCTGCGACAAAAGAGCCCACGCGACACATCCCAAGAGTAGTAATGCTGCTCAAATATCTTGCTCGTCGTCTCTCTACCACCCGTCCTCCGTTTTTTGTCGACAAGCAGAAACTGGACAAGGGCTAGATGTCTGGTAACAATCAGCGCGCTATCATGGCCAACTTTCCGCCAACCCCACAGCCGTCCACCGATATCACCGGCAAGAGCAGCGCAAATGCCCCTCGTTTGGAGAATGCCCTCACCCTTCCTCCTGCGGCCATAAACAGTAGAGGGAGGACAGCGAGCTCATCTGCGCGGTCTGAAAGCGCTTCGGATTCGTCCTACAGACCACCATCACCAGCCTCACCCGTTGCGACATCGAAGAGTAGCCATGCTCGCAAGCGCTCGAGTACCACTGCCCAACTGGGGATTGTGACCAAAGACGATTACTCTCTTCCTCCGCCGCCGACTCGCCGCGCAAAGATCATTCAAATGCAACCCAAGGATACGCAAGAACCACCCAAGTTCGACTCCCAGACACAGAGCGCAAAAGCCACCACTGCAGCCGGAAATGGCAGCAAGAAGAAGCAAGCTGGTACGACTACTGCTGCAGGGCGGAAGATAGCAAGGAAGACAGCACACAGCTTGATCGAGCGGAGGAGAAGATCGAAGATGAACGAGGAGTTTGGGGTGCTCAAGGATATGATACCTGCGTGTAGGGGTGAGGAAATGCACAAACTGGCTATTCTGCAGGTACAAGCGATATGTTCCATCATAGTACTGCGTATTCTAACAACACGAAGGCATCCATCGAGTATATGTGTTACTTGGAGCAATGCGTCGCCGACCTCAGGACAGCGCACCAGTCGCAACGCGACTCACCTTCATCCGCAACATCAGACCTCCCCCCACCTCCCGCGACCAGGCCCGCCCTTGAAGACGACAACGAAGACGAATCCGACAACGACGAAGACATGGAAGACGCAATCTCCCCTACAGCGCCAACCACCGCACCACCCCCATCCACCTTCCAACTCGCAACCACCTCCCCCGCCATCTACCCATCCGACAGAAGCATCTACACCCACTCGACAACAACATCCCCCGCCATGCTCCCCCAAACCCATACCCCCTACTCCGCAAACCCATCCCCAGCCCTGAAACCCTCAGACCCCCACCACTACTCTCTGGCTCGCTCACCATCTCTACACGCTTCGCCTGCGTTCGGCGCCCACACACCCTCCGCACCCCACTTCAGCAACCCTTTCTACTCTGGACCGCCGAGTACCGGCCCCATTGCTGCTCACGCGTCGTATCACGCCGTAACGCCATTCGCGCTCACGTCCCCCATGTTGGGACCGCAGGCGGATCGAGAGGATCAGGAAGCTACCGAGGCGCTGATGATGCTGAATACGGATCGCAGGTCGCGTGGTGGTGGTGGTAGTGGGGCGCGGGGGATGAGCGTTAGGGAGCTGCTTAGCGGGTAGGGTCGTGTATATGTATTGTTTTGTAGGGTGACGGCGTTTTTTTTCTCCAGGGCTTTACGAATTGCAAAGATGGTCTTGGATTGTATGGAGGACTTTTGTGTGCTTGTTGGTGGTGGGGAGGGGGTGCGTAGAGTGTCGGAATACATTGGTCGGGTTGAACGAAGAACTGCTGTTCATGTATATAAAAGCACCACTATCCAGTAGACTCGAAATCCTATCCAGTGGATCAACGCTTGCTACCATACTGAGCCTAGCGAGGTTCATCTCACATACCATCCAACTAACAATTCACTCCACTCCACTCTTAACCCCCGTCGTATCTACACCCCCTCTCTCCAGTCCAAACATCTCGTAGTGCTAAACCATTAGCCAGAATTATAACATAACGAAAAGCTTGCGCTAACGTACCGTGCAATATTCCCAATCCAACAATTATGCGCAAAACTGTAAATTGTAGTTGTTGTTTTGCAGGCAGGTGTTACACGACAGACAGGCAGGCAGGAAGGACCCGCGGGGCGCGGGTGGTATTGCTGCTGGGGGAACAAGGACGCTGATACTGGGGGGCTTGGGGATGTAGATGTTGATATCTCCGCTTTTGGTTGTATATCGTCAGTAGAGGGGATCTTTGTTTTTGTCTCATTGTTCTGCTGTCCCATCTTCAAAGTGCGAGGGGAAGGGAAGTGTACTTCCGCTATCTCACCTCACCTCCTCATATCACCAACATCAACATCAACATCAAGAACGCAGTCCTGGCAGAAAGAACAAAAAGCCGCAAATACAAAGCGCAGGCCTTTAGTAGCGTCAAGCTTAGTAATGCGCAGGGTTCTGCTTCCCAAACTCCCAACGGGTGATGAACTTTGGGGTCTTTGGAAAGTTTGATAGTGGTTGTTTGGATGGACGAACGTAACGCGTAGCGAGGAACGCTTAAGGTGCGCCGATAAGGAGAGTTGGAGTGAGTGGATGTTGTGCGGTACTGTCTTCTTGCTCTTTACATGTACTCTTGAGGGCTGTTACAAGTCTATATGTTCACTTTGAGGACGGAGATGGAAATGGCATCGTCTGGCTTGACTATCCGGATCTTCGATGATGCGTTTCTTTGACAAGCTTCGCGAATTTAGCAAAAGAATTCGCTGTAGCTTACTTTCGAAAGGGAGATCTTGCAGGGGCTAGATAAATACATGCGAAAAAGATTGCGAGAAGTATACGTCTTGAGTATCACAGGTATACGCCTACCGGCCTGAATTATTTGATTTTTGGTGCAGTGGGCGTTTTCTTGCTGGGCGGGATTTAGCTTAATTTCGCGTGTTGTGACAGATCGAGAGACTTTGTATCCACGTAGGCTGAACCTGTAGCGTCCAAGAGACTACAGCTACAAGCATTTCTGTGTCAGTTACACGCACAAATTCCACACAAGTCTTGTTTGTTCCGAGAGTTGTCAAGGTATATAAGATTTCTCGTGGCTAGCTATGTTGATAAATAAGCAAGGGGTATATAGGTCTAGCAATAAACAGATGCAAAAGAACTCCGCTAGGCACTTCTGACATCCACCGAGGCGGGAGTGGAAGTTCAGTCGAATGGCAGTATCCCGTAACAGAGTCTTACACTAAACCGACTCAGTTCGGTGCGTATGTTCAAGAGCCTTCTCAATGCTGGCCCTCGCCTCGCCCTTGACTTGCTCACTGGCGACGGCAGTAGCATCGTCTTCAAGCTTGGAGTGACCCATCTTCGTCTTCCACGCCTTTGGTCCATTGTCGCTGAACATTTCTTCGATTTCCTCAATCGTTTTCTGGCAAGTCTCGGGATACGCAAGCCAGAAATGAGCAGCAGCGAGGAAACACATGGCGCCGAAGGTGATGAACAGGCCCCAGCGGATGTTCAGGAAGCCGGGTGGGATGAAAAGACCAATGGCGAAGTTGAATACCTTTAAAGCGAGTTAGTGATTGTTATACATTATTAGAGGGACTAAAAAATACCCAGTTGCCTATGCTACTTATTCCCATGCCTACGGCACGCGTCTCGAGCGACCAGACTTCTGCGGCGTAGACCCAGCAGATGGGCGCGAGTGTCAGGGCGTAGATGATTATCAAGAGGTACGAGAAGGCGATGACGGTGTATGCTGGGGAGCCTGTGACGCGCATGACCACGTTCTTGTCGCCGCCAACACCATCTAAAGAATGTGTGAGTGGATACGTTTGGAAAAGGGTTGGAAAAATGCACTTACCGGGAACATATGTGTAATGGGCACCTAAAGTGCCACCGACGACCATATGACACACACCCATAGCGACGGCACCCCAGATCAGTAGTGTTCGTCGACCAATCTTGTCGACAAAGACGAACATTATGGACGAGAAGATGATGAATAATGCGTACTGCACACCAGACGAGATAAGGTTGATGTTGCCCGACAAATTGGCCATTGTGAAGATGTAGACGACGTAATACTACAGCAACGAGTTAGCAGGTTTCTAAAATGCGAGTTGGATCCAGATGTTGACATACAGTCATGACATTGGCACCAGACAGCTGCTGCCATGCCTGTACGGAGAAACCAGTCAAAGTTCGTCGCCACATGCCGTTGTATACGAACTTCCTCCAAGACTTGGGGGCAAGACGCTCAGCAGTGAGAACAGTGATGATCTCCTCGTATTCTGCAATGACGTACGGATCGTTCAAGTCTCCTGCCGCCTGGATGTTTGCAAGAACGTGCAGGGCCTCCTCTGTGCGATCGACCTTGGCCAGCCAACGGGGCGACTCAGGGAGGAAGGGAAGACCTATCATGAAGAACACGCATGGGACGAACTGTATGCCCCATGCCGTTCGGAACGAGGCAGTCTCTCCCTTGATGAACGAGCAACCATAGCCAATGAAGTACATGATGAGAATACCCCACTCGATGGCCAATTGTTGAATGATAATGATGGAACCACGCTGTCCGGGCTTCGCGACCTCTGCAAGATACACGGGCACCTGAGACGAGGTGATGCCAACAGTGATACCGTTGAGCACGCGGCCCGCGATCAACATCCCTCGGCTATTGCAGGCAACTTGGACAGAAGTTCCAATGAGCCAGAAGATGCAGGAGTAGACGAGGGCATCTCGACGACCGACCTTATCGGAGAGGGGACCAGCTACGATCGAGCCGAGGACGGAGCCAGCTGCCAGGGCAGAACCGATTACACCTTGGATGAGACCCGCCGGGTTGTTAAAATACGTTCTGTGTTCGTATTAGTATATTTCAAGTAAGGTCAGACCAACAGAGTATGTAGATACTCACTTGTACTGGTCAGTTCCAATGATGGCACTCATCGATGAGATATCGAAACCGAACAGCATGCCACCCATTGTTGCAATGCATGCCAAAAAATAAACATTGTAGATCTATGAGCGGTTAGATCCTGATGCGGCTTCAAAAGCAGAAAGCTCGGTCAATCGAGCTCTCAAGTTGTATGAAACACTGACCTTTGGAAGTTTCGAAAACATGCTGGCAGATGAACGCGCTGTAGCGCTCGAATTGGCACACAAAAGAAGTAGTGCAAGGTAGCCTGTCGCCTCCCGATCATTGGGGTGGGGTGTCAAATAAATACTATGTGCCCCAGATATCCATCATGTCCGAGCAAATATACCATTACTCATTCATAGTTATTGCCTTGCTTATCATCCTCACGCCGCTGGCCCGTGGTTGGTCGAGTGATCGGAGTGGAAACTAGCGCTCCTCCGATCCGAGCCCTATAAGATGGCTATCCTTACAATTAATCGGAATATCATAACGCGAGTAGGAGTCTCGCTCGTCTACGATTGGTGGGATTTCATGTCTGGAGAACTGGGGGAATGGCGGAGGTGGAGCTCGGCGACGCCAAGGAGTGTGGAGGCCACCCGTAAGGGCGTTGTAACTGGCTCCGCTAAGGCAGGGGTAGGTCTTTGGCCAAGCTTCACCGTTACATACGCTTGCAACTTCAACGCCGGATCGACATTCTCATACGTCATAGAACCCACTTGCTACGTGAGGTATGCATACAAGACCATGGACAACCATCAGGACCTTACTATCGGAGATCATCCGATTATCCAACACGGCACTTGTTGTGGCAGACATTCGGGAATTGGGTATCGGTTGCGCGATAAAACGGATCCCCCCGCGTTGAACAGCACAAGAAAACATTCGATCTCCTTGGAGGAAGGTTTGCGACCAACTTAACTCAAGAGAGTTACTATGATACGTTATATACAAAGATGTTGTGAACTGATCTAAGCATAGATTCATCAGACCGTATGCTGCAAGCTGAGGAGCAACATTAGCGAAAGCCCGACTGAAAAGTCTAATGTCAAGCTGCATACACACTACCATATTGAGGTAGAAGCCGTTCTACTGGAATACGGCATTGACTGGTTGACTGTTCAGTTGGTTGTGTGCGGGCTCGGCAAGGCAAGTTAGCTGAACAACGGCTTCTTTAATTGAGATAAGGTAACAACCCATCTTGACAAGATGCTTCGTTAGAACATGAAGGCTACTATGAATTTATAGTTGACTCGAACACAAAACATATTCTCCTAGAGATGCAGATACCTGTGAGTTTATTAGATTCAAGTGCGTTGGTCTTGCACCAAGCTACAACCAAGGAGAGGTAGTTGGGGATCGAAATCATTTTCCTTATTGAACTTAGTTTGGTCATTGTTAGCTTTCGACCGGTTCTTGTAACATGTCGGAGCCTGTCATTCTGGTAGTTCAGGTGATGTTTGTGAAACAGTCTGCACGCAATCATAAAGTGGTATGTTTTCGATTCAGGTCATCAAGAAAGTTTGAAGGGAAGTTTCATGCACCACAAGATAGAAATTTAGATGCTGAAACATTTGCGGGGAAACGTTTATTCTGCACGCGAACTTTGGGTCTCTACTTCACTGCCACTTGATGCGCAAAGAGGTCTCCTTGCGTCGAATGTGTGTCATTTTCTATCTGCAAGTCTCGGCCATATTTCGTGCTTTGCGCTCCAGGCTGCCACGCATGAGATTTATTCTTAGAGAGATCTGCAGAGTTTGAAGATCCCCGCAACGGTTGCCGATCTTGGAGGTTGCCGTTAGTTTCCAGAGGGTGCGGTTCAGAGTAAAGGGGATATAAGGAAATACGATGCCACGGGAGCCAATCAGCAGGATGACCGAACTGAAAAACTCAATTGGGTAGGTGGAGGGTTGTGATCGTGTCCATCGCGGCAACGCTGTACGACCATTGCCACGGTTGGAGCACAAAGATACAACTCAAAAACTAGGCCAAATCATGAAAATGTAACAGAATCTTTTGCAGTGAACACTGAAATTGTTCCACATCACTGCAACAATAAACACCGCAGAGGCTGATGGTGGCGTTGTTGAGATTGGTAACTACATGCCTATGTTCAATCGTGGCAGGAACTGTGTTGTCTAACATTGTGCACAAACCGAAGAAGACAACACGCTTTTCGAGGAAGTGTGTTCTCAGGCCCTGCCATGAACAGCCCCACCAAGAAAAGAGATAGATCTAGTCACGACTGCATGACACAGTGCTTAGAGCTACAATTAAATGACTATATAAGTTATCAGAATTACATTTACCCCATCAAATACAAAACGGTCTTGTGGTCTAGTGGTATGATTCTCGCTTAGGGTACTTCCTGAGCACACTTGCGAGAGGCCCCGCGTTCGAGTCGCGGCAAGACCCTTTTTTGCCCTTTTGCAGGTTTGGCCGTATCTTTGCCGTCATGACAAGCTTTTTGGTTCAACCAACACGAGAACAAGAAAACGATACAGGGGTGTTCTGCAGCCTGAAATAGTCAACAAATACCCCTCAAGTGTTCTTTGCTCCTGCCAGCATAGACGCGTTTTCTGGTCGCACCATGTTTTTTCAATCGTTCTAGCGTGCCACGTGGAGAAAGTTCGACGCGTTCGCAAACACGACCGAGCTTGCAATCCTTCCAAACAAAATCCAAACACACACTTGCGAAACTCCATCTTCCTACCACAACATGCAGCTGAGTTGGCCTTACCCGAAGGCTCCTGCAGTCGGCGCCTGGGGCCCCGTGACATCAAACCACAAGTGAGTTATACAAACATCCGAACCGCCAACGGGGGGATACATAAGTTGAAGCTTGGGTCTTGGCTGACGTTGTCTTCCATACAGTTTCTGTGAAGAGGTATGAAAGCACATTAGTTATTGTTAGATCATCAAACTAAAAAATTCTTTCAGGACTACATCATCACGCCGTATATTGGCGAGTTCATCAATACGCTTACAAATATCGTCTATGGTTTGTTTCCTTCTCCCCTCTCCCTGAATATGGGGAAAAAAAAGAGTGCTTTGCTGATGCTTTTCCGGCATGTTAGTCATCTATGGAGCGTATGGCCTGCGAAGAGTCCAGCCTCATAAAGATGGGGGACTGTGGTCTACACTAGCTTTCCCGTACTGGGGGCTTATCGGTGTGGGACTGCTTTCCATGTGGTTCCACGCGACGCTGAAGTATCATAGTCAGATGGGTAAGGGGCAGTTTTTCTCTTCGTTTCACATTCCAACTCCTTCCTCATGCGATCTCTTTTACACAAGCCATGGAAGTTGTCATGCCGGAACACTCCTCCAGCAACCGCCCACCAATATATCTAACACCCCCCAGGCGACGACCTGTCCATGTTCCTAGCCGTCGGCGCCCTGCTCCATCAACTACTCTGCTTCGAAGCCACCCCCGCGCAGCGCCGTACCTACACCATCACCATCCTGTTTACCCTGATCCCCATCTCTATCTACCATTGCTGGGCCGACGAGATCATCATGCACCAAGTCGTTTTCGGCGGGATGGTATACCTCGTCGTGCGCCGCATCCGGGCGTTAATCGCCAGGAAGATCAAGAGCGAGGAGAGTAAAAGGAAATTGGGCCGTATGGCTACGTTAGGGATTTGTGAGTCTCCTGTTCCATCTTTCATCTACACTTTATCGCTTATGCAGGGATATGGGCGTGGGTATGTATGTATGTGTATGCTAATATATCGAATCTAGCAAGCGGCCTCTTCGGCTTTTTCCTCTGGAACATCGATTTCCACGCGTGCGGGCACGTGACGGCGTTCAAGCACCGGCTCGGACTCCCTTGGGGCTTCATCTTCGAGCTTCATGGCTGGTGGCATTTCTTCACTGGAATTTGCGCCTACGTGGGCATGGCACTTGTCGAGTTTCTGGTTACGATTGAGGAAGGTAGTGTGGGGATTGAGGAAGGGTTTGCGTGGCCGGTTAAGAGTGTTATAAGGGAGATGGGGGTAATTGAGAGAAGGGAGGCGGGAAAGGATATGTAGAGTGGGATTGGAGCGTTGGAGTGTGCTGTGTTGGTCAGCGGTCGAGTGAGGGTAAATTGAGAGATTGGGTGGTTACATGCGAACAAGGATTAACATAGAGTATATATAGCATTTAGAGTCGAGACAATGATCGACAACTCACAGCGAAGCAACATCACATATAGATTCTTCACAGTCGCGACTCTTATGCCGATATGAGGAGTCCCAAGTACCAGTTGAGGTAGGGCGGAGCTACCTTGACTGGCGATATACACGGAGGACTGACCATTTATAGGCTTCAAACCTGGCTCTCACTTTGTATCCTCGATTTAGTGGTGAGCACCATATTTGGTAGACCGCCAGCTACGACAGGCCTTCGCACAGATCTGAATTCAGATTTGGATACCGTATCAATGTCCTCGCCTGATTCAGACCTGGGATGGTTGGTTGCATCCTACAAGATTCTAGAACTCAGCAACGATGCCATCAACAGGGTATACGAAAAGAAGCAGATTTCCGTCGCATTTGTTGAGCAAATACTGCATGAAATCGAAGCCTGGAGTCATTCACTTCCCAAGTCTCTACGCAAAACATCGCCAGTGTCTCGCCTCAACGAACAACCAAACTCCAAAGGGTACTATAGGCAGTATACATATTTCCTGCCTCTACCACTTCGCCATCACACTCGTCACTCGCCCAATCCTCATCTCAACCTTCGCGGATTGCTCAGTGCAACACAGTCCGCTACACTCCCAACTGGCTTCTGCCTGCCTCAACGCCTCCGTCTACTTCGTGCAAGCCTGCCATGAAGCATACAAAGCCCATATCCTCTTAGGAAACATGTGCATCATGAAGGCGCTCCTATTCGCCGTCGGACTGGTTCTCGGCTTCGACATGTTCGCCAAGCGCGAAACGAACTGTAGCATCGAAACAGCGTTCCGACAGGCAAGAGAAGTGTTGGATTTTCTGGGAGTGTAGAGCGCGCAGGCTGCGCATTATAGTGAGATTCTCACACTGCTTTCGAAGGCGGTTGACAGACAGAGGGAAAGACTTATTAGTCAAGGGGGAGGTAAGTATGTTTCGAGAATTCTCCCTATCGGTGGAGAATTGAATATGGGGATGCAGTCTCACGGTCTACATGATTTCGGAAATCAAAAGAGTGCTACTAGTGTACCTGTGCAGTATGTGCCTGTAGACCAAGAGATCGAGGTGTACTGTGGATGGGACTCGCTTGATCTATCGCAGTGGGACAATTTGCCATACTTGGAGCATACCGGTAGAGGATTTTGAGCCGGAAAGCGGAGGATTGAAGCATCGTCGGAACCAGACTGGATATCTTTTGTCGGTCCGCCTCCGACTAGCCAATAGGAAAAAGCGGGCAGGCCACTCACTAGTGCAGGTTCTGACGGGAGGAAGCGGATATCGTACCATCTGTGCCGACACTGGCCTATGATGGCCTTACGCTACCGTATTTTACATCCGACGCGACTATCTTCCGTCGCTATGATAGACCTTCCGATCCGATGCCAAATCTACGTGCGTCGCGCATCACATGTGCATAGAGATAACGATGATCTCAGTACAAGAATCGTACACTGCATGGTATATATCAGTAGGTTTTGGACGGGAGCTAGGCTGGAGAGTCTCTTACTTTATCTTCAACTACCTTCGATTCGGACCTTTGTTGTCGTTTGTATTTGTACTACTCTAACTGATAGTCTGCCGATATATTCGATATTTCAAATCACAGTCACACAAATCACAAGAGAATGGGATCTATGGAGGAGCCACAAGGCTGGAGGCGCCTTAACATCGGCATCATCGGTGGTGGAATCGGTGGCTTGTCCGCTGCCATTGCCCTCCGTCGCGCTGGCCACGAAGTCACAATCTACGAGAAACACGACTTTGCCGGAGAAGTTGGAGCATCTGTTTCATGCGCAGCAAACGGAACTCGATGGTTGCATGAGTGGGGGGTCGACGTCGCAAAGGGCGATCCAGTGGTGCTCAAAAGTCTCATCAACCGTGAATGGGCTACAGGAAAACCCGTATCCACGTTCAGCCTTGAGGATTATGAGGAGAAGTGGGGATATGCTTACAACATGTTTCACCGTCAGTATATGCACAAGATGTTGATGGATTGTGCGTTGCAAAAGGAGGGAGAAGGCACACCGGCGAAATTGCTCGTCAACCATGCTGTATGTATTGCCCGCAAGTCGAAGTCTACTCGCGCCTTACAACGTGATAGTGCCAGGACATCGACCTCGTGACAAACACCATTACCTTCAAGAATGGCACCAAATCCAACCACGAACTCATAATCGGCGCTGACGGTATCGGCTCCGCCGTCCGTGGCATAATCGGTGTCCATCCTGCAAAACGCCCCGCAGACTCCAGCTGTCTGCACGCCAACGTGCACACGGAGCAAGCCATCAAGCTCGGGCTGGTCGACTACTCGCAAGACAGCGCCTTGGAGTACTGGGGCGGCCAAGAAGGGAAATGGGACAAGATTGTGCTATCGCCTTGCAACGGCGGTAAATTGCTATCGTACTACTGCTTCTTCCCCCGCGAGAAAGGCGACTACACAAACCAAGCATGGGGTGCAGAAGACCTCCCAGTCGATGATCTCCTGGCGCCATATCCCGAACTAGATGCCAGAGTCAAGGCACATCTTGCCATTGGGGTGGAAGTCAAACCGTGGAGACTCTGGGTTCACGATCCCTATCCTTACATTCAAAAAGCCAACGTCTGTGTTATCGGCGACGCAGCACATCCCGTAAGTCTTTTATGTCCTATTGCCAGTAACAACAACAGCTACATCCCACTAACGCCTGCAAACAGATGATGCCGCACCAATCTCAAGGAGCCTGCATGGCCCTCGAGGACGCCGCAGCCCTCGGCATAATCTTCAACCCGCACCACTTCTCCGGCTCCGTGCAAGAAGCGCTATCAGTGTACGAGCAAGTCCGCCTACCCCGGGCGACGCGCGTGCAAGCCGCCGCCGCAAAAGCCGCCTACAACATCAACGAGAGAATAGGCTTCAGTGCCAACGTGGATAACTGCACGACGTACAAGGTCGAGGACGAGAGGCAGAAGCTGACTATTGAGGAAATGAACGCATATGATGTGTACAAGGATGTTGGGGAGAAGCTTGCACAGGCACAGGGGAAGAGGTATATGGAGCCGTTTGTTTGTGGGCTGCCGGTTGGGCTTACCATGCCTAATGGTGTTACGGTTGGGGCGCCTTGAAAGGTTGATTCGTGGGCTGGAGTGTGGGGAGTAAGCATTTTCAGGAGTTGTGGGGGTTGGTTCTTTTGAGGCGTGTTGGTTGGGGTTTATGGAGTGAGTGGGCATGAAGATATGGAGGGGACTCGGATTACTATGCAAGACCTTGGATGAGGAAATCTGATCGTTTGTTGTAGCTTACCGCACGTTTCATGTTCTCGATAGGTAAACCGAGATATGCATAAGCTGGAGCTTAGCACGACCTACCTGCTCACCATAGAAAGCACCCTATATCCTACATTTGAAAACACTGCGGGTTATTGTTTAGCTTCTCTGACATATCATACGAACGTTCGATTAGTAGAACTGCATAGTAAGGGTGATAGGTCATACTGCCTAGTTGAAATCCAAGCTGCTATGGATATCCCGCTTCCCGCGTAAGGCTGGGACACGAGAGCTTCTAGTTTTCTAAATCCGACTGAGAGAGAGTGTCTTAAATGCAGCGGCTAGATTGGATAGTCCGACCCCGCCTCTGTCTCCGTCTAACGCAGGAACTACAAAGCGGAGCGCAGCGGACTTAAGCGCAATGGAGATACGTCTCGGCTCCGTGTCTGCGGCAAGTAGACATGCCGGCCGACCAGCAAGCACCAGGCACAGTTAGGGTATATAAATGTGGGGTACTACAGCTTCCATGATGAGGAAAATAAGCTCCATTATCAACGGTGATATCATAACTACTTTTGACAATTCAGAACTTATATATTTGCTACCCCACCACCCTTCGTCCCTGTCGCACGACTACTGTACTATCAAGAAACGTCAAACATCATGCCTCAACTCGTAGAAAAGCAGGTTGGCGAATTGGGCTACGGGCTTATGGGTATATAACACGCTCTTGTCACTTCCAACGTGTTTTTACTAACCTTACAGGCCTGACATGGCGCCAGAGTCCACCTCCACAGGAACAGGCCTTCGAAGCCATGCGCACTGCGCTCTCTCTGGGAGCCACTTTCTGGAACGGCGGCGAGCTGTACGGTCCACCGACAGCCAACTCACTCCAGCTGCTGAATGCATACTTTACCAAATACCCAGGCGACGCCGACAAGATTGTTCTCTCGATCAAAGGTGGCTTGGTACCGGGGAAGATGAATGTCGACGGCAGCAAGGAAAATGTGCAGCGCTCCATCGACGAGTGCTTGAAGCAACTGGATGGCAAAAAGAAGCTCGATCTCTTCGAGTGCGCAAGAGTAGACCCAAACACTCCAATCGAGGAGACGATCTCGTACATTGCGGAATATGTCAAGGCGGGAAAGGTTGGCGGGATCAGCTTGTCAGAGGTCAGCGCAGCCTCGATAAGAAAGGCACATGGTGTGCATCCCATCTCTGCGGTGGAGGTGGAGTATTCATTGTTTGCGCTGGACATTGTAGACAACGGAGTAGCAGCAACCTGTGCGGAACTGAAGATTCCCATCGTAACATACTCGCCCCTCGGACGAGGGTTCTTGGTAAGTTTTGGCTGCTTCAAACTCTACGGACTTCCGCTAATGAAGCTATATAGACGGGTCGCTACATGAAATACGACGATCTCGAGCCCGACTCGATGCTACGTCACTTCCCGCGTTTTCAGCCGGACGTCTTCGACGAGAACGTGAAGCTCATACACGCCGTCAATGATCTGGCGAAGAAGAAAGGCGTCACCCCAGCGCAAATTGCCCTGGGTTGGGTTTTGTATCAAAGTGGCAAAAAGGGCATGCCAGTGCTCATTCCGATCCCAGGAGCCACCACTTCGGCAAGGATTGAGGAGAATATGAAGCCGGCCAAGCTTGATGCAGAGGACATGCAGGCTTTGGATGAGATTGTCAAGAAATTCCCGCAGAAAGGAGAACGATACCCTGCGGAGCTTATGAAGCTTGCGTGGGGATAAGCTTGAGAGTTATTTATCTAGAAACAGCTGTTAGCATGATGTATGCATTGTTGCTGCTTCAATGTGTGTGGAGAATAGACTGTCAGATAAAAAGTAGTGTATAGAGTAATCCGCACTCGATACTGCCGTGAAGCAGAACCGTTGGAATTGCAGAACTCTGTGTAATCATCATAAGAAGGGTGGGAGTGTGGAGAGTGAGCTTACCTAGCTAGGTCGTCGTTGAAGGTCACTGTGAACGAGGCTTGCTTCTGGACGCCTAATGTTTAGTCATGTAGATGGTTGCAGTGTAAGTGCCGTGTCAGATGGCATGCAGATGGTGGCAGTGCAAATGCCATACTGGAATGCATACAATCGTGCAGGTTTACGACGAATTGATATTTGAGTCGTGTTGTGGAGGAGAAACGATGGGGGCAAGAAGGAAATTATTGCACCTGTAAGCTAAGCTCGCTAGCGGCTCCACCCCCAATCGACGCGCCGGAGCTCGACACGCCTGCTGAGGCACTCCCACGTCCCATCTCCAACTCGGCCCTCGCAATGGACTCTCCCGGCTCGATTCTGTCAGACTATGCCTCAGACGACTTCCCCGAGGATGTCAAGGGCCGCCGCCGGCTCAGCATGGAGGACCACGACGCGCGCCCGAGCAAGCGTCTGCGCCTGAACAACCGCGCGCCCTCTTCGCCGCCAGCACACGCCGGCGCCCACGCGGCAGACGAATATGGCGAGCTGTCGGAAGACACGGATGGCTCGGTGCCTGCATCGCCGCACCACCATCACCCGGGCATGTCGCAAGACGACGACTTTGGCCAGGACCAGGTCACCGTGTGCAAGTGGGAGGGCTGCGAGGCGGGCGACGTGGAGAACATGGACAACCTGGTCGAGCATCTGCACGAGGACCACATTGGAACACGGCAGAAGAAGTACAGCTGCGAGTGGAGTGACTGCACACGGAAAGGGATACCGCACGCCAGCGGCTATGCCTTGAGGGCGCACATGCGGAGCCACACGCGGGAGAAGCCCTTCTACTGCACATTGCCCGGTAGGCACTCACCCCCAGCTGTCTGGGTACACATCAGCTGACAAAGCAGAATGCGACCGCTCCTTTACACGCTCCGACGCCCTGGCAAAGCACATGCGCACTGTCCACGAAACCGAAGCCCTGCGCCCCTCCGACCCCGTCCCCAAACACCACTCCTCGAACCCGTCCAACCGTTTTCAGCGCATTAAGCTGGTGCTCAACAACGAAGGCAAGAAGGACTCGCAGGAAAAGGGCTCTACGCCTGCCTCTCCGTCCTCACACACACACCCACTGCCCAGCGCGCCTGTGGTTCCTCCAGTGGGCTCTGACGCAGAATATGCGCACAACAACGTCGTCTACCTGCAAGACCTTGCGAGTCCCAATGCCCCCAAAATCGTCCAGTTCCCACCTGATATAACATTTACCGAACGCGAATTGTCCCTGTCTGCGCCAGAGCTGTTCCAAGCACTGCGTCGACAGCTGCACTGGGCGACCCAGGAGGGCGAACAATTGCGCGCTGAAGCTGATGCGCTCGAGATGGCGCGCAAAGAAGAATGGGAGGCCAAGGAATTGCTGATGGAGAACTACATGGAAGCTGAGACTGTAGATGCGCGGCGGAGAGGCGTAGGGGGAGCATTATCCGAGTACTCTCAGCCCTTTGAGCATATTGAACACGATATTGTACCATCGAGAAGTCTGGAGCTCAAACCGAAAGATGGGAAACTGCCTTGGTGGCGGGACGAAGCGTGGAACGAGCGACAACGGGGAACGCGGGACGTCAGACAGGACATATCAGAGAATGGGGCACCGTCAGTGGATGACAGGTACGGCGACGTGAAGCCTCACGTCTCGGTAACTTGAGAAGCAGCACCAACTTCACTGGATTCCCATGTAGGGTTGGGTTGGATTGCTTGGCGCGATAGATGGCTGAAGCTATGTTGACATTTCTTTTTTTGACTATGACGCGCCACGAGCGGGATATCAACGTGTCTTTTCTCGCGAGATGGACATGGGGCATCACAATGCAATGACGAGTCAGAAATTCCGCCTCAAATCAAGATGGCTTTTCATCAGATTTCTTGTGTACAGTGCATAATTCCCATTCCGGCTCATCTACTCCGCATGTTTGAACGCGACGATCCGATAGAGTTGGAAAGAGTGGGTTTGTATATGCAACCGGCACGTAACCGCCGTAGCGCGATGATCAGAATGACGTAGGCCCTGTCTCAGATCGGCCAGGCACAATCAGGGACCCCCGACGGCTTCCTTCAAGAATCCTCCACGCGACTTTTCTACTCCTCTTCACATTCTCCACGATAGCCTTCAAGTTCTCCTAAACATTCAAAGCTTCAATTGACAGCCCCCTCACATCTTCAACATGGACGTCTACTACTTCTACTCATACGGCACTGCCGCGTGGATGGGTGAGTCCTGCCATCTTCACAAGACCGCAAATATGTTAACAACAAGGCAGCGCTACAAGCGGCACCCCTCGTTACGTCGCCAACCATGATCGTCGCGCTGCTCTCACCAGAGGTGCGCGAAGCAACGAGTACGTAGCCCATAACATCCAGCTCTCGTGTACTCAAAGAAACTAATCATGCAACGTAGCTCTTGAGGTCTACTTCTCCCGCACGCTCGGTCTAGCGCTCGTCACAATGGGCATCCTCCAGGTCCTCCTCACAGGCTCCGTTCCGCTGTCTAGTCGATTGGCTGAAGGTATGTTCCCCCACATCGCATTTTCCTTCCTCGTGTCGAGCGCTTACTAATTTCCAATAGGAGCAACGACCTCGGCTGAAGACCCCAAAGCACCCTACGCTCTCCCCACAATGACCATTACCGCCATCTTCCACTCCATCTACGCCTTCTACTGCTATGCCATGTGGACCCAAGTGGGTGTCGCGTCCTTTGGTCTAGGATCCTTTGGTTCAGGCTTCCTCGCTGTTGTTGCTCTGTGGTGCATTCTGTTTGCAAGCAGTGACGGAAGGATCAGCAGGAAGACGGGCGCAGACAAGCGAACCAGCGGATTTCCCTTCAAGAACAACGAGGCCGACAAGCGCAAGGCCCGATAAGCTCAGACCTACCACCGCGCAACTGAATCATGACAAACGGGATTGGGAAGGTATTGGAGGACTTTGGTTGAAACAGGGAATATTTGGAGTTGTTTCCATAGCATGTGCTACAATGCTGGAGTAACGGCGACATGGTGGTGAGATGCCACGAGACGAAAGTTGCATAGCATTCAAACATGAAATGAATCACGTTATATGAAAGAAACGTAGTCAAATCATTCTTACGAGAAGTTCTTTACTCGTCTAACCTATGATCAAAGTTATTGGATTTGCCCAATGTATACATCACTCATCTATTCCACATACAGGGTATGACTTGCAACTCTCAAATGCGAAGTCCTCACTAACCAGGGCAAAGGACTTTAACAGTACTTTACCGTTGATCTAGTACCTAGACGGGTGATATGTTGTATTCATTATTGCCCAGGATTCTCCAATAATGTTCTGCCCATCTACCCGTACTACATGCGACTAACCATCCTTCTTTGCCTGAAAAGCTGTAGATACCAAGCTTCACACCCCAGTGAAAGATTGAAAAGTAAGAGGTAACATTATCTTGATTCATATTTTTCTAGTATGCAATGCACATATTTGATTCATGACAAGGCGAAGTAAACGCAAACAAACGATACAGTCGTCAATTTACCAATCGACGACCAGAATCTCAACCCCCAAACCTCAAAGCTCCTTGCCCCTCTTCTTCCGATGCGTCCACCACCGCCTACTAATATCATACATAATCCTGCTCCAACTCCTCGTAATAATCTTCCCCTCAAACGTGCCACTAAACGCGCTAAACAAGAAGATAAGCAAAATCGACGCACCAAACACCGCCGCAAAAGCCCACCAATAGCTGCGAACCTCAAACTCAGTGCCCTTGAACTGAATGCTGAAGTAGCCCGTCATCAGCGTGACAGGCGTGAAGAGGATCGTAATCTTCGCCAGAAAAAGCGTAACCCACGTCAACCTCTCGACGCTGAACGACTCCTTGATGGCGATGAGGTTGAAGTTCATCATGACGAGCGAATCCTTCTGGTCGAGACATTCCTGGATCTCGCTCTGCGCGTACAGGATGATGCGATCTTTGAGGCGCTCGAAGCGCACGCGGGAGGCGGAGCTGAGCGAGACGCCGAGCAGGCTGTCTGATTCGGGGACGATGCGGCTCTGCGGGCCCATGCCGGGGACGGTGGAGTCGAGGGATTCGACTTCGGGGAGGATGCGGGAGTTTTTTAGGGAGGCGAGGGTTACTTCTTGCTTTTTGAGGACGCGCTCGATTATGAATTCGTAGCTTTTGTAGACGCGCTTTAGCACGGAGAGTTGGCAGCCGATGTGGTGGAGTTGGTCGACGTGTGTTAGGTTGGCGGTTTGGAGCATCTCTTGTCGCTGGGTATGTGTTAGTATGGAAATATGGTTTCGCGGCGAGGACTGCAGGATTTACCAGCCGGTCTAGTTCTGCAGCATATCCATGCTCGCGGCGTGAGATGAGACTGAGAGTCGTGCCCCAGTCTTCGAAGAGATAGTAGAAGAGCAGGCCTGGTGCGTCGGAGGTACGGTGGGCTGTCTCTTCCTCACTGTTACCGATGCGATGGCGGATGGGTAGTTGCATGAGAGCAGCATCTCTCAAGGGAGTCGGAGCTTTCGTCAGCTGTCTGAAGACGTTTACGAGATTCCGTCGTATGGAGTACAGTGTCCTCAGATCCTGACCACGCAGGTTGCCGTTACTGAACGGAAATGGATCTTCCGACATTGAGATTACCGTCTTGTCTTCGCACATCAACAGCCAGTTCCAAACACGTTTGCCATGGGGTATGTCTCGACTGCTGTCCACTTCATCGTCATGCGCGCCTACGTTCTTGGTGCGGACGTCGTGAAGTGAGTTATAGCCTAGGCAAACATCTGTAGCTATTTAGTACAGTGTACATGACCAGCGATGAAATGACTTACACCTTCGACCCCAGTCCACAGTAGACCAGTGCCAAACATCGTTAACGATCTGGTAGTGACTGAGATCCCGCGCCATTTCCAGCTGCGTCGAATGCATCATTTCCGTCATTCCGATGCTCTCTTCCGAGTCTGTTGACTTTGACTTCTCGGACTTATGAGACAAGCGCGACCGGAGTGTCGACGAGCTCTTCTTCTTCCGCAATGAGTGCGAACGCGGTGGTATGGGATCACTGCACATCATGCCCAGTAGGCGAGGCGTGAAGTCGAAGTGTTGACCCAGGACACGTATCAAATCTTTCTGGTTGTTCGGCTTCCATATATTGATCCATCTCGTATGCAGATAGGAGGGTCTAGGTGCTGAAAGCAGATTTGAGAAGGAGTCGGCTCCCAAGTCGCTTGCGCAGAAGGCGTCGTCTTCGCCAAAGTCCAGGCAGAAGTTGTTGCTATCGGGGTGGCGTGTTCGCCTATCGAAGAGGTCAAAGTTGCGTTCTATATCGAAGTTTCTGAAGCAGTGTTGAATATCTTCATCTTCCAGGTCTTGGTAGTATGTTGGAAGCTCTTCTGCAGGCGATGCGGGTCGGAAAGGGCTCGCCATGATTTGTGCCTGGAAGGTGGAAGTGATGGTATAATAGTAGAACGTTAGATTTTGTTTTGGTCAGTAAGAGCTTCTTTGAATGACGATTTCTAAATACGGGCGCCGGTGATGTGCTCTCGTGCTGTATCAATCCACATTAATAGGTCGTGTGTATACCGCATGTGGTTGGTCACGCGTCACCTCTAGGGCTTATCCAGGCAGAAAGTCTCACATTGTATATTCGAGGGGCACTATCGCAGGCAACCGTACAACGTAATGACACTTGTTACTCAGACTCGAGTTGTCGATCAAAGAAGAATGATACTTCAAGGTTGGCGTGTGCGACGATTAGGTGGTCGTACGATAGAAGACTATACGAAGGTTGTTTCTTCGAGTACATAGCAGGGCTCTCGTGTGCTAACTACCATCGGTAATGTGCTTGGAGGCTTCTTCTGCAAGTATGGTAAGAGCAGTAAGCATGAACATTGCCCTTGATGAGAGAGAACATGGGCGGTATAGATGCCTCTATGTGGAACCAAGGGCTTTTGTGTGTGTTTATGATACGTCGTTTATTCTTCGTGCCAAGAGACTATCGCAAAAAGGTCATCTGGCAGCCTTGTTAGGTTTAACAACGTGGACGTCGTGGGTTAATGAGCAAGGGTGTCGGAGTCCCTCGGGGTAGAACGTTAGTCACATGGCGGCTAGCCGCTTCTGGTGGTAGACCCACACTGTGAGCAAGGGGAATCCGTGTCAAGCAAGATGGCAGGCATGTAGCAGCCTTGCTCTGGTGTGTATATCGGTATTTCCACTATGTATCTACCACAACAAGAACATCATGTGTCATGATTAGTATGCGGATGCATGAACTACGACGGCAGGTTCTCCGCCAAATATTTAGTGACATCATGGCGCAGCATAGTTCCCGCAAATCTCAGAGCTAACAACTTCGAACACATCTGATATATTGCGAACAAATCCCACTATTAACCTCACATCTCATCCTACTACAGACGATACCAATTCCTAACAGACCAATTCCCAATACAAAAACCCATCATGTCTTCTTCCGGTATCCTCGGCACCTACAATCCTTCGATCCTAGCCATCCCGGCCTACTACATCATCTCCCTACTCCCCCACACATACGCCGTCAATGTAGCCTCAGAAGGCAAGCTTTCTACATGGGACAACCGCAACCCACGGTCCACCGACTTGAAAGCAAAGCTTAAGGCGAGTCTTCCCGCCGAGACATACGCCAGATACGAGCGTCTCGAGTCCTGCCACGCGAACGGCTTCGAGGTATGTATCAATATATTGCAATACTTACGACGAGATGCTGATGAAAATCAGAACATGCCGATCTTCGCTTCGGCCGTAATTCTGGGTAACATGGCCGGTCTGAGGAACGAAGTGCTCACTAAATTCGTGGCGTCCTTTTTGGCGGTTCGTCTTGCGTACACGGCGACCTATGTCACTCATACGACGCAAGGACCGACATGGATCCGCAGTGGTCTGTACTTTGCTGGTCTTGCGCTTTGCTTCCAGACGATCATCAGCTCTGCAAAGGTTCTTGGTGTCGCTAGGCTCTAGGGCGAGAACTTGAAATCGAAGGAATTTTGAGGTTGATTACGAGGGAGTTCGAATTGTGGTATGCAAAGGTTGAATACATTCGCGTGACGAAATAGGAGGGTGTGGGTGAACGGATGGAGACAGTGTCATCTTGAGCTACACTGTAGTTTGACTAAGGACGTATTCTAAACAACATCTTCGTTGTATTGTCAGCTTGGTGTAACTGTTTCGTCACATCTAAACAATTGGTTCTTGTCATGCTATCGACCGTACGCTATCCTGTATTTCTCATTCATTTCTCCGTCTCACCATCTTGTGACATCAGTGGGCCACAGCGCGTCACATCAAAGCCTCGAGAATATTTGTCTTCACATGAGAAAATTATTCTATTATACCATAATGTCGTTCTTTCGTAACTATACAGATTTGGTCATTAAGTCTAAGTAATGTCATAAGCATGACCGTAATCGTTTGTAATCGTGGTGATCATGACGCCCAGTGAAGGGTAGAGGTATCATCGCTGAGAAGGATATCAAAGAAAGATCGCAGAACCGAAATATTACTTCCACCCCATTTTTCATACTCATGACTTTTGAGGCCGTCAGCTGTCCTCTGGTAATTAATTCGTAAACGTGTATTCGTGAGATCGTGCGGAGATCGAGACACGATTGTCGTGCGAGTGGCACTCGTTTAGAAGTAGCAGTCGACGACATCCTGTCCTCCGCGAATGGCCCACTCGACAATCTCCATGCCGCTGAGTCCACTGGCCCAATAGCTGTTCTTGTTGCCTTGAAGGATGTTCAGGATGTTATAAGCGCCTTCGCGCAGCGGTTGGCTGTCGAAGTGCGGCATGTAATCCCACTTCATGAACGCTTTCACATCCTCATTAGTCACGGGTTCGGGTGACTCCGTGGCATTGCGAGGATCTTTGTTGATCTTGGACATGCTCTCGATGAGTATGCGGCGTGCGTCTTCCTCGGACTGGTACTCGTAGGGACCCCAGGACCAGGCTACCGAGATGTTGGACCGCTCGTCGAGACGGAGCACCGCCATGGCCTGGCCATCGTTGGGTGGCGGTACGGTCCGAGACGTGGAATTGGCAATATAAGACACTCCAAAAGGAAGATCGAACTCAACTGCTGCCGAGGAATACTGGTGCGTGGTGACGTACGAAAAGAGGTCGTGTTCCAACTCATCGAGGTCGACGCCAGCTCGCTTCAGGTTATCGATGTTCGGTGGGAATGCGAAGATGACAGACGAGCACGATTGCTCGCAGGTTTTGTTACCAGGCTTGGTGTATTTCACAATGGCGTTCTTCCCAGAACGGTCCACGCCGTAGACTTGCGCGGATGAGTGTATTTCTGTCTTGCAGAGCTGGCTCTTCGTCCATTCCACGAACATTTTGTGGAAGTCCATGTAGTAGACCTCATGGGCTCCGATAAAGGCGGTAAGAATGTCCGGGGTGAAGTACTGGAGAATGTAAAGCTAATCACGCGTTAGTGTCGCATACAGAATTTCCGCGTGCTGATGTCATACCGCTGGAACGATGTTGATATCGCCGTATCCGTAAAGCGCGACAGGGTTCACAAGAACTATAGGAAGGGCGGTGAAGTTGTTTTGGCGGAACCATTGTGTACCGGATACGGTGAACTCGTCAGGTACGCCAAGCTGTTCCTGCGTTAGCCTACCAGGATCTTGTCTCAGCTGCACATAGGTCGTACCTTGTAGTTGACCGCACTGATTGGGGCAAATCGCTCATTCCACAGAGTGGTGTATCGCGGAATTTCTGACCGAAGAGCTGACGCAAATGTAAGAGGCGTGGGCGGAGTAATGTCAATTGCGCCAGAAACATAGTCGTAGCGATATGACTCGCGCGCGCCAGAGAGAAAAAACGGCTCGCTCGTGACATTGGTCTCATTGAGAAACTTCAGCGTTTCAGGGTAGCTTTCGTTGGAGAAGAAGGCTGCGCCAAGCGGGTGGAAGATGCCTCTGAGTGGGTGATTAGCCGCGTCCAATTGTGCATATGTCGTGGAACTCTTACTCGTTGTCGTACCATGCCTGACATTTGCCGCCAACCTCTGCTTGCTCGTCGAAGATGACGGCTTTGATGTCCTTGTCTTCGAGCCTGCCTGCTGCCGACAAGCCGGCCGGACCTGCACCAATGATGCAAACCGGAGGCTTCTCGGTAGGGCATCCGTGAGGCGCAGCTGATGCTGTCAGCGAGTGAAGCGCAAGCAGCGTCGACAGTATGAACGACTGCATTGTGTGTGTTCTTGTTGTGTGTGGTTTCGTGAAAGAGGTGAAGAGACTTGAGCGAGTACTTGCATCTATATAACAGCAGCGCTCGGTCCGTCCTGCGCCTTCCCTCTGGTAACAAACTGTGAAGTGCCTCCCGCTGCACGGTGCGTTGGCGAGCAAGAACGACTAATGATCAAATCGGGTTGCCGTCTCCACGCCAACTCGACCTGTCCAGCCTCAAGCAAGCCAGGGATAGCCCAAAGGGAATGTCCCAAGGACGTGATGGCTGGTCGAGGCGCAAAGGCCAATGTTCCTAACATCCTACGGAAACAGTAGTGCGGCGAACAGTGACAACATCTATCGCGCGCCTCCAGGTTGTCCCAGACCCTTGCAGATAAAATCCAGCGCGTAGTGCCCGGCAGACAGCAATGCGATCGACAAATTTGCGAGGCGGTAAGAGCTGTCTGCACCCATATGTCATGCTGCAGGTTCGCATAGCTATTCAATGCGCATGCGCCACCAGCCAGCTGTCGATTGGTGCCGAGGCTAGTCAGCCTCAGCCCTACCCCACGCCTGGTTTGAGCTCTTGGGCGACCCACGGCTTCGGGTGGTTCGCGTCCTTCGAAAAAAACTCCGTATACCCAAAATCGTGAAATGTTCTGTATGACGTGCGCCTACCGTCACCGAAGGAGAATCCTTGACGGAAGGATGCGATCCGGCGCACGATGCGAAATCTGTAGGGAGATGAAGACACCTTTACTGTACACTGGCCACCCAGCGAGCCTGATAGCTGATCCATCCGAGTGAATTGGTGACAGATTAAAGACAAGTAAAATTGCGACAGGGAAAATATGTTTCGAAACATGACGCTGCCGAACAGAATGACGTCGATAAGCACAGACGAAATGAAAGATGATGAGATGGCACGGATTGCTGCAGTGTCGTGGCACAACCACCATGTCATCCGTCCACGTCGGCGACGTGCTTACCTTGTGGTGTGTAACGCGTCCACCTCTGTCGACGACCAGGTTGGCATTACCAGATAACTGTAGATGAGCAGGGAAAGTCAAGGGAAACCCTGAGTCACCCTCGTGTGGATGGTGGTTGCCACATGAGCAAGCACTCTCGTCGTCACTATGGTGTATCGGTATGGAGGGTGGAAGAAATATTGAAGGACGAGACAAGTCGACATGATGCATTACCTGCTACCCTGCCTGAACGCCTTGGCTGACCATCCGAGCAAATGCGATATGGCATGATGGACCAATGAACAATGAAAGAAAACCGTGAAAACAAGAGGTCCGCCACCTGGGTATGCCCGAGAAATGTTGAAAGAAAAGGCTAAAAAGCTATGTCGAGTAGGAGTGATCCATACATCTACAGATTACAATGCGCGATCTAGGCACGTATCAACGAATAAAGAAAATAACGAGTACTGCGCAATCAGTACATGTAGGTTTTTTGCTGCTCGATGTCAAAGTCGAAGCGACTTATGTCTGTAGCGTCACTCATCGGTCTCCGGTCTGATAGACTGTGTGTAGGTTGCGACGCAACAGCTGTGCCAGGACGCGATTCATCGGTATCTGTCAACCTCCGTGTGTCCATCTCCACTTGCTCAATGACGGGCGTTATCTTCTCTTTTCTTTTGCTGTGACCGGAACCGTTTGCGTACTTTGAGCCCTGTGTTCGCGCGCGGGACGGGAAAAGCAATGGCTTCAAAGCGGGAATGCAACCACAGATGACGCCAACGTTGGTCTCAACTGCTGTCCAAACCCAGATCTGGTAGCCATGCCATGTGGCGTCATACGTTTCGTACAGGGTGAAGTGGACCCAGTACGCCCGGAAGCTACCAGCGACGACGATTAGACCGCCAACGGAAAAGAGGATGACAAGACCGATGCGCTGATTCCATGGTAGCGATAGAGAAAAGAGCGTGGGAATGGGCAGCGCGTATATCATGAAGTCGGTCACAACATTCAGTGTGCTCTGTACAATGAGAGGCGGCCCTTCGGGAATACAGTCGCGATGGTCAGCGAGAAGCTTCCAGTAGCTGGATATTGGGCTGCAAGAAAGGTCAGTGTTGCACAAATGAACACGGTTGGAGTAAGCTCACATGCATTGCACCCACAGTGCAACCAAGAAGACAACAAACGCTGCGACCACAAGAGTGAATGTACTCCAGACGAGTTTGCGAAAGACCGATTTCTCCGGTGCAATCCGAAAGTACGAAACGAGAATGGACATCTTGACGGTACTCGAGGCAAGGACGAATAGTGTCTGACCGGCCATTGACGCCTGTGAGACCGTTAGAACGAGGGCGGTGTGACATGTGTTGCACAAAGTCGTACCTGTCTCCCCGTCTCGACTTCCGATAATGTCATATCCCACACATGCTTGTTCCAGCCGTATAACTGTGTCGCCATAATCACCAAGACGGTGGTCCCAATCGAGAAGATCTGATCGTTGTTAGCACTGCCACTCGGTCTCCCCGACAGGCGGTGTGTACCATGGCGACTATCATGAGGTAATCATCCCACCAGCTCTTATGCAACCACCCAATTCGTATCCATAGTCTCAGGAAGACGACTATTATGGCGATTGGTAATAAAGTGAGTTCGATTATCATAAGGCCCGGGCCTCTCGTGATGGGGTCGATGTAGTTCGCCGTGGGCCAGTGTTCTCGGACGCTTTCCGGTGCAAGTCTCATGATGGCGGTGAGGATAGACTGAAAGTACAAAAGTGTACTTCAATCGACTCCAGGATGTGAGTGAGGATGGAGCATCACCACAATCCAAAAGCACGGGACGGGCAGGTCATATACATATATCCGTCATCAAGGCGGGATTCTGTACTCCATTCGTGCTCAGCTGCGCCTCGCACAAAAAGGCTCGACTCCACTATTGTCGAGGGTTATAATACGCGAGTCTACAAGAAAGCCTTCTACGAAGCACCACTGGAGCACTTGCATACTAGCCATGGAGCGCTCCGTTGCGGTACTGGTTAGCAGATCTGATCTGCTCAGGGTCCAGGCATCTCAACCTTTGCCGTCAGCACAGCCTGCGCCGTGACTTGTCAGTACTAAATGTCACATCGGCTACCCTGGCCAGTACTACGTGGGCCCGTGGTGGATCCGCCAGGACTCCTGGGAGGCAACATCGTGATGTGGCTCGTCGTTGGACAGGCGGGCCAGACGGGCAAAATTCGATCACGCCGCGCAGACCAATCGCGAAGCGAATGCTGGGGTCTCGCGGGTCTCGGCGGCTGGTACTACCCGTCCGCTCAACGTGATTAGGGGACGTCCATAATGAGACGATACTTTGCTCAGCAGGAGGCGTAATCCAGATTTCCCCTTCTGTTCAACAACAGAGCTGCGATTATCGCGCAATGCGAATGTGCACGTGGTGCGCTTGTTGCGGCGAAGCGTCTTTGGGGATCTGCCAATCAGATAGCGAGCTAGGTATCATAGTCTGCCTTGTTCGGCGAATTGACTGCCAGAATCCCATTTCCGATGTGATATCCGTCTTCACAACGCTGAAATGGGAATCGGTGGAGTATCTACCGCCTGCGTTCTCCTCTATCATGGCTTTGCATTCAACCGTCTTTTCGCTTGGCCTCTCGTCTTAGCTACGATGACGCTCGATCCCGGCTCGTCTTTCCTGTTCTCACATATCATCAGCAAGCCACGATATCTTGGGAGAGAGAAGATGGCGGGGAACATTTGAATTCGAAGATGATAGGCTCGCTCAGCTTGTGCCTGGAGTGGAGCAAGATTTGAACACACAGACTCATGCAAACCATGCAAGCTCTGCTGCCCGTCCCAAGATCCCCACAAATTCGATTTCAAGATTACAAGAAGCTACAAGTACGCGTACAATTCATATGGAATTGCACATCCATGATTCCGTCGGACCTATTAGACAAATGCTTGGTATAGGGGCTCAGTCCAGTCCCTGCTGTTACCCCAATCCCAATGTCAACTTCCCGGTCCTGGGGTTTCTCAACATTGGTCGCTCTGAGTAAGAACGTAAGAATCCGACCTCTAATTCCCTGCAGAAGCTCTGGCGATATGCAAGTGTGACGCGTTCGCAGCTCGGATATGTGCCGATGTCGTTCGTCAGGAACCACTACCCTGACCTCTCTGGACCACACATAAGCGTCAGACGAGGATCCTCGTACCAAGAGGCTACTTTGATTGGGATCGACCTAGCATGGGTCCAGAGAAGTGGAGAGGGGCCTAAGAGTCAAATGCTTGAGACTACCCATATGTCCCAGCGGCAAGGCGACCTCTCAGCGGCAACGTGGCAACACCATCTTTCTTGTTGGGAGTTTGATATGCTTGTACTGTATGCCATAGTCTCCTAATGTGCTGAATGTCATAGTCGTCGTCATCATGCTGCCTCACTGATACGACTTGTTGGATCAGTGAACCGTAGAAGTAATTTTAGGAACTAGATCGAGCGTACAAACCCTTTCCACTATCGACTAAGTTCAATCGGCAGATAACGGTATTAAGAAGCGGACGAACAACAACATATTGCTTTGTTGAAATCTCTTGCCGTTGTTCACCATAGCGGATTTAACTTACAAGTGCGTGGTTCCAAAACCCTGTGAGCACACTGACTGACCGAAGACAGTACCGACTGTACATAGCGAGCTGAAATTTCATTTGCATAGATCCTGGTCATCGTCGATATAACGATCGTCGTCACATCTCACCGCGCCGCCATTCTACTCACGAATGGAAGTACAGCTTCTTGTGACGAGTCTGCAAGCCACTCAACCGTCACATCACGTTGTTGAGGACTGAGAAATACATACACATCATCGATATGGAAAGCATCATCGATCTTGCACACATTCGCCGGGGAAAGGTACATTACGAAGAGTCCAGTCCAGCCCATTCGTCAGTCATAGACTCTTACTCTCGACCTTCGATATCCGACCTATCATACTTTGCCGACTCAGACTCAGCCAGTCCCAAGACGCTACACATGACCCTTGTGAGCCGTGCCACTTCATCGCCGCTACTCTGTGCCCTCCAAGCGACGAAGTAGTCCGGTCTAACTAGCACACATCCATCTTCCTCGACTCCTCTTTTCTCATCCCAATCAAGGTACACGTCCTCCCATTCCAATCCTATACCGACGTTCACCATCGTGATATCCACACCTAAGTCTTTCTTGATGGTTTCAGCGGCAACTCCCCAACCTTCACCTCCGATACCTGTGAAGAGGGCAAACTTTCCTTTTCCGGCAACGTCTAGCGTCGACCGCGGTGCGCTTGGGATGTTTGTGCCAAGCCAAACATGTGGGAGTCGACGACCAGGATACGTAGACGGTTCGTAATACTGTGCTGGATCTTGTGTTTCTTGGATTCCTGGTTGAAATGGCTCCAGTTCGTCATGAGGATATATGGCGGGCGAAGAGTACAGTTGCGCCATCGCCGTGCCTAAACCATGAGTCTCCCGATGCATCGTCCTGACGCTGTCCATCAACACCTTCCTTCTCTCCTTTCCTTCTTGACTATTCTCCTTCAAGACTTCCCTCGCGCGTTTTCTCTCCGCCTCAGAAGCTCCGTATGGCTGCACGCCTAGTGCGCCCCATACCCCAGCGTGCTTGCGTAGGATCTCATTGGATTCTTTTACGAGATGCTCCCCGACCGGCTGGCGCTCAGAATTGTAGGTGGAGAGGAGAGAGGGGTCAGCAAGACCAGACAGAACAAGATATATTTTCCAGGACAGGTTGAACGAGTCCTGGATACAGGTATTGGAGCCGAGCCCAAGCGTGGGTGGGTGGCGATGGACGGCGTCACCGAGACAGAAGCTGTGATCCGGTTAGATGAATAATCTATCTTACGACAGACCACGCATGAGCCGGAAATGGAGATTAAGGTAGAACCCGAGACATGCACTTACACATTCCCCTTCGATATAACGTCCGCACTCGTCTCGTTGATTGCCCAGCCAGACACATTTAAGATCTTAACATCCACGCTCTTGTCACCTATAAGGTCTTGCACAATCTCTTTCCACTCATCCGTACTGCGTTTCGGAATCGGCGCGGTGGGACCTTTGGGCAAAACCACAAACATCCATTCGTACCAAGGCTTGACCATTCTGGCAGTCGTAATGAACGGATAGTCCTTTTCGAGACGCATACACATATGCAAATTCCCCTCGCGATGCTGCATCAAATGCGCAATATCTGCTCTCAGGAGAATATTGTAGGCGAAACCACCACCAGGGAGTGTTGTAAAGGGCAGATCAAGCTGCTTCGCAATCGTACTGCGGCCTCCGTCTGCGCCAAACATGTAGCGGGTGCGAATCGTGTACTCCAGCCCGGTGAACTGGTCCATAACTGTAGCTGTGATATTTCTCTTTGAATCATCCTCGCCTTTGCCATTATCTCCAACCTCTTCCGTGAAGCTCACCAGCCGCGTATCAAACCTCATCGACCAGCCCCGTGTAGTCGCCCACTTGACAAGCAGCGGCTCAAGCAAATTCTGCGGGAAATCCATATAATGGCACGGACTCACAAGCTCATAATCACTCTTTCGTTTTCCATTACCCCATGCGAGATTTCTCGCATACTCCTCCCCAGCCATCGTCTCACAGTATCGAAAATTGTTGATCTTACTACCCCCAAAACCCAAACTCAAACACTCTTCATACAAGGAAGTGTCCAGATCCCGCAGACACTCGAGAGCCGCGGCGTTGGTAAGATGGGCGCGAGGAGTGTCTGCCGTGGAAGACGCAGAGGATATCATTATTCCTTTCAACCTTTGACGAGCGAGGAAACATGCTAACGAGGCACCTGCTGGACCGGCCCCGACGATGAGGAGGTCGGTTTCAATCGGATGGGCACTCATGGCTATGAATTGGGGGGTGTTTAGTCTGAAACTTTTCGTGACGAAACTTCGTTTTACGAATTACGTAGTTTTTGGAAGAGAAGCGTGTGAAGGGTATTGTGGAGCGAAATAGCTTGTTACACTGCAGTAGATACAAATCGACGAGGTATATTGAAGGAACACTCTTCGTAAGCCAAAGTCATGTGGAAAGAGGGGTCCAACATGAGCCCCTTCGCATTTAGCTTACACATGGTTCTAATCTCCGGCGCACCTGGTTGCAGGAAAAAATGTCCGGAAATTCATGACCCGGCAAATATATCTCTTGCATTAGAAACAACACCACGACTACGTTAAGGAAAATGTCCTTAAAGTGAAACAAAGCAGGAGAATAAGACACTCTATAATTAGTTGATACCTTGTTTCCTCTAGTGGTGTGGTGGTCAAGTTATAATCTTGCTGTTCTTGTTGTTCTGCTGACACATTCGGATTTCCGGCCATTTTTTCCTGCAACCAGGTGGGCGCTGCTCATAGCTTAGTAACTTCCACCTGCATACTGGTTGATCTGAGCGCGGAGCTAACTGACGTACCTGCTCCACGCCTGGATAAAGATCAACCGATCAACTAAACATAGTGGAGAACGTGCGTGGAACACAACGAACATGTATTCAAGCAAAGCGAGATAGAAGCACTGGGAATGAGAGCAGATTATACGGAGTCATGATCTTTCGTACATACGATGTGGACCCGAAAAGCGTGTTTGCAAGGAAATATAACTCGCACAACTAAATGCATAAAAAATACAAGCAGATGTTTTCCAGTGAGCATGGTGGTTAAAGATGTCGACCGCGGAGCCTAGTAAGAAGATTCAATCCTCCGTGCAGATTTCCTGGTCGTCATACAAGACCTACTTATAATCTTCAAACCCACCTCAGCCCTGCCACTTGATCCTCTTCTGACGAAATTGCTGCACCATGCCGAGGGGCAGCAAACCGAAATCGACAACATTCAGTCCGCCAAATTTACTAGCCATCTCAGGGCCGTACATCTGCGTGATCCATTTCCAATATGCGTCCATAGTGCCCCAGTGCGAAGTTATACCACGCAAATTACTCTGTCCTCGAAGTTGATTAAGCGCCTGACGAACCTGCTCGCTGATATCAATGGCCCTCTGGGTCGGCTGTTTCAGCAACTGAACGTACGCGCTGCTTAGCTTTGCCTTGCGATACCCTGTGAACTCTTCACGGTAACGTGTGAATTCGTCAATGGAGATGAAGGTGTCCGCATCCTCTGGCTTCCACCCTGGATCTTCTACAATCTGGCGGGTATTGGCGATCTCACCACTATCGAACCTCTGTTTTGCATCGGTGTAATCGTCCCGTTCATTTTCCTCGTATAAGTCGAGAAGGTCGTATGGGTTTTCCATAACTGATTCACGGATTTGAAGAAGATTGACAAATGGGGATTTGAGGTCCAGACCTCCGAGTTCGACTGGGAAGAAGAGGAAGCCGTCTGGCACATTCGCAACATTGAAGCGCTCTTTGATCATCGTCTTGAGATGTTGAACAACGTTTCCACCGTCGAAGATGCTCTCTTGAATATGGCGATGTGTAGCTAGCATCTTGTCGACGTGTTCGCGGCCGAAACAATTGGCTGAGGCTCCGAAATTAGAACTGAAGAATGTAGCGGCGTATGAATTCCAGGCTGTGAAGGAAAAATCAGTAAATGGTACTTCAGCGCAAATAGTGGTAATAACCTACCTTGAATCCAGTCGATGACACTCTTGGATTTGCCTTGCAGCTGCTTGCGCAGCTCCAAGATGTGGACGTCTACATTCTTTTGATCGATTTCAAAACGTCCGCTGGAAGGGTCCAAATACAAGAAGCCCCATCTGATTTCGCCTTGTGGGAGGCGATCATCGACAACAAGATCCTTGCCCGGCGAAATCCGGACGCTTCCAGTTTTGGTTTCGTTGATCTGCGATTTTGTTAGTTCAAAACTAAGGGTTGTTCACAGTCTCATCAAATCGTACCTTCACTCCCATCACCTCCGTGAACTTGAGGACACTTGTCCAAGCCTTCGCACACTTCTCGTGGTCCTTGCTCCAAAACCATACATCGTCATTCAAACGGTGTAGCAATGCACCATCAGTAGCCTGGTTGACAGCAAAGTCCAAACAAAACAGTACCGCCTCACCGAACACGTCGCTCAGGGCGTGCGAGCCTGGAGTGCCTCGACGTCGTAAACGTGGCTGAGAAGACCGATCGTCGTCCATAAACTTGAGCGGGGCCTGCATGAAAGTTCTGAAGAAATTATTCCACTTCGTGGAAACGCCAAAGAATTCCAAAACTGCCAGAACAGTTTCATGAGGCAGAAGCGGGTTCCATGATTCAAAGATGGTGCGAAAGCAGGTCAGCTCGCCATGGAGGCGTGAGTTAACAATGATCTCTGTAGACAACAGATGGAGAAGGTGTTGCTTTGCTTCCATAGGCTTCTTTGATTGTTGATCGTCTTCTTCGTCCTCGTCGTCTGCTTCTTCTTTTGGGTCTTCATCTGCTAGTATGCGTGAGCCTGCCTCTGCCTTGTTGTTAGATAACATTAGGCTGTGTCTGGTTCCGAACATCGCCGGCATCGCCGGCATCGGCGCTTGAGCTTGCATCTTTTGCATCCGTGGTGGTGGGTGCGGTCCTGCCTGTTGATGAGTCTGCTTGCGCTTTCGGGACATTTCAACCATATCACTATACTCTGCTTCCTCTTCTCCCTCCTGCAGTTCGACGCGTTGGGTATTGTGATCAAGAAGCTGATGCACAAAATATCGTTTACGATGAGTCTTGTTACGCTTTCCTTGAAGGTTGTTCTTCGTGTTAGTACCTGCTGAGCCCAGGAAGTAAGAGCGTCGCAATCGATCGACTCTCCCGATCTTGGAACTATTGCTCTTCCACGTTTGTTCGTTGTCGCGCATCTTCAAAAACACAGCCTTGAAGAACACAGACCATTTCACACCGATGTAATGCAGGAAGATAGCCTGCAAGAGATCATGATGCATGAAAAAATTGTAGCCGCCGTTAAGTTTTCGTCGTTGCTCCAGAAGAACATGGTCACCCCAGCTCCAACGATCGAGCGCTGCCATCCGAAGGTTGAGAATATCAGCAATTTCTGCCAAGATGACATCGTTGTTGAGGAAGTCGTTCAATACTTCTCGCTTTTCACTCGACAACAGATCGGAGTCTGCAAGCCCCGTGATGACCCAGCGCAGCGTAGGAATACTGAATTGTGCCGGACTGCTGAGACTGTTCTCGAATTCTTCTATCGTGTCGTGTAAATCTTTGATGGCGGCAATTGCCTTCTTGTCTATGCCTAGGAGGTCATTGAGGTAGGATCGTACCATTGGCAGGTCGACATCAGGGGGTTCAAAGACAACCTTCTCCCACTCAGCACGAGCTTCAAGTTTTTTGGTTCCTGGAAGTTCCTCGAAGCTCTCGGCCATTTCTACGTCGCCATCTGCAAGCGCACTCTTTTCAGAAGACAACCATTCAGTGACCAGCTTGCCGTAGAGATCCGCGTATTGGAATTTGACATCTTGAACTGAAAGATACTGCAACAACGTCGTCTCCCAGTCCTCGAGTACTTTGGGCGATACCGAGGGATCGTAACGCGCCTGCTCGAGGAAGCGATCCAGATTTTTGAGATCAGTTTCAAGCTGTACGTTTCGCGTGCCGCCACTGACTACGGGTCCGGGTCGCCTGTCGTTGGCCTTACAGGCAACAGTCTTTACCCCTAGACATGCTTTGATGCCGTCAACGAGAACCTCAAGACGTTTAACTGCATAATTCTCTGCTTTAGCCGCAGCAAGCAACGCAGCATATTGCTCGTCGAATGCAGCACGCTGTTTGGCGAGTTCCTCGAGCTTGGTGGTAGTGATTGTTTGTAGCGTTTCGGAGAACACGCTGCCTGAAGATGCCATTATTGTATCGGCGTAAGGAAGTGGTATTTCGTAAGGCTGTGTCGTACAAGGACAAGCAAGTTGACAGTGCGTTAACGTTATTGTGGAAGGCTCAAGAAGTAGGCAAGATGAGACGCTTGGAGTCGTGAATAACGCCCTTGGTGAAGACACGCGACGATCTTATAGATGTTGGTTGCATGTAGCAGGCAACACTTGGCATGACGAAATAAGTACCTACCTGCTGATGCCTACATGTATGGAAAAGAGAGCACTACAGCTAGCGATCATACTGTCTGTGATGTTCCGCGATGTTGTAGTAGGTTGAAAAATTCATTGCCAAATATAGTATCACATTGGGAGTTGTGCGTGCGTGCTTGGTGACACCTAAATCGTAACACCGTGGTCCCTACGATGTTGAGTCAAAGATGTGAGGATGAAGTTGTTCAAGCCTTATCGATAACACGACTCGGAGGTTGTAGAATTGCATGTTGGCTCAAATCACGATGCTGAAGGCTGCTCGAATGCGAATAACGATGTTTCAATTACGCAGGGTATCACATTCTAATAGCAATTTCAATCCAGAACCCTCGCCCTGCTCGAGCGGTGATATCGCACTGCATCAACTAGCCCCTACTCAAGTATCAACTTCCATTCGAAAGTTCTGTCGATTTCTCGCAATAGTGTCTCCAAGATCCATGTTCGAGGCCTGGCCGCGCACACCAGAAATGAAGCGTCGTCCTCCATCCTTGTTCTGTTTGAATTTCTCCTCCTCTTCCGCATCCTTGGCTTCCTGTTCACGGACACGCTCGACGCGCTGTGTTTCCAGAGACGAAGCATCTGCTTGCATCTTGGCGAGACGCTCTGCAGCACTTTCCTTGGGTTCCTCTTTCGTTGCTGGTGGAGGAGAACGAGGACGTCGCGGACGATCTTCTTCTATAGTGCGACGGGGTTTGTCGTATGAACGTCTTGGTGGGGTACGGTCGCGACGGCGGTAGTCAGTGCGATCCTCGCGATCCTCTCGTCTACGAGGTGAGCGCGAGCGTGAACGTCGTCGATGGTCGTCGCGCCGTTCTTTTCGATATGGTGATCGCGATCCTGACCGTCTACGATGACCATCTCGATGGCCATCATCACGGTCATGACGTCGGTGCCTATGCTCTCTCCTGTCGCGATCGTCGTGATCATCAGATCTCGAGTGTGAGCGATCGCGTCGGCTACGGTGCTTCCGTTCCCGCTCCCTATTGCGGTCACCATCTCTGTCTTTGTGCTTCTTTTCTCGCTCCTTCTCTTTTGTACGTTTCTCCTCATACTTGGCCTGCTTTTGCGCGTCCTTCATAGCCTTGAGTTGCATCTCCATCTTCTGCTTCTGGATCATCAGGAGTGGATCCTCGAGCACCTTCTTGTGCGTGTCGCGTGCTGTGTTTGCATTCGCATTCGCAAGCGCATCAATCCCAACCGCAGCACCTTTCTGTAGACTTTCTGTTTCGTTCGACTTCAGGAGGTTGTCTATCCTGCGCTTTCCTAGAAGATAGCCCTCACGCTCCTCAGTCACTCCAGCACCGTCACCGCTGGGGCCGGCATACAGCCAGTCTACCCGCTTTGTCACGGTCTTGCCGCCTGCGGCTTCTTGTAGTTTCTGAAGCTCCTCAATCTGGCGTTCCTCCTCGCGCTCTTTCCGTAGCTTTTCGATCAGTTTGCGCTCTTCTAGCGCTGAGTTTTCCTCTTTCCATACGCGCTCCTGATTCTTCCGCAAATGCGGATGCCAGGACTTTTTCAGATTAAGATCACCACCCATGGTTACGGTCTAGGGGGTTTGTGTTGATATGACGGTGCTGGTCGAGCGCAAGATACAGGGCTCTTCTTCGCAACGTCTGGAGGTGCAGGACGTTGAAGCGTGAGTGACAGTTGATGCGGTGTTGGGAGTGTGTTGGTTGAGAGTTGGAGGAAGACGCGCCACGTCCAATCCCTGTCAACTCTTGGCGATTATCACGTGGTATGGCCCCGCTAAAATTCACCTCCGCGACTTCTCCGCAAAAGTTTCCAGCAAGTACTTTCACAAGCCAAGGAAAAGGTCGAATATTGTACCATCCGCAACACGACACACAAGAGCCTATTGCGATCTCAATTGTCGATTGTGAGCCCTGAAACTTGGTGCTCAGAAATACACAACTTTTGCCATGGCCACACGAAAGCGCAACGAATGGCTCGAAGCCGAAGAGAGCGAAGACGACGAGAGAGGCTACGATTCGGGGGAAGAAAGCAGAGCGCGCATGCTGCCAGTATCAAAGCGACAAAAACTCGACAACGACTCAGAGATTGAGGGTGAAGACCATGCGCATGACGAGGGCGAAGACGAGGACGAGGATGAGGAGGCAGAAGACCTCGATGAAGATGATGACGATGATGCGCCAGATTACAGCAAAGACGCCCAACTTGCCCACCTTGAGAAGCTTGCCGCAGGTCTCCCCAAAGACCTCAAACTCGCGTCAGGAAAACTGCTCGACTCCCTCCCTCTCGAGTCTAAGAAAGACAAATCCGGTGTAATCTACCTCTCGCGCGTCCCACCCTTCATGAAGCCTCAGGTGCTGCGCTCCCTCCTTACCCCCTACGGCACCGTTGGCCGCATCTTCCTTACACCCGAAGACCATTCGAAGCGACAGCAACGGCTCAAGAATGGCGGAACACGGCGCAAGCTGTTCCTTGATGGCTGGGTCGAGTTCCTCAAGAAGAAAGACGCAAAGTTTGTCACCGACAACCTCAATGCGCAAACAATGGGCGGCAAGAAACGCGGGCGCTGGCATGACGAGATCTGGAATATCAAATACCTAAGTGGAGTCAAGTGGACGCATCTCGTGGAGCAGATTCAGAACGAGAATGCAGAGCGTGCGGCGAGGTTGCGGTTCGAGATTGGGCAGAGTAAGAAGGAGAATACGAGATTTTTGGAGAATGTGGAGAAAGGGAAGATGATTAGTGGAATCGAGGCGAAGCGGAAGGAGAGAGGCGGGGATGATGGTGATGCAGATGACGGTGCGCGGGCTGTGGTGGAGAAGGATGAGGGAGGCGAGAAGTCCAAGAGAAGGAAAGACCGGAGAGAGTTCACGCAGCATGCGGCTATGAGCAAGGGGGACAAGAAGCCTGAGCCAGGACAGAATATTCAGAAGGTGCTGAGTAGCATCTTTTGAGGCGTGGTTCATAGTATGATATCCAGGACAGATTCATCTTCAATTTCTTCGTGACAGTCGTACGATATGACCGATGTGTCAAGTAAATATGATTTTCATTGCCCATGGCTGAGATATGAATAGCGCCGTTATTTCCGTACTCCAATGTTGCCCAAACAAGCGACGCCGTTCAAATGCGATATCAGGGTATAACCACCACTTGTTGTTCACTTCCGACCTCTCTCCCTTTCATATCGCCGTACCTCTTTCAAAACTCTCCCGAATCTCTGTCGTATACTTGTTGTAGAATCTCGTCAACTTGTCGTTGAACTGCTTGTTCTTCTGGTTGATGTACGTGACATCGCCCGTATCCTGCTCATCCCTGATACCCCTCGCTGCCCTGGCCTTCAACCTCGCCCTCTCGCCCTTCTCTAGATCATCAACCAACTTATCCACCGCCTCTTTACTCGGCGTATGGTCGCCACTGAAATCCTCGTCGACAGGCGTGTTGATACGCCCTTGCTGATCCACGGTGTACACATCCCCACTCTCCGTCTCCACAAGTTGCAGCAACCCAGACTGCACCTGTCTCTGTAGCTTCTGCGCCTTGTGCGCCGCATAAGACTCCAAATCCACCTTGTCCATCTGCTTGATCTGCCTCTTGTACACTTTGTTCGCCTCGCCCTGATAATCCGCGAACGCAACACCGTCCCTGGCCTTGCCCTTCTTCGCCATGCGCTTGTCCCAGTTTTCACTCTCCTCGACGGTATAATCCCAATTTCTCTTGCGCTCAAAGTCCGGGTCGTCGTTCTTGAGCAGCTTGTATGAGGCTTTATCGTGCGCGTCTTGCAGCTTTGCAATCTTGGCGCGGCGCTCTTCGCGATCTTCGGCGTCGCGGACTTCTTTTTCCGTCGCTTTCTTGCCGCTCGCTTTTTGTGCTTGGAGGGACTTGAAGCGCGCCATGCGGGCAGCGAGGGCGGCTTTAGGGTCTGTGGGTTGGGGGTTGGCATCTGGTGCTGAAAGCGCGTCCTCGGGAGCAGATTCAGTCTTGGTCATTGTGGCCAGTGGTCTTTCTGGAACTGTGGCGTCGGCCATGGTAGGGTATCGATTGATGTGGAAGAGAGGGTGTGCTTGAAGTTGCTCTGTTCTCGGATGTCTTGGCGTGCCCAGCGTGGTATCCACAACTGAACTTCGTCACCCTTGTCACTCATCCACCAAAGTAGATCACGTCACACTGCTCAACTTCATTACAAGTCAGGCTCATACATCAGTACTTTTTGCTGTACAAAAGAGCACAGCTGGTGAGAGTGCATGACAATGCGCTTGAACATGTCACTTTTGTTTACGTTGGTGGCTGCATACGAGCTCGATGATGGCTTAACACTGTTACATTGGCCTAGGGCCTTGCAGAATAACATCGCCTAAATACACACACTGACTGGCTGCTTGACCCAATGAGATACATCAGCAAGCATTCCGCCAAGTCTGCGACTCCGGCCAAAACAATTCTTCCGCACTGTCTCCATCTCCTCGTGTTTTCCTCGGCTCGGGGACGCTGATATCGTACGTAGTAGTAACCGCTATCTGCCCCGGCGTTTTTTGGGTCTCATCTTCTTTGTCCGAAGCTACTCCTGCACTATGCAACTCATAGCTCTTCACACCACTCGAACCTCCGAATATTCCGAGCTTGCGACTTCCAGATCGGCTTCGACTGCGACTCGAGAGGGAGAGAAGCCAAGGCAGATGCTTTTGAAAGAAGGGTTTCAGAAGAGCTAGGCAGGCACAGATTACTCCACCGTTCACTTCTACTGCCGAGAAAAGAGCGGCTCGAGCCTGGTGGTAAGTGGCATCTGGCTCGGCAATGAGTGCGTAGACGAAGATGATGCGGACGATCGAGACTATCATGACCCTTTGCGAATGGAATTAGTCAGGCGAGGATAAGCAAGGTGTGGTGTTTTCTTACCCAGATCCGAGTGCAAAGATCAGTCCAAGGAGTATCTTCTGTTTGTTCGGCAGCTGCAGTTGATGCAACATCCTTACCGGCAACAACAAGATGAGTAAGTCGGTTACAATATTGATAACCGACATGAACAGGTTCAGTTTCACCAGGCACTGTTGTGCGCCTGGCTGGGCATATGGATTGCAAGGACCAGCCGCGACAATGGTAATAGCAAGTGTGTATCCAACCACGAGAAAGCTCAGAGCGTATACACATGCTCGAATCTTTGGATTCGGATCGAGGCGACGATAGAGTGCTAGCAACGAGAGCTTCGTCAATGCTGGTACCCAGACGTAGACAGTTATCACGGCGAAAAGCGTTTTCAAGTACCCGGCCATCTGTTCGGCGGTTACGTTCCAGAGATGTTGGCCATATCCATATTGGAAATCTAACTTCTTCGTCAGGTCGAGCGTCATTTGGTTATACGAGCAGTCTCACCGTAGAGACAAACCGTCATCCACGCGACGCATCCAAGCCAGCTCAGCACAATCAACCAGTCATCCAGTCCTATGGTGTGACAAATGGAGACTCGTGTGTGTAACCGTAACCCAAGGAACAGGGTCGAAAGAACAATCATAACTGAATTGACCATGATCGTTCGGTTTTGAAGGTCTGTTCTGCTACCGCTGAAATCGGATGTGACGCCAGCAGGAGGGGGCATCACGCCCACCAGAGCTCCTTGAGCAGAAGTCATCGTCGCAACTCGAAAAGCGAAAAGGAGAGAACAGAGAGAGCAAGAAAGGGAATAATGTCATCCGTCGTATACAGAGCTCAACCACTTATACATCTGATTTTTCCCATGCTTGTGCTATGGTGGTAGGGTAAGCTGCAGGTCGCCCAACATGGATATCCATACCTGCCCAATACCCCGGTTCAATTGGTTCTTTGTTCGTGCCCATCAAGAGATCAGATTTGTGATTGGCGATCTTGCTCTGTTTCAAAGAATTGCAAGGATAGCCGCAGTAATTATCTTCCCGTACTCCCCATAGTCCGTTACTTATAGACAAGCGACAAGTCTCATCGAGCCCGTCGGCACATGGGGATGAGATCTGAGTGGGATTTACTCCGGAGAAGTGACACACAATCAAAAGTTACCGCGTACACGGTTGTGCCACTGAACACTTGCGGAACACGTTTTTGTTATCGTGTTGGGGCGGGACGCAGCCACGGAAAAGCAATTATGCAACGTACAACAGGTTCACATGTGGCCTGTCCCTGGCCGAACGTGGGTTTGCGGGGAGTTTTTTTACCAGCCGCGCGGCGACTTCGGCAGTTCGTCAAAATATGGGAACGACATCTCTTCGGACACGAGACACCAGAGATGGTTAGGCTGAGCCGCTGTGATACCGAAAACAGAGCGCCTCCCGTTACGCAGGCCTGTGCAACAACCCTTAGCTGCTATCAACGGGTTGTAGCCTCCCGAAACTTGCGGAAAGGAGGCCTGTCCCGCCTTGAGGACGGCGCGAGTCAAACTACAAACCGAGGCCACATCCTAATATGCATGATCACTTCGCTATGATATACGGACCGAAGTCCTTTTCAGTCTTTTCAACCCTACCGTGATGGACCCTTTTCCAGCCGTAGTCTTTGTGTTCGCGCCACTATCTGCCATTATTCTTCACGAATTTGTCTTGAGACGCGTTGAAGTCGATCATCTCTCGTTGCCTATCATTGTGATCTCGAGCTCTGTGTACTGGTTGCTTGTCTACAAAACAAGTTTTCTAACTGCAACGGTAGTGACCGCGGCGTTCTGGCTTCCGCTGTTTCTGTATATTGGAGCTTATCGAGCATTCTTCCATCCTTTGCGGGACTATCCTGGTCCAAAGTGGGCGAAACTGTCGAAATGGTGGGCTTTAAAGCAAACGTGGGAATCACACTTCCATGGATTTGAGGTGCAACAGCAGCTGCAGAGAGACTACGGAGACTACGTGAGAACAGGTACCGTCATTCCTGTAGTCGACATTAATCTTGCCTGGATGCTTACATGGCCAGGTCCGCGAGAGCTGTCGATCTTTGACCCGGCTGCTATTCAACCCATCCTAGGGTTTCAGTCCAAGACTCGCAAGGGCCCCTTCTACAGTATCATGGAGAAGTCACTACATCTGAATCGCGACAAGGCATTTCATCGTCAGCGTCGCAAGATCTGGGACAACGGAATGAAGACATGTATACGAACTCATTCTCTCATTCGAGCATCGTGCTGATCATACCAAGCTCTCTCCGACTTCGCTCCGCGTGTCGAAGAATTCACTGAACAACTTCTTGAGCGCATTCGAGCCGCGAATAGAAAGCCTGTTCCGCTTATGAGATATATGGTCGACTACAGTTACGACGTCATGGCTGAACTTGCGTTTGGAAAGCCAATGGGTTTCACCAAAGGCGACTCGAGTGATGTCGCAGATGGCATCGTGCAAACCTTTACCGATGGCTTACAGATCATGGGTCTGCTCATGCAGATACCATGGATGTTCAACGCTTTGGGAGCACTCACCGAACTCGCTGGCCCCATGAAAGTATGGAAGGACTGGAGTGTGAGCCAAATGAATGCTAGAATTGCCGTACATACCACCACCTCATTCATGCCTTGCGCATACTGACTGCGTATAGCGCAAAGAAGGCCCACCAGACTTCATAACGCATCTGATCAACGGCACCCCAGACTCCCCAGCAGGCCGTGAGCTTCTCTACGGCGAGTCCCGACTCATCATCAGCGCAGGCAGCGAGACTACATCCACTGCCCTAACATTCGCATTCATTAACCTCGCCACTCACCCAGAGTACATGCGCGCCGTTCGCAAAGAGTTCCGCGACACCACTGCCGACACTGATTGCCAGTGCTCCCGACCTCTCCTCGACGCTGTAATCCACGAATCCATGCGTCTCCGGCCCTCCGTCTTCTTCGCCTCCCAACGCGTCACACCGCCAGAGGGCATGAGCATTAACGGACACTTCATCCCCGGTAATATGATCATCAGCATGCCGCCTTTCGCTATGAACCGCGATGCGAGGAACTTTGTCGACCCCGATGAGTTTATCCCTGAGAGGTGGACGACGAAGCCGGAACTTGTGCTTAACAAGAGCGCGTACAATCCTTTTTCCACGGGCCCGTATAACTGTGTGGGGAAGGCGCTTGCGATGATGGAGTTGAGGAGCGTGCTAGGAAGGGTTATCAGTGAGTTCGATGTCGTGCTGCCTACCGATTTCGATAGTGCGAAGTATTGGGAGGGCGTCAAGGATCACTTTACTGCGGGCCCGCCGAAGCAGATGGTGGAGTTTGTGAAGGCGGAGACTAAGCAGTGGATTTCTGTGGACTAGATAGACCAAATCACAAACCAGGCCAGGTAGTCTCAATACCACCCATCTCAACACCAACGCGGAGTTTCAAGAAATTAGCTGCGAGTCAGCCTGCTCATGTCTGTGCGGAATACGGCTGAATCAGGAGAACCATTGCATGATCGACAACGTCGATCTTCCCAGCAACAAGTGCCGCCAACGCTATTGTGTAAGCCGACACAAAGGCCATGACCTAGACTTCATGTACAACTACGCATGTGGATGAACCTGCATACAACAAGCCAGATTACGCAGTGCTCATTAATCGAGGCTAACCATGGGTTGTGAAACTGTGTGCTTACTGTCTGTAACTAAGGACTTCACTTACATGGGTCCCGCGCCTCGGCTTCTATTTGAAAGCGGCAGCGTTGAGGGTGCGCTAGTAAGCGGTAAATTCTCCGCACCGGAGCTTCCTCACTTCCATGTGTTCATCCCTCGGCAGGATTTTGTTACACGGTCATAGCAAACACCGTTTAGAAATTACGACTAGTAAAAGCGAGTCGTACCAATTACTGCATTCGCTTTTCTTACCGAATCCTAGGAACGGTTACGTAGCTCTCGCTTCGATGACTTATGGGGCATCGCCGCATGGTACGATTCCCCACACGTCTTGTTATCCTGGGAATACGCGGTACGAGCTTAGACGCCAAGTGGGTTGATCGGTACCAGGGCCGCCATCTTTTGACAGGACCAAGAACCCGAAAGCGAACGGCCCGCCCCCCGTCCCTGACTCAAGCACGATCCCTGCCAAGGCCTAGTACCCTTCAGCCGTTGTCTTACCAATTAATCACGAATCCCCAAGCCCTCATGACGATATCGGCGGGCCAAGAACTGCTAGACTTGAGACTCACTGCAGTCTCCGGCTTCTCCGTCACCACGTGGGGGTGCTATGCGAAGTGGCGTTCTCGAAATGGCGTGTGGGAATGCCTAATAGAGCCAAATCTGCGAACTCGAGGCTTAATTGGTTCTACTCAAAGACAGCTTGGGTAGAATGGGCATTGTCGAGATCCTGCAAGTATGCTGATCCTTCTGCTAGGTCAAAGAGCCCAATAGCAGGGGGTTCGGAGATGAGCGCTCTGGTTGGTAGCATTATCGAGATTGTTACGAACGGTCAATTACCTGACGCTGGACGGCCTTACTTGATGAATTTACCTTTCTCCTATAGCAGAACTTGGGATTGACGAAGGCTTTTCTGTGTACCACTTGATGCCTCGAGACCAATTCACAGTTTGCAGTTTGCCACACTACATCTTACAGATAGTCCAAGAAGACCTAGCATACTGTATTCTAGTCCGCAGATATATTTCTGCACAAATCCCGCAGTAGTTGATATTTGTCTGGCATAGTATCAGACAAAAGTAACCGTTGCCTACACAATCTACTTGCTCCGTGGGACATATCTATATGTTCTACTAGTATCGACTAGGGCTATAACATATCGGCTGGAAATAGCTCCTAGTGCAACTAGTACGTTGCGGTCGAAACGAGGAAGCAAGCCGCGTAGTCACAGATGCCGATATACCAGCCGTACAGGAGAGAGGAGATCTACAGTCTGTAGCATGAACTGATGTGCCCCTTGAATGCTCGAGGCTATGACCTGGAGAGATCTACATGGACACAGCACAAGGGTTTGATGGGTGATGACTGCTTTGAAGTTGACCTCGTTGACGGGTTGTGCAGGACTGACTTGGCTGGACTAAGGGGTTGTAACAAGATCCATCTATGGGAAATAAGATACAATCAGTGCCCGTAGGCGAGCGAGGAACAACATTTAGAACATTCCAGGCGAAGCTCTCGATAATGGTTATGTATATGTTTTTATACAAAGGATGTTTACTATGTACTCCTATTGGTAGTTGCTGTGTGTAAAGCATCTGTGATTTATCCTCTTTACTTCGTTAGAACATGAATCCTTTCATTGCATCGTGTCTATTATCTTCTATTACAAGTAGAAACACGCTAAAGACATATAGATACATGAATAAAATAAAGAACATCAAATTTACCCCTGCGGCCAATATGATACTATATCTCAATAGCCTCTAGCACTACCTCTCTGTAAATTCTCCTCCACTTACGTGCACATCTACAATATATCTGTATATCGTACATTCCCTTTCTGGCTATACCAGCTGCCATTCTATCTGCTACCAAATCCCCAAGAGAAAGCAGAGTCTAAGTGAGTTCTTGTACACCACCAAAGTTTTGGAACACTTCACTCTCCCATAAAACTCAGTTTCTACCACTATCAAACGCTGATTTCTTGCCAACTGTGAGGCAGATTAAACAATCATAACGTAAACACTATAACAAATCTACCCACCCCCTTCCTCCATCCTCCACTCTCTACCTTCCCAACGCACATCCCTCCGAACAAACCCCACCACGCAAGGGATCACCACAACTCACCAGTCTCAGCATACAAATCACACCAAACCACACCCCCACAGTACCAAAAATCACTCGATGCAGATACCCAGCCAAGACTACACCAACACGCATTACGCTATACTACACAGAAACAAACATACACCTCATCCCCCCCCAGGAACGTGATACAGTGCAATACAGTGCAATGCACTAGGCATACGCCACAAAATTGTGTCTGAGCGCTTCACTTCCTCAGTGTTTAAGCAGTTTACCTGGGTGGAGAGTGGGAGAATATGATTTGAGATGGGGGATTGGACTGGGTTGGTGGGTAAGAAGAGGATGGTGGAGGGTATAAGTTTGTTTTAGTCTGTTCTACCATCTTCGTGGATGTGAGAGGAGAAAGTAGTTGAGACCAATCGAGAGAATAGACAGCACCAGTGTGCACAAAAGTCCGTAACATCCAAACCTCCCCACAAGTCCCATCCCATCACTCCTTCCCCTTCCCCTCCCTCACCCTCACACCCTCAGTCTCAAACTCCAACCCCGCCCTCACCCTCACAACCCCAAAAACAGCACTACTATCCAGCCCCCTCCCCCTCTCCCTCCCAACCCTCTCCGCCTCCCTCGCAGCCTCCAGATAAAGCTCTCCAACCCGAACCCGCATGCCCACCTCCCCCGCAAGTCCCACCCCATGCGCCACATCCTTAATCCCCAGTTCCAACCCGGACATCGCCTCCTCGCCGCGCGGGGGAAAATACGCACCGCTCGTCAACCGCCTCGACACACCATGCGCATACGGCCCCAGATTCTGCTCCACGAGCGATTCCAGCACGGCGGCGGGCAGCCCCGACTTGGCGGCCAGCGTGTGCGCTTCGCTGAGCAGGTACGTCATGCCCGCGGTGATGAGGTTGCTGGTCGTTTTGAGCAGGAGGGCTTGCGCGGGGTCTGGGCCGACGGGGATGACGGCGCGGGCGATGACGCCTTGGAGGAAGGGGGATGTTTTTTGGATGGCGGGGTCGGGGCCCGCGACGGCGATGAGTAGGGTTCCTGCGATGGCGAGCGGGGAGGCGCCGAAGACGGGGGCGGCGATGTAGGATGCGTTTTGGGCGGTGAGTTTTGCGGCGACGGCGGAGGTGGTGGTGGGGTGGACGGTTGTTGTGTCTACGATTGTTTTGCTTGGGATGGGGCCGCTTGATGTGATTTCGTCGATTATGTTGGTTAGGACGGCGTCGTTGCTGACCTGGGTTTACTTGTTCGTTTTGTGGTGTTTATGTAGATGGGAGGGGGGGGGCCTACTGAGATGAAGATTATGTCGCAGTTTTGGACTAGGTCGCCTATTGATTGGCATGGGATACCGCCGATTTCTTGTAATGCTTCACCTCGAGATAGTGTACGGTTCCAGTATCTCATTGACGGCATGTCTTTCTCTTTCAAGTGTTTTTGCATGTTGTTTGCCATACCTAGGCCCATCGAGCCCAGACCAATCCATCCGAGGCGAGGATTTTCCGAAGAAGTCATCTTTGAGCAGGAGTGTTGTGGAGTTTTGGCAGAGTAATTGAGCGTGAGGTTGAGGTAGTAGGAAATGACTCACTGCAATTGGGCAGCGGGGGAACAAGCGTCGCGCTAGAGTAGATGAGGCAGGTATACTGTAAGCATCAGGATGCTGACTACATTTCATCCAGCCGTATATCCACTGTTCAGCTCTCTTACGAACCTCGCCAGGTCGCAGTTCAAAGCCTGTTCTTCATCATCGGCCGCCGTGATTTCTCCCACGGTGAACCTAACCCTACCCTTTAGCTTCTCCAGCGGCCATAGCAGGCCTACCTTTGTCTCCCACTTGACCCCTTCAGACACATCCCTCACACTGACAAGCACCTCTTGCAAGTTCCTCCCCTCATCCAACAACAGATCTACCTGCTCCTCCAACCAACCGTTCATAGACCACGGCCAAGTCTTGATAGACGTTTGAGCACGCCGCGACGTGATGTTCCACACCATCATCAACTCGATCTTCTTTGCGAGGCGAATGACGGTAAAAGTCGAAGGAGCCATATCTTCACGCCTCGTACCCTTGCTTCCGTACGCGAAAAGGCGGAATGTAGCGCGCCCAAAGTAGTATAAGCGAATCTCCTCGTAGATGGCGCGGCATGTGACGAGGAGCTGAATCGGAGGGCCACGGCAGTCGATAGATGTGATAGGTGAGGGGTGAGGAAAAAGGTATGAGATGGGTTCGTCGCAGGATAGGTGGTCGTAAATATCGTAGCGGAGTTCAGTAGGGAGACAGAGGAAGGGAGGGAGTTGTACGTGGGAATCCATTCTGGAGCGTATTCGCAGGGAAATGATGTTGGGGCGTAGCAGTTGTGCGAACGTCTGAGGTTATTCGATGTGTTGTGGGTCGTCGGTCAAATGCCACAAATTTGTTCCAGACGTCCAGTTCCTAGGTAGGGCTAACCGGTGGTTGACGTCAAGCTAGGAATTGTAAGTTCAAGAAGTGTTAGAAGACATCCCATTTCACCTTGTGACGGGAATCATGAGAAGACTTGTGAACTCACCTATCGAACGATGATTCCGCAAAATGTACAACTGGTAAATTTCCAACCTTACGATGTAACTATTTGCGATATATCAGCGAGAGAGGCAACAGTACTGATGATTTCAACTTCAGAGCTGCGGTTCTGTTGCATGGATTGAGAGTTGCGGAGCATCCATATGTCAGCTGTTACGGAGATGACGTAGTTGGTCCAGGATCAAGAAGCGCAAAGAGAATGCACCACATCCAGGTGCTGGTTGATGTCTGATTCAGCTATTCGCATGTTACATATCGGACACTCGACGAGTACCTTCTTCTCAATAGTGATATTCTCGTCATCATCGCTCGTTCGCGGCCGTTTCTGGCCTGCTACAGAGCTCAAAGAAGGATCCGCGTCGAGTGAAACGTCCACTGCCACGGCTTGCTTCTTCTTTGACCTACTCGACATCTTGCGAGGGTTGTCCTCCGTGTCAAGATCGATAGGCTGATCGACAGTTTTACCTACTACTTCATCGTCCTGCGTTCTTTGTGCTGTGACCCAACTGTCTAGTTTGTTCTTCTGGCGCCCTGCACGTTCCTTCTTGCTCAAAGCCTCGAGCTGCTTCTTCGTAGGAGCGGGCTCTTGGGTCTTTGTGTACGTTCCTCCGCATTCGGCTTCGTGTTTCAACCACCAATTGTCGCTCTTCCCAGGCGCTCTGTTCATGCTGCGCTTCACTAGACCAAAGTAGGGCGGCTGCATCTTGCATGGCCCGTCGCACTGCCAGACATGTGTCCTGAAACTCTCCACCTCGTCGTGGAAAGTGTGGTAGATTGTGACTTCATAGTTGCCGTGGTTGTTGACGGCATCAGCAAACAATTGAAAGCCTAGGCCATGTCCAGTCCCGTCGTCACCGCGCGAATGCTTCCAAGAGGTGGTGATGAAGAAGTAGGCGTGTATGGCCTCATGCAGCAGTGTGTTGATGGTGTCTGATCGCGGACGATACTGCAACAGTGGGGTGCTCAGCTTCAGACGAATGCGCGTCAACTTTCCAGTGGATGGGTCTTTGGAGAGTTCGCAGATGCCAGCACAACTGCACGTGATATCAGTGATGCTCTCGCAGGGCGACGCAGACGGCAAACAACATTCTTACAGCGTCAGTCGCGGCGACCACAGGAGCTCGACGCGGGGCAGCAGCAGTCCCCGAAAATACAGCACATTGTAGTGGGCAAACAATTCATGGACATTGACAAACGGCTCCCCGTTGTGCACTATAGCATTGACGGCGTGCAGGGCGTCTTGCTGCTCAACGGACAAGTCCTGCAATGTCGCAATAGCCTGCAGCGCGGCGTCCTCGTCGGTGACGGGCATGGCGGGCGAGTAGCTTGGGCCACAAAGGCGGAGGATTTAGTCGTCTCGTCTCGTCTCGTCGCGTGTCGCGTGTGCATGCACAAGGCTGGAGAGAGCGGAGTGCAGGCCTGCCATGCGGCGATCGGGCCGTTTCAACGGGCGGAATGGTCGACTGCTGGACAAGTCGACCTTCACAACCACCGTTTGTGCCCGAACCCCTTGCTTTTGCCAGTCTGCTTGCCCGCGGTTTGCAGACGCTGCCCTTTATGCATCGCCCTTGGCGCCTGAAACACGCTTGCGCCTTTGACTGTGCACACGGTTAAATAACAGCGGGAGTGGGCTGCAAGAGGCGCGAATCACTGTCTCCATGCATGACGCAGCCTGTCCCACCTGTCCATCCAGCAGCGCACACAATCGCCAACCTGACCACGCAGCACCTGCCTCTCGCCCCAACACCCGTCCCACTCAAGCCTCACGTCCGGCGCACCCAACTCCCCCGCGAATGCGCTGCCCGTGACTCTGATGGCGGCCGTCGACACTCCCCGGTCTGTGGACCTCGTGCGCACCGCCTCGCAGAACTCGACCCTGTCGAACCCCCGGAACCGCAGTCTGGCGCGCGTGAGACCGACCAAGCGCGCCTCGAATGCCTCGCTGAGCCGCAGCCGCAGCCGGGCCCACTCGCCCGCCGAAGACACCAAGAGCCTCACGTCCTTCCCCTCGCTCTCGCCGAGCCCCGAGACATCGCCCGTGCAGGCGCGCATGAATGGCTGGTTCCGCTCTGCTTCGGGACTGGCCGACGACGCTTCTAGGGGAGCAGAAAACAAGCCCGTGACGTCGCCCGAAACGGTCAGGGCCATCCCGCCGCCCGACGCTGGCAAGAGCCCCGCGCCCGCAACAACTGTGAGGAAGGTGACCAAGTCGACACAGCAGATCGTCGGCAGCCTGGTCGCCACATCCTCGACACGCACCCGCACCGCCCTCTTCGACGACACGCCCCAGGAGCCCGCCAAGGTGCCGGGGAACCTGCACTTCTCCACTGATGACAACATCGAGGATGCCCTGGCACAGGCCGGTGCAGTCGCCCTGGTCAAGCAGCTGGCGGGAGACCTGGCCCAGCGAGACGCCCAGATCACAGCCCTGAGGCGGCGAGCAGAGGAGCGGGAGAGGATACTGCGGAAGATGCTGCAGGAATGCGAGGTCTCCAACATGGACATCGAGAACAGGCTGCGCGAGCTGGAGAGGAACAAAGACCAACCCAACCAGCTCGCCCACACGAGGACAAGAGGCGACAGTGCCCTCTCCGGCCTGCATCCCGACGACCCCATGGAGGACAGGCTGGCTCGAGCCATGGAGGACGAGGTGGCCACGCACCCTGACGCGCTAGGCATCGACTCTGGATCCGCAGCACCAGCAGCCGACGTAGCTTCCATTCACTCCATAGCATCAGAAGCGACCCGCGACCCAAGACGCGCCAACTGGAAGAGCTACATCTGGACGGGGGCCAGCAGGAACAGCAGCAGAGCCCCCTCGGTTGCAAGCTTGATCGACAGAGAGTCGGAGACTTTTCCAACACAAAGCAGACCGCGAGCATCCAGTGGAGCCAAGCCGCTGTCCCGGAAGGCCCTCGCAAACGACTTGTTTGTGCCTCCTGCTGCTGACAAGGGGAATGGCGCCGTTCCCGCTTTGCGCAGACTCCAGAGCCATGGCCGTTCCCCAGAGCCATCCTCGCGTCGGTCTTCTGTGTCTCTGGCGAGCTGGGCTCTGAAGATGGTGGCGGGCAACAGCCAGGCAGGCAGCAAGGCCAACACAGTCAGAGGTCGCAAGCACATCGACTCGGGCAATGCAGATCGCACACCGTCTGTGAACTCGACAAGGACTACCCAGTCTGCCAGGTCTTCTCTCGCCAATGTGCAACAACGAGGACGAGCTCTTGGTCCAAACGGGACAATCAAAAGCACAGCAACTGAGACACAGAAGCTGGTCTCTAAAACCACCAGCCCGCACCCGCCCAGTCGTGGCCTCAGCAATCTTGGGCCTGTGGAGATGGATCGCATTCTGCCGGAAGAGTCACGGCCGCCCACACTGGTACAGCACCACAACAGGTTCACTGGGAGCAGCGAGTACTTGACCGATCGATTCGGATTCATCTATGATCAGCGTCGAAAGAAGAGGCAGAGCGAGGCAGCAGCAGCACTGGCCAAGCAAAAGCGAAACAGCAATATCGAGTCTCTAGGAGACAGCAGATCCGTGTTCAGTAGGCTGGGCTTCGAAGAGGAGACCGATGGCGCGAATCCTGCTACCTCTGATGTGAATGAAGACCCTTCGCGCCCTTCCAGTTCTGGCTCTGACGACCAGAGCGGTAAGCCAGTCTTGAAAACATGGGTGGACTACCTCAAGCTCGCAACGCATCCCACCGAACTCCTCTCACACACCCCCTCTGCAGCACCCATCACATCCGTGGAGTCGGCAGAGGGAGAAACCTCCGCTCCCAAGTCGAGCCAGATCACTCTGACGAAGCGCGGATCCTTACCATTCTCAAGCGCCAACCCCGAACCTTCGCCATCACGCATTGTCTCCAGCTTTGCAGAGCTCTCAATCGCATCGCCCTCCATCGGCCCATCCATGCCCGTGAACCAATACCCAACCTCCCAGGCCGATCCCGTCAAGTCCCTCCTCGACCAGATGAGCGAACTGCACGACAACCTCCAAAAAGAGCGAACAGTGCGCTGGAACGAGTTCCTGCGCAAAGTGCGCGCCGAGCGCAAACGCGAGGGCGACGCCGGCACAGGAGAAGGCCGCCCCCACGCCATGCCCGAGACACTCCTCACAGACGGAGAAATGGTCGGCATGGCCAGCCTAGGCAACAAGGGCAAACTCGGGCGCGCAAAATGGCAAGAATTCCGCCGTCTGGTGCTCGAAGGCATCCCCGTCGCATACCGCGCAAAAGTCTGGGCCGAGTGCAGCGGTGCGGCTGCCCTGCGCATACCAGGCTACTACGAAGACTTGCTCGACAATGGCTCCGACGACCCTGTTATCGCGGCTCAGATCCAAATGGACATCACCCGCACCCTCACGGACAACATCTTCTTCCGCACGGGCCCGGGCGTCGCTAAGCTCAACGAAGTGCTCCTCGCCTACTCGCGCCGCAACCCCGACGTCGGCTACTGCCAGGGCATGAACCTCATCACGGCGTGCCTCCTGCTCATCCTCCCCACCTCCGAAGACGCCTTCTGGATGCTCGCCACAATGATCGAAACCATCCTGCCCCAAAACTACTACGACGCACACCTCCTCACCTCGCGCGCAGACCAATCCGTCCTCCGCTCCTACGTCGTAGAACTCCTGCCGCGCCTCTCCGCGCATCTCGACGCGCTGGAAATCGAGCTCGAGGCCCTAACCTTCCAATGGTTTCTGTCCGTCTTCACGGACTGTCTATCCGCTGAGGCGTTGTTCCGCGTCTGGGACGTCGTGCTGTGCATGCACGACGGCGCGACGTTTTTGTTTCAGATCGCGCTTGCCCTGCTGAAATTGAATGAGAAGGCGCTGCTGCTGTGTGAGGCGCCCGCGGCGGTGTATCATTATATTAATCATCAGATGACGAATCATGCTATTAGTATTGATGGGTTGGTGCAGGCGTCTGATGCGTTGGGGAAGGTGGTTAAGAGGAGGGATGTGGAGGAGAGGAGGGAGAGGGCTGTGGGGCTTGAGAAAGAGCTTATGAGGCAGAGGGATGAGGCGAGGGTGGAGCGCGCGAGGAAGAGGGGGAGTGTTGTTGAGGAGCGCGGTGGTGTGGTGTCTCCTCCTCCGACTGCGAGTAGTCGGGATGTGCAGAGTAGTCCTGTGCGCTCGCCGGGCCACGGGCTGGATGCAGATGCAGATGAGGATGGCGAGGACGATGTGTTCGAGCGCGAGCTGACGGAACGCACGCCTATGCCTATTGAGGAGGAGTGTGCGTGGCGTTGAGTCTGGGGTTGGTATGGTTTGGCCTGGTATGGTTTGGCCTGGTATGGTTTGGCCTGGTATGGTTTGGTTGGACTGGTTTGGTATGGTTTGGTAAGGGGTTATCCAGTCTGATCCAGTCTAGTTTGGTATGGTACGATATGGTCTGGTCGGTGTGGTATGAAGTGTAGTCGAATCCGAACAAAACAAAACAAACCCTTTCGTAGAATACCCCTCCTCTCTTTGCGTGTCGAGGATGGATACACTATATCGCAATAGGACATTTTCAACATTGCATAGATATGCATGTGCAAAATTATTGTTATTCTTATATTTTAGGTGTTAGCGATGTGTGGTATATCTGAATGTTTACTTGGTATGGCAGGGTGTGAATACCCCTTCCGGTCCTTTACCGTTTACTCCCGTCTACTCCATCCATCCATCCATAAAAAAGTATCCATCGTGTCCCCCAAACCCGAACAAACACCCACACGGAGAGATACTTCGACACTTGATGTACCAGTCAAGCACACAGAACAACGAGATAAAATACTAACAAAAGCAAAACACGATAGAACAAGTAGGTATAATTCTTACATCACACGAGGAGTATGTGGCTATGTGACTATGTGCTGCCTAGTCCACCACTCGCAAACCACTCGTACACATATTCGTATATAACTTTTGTTCCACACAACGCGTGTTGCCATGATCGCAACCACATACCTGCGGAAAGGCAGACGACGGCGACCTAACTTAACCCGCGGCTATACTCAGACATGCTCAAAGCGTGATGCGCGCAGGAGGTCGACCAGCGTGGACAGAACAGTCGTCATCGTCGTCGTCTTCGTCAGCCGCGCCCTCGTCCTCCAGCAGGCTTGCCACACGTCTCCTCAAGCCCCGCTTCTTATTGCCCTTCTTCGTGATGCGAGTATTCGCGTGCCCGTTCGGGCGGCGCTGGGAAGGGGGCGTGTTCCGTTTGTCGAAAACCACTTCAACTCTCATCCTCCAGGAAGAAGTAGTTCCCGCTCAACTTCTGCTCCTGGTCGAGCTGGGACTTGTCCTTGTTGATACGGGGACGGTACGAGTTGGGGTCACGTCGGAAAGTGACGTCCAGGTTCTTCAAGAAGGTGTTGCAGCCGGTGAGGAGGGATTCGGGGGTCTTGGCGCGCGACTTGACACCGGGCTGGCCGTCAAACACAATGACACGGTCGGCGAGGTAGGTGGCCATGATGAAATCGTGCTCGACGACGAAAGCAGTCTTCTTCGAGTGCATGATGAAACGCTTGATGACTCGGGAGGCGACGATACGTTGCTCAGAGTCGAGGTAAGCACTCGGCTCGTCGATGAGGTAGATGTCGGCCGGGATACCGAGAGCCAGGACAATGGCGACACGCTGCAATTCACCACCAGAGAGGTTCTGCACCTCCTGGTCGATGAAGTCGTCCATCTTTAGCGGCTTGTAGACATCAGTCTGGAACTGGGGGCTCAGGAAGGCAGCCTTGATCTTCTTGAAGAAGAGTTGACGAACGGTACCCTGGAACTTGGGTGTGATGGTCTGAGGCTTCATGCTGATGCTCATCTTGGGGATCTTGACGTCGCCGTCAGGCTGGAGAGCGCCGGCGAGCATCTTGCAGAAAGTGGTCTTGCCAGTTCCGTTCTCACCCATCATGACGATAATCTCGGAGTCCTCGAACTGGCCGGTCTCGATGCTGAGGTTGAAGCCACCTAGTGTCTTGGACATTGTAGGATAGCTGTATCCGCGCGAGTGGTCGACCTCGATGTCGTCACCAGCCTCGGCGATACGGAACTGCAGAGACTCTTCACGGAATCGCAAGTTCTCGGTGGGAATATTGCCGTCCAAAAAGATGTTGATGCCTTCTCGGACCGAGGCTGGCAGGGTAACGACACCGTAAACAGCGGGCTTTCCGTACAGGACACAGATGAAGTCGGAGAGGTAGTCGAGAACAGACAGATCGTGCTCGACGACAATAACGTAGTCGTTGGGCCGGAGCAAGCTGCGGATCTTGCGGGCGGCGGCGAGACGCTGCTTGACATCGAGGAAGGAGGACGGCTCGTCGAACATGTACACGTCGGCCTGCTGCACGCAGACGAGGGCGATGGCAAAGCGCTGCAGCTCTCCACCCGAGAGCAGCTTGACGTCTCGGTCGAAGATGTGCCTCAACTCGAGCTCGTCGATCATCTCGTCAAAGTTCTCCATCTGCGAGCGGGTGGAGATGAGGGAGCCAACAGACCTGTCGGTCGCCTTGATGGCCTTGGGGATCTGGTCGACATACTGGGGCTTGACGACAGCCTTGAGGTTGTCCTCGAGGATCTTGGTGAAGTAGTCTGTGGCGTGTCAGTGCGTGTTGACAGTGGTGGGTGACGGGTCCTTACTCTGGAGCTCCGAGCCACGGAAGTACTTGAGAATCTCCTCCCAGTCGGGCGGGTTGTCGTAGCGCCCCAGGTTGGGCTTGAGCTTGCCGCTCAGAATCTTCAGCGCCGTGCTCTTGCCGATACCGTTTGTGCCAACCAGACCCAGGACCTGTCCGGGGCGGGGCATGGGCAGCCTGTGCAGCTTGAAGCTGTTGGCCGAGTAGCGGTGGGTGACCTGGGTCTCGAGGTTGGTGGGCAAGTTGATGATGTTGATGGCGTCGAAGGGGCATTTCTTAGGGCAGATACCGCACCCGATGCACAGGCGCTCCGAGATGAAGGCGATCTTGGACTCGTTGGTCACCTCGATGCACAGCTTGCCCGTGCGCACGACGGGACACGACTTTTTGCATTCCTGGCGACATTTCTGGGGCGTGTTAGAGGGGCGTGTGTGGTTGTGGGTGGTTGTGTGGGGGCACTTGCCTTGGGCTTGCACTGTCACGGCGAACATCCTCAGGTTAGCAGGGTGAAATTCTGTGTGCGCGGGAGGGGGTAGCGGGGTACCTTGTCCGAGTTGATGATGGCGATACTGCGAGGCGTCAGTGGGAAGGCATCGACGGCGCTGTCTCAGCAGGCGGGTGCGTACCGGGTGAGTCTGTCGCCCATGGTGCTGCTGGTGGGACCCGTGGGCTGTCTTGGGGAAGATGGTCGGGCTGGCGGGGTGCGAGGTGGTGTTACGGCGCGAGGGACAAGCAGTGCACTGGACACAGGCGCGGTAGGTCGACGGCCGGGGCGGGCAGAGGCGTGAGGCGACGGCGGCGGCGGGAGTGTGAGGCGCGAGAGGAGGGCTCACTCGCAAAAGAAGCCTTCTGGACGTTGCACGCTTTCACCGTGGAGCGTCGGGGTGTCAGGATTTACGGATCGGCGCTGATTGGCTGTCACAAATGTGGGCCTTGGCGTGCCTTCTCGACTTGCTGTGCTGCGACTCCGAACCCTTGAGCCCCATCCGATTCACATCTCACCACCACCCACACCTCGACCCCCCCACGACACGACCCCGCCACTCCGCGCGCGGCTGTCGTAGCCATGGACTGTAAGTGCACTTGCTGTTTCTTCTTTTTCTCTCTGCCCTGGCTTGCTCGCCCGCTGTGCTGCCCCGGCTGCCGGCCTCGCCCAAGTCCGTCTTTCCATCACTATATCGCGTCGATACATCGCCCAGCACGCCTCTCACCCATAGCCCGACCCGTCCCCGCGCGTTGGTCACTCCAGCGAGCCTGTTGTCGCCCGTTCCAGTCGCTCCGCCCTCGCTGGGACCTCCACCGCTCCAGCATGCGTCTGCCATCACCCGTCCATCGACCATGGCCAGATGCCATCGGACCTCCATTGCCCCAGCCCATGCCCGTGTTCTTTGCTGCTTTTTGGCTATTCTGGGTCGCGTAGTTTTGCTCTATCCAACGCACCCGCTCTCGGTCGCCAGAACCCTGCGCGTGTTGAGATATCGCGCTGACCATTCCTCGCAGCCACGTCCATCATCATGTCCTCTTCACCGGGTCATGTTGCCTCCCTACCCTTCGCAAACGGTCACACGTCACCCCTCGGGCTGAATGTCATGACCGCGAACAGCCCCCTCCAGCACAGTGACAGCGATCTGTCCGACACCAGAGAAGCCGCTGCAGCAGACGATGCCTCCGACGCCGACGCGCCCGGGGAAGAGTACGACGAAGACGAGCCCATGGCTGTCGACTCGGACTCGTCGGAGGATGTAGACGCTGAGGGCGAGCCAGACGGCGACTACGACTCCGAATCACCGCCGTCGGAGCAGGCAGAGAGCAGTCGTACTCGAAGCTCAGTCTCCCAGGAGTCGAGGATACCGTCGAAGCGGAAAGCAAGCGCAGAGCCCGACGACTACATGACACAGAACCCCGAGCTATATGGCCTGCGTCGCAGCGTACGTGGCACCGACCGCCTCCATGCACATGAGCTAACTCCAGTCCAGGGTCGTGCCCGCCCAAGTCGTCGCGTCGTAAGTCACCTCTTCACTGATCAAGGAAACTAGTACTGACTCAATTTAGGTTGATAGCAGTGATGAAGAAGATGATTCGGGTTCTGACCAGCCTCGCAAGCGACAGAGAACCGCCTCGCGCAAAGGTGAGTCTGCCCATCCATCATCTCTCCCGAGTCGTGCTAACTCACGCTTCCAGCCTCAAACCAACCGACACCTGTCTTCAGGTCAGCCGACTCTGACTCTGAGTCGGATGGCTACGTCAACGCGCGCAAGAACATCCCAAGCAAGAAGGAACGCCAGCGCCAGCTGCTCGTCGCAGAGGGTCGCCTGCCTCCTTCCCAAGCCGAAGTCCGATTCTCGGCGCGTCGCACAAAGGCCGTGACAAACTACAATGAAGAAGAGGAAGAAGATCCTTTCGTCGAGGACGAAGACGATGAGGCGCCTGGCTATTGGCCCACCGAGGCGGAAGAGAAAGGCCCCATCATCGACAAGATCCTCGATCACCGATCGAAAGACGGGATAGGTGTGTATGCACCATCGTGCTGCATAGGGTCGCCTACTAACTGCGCGCAGAGCTCGATCCCTACTACGTGCAGAAGAAGGACTTTGAGTATCTTGTAAGTGCACCGTGCCACTGCTTTGTATGCGCAGTACTGACTTGGTTCCACTAGATCAAATGGCAAGACAGAGCCCATTACCACTCTTCGTGGGAAGACTACGAGACTGCGTCCACATACAAGGGCTGGCGTAAACTCGACAACTACTTCAAGGGCCCTGTCATGAACGACATGTACTTCCACGCACGGAAGAAGCAGGAGCCCGAGGAGTTCGAGCAGCATATGGTTGCGCGTGAAGCCGAGCGCGAGAGCCAACTTGACTTCCACGTTGTCGAGCGTGTCATCGACGCGCAAGATGGCGAAGACGAGACCGAGTACTTTGTCAAGTGTAAGTGACATACCGTCATCTCTCCCTATCCACATTATCTAACGATTGAGCAGGGAAGGGCTTGACCTATGAGTTCTGCACGTGGGAGCCTGCCTCTCTTGTCAGCCAGCTGTCGCAGGTTGAGATCGACCGCTTTCTCGACCGCTCCTCGAACCGACCCTCTTCAGACACTCGCGAGTCGAACATAAGCACCCGGAGGAAGTTTGTCAAGTTGGACGAGCAACCCGACTATATCAAGTATGGAAAACTGAGATCTTTTCAACTCCAAGGAGTGAACTTCCTTGCACACAACTGGTGTAGAGGTACCAATGTCATTCTGGCCGATGAGATGGGTCTCGGAAAGACGGTGCAAACTGTCTCATTCATGAATTGGCTACGGCACGACCGACGACAGGACGGGCCCTTCATTTGTGTCGTTCCTCTGTCGACAATGCCTGCCTGGGCTGACACCTTCAATAACTGGACGCCCGATGTCAACTATGTCATCTACACTGGCAGGGAAGACGCTCGTAGCACTATCCGAGACAAGGAGCTACTGATCGACGGCAACCCGAGGCGGATCAAGTTCAACGTTCTACTGACTACGTACGAGTACGTCCTTGCTGACTGGCAATTTCTCTCGAGCATCAAGTGGCAGTTCCTTGCTGTCGATGAGGCCCATCGATTGAAGAATCGCGAGTCACAACTGTATGAGAGGCTACTGCAGTTCAATGCACCGAGCCGCCTGTTGATCACCGGCACACCCATCCAAAACACACTCGGAGAGCTCTCTGCCTTGATGGACTTCCTTATGCCTGGCAAGATCACCGTCGACGAGGAAGTTGACCTTGCTTCGGAGGATGCCAGCCACAAGCTTGCCGAGCTCAGCGCAGCCATCCAACCCTACATGATTCGACGTACGAAGGAGAAGGTGGAAAACGACCTGCCTCCCAAGTCTGAGAAGATTCTTCGTGTTGAGTTGTCTGACATTCAGTTGGAATACTACAAGAACATCCTTACTAGGAACTACGAAGCTTTGAATGAGGGCGGTTCTGGACAGAAGCAGTCTCTCTTGAACATTGTCATGGAGCTCAAGAAAGCCAGTAACCACGCCTTGCTCTTTCCAAATGCCGAAGCCAAGTTCCTGAAAGGAGATGCGACAAAGGACGAGACACTCAAGGCCCTCATCACGACAAGTGGAAAGATGATGCTGCTGGATCGACTTCTCGCTAAGCTAAAGGCAGACGGCCATCGCGTCCTCATCTTCAGTCAAATGGTCCACATGCTAGACATTTTGACTGACTACCTCAAGCTGCGAAACTACACGTATCAGCGCTTGGATGGAACTGTTCCAGCAGCCGAGAGGAAGATTGCCATCGACCACTTCAACGCACCTGGAAGCGACGACTATTGTTTTCTTTTGTCCACTCGAGCTGGTGGTCTCGGTATCAATCTGATGACCGCTGACACAGTCGTCATCTTCGACTCCGATTGGAACCCTCAAGCTGATTTGCAGGCCATGGCACGAGCTCATCGTATCGGCCAGCAAAAGCCCGTGAGCGTTTATCGACTTGTTTCGAAGGACACGATTGAGGAAGAGATCCTGGAACGCGCTCGCAACAAGCGTATGCTTGAATTCATCACAATCCAGCGAGGTGTGACGGATCGTGAACAAAAGGAACTCAGCGATAAGATGAGCCGCGCCGCTACCGAGCCAAACTCTGCAGACGACATCAACAACATTCTCAAACGCCGAGGGCAGAAGATGTTCGAGCAGTCTGGAAACCAGAAGAAGCTCGAAGAGCTCGATATTGATGCTGTTCTCGAGAACGCCGAGGAACACAAGACGGAGCAGGCGGCAGGTCTTACATCTGACGGTGGTGAAGAATTCCTCAAAAACTTCGAGTACACCGACGTCAAGATTGATCTTGAGTGGGACGATATCATTCCAAAGGAGGACCTCGAAGCTGTCAAAGCCGAAATTCAATCACGCAAAGACGAGGAGAAGACGCAAAAGCTGCTCGAGGAGAACGCTCCACGGAAACGCAAAGCAGCCTCAGCAAGCGCACGAGAGCAGCGAGCTGCCAAGAAGCGAGCTTTGGAGGCTGCCAGAGATGATGACATTGATGACGAGCCATCTGAAGACGAGAAAGATGACAACGTCAAGCGAGATCCAAAGCGTCCCCTCAACGTGAAGGAAATTCGCAATCTCATCAAAGCCCACGAACGTTATGGCTCTCTTGAGGAGCGTAGCGATGAGATGCTTCGTGCAGCCAAGTTGGTCGGCCGTGACCTGAATGTTGTCAAGTCTACTCTGGATGAGGTTGTCAATACAAGCGAGGACCTCGTCAAGCAGGAACAGACCAGGCTCAAGAAGTTGGAGGTTGATGCCAATCGCCCTCTTACGAAGAAGGACAAGAAGGCTGTGCTGTTCGATTTCCGTGGTACCAAGAAGAACAATGCTGAAACCATCATCGGGCGGCCCATTGAGATGCGGATTTTGAAAGAAGCCGTCGATGGCGTTGCTGATTGGCGCAACTTCCGCGTTCCAGATGCGATTAAGCCAGCAAGCTATTCTTGTCCTTGGGGTGCTCGGGAGGATGGCATGCTCTGCGTTGGTGTCAAGCGTCACGGCTACGGCGCCTGGCCTCAGATACGAGATGATCCGGATCTTGGATTGGGCGAGAAGTTCTTCCTTGAGGAGCATCGCGTCGACAAGAAAGAAGAGCGAACCAAAGCAGAAGAGAAAAACGCAAAGTCCCCGGGCGCCGTGCACTTGGTACGAAGGGCGAATTACCTTCTTACCGTGCTCAAAGACAAGACGGGTGCTGCTGATCCCAACGTCAAGCGTCTCATGGAGAACCACCATCGCAACAACAAGAAGCATCACCTGAATATCGCCCGTCGACCAGAGAAGGGTTCGAGTGTTTCTGCTAGCCCGGCGCCGTCTGGTCAAGTGCGCAAGGTTGTGTCACGCGACTCTGAGAGGCCTATGCAGCGTACCCACAGCAACAGCGAGAGCCGGCCTGACAGTCGGCAATACGACAAGAATGGTCATGATCGGTCGAGGAACAGCGATCAGTACAGGCCGTCTGACCGCAAGGAATATCGCAACGACCGTGGTAGCATGGACCGTCGCCCACAGTTGTTGGAGCGAGTCGGCACTCCGGAATTCCGTCGGAGGGTTAGTGGAGATATGGATAGGCCGCGGCCCAAGGACGACCGACCACAGCTTTCCGAGGAACGAAACCGTTCGAACAGTCAGAGCCATGGCCCTACTCGTAGCGTCGATACCACTCCCAAGCCCAAAGAGAAGAAGCCTGACGACTTCATCGAGCGGAAGCTACGACCTGTGCGCGACAACCTGAGCCGTCTTAAAAAGGCGACGCCCAAGAATTACGCGCAGAAGGATGCTCTCGTGAAGGTGCTGAAAGTCGAGCTGATCGCTATTGGTAACTTCATTCGTGCCGAGACTCGCGACAATGCAGAGCTGGAGGAGCGTCTGTGGTAAGTTCTATCCATTTGTATTATTTGGATGCATGAAGCTAACTGGGCAGGAACTTCACGGTCAACAACTACTGGCCTCGACAGAATATCACGGTTCCCCAGATCAAGGGAATGTACAACAAGATGTTGAGCTCTGAGATGAGTGGAAAGCAGAGCGTGAGCGTGCAGCAGACCAATGGTCAGAAGAACGAATGATAATATAGGAATAAGGACGAGTGAAGCTTCGGTGTGGAAATATTCAGCATATCTAGCATTAACTTCTGCATACGGGCGTTTTCGAAATCACGGCGGCACACGGGTACAGTGTCTGCGGCATAGCGTAGGTGTTTGGGCTCGGTTGGACTACTCGACACATGATAGTTCCCGGGCAGTGTCTGATTTGCTATTTTATTGCATGAGCCGCCTGTTTTGTCATGGCGTGCTCGAATTGGTGTTTATTTTATCTACAAAGGGCGGCGCTTGCTGCGGCATCAAGCATAGTAAGCTGGAGTGTTGAGAAAGCATATACAGTACGGTAGGGCACGGCATGGCATGAGAATACTGCAGCTCTGTATCCTTTTTCAAGACTAAAAATATGAATACTGTGTAGGAGACTGGGTGTCATGCGAGAGAGGCTGCTAGACGCAAGTGGCATGCAAATGATATTAACTCTAAACCCTTCTGACGTGAAGAGATGCATGGTGACTTGGTGCATACGAGGATACGGCACGGACAGGTCACGCGGGTGGAGGCGGTTGCGGTGAGGCGGAGGTTGTGACGGTGGGCGTGCGGGTGGAGAGTGACGGTGCGTGGTCAGTAGACATGTAGAATGACGTCCAATGACAAGGGCTCGGGCGGGCTCGTGCCTCAACTTAGCAATTTTGATGCGCCTTGCTAAGGAAAGGGCTTTGCCCATCAGGGTGCTAAGCGGCTTGAGATATCATAGTCGCGACTCCCACTGATGTGAACTTTGTCGTCTTCTTTGCTCTGCTGCAGCTTCCCGCCATGCTGCATCCGCGAGACGCGCTGATATGCGGGCTGCTTCTTTGGGGCACTCCCTCGAGCGCAGCCCCGCCCAGTGCAGATCTCAACCGCGAGGCTGGGAACAGTGACGCTGCTGGACGACGACGACTGACAGGCCGGTTTTTGCATATTACGGGTGAGTGACGGACGGTGATGTTGGGGCGTGGTAAGGCGCGGTGAGCTGAGACGCTGCAGATTTCCACCCGGACCCCTTCTACAAAACATACTCGAGCACCACGGCAGAAGCAACGTGCCACCGCCAACGGGGCCCTGCAGGACTCTATGGCGCGGAGACGTCGGGCTGCGACTCGCCTTTTTCCCTCATCAACGAGACGTTCAAGTGGATAAACGACCATGTCAAGGATGATGTCGACTTTGTGGTCTGGACGGGCGACTCGGCGCGACACGACAACGACGAGGCGCTTCCCAGAACGCAGAAACAAGTCATACAGCAGAATGAGTTCCTCGTGTCCAAATTCGCCGAAGTCTTTGGGCAGAAGGATCACGATAGTGGGCGGACGGATGGCTTTGCTATTCCTGTGGTGCCCACGTTTGGCAACAACGACATTATGCCACACAATATCATGCTTCAGGGGCCGAGCAAGTGGACGAAGAAATACCTCGACATCTGGCGGAACTTTATTCCTGAGGAGCAGAGGCATCAGTTCCAGCAGGGAGGCTGGTTCTCGGTTGAGGTGATTCCAGGGAAGTTGGCTGTCGTCAGCTTGAACACGCTGTGAGTAGTACCAGTACGACAATCGCCAGAAAAGCACCAACTGACACATGACAGTTACTTCTTCACCTCCAACTCGGCCACAGATGGCTGCGCGAACAAGCGCGAACCCGGCTACGAACACATGGAGTGGCTGCGCATCCAGCTCCAGATCATGCGCGACCGCGGTATGAAGGCTATCCTGATGGGCCACGTGCCGCCCGCGCGCGTCGGTAGCAAGAGCAGCTGGGACGAGACGTGCTGGCAAAAGTACACGCTGTGGCAGCGGCAGTACCGCGATGTCATCGTCGGCTCGCTCTACGGACACATGAACATCGACCACTTCATGCTGCAAGATTTCGAGCACATCGACAAGGACACCGAGAATGGCAGGATGGCAAACAGCCCCAGCCAGGAGGGAATTCACAGCGAGATTGGCTTACTTGAAGATGGCGAGCTCACGGTGGCTTCGGCGTCGGATTACCTGCTTGGTCTGAGAGAGGCGTGGGCTCAGCTTCCCTCGCCGCCTGCTAAGTCGGATAAGAAGTCACGCTCAGGAAGAAGAACCTTTGACGACGACGACGACGACGAGCTGTCGATTTGGGAGTGGCTGGTCTCCAAGGTTTCCGACCTGTCAAACAGGAGAAAACCAGGACAGAGCGACAAGCAAAAGTACCTCGAAAAGATCGGAGGCCGATACGCAGAACGCTACAGCTCGACACTCGTCGCACCCAGCGTCGTACCAAACTACTTCCCCACGCTGCGCATCATCGAATACAACATCACAGGCCTCGAGCACATCCGTCTATCCCCCCTCCTCAACAATACCACACAATCCCCGCTCGACAAACCATCCACACAGTCCCCACTCACAGACCACGCCTTCGACCACGACGCAGCCTACAAGCGCGACATATCCGCCATCCAGACCCAGAAAAACAAAAAGAAACACACCCCCCACAAAGGCCCCCGGAAATACAAATTCAAACTCCCCGCCCCTCCCTCCCCCGCATCCCCGCCAGGCCCCGCTTACTCCCCCCAATCCCTTACCTGGACGCGCTACACGCAGTACTTTGCAAACCTAACGCACATTAACAACGACTTCCTCGATCCGAAACAAAATACGGATATCGATGCAAATGAATCGCCAAACGCCCGAGCCCCACACACCATCTTCGGCCTCGCCCTCAGCTCTGGGGGCAAGATAGAAAATACCCGCTGGAAAGAGGGGAAACACGGGAAACATCAGGGTAAACAGCCTCGTCCGGAACCTCACCCTAATCCCTTCAAGTATGAAATCGAATACGATACTAAGCGAAGAGGGTTCCCGGATCTGACTGTCAGGCGCTGGGTCGAGTATGCGCGGCGGATTGGGAGTGGGGCGGCGGCGGAAATGAATGAGGGGATGGGGGAGGTGGAAGTAGACGGCGGGAAGAAACATAAGCATAAACATAAACATGCGGATTCCAAGGAGTGGTTTACGTTTGTGAGGCGTGCGTTTGTGGGCACTATGGATCCGCGCGAGATTAAGGAGGTTTTTGGGAGGGCCGGGAGGGCGGAGATGCAGTCGTATGAGAATGGGCATGGGCTAGATACGGAAGAACAAGAGGAAGAAGAAGAGGTTATGGAGCTTTGATGCTCGCTCGCAGTGTTGGAAAGGGGGCATAGATAGATACCCTCTCCTCGCTTTTTCGCTGGACGTTTTCCGTATTTTTCTTGGTTTGGTTTATACATTGGTTGGGTTAGCGTTGCATCATGGGCATGTCGAAGTCTAGCATATATTCTTTTTCTCATGGCGTTTTCAAGGAGCATAGAGGAGTGGGTTGGTGGGTCGAATATACTCATACATTATCCACACACATCCACATTCACATTCACACTCACATTCAACACGGTGACTCCAAGCATCACAACTCGAACTTGCAAAATGTCCAATGCTCCTGGTATTGTCCTACGTCCATATCCCCCAGTTCAGTCCAGTGCAAAACCAGCCTCCAAAAAGATGATCATGCAAGATATGATAAAATCCAGGCAAACGCACGCTAGAACCCAACCCAATTCCTACGCCTCCAAAAGACTTTTCCCCCAGAAAATATATGCCGTCGCAAAAGTCGCAAAAGCTCCGGGCTATGTAAAAAGATCTGAGAATATGGTATACTGGTACGAAAATTCCACAGGCCGTGCTGATATGATGGGGAGGTTCCGGGTTCGAGTGATCGAATTGGACCTCGACGAAAGGCGAACTTCCAAGTTATGTGTGACCTGACGAAGGGTCGGGAGACGAAGGAGACGAGTACGATGTGTGCACACCAGCTGTAGGTATGGATATGAATACCACGGCTCCATCTGCCGTCACTCATCGCCATCGCCATCGCCACCGTCATTGAATTCAGGCTCGGAGTCGACAGCCCAGAAGATAAAAGGCCCATTGTAATCTCTCTACAACGTGTTAGTTCCCGAACCCACCCACACGTAAATCCATGACAAGCGCTTACATCAAAATCGACATTGCGCCCTGAAGCGAACCACCACCGCCCCAAGATGATGCGGCCCCCAGGCAACACCACGCCCTCGTAGGCCCAAAGATTGTCCTGCGCCACTTGATCCAAGTCATCCGTGAAATGCTTCATGAACGTGATGCGTTGCCAGCCGGGGATTCCTCCTTGGTCAGGGAGGGCATTGAGCCAGCCAATGGCGTAGAAGTCGTCGGCCAGATCAGAGCCACTACCTATGAACTGGAGGTTCTTTGACTTGGCATCGTCTGGAGTTGATTTCGGTTTGCTTCTACCCTGCGTCTTGATGGGCGGTCCTCCCAAGTCTCGTAGTGACTGTAAGCGATCTTCGAAGATTGGTGGCCATCGTAACTTGCCGCCTTCGTTGAATTCGATGGTCAGTGACTAGATATCGTTAGCGAACGAGGTCTACCAATGGGAGAAGAAACAATCTTTTACCTGAATCTGTCCCTCGTCCACATTCTTGTCGGAGAAATACTCATCGCCGACCTTGTCAGCAGGAACCTTTCGAAGCCTTTCAATCTCCAGGGGGTCAAGAAAAGAGTAAGTCCCCTTCCAGTGTCTACACAACGGCTGGACGCCCTGCCGTAAAGGCTCTCGCCATACTGACGGCTTCTGCGTTACCGACAGCTCTTCCATTGCAGAAAATAGCGTTACTACCTCTTCGTCCATCATATGGTGACGGAAGAAGTTCAAGCAGTGCAGTATCCAATCCATATTCACGTCTTTGAGTTCGGGGCCACTGTAAATCGGAGCGGTGTTAGTCGGCATGTAGACGGCTCGCTGCGACTCTTCAACTGCGAAGACGCCGTGCTTCGTTCCCTCAAGTTGGAATAGAAAGTGAGAGCACATTAGCTTCACAGCCCCCAACGTCTGGTTCACAGTGTCCTTCTCGCCTCTGGCTGGCGGAGGCGCGCGGCGGTCGCTCAGAAGCATCTTAGAGTTGAGGGTGAAGTTCAAAAGATGAGTTTGGTTCTTGCAGTACGGACGGCCATACTCGTCAAGTTGGGATCCGCCCTGAAAGGACTCTGCAACATGTCAGTTCCGTGTGAGTTGAATCAGATGGCAGCCGACAGACTTACCAAGGATGAGGTCTTTCAGAACTTCCAAAACATCCACCTCCCGCTTCTTGTGACCACGAAAGAAGTCGTACACAATACCTCGACGAAGCTGCTTGCAGCGAAGTTGGTATGTTCTCTTCATCTCCTTGTTAGACATGCCCTCCTTGGCAGCATACTTCTCCCGAAACCTTGCACGCCAGAAAGAGTACTTGTCAGCGTCGATCGCATCGTTCGTGCTTCTACAGATCAAACGGAAGGTAGCAATATCCTTGTCGGTATCTAGTTCGTGGGCGATGACCTTGTTAAGCTGTTGAAGAGGATTAGATGAGCGCCACTCAGGTCTTGGATAGAGGACTTGCCTCGATGGGAAGTGTGTTGAACGCCGTCGTGGATGAGGGCTGGTAGAGAGGCATTGCGTGTTGGCCGGGGAAAGAGCATGTATCGTCCAAAATATGTGGCTGGTCGGTCGATAGTGCTGAGCGGTCGAGTACGGCTAGAAGCGTTGACGAAAGAGAGAGGTCGCGGTACTTAACGTTCTCCCAGGTGATAGAGAGGTGGAGACTGTCAACTTCTGGTGAGGGAAATATGACTCGCTGTCTGATCAATGGTGAAAGCAGCTGACGAGTAGAACCTCGATGCTAACAGAAGGTGAGTGTGCGTCCGGCACCGCCTCTCTTCTTGACCACCACGTCGAAACTCCCAGACCAAGCCAAGTAGACACAGACTCGTCGTTATTGTTGAGATGCTAATGGCACCAATGGAACACTACGAGACTGAGAAACAAACGCTCCTGCTTGCTTGCCCGATGACTTACGAATGGGCAAGATGGCCAACACACGCTTACAAACGACGTGGTTTGTCGACAAATGCGTTTGCAAGTGCCTTGCGGGGCGTTCTCCAACGGCAGAAGCTGTAGCAAAGGAAGGGCGGCGCTGATGACACTGCGAGGACTTCTGGTGCGATGTGGTTGCTAGGCACCACTTCCAGACGGTGACGCCTACCTATCCAAGTACGGATAATCGACTCACTACTTTCCAAGTCCAAAAAGAAGAAGGAGCGATGAGGTTGATTGGCTCTCCGTGCTCTTTGCTCCTTAAACCCCTCTTCTCCCCAAAGACTACATTGTCATTATGAAGAAGTTAGAGAAATGCAGAACTCGAGAAGAAATCACGAAACAAAACAGAGATAGACAGGAGTTACAGTCAACGCTTGTCATTTTTGAGAAACTCCAGATATACCTACAGGACTCATGTCATAGGATTTTGGCCACGAGTTCAAACGTTCCAGCCCGATACCACAGCACTTGTTTGATGTTCTCAGACCATCTGTAGCGCACCAACGAACCCCGCGCCCAAAAGCCAATAACTTGCCTCATTCATGCCCGCCTTACTCTGAGCACTACCAGTAGGCTGCGACGCACCACTCGTCGTCGTCGCACTTGGTGAGGCGGTCGGCCGCCCGCTTGGTGTCCCGCTTGGTGCCACGACCACTGGGCCTTCACTCACATCGTTCACACCACTACCATCATCCCTAGTCACGACATAGATCTCGCCAGTCGAATCGCTGCTCATGAAAAGCCTACCTTGGCTGTCCCATGCAAGTCCTACAGGTCGGAAACAACTACCGGGACACGCGGACATGTCTGGGTTTGCTACAATGTCGATGGCTGCAGTCTGGCTGTCAGACGAAGCGATGGGTGAGCCGTTACCGTCAAACTGAACAAGGCTGAGTTTGTAGCCTATGGGCTCGTCGCGGTTCCTACGAATAAGATTAGCGACAAAGTGCTCAACACAAGAGAGATGATGTAGTTACCAAGAACCGTGGAATGCCACCCAAGCCGCAGTGCCTTCGGTGTTGAACTTCAAATCAAGGGGAGCCATATGAGCGGCGAATGTCAGTCTTGGGGCTACTCGGTCGTTCTGGCATAGATTGTCGTTCACAGTATCAGTCTGATTGCCAATTGCAACCTGCGAGCCAGTCTGTATGCCATTATTGTTCGGGATCTCGTCAACGTCCCAAGCCGCAAAGCAACTAGGGTAGCCATAATTCCCGCCTTGTTGTTCAGTAGCGGTCCCGTTCAGGAATCCGTGGTAGTTCATCTCCTCACCAGGATTGTTCTGGTGGACATTCTCGCCATTTCTCGCGAAGTTGTCAACGCTGTTCTCGACAGAGTAGATGGCGCCTGAAGCCGGATCTTCGGCAACGCCCACCGAGTTCCTCAATCCCCAACCGAGCAGCAGTCCATCGTCGATGTATGAGTACTCAGAGCCTGTTGCATTGGCCATGTTGAACGCTTTGATCGTCGAGATCCCCGTAGATACGTTCAAAGCGGACGGATCAATGTTTCCGAGGCTACCACGGCTCACGAGTAACATATCTGGGACGTTCTGGGTAATGAGCAAAGTACGCGTCTCATGGCCGCCGTCGTCGCCCAAATCTCCGATAACAACTCGAGAAGAAGATGTAGTGCTGCCTTGCGAAGCATCATAGTTCCAGGCGTAAACGTCAGTCGCAGAAGAGCCGTAGAGCGTGCGCCCATCCCGAGAGAGAGCAATGCCGTGGTTCAGCTATTATCGTTCAGCACTGGTGATCCAAGACCTGAAGATCAGTATACTCACAGACCCGTCACTAACCACCCTGACCCCCTGTCCCTCGACCCGCACGCAAGCCCCCTCTCCGGCCAGCCTCAGCCTTGTAATTCCTACCGCCTGCTCCACGACCAACAACCCTCCTGCAGCATCGAATTGGATGCCTCTCGGCCTAGTCAGCCCATTAGCCACAACTTGTACGCGAAAGCCCGGAGCCACCGAAGGAGCGGCATGCAGTGCGGCAATTGTTGAACACGCAGATGCAGAGGACGTAGTCTGAGCTTGGACGGCAAGAAGAACGATAGACAACGCAGTTACGCGCCTCAAAGCCATGATGACGTGAGGCAAGGGTGGAGATGAGCGGGGTACAGCTATGCAGGTACAAATACCGATAACCGATAGATTTGAGTCGATGCGATTTGGGTCTTCACGAGGGTATTACAAGAGTGAAGTCGTGTCTCGAGTTGCAAACACTCCTACTACTGCTGAAGCGCGCGCTTCACACACTTTTTACCCCTCAAAGTGGCAATTGCTTCTGTTAACCGGACCTTATCTCGTAGTCGCAGTTGCACCTCTTGGCCTCGCGCTTTCCAAGACACGTCATCGTATTCGCTTCACCCTCGACTCTAAGCCTCATTTGACGAGTACGGAAGGTGCTGTGAACGGTGAGCCGAGACTAATGGAATTGCAATTATTCCGCATGTTCCTGGTGCTGGAACAACTAACTGTTGAGCACCGGTATCATGCGAAGCCCTTGATATCCGTGAGTCAACATCGAGCTAGAGGCACTGCACAAAACCGGTATATGCACGTCGTTTATGTACCTAAGCTGCAAGCCTCAGTTCTCGTCGATCTGCCATAGCCTCGGGATCCGAGGGTGGGCCCAATACGAGCGAACATATCCGCGTCCACATGGAGCTGGTGATTCTGGTACTGGGCGTTAGTTCGCGGGCAAAACTTATGCAGCATACGCGTGTCTATCCAACGAACAACGTGGTAAAAAGCGCGCATTAGTAGATGCATAAGTAGTGTAGATAACTAAATTGAATAACAACAGGCCTTAAGCGAAGAACCGCAGAGACACCGAGCATTACTCGACGTACGGAACAGACTTCTCATCTCAGTCCATCCCGAACACTAGGACCTGACGTGGAATCTCGGCAAGTTAAGCCACAAGATAACCCATGTCAAAATGACTATCTGGAACACTAATCATTGTCGCACCATAACGTTCAGAATGAATTGATAGCACTTTTATTAAGTCATATTGTAAGCTTGTGTATTCGGTAATTCGCCGGCCGTCAAGTATCAATGCTGATTCTGAGGCATCCATGAGTATCCAAGAGAGAAAAAAAAAGAACAGGAAGAGGAACCGAAAAGAAGCCCGCTATTCCCACTTTTGTACATGATGCCAACGTGCTCTGCGGTCTTGTCTCTTCCAGGGACCACACTGGAGTGGTCCTAGACAAGGGGATATTGTATGCCCAGAAATTATAAAACAAGTCTCAGACTCCTCGTTGCACCGCTGCCCTGCGCGTGAATGGAAACGCTTGTGTATGTTGACGTGTTGCTTCGTCGCTTGCGAACCTCTTCTTTTCCGCTGCAACATATGCAAAGTGAAACATGAGAAACGCAAAATCGCTCCAAATGCAATTCACCGGCTGCTCTGGCCGTAGGAGAAGTTATACAAGGCATGAAAGCCGGAATGGATGTTCAATCGACGCTAAAACGCTGTAATCCAAATGAGAGATATCCAGAAGAAATCTTTTGGTTTGCCGCCCAACTCTTCCTGATATCGCAAACCGGTTGGATTCACACTGTTCTGTATGATCGGATGGTTGGTGGGCATATTAAACCAATATGGTCGTGATCGTGCCATAGCATCGTGATGGCCCTCATGCTACATCACCGTCATTAATTTCAACTGCGCCGCGACATCCGCAGCAACGTCTGCATCCCGGTGGAAGAGGTTGCTGAATGGTGGGTTTTCATGCATGGGACTTGTACTTGGACTAGAATATAGTCCTTCCGCATCCCTGATCGCATCTTTGACTTTGTATGTCAGTGTAGCGACGTACGGAACGATGCGTCGTAGAGTCGCAGTATCGAAGGGGACTTTCTTCGACGACGGAGTAGGCGGTGCATCTCCGAGTGGGTCGTAAACGCTTTTGCGTTGTTGTAACGCCTCAATGACTGAGCGGGCTTTGGCTTCCGAATCCTTGCGAGGCCGTGTTATGATAGGTTTGTGATCGGGTGGTGTCGCAGGTACGTTGTATCTGGGTTTTGGAGGTATTGGGGAGGGCTGCGGACTAAATATGTCGTGATCCGATGGCAGAATCGACCTTCTAGGACGTACGGATGGGGAGTTCCTGCCAAAATCCATATTCGGCGATCGTGACTTGCGCAGCGCCCGGGTAAGACTGGGGCTGGTGCCAGGCCCGTCCTCGAAAGGATCGTCCTCGAATCCAACGGAGGAAGGGGGCGACAAACGAGAAACATCTTCGTGGCCAGCCTCTTGGTCTGCGAGATCTATCATGGCGTCCACCTCCTCCCACATCCCAGCAAGCGGACCCTCGACAATAGCAAGCGCAACAGCACGTATTCTGTGTTCCTTGAGCTCTTCGATGAGCAGGCCCCATTCTCGTAATAGGCCAATGTTTGCTAGGACATTGTTCTGTTGCTCTTGGATACTCTTTGGTACGACCATGACTGTGCCGCTGTCGATCCTTTGGGAGCCACTCAAACTCTCCGGGACAGGATCCTCGTGTAGATCGGAAAAGTCAAAATCATCGTTCCAGTCCTCAGTCACACCCTTGCTTCCCACACCCCATGTGCCGAATTTGTTTGTGACGACTGCACTACGTTTGCCAGCTACGTCTGGGACAACAGGCACACTCTGGCTGCGAGCGTGCAGGCCACTGGGCACTCGCCGGCTGGCCGACCGACTGGCTCTGCGATTTGCATCTTTCTTTCCATGTACTGTCCGAGGGCGTGGCGGTGTGTGGCTGCCCGAGTTCTTGTCGGCAGGTTGCTGTTCAGACCAGTCGAATATGCTACTGCGCGCATCTTTGTCGCCGAGGTCTGATGCCAGGCGATATATTGTGGAAGGCTTTGGACTTGTGCCAGACGCTAGCGAGCGGGCGAGTTGTGGCTGTGGTGACACTGGTGTGACAAGGTGGCTAGCTGGTGGGAGATCAATCCAAGGGTCTTCATTGTCCTCCTCGAGGGACCACCTACTGCTGTTGTCATCGTCTCCCGCCCTCGAGTCCCATTCCAGCGTGCCAAGCGAGAGCGGCTTTGGCATGTCTGGGGGTGACGATGGAATGAGCTTGGGAAATAGGGGTACGCCGTGTGTGTGCGGCGCGCTGGGAGTGTCTTGTGATGAGCGCTCGGGTCGTATTGTTCGCACCGGCGTCGAGATGCTGTCTTCCTCCTCGCTGATACTTTGCTGGCCGGAAGCACCATTCGTCTCATAGCCCCCGCATGCGCCTGGAGGCAGGAGGTCTCGCAGGGCGGCGGCCTTGGCCTTGGAAGGGGGTGACTCGTCAAATATGGTTTCAATACGAGGCCCTCGTGCGCCACCCGAAGTGCTTCTGGTTGCGCCGGAGGTACTTCGAGTTGCGCCGCCCGTTCGGATCGAATCATAGACGGTCTCGCTCTGGTAGTCGGCGTCGTCTTCGTCGCAGGAACCCAGAGCCCTCAGGTCGTTATCTGACGAGTCGACCAATGTCGATGCTTGCTCAGACGGCGCCATCGAGAAGCGCGATGGGTGGACCGCCGATCCCGCGACCAGAGTAGGCGAGGGCGGCGTCTGATTGGTTGAGAAGACGGCCGGTTCGCTGCCCGTCAGCTGAGGCGCGCACGCCAAACCACTGTTGTCAGGGACGGGATGCGGCGACGACGTAGAGGCTCCAAACCTAAGGGGTCCGCCATTGCTGCGCGCGAACCGTGCATCGGCGATGCCGGAGGATGTCGCAATCTCCCGCCGCGCGCCAACGAGCATCAGGCCCGTCGACAAGTCGCTGGGTCCTGCGTGCTCTGCGTTCGAGGTGCTGTTGCGCCGCCGTCTGCCCATGGTGAGCACGAGAGGAGCAGAGCGGGCGCGCTGCGTCGCCTGGCGCGAGAGCCTCGCTGCCGTGCGCTGCTTCTTGGCGTTGGTGACAGAGTAGAGGATGTCGGTCACAGAGAAGGAGCGCCTGGGTCGCACGGCTGCATCGTAGGAAATGTCTGCTGCGGGGAGGCTCTCGATACGGCTTGACGGCTCGGCCATGGTTGTGACCATGTTGGTCCCCATGCTAAGCGGGGTGTCTGGCCTGCTCGCAAAGAACGTGCTTTCACCGTCTTCACTCATCGACTCGTCCATATCCACTGCACCCGACGACACGGAACGCGCAAGCACCAACACAGGCTTGTGCTTTTCGTCTGCAAATATTCGCCGGAAGCTTTTTGCACCCGCCGAAAACCCGCTTCTCTTGGCCAGTGTCCTCCCTTTCGCGACTCTTGCTGTGAAGAAGTGTGCGTATTCGACTTCGCTGTCTGTGCTTGACGCAGTAGGCAGCTCGTCCACGGATGGGGCTTCAGCTGTCATTTCCAGCATGGCCGTCTGATTTTGCAACGTTATGGACCTCGCATGGCTGGTGGCAGGGCGGCGAAACGATGGTCGGAGTCCAGAACTTTGCACAGGCGCTTCATGAGACGTGCGCACCGACGAGGATCGTTTTACAAGCTTATTTGGCGCCATTAGGGAAGGTGTGCGCCTGCCAACCACGGGTACAGTCGAGCCGTCACGCGAGAACGCCATTGAGCCATTGGAGCACGTTACGGAGGGCGTCAGCGGCGGCGCAGGGCTGGTGTTTCGGCTTGAATGTTGCGAGTTCGAGATGGCCGAGAAGCGCTTCATCCACGAGGTTCTTCGCGACGGAACATCAACAAGGTCGTTGGGCGCATAACCATTTGCGCTACTCGGCGGAAGCGTTACATCGTCGTATGTCATTCTCCTCGCAATTCGTCGTTGTGGGCGTCCATCCTGACTGTGGCGAGTCGCGACCGACATGCGCGAGCTGGGAGCGACCGAGATAGGGGCACCGAAGGAGGGCGCCGTCGTAGTGTCCGTCGTCGTCGTCGTGAGGGTCTGTACGGCGGTAGGCATCGATCTAAAACCTGAGTGTCTTGCCGGAGCGGCCTTTTTCTTGTTCGGATTCGAGTTCGTGTGGGAGACGTCCAGGGGAGTTCGTCCTATACCAAGGCCGACGGCGGATGCACCAACAACAGTGGCAGTGGCACAGAGCTGTATGGAAAGAATGCGTCAGTCATGGCACCCATTGTGACAAACGTGTGAAGTGTAGTAGTATGCGACAGGCAGGCCGTCGCAATTGTGAGAAACAGGAGCAGCGACAGCGTCAAGACATATCAAAACAACCCGGATGGGCATGGACAGAAGTCAATGCGGTCTGAAGACTCGCAAACAGAGAAAAGCAGTGTAATTACCGTTGGAACAGTTTTCATTCTCGTTGGAGACCAAACCGCCAGAGAGGGCTCACTCGACGAGGCACCTGTGGAGATGCCGTGAGCATTATGGCACGAAACCACGAGCGAGCTGCGCGACGGATAGACGGCGTGAGATTAGAGGGGCTCAATCAGATGTCTGGAAATCGTGCTGCATCCCGGAGCAATGCGTTGAAGGACGGCAAAAGCATCCACAGCGGGCTGGAGCAGAAGAACGGAACTTCAAGGGAGAGGCGGACGGAGGTCTCAAGAAATCCGCTGCTTGTTGCTTCTGGGATCTACCTACATACAGGACTCCCCAGTCCACTTCGAGGCTAGGCTGGACTTTGCCGATGAATTGGGCTGACGGCGGCACGTCCGAAACATGACACGAAGTCGGCACAGACCTCACCTTCGCTCAGTTCCGTCATCGCTCGCTACTGCCTTCAAGATGCTATTTGTCTGCATACAACATGCTCTGGGCTGGCTTTGCATACACTTCCGCGCATCAACACTCCAGATAGGAGCCAGCTGCGGTGACGGGTACCACCACGTTGCGCGACTCTATGTCGAGGATAGCGGCTAGTAACAATCAACACAAATCAGGGACAATGCGCAGAACAGGACCTCTCGCTACTGACGCGCCTAAAATAGTTCTACCATGATACCATCCCGGTTCATTGTAACGCAGAGCGGTGATTCGTGAACACTCGTCTGGAACAAGGTCGCGGGTTCCCTGCAAGCGAGTGGAGATTGTTTGCTGGAGTGATGATCCCGGCGTGCAGTACGTAGTAACCGGTTCATGTACGATATCGTAGCCCGTCGGCCATGGATGCAAGACGAACTTTAGCACGTATTGCCATGGGGCTTCTGTCAACACACCGCGTTACTGCACGTCAGTTGTCTTCGTATACATGTTGATCGGAAAGATAATCAACCGAAGAAGTGATGTAGCAATCAGGTCATCGGTGCACGAAACCTCAAGGGTGTATGTGTCGGCATATCATTTCACCAATTACAGGAACAGGAAAGCTACTGCGTCGAATCCTGGACACCGAAACTGCTCGCACTTCAGCCCCGAGATCTCAACAAGGGTAGGGGAGAGACGGGACCGGAAGTCCATGCCAGCGAGTTTTCGCCTTGGAGATCCTCCAGAGTGATGCGATTGATATGCATGTGGTCGTAACGCTTTGCCGTGTCACATCGTGTGTGCGCCGTAGCCAAGCTTCAAAACGTCTTGTTCCTGGCCCACAAACGTCGTCAACTCGTATACTGGGCCGTCAGATGCGATACGAAGGTTAGCATCGGACGTGTTAATCTGTGGAGGCGCCGTGTCCATCACTCTGGGGAACGGCCACGGCAAGCAGGCACCAGACCTTTTCAACAGAGGGCGTATTGGCGTGCGCGGTTTATCTGGATTCGGTTAATGTGCGGTCAGTGATGCTTGCTTGGCAAACATTCGTAACAAGGACGGCAGGAAATGCGCGTTGCCGGGCACCCCAGAGTAAGATCATACACTGTGCAGGAGGCGTGTTGTGCAGACAGCCTCTCTTATGCAAAGACCGCCCAAGTCTGTTTGATAGCTAAGCGAGTGCCCCGCGCTGATTGGGTCTGCAGCGTTCCGTTCGCTCGTTCCTCTGAGAAAAGAGCGCCACTCCACACTCGACCGCTTCGACAAATTATTGCTTTGCGCGCTGGACGACCTGCTGCCGTGACACCCCGGTAGTGATCTGAAACATTCAACCGCCCCACCATCACCGGTATACCAGAGATATCTGCGAGACGGTGTGGCGTCATTACGTGTTCAGCCCTCGCCGATCCCCTCAACGCCACGCCACCACTTAGGCAATATCAAACGCTGTAGGACAAGCCATCTCCCCGTATTCCCGCACCAGCCAGGACCATGGAGACTGAGATCAGAAGCCGAATCCCTCATATCGACCCTATCCTATCAGAGTATTCGGTGGGGTACTTGACCCATGCTGCCAGTTCGTTCTCGTCTGACTCGGATCCCAATGCCCCCTCTCCGCTCGAGGAGGCTGCTGCGGCCGTGAGTGCGCTATTGCTCTCTGCATCTGGAGATCTCTCGGATCAGAACGAGAAGTCCATTCAGAACCTTGTTAAGCAGTTCACCTCGAGCCTCAGCGCTGCAAATGCAAACGATGGCGACCGACGGCAGCTGGCTCCCTCGGCCAAGAGGCTTGACCAGGCGGTCCATGTGGGCTCGCAGAGGAACATGTCTTCTACCCTCGGCCTAGCAGGTGCCGCCGTTGACCTTGAAAGTGCCAACACACGCAAGGTTGAATCCAGGGTTGACCGCAAGAAGCTGGAGAAAGCCGAGCGTAAGTTGCGTGCCAAACAGGATCGCAAAGAGTTCAAGAACGTCGAATATGAGGCTTCTAGGCTCCTCAATGAGTCTTCTGAGGCACAGAGTTATGAGGAGTTCTACATGGCCGTCAACCCACTGCAGGTCGGCTCTGATTCTACATCGAAGAGTAAAGACATCAAAATTGATAGCTTCGATATCTCTATACCTGGCCTGCGTATTCTCACAGACAGTTCGTTGACTCTAGCTTATGGACGAAGGTATGGTCTGGTAGGTCAGAACGGTATCGGTAAATCCACTTTGCTTCGAGCTCTTGCTCGTCGTGAGGTTTCGATTCCCACGCACATTTCGATTCTCCACGTGGAGCAGGAAGTAAGTTCATGGTCCTGAAGCCCTGATGTCTTGTTCACTAATTGTGTCTCAGATCACTGGAGACGATACTTCTGCTCTGCAGGCTGTTCTAGATGCTGACGTGTGGCGAAAGCACCTGCTGAGAGAACAAGAGGTATGTGGTCGTAGAAGAAGTACCTAGCTCCATCTAACAGTTTTTAGAAAATTGGCAAGGAGCTGAACGAGCTTGAAGCTGAGCGTGCCACTATGGCGGATACATCGACAGATGCTGCAAGACTGGACACACAGCGTGAGGGTCTCGACACGACACTGAGTGACATCCATTCTAAGCTCGCCGAAATGGAATCCGACAAAGCAGAACCTAGAGCAGCTAGCATCTTGGCTGGTCTAGGTTTCTCGACGGAGCGCCAGCAGTATGCCACAAAGACGTTCTCTGGAGGTTGGAGGATGAGATTGGCCCTGGCGCGAGCTCTTTTCTGCGAACCGGACTTGTTGCTGCTCGATGAACCTTCCAACATGTTGGACGTCCCATCTATCACTTTCTTGTCGAACTACCTCCAGGACTATCCCAGTACCGTTCTTGTCGTGTCTCACGACAGAGCCTTCTTGAACGAAGTTGCAACGGACATTATTCATCAGCACTCTGAACGTCTCGACTACTACAAGGGTGGCAACTTCGACTCGTTCTATGCTACCAAAGAGGAACGTCGAAAGACGTTGGCGCGTGAATATGAGAAGCAAATGGGCGAGCGCGCACATTTGCAAGCGTTCATTGACAAGTTCCGATACAATGCCGCCAAGTCGTCTGAGGCCCAATCCAGGATCAAGAAGTTGGAGCGCATGCCAATCTTGCAAGCACCAGAAGCGGAGTACACTGTTCACTTCAAGTTCCCTGAAGTGGAGAAGATGTCGCCTCCCATTATCCAGATGAGCGGCGTCACATTTGGCTATAGTCCGGACAACATATTGCTCAGGAATGTCGATCTTGACGTGCAACTCGACTCTCGTATCGGTATCGTAGGCCCGAACGGTGCGGGTAAGACGACAGCTTTGAAGCTACTCATTGGCGCATTGCAGCCTACTTCCGGGTTGATCTCACAAAATCCTCGACTGAGGGTAGGCTTCTTTGCGCAACACCACGTCGATGCGTTGGACCTCAACGACAGTGCCGTAGGCTTTATGTCCAAGAACTACCACGGGCGGGCGGACGAAGACTACCGCCGTCACCTGGGCGCGTTCGGTATCACAGGCATGACGGGTCTGCAGAAGATGGAGCTGCTATCTGGAGGTCAAAAATCGCGTGTCGCCTTTGCGTGTCTAGCATTGACGAACCCGCACATTCTCGTTTTGGACGAACCTTCCAATCACTTGGATATTGAAGCCATGGACGCGCTGTCAGATGCGCTGAACAAGTTCCAGGGTGGTGTGCTCATGGTCAGTCACGACGTCACGATGCTGCAGAACGTATGCACAAGCTTGTGGGTTTGCGACGACGGCACAATTGAGCACTTTGACGGAACGGTAAAGGACTACAAGCGAAGGATCACAGCGCAGGCCAATGAGGCTGGTGTGGTACGAAAGCACTAAGCGGCGGGACATGGACCTGGTACCCGTTCTACATATGTGGTGAGCCGTGGGCAGTCACAACAACGTCAACACGGGTTGTCAAAAGTCTTTCGCGCTGGGGTGCACCGCGTCTCGTGGTTCCAAGCACGGCATGACACACGGCTAAGTCGCTCGTTCTAGACGCACGCACGAGCTGCAAGTAAAAAATCGCCAATCTTGGCCATCTCCAACTGCGGCTGGGCTATGTCTGGTGTTTTGGATCGCTGTGTGCCAACGGCCATGTTGTTGATTCCATGATGCGCACTGTGATGTTGTGATGAGCGTTCCTTCCCATTTCAGGGCAGGAAGGGGCGCTATGCCTAAACGACAGCCGCCCCGGGCGGTCCACTTGTCACTTCACCCGCGCCAACATCACACTCCAATCTTACCGCACAAGCAGCAAACAACGCGTCCCTCCCCCTTGCTGGCCGTCGCGAATGCATCTTGCCCGCCCGTGATCGACCCGAGCACGCGACTGAGTGATAGCGGCTATTAGCGCCGTGCCCCCTTCAGGCCGTCCAATACACACCACACACCGGCACCTTGTCGCGCACGCAGACTCCCAGCACAAACGGCTTGTCCGTAGTCACTCCTTTGCCTCCGAGCCCCGGCGACCGCGACACCACCACCGACACCAGCAGCGCCCGCGACACGTCCCGTCCGCTCTACACCGTCACGGCGCCCACCAGCGACACCGTGCTGACGACCGGCGAATCGCCCTACCCGCCGCCCTTCTCGTCGCTCTACTTCTCGCCCGAGAACTCCGTCGAGGCACGCAACAAGGCCTGCGCCAACGCCGAGCACCCGTCTCCGCCCGCCTTTGCTGCCGCGCCCCCCTTTACCGCGTCTGAGTCTTCGGCTGCCGCTGCTGCTGCCACCAAAGCCGCCCTCCCGCGCGACACCAAAGACGGCTCCAGCAAGGACCTCGACGACGCAGAGCCGCCCCCGCCCTACAGCGAAGGATCCAGCCCCCTCGAGTCATTCAACTTCGTCATGGCGTCTGCAGGAGGCCCCGCGAGCATCATCACCCAGGTGTCGCAGTCGAGTGGGGGACCACCGATCAACACACTGGGTGCTTCGGGCACCGACGAGAACATCACCCTCGAGCTCAGGTGAGCAGCTGCGCGCGGTGCGACGTGACGAGCGAGTGCTGACTGTGACTGCAGAGGAACCCGCTTCACCCTGTCACGCGACGAGCTGCTGACTCTGCCCGAGTTTGTTCTGCTCTCGCTCTTCCCCAATGGCCTGCTTCCAGACGGCCACATGAACTCCTACCACGATGGAGATGTATACCCAGTCGACGTTGGTACCCCCGATTCTCCTTCCCCTCCCACCAGTCCACCCCTAGGCCCAGTTGCCAAGATTGTGTACCACCTCTCCAACCCCGCATTATACTTATCTGACAATCTCTATCCTTCACAGTACGATCCGACATCCCTGCACTACATGCTGGACTTTTTCCGAAATGTAGCCCAGACCATCCCCGCGTCGCCTCCCTCGCCGACTGCCGCCCCCGACCACGCTGCTGAAGCGGTGCCCATTGAACCCACCCCAGGTTCCGCCAGGGACATGCTGCAGGACCGTGCTGGCATCATCGTTCTGCGTGAGGATCTCGACTTCTATGTCATCCCACCCTACCGCGACATCACCCAGCCAGAGATGCTCGATGTCAAGCGGGCTGCAGGAGAGGCATTGCTCGGACAGGGCGGTATCTTCTCAGGTCTCAGGAAAAGCGAGGAGCCAGGAACCACAGAACAGCACCTCATTGAGATGCTGACTGCGGGGTACGGATATTTCCCTCCTCTCCATGTGCAATACGTGCTAACTGTTGATATCTAGTGGCTTCAACCACAACGACCACTGGGGCCACCGCTCTGGAGAGCCAAACAAAGCAGTCATCTGCAGCATCGCTCTTGCACGCCTACGCACCGACATCAAGGGTAACGACCTTGCTAACAGCAACGCTGTCGGAATGGCACAGAAGCTGCTTCTCTTCTGGAGGAAGCCAGCTCGCCGATGCTGGTGGGAGGGTGTTGAGCTCGACAACGTCAAGGGTGTCGAGGGCAAGCTCAAGGTGTGGATTAGGAGAGTATGGACGCTCGAAATGGTAAGAGTTCTCGATCGATGATTCGATTTTTTTCACTAACCGCAACCACAGAGTGTCATTGGCCTGCGTTAAGGCGTTCCAATGTATTCCCATGGGCTATGCCTATTGTTTAAACTCACACTCTCACCTCTATCGGTCGGCTTGTGAGTTGTTTTGTTCCCGAGGGGTGGATTTCCTTGAGCGGATTTGTTTTTTTCTCTCTTCACTTTGATACCTCTCTGCATTTGTCTATTGTTACAGACACCATACAAATGTCAGTCATCCATAGCAAGCGTTGGGCATAGGGTCATACATTCTGTCTAATTAAATAAAAAGGGTGTATGCTTTTGTATAGTCATAGCAATGTCTAGGGCTGCGGTTAAATTGTAATATCATTTTCCTTGAGCCTTTACCGTGTGCTTGTGATATCGTCAGTGGGTGGCATGTCTTGTCTTGTCTCGAGTGTTGTTTGTCTAATCCAATTCTTCACTTCGTTGTCTTTACTGCAATCAATATCTCTTTTTTTTCCTCCGTTTCTTCGACTTTTGTTTCATCCCATCACATCTACCACACCACCGTTCTGAGCAGCAGAAGAAGAAGAAGAAGAAGAAGAAGAAGAAGAAGAAGAAGAAGAAGAAGAAGAAGAAGAACAGCACCAACACATCCGCCATATCCATTTCCATATCCCTCAAACGTCGCTATCATAATCACGCGTAGTAAATAGTACAACACCCTTCCAACTTCGCCAATCCCATCACCATCCCTCCATCCCTCCATCCATCCATCCATCCATCCATCCATCCATCTACTACACACAACACAACAATCCCCCCCAAAGTACCATAACCCCCGTACATCCCATTACACCCGCACAAACACACCAACAAACGCAAACAAGCCCATCCGAAGAATCCCCACCAGACTACACACAGCATTACACACGCATACAGCTCCTTCCCGCTCGACATATGCATTACTTCCATACATTACATCCATGCATGCATGTGTGTGTACAAGCATCGGCCCGTTTACGCCTATATCTATGCATAGCAATGAATAGAGATGGAGTAACGCCATGCATTCTTGAAACACGGCCATGCACATCGCCTCACGCACCTTGATCCGTCGCTGTAACGCAGTGCAGTGCAGGACGACGACGTTGTACGGAGGTTTTCTGCGGCTGGGGCTGGGGCTGGGGTAGTGTGGAGACTGTGTTGATGTTGTTGTTGGCGGTTGTTATCGGTGGCGTGCTGTGGGTGTGTGGTACGGGTTGGTATGGTATGAAATGGTATAGTACGGGTTGTTTTGATATAGTGGCTGATTCATGAGGGGCGTTTATAACAGCATGGTGATATAGACTTAACATAACATAACATGATATAACATGACCTGACCTGACCAGACGGTGTGCCTTGAAACGCACACTACAACCCATCCCGCCTTCCCCCTTCCCGGTCCGAGTCCACCATACTCGATATACAACACACGCACGTAAGGCGAGTAAATCCGCGTCCCGCCAAGCCAGCTCTTCAGTATCGATTGATCCGATCGATTGTACGCCGGATACTGGAGACGTGGGGCATGCATGCAAGTGGGGTCTATGTCTCAGAAGTATTTTATCTGGTTTGTTTACTGTTTTACTGTCGTGTTTACATACGGCGAAGATGAGGTGGGGCGAGGGTATGTGGTACGATACATTACCGTCTGATACCGATATAAGCGGGCGGGATTGGCGTTAAAGTGGAGCGGCGTGCTTGTTGTTGGATGTGTGGTGTGACGGGCGAGCGAGTGAGTCTAGGTGAATAGATGCACTCCTCTTTCACGACAGGATGAGGGCATGGTCTGGGGGTTGTGTTGTGTTGTGTTATGTTGTGTTCTGGATATGGAGATAGACATGGGAATAGAAGTGGATATGGATCGGGAAGGCGAGCTCGGCATGCATGCATGGCGGGTGAGGATGAAGACGAGGGTACACGAGGGCTATGCATTGAGTAAGTGGAGTTTGGAAGACATGGATGCCTACAATATCGATAGTGCGGGAAGAAGCATATGCTGAGGAACGACGGATTTAAAGGGGCTTGCAGCAACCGTAAAATGTAGGAATCATCATCACAATAGAAGCTAGACGCATCAATGAGCATAGTGCATGGTACCAGTATTGTCTCGGATGTCAGAGCAGGTCTTTGTACCCGCTTTGACTATTCATTCATCAGCTCCCCAATAGGTGTGAGCCATTACTATATGCCGCGCTGCGTGTAGAGACACAACGTCTTATCCTCCATATTCTCCCTTACATGAATGGTATCACCTCTATGACCATGGTTGAAGGGTCAAGAAGATGATGAGCAGCCCAACGCCTTTTGAACGACCAAACCCCGTTGAGTCCCTGACTCTTTCAATGCTATGCCGTTGAAGGACAAATAACTTTTCGAAGTGGTATCATCCCAGTTCATAACGTCGTGTTGAAGCTTCCCAAACCCAGAATTTATAATAAAAAAAAGAAATCTAGTAACGGTACATGTCGCTCTTGAAAGGACCCTCAATGGGCAGACCGAGGTACTCAGCCTGGACATCAGAGAGCTTGGAGAGCTTGGCGTTGACGTGGTCAAGGTGGAGAAGAGCGACCTGCTCGTCGAGGATCTTGGGCAGAACGTAGACACCGACGTCGAGCTTACCGGTCTTGCCGAACTCGATGTACTTGTTGCCGAACTCCTCATCGGAGGCCTTGTACAGCATGATCTGGGCAAGAACCTGGTTGGTGAAAGAGCAGGACATGACGAAAGAGGAGTGACCAGTGGCGCATCCCAAGTTGACGAGACGACCCTCGGCGAGGATGATGATGTGGCGGCCGTTCTTCATGAGGAAGCGGTCGACCTGGGGCTTGATGTTGGTGACCGACTTGGCGTTCTTCTTGACCCATGCAACGTCGATTTCGATATCGAAGTGACCGATGTTGCAGACGATGGCGTCGTTGGGCATCTTCTCGAAGTGCTCGCCAGTGAGAATGTCACGGCAACCAGTGGTGGTAACGAAGATCTGACCCTGGGAAGCAGCCTCCTCCATGGTGGTGACCTGGAAGCCGGAGACGGCGGCCTGAAGAGCGTTGATGGGGTCGATCTCAGTGACGATGACACGGGCACCCATGCTGTGGAGAGCCTGGGCGCAGCCCTTGCCGACATCACCGAAACCAGCAACAACAGCGACCTTGCCAGCAATCATGACATCGGTGGCACGCTTGATACCGTCGACGAGCGACTCACGGCAGCCGTAAAGGTTGTCGAACTTGGACTTTGTGACGGAGTCGTTGACGTTGATGGCGGGGACGAGCAGACCCTTGCCCTTGAGCATGCGGTAGAGGTGGTGCACGCCAGTGGTGGTCTCCTCAGAGACACCGAAGCAGTCCTTAAGCATCTCGGGGTACTTCTTGTGGACAAGGGCGGTAAGGTCACCACCGTCGTCGAGGATCAAGTTCAGACTCTTGCCGTCCTTGAAGGCGGTAAGCTGCTGCTCGAGGCACCACTCGTACTCCTCCTCGGTCTCGCCCTTCCAGGCGAAGACGGGGACGCCGGCGGCGGCAATGGCGGCAGCAGCGTGGTCCTGGGTGGAGAAGATGTTGCACGAGGTCCATGTGAGCTCAGCACCGAGCGATGTGAGCGTCTCGATGAGGACGGCGGTCTGGATGGCTGCTCTGCGTCAGTGGGGGTTTCTCGTGGCGGACGTGGCATACGCACTCATATGCAGACATCCGGCAATGCGGGCGCCCTTCAATGGCTGGTCCTGGGCGTACTTCTCACGCGTGGCCATAAGACCAGGCATCTCGTTCTCAGCGAGCTCAATCTCGCGACGACCAAAGGCCGCGAGGCTGATGTCAGCGACCTTGAACTTGTGGGCGGGAGCAGACATGTTGGCGGTAAATGTGGGATGGGAGAGATGTGAGGGAGGAGAGAGAATGGATGAGAGGAGAAGGGAATGGGGAAAACGGCGAAAAAGATCAGTAAAGTACCTAGAGGAATTGGCGGGGCAAGGGTTCTGCCGCCATATGCCGCCTTCGCACACGTCGGCTGCAGCTGCAATTGGCCCTGAAGGCTTTTCACGACTCACTAGCTCGAGGATAACGATAGTGATGCTTTCTTGGCTACATGGGTGATTGTTTGTAAGTGGTCTGATGGAGGTGCTAACGTCTCACTTGAGATGGAGTGGGACCGTCTCATACAGTAGACTGGGGAGAGCCGTTGCAATCTACACACGCAATTGAACGCTCAGCTGAGCTCCTCTCGAGCAACTCCAGCACGTCACGACTTCGGCAAGAACACGGCACTATCGCGGAGACATGACATTTCCAGCATAAGACATTGCCTTCGTCAAGCCCATAACCATCGCTGCTACTCTCTACCGCTCAAAACCATAAAACTCCATGATATGCAAAAACCCGTGTGAAGACCAAGTTGCCAAAGCACATGCCATCGCACCAGAACCAAACCAAAACTATCCACAGAGAAAAGACACCCACCGCTTCTTCATGCCAATAACTGACCCGCAACGCCGACGGCAACCCCCGCCGCACCCACCAAGTACCCCCCACAGCCTGGCCTTGCCGCCGCATTTCCACTCGCGCCTCCAAACGCCTGGCAAGCCTCGACTGTCAACTGGGAGCAGGCCTGCAAGCTCAGACTACTACAGATGGACGCAGCGCTCTGAAGCCCTAGACTCGCAATTGCCGTCATGGTCGCGCCGCCATTCGGCGCACTTACCGTCACGCCCTGCAGCCCGTTCGCTAGAGCAGTCGTACAACTCGCAGCATCTCTTTGACAGCTTGAATAAGCGGAAGAGCAGGCAGCTGCGGATGAGTAAGTCGTGGCGATGATGGGGAAGGGGTAGAATGGGTTCTGTACTGTGGAGCCTGATGCCGCGTTGGTCTGCTGCACAAAGGCCGTGGTTGTTGCGGCGTTGAAGGGCACCGTCGAGGTTGACGTTGTTGTTGCAATGATGACACCGGCAGTGCCGCTTGTGGGGCCGAGTGTGCCTGTGCAGGCTGCGCCTTGCGGACAGCATGCCACGACGTTGTTGCTGTCGGCCGAGCAGATTGCGGTTCGTGGACAGCACAGGCCTGCTGCGTTCAGGTTGTTGCAGGCGAAGTAGTTTGTCGCGCAGGCGGCGCCCTGGCGCTTGAGGAGTTCAAGGACGCCATCTCCGGCAAGCGTCTGGTTGTTGAGCGTCGTCGGTAGTTGCTCGAGAGCCGGTTCGAAGGCGGCCAGCGCATCGGGTGCAGCGAGCGCAAGCAGCGGGTAGAGGACCAAGGGCGCAAGAATATTCCGCATTTTCGAGGTTGTGTCGCAATGGACCGACGAGGGCTGGGCTTTGCTGTCTTGTCTCGGGTCGCTGGGTGAGCTGTCGACAGGAAGCTTCGGAACAAATGTCAGCGACGGTGGTGTGAGAACCAATTGACGTCTTACAATGTGAATGCAAAAGCAGCGCTGGGTAAAAGCAAGCAGGTGAGTTTGTTGGTAGCAGTGTCAAAGACGTCAACTGCGTAGCTTAGGTGATCCCCAGCGCGTTGCTGACCGTGTGCCCAGCCCGCTCAGCCGTGTTGCCTGTGCGTTGGCTGAGAGACGGACGCACGGGCATGACGTCTCTATGTAGATAGCTTGCTCCGTCCTCTCCAGATCTGGTAATAAATCTTAAATTCGATCTATTGTTATTGAGAACGGCGCATCTTGGTTCTGAGGCTTCTACGCCAATCATTCGTTGCTACCGTGTACCTATGCTGTCCGAAACACCAAACACCGACCAGCGCCATGCTACCCAATTTCGATCTACGCTACATGTAATATCCAAGTGCAACAGAAACTCCCAACTAACACCTCGTGCTTTTCGTTCTCATCGTATACAAGCATGTCAAAACCAACAGAACCCTGCCTTACATCCAAGCAGCCTCTGTTCAAAAATACCTCAAGGATAGGCACTGCTAGACAGGCGACGATCAAGCTTTCAGCCGCCTCTCCTCACATTTCACACAGACAGGATCCTGAGATTCACCTCGAAGGAAGTACCTTCCGTCGTCGAAAGGTCCAGAACATATCTAGATTCTTGTTAATACCATGTTACCAGAACAATTCAATCGAGAAAGACTTACCACACAGCAAAAGCACCCAATATGCCACTCCGCCCCGAGCGCCTTCACCACTGTATCCGTCACCGGTTTTCGACAGCCCTTGCATTTCGTGCTATACCGATTTGTATGGCATCCAACACACCACGCATACCCCTCCTTCTCCACAAACGGCGTCGAGGAATCAAATGGATCGCCACACTGCGCGCAGAAAAAGTGTCCAGCGTGCCACTCAGCGCCACACGCAACAATGACTTCGCCCTCGATGGGCGTCTTGCAGGATTTGCAGCGCGGCGAGAACATCTCATGGAAGTCGAGATGGCAGAAGAAACGCTTAGCTTCGTCGACACCATCTTCATCCTCTAAGCGCATCATGTCCTGCGGAGTAGGGTGCGTCGGAAGGAACTCGAGGTCTGCACCATGCTGGCGGGCTCGGATGCGGGCTACGCGGTCGAAGTGTTTGTTATCGGGCTCAGGATAGAAGGCTACGCATTCGAGCTTTTCGCCGCATTGGTAACAAGCGAAGCACTCTGGATGGAACCGTAAACCGGCTGCTGAGACAATGCGACCCGCGATAGGCAATGAGCATTGCGTGCAAAGAGCACCTGTACGGACTGTTGTTGGCGTCCAGTGCTGACGGGTGTTGGTGCTAACTTGGGGACCAAAGGACTTTGAAGCATACAGCTTGGGGTCTGGCAGTGGACGTGGACGTGTCGGGCCAGACGATCCACCCACAGTGATGGATGGCACTGAAGGGGTTACTGAAATCGAAGGTGCATTGACCTTGGATCCTCGAGAAGGTGCTGGTGATTCGTTCACTGAAATCATGGGGATATCGGGTGTGACTGTGATAGAAGGCGTCTTAACATGCCGGTTCCTGTTGGGTGCGGGAGTCTCGCTAACAGAGATGGTGGGAATAGGTTGTGTGAATCCTGTCGATGGCGGCTTCACGCTTGAGCCGCGGCGGCTGGGGGCGCTGACCGCGATCGAAGGTGTCTCTGAGACTGAAATCGTAGGTATGGGAGGCGCTGGAGCTGGTTTAGAGCGTGTCGAAGGGGATTGGTGAACGTTTATTGTTGGTACAGATGGCGCGGCAGGCGGTGGAGTGTTGACTTTCCTCGACCAACCGGCACTGGAGAGCGGTCTTATTGGCGCATCCTCTTGGATGTTAATGACAGGCACCTCTGTCCGATTGACTCTTGTAGGAGGAGCCGGCGAACTTGGACGAAAGCCACCCGATGAGAAGGGACTTGGGGACGCAGCCCTGACTTTGCTGGACGAATTTTCCAAACTGTTCATGGTCGGTACGGCAGGAGAAGTAGCAGACTTGAAAAGTGAACGAGGACCAGCAGTCAACCTGTTCACAGGCCGCGGCGTCGGTTCTGGCAGAGTGGATATCTCTTCTTTGAGCTCGACCTCGTTCCACCCTTTCTGGAAAGAAACGATGGGTCTGCCAGGGGCGTCGGACACCGCAGTAGGAGTAGGCAACTTCGGGCTCCGGTCCTTGAGACGAAAGCCGGTAGCAGCGCGGAGTTCGTCACTTCGAATCTCCTTGCCATCCTTCATCTTCACCTCAGCTTCGTTTTCTTTGACGTCATTGTCTGGCTTGGACACGGTGGGATTCAGCGTATATGCAGCATTGTGCGAACGAGTTGGCGCGTTGTTGTGAAGCTCAAAGATATCGAACTTCTTCATATCAACGATAGGATCCGTGTTTGATCTCGTCATGGGATTGCCTTTGATCGACTGGAATCGCAGGAACGGGTTGCGTCTCACCCCTAGTGGTAGCTTTTCTGGTTTAGGGGTTTCGATGACTGGCGTAGGAGCAGGAGCAGGGGGTAAGTCCTCTTCAGGCTCCTCGTAGATTTGGTCGTTGGGGTTCTGGAACAGACTTCCACTGGCTTTCCGTCTGGAACCACTGCTCTTTCGTCGATTCTTCAAGTCTGGGAGATCAGACGCCGCCTTCGCAAGAGCCGATTGCTTTTCTACCTTGACAGCACTGTCAAAGCTTCCCTTGGTAGGGGCCGTGCTGAATCCTGCGATGCCAGGCACAGACGAGTCTGAACCAGTTGCATCTCCCCCTCCGTTGCTCTGTAAACTGCTGCTCCTGCTGCCCGACGCCGCGCTGCTCATAGAATGCCGTTTCCTCAGCTTCGAATTGGCACGTTGGAGGTCCTGATCCTGGTCCTGATCCTTGGGCTCCACGCTCCGACTCCTTGGAGCACCGTCCTTCTTCTTCTCCAGGCCAGGGTAGGCATACGGCGCATGAGGGCTGACCTCAGGTGCGTTCGGGTGTTGGTGCTTCCAGACCAGCTGAGCAGCTTCATCGCGCGCAGACTCGAACAGCTTCTCCTCGGCCTTGATTTCTAAGCTCTCTATTGCTATTTGCACGGCGCTCACTTCATCTTTCCCTGTCTGGCGCCGCTCGCCCTCTCCGCTCGGCGTCCGTTCGCGAGAAGTAGACAGATCTCGGCTCCGTGGTGGCTGGACAAGGGAGCGACCCCGACCTGCTGCGATCTCGTCTATGTTCGTGGTCGACATCCCTCGGCGATGTAGCTTCGGCGCATTGGCAGTGTGGGGGCGGGCATCGACGTCGACGGTGGCCTCTTTAAGAGGGTTCTGTAGGAGCGGTACGGAAGAGTCGACCGACAGCCTGACGTTTGTTCTGCTAGACCATGTGTTGAAGTGTGCAGGCGGGGGACGAGAACCCGTGGGACGAGCAGGGCGATTAGTGCGCAGGTCTTGAAGATAGTTCTCTAAACGCCATGGATTAGTGCCCTGCGTTGAGATTGCATTGGGTGTTCCTTCCGTACTCATTTGCTGCGGAGAATAGTATGCTGGGCCAGGTGACAAAGCACCTTCCCTTTCCATCTCTCCTGGCCGGGACATTGAGAAGGTACGTTGTGTGTGTATGCGTGGGTGGGTGTGTTTACGGTCCTGCCTGCGCTTTCAACAGCGACGAAAGACTGCGAAATTGAATACCGTGACTAGATCTACAAGTGAAAGCAGGTAGCGCTCCAACGAATGAGCAGGAACTGCACGATATTACCTTGCAGAGAAGCGGTGATGTCGTAGTTGCGAGCTTGCAATTCGTTGCCATGGGATACCAAGGCGGTCTAGGAGCATCCCTGCATTAGCCAGCTCACCCCAGATCTCCACCACGGTAGGTGCACAACCTGGCCAAAATCAACCTTGCGAGAATCATAACTGTTAGAATTAAGCAGGGATTCGTCCCACGACGTAGAGGTTTAGTTAGGCTGCAAGTGTGCGAGTAAGTTCTTAGAAATTATTGTACACAAGTGGTGACGATATCAAGCTCGATCCATGCCCACCCAATGAACCAAAATAGTCTTTTACACTGTTTCACAATGTACATGCCTCGAAACCAAGACCAGAGTGGTGGAATCCGTCGAAAATACATACTCTAAAGTCCGATAAAGGGAAATTGGGTATCTTGCTCATGAACCAAATGTAATATCCTGCCCATCTGTCTAAATCATAACACTCACCCCGTATGAGACTGCTGCTCTTCAGGAGGCATAGTAAGTCCGTCCCATCCCATATTAACATTCTGCATCATCTGCTCCCACGTCGCATTAGACATAGGCGTCATCCCAGTGCCCGCGCTCATAGCATTAAATTCCCAATCGCTCCCCATTCCCACTGGAAATTCTGTATTTGGAAAGATCTCATTTGTATTGCCTGGCATACTGAATGCGTTTGCAAACACCGCTTCACTGGACGAGAAATCTTGATATGAATTTGTAGCGGTAGGTTGTGAGGTAGCGTGTAATTGGCCTGATGCAGGCCTCGGAGACGCTCGATAGGGGAGATGATGTTCGGTTTGTTGACCAGGAGAATAAGACGAATGCGACGTTGAGCCGCCTTTAGACTGAGAGTTGATTGTAGATGGGCTGGGTTGGTCACTACTTCGATCGGCTAACATGTCCATATCGGTCGTGTCGTTGAAACCGAATGCCACGGAATGAAATCTGTTTGAGCCCATAGAGCTGGTTTGGGGAACAGTTCCTTGCTGACCAGGCTGTGAAGGGACGTAAGTTGTATCGAGGGTATTCATATCTATGTTGACTTTTGAGAGATAGAATGGCGGCGGTCCCGGCTGGGCACTGGCTAACTGTGCCATTGAGTCTGGACTGCGAGGGACAGGATTACCGTTGTTGAATTGATTGATTGGCGCGTTCGGGTTTTGTGTTTCCCGAACCGTGAAGATGGAACTGCACTCGACTGCGTCGTAATTGGCAGGAATGGTGGTTGCCTGTGAAGACATAGTTAGCATGGAGACCGGCACACACTTGGAGTTGTGCATTGCACTTTTGCTTGGAATTCTGAATGCACTTCAGATGCTCTCTTTGGGGTCGCTCACCATCGGGTTTGGAGGCAGATATGGTCTCTGCAAGCCCTCTATGCCAGCACTCTCGAGATCGAGGTCCAACTGCGCCAAAAATGATTCCGTGAGTGGATTCTTTCGGCGGAGAGCTTGCATCGCTTGTAGAAGGAACTGCAATGTGGATATCATTTGCTGGTCATTCGGTCGAGTCTTCAAATATTGGACGAACACTCTTGCTGCCACGTAGACGCTGAAGGAGATGAAAGGATTCAACTATTCAGGTCAGTTCAAATTCTCTAGAAGACAAACCATGGTTCACCTACTGCGCTCAGGTCCATGTGGCTAACCATGCGCATGATAGATGCTATTTCGGCTGCGGCGGTAACGCATCGAGTCTTACTCTCGTTGCTGACATGAACCGGTAGTTGATGCTTATCCACTTTGAAGATTGCAGCCTGGTGTAAACAGATGACTGAAGTGTGAATGCACATGTTCGCGAAAACGACGTTAGGATTCGACACGGCAGACGGTAAACGTAGGTGGTCAGGAAGACCCAGCGAAGTTTGCAGAAGTATCTGTTCAATATTACGGTGTCGGTTCCAGAATTCGCCATTGAGATCCTCATCACGATCATCTGGCCCAGGTCGGTGAAGGTGTAGAAGGTTTCGGCCAAACATCGCCGCACTCAAAACGATAGCACCGAATGGTTGGAGGTTTGCTGCGCCGTTCGGACTCAGTACTTGGTCCAAGGATCCTGTGGGCGCCGGTTTGCTTTTGTCAAACGCATCGTCGCTCGCCGGAAGGTTGGTCAGGATCTGGAGAAAAGTCAGCATCCCTTCATCGTAGCATAGAAACACAGTTACGAACATCTCGTTCATCGATGATCATGGGCCATCCAGTGCCAATACTAGCGTATCGATCGATGCAAAAGGCAAACCAAAACGTTCGTCTGCGCTCTTCTCGTTCCGTCCAGTCTTTTGGTGGGCAAATGCATTGTTTGACATCAAGCCCCACTCCGTCTAGACGATGAAGTTGCATCATCTGCGCCAGTCTCACTCCTCTTCCTGCTGACAGCCACGCTCTGGGGAAGTACATTTGCTTAAACTCATACTGACATATCAGACTCCACGCCTGGCAATGTGCAACGCTGATTGTTGATTCTCCATGACCCTTCATCTCGTCCATCTGAGCGTACTTTCTCGCACGTTGATAGAAATGATCCTGCATGCCCGCATACTTGTCCGTAGCAGAGGCTGCCATAGTCCACATGATGTAGCGTAGACAGATCGGCGGGCGCATGTGAGGCGCAAGGTTCAATGCAGCCAGGAAGCGTGGTCTGTGGATGATAGGCGCCGAGGGGTGTATCTTGGCGAAGTAAATCTGGTATCTGCCAATGTGTTAGTCGAACTCCATACAAGCACAATGCCATTACTCACAGATCATCCATGACATCCTGAGGTGGCATTGGTTCCTCTAAGCCTAGACTTATCATCTCCCATGGGAAATATTGTTCACCGGTATTCGTGGTTGTATCACCAGCTTGAAATGACCCAGCTCGTGATGTGTCCGCCCCCGAGAAAGGTCCTGGAGCTTTATCTGTGCCATTTGGGTAATCGTTTGAGTTCGGCAACGCTTGTTGAATGGTGTTCGCGACATATGCGGACGCGGGGTCCTGGCGGGGGGCGTCTTTGCTCTGATCAGGTACATCTTGGGTCTTCAGAAGCGTCTCTACTTGCTCTGTAGGATGTATGTCAGCGGGGATATTTATGGGCAAGACAACACACCAACTCACGTAGTCGTTGTTCAAGCAGCTTCACGTAACCCCTCTTTGGACCGCTCTTCTTTCGCACTTCGTCATAGGCGCATGTATGAGATAACCTATTGCAAGTTGCGCATGTCGGTCGAGCGCCATCGCATCGTAACTTCCTCTTTCGACATAAAACGCAAGCTATTCTTTTGGGTTTGGTCGTGCTGTCTTCTTGTTGCATCTCTCGGTCATTGGTAGTGTTCGACTCCAGAGTTGATTGAGTAAGGTCGTTGAAGAAGCTCTCATCTGGCGATTCAGACCCCCCTGAAGGCATCTTGATCAACTAGTTCGCGGCCTTGGGTTCGAGATGAATGTTGAAGGCAGGCCAATGCGCCTCGCGTAAGCAGATCGGGATGATGGAGTAGTGTGATCGCTAGAGGGATTGCCAGGCAGATCCTGAGGTCCGAGTGTTTATTGAGATAATCGTAGTTTTAACATCAGAGTATGAGCGCATGGAAGTGGAGCTGAACTCTGTTGGTGACCGAGAAATTAGGCATCCATCTGACGACGCGACCAGCATGGGTCAGGCGTAACTGTAATGTATGTGTCAAAAACGAGAACCAAACAGTGCCTATCAGTGGACGAGGAGATTCATAGCCAAAGCTGCGCCCTCTTGTGTTTCGTGGTCTAGGTGCAGCTTCACCTGCCACGCGCGTTCCTTGTGGCGCGTGTCTTGCATGCATCTGGAGGTGCGGGACGAATTATCTCGGATGCAAGTGTCGGAGTTACCGCAACATCTAATACCGATGAAGTGGCAGATGGACAACCCTATTGAAACAGAGTAATGGCAGGCCAATCAACTTTTGGTCTGTTCGCTTTAAGTATTCACTTGAAATCATTATACATATTGTAAAAACATTATTTTGTTGGGAAGCAACCGTGGGGTAGCACTCGAAGCTACCAAGATAGCATATTGACGGTGTCATCGAACCAGTTTCGGAATGCATGTGTTCTAAAGCAGGGTCTTAGTGTAGTATCCAATCATGACTCTCACGGTGTTCAGCAGCCCCATTGGAGCGCGAATTTCACCTCATAGGTGATGATTGAGAACCGCAAATAGGCTAGGTTCGTGTGGCACATATTCGAGGGTAACAAGCAGTTTGTATTTATGCGAGTTATGGTACAGCTTGGATCAGAGATATGTTTATACACGAGGTGCTTCTCTGCTCTACCTCGGCCTGCGTTTGCCCTGGTTGCGTGGTCGATCCTGGACCAGGAACGTGTGCTTGTTTCTCTTATATCTTGTCTTGTAACCTCCCTTGGCCTATATGTGGGTTAGAAAACGAACCTCTTTGTCTTACGGATTTGTAGTACTCACCGGAGTTCCCCAGGGACTGACGGGGTGCACGTTACCCTTCGATTTACCACGACCACCACCGTGGGGATGATCAGCTTCACATTGTTAGCTTGGCGTCGAGTATACGGGCAGACAGCTTCGAGCACTAACCTGCGTTCATGGCAAGACCACGAACTTCCGGACGCCTTCCCAGCCATCGAGAGCGTCCAGCTTTACCAAGAGATGTGAAGTGCGATTGAGGGTTGCTGGCAACGCCGATTGTGCAGCATGCGTCCGAGCTGACTTTGCGGATCTCCCCGCTTTGTAGACGGATGATGACACTCTTGATCTCAGTTCCCTTTGCCTTCTCTACCTCTTCCTTGTTCACGATTGTTGCATATGTGCCTGCACTACGGCAGAAGACACCTCCACCCTGTGTCTTTGAGCCGACGTTGTAGACCTGCGAACCGAGTGGCACCATGTGAATTGGAAGGCAGTTTCCTCGCGCTGCCGTCTTGGCAGCCAGCATACCAGGATCAATAGCACCGCCCATACTGGCAAGCAGGTCTTTCGGGATGCCGCTCCTGTAGCTTTCAATCTCGTCGCCTTCCCGCATGCCATCCGCTGCAACGATGTATGATTTCTCTCCAGTCTCGATGCGCGTGATGAGAGCCAAGTGTGCGCTGCGGTTGGGGTCGTATTCTATCCTGTCCACGGTGTGTTTTCCTGGAATGTACCGCTTGTAGTCGACAATGCGTATGCGTCTCTTGTGTCCGCCACCTCTATGTCTCACTGTGACTCTGCCTGTGTTGTTCCTTCCTCCCAGATGCTGGCCCTTTCTCGCAATGGTGAGCTTGATGTACGGCCGCCCTTTCCACAGGTGGTCGTTCACCGGCCGCTTGAGATGTCGCAGGCCATTGGTGCGGGGCTTGTACGTGCGCAGGGGGATGAATTTGTCCTTTCTGGGGTCTTTCGTCTGTACGATGCCTCCCGCAGCGGCCACGGTGGGGGTGATTGGCGGCTTGGGGACCTGCTCGACGGCCTGGGCGTAGGTGCGGGCGGTGAGCAGCGCTCTTCCCAGGCGCGAGGGTTGGAAGCGACATATCCGTGGCTGCAGCATCGTGTGCGGATGCGCCCCGGGCTGGAGAAGGGCAGAGGCGGTGCAATGCGTCACTGGCGTGATGGCACACGGAGCCTGGCTGGCCTCAGATTTGATGCCAAGCGGGATTTCTCACTTTGACGCAAGCGGCTAGCGCCATGCTCGCGTTGCCAGAGAGCAAGACACCAAACCACACTCTCTCGCTCGCACCTGCTCTGCATCTCTTACCCGACGCCTCGATCAGCCCAGCATCCGTCTCCAGCGCGCCCATCTCAGCGCACCGACAGCCAATTCGCGTCAGGACTCGACGATCCCGCAGGTAAGCATCTCAACGCGCGCGGTCGTGGGTCGTGCACCTACCAGCCTCGCAGGGTCGCGCGTTGTTCGCACCAACCGGCTGACTAAGGGAGCGAGCCTGCCAAAACAAACCCACTCTGCACTTCCTTTCATCAACACACACCTTGGTGCAGCACCTCCCACTCGCCCTCTCCGCCAACTCACCTGTGTCTTTTGGAGCCGGACTTGACGTCGTCCCTCTCACAACCACAGCCGCCGCTCTCCAAGGGTTCGTCTCGCTCCCGCGCGTCTCATCACCATCGCTGCCGCATCCCATATAGCGTGTCTGGCCCGCCAATACTCGCGAGCATCGACCCGGAGTCTGTTGACCAGATTCTTGCACGCGTCGGGCGTGTTCGGTGCTCCTGTGTTGTCAGCCTCCGCTCCCCACCCGTCCACCGTTACGCGTTGCAACGGGACTGAATGCTGACACGTCCAAACAGTGCATCATAACACGACCTCCGCACGTCACATCACCCTAAACACACATCAATCTACCCGCACGCCTTTATAGCCTTGATCAGCATATCTAATATTGCTTGCAATGCCTCCCGCAGTACGTCCCCATCCAATGCCCTGCTGACATCCCATCTGGGTACCGTCATAGCAGAGGCTTCTCTTTGTCTGTTACGACTCTCTGACACGTCTACACAGGTCAGATCCCTCCGGCAGCGCGCTGTCACCAACGAGAATGATGAGAACGCTGCTACGACACGCGTGACGCGTGCAAAGGCCGCGACGTTGGGCTCGAATGTCACTGCTGCCGACGTGCCAAAGAAGACTCTCCAGGCAAAGAAGTCGACCGTTGCTCTGGGAGCCAACGGTGCTGCCCAGACGCGGAAGCGTGCTGCTCTTGGTGACGTCAGCAATTACACAAAGGCGGAAGTCGGTGCTGGCGCTGATGCAAAGGATGGCAAGAAACCCACAGCTACCAAGGGTGGCCTGGTAAAACAAGCAGCAAAGCCCACTGGAGTACAGAAATCTTCCCGGACCACAACAAAAGCCGCACCCCTCTCATCCAAAGACAAGAACGGCGTTTCATCGGCTCAAAAGCGCCCAGGTAGTGGCTCTGGCATCGCGGCACCCGCAACGAAGAAGCGAAAGGAAGTACCATTGGCATTGGTGGAAGAGAAGGTCGAGGAGGTTGAGAACGTCTTGCCAGAAGAGCCGGAGGCTCTTGAGGCCGAGGTCACCAAAGTCAAGAAGACCAAGGTCGAGGTTGTCGAAGAGATCGAAAAGGCAATCGTCCCCAAGGAGCACCTTGACCTGGATAAGGAAGACATTGATGACCCATTGATGGTCTCGGAGTATGTCGTCGAGATTTTCGAATACTTGAAGGAACTTGAGATCTCCACCATGGCCAACCCCGACTACATGGATAGCCAGAACGAGCTCGAATGGAAGATGCGTGGTATCCTGGTCGACTGGTTGCTCGAGGTTCACACTCGCTTCCGCCTGCTCCCCGAGACTCTCTTCCTTGCCGTCAACATCATCGACCGTTTCCTTTCTGCCAAGATTGTTCAGCTGGACCGCCTGCAGCTGGTGGGTGTCACCGCCATGTTCATTGCCTCCAAGTATGAGGAGGTCCTCTCACCCCATGTACAAAATTTCCGTCACGTCGCCGATGATGGCTTTACAGAGGATGAGATCCTGAGTGCAGAGCGCTTCGTACTGGCTGCTCTCAACTACGATCTCAGCTACCCCAACCCCATGAACTTCCTCCGCCGGATATCCAAGGCCGACAACTACGACATCCAGACCCGTACGTTGGGCAAATACCTGTTGGAAATCGGCTGCTTGGACCACCGCTTCCTTGCACACCCTCCAAGTCAGGTTGCCGCTGCTGCCATGTACCTGGCTCGCCTGTATCTGGACAAGGGCCCTTGGGTAAGACTCTTTTTACTCACCATGTTTCAGGATCTTGCTAATGCACACAGGATGCCACTCTCGCGCACTATGCTGGCTACACTGAGGAGGAGATCCAGCCTGTTTTGGATCTCATGATCGACTACCTATCCAGCCCCGTTGTGCACGAGGCTTTCTTTAAGAAATATGCTAGCAAGAAGTTCCTCAAAGGTCAGCACCTCTCCATCTCGTTAATCTTCCCATTACTAACATCATTCAGCATCCATCCATCTCCGCAAGTGGGCTAAGGACTACGTTGCGAGCTTTGGTAATGTTCTGGCAGAGGAACCCTCCAAGTCCCAAGACTAGCGCTAAGATCTTCTCTTATTGTTGGGCAAACCTGACCTTGACTTCCACACGCCAAGTCCATCCACCCCACTACATTCAACCTCTTGTCATACATCTCTGGCATCAGTGGGCCTGTCACAGTGGTTGCTTCGGTTTTGAGGGGTGCGTTTAGTTACGTCCAGCGACCCATTCATCTTTGCATCTTGACCCTACGGTCTGCCATTCGGATCGGCGTTAATATACGGAATGCAATTGGCTACTGAGGGGCTATCCATGCGTGTTCTTTTTGGTTTTGCTTGTTTTGTTTTTCTTGGAAAGGAGTCGAAAGGCGTTTTGTCATCTCATCAGGACGGCGCATAGCGGATACTTGATTTTCTTCTACGACACTTTTACCCCCATTTCTCTAGTAGCGGCTCTGGATACTCGCTCATAGCACTAGCGAAACGGTATACCATTACGGTGTGATAGGAAAGATTATTCCTTGGTGGATCTAGGTTAGGTGTGGTTATGGCTTTTGGCAATGGTTGTCTCGTGTATACGAATGGTGTGATGTGCGCTCCTTGCGGATTGGAATTGAGCGATGCCTAGTTATTCAAAACATATTCTCGATATTTTATTTCCTCCATGTTTTACATTGTCCTTGATTTCTGCTCGTCCTCTGCCACACGCTTTCCAATGTGACTTGAGCATAACATCGGTGGCCACGAGTAGTAATGACAAGCGCATCTTTGAAACCTGTCTGACCTTGTTTCTCTACTCGACGCGTCGCGACATCTCAGTACGTCATTCCTCGCGTAACGTGTCACTCGAGACGTGACACGCCAACCAAGCGCAAATTCACGCCGCGTCCCCAGCCATCGATCGCATCGCGCCTCCACAACCTCGGCACGAGACGTCAACACGTCCGCGACATGAAACGCTAACCCTCTTCGTCTGACACGCTCTCCACCAAACAACCCCCCATCCATCCATCGCCCGTCCACTTTCCCAAATAAAACAACACCCGCTATATATCATTCCACGTCGACCAATCATTTAGTCGGCGAACCAACACAACACTTACAACCCGCACCCCATCCAATCCAATGAACGAACTGGATCTGCACTACCCGCCCGACAAGTGCCCTTTTTGTATCATAGCCGCTGCATATCCATTTGCAGACCCGGCCTTATGGGAGGGGGAAAGCGACGGGCTGGCGCGCTGTGTGCCGGGCGAGGAGGAGAGTGAGCAGGGCGTTGAGATGACGGATCCGAGTAGTTTCGTCGTGCTGCGGAGTAGACATGTTATTGCTTTTTTGGACATTTTGCCGATGACAGGTGGTAAGTTTTTGGGTTCTTGTGAGGGCGGGGGTTGGGCTGGGGTGAGGCTGATGCGATTTTGTAGGGCATTTACTTGTTGCTACTAGGAAGCATACAGTCAAGGTTGCTGATATGGGGGCTGTGGATAGTCGGGAAGTGGGTATGTTTTCTTCCCCTTCCGCCTCTTCTTCTACTTTCATAGATTGGAGAGGGTAGGTGTTAGATCGGAGTGAGGATTGCAGCTGATGACAAGTTAGGCTTTTGGTTACCGGTGCTTGCCAGGACCGTGGCAAGAGTTACAGGCGTAACGGACTACAACATTGTGCAGAACAACGGTGAGTTCTGATCGGGAAGTTTTCTTTGATTCTAAGAAGAGTGTCATTTCTTCCCGATTCTTTCACTGTCACTCTGTTTCTCGAGTGACCTTTTCATTCTGATTTTCTTCTTTCCTTTCATCCTTTTCTCCTCCTCCTCCTTCTCCTATCCTCTCGGCCCCCACTCGATCGATCGATCCACACCCTCCCGAGATACCTAGACAACACATCCTTCTTTGCCACAGCTCATTCCCCTCATAGGAGCGCGCGCCGCCCAAGTTGTTCCGCACGTGCACTTTCACATCATCCCACGGCCAGGCACCATGCCAGAGATCAAAAACAAGAGCTGGACCATGTTCGGGCGTGGGCAGCGGGACGACCTGGACGATGAGGAGGGCATGCGAATAGCGGGCGAGATGCGGAAGGTGCTGAGGGACGAGGTGGAGAAGATGGGGGGTGAGGCGAAGTTGTAGATGGGGGTCTTGGGGAGAGTCGAAAAGGGGGGTGGAAAGACGATTGTATTGAATGATGTATGTGGGTTGGAGATTTGATCATGCACGTGAAACGAGTTGAGTCCAAGAGGTGGCAGTGATATCTACCTTAATAGTATTGTTTAATGATACTACACTACTTGAAGTGTCAGACCCAGTGCCTGTTAGTGATAGCCCCTTCCCAAATTGCTAACTGATCTCAATACGTCGCCGTCTCTCTATGCGCGCCAGATTATCCCCTTGAACGTCACACACCACTGTCTCCGCCGTCTTGCTTTCTGCCGCCAATTTCATGCTCATCCTCGCGGGCGTTGTGGTCGCCTGGCTCTGGCTCACTTGTCTGTGCAATTGATGACTGGGACTGCTGCCTTATCCAGGCTTGCGTATATTCGGTACGTCTCCTTCGCATCTGTCTTCGCTCCGCATCTGCTTCTGCTTCTGCTTTTTGACAAATGTTTCGAGCACTGGGCTGGAACGCAGGTGCCGCAGGGGCTAGCAAAGTTGAGCTGTTGCTGAGGTGAAAAGCGGGAGCTTTGGCGTTGTATGCAGGCGACAACCTCTTTCCTGCCTTGAAGACTTTAGCCTCGAGCCTTAGGTACAGTGTTCCAGACTCAGCGTCTTTCTACACGCCCCACCCCTTCTGCCCATCATGTTTGTTGAGTGATTGAGGTTGTGTTCTCGAGCTTTTTCAGGCGGAGAGACACACGTCCCTAAGCACCAAGAACGCAAACTCTCGTTTGGGAAGAGCTCTGCTGTGTCCACTACGACGGGCCTACCTGGGTATGTACACCCCTTGATGCAAAGCCACGTCCACCAGATGTCGCAGGTCCTTGAGGTTGACGAATTGGTCTTTCTTGCTCGCTGGGTGTGCCTGGTCGACTAGTTCCAGCTTCCCTCCTCTGGATGTACACCGAACCTGGCTTTGGCGAATACGAGTGGTCGAACAACTGTCGTCCTGGACCCGCAGGTGGCGCAGGTGACTGCTCATTACTAGATCTAGGCTGACTGTCGCGTCCACCGCGGCCCCGTCCTTTCCCTCTCGTGGCCTTGTTTGGCGAGTTGCTGCGAGATCCTTCTGCTGCGGCGGGAGACCCGAATATCCTCTCACGCGCTTCTGCATATTTACGTTCCTTCTCTGCACGCTCTTTCTGAGCACGAGCCTTGCGTTCCTCAAAGTCTATTTCTGCTTTCTTGCGTCGCTCTTCCTCGCTGTCGTCGTCGTCGTCCAAGTTCAGCCCCGCCATGCCAGAGGTGGGGTTGTTTCGCGAGAGCACCTGAGGCTTGCGTGCTAGAACAGTAACATTGGGCTTGAAGCTTGATAGAACGGGGACGTTATCACGAGCTTGGAGGAATAGTTTAGGCTCTGGATTCTCCCTGTTGAGATAGCTATCAGCATCAAGTAGCGAAGTTAAAAGTAATAACGTACGCTGACTCCCAGAGCCGGCGGTTCAGTTCTACGTGCTGGGCCTTGCGCTCAGCTTTTGACAGCTTGGGCTCCGGCTGGGGAGTTTGGGGTTTTGAGTCTTCTTTCTGGTACATGTGAGCCTGCGCGTTTGCATGTGTAGGCGGATATGTACATCTGCAATACTCTCCCAGTCGTCGTCCCACGCGTCTGCAAGGGCAGTCTTTTTCGGTGGCATTGTGGCTTAATTGTTGGTGTTCGCGAAGTCTCAGCAGGAAAAATGTGATGTTTTCTGTTCAGATGGCTCGAACCTGTATGGAGATGGGCGAAATAGTGTCGCGGCTGAACCCTGGATTTAGTGGGTGCAGGGGTGGAGCTATGACGATCAAGTTCACTAGGTAGCAGTGCTCCCACCCGCAGCTGTCTGCTTGAACAAACGCATTCACCGCCGCTTCACCGCAGACCCAATCCTGCCATCCCTTACTTGAGCGCAGCCATGTCAGGCGAGTCCCCCAAACCCTCAACCCCCAACTCCTGACCCCAGCGACTCACACGCGACCGCCATGGCAAAGAGACTCCGCCAACTAACTCCTCCTTCAGACGTCGATGGCGACTCGGCCATGCACTCGTCACCGGACGTAGACCTTGCTGCCAACGATGACGAAATGTTCCCCGACGAAGCTCAGCCCACAACACCGCACAACGCTGCTTCCTATGCGCTGGACCCTACATCTGAGCTCTCCCCACCAAACTCTCAGGGCCCCGCTATTCTACCCCGCGATGACAGTATCGGGACGACTATCGCATCAGGCGTGAACGCAAACGGTAAGCGGCCTCTCTCAGGTGTTGCTACTGCGGCGTCGACAGCTGGAGTTGTGGGAACGCACCAGGATGCAGATACTGGGTACCAGTGGTCGAAACTGGAGGATCAGCCGGGGTACGAGTGGAAGAACAACAGGGCGCGGGAAGAGGAGGCGAGGGCCCTGGATCAGATCGTTGACAAGGGGCACCAGATCAAGAGTGAGTTTGAGCATGGAATTTGGTGAGAAACTGACTGATTATCGTAGATCACTATGGTGACCCTCTCGATGCAAGCGTTTCCGCTGGGAAGTCGAGGCGCTGAACGGGATATGATACGAGGAACTCGCGGAGCAGATGAAGCATCAGCACGGCGAACTGGCGTTAGGGATATGGGTGGTATAAGTTTCATACCTTACCTTTGGCAGGGTTGCAAGGCAGCACGTGTTAGGTCGTGGAAGAAGACTGAGGGCTGATAGCGTTGGTACGCACAGAGCATCGCCAGGACGTAAACGGATATGATATGCAGTCGAATGAACAGAATGCGTCTCCAACATCGAATTCTGCGCAAGTACATATCGTGAACTTGATCTCCCTCATCCTATCCGGATATTTACCACCATACCTCCAAACCTAAACGCCTTCCAATGCAATCGTGTTTCGCTAATCAAGGAAGAAAATTCAATCACTTTCGTCCCCATCCGCCATCTCGTCGTCCTCCACAGCATTTTCCTTCTCCTCCAACAGGTCTTCTGTCAACCCCTCCTCTTGCACTTCTTCCTCCACCTCGTCGTCCTCTACCTCTTCATCCTCCTGCTCATCCACATTCGTCTCATTCCCATCCCCCTCCCCTTCCGTCCCTGTCCCTTCATCCCCACTCTCTCTCCTCACGCGCTTCACCCTCGGACTCCCATCAGCCTCCACGTCCCCTTTCGGCTCCTGCTCCGGCCCTGGCTCGCCAGTCACCTTCTTCTTCTCCTCACGCACCTTCTTGCGGTACGTGTTCCTCTTATCCGCCTGTATGCTCGTGAACTTGTTCACCTCTGCCTCCAAGCGCGGCAGCATGGCAGCGAATTCCAGCTCCGTCATTGCGTCGAAGACGTCCTTGGGCATGATGGTCTTCTTCCCAGACCGCTGTGCATGCTCGGCTGCCGCCGAGGTGAGGTAGTTTACGAAGACGGTGGCCGACTTGGACATGGCGAGTAATGCATCTTTTTGGATTTGCGTGTTGGGCGGTAAGACGCCTTTTGCGAGGCGTTGGACTATGGATTTCGGAAGGTTGAGGTCCTGGGCAATGTTAGATGTGCATTGAATTTGGGGCATGGAAACTGCAATGGGAGGACGGAGATGCGTACTTCGACACTGAGGCCATCGTCTGGGGATGTGGGTTTGGCGGCGGCGGTGTCGTCGTTGGAGACTGCCGATGCAGTGCTTTTTCTTATGGGCATGGTGTGCTCTCCAGTGATTTGCGATTAGTAGCGTAGTATGGATGTTTGTTTGGGACTTTGTTGCTGATGTTGGTGGAAATGATTTGCTCATTCGGTGGACTCTGACGCGTGATACCGCGTTTGACGCGACGGCTTGGCATTCCGCGCGAGAGTGCATCTCATTTATCTCATGAATCAGACGCCTGGTCTGGCTGAACTTTTATCCCTTAACTGGAAGCTTCAACTAAATTGGTATACTACTAGTGACGTACTTCAAGTTTTTATTAGAGTTCTTTTAACAAGATTTAATAATACTAAAGTTTCCAGTAACAGTAAAGTAGAGCAACGGAAGTTATAAAAGTACCACTGGAAAGTATTAGTAGTAAACGAATGAATACTTTTACTAAGGCCAAGAGTATAGGTAACTAGAAAAAATAAAATATAATATTATGATAGGATGCAATGTGGCTGCGATGTTGATTTTTGTAGCTATTTGCCCTGTTTTGTAGTCGCACTATGCATGGATACCTGACTGTAGGACATGTGCGGGACTAACTCGACGATCATATCCGCTCTCAAATGACACACGCATAAAACCTCCTCGCCACCTCAGCTGTCCGTCAAACAGCCTCCTGCCACCACGGATGCGCCACAACCTGGTTTATCGTTGACCTAGCCGTCGGGTCAGGTTTCATCATTCCCGATATCATCTTCTGTACCTCAGAACCCAGCTCTTGTCCCCACACCTCGAATCTCATTTCTGGCTGGTCTCGCACCGCCAACTCAGCCATTTGAGATGCTAATTTGAGAGCTTTTGTCCATTTTTCGCTAGCGATCTGGTTGAGAAGGCCCTCGTTCGCTGATCCAAAGTAAGAGAAGTGTCGCGTTAATATTTCTTGCTCTGGGCTTATGCCAAGCTTGACGAGGTCCTGGTAATCGTTGATGAGTAGCACTTCCCCAGCCCCGAGGGTATATATGCACTGCGCGAACGCTTAGCGTGGGTTTCTTCGATGATACCCATGAAAATGGCATGGAGGAACTTACGACCAGTCCGAATGAGTAAACATCTGATGCCTTAGACAAACCTCTCCCGGTCTGTCCTTCTGGACTGCGCCATATGGCGTTCCCTACTGCATGAGTGGTCTGAAGCAGCGCTCCCGTTTCCAACTTAAAGGCGATGTCGAAGTCACCTAAAGCAACGTTGGTGATTGTTTTAGTACCCTCTTCGTCGCAAGTCCAGTTGACCAGTATATTATCGGGCTTGATATCTGCCAAGATCGATTGTCAGTTAGGATTTCGTGAATGGGAGATCAAATTTGGACTGGTGATCGTACCAATATGGATCCAGTCCTTGCTATGTAGTTCTTGTATGGCTTCTCCTGTCTGCCGCAAGATTTTCTTCCGTGCTGCATCAGAGATTTTTGAATCCTCCTGAAGCAGTCCAAGCAGGGTATGTTGGTAGTACGGATAGATTAGGACGTTTTCGTCCTCGTTGAGATCAACATGCATGCGAAGCCGTCGAGATTCGGGAAAATCGGCTGCAAGGCGTAAGGACAGGTCATAGAATGGTTTGGACACGCGCTTGAAGACGAAAGACTGGTCATGAGATCTAAGATGGCTTTTGTTGAGCGAAACTCTAAGAGTGAGATTGGTATAACGTACTCGGCTTTGAAGATGTTCAACTTAGGATCTTTGCGCTTCTGGAGCACCTCGCGCTGAATGTATACACGGCCAGATTTGCCTACGATGGTGGATGCCATTCTGATGCCTGTACGTGAAATCGGGCATATGTGATAAGCTAGACGATTGAGAAACATGAGAGGAGACTTGGGCATCAGGAATCTATAGGGAAGAAGTTGTCTCCACAGTTAGAGGTTCTTCGTAGTGACTATCCCACGATCCGGTGTATGAAACCCGCGGATTTTGGCCAATAGAATCACATGGATCATGGGATAGTTAACTTGCTCTCTTACGTCCGTAGCTCGTAACTGTGTAGCCCTAAACTCGAGGGTTTACTTAAGCTACTCCGTAGACACTTAACACAATCGATACACTAGATACACCAATCCACTCTTAAACGTGCTGTTATTAATCGGAAAGCCGGAGGTTTCCTCGTTAACGTCTTATCGCTTATCGACACAATGGATTGCGCAACTCCGTGAATCTTCGAAGGCGTCGTCGAGGTCCCACGTTCCTTCCACCTATGACTTGCTGCTTCTCAAGTCGTGCTTGCCGACCCTGCTCACCGGGCATCAGGCAGTCTCCGAGTCGCGGCTGAACTTCATTGCTGCCCTGGCAAGTCGGTCCGCAAAAGACGCCTCAAGCGACTGCCAAGATCTTGTGAACTTCGTCTGCGCAATCAGCCGTCCAAGCGAGATATGGAGGGGTCGACTGTGATGGTACTTCACTCTCACGTTCCTTTTGTACTGTTTCGAAATCTTCCAACATTGTTTTGTTCACGATTAAGGTTCGTGTGGTATGTCGATCTTCAGTTCCGAGATATGGGGTAACTGCGGGTACTTGCAATCTCACCGTTAACCCTCGCAAAGCAGAGCGGGGTGATCCTGGAGTATCAACGTGGCTGATCCAGACCTACAGCCAAGAAATCCACGTCTCCTTGGCTGCTCTTTTTCTCCAGCTTTCCACGGACAAGACTAGAGTTGTCTCTGCCGTCTTGACTTCCCTTGTCGCAAGAGTAAGCTGAACGGCTTTGTGTAGCGAGACGCCTCGGTATGGGATGAACGTCCTCAGCTGATTCGGTCTACCCGAAGCGCAGCCATGTGTACACGATTAACTGCTGTTCCAAGTCTTAGGGTAAATAGTGTTTGGTGACAAGACGTTGAAACGCGACCATCCTCGGTAACAAGTCGTTGTTCAAACAGGCAAGTGCCTATTCAGTAAGAGCAAGGTACATAACGTCCCCCTGTGCGCAACCTAATCTTCCAAGTCTCGGTAATTCCTGTGGCTAGCACCTTCTCTATCTATGTCTCATGCAGGCCCAGCGGTGCTTAGCGTCGCCTTCACTACGGAAGGGTTGTCCCACTCCGGTATACACCGATAGAGTGTGCCTGACAAGTCGTCCAAGCCACCCGTTTCTTCTTATAATCCAGCTCTGTCCCTACATGTGTGTTTCGCCAATCCTTCGAACAAAATGGTACTACCCTCTCTACGTGTTATTATCGATGGCGACGGCAACAAAGTGTATAGTCGAGGGGACAAGGTCACTGGAAGGATTGTTTGTGTAGCAGAAGAGCAGGAACATGTTGAATCACTCAAGGTGGTGCTTACTGGGAGTTGCGTTACTAAGACGACACGGTCTTTCTTCTCTGTCGGCAGCGACATTAGCGACCAGTTGAGACGCGACTATGAGGAACGAATTTGCCTTTTCAACCACGAGCAAGAGCTGGTGCCACGATCCACCCTTCGTCCTAATAAGTACTCGTGGACGTTCGAATTTACATTTCCGGAATTGACAGAGCCTCACTATAAGCGAGTTGTTCATGGAGCCAACTATTTGAGACGCCCGCATCCTCTTCCGCCGTCATTTCAACTCCAAACTTCCGTTCCAGGCGGAGCTGCTCAGGTGGTTTATTCTGTGCAGGCAAAGCTGAAACTTGGCGGGTCGAAAGGTTCTAGAAGAGCGAAACATATCCTGCAATATCAACCGAAGCCACCGGGAGACGCTTCGCGCGATATTCAGACCTTCTCATCTGCACTGTACGGTCAGACCTGGAAACCCACTACTGCAGAAGAGGACGCCAAACCAACAGTCAACAAGGTCTTCACCAAAGTCTCAGGCCGCTCTTCATCGAAAACTGAACCGGCTCCGCGTATTGTGCCCATCATCTCATACCCAGAGAGAGTAGCCCCAGGACATCACATCCCACTCGAACTCAAGCTGATAAATACGCGCGATCCACTCAATGAGGCGCAGTCAGAATGCACTCTCGACTCCCTATCAGTTACCCTATCAACATATTCAACCAGCATGTGTGGGAACTCGTCGACTCAGCCTGAAGACATCGTTCTGAAACACGTCCCTTGCATAGCACGAACGAACATGAACAAATCCGTCCTATTCGGCACTGCCCAGGCATTGACAAACAACTTTCGTCTTGTCACTGACACGGAATGCGTCCCTACTTTCAAAACCTACACCATCACCAGACGATACACATTAAGTATAAGCATCGGCATCAAATACGCAGACCAGCGCTCCACAATCCACTTCACCACGCCGCTCGAGATTCTCCCTCCTAGACCTCATCGTCTGTTGCCGCCCCCGCTCGAAGAAGGAGATGAAATCGACCCACTTCCACTTTACATGCCGAGGGAGCTAGACATGGAATGTGCGCCGGATTATGAGCTGGTGTGTGCGCTGTCTAGGACCTCTTCGGCCTCTGCTTCTTCTACGCTCTCGAGATCGACGAGTTCGAGCTTTAACTCGGGTGCTGGTACACCGTCAACTAGTTCGTCGACGCCTGACGAGAAGATGAAGCAGCCAGTCTTTAGGCATGAAGAGGCATAGACGGTTTGAACGCTTGTTTAGATGGAATACAATTGTATGATTACGAAACTATGTCCTTTCTTGAGACATGTTCGGTCATCGAGTGAGAAATTCCATGACACCAAACAGTGTCAAACTCCCTCAAAATCTAACCTGCAGGTACTACTTTGCGGTCTCATTGAAGTAACATTCTTGCTCATAGAATAACTCGTGTGCAATTAACAATTGAAGTGCACAAAAACAAAGAGCAAGGGACATCCATTCATCGCCACGAAACACAAGCTACAGACCACAAGTTACCCAATCTGGTAGCTGTGAGCAAAGGGGAAGGACAAAAACATACGACAGCGGCCGAGAAGTATCGTCACATGGAGTCATCGGACTATTAACAATCTGAAAAAAGTGCAAAAACATACAACAGCGGGAATTCGCTAGTTGTCACCAACCCAGCTACTAATCCGCCGGTACACTGCTTGAGTACAGCTGAGCGAACGGGAAGCTCTATATTCAGCGTCCTATGGTCGTATGTGAAAGATATGATCAAACTAAATGTTAATATTCGCACTGAGCGTGATAGAAATAGAAAAATCGCTCGACATATGGCACGCATTGATCGGTGACGCAACCGATTTGGAACCAACAAGATTGCCGTAAGACACCAATTGCAAGACAAAGTGATTGTTTGTTGTGTCTCGTCGTTTCCCTGAGTACTGATGTTGTCTGGGGTAACCACATGTATAATGCTAAGACGCTGACTTTGAGATGAGACGTCTCCTGTCGACCTCTCCCAACCACATCCACCGTTGCACCAACCCTACTCACCTCGAGACGCTTGGTTCCGAAATACCCGTCGAGCATAACCGCACTTCATCAATTATTTCACAATCTCAGTAGTCTTGATGTTGCCAATTCTGAGGCACCCTCACGCGTCTCCGCAACACCTTCTACCCCACGCAACAGGTACACTTCCCAGCTACACGGCTACAAGGCAAGTTGAAGGTACGCGTGAAACAGATATTCTTGCTCGTGATTATGATGTAGCTCTGGGCGCTAAGTCGATGAATGGGAAGGGGAGAACGAGAGAGGAGGGTAAGATTTGCAGTATTGAAAGGAACATGATGAACTACTAAAGTGTCACTGTTACAATACCTGCTGGTTATCTCCTGCAACATGGAAGTCTATATTCTTAATCATGACGACGCTAAAGGTATCATGAGAGGATTCAAGAGATTTGTACAGCATCATCTTTACTATGACATGGCACTTGTCGTCGCAAAGTGTTTCCATAATGCGTCACGCAATAGAAATGATTGTATCTTTCTGGCAGCAAGTACACGCATGACTGGACTGTAGAGAAATAGCCAATTGATAGATAACACGTCACTAGATACGTCAGTTCCGAAAGATACGTATTTGTTGACTGGAAGGCTCACTCTACACCTGTGTTGATATCGAGCAAGAACCCTTGATTTCTCACCTCTTTTGGATGCTAGACGCCATGTACTTGATCTATAAACACCGCACATGAAAACTGATGTGTCTACAGGCGTGGAGTCACAGTCAGACAGGCACCAGCGAACAAGCCATGTACCGTACAATGAAACACAGAGAACCACTATATTGGCCAGGTTCCACAGCGTGCGTATGTATCCTTACCTGCAGTAGTACCAAGCCCACGTCCCAACCCGTCACTCTGGTTTGCTTGGCTCACGCAGCTTCCGATAGCACCGACGATCTTTATCGGAATTGTGTTACTTTGTGAGGGGGCCCTCGTGTTGCAACCTTGTGGCGATCTTGCAGATCTGAGATCACCACGGAGAAGATCTATGCCTGTCTTGTCGGGGGATTAAAACTTTAATGCGAGCGCAGGTGAAGAGACACCCTAAAGCTTTGTGATTCATGAGTTACAGCATGACGAACGTACTTCAGCAGAGGATAATACCCGTCATGATGTGCAATCTGGCAGACACAATGTACTAGCTGAGCGAGGTAGCGATACAAAGAGTCATCACAGTCACATGTCGTTCGTGTCATCGTGGATGGCTGGAGATGTTTCAGTCAACAGGAGGAGTCACGGCACGCGGGAGTCATCGAGTTGTGAAAGCAAAATTATATAAGACTAGATCGAGGTCATGCCTTCGAGACGAACGCACATCAATACTCTCTTGAACAATAAGAAACACTCGCATCGAGAAACCGAAAGTCATCCGTCAACGCAGCACGCAACACCAGGAGGAGTCGATCAACCAGAAGGGAGACTACGCCCCTGTGAAAAACAGGACACCACACCAACCATCGACGACGGATTGGCGAGCATCTAAAAACAGATCGCGCACAAAACAATAGAAAGGAAAACTTTTGCCAAAAGGCATGGCTGGTTCTTCACCAGCTCCTGGGGACCACCGGAAACCAAATCCGTTGAGTAAGGGGGTTTGTTCATGATTCACTGTAACCATGAGCCAGAGCAATATTTTTCCATTTTTCAATCTCAGCCTCAAGCTCGGAATTGCGCCTCTCAAGATCCTCGACATGGGCAAACTTCCTCTGTCGAGACTCACGGGCAGCAAGAGTATTGCGAGCTCGCTTGTAGGCAATCTTATCCTGAGGGTCAGGGACAATCGCAGGGAGGGGACCCTTTCGACGACGAGACTTGCTGATGCCGTTTGTGACAGGTGAGTTTGTGATCGAGGACTTCCTTCCAAATGAGCCGTTCAAAATGTAGGGGGAGCCGTTGCTGGAGGAGCTGGATCGCTCCATCGACTGGTTGCTGATAGTACGTTCCATGGGAAGAGGGACAGGTGCAGCCGTGCGAACAGTCTCAATGACCCTAGACTCTTCGTCGGGGAACAAGGAGGGCCATTCGGAGCTCAGGCTATCTCCGTGGAATGCAGGAGAGCAGTCGTAGGGGTCAATGAACGGAGAGTCATTAAGATCGGGAGAAGTCAAGTTTGTGAACGCCGCAGATGGAGGAGCAGATCCAAGGGAATCGAGCCCAAAGGGATCAGCAAAGATGTCTTTGGGAGATACGGTCCGTGTAGATCCAGCGGCGAAGGAGTGGTTGTTGATCGCCGTGAATGTAGACATGGGGTCCATGGACCACTCGTTCTGGAAAGTGGGCATCAGGCTTGCGCCCGAATCGAACGAGTTGTTGCTGTTGAGGTCTGCGGGGAAGGTGAGCTCGCAGTCAGACTCGCGGAAGGTGCGAAGCCTACCTGCCATATTTGCGTTGTTCTGTTGATGTGGAATGTTATTGCTAGAGCTGGAAAACAGTGGAACTGGGGGACGTTGTCGTAACTGCGGCTGCTGGAATTCTGTTGTTGAAGTTGGAGCAGAATTTGCGTAGAAGCGCTGGCCGGTTTTAAACGGACGCCCAGGCTGCGAGACGCTGTGTGCTGGCTGTGGTCGCGAATAGACCTGAGCGGTTTGGTCGTAGAGCACGAAGTCCGGTTGCGAATGTGCGGTTTGGTTCGTAGGTGGTGCTTGCCGATAGGCTTGGGGAGCTGGTGAAGAGAGCCATGGTGTCTGTTGAGAAGCCGTGGTGGACGACGTCAAGTCGAAAGGTGGGGAAGACGGCGAACTGGAGCTGCGCGATGCTAAGCTAAAGTTCAGAGGTTCCAAAAAGGAAGTCTCTGGGGTGTTGGGTTGAATGGTGGGGTGAAGTTGGGTTATTGTGGGATTCAGAGTGCCGGCTTGTTGTCGACTGAGAGCGCGGAGGGGTTCAAAAGGCAGCCATTGTGGTGACTGTCTATGTTTTATTTTGTGAGTTTGAGGTGAGGTGGACGGGAAAGAGGAATTCAGGCAGCGAGGGGGATGTGGGATTTAATACTAAGGAAGCGAAGCTAGCCAAGCGTCACTAAAATCGGGCCGATCACTGCTGATGGCTAAATCCATCGGCGGTGGAGACCATTGGTTCGACCGCTCTGACTCACAGAGGCACACAGCAGTCGCTCCTGCCTCGATGCGGAGCCCCGCCAACGCCCTCGAACCTTTGCAGGAAACTCGCCTCTCCAGCCACTTCATCTCTATGTGCTGCTCTGGCCTTGCGCTCGAGAGCGACTCGCAGCCCGCGTTTGCCGCGTATGGAGCAACAACGAGGGGGCTGTGTTGGGTCAGACTCGCAACCACCGCTAAGATCAGGCATCAGCTTTGTGGCCTGTGGGGTGCGCACGATGAAACATTAACAAGCCCACCCCAAAAAACCGGTGTGCTTACGAAGAACTGGCCTAATGCAGCAACAAGCCTTGCTTTCCGATGGAAAAAGAGGGCGGAGCAATATTGTTAAATCGCGCCCTTTTGATCAATCATGCATGAAACGTTCGCACTGGCCCGGATACAAGATCTTTGCTCTGCCCGGTTACTGTCCGAATGCGCATAACACGCGGCCGCATTTTCACATGTGTTACTAGTCGGGGGCGGCGATACCCTATGCCTCGTCGAGGAAGCGGTGAGAGCGCCATATGTGAAACGTTATGCTGCAACCCAGAATCGACGACGTTGGGTAACTCTTACCAATCTTTCGATCTATACTCCGCCACAGCATGCAGGTGGAGCGCGACGCAACACTGCATGTTGATGCGGAGAACATGCATGCATTGGTAGGGCGCTGGGCTCGGCACACATTGAGGCGTGACGAAAGAGCGAATGGAACACCGGTTTCCAATGTTCTGAAACCAAGAGGGCTGACCAATTGTCACTTGAATATATCGACGACTGACCTGTTGGGTTGCATGAGCGTTCTCTGCCTCCAACATCTCGAAGGACTACGGAGACGAGTACTCTCTAAGAGCTTATCTATCCCTTGAGATTTCTTACGTACAACAAGGCCCTAGGAAGGTGGTGTCGATCGTCTATCTTACCGCACGTAATCGAGTGAGAACATTTTGGCGTCGAGTACATTTCACAATAGCTTACGGCCGCGGATGGTCGCAATCGACGTGACCTCTCTCAGAGCAGTCTTGTGACGTTCTCGATCAGTAATAGATGTCATCCTTGGTGGGGTATGTCGGTGTACTAATCAGTTGTAAGATATGCTCTAGAACTCCTCTATTACTTCTAACGCCTATATGGCCATCTTCTAAGAAGAGTGAAGCCTTTCTTGGTTTGAATCGAGAGGCCCAAGTCATGAATTACCCATATTGGTTTTCTCCTCTCCTCCTCTCCTCCTCTCCTTCCTCCTGTGTTCTCTTGCGCATCAAGTGCGTGCTCTTCATGCAGAATTTGTCCCGCCTGGTGTCTACTGACGTGCGAAATCCTTTTCGCCATGACCGTCATACATATGTCCCTCGAGTCTCAATGGCAAGCACATGTCGCTTCATCAAGAACATTTCTGGTTTTACCGATCTGGAGGTGGCGGATAGTATACTACCCCAGCAGCAGGTGTGTACTGTGGAAGTGAGGCAGCTGGTGGCGTGTAGATAGTGTGCGCAGATAGAGAGTCTGAATTGCGACCCGGTGGTTCATAGAAAGGAGCAGGCATAGTAAGGTGGCTTTGAGTCGCATATGTCGCGAGAATTCGCTCTTGATCGTTCACCACCTCATGGTATCCAGGCGGCGGTTTGTCTATTTCTCCTTCATCTACAATCCCATTACGTCCTGCAGCAATAGCTTGGGGTTCCTCTCTTGGTCCGCGTCTTATCGCTCCAACATCTCTCTCTTCATCGGTGTTATGTCCTTCTCTTTCGCGCTGTTGGGCTCGTAACTCACTAAGCAACATCGGCCTCGGTTTCTGCCTCACATTTGCCCAGCGTGTGCGTTCACAGAACCGCCGGACCAACCACAGCACAAGCGCGGCCCCCGCCACCCCGCCGATAGTCACGCCAAAACGTTTACCGATCGGCCAATGATCCCAGGCGGCATCACCATGGCAGGAATCGGATCTTCCAACACTAATACAAAGATCGGCAGGGTGATACATACGGGTTGATGATGCAGCCAGTGGAATGGTGAAGTGTTGCCTGATAGTCGTTCCAAGGGGATATGTCGCATTATAGACGTACGGAATGTAGTCAGTCTCCGAGGACTGTCCTTCGTCATGAAGCTGGTCTCGCACCAGAAATAACTGGCTACGGACAAAGTTGTCCTTGTTGTCTATATATGTGAAGTTTTTATTGAGCCACAGCACAGTCATGCACACCCTCATGTTGATGCGATCATCGTTTGCACTACCTATAGTGTGCGTGGAGGGATCCAATGTCGGTACCCTGATTCTTAGATCTGAATAAGGCTGCCACATCTCAGAGTTTGGAATAGTCGCAACAGTAGCCTTTGCATTAGTCATGTCATTGTTGCACGCGCGCCAAACTTCTTCTTCATCGTTGGCTAGCACGTTATCCAAGGGATTGCAGGCTAGACAGTAAAGGGTCAGTGAATAACCGTGCAGCCCGTCGAATTCCTGTGCGATGTGATCGCGGGTGCGAATTGAGGCGTTCAGAGACCCGAAACCCTCCTTGGGACGGAAGTTGGGTTCGTTAACGGCGGTTTGAAGATACCAACGAAGGTCGCTGCTGTTGAAGTCGTCGGTGAGTTTTGGAACGATGTAGGAGTCAGGAAGTGGAGGCAGGATAGGTCCTGGAGGCGGGAAGGAGAGTGTTGGTGCGTTGACGGAGTCTGTTGACATCGTTGCTGCTATGGTGGGTCGAACAATACTGGCTCAACATACTGTAGAATTTCTGCCGAAACCCTTGATTTTAAACAAGTTTTGTGATCATTGAAAAACAAGATCGTTAGACGACCGGTTTTCCTCTGGATGGGACAATTATAGACTGGACCTGCTATTCTAAGTGTGGTATGTAGGCGTCCCATATTGGAATCCAAGCAATTGCATAATTGGTGGAAACGCCTTGTAGGATTCATCGACCGTCGTGTGACTTCTCTTGGCGACCAGTTTGAGGTTGAGCGGCCTTGCAAGGCTACCGTATCTATGCGCGTCCTTTGGAAGCTTTGGAAGCTTCCATCATGACGTGATACTGTACTGCACGATGCAACGGGACGGAGGGTTGATAATACTGAACAGAAAGACCAGTATTAGGAGTCCCTCAAACAGGTAGTACACTACGCTGAGTTGGTTTGCGCCGTTTATTTTTCTTATTGAGGTGCATCTCAGTGCCGTTGATTAGCAGACGGATGTCGTGACCTTCAGAGTAGGTGCGCACGAGGGATCTGGCTACTACGTAAGAGATAGAGTTGCGTCTTCGTACGCATTTTTGTTGTTTTATAGACGTTGAGACGTTACGCTAAAAGTGAAGCTCAAACGCATAGGATCCGCCGTGTTCTCACCGTGAGAGAGAACTTATTAATCCAAGAATCGCCTAGAGTGTCGCTGTATCAGGCAATGGTACTACTACAATGTTTGGCCAACCAAACTATACACAATTTGACGGGGGCAGAGTAAAAGGAAGAGGATAGTGGAGCACAGAACTGTGGCTTTGATTCATGGAGACTGTCGCTAAACATCAGAAACGAAATGTGAATGTGTACACGTTGCTTTGCAAGCTGGGCTGTGTAACATGAGCGTTGATACCCGTAGTAGAAGCCAGTCTCTTCTTGGAACAACCTCGAATCTCAGAACTTAACTCTCATCTAAAGGTCTGATGTCTCTGACGTCGAGTGCATAGGATCCTCGCCGTCCAGTCCTGATCTTGGAGCAAACGCCATGCTTCGTACTAGTCGGGGATATTTCTGAGGTCAATCCACGCAAAACCATCCGTTGACGGAAACATGTTCAGAAACGTTTGATATTCTTCCTTCTTCTTGTACAGCCCCATTGCTCGAAGTTGCAAGTCAAGCCGACCCTTGAACCACAAGTGCTCAGGTCTTTGAAACGTGGCGGAGACGATTGTGCCCAGAGCCAGACTCCACATAATGGCGTTGTTCGTATGGCGCGAGTTGCGGTGGAACAGGTTAAGGTAATCATCGACGTTTGGAGGCTTGATACTGTTGTCCTCTCTGAGCGATGAAGCTCTCTCTCGAAAGCCGTTCATGTCTTCGGCCAGTTCTGTTTCGAGGAGAAGTGGTAGTAAAGCTTTCATGATGCGTGATACGAAAAGATCGCACATCCTTATCTGGGTCGGCAGTTGTCTGGGTCCAGTCCAGAAGAAGAGTTGGAATGTCTCAGTCAGTAGGACTTCAACATCTGAGTAACCGTGGTCTGGCAATCTTTGTGCAGCGAGGGTTTCCAGCAGTGTAAATTCAACATTGTATAATGGCGTTATGACGTAAGAATCAATGCTCACACGTGGTTGTCGATGCGCATATGACAATGCGAGCTGATGCAGCAAACCTAAGATTATCTGCAGAGGCTCGCAGAGAGGTGGTAAGTTCGAAAGAGAGACGGCGGTCAGGCGACACGCTTCGCGAGCCAACGTAGGCGGAAGGATTGCAGATGCGATTGGAGCCTCGTATGGTACCTTTGGAACCTCGACGAGCTGCGCAGCGATCATAAACTCACACCTAATTATTATCAGTACTTTGGGCAAAGACTATCCGAGGGGGACACGAACCATTGCATGCACTTTTTCCCCCATGGATTAACTGACAGGAAGCCCTTGATGATGTCTCCGCCGCCTCGCAACGTCAACATTCGAAGCATAGCATCACGGTGTAACGCTGCGGTACTGAACATGCCCGAATAGTTCTAATGACAACATCAGCACATGCCAAATCAAGACAAACATCCCGAGCTTATTCCAAGACAGGCCTGTGTTAGTAATTTGGAGTTAACACATACCGCAGTTGCCATGACACATGCTAGCCCTGTAAGCATTTCATCAGAAAACTCATTTAGCTCCGTCTCTTTTTGCAACGTTTCTTGCAGAAGTCTCAACGCCTTAAGATAGAACCATTGTATCTCTTCCGTGTGGGGATTCCCAGACAATCCGCCGCGTACGCTGACTGTCGCGAAGAGCCAGAGTGTAAAAGACAGATCACTTTTAGACACGTTCCAGAAGATGCTGTTCTCTTGGGAGAATGAAACGAGGGCTTTTTCAGGCCCTTGAACATATTTGTCTATCGCAAGATTAAACTTCTATTGAGCAGGAGAAGCATGGGTTGAGACTTACCATCCGAACATGGTATTTCCTCAGGGCAGCAGCCAGAAAGAACTGTGTACGTTAGTTGACATTACAATAAAGATTCTGCAAGGGTTTGAGCTTGAGAAGAACAATGTTTATAGACTTGACGCTCTTGGACCCATCCAATGGCGGAAAGTAGAAGTTGCTGTATTGCATTTCGTATATGAGTTTGGAACCACTTACAGAAGTCGATAATATGATCGTAATTCCTCCCGATGTCAGGCAGCATGTTGAATGGATCCTTCTGACTTACTCCAATAATCTTGAGTGGATCGTGAACTCTCGTTGTTTCATTGTTCTTTCTTTTTGCTAACTGCTTCTGCTGCTCATTCCCGTCTTTGGTTTTGATCTTTTTGGGCTCAGGCCTTGCTCGCCAAGGCTGAGTTCGAAGGCCTTTGTTCTTGTTTACCCATTCTCTTGCTTTTTTTCTAACGACCAAGTCCTTGTCTGGATCAAAGTTGTCCAAGAACTCGAGTTTAGGTGTGTGTGTCGGCAATTCCAATGAGAATGTTGGTTGTGCTTGCTGAAAATACTTCCGGCTCTTATCTTTTTGAGACGTTCGTTTCGAATTCACATTTCGTGAAGTTGTCGAACTGGGGGGATGAGGAGATTCAAGAGTGGTGGAAGAGCTTGGCGCACAGTGGGGATCGGGTTTCTGTTTTTGAGGCATCATGTACAACCAGACACCGTGACTCCAGAATAAAACAATGCGGTAGGGTCGCGGAAAAATCAATGGCTATGTGGTCGAAAAGTACAGGGCGATAATGTAGTTGTTTCGAAATTGAACGGACGCATGTCCCCGACGACAACCTATAACGCGAGTAAGGAAGCCGAACCAGGGGCCTAGCCGACGCGAATCAAATCCCTGTTATTGTACGCCACAGCATCGGATCACGGCGTAATGCCGGCAAAGAACATTGCTAACCTAAGAACCACGGATAGCACAAGTAGGGTCGACACAGAGGTGGTGGTGCAGTTAAGGTTTGTCGAACTTGGCGAGTCAGAGAACAACGCGAAGTACAGAACTAACAAGGGGTCAGTATGACGTCGACCTAGGATCGCTGAGATATGGAGTTTTGGGGGTGAAACGTTGAGACCCAGTATTGCTGGAAACTGAGTCGCCTTATACCCTTGAACATACATTTTTTGGGAAGTAGGACCGAGTCACGTGGTCGTGACACCCTATCAGGTCGATACGAGCTATCCTAGAGCGTTTTACAAATCTCCCGCTCACAAGCTACAGGCATCGAGTGTGGGGAAGAGGATCGAATACCATGTAGGTTTGGGGCCGCTGCGGATGCGGATTCACATGCCGCGGAGAACACAGCTTTTCTACGTGGATCGACAATGCTTTTTCAAGGGACCATGCTCTCGTGGCGAGCTGGAGGTCGAACACAAAGAAAGCGACACAAAAACGCCAATTAGCTGTGCCATGGTGAGTGCACTACCATGGTCTTAACACAAGGCCTTCTCTTTCTCAACAAGGATGACGTGTGCGTACACGACGACTCGTGGTTCTCTGTGGTTGTATGGCATAGTTCATTTCCCATCTCTACACAGGTGGATTGAAATCAGGGTCTAGGCGATTACGCCCCCACGATCACCAGCGATTGAATTTGCGATTATGAGTGCGCGTGTGGCGCAGGAGTGCAGAAGCTGCCTGCCCCGCAGGTCGGGAGCTCTATCCAAACCAACAGATTTCCATCGGTTACACTGGCTCCCATCCATCCAGCGTGTATTTTCATCGGAATTCGTCGTGCGCAGATCGCTCCCACGTTACAGCCTCACCAAGCTGCTAAATACCAACCATAACAGCACAGTTCTTGTACAGAAATGGCAATTAGAAACCTACGAAAACTCTCAGGTAGAAGCAACCAGCTGCTCTTCTAAGCAAGTCCTTCCTATCTCTGCGTTGTTCAGTGAAGATATTTTGATGTTTCTCCGGGAGCTTACTGTAGCATATGTCGTGAGTACAGGTCATTACCCCATTTCAAGGCCCTACTATTTCTGGAGGTGGTACAATTATGTACGTCTGCCCCTCTTGAGCATGCTATTCGTTGCAGTATTACGCGTGGATACCACGCCAAAGGCGGCGGGCCGAAAAGACATGTACGGGTCACTTCAATAAATCAAGTTTACCTGTGACACAATAACCAGGCAACTGTGGAGATCCCCGCACGCCCAAAAGTGTTTCCAACCTTGAGATGACGACGTACAGAGACACCAGTAGAATAAGGGGTGCTAGAGGTGTGCTTAGAAAAGATGTTTTCTTCACAACATTTGTTGACACTCTGTGCAGACAATTACAGGTAGTACAAGTAAGAGATGTTGAACGAAAACGTCTACCTTGTACACTTCGGTGCCTTTACACATAATTGAGGCGTTCAGTGTGCCTCACTTATCTCAGCCGCTTACAAGTACTTATCCAAAAATACCACTTCGATGCAAGACGTAGGAACACATCAACAGAAGTCTCAATCCACAGAGACTATAGATCATCCACATCCTACTATGCACCTCGCTACGTGTCTACGTCAGCTTTTCGTTTTGAAGCATGAACATGGAGAAAGTCCGTTAGTTTTGCGAGGAAAAGCAAGCATCGTGGCAGATCTTCTGTTCTGTGTATGTGTTTGTTCGTTGTAGAGCAGGTGTGCTTGAGAAGGGAACGAGATATAATTGTAACATTCGCGAAAGCTTAGATGACTTGATGCATGCTAGATTGACCATCCATGATGCAAAAGAACATACTTGAAGAGAGTTTCAGTAGCCCGTTTAACTAACCCAGTAGCCCAGCAGCCAGCGCCTCCATATCCTCCAACGTCTCGGGCTGCTCCACCACCTGCCTCGCAGTCTTGCTCTTCTTCCTCTTTTTGCTGTTGTGATCATCGTCCTCAGAGTCGGACTGGAACCACTTCTTTTGCTTCTTCTCCTTGGGCTTCTCCACCGCCACTTCTTCCTCCTCCCCACTACTCTCCGCATCTGCGATGAAGTTCGCCAATGGATCTTCCCCGCCATCTTCCACCTCTGCACCGCCATCCCCACCCTCCGCCTTCGCCCTCTCCTTCTCCTTTCGTTTCTGGATCTTCTCCTTCCGCTTCGCCTTGGCCGCAGCCTTGTCATCCACATCCGCCTCCTCGACGACCTGTCTCGCTGCCTCGATGAACTTCTTGCGTTGTTCTTCAGGGAGACCCCTGGCGCGGAAGTCGGCCTCGTTCTCCAGTTCGTAGACTTCATGCGGGTTGCCATCGTCGTCGTAGACGAGTCTCTTGCCCTTGTCCATGAACTGGAGAAGCTTCTTCTTGGATTTGAGCAACTTCTCGCGCCGGTTGCTGTCGATAACAATGGGCTGGGATGCGCCGGCGAGACGCACGAGTCGACCACCGGGTACAGCAGATCCGTCGGCGTCTGCGGTTGCACCAAAGTCTTCGTCATCGTCGCCATCTGAGTCAGCGGGGATCCTTCGTTTGATAGCCATGAAGTCGTCGTCGTCGCCAGCAGCAGCGGCTCCGTCACCGGTAAAGTCGTTTGCAGAGGCCGAGACTCCTTCTTCGGATCCGTCTCTGACAAGTTTCTTGTAGTGGTCGGCCAAGACGTCTTGATTCTGCCTCTCGAACATGCGGTCGTACTTTGTGCGCACAGTCTTTGTCTGCTTCGTCGACTCGTCGTCAGTTTCTGAAGCGTCAGAAACTTCAATTGTTTGTCGTGAAGCCTGTTTCCTCTGTTTGGTATCATCGCCCTTCATGAACTTGATCCTAGGAGTTCCTGGCAATCCTAGACTTGCCGCATATGCCTCCAAATCGTATTCTTTGAGCTTGAACACCTCCTTATCCTTTTGCAGGTAGATAGACTTGACGTGCGTCATAAACGCCTTCTGGCCGAGGTATTTGAGCGCCGGGTCCTTGAAGCACATGTTCTGTAGTTGTTCTTTGATGGACTGTCTCTTCTTTTGTCGAACGTTTATCACCTCGACAGGCACCTTTTTCGCCTCGAGACGCTTCAGCATTCCCTCCTCTTCGGTGGGCGCCAGGAACAAAACACCACGTCCTTCGCGATTATACCGCGCTGTACGGCCAACACGGTGAATATACGTATCAACGTCGTCTGGGCAATCAACTTGTATCACGAAATCCACAGCCGGAAAATCTAGGCCTCGAGCTGCGACGTCTGTAGCAAATAGGCACGAGTTTTTTGATGCGGAGAACTTCGCGGTCGTGTCCAGCCTCGCACCTTGTTTTTGACGTCCGTGAATATGCAGCAACGGAATACCAGGCTGCATGTGCCGGAAAGACTCGTACACGAAGCGTACTACTTTGGCTGATGAGAAGAAGCACAAGATCTTAGACTTCTTGCTGGCTTGTATAAAACTCCAGAGAGTATCCAGCTTTTCCTCCAGAGGACAAACGATGTAGTTCTGTGTTAGGCCCTTAGGTGTTGCGCTCTTGTCCTCGGCGTGAACGGATACGTATTCGGGGTCCTGGAGACTCAAACGTGCTAGGTCCGAGACCTTCCTTGACTGTGTAGCGGAGAAAAGTAGCGTCTGCCTCTCCTTGGGCAAATATTCGATAATAGCATCCACGTCCCTTTGAAAGCCCATATCCAGGATGCGATCTGCCTCGTCCAGCACCAACATCTTCAAATCGTCGACGCTGAAGGCAGCTGTTTGCGAGAGATGTTGAAGCATACGTCCTGGTGTTGCGACAACAATGTTCATCCTGACTAGAGCCTGTCGTTCAGATTCCAAACTCTTTCCTCCTATCAACAGCCCGGCTGCGAACATATGTCCATGCTTTCCAATCTTACAGAGTACGTCGAAGATCTGGATTGCCAGCTCTCGAGTTGGCGCCAAGATCAACGCACCCAAGCCTGCATCTGTGCCAACGTGTTGTAGTCGGTATAGATTTTCGAGGACGGGTATGAGGAAAGAAAGTGTTTTTCCGCTCCCAGTCTTCGCTGCACCGAGGATATCGTGGCCTTTCAGAGCAAGAGGAATGGCCTTGGCTTGGACATCTGTCATGACAGCGAAATGCGAAGACTTCAAGCCTTGTTTGGTGGGGTCTGAGAGAGGGAGGTCGGTGAAGTCTTTGTACGAGCCATTTTTGGGGTCCTACAAATCGTCAGCTTCATGTGACTATCAGCACATCCCAATGAGGGACAGATGACTGTGTAATGTCGAACAAGCTCATCATAGGCCAGCCTAGTTATCCTCTGGGTATTGAGGCTGTTCAATCAGCACGCGCATAAACTTACCAACTCTCCAACTGCCTCGTCGAGCTTCTCCACATCCACGTCGTCGCGTTTCCTCTTCTGGACGTTGGCTTGTTTCTTGACCTTTGTTGGTCTCGTGCGACCAGTAACCCCGGAGGCGACCATCTCTAACAGACGCGTTGTTTGGTCGTCGAAAAAGTGTTGAAGTTGTCGCATCGAAATTTTAGTGGAGAGAATGTTGCATGAGACTGGTCTGTGCACTTTCGCCGCGGGGGTTCGAGCTGAGCTCACATACACTTCCACCACGCGTTGTCCACGATCAACAACGCGTTGAAAGTCTTTGGGTATGTTTCATCTTACTGTGAAAAAACATCACTTTGAATATAGTCAGTCTGTTCCATGGACAACCACTAATGCGCAGCCATTTAGTATCACAAAGCGCAGCCATCTCCTCCAACTTACCCACATCCTCGGCATCACCATGCTGGACGACGTCGAATCAGAGCTCATGGGGATGGGCAAGGAGCTCGACAAGGTCAGTCTCACTATACAGCCACTTCATCCACCTATCTAACAGTTCTCCAGGACGAAGAAATCGAGCGTAAGCGCATCACCCACGCACCATCACCTCTCCACTATATCTAACACGCGCAGGAATCCGTAACATCTTCAGCCTCAACGCCTACGCTGTCCTTGATATTCAGCCTGGTGTCCCTGAATCCGACATCAAGAAAGTCTACCGCACCAAATCTCTCCTCATCCATCCCGACAAGACCAAGAACCCCAACGCGCCAGATGCCTTTGACCGCCTCAAAAAGGCGCAGACTATGCTGCTCGACGAGAAGTTGCGCGCCGAGCTTGACGAGTCCATCGCCGATGCGCGCATGCTGCTGATGCGCGAGAAGAAGCTTACCGCCGACGACGAGGAGACCAGGGGCCCTGAGTTCGCAAAGGAGTGGCGCGAGAAAACTACCTGGGTAATTCGGGACAACGAGCTAAGGAAGCAGCGGCAGCTGAAGGCACAGATGCGCGAGGAGGGAAGAGCACAGAAGAAAGAAGACGAGGAATTAGCCGAGCGCAAACGGAAACGCGAACATGACGATGCGTGGGAGAAGACACGCGACACGCGCATAAACAGCTGGAGGGATTTCCAGCAGGGAAAGAAACCAGAGCCTACCGAGGGCGCAAAGAAGAAGAAAAAGAAGGTCAAGGCTTTGGGTTGAGGGCGTGTGGCTGGCAAGGCTACAGTGAGAAACCCATCTCTCACTATGCACCCTTGAGTCTCCACTTCCCCGCAGTCGCAGTTCTTACACTGTTACGTCTTGCATATCCTTCTGGCTTTCAACCTTTCAACCCAGCGCCAAACATGCAAAGCCTCACGTCTTATCTCCCCACGCGCACAGACGGCCCGTTCACTCAACCCCAAGAGAGAGTTTTTGGAGCATGGCGCCAAGGTGTACTGAGCGTTTCACCCTGCAAAACTTGAGCGTACACAAGCAACCTCTATCTAGACAGTGTGCAGTTCCAAGGGAAAACGAGGACTAATGGCGTCATGCCATGTCTCAGCAGGCAAGGCACAACGAATCGATGCTTGGGTATGGATAACAATGAAGTGCATTACAAAACACATAGCAACTAGGTATGAATACAACCAGAATCACACACACACACACATATATATATGTATATATATATATATATATATATATCCATACACCCACAAAAATGCACATCTCCCAACAAAACAACCCAATCTTTCCATACAAAACCCCCCAAAGCACAAGTTCTGATAATCCTAACCCCCTCCTCCCTCTCTCTCTTCTTCCTCACACCGCCCTTTCATCTCCACCCTCCCCCTCGGTAACACGCTACGCCAAAACCTCCCACCCCATTCCACTATCAACATGTATACCCCGCGCCCGCCGTGACGCTACGCCGCGCTACGCCATGCATGTAGTACACAATCCCCCCCTTCGCACCTCTCCCGCGGACACGAAACATGCCACTTCCCTGCGCGGCGCGAGATATACGTTGAGTTTGGCGGGCGAGGCGACTGGTATATGGTTTGACATCTGGGGAATGGGTAGACGAGAATTGAACGCACGGGCAGCCGGTTGTGAGGTTGGAGTTACGCGTAGATGGGTGTGTGGGTAAGTGTACGTTCCCCAAGCTCAACAAGCAACCGACATGCACACGGCGAACGAGCACACACTAACATACATCAGCGTCAGTACGAACAGACACGCCAATGCCAATGCTAATCCTAGTGCACGGGCACAATCACAATCGCAATCACACGGCCCATGCACGAGGGACGGGTGCGTGGGGAGAACCCTCTACCGCCCAGCGTTATCTTACTTTTTGCTGATGCGTGCTGGGTTAGATTAGGCAGTGGGCATATAAGAGAGAGCTCTGGGGACGTGTGGGGAAGTTTCTTTTGTGTGGAATTATTGGTTTGTTTGTTTGTTTGATTGATTTATTGTTGTTGTGTTTGTGGAAGGCTAATAATAAGGGTAGGTGAAGAAGAGGAGGAGGAGGAGGAGAAGAAGGAAGGGAAAAGAAAAGGTGGAAAAGGGGGACAAGCATCACCCCCCCATTTTCCCTTGTCCCCTGGTATCGCTATCGCTATGCAGTTTAGGGAAATGGAAACGAGAAACGGAAATGGGATTTCCGAGCAGAACAGAGCAACAATGGACAGAATAGGACAATGCTGTGAGGAAAGAGAAAGATGAGGGAGAAGCAGGGCACGTGTAGCGTATGCGTGCGACGCATTCTGCACGACTAGCGTCTGTCCGTCCATCCCATCAATCCAACCGCGTATCCCCAGGTCCACAGCCCAAGAACCCACTTTCTGGAACGCTCTATGCCCCGCCCACCTACTCAAGCACCTCGTGGATATTCAGGCGCCGGCGTTTATGAGCGTCGGGCGAGGCGGGCCGCGACTCAACGGCCGGAGGGGACTCGCGCGGTCGCACGCGCGTCTGCTCGCCTTCCGCAGCGCTGTGGCTAGACTCGAGGTGCAGCGGCGATCCTAGAGGCGCGGCACCTGTTCGGATAGGAGGGAGTTGCAGGCTCTCGAGGCGGGCTGGGCGGTTGAGTTGGCGGAGCGATTCGGACGTGACGGACTGGGTTCGAGGCTGGGAGGCTGGTGGGTACGCGGTGGGGTATGCGCCTGGTTGTGAGGGCGGTTGCATTGTTGGAAAGTAGCTCTGCTCTGGGCCGCCGCCGGGGGAGTAGTTGTATGACGGACTGCTGCCGTAAGAGCTCGGACTGAATGCTGGAAGAGAGGTGCGGACGGATGAAAAGCTCAGGTATGGCGATGCGGATGTGGAACTAGCTGAGGATGGGGGCCGGATTTGCTGAGGAGTGTAGTCTCTTGGGGGAGCTGTTGTTGGCGCCGACATGGAGCCGCGAGCAGGCGTCGGAGGAATGTGATGGGTTAGAAGAGGAGGACCGACGGACCTTGGTGGTGTACGCACAACCAAGGTCGCAAAGTAGAGCGACGTTTTCGCCAGTCGAACATGGGTCTGGAAAGACTGGTATTGGCCGGTACGAAGACGGAAATGAAGCGCAATCGGTCTGTCTGTGAAGCCTTGGCTTACACGTTCGACATCTCGATCCTCCACAGATTCCATGACCGATCGCATCGGATCTTGCCCAACCGGAGTTATGGGCGCCATATACGCTGGCTCGCGTTCGTCTCGTTCGTCCCGCAGCTTGTTGCGCAGAAGCTGCAATACTTCATTCTGCCTAGGCTCAACCAGGTCTCCTAAGTTTTTGCCCTGAACATCTCCCAAAAAGGAAACCAAGTCCTGGAATGCTTGATTCGATTTTTGAATGACGAGATCCAGATTCAGAAAGGCAACAGGCGATGACTGGTACGCCAGATTCGGTCCCGTTGAGTATGGAGTCGACGACACCCCACTATAACTACTGACGCTGTTCGAAAGACTTCCTCCTGAACTTAGTGATGGTGGGGGCCGAATGTTCGAGATGTTGCTATCTTCTTGTGTGATCCCCACAAGTGTTCGAGGTAGGTCAGACGCGCGGTGCGAATGTAGAGTTGAGTATGGAGTTTGGTGAGTGAAAGCTTCTGATGCCAACGCAGGCACAACGCCCAAGAGTTGGCTGGATGCTTGCCTCCCCTGCTCTGGTCTAGCAAATTCTCTGTCGTCCCTGAGTCGCGGTCTTCCTCTCTTTTTGTGTTGCACGTCTTTGCACGTATCCTATTCAGCCTTGAAGTTAGTTCTGTGGAAATTCTCCGCTAGTTTATACTAAGCTGTGCCTAGACTCGGAGACTTACCTGTTTGCCAGAGGCTACGCAACGGCCACAAGGGCGCTGAACATCGCAGCTAAGATGTGCCTTCTTGCAGTTGACGCAGGCTGACGCGACATGGGCCTTTGTTCTCCTTGCGGGTTTGTTGGGCCTGTTGGGCGGTGGTGCTATCATCGCCGCTGGCTGTACATGGACACCTGGGTGCTGGGGCCCGACGTACGAAGGTACGCCGGGGGTTGGATACCCATACGCATAGTTTTGCGGAATCCGTGCACCACCGTAGGACTGGGGCTCAACTACCCGCCCAGGCTGGTAGTGAAGTAAGTGCCCTCTAGACTGATGTTCGTCATGATATAGTGGACGTAGCGACTGGTGGTCCGAGGCTGGAAACGATGACCGAGGATCGAAGATCATGGACGAAGGAGGCGGTAAAGCCAGACCTGCCTCAGCCATTCGAGGAGCACTTCCTGGCTGTGGGTACTGCTGGCGATCGGATTGGAGGTTCTGTGCTAATCGACGAGAGGGAGAATGAGAATCTGACATGGGAGGGGATGGGTAGCTCTGCTCGTCAGGCCTGCAGGGACTGGGCTTTGAGTGAAGCCTGGCCGGGCCGTTTTCTGCCTCTATATCCCGCCCGAATGGCGTGGAATGGAGTAAGGTCGGGTGGAAAGACAGGCTCTGCATAGCGTAACAACCGCAGCGCTTAGAAGTCGTGTCCGCAAAGGGAGCACGATGGTTTGGGTAGACGACTGATATTCCAGACGAATACGCAGCTATAAGAACCACACTCCTTTTACGTTACTACAACAAGACGTAAGTACAACACTCGATGGGGCTGCATGGAAGACTAAGGGAAGCTAAGAAACGGCGAGAAAGGGACATCGAGTACGATCACGAATGACCGGACGCGAACACTAGCCTTGACGATATGCAGAGGAAATGAGCGTATTTACATCTTTCTCTTTTACGGAGAAATATAAGACGATGTAGATCGGAATGACCGGAGTCCGAGGGGAGGGTTGGAATGGGATATGAAGTAAGGATGGCATCAGGTACCTTTTGGTATGATTTTGCGGTTGTCGACTATCTTACTCGGCCTTGTCTAAGCCTGGTGTAAGAGGGTCGGCGAAGCTCGAACTGTATCAATGGTGTTACTGCAACCAGAGCTGCGATTGATGGGGCCGACAGAGGGTGGTGTTGAGGATGACGAGCCAATGAGCAGTACGACGCAGAGGAGCAGAGCTCTGTCCAGCCGGTGGAGACTCTCCAGTAATAACCACAATCGGGCAATGGAAATTTTGCTCACGGATCCTTCTCGGGACCCCTTGTAAAGACGTGCAGATACGGACGATGACCGCAATGAGTCTTGGGCAGCGGGAGCAGGGAAGAGTGGCTTTCGGAGACAACGACATGCTGGCCTGGTTCGGCTGATGGTTCTTCGACGAGAGGTCATGTCAGGCCCCCGTCCCAGAAGGAGCGAAGCAGCCGCGGAAGAAAGAGTGCACGGCTGATGGCGTGGATTGTGCATGGACAGGCTTGAGGGCCCGCCCTGTCACCCCTGCTTGCCGAACCGTCCTTGACGGGACCAGCTAGCTTTCTATGCGCGCTATTGCACCATTGTTTTTTGCAGCGCCAGGCAAACCTTAGGATCAAGGCAAAGCATAAGTCGTATTCCTTGATCCCGAGCGCCACTTATGCTGGCGCACGGCGGTGCCACCGACTGTCACGGAAGGTGAAGCGGCCGACCCTGGAGCTACGCAGACCTCAAAGACATCTATGGCTGCAGATGTTTCATAGTCGGTTAAACACGTTTCCATTCAACATAGCAGGCGCCCCGAAAGAGATGGAGTATGGTGAGGATGGTGCAGTGTGGCACTGTCAAACCCGTATCTTTGGTCCACGCTTGCGTCTGTAACTCGCGCCTCCGGAGAAGCCAGTCCAACCAACGCCACGAACAGCTCACAGCGCGCTCTGTATCGATCGCCGGCTCCACGCTGAACATGTTGATTGACTGCCGGAACGCTAGCTTCTAGGGAGCAGACCCTGCTGTCTGCATGTCACAACAGGCTCACACCACATGTGCAAGCGATGCTTCCAGGCGCAAACGCTATCGCATCGCGTGGATGTTGCCGTCTGGTGAATGTGTTGCTTTGGAAGGTGTTGTACGGGTGGTGTAGATGACTTGGCCCAGGCGCGGAAAAGTCGCGCGCGCATACGAGTGCGTGATCAGACAGTGCGCAAAATAGACGATGGATAGACGGACATGACTATTCTCCTTCTGCCTACCTGGACGCATCGGCAGTGGCGTCCAATCTCTGGCCGTGACGTCGTCGGGGTGGGTATATGAGCTCGTTATTATAGGCGAGGTTCAGTAGCATCAAGACGGTCAAACAAATCCTCCGGTAGGTGACATCGATCTGGATCTGGTGCTATTGACGATCGCTTGAGAAAGTGTCCGAAACGCACCGAGGCGGCTGACTAGGGACGGTCTAAGGGGTGACACGCATAAGGCGGGCCAATATACCTGAAGTCGGTCGTTGCTTTTCTGCAGCGGGCGTGACGTGCGGCCATCAGGCACTGCTGGACAGAGGGCTCTCTTCGAAAATGGCAATTGATGATCGTCAATATCGCTAGAGGGCTCGTACTCTGGCGAGGTGGCACGATGAAGCATGTGCACAGGTGGAGCTGCTGAGGCTGATGGAGGATCTCACCCCCCATGTCGAGCGCGAGACTGCATTAGGCGACAACGCGGGATAGCGGCAAGCCGTCCCGATGGAGATCAATGCCATGGCTGGGGAGCACGGGCGGTGAAATGACTGATGTCGGCGTACGAGCAAAACTATCGTCGCGAACAGCTATTTGAGAGGCAGTCTGCTCGCCCTCGAAACGTCGGCGACGTGGCAGCATTGCAAATCACCAAAACCAGGCTAGACGGCAAAAGCAACCAGCTGCTGTCCTGTTGCTACGGGAGCGGCGATAAGAACAGGGCCTGCCATGCTGCAGCGTTTCCTCTTCGGCGCTCGCCGCCTTGATGCTAGCCCCGCAGCGAAGGAAGGAACGAAGGAAGGAATGAAGTAATCATCCCCTCCGTCCGTATCACCACCAACAACGCGAGGGATGGCGGTCCACAGTGACGGCAGCACGTCTACAGATTGCCCTCATCTTGTTTTACGACGCTCCGGGGCTGCGGCATCAACGGCTTGCCCAGATCACGGGGGCCTGCTGCCTGCTGCCAGCCGTGCCGCCGTGTCACTCGCACGCCTTCGCCCACGATGCAGTGAAGTGAGTGTTGTGCTGTGTTGTGCGAACCGACGGCTGCGTGCATGTTCTCCTGCGCCGATCGAATCGTGACACAACAACCCCAATCGTGACATGACAAGTCGGGTCTGCGCACACGGTCGAACGAGTACCGTCGTCTCGCGGTGCTCGCGGGATCTACGAGCGCTATGGAAATGCCTGTCCTTGCATGCTCGCCCACAAGTCAGACATAGCAAGGGCCCATGATCGATTTGCGACTGGGTGCGGCCCGCGCAGCGGCTGGGTTTGGATTATTTTATACCCGTGCCGGAGTATTCTACCATAGGCTGAGTGTCCCAAGCGCGTTTCGCAACCTCTACGCCGATGCCATATCGACATGTTGCTCCGTCTTCGTACGGCCGTTATTCTGCCCGACTTGGTTCCCCCAAATTTGCTCCTGCCCCATCTCGCATCAGCATGTCGTCGGCCGTACGCCGTACGCTACCTAGTTCCCTGTCCAGGCCCGCCCACGGAACAAAAATTTCCGTCCGCAAGTCAGTAACGGCGGTGCAAGCCGTTGCAGAGTAATCCTTCATCTCAAGTAAGCCAGCGACTACACCCACCCGGGCAGTCACCCCCGTGCGGGCATCTCAACGCGATCCAATGATTTCCATCGGCGTTTTGGAAGACATCCCGCCGCCATCTCACCTTCTCAAACCAGTCGCGCCGATGATATAAAAAAGCCGTTTGGACAAGGCTGGGTCAAATTGCACATGGTGGCACGGCGAAGAAAAACACCAACCCTCCAAGCGTGCCTCGCTGTACCTTGCAGCCGCAGCCACGACATTTTTTTCGCCTCGAGCTCAACCTCTGTCCTCGCTCCAGCACATGGCAGAGCAGCCGCGCTCGCATACCAGCCCCAATCCGTCACACAGGACCACACGACCACACGACCAACATGGTGGCGTCTTCTCGAAGCTCCTTCCCCCCGCCCTGCATCCCACCCCCCACCTGCACACTGCACAAATAACACATCAAAGAACACAGCAGCACAGCGCTAGCGCAGGACGCGCAGAAACCAGCAACATACTAACTCGGCACGCAATAATGTCCGGCGGGCCTTAAATTCTCCTTTGGTAACATGACGTGCCTACGCAGAAACACACTTGGGCTGGCGGCTGTCGTCCCAATACGCCAGCCCACCTGTCAAGTGTCAACTCTATCGCCTGCCTCGCAAACTCTATCTATCGTCGTCGCCCGCTAGGCTGGGCCAAGCCAGCACACAAGCTCGCGGATCTGCAGCCTGTCACGGTCGCGCACGAATAAACGCATGGCGCCATCTCCCATGCGTTAAAAGAGACGCTGGGTCCTGCTCGCCCTCTCACTCTTTCGGTCTATTAAAGGCAACTTTCGTCTCCCCTCCCCCAGCCCACTAAATACTAGCCATGTACATCCCCACTCAACCGATCGTCCTGAAGTAAAAAAAGCCAATATATCGCTAACTCGCTTTCGCTTCCTCCAGCATTGTCCTCATTCGAGGCCCCCTGGTTCGTGCACGCGCGCGCGCGTGTGTGTGGCACAGTTTTGGAGCGTAGAGAAAACCGTCGGCCGCTGCGCTTGTCATTGTCACGTAATCGCATGAGGCGTGGGCTCCCGAGTAATGAGAAATGGATGGCCTGATCGCTTTTTTTGGGGCTGTCGGTATGCAGCTGTGCCTCGCAGGAACACCAAGAGGTGATTCCTTTCGAAATACCCAATATTTGTTCCGTCGTTGGGAAAAAGCCGCTTTAACCGGTCCCCATCGTGTGCGACTCGACGGCATCTAAACGAAACGAAGCGAAAACTTAGGCGAGAAGGTGAGTGAGGGAGTGAATGTGTGTGTAGGTACTGACTAAGGGAGTGGTCCAGATAGTCAAGTCAGTCGGGACCCATGAGTTTTTTGTTGGTAGGTAGTCTAATTGAACGCTGTACTATGGGATGGTGTGTGTGGATCTGAAAACCGGGTATGCAATTGTACCTCACGTCCTCCTCTTCTTGGATGGTCGCGCGTTCTTGTCCTTGCGCTTTTCCTGGATCTTGCGCTGTTTCCTGACAGCCTCGACGTCCTTCAATTCGCTCTTAGCGCCGCCGTCCTTGAACTTGCCAACGCGCTTCTCCTTCGCTTCCTGCACTCGCTGCTTCTGCACGTGGTAGTCATCACGGTACCTGTCTGCTTCCTTGGGCGCCTTCTCCTCCTTGTGCTTGTAGTGGCGGCCCGTCTTGAAGTTGGCGGAGCGGTTGGGGGCTTCCATTTCGCCTACGCGCGGCAGGCGACCGACTTTGTTTGCTTTGCGCCAGTCGTCGAAGCGGCCGCTGCGGAAACTGGCTGCGATTTTCTGGCCGCTCTCGCCGCGGATCATCTTCGCGCCCTTGGATCCGTCTTCGTCGTTGGCGCGAGTTACGTATTTCTTGGACTTTTTGTCCCATCGCATTTTCGACTTGCTCGAGTCTGCGAAGCCTTGAATCTCATCGTTTACCAGGGACATTTCTGCTGCCCTAGCTGCTGAGACGAAGTTTGTGTTGCCAGCATCTCCTCCAGTGACGCCGTATGCTTTCTCCTCGGCCATATTCTCCTTGGGTAGGTATGACATGAAGAACTCGTCCGAACGCCAGTCATCTTTGCCTGTGCCCTTCGAAGCTGGTTGCGAGATTGATACTTCGAGTTCGTCAGAGTCGGATTCATAGCCACCCCCAGCAGCAGACGCGTCGTTATCGGAATCCATGTCGACATCGTTCGGTTCTTCGGGAGATGCATCATCCGATTCGTGAGCCTCGGCTGCCGCGTTCAACTGCTGCTTCGCTCTCTGTTTTGCGACTTGCTCTCGTCTCTTGCGCATGATCTCAGCCGTCTCGCTACCAGTACCACGCCTTCCGATCTCGAACACTGTTTCAGCGGGTCTGAACAGCTGTATCCTCTCGAGCATCTTCTCCTTCTCCCTCAAAGCGTCGTGCATATCATCGTTGAAGAGCATATGTGTATCCGCAAAGTTTGAAGACGCCACTAGCTCCTTGACTCGGTGAACACTCTGGGTACTTGCTTGGTTTCGAGTTCTTTGATATTGTCGCTCGCCCTTCTCGGCCACGCTCAGTAGCAGTTGCAGATCTTCGTCTTCCGTGAGTTGTTTGTTCACTTGCTCAACAGAAGACTCGAGTTGGTATGGCGCGAGACTACCAATGACGAAATCTTCTGCAAAATTGACCTCGTTACTAGACCGGCCAATTACCAGCCTTTTCCCGAGGAACAGCTGTAGGTCGATGAGGTACGGCAGGTCAACATGTCTGCACAGACTGTACGCCCAGCCCTTGCGTCCAGCACGAGCTGTCCGGCCTACTCTGTGCACACAAATCTTAGGTTGTGAGGGAAAGTCGTAGTTGATTACGTGGTTAATATGCGGCATGTCCACACCACGGGCAGCAACGTCAGTCACAACGAGGATTCGCGTCAGTCCTGTTCGGAAGTCTTGGACTTGCATTTTTCGCGCCGTTTGATCGAGATTTCCGTACACTTGTGCGACGTCAGCAGATTTACAGCAAGTGGAGACACAATCTTCTTACCGTATGACACGGGGTATCCCACAGACTTGAGGAGACTAGAGAGGTACTCTACTCTGTGCTTGGTTGCGGCGAATATGATCGTGGATTCTTGAACTGGAGCGTCCTTGGGGTGCAGGTCGCTCCGCTTGCGCTTCTTGCCGTTGGCGGCCTTGTCGGCGTTCTCCTTTGCTCTTTTTGATGCGTCAGTCTCGCCCACCGGCACTTTGATGACCTGGTCTAGAAGGTAAAGCAAAGCCCCGTCTCGATCTCCCGACTTTATCGTGAAATATGCGCTTTTCAAGTCAGGCGAGATCTTGCTCTCAGCGTCCAGTCGTATCAGCTTCGGCTCCTGTAGACCGGCTCTTGCAAATTCGACAAGCGATTTTGGGAGAGTAGCACTGAACAAAAGAGTCTGCCTCGAGGTGGGCAGCGCGTAGAGAATTTCTGCAAGCTGCGCGGCGAAACCCATTTCAAACAGACGATCAGCTTCGTCAAAAACTATGTATCTGACGGAAGAAAGGTCCAGGCCCATCTCGACTTTAAGGTGGAGGAATCGGCCGGGCGTCGCGATGATGATGTCGGGGTTCGTGGTCATAGAGCTGAATTCTGCGCACTCATTAGCAGACGTCTTGTGGAGTTGATTGTCTAGTGCACGCACGTTCTTCGAGACTGTCGCCGCCAACCAGCAGGATGGTTCGAAGATCAGTCCCGCGTCCGAATTCTTTGACAACTTTCAGGGTCTGCAAAGCAAGTTCGCGGGATGGCGACATGATGATTCCACGAGCGCCAACTTTTGCAGAATGCGCCTTAAGCTTCTGGATCATGGGAATCACGAACGCAGCCGTCTTTCCTGAACCTGTCCTAGCCATTCCTACGACATCGTCTCCTTGCAGAATGAGTGGCACTGCCTTGCGCTGGATCGGAGTCGGTATCTTGAAGCCCTTTTGTGTAATAGCCTTGAGGAGCGCGCCGTTTAAGCCCATTGCCTGAAAGCCTCCGCCTTTCTTGACCGATTTGCCCACGTTGGAAGCCTTGCGGTTCGAGGCAGCCTGCTTGGCGGCAATGAAGGCCTCGTCGTCCGACCCATCATCACTCCCAATGTCAAGATCTATACCGAGGTCGGTCGAGAGCCCCTTCTGTGGCTGTTCAACGTCGTTGCCGCCAGCGAGGGCATCGAATATGTCGAATTCATTCTCGGAGAGCGCCGGCGAGCTCGCACGGGGAGCCATAGTCGCAGATTGGAGGGTTCGACTCGGAGGCGACGTAGAGTGCTTGACAGTGAGCGAGTGCCTGGCGCTGCAGAGTCGAGCATCAGTTGCAGGCGCAGGAAAAAAGTTGAGCTTTGGCCACCTTGGCGCAAGTCATGTGGGGTCGAGAAGGGCAGGCGCGTCTGGTCCACACGCGTTCCCCTCCAAGCCTGCAGCGCGTTCTGCTCACCACCACCACCACCACGGTGAAGGATGAGTACGTAATTTCCTTCGTAGCTATCATATCAAGCCCTGCTAACAAACAACAAGACTACAATAGCTACGAGACGTCGTACACGTCGTACGGCGCCGGCGGTGGCGCTGGCGGCGGCGGCTTCATTCCCGGTGGAGGCAGCCAGCAGAGTCCCGGCGGCCGCAAAGACTACACGCAGGACTCGCTCCGTCCCGTGACAATCAAGCAAATACTCGAGGCACAGGAGGAGCCAGGAGGTGACGCTTTCAAGATTGACGGCGCTCTCATCTCGCAGGCATGTGGCTGCTCCCGTTCTGCGCACACCGCTTGTTAATGTTCTGCACAGCTTACCTTTGTTGGCCAAATACGCAACATCTCTTCGCAGACGACCAACACCACGTACCGACTCGATGACGGCACCGGCAGCATAGAGGTCAAGCAATGGGTTGACTCTGACCACGTCGACCCAGCCAAACCCAAGCTCGTCGAGGGTGCATACTGCAGGGCATGGGGAAAGCTGAAGAGCTTCTCAGAGAAGCGATCTGTTAGCGCGCAGATCATTCGACCGGTCGAAGACATGAACGAAGTCTCCTACCACCTGCTCGAGGCCACAGCAACCCACCTGTTCTTCACGCGTGGGCCTCCTGGCGGTGCGAATACGGGTGCGGGTGCCGCCACTACTAGTGCAGGCGCCGGACAGCAGCAGGCAGCAGTGGGTGGCAACTATGGCGGCTATGATCTGGCAGGCTACAACCAAGTTGCAAAGAGGGTCTTCCAGTACCTGAGGGAGGCTCCGCAGTCGAATGAAGGTCTGAACCAGATGGAGATTGCTGCGAAGCTCGGCATCGAGTCGGCGGATGTCGCGAGGGCGGGCGATGACTTGCTGGCGGGAGGTCTGATTTATACCACTGTTGACGACCAGACCTGGGCCATTCTGGAAGCTGATTAAGGTTATGAGTGGGAAGTTGGCACAATAGGCCTGATGATGATGAATAGATTATTTTGAGACATGATGACCATATCGTCACGCTATGGGACGAGCTGAAGCTCGTGGTAGGTACAAGATATCTAAATGTAGCGTATGCCTCTACTATTTCTCCGCGTTTGTGGAAAGAAACAACACACAGGTTGCAACAATGGAAGTGGAGACTATGGTAAATACGGTTTGCGTCTTCCAGCCCGTCTGCACCAATGCCTGTCGTTGACTGTATAATGACACTGTGTTGATATAATTTATCAATCCAGACAACAAGCACGCTACAGACGACAGCCAAAAAATTATGCCCAGAGGTAGTGCAAATCGCTTTTCTGGAAACCGTTAGTGTTTTGCTTACAACAAGGGCGATGCATACTAACCCAGAGTAGAGGGCTTTGACTTTAAGTGGAAGGATAGGATGATTGCGACGGACACGATAGCCATGGACACGCTCAGTTTCAGCCATGCAAGAAATGCTGCACAGTTGTTAGATTGACGAAATATTCAAGTCTGGCAACATTCGTACTTCGCTCATTCGCAGCGTGGTCTCTGGCGTCCGATGAGACGTTGTCGAATAGTAACACGCCCAGTAAAGGCCTCTCTCGGAACACTTTTCGATCGTACTCGTTTCCTCTGTGATTTAATTAGCTCCAACCGGATAACACCAAATCGAAAACTTACTGCTTCACAAGGACAGGCTTGGACGCGAAGAAGTAGTAGAACGGTCGGTATGGCTCGTCTAAGATGGATTCATCTGATTTGCCCATACGGTCTAGAGATCTGAAGTCCATTGTGATGACCTTGCCTAAAAACCTTGTTTACGTGTTTGTGGAGAGAGTGCTTTCCAGTGATGACTCGCGATTCCATCACGTCTGTGCACAGACCACAATAGGTGAAGTCATCGCACATCTCGAACCTACAAAACATTAACACCCACAGCTCAGAACCACCTTCACACACCAACATCTTGAAGATGGGAAACCAATCAGACCTTGTTCTTTTTGGCGGCGATGCCGGCTGGAAGAGTGGAGATTGGACAGCGAGCGATGACAGAGTCCGGGGTGGAAACTCACAAGTCCGTCATCAAACTCATCTCTAAACATGCTTCTCGCTAAATAATTTAGTCCTATCTATCTATTCATAATACAATGGCAACATTCCATGGAACTCTAGACATCACTGCCCTTGGCGGCGCCGGTTTTGCAAGCCAACGCACCGCAGGCGATAGCAAGACCTGGAATCTCTCCAAATATGACGGCATTCTCCTCAACATAAAGAAGCGCGACAGCAAACGCTACACTCTCACTCTCAAAGATGAAATACTTCCATTGGCCTCTGACGGCCGAGAGCAGTCGACAATCAGCTACGAGTATGATTTCAGTTCGTCGAACAAGAGCGAGCTTTTCATTCCGTGGAGAGAGCTAAATGCTACATATCGGGGGCGGGAGAAGGACGATGCACCGCCGTTGAATTTGAAGCACGTGAAGCGGTTTAGCATCATGGCCAGGAGGTATGTTGTATCAAGAAGTCTACGAGTTGAAGTGGATGCTAAGTACATACTATCAGCTTCTTCGGCGCGCAAGAAGGCGAATTCTCAGTTGAGATTGAGTCGATCAAGGCCATTTCCCAATCTGGCGATCTGGAGAAGGGCACTATGGTCGAGAGGAACGGAGCGGATGAAGTTGGCGTAAGGCTTTGAACGAATTTTAACATGATGGATGGTCACTGACATTGCATTCAGAATAAGGAACCTTGGTCGTGGAAAAACTCAAACGCTGTTGGTCTGGCGGTCATTCTCTCTTCTACATGGGCCATCTGCTTTGGCGTTTGCTGGTGGAAAGGCTACGACACGAGTATCATGACGCTTTCCAACTGGATGTGGTGGCGGAAGAAGTAGGTCACGGACGATGTTGTGAGATCTTCTCCAACGCACATGAGATGACCTGACCGATAAAACATTACGATAAAATCATACCACCAATATGCTGGTATAGCAGTCAACCTCACTCTTCTTATATTTCCTTACGTTCATTCAAAGTTCAGCATGTCAACCAACACCCGCATATGCTCCGACCCCAACGCATGACAGGTACTCCCAGTCGTCTTCCCTACCAACCTTCTCCTCTCTTCACACTGAAACTCTCCTTCACTATGCCACCTCTTCTGCCTCTGTTCCGCCTCGGACAGCAACCCCATAAGCCACAACGCCCTCCCCGCACCACCATACACCTCCATTCTCAGCGCCGTCTTGACCAGCCTCTTCCAATCCTGCGGCTCCAGATCAACATCAAACCCCATCGGGCAATCCGGCGTGCCAGTGTGCATATGCATCAACGCGGTGCTGTTGTCGCCAATGCGGTACGATTTCTTTGCCCCACGTTCAGCGAGCCGCGCAGCTTCAAGGTCTACTTCGTGCAGCACTTTGCTGAAGCGCGAGGTGATTGCCCGGAAGAGGGCGGAGAACGAGGCGATGTTTTGGATGGCGCTGAAGGGGTCGAGAGGGCAGATTGAGCAGTGGACTAGTGTTTCGAGAGTGGCCATTGCTTTTCGTAGGGGTTGGATGACGAGCGGGAAGGAGAAAGTTGAGACGGATTGGAGGTCGGTGACGGTTAGATAGGTGAGGGAGAGACAGGTGCATGATATTATGGTCGAGTCTGTTGAGTCTCGCTCCGGTTGGTATTGAGGTTGTGAGTGGATAAGGGTGTGTTGCGGATCCCAAAGGGAGGGATCGATTGGCGGATCTACTGAGAAGCTGTGAGGGTGAGCAAATGACCGACAAGACAATGAAAAAAGAAACTCCTTACTCGAGATTCGATATGGGCGTCATCATGGAAGTGTCGAAGAACCCAACCTCTTGCTGTGAACAATCCACCCCTGCGTCCCCCCCATTCCCATGCAAACGCCGCACCTCCTCCCCAGCAATACCCATACCAAACCCCGCAAATTCCGGCAACGCAGTCAAATCCTCCAACGTGACATCAAAATCATGCAGATTATCTGCTACGGGAAGCCCCTCTTCACTTTCAGCGTCAGCAGAAGAAGTGGCAGCCTCATCCTCCCTCCTCCGTTTCCGCGGTCTGCCCATCTGCTGCCGCGGCGAATATACACAACCCAGCTCCTCGCGACAGCACCGCGCACATCTAGGCGTCTCGCGCGAGCACTTTAATTTCCGCGTCCCTGTGCTGTGTGTCAGCTTCCCATTCCGGGACCGTATAGTATCGCATTGTATCGTATCGTATCATATCAGAATAGAACTGAACTGAATAGAGCATCGAGGGGAAGGGTTTTGGTAGCGAAGGGTTTGCTCACTGCATTCGTCACACGCCGTATGAAGCTTCTCTGCTGCTGGCATTTTTGAGTATTCTGGGGTTTTCTTGAGTTGGGTCACCTATTGGGTTAGATTGTTTGGGGGTTGTTAAGCTGCGCATGGTGGAGGTGTGCATGGGTGGCGGACGCTAGGGTGGTGGTGGCCTGACGCACGTGCGTGGGTTGTCTTGCTAAAGTCGACTTCATCGCTCTTTGTTGTTGCGTCGGGGTACGTTCTTGATTGCGTCATTAGATTTCAGGGTTTTGCGCTGTCGTATAACTAGCTTGTTGATGTTCTCCGTGCTAGTGTGAAGAGCGGATAGTTGGCTACTGAGAGATAGATGCGTATATAGATGTCTTTGCGGTTATCTGGCTGGTGATGAATGCCCCGAGACTGTTTCGTCTCTTACTTGGACGCAATGAGGGTAATGGCGCTTGAAGAACTGGGAGATTGGTGTGTGGGAACAGTTCTTAAAGAATGTCTGGTTTCACAATAGATGATGGGTGTAAGAAGAGATCTTTGGTTCACTACCTCCAAGGGTTTATGTCTATATTCGTTATGATAGTTGGTGATTTTTTCTTTTCTTCCTCTCTTCTTTCCATGCTCTCTACTTTACCTCTTTCTTGATTTCCCTACTTCCACATCTCTACCCTTACTTACTCTCTCACCCTATCACGTCCGAGTTTTCCTTTACCTGATTGCAATTGACCTTCGGTTGTGCACTTGTCCAAGTTTGTTTGCTAGCTTAGTTCGGGTTGTTAAAGGCTTGCCATAACTTCAACACTAACTCGGAAGTCTGATCAAACTACCTCTATCTAACCCTAGTGTTCTCTCATAACTCTGGGTTTTCTTTATTACAGACAGCCTGATCATCCGTCACCAACGTAACCCAGCTCTAATCATGAACGATACAGTGACTGATTCGAGAAGAGAGGTCCAGAAGGCAAGTTTGTTTGTATTTTTACATGCATAGTACTTACTCTGTGACCAGATCTCGGATGACGAGCGGGCAAACCTTTCAACAGAGTTCCCAGTCACGGCGGAGCACACCGACAACTCCACCTTTCCATTCCTGAAACTACCAGGAGAGATTCGAAACATGGTCTACGAGCTCCTTCTGGTGGACCAGAACTTTTCACTCCGTTTCGAAGCACGCGGTCAAACCGGTCAGAGCGGTGTCCGGCGCTTGTACCTCAAGTACCCTGGTCCTCCAGATCGCGATGATCTTCCTGGCCGGCAACAAGGCAGTTTGAGGAAGCACTGCACATCGTTCGAAACTTATCGCTATGAATGGAGGTCTAAACATTTCGAGTTCATCGTCAAGACATTCTCTATTTGCCATCAGATCAACAATGAAGCCGGATCCGTCTTCTATGGCAAGAATCTCTTTGTGTTTGGGGAGACGTTCCATTTATACATGTTTCTACTCCATTTCTCTCAACGACTACGACTGATACAGCATATCGGAATTGTGCGTTGGAATCCACATGTGCGCTCCCTGAACTTGCAGCCTTCCGCATATGTCAATGTGGAATATGTTACCTTCTCTCTCCTCGCGAATGCTACCAACTTGAAGTCGTTCTATACCTCTCCTGCGATTTTCAAGTCTCTATCAACAAAGCCCGAACCAGCTGCTCGTTACCTCTTCCAATTTGTCCAGAACTGGCTTGTTCCACTCGCTCTAAGAAAGAAAAACAAGCTCGCCGCCGTGTCGGTCCTCAAGATGCCAGCCTTATCAACAAAAAACCTGAAACGACCTAAGTGGCCAGTCACCAAGCAAGGTCAAGATGAATTTCTAGCCGAACTGATTAAATGCTTGCCCTGAAGATTATATACGACATCTGCAACGTGGCTGTATATATGTTCGCCGGTGTCACTTCTGGCGATGGGTAGTAGGATTTCATCCAAAACTTCTCATCTTTCTCAGGCACATGTCTTTTCCAGAAACTGACAGCCATTCCACGAGAGGTCTTGTGCTTTCCGACACCTACAACAACGATTTGCGATTGTTGGACTCTCGGTTTGGTACTATTCATGCTAGTACACCTTCGATCGAAGTGCATTAATTCGATGCGGCCATAGCATGCGAATACCCTCCATATCTTCTTTCATATACTTGCGTTTCCCAAAGCACCATCTTCTGTTTTCACTCACCCCGACTGAGGATTGTATTCCACCTCTAGCTTATACTAGCCTTCATGTGGAGTGTCTACCTTTCCAAAAACTTCTAGTATTGCTCAACATAATAAACATGCTCATGTGTGAACTGTCATCATCTCAAGTCTCAACACTACTCCCATCTGCTGTTTCGGCAATAGCCACACCGGAGAAATACACTAAACTCGATTTCCCAATTTCGTGATACTTTTTAGCCATAATAGCCTGAGATCTTTGCGTATTTCCTCAACCTTCCCAGCGCATATATTGCTCCATACCTCTAGCCGCAAATCTTGCCCTCAAGAAGATCGGCATACTTCTCCAGAACACTATACGCCGTCTGGAAATAGCCACAAGCATACCTCGATCCATAACCCATATTAATGCCAAGTAACCATGTTGTATACATCGACAGCCAAACAAGATATCAGCAGAGCATAAAAGCACGCTAATCTAACCGACATGCATTGAGCTAACCGATGCATCGCCATCTTGACATTGACAGGTTTATCCCGGTTACTCGTTCATCGCAGCGCCGTGCGCATCGCAATCAAACTTTACCATGACATGACACCCTCTCGCATCTCGCGTCTCACGTCGGAGTTTTCAACGTTTCTCTATCCGACCGAAGTTGTACCTTGTCGCCAACAAGGAATGAAAGACATGGAGCATAGGTAGGATTCAAAGTCAAAGTTAAACCTCGTCGTCGTGAACTTCGTCGCCAGTTACGTGACTACCTTCGCTTCACTGGATGAGGTTCATTGCCAACGACCTTTCTCGCAGCGGCGCACACCTTGTGTTGGAAACTCAAATCACAAACTCCAACCAGAAGACACCTCGGTCCCCACATCTCAACCACGCGCCGCATACAGTCCCGCACAAATCAGATCACAGGTGGCTGTGCAAGCCCCCGTCCAAAGAGGAGCCATCCTTCCGCCCAGACGCCGACCCAAGCTACCGCACCTAGTGTCCGCAAGCTCCAGCCGTCCAGCGGCGACTAGACGAGATGCACTAGAAAATCCCAACGACGCACGCTGTGATTCGGTGGGGTGAGGGGTTTGATTTGCGGCGGTCCTCAACGCCGGCGCAATGGGCATGAGTTGGGCTGGTTTTCTGCGATGCAGTGTTCAGGGGTAGATACAAAGTCCAAGGATGCTGCTGTGCCGGCAGGGTGTGCAAAAGGTGGGAATAAGCAACATCTCGCCGATAGGGAGTATGGTGCGGATGACCCGGCCCGAACCGGGACATGGAAGCATGGTGGTTGTGTGCATGGGAGGCGTGTTGGAAACAGGGAGTTTGGTCACGGAGAGATGCAAAGTATGCGTAATGAGGAGGATAGTAACTTTTACCACATCTCCTCGCATCTCACTGTTCATCCCGATTTGTAGACGGAGCAGCAGAGCGTGTATCAGCGGGAAGATCAAAAACGATCGAACAGTTGAATGCGGAGAAGTCGAAGAGACATATGGAACATGGAATAACGTGGACAGCAACTGATCGACCGCCAAAGCGGCACAGCAAATCGCTGCCATTCGTAGTCTGTATCTAAGACCTCTGCTTTCCGCATGCCCCCCACCTCGGGTCCTGAACGTGACTCTGTCACGTCTCGGGAGCGTGCACAGACGGTTTCCCGGGACCTCAACAGCGTGACATTCAGAGCCCAAGGAGCAAACCCTCACCCTACCCTATCCCCTCGCTCGCCGAGTTTCCCCATCCTCCAAACAAAGAGACAAGAAACGCTACCACAGAGCGCGCTAAAAAAGAGCCCAAAGGCCATACTCCCGAAGACAACACCATACTAGTGGCTGAATATGAAACAAGTTCATCCGAGGAACCGTGTACGTTGTAGAGCAAAAAAACAATTCGTAAATCCAGCTCATATGGTATATCCAAACTTGCATATAGTTTGCCTGTGCTATGCGTATGCGCCGAGTCCTCAAGCTCCAAATTAAAGATTAAAGGCTATCGTGAGCCGTTTTCGTAATGTGGATTGTAAATCGCTCAACACAAGAAAAGACGAACCAAGTGATGTAAGAATACAGCAAGATTCTCCGCTTGAGGAAGGAGCCCAACTGGTTCGTTGAAACAATGTTGTTCCCAACTCTCGTAGATATGAGGGGGAAATATAGACCAGACATAAAGAAGATATGATAGTGATGCAAGGTATTTTCTCGACGCTTTCCCAACTCCTGGCAGTGTGAACCCGGGTATACCCAAAATGAAATCTCAAAAACAAATGAAAAGCAGCGCATAAATTGTGTTGCTTAATTGAAGTCCCCTGGGCCTTGGTTGGCAAATATGTAGTTCCTCTGCTGGGGCTCTGCTGTTCGCCGAATTGGGTTGTTGTATGGATTGAGCATCTCCGACGATGTATCCGGCTGAACGATGTAATCCGGAACAAAGGAGTGGTGAGGTGCAAAAGGCAAGTTATGAGAAACACCATCGAGTGAAATAGTTTTAAGGTCGTCAAAGTTCATATGACCTCCATGGTACGGATACGGCATCGCACTCTCGTCGACTTGAGTCTGCGCGTTGTCAGGTAATGATGGCCTTCTAGAATGCGATTGCTTAGATTCCGCTGCTGTGAGATCACTGCTCGAATGGAATCCAGCGCGCATGTGTGGGGACTGTATGAAACCCGTATGATGGAAATTCTGTTGCGTAGCTGGTGCTGACTGCGGTGGCGAGTCGTGGTACCCATTTTCGTTGGGAATGTGTGTGTGGTTCAGTTGATGTGTATTCAAAGGTGTCGAATGTGGCGATGCGCCCTTCGAATAGATGCCAGCGGATTGAGGTTCAGCAGACCAATTTGTGTTCATGCTCTCTGGACTGTTGTGCTCAGGCATCACTGGATGGTGTCTGAATATTGTGTTGCCTTGCCAAGGTATTCCTTCCTGAGGAGTTTGTGGAGTGGGGGGTGCTAGGCTACCGCCTGGGCCAAGTATGGTGGTGTGAGAGGATGAGAATGTCCTTGAGAACTTCGGCGACGCAGCAACATCCGAAAAGTTCATAGCCATGGGTGAACGCGGTGCCGAACCTGGCTGAGACTTTTGAATGCGACCAGCAGCATTTGAAATTCCAGATGAGCGGATCCTTCGAAGAGTATGATCGTTGTTACCTATTGGAGACGGCAGGCTAGCGGAGTGCATGCCAGCTGTGTATGAGGCACTCCTCATTGCAGTCGAGTTCAAAGCAGCAGGACGCTTGTGCCTCCTTGCAGCAATACTGGAGAGTTTTGAGGGTTGCTTGAAATCATCAGGCGTGCCGTTTCGAATGTTGATCGCCTCAATGTTGATTGCTAAATTTGTTGTTGAGGAGTTTCTTCGCGCGAATACGTCTTCATTGAACACCGTCGGAGCCTCATAATCCAGGTAAGGCGCATTGGGCTTATGTGTTTGTTGTTGCTCTTGGCCAGGAAGGACGGCTTGCGCGGACGCATTGTGTTGATGGTAGAAGTCAGATCGTGGAAACATATCGTAGGTACCGGTTTGATCCCAAGAAGACAGGGTTTGTTCCGAAGCGGAGGCTTGCGTAAGGTTGTAAGGTGTAAGAAAGTTGTCTTCGTACTCAGGTTCCTGCTTGACCGCTGCTCCAGAAGCCTGGTTGTCTGTCCAGCCAGAATATACAGATGTTAATGACGCAACTGAAGAAGGAATGGACCCGTTCATTGGTCGAGTAGTTGCACAGGACCGTACACTAGAAAACGGAGATGACTCCGTCGACAAAGACCCAGTGCTGTTGTGAGCTTCTGTTGAACTTGAAGTGTTCGAGTTCGTGACGGCCAGAGCCGAATAGTCCAACGTTCCCATACCTGCGAAGCTCTCATACTGCTCTTGTAAGGGTGCAGACTCGGTTGCGGGCACGGCAAAAGTGTGGTCGTTGGAGAATGCGAGGGGCAGCCCCGAAGTGTCATAGGAATAGTTTGGTTCATTGATAGCCATTCCTCCGTGATGTTGAGAAGCTTCGTGGGTTGCTGCCATTATCTGATGCATGACAGTGTTTTGATGGTACGGCATGGGCTGATTGGCTTCTGGGATCGATCGAAGCGAATGCTGCATGTTGAACTGCTGTTGCTGCACCGACATTGGGGAACTCAATTCTATGACCGGGGCCTCGATGCTTTGGATGGGGATGCTCGCATGGCCAACGTCGGGGGTCACGGGGAAAAAGTCCTGGTGCGTTGGCATGGGCATGGACATGGGCACAGGCATGGACATAGGCATGCGCAGGTGTGGTTGATTCGCATGGGGCTGGTAGTGTCCAGGGATTACTGGCTGCTGGTGCATGTGTCCGTACATGTTCAGTTGCATGCTCTGCTGGTTGGATAGTTTCTTTCTATCTTGCTTGACCTTGGCTCTGCGGTTCTGGAACCAATTCTACACCCAGTTAGCGCCATGTCTGACGTGCAAGTGTGGGACCGCTGACATTGATCTTGTCGAGGGACACGTTCAAATCGCTAGCGAATCCCTTTTTTATGAGCGTGGTGGGCTTGTGTTGCTGCTGGAACTGGTGCTCGAGGATGTCATGCTGCTCTTTAGTAAGGCGGGGCTTGACGTCGCCGCCCGGCGGCTTCTGCTGCGAGTCCATGCTCGGCGCGCGCCACGACGAGGCGGCCGTGTCGTCTGGAGCGGGTTCAGACGGTTCGATATGCGTGATGGCTCCCCGAATGCGATCCGTCGAGACGCGCTTCTCACGACAGACAAGCGAGGGGCTGCGGTTGCTGGTGTCCAGGTCCCAAGGCTGAAGCGACAATGCGTTTAGCACGGGAACGCAGCGACGTGGATGCTGCGACAGGCGACGGGGCTGCACGTGTTGGTACTGATGTTGTAGTGCGGGTAGCGAGCGACAGCACGGCTTCACAATCGAATGCGCGAAGCGGCAGTAACGAGTGTATGAGGCAAGAACGACAGTCGACGGGAGCGTCGCCGGGAACGTCGAGATGGGGAGAGATCAGGAGTCTTGCCCGAGTGGAGGGCGCGAAGGTTGCCATTCGCCGGAGCTAAGCCACGCTCCCCCATGTCCAACAGGGCTGCACGCTCTACGGCACAAAAATAACCTGCATCGATCATGACACTGGCTGTTTCTGCGCTGACCAGTGCATGATGCCGCGAGGGTGCCGGCTGCTGATTCGAAGCTGCCCCTCCCATCTGCTCGCCCTGATGCTGCAAGCCCTTGCTGTCACGCACACGGGCGCGCTGGCATGGAGCGGCTTCGTCGTCCGAGGAGCTGCCCTCGCGGTTACGGTTGCGGCACAGGGGTAAAATGCACCGAGCAGCCAGCCCATTGGCGCAGTCGACCGCTCGCCAGAGAGCGTGCTTTGGAGGTGGCAGGTTCCCTCGTCGCACCCGGTGGCATTGAGCTTCGACACTTCACGGGAGATGCGCGCATGGAGTGCAGATTGCAATGAGCATCGCAGCTTGGACCTCCCGTTCGAAGAAACCTCTTGCACCGCATCTCATCTCATGTTCAAACCTTGTCTGGTAACCTAGCAAAGGCCATACTGAGGCTCATGGCCTCGGCGTGCGAGACAGCGCGCGACTGTCAGCCACGCGCTGCGATGTGTCGTCCATGTGCAGACCCCTCTCGATCGTGCCCTTCCCACTCGACCTCACTCGAAGCGCTGATGTCAGGCACATCTGAACACCCTATCAACATAAACATCACGTTGTGAAGACCCTCACTGGTGACTTTCGACTCGTAAAAATATTCCCAGTAACCGCATCTGGTATGTTCGTACGATGACTCCTCTGCTTACACGCTGCTCGCAGCACTGCATGATCAAGGGGCTCCCCTCTGGCTCTTGGAAGGCGGCGCTGGCGTTTTCCGTATCAGTTCCTGATAGTACCTCGCAGCACACACTTTGTTCTGGCCTCGGTGTGTAACTCGACAAACTCAAATAGGCTCTGGGTTGTCCTACAGTGTTGGTAGGGTGACCGAGTAGAGCGTAACATGAAATGCATCATTGGATAAGCCTTGTTTTGAAGACCAGTGCCGCTTGACCAGTCGACAGGGTTGCCTTGATGAGACATCGGTAGCAATGGATGGATGACACCTCGCGGCTCACGAGTTTCACGAGATTCACGAGATTCACATTGTCGGCGAGAGTGCAAGATCGTCCTCGTATCTTTCCGAACGCACACCATACTAAGTAGCCCGGTGTCACACCACACCGGTTGACTTAGCTTCCGAAGCTCACGACATGCTGACGTCGTTGCGTACAGTGGCCTGCAACCCTTCTAGAAAACAACGACTGTCTAATCGTGGCCTGGCCGCTCGAGGTAAACCTTATTGAGCATCGCAACCACCACAACACTTCGAGCTTAGAAGTCGCGCTAAGAACAGTCAAGCTTGATCATGACGGTACATTCACTAGAGGATGGTGACCAGTACCGCCGAAACACGTTGGGAGCCCTGTAAACTAACACCAAGCCGGCATTTCCCTTGATGTCTGACGGCCAGATCTAGGCGGCTGATACACATGTACAAGCATCGATCAAGACATATCGAAATCCTGTTATGAGCAAAAGTTCGTGCATCGCTCGATAGAAGAACAAGATATCCATTGTAAGTGTTACTACATGTCTTTCGCTATGTAAGAGCGTTGGTAATCTCCAACTGGCCTTCGCCAGCAGTACTGTCCCAAGATTTGAGAGTAACGCTTCGCATATCCTGGACAATGTAGTCCGCGCCAGCTTCCATGAGTTGCTTCAGAGAGTGCGTCGTATGGAGTGCTACGACTGTGTAGCCGGCAGCTTTGCCCGATCGAATACCAGCAGGTGCATCCTCAAAGACGACGATAGAGGCGCTGTTCTTGTGGAGACCCAACTTGTCCTTTCCCATCTGATAACAGGCTGGATCGGGTTTGCCGTTCAGTACGTCTTCAGCTGTAACGATATTCTTGGGGTGTGCCAACTTCATCCTGTCAAGCCACCCGATGACAAGTGGACGTGTTCCTGATGTGACGATACACCAAGGAACGGCTTGTTCATCAAGACTATCCAACATGGCTCTCGATCCGGGAATTTCAATGGCGTCCTCGCCGAATTCTTTCGGTATGAGGCCTTCTGCGTGACATATGTCTAGGCCAGGTCGTCAGGGATGATCATCTGATGTAAAGTATTGGCAAATAGCACTCACATTCCCAGTTAGCGAGCTTTGGTTCGTATATCTGAAGCACATCAATCGACCTTCGACCATGTGATGTTGCAAGTATCACATCAGGATCGACGCCAATCTCTTTTCCTATCCTGACGATATAAGTTTCTAGCATGCAATCTGCTTATCGTCACTGACCTATGCCAGTGCTTGACTATGGCGTCTGTACTGTCAATGATTGTTCCACTGTTTATGTCAGCGCAAATTCATCTTGTACTGGCAAACACAGAATACATACTCCATGTCGAACAACTAAAACATTATTAGCAGTCAGTCTTGGTTACAAAATACCATATTGTCACCTACCAAGCCATGACATTTGATCGTTTGCGCAGGCGCTGAGAAGGAAGGCTCCGGAACTGTCATGATAGCAATTCTCAAAGCGAGGACGTGATAGAGGAGATGTAAGACGTTCCCTTCTTCAGCGGCTGTAGTGGAGTTAATAAGGCGTTGTTGTTGAAGATGGAAGGGAACAAAGATCGATTGTGTAGGAGCGTGTTAGCCACATTGGGTATCCCATCCGCCCATCAGCCAATCGCAAGCATTCCAGCTCTCCATGCATCGTATGTCGGAAGCTGTAAATAGAGATGCAAAACAGCTGCATACGGTCGTCTCCATCTTGCTAACGTGATATGAAGTGTTGAGCATTGGTGGAGTGATGAGAGGTGGGGAATACTGCCGCGGGACACCGCCCACAGCCCTGCAGATGCCAAGAGTTCGAAACTCGATTTTCTAAACTATTTCGCGCGCTACCAACACCGCTTCAACAGGACATCCAGCAAAGTAGTAATCCACAATGAAGGTCGGAAGTATGTTCTCTGAGTCTAACTTTAGTCGCGTAATACTGACAATCATTTAAGAGCCCCAATCGAAGCGTGTACCGGTACGCCTCCGACACAGTCGCGCAAAGGCGTCGGCGGCGAAGCAGCGGAAAGACAAGAAGATTGCGAAGAAGGTACGGCAGCCGCTTAGGACCTCAAACGAGGGTTATATGCTCACATTATTGCACAGGATCCGACATGGCGATCCAAGTCGAAAAAAGACCCCGGAATTCCCAACCTGTTCCCGTACAAGGATAGGATTCTTGCCGAAGTCGAGGAGCAGCGGAGGCAGAAGGAGGAGGAGAGTGCCCGTCGCCGAGAACTCGCGAAACAGCAGAGACTCAACGGCGGAGCTGCTGGAGATGCTATGCAGGACGACGCAGCGCTAGATGTCGACAACGACCTCCTAGATGACGACAGCGAGATGGACGATTCCATGCAGGTGGTTAGTCTGCTTTTCTCTGTTGCGCTCATAGTGATACTAAGACTAGGCAGGACGAATCTAACCCTATGGCCGCTTTGCTTGCGTCTGCAAAAGCACGCGCCGCCGCGTTTGATCAGAAGAACGGCCAAGACGAAGACGCTATGGACGACGACGAAAGTGAGGACGACTTCACACGATTCGACGCAGAGGACGACGAGGGCGCAGTCAACGTCCGTAAGGATTCGTCTAGGAAGCAGTTCGACAAAGTGTACAAGCAAGTTGTCGATTCTGCCGACGTCGTTCTGTACGTCCTCGATGCAAGAGATCCAGAGGGGACACGATCGAAGGAGGTGGAGCAGATGGTCATGGCAGCCGACAGAGGAAGCAAGCGCATGATCTTCATTCTGAACAAGATCGATCTCGTGCCGCCACCGGTTCTCCGGTCATGGCTTATTCACCTCCGCCGCTCGTTCCCAACCCTGCCACTGCGCGCCTCGAAACCCGCACCAAACGCGAAGACTTTTGAGCACAAGGATCTCACGATGAAGGGCACCTCTGAGACTCTGTTTAAGGCTCTCAAAACTTTCGCCGAGTCCCGACAACTCAAGCGCTCAGTCAAGGTTGGAATCATCGGCTATCCTAACGTCGGCAAGTCATCTGTTATCAACGCCTTGTCGTCGAGGATGGGTGGGAGGACCGCCGCCTGCCCAGTAGGCGCGGAAGCTGGTGTCACCACGAGCTTACGCGAAGTCAAACTGGACAACAAGCTGAAGCTCCTTGACTCCCCGGGTATCGTCTTCCCGAACACCTCAGAGGGGTCGAAGGAGAACAAGGTTCAACAACAAGCTCGACAGATCTTGTTGAATGCCATCCCGCCAAAAGATGTGGACGACCCTGTGCCAGCTGTAAACCTACTTTTGAAGAGGCTTTCTTCATCGGAGGATCTGTTCGCAAAGCTCATGGCTGTCTACGATTTGACCGCGTTACACACTGTTGCCGGAGACAAGACGACAGATTTCTTGGTTCAGGTTGCGAGGAAGAGAGGCCGGTTGGGCAGGGGAGGCATTCCCAACCTTCACAGTGCGGCGCAGACGGTCATCAACGACTGGAGAGATGGACGAATCCAAGGATGGGCAACTCCTCCAAAGCACAACCCTGCCGCAACTTCGACCACAAAGACCGCCCCAGCTTCAAAAGGCCTTGTGGGCGACCAGAAGGAGATTGTCAAGGAGTGGGCTGCGGAGTTCAAGCTTGAAGGTCTTTGGGGAGACGACACGAACGACAATGATGCAATGGAAGCGTGAACATGGCTACTACTGATGATAGTCTTTGATATAGGCGATTCGGCGTTCAAAACTGGGCTTTGGGGCATTCGTCGGACTAGAACTACATGTATGATGGATGCCACGACGATACCAATGTCATTTTCGATATCGATCAAATTCTAGCTCGTGTTTCCAAGAGTCATGTAGAAGTCCTTATCGTAGCACCAAAGTAACATTGCGAAAAATCTGCCTACTTTCTGAACCGTTTCTGGCCGAGTGAATTCACAGCGATATCGGCTCCGAAGAACGGACGCGACGGTATGCGATTTGTGAAGATCTGCGTTGATGGTGGTGAATTGGAGCTGTTCGCACTGCCCCACACATACGGCTTCCGTCGGCCCAACCCCCAGAGCTCAACGATGCAAGCTTCAGAGCTACAGATACAAAGTCAATCGTCGCCCAACAACAGGACAGCATACAATCTCTCTCTGAAACTTTCACTATGGGTTCTTCCAAGACTCTCAAGCCTCTGCGCTCTGTTTCCAAGTCGCTGACTGCACTGCCTGCCGCATGTGCCAGCGCGCAAGTAGCGTCGAGGAGATATGCGGGGACAATTGCAAGCTTCAAGATTCCGACAATTGGCAATGAGCCAAATGTAAGTCAAGAATCCCCGAGGTCTACTTGGTAGCTCTGGTGGCTAATTCGTGTTTTGTAGCAACACTACACCAAAGGCTCCGTGGACAGGCAGAAGCTCCAAGACACGCTCGCAGCACTGAAGAAGCAAGGTCCCGTTCAGGTGCCTCTAGCAGTCGGGGGTGAATACGTGAGTGTATATGTGCTAAACAAAGAAGGTACTTGACTAACACCATCTAGATCAACAACTCCTCCATACTCACCCAGCACAATCCCTCCTCGCACGCCGACGTGGTCGCCAAATACTCGAATGCCAGCCCAGCAGACGTAAACAAGGCGATAGATGCCGCATTGGCAGCAAAGCCGGCATGGGAGTCGTTGCCCTTTGCCGAGCGTGCTACCGTGTTCCTGAAGGCGGCTGAATTGATATCTACCAAGTACCGATACGATATCATGGCGGCAACAATGCTGGGACAGGGCAAGAATGCCTGGCAGGCGGAAATCGATGCGGCGGCAGAGCTGTGCGATTTCTTGAGGTTCAATGTCAAGTACGCAGAGGAGACATATGCTCACCAGCCAGTGCACAACTCGCCCGGAGTTTGGAAGTATGTACACGTCTTAGCCGCAGTTGAAAACCCCAAGCTAACAGATGCAGTCGTGTTGAGTACCGTCCCCTCGAAGGCTTCGTATATGCCGTGTCCCCATTCAACTTCACAGCCATCGGTGGTAACCTTCCAGCCGCGCCAGCACTCATGGGTAACGTAGTGGTTTGGAAGCCATCTCCGGCTGCGATTGCATCGAACTGGCTCATCTATCAAATCCTTATCGAAGCCGGTCTCCCTCCCAACGTGATTCAGTTCATTCCTGGTGACGCAGAAGCAGTCACCAAGGAAGTGCTGGCCCATCGACAGTTTGCAGCTCTGCACTACACCGGAAGCACTGCGGTGTTCCGATCACTGTATGGCAAGATTGCGGGTGGTGTTGCCGAAGGGAAATACCAAGGCTATCCTCGCATCGTCGGCGAGACGGGAGGCAAGAACTTTCACTTAATCCACAAGGATGCGGACGTCTTCAACGCAGCTATTCAGACGGTTCGTGGAGCATTCGAGTACCAGGGCCAGAAGTGCAGCGCCTGCTCCCGAGCCTATGTGCCCAAGTCTGTTTGGCCAGAATTCCAAAAGAAACTCGTCGCAGAGACAGAGGCACTGAAGATTGGTGAGCCCTCGGACTTCGCCAACTTCATTGGCCCTGTGATCCACGAAGCCAGCTTCAAGAAGCTCTCCGGCGTTATCGACGAGGCCAAGAACGACTCTGAACTCGAGCTCCTAGTCGGCGGCAAGTACGACAGCAGCAAGGGCTACTACATCCATCCCACCGTTTACCGCACCACGAACCCCAACCACCCGCTCCTGTCCCGCGAACTCTTCGGTCCCGTGCTAGTCATCTATGTGTACGAGGATGCGGCGCCCGACGCCTTCTCCCAGATCTGCAAACAGATCGACGACACGTCTGAGTATGCGCTGACGGGCGCTGTCTTTGCCAAGGATCGCGAAGTTATCAAGTACGCATCGGATAGACTGAGGAACACAGCTGGAAACTTTTACATCAACTGCAAGTGCACCGGCGCTGTTGTTGGACAGCAACCATTCGGTGGATCGAGGGCGAGCGGGACAAACGACAAGGCCGGAAGCGCAAACTTGCTGTCGAGATTCGTAAACGTCAGGGCTATCAAGGAGGAGTTCCTTACTACCGAGAAGGTCGAATACCCTAGCAATGAGGTTTAGGTGTCAAAAAAAAGGATTTCGAGGTTGGAATTGTGGGTTGACTGGGCAACGAAAAAGTGTAACAAAAGACTAGGCTTTGGGAGTCGTGGATTTTCAGATTAGCTGATGATTATATGAATTACTCGACGTATACAAATTAAACACATATGCATACTTCACAGTACTGTATGCATTGCTACAAATGAACCCACAACACCCCACAACGGTTCGGTCTGGGATACATGTAGTCAAGTTTGCGAGAGTTGGAGAGAAAACCCATTGAACCTCGGCACCGTCGTACTACTGTGAAAGGCCAATCTCAAGACGCAACCCAACGGGCTTTCTAGAACACGCACGAATCGTGTATGGTAATAATAGTAGACCCGCTATCTCGGGAGCCCCGTTTTGACAGGGGTTTTACCGCATCTTATTTGAGCCGCGGTACGGGCTGTCGGTGCTTGTTTGATTTCCTTACAAAGTCGTGGGAGGAATGTGGGAGGAATGTAGTTGGCGAGATGGTGGGTAGGATCCAGTTGGGAGCAAGATTTCTGTAACCTCGCCACAGACGACGACGTGTATTTGGTTCCCGGTGTGTCAGGATACTGTTTTACTTTGTGCCAAGACAAAATGTCTCGTGATCGGGGGCAGATCATCTCCGAGGTTAGCGCTGGTAGGATTCAACGTGTACTTTATCGCGTGTCGTCGTCGTCCCCTCTGCCCATTAAAATGATGTGGGCGAAAAACGGGGTACGAAGAGGGGGGTGATTGATCAGCACCAGACCGCCCGTCGCTCGCATGATGTTCAAAAAATTGCTAATCACGCCTGTTTGCAACCCTGACAACGCAGCTCAGTGGCCGAATCCAACCGTGCTGGAGTTTCCTTTTTGAGCCGCAAAGGGTCCGACTGCTGCTGAAACAAGCCTCGAAAAACCTTGACCTGCCTCGGCGTCTCCGTGGCGTTCTGGCTTAGGCACAATTGGTGCAAATGGCTGCTCTATGACGCGCAATGATGGACGCCGGAGGCACAAAGTCTTTTCCCTTTTCGCGATTCCGCTAGGCTGTTGCGGCCGTTTCGTATTGTGATTGGTGCGGGCGCAGAGGCCAATGAACGATGCGGCACTGTTCGGGTATAGCATCGGCACTCGGCACTTGTGTAGAGCGTAGGGTACGAAATCTGTGTCGCCTTCGGTCAGTCATCGAGATATCGTCGTCCGTGGCGCCCTTGCTAGGTGGATCGCGCTTGTCGGGTCATGGACTTGGGTGTGTGTTTATATGTGGCTCGTCCCGCTTTCCCTTGCATATTAGTTTTGTTGTTCCCTCCTTAATATTAAGTGTCTGTGTACACTCTCGAGCCGCCATTCTCAACTGCACGCCACGCGCATCGACTCGACTATGGTAGCCAGCATGGAGAAGACGGCCCAATCGGGGCAAGGCAGTATGGACATTGAGTCGGGAAGAGAAGGGATCTCGCATTGGAAGATGATCACAGATCAGGGTGTCGTCACAAATGAAATCGTCAACTGGGAGTACGAAGGCACCGGCACAGAAGAGGATCCGTTTGTGGTTGAATGGATTGAGAACGACCCAAGGAATCCCATGACATGGGCGAAAACAAAGAAATGGATACTTGCGCTTTGTGTGGCGAACTCGGTCTTGGTTGTGTCTTTCTGCTCGTCAGCGTTCTCTGGAGGTACGTCATTACATGTTTTAGATGGTCGGCGAGTACTAATGTCAAACAGGCATAACGCAAATCATGGCGGAATTCAATGTGAGCCAGACTATCGTAACACTAGGTGTATCGCTTTTCGTGCTTGGATTTGCCCTTGGACCATTGCTATGGGCGCCCTTTTCTGAACTCTATGGCCGTCAATTGGTCTTCGCCGGGACTTACATTGCCTTTACAGCATTCAATGCTGGCGTTGCTGGTGCACCGAACATTGTAGCTCTACTCGTCCTTCGATTCTTGGCCGCCGCTTTCGGATCAAGTCCTCTTACGAATGCAGGTGGTGTCATTGCTGATTTGTTCTCCGCGAACGAGCGTGGACTGGCCATGAGCATCTTCTCTGCTGCACCCTTCATGGGACCTGTTCTTGGACCCATCATTGGCGGATTCCTTGGAATGACTGAAGGATGGCGCTGGGTCAGCGGATTGATGGCTATCTGGTCCGGTGTCATGGCCATTGTCTGCATTTGCCTGGTCCCGGAGACTTACCCCCCTGTTTTGCTCAGAGCGCGCGCCAACACGCTTTCCAAGATGTCCGGAAAGGTTTACAGGTCCAGGACTGATATCCTCCAAGGCAAGGTTTCCCTCAAGGATGCTTACGCGACCGGTCTCAAGCGACCCTGGGTCCTCCTCTTCTGCGAGCCCATTGTTCTCCTCCTGTCGCTCTACCACGCCATTATCTACGGTATCCTGTATATGTTGTTCGGTGCCTTTCCCATTGTTTACCGCATTGGTCGCGGCTGGAACGAGGGTATCAGCGGTCTGCCATTCGTCGCTGTTGCTGTTGGTATCATGCTTGCCCTTACCTATGTCATCCTCTACGACAACAAGATGTACATGAGGAAGGTCAATGAGTCCGGCCTTGGCTACACTACTCCGGAGATGAGACTGCCAATGTGCATTGTCGGTGGTATCGCTCTCCCTGTGGGTCTCTTCTGGTTTGCCTGGACCAACTCCCCGTCTTTGCCATGGGCAGCCAGCGTGTGCGCAGCCATCCCCTTCGGTTTCGGCATGGTTCTTGTCTTCCTGGGTATCATGAACTACTTGATCGACAGCTACACCATTTTCGCTGCGTCTGTTCTGGCCGCCAACGGCATTATTCGATCGGTTTTCGGCGCCGCGTTCCCTCTGTTCACTAGTGAGGTATGTTGCATTCCCACAATATTTGTCAACCTATACTAATTGTTTCCAGATGTACTCTGGTCTCGGCATCCACTGGGCGTCTTCCGTCCCTGCTTTCCTCGCTCTTGCCTGCATCCCAATGCCCTTTTTCTTCTACAAGTACGGAGCTTCGATCCGCATGAAGTGCAAGTACGCCGCCGAGGCCGACGCCTTTATGCAGCGCATGCGTGCCCAGGCAGCACAGAAGGAGCAAGGAAGGGAGGTTGCTGGCGCACACACCAACGACACCTCGCGCGCCTCGACATTACAAGCCGAGGAGGAAGAGGCCGAAGAGGAGGCTCACGAGGAGGAGAGCGTACCCCGATTCGAGGAGATGAAGACAGAGAAGGAGAAGGACGTGCAGATGGGCGAGGGCCTGAAGAAGGTCGCCACAGGGCGATCATCGAGAAGTCGCAGATCGGTACGCGTAGGAGACGACTACTACGACAACCCGTACGAGATTGACCGCGTCAACACGCGGGAAAGCTTTGCGAACAGGGCGCGGTCGAATAGTGGGCTTCGTTGAGGGTGGTGGTTCGGAAAATTTCTTTGCTGATGTGAGCGTTTTGCATTGTGGTCGCTTCTTGGGATGACTTGGGTGGAAAATGGGGGTGTTGGAGCATGGCGATGGTTGCCTCGATATCTTGACATTATATACCCGACTGCTTTTATATAGTTTTGTAATTAATCTTCACGTGGATGGAAGATGGAATATCAATGAATGTTCTGTCCAGTTCATGCACCTATACTTGTAGCCCCGATTCTACAGACTGGATCTGCACATGGAAAGACTGAGGTGTTGTAGATGATACCATCCGGGATGTGATAGCGACTGACACCCGTGCCAATAAGATCGATCACAAATACGTTAATATGTCTAGATAGGTGGTAAGTCTTACTAGAAACATGATTATTCATATGTGTGACCTCGAAGCTAGCTGAGTCGTGAATTGAAAAACAAGAATATATTTGATCAAATTTCACATCGTGGCATGATTCAAGGTCAGATGGCCGAGTGGTTAAGGCGCTGTGTTTAGGTCAATTCTACCTGTACAACCGCAGTTCGAAAGAGCGTGGGTTCAAGTCCCACTCTGATCAACAATCTTTTTGCCGGCTGCCCCCTTCCGCTTGCACGGCACATAGTTTTTGTTCGAAGATAGGCACGAGTCATTTGTTCGAGGATGCCCCACCATTTTGCCTTGACTGCTCACTACTTCTTCTTCTGAACAAGACGAGCAAGTCTCAACTAATCACTCGCAAAATCCTGCCGCTATATTTTTACCCAGACATCTTGACAGCGTGACGACCAACAGCCCCACGTCGAGAACATAATCACAGTAGCAATGCCCATGCAGTCAGACGACCTCCTACTCTCTGTACGCACACCTCCACCCAATCAAAATCTCCAACTACACGACTAACATGTCCCAGCTGCAGTCCTCGCTCCGCAACGCGCTATCAACGTTCGGTCCCACCAGCCCCCAGTACCTCAGCATCAAGCTCATGGTCGACGAGCACGTGGCAAACCTCGCACTACAGGGTCTGTCGATTTCGTCTTCGAGCGGGTAGTGGCATGGAAGACGGTGAGATGCTAGTATGAGGGGGCGGTTGAGTAGTGCTTTGATTGTTTTCTTCTCTACTGGGGCGAAGATATGCTTCGGCTCGCCTTCTTGGAGGTCCTCGTGTGTCACATTAAAGGATGTGCCCTTTCATTATCCCTGGACAGACCTATCTCAATGATTGTCTCTTTGGATCGGTTGGTCCTGTAAGGGCTTTACTAATTTCGGCGTCCACCTGTCAAATGAGCTGGTGTCGACAGCTCAGGAGCGCCAGACCTTCTGCTCGTCTTGAAAGGTTATTTTCGACCCATTCCGTCTTATTCGGGCATGTTGAGAGCATAGGTGGCTGTAAACAAGCACCGAGTGAAGATGGAGAGAGTCCGCATTCGTCGGGTGATGATGAATGGGTGGATTGAAGAGGCACCAGAACAACCATCCCTATTTCATGACGGTAGAGAGCTATTGCCGAGCTGCCTGGTCGGGAGACGAGCGCTGCGCCTTTGACGTGGAAAAGATGTTGCGATATTCTAAGCTGGGCGCTCAATATAACAGGATGGATGATAGGATAGAGATGAAGATGATCTCGAAAATACCGCCAACACCACGAATTCCAAACAAAAGCACACACATGTTCAGATGTTTTCCATTTGACAGTCTGTCCAACCTGCAGGCTCCACGGCCTTCGCTATGCAAACTCCCAACGCCCATTACCATGCCTCCTAGATGTGAACTTGCGTGAGCTACCGTGAACATCGGTGGATCTCCATGAACGAATAGACAACTATAATACAGTACAGAGATAAGCCCCTCACACGCCATTGACCAGCTCCCGCAGACTGTCCAACTCGTCCTTCCTCGTGCGGTACAGCTCCTGCGCCTCCCTCTCCCTCTTGCTAACAAAGGACACCTCCTCGCGCAGACTGTCCAGCCGCCGCCCGATAGCCGACTGCTCCGAGTACTGCATTGTGCGCTGCGAGTCGAGGTCGACCTTTGTCTTTTCAAGCGCGCCGAACGCCTCGCCGATCTTCTGGCGCAGGACAGTAGCGCGCTTCATGTAGCCTGCGTGATGGACGGCTAGCCTCTTCTCAATCTTGTTGGCCTGCTCTGCCGCTTCGATGATCTTCTCCTGCGCGCCGTCGAAGGCCTCGATCATGAGTTGGTGCTCGTCGATCTCGTCCTCCTCGTACCCTGCGATTCCAGGGAGCATCGCCGAGCCGTGTAGGTTGGTCCATGCGGTGCCAAACTCTGCGTGGAAAGCTTTCTTGTCTTTGTCAGAGGTCATGGCAAGCTCGAGCGCCAGCTCCATCTTTGCGGCTCGGAGGGCGTCGTCACTGAGCATCTGGAGCGGTCTCAGCGTTCCTGTGACGCGTCCGCTGCCGTTGCTGCCGCCGAATTTCTGGACATCGTTCGCGACTAGGAGAGCCATTTCGGTTTCGACTTCTCGCTCCACGGGATCCGACAGGTCCAGGGCTCGCTTCATCAGCGCGTCAATGTCGACTACTGATGGTCTTGGGAGGAATCGTTGCACGACCTGGGTTTGACGGGCAAAGTTGGCGCGCTCTGCAGCCTGCTGCATTTCCCTGTTCCTCCGATCAATCTCCGCGGCGTCTTCTTCGCTGACTTCAACTTCCATCTCATCTGCCTGCTCATCCGGAAGCTCAAACTCCCAGCTCTCCTCCTTGGGCTTCGGGAGTGCGGCGAGTCTGCTCTTTAGGTCTTGTCGTTTCGCAGTCTCTCGTAGCTTGATATCCCGCGGTGTCTGTCCAACCAGTTGCATGGCACCGTCCTCCCCATTTAGACGCAAGGTGTCCCGGGGTGTTCGCATTGGAGTTGCTCCTGGCCCTTGACGTGTGGGTGTGGCTCCAACCCCGCCATTCCGGAATGGAGTCGCTAGAGGGTTCGGTGTGACGATCTGGTGTCGTGACGAAGGCGCGGACAAAGAAGCAGGAACCTCGTCCTCTTCAAAGTCTGGGTTGTCTCCACCAAGCAGGGCAGACTGCGTCTCAGTCCGCAGTCGAGCGTTGCGCGCCTCGTTCGCGATGACATCCTCCTCTTTCGGCGCCATGGGCGTGCGGATTGGTGTGTTGCCAACAATGTTCGAGTAATTGCCAATCAAACCCTGCGTTGCAATGTTGTCGCTGCCAACCCCACTGCTTGCACGCTCCCCCAGCATACCCATCTTGACAATATCCTCCAATTCAGCCTCGCCAACCTGCGGTGTCGGAAGGACGAGCGTACGTCGCTTGCTGCTCTGTTCCGCCTCGCGGATCTTCTGCATCTGGGCGGCTTTGGCATACGACGCGGCCAGACCTCCAGACTTCTCATCCTTCTTCTTGCGCTTGCTGTCCCCCTGGTCCTCCTGCTGGTCTCCCTTGCGCTTGTTGGCGAGCTGTTGCTTTCGGGGGTCGAAGGCTTCGCGCTGCTTCTCGTTGAGGTCGAGTTCTTGTGTCGTGTCGAAGAAGCCAGAGGGGACCTCTTTCTCCAGGGGCACGTCGGCGTTGTAGTCGATATGGTTGCCCTTCTTTGGCGTGATCTTGATGTTGATGCCGGCGGCCTTGAGCTCTCGACGCTTCTGTAACAGCGCTAGTCTGCGCGACTCTTCCAGCTGCCTCTCGCGAGCCTTCCTCTTGGCTTTCTTTCCGCTGACGTTGGCCAGACGCGCACGCGCCTCGGACAGCATCTCCTTATCCTCCTCGTCCATGTCGATGGCATCGGGTCGCGCCGGTCGACTTTCGGCGTACGCGTCGACTTCGCCGGGGCGCAATCGTCGAACATCCTCAGCAGAAGGCGCCGCCGCCTCTCCCCCCTCAGGACCGGCGAGGCCAAGGTCACCGCTCTCCCTCGTCTCCTGCTCGTCCAGCAGTTTCTGGTATCGTTCGAGGCACTGTGTGGCTGTGCGCCCGACAATAGGTGCGATGGTGCGCCATTGCGTAGGAAGCAGCTTGGCCATGGTCAGGAGCTTCTCGTCGTCCTCCCTCGACCACTCCGTCTTCTTGATCGACGGGTCTAGCCATTCGTTCCATCGCGCCTTGCACTGTTTGGCCGTCTTCTTCGCGAGGAGAGACGCGCATCGCGCCCATTGATTGAGGCCATACTTTGAGATGGCCGCCTTGAGCACCTCGTCCTCGACGTTCGACCACTGTCCGACCTTTGTGACCACCATGATGGAGGAGTTAGCGAGCGTGGAATAATGTCGTGTGGTTGATGGCGTCGCCGTCGTCGCGAGATCCAACGCTCTGAATCTTTGAACGCTTTGGAGCTAACTATCTTGGCATCTCAGATCACGTGGCGCCGCGGAAGCAGTCACCGTGACGTAGATGCTCTATCTACTCTCCAAGTTGTCAGGACTCAGAATTACTATGCGTTTCTCTCAAAGTTTATAACCATCATTTGCAACATGCAGAACACTCGACAAGTTGCTGGGCGTATATGCCTAAATCCTCTCAGAATATACCAATCCACATCACGAACTCTGTGGTTATCTTCACCAAGATTCTACTCCTCAGATATTGATCATGCTACCAGTTCAACAAAAGACCAATCTTCAGTAGGCATCAACAGCTGGCGCTACGTGCGTCTGGAAGCTAATGCACTCCAGGCCTCAACAACCAAGACTACAGAAGAAGCCAAGCCTAAAAAGAAGACCCAAGCAGAACTTGATCAAGAGCTTTTGTTGAAACTGCAAGGGTTGGCTGGTGATGGTGGCGATTCCGGTGTTGAGTATGAAGATGGAAAGCCTGTCTCGATGAAGAGAAGCGTCAAGAACAACATGTTTCGATACATCTAGCTTTGCAAAGCATCGTCTCTCGAAGTGTGCGCAGTGAACGGATACAACAGGTACCCATTTCACTTTTTCAGTCACTAGCAGCACGACTAAGCCACGGCAGATAGACATGCCATCTGGTCTCGACTTCGAGGCTACAACGTCATGAATGTACTGTAGGAAGTCGGGCGTATAGGAGTTGACATTCCTGTAGCTTTTCACATAAACAGATCTCCTTGTTTCCTTCAAATCGACATTACTATTACGAATTATCATGGGTATCTAGCGTAAATCAAACATTCTGCCTCAATCGCAACACTCATAGCTCCATACCTTCCGTCTCTTCGAGTCCGTTATGATGTAAGCTCAAGTGCTCAGCCCTCCACGCCAGTTCCGCCGCACCTCTTGCTGCTACCGTCCCAGGATCCACCTTATTATCAGCTTCCAACAACATCGAGACGTCAAACTCCAGAACATCCCACAACGCCGCCTTGACCACCTCAACAAACTCCTCGTCTCTGGCATGTGCTCCTTGTAAAATGATCTTATTCGGTGGCTGCTGCAACGCACCCGCAACCTCAACAATTTCCTCGTGTATCCGTGCCCAAAATTTCGCCCTGGGTATCTCAAAGACGGGGAGATCCCACCACCCAAGACTAGTGTTGATGCTGTGAGAGTACGACCATTCCTGGGAGATGTTGTCCATGTACTGGACTGTTGCGCTGAACGAGTCGTCAAAGTTGAGGAAGAGGATGTGCCCGTACGGCATTTGAGATGCCTCATCCATACAGGCCTGGTGACTTGACCAGGATGTGCAAAGGCCGTATCCGAGTCCAGCATACGCTGCATTCGTCTCTTGGTAGACGAGCTCATTGCTTCCATGTTCTGATCTTGTTGAAGTGAGACCCACACTTTCCAACGCGTCTTGGAAGTCTTCCTCCTCGAATGAAGGCAACAAAGGAAATACCGGTGCGATACTCGATATGGGCGAGCCAAGTTCTTCTTCGATGGCACCCCGCACTCTTGAAAGGAAGTTTGATAGGATCCCGGAATTTCGACTCGCTGGTAATCCGAAGGCTTTTCTTGTCTGGCACCCCGCTCGTCGCAGACTGCAGCCCAATCGTCCGAGTATGCCATGACTTTGCTCACGTCAGTCAAGTTTTGGTGGCAGAAGGAAGAAATATGCTTACCACTTGGATTTGTCCTGGGACCTTGTCCATTGGGACAAGAGCTCAAAGTACTCGGAATCAGCTTCGATCTGTATGACAATCAGCAAACGTCACAACCAAGATCTCAACGCCTTCCACTGCTCCTACTACCATGAACCACAGGCGTGCTCGAGGAACACGGCATCTTTCCTGTTTCAAGACAAAACTCAAAGAACCCACACAAACTTACCCTCACCAGATCCCTAACCGTTCCATCCTCATACCTCGCCGCAGCAACCGCATGTGAAGTTGTAAACTGCACACCAACCCCCACCGCCCCGCCCTCCTCTTGTACCAAAACCTGCTGTTGTTGTTGCGGCAGCTGTACAACGCGCGCTCCAACCAACGGCGCAACAAGGAGGGGATAGAGTTTCATGACGAAACAAGCACTACCAATTCAATTCGATTCGATCCGATCCAATGCGAGTGAGCGACTTTTCTCGATACAGCAAATCAAGACAAGCGAAACGAGTGACAAGACCCAACACACACCAACCAATAAATAAACAAGCAAACAACAAAGTCAGTCAACCCCTCTTATAAGAGGGAAAAACGAATCAGCCCTCGTGACAAAAACACGCGCGCGTGAGCACAAAACCCCCGACTACGCCTAACGACTAATATACGATAGTGAACTCTGATCCCCCGCTCTTGCCCTCCCCTATTTCGTACCGCGGGAGCGGTTTACCGGTAACGATGTGCATGTGCGCGCTCATCAGCTCAGCCCTGGCATGGTAGGGCCCGTCTAGACAGTCACAAGCTAGGCTGGATTGGGCGCGCCAAGAGGTCGTCGCAGTCAGGCGGGACGAGACGGCGGAGCATTGTCTGGCTGGCTAATGCAAGGGCGAGGGAGATAATTCACGTGGTGGTATGCGGGGTCGGCAGGGACGTTACGAGGTTTCTACCTCTGTATACGCAGAGAAGTGAGACCTCAACCTCTTCTGCATCGATTTGCTTTCGAGGATAGGGCTTGTTTGCCGATATGTATATGTGGGGACGGTATAGGCTAGAACAGGGTAAGCCTATTTTTAGCACCCGTCCTTCCGTTCATTCCACTCTGCCAATATATTCCTCCTTGACTGTTTGTGGTCATCATATGGATGGTGCTTTTTGGGTAATACTCATTTCTGCCCGTTTAGGCAGCTATGCAGCTAGGATTTTGGCGAATTGGTCCGCTGGGGTTTGCATTGAATGGCGCGCTGCTTAATGCAAAACCCCCTTGCTTAGTTGATGGCTAGGTTTGGGGCTTTGGGTAGGGTTTGGCTTGGCAGCTGAGAGAGCATAATATGATTTCCGACGCCACACGGCGCGACGCGACGGCTAGGTGGCTATGAGTGTGTGAGTGAGAGGGCAAGTGAAGGAGTGAGTCCATTTCGCGTTTTCGTCTAACGTAGATTCCACATGTCTATATCGTATTTCGTGTTTGAATTCCACCACGGAGTAGCACAAGTTCCAGCAGAGGAAAACTATCCAAGCACCATCATAGCCAAACAAGCCCATCAACCATCAACCCAACAACGCCAATCCCACACCCTCCCATACCAGAAACCAAACGCCCACTTTACACAAAACAACCCAAGGAACCCCTGCCCAGCTACGCCTTCCCACTCAACACCTCAAAGATACCGCCGTAATGCACCTCGCCGCCGCTCCCCGCGCGCGGCCGCGGCTCCAGCACCGCCAGTCCGCTCTCGAACAGAAGGCGCTCCTCGTCCATTTCGAACTCGCATGCGCTGGGCTTGCGGCGCACGGCGAGCAGCTCGCGGATGCTGTGGATGGATGAGGGATATGAGTGTGGCGATGAGGCGCGCGTTAGCGGCGATGTGGTCGAGATGCTGCTTGTGGATGTCGAGCGCTGGGAGCGTGTGGGCGAGAAGGCGGTGCGGAGGGTGCGGAGGGGGGTGAAGGATTGGAAGCGGTTGGAGCGGGAGGGGGAGGACATTTTGATGGTTGTTGTTGGGGTTGTTGTTGGTGGAGAAAGACGGTAAGGTTGAGTGGCGAGTGAGTGAGGGAGTGTTTGCTGCGGTCCGGGCAGTGCTTTACTGTTGCTGGAAGTTCTTTTTCCCGAGACGTCGAGAAGATGGCGATGATGCTGCGTAGTCGAGTGAAGCGAAAGTGAAGCGTTCGGTGATCAGGTCCAGCTGTCAGGTAGCTTTGTGTTTAGACTTTCCAAAGAGTGGCAGTGGCAGTGGTGGATGGGCCTTGGTTCCGGACGAAAAAGAGAGATGAAACGACACCCTTTATGTCGTACGAGTCGAGTTGAGTCGAGTCAAGTTTCGTCTCGTTTGTGACGTGGAGGGTCTCCTAACAGGTAGGTAGGTAACACAAGGAGAAAGAAAACTCCCAACGATATCGCACACGAATGAATGTTGGTTTCGACCGGGACCAGGAAGTCAAAAAGATCGGAAAGCCCAGCTTCTAGTAATATTCCCCCCAGCTGGCGAGATATATTTGCTTTTTGACTACCCGAGATTTCCAGAACAAGTAAGAGTAGTTAGTGGCCGGCCAAAAAAGAAAGAAAAATCTCAGCAAAAAAAGCGGAAAGTGAGGGAATATATATATAAAACAGCAACACCGAGCAAGCAAGTAAGCAAGCAAAACCACAATCGGAACAATCCAAGCCTCCCTGCGACGACGAACACCACGTGTTTAAGAACGGACGCGTTGCCCGTGTGTCGTATGCCAATGCGTAATGTCAACCACCACCCACCACCCTACCACCCCTGTCGAAACATGCACCAAATCCCCATCAACGACGGCAACTTCAGACTTAGCACTGTTTGATCGCCCACCAGAAACAAGCGACTGCTGCTCTGCCGCAGAATTGATTGTCACCGCGCAGCAGCGCAGCAGCGCATCTCCCGGGCGGCGCGGGGAGTGGAGAACCAGCACCGTCATGGTCTTTCCATAGCTTTAGACGGCGTCTGCATGTGTACGTACGTATATCGGGGGATTTTCCATCGGAGACGGAAGGAGAGGCAAAAAAAAACCCCCCCCCCTCTTTGCAATACAATACAATACCTACACATGACAGCAGTAGACGTGTAACTCGGCTTTGCTTCTCATGGCAGATTCAGACGCACCCAAGAATCCGACGCTCGTACTGTCTCCGGCGCCTGCCGCGACGCGTCTCAAGACCAGCCAGAACCGAACTGAGCTGGGCTGAGCTGAGCTGAGATGGGCAATGTAATGCAACGCGGGGAGGGGGGACTGACTGCGTCGTGTCTGACGTTGCGTGCGCGAGCGATAGTGATTGGCGAAGTGGCTAGTGGGTTTCAGATACGTCTGCGTGTGCGGGCGGGCCGGTCGAACAAAGACGACTGCTTCACCGACACGGGACGATACGACACGACACGGGTGATCGAGAAGGTGTGGTTTCGGTATGTCATGTCATGTCATCGATGCCGACAAATTCCCCTGAATCCGAGTTATCAAGACATGCGCGTCAAGTTGCCCCAGCGCAGAGAGACCAAGTGCAGAAGGAAGTGGCGAAGAAAGAAGAAAGAGGCCTAAATAGCATAAGACATCTTCCATCTCATCTAACCCTCCAATTCCCAACGCCAATCGCTATGCCCCCATCTAATTCAGACCTCGCTACCCATGTCCCCTCATTATACTACTCCTCCCCCTCATCCTCCTCTCATCTATCAACCCCCATCACACATCCCGTCATATCCTGAAAGTGGTATGCAATGCAAAGCGGCGCAGCACAAGCACACCCATCACCGTAATCCCAAAACGCAGCAGGTACGGTACATCCCTCTCGCCCAGCGTCTCAAGCGCGCAGAACAACCATGTAGGTAAGCCGGCAACCAAGGGACAACAACAACAGTCCCCGGTGATGCTACCCTGTACAACAAAACAAGCCCACACACATGGAAACACTCCCCTCGAAAATTTCCGTTACTGAACGTAACCATGCATGCCCTACGAATCCAAACAACAACAACAACCGTCTAGTTACGTCCCTTGTGTGTAAAACTCCTCCGAATACTCTCACCCCAGGCAGAATTGTCCAGAACCTCCAAGACATCTGCCGCGCTGACCGCGCTGACCGCGCTGTTCGCTCGGCTGCGACTCGCCGGCCCTGGATCTGGTTCGAGCGGGCTAGGCGGGCGACTGAGCGCAGAAGCAAACTGCCAGTCGGCGTCAGCCTCGGCGCGGATCGGCGACCCCTGCGGCGTGGCCTGGATAGAATTGGCGCGACTTCTCGGCGCAGCATTTGTATCCAGATGTAGTGGTGACGGGGTACCCACGCTGCCCGCCGAGGTGCGCCAGTCGGCATCTTGTGGGTCGGTGGCGGCGAAGAGCGGACTGCCGCCGGGGGTTTGTTGGCTGCGCTGTGCGTCTGTGATGTCTTCGTCCTCGATGAAGATCTCGGGCACGGTGAACTGTGGGATCGTCGCCATGCGGCCTTGCTTCTTTTGCTCCATGGCGCGGCGGAAGCGGCGTGCCCAGTAGAGCGTGTCGAAGAAGCCTACGACTACGTTTCGTCGGACGGCTTCTTCCACGCGCTGGAGGCGGGCTCGACGACGTAGAAACTCCTCTAATCTACACGACGTTAGCATAGCACATGGTCTGAATACCGTGGGAAACTTACCTCAAGCTCTTGTTGTCGTTGATCACCTTGTGGTGAGCTAGAATCATGAGCAGTGAGGTGAAGTGAATGCCCTTATCGAGGTCACTTGATACCAGTACTTCCTCGTAGAAGGTGTTCATGCGCGACCGCCTGCGCCGGATCTCAGCAATGGGAAGTTCAGCCAGACAGCGATTGAGCTTCACAAGGTCGATTTCTGGTTTAGGTCCATGACCCGACAAGTCGAGGTTCGAGGCTCGACGCGATGTCGTGCTGCATTGCTCGATCAATCTACCCACAGTGAAATCGCCGTCGTAGATTCTCATTTCGAAAATGCCAGAGAGTTCCTGGTCTCATTAGTACTGATTTTACCATATCAACGAGGGTAGACTTACGCCTAGAAGCCTTGGGAAAACATCCCTAGTGATGTAACCGGTGCCGTTGGGGTCGAATTCCGCCCACGCCTGCTTGAAGCGGCGAACTTCCTCTCGACTAATCACTGACAACCCACTGCTCCGTTGATACACGTAACTGAAACTCTCATAGATCAACGAGACAAACAAGTTGACGAAAATGTACATGCTCAGAATGTTCCAAGAGATGAACAAAGCTCGCGCCCACTCAGGACTACCGCAATCGCTTTCAAAGTATCTCTCTCCCTCTGTGCAGTAAGGCCTGTCGATGCTGGCGAAGTCTTCCATGAAAGTGTTCCAGCCTTCACCCATGCTCATAGTATAGAGAAAGATGAGGGCTTTAGGAACAGTTCGAAAATTGATGTTTCCGGTCTCATTTGGTCCAAAGCGGGTGAGGCCGAAGGTTTGTGTGAGAGCGATAGCGTAAACAAGAAACAGCACGAACCATGTGGCGAGGAGATTCGCGATTGCTGTCAGACTCGCTGCGGCAGTTTTGAACAATTGATCGAGCTGGTTGTTTCGGGGGATCAGAAGGAGAGCGAGCGAGACTAGGCAGAGCTTGTGGATCTGAATAAATACTCGCCCGTCGCTCTGTATCAGCTTGAGTATCGAGGTGGAGAAAGTTCCGGCCACAGCAAACACGGAAAATATGTCCCAAGAGCTCCTCCGGAAGCGATGCCATGAGAGACCAATGATACGGATGACGATATTCGCGATGAAGATGATAGTGAGCAGAAGGAATATGTAGTCTATGATCATGTCAGCAGGGTATGTCTAACGTAATATACAAATCATACCTCTAGCGATTTCCCAGGGACCGTATCCCGGGTACCACTCCAAGCAAAGAAGTACGAGGTGTAGTATCAGGAGTGCAGTAATAGTCCTCTGCCATCGTCCGGTTCTGCGTACAGCCCGGCGGTAACACCACTCTTCCCACGTCTCCCGCTGTTTGGTTGATGACGGTCGTTTCGATGGAGAGACCTGCCGAAGTAGCTTTCGAAGTTCGAGCCAAGAACGTTGATCCGTAGTGAGGAAGGCCACACCAGTCTGCTCCGTGTAGTTTCGCATGAAGACGGAGACAAACAGCGTTAGCACGAAGACCGCACCAAGCAAGTTGAACATGATGAAATATACAGAGTTACCCCGTGCTGCAAAGGGCTGCGGCTGCGTGAAGACACCAGTGATGCTCATGCCATTCCACATGACATCTGTCCAGCCTTCTTGTGAGACAATCTGGAACAGGATGAACAGAGAATTTCCGAAGTTGTCAAAATCATAATAAGGATTAGTTGCCTGGCGTGGAGCCAAGACGTCCCACCCGTATGGTGAACTCGCGAATTCATTGACGCAGTCATTGAGATCAGATATCAGAGAACCATCGTCGTTGCAAGATTGGAATTGCCCAACGAACAGATTCAATCCGTAGATGGCGAACGGGATCAGCAGGCTGAGGGAGACAAATGCAGCCTAGACAAGTCAGCAAAGTAACTGACATCGATTGAGGAGGCTTACTGAAAAGAGTTTCCACCACCCGCGAACAATAAGCGCGTCGAACTGGTCTCGAGCACTATCACTAATATTGAGCAGACGCAGAGCTCGTAATGCTTTGAAAGCGCCCACAGTTCTGGTGACTTGGCCCTCGTTCATAAGAGATGTGCCGATGTTAACCCAAAGAGTACACAGCACGACACCGTCGATGAACCCCCATGAGCCTCGGAAGTACGCATTGGGTGTCCAGAAGAAGCCATCGGCGATGACCTTGATGAGAGCCTCGAGTGTGAACACGATAGCAAAACCCATATCGGTCCAGACAAACCAATTTCTCACGTCGAATACGTGGGTCTTGAAGTACTCGCGCTGATATAACGGTGTTGTGACACACGCCAGAAGGACCATGGCAATGATCGCGGCATATATGAATGCAGAGAAAGCGTACCAAAGTGGGACTGAGGGCGCGAGTCCTTCGATGCGATCACCTCCTCGGCCGGGGCCCACGAAACGTTGACAGAATTTGCGAATCGGGTTATGAGGTTTGAATATGAACAAGGACACGTTATAGTTTGGGTGGTTTCGCAAGAACTCTCGCTGAGCCTTTTTTCGTCTTTCCGTCGCAGAAACCACTTCTTTCGCCATTTTCCTTGGATCAAGGTCTTCATATGCACGCCCGAAGTCGAGAGGGGCATAGAAGGGATTAGGCTCTCGATGGACAATCCTGCGCAGGAACCGTTGCCATACAGTCGACAAAGTCCCAGATCCTACCATTGTCATGGCCGGACGAATGCCTGGTTGGGGTTCAAGATCATGTGGTGCGTCTTCACCGCTTTCGTCAAGAAAGTCACGGACAACTGCGTCCTTGAGCAACATTTCAGTAGCGGCAGAACCATAGTCTAATGGATCTCTACGGTTGGCGTGGCCGACCTTGAAGATAGAGGAGAGTGACAAGTTGCTATCAAGAAATTAGCCGGCAACTTTCAACACTCAAGAAAACGTACCCATGGGAAGAATTGAGTCCCTGTTCCTTCTGTTGGAGAAACGCTTTAACTTGCTGCAAGCGTTTCTCATCTTCTGAAACATCGAAGTTTTCTTGGATGACAGCAATAAACATATTCAGGACGATGACTTGGACGAGTTAGCTCAAGCTTTGAAGTTTTAACAGAGGGTTGTGTTCTCACAGTTGCCAAAGATGACCCACAAGATACAGAAAGAAGCTCCAATCCAAGCCGTACCATATGCGACTTGGTAGCTGGTAACGTTGTATAGGACTGTTGTCCAATTTTCACTGGAGAATATCTGGTACATGCCCAGAAATGAATTATAGATGTCGGAGAAGGAAATCCGGATTGTTTCCCCGTCTTGTTCCTCGGGCAGCTCGCCACGAAAGAGCTGTGAGGCAAAGATGGAGGCCAGAAAAGTCAAGAGGAACACAAAAACGATCAAATTCACCAGACCGCTGGTGTTCCTTAGGACAATCATCTAGCTAACATGAGCGGACAGAACAACACTGCGTGTGGGAAATACTTACAATAAGATCTCGCGTGATTGGCACTGTCAGAACGATGCGGTAGGTGCGAGCAATCTGGAAGAGTGTCAACCACGCATAAGCTTTACCTCCGTGAGCGTGTTTGATGACTGGTAGCTGGATGACTGTCGTGATGATGGCGATTACAAGGTCGGCAACGTTTCGCTTGCCCCTGAAGAAATGTCGCCAATCAATAGCAAACCGTATCAGGATCTCAATAAGCAGTATGAATGTGACGGCAGTCTCGGATACATCGATGAAAGAGCGCCGAAAGGGGCTCATTATCGAGCTTCTCAACATCTGACAGATGAGACCGTAGGCTATGATGATTCCCCATATCCAGATTGTTTTGTCGTAGATGCGTTTCAAACCACTGACGCGCTGCTTCTCCAGCCCTTCGTCTGCGCCATCTTCCCTGAGGTCTGCTCCGGTAAAGGCACTCGTCTCGCTCTCCTCGCGAATGATCTGGAAAGACGATGTGATAACGGCAATGAGTAGTGAGATGAGCCACAAACTCAGAATCAAAATTCCTACGATGAAAAAGAGGGAGCTTATGAGATAGTCCGTGTCCGCTACGGTGTAGAGGAGACTAGACCATGTGTTGGACGACATAACAACGAAGACCAGCTCGATAGACTGGAGAATATTATCGAAGCTTTGCGTGGCGTTGTATGGATTAGCATCTTCAACGCATAGAGATCCTCTGGGGCACAAAAAACCCTTTCCACTTGCTGGACCAAGGAGTTTGCCATTGGCGTCCACGTATCCTCGCGCAACGTTAGAATCGAGTATGTTAGGGTCATAGTGACCACCACAGAACTGGTCCGAGTTTGTGTAGTTGGTTTCACCTTGCCATACGCAGTTTCTTCTAAAGCTTGATTTGAAGCTTTGCACGCCGACGATAGAGAAGAGAAGCCAGAAAAATCCAATGAGAAAGCCTACGTTGAGTAATAGAGGAGCGGCTTTCTTCAGACTTCTAAGAATCACCTAGACGCAAGGTTAGCGGGTTTGCTACAACAGTTAGCTTTTGTCTTACCGAGGTACCGCTGGTGAGGTTTAGTAGGCGAATGATGCGCAAACAACTGAGCATTTGAAAGACGAGGATAACACGGGTGTTTTCTATGTCGACCAAGCTTAAGCCGAACGCGATCCAAAAGGACACAACGGCGACAAAATCTGTTCGGTTGAAGGAGTGCCTAAGGTACGCTCTGTGAGCCAGACGAACGCGCTGTTGCTGCTGCGAGTCACCGATGTTGAGAGTTGGACGAATATCTGTGTGGATCTGAGCATGGGCAGTCGTGAAAGTTCGAAGGACTGAAGGTTGTTGAGGACCCATAGTTGGATCAGTGTTTGTATCGGTACGTCGTTTGGATGGTTGCCGTTGTGGACCTCCGAAGAGCTGGTTGGCCTTGGTCGTAATGGCCTCTCGCAAGCCAACTTGCCTGTTTATCGTGCTGTACTCGACAGGATTGATTATGAAGCCCGACACAATGATGCGAACGATAGTCTCAATAGTGTACACGATAAATAAGCCAAGGAGAGCATAGTCGATAGGGTAGAATTCTGCGATTTTTGTGATGCGAGCAGAATCGTATGCAACTTTGTTGCGTGCGTCGACGGCCAGCAGGACGGTCTGAATGACGATGAGAAGGAGGAGCACTGGTTCGGTGGCTGGGTGGACAAGTACATCGCACAATTTCATCCTCAACTTGCTGTTGGGAGAAAATATGCCCAAGCTTTTCCCACGCAAAGGGTTCGGGGGTCGCTGCCATTGCATGCTTGATGTGCGAGAACCAGGGCTAGGTGATGGCGGCTTCTCGACAGGGGACGATGGCACGGGCGTGGAGGGGCCATCGTACTCGGACACTGTAGGAAAAGAAGGTGGTCTTTGGGAACGGCGTTGGGGAACGCTGGACTTTCTTCGAATCGTGCGCTCGGCAACTTCGGAATCGTTGGTGACGTTGGCGACACGCTGGGACATGTTCCGTATCATGGTTCCCGCCCTATGCAACCCGTAGGCGGTCTGGCCAGGCGATAGGGACCGCTGCCTTCCCCTCGAATCCCTGAGTCCGCCCATCCCGGCTTCCAACTGTCCCATGTCGTCGCCAAGACGTGCTGTGGACGATGCATCTCCTGGACTGAGGAACTGCACGCTCTGGAGACTGGAACGATCCTGCTGAAACGCAGACGAGGAAGCGCTGAGCCCGCTTATTGGCTGCAGATTGCGCGTATCTGTCAAACGCGCCGTGTCGTCGTCGATGGGCGAGGAGTTGTAGCCGTGGTCTTCAGAGGTCGATCTGTCGAGGTAGGGAACCGGGCCATACGGGTCGTACGAGCGTTCCGACGTAGGTGTAGCGAGCGGCGGTGACGTGTCGCCCTCGAAATTCATGTTCATTCCGAATCCAATGGCAGCCTGGAATGCGCCTGCGTCTATGGGCGACGACACTATCCCATCGTCGTCTACTCTTCGCACACTCCCCAGATTCGATGCCACGGACGTGTCCAGTTGAGGTCGACGTCCATCTCGTGTGGGACTGGGCGACGCCTCGGCAATGGGAGTATACTGCGAAGTCCTGAACTGTCCCGTAGTTATGGAGCCCGTCTGCCTAAACAAGTTGCGCCCGCGGTCGCTGAGGGTCCTCCTGTGTCGCTGCGGCGCATTTTCGTCGGCGTTGGTGGTGTCGTCGGGCGGACGGTTGAGGTTTTGCAGAGGTATTGATTGGCCGGCGGGGTTTCGACTGTGGTTGGGGTCCGAGTTTGACATTGGGGTGTCTGTTGTTGCTGGTGCGCAGCTCTTCAGCTCGCAAAGAGAATACTATCGCGCGGACATGTAGCTAAGTAGATAAGTCGGGACAAAGCGAGCGTGGGGAGGAGGATGGCGGCGGCGGCGGAAGGATAGGCCTGGGTAGAGGGTCCAAGAGCGTGAGTCGTGTAGAGAGTGCGGCAGCAGGTGGGATGTGGAGGTGGATATCAATGCGCGTCAAAAGAGCCAGGGTTCGACTAGGGAGACTAGACGCGTAGGGCTGCAGGAACAGTCGGCAGCAAGGAGACAACTTGGCCTGTCTTTCTCTTCACTGTATGTATCAACACATTCAACGACGTCCACTGCGCTATAAACATCAAGCTGACTGGCCTGTACGGCACTCCTTCTCCAAGATTGAGCGTCAGCTCAGCCACACTCGTCGACTCCGACTCCTCAACGCGGCCACACGAGCCCCAATCAGGCACATGCACACGCCCCTGTCAATGGCGTAGCTAGTTTCAGCCACGTTGTGTCTTTTTTTGTACGGCTATGTCATGGTTGGACAATTCTGGCACATCTTCATCGATGATCTGACGTGATTGTGCAAGCAAAAGGCCTCAACATTAGCTCTGGCAAGCGTAAATAGTGCTCCAGCATATAGCCATCTCAAGTGTTTTGGGATTTGGCAGTTCAACACTTCAGATATGGTACATGTGAAGGAGACGCCTTTCCCCTTTTAGCTACTTCCGACTTCTCGCCGCATTCTGGACGCGACTTCACCGTGTGGTGCCCTTCACCACAGCCAGACATGCACCCTCATCTCACCACTACACCACCCACCGCTCCACCGCAACCGTCTGAACCCCGTCATTGCCTTGACGGACTACAGCAGCACTCCCGCCGCATAGTCGCCCTCCACCGCGCCTGAACACGGCCAAACGCGTCGCCTCACTCTCACCATGCCCGCCAAACGACGCGCCGACGACATGGACGTCGACGAGCCCGTCCAAGGGCCCAGCACACTGCAGCAGCTGCGCGACATGTGGCAGTTCTCCAACCTGGCCCAGTACATGAATATATTCGGCGACGCCGTTAAGATCGATAGGGACTTGGACATCGAGGTACGCCCAGCTTGCGCCCGACGTTGCTGTGCATGCGCCGGGCCCAATTCTGATGCAACAGCGGCTGACAGAGATACAGGAGCTGGAATCGGAATGTCTGAAGCCTCAGCCTTCGGAGAAACTGGCGCAGATTGGCCTGGCGCTCCTGAAGCATGTGTCGTCACACAAGGGCCTCACGTATGCTTTCGTCACTGCATCCATGCATGTGTGCTAACCTGATGCCAGACCCGAGATATTCGACGAATACACACGTCGCCAATTCGTCGCAAAGGCCCCCACACGCAACCCCTTCGGCACCGACGAAGAACCCAACAAGTTCGATGACCTGGACGTCTTCACCAAGATACGTGTGCTGCAACAGCTCTCCACATGGACACTGAACAACCCCAACACGATACGCGAGAAGCTGGCGGCTACAGATAGCGAGCAGACGCTTTGGGTAAGCTTGCGCAATAGCACTTCCTTGACAATGGCTGATAATTGCTGCAGCGCATGGAGCCTACTGGATGGGACTCACAAGACAGGACGCTGTTTGTGTTGGACGATAACCGAATGTACCGCCTGACTGACGCACCGCCTCCACCACCACCACAAAAGGCAAAACCAAAAGCAAAGTCGAGAAAGTCCAAAGGGTCGAGAACTAGCAAGCGGCAGAAACAGACGCCAGAATTCGAGGAACAAGCCGAAGATGAGGAAGCGGCTCGGGAACAGCCAGTTGAAGAATCTCAGGATGATGGGCTTGGAGGCTCGAAATGGGAGTGTATCTGTGTCACCCTGGAAGATTATCAGGACTATATGAACGCTATTCGAAAGAGTCGCGATCCAAACGAGAAGATTTTGTACAAACGCCTAGCAGACGAGGTTATTCCGGTTATGGAGGGTCTGGCAGACGAACAAGCACGGAAACACGCTCGCAAGCAAAAAGAGCTCGAGAATATGCAGAAACTGGCCATGGCGAAGCGCTCTTCCAGGATTTCATCCAGGCTCGAGAAGCAAAAGGAGGTGGAGGAGGCGGATGCTGCCGAGCGCAGGAGACGAGAGGAACTCGCCATGGCCAAGGCTGAGCAAGAGAAGCAGAAGAAGCTTGAAGAAGTGAGCAAGCCCTCGACTTTTTTTTTTATAAACATAAAGCTAACACGGCCCAGGCGCATGATTCACGCAGAATGACTCGAGAGCAACGTCTTCGCGAGCGCGAAACCGCCAAGGTCCTTAAAGAAGAAGAACTGCGCAAACTGCAGCAAGACGAGCAAAAGCTGGCGACCAACGACGCCAGGCTATCAGAACGGCACCTCAAGGCTATGATGAAACAGCATGAGAGCGATCTCAAGAAACTCAACGAAGAGGAAGACTGGTTCTTCGACTGCGAAAAGTGTGGTACCTATGGCTCTAACCTTGTAAGTTGTCACGCATCCTTCCCTCTCACGCTGCTGACATGATAGAACGACAAAACACCTCAAATCTCGTGTGAGAGGTGCAGTGTATGGCAGCATGTGAAGTGTCATGGCATCTCCGAGAGCGATGTTGATGATCCCAAGTTCATCTTTGTCTGCTCTTCATGCAAGCGTAAAGAAGACGAAGCCGACCAACCAAAACTCCCATCTCTAAAACTGCGACTCACCTCTGCGTCGCCTGCCACAGGGAACGGGATACAAGCGAGTACATCAGCAGCTCCTCGCCGGCTAGATTCCATCCGGATACCACCACCACAGCCATCTCTTCCGCAACCCCATCACCAACAAGCACAACCCTGGGTAGACGGACCCAGTCTCTCTCCACGCGGCCAAGCCCTCGGACCGCCTGGCATCCAGCGCTCCGAAGCCGCCTACGGGTCACCCTACAACAACGCAAACGGAAGTTCATCCCCCGTCCGCCCCGTAGGAAGTTTCTCCATGCCAAGCGCCAGCTTCCCGACATCCTCCCCACCCCCCTTCCCCATCTCGCACCCGCCTGCCAGCCCAACAAAAAGCCTCAACCTCTCTCACCAAAAGCCAAACAACCCCTCCTCCTCCTTCAACGCCTCGAACCCCTTCGGCCCCTCACTAACCTCACCCTTCAACCGCCCCCCCTCCTCCACAACCGCAAACGCAAACATCTCCCCCACAAAACACTCCCCAGCCACATCCCCCCGCCCCCCCTCCACCCTCCCAATAATCTACAACTTCAACTCCCCCCACTCCTCCTTCCCCCCCTCCTCCGCCCACCGCCCCTCCTTCTCCCCCACGAAAAACTCCTCCCCCGCTCTCCGGCCCACACACATGTCCTCCCCGGCCCCCGCGCCAATGCGCATCGCGCCCTCGCCCTCGTCGCAGATGCCCGCGCAGGTTCTTCCCGACCCGATCCCTGCGCCGTCGAAACATGATGGGAGACGGGCGGTGGCGAGCCATGAGGTTTCGGAGACGCAGGTTTTTCCTCCTGTCAGGATGTTGAATCCGAGTTCGGTTCCGGTGGTTATGAGTCCGCCGGTTAAGAAGGAGAGTCCTGTTCCTGAACGGGTTGGGAGGGGGGTTGGGGGGGCGAGGTGATGTGGAGGGGATGGGTTGGGTTGGGTTGGTTGGATGGGAGAGGTGTTTTGGTGTTAAGGACAAGAAGCTGGGCTTTTTTTTCGAGGAGTTGGGGAGAGGGATGCATGCATGCATGGGGAGAGGGATAGATATGGTTGTGGTGAAGGTGAGGGTAGTTGTCACGCCGTTGTTTTCTAATGGCACTGCTTTCCACCCTCCCCCCTGAGTTCGGGTTTTCTGGTGCCGTTCAAGCTTTTGGGTTGGTAGACGGGGGATTTGGACGTACAGATCTTCGCGGGCGTTTTCTTTCTTTCTTCTTTCTTCTTCCTTCCTTTCTTACCTCACTCCACGGCATGGCGTGCCGTGGACACGGCGTATCTCACCGGGAGTTTTCTTACTAGAGGGTCTTAGGAGATGGCATGATGAATGCTTTTGTCTTGTATTTGTATCTTTTTCTTCCTATTTTTCTTCCTGTTTTTGTTTGTATTTCTGTTCATGTTCATGTTTGAGTTTCTGTTTCTAGATTTCGCCAGAGCTTGAGTTTGTAGAGAGTAAGAGTAAGAGTAGATACAACAATAAGAATAATGAGCAATGTATCTATCTATCTGTATACTCGTGTGTGTGTTGTGGATCAGAAAGGAGCAAGGTTGAGAGGGGATTGATCAATAAGGCTACTACTTATCAAAAGTACACAATCGAAGAAACTAAATAATATTACTGGTAAACGTAAACAGTAACGATTTGGATTGAATTGAAGCAGAACTAGAATGAGCACGATCACCACGATATAGGTTAAAGTAACCAATCGAATCGATCGATCAACAAGAGAGCCCCCCAACCCAAAAAACTCCCACCCCCAAAACAAAACCCCCCCTCCAGCTACCTAAACAACATCCCCCCCAAATTCACAGTCTTCCCGCTCTTCCCCCCACCATCCCCCCTCGACCGACTCCGACTCTTAGACCTCACAAACGCATACTCCTTCCCATGCCTCCCGCGCCCCTCATCCTTGATGAAAAGGCGGTTTCCGTTCCCGCCCGCGCGCAGACGGCGCGTGTGCTCGAAGAGGATTTCTGTTTCGCGCTGGCTCATCTCCCGGAGGACGATTATGTAGTTTGGGTCCTTTTGGGTGGTTAGTGTCTGGCAGAAAAAAAAGGGGGGGGGGGGATGATAGGGATGGGATATAAAAGGGGTAAAGGAGGGGGACTTACAGAATCATATTCATACGGAATATCGTAGTAGTGCAGGGTTTCCACGTCGAGGTATTCGCGCCTGACTTTTGCGTAGGTGGGTTGCGGGGCGATGCGTAGCTGCGTATGTTGGTGCTGGTGCTGTTGGGGGGCCATATGCATATGATGCGCATGCGCCTGGGCAGGGAGGGGATGAATCGGCATCATACCCTGCTGCATCTGCTGCTGGTGTTGGAGTTTCTTCTGCTCCTCAGGATTAAGCAGTGCCTGGACCTGATTCTCCTGAAACCCAAACTGCGCAAGCCGTCTCCGCATCGACTCCTCCAACTCCTTCTCCTGCGCCTCTTTCTTCGCCTTCTCGCGCTCCGCCTCCTCCTTCTGCTTGCGCGTGAAGGCCTCGTACTCTGCTTTATCCTTCGCGCGCTTGGCTTCCTCTTCGAGGCGTATCTGCATGAGCAGCTCGTCTTTTGCGCGCTGCGCTTTCTCCGCGTCTAGCACTTTTTTGCGCTCGTACTCGTAGATGATGCGCTCTGCTTCGGATTTGGCGGCGGCTTCTTCGGCGGTCTTTTTGGCTTGGTAGGCTTGCAGGACGCGCTCGGCTTCGGCTTTTGCGTCGCGCTCGGCTTTTTCGACTTTTGCCGTGTTTTCGAGGATGATGCGGCGGCGCTCTTCTTCCCAGGCTTTAGCCTTATTATCGCGCTCGAGGGCCTCTTTTGCGAGCTTGGCTTCGTTCTCGGCGATGATGCGCTTTCGTTCTGCGTCTGCGGCTTTTGCTTTGGCGTCGCGTTCGAGGGCTTGTTTGGCTAGTTTGGCCTCGTTCTCGTGGATGATGCGGTTTCGTTCTGTTTCTTGGGCGCGCTTTTCCTTGTCGAGGTCTGCGAGCATTCTCTCGCGCTGCTCGGTTGCGTCGCGCTTCTCCTTTGCCATTTTCGCCAGGATGCGCTCACGCTCTTCGGCGGCGGCGCGCTGCTCCTTGGCTGCTTTCTTCTCGAGATCAGCGCGTAGGCGCTCTTGCTGTTCGGCCTCGTCTCTCTTCTCCTTTGCGATCTTGGCTACGATCCTCTCGCGCTCTTCAGCTGCGTCCCTCTTCTCCTTGGCAACCTTCTTCTCCATGTCAGTCATGAACTTCTCGCGCTGCTCTGCCTCGTCTCTCTTCGCCTTGGCAGCCTTCCTTTCGAGGTCGGCAAGGAGCCTTTCCCGCTCTGCGGCCTGCTCTCTCTTCTCCCGCGAGATCTTCTCCTCGATTCTCTCGCGCTCTTCCTCACGCTCCCTCTGCTCTCGGGACATCTTAGCGCGGTTCTCCGCAATGATGCGATTGCGATTGTCTTCCTCTTCCTTCTGCTCCTTGGACATCTTCGCTCTGTTCTCCGCGATGATGCGGTTGCGGGTGTCTTCCTCTTCTCTCTTCTCTCTCGAGATCCTCTCGATAAGCCTGTCGCGCTCTTCTTCGCGATCCCTCTGCTCCTTGGACATCTTGGCGCGGTTTTCGGCAATGATGCGGTTACGATTATCTTCCTCGTCTTTCTTCTGCCGCGAAATCCTCTCTATGAGCCTATCACGCTCCTCCTCGCGCTCCCTCTGTTCTGTCGACATCTTCGCGCGGTTCTCCGCGATGATACGATTGCGGTTCTCCTCTTCTTCCTTCTTCTCTCTCGAGATCCTCTCCACAAGACGATCCCGTTCTTCCTCACGCTCTCTCTGTTCCGTCGACATCTTTGCTCGATTCTCCGCAATGATGCGATTACGCTTTTCCTCCTCGTCCTTCTTCTCCCGAGAAATCCGCTGCACAAGTCTATCGCGCTCCTCCTCGCGCTCGCGCTGCTCTTTAGACATCTTAGCGCGGTTCTCCGCAACGATACGTGCGCGCTTGTCTTCCTCGTCACGCGCCTTGCGCTCACGCTCCATCTCCTCCTTCTCGCGCCTAAACTCCCACTGCTGCTCCAGACGCTGCTCCTGCATGCGGATGCGGTTCTCCTCGGCATCGCGCTGCACCTTGTCTTGCATGTACTTGAGCTCGTACTTGCGCCTGGCAAGCTCATCGCGATTCTCATGCTCGAGCTTCTCCTCGGCTTCTCGAAGTCGCTCTTCAGCGAGACGTCTCTGCAGCTTATCCTCATAGGAGCCTCGGTTCTCGTGCTCGAGCCTTCCCTCTGCTTCTCGCAGCCTTTCCTCGGCAATACGTCGTTGTAGCTTGTCTTCGTACGACATTCGATTCTCCTTGCCAAGCTTCTCCTCGGCTTCTCGGAGTCGCTCCTCAGCAAGGCGTCTCTGCAGTTTATCCTCGTACGAGCGGTCAGGCGAATGGTCATGGTGGTGCTGGTAGTCACGGGAGCGGGAGCGTTCCAGCCGATCCCTCGTGACTTGAAGCTTCAGCTCCGTGACCTGTTCCTCCAGGTCCCACTCGCCGGGCATTTTCCTGTTGCGGCCGCGCGGGCTGGCATCTCTGCTCTTTTGTTCGGTGCGCACATTGGGGTTGCTTTCGTTGTCCATGCGCGTGGAGTTGTAGATGGTCACGTTTGGGGCTGGGGTGTGGCCTTGCGAGCGGGTGCGGTGGAGACCGGTCGTGTAGTGAACTTGTGGGGTGAGGAACTCGCTCGTGCGACGACCGTAGCTGTGGCGGCCATATTCGTCGTCTTCGCGGGTTTTTGGCGGCGGAGGCTTGACATGGCGGGCTCCGCCGGTGTATTGATCCGCGTACCACTCGTCGGAGTAGTCCCTCTCGTCTGTAGAAAACATAGCTGTGATGAGGGGGAAATCAAGTACAAGTGCTGACAAGGCTGAGTAATATCAATGGAGAGAGTGAAGAAGTTGTTCAGGACGTCTTAGTTCCGTCTTACACACTGCGGGGGCGGGGTGATGGGAGAGACCAGCACAGCAGGTAAAGAGGAATCAAGTCAGTCAGACGGAAGAGCGTGGGACATGGCAGTCAGATATCAAAGAATGCCAGCCGTCAATCTTGGGGCCAAAATGCAAGCCACACTGCAGATGCGGATGCAGCTAGTCATCAGGCAGCAGTAAGCAGGAAGCCTCATGCGCCCGTCTCGTTGCCTTGCCGCCATGGCTGTGGAACGAAACAAAAGCCTACGCGCGGGTGCAGATGATTGTCTCAATGGACAGTGTGTGAGCCTGTTTGCGCCGCGTTCTTGCAGCAATGTTTTGAGCGGGCGGTTCCAAAGAGGGGCAGAAACATGTCCAGAGCTAGAGCTAACCTCCATTACCCCTGCGACGCGGGAGGGTAAGCGCTTGGGAAAATGGGTATCAGCCTCGTCTGTTAATGATCGTGAATATCGTTCTCTGCATTCCCAACAACAAACCATAGGTAGCTAAGACATATGTAGTGCACGCAGAGCGCGTCCTGAAACACGCAGCGTTGTGACCATTTGCCCTTCTGGATCACCGGCGTGATGGTGGTATGCGACATGGGGGCGGTTTGGCAGCTGCAAAAGCGGGAAGTAAGCTGCATTCTTTGTAGCTCCTACAAGCTGCAAAACTACACAAGAACAATACAAAAATGTATACGTAAGGCGCATACAGTTACAAATCTAGGCGCAAGAGTTTTACACTAAACACAGTTGTAGTTGTCAAGCTGTTGCGTGATTTTGCTGCACCTTGGTTCCTGGTATTTCGATTGACAGAGAGGCAGCCTCGGAGGGCGGAAAGTTGGCACCACGGGGGTTTGTTCAGCCGCGCCGCTCTTGTTTGAATGCTGTTCAAGTGTGAATCAATTGGACATCTCTGCAGACGATGCTATGGATGTGGATATGGATTTGCGACGTGTCTTGCTAGCCGTAAAACGGACTAGCACCCAAGATCAAAAAGCGAGAGTGCAGCACGTGCTTCTTCCCCAGACTAACACCGGCGGCCCGCACACGAGCCTCGGCACCGGCTTTTGGTGAATGATGAACGGGAGGTTCCCTCACTTTGCACTCCCCTCTGTGCTAGCATGCGGCGATAGTCTTTACTGCACAGCAGCCATGGCAGACGCTCTCTGCGGGCCCTCGAATGCCCTCCAGAACTTCCAGAAGCACACGACCGTCGACCGGACGCTGCAGCAGGATCGTCTGGTCGGCCGCCATTCTCCGTCGCAGGTTAGTTGAGATGGCGGAACACGAGGGACTCTCTCCAACTGTGACCAGGCCTTCCGATCGTCGCCCGCAGCCAGCGCCGCCGCGACAGACCACGAGTTCGATGCCTTTCAAGCTGGGCAGCCAGACTTCCAGCACCGCGCTCCTCCGCATCTCGCGCATGCTCCCCGTCTCGTGCAAGCTCCCCAGGCGCTGCCTGACTGGGCCAACGACTTCCAGCGCATGAACATCGCCTCTCCGCCGCCACAACAGCACTTCCAGCAGCAACGAGCCCAGCCAGCGAATGCATCGTCGGCATGGCACCAGGACTTTATGAGGCAGCAGGCGCCGGTCGTGCAGGCCCCAGTCTTGCAGCAGCAGCAGGCGTTCGGGGGAATGTCGGGGTACGGCATGGGCGGCTTTGCTGCATCGCCGTACATGCAAGCACCCGTCTTCCAGAACGCAGCGCTCTCGGACACGGCGCAGGGGAAGCAGCGGGCGCAAGACGCAGTGCCAGCCTTTGACGAGGCGGCCTTCGAACAGGCCTTTGCACAGGCGCAGCAGGACATGTTCGAGGAAGCAGTCGCCGAACAGACACAACCACAGCCCCAGCCAGAGCAGCTGGACCGGCCGAGTGAGATAGACCCTCTTCTTATGCGGATACGGGAGACGCGCCCAGGTTTGTAGCTTCTTGCAGCCACACCACGCCTGCTAACCGCTTTGCTAGCCGTCTACTCGGCCATCCAGGTCTGGAGCGAGATGGGCCTCGGCCGCACCGACGAAGCCATCACCTTCCTAGATAACATGGATCGCCTTGAGAAGACGGGCCATCTCGTCCAGGACGCAAACGAGGGGCGCTGGATCGTCGACTCGCTGCAGCGCATTGCCAACCGCGACGCCCCGCAGGAGATCAAGACGCGCGCCGAGACCCTCATCACGGCTGTCAACCAGAGACTCATGTCGCAGTACCCGCTCGGCGCCCAGGTGCCTATGAGCGCGGAGCCCCTGTGGCAGGAAATCGACGCCGCGGGCTACATGCGGGCTGCTGAGCCAGTCCCAGCCGAGCAGAAAGAAGAGCAACAACAACAGCCACTCACCACCGACGACGACATGGCCGCAACAGCCGGCCGCCTCCTCGAAAAAGTCGCCGACAACACGAGCGAGAAATTCAAAAACTCGCAGTTCCTCTCCCTCATGCGCCGCCTGCGCGACCACAAAGTCCGCGTCGAAGACGACAAGTTCGTAGACGTTGATGCTGCTCCTACTCCCTCTCCCGACAAAGTCAGTGCTCCACCACCATCAATACCGTCGTCGTCGTCGTCTTCCTTCCCCACTGCAAACCCACCACCACCTACAACAATAATCCCCGACATTGATCCAATGCTCCTCAACCACGCAGCCACAGACTTCCAAATGCCAGACTACGCTCAGTACGCTGACTCCCCTCACACTAGCACCCCCAGTAGCTGACGACGTGATAGTTGAGCCCAGCGGATAGGACACACGAGACGCGGCGCATACCGCCGCATGAGCAGGACGAGGATTTGTGGCGCTATGCTGTGCCTGGAAGGGATCCAGTTACGCAGATGCGCGGGCCTGGCTCCGCGGCGGGGTGAGTGGGTAGGTATGTGGTGCCCTGTGAACCTGCTCGTTGGGAAGGCGTGTCCGCGAGACGCAATTTGTGTAGAATGCGCATAGCACTTGCAGTGTTACCAGCGAGACATACAGGGGTTGGGTTGGGTTGGATCAGGTTGTATAAATCTCGGAAATACTGGTATAGAGGCGCAACGGAATGGGGTTGGATACAAGGGAGATCGAGCGGGGTGGGAAGACGCGTGTAGACGGAATGGGATAGGATGTAAGATTTTCTAGCATAGTGTCATGACGAAATGATTGTATAGATTTTTTTTAAATACTCGGCTTTTTTATTTCGTTACTGCATGTTTTCTACGTTATGTGTGTTGTCTCGGTATAGCTTGTTATAGAAGGGGGGATTGTGGAGTGTTGTTTTGTAGAGCGGAAGTACATTGATGCCGTGTCCTGAGGGAAGTACACAAAGCAATTGATGTAAATGAGTATGTGTTGTACTGTATTTGTCCCACTGCTGTGACTGGGGCTCGAAACTGGAACTAAAACTAGACATGGAACCAGAACGGGGGAAAAAGTGAATGGGCTAGTATAGTACTACAACAGAACAGAACAGGACAGAACAGGACAAGTTTCCATCTCGGGTGGGAGAATACATCGACGAGACGAGTCGACAGAGGGAATAATGTGTTGATGTTGTATCTGTCCAGAGATGACCTTTTTCGACTGACGTGTAAAATCTCCCTCTTGTGTAGAAAGCGTCAGATTACAAAATCAATGTCACATGCAGAATTCCCTAAACATCAAACCCCTGATTCTACCCCCACAAATCTCCATCTACTTTTCCATCTCCATCTACCCCCTCCCTCCCAACCCCTCCCAACACTCACTGCCCCCCACCCTCCGCAGCCCTCAACTCCGCCTCCACCTCCGCAACCACCACCTTCCTCACCCCCTCCCACCCATCCGCCTTCCTCACAAGACTAACCCTCCTAGGCTTATCCTCCAACCCCTTAAACTCCACCGGCAGTACCTTCTCCAGAAAATACACCTTCTGCTCCGGCAACGCCAGTTCCACCGCATTCGCGAACTTCGCCGGATGCGCCGTCGCAAGCGCAATATGGTGGGTCGACGGCGGGCCCGACACAGCTACAGAGCGGAACGCAGCCGCAATGCCGATTGCAGAGTGGGGGTCCAGGATGTAGGACTTTGATGATGGGGCGTGGAAGATGGATTTAATCGTGTCGATAGTCTCGTCGTCGCTGACGCGGTAGGACGAAAAGTCCGCCTTCGCTCTGCTCAGGATCTGCGCGTCGACGGCGAATCCGCCCTGCGATTTCAGCGCGTTGAGCCAGTCGCGCACGTGGTCGCCTGCCTGGCTGCGGCGCTGGGACACCGCGTCGGAAGTAGAGCTGTAGACGTCGTAAGCGAGGAACCAGAGCAAGCGTTCGAAGTTTGACGAGACGAGGATGTCCATTGCGGGGCTGAGCGTCTCTTTTACGCCGCCCTCGTGTGCCTTTACGCCGTCTTCTGCGAGGCCGCCTTCAGCCTTCTGGCCATGCACGGGCTTCTTCTCGTATTTTCCCGTCTCCCAGAAGCGGTGCAGGATGTCGTTTGCGTTTGTGGCGATGATGAGCTTTTCGGTGGGCAGCCCCATGCGCTTTGCGAAGAAGCCGGCGAGGATGTCGCCGAAGTTGCCGGTGGGGACGACGAAGCGGACGGTGGAGGCGGGGAGGAAGGAGGGCTGCCGGATCAGGTTGAAGTAGGCGTGGAAGTAGTATGTGATTTGGGCGAGGATGCGCGCCCAGTTGATTGAGTTGACGGCCGCGAGACGGTGCGTTTTGTTGATTTCGGGGTCGGCGAAGAGGGCTTTGACAAAGTCCTGGATTTGTTAGTTGTGTCTTGAAGTGGTTGGGAATTGTACGCACCTGGCAGTCGTCGAAGGTGCCGTCTACAGCGAGGTTGTGCACGTTGGCGTCCATGACCGTCGTCATCTGCGCTTCCTGAACGGCGCTGACCTTGCCGTGTGGGTGCATGATGAAGACTGAGACGTCCTTCTTCCCGCGCAGTCCGTAGATGGCCGCAGAGCCAGTGTCACCACTCGTCGCGCCAACGACCGTCAGGTGTTCCCTCTCGCGACCCGACTTATTCTTATTCCTGCGGACGAGGAAGTACTCAAACAGGTTACCCAAGAACTGGAGCGCGACATCCTTGAACGCGAACGTCGGCCCATGGAACAGCTCCAGCAGATGTATGTTCTTCTCCTTGTCGAGTGTGACGGTCGGAGTGATGTCCTTTGCGCGGAAGGTCGCGTAGCTGCGGCGTATGATGTCCTTTAGGTCTGCGGCGGGGATCTCGGACGGGGAGATGTAGAGAGAGAAGATCTCGTACGCGAGTTCCTCAAAGGACATATTCTGCCATTTTGACGCCCAGTCTTCGGGGAGTGTGGGGATTTCCTCGGGGATGAAGAGGCCGCCGTCTGAGGCGAGGCCCTTGAGTACGACTTCCTCAAAGGAGAGCTATAAAGTGTCAGGAGACGCATGGTTATAATTTCATTGTAGGGCTGCTGCTCTCACGTCGTAGGATCCTCCCCGAGTACTCAGGTAGCGCTGGGACGCGGTGTGTGATGTCATGGCGGTCAATTGTGAAGAATATCAACAGTAAACTCAAAAGATGATATCGTACTGTACACCAATAGAGCAAGATGTAAAGTGATGATGGACCCGTGGGGAAACTTGACGGCGTGGGAATAGCTCCGCAATCGCAGTTGACTCAGAAAAGTTTGGTCCCGTCAGGCCATGCGTCGACAACCGTAAGATGCTTTTTAGAGACCACATGGCTCTATATGGGCTCAGATAGGAAATTGTAACGTGCAGTGACAACCTCCTGGCTCTACTGAGCCCACACCAGTACAGCATCATGCCCCGCGATCATGATTTGTGCCCCGCCGTGTCATGCTTGATGTTCCTGCAGTTGTGCTGCGGCCGGCGATTTCGGCGTTACGGCTGCACTTCGGTGCAAGAGATGTACTTCAGCAACAAACTTTTTGCGATGACGATTGACACTAACATCTTTTTGGAAGTCAGCAGACGTCGTCAACACCACGTACACTTTGTATGATACAAATGATATCTATTTACAAAAAAACTACCTGGCCCGTTCTGCTGCTAACACATTCACGCCCGTAGTAGGACACGGTTCCCATCTTATTACATGATATAAGAACCAGTTTGGTAAGAGATTCTAATATTGTCTTAACTGTATGACCTATTTTACAACGAATACCACGGGCATTGTTGTAAGCTTACAAGAGACCGCCTTCTCTTTTCGAGTCCATGCACTTGCCGTACGATACCATTCGCGGTTGTCCATCAACTAGACAAATTCTCGTTGATTTACTCCCCTCGACGCAACAAGATACCAAGATATCTTCATACTCGTGTAGACAAAAGAGTGCGGATGGGAAGCCATCTAGCACAAAAGGTAGTAGAGAGGATAAGATAGCACGTTGATCTAGTTGCTAGACAATATCTACCCTTCGATAGCTTTAGCTAATTCAAGAATTAGGTGGCCGTTTCAGTCCAGTCATTCGTGCTCGATAAACCCCATCCGAGGCTTCGAATGTGTGCTGTGGTACGGCGACATGTCTCGGGCTTTTTATCAGGACAAAGTCATTCGAGATGTGAATCTGCTTTGCGGCTTTCTCGCGTACACGATTGTGGTACTGAGTTATGACTTCGAAGTCTGGCCGCGACTATTCCTAGCCAGTTTATGGACGCGAAACGACAACTGCCACAATCATCCCGTAGGAACTCCCAATGTCATTTTTTTGTATGTCTGAGTTTCGTTGCTCTTTCACAAATCGCGTCATGTTACATATGCACGCATTCGAGGTCTCGGAGGTATGTATCGAGCATGACTCCCGGTTAGTTGAAATACTAGGAAATAAGACGTAGCAAAATCTTGCAAAAGCCTGCTGGCTACATCTGATATTAGTGTAAAAATCGTGTACATCAATCTCTAGTAGTTCACACCTAGCATATACTTTTTCCCTTATCAATAGTGTAGTCTTGCAAATTTTTGCCACAGACAACACAGCCTACTTTCAGCTTTCACACTGAACGGAGAGCAGGAATAGAAGGCTGAAACAGTCACCTTGTTTATTAATTAGGTAAAGCTATTGAAGAGCCAACGTAGCCCTCCTATGTGTTACACTCTGTGTCCCACGACTTCCTATTTACACTCCATGTAACTACTCTGGGTAGAACCATGTGAGTTTCTTCAGAACGCGGACATGTTAGCTAATCGTGAACGGGTTCATACGGCAAGTATATAGAGCCACACGAAGAAGAAAGGGTGCTTTGAGGAGAGTACAATTGTGTATCTCTGCGAGACAGCTATGCTCTTGATTCATCGAAATACCAGGAAGTAATATGCATTGAAATCTTATATCAGCTAGAGGACTACATGTAAGCTTTGTGTAAGACTTGTGTGCTGTAAATATTACTGGTATACGCCTGGTTGTATCAATTTCAAGCCTCTTTTTCTCTGGTCTGGTTGCATTTTCTGCGAAAAAGGACGTTGCTTGACTCCACGTATTTCGACTAACTGGGAGTTATGCTCAAACCCCGAATGTGTCTCTATCAATCGGTAGTGTCTGTACTCTCAGCATCGGCGAGACTCCGGCGTCTGCTAATCATCGGCAGGAGTTCGGCCGGCTGATCGTCGGCAGCAAAAAAAAAAAAACTCTGCAAAGCCGAGGATCAAGCGCTCGGTCGCAGCGAAGCACGGGCCAGCAACACCACCTATTTAACAGCAGCCCTCCCCGTCCCCTCTTCCAATCTTCAGTGAACAGTGAGCTTGGCACCAGCCCCCTACTACAACCACCACTAACAAAAAGCAGTACTTCATAGGATCATGCAAGTTTGCCTGTTCTTCCATCCATTCGACATCCTGCTAACAGCCTTCTAGTTCTATAGTTGTCGTTCCCTTCTGAGCTTCTTACAAAAGCCACAGATTCTCCAACCTGGTTGATGAGTTACAGCCTCGATGTCCCGGAGTGAGGCCTTATTGCATTTGCTTCGGCGAGTGTGGCGATGATCTTCAGCCAACCGGTTTCGTACTTCGGTCGATCTGGAAGGCAGGACGTTGATGGCAATCTGACAGGCCATTTCTTTTTCATTGATTACTCTGGCGTGCCAGATGATTGAGGAAGAAGTTTTTCTCATGTGTGTACCTGGTTATTGGCAGATTGTAAGAGCGCGAATCAAACAGAGGAAGGCCTTGGAGCAGCTTGACAACGACATGCAAGATCAACGTAAGACTTCGGTAGCTTGAAATCCATCTGTAAATGTTCAGCCTGTTTTCTTCGCAACTTCGAATATCTTGGTACTAGTGCATTGATATGCTTACAAGGACCTCCCCATCTCCAGCGTTGAGCATCACCGACACACCAGAAATCAAGGTACAGCGAAATCTTGCAACAGCTGGACAACTACATGTACAATTTGGGTTGAGCTTCTGCACCTCGAATATTGCTAGTATGCGCCCAGCCTCTTTACTCGTAGTATTCTCCAAAGTTGCGTTGGTTGTGTGTGGAGTCGTCCATCGAAGAGTTTTTCAAGACCCAAAGTTGAGGAACCAAACTTCGACAGTTGCTGCCTGGACCTTTGAACGCGTGTGCTCGCATTAGTATATTGAGGAACCATGTGTCCAAATACAATCTATCAACTAGCTCTGCTTCTCTGTTACTGTTACTGTGTACTATTATTGTGTATTCTTACTGATAGTTACTGTGTGTACGCACATACTGTATTGGAAAATTCGGCTCAATACTGTGTTGTGTGTATGTGTTTCTACAAGTAAGAACTCGCCGAAGAGCGACTAAAAAAATTCGCAGCATTAATATTGTGGTAAGGATGTGATATTCTGCAAAGAAGAATGTAGCTTTCTTCTAGATATTTCTACTAACAGATACATAGCATCCCCCAATGCCCACCCAATTTTATTCATCCGCGAGCAACGCCATATATGATCTTTTGATCATTCACCAACACCTCAACACCATCCATACTTTTCGTTGCCGACCCAGTCAATCTTGTCCGCTACTGGGCCATCGTGCTGCGGATACCACTGCAGGCTCGCGATACTCTCAGAATCCCTATCGACCACCTCCGCACCTGGCTCCAGCTTTTGAGCCGCTGAAACAGTGGCAGGTGTAGGATTCCATGCTTCGACGTGCTCCAACCTCCACTCCTCCGCCTCTCGTTGCGCCATCGCTAGCAGCGCTGCTATTGCGGCGTCATGGCTGTGGTCTGTTGAGCTTCCATCTACTCGGCTAAGATCATCTTCGTCCTCAACGACTATCCTCAGTATATGGAGTGTGTTTCCTTTGGCTTCGGCTGGGTTTGCGTTGTACCACACGCGAGTCCAATAGCACCAGACTCGCTTCCCCTGCTCTGTGCCCACCACAGCTCCCTTGACTTTCGGTACCTTACCATGAAGCTCCATCCCTACAAACTCCTCTCGCGCATGGTGCCACTCGACAGTCTCGATGTCTGGTAAAAGTGCGATTGCAGTCTTGCTGCTCTTTGACCGCAACTCCAGACTCCGTCTCATGAGAGCTTGGTCGATTTTGCACAGCTCATCCAGATCCTCTGCGTACAGCGGCCGGGCAGTCGGGAGACTGTTTGCATCTACGTGTTTAGAAACGCTTCCTGGGATGGAGACGTGCGACGAGTTGAACGGCTCCCAGCCCAGAGCATTGTAGAATGTCTACGTAAGTTAGTAAGACACCCCCAATCTTACCAACATACGACTCCTTACCTTCCCGATATCAGAATACAGCACCGAAAACAAACACTCCCTCCCCTCGCTCGTCTGATGCGTCTTCAACGCCTTCCCCAGTTCTTTCATCATCCTCTGAGCATACCCTCTCTTTCTCAAGTGCGGCGCACAAAATACACTTCCGATTCCATGACTTATCAACTCTTGCACTCTCCCATCTTGCCAAACCAGCGCCTTCTTGCGGTACGTCTCACAACTCGCGAGCGGTAGACGGGTTCCTGAAGATGGGTCCAAGGGATTGCTTGACATGGACGTGTCGACAAGGATCCAGTAGCTGATGCCGTCGTCTCGCGTGAGGGCCTGCTGCGAAAGGGTGGCTTCACGGCGCAGGTATGTAGCGAGAGAAAGGGCGCCGCGCCATTCGGCGCCGTTGAGGTTGAACTGGATGAACTTTTCCGCCTCGGTGGGACGGACGAGTGCGAGGGTTGGAGCATCTCCTTTTGGGAGATCTATGGGTGAGTTCATGGTTGCGGTTTGGTGTATGACTAACTACCCTTTACGCAGGAACGGTTATCAGGGTACAGTGGTCTGGTTCACGTCTTCGTGTGCATTTGATCAAGTGGATGGCTAGATGCTTTGTCTCGATGCTACCCCACGTTTAGTGCAAGACTCCATCTCGTCCGCAATCCCCGCATCCTTTTATATCTTCATTGTCTGTCTCCACAAATGTTACGTCTTTCTCTCCCGTCGTGTGCCGTCGAAAAGCGCGAAAAGCCAAACCAAGGATCATGTGCGGCGTCTAGGCTTGTGAGCAGATTGTAGAAGAAGGCTAAGGGTTTTGCCACGCTTCACCCATCGATTGAATCACCTCATCAGAGATGTTACCAACATCACTCCGTTTGGATCGTCGCTGCCCATACGCGCAGGGCTGGAATAGAGTGATTAGCCGCGCGGTGTACTACGCGAGACGCTGACCCCCGCCTCAGCTCCTGGGCTACATGCAGATTGCATGCGGCGTCAAATTCATGTTTGTCTCTCTTCGCACTCGTCGAAAGGGGATACAATGGCCGTTGCCCTTTTCGTTTCTTGTGGCACGTAGCTGCCGTCTCTCACCTTTCTGCCTGACACGCTTGCCTGTTTAGTTCCTTCTGTTCCAGCTCTTTGATCTCACTCTGGCCCCGCGCGCTGCAACACGGCCAACACCGCAGCCTGGATTATCTGCGTCAATCCGCGCAATTTCTCGTTGTCAGTCTGCGAAGTGGTGTACACACGCCAACTCGCGTTACACGAACCCGCTCAGGCTGGTACAGGAACGAACGAGGCTGCGGTGAATCGGGCAGGCTCTATTCACACATCCCCCTTTCGCTATCGTCTGTGCGATTCTTTCTTTGTTTCTCTGTCTCTCTAGTTATAACTCATGTCTTGTTTCCCTCTTTCTCAATCTCTGGCAAGCTTAGCGTGAGCTGCGAGTGATTGCGTGGCGAAGAGACGTTGCCAACCGCGATCCCTCGCTATCACTTATGCATCCGCCCGGCGGTAAGCACCCAACAAAGTCCACTCCCTGAAACAGTGCAAACGAACAGACTTTCTCAACCGGAATTTCTCAGTACGCACGGGAATCACTCCTTACTTCCACAAAGAATACGCATCATGGCTCATGATGATTTTCATCTTGCCCGCGAGGTCGTTGAGTTGTCCGATGATGAGGATGAGTTTGGGTACTCCGACGCGCAATTTCAACAAGCGCTTGATGGCATCTCCGATACATACGACGAAACTTTCGACGATATCAACGCTCAATCCAACACGTACTACAGCGCCAATGATCGCGAGATCATCGACTTGACGGCCATTCCAGACATCGATGTACCGCCATCTGATGCCGGAATTCCCGTAACAGACGATGAACCCGCCGCTTCTATAGATTCAGACTGGGGCGGCGATACCGACCTGATCACCGACGCAGCGTGTATGCAGATGGTCCTGAATGTTTTTCCAGACATCGCTGCAGACCACGTTTTGGACTTGATCAAGGAGAAGACCACAGATGCGACGCGGACCATGGCACAATGCGAGAGGATCATCACTGAGCTCCTTGACGCAGAGACGTATCCGAAAGAGTCCGATGAAGTCAGCAAGAATCTCAAAAGGAAGAGAGAGCCTAGTGACGAGCTGAGTGAATACGAGAAGGGTCAGCGGGATCCTAAGATTCCCCAGTATGAGCAAGATGCGTACGTATATTTCCTGTCCTTTCCATCTTTTCCTCGTGTCAATTCTGGCTTCGAGTTTTCTGGCCGAATGCCTTCAATACTTTCTACTCATTCACTCGTCACGCGTCGCGACTTCAATGAGCGAGGGGACACCATTTCCAAGTCACAATTTTGAGTTGTAGATTCGGGAAGGGTGTTGATGAAGTTGATGGGGTTGTTCACGCGGAGTCTCAATATGAGAGCCAGCGAAACGCCAACCTTGGGTTGACATCTACCACGGCCCACGGCTCCTGACGACGTCAAACCCTGATCCGTTCTACACTCAGTTTTAGTGCGCACACAACTCTTTTTATGGCATTTATCACTGTTTTTCTACGATTTCCTGAGCTGACGCAACTTTGTCTAGGGTGGATTTGCTCAAAGACGAGTTTCTTGATATTCCAGTTCGATACATCACAAACGTGTTGAAGAAACAGAAGACGCTGTTCAAAAGTTACGAGATTCTAGAGGAGCAGTTGCAGAATCATCGCAAGATTCATTTGTCATTCTCGAAAATCGGCAAGAAGCGCATCAAACGCGGTGTGGAACAGATCTTGGTTGAGCGTGGGAGTCAGCTTCCAAAGGAACTTCACGCCGCGAAGAAGAAGAACAAGGACGAGACTGGTAAGTGTCTGTTTGTTCGAATCCATTGCGTAGCATCGCGCAAGCTGGCCTTGATGTCATCTACAAATCCAGGGGTTGGCTGTAGAGATTATTGATTAATACTAACTTCACACAGCCAAGCGCACTGAAGCCGAAAAAGCGGAGCAAGCGGAGAAAGACAACCTACAGCAAGCAGAGATGAACAACGAGATGGGCGAATGTCAGTGCTGCTTCGGCGACTTCCCCCTGAACCGAATGATATGCTGCAACGGTGATAATGTTCATTTCTTCTGCATGGACTGTCCCAAGCAGTACATCGAAACTGAGATGGGAATGTCTCACTGCAGGCCAGTCTGTTTTGCAACCGACAAGTGCAAGGGCACTTTTAGACGTCATCAGTTTCAACAGGTCTTGAGCGAGAAGACGTTCGAGCGGTTGGAGCATATGCAGCAGCAGCAAGACCTAGCTGCCGCCGGACTCAGTTTTCTTTCGGAATGCCCCTTTTGCGACTTCAAGATGGAGTGCTTGCCACCGGAAGTTGACAAAGAGTTTCGTTGCCAGAACCAGAAGTGCGGCAAGACCAGCTGCAGACTGTGTCAGAAGGAGACACATATCCCACTCAGCTGTGAAGAAGTCAAGAAGGACGGGCAAATCACATTGCGGCATATCGTCGAAGAGGCGATGTCTGCGGCGCTGATTCGACACTGCAACAAGTGCAAGCATCCGTTTGTGAAGGATCTTGGCTGCAACAAGATGACATGCTCGCATTGTAGGAACGTGCAGTGGTAAGTCACTGACTTTGGTGTCGCCCTTTGTCGTATAAGCTAACTCGTGTTACAGTTACGTCTGCTCGACGAACGTAAAAAACTACAACCATTTTGGCGACGTAGCAGCAGGGCTCTGTCCACTTCATGATAACATCGAAGACCGCCACGAGCAAGAAGTCAAGAAAGCAGCCGACGCAGCCATGGCCAAAGTCCAAGCCGAGAACCCACAGCTTTCTGAAGCCGACTTGATGATCCAGGTATCCGACCGTGTCAAGCTTGCAGAAGATGAGCGCAAGACCCGAGCCGCAGCTCAAAACAATGCCTTTCCGTATCACATGCTTGACGGGCAGATTGCGCATCGAGGTGCCGCAGCAGGACACCTACTTCGAGTTCCACCACCAGTGTACGTAGCCCCCTACCAGCTTCCCTTCGCAGTTGTTCCTGCGCTGCCCTTCAACAACAACCCCTTCTTGCCAGCAGCTCCTCAACCTCCCTTTGTACTGCCGCAGAATCAGCATAACCAGTACTGGCTTGCTCCCCGGCAGCAACAACAACAACAACAACAGCAACCGCAGCCTTACCAGTATGTACACAACTGTCCGCACTGGCCGCTGTGTCCACACCACCACCACCATCATCACAACCAGAATCACAACCACCATCCGCACCCCTACTAACTCACCACACCCCCTCCAGACCCCGCGTGGGCGCATTCTTCGACCCCCTCGCCGCCCTTGCACCCGCCCAAAATCTCCACGAAGACGTCCACCAACGAATCCAACGAGCCCAAGGCATCCTGCGCGCACAGGAAAGACAGGTCCAACAACAACAACAACTGATACAAGCACAACGGGATCTGGAAGTGCAACGGCTGGAACAGCAGTTGCAGTTGCATCAGGCAGCGGGGGATGGCGCGCCGCAGCAGCGACGAGGCCCGACTCCACAGCAACGGCGGTTGCGGGATATGCAGGGCCAGCTTAGGGTGCTGGAGTTGGTGAATGCGGCGCGGATGAGGATTCTGGATGGGGTTGGGAGGGGAAGGTGAGCGGGGAGGAGGGTTGGTATAGGGGGTTTCTTTTGTAGATGTTACGTTATATTTTCTTTACGTAGGTTTCTTGTCTTGTTATGCGATGTGATGTGTGAAGTGGTGCAGGAGTGGGTGTTTCATCAGAGACAACTCTCGTGCGTAGTTCGGTATCTACATCTTCCTCTCCTTCGATATCATGCTTTCCCCTTGATATCGAACTTTGCCCTCCCCTCCTCAACCCACGTCTCGAACCGGAATACGCCCGCCTGCACGCTGCGAATGGGCGTGACGCGCACTCCGCCGAGATCTGCGCCCTCTTTTCCATCATCCTCCTCCCTTTCCATATCATCCTCCCCTCTTTTCCCCGTTTTCTGCTTCTTCGTTTCCCCCACCCCTCCCCGCCCCGTCTTCTGCAAACTAGGCTGCACAGGGACCCACGGCATGGGATGCGCAATCGGCGGATCAACGCCCATCTCATCCTTAAGCTCCATCGCGACATTAAACGAGCACGACGGAGGCAGGGGCGCAAGTTGCGCGGTGCGCGTCGTGAGCGCAATGAGCGCGGCGCGGAATTGCTCGGAGAGGTTCGCATCAACATCTTCGTCGTCGTCACGCGCGGGGATATTGTCATCAGGCGACGGCGAGCGCGAGTCCGACGCCCATTCAATCCGCGTCTCCCTTTCGCTCTTCTCCACAACAGGGAAGCGCGATACGTCGACCATGTAGCGCTCGAGGATTGCTGCGCTGCCGGTCTGGTCGTCGTTGGCGTTGTGCTGGGCGAAGATTACGATGCCGATGCGTGATAGACTGCCCGTGAGCAGCTGGGCGTGCACGGCGGAGAGGGCGTCGCGGATCCATTCGCAGACTAGGGGGTGCCGGGATTGGTAGACGGAGGTGTTGTGGAAGCGGGAGTGGACGAAGGAGGTGCGCGGGTAGAGGGTGCGTAGGTAGAGGAGCGTGTGGGTGTAGGCGGTGAGGAAGGAGGTGAAGGCTGCGAGCGTGGAGAGGTAGGTGGGCGGCATTGTTGGTGTGGTGGATGGGGTAGACGCGTCTTGTTCGGTCAGTTGGGATGACGTCGAGGGTGGCAGGCTCGTCCCCGGGCTGGGTGAGGCGTGAGTGGCATTCTAGAAGGATGGAGGCGGGGAGTGGAAAGCGTCACCCCTCGACGATATAACGGATATGGATATCTCATCGGACAAGGCTGTATTCTGATTGGCCGTGCAGTCGACCTGTGTGTGTAAATCTTCCCCCAGCATCAACACCACGGCGGACATATTTCCGTCGACATCTACCGCTCCCCCCCACCTGGACCCAATTCGCGCCCACCTGGAACCACACCACGACAACACCGGCGTCGACGGCTCCCCCCAACCCCAACCGTCGTCTGCTCATCTGGCCCGGCTAGAGGCGTGCCCGACTAGCCCCATGGAGGACCAACTAGTGCAGCTGCTCGCCGCGACGCAGACGGCGCAGGAGACGCCGCGCAAGCAGGCCGAGCAGCAACTGCTCTCGCTGTACGGCCACGCCGAGCTGCCCCTCGGCCTGGTGGGCATCGCCGGCCACGACGGCGTGCCGCTGCACATCCGCCAGGCGGCGCTGCTGGCCCTCAAGCAGCTGGTGCTGGCCGGCTGGAGCGACAGCTTCGACGAGCACCAGGGCCGCGTGCTGGTCGCCGACGATACCAAGCCCGCCCTCCGCCAGCGCCTGCTCGACCTCGCCACGACCGACCATGTCGACCGCAAGCTGCGCGCCGCCGCCGCCCTGGTCGTCAGCAAGATCGCCGCCGCAGACTACCCCGACCAGTGGCCCGGCCTGCTCGACTACCTGCTGCGCATGATGCCCGCGGCGTCGGACGGCCAGCTGCACGGCGCGCTGAAAGTGCTGGGCGAGCTGGTCGACGACTGCTTCAACGAGGCGCAGTTCCTCGCCGTCGCGCCCCAGCTCGTCAAGGTGCTGTTCGACGTGGCCGTCAACGACCAGCGCAAGCCCACGCTGCGCGCCTTTGCCTGCAGCGTCTTCCGCGCCTGCTTCGACATCCTGGAGATGATCATGGAGGACCACAAGGCGGCCGTCAAGGCCTTTGCGGACGAGATCCTGCAGGGCTGGCTGCCCTTCTTCATCGCCGTTATGAAGACGACGCTGCCCGCCCCGCCGTCGGAGCAGGACGAGAACGACGAGGCCGCCCCCGCAGAGACGTACAAGGGCCTTGTCGCCCTCAAGCTGCAGGTCGTCAAGATCCTCATGCGCATCCGCTCCGTCTTCCCCGCCGTGCTCTCGCCCCACAGCTTGCTCCTCTTCCAGGCTACGTGGGAAGAACTGTCCGCTCTGCAGCCCGCTTACACGCTCATGTACATCCAGGAGGAGCGCCAGAGCCGCCTCGAAGACGCTGACGGCCTGCCCTATACGCTCGACTTCCTCGTTCTAGAAGAGCTCGACTTCATGCAGGCTTGTCTGCGCGCGCCCCCGGTCCGCGCCCAGCTGCAGCAGGAGCTGCAGAACCAGACGCCTGAGAACTCTTGGGTCACCGAGGTTATGAAGCTCGCTGTGGCGTATGCGCAGATCACAACCGAGGAGGAGGGGCTTTGGGATATCGACGTCAATGTCTTTCTCAGCGAGGAGACGAGCGTCACGGCAAATTATACCCCGCGCACTGCTTGTGGTGATCTGGTTATTAAGCTTGGGGAATGGCTCACGGAGCCGACTATCAACGGCCTGTTGACGTACACGCGCGCATTGTATTCTGCCGCCAATGGCTGGAAGGCAAAGGAGGCTGCCCTGTACGTCCTGAACCAGCTGCTCAGCGACTTTCAGGATGCAGACAAGCAGATTAGTCCAGACGTCGCGAGTGGGTTTGTAGACTTCATCCGCTACGCCATGCAGCAGCCCGATGCATTCCTGCGGGCGCGCGGGTATCTGGTTGCAGGGAGCCTGACAAGAACGTCTGGCGACGCCCTGCAGCAACTCGCCTCGTCCTTTCTTGAAGCTTCGCTACAGGCTATTCCAAATGATGAGTCGGATGTGGTTCAGGTCTCGTGTATCCGCGCTATGCAGTATTATCTGCAGGCTCTCCCGCGCGCTGTTACGCTGCCCCTGCAGAGCGCTATCATTGCGGCTATCAGCAATTATCTCGCCACGCAGGACTTGCAGGAACTTGCGGAGAGCGACGATCTTACTGTTACCCTGGTCGAGACGCTTCGAGACGCTATCCTCATCGACACGCGGATATGCATTACTGGCGATGGTCTGGATCTGCTGTTCCGCGTCGCCAGCCACTGCGCCAATAACTTCCAACTCACGATGCTGGTCAACGAGACGTTTGAAGAGGTGACGCAGTCGATTGCTCAGATGGGCGGAGATGCGTACGTCAACTTGTGCGCAAAGGTCCTCCCATCCCTTACTGGCGCTTTCGACGTGGGCAATCTCACCGAGGAGAACAATCTGACAACGCTGGCTGCCGACCTCCTCACTGTTCTTGCTGAGCACGGCCCCGAGCCACTCCCAGCTGGCTTCGTTGCGACGACAATGCCGAAACTCAACCGTCTTCTGCTCGGCGCGACGGACGAGGAACTATTAAAGTCCGCCACCATGGCAGTCAAGAACATCATCGCACACGACCACCAGCAGCTCTTCGAATGGCGTGACGACAGCGGCAAAGCCGGGCTCGAAGTCGTCCTCATCATCATCTCGCGCCTGCTCTCCGCGGCGTCCGACCACGCTGCGGGTGAAGTCGGTGTTCTTGCCGCCGAGGTCGTGGAGAAGGCAGGCCATGAACGGCTGGGTCCGTATCTTGAGGAGCTGCTGAGAAGCGTTGCTGTGCGTCTTTACTCGGCGGAACATGCGCCGTTTATTCAGAGCTTGACCCTGGTCTTTGCAAGACTGAGTCTGAATCATGCTGCCGAGGTGGTGGAGTTTCTGGCCATGCAGGATATTGCGGGTCAGAATGGACTGCAGGTTGTGCTCGCGAAGTGGTTGGAGAACTCGATTAATTTCGCGGGGTATGATGAGATTCGACAGAAGTACGTATACCGCAGTTACCTTAGTGAGGGGGAGTGAATGATTTGCTTGGGATTGTTTTATTATTATGTGGATTTATGCTGACTGTGTATGCTAGTGTCATCGCGCTCTCGAAGCTGTACGATCTAAAGGACCCGCGCCTCGCGGCTATCCAAGTAAAAGGTGACCTTATCCCCAACACAGACGGCCGCATCATGACGCGCAGTCGGGCAAAGAAAAGTAAGTGACCCCTGATTTCTTCTCTGAGGGAGGTGCTGTGGACTGACAGCCAACCCTGAAGTTCCCACCCCCTACTCCCACCCCCCCTACCAACGAAAACCCCCGCTAACCCTCCCCCCCCAACAGACCCAGACCGCTACACCACCACCCCCGCGACCCTCAAAATCCTCAAAGTCCTCATTGTAGAACTCCAATCCGCATCCGGCACCTCCCTCGACGCAACCGCCGCCGCCGACCTCGCCACCTCCTCCAACAACGCCGATGACGCCTCCGACGCAGCCTCCGACGACGACGCAGACGCCGACTGGGAAGACGAACCGAACCCGTTCCTCGACCTCGGCAGCACCTTCAGCAAAGAACAACTCATGGCTTTTGCGGACGAGGGGCCGGGGTCGGGCAGGCAGCGCGATGATGAGACGCAGGGGTTTATTGTGGAGTTTTTTAGGAGGGTGGCGGGGGAGGAGGGGTTTGCAGAGGTGTTTGGGGGGTTGAGTGAGGGGGAGAGGGGGAGGTTGCGGGAGTGTGTTTCGTAGGGTGTGGGTATGCATAGGGGGATAGAGGGGGGAAGGGGGGATAGAGGGGGGGAAGGGGTGGTGTGGGTATCGATACGTTGCACGCTCTGGGTCAATATTATTGACATAGCAATAGAGTGAGGGAATGGGATGCAAAATAACTATCCTCTCGCGAAGATAAAAGAACAGTTCACTACCTACTACCTACCTATCTCAGCCTCAGTCTCAGTCTCCTTCTCCTTCTCCAACTACATCTCATCCCTTACTTCTCCCCACCTCTGCGTCTATGTCTGTGCACAAAACTCGCACTTCCACCCCGCACTTTAAACTTCCACCTTCCAACTACTCTATCCAACAAACAAACCAACCAAGAAACCAACCCCCCCCTTTTTTTTAAAAGAAAACTAGCTATATATATTTCTACAGTCTCTATACTATGTAGGTAGCACGTTAGCAGACGTTATTTACATAGGTGGGGATAGGTAGTTATAAGACGAGACAAGACAAGGAGGTGGTCTAGGAGTTGTGTGTTGAGAACTTCTACAGTTAGTGTAAACTTATAAACTTGGAAAGTTTAAGCTACGGTATGGGGTGTGTACTGGGATATGTGGTATGGGGTATGTAGTATGTAGGGAAAGGAGTATGTAGGGAAAGGAGTATGTAGGGAAAGAAGTAGTAGTAGGTATAAGGGTGTAAGGGTGTAAGGGTGCGGAGATGGGGTCAGGTACTAGTAAAGAAGGGAGAGGAGAGGAGAGAGGAGAGGAGA